CCACGCGCCTACCTTCCAGCTTTAGCATTGCGGGCCGGTTAACCTTACTTGACATCTCGAGTAATCATCTCGACGACCTTGAACACGCAAATCTGGATCAAATACAAGGCCTTGTCTGCATCCGGTTGACCAACAACAGACTCACCACCTTGCCGAAATACTTTGGCAATTTCCAGTATCTGCGAACCCTAAGTCTTTCATGCAACAATCTGCAGACGTTGCCTGAATGTATCTGCGACCTGAAAAGCCTCGTTGACCTCGATCTAAGCTTCAACAACATCGCGGAACTTCCAAACATCGGCAACTTAACATCTGCTGAGCGCATCTGCATCACCAACAATGCTCTGCGAGGCCCCTTGAGCGAGACATTTAAGAACCTTACCAACCTGAAGGAACTTGACGCCAGATTCAATGAGATAACGAACATTGACAGTATCTCTATGCTTCCGCGTCTGGAGCAGTTGTCAGTCGGCCACAACCCTATCTCACGGTTCAGGGGCTCTTTCCCGAAAATGCGGATCTTAGCACTCGACCATTGTCCTATGACTCAGTTTGATATCGACGCACCCATGGCAACCCTGACATCGTTGAACGTGGGCTCGGCAAAGCTCGTCCAACTGCGAGATACCATGTTTGAGAACCTGCCCAATCTAACGAAGTTGATTCTGGATAAGAACCACTTTGTTTCGATGTCATCCCAAATTGGCAGGCTCCGCAGACTTGAGTATTTTAGCATGATCAAGAATCCGCTGGCTGCGTTGCCTCCGACAATCGGATGCCTGACAGAGCTCAGGTACCTCAATCTGCGGGAGTGCAATCTCAGAAGATTGCCACCAGAGATCTGGCACTGTCTCAAGTTGGAGACACTCAACGTTTCGTCGAATGTTTTGGATGCCTTTCCGAAGCACACTTCTCAGCCGCCAACACTCAATGATATCGGCAATACTCCTACGGCAACTCCGGGGCCGTCTACAACGCCAAGTTACGAGGACGTAGGTGCGCTGGATGAAAGCCAAACTCGTCGACCGAGCCAGGCCTCAGGCGGTGTCCTTAGCACTGGAAGCTCGCCCAATGGAGGAGGTTACCGAAAGCCGTCGGTTGCATCTTCTTTCGGCCAAGGCGGCCGAAAAGTGTCTACTACCTCGCGCTCCCACACCGAAGGGAGTCCATCCTCCAGAAAGGATTCCAACTTCTCGCAGTTCTCTGCTTCTACATTCGTGGGCTCGCTCAAGAATCTCTACTTGGCGGACAACCGGCTAGAGGACGATATCTTCCGCGAGCTTTCCCTGATCCCTGATCTGCGCGTGGTAAATCTTTCATATAATGAACTGACCGAGTTGCCGCAGGGACTGCTAAGACGATGGCCTTTATTGTCTGAACTGTATCTCTCTGGCAACGAGCTTTCCTCCCTCCCTTCCGACGATCTTGAAGAATCGAGTAATCTGCAGGTTCTTAATATCAACGGGAACAGGTTCCAAGTTTTACCGGCGGAACTGTGTAAGGTCAGTAGGCTTGCCATTCTAGACGTCGGCAGTAATTCTTTGAAATACAACGTCTCCAACTGGCCCTATGACTGGAACTGGAACTGGAATCGGAACCTAAAATACCTCAACTTTTCTGGCAACAAGCGATTGGAGATCAAGCCTAACTTCAACACCGCACAAGGAGCCGACCTGACCGACTTTAATTCTCTCAGCCATCTGCGAGTTCTAGGATTGATGGACGTCACCCTCACGACATCCACTATCCCCGAGGAAAATGAAGATCGCCGCGTGAGAACATCTTCGTCTATAGCCGGCTCAGTTGCCTACGGCATGGCAGACTTTTTGGGCAAAGATGATCACCTGTCCATCATTGATATGATCGTGCCGCGCTTAAGAACAGAAAAGTTTGAAACTGTCGTGGGGTTGTTTGATGGCCAATTCAACTATGGGGAAGGTTCAAAAATCGCTAAATTCCTTCATGAGCATTTCGTCAACAACTTCAACTCCCAATTGAAGCGATTGCGACGAGAAGAGCAGGAAACGCCGTTAGATGCTCTTCGACGCACTTTCTTGGTTCTGAACAAACACATCGCCCTTGCCTGCTACAAATATCATGACGACCAGGGTGTTCGACAATACAACGACGACCCGGTTGATCAGAAGAAGGTCAAATTGACCAGCCACGATATCAGGACCGGTGGGGTTGCAACTGTGCTGTATCTGTGCGAGATGGACCTGTACGTTGCCAATGTTGGCGATGCTCAGGCAATCCTTGTCAAATCGGACGGCTCGCTTAGACAGCTCACGAAGGTTCACGACCCTACCGAACCCCACGAAAGGGCTAGGATTCGGGCTGCCGGGGGCTATCTCACTCGCAACGGAAGGCTCAATGATGACATCCCGGTGTCAAGGTGCTTCGGATTCTTCCCTGACATGCCTGCCATTATTGCGGCCCCGCACACCATGCATATCAACCTCACTGAACAGGACGAGATGATAATTCTTGCGTCGAAGGAGCTTTGGGACTTTGTCACGCCGGACGTTGTTGTCGATGTCACCAGGGCTGAACGAAGAGATATGATGATAGCGGCCCAAAAGCTCAGGGACCTTGCGGTTTCATTTGGGGCCAGTAACAAGCTTATGGTGATGGTACTGGGTGTGGGTGATCTCAAGAAAAAGAACAGCAAGTACAACCGACCCAGCGTCTCTCTAGGCGCCCCCGAGGAGCAGATTCTCCCAAGCACGAAACGCACCAAAAAGCCACGCGACGTTCCTGGCGATTCCCGACTTGCCCGGTTCGACTATGTGGATGCACCCGTCGGAGAGTTGGCTATCATCTTCACGGATATCAAGAAATCAACAAGTCTGTGGGAGACCTGTCCTGACGCCATGCGTTCCGCCATTCAGATCCACAACGACATTCTTCGTCGGCAGTTGGGAATAATTGGTGGATACGAAGTTAAAACCGAAGGTGACGCATTTATGGTTGCGTTCTCAACAACTACGGCAGCCCTGCTCTGGTGTTTCAGTTGTCAATCTCAGCTCCTCGAAGCGGAATGGCCCACCGAGATTCTCGAACAGCCCCAATGTCAGGTCCAATACGACATGGATGATAACATCATCTTCCGGGGACTGTCTGTCCGGATGGGCATTCACTGGGGCGAGCCTGTTTGTGAAAAGGATCCCGTCACCAATCGGATGGATTATTTTGGACCGATGGTGAACCGCGCATCACGTATCTCCGCTGTTGCCGATGGAGGGCAGATCTTCGTGTCCTCTGATTTTATGAGCGATATCCAGCGCAATCTGGAGGTATTCGCGGATAGCGAGCGTGCTGCATCGACTGGCTCCGAAGAAAGCTACGCACTGGACAATCTGGGATATAATATTCGTCGTGAGCTTCAGCAACTAAACAGCTTGGGCTTCGTGATCAAAGATCAGGGCGAGCGCAAACTGAAAGGGCTAGAAAATCCTGAACCTCTCTACCTTATCTACCCACATGCACTGTCCGGGCGATTGAATTCTTTGGATAAGGATGCGCCGAACGAAAATGCCCCGACAAGCATCAGCAAGCACTCGCAACTCGAAATCCAAACTGACCTGATCTGGCGATTGTGGGAAATCACGCTCCGATTGGAAAGGCTTTGCGGTGCTCTGGAGTACCCTGGCGAAGCACGCCTCAAGGAGCCTAATGTGGCACTCTTTAACGTGGTCAAAAACCACGGAGGAGAGCTGGCTGATTCAACGGTGCTCAGCCTGGTCGAACAGCAGGTGACTCGAATTGAGGTAAGTTGACTGACAATATCTTCTCTCCCCGTTGTCTGCCCGCCACCTTGCTTAACATACTAATCATTCTATTTTCTAGGTGACAATAAACACGCTCGCGGTTCGACATATGATGCGGCCCTTCAGGCCAGGGGACCGACTCAACGATCACGCCGTGCCTATAGGAGAAGTGATGCAAGAGCTGCAGACTCAGCTTGCCGAATACCGGGCTTTCAAGGAGCAACTTGCGGGAAATGCGGCTAATCTTCCTACTGAGCCTCCCAGATACTCACGGACTAATATCCAGTTCAATGGCGACAACAGTTCCGCCTCATTGTCAGACCATTAGGGGGATCTATTCCACTCATAAGCGATGAATCCTTCTGTTGTCCCTGTTCTTACGCTTGCACTAATATCGCGCTTACCCCGGACTCCGTTTTTCGGTTTCTGGTAGTTCAATTCTTTTTCGGAGTGGTCTTCACTCAGCGTGCGTCTGCACGATTTTCGCTGTTCGTCTCGTTTCTCGCTTCTTGTCTTTCAGTCGTTTTTCTTTTTCTGGCTAAACTGGAGAGCGGCGTCTCATGAAACGGAAGGGTATTCTGAATTTCAAAGCATGGTTAGGAGCCTAGGGGGAATGAATTTTGTTGTTTGTTTCTATTTCATCGTCTAAGGCTATGTCTCGTTACACGTAGTCATCTAGGTGGTAGAAACGTGATAAACACGAACTACACCCATGTGTGAGTTGCATTAGTACTGCAGTATCCGTAGTTAGTTTTTATGCACCAAACTGTCTACCTTGAGGGATGGCCTAAGGCAGCAAGGCAACCGCGTCAATGCAGACATCACGTGAATTGCCCGTCCGTGTCCGTTGTTTTTCGTCATCGCCCTGCAATCCCCATCATTCTCTCTTCTCTGCCCTTCACGGTCTATTCATCCTCGATCCTCGAAGGCTTTGAGCAGACAGGGCTCCATATGCTCTGATATCTGTTACGAGATACCTCTATTGTGCAGAAATCATTACTTCATTTGTTAGCGTGGTCTATCTGTCTTTCGCCCCGCCGTGTTGCCCTGGATACCGTGTTCTCAAACGTCCACGATCCGGAACTGACAAATTGAAATCATCAGTCTAATTTTTTTTTTTTTTTTATTTCTCAAACCCCTTAGCTGTCGCATCTACCAGTTGATTTTCAACACTCCGAATTGCTCGTCTTTCATCTAACCTGGTCACTTCGACACGGTGTGCCTTTCACCATGGCGGACGAAATGGATTATTTGTCTCCTGGTTACGACCTCAACACTCTCACAGTCCCTCGTCTGCGATCTATCCTCGTTAGCCATGACGTCCCATATCCAGCATCCGCAAAGAAGGCGCAGCTCATCCAAATCCTAGAGAGCGACGTTCTTCCCAAGGCGAAAAAGCTATTGCGCGAACGCGAACGAGTAAGGAGGACAAGCGAGGGCATTACGGACATGGGGAGTCGCGCCACGTCGGTCGCGAGCGATTACGACGACCATCGGGAAAACGAAGCTCGGGATTCCATGCCTCCTCCACCGACACCCTCTACAGTTTCGACGGCAACTGGGACGCGCAGGGGTCGCTCTCGGATGAGCACTAGAGCGTCGACTGCGGATGCCGAAGAGGCAAACGTCCCTGTAACCCCTTCGACGGCTTCGAGACGGACAACGGCAAGATTAGATGGAAACCGGACTCGCTCTTCGGAAATCAGCGAGCGAAACGATGCCCCGACAACTCCTACCGTCGCTGACGCCTTCACGCCCCGGAAGTCCACGGCCAGGAAATTGCGCAGAAGCGACATGACTCCCTCCACTGAACCCGAGCCGCCTATTTCATCAGTCAAAACGGAGCCTAAGGAAGAAAGTGTTTTCACCCATGACAATCCTTTCCAAAGTGGGGGTTCACCAGCTCCCTGGGACTCGAGGAGAGGTGCAAGCCGGGATGGGAAACGAAAGAGCGGCGCATATCTGGCTACCGAGAGCCCTGCGTTGAATCAAGGCTTACGGTCTAGGAAGTCAGATGCGCGTGCTTATCTGAGTCACGAAGCGGAACCAACAGTCTCGGCTCGATCTTCGCCCGAGTTTCAAAGTACTAAACCCACGACGCCTAATCAACACTTTGAGCCTGAGGGAGATTTTGACTATGACATAAGTGAGGAAAGTGCTGGTGAAGAATTCACACCCGAAGAGCAGTTGGCGTTGGAGAGGGAACATGCGGATTTGATGTACCCCCCAACTACGCCACGTCGGCGTCCTCAAACACACGGAACGGCAAGCACAGCCGCGCCTTGGGTGGTCATCATGGTTCTTCTTTGTGGTTTCGCTGGTTGGTGGCGACAGGAAAAGATCGAAATTGGCTTCTGTGGAATCGGAAAGCCGACTTGGTCCTTGGCCAACACAAGAGTTCCCGAATGGGCCAATGTGCTCGAGCCGCAATGCGAACCGTGTCCCTCACACGCGTTTTGCTATAAGAATTTCGAAGCCCGCTGTGAACATGATTTCATCCTCAGGGCGCACCCTTTGGCTTTGGGAGGACTGATTCCCCTGCCTCCGACTTGTGAACCCGACAGCGAGAAGGCGCGCCGTGTGAAAGCCGTTGCAGACAAAGCCATTGAAGCGCTCCGTGACCGAAGAGCCAAGTGGGAATGCGGTGAGCTCACCGAACAGGGCAAAGAAGCATCTGGACCCGAGATCAGCGAATCAGAGTTGAAGCAGGAAGTCGCAAGAAAGCGACGGAAGGGAATGAGCGATGCGGAATTTGATGGTCTTTGGAAAGGCGCATTGGGCGAGGTTGTCGGCAAGGAGGAAATCATCAGCAAAACAAAACAGTAAGTCCACCGGATCTCCCTTAGCCTGTAGTCGCAGCTCCTGGCGCCCGCCTGTCATGACTATGTCGGTGTCGAAGAAATCGTGGTTCTGACGTGTATAATGGAACTAACAGAAGCGACAAAACAATCACAGTTCCATCCTCACCCTCACATCTACATCCGTCACCCGACTCCCTCTCAGGTGCGCCTTCCGCCGCTACGTCCGACTCTCTCTCCTCGCGTATCGACTACCTCTTTCGATTCTAGTGGTAATCATCGGCACCTTAATCTATGCGCGTTCCAGGGTCCTTGCTCGCCGCTCCGACATGGCAAGAATTCCGGAACTCGTCGCAACAACGCTAGACCGCCTCGCAACTCAGGCAGCTTTGCATGCTCGCGGCGAGGCTCGCGAGCCCTATATCCCAATTGGACAACTACGTGACGACGTGCTACGCTCAGAGCTACGGGGAAGTCGGCGCGAAGGTCTTTGGCGGCGGGTCCGCGACGTTGTCGAAGGTAACACGAACATCAGAGCCGCGGTCCGTGAAGGCCGGGGTGGAGATGTTGCACGTTCATGGGAATGGATTGGGGGAATTGGAAGTGTCCGTGGGGACATTGAAGGAAGCGCCACTCGTCAGCGAGAGGGGAACAAAGTACACTTCACGGCATTGTCGAATGAGACCCCGCAGCACTCTGGTGATAATGCCATTGCAGGAAGTCCACGGGAGTCGCGAAAATGGGAAGAAGGGCGGCCCATATACTGAAGAGGAAGTTAGACCTGTGGTTCTCTTGGTCTGGTCTTCGCTGCCTCTTTCTTTCTTTCTAATCTGTTTCTTGTTTTATTCTTTCTTTCTTGGTACTCATTTTCCGTCGTTTCTTTTTTTTGCGGTTCATTGTTCATGTAAAAACTTTCGCGTTTTTGCCCGCAGCATTCTTTGGATATCCATGTCTTTCATCCTTTATAAGATTCCCATAGCTTGTCCTTTTACAATGGTGAAGTCCATACTTGTTTACTCTGTATCGATTTTCCTGCCCAGACGCGGGGGATTAGAGGATCGTGGCGCTCTCGGGGAAGTCGGTCAGTGCGGCCGTACCATATTGTCAGGCCGAGCTTGGCAAGTTCGGTCCTAACCGGGCCTGCTGTTCCATAGGTATCGAGGCATCTGTGGCTGCGTCCAACCATTGATCGGTAATCTCGGTTTGCTCCAAAGGGGCATAAACTACGGCGGGCGAGGGGTGTCAGGGAGAAGGGGGAAACTGAGGGTGCATGAGAATTTGCCACCGCGGCCTGACGGTTTATCGTCATGTATTTGCTGATCCACTGCGATGGATCTTGCCCGTCTGTTAAACCTGTTCCAAGCGCAGCCCAGCAAATGAAGACCTCGACAGTACCCAATTAGATAGGTGCCCTTGAGTGCTGATCTAGCCGTTTTGCAATAATCTGGGAGGCCGGCCGGGCGTCTCGTTTAGTTTCCTCGAGTTCCGGAAATGAGAATTCCGGACCGGTCTAGTTTGCGACAAGGGGGCGCGCTCTCAACACTAGTCATTGCTGACAGTTAGTCCGCAGCCGACGACTCGCTCCCACGCTGTTTCTGTGCACTGTTGGGGATCGTAATAGGAATTTGCTCGAAGCGTTGCATTGGGGTCTCTCAAGGCCATGTGCTCTCTGTACCGTTGCTGAGGTCCAGAGCAAGAATGGATGGACCGTTCTGTGTAGAAAGTTTCAATGGCGCCCCTTGTACCATCTGATCCATCAGGAAACCCATGGAAAGCAGCCGTCTGGGGAGAAGATCGCGTGCGTGTGCATATTTCCTCGGCCGTGTTGCTGGGTGTCTCGATGGAGCTGCAACTAGGGCGACTTGTCGCGATGGGAATTTAAGAGAGATGATGGTTAGAAAGGAATGAAGTTGCCCCTCGGACGGCCGATATGCAGATGGGCCTTCCCCTTGCGGTTTAGTCGTGGGCAGTCAGTCGGTCACGTGGGACGGAGCTTGGCGATGACCGTCGATCTGCAACATCCTCTTCCACTCGAGTCTGTCCAAGATGATCCAATACTGGCTCTGTGGCCAGCATTCCTTCACGATACCGCCCGCATGAGCTGCATGAGGTGCATGAGGGGACTGTGAGATGTTTCTCGGCACGTCGAAACTCGGATTTCCCAAAATCAAAAACCCTCGACTACTGCTAGTCGAGCCCTTCCAGACTCTAGCCATGAGCTCGCCGCTACCGTTTCCAAAGATCAGGCCGAACCTGCCTGCAATCTCGTCACCGGGTCTATTTGATTGGGTGTCAATCGATTGGGGGTTCCTTGGGGAACAGACTGTGTTCCACTTCCATCCGGTGGAAGGTACATAATTGGGGCTGCATTCGACGTTCCCGATATCTTGCTCTCGTGCTGGCCTATCAATTTCTACGGAAATTATAACCGGGAGGTCTGGTCAACCCAAGGCGTCCTCCAATCCACCTGCTAGTTCCAGTGGCACTGGGGCTGTCGTGGCCGAATCACCGCACATGAAATAAAAAAAAAAAAAGAAAAGAAAAAAGAAAAAAAAAATCCCCGTGTCAACGAAAAGCCGGTGACAAAAACCCCTCGATCGATCACAATCTGTCGTGCTTCCAAATCGATGTAAGGTGAAAAGCAACACTTAAATAAATTAGTTCGGGGGTATGAATCCAAGGGGGGTCTGGAATGGTAAAGCCCAACCACCGTTCCAACGAAACACCTCGTCTCCACGAGTAAAAGGCATGGGTGGAAACGTACTCGTTATTCATGGTAGGCCTCTGTTTGGAAAGGAAAATGATCGAAATATGACCTGGGTTTGGTCTTGTTTCTAAGAAGTGATTCTACCATGGCACCCTCGATCTTCACTAGGGACTGACTAATATGGCTACGAGAATGGAGCGTCTTCGCCCATCATGATTAGGTTTCAAACTAATTCGTTCTTGCTGCGGTCAAGAGTCGGGCTTGCCTCTTATGCCCTTGTTTCCACGCGCTGTGTCGCTTGGGCGTGCCTGGAAACCACCGGCCGGAAAGATCAGCTGTTCTTGGGAACGGCCCGTGAGCAGACGCTACGAAATATTGGAATTAATTTTTTTTCCTCCCCTTCTTCACCCCTTCTGGCAGGCTTGCCTGCACCCACTGCCCGCCCACCCACTTCTCGCGCTCGATGGTCGACGGCGCTTGTTGCGTGCAAACTGCCGCGCAGGGAATCTGAATTAGCGCGATTATTTTAGCATCTCACACGTATGGTCTCCCTGAGGAGCATGCTCTGGACGGCTCTTATAGGCTGGACGTGTCTCCTCGCGCGGAACATGCCCTTAGTCATTTCTTTTTCTCCCTCATCGTTGATTGCTTTTCCTTCGGACGTGAGTCTGCACGACCACTCTATACGCTTCTGTTAGAATATGGCTCAACAAGGACCACCGAGGCCTTTACGGCCCATTGCCCCCAGATCCTTCCCCGATCCTCCTGCACCGGGGCCTCCGCCGGAGGAGGGGAAGATCAAGCGAGCCTCTATGGCCTGTACCGAATGTAAACGACGCCGGACGAAGGTGTGTCTCTCCCTTTTGAGCTTTTCCCTTTATCCTATGACCTTTCCACGCGTGTGGCCTCAATCGACTATTCGAAGAGGTCACCTGTCGACTCCGGTAGTACGAGAATCTGTAACTGGCCTTCGTTGTCCATGCGATTCGTTCATCGTGACACCTTCAGCGATTTTCTTTCTAGTTCCTCTGCTAAAGAGAATGGTCTGTGACATCTAGTGCAACGCCGCCGAGACTGCCGGTTCGTCGTGTTCTGAGTGCGCCCTCCACGGTCGTGACTGTATTGTCGACGAGTTTGCCGATAAACGGCGAAAAATCTCCGCCAAGCGCACCGAAGAAAGTTTGAAATACTATCGTGGTTTTGTGGAAGAGTTGCTTGAGGCTATTCGGTCCGGGGATGGTTCAAGCATTGAGTCAATTGTCAATATCATTCGGTCGGGCGCCTCGCACAAGGGAATACACTCTGTTGTCACTCGGATCTTGAACCAGTCCCCCAGGGAGGACGGAGACTCCTCGGACTCCCGGAAGAAAGCCACGCCTGATGGCAAGATGCCTGATATGACCCCAGACGGCTGGCCGTGACAATAGGTCCTGGCCGTCTATGAAGTGATGGAGTCAACGAATTTGATGATTATCCACGGCGCTTCCCTGGGGAAGCCTTCCCTGCCTCTGTTACGAACCCAATGCCATCCAAGTCTCGCGGGAGGGATGGCAAAACATGACATCATCCTTTGACAGGAGAAGAAGAGGGGCCTTGTTTGTTGTCTTTGCGTGAAAGATTAGCCAGCCTGACGTCAGTTCACGAGCCATAGTCCTTGTTAAACAGAAACCAAAGAAGTGAAAGCAAGAAGGAGAAGAAAGAAAAGAAAACAAAAGGACAGGAAAGGAAAGCAAAGGGAAGGAACGAAACAGTATTACTGGCTATGGCTACCTCAGACAAATCTTGGTCATCTCTTCTTCATCTCCCTCCTGCCTTCGCCCGTTTTTCGTGCGGTGCCTCCCCGTCTCTTCATCTCTTCTCTTATATTCACCCCTTCCTTTATTCAAACTTCCAGCATTGGTGGTATGCAATTTCGACGAAATTGAATGTTATGACTAGTCCTGGTCAGCACCAAGATGTTCCAGGTTAATCATACCAAGCTGAGTCAATTGAAAGACGGTTGTATCCCTGGCCGACACCTTGCAACATTGGGTAGGTCCATGCACCTCTAAGTGCTTCGTATCTGAGGGGGGTAAACTTCGAACTCCATATACCCAGACACAGAATGTATTCTTACCCCATCTTTGACCTTGGGTATGACGTTTAGTGAGTGAGCAAAGGTGATCACTGACTGTGTTCTGATGGTGTTTCTATCAATCAGCTCTTACCTGCGCAGTTCTTGTTGGGAAACTGCAATTCAAAGAAGCGTTTTGACCACTTGAGTGTATTGTTAGCTCTCAAAGGGAAGCGAGGGATGAGCACCCTTGTCACTCTGTCATGAAATTGAATGGAATCCGAAGTTGTGTTGAGTTTAGGGCACAAAGATATCGTAGAGCGGCTGACTAAGGAGCCAGGTGACTTGCTTCTTCGGCTCTTCCTCTTTCCTCTCTCCATCTCTGATCCCTTCCTCTCTACCTGACTCATGAAGCCTGGAGTCCCTGCCTACTAGGCACCGTTCATCGATGAACACATGCTCAGCCTTTCAAGCCACCAACCATGCTTGGTTTCCACCATGAGCCCAGTCTTAGCGCCCCCGGATTTCTCCCGCACTGGTGGAGTCATCCTGGCCGACCCCGCACCGTAAGGCCAGCAGTTTAATTCCGAGCCTTCGGAAATTTCTCCTTAACCTACCAGTCTCTCTCCTACTAGATCTCTTTCTCTACTTGTTGACAATACAATTTCGAGAGACGAGGCGGAAAACAAAATCAAGTGTGAAACGGGGCTGCCAACGCTTAATCTAATGAACCTTCGGCAATACGTCATTCGTCTATTCAATGGCTGCCGCTGTCGTCGGTAGTGCTGTTACCAAGCAGCTCTCGCCCGGAAATGATTGCGAGGTGGAGATGATCTGTAATGACCGACAGCAGTCTTCTCACGAGGTTAATGGGACCCCTGGTGTCAAACGGAAGAGAAAGGCCCTCGACCCTCCGACAACTAAACCCAATGCGCCGAGACAGAAAATCACCAGGGCCTGTGACCACTGCAAAGAAAAGAAAACCCGTTGCTCCGGGACACGTCCCTGCATCAGATGCACGAGACTAGCCCTCCGCTGCGAATACAATGCAGCCTACTCTCGAGGACTACCCCCAGAACCACTACCGGCGTCTACTTCGGGGGCTGATGAGAATCATAGCCCGTCTTCAGCTTTGACCCGTGATGAGACACCGCGTTCCGCTCGGAGCGAGTCTAGAATTGACCCCCCTGTGCGGCGACAGCAGCCCAGGGGCGGTCCTGAGCTTTCGCGTCGTAACTCGCCAGATCCAGTAACCACGGACTTTGAGGGCAACTACTTCGGCCCTGCGTCCGGTGTGTCGTTCCTCAATCGAGTTTGGCGTCGTCTCCATCAGGACGAGATCTGTGCTATCCCGGACGAACTGCAGAATGAGTCGGTCTCTAAGAACACCTCAGTCTTCATGTTCGGCGACAAGCCTTACTCTGACTACCGGGAAACCGGGTTCGTTCTGCCCCCGTACGAAAGGGCCCTCGAACTGGTGGATACGTATTTTGACTTCTCCATGGTGACTTACCGCTTCCTACACAGGGGCAGCGTGGAGGAATGGCTCAAGCAAATATATCGGAACAAGATCTCGTCCTCAAACCTTCCGTCTGGTCCCATGATTGCTAGAACGGCGATTATTCTCATGATTTTTGCGGTTACCACTCTATATGAAGAGAAACGGCCTAGAAACGAGATAGACACTTGGAATGGGAGGTGAGCTTGCAAACCTTCAATGCGCATGCCTACTCAACAAGAATACTGAAATGTTCTAGTGAGCGATGGTACTCTGCATCAAAATATATGACCTCTATGGAGTCTGGGCCGCCGCGGCTGGAGACGGTTCAAGCAAGATTGGGCCAATGCCTATTCCTTCTCGCCTCGTCTCGGGCTAATGAGTGCTGGTATGCCTTCGGCACAGCGCTGCAACTGGTGGCCGCACTGGGTCTTCATCGAAAATGTCCTGCCAAAATGTCGAAGAACGGGAATAATTATCTAGAACGTGAGCTCCGTAAGCGCATTTTCTGGAGTGCCTATACACTGGATAAATACTTAAGTGTTATGTTTGGGAGACCTCGACTTCTCCACGACGAGGAGAATGACCAGGAACTCCCGGATGAAATGAACGATGATGATATGGTCCAGGACGATCCCGAGAGACGAACTGGTTCTCCAGACTGTATGATGATTGCGTCAGTTCTGCATTTCAAGTGAGTCTCAGCCTTCCCATGATTTCTAAGGTTGTTTCTCGATGTGGTCAAAACTAATCGGTCTTTATGACGCAGACTCGGGCGCATAGTGGGTGAGATATCGCGTCAAATTTACACTATCAGCCCACAATCTCGAGATCAATCTCTAGAATCAGCTGCGTCTCTCACCTCGGAGCTTGAGAAATGGAAAGAAACTGCACCGCCCTTATTCAACAGTGTGCGTGCGACTAGTCTCATCCCACCACTCTGCAGGCAGAGTCAGGTCTTACAACTTGCATATTCACATGCAATAATCCACACGACGAGGTCATTTCTTCTGAATGATTTCACCGATCTTAGTCGAAGGCCACCGGTTCCACACCCCACCGTGGCAGGCTACGTACGCAAATGTATTGACGCTGCTGAAGACATAATCAAGTTGGTGGATAGCCTTGCCAAGCAAGACGTCCTCATCCAGTCATTCTGGTTCACTCACTACGTGTGCTTCTGTGCCATTATTGTGGTCTATATATACACAATTCAGCAATACCAACTGTTCTCGTTAGAAACTCCAGACCACCAGGTTGAGAATCTCAAACGAATACGTTCACTTTTCAACCTGGCTGAAGTATGCCAGCAACATCTAGCCGAAGCTACTCGCAAGAACTGCCCGAGTCGCCGTTACAGTATCATCCTGGAGGAATTGAGGTTGGAAGTGCACCGGCAAATTAGATCTTTCTTGAACCAGGAGCCACCAGGAAATACTTCGGTTCCATTGAGTACCAAGGAGGCGCCCTTGGAACAAAGAAGTACTGATGTTGCAGTTCCTGCGCATCAGAACTCATTGGATGCCAATTCTTTCAACTACCTCGACCTGCAAACACCAGAAATGGCAGGGCAACTTTACTCCTGCGAAGACCTAGGGTTACTGGACAATCTTGAAGGGTCAATTTGGTGGACCCAACTGGATTCGTGGGTGAGTGCAAGACATCATAACGTGTCTTGAATATTACGTCCTTTCCGAACTAATGATCTACTTCTTTCTAGGCATTTTCAAATCTACCTACTGACCCTACAGGCATTAACTTTTAGACCTCATGTATACGAGGGAGGTAGTCGCACGAGTCTTCCTTAATATCTAGTATCATGATATCATGTGGCTAACGATTTTGGTACCAATCTTGTTCATTTGACACTTTGGGTTTCATGAGTCAATTGGTTTTTGATAGTCTAATTGTAGGAGTATCCGAAGTCAACTGATCAGTAATGGCAAGAATCTCATGGTTCTTGTCATGATATATCCTACGAACTAGAACACATTCGTTCGTTGGGTGGCCTTATGGCCTCGGAAAAGAATCCGGGATTGGCCACGGTTTTCCGGCTATGACATCGAAGAGGATTGAGGCAGAAACGGAATATCAACCAGCAGCAAATCATGCTGAAACGGCTTATATAAGGCCGGTTCTCCCCTTGCTGCGTCGAGATGGTCTATTCTTTTCCCAAAAAACATCTATTGGCAATATGTTGGAATCACCTATCGCAAAACCGCTGAATGTGCTACCGGCACACCGTCCTCAAGTCTTGCCATTTGAGACGATCACCGGGAACGAAAAACATCATGGCCAGAAATCAGAACAAGAACCGAGGACAATCGACGAGCTTGTCCGGCAACGTGCAGCCTTGGGATCAGCACAGCCTGTGATTTCCTATCCCGAAACAGGCACGGACTATGTTGATTACCCTCTCCGTCAACTGGATATCTTCGCTTTCCGAGTCGCCAAGGTGTTGGCTGCACGCATTCCTCCTCGGCCATCTTCATCTGAAGCTCCGGCTGTCATAGCATTGCTGGGGCCCTCCGATCTTGACTACCTCGTCATGCTACTGGCACTAGCTAAGTTGGGACATACCGGCCTCTTGCTTTCGACACGATTGCCCAATGAAGCCTACGTTTCACTCCTGGAGAGGACGAAATCTCATAACCTGTTCGTTCATAGTTCCTTCAAGGACACCGCGGCGGAGCTTCAGAAACTGGTTCCGGGTCTACAAGCCGCCGAAATTCTGACTGCGGAGACCTACAATTACCCTATACCGACTGACAATGACATTGACACCAATCTCGTGCCCCAGCTTGACCCAGCCAAGGAGCTTAAACACCTCTCGTGGATTATCCATTCCAGTGGCTCGACTGGGCTACCCAAGCCAATCTATCAAACCAACGGGGCCGCCATCAAAAACTATGCTTCCAACATGAACATGTCCGGTTTCATCACTCTGCCTCTGTATCATAATCATGGAATCAGCGTTCTCTTCCGGACTATCTATTCGAACAAAAGACTTTATCTTTACAGTGCAAAGTCGCCACTCACCCGGCAAAATCTGCTCGATATCATGAAGTCACGCGAACTGGAAATTTTCTACGGCGTTCCCTACGCCTTGAAATTGCTTGCGGAAACCGAGGAGGGGCTCTCGGTTCTCTCGAAATTCAAAGCTGTCATGTTCGGGGGATCGGCTTGCCCAGACTCTCTCGGGAATTTGCTTGTGGAGAATGGCGTTAAGCTGATCAGTCACTATGGATCGTAAGTTCATTGCGTCAAAAGGTAAAAATGTATTTGACTCTTGCTAACGTACCCGCCATAGGACTGAAACGGGTCAGCTGATGAGCTCAATTCGCCCAGCTGGGGACAAGGGATGGGACTATTTACGACCTGATGGACTTGTTAAGCAGTTTCTGCGGTTTGAGGAGCGTTTCCCCGGAATATTTGAACTGATATGTCTCGATGGCTGGCCGTCCAAGGTCATGTCTAACCGACCGGACGGCTCTTATGCGACGAAGGATCTGTTCATCAAGCATCCCACACTCGAGGCTTACAAGTACTATGCCCGGTTGGATGACACTATTCCTCTGGTCAATGGAGAGAAGGTCAACCCTCTGGATCTGGAAGGTCGAGTCCGGCAGCATCATGCAGTGGCTGAAGCTATCGTGTTTGGATCTGGCAAAGCGAGCATCGGTCTAGCGGTTATCCGAGCCCCTGGAACCGATTCCCTTTCTGACGATGAGCTCATCAACGACATTTGGCCCAGCGTTGAGAGAGCACATGAGGCAATGCCGGCCTACGGCCAGCTTTCAAGAAGCATGGTTCGGGTCCTGCCAGCTGACATTCAGTACGCCCGCACCGACAAAGGCACCTTCATTCGCCAGGCCTTCTACAGAGAGTTCAGTCAACTGATCGAAGAGGCATATGAAGCCGAGGATGCCATGACTGGATCATTGGTCCTACCTGAGCCGGAATTGAGGGAGTTTATCAGAGAGCAAATCCTCCAGATTCTTCCTCTCAAAGACACAAGCGTCTTAACTGATGATGCAGACTTCTTTGCCCTCGGTATGGATTCTTTACAGTCCTCACAACTGCGATCCGTACTGGTAAGAACGATTAATACGAATGGACATAAGGTTGGAATGAACGTTGCCTTTGAGCAACCTAGTATCAACCTACTAGCTCGTCATATCACAGACCTCAGCTCTGGCACCACAAATGGCGTGGAGTCTGTGGAGGACCAAATGGCGGCCTTGATATCTCAGTACAGTAATTTCAACGCTCACACGCCGTGTCCAAATGGTCTCAGTGGAAGATACATTGTAAGCAAGAGTATCCTTCAACTCTACTACCTCACGGAATGCTAACATTAACAGGTTGTGACTGGAACAACGGGTTCTCTTGGGAGTCATGCCATTGCTAAACTGGCAGCCCAGGAGGACGTCACCAAGATCTACTGCCTTGTCCGCGCCAATTCATCCATCGAGGCTTACGGTCGATTGCTCAAATCCATGAACGCTCGAAAGGTCTTTTCTGGTCTTTCCGATGTCGCCAAAAGCAAGCTTGTCGCGCTTCCTTCTGATCTCTCCCACCCGACTCTGGGGCTGGGCTCAACAATATACAACACTCTCACCTCCGAGATTACCGATGTTATCCATTGCGCCTGGTCTGTCAACTTCAATTTGCACCTTCGCAGCTTCGTGAAAGACAACATCGGCGGCCTTCAAAACCTCATCAACCTCTGTCTCAAGGCTCAACGGCCAACGCCCGCATCCTTCAACTTCTGTTCATCTGTCAGCTCCGTCGTGAACACGGAAGGAAACGAGATACCCGAAGCCCTCCCCAAAAAGCTCAGCTACGCTCAAAACATGGGCTACGCACAATCTAAACTCGTCGCCGAACACCTGTGCATCCAAGCCGCGCAACAAACCGGCATCTGTGCGCGAGTCCTTCGAATCGGCCAGGTCATAGGCGACCAGGACCACGGTATCTGGAACGCCACCGAGGCCATCCCTCTCATGCTCCAGAGCGCCACGACCATCGGAGCGCTCCCGCAACTCGACGAGTCGCCGCTCTGGCTGCCTGTCGATGTCGTCGCAGGCACCGTAATCGACCTCTCCCTCTCCGATCGAACCACCTCTTCCTCTTCCTCCACCCTTGACACCGACCTCGTCTTCAACATCGTCAGCCACCACCCCTTCCACTGGACCCGGGACCTCCTCCCGCATCTTCGCCGCGTGGGTCTGAACTTCGAAGAACTCGATCAGCGCGAGTGGCTTCAGCGATTGAGAACGTCAAACCCGGATCCCGTCGCCAACCCGCCGATCAAATTAGTCGATTTCTTCGCCAGTAAATATGATACCGAGAAGCCTCGGCGGTCGCTGCAGTACCACACTGAACGTGCACGACAGGTCTCGATTTCGTTGGCGGATGCGAAACCATTGGACGAGGAGTTGGTGGGTAAGATGGTTGATTATTTCAAGCGAGAGTGTTGGTCGGTTAAGGAATGAGTGCTTTGTTGTTTCCTGATTGGGCGTGTTAGGGTTTTGGGCAGTTGTTACCGAGTATATAAATCGAGTTTTGGTTACAATGGCCACAATTATTTTGATGATATTTCAAGACCGGGTATATTTATATTTCTTTGGAGATAATGCGATACTTTTAATTATATTTGGGGTAGGTGTAATTGCGACTACATTCAACCAAACCATCTAGCTATTTTCAATTGACACCTAGTAGAAACTGTATAAATAAACCTCAAAGAAGCGGAGACCGAGATTCCCAATTGCAAGGCCAAATCATAATGGTTCATTTATCATAGAGTTCTCTACAAAACACCACTATCCAATGTCCCAAAATCAAGAAAACTCAACCGGAGGCAGATCCCGCTCCTCTAATCCGTCCTGGATACTCTGCTGGAGAGACCGCACGGCTTCGTCCCACGGAACCACGGGCTGGGACCTTCGACTTGAGCCTGAAGTAGTTGGCAATCTGCCAGATGGTCGGGGTGTTTTTGCTTTCACGTCCTCGACAAGCCACATGAGCCAGCTGACGACGGAGACCGCCTTGTCGACGTCCTTCTCGTCAACGACAACGCGCTTCAAGTAGCCGCAGAGAGACGTTACGTCTTCGTCGAAGGGTCCGTCTTCGCTGAAGGCAGCGTGCCAGGACCCCACGGTGTCACGCAGATCTGATAAACTGGAGAGCCTGAGCGAGGTGAAGGTAGGTCGCTCGGGGAGAGGCGGGAGCTGAAGTCGTGGTTCTTGCGCTTGAGGGACAGGAGCTGTGGAGGTTCTAGTTGGAGCGGTCGCTCTGGGAGCTGCCGCAGAACTGGCGCTAGAGCGTTGGAGCATGCGAGCTCGTCGGTGCTCCTCAAGTACTTCGCGACGGATGTCATCAGGCAGCGCTGCGAGAAACTCCGCCGATAATTCATCTGCGCCGTCCGAGGGGGATGATTGTCGAGGGAGGCTTGATGCATCGGTGCGAGTAGGCGCTGCGGCTTTAGGAAAAAGGAATTTGGACTGCAGGAGATTGTCGGAGGGCTTGAGGCTCGGACGACCGCGTCGCTTCTTGGTCGGTGTCGTCGGTTTCTTAAACTTCAATGACCCGGATGATGACGGACGAGAAGGCTCCACGGGAGCGGGCGCAGATTCAACATCGTTCGCCGATGGTGGGTTATAGTAGCCTAACACCTCAGCTCGAACGTCTTCTGGAAGCGCAGCTAATGTATCCGGGTCAAGTTGGGACTGGGGAGGAAGCTCCGCTGCTGCTGATTGAGGTCGAGGTGCCCGACGACTCATCGGAGATGGGGAGACAGACCGAGAATCGCGTCGACGCTTGCCTTGCGCAACAAGTTTAGACCTTATATCACTCGGTAGCTCCGCCAGTATCTTAGGGTCAGGTTGAGATGGCATGATGAATTGACTCCCCAGGATATTAAGAGGCTTATGGGCGCTGTCATTCAAAGAAGGGCCATGGGAAACAAATTCTGATTCTCCTTTGCGGGGGCTATCCAAGTTGTCAGGATCAACGCTTTGCTCCATTGGTTTGCGAACGGGCGAAGCCTTGAAGGTGAGTCGCTTCTGACTGCTCTCTAGCCGTCCAGTTGTGCTTGATGCAAGTGGCTCCAGTTTGGTCATTTGAACTCCCAAGCCGCGTAAGTCGCCCGGCGAGATCCCAAAACCTCGGAGCATCGAATTGGCTTCTTTAGCAAGAACCCCTGATTCGTTCGTCGCTATTCCAAGCGCAATACTCTTGTTGAAAACATCACACTTTCCATGGCCCAGATGCTTGACCGGCTCCAGTGGGGCGTCGGCTGATCGTCGCATAACTTTCAGAGTCAACTGTTTGCCTTTCACCAAATTCTCAACGAGCCTTCGATGTAGCTCCCCACACAATGACGTGACAAAATCCTCCGCTTGGGTCTGATTGACGAATCGGATTCCCCAATTGACTTCTGCAGACACTGACTTCCTCATCACATCATTCCCAACTTCTGTTCGGTCGATTCCCCGAGCATACTCCCACATCTTGATTCCCGTCTTGGGACCCAGAGTAGAAGTGAGCTTTTCGCGCGAGAGATCGTTGATGTCCTTGACGAATTTAACACCGATCTCCTCCAGCTTGGTCCCCAAGCTATATCCAACACCAGGAAGATTCTGGACGGTAAGATTTCCGATGAAGTCAAGCACGGCGTCGGGTTTGAGCTGGAATTGTCCAGCCGGCTTGGCCTTGCGTAGAGCCACTTTTGCCTGCAAAATATTGCCGCCAATTCCGACCGAAACCGAGCAACCCGTTTGGTCTTTGATCGCAATCCTTAAAGCTTGACCGATCTCATCGGCTTTGGCTTGTTCGCGGTAAATGGAGCCCTCGGACACACCTTTCCCATCGGTCCCACCGGCCTCCAGACATTGCGAGGTAATATCGACCAGAGCCTCGTCTATACTGACACTTTGAACTATGCCCTCGATCGCGAGAATGGCACTATAAAACTTTCGACTCGCTTCTTCATATGCGGGAAAATCATATGGCACAACTTTGAGGTCAGGACACGCTTGCAAGGCTCCCTTCATCCACATGCCGTTCTTGACCCCGTGTGCCCGGGCGGCATAATTGCAACTTGCAATCTCTGAGCCAGAGCCGCTCCCATGCGCAACGGCAACCGGTCTCTCTTCCAACTCGGGATGTTTAAGCGTGGAGACTGCGGCAAAGAAGCAGTCGAAATCAACGTGCATGACGTACTTCCTTGCCCCAGGTGTAGGTCTCCGTCGTCCGGTTTGAGCCTGTGATTTCTCCTTCGCTGCGGACTGGAGTTGGGCTTTCAATTCGGCTTTCCATGTAGACAAATGGTGTAAACGCGATTCCTTGTAATACTGTTGAAGGAATTCAGGATTCACAACACTTGAGCTTTTCATGCGCGGATCTGACAGAAGCTGGGCATTATACTCTTCGGAGCTCATGTCCGGTTTTGGAACACGCGAAGGGGAGATGGCGCTCTGAGCAAGAGTAGGGGGAAGTGGCGAACGAGTCGCTGGAGAGGTTCGTGTGATTACATCAGTTTCTAGGTCATATACCCTGTTCGCATCGTCATGAGCTTGACGAGGCGCTGTATTTTCGTTGGGCTCGTCAAGGGAGGCAAAACTGGGGAAGTCACCGTAATCCGACTGCGATTCTTTGAAGGATTGATTGGGTCCGTGGGCGGGCGTGGGAGAACTAGGCGAAGGCTGCTTCAGTTCTGGTATATTTGCAGTTGAAGATGCTTTGAGCTGTTCGGTGTACCAGCTCGAGCTGGTCTGGTCCTTGTAGCCTGATTGTGGACTGTGGGTTTGACTAGTGAAATGCCCGCCGTCAAATCTGAGAACTTTCTGCGACTGTCCTTCGTCTACAACCCTAAACGCGTCCCAAGGAAGCATGCGCCCTGCTTTCACGCTTTCCACTACCCATGCGGGCTTGACAATGCGATATCTGCGGAACTCCTCTCGTTTCTTGGGCGTGAGCGAGCTGGCAATAATATGGGTGGCGGCTGTCTTGCCATCAAGATACTGAAGGAACCCCCCTCCATGGCTTACAATAAGGCGGTGTAGATCTTGCAAAGAGGGTTGAGTATAGCCGTTGACATGAGCGACTACTCCTCGAAAGATGGGAGGACAATCAGTGGCCGAGGAGCGGATCTCGGCGTCTAAGTTCTGCAATTTGATCTTCTTTCGGCGCATGTAATCGCTGAACCCGCCAAAGGCGGAAGCGCCGTATTCTTCGCCTTCCTCATCCTCGAATTGATCTGCCCAATAAGTGGTTAGACGAGTTGAAGACGGTTGATGTCGTGTAACCTACGATTCTCGATGCGTTTGCGCACTGCACTGGAGTTTGCCTCGAGCGCCGAGCCCATGGTGGGCCAAAGATGAGGTCATGGTAGAGATAGAGATAGAGATAGAGAGATAAGGCCAGGAAGGAGAAGTAAAGGGAGACCCAAAGATGAAGGAACGACGCATGTGGGGCGGTCACGACCAGCAGAACAGGCGGTGGCGACCACGTGATATGATTGGTCCGGATTCGGAACAGGCGGTGATGACAAGCAGAAAAGAGAAAAAAAAAAAAAAAAAAAAAAAAAAAAGCTCCGCGGGCGAGTGGTCCAACTAGTGCTGAAAGTGCTCTGGCAACGGTCTCCATCCTCAAAACTTTTCCTCGTGCTTCCTCTTCTTCCTCCTTCTTCCTCCTACTCGGACGGTTACTCTTTCTTTGTTTCCATCTGTCAGGTTGTTGATTCATCTTTTCTGAATCTCCCTCTTTCTTTTCCCCTTTTGATTCATCAATTTCTTTTTCCTTTTTTCCTTTTCACAATGTCTGGAGTCCAGCCTGTCGCAGTCTACACTCTGCGGATTCCTCCCGGAGGAACTCTGCTTCCCGCTGTCCCCGATGCTGCCGCTATGGTAAGTGATTCTTGATCGGAAGCTTCTGCAGTGATGCCTGGTACCCTGTAGCATTCGTACTGACTTGATTGATTAGCTGCGCGTGAGCATGGCTGCCGTCGACCCCGACGAGGAACCCGACTTTGATGACGGCTCCAACAAGCGCCCTAGAGCCACTCTTAAGATCATCCGTGCTCCCCCCGGTATGGACCTTGGCGACTCGGACGATGACTGGGAGGACGACGATGAGGAGGATTCCGACGACGAAGAGGTCAATGGCGGCCCTAGCGACAAGGAGAAGGCCCGCAAACTCAAGGAGCTCGCCGCCCTCAAGGAGGCCATGGAAGAATCCGAGGACGATGATGAGGATGACGACGAGGAAGAGTTTGATCTGAAGGCGGCTATCTCGAAACTCGTCAAGGGCAAGGCCCCCGCTACCGATGACGATGATGAGGATGACGAGTCTGAGGAGGGAGTCGAACTTGAGGAGACGGTCGTCTGCACTCTGGACCCCGCGCAGGTGGGTTTCTACCCATGCCTTCCTGTTTTTACTTCTGCTTTATCATTGGGGGCTATGCTAATTACATCTTACTACAGACTTACCAGCAGCCTCTGGACCTTACTATCTCCGAGGATGAGCGTGTCTTCTTCAAGGTCACTGGTACCCACACCATTTACCTGACCGGAAACTTCGTGATGCCTCTTGACGAAGGTCGTGGTCCTTATGACTCGGATGAGGAAAGCGATGAGGACGACTACGATCTCTCCCCCGACGAGGCCGAGCTTGACTTGGGTGACCTCATGGATGAGGACGATGAGGACGATGAGCTCGACGGTCTGGAAAACCCCCGCATCACCGAGGTGGAGAGCGAGGAGGAGGCTCCTAAGCTCGTTGCCGCTAAGGGCAAGGGCAAGAACAAGCGTGCCGCCGAAACCGAGGAAGATGCCGGCCTCGACGACCTGATGGCCAAGTCCGCCAAGAAGGGCGAGGAGGCTCTCAGCAAGAAGCAGCAGAAGAAGCAGAAGAAGAACAACGGTGACGCCGCTCCGGTCGAGGAGAAGAAGGACGCCAAGGAGGGAAAGAAGGTCCAGTTCGCCAAGAACCTGGAGCAGGGTCCTACGCCTTCTGCTCAGGACAAGAAGCCCGCCGAGGCTACCGGCACTCTTGGTGTCAAGGAGATCAAGGGCGTGAAGATGGACGACAAGAAGCTCGGAAAGGGTGTCGCCGCTAAGAGCGGCAACACCGTGGCCATGCGCTACATTGGAAAGCTTGAGGATGGCAAGGTCTTCGACGGTATGTTTCTTCCCCCATCTACAATGTCCACTATCCTGTGAAGGAACTGGTCGCTAACGATTTGATTGATGTAACAGCCAACAAGAAGGGTAAGCCTTTCACCTTCAAGCTTGGTAAGGGTGAGGTGATCAAGGGTTGGGATATCGGTGTTGCCGGCATGGCTGTCGGTGGCGAGCGTCGCATCTCGATTCCTCCCCAGATGGCCTACGGCAAGAGGGCTCTCCCCGGTATCCCGGCTAACTCGAAGCTGATCTTCGACGTTAAGCTGCTGGAGATCAAATAGAGGTCTCTCACCATCTTCCTTTGCTTGTGCTTTTTTAATCTACCAAAAATCAAGGGTGTTCTAGGGGGTTTTGAATCTCGTTAGTTTCTGTGATATCCGACTTGTTTCTTTCTCATACCATGTTTTGATGCATATTAGCAGGGATGAGGATATCGCAAGCCATCCAAGTCTCTTCAATAGTAAAAAGTTCTTGTTCCAGTCTGCCTGGCGTAGTTGTAGCTCATGGCCGTAGTCAGCCGCCTGCCCTCCGTCGCCCTTTCCCTGCGGCAGTCTTTCATGCCGCTTGTCCTTCACCCACGACCCATGTCCACCCACACATTGCCTTCTGTTCCCATCTGCCATGCGCAGCTTTCTATCCTTCAAGCGGATTTTCATCGGCCAATCCATCGTTCATGACTCGCCCACTCTCTTTGCGAGTCATATGGGCGCAATTCAAGACTGTACAGAAATCGGAGCAACGGGGCTGGTAGAGACCACATCAATTTCAGCGGCAAAGTCGTCCATTCCCTTCGACCATGTCTGATGTCTCGAGCTCTGACGTTCAGAATGCCGGCAAGGACAAGATTCGAGCCCGTCTGAGGGAGAGAAGCTCAAGATTGCTCTCATTACTAGGCCTTAGGAATCCCGCCCACGGTGCAGTTTCCTACACATCAGCTCGAGAACATCTCGATCGCAGACTAATACGTTTCCGTTAACAGTTGCAAAACTAACAAGCCCGGACTCTGCGCGTTGCTCGAAACTAGAGAGTCGTACCGACACTCTGCGATCCGGTCTTTCGTTACCAGCAGAAACCGATCCTGCAACTCATATATCCAGCATGGAATCCCCAAGTAATCATGCCTACCCGATGGCTTTTAGTACAGATAGTCCCAGCCCTGATCCAGATTCCAATTGTCAAGAGGCTTTACAGGTGCCAGGGGTAAAAGATCGACAACAGACAGAGGTTCAGTATTCTGCTTACCAAACCGATGGCCCAGGGGGCATGAGACGCAGTCAATCAACTCCAGAAGCATTCACGCACCTTTTCTCACGGAAACTATCCAGTACTTTTGGGAACCCGACTGTCATCCGTCGGGCTCATCTGCGCTCAAGACCGAATATTCGTGCAGTGCAGTTTGCGATTCCTACAAGCCCACCCCCGGAAAAGGATTCTGAGAGTGATCACAATAGCTCAAACCCTTCAACACCTCCCAGTAGTAGTGCCTCTCCCCCAGGCACTCAATCAACGCCTCCGACCTCCGAAGAGCCAACTTCTTCACCAGATGAATCGAAGCAAGCTTCGGCCTGCGCGGTCAATGTTAGACCGAGTTTAGAGTCCTCGAGTCGAGAGCCAATTGCTCAAGTGGCTACCATGCAACCGGTCCCCGGCACATCGCCGTCCATTGTCACCGTTGAAGCAACCGCCAATGCAAAGATATTCTTCGAAACGTATTTTAGTACAGTCTATTCGGGTATTGATCCTCGCTTGCAGCGTCAACGGGAACTTGAAGAGTATATATGTTCGTCACCGATCACAACTGAAGAGAAGATCAGGATACGGAAGCAATGGATCCTCCAAGAACGGGAATATCTCCGCCAATGTCGAGTGCTCAAGACTCGTTCTCACAGTGTTCGAAATGACAAAACTGTTTCCATAGCTGGGTTTGAAGTCATTAAAGTCCTGGGAAGAGGAAGCTTTGGTGTCGTGCGTCTTGTGAAAGAAAGAGTGACAGACGAAGGAAACAGAGGTGGTACTGCAGAGGATGGAGTATCTAGCCGCCAGGGCGAGGTAACGACCGGTTCAGGGGAGTCTAATCGCCGCAGAATCATGGCCGGGGTGAAGAAAGATGTCTTTGCTATGAAAGTCATTCGGAAATCAGCCATGATCCGGAATTGCCAGGAGGGTCATTTACGAGCGGAGAGAGACTTTCTTGTTGCATCTGCAAAGTCTCGATGGATTGTGCCCTTAATTGCAAGCTTCCAAGATAACAGTTATCTTTATCTTATCATGGATTATATGTTAGGCGGAGATTTCCTTAGCTTACTTTTGCGACAATGCATCTTGCGCGAGGATGTTGCGAAATGGTATGTCGCAGAGATGATTCTCTGTGTTGAGGAGGCCCATCGACTCCAATGGATCCATCGTGATATCAAGCCGGACAACTTTCTGATTTCCGCTTCTGGTCATTTGAAGATATCTGATTTTGGCTTGGCTTTCGATGGACATTGGGCCCATGACCAACTTTACTACAATGACCACAGATACTCCTTGGTTCAAAAGCTAGGGATTCGGGTTTGTGGCGATGCGCAGGATCAGAAAGACGCACAAAAAGCAGCGAGCTCTTCACCAGGTACACAAGAAGACCGACATGAAGATAGTCTTGGATGCACCACGCCTTCTTCTGGCCTTCTAAGGTGGCGAGACAGAAATCAGACACGTCGACTGGCAAGAAGCATTGTGGGAACTAGCCAGTACATGGCCCCTGAGATCATTCGAGGGCAAGCTTACGATGGTCGATGCGACTGGTGGAGCATAGGGATCATCTTATATGAAGTAAGCCCATCAGTCTCCCCTACTCTTCGGTACCAGTTAATTAACTTCTTCGGAACAGTGTCTCTATGGATTTACGCCCTTTGCTTCAAATGACCGCCAGAAGACCAAAGTGAAAATCCATGTAAGTACATGGGTGCCATACCGAACAGCGTCAGCTAGGGCTTGTGGCTCACGATGTAATAGCATCATCTCCAGACCTTACGCTTCCCCATGCATCGTCCTTCCGACAAACTTGTCACGGGGGAGGCGGTTGATCTGATCAACTCTTTACTCCAGGAGAAAGAGCTTCGGTTATCCTGCAACGACTACCGCCAAAATGATCCACCTCCTGCACGATCGCCACCGAGGTATCTCTTTTACAATATCGATGCTTTCGGTCAAGACAATAGAGGTTTCTATGTGTATACAAACGATGCCACCGACATCAAAGCCCATCCGTTTTTCCGAAATATTAATTGGGATATACTCCATCGCACGATTCCCCCTTTCATCCCCAAAGTGAAAGGCTGGGAGGATACCAGGTATTTTGATGACTGGGGAAACACGCAGGAGAATGGCAATACGTCCAACTCATCTAATATGGAGGATGAGGTAGAGGTCCGCCCGAATCCCAGTCAGTTTGACGGACAACTGTCGCTAAATCGAGATGGAGGCCCGGCGCCAGATCAGAAAGACAATCTCAAAGCAGATGTAAATTCGCCTGCACGGGACCGCAAGAAAGGCAAGGAAAAGCACCGGCCTCGCGACAAACTTTTGCGAGACAAAAGGACCGGAAAGACTGCGCTTGAAATGCGCAAGAAAAGTGCGTTTTTGGGCTACACTTACCGTCGGCCAAAAGCTGTAGCTATGGCGTTCTCTGTTGATCGAGGTCGACCTTATCTTCCACGAGGGGTCCTGTCCGAACTATATGGGTGTTGACACGATGTGAGAACCTGCAATATGTGGCGTCGATCATAGATCAAGCGGTGATCTATTCATAAGTTTTTATCTTTACTTGGAGATGGTACCGGGGAATGGCTGAAAATACGACATGGAGCCAGCGTGGTGCCAGTTTTAGGGTTTTTGTTATACTGGCTCGAATTGGATGGATGAACCACCATTCTATCCTTGTTTTGTTCCCATGTTTTCTGTTGTCAATTCCTTTGAGTCACGCCAATCCATCGCAAAAAATAGCATTCATAATTACAAGATAACAGTTTCAAACACAATGGCAACAATCGCCAGCCCATAAAAAAGTGATGTCGAATGGACAAACAAAAAAGCCTTGAGAAACACAACGACGCGGCAAGCACGAAATCATTTTTCTAGATGTTTCTCGCCCCAAAAACCATATAAACGCGAAAGGAATTCGCAGCGCCATCCGGGCAAGTCTGCTTGCAAGTAGCATACTAAGATCATGGAGTACTCTCTCAAAGAAGCAATATAGGGACCCATTTCGAAAGTGTAGAAAGAAAAGTAGAAGAAAACGTTCCAATTATCATCGACGGCAGGGGTATCATAAAGAAGCAATTAGAATGGAAAACTGAGAAATCGAAACCACGAAGCAAGACTGCTCGTTAGAAGATAAGACATTGATCTGTGATTTGAGTATATTAGACGGCGGGAGGAGCGCCCATGGCGAAGGCCGACTCGCTGACCCGGTCTTCGGGTTTCATGGTACCGTTGAGAAGAGGGCAGAGTCTGTAGGCGGCAAGAGCCGTCAGCAAATATATCATAGAAAAAGTATAGGGGAAGTATATATATGAAGATGCACATACTTCTTGTTGGTCTTGATGTGACCGACTTGATGACAGTTGGCACACTTGCGCTGAGTACCGGCCGACTTGCCACCCCCAGAGCCACCTTCTGCCGGCGACTCGCCGGCGGAGGTTCGGACAACACCCTTTTGCTTTTCACGCGCGAATCGGCGTTCTTTGTTGCGATTGAGACGGCTAAGTTCGTTTTCAATCCTGAGTAAAGAGTGAGTAAAAGGGCTGGAAGAGACAATGAAGACAGAAAGGATGTTGGGGGGGGGGATTCAATATACAGTTTCTTGTTGCGGGCATCAATCTCTGGGTCGCCTGTCGGTTGAAGGGAATCAAGCCTGCAAGAACGGGTTAGTGAGTTCCATGAGATCCCAGCTCAGAGTTATAGCCACTTACTTGGTCGATAGAGCCTCGGCTCTATGGCGATGTTGAATGTAGTGCCGAATGACCCGTTGATCCCATATGAGGGTTTCTTTGGGATACAGACCCCCCTTTTCGTCCTTGTAGTATCGAATAATCCGGAGGACCTTGCCTTTCTGATCTGGCATACTCATCTTACTAAATTGACTGGTTGTCTCATCGTCTCGACGACCGGGAGCTGGAGTAGGGGCTTCCGACCTTGGAGTCGGTTTGCCGAACTCCTCCTCGTCTTCGCGATCGATATCACTTTCCGCGTCCGAATGCTCGACAGTAGACGACAAGCTAGCTTTCTGGGCATCCCAGATTCGTCGAATCGAGGTTTCGTATGATTTTTGCTGCCGAGCCACATTGTAACTGTGTCCACCCAGTTCTTTAAGTCGTTGCGCGTCCAATTTATCCTCAACACTTTCTCCAATCGCCTTGAATCCTCCTTTCATGGATGTCTTAATAAAACTGAAACCCTCGCCACGACCGGTAGGATCACCTTCGCCGTGGAGTTTGAGCATAGCCTTTCCTTGTGACGCAAGAAGGAAGTTTCGTGTTGCTTTCCACGGAGCCATCTGTTGTTCGAAGCTCTCGCCTTCTCCGTCATCATCATCGTCGCCACCGGTTTCGGCATCATTGCCATAACCAGTGTCATGCAAGTGTTGTTGACCAACCTGCATGGACTCAAGTAAACACACATCCTCAGGTTGAACCCAGGCGCGAATCACATCCTGCTCCGGGACCGGCTCCAAGGGAACCCAGTATTTGGAATCCTTATCATGCTGAAGGAAGTCCTTGACTTTCTGACGGTTCTGCATATCGCTTGTTCCGGGAATGTGGGCAGTAACGTCGCTGATCGAAAGCCTGAGGTCGGGGCTCTTCTTCAAGAGGCGGTAAACAAGCATTTTCATACGGTTTTTGGCAACCGTGGTGACCTTTCGTGAGTGAGGTCCAGGCACATCCACGGACGGGAATTGCTGGCCGGCAACATAGAGGTTTTCTATGTTTCGAAGGTAGTAGTTGCTGCCACCCCCAGTGGTGCTACTACGCACCACCAAGAAATCGGTCGATTTGGCTTGATGTTGGAAGAGGGGTGCGCGATACATGGAGTTCGAAACAGCGGGAGTGATCTCCCCTGAATCAACGTGTCCGAAGATTGAGAAGGGACTTTTATCTTGGGGGAGGAGAACGACGGTTTCGCCAATTTCTGCCTTAGGGCGAGTCGGATCCTCCATGCTCTTTCGCCGATAATAATTGATAAATCGATTCGACATTCCAAAGTTCGAGAGCATGAGGGGTGCCTCTTCCGAGTACTCGACGAGCAAAACGTGAGAATTGTCCGCCATTGACAGTGCCTTAGTAGAATTGTATAATTGCTTGACGTCTTTACCCTTTTGGTGCTTGCGTTTGATGTGGACGGGGTTTTTAAACCAACAAGTCTGGCCAGCTCGGAAAGACAAGGCCGGCCGGTGGAAAGATCGAGCTTCCGCTTTGGCAAGCTCGGTCTTGTAATATGGCCATTGCAAGCGAAGGGCTGGCATACTGTGTTCGAGAGTAACATTGCCCAGGGTGCTCCGCACCTTGTTCTGATGGTTCTGCTTGAGCATGTCGTAGGCTTGGTCGTTCGAGATGTTGTAGCGAGAGGTGAGACGCCGAGTGACGTTCACATCCATGTCCTCGCGATTCAGAGACCCCAGAGACTTGGGCTTTTGGGCAGCAGAATCAGGACCGCGCTCATCAAGCAAGATATGAGGATCATTCATGTCAATCGTGACCTTTTGAGCAATTCGCGACGTGAGTTGCGAGGGGTCATCCATCACAGGCACGTCGATATGGGAAAGGGCGATCAACTCGGTCGCATCTCTGCCGATCTTTCGCTTCTTGGTCGGGCGAGTGTTTTCAATCAGCCAGTCATCCTCCTCGTCTTCGCCTGTATCCATGGGGGCGGGCTCGTCAATATCCATGATGGAGATATCATCCTTGACATCCCAGTCAGTGCTTACAACCCGAAGGTCATGCAAGGTGATGCCTCCGGGCAACGCTTCCTCCATATCCGTGTCTTGTTCGAACTCCTCCCGGATTTCCTCCTCTCCAGCCTCTTCTTCCTCCTCCTCTTGTGCAACCTCAGCTATCGTCGTAATTCCTAGATGATCCGATTCAAGCGAGCGTTTGAAGACTTGACCTCCAGACCTGAAGCTTCTCTCCTGGTCCTGCGCCAATTCAACGTTCAGCTTCGTCGGAAGTACCGGCTTCGGGGGTTTGGGGGGCTGTTTGCCGAGGAAGAAGGCCTTCTTGTGAGGGATCAATTCTAGGAAGCGAGGGAGGGTTTTGCGATCAAATCCAGGGAACAGGGATTGCAAAAGCTCCTCCACGTTCTCTGGCGGGGCAGGGGGGTTATCGGGGCCAACGTTAGACATGGCAAACAAAGCCTGCTGAAGTTTCCATGCCCGCAGGGCAGCAGGATCCATATCCTCTCCCGTGGGACTCATGACACCAGGATCTTGCATAGCCTCCTCGACATCTTCCTCCACGTCCATCCGCTCCGGCTCAGCAGTGGGTGTTTCGGTAGCGACGGGAGGCGCTGGCGGCGGTTGCTCGCCTTCCTCTTCCTCGAAAAACAAATCGCGCGTCGAGTCCACCTGATCAGGCCCAGGCGAGGAGGGCCCGTCACCAAACAGGTCGTCAAATTCATCCGCAGCTGGCTCTTGTGGCTGGTCTTGTTGAAGCGGCTCGTCATCAGCCGGGCCTCCGAATAGATCATCGTCCTCCGCTTCAAACAAATCTTTATCGAGGTCATCGGTGTCTGCAACTCCGTTTTCCGCCATTCTTTGGGCTCTTTCCTCCTCTTCGGGTAGATCGTCGTCGTCAAAATCTTCGTAATCGATAGCATCATCTGCCTTCTCGCCAGGTTCCAAGTCTCTGTTTAAGAAATCCAAGGACATGCCGCCCTCGAGGGGGCCGTTCATCTGTCGCATGACATTTTCGAAGTCGGCATCTTCGGCGTCGGCCGCCCCGGTTTCCGTGGCGTGAGGCATGTTGTGGACGTGAGAGTTAGTAGAGGTCGAGCGAGGAGCTGGTTGGGGCGACAAAGGAGTCGTAGAAGTTGCGGTGGTGTACAGCGCGTGGGGGGAGCGGATCAAACGAGCGGAGCCGGAACAGAAGAATTAGAAAAAAGTCCGCATGGGGACGGACGCGTAGTCTACTCGAGACTTCGCAGTTGAATGATATGCCCGGCTCGATGAAAATAATTTGAAAGGAAGAGACGGATGAAACAGGCCGAGGCGAGACAAGAGGAGACGAAGCGAAGTCGACGAGAGAAACAGAAGATGCCGAAGGGACGCTAGGCCGCATCGGGTAATCAGCTTCAGACATTCACCTTCTTCTTACTAGAAGGCTCCAATCAGGATACCAGTCAATAATGGAAATGGCTCATTTATAGAAAAGCAAAGGGTATTATTGTTCGTTCATCAGAGCAGACTATCATACATCACAGAACAAAGCAAACACTGGCGCGCGACCGGGAATTTCCCGTCCCATCGCGTGTGTCATTATGTACATGAGGAAAAAGGAAAACACCCACGAATCACTGCAGATTGAACCCACCGTAGTAAACACAAAGGGCTTTGCTGGCTCCCTCCATACAGTAATGCATCACCGTTGATTGCTGCCCGTCCTTGACCACCTTGGCCAATTGTTTCACATCTGAAGTTCGAGGCAGAAAGAGGACCATATGCTCGCTAAAGAGTGCAAATTCACGGTATAGCTTGCTCAGTGAATATGGTTCCATTGTGCGCAGATTGAATACCTTGTCGGAGCGATATCCAGGGCCTATGAAATTGAACATTAGTGCTACTCATGCAGGGAACGAACTGACTGGAACTAACCGCCCCAGGGAGGACTAGCAAAGATGACGCTATACGGAGCCAGATCCTTGAGTTGGTTCTTCAAAATCTCGAAGCAGTCTCCTTCAAACCAGGTGATCTTGTCCTGCACCCCGTAGATTTGCGCATTATGCTTAGCACACTGTAAGACAGCCGGGTTCTTCTCGATGGCGTAGACTCGCTTCCACTTGCCCGAGAGCGCGAAAGCGATGGAATTCCCTCCAGCGCCAGCAAACGTGTCTACCAAGATGCTCCGTCCAGCGGGGGCCGCGCTGGCGACGTGTTCGGCGATTTTACTGTCACCGTGATCTTAGCGTCGGGATTCACAGGACAGTAAAGATTGGAGAGAATGGAAAGAATGTAAACTCACTTGGCTACAGGTTCGGGAGTAACTCCAAACCATGCATCGTCGGTCAGCCAGACACCCTCGTCATACCGCGAGAATATCTTATACCGCTGAGCCCAGTAACTAGACCAAGGGTCAGCAGAGGCCAATCTAATGGAGGAGGGTTGCGCAAAGCATGCAATATGAATTCAAGGCTCCCATACTTTTGGATATCCCAGGGAACTTCTCCGATGTGATCGTAGTGATGGACCTCCGGAGGAGGACTGTCTGCCATGGAGAGAACTGCCATAGCAAGACGAACGGGCAGAGGCGCAAAAGACCAAAAGCAATGCTGATGATGAAAGTCGATAGTGACGAAAAGCGATAAACTGATAGCGTGTTTGTCTTGTTTGCACCCCCGCCTTTCCCTCGTTGGCGACAAGTCGCAGTCGAGCATCAACAGAACCAGCAACTCCCTCCTGTTCTTTCCCCGCCGCTTCCGGGTATCGTCGTCATGTTTGGAGCTCTAAATCGATTTATCGGGCGTCTGGATTCCGATCCTGTCCAGCATCCTCGATCGCCTGCCACAAACGACAGCGCATTTGGCTTCCAAGTACTCCGCAACAAAGACTCCGAGCTCCCCCTAGAGCCATGGTTCGATTTCATCGTCGGCATCAATGGGCGCCTGATCGTGAGTGGCCGGAGTGTCTTCTTTTTCATACTATCCGTTCAGATCGCTAACCAGTCTCGCCATCTGAAGGAAGATCCGGACCCAAATCTATTCGCGACCGAGGTGCGCAACTGCGCCGGTTCAAGTGTAACATTTGAGATCTGGAGTGCCAAGGTAGGTTGACGGACGATTGATGCTCATGTCAGATGTATCCGCAATACTAATGACATATCTTGTATTAGGGTCAACGGACGCATACGGTGTCTATTCCGGTACCACCTTCCAACCCTACACTAGGCCTTGCTCTCCAGCTGGCCCCTCTTTCGTCTACGCAGCATATCTGGCATATCCTGAACATCCCATCACCGCTGAGTCCGGCCTACCGAGCCGGACTGTTGCCACACTCGGACTACATTGTCGGGACTCCGAGTGGAACGTTACGAGGCGAGTCCGCGCTGGGTGAGTTGGTGGAGGACCACCTGGACCGCACGCTGGTGCTGTGGGTGTACAACAGCGAATTCGACGTCGTACGTGAGGTAGAACTGGTGCCTACCCGGGGCTGGGGCGGGGAGGGTGCATTGGGTGCTGAGCTGGGATACGGCGCCTTACATCGGCTGCCCGTGGGGTTGGGCGAAGAAGTCGAGGGGCCCGGCGAGGTGGTCTTCGAGACGCGAGAGGACGGCACCTCAACTCCCGTCACGGCTCATTTGGGCCCAGCGCAGAGCGTGGGAGCGGCTGCGCCTGCTGTTGGGGGCCAATTTCTCGTCCCTGCCAACATTTCTACGCCGCCTCCTTTGGGCTCCCAGCCTGGCACTCTGCCTCCGATGGGACACGCGCACTCCGGACCGCGTCGGGGCAAGGCGCGACCTGCGGGAGTATCGCCAAACCGGGCCTTTGATGACTACTTTGCCGAAGGGGAACAGAAAAGTAAGGAGCAGGATTTCGCGCCGTCTCGCAAATCAACTCCGTTGCCTCCTCCGCCTAAGGCTGGCGTGCGATCTCCCCCGACCGCAGAACAACCAGCCGGGCCATAGGAAGGATAGAGAAATATCAACGGAATTCGTCGGGGCCCTTTCTAATCCTTTGTGTATTGTAGAGTAACATGGGTCTCCGGAGTTACGATGGACCTTATACCAATGATGAAACGAATATTTTCTTTATAGATATACAATTTCCTACCCAGGGATTGACTTCTTGTCATGGAATCCCGCCGTCCGCCACGGACAATCTTTCGAGCAACGAGCAGAGATATGTAGAACAGCGTGGGACCGGTTCGTTCGAGTCTACTTAGAATACAAACACATATGCAAGGGAAACCGTAACCCATCCCAAGCCCGGAGGGGTGGTACACCAACCACGGGCTCCAAATTGTATCCGCTTCAAGGAGAACAACCAAATACAAAGCACAGAAGCTAAAGGAAAATCAAGGAAAGGATAGAGACAGGAGGGAATGCTTGCCACTCTAATGGCCCTTGCTGACCAGCTCCTCCAGCTTCTTCCGGGTGTCGCCGATCTTCTTCTCCATCATGGCCCGTGCCATTCCGCTGTGCGCAATACCCGTGGACCAGATGTGTTCGGCCTTCTCCCGGATCAGGAGGTGCTGTTCCGCCACGGCGGGGACCTTCTTCTCGTACTCCCAAGCCAGGTCGGAAACGTTGCGCATCGTCACGGGTAAAAGCGACCAAGCGGCAACGGTACCGAAGGCAAGCGGCGAGGCGGAGCGCAGAAAGATGCCGCGGTTCCGCGACACGATCGAGCCGGCCATGGCGGCAACGACGACGTACACTCCGCCGGGAAGCAGACGCTCTCCGGACTCCGGGGACGGGGCCAGCGAGGCAACGGTGTTGGTGAAAGCGTTCTCAATGTGAAGGGCCCGGGACAGGAAGTCGTTGAAGCAGTTCTCCGCAGCCAGGGAGTTGTTGTAGAGGAAGAGACGGGCTTGTCGGATCTGGGCGGTCAGGATATCTGTGGGAGTCGGAGACGACGAGGACGAGGGCGAGGACGGCTGGGGCACAACGGCAGAGGGCGTCTTAGGGAGCTCCGGAGTCTCGGTGGGGAAGTCATCATAGATTGGCTTTCTCTACAGCCACGGGGTCACGTTAGGATACTAACTCTTTGCGACAGTCATAGAAAGCAGACGACGGTGCATCTCAAGAAAGGTTGAGCCCTACCAAGTCCTGGGGTTCTTCAGCCCACGCGGTGCGACGGGGAGCGAGAGCGACACCTCCAGCCAAGAGAGTGGCAGCGAATGGGGCCACAGCCCGCTGGAAACGCGGTCAGCAAGAAGCCAGGAAAGTAGGCGAGGATGAATATCTACCTGGCGGAACATTGGCCGGAAAGACATGGTGGGGAGAGGCCAATTGGGGGGAGGAAACTGTGGGAGACAGGCAGAGGGCCAGAGAGAAGGAGAAGCAGAGATGAGGTCGAAAGCGTGACCGCCAAGCCTTTTTTTTCGCCGCCTCGGCTTTTCCTCCGTCATCGTCCGGCCTTCTCTCTCTCTCTCTCTTTCTTACTCTTACTTTATTACGCTTCATTTTCCCCCACTTCCTCCCATGTTCCTCGGTTCCTCTTCTATCTTTACCGTCTCGTTGCTGCGGGACATGTTGGCCTCGTCTCTATCTTCTCTACCCTAAAACTTGTCCCGTTCCATCCCCCCGATGAGCGGCCATTTGCTGGCGCCCCTCCGGCGTCGGCCTTGGACGTGTCGGACATGCCTGCAGCGACTGCAGCAACAGACTCGACGATCCCTGGAAACGGCGGCAACCTCACCTTCGCATCGCGCCAATAGTTTCGAGTATGCACCCGCCGGAACCGCGACGCAGAAGAAAAGCGCGGACGACCAGGTTCTTCGCCGCGTATTCGACTCGCCGCCCTTCTGGAGGGAGTTTTCGCAGCGCCGCGCCTCGCAACCCTATCCGACCGGTCTAGTGCAGAACCAGTACCTGACAAGTCCCGATGGCTTTCGGACGTTTGCCCATGTCTCGCTACAGAAATGTCAAGCGATCGTATCCAAAGTCTTGGCGGCATCGACCCTCGAGGAATACCGGGACATGGCTCGGGATCTGGATCGGCTAAGTGACCTTCTGTGCCGAGTGATCGATTTGTCCGACTTCATCCGGACAATTCATCCAGACCCCCGCGTTCAGGAGGCGGCGACGCAGGCATATGCGTTGATGTTCGAGTACATGAACGTGCTCAACACCACGACGGGGTTGAACGACCAGCTGAAGAAAGCGGCCGCCAATCCGGAGGTGACGGCACAATGGTCGGAAGAGGAGAAGATCGTGGCCCACATCTTGATCAAGGACTTCTCGAACTCGGCCATCCACATGCCGCCCCACGAGCGACAGCGGTTCGTGAACCTGTCCAATGAAATCAGTCAACTCGGGACGACTTTTGTGAACAGCGCCGAGCCGGCTAAATCGAACGTGGTGGTGAACACCAACAGCTTGCGAGGGCTCGATCCCATGCTGGTCCAGCAAATCAAGCGATGGAATCGCAGCACCGCGGCGGTGCCGACCATGGGTATGATCCCGCGTCTGGCACTCCGATCGGTGCACGACGAGGCAGCTCGGAAGGACATCTATCTGGCGACGCGCACTTCCAGCAGCCGACAAGTTCATCGGCTGGAGCAGCTTTTGGCCAAACGGGCCGAACTGGCTCAATTGTCGGGCTACTCTAGTTTCGGGCATATGACGCTGAGCGACAAGATGGCCAAGAGTCCCGAGGCGGTGTCCAAGTTCCTCACCGCGCTGGTGGGCAGCAACCGGCAGTCCGTGCAGGAAGAGCTGTCTCATTTGCAGGCCATGAAGGGCAGCGCGGCGCTGCAGGCGTGGGACCATGCATATTACGTCCACCAGCGGGTCATGCAGTACTCGCAATCGAGACGCTCACGGGAACTGAGTGCCGTCCCCGAGTTCTTCTCGCTCGGAACGGTGATGCAGGGCCTATCGCGACTGTTTGACCGCCTCTACGGCGTGCGCCTGGTGCCCCAGGAAACGGCGCCCGGCGAGACGTGGAACGCCGATGTGCGCCGACTGGATGTGGTCGACGAGACGGAGCGACACATCGCCGTCATCTACTGCGACCTGTTCTCGCGTCCCAACAAGCACCCCAATCCGGCTCATTTTACGCTGCGATGTGCCCGCGAAATCTCACCGGAGGAGGTGGCCGAGTGCGCGACCATGGGTTCGTCCGCTCACCCTAACGACGGCATGGCCACCGCAGTCGAATCCCAAACCCTCCGCCAGTTGCCTACGATCGCCCTGGTGTGTGACTTCCCCGAGCCCCCGGCCACCGGTGCCGGACGACCCTCGCTGCTAAGCGAGCACAGCGTACGCACACTCTTCCACGAGATGGGCCACGCCGTGCACTCGATCCTTGGCCAGACACGACTGCAGTCGATCTCCGGCACGCGGTGCGCCACCGATTTCGCCGAGCTGCCCTCGGTGCTCATGGAGCGCTTCGCCACCGCTCCCGAAGTTCTTGCCCTCTACGCCCGTCACTGGCAGACCGACCAACCGCTGTCAGAGGAAATGATGCGCCGCATGGAACAAGATCGCAACGCACACGGTTCCATCTACGGCGCCGTCGAAAACGAAGCCCAAATTCTCATGGCGCTCGTCGACCAGGCCTACCACTCTCAGGGACCGTCGCAGTCCCCCATCTCCTCCACCACTCTCTACCACCAGGTCTGCTCCGCCCACGCCAGTCTTCCCGACCCGGCGGACTCCAAGACCTCGTGGCAGGGCTTCTTTGGGCATCTGTACGGCTACGGTGCCACCTACTACAGCTACATCTTCGACCGAGCCATCGCCAACAAGATCTGGGAGGATGTTTTCCGCGGCGGTGCCGCCGCCGTGGACCGCGCCGCGGGTGAGAAATACCGCGACGAGGTTCTCCGCTGGGGCGGCGGACGCAACGGATGGGACTGCGTGGCGGGAGTCTTGGGCAAAGACCATCCTGCCAACGCGGACGGTCGACTGGCGGACGGCGGAGACCAGGCGATGCAAGAAGTCGGTCGCTGGGGACTCGGACGGGACGGAGTGTCGGGTTAGACATCTGCTTATACCTGTATAATTAGTCTTAATTGTTATAGATAGCCCACGTCTATTTTTTTGTCTCACCTTTTCTCTTTTTCTTTTTCTTTTTCAACCGTCCTTGGCTTGACTGACGCATGAGCATACATGAATCCATGCGTCACTCATGCACCCTACATCGATAGTTCTTAAACCGAACTGCCCTACCTACAGACTCGACCGTACATATCTCCCGCTCACCCCCCAAACAAGAAAAGCAAAACAGAGAAAAACGAGCTGGATGATCGCCGAAGTCACACAAAAAAAGACGATGATCTGGACGTGTCACGACATGCACGAGTTAAGTTGCGGTGGCACCAAGAAAAAGAAAATCCCATCCCAATCCAATCCGACTGTCACCACGCAAACGGGTGAAATGATGCAGGCAGGATTGTCGAGAATCAACAATCGGAATTGATTATTTGCTACATATAAATTCCTATGTACTTCCTGAGGTGAAAGAGGAAGAGGAGGGGGGGAAAGGAAGACATGGGTTATCCTGTCCTCTCTTTTCTTTTCTTTTCTCCTCTATTTTCCTTTCTCTTCCTCTCTCTTTCTCTCTCGGCTATTCTTCTTACCTTCGCTATTTCTCTCTCGCCCAGAACCTGGTCTTCTAGTTTTCTTAACTCTGTTAAATGACATTCCTACAACTGCACCAATGAATCCTGACCAGCAAAACATACCTTTTATTTAATTTAATACTCTAATATCGCCTTATCATGCCTCTCGACACCGCCCCTTCGTCCTTCACCACCTCCGACTCCTCCTTTTCACTACAAAGACCCTCACGTTCGCCTCTTCGCTGGGTATCACGGCGTCTCTCACGTCCCAAACCACCGTTGAATCCCAGTCCCAGCGACGATTCGGAGGAGGAGCGTGTGACCGAGTCATATGCCGTTTATTGTCGGGCTTTCACCGGTGCCCAGCCCGAGTCCGTGCACCTAACCGAACGCCAGTCCTTCGATTTCTTGCCAGTGGGCGCCTACGGCTTCACTCAGCTCGCACCGCCCCGTTCGAGGACGCCGCCGCCGCGTGTGCTCACTCCCTCCCTGTACAGGGCGTCCACTCTGGTTCAAGAACCCCCTCGACGACCGTGGTGGAAACGGATACTGTGTGGCTCCTAAGACCGAAGACGGCCACCCGGGTCGCCCCCAGTGACATGAGGGGTTCAGAGACAGAAAGGAGGATGCAGACAAGAAGAGACTGGGGAAAGAAAGAGACAAACAAGAGATATCAGTCGAACAGGGGTATCCTGAGCTTCGTATTACATACTATACAACCTAATCAATACAACGTGCAATTCAATCCAAACCCACCCTGTTCTCAGCAACACAAAGGAAAGAAATGCTCCTCCACGGCGCAGGTGGCCTTGTTTTTTGCTCTTGTGATAAATATTCTTCTTGATCGATTTACGACGACCCATCTGCCGTTGCTTTATCCGGCTGGGGGGTCGACGAGTGGCTGCGCGCCTCGGGCGTCGATCGGTGAGACAGCTGCGTCAGTTCTCCGACGAGCCTACAGTGGTGGTCCGTTAGGGCTTGCTGTTCACTTGTCTATCCGTGGAGGGGAGGGAGAACTACTCACCGATTGTGATCTTCGTACCACTCGTCGTTGGTTGTGCGGATGTGTTTAAGCTGAGCCTGAATGCTTGCCATCTGTGGAGACGCAACGAGAAAAAACAGAAATCATGCGAATCAGTAACTCATGTCTGCCAAAAAGAATGAAAAAGGAACAAAGGAAACGGTGCCGATCAGGTAAAAGGATGAAAACCGGGCAGTCCTGAAGATGCGGACGCTAGACGGGGAGGTCCCACCGTTCCCTCGATAGATGAACCAAGCTGCTCCTCACCTTCCACGGGTCCCTTCTCTGCCCATTGACTGCCCTCCAGGCCCACCGAATTGCCCCGGCCCCCTTCGGCCTTCAGCGCGGCCACCTCCGCTTCCAACTCGCGCGTGCGCTTGCGGCTGGCCGAAATGGCCGAGTCCACCTCGCCCAGCTGGTTCAACAGCGACATGTTCTTGTCAATCTGGTCGTTGAAGTCCTTCTCGCCCTGCGCCAACTTCTCGTTCATCGCCCGGTTCTGCGTCGTCACCTCATCCAGCTGGCTGCTGACCGCCTCGTACTTGCCCTTTAGCTCGGTCAACTCCTCCTGGGAGGCCGAGAGCTGCTTTAGGACCGATTCGAGCTCCGATTGCGAGTTTCCAGAGGCCGATAGCGACTTTTCCAGGTCAGCTGCCCGAGCCGCCAGCTCTTCATGCTTCTGCTGCCATTCACTGGTTTCTGCCTGCGCCTTGGAGACGTCCGCACCGTGCTGGCCCGCAAGCTCCTTGGCCTCCGTGGCAGACCGTTCCGCTTCGGCAAGCTTATTCTCGAGTTCGGCAATGGTGATCTTCAACCCGTCAAGGACCGAGCTGTCCTGAGCGGCAGCCTGCGCCTGGGCCAATTGAGCATGCACCTCACTGAGCGCCGCGTCGTGGGACTTCTGCAGCTCGTCCAGCTGAGCTTGGTTGGACGACTCCAGCTGAGAGCGGAGGCTGTTTGTCTTCTCCTCGTGCGCGGTCAGAAGTTCTTCAATCGCCTTGCTGTGCTCGGCATCATTTTCCGCGGCCTTGGAGGCCTGCGAAGCGGCCAACTCGGCTTGCAGCGCCGACCTGGTTTCCTCGTACTGCTTTTGCAGCTCCGCGATCTCCTGGCCACGAAGCTCGGTGTGCGACGCAATCTCCTGCGCATGGCGCTCCAAGGCCGACCTGAGCTCCGCTTCGAGAGATTCCACCTTCTCCCCGTACTTCAACTCCAGTTCGCGGTTGGTCGCCAACAAGGCGTCATGCTTAGCTTGCACATCTTGGAGAGCTTGCTCGTGGGATCCAGAAGTGTTCGTCTGGGCGGTCTCCAGTTCCGTGGCGTGAGCGGTCTTCAGGGATTCAATTGCCTGTGCGTGCTTCTCGGCAGCCGCGGCGGCTTCCTGGAGATGCGCCTGCAGAGAACTTTCCGCGGCCTGCGCCTTCTCTTCCAGCGCCTTCAGCTGGCCTTGTTGTTCCATGTCCTTTGACTTAGTCTTGTCCTCGAAGGTAACGAGACTGTGCTGCAGAGCCTCGACTTCTTGTTGCTTACTGGAGATGGCATCTTGGAGAGATCGGATCTCAACTTGGCCCGTGGACAGCTGGGACTCCAAGGCGCCCACCTTTTCTTTGAGCGATTCAATCTCCTGAATGGCCACTTCTTGCGCGGAGCTGGCACCCTCCTCCAGGGATTGCTTGGCTTCGCCGAGAGCCTGCTCCGAAGCACTCAGTTTCTGTTCAAGGGCTTGCAATTCAGCCTGGTGGGCGGTCATTAACTCGCTAATAGCGTCCTCACGTCCCTTCTGTGCGGCAGCTTCGGCGGCATCGAGAGCCGCGCGAAGTTCCTGAAGCTCGTCTGAGTGGCTACTGCCGGCCGACTCGGCCGCCTCCTTAGCTACGGCCAATTCTTGGGCGTGGGTGTTGGCCGCGGAGGCGAGGGCCTCGTCGTGCTCCGCTTTAAGTTTGGCAACGGCCGCCTCTCCGGCTACGGCCAATTCCTGGGCGTGGGTGTTGGCCGCAGAGGTGAGGGCCTCGTCATGCTCCGCTCTCAATTTGGCGACAGCCGCTTCGTGGGCCGCCTCGAGTTCCTGAACTTTTTCCTTCAGCGTGTTTTCAGCGGCGTCGCGGGCTTCCTGGAGCTCCGGACGAAGTGTTTCCACCGTTTGCTTCAGCTCGGCAACCTCCTTGTCCTTTGCTGCAAGCGCGGTGGCTGTCTCCTCGCTGGTTTTAGAGGTAGATTCGGTCTCCGCAAGCTGGGCTTCGAGCAACGCAACCTTCTCCTCAAGGGCCGAAACAGACTGCCGAGCTGATTCTTCAGCAGCACGAGCCTGGTCTTCCTTGGCTTGGTTGAGCTTCTCCATCTCGTGGTTCAGGTTCTCAATGACCTGATCGCGTCCGTTGAGTTCACGCTGGAAGCTTTCCAAAGCCGCGGTCTTCTCCTCCAGGATCTTGGTGGTTTCGGCAACACTGCTCCTCTGCGTCTCGAGTTCCGCCTTGAGGGCATCCAGTTCCTCGGTATGACCAGCGGCCGAGGCCTTCTGGTCGGCCAGTTCTTTCTCCAGAGCCTCCAACTGAGCCTGATGGGACTGCTTTATTTCTTCCAGGGCCGCCGCGGTCTTATCATCGCCTTGAGCGGCGGCGGACTTCGCGGCATCGTCCAGATCCTTAATGGACTTTTCTTCCAGTTCTTTGCGCTGAGCCTCGGCCTCTTCCAGTTTGGTGCGCAGATCATGCAGCTGTTCGGCATGCTCGGCAGTCAGACGCTCGAGTTCTGCGGCGTGCTGTTCCTGGAGTTCCTTGGTGGCAGCGTCGCTGTCTTTGGAGCCATCCTCCGGGGGAGAGACAGACAGCTGAGCCATTTTCTCATTCACTGTGTCTAGCTCGGCTTTCAGGCTTGCCACGGTAGCCTCGCTTTCTGACAGCTTGCTTTCCAGCGCATGCAGTTTCTCTGCATCTTCCTCCGAGGTCTTTGTGACGGTGCTCAGTCTTTTGGCTGCTGTTCCCGTCGCTGGGCGAGTCACCGTCGAGGTGGGACGAGTAGTCGTCCGGGTCGCACTAGTGGTTGACGAGGTCGGACGAGTAGTAGTGGTCGACGTAGCCGGTCGGGTTGTCGGGCGTGCCGCAACGGTGCTGGGACGCGACACCGAGGTTCTCTTCTCGGCTGTAGTTGAACCAGCGATGCTTGACCGTCTATCCAGCGTGCTGGTAGTCTTGGTGGGGGCACGAGTAGCCGGGGTACCAACCAGAGACATCCGCTTTGCGGTGCTGGACAGGCCTCGTTTTTCATCTCCAGAACTTGCCACGGATCGCGACTTTTCATCGGCGGAGCTGCTGACCGATGCACGAGATCGATGGGAAGCAGTTGTCGAGGTGCTCAGGGGCTTTCGGACGGTAGTAGTCGTGGGTGGACGCGTGGGAGGCCTATTCAACGTGCCGCCATTGGTGGTCGAAGGACGAGAAGTCGACGTAGTTGGCTTGGGGGCGCCAGACATGGAACTGGGCCGTTTTGTGACCGGAGCTCCCGACACGGGGCGTTTGGCCGTAGCCGTGGTGCTGGAGGTAGGGCTCCTCTTGGTGGGAGATGCCTTGACGTTCTCCTTGTCCTTGGAAGTATCGGGACTAGTGACGGGTTCCTCACTACCGGAGAGCACGGTTGAATCGACGGGGGTGGCCGGGGGAACATCTGAATCCACCACCCCTTCGGCCGGGGTAACGGGAGGGACGGGTTCCTCAGTCGAAGCCATCGTGGCTGGCGTAGAATCAAGATCGGGCACGATAAACGGTCAGGGGATACAAAATGACAGGTCTGAAGCGGGTGGTCTAGCAAAATTGTACGGGATCCACGTTAGCTCCAGTTTGGCAACAGCTAAAGCGGAAAAAGGAAAACAGAATTTCCTTCTCAATCAAAAGAGACGAAAGTTGATATCCACGTGAGTTGATTGAAGCCGTATAGGCTTCTCACATTCCAGTTAGAAAGAGGGGAGAAGGTCAACACTGGCCCCCCATGGGTTTGCTGATCTCCCGCCAGAGGGCAAGTACGAATAGAACGGAATGGGGGGTTCTCCTTTTTCCAGCAGCGTCCCGAGGTCCAACGGACAGGGCGGGCAGTTCACGACAATTACTTACTCCAGCACAGAGGTTAACCGTCAATTGCATAAACAATGATGGTGCAATTCCAGTCAGGGATGTTCCAGTACGCACCGAGTCCGTGATGTACAGGAACCGGTGGGGGATGAAAGAAGCAGAGAATGGGAAGAAGAAGCAGCTTCCGATCCCCGAACGGTGAGGAAGGATACTAAAACAAAGCCAGACGGCTCAAGCGAGAAAGAAATGCAAAGATGAAGAAGCAAACGACAACAACGAGAAGAAAGAGGGGGGAAATTAAAAGAAGATAGAACGAGGATTAAACGAGTTAGGTACAAGAGAAAGAGAAAGAAGAGGTGAAGAGGTGAAGAGGAGTAGAAGTCGAGGAAAGGAAAGAAGGAAAAGAAAAGGAAGGAAAGGAAGAGGGGAGTGCCATATGGTCACCGTATCGTATGGAACCGTCTGGGGACGCCGTAAAATGCGGGATGTCGTGCGGAAATGCCGTTATCATACCGGTTTTAACGGTTATGTACTGTCAGTACATTGTATCAATACACTTCACCGCCCTGCGTGCGGACACGAAGGACTCTCGCCTGGACGGGGACAAGTCTGGAGTCGCTTCTCTGGCCGGAGAGAAGTACAAGTATAGAATTTCAGGTCGATGTGGTGGAACAGCGTCATTCCTGTTCCTTCTACCTTGCAGACTCGCATACCCCTGAGTGTTTGTTGTGATGCGCGTTCCTCATCCTTCGGCTCCGTGGTTCATCGGTTCCTGAACCGTAGAAATATAGTTCCAATTTGTTGGTAGTCGAAAGCTCTACTCGATGAATACAAAGAAATTGACATAAAAACAAAGGGGTATCTTGCTCCACACGCCATTGCTCCAGTCATGGGAATCAAACCTCCATCAGCCACTGCCATTCCCGTCGTTGCTCTCGTGTCGTCGCTGTTTTTTCGTAATGAGAAACCCATGTGTCGTGGATCTGCTGCGCCTTGGCCCGTAGCTCTCCTATCGTTCGCCCCCCTAATTGACTTGGGAATTGTTCTAATATTTGATGATAGCGCTCTGGACCTGCAAGGTGACAGCATGGCTCGTTAGCATGTCGATCCTTCTCGGGCGCTTCGTGAATATGGAGCGTGTTCCCGGATACTTACCTTGCCAGCGTTTTAGCCCTTCCAAAAGAGCATATCCCTCGTCATCCGTCCATTCTCTCTGACCCGACGCAGCGGTGGGAACGTGACCCCTCAGTGCACCCGTCTCCAGAGCTTCAATCAAATTGTTGAGGATGCTGATAAGAGACCAACCTCGGCATCGGAATGCAACGTACCCCCTGGCTTGCTGGGCGTTGCTGCGCGTACAAAACTTCTGTAGCAGCTTCATGATTTGGAGAAGATGGTCGTAGGGCCATTGAAAACGCTGATGCATGCCACTGCGGCGGTATGCCTTGAAACATTGAAGAATTAGCCGCACCAAGGGGTAGTATACGCGCGCCTCAAATTCCTCCGCCAATTCACCACCAAGCGACTTATGCTGTTCGTCCCGCCTCGCCGCGCGGTAATAAATCATTTCACGGAGTTTATCTCCTTCATCGTCAAGAGAGCGGCGAAGCCTTTCGCACTTTTTTCGGGTCTCCTGTGAGGGTTGACGTTGTTTTTCCAAACTGCAGAGTACTCCGGCATATTCCTTACGCAAGGACATCATCAAGGTCTCGATCTTTTGGAAATAGTGAGCCCTGGATGGTTTGACAAGTTCAGAAGCGGCAAGCGTTTCAGATACTAAGATCTCCCAATTTTTCTTCTGTCCACCGAGCATTTTGGCTTCCGTGAACCATGAGCTCTCTCCCTCGTGACGGGACGTCTCTGTGGACCTCGCAGAAGCAAAACTTGAGCTCCCGTCGTCGGTGCTATTGTGGTGGTCTTGCAAGCGTGACGAGATAGATGATGTTCTTTGCTGAGCAGGTATCTCAACTACAGGTGTTTTATGCCCCGGCCGCGACCTGTCCTTCGGAGATGCCGCTGGAGATGAACCGTCCTCACTGCCCTCGGGAGTATACCTGAATAAATCAGACGCAGCTGGCGATCCCTCCGAGGCCGAATCCTCCTTCGAGGGAGAGTATTCTGATTCGTCAGCCGCATCTTCTGGCTCGCCATCCACGTTTGGCTCTGGCTCCAGTTCCAGCGTAGCCGCATCCTTTGTTCCATCTGTGGCACTTGCATTCATCTCTTGCTCCTGCTGCAGTTGCTGCGAAGGAGAAAATTCCCTAGCGTCTCGTTCGTCATCGTCCTCATCAGAATCCGAAGGAAATAAGATGACACGGGTAGGATTGACTTCTTCGTAGCGATCTTGGGTGCTTGCATCTGGGAGGCTGGGATTTCCCTCTTGCTTGTGGGAGCTATCATGAAAGATGTCTTCGGAATCATTTTCCGAGTCATCATCTTCGCTAAAACTGAAACTCTTATCTGGCTTCCTTGTTAGAGATAGTTCAGCCAGTCTATCTTCATGATTGATTTCAATCTCTTTGAGCTCTTCTTTGGTGTTTCCGGGTCGAGCCTTACGGCCCGCTACCTCGCTAGGATCCTCCAATTCGGAGTCCTCACCAGAGCCCTGATCGGAGTTATCATCGGAACTTCCATGAGATGACTCGCGCCCTATTTGAACCTCTATAACGGGATGTATATTCGGCTGCGACCTCGGGGGTTTCTCATCCCAAGAGCCTCTCTGTGTATTTTCATTCTCCCCCGGGGTGACCGGTTCACTCTGCAGAACAGGTTTGGGTACAGCTGATCTGCCCTCCTCTGAAGATTGAGGACTCCCTAGAATCCCATCACTTTGCGGGCCTTGTTTCGTCCGCTCTGTTTGGTGGCGTGAGGAGCGTCGAGGCCGAACGGGGGAGCTGTGGCTGACCCGATCGGTGGGAGAATGGATGTTATTCAAGAAGTCTACGGCCCGCGAAGTTGTGTCTCGTCTTCGGTTTCGCTGGCCGGCAGATCGCGAGCCTGCCATTCTGGGAGAGCTAAATAGCAGAAAAAACCATGAGGGCAAGTTGGTAGGAAGCCGAAAGCTGGATAGAGTGCTTTGTTGGTGTTGTTTGTGGTTGTCGGCGCAACACCCCGTGACTAACTGGACGTCATGCGTCCTTATCGATAAGAACCGCCTCTTCCCGCTTTCTCTTCCTCTCTCTCTCTCTCTCTCTTTCCCTCTCTTCGACTCTCGTTTCAATATCTACCTCTTACGCATCATCGATCATAGACTCTCCCGTCAATACCTCCTACCTGCCACGATTAACACTCCGCCCTCTGTTTTGATCGTCCAACGCGGCCCTCCAGAATGGCTGCAGAGGGATTCCCAGTGCGCGTGCTGCCCGCGATTGACCCCGCACGACACTCCTTTATCGAGCCCGGCAAAAAGATCCACGAAGGAGAAGATGTCTCGGATTTCCTATGCTCTAAGGGCTATGTCGATATGATGACATTTCTTCTTCAGCTGAATCGGTCGATGTTCCCGGAAAAGCTTCCCGATGGCAGCGTGCAAGCTTGGCCTTTGAACTCCGATGCGGTCGAATACTCGGCCCCAGTCCGACAGCTACAGCAATTGCTATCGAAACTAGAAGCGATTATCGCGGAGGCACCGCCCGATACGGGCCCGCGGAGGTTTGGAAATTTCAGCTTTCGCAAATGGTACCAAATCGTCGAAAGTCGAGCCTCGACCCTGCTCGAGGAGTGTTTGTCGTCTGAAATACTGAAGAAGCCGTCTTCAGACCCAAATGGCCCGACGGCGGAAGTGGAATTGAAGGCTTATTTCTTGGGGAGCTGGGGAAGCGCTCAACGCTTGGATTATGGGACAGGTCATGAACTGAGCTTCCTAGCCTTTCTCGCTGGAATCTGGAAGCTTGGGGGATTCCCTAAAAACGCGGCCGGGGTGGAGGAAAGAGCTCTTGTCTTGGGTGTGATACAACCGTGCGTGTCTCCGTGAATCAGATACTATGCGTGGCCTTTACTGACAAGAGATTGGCCTAGGTATTTGGAATTGGTACGGACAATTATCAAGACCTACACTCTGGAACCGGCAGGTTCTCACGGCGTATGGGGTTTAGACGATCATTCATTCATACCCTATATCTTTGGGTCTGCACAGTTCGCCCCGGCCCTCGGGGCATCAGACAAAGTGCCTGATGAGGGCTCCCTGCCCGATGCGCCGGATCCCACTGGTGTGTCCAAAGCAAATATTGTTGAAAGAGAGCGAAGAGACAATCTGTACTTCTCCGCAGTCGGCTTTATTTACGATGTGAAGAAAGGGCCCTTCTGGGAGCATAGTCCAATGTTGTATGACATATCTGGGATTCGCACCGGCTGGGCCAAAATTAATAAGGTCAGTGCCTCATTTTCTAAACAGCAAATTAACTTTCATTAACAAAATTAGGGGATGATCAAAATGTATAATGCTGAGGTGCTCTCAAAATTCCCTGTCGTCCAGCATTTTCCTTTTGGCTCGCTCTTCAGCTGGGAGCGTGATCCAAATGCTTTGCCGCCACCATCCACAGCTCATAGCTCATCTGGTCCGCAAGCACGGCCACAAGGCCCCGCTGCTCCGGCCTCAACGACGCAGGCTCCTGGCGCGAGAACCAAGGCGCCTTGGGCCTCTGTATCGGGCTCTGCCCCTCAAAGTGGAACCGCTGCACCCTGGGCGACCTCGCGAGGATCCGGAGGGCCGTCTGCGTCCAGAATACCTCCTACGCTCACTAATACATCCACATTACCACCGGGCCCGATGACACCGACTCGGGCTCCTTGGGCGAGCTCACAGCCCACGGCAGCCCCAGGTGGCAGCGCTGAAGGGAATCCTGTTACCAAAGCTCCCTGGGCCAAATGATGTCTTTGCGTGGCAGACGATGCCTTTCTGTTTTGTATATACCCTTCACCTTATGTGACTTATGGTCTTGTATGAAAGTGCCTAAAAAGTTAGCATGACCAGCATGCAATGCATTCTTACATCAAATCCATCTGGGTATCATCTATTTCTAAGTAAAACGCCCAAGCAACTTTATATACAGGCATCGCATTGAGGGCCCCGAAAGAACAGCTCAATCTGAATCAGAAGCATAAGCAACCAGAGCAGTCACAGCACCAGGCTGCTTCTGATCCGATGTACCTGTTTCCTTCAAACACTCATCCGACACGGTAGAAGATGGCCGGGCAGACTGGTTGTCTTCGGTATCCTTAATCGTCTCTGCCGGTTTGTTCAGCGTAGTTTTTCGCCGCTTGCTCTCTGGCTGCCATATATTCGCATCTTGACTTAGGAACGGATCGACCGCTGCGCGCGTATTACTCGTCAACTCACTGCGCAAGATCGCCTTCCGGTCTGCAGCAAGATCAGCCGCCTTCGGTCTCTTCCCATGTCTACTCCCCGAAGCGAGCGGAGATCCCCTTGCTGTCGTCGTTATTGAGGAGTCAAACATGGGTCGAGTGCGAGTAGTCGCATCACTGGCAGGCCCAAAGTCGATGAACCCAGCACGTAGCCGATCCTCCTCCGTCTCGTCCACCAGATCGATCCCCAAGCTCATCTTATCCTTCAACGCCTCGCTCTTCGCTTCCGCCGTTTCAAGCACCTTCCGCTCCGCCCGGAATCCCCGTCGCAGCCGCCTCGACTGCTCGTACGGGTCCTCCCAATCGCGATTTTGCCGTCGCTGCAGATCAAGCAGCCGACTCTGTTCCGTCTCCGCCCTCCTCTTATCCTCGACCTTCCCCTCCAACTTAGCCAACGGGTCACTCTCCCCTCCCTCCTCCCTTCGCAACTTGATCGTAATCTCCCCCAAGCCCAGATCCTTCTCCTCTCCGGTATCCCGTTTCCTCCCTCCCTCGGTAACCACATACGCCGTGTTCTGCGGATCCGTGCGGATTTCGATCCATCCCCCACAAGCGGTGTGTTTCATGCGAAAGCTATAGATGGGCGTGGAGTAGTAGTTTCCGACTTTCTTCTTCTCGGCGTTGAAGCGCACCCCTTGTCCGATGATCGTCTCGTGCGGTTTGCAGTTCGTGCACCATACCGCGAAGGGCATCTCGAATCGCACGACTAGGGCGCCGGTGGTGTGTAGGTGGCGGGCGCGGGACCCGAGCGGGTGCTTTCCCGCGAGCTTATTGGCGCTCGTGAGGCCTTCTTGGTCAGGTGGGACATAGCTGGGGGGTGGGTTAGATGGTGGGTTAACTTCTTGGTGCCTGTGGCGGCGTGGAGGGGAGGAGGGAGTTGAACGAACCGTCCCATGTCTAGAGGGGGATATGGTGTCAGTGAAAGGTCTAGAGAAAAAAGGGTTGGCAATGGGTGACATACTAAATCCTTGCATTTTGGCAGCTGGGTAGCGCAAATTGGCGCTATCGTATCGAATGTGACGGGGTGGAAGGGAGTTGCGCTTGATGTTTGCGATGGGGAATTGGAGATGAATGACGTGCATAAGATGTACTGATAAGAATGACTAATTATGCAATGCACTATCGACTCCTTCCCGATTCGGTAGTATCGTTTGTCTTTCTTATTCTTTCTTTCTTTCTTTCTATCCTTTCTCTTTCACTCTCAGTATCCATTCACGATTATAGTATAATAGGAAAATTATTATATGAATCACAAAGCAACACGCATAAAAGAAAAATCAAAAGATCATAAGACAATAACCACTACAGAGTCGAACAATCGCCACCCACATCGCAGCGCACATGGGCATCAGCGACGCTCTGCCCGATCCAGAACTTGACACCTTCACCCTTCACAGGTGCCTTCCAATCCTGCACCTCTACGTCCCAAATACTAATATCCTTGCGGGTGACCTCCAGAGTCAGGTCCTCGCTCTCGCCAGGCGCCAGGGTCTTCGTTTTCTCGAACTGTCGCAACTGCCGCGACGGGGTATCAACCCCCAGGCTGGATGGCATCTCCACGTATAACTGTGCAACGGCACGTCCTTTTCGCGAGCCCGTGTTGGTGACCTTGACCTTGACTGAAAAAGCGATGTCCCACAAAGCGGGATTTCCGCCCTCGGCGCCGCCGGCACGCGGTGCGGGTTTCGGCTCCGTCGTGTACCCGTCAGGATAGGGGTACGTCTTGGTAGAGTTGGCGGCTGCACCTTCGGGGTTGTCGAGGTATGGATAGAGGTAGCGCCAAATACGGTCGAAGTTCTTGGGCCAAGCCGCCTCGGATGCGCTGGGCTTGGTGGTTGGGTATGAAGGTGTGGTGCCTTTGGGAGACCGAGCTGGTGGATAGGCACTGCCTATGGGAGTTTCTTCTGAAAGGCTAGGCTCGGAGAACTTGAATGTAGTGTAAGAGAGTCCGTGGCCGAATGGGTACCGAGGGGTGACGTTGTTCTTGAGGAAGTGACGATAATCGATGTACAGGCGTTCGGTATAGTCGTCTTGGATTTGGCCGAATGGTTGCTGAAGCAGACCTACGCTGGCTGGATAGTCCGACTCGCTGCGAGGGATCGTATATGGCATATGTCCGCTGGGGCTGTAGTCGCCAAACAGAATGTCTGTCAGGGACCAGCCGGCCTCCTGGCCGGGCAGGTGTGCGACGAGGACTGCCTTGACCGGGTCCAGGTCAATCCACTTCTCCATTATGATGGGACCAACCGTGTGAACAACTACAACGACCTTCGAGAATTTCTCCGCAGCAGCTTTGACAAGATCATCACCATTATGCCACGCATACAAACCCGCCGTGGTGCGATCCCCAGGGTTGCTCTCGACGGTGATATAGTTCTCTCCCGAGTCGGCATTGATGAAAACAATGGCAACGTCCTGCGAAGTCGGGGAGATCTTGGATGGGAACTTGTCTGTGATGAAAAATTCCGCATTGGACGAGAGATTGGCAATTGCTTGTTGGGGGGTGACAAGGTATGGCAGTCTAGAGGTTCCACTTCCCCAGCCCATAGTCAGCACACCTTTATTGCAGCCTTGATCAGTGCAGGTATTAAGGCCATCCGGATTTGCGCCAGCGTCAGTACCAAAGATTTTCAATGAGTCATTCCGTCTTAGGGGCAAGAGGTTGTCCTCGTTCTTGAGTAGGGTGATTGCGTCTCTGGCCACTGCTCTGGCCGTGATATTATGATTGCCTTGAACATTGACATATTGGTTGACGATGCCGGAGGGCGAGAACAGAGCTCCTGGATAGAGGGGCCCTTTTTCATCCAACGTGTTTCCGGAGAAATTGGGAAGAGGATAGTCTTTATCCTGGCCCATCTTGTACCATGTTGCGACGATTCGCGTCACCTAAATTTGACATGAGCAACTCATGGCCTCCCGAGATTGAAGAGACTTCATACCATATCGTTCAAACGATCGACCGGAACTGATCCATTGAGTATGGAACGAGAAAGCTCCCAGCCCCAATAGGTGTTTCCAAGGAGTGGTACAGGGCCATCTCCAGGCATATCCATGTCCAGTCCAGCCAATGCCGACGAAACGCCGCCGATGTGAGCCAACCAGTCGGTCACAACGAATCCCTGAAACCCTAACTCATCCTTGAGAATTCCATTGATAAGTTTGCTATTCTGACTACAAGCCGAGCGGTTCACCTTGAAAAGAAATGGAGTCAGTAAAGACCTTAGGAGAGATGACGATAGAAGATCGACTGCGACTGCTCACATCATTATATGCGATCATTACTGAGCCAGCTCCGGCTCTGACACCTTCAGCAAATGGCCACAGATAGAGCTCATGGAGTGTACGATCATCGATATTCGAAGAATATCCTTGAGTCACTATAGAGCTCATACGATGCATCTCCTGCTCGTTGCCGATAAAATGTTTGAGCGAGGCAATAGCACCCGTGCTCTGCATGCCCTTGATTGTCAGAGCACCACCGACAGCCTGGAGACTGGGATCTGCGCCGAATCCCTCCCAATTGCGACCTCCCCGCGGTTTTCTCCCTATAGCGCCAACTGACGGACCTAGGAGGACGTTGATGCCTTTGCCCCGTGCTTCTTCACCGAGTCCCACTCCTCGCTCGTACATCAGATCCTTGTCAAAGGTGGCCCCTACGGTAATTCCAGGGGGAAAAGCTGTGTTATGGTCGGAGTTGCGTACCCCCAGCGGAGAGTCATGAAGACACAGGTTGGGGATCCCCAATCGCAGAGCGCTTCCTGTTTGGCCCGCACAAGGGCCCATGAAGATGCCCGTGCCGGTTGTCAGGTTCACCTTTTCAGCCAAAGTCATGTTGCTCACGAGTTTGTGTGCCTTCTCATAGGCTTCCGCCCAGTTATCTAGCCATCCGCCCTTGGGTGCCGGGTAGTATGGGGGGGAGTAGGCATCGTCCGAGGCTCTTGCACTCAGGCCTGGCTCCGACGGCGATGATAGAGCCGAGGGCAGCAAGATAGATGCCAGCACCAAACACAATGATCGAGCAGCCATGGTTGAATCACCTAGAAATGCGCGACCACGAATTCACCAGCGCCTCAAGGATAACCCTACAATGAAGACAACGAGGGTCACAGCGGGGGACGCCATATTATTTATAGAATGCCGATGACCCACGATATCCCCGCAGGAAAACAAGGCAACTGATCATGGGATCCCCACAGGACCGGCATATTACAAGGTCATTTGGCTGAATGCTGAATAGGGGAAGGGCGACGGGGGATACAAGCCAGCCTAACCGGAATGCGAACGTGAGATGTCCGCGCGCCAAGCAGAAAGTGTTCGAACCGAAGATGATCATTGCTGGAAAATCGAATGCTAGAATGACTAGCAGCCTGAAAGGATGTCATACCCAGGGCGCGGAGCGCAGACGACTGCAGAATCACAATTTCGGTTTTCGGAAACCCTGAAGAACGCTCTGAGGGGGGAATAGTTTGTTGTCGATCCGTCCGCTAACCGTCGCCAACGGGGGCTTTTCCAGCCGGTACCGCTGACCCAGAGCGTGGAGTGAGCACACCAGTGCGTGTCCAGAGTGCTCGGAATTTCCTCCCATACAATAACATTGAAACTGCGAAGGTTTGTTTCAGCAATTCTTTGTTATAATCAGCTATGATGCGGCTTTGTGACCCAGAGAATAAAGAAGGCTGTTCCTTTGTTCTTTCTCTTATCCTCGAGAGTATAGAACCTTTCACTCGTCCGGTCTTCTCTTCCTTAGAATCTACAAACACAGTCAAGTTGCAGGATACCAGAACCACCAGCTGATGAATCTTCCCCATGGAAAGCTCACAGGGTCCTCGTCGAAGTGCGCGCCTCTGCGTGAAAACACAGAAAATTGCTGACACGAAGGGAAAGGAGTTTCCACCCGCAGAGCAACGGATCAAGGTACTGTTATAAATGATTGCTACGTATTCTGGATGTGATAGACTGACTGATTTCATTGATATAAAACCAGCGAACTGGTTTGAAAAGGAAGCGGGCAACTGGAGCAAAAAGACCATCCAAGAAGCGAAAAGCAAGAGCAGAGGCGCCTTCCAAAAAGGCACAAACGACAGCAATTGTGTCTTCTGAGGTGCAGGCGCAGATCGCAGCAGAAACAGTTCGACCCCAACAAGGGAGTTCTAAACCAAATACTGCCGACCCCGGTAAGAAGATCGAGATAGGCAGAGCTCGCCGTATATCTTACTGGGTTGACAACAAGCAGTGGCCAGAAGAGCTCTTTCAATTTGTCGCTAAGTTACGAGCGGGACATGAACCTTGCCGTCCAGTATCTCAACCCGAGTATCAGCCTCTCATGCATACAGAAGGAACTATGACTAACATTTATAATATGCCTCAGTGTGTGAGCTTCCTCACCTCCAAAGGTTGTACGTTCAGCAATCACTGGGATGGGCTCTTTATTCAGGACCGTAATTATTTCAAGAAACTGCTGGGACAAGACTGCGAGACTCCCACAGGCACAGCCTTTGATAAGGATGCATTACATTTCATAAGGAACAAAATGCCAAGCAGGAACGAAACCGCTATTACTCGAATGATCTGTCAATTGGTTGTTCCTTCTGCCGAGCTTGAGATCAGCCGTGGCCTGCTTGGACCTATAGATTTGGTCGATAGTATAGATGAGCCTTGGGATGGGTCGATTTCTCTTGCAGCTGAAGTACCGAAGACACCGCCAATATCACCAGGCCCAAGCACTCAACGAGACATAAGGGGGGATCCTCTCCCAATACCGCAACCTGACTATACACTTGGATTTCCAACAACAGCATTTATCCCCGAGCAGATCGACAAGCTTGCACCTTTCTTAGGTAGTGATGAAGAAACCTCTGTTTTCAAGGGTACCCAAGGAATGCTTTTTCCTTTTCTAACGGTGCAACTGAAGTCCGCCAACGGATCTCTGGAAACGGCAGTAAGACAGAACTCCCACAGCATGGCTCGTGCTCTCCGCGGCGTTGTTGAGCTTTTCAGAATGGTCGGACGTCAGGACGAGTTGCATCGGAGGGCTCTCGGCGTTTCCATCATTCACAACCACCGTGAAGTAGAGACATACGTGAATTTTGCTCGGATCGAGAACGGAAAAGCAACGTATCACTATGAGCTGCTCGAGGGTTTCAGTTTTACATGGGATAACGGGAGCAGCCGATGGAGATCGTATAAATTCGTGATGGCTTTTTATAAGAATTGGGTCCCGCTGCATCTGGAACGACTGCGTTCGGCAGTTGACGACCTTCCAGTGGTTAACTTCGATGTGTCCACCCAGTCGCCGATTCAATCTGAGCCGTGGAGTCGACCAGATGCTTCAGGGAGAGGAGGTTTCTCATCAGAAGACAGTGTCCCGACCTTCCAGAGATTGCGCTGGTCGTCGTCTTGGGCAATGTTTCGGTGATGCGGTAGAGGGTTCAGTGTTCTTTTTGCCTCTATATCAGAAGTTTTGAAAGTACTGATATAATCAAGTCCTGTTCCGTGAGATCAGTACATATTACACACCCCAGTCTCGCCCATCAAATCTGATACTAACGACCCTGATTCCGGAAGACATATACGTATCATTCAAAAGTAGACTGTGAGGACCTTCGAAATCCGACTCCGGTAAAATTAGCCAGCGAGATAGACAAACCATGAACCTCCTCGAACGAATGGAGTTGGAACGAAAGAATTCAGAAGACGAAAAGGTTATCCATAACGCGCGAGACACGACATGGATTCATGCGACATGGTACCTTGCAAGAACATCCCTCTAGCCGTTGGTCTCTGTTGACTCCAGAGCATCCTCAGCCTGCAGCTCGATTTCAACCGGCTGCGACTTGGTCCCCCCCAAGAAGTAAAACAACTCTTTTCTATCACGCGTAGCAGAGCATTCCCGCAGCTCATACTGGCCCTGTAGTAACGCATCACGGATGACCCGCTGGTGCCGTCGAAATGGCAATGTGCCTGTCTCCATTCCTGCCAACACGTCGAAGTGGAACTGGCGATGTTCGTATCTCATTTGTTCCGCGAACGACTTCTGCTTCACGGCCGGAACATGCGCGTAGATATAGGAGATGTGGCAAGCTAAGGTAATCGATAGGACGGATTCGTTGTTCGGACACTCCAGCCAGCTCTCGATGAGTGCATCCAGCAAGCCTGCCAGTGGTGGGAATGGCACCCTGAGGGACGGTAGATTTGGGAACGGCGCATGGTATTCTAGTCGCGTGTCAGGGGTGAGAGGAAATTTCCAGTCTGCAGCGGGGAGGAGGATGGTTCTCGTCTGGCCATCGGGGGATATTAATCGCTGGAGAGGGAAGTCTGCCAAGTTCACTTCCGCATTTCCAATGAGGTGAGGCTTTTCCATATCGAAAGCCCATCCCGCCTGGGCAAGAATACTGACGGCTAGATCGATGTCCTCGACGAGGATGTACAGGTCAAAGACAACGGTAGGAACGCCATAGTGGACCAGAGCATCCTCGAACCAGATAACGTGGCGGACTTGATGGTCGTCCAATACTCCACAGGCACTATATCTTGTTTCAATATTGTATGGTCCAGGGCCAAGGTGGTAGTTAAGCCTGAAATCCCCCATCCTGCGATATTCCGGTAAGATGCAAGAGACTTGGTTCTGTTTGGAGGTCGACGCTGAGAGAGGCGGTACTACGGAGCAGAACCCCGCAGTGTTCGGCCTACCAGGCTACTATGTAGTTACCTACTCTTGCTTTTTCAAGTTGTTCTACTCAAAACTTGTACTGCTCCATTCGATCTCACTGTCCTCAGAATAGTAACTACCACTGTCGCATTCCTCCCTCCTTTTCTAGCGGCACGGTCCAGTACTGGCTTGGAGATTCACTGACATGGCAACTCGCAATGAATTGTCCATTGCCGGCGCTTCATTCCGGACCACCGTAACTCCCCAAAGCTTGGATCGTCTTAATAACCCTCATCTAGATCGAATCATTGATGCCTGATGCACCGGGAAAATGTCTACTCAAAAGAACAAAGTTTTCGAGGTGCATCTCGGAACCTCTGCTTGCCAATCAATATCATTTACTAAGTGAGTCAGATGAAGCAGGCACTACCTAACCCCAGCCAGTGTACTAGGTAACAGCATTCACTACTAGCACATCATTTTGGTCCGGAGTAGTTCAAAATCTTCAAAATACAGTCAGCTCAGTCTATGCCCTATACCTGCACAACATCCTGTTCTAAAACTGGAAGGTTTGTGATAAAGCCCTGAAAAAGTAGGTGACATGCAGAAAGAAATGACTCCTCGGTATCCAGGTTGAGTATCGACTGACCTCATCTTTAGGGAAACACGCCATGTCTTCTCCACGTTTTCACCCACCCTCAGAAATCCGCGCAGCCGCAATGGCGGTTGCAAACGCACTCGCTCCCTGTGAAAAATATGCTCTTGTTGGCGGCGGTGCGTGTGTGGTCTTGGGCTCTACTCGGGCAACTCAAGACATAGATGTCGTTGTTCTTCGAGGTGAAATTTCCAAAGCAAGACAGTTGTTGCGTGCCTCGCCTCTTTTTGAGGTGGAAGCAAGAACAAACTATACAACCTACAAGGCCGAAAGCCCCGTACAGGTCGAGATCCTTGCACCACCTGTCATGTTTCGAGAGCCCTTTGACCAAGAGACCGAGGTGATCCTAGTTGGAGGCATCAATGTATTGAAGCCGGCCTTGCTTCTGAATGCAAAATGCGGCTCAGTCTCTGGACGAAATACAGACGAGAGAAGAAGAGCCGATTTTCACGATATTCACTTTCTTCTTCAACTCTGCGCCGATTACCCAGAATATCTTCCAAAGGCCAGCGAAGTTCCTAGAGCAACAAAGCAATTTGTCCACGATATTATCCAGCTTTTTGGAGACGAAGATGCTTGGGTTCAAGCTGGTTATGACTTAGAAACGGGTTTGTCTTATCTGCTTCCTTTACATAAATGCCACAGCTGACGTATATGTATTAGGGCATTTTCACAGAAACTAACTAGGCTGTGTTGCCCACTGCATAAGCATGAATAGTCCTTCGATCAAGAGGATTGATCATTCCCCCAGGCATATCCAGGGAATAGGTGACGTAGACAAGGCCGGCCCAGCCGCACCCACGCTTGAGCTGCTCTCTAGGATCCTTTCTGTCTACAACGGTGGGCAACTGGCAAGCCCTTCACGCACTCACCAATGAATACACGCATATTTAGGCCAAGGGATAGGAGGAAAGGCAAACCGGTTGGATCGTTTTTATTCTGTATATTAGACCTCTTAGCTTGGCACGTCCCCATGCCCTAGGGAGACTCTAGGGAGGCGTTAATGAAGACGACTACAACTAGTACTACTGTTATTAATAGTGTTTGTTCCTTTTTAGTGCAGTGGAATATTTGCTATACAATGCAACATGTATGCATAAACACAAGTTGGGAACAGACCTGACATTGTTTATTATTTCCTAGCAACCAGCAGAGTCAGAACACGGAATAGTAGACTAATCCCACGGCCCAATCTCCTGACGATCCGCGGGGGCGATCGGCAGGCACGCCGTGCCCCAAGCAGCTTGTCGCCCGACGCTGATTCGGAAGCTCCCCAAAGGAGTCTAGTCCGGTCAAGGTAGGCTTCGGTGATCGTGTGATTTCCCTAGTCGGACTGAGAAGAGAATGGAAGAATTCTCCCAACGCGTCGGCACTAAAGTCATTGAGAAGCTGCTACGAAAGGATATAGCTTTCGCCGAGGTCCAGCATCGTGTCGAGTTTGGCGCGGAAAAGTTTGGACGCTAGAGTGAGACGTTTCGAAGATACTAGGGCTCGCAGTTTGATGACTCGGTCTCCGTTGTTTTGCTGATCGCTCAATAGAGCAGGAGGGTCAGATGGCTTCTCAGGTGTCCTGAGCGCATTCAGATGCGTAGCCCGGGTGCTCCTCAACGGAGAGAATAATGTCACCTTCTGAATCTACGACATAGTGATTTGGATCCATGGTTGGATCTTGTAATTGAAGGCGAATGACGGAAATGAAGATATAGGGAAAGGTAAGACGCTGGTAAAGGTTGTGTTGGAAGGGTTGAACAGGACCGAGAGTGAAGCCTTCTGTATTGGCGTTGCGATAGTAGTCTCACACGCAAGAACCCCAGTTGATGTCAAAGTATGGTGTAGTGAGTAGGTGCATCAACTGAAGTGTAGCATGGTCACTTAGGCGACAGCAACTCGGCTGCGGTAGATGATAATGATCAAGTAAAGAGAAGGACAGATGAGTTGAAACAAAGGATACTGATAACTAATGAAGATCGATCAAGTAAATGGTATGGAGGTTGTAATTCGTAAACTCATCATCAACTATAAAGATCTGTTCTATAGGTGAGAAATGATAATGTATGCAAAAGTTTCCAACAGGAATCATCTCTGTATAACAAGGAGAATCTCTCTATTCAAAGTAACCGGGGTACAACCAGTTCAGCTTCTCCTTGACCTCGGGGTTCCAGTGAGGCAGAGGAGTGCTGACGCCGAACTTGATAGATCCCTCGACGTGCTTGGCCTGGACAAGCTCGGAGTTCTTCTCCGCAGACAGTTCGTCCAAGACGGCGGTCACGAAGCGCTTGGCGTTCTCAGCGTTGGCCTTCATGTTGCCCATCACCATCTCGACGGTGACGTCGGCGGTGGACTCGTGCCAGCAGTCATAGTCGGTGGACATGCAAATCATCTGGTAGGCGATTTCGGCCTCACGGGCCAGCTTCGACTCGGGAAGGCAGGACATGTTGATCACGCTGCCGCCCCACGAACGGTAGAGCTTGCTCTCGGCGCGAGTGGAGAATTGGGGTCCCTCTGTGCGATGGTTAGACATTCGCATTCAAGAAAAACAAGCTGACAAAAAGATCACAAGTAGAGTAACATACCCATGCAGACCAGGGTACCCCGGTCATGAAGAACGACTCCCTCGCCCTCCAGAGTGTGACCGCAGGCCCGGACAATCTTGGCTACACCCTCGTCGAACGGGTCGCCAAAGGGAACGTGGGCGACGGCGCCTCCCTCGAAGAAAGTGAAGGGGCGGATGCCCTTGGTGCGGTCGATGACCTGGTCGGGGATCACGAAATCACGGGGCTTGATCTCCTCCTGCAGACTGCCGACGGCCGAGAAAGCAATGATGGTGCGGACGCCAATGGAGCGGAGGGCGGCGATGTTGGCACGGGCGGGCACCTCGTGGGGCGCGATCTGGTGGTGCGAGCCATGGCGGCTTAGGAAGGCGACGGCGACGGTCTGGTTGTTGTGCGAGCACTGGTGGTGCAGGATCGTAATGGGGGAGGAAGGCTTGCCCCAGGGAGTCGTGATGTCCAACGAGGCGACCTGGGAGAAACCAGGGAGCTCACGAAGGCCAGTTCCGCCGATGACGGCGATGCGGACGGGGTCTATAAGGCAATAACTGGGTCAACGTGGCTACAATGGGGACAAAATGTGATTTTCCGCCGAAGGAAGGGGTTCAATGTTACCCTGATAAGTGGAGGGAAGAGCGGCCATTCTGCGAGCTAGTTGTTTCGCGGATTCTATCCTTCTAAGGGGCTTTGTGGTTTTAGTAGAGAGAGCGCGACGAAGAGAAGAGATGGCAAGCATACAACGGAGAGCAAAGATGGAGGAAGGAGGGAAGATGGGAATGGAATCTTTCTGGCTTCAAATCACGAAAACTCCGCGGCGGGGTCGAGGGGCTTATCGCCACGTGGTGTCCCTTCAGGCACCAAGGCATGCAGGCAGCCAGGCCGGCCCTCGCCGACGCCCTTCCTTCTTCTTCATCCCTTTATCTCTCCTTCAACTTGTCGCTTATCAACGGCACTCATATATTGCTATCTCCCATCTATGTACAAATTCATACTAATTCCTGCAAGATGATCCAACCTAAGCAGGACGCCATTCGTAATGATGAGGCCCCTTTCTCACCGGTCCCGGATCCTCTCCTTCCACCCCGGGCCTGTCATATGAATGAGCCCCGAAGAAGTCCATCTGCCCTTCCATGAATTTCGTGGGCAGTTCCGTGCCACCGACATACTTGAGGTATTCCAGAGTCGCGGAGAACGAAGGGATATACTGGTCATAGACGGTTCCTTGGATCACGAGCTCCTTGAGACTGGGGAAATCCTTGTGCAACTCTTGCGCAATCTCGTCGACGTTTTTCAGATTGGTGAGGCGCGTAGCGCCGGTCAGTGCCGGCTGTAGAAGATCAGCAATGGCCTCGGATCGGATGATACAGCCTGCGCGCCAGATTTGCAGGCATTTGCCCAGGTCAATATCCCAGCCTTCGTCCTGAGATGCGCGTGCAATCAATTCTAGACCCTGGCAGAATGAGGCCAGGAAGGTGCAATAGACTGCGCGCCGCAGAGTCTCAATGAAAGCTTTGCGATCCTGGATTCCCTCGATAACTCGAGGGCTCGGTAGCTGCAGCTTCTTCGCAGACTCAACTCGTTCTGCGCGATTTCCACTGGCCACTCGCAAGTAATGGGCGGTGGCTAGAGAAGGAGCAGACACATGTCGGGCAGCCGAATCCATGATGGACCAGAACGGCGTTCCTTCGGTATTATCGTCGTCCTGTACAACTTTGTCAAGGACTTCGTCCAGCACGTATCCGTCAGATTCCTTGGTGTGCAGCATGTCCACCGCAATTTCGAGTAAGTAATTGTTTCGTAGTTCCCCTTCATGGTTCCACTTGTCGAAAATGTCCCCGATCTCGTCATAGTTGAAGCCCAGTCCATAGTGAAGGATGGACCAGGCCTCCGCAAGGGTGGACAGCATTCCCCCCTCGATGCCATTGTGCATCATTTTCACGAAATGACCCGAACCTGCAGGTCCGATTCGCGTGACACACGGCTTGCCCGTCTTTGAATCTTTGGCTGCGTATCGTTCCAGCAATGGCATGACAAGCTGCAGTGCTTTCGCATCGCCCCCAGGCGACAAACTCGGTCCCCGACGTGCCGCTTGATATCCTCCCGACACACCCATTCCAATCCAAACCACCCCGAGATCTGCGCATTCTTTCTGCCTCCTCTCCGTGCGCCGGTAGTTCTCATTCCCGCCGTCGAGGATAATATCTCCGGGGTTCAGCAAGTCCTTTATCGCGCCCAAGACGTTATCCGCGGGGGCACCATGCGTAATCGAGAAGATGAACAGCTTGCGATCATCCCTGCCGTCCAAGCTTTTCGTGAAATCCTCAATTTTATAGTATCCCGAGATCTTACCCTTGTAGTTCTCCTCCTTTGCGCCCTTGATGACCTCATCCACATTCTTGTGATTGACGTCCCAAATGGACACATCCAGGCCGATCTCCGAGAAGGCAAACGCCATGTTGGAGCCCATGTTGCCGGCTCCGACGATGCCGATGCATTTGAAAGGTAGTGGCTCATTCTGTGTCGACATGATGCTGAGTGATCGAAATCATAGGATACGCAATAGTCTCTGATGAAGTTGAAGTTTCAACTTGCCATTCTTGAGTGCACCGTATATACTTCGGACATTCCACGATGACTAAATAGACAGCAAACCGGGTAGAAAATAGGGTTACATCATGTCTACAGCATCAGCTACTTTACTGTGTAGTCAAGACCGGTGGATCCCAATTGACTTCATCTCATCATTACATCATCCACCTTCCTATAGTTCACTCACTTTAACTCACTAACTCACTCCCCCCAAAAAAACTCTTACTCTGTTCCTGAGAAGACAAAGTTCAATTTCAAATCCTATACATGGACTTTTAACCCCTAGCAAGAAGAAACGAACAAAAAGAAAGGAGAATGTCATCCCAACCCTACCGACAAATCCCCTTCTCCTATGCCACCTGCTCCATCAACGCCTCCTCCCTCCCCGCCAAACTCGCCGCCATCTCCAAAGCAGGCTTCACGGGCATCGAGCTCGCATTCCCGGATCTCCTCGACTACGGCGCTCATGTATTGGGCCATGCCGTGGCAGACGACAACGAGGATGAGTTAGTCCAGGTCGCGGGGAAGGTTCACGAGCTGTGTCGCGAGCATGGGCTGGAGGTGATGATGCTGCAGCCGTTTGCGAATTTCGAGGGTTGGCCGAGGGGGTCGAGGGAGAGGGATGATGCGTTTCGGAGAGCGAGGAGGTGGATTGCGGTTATGGGGAAGTTGGAGACGAAGATCTTACAGGTGTGTTCATTCGCTTTTTCCTAACTATAGTTTATCTTATGGATCAATTGGGGAGGGGGGCGGGGTAGAAAGTACGATTCAAGCTAACAAAGATTTGATAAAGGTCGGATCGACCGATGTACCCGTGGAAAACCTCTCCCCGAGTCGCGAGAACGTCATCGCCGATTTACGCGAACTGTCGGATCTGCTCGCCGAGCGGGACATGCGGGTCGCATACGAGAACTGGTGCTGGTCGACGCACGCGCCAACATGGAAGGATGTATGGGAGATCGTGCGCGACGTGAAGCGCCCGAACGTTGGATTATGTCTGGATACGTTCCAGACGGCGGGCTCGGAATGGGCCGATCCGACAACGGAGTCCGGGCGCATGGAAGACAATCCCCTCGGACTGATGAATCAGCGGCTGGAGCAGTCGCTGGCGGAACTGGCGAGGGAGGTGCCCCCGGAAAAGATCTATCTGCTGCAGGTGTCGGATGCGTATAAGCCGACGACGCCGCTGGAGGCGGAGAGGCTGGATGGGATGTGGCCGCGCGCGCGATGGAGTCATGACTATCGCCCGTTGCCGTATGATGGGGGATACATGCCCATTGAGGCGGTGGCGAGAGCGGTGCTGAAGACGGGGTTTCGAGGATGGTTCTCCATGGAGGTGTTTGATGGAGGGCCGGATGGTCGGGGGAAACAGTATGATCCCGAAGAGTACGCGGCGAAGGCGATGCGCAGTATGAAGGAGTTTCTGGAGAAGTCGGAGCGAACCTGTATAGATAATCATTGATCTTGGATACGGTGTAGAGAACTTGTAATGATATATAGAGTTTTCATTCAGATACAGTCAATTGCCATAACATTCATAAGCGAAGCTTTTTATATCGCCAAAGAGTCTGTCATACAAAACGCCTAATATGATGCAACATGAGACGAGCAAATGGAGTACACACCAACAATGGGGGAATATAATATAGACCAAAAAGTCAAGGAAAGAGCAAAAATATCAGATCAAATCTCGCAAGCCAATAGGTTTAGCTTAGGCGTTGCTGGGGTAGGGGACGTTGTAGGTAGGGCAGAACTCCTCCTTGATGGAACGCAGGCTGACGAAGCGAGAAAGCAGGTTTCCACTGCCGGCCTTGTCGTTGGTGCCCGAGGCACGCGCACCTCCGAAGGGCTGCTGTCCGACGACGGCACCGGTGCTCTTGCAGTTGAGGTAGAAGTTACCGGCGGTGTTCCTCAGAGCGTCGTCGGCCAGGCGGAGGACCTCACGGTCGCGGGCAAAGACGGCGCCGGTCAGACCGTAGTCACCGGTCTGGTCGACCTTCTCGCAGATCTTGGTGAAGTCGGCGTCAGTGGCATCCTCGTAGGTGTGGATCACGAGAACAGGGCCGAAGAGTTCACGGGACAGGAGAGGGTGGTCGGGATTGGTGGTGTGGTAGATGGTAGGCTGGATGTACCAGCCCTTGGAGGAGTCGTAGGTGCCTCCGGCGATCAGCTTCAGCTCGGGGTCCTGCTTGGCCTCGTCGATGACCTGGGCCAGCTTGTTGAACGAAGCCTCGTGGATGACGGGACCGCAGAAGTTGGTGAAGTCGGACGGCTCGCCGACCTTGAGCTTCTTGGCCTCGGCCGCGATGTCCTCGAGGAACTCCTTGGAGATCGAGTTGGCAACGTACGCGCGGGAGGTGGCACTGCACTTCTGGCCCTGGAACTCAAAGGCACCACGGATGGTCTGAACGACGGCGTTGCGAACGTCGGCCGACTTGTGAACGAGGTGGAAGTTCTTTCCGCCGGTCTCACCGACGATGCGAGGGTAGCTGCGGTACTTGCCCTCGGCAACACGGTTGGCAATCTGTCCGTAGAGGCTGCGGAAGACGCTGGTGCTACCGGTGAAGTGGAGAGCGGCAAACTCGGGGTGGTTGAGCACGGTGTTGGTGACTTCCTCGGCCTCTCCGGGAACGAACTGGATGACGTCCTTGGGCAGACCGGCCTCAAGGAGGATCTGGTGGACCAGCCAGTTGGAGGCGATGGCAGACGGCGAAGGCTTCCAGACGACCACGTTACCCATGAGAGCGGGAGCACCGGCCAGGTTACCACCGATGGCAGTGAAGTTGAAAGGACTAATGGCATAGACGAAACCCTCCAGAGGGCGGTATTCGACGCGGCTATTCCGGTTAGCTTCGTTCGCATCAAGGATATGAAGGTTGCCACTCACTTCCAGACTCCCGGGGCGTGGTGCACCGGCTGCTGGGCATACAGCTCCTCGGCGTACTTGACACCGAAGCGGAAGAAGTCGCACAGCTCGGCCGCCGAGTCAATCTCAGCCTGCCAGGCGTTCTTGCCCTGACCGTGCATGGTCAGAGCCATGATGTCGTAGCGGTACTTAGTCGAGATCAGGTCGGCCGCCTTCAGGAAAACGCTGGCACGGTCGGCGAAGGAGGTGGCGGCCCAAGACGTGCGAGCCTTCAGAGCGGCGTCGATCGCGGCCTGGACATCGGCTGCGGAGGCATGGGAGTAAGTGGCCAGAGGGGCGTGGGTGGAGGGGCTGGCCTGAGTGAAGGATTGAGAGCTGTTGATCTATTGAGGATTTTTGATTAGAAGAGATTTCTCGAAGAAGTGTTCGATTGAACGTCAGTTAACGCACCTCCTTGCCCGCAATCACCAGAGGAACGTTGAGGGGAGAGTTCTGCTTGTGCTTGGCCAGAGCTTCTTCCAGGCCCTTGCGATCGGGCGATCCGGGGGCGTAGTGTTTCTACATCATCAATTAGCTCCATGGCAACGCAGTTGGACCGACTCGCATAAGAAACACCTACGTTGGGTTCGTTGTCAATTCGAGGGACCTTGAAGGTGGCGTAGGAGCCCATGGCGCGAACGCCGGAGCGAGCGAGGCTGGCCTTCGCCAATGGCAGGCCCCGAGCACGAAGGAAGAGAGAGGAATGCATGGTGAAATCAAGACTTCTCTCCGAAGGGATGATGAGTAGAAGACGAGGTGCAGCGGAGAGAAGAGGAGAAGAGGAGAAGAAAGAGAAACGCGGGGAAGCTGGACTTTAAGAGTAGGGGTTAGTCAGCACGCAGCTGGCAGTGCTCTGTTCTCTGTTCTACTCTGTAAGATACATGCCGTAAGTAATGAAATTGAATATTGGCATTTAATAATAAGAATGTTAATTCCAGCGGAACTGCATGTCTCCCTGGCCTTTCACGGAGTGGCAGGAAGTAGATCCGGCTCGTCTGCCGGGTGGGACGCGACCGGCCCGGCAGCGCTTCTTATCCTCCTCACTCTACTCTCTTCCGGTCAACGAGAGATTGATTCTACTATCAGTAATTACATTATACAGTGCGGCCATCAATTTCATGCTGTATTCAGGTCGGTCGTTCGTTCCCCTCGGAAGACTATGACATGCAGACCTTCAGATTCTAGGCGTCTTCTAGACTTCTCGACTTTATGATTCATGATTCAAGATTAAACTAAAAAAAAAAAAAAAGAAAAAAGTTGTCTCCGCTTCCCCGCACCGGTCGCTATGACGTCATACTACTTGGGGACAGTCTGTACGCCATGCATACTATAGACTATAGACTCTCTGTCTGTGTGTTGTCTCCGTGTTAAAGTGTCCAACGTGTAAATTTATTTTACTGTTGACCGGCTGACGCTTAATTGACATTCTATCCCCTTATCGAGGTTTTCAATGCTAAGCAATCCACCACCACACTCGCTCCAGCCAATTCCGCGGCTGCCGCTCAAAGTCCTCCTCGCACAGTCGATCAATCTCCTCTTTGCCCGTGAAGAGATCGATTTCCGATACCTTGGTCATCCACGGAGTGCGGTACCAGATCTTGTGACCTACATACAACGCCACGAATATCGCGATCACCAGATACGACACCAGGAAGTCCGCGGCGGTGAATTGTCCGGGAAAGAACACGGCGTACCCATTCGTCAAGGTCAACACGCTCACAATCAGAATGATGAAATAGGAACCCCACGGCTGCAAGGGAGTCCGAAAAGGCAGTGTGTCCAGCAGATTGTGAGCAATGAGGGCTTTGCGAAATCGCTGTACCACGGTCAATACGTACTCGATAATCCCCGAAGGAAAGGATTGGGATTGGGAACTCACCAAATACGCAATCGCTATCAATACCCAGTTGATGAAGCCACCCACTGTGGTGATGTTCGTGAACCAATAGAACACGTTTGCTCCGGAGCTGGAGAGGTTCAGATAAGAAAGCAATCCGATGGCCCAGGTGCTGATGACGGCCACATACGGGACGCCATTTCGGTTGCATCTCGCAAACACCTTGGGTGCGTGTCCGCCACAGGCCAGCGAGTATAGCGTTCGCGATCCGGCAAACAACCAGGCATTACCGGAGGACCAGGCAGAAATCAGAATAGCGGCATTGACCACATGGTCCAACCCGGCAATACCTGCGTTCTGGATTCCGATCACAAATGGACTGGCACCAGCACCAGAGCCCCCGTTGGCGACTCCCGAGAGAAGGCCTGGGTCATTGTATGCTACAGTGACTCCAATCACCAAACTGCCCAAGATATAGAATGTGAAAACTCGGTAAATGAACCGCTTGGTGGCCTTGGGGATATTGCGTCGCGGCGCTTCGACTTCACCAGCTGCGGTGGTGATGAGCTCGGGCGAGAAAATGAATGAGAAGCCTGACTTGATAAGAGCCGTCCAGAACCCGAGGAAGCGCCCCGTGTTCCCCGGGACCAAATAGGGGTTGAATGCTCCCGGATTCTGCCAATATCGAAAGCCTAAGCGATCATGCTTGGGACTCCCTCCGAAGAACAGTACGACGCCCAGGATGATCAGGCCGATGATGGCAATGATCTTGAGCGTGGCAAACCAAAACTCGGCCTCGCCGTACCATGAAACGGCGACAATGTTGAGCACCAGGATTACTAGAAAGCTGTTGCGTCAGCCACTGCTACCAGTAGACTTGGCAGGCGCTGCAGCACATACCAACTAGCACTATTGTGATCCAGACCCCAACGTTGACGTACGTCGTCCAATATTCGATGATCAGGCCGGCAGCCGTCACTTCTGTTGCCAACAGCATGGCAAATGAATACCTAATAACCAGCGGGTAAGTTCTCCATCGTGGTCGGCGCTAGGTCCATGGTAGGATATTACCAATAATTGTATCCTGGGGCTGGTCAATAGAACTCATTCCCAGCGATCACAAAATTCGGATTGCCAGACTCACCCGCAGCAAAGCCAATACTAGGCTCCGTGAAGCGGCCTATCAGGTACGGGACTGAGATGCCCTTCACGGGTAAATAGGTGGTCATTTCGCCCAGAACATTCATGACCAGCCAGACAATCAGCGCCATGACGGCATAGCTCATGGATAGTGGTGCTAGTTGCACGTCAGCTTTATTCGCTCCACCCGTGTTTTGACTACCAAGTCCCCTTACCAGGTCCAACCAGAGAAAGGGTTGATCCAGCTCCAACAAAAAGACCCGTCCCGATGCAGCCGCCCATGGCAATCAACTGCAGTTGTCTTGATGACAGACCACGCTGGGTCTCGGTATTAACGTCATTCTGCGTCCCCAGCTCTATGGACTTGGTATCCCCATAGCCGTACGTCTCTGACACCTGGGGTGCAGGCTTGGCCTCCTCAAGGGTTTTGGGTGAGACACTCATCCTGAGGCAGCGGGGGGAAGAAGATAATAAATGTTCCGTATGCGTTGATCCACGAAAATGGAGTCGGAGCTATACATATAGAACCCTGCTACATTAGACATCTACGTACGGGGTAGATACTAGATAGTAGGCGAGAGATAACTAGATATAGAGCTTATCGTTCCAGGGCACAAGATAAGGTTTACGTATTCAGTCTAGAGTCGAGATTTCAGAAACAAGAAGGATGCAAAGAAAGCCCAGATGGCATGGGCGCAAAGCTTATCGTTCGAAAACGCCATAGTAGATTCGGGGAGGTGAGCCGCCTGGACGCGGAAGTAGGGCTTAGATATCGGCATCCTGCCGACGGATCGAAAGTATGCGGCTTTCCCAAGATCTATGCACCATGATGGAACATACTACCCGACCACATGTCGATTGTCTTTTTCCCCGTAGTTTGATCAAGCAATACTGGGGATTTCTCCGCATTAATAGACCCAGAATATATCCAGATATCACGCTGGTCATTGAGTTAGAACGATCGAAAGTTACCATGACTAACGGAAACGGCTGGAGTTAGGGTAAGGCTTGACAAAGCTAAGGTTAGATAAGGATTCTTATCAGCTATGACAATTCCAGTCGCGAGGAGGTACCTAATGAGAATAGCGTCAACCTTGTCGCGGATGGAGTCATTGGGATGAAAGCTTGGCAATCAGACAGTAGACACTAGACACCCCGCCATATATATAGAAAGTGGTGCCTGACAATCCAGGCAAGCAAGACTCAGCACGAGTCGGGCCGAGACCAGCAGCTGATCCCGTGACCCTAGGTGCAGGATCTGATAAGGGAACGATAAGCCCTTTGACCGGCCCGGTTGACGCATGGATCCGCCCGGGGTGGGGCCCTTCCACCGGCCCGTATTGCCGGCCTCTTTTGCTCTGGAATTTTCACGGTGTAGTTTTTGATTTCTATGCAGCAGCCAGCTAGATGGCAAGTATTACGGAGGAGTATATACTACGGACAGGCCCTGCGACCGGCACCAGAACGAGTCGGCCGGCTCGAGACTCCCCCATACTGTGCGCAGGCCACAGGGCGTAACGCCGCACATTCCCCCGTCTTTGCTGATCGTCCCAGGGTAGGGGGAGCTTGGCTCCAAGATCCCCGGGTAGCACAGTAGCGGCCGATCGCATGCAGAGCAACCGAATGAGCATTGAACACCCGTCCGTATGCGTAGACAGTATGGTAGACAATCAGCCCTCGACACCCGTACAGAGTATGCATAATGATGTAGATAGCACGACATGCTACCAGCTGACATTGATATTCCCTACGGTCATTTGGCCTTTTGATGATGAGGATTGGAAACCAATGTCATCGTTACCAAATGAAACCAAACCAAAGCAGTCAGGTGGGAAGGCGAGAGGCAAAGCATTAGTCAGGGCCAACTTGCCGCCAACCGGCTCGAGAGCGGTTTCCACCGGCTACCTTTACCGTACCCTCATAACTAACGAGTAGACTATTGACCACCGCAGAATAATTATCATGGCCACTATTATTATTATTTTCTCGGTGTGGATGCTCCCCTCCATGCTATCTTCTCCTGATCGTTCTTCCGGTCATCTTCATCTACTTAACCATCCCCCATCTTTCTCTTCTTCCCACGCCTTCTTCTTGCCATAGCTTCTCCATCCCATCCTTATCTCTTTATCTACCAGGAAAACCATCGCCCATCCTCCCCTCCTTCCGCCCACAATGAGAGCTCCCCGCCGTTCCATGCGGACGCTATCGAGCCTCCCCGCATCCTACGCGAATGTGAGATACGTGAGCCGTACCAGCAACGCGAAGTCGTCGCTGGCATCTGCCACCGGCGCCACCAGCAATGTGTGGCAACAACTTCCCCCCAAGACTGGCTCTGCCTCCCCACTGGCTAAGTTGCCGCTGTCATCCGTCCTGCGATCGCTCATGATCCTGTCGGTCTCGTCCTCTAAGCTTCTCTTGAAGCCTTGCATCTATACGCTTTCCATGCTGGCCCACCCCAAGACGCCCGTGCTTGATGTTGCCAAAAACCCCTTCTTGAACCTCCTGGTCAAGCACACCATTTACAAGCAGTTCAACGCCGGCGAGAACAAGCTGGAAGTTCAGCGATCCATTGAGGATATCAAGCAGCTGGGATACCGCGGCGTGCTGCTGGGTTATGCCCGTGAAGTGCTCGTTGGCGAGGGCGACGCCGACCCGCTGGATGAGAAGGCTGCGCGCGAGGAAATCCAGATGTGGCTGGATGGAACTCTCCAGACTGTTGACATGGCTCAGGAGGGTGATTTCGTTGCCCTGAAGTTCACCGGTATGGGTGTTCAGGCGCTCCAGCTCCTGCAGCAGCAGGCCATGCCTTCTTCCTACATGGATGCTTCGATTCAAAAGGTTTGCGACCTGGCCATTTCGCGCAACGTTCGACTGCTCGTCGACGCCGAGGAGCAGGCCGTGCAGCCCGGAATTGAGGAATGGACGATGAAGTACCAGAAGTACTGCAACTCGCAGACCCCCGGCCGTGCCATCTTCTACAACACCTACCAGGCATACCTGTGCTCTACCCCGACCACTCTCGCCAGACACTTGGAAACTGCCCGCCAGGACGGATACACCCTCGGTGTCAAGCTGGTCCGGGGTGCGTACCTCAAGACCGAGCCTCGTCACTTGATCTGGGCTACCAAGGAGGAGACCGATGACTGCTACGACGGCGTCGTGGAGGCTCTTCTGACCCGTCGCTACAACTCGATGCTGCAGTCCGCCTCGAAGGAGCACCAGACCGAGCTGCCCTCTGTCAACGTCATCGTCGCCACCCACAACCGGGATTCCGTCCGCAAGGCCCACGCCCTCCGCATGCAGCAGGCCATGCAGGGTGACAACCAGGGCGTTGATCTCTCGTACGCCCAGCTTCAGGGAATGGCCGACGAGGTCAGCTGCGAGCTCCTGCAGGGCTTCCAAGGCCCCGAGACAAACAAGCCCTCTTCGATGGAAACCCCCAACGTGTACAAGCTTCTGACTTGGGGATCGGTCAAGGAGTGCATGGGTTTCTTGCTGCGCCGCGCGGTTGAGAACACCGAGGCTGTTGGCCGCACAAAACAGTCCCAGGAAGCGATGTTCGGAGAACTTAAGCGACGAGTGTTTGGTTCCAAGAACTAAACTTGTTCTCTCGACGATTCTTTCACGTACCTTCCTCCCCTGGACATGATTCACGCACTTGCATATATTACTCTTTTCTTTTCGCTTGATTCCCTCGATGTCCTGTTGTTGGCGAAAATTTGCATCTAGATGGCGTTTACAAATAGTTGATCATTGTTTGATACTGACAATTGGATAACAATTGCTTGTTCTTCATCTTCTTTCGGACATCTGTAGTCGATGCGGGGAACCACGTAGCTTTTCTCTAATCTCTCCAACTCTTATCGCTTCCTCCACCCCGCATTTTCCCACAACCACAACGTCCAAGACTACACGCGACATCGATCAGCGCCTGTTCACTCAAATTTTCGGTGTGTGATCTGTCGGGATAGGATTCCTTGGCCACGGGCGTAAGCTTGCCAGTCGACTTGCTGACCCTCCGATATCGCCGCTCTTGGGCATCGCTGCTACAACAACTAGGGACGGCGTGCTTATATTCTTCTATCGGTGCCTTCGTCTTACTTTTGTTCAACTACTCCAGGTGCATACCTCCCTAAGCAAATACAGAGGAAATTCTCGAATCGCCATACCTAACCTCACGATGCATCTCCTGTCCGAACCGAATGTCGCCCAGCTGCTACGTCAGTTGACCCAAGAACAATGTCACGACTTTCTCGACGCTCTGTCCGAGGCTCTTGTCACAGTATCGTCCCAAGCCCGGTCAGCAGAGTCCGAGAAGACGATTCACCAGCCCCTACGCACTACTATTACCACCAAAGACAACAACCTGTCGCTCTTCATGCCAGTTTCCAACACCATTAACACGGGGTTCAAAGTAGTGACCGCCTCTCAGGCGAATGGAATCATCGGCGTTATCAATATCTTCTCGCCGGAAGGCAAATTGCTCGGCTTGCTCAGCGCCGCGGAGATCACTGCATTCCGCACGGCGCTCGCGATCATGACATTGTTCATCCGCTGTACCTCTTTGAAGAAAGAGAACGTCGTGATCTTTGGCTCCGGGAGACAAGCCGAGTGGCATGCGCGTCTAGCCCTGATCCTCGTCCCGAGCCAGATCCGACGGATCGTGTTCATCAATCGCGGTCGCAAGAGGCTCGACGAGATGAGCGACATGATCTCCGAACTGCAATCCGCCCATCCAGACGTGGCTATCTCTACGCTAGCAAAGGAAGATTCTCCGGATTATGCGCAGCGATTGCAGTCGGAACTGGCGGCAAGCGACGTGATTTTCAGCTGTACCCCTGCGACCGAACCTAACTTCCCACACTCTTATCTACTCCCGTTCAAGCCCCGGTTTATCTCGCTGATTGGATCCTACAAGCCTCATATGCAAGAGATCGACACAGAGACTGTTCTATCCGGCGGAGGAAAGGTGTATGTGGATTCCAAAGAGGCCTGTCTGGAGGAGTCGGGAGAACTCATCCGGGCGCGAATCCAAGAAAGCCAACTGGTCGAGCTGGGTGACCTCTACGAGAGACAGGGGAAGTCGGAGCCCGTTGAAATTCCCGATGGATGTAATGTCGTCTTCAAATGCGTGGGAATGGGGATTATGGATCTGGTCATCGGCAAGAAGTTATTAGATGTTGGTAAGGAACGGGGGCTGGGGATGGAAGTCGATGGATTCTAGAATGCCGGGTCCCTTTTGCTGTAAATAGGCCAGTCGATAGGGATGTGAGATGAGACCCATGGAATATTCTCGGTCAAAGTCGGTGGATAGTCAGATTTATATAGTCCCAAGTAGTGCGCCCTCTTAGGACTTCACCGACACCGGGAGGAACTAGAGAGATAAGCAACCCCACACACTGAATGTTCCATTTCGGTTCTCAGAAAATTCCCTATCTAATTTTTGAAACGAAAAAGAACAAGTGAGATCGACTTCGCAGACGTAGCGGCGGTGCTTGTCGAAGCGAACCAGACTTAATCTCCGCAGCTCCAGCGGAACCTTTTTCTCTTTTCCCGCTCTCTCCGTCTCTCTCGCTTTCTCCTTCTCTTCTGTCCAAGATAAAACTAGCCCCGGCAACCATTTCATCCTCCCTCGGTCCGGTGACTACCCTGACCTTTCCGTCGCCCTCCTACAATGCTCCTGTTCCTTCGTCGTCCTCCTTGATCACGACCGCGATGGACGATGCGCCAACAACCCCGGCTGGTCTCGGCCAGCAGAAACGACCCCGCGTTGCGGAGGAAAACCGCAAGCGTGCTGTTCGAGCGTATGTTCCACCCCACGTGGCTCCCACGATTCGCTTCTAGATCTTCTATCGCTGGAGATATAGTCCCGGGCAATTAGCTGACAGCTGCAGATGCGACGGGTGCCGTCGCGTGAAGGAGAAATGCGAGGGTGGCGTGCCCTGTCGGCGATGTCTGCGCTACCGTCGGCAATGCGTCTTCACACACCCCGACCATGCGGAGAAGATCGCACGATCCTCCTCGATATCGTATGACTCCCCATGCGTTCATCAACTTACTTTCTATTTCCCTGATGCTCCTATTTGCTTGTCACGTGCCAAGTGCTGACCGCTGGCTTGTCGCAGTCTTCTGGAACGAACGGCAGGGGTTAGTCGGAATAATCTGGCGGACTCGGAACGGATCCGGTACATGGAGCAAATCCTACAACATTACATCCCAAATATTTCGTTCGACCTGCAGTCGCTTCGAAAGACGGCTGAAGAGCTGAAACACAGACATCGGGGGTCCGACTCGGACGGCGGCCCCTCTATTCGCCTGGACGAGGAGGATTTCGAGGACCTAGCGATTGACGATGAAGATTTTACGATCAAAGCTCTCCCGGATAATACGACTCGTATGTCATACCTTTTGCGCTGGCTGGACCTTTCCCTTTCGGAGATTTCATGGCATGGGATAGTGGACTGATCGAAACGATGCAGAATACTCAGGGGAGTTTTCCTACCTGAATTTCTCCATGAAGATTCGACAGAAGATTGATGAATGGATGAAAACAGCGGCCCCAGAGGTAGTTCCCCCAACTCCATGGTTTGCGCTTCGTGCTGACATCCTCAGGCCACTACCGAAACAGAACTATTTGAGGAGCGATGGCGAGCGACGCAGCTTCAGTCGGGCTCGTCGCTCGTGTCCGCATCCATCACCTGTCTTCCGCCACGCTTTGTGGCCGATTTCCTAGTCCAGATATTCTTCAAATATGCGCAGACGAATAATTTCTACGTCGAGGAAGACTGGCTGCGGGACAAATTGAACATATGCTATACCAACCCCTCAAGCCTTTCCTCGAACGACGCGGGCTCTGTCTGCTCTCTACTGATGGTCCTGGCCGTCGGAACACAGTTTGCGCATATGGAATCTGCTACTCCAGTCAATCGTCTATCGTCCGACATGGCGATAATGGAAGACCATCACTTCTCGGAAGATGAAGTTGGTCTGACCTTCTATCAGTTCGCGTCCAAACTACTCCCAGATATCATTGCTACCGCTTCGATACGGAGCGTACAGGCGTGTCTACTTATTGGAACGTATCTGCTGCCGCTCGATACCTCGGGTCTCTGTTACACCTATTTTGGCTTGGCTCTCAAAATGGCCATCCAAAACGGCATGCACCGGAAGTATCTGGGAGAGGGCGTTTCTCCTCGGATGATTGAAGTGCGCAATAGAGTTTTCTGGACTGCATATACGATTGAAAAGTGAGACTCCCACGCAACTTCATCTGCAGTAATTAGAAGGGTATGTGCTTACATTGATTTAGGAGAGTCAGCATTCTTCACGGAAGACCGGTTTCTCTGTCGGATTCTGACGTGGATGCCGCTATGCCTGTCGATTTTCCGGCTTTGAAGCCTCCTGGACAGGTCTCCAACCATACCAACATGATCACTCTGATTACGCTGACGCTGAAACTGGGAGAAGTGGCCAATGAAATGTGAGTTCATTAATATGTCGATCAACCAACAAATGCAGCAGCTAATGAACGAACAGCTCCATTTTGCGAAAATCTAGCAAAGGCCAACAGCAAGACTGCCTCGAGAGAATGTTGACTATAAGGAAAAACCTAGTCGACTGGTGGTCTTCATTGCCCGAAGAGACCGATTGTCGGGATCTCAACCCGTCTGGCCCCTTATTCCGTTCAAATCTGCATCTGAAGCTGGATTACTGTTTGACCAGAATCTTCCTTGGACGCCCATTCTTATTCAGCAGTTTGAGGGGTGTCAACCTAAGCACATTGCTTGGACCAAATTACAAGCTGCCTTCAGGTGTCGCCAAAAACCGTACCATTCTAGTCACCGATTGCGTGGAAGCGGCCCTGGAGATTATCGACCTCTGCCGTCTCCTCCGTGATGAGAGTGGCCTCGCCCGCGCATCGTTCACCGAATTCAGCTCATGTCGTGCTGCCCTTCTTGTGATCCTGGCGCAGAGCTTAACCAAGCGCACTGAGCGACTTCGGGAGGCGCTTGAGAAGGGCATGGCGTTGATCAAGATCATGTCGATGGGTGTCGGTTCCGCACGGTCTGCTGTCAGCGTGATCGAGGCTCTCGAAAGAGCCATTCGTCGCTTGGAAGAGTGGAGCGAACGGCAAGCTCCCGGGAGCACAGGGGCAGCCGAGTCTGCATATGACCGCTTCAAAAACTGGGAAATGCTATGGAAGACGGGTCCTATATCACCCGAAACGGTGCCATACCAAGAGCCGTTCCCTCCCGGAAGAGGTGGTCTGCCACACGTGCCCGTTACGCCAATGACGGGCACATCTGGTGGGAATGATCCGATGGAAGGAGATGTGGCCAATACGGACATCACCGGCTCATCGGGCTTCACATCTCATCCTACGTTATCTGAAATGCCGCCGTTCGGATTCGATCATTTCGTCTCGAACCTCCCGCAGGAATTAGGGGAATTTAACGCGATCCCTTGTTTTGAGACGGATGTGCAGCAGGGGCTTACCGGTGATATGAAGAATTCGGATACGAGATGGATGCAGTTCATGAATGATTGATTAATTGGCTTGTTTTAGTGTTTGGTGACTATCATGGTCTGTACAGCGAGTGACCTTTGAATTTCAGCATGGCGGTGTTTTTCCTGTTAGCTGGTTTGGATACCTTCCATTACGTGCTTTGTCTGATATCTTTGAACGCTCGATGAGTGTTTGTTCCATACCTATACATATATTACTCAGTGCCTTCTATTTTCACGCTGCCATATACAATTCACACAAAAAGTAGTTTGAAAATTGCCCATGCTAGTCTGATCAATCAAACACCACCTTTTTACCCTGGAAGGAAGCGGTCTTCTGCTCCTTGGCCTTCTTAGCGGCCTCCCACGAGGGATGCAAGGGCTTATTGTCCTCCGGTTTCTTCGGCGGCGCACCGCGCGAACGATCACCCTGGCGAGGCAATGCATTGGCCCCCGTCGGTCCCATCGCGCCCCCTCGTCCCTGGCCGCGTCTCCCGCGCGGGCCTTCTCGACCGTCCGTGGCACCCCGACGCATGTCCCAGCCACTGTCGCGATTATTCCTGCTCTTCTCCTTCTGGTTCTTGACGTGATTCGCACCGGAGCCGAACTTCTTCTCCCACAGGGCCCGACGCGCCTGCTGACCCATTCGGTTCTTGCGACGCGGAGCCTCTTCGACCTCTTCGGCCTCGGACTCGGAGCCGGAGAAGTACCCGCCCATGCTGAGAGAGGGGAGGAAGGTCGTGCTTGTAATTGGGGCGGCCGCAGCCTTCTTGGCCTTTTGCTTCTTGGCCGGCGGTGAGTCAGGCGAGGGAGATCGAGAGATGGACATGTCGGAGGGGAGTTTTGCGGTCGACAGATCGATCCCGCCTTCTGATCCATCCTCGCTCCCCGACTGCTCGTCTTCATCTTCAGAGTCCGGCGCAAGTCGCGAATCGAATTGAGCGAAGTCGTCGCTTTCTGCATCGCTCATTTCCTGATCCTCGTCGTCATCACCGCCCTTCCTCGATGCCGCGCCCAGCGCGGCACCGTCCTCCCCCTCGTCCTCCTCCCCGCTCTCCCCACCCGAAATATCATCCAGCTCTGCCTTCGACACTGACTTCTGCACCTTCGCATCGCCCTTCTTCTCCTTCCCCTTCGCATCCTTCTTCCCAGCCGGCGCATCCTTCAGGCCCAGCAAATCGCGAATCCCCGTCATGATATCCGGATACACATTCTTCACAGGGTTGGATTTATACAGTCGCGCCATGACGTTTGCCTCCGCGGGCGACTTGGGCCCCTCCGTCGAGATCTTCTTGCTCTTGTAGGCGTGGAATTCTGTGAATGCGATGGTTTCGGCGATGCGCTTTGTCTTGAACATTTGCTTGAGGAGGTATTTTGCGGCGACGATGGGAGGGTCTAGGCTCTGTACATTGATGAGTGATTAGCGAACAGCCTTGTAGGCGAAGGTACTAGGTGACTAGGTAGGTGAACAGGTAAAGAGGTGAGGCGCATGCACCACCTCCCCCGAACCGCAAAACCGAAGAATAAAAAAAAAAAGAAAGACGAACGAACCTTCAACACCTGCACCTCCTCCGCAAGTCTCTTCAATGTCTCATCTCCTCCCTGGCTCTTGGCCGTCTTCTCTCGTCGTCCGAGTTTCTGTCTTTCGAACCCGCGCGCCGTCTTGAGCGCTCGAGCGAGGAGTTGCACGCCTTGGTCGAATTTCTGGCTGAGTCGGATCGTCTGTAAGCTGTGGGAGGGCGCGGAGTCGCGATCGGAGAGTTTGCGTTTAGGCATGGTGGTGAATGTCTGAGTATCGGAGGGGAGAAATATAGGAACTGAATGTGAAGACTAGGAGGAGCGTGATGGTGGAAAACTGCAAAGTCAAAGCGAAGTAAATTGTAGATCGAGGTTTCGTTAGATTGATTTGCTTGGAGGATGTGGAGTTGCCCGGCCGGTCGGTCTTTTTTTTTTTTTTTTTTTTTTTTCCCCTTCCTGCGGTTCGGAGGTGCCAAGAAGTGTCGTAGCTCTGGCGACTGTCTTACTATCGGGCTTTTCTGGTTGGTTGATGGGTGTACTTTATTTTTTATGTTGATTGTGCTCCTTGACTTTGCTAATTTGATCAATTGGGAGAGGAAATGGCGATTCTGTGGTGAGTTTATTCGTATACTGCTGAGTGCTCGACTCGGTTCGTAGAGCTCCAGCTACTCGTACAGCTCTACATATCTCGTTGAAAATCCCAACAAACTGAATTCCACTCGTAGACTGGTATGTACATACAAACAGGAAAGAAAGAAACAAATACGATTACATCTCTGCTCTATTTCTTTTCCTCCTCCTTCTCCTCGGGCTTGGGGGTAGGAAGCTTGAACTAGATATTAATCAGGATTAGCATCTCATCTCATAGATCCTAGGTAAAAGGCAATAATGAACAAGGCCGGCCTACCGATTCAGGAGTCTTGTCCTTGCCCGGACCAACGGGCTCCCACGCAGCGCTACCTCCCTCGAAGTTCCGGAAGGCTTGCGTCAACTCGAGCGGCTCGATGACAATGCGTTTCTTCTCCTCGTCGTACCGCAGTTCCGTGTATCCGGTCAAGGGGAAGTCCTTGCGCAGCGGGTGTCCGTCGAATCCGTAATCCGTCATGATGCGGCGCAGATCGGGGTGGCCCGAGAAGAAAACGCCGAACATGTCGTACACCTCACGCTCGTACCAGAGAGCGCCCTCGAACAGACCGGTGATACTGGGCACGGGGCTGGCCTCGTCGGCGTAGGTCTTCACCCGGATGCGGGAGTTGTAGCGGACGCTGAGCAGGTTGTAGACGACCTCGAAGCGCTGGTCGCGGGTCGGGTAGTCGACCGCCGTGATGTCGGAGACCTGGGTGAATTCGGCGGCGGTGTGGTTCTTCAGGAAGCTCATCACAGGCAACACGCTGCCGGGGGCAATGTGAAGGGCCAGCTCATCCTTCCACACGGAGAACTGCTGCACGTGCTTGGGCAAGCACGACATGACATACTGGCCGTATTGGTGCAGGCTCTCGGCCTTGTCCTGGTACTTGTCGGCTTGGTTGATGACGGGAGCGCGGAGAGGGCCCTGGGCTATGCATCACGGGATTTGGTTAGTCAATGGCAATGGTCCGGCATCCAAAGCACGCAATTGGCAGGGTCGGAGGGCCATACGAGGACGCTGGGCCTGGCGCATGTTGGGAACATCCGTCGCGGTGGCCTCCTTCACAGCAAACTGCAGAGGGGTCGACGAGAAGGCACGGCTGGCTCCGGAAGACCGCGCGGCCGAGGCCAGGGAACGGCCAGTCCCCAGCCGCATCAGAGAGCGAGCAGAGGCCATGGTGACGAGGCAATGGCGGAGAAAGTCGAGGTAGCGAGGAAGGACGGTGGAGAGTGGAGAGGGAGGGGGGAAAGAGACGCTTCTACACTTCGCTTTGGCAGGGAGCTTTTCCGGGCGAAGGTTTGGGCCCCGTGACCGTCACGTGCCGGGCTGACATAAGGCCACGGTGCAAACACGGCAAACCACGCGCAAACCCAACCAAAGCTTCACTTCTTCTCTTCGCCTTCCATCTCGTCTCTTCTCTCTGCTCTGCTGCATCTGCCTCGTCACCCCCCTCGTCCCTCCTCTCTCTACCCCACGTCGATTGATCTACAATTACTGGGATCTCGTTCTCTAATTCTCCTATCACTTCCCCTTTCGACGCGAGATTCTCCTCTTTTTTTTTACGTATTCTTAATTCTACCTCATTTAGTCCTTTTCTTTCTCTCTTCCCCCCCTTCCACCCCGGTTGGTTGATGGGTGTTTCGGTTTGAATCGCACAACCTTACTTCTCTTAAGTGGTTCATAATCTCATATACTTTCGTCAAATATGTCAAATCGTCAACAGATAGACTCCGTCATTGATGATGACGATGAGTTTTGGTACGTTGTGCTGTCTTTTGGGCTAACCCGTGCTGGACTCGTTAGGCTGACAACTTCACTTTCACCTAGCCCTCTTTGCATTGAAGAATTTGATTTGTCGGACAAAAACTTCAAGCCGTGTCCCTGCGGGTATCAGGTACGGTGCTCTGCTCCTTCGTTCCCTCCTTATCCTCGGCGCTAGATCCCACCACCGTCCTGGCCTTTGCGACATAAGAATCTAACCTCGGCCTCCAGATCTGTCAATTTTGCTACAACAATATCAAGACCCATAGCGAAGAAGGTCGATGCCCCAACTGCAGGCGGCCTTACGATGACAGTACCATACAATATAAGGTCCCCGACGCAGACGAGTAAGTGCCTCTCCGAGTTCCAGCCGTGTTGGCTTTTCATCCGGTTCTTGGCACTAACTTCGCTCCCCGCGAAACTAGATTCAAAGCCGACTTGGCCTTGAAGCATCGAAAGGCCGCAGCCGCGAAGAAGAAAGAAGCGGAAAGGCGCGAGATCGAAGCATCCAGTCGCAAGAATTTGGCCGGTGTTCGCGTTGTGCAAAAGAACCTGGTCTACGTGATCGGCCTCAACCCCACAATACGTGACGAAAACCAGCTTTTGCAGACACTCCGTGGAAGAGACTACTTTGGCCAATACGGCGACATCGAGAAGATCGTGGTCAGCAAGGCAAAGCCTGGCGGCAACCCCAACCAGGGTATCGGCGTCTACGTGACCTACGCGAGGAAGTCCGATGCTGCAACCTGTATAACTTCGGTGGACGGGTCAGCGAACGGTGATCGGGTCCTGAGGTAGGCCCATCTCCACGTATATTCTATGTCTGTCAATATGGAGTGGACTAACTGTGAACCAGGGCGCAATACGGGACAACGAAATACTGTTCTTCCTTCTTGCGTAATGAGCAATGCCATAACCGGAACTGCACCTTCTTACACGAAACGGGCGAGGATAGCGACAGCTATAGTCGGCAGGATCTTTCTTCGATGAACACTCTTTCGAGCCAACGTCCGAATGCCTCCCCTAGCGGTCCGACCCATTCCGTTCCTTCGCACGTCACCCGCTCATCGGCTCAGCCGATCTCACAACCGATGCGCCGCCAACCAAGCAAGGATGATGCTACCGGCAGCCGTCCGCCTGACGGGTCAGCTTTGCCGTTGTCGGCGAGCTGGGCCAACAAGGACGCTCCCATTAACCGCACGAGGCGCGCTAGTTTGACCGGCAGCCAACCTTCGCAAAGCCCTCGACCTGCCATGGCTACCGTTGCGACAGGAACCGAGGAGCCAAAGCGAGCCGACAAACAACCGGTGAACGCGCCGGGTCGCCAAACGCCGTCGTTGCCCAACCCACCCTCAGCCCCTCAATCCCCCGAAGCACCTCCACCACCGTCCGAACCCGAAACGCCTCTGCTGGATAATTTGATTAAGGCCGTCAACTCTCCCGAGTTCAAGTTCGTCTTCTCGACGGCTGGTCTGCCAGCAGAGGAGATTGCTCTCATCGAAAATCACCCCTCGTTCATCGATCCATACGGGGGTGTCAAGCGCCGGGCTATGCGGGAGAGGGCAGAAAAGGAACGTGCCAAAAGAGAACAGGAGCTGCTGCAATCGACCACTGCGGAAGAGGAGTCTCGCGAGAGCGGGAGTTTGCAACTTGGTGGAGAACCAGATGATCCTCATCCCGTCAGAGGTCGTGGGAGTCGCGAGTCCCACGGCGCCATTCAGCCCCCGTCCCAACAGGGCACAACCACGAACTCCACCGTCGGCTCGCCAGTTTCTGCGGCAAGCCATCAGTTCCAAGGCCTTAATCTTGGCGGCCGCAGCCTGACTCCTCTCCAGCAGCAACAGCTCATGCTTCTCAAGTCCGCCAACAATCAGCAGGCCGGCATCGTGGATCCGATACAAAGTGGACTTGGCTCCGCTGCTTTTGATCAAGCCCAAGTCCGGCAAGGCCTCTTGCAGAGTCAGATGGCTCAGTTCAATGCCTTGCAAGCGCAGAACCGTCAGAATTCTCGATTCTCTTTCGCCAACGAAGCCGGTTCTAAGAACCTTCCCAATGTCCGCATGCTGAACCAACAGGCGTCTTTGATGCAGTCCGCAACACCCAATCCCCTGGCGGCTCCCAGTCCTCAACATGGGCTCGGCGGCAATTTCTACACCAGTGGCGTCCAGGGCCCTCCCCCTGGGCTGAAGACGGCCGGCACGCCCCCCATCAGCGGCGGAGGAATGTTTGCTCAAGGGCACGGATTCACTAGTTCCAATCTTGGACTCGGTGGTAATGTCGGAAAGCAGGAGGCTAATCCGGAGTTGATGCGCGAACTGCTGCGAGGCCGCAGCGGGACGAACCCCAGTGGACTACAGGGGCAGGATGCCGCAAAGCGTGAGTTCATGTTTCCTTTCCTCCAACAGCACCAGACCCCCCCTCCCCTGACTCCTGCCAATGGCCTTCTCAGCTCTTTCTATGGCTCTCAGGCGGGGAATATCTCCGAGGCTGGGTCACAGAAGCAGAAGAAGAAGGGGAAGAAGCACAGACACGCTAACACTTCCTCCGGCGGAGGCGGTGTAGTAGATCTTGCGGACCCGAGTATCCTGCAGGCAAGGATGCACCAGGTGGGTGCTAATGCAGCTGCTGGACAAGCATTGTATGGGAGTCAGGGTCAAGGTGGGTACAATCACTCCATGATGTACGGAGGCGGGTTCAACCGTTGGTGATTGTTGCTTCCCTCTCATCCCTATCCTCTGCTCTCTCTTCCTCTTCTTCCCTTTTGCCTATCCTTCTTGATTCCAGTTTTTTGCAGTTTCCTTTTAATGACCATCTCCTTGTTGCATTTCTGTTCATGACGCGTTTTCCCCTTCTACCCTTCATGACATGATATCATATTTCTCTAGATGGGTGCAGGATATGAGTTTGTTCCTTCTGTCCTCGGATGTGATTTTGCTGAATCTCTTTTTGCGACATGTTTCCTTCGTCATTTCAATTGTTTTTCTTTTGTCCACTCTGCAACGAAGCATTCAAGCAATCGGCTCTGAAAAGAACAAGATTATTCGGGCTTTGGCGTACCTTTGGCGTTGTTGAAAATTATGGAACCTGTGTTGTGTTTTACCCTGACACCTTTCTGTCCAATTGCTCTCGATTCCTTTTTTGATGTGTTCTCCGTGCCCTCTGACCTTGTCCTTTTTTCATGGACTGGAGGGCGACGTCCCTATTGCATGAACCCGTGGACACCCGGTCCTGGTGGCGGTCGTATGTATGTTCTTCATTTTTTTGCATCCAAGCTGGCTTGAACTATCAGCGCCTTGGTGGCCCCTTCGGCACGGTCATGGTTTATGTATGTTAACCTCCCTGCCCTTGGCTTTGATAATCTCAAGGCCGGGTGCTTGTCTACTTGAAACCAATTTCTCACAACCACTGTTCATATAGACATCGTCCCTGGTGTGTCCGTCTGGCAACATGGCCGGGGCACTTTGATGTAATTAATCTGCCAGCCCTCTTTTCGTATCTTGTGTTCTTTTCTTTTCTTCCGGACGGTGAATCCCATCGGCCGATCCTTTTTGTCTCATGTTTCTGTCTGGCACGTGCATTGCGTTGGTCATTCTTTCGTCTTTCACGATTTTCTCTTCCTTTCGCTTCGTCTTCTGTTAATGTCTCACTTCCTCCATGGCACCCATGATTTATTGACATGACACTTCAGCTAACCAATGTGCGTTAGTGGACGAGGAATTCCCTCCGCTTGGGGCTGCTTCCAAGGACAAACGCGCCGTTGATAGCTTTGGCTTCCTAGTGCGGTCGCATATTCAGAGTGATTCCCAGAGCTCAGCCCGTGCTGGCACCCCAACCCTTCCGCCTGGACTTCCTCTGCCTCACTCTCACCCGGCATCCGCTCTCTTCCAGAGTCCCTTGAACCCTTCGAGTCCGACCTCGTCGGTTTCAGTCCTCCCGCCAGGTCTTAACATTCCTCTTTCACGGCTAGGGACGCCTTCTCAGGGACTTCAGGACTCGACATTCCGTGCCGCCTCTCCTGATCTGAAGGACACTCCGGATGCTGCACCTCCCTCTCACCGCACTAAAAACGTCTCAGAGATTTCTTTAGGCTCCCCGGTCCCTAAATCGGCCAGCAAAGCTCGCTCCCAAGGAAAGGATGATATGACCGTTTCCAATGACAAGAAAGGTGGGAAAAAGGCCGAGGCATCAACCCAAGACAAGACTTCCTCAAAAAGCAAACCGATGAAGCTAGACCTGCCGCTGCACACATCTCATCCTCAAGAGCCCTCTCCTTCCAAGGTCGAATTCTCCAATCAGACATCGTCCAGCCATGTCCCTGCGCCGACGTCTGCCATCGGCTCTCGTCCCAACACTCCCTTGACTGCGGCATCCCGTCTGTCTGACTCTTCGGCTCCACGTCAACCTCGCGTCCTGCGGGTTGTAGATACGCCAAAAGCGGAGACTCCGCCTCCTGTTTCCGCAACGCACTCCCACTCATCCCAGCCGATTGTGACCAAAACGCGTTCCAGACGGCCCAGCATTTCCTCTCTTAGCCGTCCTGACACACCCGGTGACTTCGGATCCGAAGCGGATCTCTACACTTCTGCCTCTGTGTCCCGTGCCAACTCGCCTCCTGCCTCGTCTCGGATCGGTTCCGCCCCGGTTCGATCCATGACTAAGAGTCAGGTCAAGAAAGAGCGCCGCCAGAAAGCAAAGGACGCAGAGGCCAAGAAACATGAAGAAGCTTCGGCGTTGGCAGCGGAACCTGTGCAGGCACCCATCGTCGGAAGAAAGCGCAAGACTAAGAAGGCCCCGGCCAGCCAGACCGAGACGCCGTCGCCGGCTCCTGAGAACACCAATGAGTCCGCCAAGCCTGCTGCCCCTGCTGGAGATGACAGTGTCGACAAGGTCGATCCAAAGACCGAGACCAAGAAGAGCAAATCTAAAGAGAAGCCGAGGGATCAGAAGGCTGCCCCCGTGGAAGTGAAGGAACCTCCCGCCCCGAAGATTGAAGCTTGGCGCTCGAACAATACGGTGGAACAGTTAATCAAGGACTCTGAGGCTACTGGCGTTTCGATCAAAGACCTCTTTGCAGAACGGACTTTGCCTCTGCCCGTATTGCTCGCCGAACTCCACAAGTCGGGCAAACTCGATCTCAATACGCATCCCCTTTTCAACCCGCCTAACCTCAGCCAGCGCGTTGACATGAAGTGCCATGGCAATGACTACGATATTTTAAAACATCCCTTCGAGCTGACCGAGGAGCATCGCAAGGCCTTGCTACGCGGCGAGCCCGTTCGTCTTAACGGCGATTTCAGCGAGCTGAAATATCGCTGCCTCATCACTCCGCGCGGCTGTGTTTTGCGCCACTTGTCCCGTGAGGAAGAGGACCGGTACTTGGAACTTGAGCGGAACTCTGCCCCCGATAGTGATCCTTTCCAGGAATACCCCGCCGAGTTGATCACCGAGCCCGATATTACCAACCGCAACGGTGGCCTTGACGCGCTCTTCGCCACTCCCGAAAACTTCAACATCTGCTGGGTGGACGAAACTTCGGCTGGGCTTACGTCGGCGTCTCCCACGGCAGGCTTGTCAGTGCCCGAGTCCTCCCTCATCTCCAGCGCCCCTGCCCCGCCCAACGTGCTCTCAGCGATGGAAGCGGACAGCACTCGCAGCCACAACTGGGCCATTGCCAACACGGCGGAATTGGTGAACGCCACGGCAACCTCTGTGCGATCGTTCGCAGCGGCCACAGCTAAGCACATGCTCGGAGCGGCAGGCGTTGTGGTGGGCAGTCTCCCGGACCTGGACGACGTGGTGGGTATGACCGACGAAGAACTGCGGGCGTTTGCCGTCAAGTCTCAGAAAGAATTGGAGGCGTCGCGCAAGGACTTTGATTCCATCGACAAGAAGCTCAATGCGTTAGTCAAGCGCAACAAGAAGCTTGCACAGCAGGCTCTGGCATCCAACTGATCATCATTGGGCGAAGACCCATGGATGCAATTCTCTATCATTTATTGTTCTACGTCATGAAGTCTGTACATTATGTTTTCTGTTTCATATCATTGCACGCTGTTGTGGTATTGCTCCTTTTTTCAGGTTGTCTGTGTACAATTACAAAGCCAGTGCTCATCCTGTAAGGCGTTTAACGGGACCAATTGAGCATAGAACATACCTTGAGGCAAATATTCCATGGCTTCATTCAACTCAGCCCCGTCCTACCTTGTAGCCTCGTCTTTAGGCGTTCAACGTAATGTCCAAAGTATTCCTGGTTGTACAGGTTGCCGATGAGATTATCGTGCCCGGCTTGTCACACTGCCTCTTGCCCTAGCTCAAGCTGTTGTATGCTTTGCCTGGTTGTGTTTATTCTATAATCACATGTGTTGATTCTCTTGTCCTACAGAAGCAAACCCTCCCAACCCACTTCTTATGCAACCAGCAGCGTGAACCTGTCCAATTGTCCATCTCGCGCCAGGATACAAGTCCCACGTCACACTGGGAGGCTACAGAAGACAGAGGTACAAATGATGAAATCAAATCACCATTCTTACCACGACCAGACAATATAAAGCGTCGTATGGTTCACACACATCACCACACCACCCCGAACCAACCGGAACATCCACAGCAACCCCCTCTCAACCACGATACCAAATCTTCAAGACCAAAGCCAAGCACAATGAAACTCCTATACATCCTCCCTGCATTGCTTACCACCGCCTCCTCCCTCCCAAGTCTCTCCGGCTGGTCCCTCACGTTCAACGACCAGATCTTCCACGACAACGGCAGCTCCGTCTGCTTCTGTGCCTTCATCGCCAATTCCACCGTAGTTCATATAGACGGCATCACGAACTTGTACGTCGTCAAGTTCGCCAGGGACGCTATGTGTCGAGATATTGTGTACTCGTGGAATGCGGATGGCGTGGCGCCGGCGGTTCAGGATACGCATAGTTTTCAGGTTTTGAGGGTTTGGAATGATCCGGGGATGGTTTGATCAGGGGTCTAGCAGTGGGAGGCTGAAGCTAAAGATGTGCATTGTGGTTTTAGATGGGCATGATGCTGGTGTCTATGTTCTGCTTGAATGTCTGGGATTCAAGTGTCTTGGTAGTTGTAAGTGGGTGTAGGTATGTACCTGAATGAACTAGGACTTCTGGCAAAGCCTTAAGACCTCCGTCATATCCTGCGTCGTCTGTGGCGCACCATTATGAATGGCTCGCTTTCCATCCACGCGTCATTCACAGATTGGTCAATACCAAAACCAGTCCAATCGGCTTGTTTGGAGGTAGTTGGGTTCATCCTGGAAAGGCTGTCCTGCCGTTGAGTATGTCAACAATCTAACTCAGCCTCGTTGAAGAAAGAACCGTTCTTTTTGTAGATCGTTTTATATTAAACTTCAGTCTCCCCCTTTGTTCTGGATCATGGCACCGACAAAAACCATGAGAACGGCTGCGTATGCGATACACGCCGTGAAGACAGCCTCCAAGCTACTGAGATACCACGCCGCAAGCAGCCCAAAGATAGACACGCAACCCGTCGTTATTCCCAGCTGCAAGTAGAGCTCTTGCCTGAGAGCCAGCAGCCACATGGGTGCCACTAGAAAGGCACCGCCCACAAAGGCCCCGACGATCCTTGACCAAAGTCCCTTCTTTCGAATATGGCTTCGCGTGGCCCCGATGGGCCGTACTCCATATTTACTATTTTTCTCCCACGGTCCAGTCGGAATTGCGTGTTCTTTGAGCGCCTCCAGGTCCCTGGTCGACTTCCCATAACCGCCTATGAAGTACGACAGAAGATGCTCGTCATGGCGACGCTCGCTGGATACTATGAACGGATCGTTCTCGTGGCCGGAATACTTGGTCATGAATTCGTGGTCTTGGATTGCTTGGACTGGTTCATTGTCAGCATCATATACCCCTAAGTGCACACATATGAAACTGCTGCGCCGTACCGTATTTTCGAAAATGAGATTCCAAGCTCCTGGAGATCTCGCCGGCCCCATTGTCCAGGTTGAAATGGAGTTTGATCGCACTGTGGAGGAGTTTGGTTTGTAGGAATCTCATCTGCATTCGATGCATGTCGGCCAGGTTAACTCGGTAGCCATATTCGTGGTCGGGCAAAGTACGTCGTTTTCGAAGCCCCACGGCTCTTGCGAATCGATATGGCCACCGTGGGAGATATCGCGATTCCTCGGTCACTAGATCAACGAAACCATTGCGGTGGAGTTTGCGGACCTCAGTCCACAAGGCAGCATCTTCTTCCTGGGTTCTATGATCAGCGGGGCCTCCAAGATTGGGATCTCTGCCTTGTCCCGTAGCCATTTCTGTAAACCGATGCCAATGCCCTTGCTTAGATGGCAGGGGGAGGCTATGCTGTTCGGATGAGGAGAGGAGTCATGCGGCTGATTTCGGCTTATCATCGTACACTGCCAGCGCACCAGCTCTGCGGTGTAACTTGGCCTCGTGTTGCTGATTCTTTGAGGTCATCTATGTTTCTTTTTGAAAGCGTCGAATGATAGGGCCTAACCGCTCGATGATCGGTTTATAGATAAGCCCGTACTGCTGCGGGCTTCGGACTGTATTTTGGATTCCAGAGAAGACTCCAAAGCCAACAGAAACCCCGACAGACACCGATTGTCTCAAAGGTATGGCTTCCGTCCCTTTCGATGTCTTCGGAGGACAAGGGCCTGATACCTCGAAGGAAACCACGGGATGGCGCCCCTACTGCCAATGCAGGAAGGTCCTGTTGAAATCAAGCTCTCCAAGGTGGAAGGTGAAGATAGATTACTACTTGAATATGTTGACTCAGAGGATTGACGGTTGGTTTTGAGAGATTTGCACATACGATGCCTCCGTTCGAACGAGGCACCCAAGATTTGGTCCGTGGCAGACAACGGCATCCTCATAAACGTCGACAAAGCATACCCAGTTGAGCTCGTAAATGAGCGCTACCAACTTGGAGACCTGACGGGGAGTGATGACCCGTTAAAAACAATTCTTTCCTTCGGCAGGCGAGTGCAGATACGGGGATCTATTATCGCCAATGTCTTCGAGATTGACACCAAATATGATTATTCGGTTTGGTGGTTTTGGATATCTGCGCCTCCCAGTGCTCACAAGTCAAGTGAAGTTAGATGGATCAGATGATGTTTGGTGCAATGTGTTTTTCTGCGATAGGCTTCCATGTTTCGTCTTTCTTCTTTCATTCATGTCCCATTTGCTCATGTCAAGATTGTCTAGTTCGAAGATCTGTTTCAATATCATGCAAACGCTATGTTGACCCTCCCCAATGGTACTTTCCGAGCGATGCCTCTTTGATTTGAACAATGTATGTACTCGAGACGTCCAACCGGTCGCCTCTTCTATATTCCGTTGATCCCATCTTTGTATTCCCGCAAATCGTATTCCTCCGGGTACGCTTCCAGAATGCGCTTAAGCTCCTTCATCTGGGCCTGGGCCTCCTCAGTGACTTCTTCGTAGACGCCGTGGAAGGCCTCGCGAATCGGCGGCTTCTTCTCCCGCTCGGCCTCCCCGAACTCCTTCAGGACGTTCTTGCGGTACTGCTCGCGTGTCTCCCGCTCCATGTCCTCGTTCCACAAGCCCTCGTTCTCCAGCCACTTCCGCAGCCGGATGATCGGGTTATCTCTGCGTTTCCAGTCCTCGACCTCGACTCGAGCCCGGTAGGCGAAGCTGTCGTCGCTCGTGCTGTGGTGTGAGACGCGGTAGCTCATAGCCTCGATGAGCACCGGCTTGCCGCCGTCCGAGAGGGCGATGCGGCGGGCCTCGCGCATGGCTTCGTACACGGCGAAGATGTCGTTTCCATCGACGCGGATCGTGTCGATGCCGTATCCGATCCCGCGGCTGGCAATGCCGTCGCCTCGGTATTGCTCAAGGGTCGGCGTAGAAATAGCATATCCGTTGTTTCTGCAGATGAACACCACCGGACATGATCGGGTAGCTGCGATGTTCAGACCTGCGTGGAAGTCTCCTTCACTGGCCGCGCCTTCGCCAAAGTAGCAAGCCACGATACGGGGTGGCGTGTCGGGGTTCTGGAGGGCCTGTAGTTTTAGAGAGTACGCGGCGCCTGATGCTTGGGGAATTTGCGTCGCAAGTGGGGAGGATATTGTGTGCTGGTGAAGTTAATCAGCTTTGCCAGTTCTTCCTGCTGAAGAACATGGATTCCACCTACTGTGCGCGGATAGTGAGATCCATAGTGAACGGGCATGTTGCGTCCCCGGCCATTGTCATGACAATTGGCAAATAATTGGCTCATGAAGTCCTTGAGTGTGAATCCTCGCTGTTGGAAGACGCCCGTTTCACGGTACTGGGCGAAAACTACGTCGTCCGGGGTCAAGGCGGCGGCGGAACCGACGCTGATACCTTCCTCTCCGGCAGAAACCTGCAATTATGAGTTAATGGCTCCAGAGTCGGAGGTTTCACGGTAAACTTACCATGTAAAAGCTTATCCGGCCTTGTCTCTGCGCCTCGAACATGACCACATCCATCACGCTCACTGAGGGGCATTAGTGCCAGGTTCCGCACTGGTAATAAAAACAACGATACCACTAACCTGACAGCATATTCTTATACCACGTGAGGATCTCCTCATTTGACAGGTTCAGGGGTTTCCGACTCTTATCAACCAGCACGCCGTCGGAATCCATGACTCGGTAGGTAGGGATATGGGACGATTCGGAGGGATTGAGGAAGGCCATCTCGGTTGTGAACTTGCTGTTTACAGCGCCCGGAAACCGGACACTATACACCCGAATCCATCAGTTTCAACTCTCGATTGGATCTCGTTTATTTGTGACTTACCGGTCCGAGCCAGGGCGCTGGGAAACAGAACTCCCCCATCGTCGAGGCGTGGCGGACAGGACACGGGGGCCCCGCGAAATGCATCTTAGGAGACTCAGCGACATAGTGCCAGTGTTCCGAGAGAGCAATTGTCGAGAAAGCTGGAGAGGACGAGGGGAGGGGAGGGCCATAAAGGCCGGGCAGGGCAAGTCTGGGGAAATGCGGAGGAGGCGGTTGGCCGCGGCCTTCAACGTCATGCCAATCCCGCCAATAGCCGCGCTGACTCAGCCGCTTATCGTCTCCTCCGCACGAGATGTGGTCTAGCCGCAATGGGTTAGACTCATCTTCTAGAAGTATGCGAGTCACTCTGCTTTCCCTTTCCTCTCTCTTGTTCATCTCTCCCAGCCCGAAGGTGCAACCTGCAAATGCCTGTGCTTCCAGGATCTTATGTCCCGGTCTCAATCAGAATGGCTTTCGCGCGCATCGCTAAACTCCTCTGACGGGTCGGCAATCAGCCCGACTTGCAGGTCTTCTTGCATCCTATTCGACCAGCAACCACGGGGTGCTACCTTACCTACATAAACATCCTCATACGGATCAGTCTTCCGTGGGAAGGTTCCATGGAACTGACAAGCACCATCTATTTTATCGGCTTCAGCAGAAAGATAGTCTCCTCACACCAATCAAGATGTGCCCTTGCACAGCTCAATTCAGTCAGTCACAGCATTAGCCAGCCAATAGGTGCTCTGTCCTATTTTTTGCCCACTCCGCCTTCTCAAAACTGGCAGGTTCCGTCAAGTAGGTGTGATACAGTGCATCAAAGATTGCTTGCCTTGGATTAGGATTTGGATCAGGCCCACGCTCTTCACTATTAAAACCTTCGGTGTGTGCGGTCAATGCTTTTTAGCTCACCCAGTACCTCCCATTTTCACTGAACACCATAACCTCTTCGGGACACGACTGAAAATGGGGCCACTACTGCTATTGCTTTTCTGTATTCTGTCTGCTATACAGGCACAGACCATTCTCTCCTTGAGTGATGCGAAGTGGACTATCAGTAGCCCCGCTCTGAACCGTACTGTGCCCGGATATCTGCCATCGCATGTTCACTTGGATTTACTGAAGGCTGGGGTGATTAGTAAGTAGATCTGATCTCCATATTGAAGGACGAAACTAATCACTTCGGCAGATGATCCGTAAGTGAAGCATATCCTCCTTACGGAACCGGCTTGACTGACTTGCTCGAAAAGCTACTATCGTCTGAATGATTTTGATCTGCGCTGGATTGGTGATTCCAATTGGACCTATACTAGTGACCCGATACAGGGCCTGTAAGTGGCTCTGTTCTCAACAACCTTACTTGTGAACTTAAATATCTGACAACGACTTAGAGCGGGAAAGTCTGGATCTACATGGCTTGTATTTGATGGTTTGGACACGTTCACGACCGTCTCATTCTGTGGGATACATGTAGCTTCCACAGACAATCAATTCCGCCAGTACTACTTCGATGTCTCTGGTATCCTGAGACATTGCACGGGGAGTCCTGTCGTAAGTCTCAATTTCGGCAGCGCGCCGGCAATTGTGGACAAGCTTGCCCAAGGTTACGACACGATAGGTATGTTCCTGTTGCTTTTACACTTGAACATCGTACTGATCACTCTATATTCGACAGAGCTGCCCCTGCCACCTAACTTTGAGCTTTCCAATCGATGGCACATGCGCAAACAGCAGTCTGATTTCGGATGGGATTGGGGTCCGGCTTTTTCTCCGGCCGGCCCCTGGAAACCTGCATACATTGTACAGTTTGACAAGTCGGGTAGTATCTACGCCTTAAATACGGACCTGGATATTCATCGGAAGGGTCAGATCAATCATTTACCTCCCGACCAGAACAAGCCTTGGGTGGTGAATGCTAGCGTTGATTTTCTAGGATCTATGCCTCGTAATCCGTCAATGTCGATTGAAATCAAAGACGTTGAGACGGATTTGACTCTCGTCTCAAAGGCCCTTGGCAATGTCACTGTTTCTAGCGGTTCTATCACTGGTGTCGCAGTGCTCGATGGCGTGCAGCCAAAGCTATGGTGGCCTCACGGTCTTGGATCGCAACCCCTGTACCGACTCTCAATCGCTATTAACAGCGATATGAAATCGCAGCCGATTATCTGCATCACCAAGCGAGTTGGTTTCCGCACCATCTTTTTCAATCAGCGCAATATCACGGAGCAGCAGCTTGCACAAGGAGTTGCCCCGGGTAGCAACTGGCATTTCGAGATAAACGGTCACGAGTTCTACGTCAAAGGCTCCAATTTAATCCCGCCTGATGCGTTTTGGCCCCGAGTCACCGAAGATAAGATGGCACGATTGTTCGATGCGGCCATTGAAGCTAATCAGAATATGCTCCGCGTCTGGTCATCGGGCATTTACCTCCCTGACTTCATGTACGATCTAGCTGATGAAAGAGGCCTGCTTCTCTGGAGTGAATTTCAATTCAGCGATGCCATGTACCCTGTTCATCAAAAGTTTCTCGACAACGTTGCTGGCGAAGTGCTATACAACGTCCGCCGCGTGAATCATCATCCGTCTCTGGCGTTATGGTCGGGTAACAATGAGATCGAAGGGTTCATACTCCTCCTGATTAACGCTACACATCCAGAGGATTCTCCACGGGCTATCGGAGAGTACGAGGCGCTGTATATCAAACATATAATGCCGCTGGTATACGAAAATACTCGCTCTATCTCCTACAGTCCCAGCAGTGCGACAAACGGCTATCTAGACATCGATCTATCTGCATCCATCGCCATGGTCGAACGCTACAACAACACCACCTTTGGACACTACTATGGCGCCACGGAATATTACCAGTACAACAGCCGCGTTGCGTTCAACCTCTCCGTCTACCCGGTGGGCCGGTTCGCAGTGGAGTTCGGGTACCATAGTATGCCTAGTCTTCAAACCTGGCAGCAGGCACTCGATCCCTCTGACCTGCACTTCAATAGTTCCGTTATAATGCTTCGGAACCACCACTACCCTCCCTCCGACAGAAACACTAGTAACTTCCACAACACATCCATCGGCATGGGCGAGCTAACCATGGCCGTGGAGCGATACTACCCCATTCCCAACAAACAAGACCCCGTCGCGGATTTCAGCGCCTGGTGTCACGCCACCCAGCTCTTCCAGGCGGACATGTACAAGACTCAGATCCAGTTCTACCGACGCGGCAGCGGCATGCCCGAGCGACAGCTCGGAACCTTGTACTGGCAGCTCGAAGACATCTGGCAGGCGCCGACGTGGGCGGGGATCGAGTACGACGGACGCTGGAAGGTCCTCCACTATGTGGCCCGGGACATCTACAAGCCGATCATTGTCTCCCCGCTCGTAAACTCCACCGTCAACTCTCTAGATATCAACGTCATCTCTGATCTCTGGGAACCGGCCACCGGTACCGTTCGTCTTACCTGGCTCAATCTCAGGGGTAATCCGATCCCTGCAAATGCTGGCTCACCGACGTCGATCCCGTTCGATGTGGGTGCTCTCAACACGACTAGGGTCTATAGCGCCGGTCTGGACAAGCTCAGGCTAGCTGACCCACGAGACTCGATCCTTCTGATCTCTCTTGAGGCCAAGGGACGTCTGCCCAATACGAAAGAAACCATCTCTTTTACCCACGAGAATCACTTCGTCCCGGTGCCTCCGAAGGACCTGAAACTGGTAGATCCCGGTCTTAAGCTTTCATATGAGAAGGGCTCTGATATATTTACGGTGGAAGCTACATCCGGAGTATCCTTGTACACTTGGTTAGATTATCCGGCCGGTCTGGTGGGTTATTTCACTGAGAATTCATTTGCTCTGGCTCCGGGCCAGAAGAAAGAGATCGAATTCGTTGTCCAGGTGGATAGTGAGTGTGATGATTGGATGGATAAAGTTACAGTGCAGAGCCTTTGGGATCAAGCACTTCGAAACTGATCAGCCACCGTGGTCGTATTTTCCTTTTGACTGTCCAGTCCGCTGCTCTTGTCTCATGATTTCTTTTCTGAATCGTCAATAATAGTTTACGGGAAACCGCGAGTATGTAACTGCATAGAAATAGCTTAGTTGTCTACTACCATTTGTTATCAAATATCTTCCCATCCACGTAATTCACCAACTCCTGCACCGGGGGTAGTTCAGCTCTCCCTACTCCAAAGAGTGCCCCCTTCCTCATGACCTCCCGATAATTCTTCCCCGGAGAGATCTTGCCCAGCACATACTCCCGACGGGTTTCCACGCGCGTCGGCACAGGAATCGAACGGCCCACGATAGCCTCCATGCCCTGCCACGCAAACGTGATAGCTTCCTTCGCCCCGGCGGGTATCCCAGCATCATCTAGCATGCAGATCTTTGTCTTGGGGTAATTCTTCTGGATATACGCCGTGATGTTCGGGTTATACGCGCCGCCACCGCACATGAACAGCTCTTTGATGTCCATCCCAGCAGGTGCATACCGCCGATAATGGTCGACGATAGCCTGGGCCGTGATGCGGGTGACGGTCGCGACGACGTCGTTAGGCGATAGGCCCCGTTCCTCGGCTTTCCGGATAAGGTCGAAGGCTAGGGTATCACGGAAGACCTCGCGGCCGGTGGTTTTGGGTGGGTCGAGTTGGAAGTACGGATGGTTCAGGAACTCGTCCACGAGCGTCTGGTCCACTGTGCCGCGGGCGCCCATCTCGCCGTCCTTGTCGAATTCCCGTGACCCCTGTGTGTAGTGTCGTACCACGGCGTCTATGTACACGTTCCCTGGCCCGGTATCGAAATCGTAGCACTCGCTCACGCCGCCGTGGGTGTCGGGCGGGATGAAGCAGACGTTGGCGATACCGCCGATGTTCTGGCACGCGCGGAGCTTCGTGGGATGGTGGAGGAGCAGGGCATCGAAGAAGGCGATCAACGGGGCGCCTTGTCGACCTGCTGCCTGGTCGCTGACGCGGAAGTCCGTGACGGTGGTGATGCTGGTGCGAGAGGCGATGAAGGAGCCTTCGGCCATGGTGAGGGCGCTTCGGACTTGGCCTGTTTCCGGCATGGAGAGCAGCCAGATGGTCTGGCCGTGGGATCCCACGATGTCGATGGTGGAGATGTCGATGTCGTGGGATTTGCAGGATTGGAGGACGGCGGATGCGAAGGTCTCGCCGAGGATCACGTTGATTTCAGATAATTCTGATGGGGAAGTCTTGTTGTGAAGGATTATGTTCATGACTCGGCTCTTGATGGTGGGCTCTAGAGGGATCTCGCCGTACTACTTTTTGTTAGTAAGGATTGCATTGCAAGGATAGATACAAGTCTGTATACTGTGTTTAAATTACCTTGAGGAGTTCGAAACGCATCGCAGACTCCGGTGTTTCCTGGTGAAAATGGCAAAGGGCGCAATCAATGCCATCCTGTAATTTTGCGAGGAAAGGATCAGCTCATTTTCCTTGTCCGATAAATCTATCCAAAGCTTCGTAGCTCACCATCGAGGTACCACTATTTAAACCGAGGACCGTTAGGTCCAGGGCCTGATGAGGAACATCCATTTTGTTGTCTTGCGGTAGAATAGAGTCAAGCAGAATATGCTGCGAGATGCACCGATCGAAAACCCCGCAGGCGTGACTTTTCAGTGAGGGGAACCCTGATGCAGCTGCTTAGCCTCTGGTTTGGTGCCCGAGATGCGCTGCTACGCCTGCAGACGGTGAATAAGGTGGTTGACAGACTGTCTGGTTTTCAACATCCGAGTTAGGGCTCAGAGCCACAGACTAACTGTGGGCATAGCAAGCCATCCATTGCCTTGATAGCCCATGCCAATCTTTTTTCCTTGATTGCTTATGTAGATATTCCACAGAATGTGCAATACCCCCATTTCTCAATGCAGCCTAAGTCTGCATAACACGGAAGATATATGCAAGGGATAGGTGGCTGCGTGTAGCAAACAGTTCGACCCTGCGATTGTGATTTCCTGTACGCTCAGTCCAACTCCCAAAGCTCACCAAAATGGGGACCACAATTTTGTGGCAGCAGCTTTCGTCCAAGCAGCTCAATCTCGCTATTCGTGTTTTCTCTCTCGTTTGTATTTTCTTCGAGGGATATGACCAAGGCGTGATGGGAGGAGTCAATTCGGCGCCGATATATGTCACTCAAGTGGGGATTGGAAATGCGGATGGGACTGTGACAGATGCGACGCATCAAGGTGGTCTTGTCAGTATTTATTACCTTGGGTGCATCTTCGGCTGCTTTGCAGGTGGCTGGTTAGCAGATCGAGTTGGTCGCATCAACGGTCTTTTTATCGGCTCGTTGTTCGCTCTTATAGGGGGCGCTTTACAAGCAGCTATCACCAGCTCAGACTTCATGTTGATTGCGCGCGTGATAGCTGGCATCGGCACAGGAGGTATGACTCTCATAGTTCATCTAGGTCACTTACAATTATGGCTTGTCGCTCACTCACCTCTGTCTAGCATTGACTGGAATAACCCCGGTGCTGGTATCGGAGACCTCTTCTGCGGACCATCGAGGCGGCTTTCTGGGTTATGTCTTCATCGCCAATTGTAAGATGACTTCTTTCCCATTCCTGAATTGGAATTGATGAAACTTTAGATCTGGGAATCTCCATCGCATATTGGTTGTCATTTGGCCTTGGCGTTTATCCAGGAGGGCTACACCGATTTTAGGTGGCGCTTTTTGCTTGCTTTTCAGTGCATTCCCGCTCTCCTCGTTGCTCTCTTTGTCAAGATGCTCCCCGATACTCCGCGATACTTGGCATCGGTTGGACGCAATGAGGAAGCTAGAGAGTTGTTAGCATTGATTCGAGGTCGCAGGGCCTCTTCTGATGTGATTGAACGAGAGTATTTGGAGATATTAGCTGCCTCACAAAACAGCAAACCCAGTTCGCCAATTCAATTTGCTAAAATCCTTCTTAGAAGGGGTGGCAAGCCTGGAACTAATTTAACTCGGAGGGCTTGGTTATGTGTTTTTCTTCAAATAATGGCATCTTGGACCGGCATCACGGTAAGTAGTAACGCTTGTGTGGACTCACTTGGGCAGTGCGCTGATCCATCACTTAAGGCTATCACAGCCTATTCTCCAATTCTTCTGAGTCAGGCTGGGTATAGTGAAATCACGCAGAACGGACTGGCTGGTGGTATTAACACCATTGGCATTATCGGGACTATAATCAGTGCGCATATTGTCGACCGCTTGGGCCGTCGACATTGCTTGATGCTTGGTTCCGCGATCCTATTTTCTGTCGAGCTAGTTGTAAGGGTCTCTGCACCGTTTGTGCCTCGCGTTTGCCTTTTGACAATACAATTAGGCTGGATCAGTGTATGAAGGTTCTCTTCGGAATCCTGACAAAGCCGCTCAGTATGCCCCGGCGGCTGTGTCGATGCTCTTCCTTTTCAACCTTGGGTGGGTGGAATCAGTCCGTTTCGTTTCAGCTCATTCGTTTTGCGCTGACTGATATGTAGATACGCTGCTACATGGGGTACAGTAGCTTTTCTCTTGCCGACAGAGATATTTCCTTCAGAAATGCGCGCCCAAGGCAATGGATTCGGCATAACGGGCTGGGCTGTTGGAGTTGGTATGACCACTCTCGTCAACCCGATCATGTTCGACAGTCTTCAGAGCCGGAGTTATTTCCTTCTTGCTGGTCTCAATCTTCTTTGGGTCCCCATAGTCTACCTCTTCTATCCCGAGACGCGCAACCGGTCACTGGAGTCAATCGAAGCCCTGTTTTCAACACCTAGCCCGTTCTACTGGGCCATGGAACGAGCCTACCAGCAGCATGGGAATGTGCTTGTGGAGCATGGCACCACCATCACGTCTGACGAGGAGATCAGCAAGTATATCATGGACCCGGGATATTCGCAGAAAGCGACTTGATGAAATGTATTTTTCTGGGCTGGTAATCAGTGGCATAGGTTCTAGTATGACTGTCCGAGAACCATATAGTTGATATGGACATCTGCAATGCGAAATGGGAAGGGAGAGACGGAGCAAACAGAAATTGGCCGAGTAATTTGATCAGTAGAGCCCTCGCCCTTTCTGAATACCCTATAGTGCTTCGATAAGTGCACGTGACATTGCGCTTCTTCGCCGGCCCGTGCAGATGCTCGGATGTAATCTCGTCTTGATCTTCCCCCGCCTGCATTTGGATCTGGCAATGAAGGCTTCCAGATATTCCTCTTCCCGTCAAAAGGCATGCCAACAGTGTTCAAGCGCCAAAGCAAGATGCGATCGTCAACGTGGACGTTGTGCGAGGTGCGCGCAACGTGGTCTGCCCTGTGTGTACCCTCAGGCAGCAGGCACTGAAGGACCCGTCGACCCCGAGGTTGTCGATGGCCGGTTACCCAGCCCATTCTCGACGTCCGACGTCTCCTCGCTCATCAGCTCCGATGCCCCACTCCCGGCCATGAATATGCAACAGGATCTCAATGCCGCAGGAGCCGAGCAGCTTACAGAGAGCATTCCCATCAATCACCTGAGAGCGAATCAGGCCAGCACGAGCAGCCTAGCTACTGGAAAAGAACGACCAGCTTTATCTACGCGTGTACCTGAAGGGCTGGATAGCCTCGACTTCTCAGCCCTTGAGCTGATCTGTCCCATCGACGACACTGCCATAAGCAATCGCTGGCTGAACGCTTATATTCCTATTCCTGGGCAGGCCGTCAAAGAGTATCCTGCCAACGTCACTGCTTTCATTTATCGAATGTTAAAGTCTTATGCCGCAATGGCAGCCCACGGTCGCGGCATTTTGCCATATGTTCATCTTACCCAAATGAGACCGCGACCGGCAGGGTCACCCCTTGCTTCTTGCTTGAGCCTGGTTAGAATATGCTCAAGCCCCCTGCCTGGCAGCGAAGCCACTGCAGCCAGCGTACTGCAACGAGAAATGTCCAACGTTTACGATCAACGTGATGAGCTCGATGACGAAAATCAGCTAGCTGCATTTCAAGCGTATCTAATCTACGCAATGGTACTATTCTTTCGACTCAGCGGAGCGTACAACGACGTCTTCCGCGGAACAATGATAAACCTCCAAAGCCTTGCCCGCTCTTCAGCTCGGCGTGGGCTTGTATGTGCGGCTGATCAACGACGGGTGCGACCCAGATGGGAAGAATGGATCGTTACTGAGACCAAACGACGAGCCGTCTATGTCATGTATCTTCTCGATAGCATCCTCTCAACACAAGAGGGCCTTCCCACCTTTCTCGGTACCGAACTTCGTGGACTGCCTGCACCAGCTAATAAGCTATTATGGCAAGCACAAAGTCGCTGTGAATGGGAACGCGAGTATAACGTCTACATGGCGGAATGGGCGGAAGGAGGCCTTACCATCGACGAACTTTGGCCTATACCTACTGAATCAGACGAGACATATACTACCAGAAGGCGAGCTAGGGTGGATCAATGGCTCGAAAATGTCGACGAATTCGGAACTATGCTTTACGCGATCATGAGCTGCACGCACGGTGGCTGAAACAAGATAAATTCTATCATACAACTTGTTCTGCTTCTATGATAAGTCGTACCATTGCATGATCATTGAAACCAGACCTAAACGTTTATTGTTGGTGCATGATCGAATCTAGTTCATTCTCTAAAGCACCAGTCTAGGATTTCCCAAGGGCCTGCAGAGCCTCGTCAAGTGTTATTGTTTTCAGGCCCATTTTTGGTAGAAGAGTCTCAAGCATCACTTTTGAAAAGGCTTCATTTTGGTCCACGGGTAACTCGAGCACATTGTCGGTTATCACATAAATGTTGAAATCCAAATCAAACAACCGATAGACGGTGCTCATCACGACGCCAGAGAGGGTTAAGCCGGACTGAGACACTCATGTTAGATCAATACGGGCAACGTGGTGGCTTTCGCTTACAATTATAACGGTATCGATACCCTGTGCCTTCAAGATCTGCTCTAGGCTGTTTCCCATGGTAGCAGACCATCTTGTTTTGTGGAGTACAACGTCTTTCTCGTCCAGTTTGAAACGAGGGTCGATCTGCACTTCCGGAGAGCCAACTTCGAAATTGCCAAACGGCGCGATCAGCTGGGCAAACGGCGCGTTGGCCTGCACTTCGGGCTGGGCGCGATTGAAGGCCAGCGTGGTAAAGATGGTCAAGGGCCGAGGGTCTTTCTGATGCACAGCATCGTTCCACACAGAGCAGTTCGAAATCAGCGCTTGCCCCTCGGCCGTATCCTGGGCGGCATTTATGAGAACCGACATCCAATCCAAATTCAGGACTGCATAATGTTCACCAAAGCTACCGGATGTATAGTTCGACTGCGCCGGGGGATCCATTTTAACGAGATGAAATGAAGCCAGATGAGAACGGCAACAAGCTCACTAGATACTTTGACGGGAGGTTTTGAAAACGATATCCTTCGGAATGTAGGGTCGTCTGTTTAGACTGCGATTTTCTGGTCATCTTTATTTAAGATGTCCATGCCAGCGGAGTTGAGAGTCTCAACTCCGGAACCCTATCGCGGGACTCCGAAGTCAGCTCCGGGCCAGGAAAACCGATCCTGATGTCTTGACGGAACATACGGTCGTTTAGGAAATATTTAAGCCTCATGGATTCCGACCGCTGGATCCTCTACCGACTCGGATATTCATCGATTATTGCAGCAAAAATATGACTTCCAACAATCAGAACTCGCTATCTCAATCCACGCCACCTCCAACTACGGCTCCGGAAGCGCCTTTCAGTCTATTCGATAAGAAGCAAAAAGCTCTGATCGTGCTTCTTGTTTCGACTGCTGCGACTTGTAAGTCCGCCAACACAGTCACATTTTCATGAGCTAACTTTTGGTAGTTTCGGGTTTCGCTTCGAATATCTACTTCCCAGCCCTTTCCACCATCGCAAACGATCTCAATGTCTCCGTTGAACTCGTCAACCTTACCGTTACGTCATACCTTATCTTCCAGGGTCTTGCACCAAGCCTCTGGGGCCCGATTTCCGACGTAAGGGGTCGCCGAATAGCATACACCTGCACGTTCATTGTCTTCTTCGGCGCATGTATCGGTCTAGCAGAAACGAAGAACTACGCCACCCTGATTGTTCTCAGATGTCTCCAGAGCACGGGCAGTGCGAGTACAATCGCAATTGGCTCCGGTGTCATTGGCGATATTACTACTCGGGCTGAGCGCGGCGGCTACATGGGAATCTTTCAGGCTGGTCTTCTCGTGCCTGTTGCCGTAGGACCGGTCATCGGAGGCGCATTAGCAGGATCCCTGGGATGGAGATCGGTTTTTTGGTTCCTTACCATCTATAGCGGAGTTTTCCTGGTTTTCCTTGTGATTCTACTACCCGAAACGCTTCGATCGATCGTTGCGAATGGCAGCCGAACACCGTCGAACCCGTTCACTAGATATCCGTTGACGGCGTACCAAAAACTAACCAGCGTCCAATGGAAAAATGAAGACGAATCATCTCAGCCCGCGCCTCGGAAGGAGATCGACGTGATTGGACCCCTCCGCATTCTCATTAGCAAGCATGCAGCTCCTATCATTATCTACCTCGCCATCTATTATGCTGTTTGGCAAATGAGTATCACGGCCATGTCCACTCTCTTCAAGGATCGCTACGGACTCAGCGAGATCCAGATCGGTCTCACGTTTATCGCCAATGGTGTCGGGTCGATGATCGGAACGCTTGTGACAGGCAAAATCCTCGACGCAGACTACCGCCGCGTCAAGCAGAGTTTTGAGTCATCTCTGGGTGATATTGAGACCGAGACGGAGACTTTGGGCCCTGGAGTCGATCGAGAAGAAGATTTCCCGCTGGAGAAAGCCCGCCTTCGGCTTATTCCGATTTTCTCGTTCTTGCAGTGCATCTCGATCATTCTCTTTGGCTGGACTATCCAATATCCTGATCGCGTCCATATTGCTGTGCCAATCGTGTCGACTTTTATCACCGGATGGACCGCTGTTTCCACGCAGTCGCTTATTATGACCTACCTTGTCGACGTCTTTCCTGACAGGAGTGCGGCGGCGAGCGCCAGTCTGAACCTTGCGAGGTGTTTGTTTGCTGCCGGTGGTACAAGCTTCATCATGCCCATGATCAACAACATTGGGGTTGGGGTAGCCTTTACGGTCTGCGTGGTTGTACAACTCGTGTCGCTGGTGGGTCCACTTATTCAGTGGAGATTCGCCGCAGGATGGAGAAGACAGGCAAGACCCTAGAGTAGAGAGGTGTCGGATTTGATATTTCAGGATCATGGTTGCATGGGAGACGGGGTCGCTGGGCCTGGCTAAGAAAGCCAGGTGTTGTATTATGCTCAGTTTTTTTGTTTCTCCATTATGTTCCTTTATCTTTTGGGGGCTCTCTACCTACTAGCTCTATTGTATCTAGAATTTAGTATAACTTATAATTAATTTACAGACCGCAGAGGTGACTTGCTATCTAAGAACAATCGAGACTCAATATACCGAGCGTAATCGCTAATACCATTGAATGCATGCTATAATGCAAAGTATTGGATATCTTGAAATTCCATAGATCAGGCCATTGACTCAAACGGGTAATCCGGCGGCCGATCGGCAGAAAACGCGTGCCTGAGGATCGCCGGTCCAGCTCGCCGCCCGGAGAGAAAAGCGTCTGCCGGTTCCATCTTCCTCCAACCTTCACTCTCCCCCAAATTGCGTCGTCCAGATATTCAGCGGCCCACCATGTTGTCCCGGTCATTATGGAGAAGTCTGCGCTCGACTGCCCAGCGAAGTGTCAGCGTGCCAGAGACTCCCTATCGCTGTTTCTCCTGCACCGTTCGGGCGCAGAACCAATTCAACAAGTCGGATAGCGAACGAATGACCCATTTTGGCTTTACCAATGTCCCGGAAGCAGAGAAGGAGTCCATGGGTTGGTTTTCCTATGACCGTTAGAGAAGAAAAGAACGATGACTCTAACACCATCCACCGAATAGTGAGGTCGGTCTTTAGCTCGGTCGCCTCGTCCTACGATGCCATGAACGATTTCATGTCGCTCGGAATCCATCGCCTCTGGAAAGATCACTTCGTTCGCTCTTTAAATCCCGGATCTGCGCTACCCTCTCGCGACACCGACGCAGCCGGCCGAGGGTGGAATATCTTGGATATCGCCGGCGGGACGGGCGATATTGCGTTTCGCATGCTGGACCACGCGACCAACATCAACAACGACCGGGAGACTCGGGTGACGATCGCGGACATCAATCCCGAGATGCTAGCGGAGGGCAAGAAACGGAGCATCCAGACGCCTTACTACAATTCGAATCGGTTGTCGTTCATGGAGGGCAACGCGCAACATATGCCCAGCATTCCCGACAACTCCGTCGACCTCTACACGGTTGTCTTTGGAATTCGGAACTTCACCGATAAGCAGGCCGCTCTGGTGGAGGCCTTCCGGGTGCTGAAGCCCGGCGGCGTGTTCGCGTGCATGGAATTCAGCAAGGTGGACAACGATCTCTTCAACGCCGTGTACAAGCAATGGAGTTTCACTGCCATCCCCATGATCGGTCAATTGGTGGCCGGAGACCGCGACAGCTATCAGTACCTGGTGGAGAGTATCGAGAAATTCCCCAGCCAGGAAGAGTTCCGGGGGATGATCCAGAAGGCCGGATTTATGATCCCCGGACGAGGCTTCGAGAACCTTACTGGCGGAATTGCGGCGATCCACAAGGGCATCAAACCGCTTCCCCAGGCTAAGGCTTAAGAATCGCGGAGGTGAAGACTGCGGTGATTGATATATAATGTACAGTATGTAGAACTAGACCATGTCCAGCTGAAATAAAATAATCCATTTCTGCTGTGGTTGCACCGTGTAAGAATGGGGATCTGCAATGCGTCAAGGTAAGCGGCGATGGTGTCATTGCCGTAGAATAATTTAGGGAATATTAATAATTATTGGGAGCACTGTGACAGATGGATTAAGACAGAGGAGACTATAATTAATCCAATATTTTTCATATTCCGGTTCTCCCCTTAACTCCCCAACTACATTAGTCAACCCCCTCCGCCTGGACTCTTTCCCCGGCCGAGGCCGATTCTTTCCTGCGCGCCTCCCCCACCTTCGATTTTTTTCCCCCTGTCGTCTCCCCTCCTTTTCTTCTATCCCTCCAGGGCTCGAGTCCAGGAACTCTTTTCCCAGGCTCCTCCTGGGAGAAGACCATCTGTCCTTCCAATTACGCGCAGACGATGGTTCCTGCACCATGGGGCACCTCCGATCCCCGTTGACTCCGCTGTCCCCCTCCACGCCCAGTATGATAACGAATCTCTCTGCTTTACCCATGACCCCTCCAGACCCCGCGGACACGGACTTGTTCAAATCTCCCGGAGATCAATGGACCACCTCAGTGAATTCCGCCGTCCATGTCATTTCCACGGAGCGCGCTGCCCTGGCGAACTTGGAACGCCTGTATCAGACGAATCCTTTGGCGCAGGAGCATCTCGCGCGCGCTGTGAGCCAGATCGCCTCTAGTATTCGAAATGGTGGCAAATTAGTGTGTTGCGGGGTAGGCAAGAGTGGAAAGATTGCTCAGAAACTGGAAGCGACGATGAACAGCCTGGGTATTTATAGCGCATTTCTACACCCTACGGAGGCATTGCATGGTGACCTGGGCATGATTCGACCGGTATGCATTTCTTTGCTTCCCGTTTCTTATAATGATTCTCGTTGCTAATCTTCTGTTTCGCAGCAAGATACCCTGTTGTTGATATCGTTCTCGGGTCGCACTCCCGAGCTTCTACTGCTACTGCCTCATATCCCTTCCACCGTCCCGGTGATTGCCATCACAAACCACCTCCATCCGGCGACATGTCCGCTTTTATCCTTCCAGCCTTCCGACATGGGCATTCTCTTACCGGCTCCGGTCCACGAGGATGAAGAGACCTCGTTTGGCGTCAGTGCTCCGACATCATCCACTACGGTAGCCCTGTCGTTGGGCGATGCTTTGGCTATCGCCACCGCTAGGCGGCTACATACCACCCCGGGACGAGGGCCTGCCGAGATCTTCAAGAGCTTCCACCCTGGAGGGGCTATTGGAGCGGCGTCCAACGTCACGACGCCAATGAGCATGTCGACTGTATCGTTCCCGTCGACCAGTTCCGATGACCCGCAACAACCCATCTTGTCGTTTCCTCGACAGGAGGAAGCGATCCGCGCTCCCCCCCTTGCTGAGATGCTCGTGTCGATCGACCAAATCCCGACGGTCTTTGCAGCGGGCAAGATACGCTTGCTGAACATTCTCCTTACGGCCATCCAGCACCCCAACGCCAAATCGTGGGTATCTTTGTCTCCCGCGGAGATCATCCCCCCGCGGCATCTTCGCTCTCTTTCGCAGAGCAGCTATGTGGACATGGAAGTTACCGCGTTCACCAGTCTCGGTCTTCCCTTCGCTGTTCCTCGCACGGACTGGCTGCGCGTTCCCTACTCAACGACCATCGAGCATGCGCGCCAGCTAGTCTCGAAAACCACAACATCCACAGGGTCCCCGGTGACGGTGATCGCGGTCATGAAAGACCAGAATCCTGATGATCTGTTGGGGGTCATCGAAGCCGAGGATTTGTGGGATCAGTAGGCTTGATCTTTGATCTCCGTCTAATATATGGGCCATCTGTACCTATTCTTTTGCACAACAACCATGCGCGATTCTATACATATCAACGATTGCTATGACTGTAATGTCCGTTTTTGGCTTTTTCTCTTCTTGGATCATACAACCACATACACCGCTCTACAATTTCGCTACACATATCAATATATCATAGATTTACTTTTGGTTTGGGGAATATTCATACATAGCCTTGATCTGCGATTGGAGAATACTTCACTTTATCTGTTCTGTTTGCATCGATGTCTACAAAGACATGTTTTTCGTTTTGTCGATTTTCATTCGTTGGATTTACTGAACTGGCATTGAAGCATTCGAATCTATCTAGACTATAGATACAGATAATATTATTAGGGGTATAAAAGCAACTCATCTTTCGAAAGAGAACGGAACGAAGCAAGCAACGTGCTCTATGGTATCTTCAACATTACTCGTAACAAGTCAACGTGCAGCAAAATGACTGCGCCAAAAAAAAAAAAAAAGAGAAAGAAAGAAAAAAAGAGAAAAGGGAGAGAGAGAATAGCAAGTGGAAACACGGCACACAAGCAAGAAAGTCAAACGGGATAAAAAGCAACGGTCAAAGATAACCACCCGAGACACAAAAAGGAGACCTCATTTCTATCGATGCACACCATGTCGATTTTCTACCGCTCAGTGTGTAGATTCATGGTCCCCGCAGACATTCATAGGTTTCCAAGAGCATTGCGCATATTGCTTTACCTTGGAAATCCTCTGGGTGCCGAGAAAAGGGAATTTGGCGAGTGAGAGCGGATTTGCGTTCGCAAGAGGGGGGGGTGGATAGGAACACTAGGTGGGTAATGTCCGGCCATAAAGAACGAGCCGCACTCAGATCGGAGTCGGTCCGCGATGGTGAAATGAAACATTCAAGGTCTTTCATCTGCCATGGCAAATCTGGTTCAGGGCAATGGGTCTCGTAGCTGCCCTTTTAGAGAACTTTTGGAGTCAAAATTGCGGAAAGTTTTAACAGCATCAGCCTGATTGCCCTGATTCCTGTCGTTCCTTGCCTTTGTCAGTCGTGGAACTTGCCGTCGCGCCGTCATCGACATAGAGTTTGTTTTCCTCGATGTAGTGGATAACGGGCACCGGGATCAGATAGCGAACGCTCATCTCACGCCTCAAGAAAAGACGAATCTTGGTGCTGCTGACGTCATTTTGAATGAGCTGTTGGATGACATAGATATTCTTCTTCCAAGGCTGCAAGGCTGCAAGGGCTTCGTCGATATCCGTTCCGCTGCGCTCGACGATGAAAGACTGAAGAAACAGAATGTCAGTCTGAGACCTCGACCAGGAGATGGGGGTATTGTCAGGCCAGGCACACATACACCGTATTTGCCGAGAATGTGATCCAGATCCTCTTGACTCCACACGCCGGGGGTAGACATGGTATGGATCAAATCCGCCCCGGCCAGCAGGGCAATGCGCACCGGCTTGCGAGAGCCATTTCCAACATCCACTCCCTGCCGCACCGTGTTGATCTCGTAGTCAAAGTGATCCAGCACCACGGCAGTGGGCTGGTATTTCTTCTGCATCGGTTCCCAGGTATCAACCATTAACCAATCGGAGGTCTGGTCCACGGCTACCTGACACATTGCTACTCTATAGAGGGGAAAGACGTTCGGTCAGCTAACTCCGGAACCTTAACGGCAATCACGGGGCAAGATAGAGAGGGAACAGCAATTCCGTACCGATGTTCTGAGCTCGCCAGTCCTGCCTTGCGGTACGCATCCGACACCGGAGACAGGTATCCGCCGACAATTTCGAAGTCTGTGCTAAACTTGACGTAATCGGCCGCCATCTCGAACATGCGCAGATGAAGATAGGTGATGGGAGAAAAGGAGCCGCAGGCCACCAGCAGTAGAGGGGTCTTCTCCGGGTCATCCATCTTCTGCTTCAGCCGGAGCTCTGGAAAGGCGTAATCATCGGCAGGAGCCGGGGGCAGATGAGGAGGGGCCTGAGGGGCGACCTCGGTCTGTTCGGCCATGTCGGTCATGGTTGCAAGAGAATGAGTGAGTCCCTCGCAAAACTGGGTTGTTGAATCGTGGGGATGAACTGGGGAAGAATGTCAATGTTTGTGGGTAGGGGAAATCCGTTGTGATGGGGGGGTAGAGAAGGGAGAATATAAAGGCTGGTTGCGATCAGTCGGCAAGAGGAGGAAGTCGAGAGAAGACTGGATGCCTGCGGTTAGTCAGGCGTGGGGGAGAGGATGCCCGCCTTACCCGATCTGGACGTTCCGGGCGGGGGAAAATTCTGAGATGCTTACCTAACGCCACCCAGACGGGTCGTCGGTGTGTCACGGGACTATCACGGGACCTGCGGTAGATCGATCACATCATCGGATTAATTTGCCCGATTCGGTCTTCTCTTGCCATTATTTATAGTATGTACGGAGTAGGTACTAGGTAGTATTATGGACATACCTCCTACTTGATAGGATTGCGTCCTCCAGTACTGTCCAGTATCTTTCGAAACAGCCCTGCAGCGAAGGGGTACCTACATAGTACAAGCGCCCTACCTAGAACATACGGAGTATGTTAGACTATTAAACCGATGCCTACAGACACTCCATTACTGCGGAACCCCGGTTGTCCTACCCAGAACTACGAAGAATTCCCCTAGAACAAATGACTCTGCAGCTAGAATCTCACCGTCATCCCTATATGCGACGGTGACGCTCGAGCGGGACTGGGTCAACTTACCCCCGCTAGTTATACGTTAGTTCGGAGACAACTCCGATAATATGGAGTAATTATTAGGAACTCTTCGGAGCGCTTGGGTTAGCCGGCAAACTTATGCCGCTTCAACTTCCCCTGCCGCTTTCGCCAACCGCTCTACGGAGTACGGACTCCGTAAATGACTAAATGTTCAAGGGGTGAGTTTAGGTCTCGATTAATTTCAGGATCAATTGCCGGTGTGATATTCTAGATGATCATCATTGAGGTTCTCCGACCCAGGTTACCTCTCCCACTACTGTATGGTCGGTGATAAGGGAGATCCATCCCCGGGCAGACGGCGACATGGCCGGCGAAATAGTCGTTAATAGATTCCATTTTCAGACTTCTTGAACAAGGGAAGCCAACAGGTCTGAAAACTTCCTCCGACAGACGTGCTTGAATCAAACTAGTCCATCAGTCAGGTAGTTATTCATGAGAGCCGAAAGAATATGGAATGAATGCAAAAATCCTTCCCTCTAATGCTCAGACCCCTTCGATTCGTGGTCCCTTGAGCGAGGTGTGGTGAAGGTGACAATATTCGTTTGTTGTTGCCAAACCGCTGGTCTCCAACCATGTATATATCCACGAGATGTGATTGGAAGAGTTGAGAGAGACATACGGTGCAAGTAACGAGGGGCCGGACTGGACCAATCGTCTTCTAAAAGATCGCAATGATAATAAGGGCCGAGAAATTTGCAATCTCCTACGCTCTGATACACCGTTACATTTGCTGAAAGCAAGGATGGACAACGGGATGGGGACAAGGTCTCATACCGGAACAGCCCGTTCGAAGTATGTATGTACCTGTGTATCCTCCGCAGCCTTGAACCGATCGCTGCTGTCTCCTACTTTTGGGCCAGGGCCCATGCGTGTTCCCGACCGGATTGAAATTGATCAAGCCAAAGTCACACAACGACGAGACAGCGAGGTTCGTCACTAATCGACCGAGGACTGGTCTTCAATGCCCGTTTGTATATTGAGAGGATGCGGAGATCCATATCGAGGGGGCTCTGTATTGAGGGAAAATCCGGTGAAAGCACTCTGTAGTGACTGATAGAGCCATGTTGAATGGCTGGAAGGAAAGTGCCGAGAAGAAGAAGAAGAAGAAGAAGGAAAGTTGCGCTTCCGCGCCTGACGCTCTCCGGACTGGAGACCTCAGGCCGGCGTCACGACCGCTTGCTCACCACGTCAACTCGGCTTCCCCCCAACTCCATCATCCTCATCTCTTCCTCTTCCTCTTCCTCTTCTTCCCCTCCCACCCTCTCCTTTTCGAACCGTCATCCACATTTCCATCGAAAATACGACGAACACGACTACTTGCATTCTTACCATCAACTTTGTATTCGATCTCTAAATTACTATCTCTTCGTGTAGTCTCTGTTACTATTTCCCTCTCGCCTTTCCTTGTCCGGGCTACTTTTTAGTCTTCGGCTTCCAGTCCTCGTTCGCTCCTCCGAACGGCTTCCGTTTATCTCCCCCCTCTCCCACCCAACTCATCGACGAACCCGGTTTCGCCTTTCCTCCCGGTCTCTCATCGAGTAAACGGATGGCGGGCTGAACGGTGTCGACTGATGAGCGAACCCTCTCCATTTAGCTCTCGTTAGCGATCAACATATGGCCAGGCAAAGGCCCAGCTTTCACCGCCAGGACCCTCTTGAGGACTCTTCCGCTGGAATTTCCGCCACCGCCGCCAGGTATATAGCAGATTCCCTTTCCTTTACTCGCTGAGTATCTCTCGCCCTCTTGTCGCCTGGCCTGACACCCGTTGCTTCACTCCCCTCACCTTGCTGGCCCCGCATTGCTTGTCTCCTGGGGACCCGCCTAGCCCGCTGTGCCATTCGCCCATTCCCCATCACACCCCGAGTTCGTCTGAGTCTTGTGTCGGCGTCGTTTAAAGACCGCCCTTCTTAAACCTCACCGATCTTGTCTCCTCCCCTCATTGTTGCTCGTCGTGCTTTTCTGCGTGGCCTTTACGTTCGCCCCTCGCCTTGCCTTGAACACCCCTCTGGAATCGCTCAGACATACTCAACTTCTCATGTCCCCCAGAATCACCCGCTCCGCCGCGAGACTAGCCGCAGACCCTCCTCCGCCCACCAACTCCGCCCCCTCGCCTGCGATCCCTGCCGCTGGCCCGGCTCCCTCTCGGAAGCGTAGAGCTCCCGCACGCAGCGATCGGCCTGCGGACGCCCCGGGACAACCGAACAACTCGTCTCCGCCCCGAAAGACCAAGAGACAGAGGCGTGCAGCTTCACCCCAAGCGGCGGCAGGCTCCGCAGCTCCCCGTCGTGGTACCCGAAACCGCCCAACTATGTCCCAACCCGGGTGAGTTTGATAGGAATTCTGGTACTGGCATCTAAGGCCTACCTACTAACTCTCTTAGTCCGTCCTCACGCCCTACGGAGGAGTCTTCAAGAAATCAAACTTCGCCTCCAACATCTCGACGAAAGTCTAGCCGGAATGGGAAACCGTCGCAAGGTAAGGATAGCGAAAACCTTTTTTTTCTTTTCGCGGAAGGGGCGGATAAGATATCTTGACTCTGGGAAATCGGCGTGCTTGAAATCGGTGAAGTTAACAGTTTCTCTCAAAATACTAGATCGACTCTCAGCTACTCAATCTTCTTCCCCCCGTCGACAGAAGAAGCACCAACCAAAGACAAATCCGGATGTTGTCATGAAAGATGCGGATGCGGAGGAGGACTTGGAAGCACAGGAACGGAGTGAGGACCGCGATTCGTCCCCCCCAAGCGACAGCAACGACGGAACCAACCAGTCGGGCATCGATGACGATGATGGAGATCTATTCCATAACAGCTTGTTCGGATCCCGCAGCCCTCTGGGGCTTCAAAGTACTCTCCGGGCCTTGAGCGGTATGATGTCGGGAATGTCCTCTCGCCTGCGAGAGATCTTGACCAACTTGAGAATGAAGGAGGACCCGTCGATCCAACTGATTGCCCTCTCAGAACTATCGGACCTTCTGCTCGTGTCAAATGAGGACAACCTCTCCGGCCAATTTTCCCCTGATCCGTACGTAAAGGAGCTGGTCTCTCTGATGCAGCCCAGTGAGTTTGGCGAGGAGAATCCCGAAATTATGCTGCTTGCCTGCCGCTGTCTGGCCAACTTGATGGAGGCTTTGCGGGGATCTGTGGCCAACGTTGTTTACGGCGGCGCTGTTCCGATCTTGTGCCAGAAGTTGCTCGATATCCAATTTATTGACTTGGCCGAACAGGCCCTTAGCGTGGGTTTCCCTCTTCTCGTCATCACTCATCCTGATCGAAGCAACGTACTGATGGTCTCTTAGACTTTGGCGAAAATCTCCGTGGACTTCCCAGCATCCATAGTGCGAGAAGGCGGCCTGACAGCATGCTTAACGTACCTTGACTTTTTCCCGACCAGTACGCAACGTACCGCCGTGACCACTGCCGCGAATTGCTGCCGCAACCTGCCACACGACTCTTTTCCAGTTGTCCGAGATGTGATGCCTACACTCTTGAACGTTCTTGCCAGCAACGACCCCAAGGTTGTCGAGCAGGGCTGCTTGTGTGTTTCCAGAATCGTGGAGAGCTTCAAGCACAAGCCGGAGAAGCTGGAGGAGCTGATCGAACCGGAAATGCTGAGGGCCGTGCTTCGTTTGCTTCTGCCGGGAACTACGAACCTGATTGGCCCCCACATCCACACCCAATTCCTCAGGGTTCTGGCCATCACGTCTAAAGCAAGCCCTAGGCTCTCCGTGGAGCTGCTCAAGATGGACGTCGTTGACACGCTTTATCAAATTCTGACCGGCGTCTCGCCGCCGGATAATCTCGAGGACACAGCGGTCAAAATGGATAGTGTCCTTGTTATGCAAGCCTTGATTCACCGTCCAAAAGAACAGGTTTTCGAAACTCTGAATGTCATTTGCGAGCTGTTACCCGGTGTTCCTGGCCGACAGGTTTCGCAAGCAGATGGGTGGCCGGGCGCCCCTCTCGATGTAGACCCCACTTTGGCACTGAAATCCCCCAAGGCCAGAGAATCTGCCGAGAAGAGACGATCATTGTTGATGGACTGCAAGACCGAACTCAAGCGTTTCGCTATGATTTTGCTGCCCACGTTGACCGATGCGTATTCCAGTACCGTCAACCTAGAGGTGCGGCAGAAGGTCCTGATCGCCCAGCTTAAGATGCTACATAACTTGGATGCCCCTTTGATCGAAGAGGCCCTGCAGACGGTACCATACGCCTCGTTTCTAGCGTCCATTCTCTCCCAAAAGGATCACCCTTCACTCGTATCTTCTGCCCTCCGATGTGCAGAGCTTCTTTTCCAGCGTCTAGAACATGTGTACCAGCACCAATTCCATCGTGAGGGTGTCATTTCTGAGATATTCGAGCTTGCCGAAGGACCCCTATCCACGGACAAGCAAGAAAAGTCCCCACGGAAGTCACCTGCCGCTGGGAACGCAGACATGCCCCGTGACTCACGTGAGGAGTCCAAGCGGGTTGATCGGGATGCTAGTTCGGACGATGAACGTGCCTCAGATGATGACGACGAAGGTCATGACGATGACTACGACGAGCAAGATGACGATGATCATGACGACATGTCGGAGTCGGAGAGCTCGTCCTTCTCGGGACGAGTACTATCTACGAGGATTGACAATGTTATGAAGGATCTCGTCGTTCGTGACGCTCGTGCATTTGTCGAGCTGCATGAGGCTAGCCCGGGCAAAGATATGCGCGACAAAGCCCTTGAAACTTTGACTGAGTTGCAGACACTTGCATCGGACATTGAAGCCTGCTATCTTGGTGGCGCCGATGGAGATGGCCTCGCCTTGTTCAAGAAATTGGCGTCCCATTTTGACGGCGATGCTCTTGAGAGCATCACTAGCTCGGAGTTGCTGAATTCGGGTATTATCAAGATTCTTTTGGATGTATTTGCAGATTTCCAGGGTAAGTGAACATCCCTCTTTCGCGTCCTTGGCAACTTGGTAGATTAACCGTGACATCTAGCTCCCGCAATGCGCGAAGCCCGAGCTGCATTTTTGCAGGCGTTTATGGGTACCACCATTTCCGAGAAGGCGCAAAGCCAGAGTACGGCAACTACACCGTTCAGTGTGCTCATTCACAAACTCCAAGACCTGCTCAGCCGGACTGAGCACTTTGAAGTGATAACCGTCAGTCATAACTCGCTAGAAAATACGCGCAGCAACGCCGCCTACATGCTTGGCAAGCAACTCAGATTGAAATTGGTGGCCGATGAAGATTCCAACATTCCCCGGTCTTACCGAAACATCATGGTTTCCATCCACGCAATAGCAACATTCAAGGCTTTGGACGATTTCCTCCACCCACGAATCAGCCTGTCCGACCGACCAAAACCACCTCGCAGTCGGGACACCATTCTTTCCCAAATTGCCAACGCAGCGCGACTTCGGGAGCAGCTCGCCGGTGGTCTCGAGGCAGCGGGAGGCGATACACCCCCGTTGCCCCGTCCATTCACTGGCACTCATCAACCACCGGCCCCCGAGGAGTCACGTCCCACTGCCAAAGAATCATCCACTGAGGGTCGTGGATCAAGGTCGAGGCGCTCTGCTCGGCACCAGAAAGGAGCGGAAGGAGATGAACACGATGGCGAGCCTTTGGAATGTGCGGATGAGCGCCAACTGAGCGACGAAGAGGACGAAGAAGATGATGGCGGTGACGACGAGGAGCTGAACGCCATTGTTGACGACCTTGATGATGATCTTTCGGATGACAATGCACCGGATCCTACGGCAGTCAACATGGAAGTTGCCTCCTCCGGCAAGGTTACGGCACGGAAAGAAGATGGTACTCGTGTGGCAACTCCCTCTCAATCTACCCCCGCGTCTAAATCTACTTCCTCTGCTACTCCCGCTCCGGCTTCGAATCCCACGGGGAACAGCTCTCTTGCTCTGGCCGGTCGCCCTTTCTCTTCTTACGCTGCTGCCATGGCTTCCATTCCTTCAGATTGGCATATTGAATTCAGCGTGGACGACAAGCCCGTTTCAAGCGAGACGACTATCTACCGTGCCGTGCATCACAACCGCCAACTTTCGGATCCTGCAACGAGGAACGTTTGGTCCGCCGTGCATACCGTCAAGTTCAAACGAGTTCCAGGACCGCCGCCTCCTGAACCGACGTCTCTTGTATCCGGATCATCCAAGCCCGATGCGGAGTTGGGCGTCGCTGAGATGCCATCCTCTTTGAACCAGGATTCCACCACTGCATCGATCCTGCGGCTGCTCCGTGTTCTCCACGAGATGAATGCTACCCTTGATGATATACTGGCTGAAACGAAGGAGCTGGTGGCCCTCAAACCCGAGTCTCTCGCCCAGTTTATCAACACCAAACTGACCGCCAAGCTTAATCGACAAATGGAAGAACCGTTGATCGTGGCTAGTAGCTGTCTTCCAAGCTGGAGCGAAGACCTCGCCCGACTATTCCCCTTCTTGTTCCCCTTTGAAACCCGCCATCTGTTCCTTCAGTCGACGGCATTTGGCTATTCGCGAGCAATGATGAGGTGGCACAATTCCCAGAACGGGGATGACAGCCGGAATGACCACCGGCGAGACGATCGGCCTTTCCTAGGCCGCCTTCAGCGCCAGAAGGTTCGCATTTCGAGAAGTCGTATTCTAGAGTCCGCTATGAAGGTCATGGAACTGTATGGCTCCTCGCCTAGCATTCTGGAAGTTGAGTATTTCGAAGAAGTGGGCACGGGACTCGGCCCAACCTTGGAATTCTACTCGACCGTCTCGAAGGAGTTCTCTAAAAAGAAACTCAAGATTTGGAGAGAAAACGACTGCAACAACAGCGAAGAGTATGCCTTTGGCCAGCGGGGACTGTTCCCGTCTCCGATGAGCCAAGAGCAAGCAGCCTCCGAATCGGGCAAGAAGCAATTGCAGCTGTTCAAGGTTCTCGGGAAATTCGTTGCCCGGTCGATGCTTGACTCGCGCATCATCGATATTTCCTTCAATCCGGCCTTCTTCCGTATCGCCGATCTCTCGTCCTCAGTTGCCCCGTCACTGGGCACGGTCAAGGCGGTAGACCATGACCTGGCGAACTCGCTGCTCCTTTTGAAACGCTTTGCCAACTCAAAGAAGGAAATCATCGACAACAAAGCCTACTCCGATGCGCAGAAGAAGCACGCTTTGCAGCAGGTTGAGTTGGACGGCGTCCAGGTTGATGATCTAGGCCTTGACTTTACATTGCCCGGGTACCCGACCATTGATCTCATTAGCAATGGATCTAACATTCCCGTGACCATTGAGAATGTGGACCTGTATGTTGACCGGGTGGTTGACATGACCCTCGGCAGCGGTGTGCAACGTCAAGTCGACGCATTCCGGACAGGGTTCTCTCAGGTCTTCCCATACGTGGCTCTGCGAACTTTTACACCGAGCGAGCTCGTCATGCTGTTTGGACGAGCAGAGGAAGACTGGACGATCGAGAGTAAGTTGCGTAAAATCTGTTGACTACGGATCCAATACTAACCTTGTTGCTTCTAGCTCTTATGGACTCCATTAAAGCAGACCACGGCTTTAACATGGACAGCCGAAGCGTCCGGAATCTGTTGCAAACCATGAGCGAATTGAGCGCGCCACAGCGACGAGATTTCCTCCAGTTCGTGACTGGTAGTCCAAAGCTTCCCATTGGAGGTAAGAAAACCCCAACTGTTTCCTCGTCTTGTAGCAGAACAAGTTGCTAACCCTTCTGTTTTCTTTCCACAGGCTTCAAAAGTCTGACACCTATCTTTACTGTCGTTTGTCGCCCAAGCGAACCGCCATATACTCCGGATGATTACCTTCCCAGCGTTATGACCTGTGTAAATTACCTCAAATTGCCCGACTATAGCAGCCTGGACGTTCTCCGAGACCGATTAACCGTTGCCATCAAGGAAGGCCAAGGGGCCTTCCACCTGTCTTGATCAGCTACCCCGATCAGCTTGTTCGCCAACAAGATCGGCGGTGCTGTTTATTGGTTGGCTGGCGTGGAAGACGCAGAAGAGAAAGACGAAAACCCACCAGCTCGAAAACATGAGAAAAATATAAAAACAAAAGCACATATTTTGGTGCACCGGTACAAAAGCTTTAGCAACATACCCTTTTTATAGCATGGCAATGGGAGAAATTTTAATGACAGCATAAGTGAATCTGTGACTTTTTGTCGGCCGGCCTTCTGCGTTCGGGTTTCTTTGATTCTTGTTTTCATCACTTTGTTCCTGTCCAATTTCTCGGGTTGGGAAGGAGTTCGAGGGGGTTTCTTCAATCTTGTCTTTTACTAGATAGAAAATGCAATTGTTCGATATGGACCGGCGTGAACATGTAGTGTATTTGTGCATTCGTCTAGTTGTTCAAGGTATTATATGTCTATGTGAGTATGTATATCTATATCTAAATCTATATCCATTTGTGTCAATCAACCATGCTGACCAGAGACCTCTAGTATCGGTCAACCGCGATACAGTGGCACCATGGACTATCAAAATGGACCAAGTTAGCACAAGATCAAGGGAAAAGCCGGGAGATAAAGCAAAAGAACATTCCACTAACTCACCTCTGCAAACTTCGGCTCGACAAACAACGCCTTCGCCTCGGCCACCAACACCGGCTCCCCATCCTCCCCCTGCCCAGGCATCGAACACAACGTACCCTTCACCCAGGCCTTCCTCCCCTCAACGGTTTCCGTCTCCGCGCGCAACACATACACACGATCCGGCATCGCAGGTTTCCGGAAATCGACATTCAAATTCGCCGTCATGCCGAGCCCGCTCGGAAAGCACGCCGACACGCACCGCGCAAACGCCTCATCGAACATGACGCTCAGGAGCCCGCCGTGCACGAAGCCCGGGTGACCGCAGAGCTGGGCGCCGACATGGAAGATCGACACGACGCGGCTGGTGAGGGTCTTGTTGGCGGCGTGCTTCTCCGTTGCCATCCACATGAACGGCGGCACGGTGACCATGCCGGGGCCTGAGAGGGAGCCGGCGACGAAGTGCGTCGGCTGAAGCGAGGGGTTCATGGTTCTGTGGGGGCGCGACTCCTTGTATGACGGGTTTGAGCGAAGGGATTGGACGAGGGGGAGGCGGGCGATGAGGTCGTCTGTTTGCGATTCGAGAGATGTGTTCGAGGAATTCGTGGGGGTGGTGCTGGAGGATGAATGCGGGTGTGGTGAGGGAGGTGCATGGTGTGTGTCTGGGATGGCGGTCGAGGCGCGGCGGATCGAAGATTTAGAAAAGAAGGACGATAAAGAGGAGGAGGAGGAGAATGATGGGATGGCGATGCGCGCGGCTGTGATGGGGTTGCGCAGACAGCGCGCGAGAGGTCTCGCGAGGCAGGTCATTTTGTTTTTCTCCTGTAGCGTCTCTTTTTTAAGGTTCTAAGTTGTGTACTTATAGTAGGTCTGGGTATTAGCACCGTTGAACGAGTAGAAGATATGCACGCATAGAGACGAAACAAAAAAAAGAGACAATAAACCTACCAATGCAGACCGTTAGACTATATAAACAAGCAGCATGCAAGTCACCTGCAAGCGAAGAAGAAAAGAACCAGAATCGAAAGCGCAGAGAAGAAGAAGGGGAAAAAAAAAAGAAAAGCGAAAACGGGGCCCGCTAAACTAAAAAGTTCCCAACCGGGAAATCACCATGTGGAGCACGGCATCCACGTGGGCATGCCGTCATATCATGGATTTTCTCTCCTGTCTAGGCAGTACCTGTGGCGTGTGGATTGCCCGATGACATATGCAGTGTCGCTGTGATCGATTAGAGGTCTATACTTACTCGGAGTACCTGGTGATATTGGATTTATGTGCCCGTGTTACAGTTGAACCGGGATTTGAACTTCGAGTGATGGGAGTGGATCTTGTTTCAACAGTTCCATAGAAGGATCGGATATAGGTGGGCACCGGTTTACGTGCAATGCTGGGTATCTGTTTAGAAGTTATGATTGAACGGAATGATTACGACCTGAAGCAATTTGGACCATCACACTACATCGTTATCACAGTAAACCACCGCGTGGACTGAGTCCCTCAGCCCTGACTGAACCCTGCAAGATCAGGCCAAAGATCTGTCGGGATCGGCTTGCCGAGAATAAGTGGGTCCAACGGGAATAGTGGGTCCGTTCTTCGGAGTCGGACGTCTTTCTCCGGCGGATGAGACAAGAGTGAAGTATGTGGCATTTTTAGGATCATGGTAGAACGTCCCTCTGAGTAGAACTCAAAGTTCAGATTGCTCGTGTCGTTGTACATTGTTGAATACATAATTAAAGGCCACTTCGGTTTTCAGGACCTAAAGAAGAGCCATAATCGCTCATGAGTAGCCGGAAGAGCGGAAACGCTAGCAATGGTCGTTTGCATGTCGCACACCTGGGATGTCCTCCCCAGAATCGTGTCCGCTGGAATACACGGTACCATGACAAGAGAGCGACGGTATCAACATGGTTCATCGGATTCAGTTCCCGTCTTTCCCCTCTTTCTATGTCTCCTGCAGATGCCCCCCCCTTATCATCAGCCCTAAGAAAAAGCACAGATACTACCACCTCAGTGAGCAGTACCCAAGATGGACGACACTATTACGGGTACCACTCTCGCTTTTATACCCGAGGTGATTGAGAGTGAGATGGCCTTCGATGAGTCCGACAACAAGGTCAAACTCGACCAAAACCTCGGACAGACCGAGCAGGAGAACAGCGAACGCATCACCAAGCGTCTAGCCGCCATCTCCCTACAGGAACGAGACTTCGCAGTCCAACGTCCAGGAGAGGCCGAGTGCGTCGCCTGTACGGAGACAGTCCCATGTACGGACATCGTAACGGTCCCTTGCTCCCACCGATACTGTCGGACATGCATCACCCGGATCTTCCAGGACGGATTAGAGACCGGGGTGTCCTGGCCGCCGGTGTGCTGCTGGAGATTGATTCCGGTGTCTCTTGTGCAGTCGTTCCTCGGAGCCAGTCTGAGCCAGCAGGCCACGCTGAAGATCGCCGAGGACGCGGATCGCAACTGCACCTACTGCGCCAGAACAGACTGCGGGCTGTACGTGCCGCCCCAGTCACGGTCACGAAAGGATAAGACGCGGCAGTGCGCCAAATGCAAAACAAAGACGTGCACCGCGTGCAAGAGCCTGGCGCACCGGGGCAAATGCCTTCCAGATAAGCTGTTACTCAAATTTCTCAAAATGGCTCGCCAGGTGGGGTGGCGGCGGTGTCCGGTTTGTGGGTACATGATTGATAAATATGCCGGCTGCCCTAATGTGATGTACGTCAGAGGCCCTTCATTACCGGAAGTTCGAAGCTCGATTGTCACTGACTGTTTCGGGAGAGGATTAGTTGTCGATGTGGCTGTGAATTTTGTTTCGACTGTGGGAATTCTAGGGCCTATTGTTCCTGTCATCCCCGCCCTAAACTATATCTTCGGTTCAAGTCGTGGTTGATGACATATTAGGGCACTGCAACAGACGTCACACCGATACCTGGAGTTTCTACAGCGGTGGCAGGGGTTATGAGCATAAACGTCAATATTATATGCCACATCAGTGTGTGAGGGGGTGCAAGTGGAGATCTTATAGCATGCGCAACGGTGGTGGTACCCTTCAGCTCTTATAGAGAGAGACTAAAGGAGAGGGAGTGGTAGTTCCGGGGCATTGGATCTTGTGGTTCCTGTTCGTAAGGAACAGGTGCTCAACCGTGTTGGTTAATGCTTGAATGAATTGATGAAATGTATTGAAACCTCCACTATCGCAGGATATAGAGAAATGTGTAGGTCAATTTTTATGAGATCGGGGTATGGTATCTTAATTTGGCACCTCGTTCTATACACGTACATCACAATTAGAAATCCAACGGATCGACCTGGCCCAGGAATGAGTTGTTTCCTTCGCCGCGCAGCAACGCCTCGATATCAACTCGTCCAGCCGTCAGGTATCGCTCGCTTACGCCCACGTTAACTCGCTGGGAGAGCAGTTGTTTCAACTCGGCGCGCATTCCCGCGAGTTCGGCTTTACTTGTAGCGCCGACTTTCCGCTCTCGCTCCTGGCGACCACGACCACGTCCTCGTCCACGTCCTTCTGCGTTCTCGAATTCCTCACTGTCGTACTCGACACCAAGGTCCTCGGCGGCATTTCTCAGCCAGTTATCCTCGGCCGAAACCTTCTCCTTGGCGATGTTTGCATCGATAATGCGACTGGCGAGCGTCACTCGCTGCTTCACGCGGGAGACGACGCGGCGGTCAAGCTCGAGGGACTCCAAGGGAAGTCGCTTTCCGTTGGCCATACTGGCGTGCACCTTGGCGGCAAGACGCACGACGCCGACCATTTCCTCCGGAGCACAGATAATCACGCTCTTTCCTGAAGCTCCGGCACGAGCGGTACGACCTGATCGATGGACATACGTATCGGCGGCGCGAGGAACATGATAATGAACAACAAAGTCGATACCCTTGATGTCGAGACCACGTGCTGCAACGTCGGTGGCGACAAGGATGGTACTCGGGTCAGCAGTCGGCGAGGAGAACCGTTCAACCGACCGGAGACGGGCCTTTTGTGCCATAGACGAGTGTAGGGCAAGGGCGGGAAGCTGAAGTGCTTGGAGCAGCTGAGTTAGGCGACGGACTGCCGAGATGGAGTTTGTGAAGACCAAAGTGCGGTGCTTGGGATGGTAGAGAAGAAGTGTGTAGAGGAAGAGATCCTAATCAAGTTATCAGCACAGAAGCAGGGGCGTAGAAATCAATGACAAGGCGCTTGTTAGTAACGTACCTTTTCCATGGCACCGCATTCGACAATTCCTTCTTTCAGTCCTTCTGCCATTTGCGAGATCGGATTCACATCGAGGAATTTGGGCTTCTCCTCTCTGAAGTTCAGCTTCTGCAAAAGGTATTCCATGGATTCTTGTTTGTTCATCAGGTCTCCACCAGTCCATCGTCCCTTGCCTGCCAGCTTCTGCTGGAGATCACGATGGAAGGTAGCAGAGAAGACTAGGGTCTGCCTTTGCGACCTGGGGTCGGCCTCATGGGATTCATCGTCTTCCTCGTCAGACACGTTGCCATCCTCCACACGATCCAAAGCTCCTAGAATTTCGTGTGCCTCTTTGAAGTGACCTTCGCTCAAAAGTCTATCGGCCTCATCGATAACCAGGAACTTGATACCCTGCATTTTACGGATCAGACCCTGTCCTGAGCTCAGCACCTCCCACACTCGCCCCGGAGTGCCAACGACAATGTCCGCTCCAGCTAACTGTCTCTGTTGCTTCTGAACTGACAGCCCACCGGTCAACAGCGCAATCCTCGCGTTGACACCTGGGGCGTGAGAAATCAGCTCCCCAATGTGCTTCACTAACTGATGCGCCAGTTCTCGGGTGGGAGACAACACGAGCGCAATGGGGGACGATTCCTTTTTCTCGGATGCCGTCTCGGTATCCTTCTTCTTCTGTTCCAGATAATGCTCTAGAATGGGAATGCCAAAAGCCAGTGTCTTTCCGGAACCCGTTGACGCCTTTCCGACAACGTCGTGGCCTTCCAAGATCGGCGGTATACAGGTCGTTTGGACTGATGTCGGCGTGGTGAATTTCATCTTCGAAATACCGGCCAGAGTTTCTGGAGATAAGCCCAGCGACTCCCATGCAGAGACATCAACGCCGTCGTCCTCTTCCTCATCCTGCAGGGCCGTGAAAGACAATCCTGATTTGATATCCTTGTCCTGCACATTCGTAGCCTTCTGTTTTTGCTCTTTCTTCGCAGCGTTCTTCTCCTTCTTTTTGGCGTCTTTCTTTTCCTTCGCCTTCACCTTCTTGTCGGATTCCTCGGGCTCCGTCTTCTTTTCTTCGGTCTCCTCCGCGGAAGGTTCTTGCTGCGCCGCGGTTTCGCCGTCACTGAAGCCAGACCACTCATCATCATATTCCTTGGTCTCCTCTGGTGTCTTGTTCTTCAGGATCGATTTCTTTGGCTTCCCTGCGACGGCCTGCTCAAGTCAGCGGGTAGTTCTTTATCGAGGCGCATAGGAAGTATACCTTGAATCGGACGTTTCCGTTCCCCTCCGGTTTGATGATATCTACTCCATCAATCTCCTCCAAGCCAAAGAATCCGGTCGCATCCTCGAGCCGGTCAGGGAGAGCGACTTCGGTCCAGTTGAGGTCGTCTATTCCAACAACGCCATCCCAGCCGTCATCTTCCTCGACGGCTTTGACAGCACCGGCATTGCCTTTTCGCTTTTTAGACTGAAGTCCCGAGTTCTTCGGGTCGCGATTCCGCTTATGACCCATCCTGACGGAGAAAACTTGTCGAATTGGCACAGATGGGGCGTCTTGAAGGACGAGGGAGCGATATTTTCGGGGAAAGAGAAAAAGAAAAAAAGCGGCAGAAAAGCACCGACCGCCTTTCCCCCAATCTTATCGCTGCCCCACGAAGAAATTCATTTCTCCCTCTCAACTCGCCCCTCTCCCTCCCATTGACTCCGATCTCGACGTCGCATTGCCCCCGCAACCATGGGCCGGTCTTCCAAGGATAAGCGCGATGCCTACTACCGCCTGGCGAAGGAACAGAACTGGCGAGCACGCTCCGCTTTCAAGTTGATCCAGATCGACGAACAATTCGATCTATTCGAGCACGAGAACCCCGAGAAAGTGACCCGGGTTGTCGATCTCTGTGCCGCCCCCGGCAGTTGGAGTCAAGTACTCAGTCGAGTGCTCATTAAGGGAGAAAGTTTTGGTCGGCGGTCGTGGGTGGAGAAGAAGCGCAAGGAAAAGGAGGCCCTGGCGAAAGCACACACGGAGGGTGCGGGACAGGACGAGGAGGTCGATGATAATGGTGAGGCGGAATTGAAGCCTAGGGCAAATGTGAAGATTGTTTCGATCGATTTGCAGCCCATGGCTCCGCTGGAAGGCATCACCACCCTCAAGGCAGACATCACCCATCCTTCAACCATCCCTCTTCTTCTCCGAGCCCTCGATCCCGACGCCTACGATTCTACCGCCGCTTCGCCCTCTGCCCTGCGACCCCCTCATCCCGTCGACTTGGTCATTTCTGACGGTGCTCCGGATGTCACTGGTCTGCACGATTTGGATATCTACATTCAGTCCCAATTGCTCTACTCGGCGTTGAACCTGGCCCTAGGTGTCCTCCGGCCGGGAGGCAAGTTTGTCGCAAAGATCTTCCGCGGTCGCGACGTCGACTTGATTTATGCACAGCTGCGCACGGTCTTCGAGAAGGTCAGCGTTGCGAAACCGAGGAGTAGTCGGGCCAGTAGTCTGGAGGCATTCGTGGTCTGTGAAGGTTTCATCCCCCCGGCCATTCACGATGGCTTGATCGGAATGGAAGCGTTGAAAAACCCGGTATTTGGCGGCGCTGCAGCTCCTCGTCCCACGTCTGCCGATGGCAACCTAGGCCAGGAGGTGATGGATGAGGACAATCTGTCGGTGCCGAACGGCATCAACCTCACGACGGCAGGAGCAGTGTCGACCGATTCGAACCAGTCGATCCAAACCCGCCTGCTTCATTCTGACTCCCAAGCCTCAGGGACGCCAGAACCCCTGGCACACAAGCCCGTCGCCGAGAAATTCGCCGTCGAAAACAGATGGATCCCATCTTTCATTGCCTGCGGTGATTTGTCTTCCTGGGACTCCGACGCTTCCTACGCTCTACCCCCAGACCACGTTAGTCTGGAGCCTGTCCAACCACCTACCGCACCGCCTTACCGGCGCGCTCTAGAATTGAGAAAGGAGAAGGGCGGCGCATATGGCAAAACGAGATTGGGGGCGATGGGACGAGCATGAGGAAGGTCCAGCTACTAACCAAAAGTATTTAAACGTACAGTTGTCACGATCATGAATTTTGCTTGGCTTGATTTATTTGCATTTTTGGGTGGTCGAAGATGGGCTTCTACACATGCAAAGAAGGAATTGGGGAGAGAACACAAGATTTCAAAATAAGTATATATCACAGATACCCATAGATTCTTAAAATTAAAATAGAGAATACTCTTTACTGGAATGACCGAAAATCAACATGAAACCTGTACATGGAATTCGAGATGAGGTAAATACTGTAAGTCTATATGCAAAAGAAACATGGCGCTAAACTCGGGAAGTCGTCCACTTCATGCACAACGAATGCGGAGAAACGTTGACCTGCCCACCGACGAGAATTACCAACGACTTCGGCTTCTACCTTTTCTTCTTCAGAATGTCATAACCATCGTGATTCTAGTACACTTCCAGAACGTATCTCTCCTCGTCCTTCAACTTCTCGATCTCCTTGCGCGCCTCGACCTTCTTGCCGTTGTTCTTGGCCTCGGTGGCGATGGCTTCTTCCAAGACCGCAGTGACGTCGGGCACGGGCCAAGTGGGACCGCAAAGGTAGAAAGCACCTTCTTCACGGATGTACGCCTGGATGATCTCGGGCAGAGACTGGCGCATGCGGTCCTGGATGTAGATCTTCTCAGGCTGGTCACGGGAGAAGGCGCGACCCAGGAGGGTGATGACACCGGCCTCCTGGTAGGCTTCCCACTCCTCACCGTAGCAGTACTCCTCGCGCTGGTGACGGGAGCCCATGTACAAGAGCACCGAACCGATCTCCTTGCCTTGGGCCTTCTCGAGCGCACGGTGCTGCACGAAGGCACGGAAGGGCGCCAAACCAGTTCCCAGACCGGCCATAATCAGGGGCTGGGTGGACTTGGGCGGCAGCTTCATCACGCTGGACTTGACGCTGACGGTGATGGGGGCGCCTGGCTGAAGTGCGCTCAGGTACCGGGTGGCAAGACCGAAGCGGTCCCGTCCAGTAGGGTCGGTCCAGTTGACGGCCACGATCATGAGTGCCACAGAGGTGGGGGTCACCTTCTGGCAGGAGGCGATGGAGTACTCACGACGCTTGAGAGGCCCGATGATGCGAGCCAGGTCGTGGAACTCGGGGTGAGCCGATGGGTACTCGCGCAGAATATCGACGAAAGTGACCGTGTCAACCTCAGCACGACGCTTGAACTCGGCAGCGCCCTCGGGTGCAGCCAAGTTGAGAAGGGCCTTCTTCTCAGTCTCGTCGGTGGCATATTCGGCGAGAGCTTCATAGAAGCGCTTGGGTGGGCGACCATAGATATCAAGGTTCTGGACGAGAGCCTGGTAGACGGTACGGTTCTCCAACACGGCGACATCCTCGCGGCTAGGAACCTCAACAACGTCTTCGGTGTTCAGGCCGTAGAACTGGATGAAGTCCAGGACGTCGGCGGGGTCATTCTCAGCGTGCACACCCAGCGCCTCACCGATGTCGTACTTGAGACCAGAGTCACCCAGATCGAACTCGATGTGGAAGATGTTCCGATCATACGTGACAGGGGTCAAGCGCCTGTTCTCCTTGACGTGGACAGTGAAGGTCTTCGTGGCCGTCTCGGGGCGAAGGGCATTCTTGGTTCCATAGGCCTCCTTGAAAGCTAGACCCTTAGCGGCGGTCTTCCAATTCTTGAGGTAGCCAGGAGCCTCGGTGTCATCCTTGTCGAAGGAAGCAAAGCTGTTCGGGGAGATGTCCTTGGGCAGTTGAGGAATCTCAGAGCCCTCCTCGGGAGTCTTCCAGGCTTCGGGGATCTCAATTTGACGGAGAATCTTGCTGAGGTCGTTGCTCACAGTCTGCAAGGATTCAGTGTTGCCGGTAACGGAAGCCAGCTTCTGGATACCGACACCTTCCTGCGAAGGCAAAGCAACCCGCAAGAAAGCAGTCTGGAGGACGGTAGGCTCCAGAGAAGAGTCGTTCACAACCGATGGATCGACAACGTAAACGTTGATTCCACGCTGTGCAACCGCGAGTCTGAATGCAACGGGCAGCTTCTTCTCGAGTTCATCGTCCTTGACGCCAGGGGCATTCACAATAAGGTTGCCTCCCTGCTTGACAGATGCGGGGATATCGATCTCTCCCAGCAGCTTGACGTCTCCAACGTAAGCGGTATCGGCAGCAGTGACGGAGTAGGGAGCATCCACGATCTTAGAGCTCTTGCGAATGTCAATACGGATGGCTCCTCCCTGGACAAGGTTGTCGTGAGCCTTGCTCGTGGTAACGTTGCTAGAGGAATCGGCAGCGAGAGCCTGGGAGAGGGCGGCGGTGGCGTTGTCGCAGACAGAAGTGTCGACATCCCAGAAGGAATATTCTTGCACGGTAGCAGGGTCAAGCAGTTGAAGAGGGGCAGACTGGCCGTCGTTCTGGACAATGGGTTTCTCAAAGATGAGCTGGAAGGAGGCGGCAGTGTTGATGAGGTCCCAGCGCTGCGAGCGGGCATATTTGACGTCCACGCAGGCAGGAATGTGTTCACGACCACTGGCGAAGGTCAAGGCCGCAAGGACATCTTCATAGAGAGCGGACCGAACGCCCTGCTCCTGGACGGCTTGCTCATTTGCAACCTGGCCCAGAACACCGACGGTCTTAACCGACTTGGGGAGCACCCGGAGGAATTCTTCCTCGACAAAGGGGCGATACACGCGGACGTTGATGACACCCACAGGAACGCCATCCTTAGCCAAGGTACGGGCGACCTGGGCAGTAAGTGAAGCCTCGATGGTGCCAAAAGCAACGAGAACAGACACGGGCTCAGCATGGCCGTGGTATTCAAAGAGGCCGTAGTCGGTGCCCAGCTCGCCGTTCAGGGACTGAACCAGCTCCAGCAGCTTTCCCTCGGTGTCGAGGTGACGGCTGCGCGAGTCCTCCAACGTCTTGCGGACGGTCTCATAGGTGCGAGCGAGGCCAGCCTGGTCCAATACATCGATAACGCGGGTATTCTCACGGCCAACGCGAACGCCGTCGAAGATGTGAATGGAGGGCAACACGGTTGCGAGAAGAGTGGTCAACAGAGCCATGTGCTGCGATTCGTGGACCGAGGCGCTCGAGACGAGACCCAGTTCCAATTCTTCGGCGATGGAGAGAGCGGAGGCATAGTCCGAAACGAGGCCCTCCTCCCCGGCGTAATCGACGGCAGCGACATGAGCAGCGACGGGGCTGGCGACGGAGTAGAGAAGAGAAAGCTGCTCCAAAGCAGATCGCATGAAGGGGAGGGTGGCGGAGGAGGCGACGATACCCTGGGGAACGTGGCGCTTCTTCAGATCGAAGTCCTGGGAGAAGAGATAGCCCAGGGCGATGCTACCGGCACCTTGGCGAGTCTCCATTGTCTTGAGCGCAGGCGACTCGCCATTGGCGTTGGTCTCCTGCTTCGAAGCCCATTCCCGGAGAGCCGTATCCAAGTCAAAGGACTCTGGGGAATAGGAGAAGATCTTGTCACTCAGGACGTAAGCTACTTGCTGAATGAGGGTTTGCGCCGTGACATAGGTCGGGCCACTAAGAGCCGACAAAGCAGGGGATTGAGCGCCCATGCTGGAGGATTTCCTGTCAAACGGCACGACTCGAGTGAAAGGAACCTCGAGTAGGGAAACGAGGAAATATAAGCAGTTGAGGGGGAGGCAATAGGGGTGGAGAGCCCGCCGCCATTTTCAATAAAATGTATAGAAATGCCGTTTGCCACATCCGGGATAGCGCCGATCACGCAATTTCTTATCGAAGGGATTTTGTCGGCGGTGAAATATGGCAGAACCTCCGCTGTCGGAGTTTCCCCGCATGAGTCAGCATCACATGCCGGTGCACACCTGAGGCAGTACTGTGTCCCGTTCTGGGTTAGCGCCTGGCCGGATGCATTCACGTCATCCGCGGCCCTTCCGTTGCATTTGCATCTCCTCTTTCAGTTTTCCTGCAGTCTTGTTGTTATACGACCACCAACTTTGGAGAAATCATGGCGAACGTTGCATTGATTGGATGCACTGGCATGGTGGTAAGCATCTCCATCATAATGATTTTCCTCGGGCGAGGTCACGCCGGGTTATGACGTTCTTACTCTTGTAACCCTTTTCTACGGACCTATCATTCAACCATCAGGAATGAAGTGCATAACAGCTGACTTACCATTCCAACTTAACCTGTCATGAAATAAAGGGAAGCCATATTCTCACCAGTCTGCTTGCACACCCTGCCGTCGCTCGAGTAGACACCATCTCGCGTCGGACTCCCCAGGCTGCTTCCACCGCGCAAGCGAAGCTAACGACATTTGTCAACGACGATACATCCCGTTGGGCAAGTCAGCTTTCCTCGCTCACTCCTACACCCTCGATCTTTATCTCTTCTTTTGCGACCACTCGTGGCGCGGCGGGTGGCTTTGAAAACCAGTACAAGATCGAGCATGGCCTGAATATTGAGATGGCGCGGGCAGCACGCGACGCGGGAACCAAGGTCTACGTCCTGATCTCGTCGAGTGGTGCTAGCAAGACCTCATCCATCCCATACACCCGGATGAAGGGTGAAATCGAAGAAGACATCAAGGAGATGGGCTTTGACAAGACGGTCATCCTGCGCCCTGGCCTTATTGCCGGCACGAGAGAAGAGAGTCGCCCCCTAGAAGCTGCGATCCGTTATGTTGCCTCTTTTGCGGGTAAAGTACACTCCAGTCTCAAGAACGGCTGGGCTCAGGAAGCGGATGACATTGCCAGAGCTGCAGTTAATGCCGGTCTGAAGGCGCTGGAAGGTGACGTTCCCGCTGGTAGTGAGAAGGTCTGGGAATTGAGCGGCAGCGACATTCTCCGGCTTGGAAAGGAAACCACGAGCTGAATTTGACATTGAAGATGACAAATTTGATTATGGATATCCATACTTGGTGGATAGGGCGTCTAGCTGTATATGACTTAATTTACAACTGTTCAGGAACTATCCCATGGAACGCTGATGGAGTTTCATTACTACACCGCACGCCGAGATTAAATATATGTATCAAGACATGTAAATCTAGTCGGCCATCCTCCCTTTAGCAACAGAAAACACAACCAATCTATTGCTTCCCCACCTTCACCTCGCCATGCTTCCTAGCCGACCCTCTCGAGCTCGGCTTTTCCTTCTCAACATTCCGATCGGCGCCTCCCTCCTTCGGCGGCCGCATCTTACTCGTCTCCTTATTCGCGGGGCTCATATTCAACGGGTTGCTCACTTTCCCTTCCCGCTGAGATTCCTCCTCGGTGGCTTCGATCTCGCTTTCCGGCGACGTCCGATGCGGGTCATACGCAGCTGGATGCGCGGCGACTTCGTTGTCTGTCCCGGTTTGCGCGGTTTCCGTGCGCTGCGGATCCAGCACGTGGCGATCGTGCGTTCGATCCTCTTCGTCGCCTTTTTGCTCCTTCGTGGTCCGCAGGGCCCCGAATGCGTGGAAGTTCCTGCTATACGCGATGGCTGGGAGAGTTCGTGGCGCTGTAGTAGTTCGGATTTGCACTCTGGAGGCGTTTCGGATGGCGGATTGGCCTAGTCGAGGTAGGGAGATGAGTTCTTTCCACATGATGGTAATGGTGGTTGGATTGGGTCGAGTGCTTTTATATCTGTTTGTATGTATGTATGCGGATATATTTCGTATCGAGTCTGTAGCGCGGTAAGCATTGGGGCGATTGCGAGGGTTTAAGAATCTGGTTTACACTACCTTATTTGAGGAATTGATAACTCGTAGAACAATTGGATAACATGGAAAGAAAGAAAAAGAAAAGGAGAGGAAATAACCCCGTGGTTTCTTGAGGGCGAATTCCAGGTTGTTGAACGGTCATGTTGACGTCATTGCCTGACGTATGAAAAGGCCGTGGCAGCCTGACGGCCTGAGGGCCTGAGGTTTCCATTTGCCAAGCATTTCGCCGGTTTTCCCATCTCTCTTCGAAGTTATAACAGACAATATCCTGATCGAAGAATGCTTCTTCCTCGACAACTGTCCATATTATCATTTTACGTAGTGGAACTCATTCATTGAAATCATCTGTAACCTCTACGAAGTCGGTATACCCACAGAGACCCACCTTGTGAAGATGTCTGATCCGCCAGGTAACTACGCGGTGTATATCTCGTCGCTCGAGTAAAGAAGAAATCATCCATTTTGAAATCATTGAAATTGAACTTATGTAGTCGTGATTGTAAAATTATGACCGGAGCTCTTTGAAAGACTCAGGAAGTCCATCTTTACAATCCACAGTCACGCAAAAGCGACTGCATTTTACAGCCTTCGTCAAGACGCAAGGCAAAAGCCAGGAAAGCGACGGAGGCCTGAGAACTCTGTTTGATTGCAGGACACTGGCACAGCCGGTTTGTTCACTTTGGTTAATGATAGACGGGTTGGAGTTGCGTCGCTGCCTAAGGGCACAAAGAGAAACCCCGACTCATCCGAGATCAAGAGCGGCGAAATGAAGCTGACCATACCTAATGGATTGACATCAGTCGAGCTTGAATGTGCCACGTCAATCAGACCATTGAATTGCGGCGTAGTTACAGGAGTGTGATAACACCTTGATCATGCATCTCGGTACCACTCTTTGACTGCCCGGAGTGTAAAGTCCAAGGCAGCCATGTAGGAATAGACTCGTGCGAGGCGGGTTGAGGCGAAGGAATATTCATATGACGAGGATAGGCTATGCGTAATGCGAGAATCCGCCTTTTCCTTTTTATAATTGATGATCTTATTTCGTATTATTTGTGGCTGCATCGGGGGGCAATTGCACCATGGTCATAGTACATGTACCTCGTCTAGTACAGTACGTCGCCTATTCTGTATTCTGTCACAATTGAATTCAGCGGCACAGAGGCCATGGCTGATGGAAGGGCCAGAGCATGCACATGTAAAAAAGAAACAGCCACCAAACCTGTATTGTGTAAAAAAGGCACTCGCAGGTGCTTACTTGCAGATGCGAGGACCCGCTTTCAACCCCTCGGCGCGAGTCTGTGGGCCTTGTACTTGAGTGACCCCGGAACCTAGGGGTGCAACCGACAGGGTTCGTCTTAGCTGCATATGGCTCATGGCTAGCAGAAGGGATCGATTGGACATGAGCCGCTGATGAGCTTTGACAATTTTTTCTCAGATAGCCAATCCCGATGCGCAGGCAGAGCACAACAGCTATGCTCGGTCACCTTAAAATTTGAAAAGCATGATTGCAATCGGTTATTTGTCGCTTGCGAAACATGGGATGCGTAAAGTGCAGAGACACACGCTGACAATTGCGGTCACGGGATCAAAGAAGCCCAGCATGCTGGTCCAGACATGTGGGTTACATAAATCCAATTTCAACGTCATCGAGAGCTAAAAAACAACACTAGAAATGACTAGTAGGCAGCAGATAATGGTGGTGTCGTTTTTGGAAAAAGACAAGCGGCTCCGTCGGTTGGGCAGAAGTTGTGCTGTTCATGTTAATCGGTTTGACCCTGGTTGCCGATAGTATCATCGCCATAGCCAAAAATAGGCTAGAAACGGTGAGAGTGAGACAGGGTGTGAAAAGATGGTGGATGGGTGGCAAATCGTCTAATCACATTGGGGCAGGGCTCGTCGAGAATGGGAAGACGGCTGACTGTCACTACTGCCTGGTCATTGCGGCTGTAATCCGGAAACAGTGGCCGCTGAGTTGGCAATCAACTCTTGCCATGGATCCGTGGTTCGAAAGCCCCGTGTCTAAGCAACTAAATGGACCGGTCTGGCGATCCTGTCCAGCGAAAGGTTGACGGACGTGCGAGAGAACCTGGCATATCCGGGCAAGCGGAGACCCGAAAGGGTTTCCTCAACCATTCGTCAATGGCGGAAGGGACGCTTCCAGAGGTTCTCGCTTGACACCTTCTAGGTCATAGATTGACCATTTTTTTCGCCTCGAAATTCTCCTTGAGAGCCTGAAAACGCAGAAAATGGAGTAAGTCGGGCCAGACGAAGGACGCCACGTCAGAGTCTCCGAGCTTTAGTGCAGATGCATGGGTTAAACAGTAGGTGTACCGTGTCACGGATTGTGTCTGCCATGCCCGATGCACAGAAGTGCCATCCTATCATCTCGACAAAACAATGCAAGTATATTGAGTAAAACCCTGCACCTGAGCGGGGGCAAATGCGGGATTATTCGTCTGCAGATGTGAGAGATCAGCTGAAAGGGATCGTCTGCGAATGAACAAGAGGGTTCGTCATGCCACAGAGAACAACTGCGGCTGCCAAAGACCATTTCTCGACGACGCATCGGATGCCAATCGATATCTCCTAGTGACGCGTCTTTCGCCACTAAAGGTTAAAAACCATTGATCACAGTGGTCAAACGGGAACTTGCGGATGACGAGACAGCCATTGGCACACAAGTCAGATATCCTTGCACGGAAGGAGAGATGGAGGGGAGGAGGTGGATAGCGACGTAGGGTTGCAACTAGAGACTAGTAGCATACCTGATTGGCAGAGCCAGCAATGCCCTGAGAGAAAAGAGGGGATTGCAACGGAAAAAGAAAAGACAAAAAGGGGAAAGATTGAAAGACAGGACCCAAGTGAAGCTTTGTCTCGGACTCCAGTTTGTCCTCGGTCGTAACTCCATACTAGAGCTTATGACGCTAGGAGCAGCTAGTACTAGAACTAATTGGATGTCAGTGAATAACCAAGCAGTCACGTAGGGTAGGATACCTTACACCGTTCTAGAAATCCGAACCTGTGATCCCACCTGCATGTAAGGGTCAGGCATCATGTCAATTTCCTTTTCCAGATTATTATTTTCTTTATTTCATTATTTCGTTGGGCTGGAACACTAGATTAGTCTGAGATGGGATGGGGAAGGCTCCAGCGTAAGACAGTACGACAACTGGCACAGTGAAGGAGCAACTGATCATGCAGGAGCTTTGATTCAGTAACCGGAAACAATGTCTGCTTCTCGAGAGACAACTTGATACGGAGTCCGTCAACATAAACGAAGCGGGGAAGATCGATTGAGCAACCAAGCCAAGCTGTGACAAGAGCACATTGACTCGGAATGAGGGATTTTCACGGTTGAACTTGGAGCAGAGGAAATGAAGCGGCCACGGCAGCAGGATGCATGCATTCGTGAAGCATCCATTGAGCACCATTGTCCCGCAACGGGAATGTTGTGGCCATACCGTGTCTCCACAGCTGGGCGAGCTCGTTGTAGCCAACCGTAAGGGGCATTTGTGGGATGTGATGCGAATGTGATGATAGAATGCCTTAGTCGATAAGCCATCGCAAACCGGCGAGAGTTGATCGACAGCAGGTGGATATGGTGACAGGAGAGTGCTGGATCGTAACATGGAAGCTTCCCACGAAACATAAATAGGGCCGCCATTCCCTCATGTTGATGGACTCTGAATCAATATCAGTTTCAGACACAGCCTTCTCAAGCAATTCTATAAGCAACAAAGCCTTTTTTCTTCAAAAAGACCTGTTTCATTTTTCAGTCTGCCTTCATAGCTCACCAGGCATTGTTCAAGCCTGGCCTATCAAATTTGGAACGGCGGCAGAACCAGCGGACCGAGCCAATAGCATAGAAGACGGAAGGTGAAACGTCCATACTGCACCAGGAATAAGTAAGTTTGGTAATCACCCCAGACAGACCCAGCCTGACAGATTTGATAGGCATGTGCTTTTACAACCAAAAGCGATTTGTGTGCGGGGACTGGAGTTGGACCAGTTTTGACCACCGGTGCAACTATGAGTACCGAACAGGCGAGACGTGTGGCATGAGACTGGTGAATGTGACCGAGCATGAGCCGGCACAATGCCGTCTTTGCGAAAAGATTGAAACCAAGTTTCGTCGGCGAAGCGCCGAGATGGAACGGTTGACCCGGTGGAAACGCGAAGGGGGCACACTTGTAGCCTCAATGGACCGGTCACAGAAGCTCATCATGGAACTGGAAAAGGAGATTTTCCAACTTCAGCGAGAACGGGAGGACCGAAGGAAGACCTACAAGACTTGAAAGTGCAAGGTCTTGATGATGAAACTCATGCAAAGAGACGGGGCAATGGCAAAGGGCGAAGCCTTTGGTCCACTCGTTTTTTCGTTTTTCTTTTGTCTCTTTCCTATCCTTGTCTAATTTCTTTTCTTTTTCTTTTCTCTTCGCTTCTTTTTTATTTGGTGGAGTCTAAGCTTGATTCCCTCACCAGCGATCTTTTCTTTCTTTTTCCCTCCTTTTCTTTTTGAAAACGACTTTTTGCTGTGTCGAATTCTGCCTGTTAATTTTGGTGTCTCACAGTCATGGGCCACTCAGCTGATATGGTTCATTGGCTGCAGCATCATATCGGGTTGGTCTTCGTCAGAAAGCAGGCAGACCCGTCTGATGGTTGGAGGAAAAGGCCGATAATGATGTAAAACTGCCGTTCACGAAATATGCAATCCAATGAACTGTTTCCATTTCTCCAAATCTTGCATACTTGGGCGGTCTCGTCAGGGGGGGTCAGTTCCACTCAATAAGCGCCTGTATTCTGGATGAGCGGTTCGCCACGACAAGGATGAAACGGTTGTACATCTTGCCATTGCAGGAAATTAAGGAAGTCCTGTGCAGAAAGGGCCGGCCCTCCCGACAGATTCACCAGGAAGGACATCATCTAATGGTGTTGAATGGCCAAATCATTAAGCCATGGGAACAAGGTAGAATCATAGAATGACAGTAGAGGCGAATGTAGAGTATGGAGGAACGTTGTTTACTGCGGGACCGTCGAAACCCCGCGGGCCCGACACACGTGATTCCGGCCGGGTCGGGGTTAGCGCGGGTCAATCTTCAGCTGGTTGAGGATGGAGATCGATGGTTAGCATGAAACATCTGTCGTCGCTTCCCTCTTCCATTTCAGCTCACTTCAGCTCAGCCCGGTCAGGAGGGGCCTCTCACCGACATTCTTTTGAACGCCAGATCTCCTACTATTCCGCTTTAGGATCTCTGTTGGCTCGAAGATGTCTTGCAGAACGTGTTTGAGAACGTTACAGTGAAGACCCTCTGCAGCGGCGGGTCCCTGGAATGTTCGACAGTAGATGGTGCTCGCTGTGGATGGCTTGAATTCCCGGGATCCTTTTTCGCTATTCTCTCAAAAATTAGGAAGAAAGTCTTCCTAAGAGGAGAAGAAAGAGAGAAAGAATCAAAGATTACTAGTTCAACTCGATGGCTGATCACCTCTTATATGGAAGACCGACTCGGGAAAATTCTCCCTACTGACAAAGAGATTCTTCACGATTTTCAGGGAATGTGAAAATTCCCGACTACGTGGACCATTTATTTTTCGTCTTCAGCTACACACCTGGGCAACCTGGCCTGAACAAGCGGGAACAAACGTTAGAAATGAACCATTTGTTGCTCAAATCGACGTCGCCGCTTGCCACGTCACCGATGGACAACGTCAGTTGCGCCTGAGATGCAGCGGCCAAAGGCCTCAATAACTACCTAGGAAGCTGTGTGGATTATGTTTCAGTCACATTCGATCCTCCCGGGATTGGCACTTGGGAGTTGTGTGAACTAGGGATGGTGACTTCTTTCGGTAGGACAGTCTCCAGCAACAACAATGGGATTATGTAGATCAGGTAGCAGAGAAAGAAACACGTCGCTCATTTATTTATTTGATTTCACCAGCCTCCGGCTCGTCGTCAACCTTGGCCAATCCATGTTCCTTTAGGAGGGCATTGATCTCGTCGGCGTTCCACAGGTGGTGGAAGATCTTCCCTTCCGGGGTCTTGCCCACCGTTGCGAATTCGACTAGAGGTAGGAGAGATTCCATCAGTGCATGTTCCCAAACGGCGTAAGAAGCAGAAGAAACACTTACTCTTTTCGCTGCTGAGTTTCGTCGAATCCATCGTCTTGCTCAGGACCTTGACGGCCATAGCACAGGCCTCCTTCAGATCGCAGTCCTCCTTGTAATCTTGCTTCAACAGGCTCTGAGCACTGGCGTTGTTCGCGCCGACGCTAGTCGCCTTCCAGCCGCCGTAGTTACCACTGGGGTTGCTCTGGTACAACTGGAACTGCCGAAGGGGATCGTACCCGGCGTAGATGAACGACACACCGAACGGACGCAGACCACCATGCTGGGTATATCCTTGCTTCAGATCGCACAGGCGACGAACCAGCTGTTCGCAGGGGATTTCTTCGTTGTAGGTAAGAAGATATCGCTGGGCGGCTTGTCGGGCGTAGTTGATGAGGATGTTGGCGTCGGCGGTCATACCAGCAACGGCACAGATCATGTTGCTATACCCATCATTAGCCCCCAACCACTGTACAAAACTATCGTCACAGGGAGATGGATTGCCTACTCGTTCAATGTGTAGAGTTTCTCCGCAGACGTGTCCTGCTCTAGCAGCTTGCTGGTGACCTTTTTCTCTGCAGCAAGGACGATTCCGTCCTTCGCCAAGATACCGAGGGCGGTACCGGCGTGCGAGATAGCTTCGAGCGCATACTCGACCTGGTACAGTCGGCCTTCCGGAGAGAAGATGGTTGTCTGTTGAAGGACGGCGTCATCTCGTTAGCTGGGAGCTCCGGGAATGATGAAATTGGAATTCCGGCATACCCTGGAATCGTATCTGCGTGACATATTGAATCGAGCGATAAAAAAAATAAAGATCAAATGACAAAGGGAAGCTCTATGAGAAAGAAACCCGCGGGGGTGGAGAGAGAGAGGTCGAGGGATGAAGAGTGGGCAAGCGGACGTAGGCAGGAGGATGGATGATGATGGTTGGGTGAGCTTCCAGTAGTGCCCGGAAGGCAACTTCGCCCTGGCGCGTCCTTCTCATCTGCCAAGCTCGGACCACTCTGGAAGAAGCTCTTCGGCCGCAAAATTGCACTCCGCACGCCATTCTCTCCGCAAATCCCTGGATATTGTTGGATATGGACTTTCGGAATTCTTGCGCTTCTTGAACCGGACTATTGAAATTTGGGTATATTGCGAGCCATAATGCTGAAATCTACGTATACCCCTCCCCCTCCTCTACCACCGGGGTGGACAGAGCATCGGGCTCCTTCAGGTTGGTTGCGACAGTCCTGTCATAGGAAGACGTCTGACAATAAGCTAGGTCATCTATACTACTACAATGCGCAGACAAAGAAGTCCACCTACACCAGACCGACCGCGCCCCCAGCTCAACCTCAACAGCCCTTTCCCACCCCAGTGGCCGCTCAGAGCGCTCCATTCCTAACCCCAGACACCTTACCGCCATTCTCTTCGACCCCGTACGCACCCGGACTGGGGATACCATCCCAAGAAATTCCTCACCGTGGTCACAATCGCGGAGGTTTTCGCGGAGGAAGAGGAGGGTTTAATGACCGCAGAAGCCGAGGGCCTGAAGATCGGCCAAAGTCCAAGCATACGATACCGGGGTGTGCGCCGTGGGTCCTTGTAAAAACAAAACTTGGGAGGAGATTCGTCCACAATCCGGAAACCAATGAAAGTTTCTGGAAATTCCCCGAAGATGTTCTGAAGGGGGTTGTGGAATACGATCGTCTAGAAAGGGAAGAAAAGGAGAGGAAGGAACGCGGCGAGGATGCTGAGGAACCTGTCAAATCCAAACCCGAAGCGGAATCGGACCTAGTGGGTGGAAGGGAAAGTGACCGCAAAGAAGCCCTCGTCACAGGCGGTGCCGAGGAAGACAGTGACGAGTACGAAGAAGTCGAAGTCACAGACAGTGAGGAGGAAGATGGTCAACCTACGAAACGCCCGAAGACCGAAGACGATTTTGGGCAGCAACAGCCAATGGAATTTACGGAGGAAGATTTCGAATATCAGCTAGCTGCGATGGGCGAGGACTACGGGCTTGACCCTGGCGAGTACGGCGAGCTGGGAGAAGGCGATTGGGAAGAAGGTGCCGAAGGGCTGCCGCTTACGGACGAGGATGCCACAGCTCTATTCCGAGATCTACTCGATGACTACCATATAAACCCATATTCGACCTGGGAAAACATCATTGAACAGGGCCACATCATAGAGGACTCCCGATACACCGTGCTGCCCAACATGAAAGCTCGCCGTGAAGTGTGGTCCAACTGGAGTCGCGATCGAATTCAAGTGCTCAAGGACCGCAAAGAGAAGCAGCAGAAGGAAGACCCACGCATTAAGTATCTGGCGTTCCTTCAAGAATACGCAACGCCGAAACTATACTGGCCCGAATTCAAGCGCAAATATCGAAAAGAGCCTGAGATGAAAGATTCAAAGCTATCCGATAAGGACCGAGAAAAGTTCTATCGCGACCTGGTTTCTCGGCTGAAACAGCCCGAAAGCACTCGCAAGTCAGACCTGTCTGCCTTGCTCAAATCTATTCCATTGTATGAGTTGAATCGCTCGTCGAGTCTGGAAGCTCTTCCACCTTCCATCGTTACCGATCTGAAGTACATTGCGCTGGCACCCAAAGTGCGCGATCCTCTCATTGAAACCTACATAACCACTTTGCCTCCAGCTCCGGAACAGGAAAATATGACTGCTGAACAGCGAGAGGAACTGGAGAAGAAGAGACTGGAGCGTGAAAAACGGGAGAGGGCGTTGGCAGAACGCGAGAAACAGGTGCAGGAAGAGAAACGAAGACAAAGAGGGGACCTTGTGCGTGGCAAACATCTCTTGAGAGAGGGTGAAGCAGAGGTTGAAGAAGCTATGAAGGTGGGCCGAGCAGGACTCCAAAGCTACGTTGATGCCGACAAAGAGACATCAAAGGATGGGGATCAAGTGGAACACAATTAACTATAGAACGTAGCTTAAATCCACATTATCTGATATAATACATGGTCATATCATTCATCCTGTTTCCCTGCCAGATGGACCGTTTTCGTTTTGCCCAACCAAGTCAAGTACATTCACAAGGTTGCCAATTTCAATTCATGATCCAGCGGTTGGGGTTCAGACAAGCATTCTGATACATTAGGGGGGGGGGGGGGGGGGGATAATCAACAATTTTTGTGACTTCATATAGCTCATGGGGTATCAATGTAAACATGAACAGTCCAAGACCTCCTTTGTAAAAGTTGACGCCTTTCCGTTTTTCCAGTTCTGTATTACCTAAATCTCCAATTATCCCATTCGTCATCATCGTCATCGTCGTCATCATCATCTTCCTCTTCGTCCTCGCTGTCATTCTTCTTGGTTTGATCCTCCTGAAGCTCCCCGGTGGAAGTAGACAAGTCCATCTGGTTGGTATCTGTACCGTCCACGGCTCGCTTCTTCCTCAACTCCTCCCGCATGTGTTTCAATCGTCTGACACGCTCCTCTAGTTGATCCATTTCATCAAATTCATCCTCCATGAATCGTGCGGCATCTTCACGTTCCCCTTCAGCCTCGGCTTCGCGAGACCGGGCGGCCGTTTGGTTGTCTCGCTCTTGCTGCGCAGCAAGCTGTTCGGTTGTGATGGGAGCCGCCGTTATAGTGGCTGACGCGGCAAGCGCAGCGGGCGCCTGTGAGACTCGAGTTGGGGCCACTACATCCCGTTCGAAGGCGGCCCATTCATCTTCGTCGACGGCCTGCTTGGGGGCCTCTGTAGGTGGATTCAAAGTTACAGCAGGTGATTCGGATGGCTGTGCGCTCACTTGCTCCGTGTCAGGCACGACGTCTTCCGCGGGTGGTAGTTCCGGGCCAGCAGCCTCATGATCTGAATGTTCAATGCTTTCATCTGCCTCCAGCGCCTGGGCACTTGGAGGCTGTACTGTTTGGGCATGCGCCAGCAGTTGATCACCGTTTGTCTGTCTCAACTTTTTGCGCGTCAGGTCTTCGCCGGAGTCTACCTTTCGCTTCTTCGTGACGCGGTTTGGTGCTCTCCCTGTCTGGGATGATGAGCCCTTGCGGGAGGCAAGCTCGCTTCTTAGTAACGATCGAACATCTGCCATGATAGGGGTATAGTGGTAGAAATAGGAAGAGGAAGAGACGTCCGAGGGATGCTACAAGGTAGAGTTAAAGAGTAATTTGAAGATGAGAAAGATCGAGAAAGAAGAGGATGTGGGGATCTGGAGAAAGCCGTCGAAGGCGCCGAAAAATAGAATGCAACGCGACGATTAATGCAGGGCAGCAGAAGCGCCTTGCCAAGCCCTCCCCGCCGAGCCGCGGTCACGTGTGTGCTGAGTCAGTGGGCGCGCCATCTCGGTTTCTCCTCATTTCTTCCCAAGAGTTGCCTTGCCCTTTCCTTCCTTCTTCACTTCCATCTTCCATCCACCTCACGAATCGCCGCGTTCATCTCCATCAGCGACCCGGCGCGACTGCTGCGATTATTCTCTCAGCCTCTTTGTCTGTTCCGACCATAACACACGTTTCCAATCAGGAAAGCGACCACGCGACCCCGCCCACGCCAAGCATTCACGCTGCGCGCGACTTTGCGTTCCAACAGTGACCTGACAACACCAGGGTCGGAGCTACGTCTGGCTGTGACGCGTTGTGTCCTTTAAATAAACTACCTGGAAGAATTGAGAAGACAAGAAGTAATACCTGATTGGGCCGGGCAGCAGTGCCACTGTCCAGTCTCTTCCCCTGTGTATTACTTTAGCCCTCTGATGCCGTAGAACGAGATCTGGGTGGCGTGCGCAAGACTTGATCCCCGACGAATTCTTTTCATTCATCGTCGCGCTGTAGAAATTTTGAAAACCAATCGTTAAATCCATTTGGCCCCTCATCATGGCTGGTAAGCAATAGTACACCCAAGTCCGTCGCAAGCAGGCCCTTTCTACCGGAGAGTGCTGTGGCGACTGGACCCAGCTCCGTCCTCACATTGATTCACCAAGCTAACAAGCGCTTCAGATGAACCGCGACGCTCCGGTCGCTCGACCAAAGGCCAGCACAAGAACCTCGATCTGATTCCCGATACGCCGAAGAAATCGAAGACCAAAGCTCAGGCAAAGGACAAACCGCCCAAACCCTCCGCCGAACCAACGCCGGCTCCCAGTGAAGAAGAGGAAGAAGAGATCATTCGATGCATATGTGGGGAGTACGAAGAGGAGGAAGATGTGGAGCGAGACATGATCTGCTGTGACCAGTGTTCAGCCTGGCAACACAACGATTGCATGGGTCTCACCTTCGCCAAAGGGGAGGAGCCCGACGAATACTTCTGCGAGCAATGCAAACCCGAAAACCACAAAGTCCTACTGGAAAAGATCTCGCGCGGCGAGAAACCATGGGAAGAGGTAGCGGAACGGAGGCGCAAGGAAGCCGAAGAGAAGAAGCAATCGCGTCGCAGGAAGAGCAAGAAGGGCGGTAGACGAGGCAGACCGAGCGAGGCAAAGACTGATACTAGCACGCCCGCTCGTGCTGCTACTTCCACGACGCCTGCTCCTGCCCCTTCTACCGCGACTCCTGCTCCCGCTCCACCACCTCCTGCTCCTGTTGCTGCTCCCGTTCCCGCCCCTGCTACTCCAACGCCGCCAGCTGTCACACCAGGTCCCGAGGAGAATGGTGTCTCGCCGAAGGCGCAAACTGCAGGCTCACAAAAACGTAAACACGAAGAGAACGATGAAGGACCGGCACACGGTTCGGTGAGTACAAAGAGCCTCCCTGCGATTCTCATCTATTTGCCTCGCTGACCCATCTTGTCGCAGGGATCGAAACCCAAGAAGCAACAAAAGATTTCACCTCCGACAAAAACACCTCCGACTACGAACTCGGTTCCGGTTAAGGACGAGACCAATGAACCATCGTCACGCCGCAGCTCTGAAGTGGTGAAGGTGACGACTGAAGACATGGGCACTGTGGAAGAGATCTCGAACCCGTCGCGGAGGAGTGCAGCTTCCGCTCTACTCAGGCTGTTTACGGATCAGATCTCTGGGTCTCAGAAGCGATCGTCTTTCAAGTTGCCCGCTGGGAAGTCGGCGGAGGATGTCGCACGGCAACTCGCTCTCTCTATCGAGAATGCAATGTACCAGAATATTTGCGGAGGAGCTGGAGAACCCACGGAGCCGTATAGGTCACAATTGCGGACGATACTGTTTAACGTAAAGAAGAACACTTCTCTACGCGATCGTCTGCTCGTAGGTAATTTACAGGCTGATGCTCTTTCTAAGATGAGCTCCCAGGACATGGCGAGCGAGGAACTGCAGCAAAGAGATGCCGAGATCAAGCGGGAGGCCGAACGACAGCACATCATCGTACAGGACCAAGGACCGCGCATTAGACGGACCCATAAGGGTGAGGAGCTTGTGGAGGACGATAACCAGAACGTGGCCAGCGAGCCAGTCTTCTCCTCGGCGCCGGCTCGTCGCAGCCTGGCCGATGTCGATGGTAGTCCTGGCGCCCAGAGTCCAGCGAGTCCTGGCAACCAACAGCAATCCGACGTGGACGGCGCTCGAAAACCGTCGGTTGATACTAAGTCGAATCACGATGAGCACTTCCCCCCGAGGGGTCACTCCCCTGGTGGCACCAGCCATGAGCAGGTCTTCCCCGAGATGGCAACTCATATCCGCGAGCCGGTTCCCACTGGCAAGGTCCAGGCTGATGCCGAAATTGACCAGCTGCTGAAGGACGATGAACCCGATTCGCCGCCTTATTCGCCCAAGGACTATCATGATGAAGGCGCCATCTGGCGCGGCAAGGTTATCATGAACCCGATTGCGGAGTTCTCGTCATCTGCAAAGCACGTTGGAGGTGCTGATTTGAGTGGACGGATTCCATGGAGCCAACTCGTTCCTTCTACATTGCTCATCGACGGACGAATCGATGTCCAGCTGGCCAGCAACTATCTCTGCGGTCTTCGGTTCAGTTCCTCCACCGACGTGTCCGTTATCTCTATAAGCGCTCCGGAACACCCGAAGGAACGAGCCGGATTCGACAAGCTCTTCAATTATTTCCAAGATCGCAAGAGATACGGTGTGATTGGCAAGCACCCTTTGCCTGCCGTTAAAGATACCTACCTCATCCCCATTGAGGCTCAGTCTACCAAGAAGCCCGAGTTCATCGAGCTGCTGGAGAACAACTCGCTTGAGGATCCCACGCCGGAGCGTGTTCTCCTCGTTGTCTTTGCCGTCAAGACTGGCGATTCCAATCCGCCCTCCGTACAACCCCCTTCACACTACCCCAGCCAGGAGCCTGCGGCTTCGGCAAGTCCATTGACCGTTGGCGCGCCGACACCTCATCAATCCCAGTTCCTCACTCCGGGGCCACGAGGTGCTTCTCACATGCCCGCGACGCCGTCGCCTTTCGACGGCACTACGCAGGCGCCCATACCGTATGGCCAACAGCACCAGCAGTTCCAGTCCACGCCGCAATACTCATATCAACCGCCCGCTCCTCAGACTGCAGCTCCTGTTACTGGCATCGCAGCTGCCGTGCAAGTCTTGGGCGCCCAGGCTAGCTCACCTGCAATCCAACAGCTGTTACAGAAAGCGCCCAGTGTGGACGTGTCTCAGCTGAGTGTCGTTCGGGATATTCTCTTACGACGACCGGACACTGCTGCGAACTATGACCTGTTGACGCAGGAACTCTTCCAAGCCACCACTAACGGAAATGGTGTGCAACAATAAATGGACGAATAATTCTCTGGTTGTATAGTAATCATTAGCCTGTTCCTCATCCTCAAGACGTTTCGGCTTGGTGTTTTCTGCGATTCTACAGTTTGTCTTTTGACAGGGTTTCATATCAAAATGGGTATTGGGGTGATTATGGGAATATCTTTTCGTCGTCGCCAGGGCGTTGCAGCTTTCTGTTCTATTGTTTCTCGGTGTAGTGGTTGTTTCTTTCGATCCCCAGTCCAAATTTGTTGTCTTCTGCGCGCAGTCATTTACATACTTATTTATGCCGATATTTCGCTACGCATTGATTCCAATTTTTACATGCTCTTTGACTTGGTTTCGCAAAAGCAAAAGTCGTAGATATCCAACGGTTGCTCCAATGGCTCCATACTCAGAGCCCACGATATCTATAAACTCGCCTTACGTAGATCAATTCAAGCTTTACAAAATAGTATTTGTTTTATTGTCACATACTGCAGTTTCATTAAATTCCAGGCATGATGAAGAGAACAACGCCTACGCTATGCATATCCAGACACGACACGGAGGAACCACGGCCAAAGAGCTACATTACCACCGTCCACCACGCTTCTTGTATCCTCCACCGCCACCATATCGGGGTCCTCTTCCACCACCAGAACGTCCACCCCAACCGCCGTCGTCCTCATCGTGGTGGCGAACCGGGGGCGGTCGTCCCTTGAGCTCCTCGCTGAGCTTTTTGAACCCCTTGCGCATATCCGAGTAGCCCATGTGCATCTTGCCGAAGAAATGATCCGCTAACCGACGGTCGTTATCGAGTCGACTGAGGTACGCGCCGCAGACATCGCAGACCTGCAGTTTCTGATGGCCCGACGGGCCGGACGTATCCTGGAGGTTTTTGAGTTCTCGCTCGCAGGTCTCCTTCTGGTGCTTGGTGGTGCGGATCTTGTGGAGTTCGTTGAGCGCCTGCGCGACGGAGCCCGTTTCGCCCAGGACAGAGACTTCCAGCAACCCGGTGTTTATCGTCTTCGCGAGGTCGGATATTTGTTTGAGCTACCACATAATTTGTCAACACCTTTTCTCTCTCTCCCTTGTCGAGTTGATCCTCTACGCTAGCAAGTCACTCACCAGATTATTAGTCTGTCGAATTTCATCCGGCGTCTTCTCCAATCGGCGCTGCGCCGAGTCGATCCTCCGATCACAGTCGTCGATGTATTTCTGCATATCGCGCATGTAGTCATAGTCGAACCCCCATTTCGCCTTCTCCGCCGCCGAGGCCGTCTCATACTCGGTCTTCAATCCTTCGCTGTGCACTTTCGGGCACGGGCCCAGGTCTTGCTTGGTGTTGGTGAAGAGATCATGCGGACAGGTCCCCACGAGGTACGAGCGACAGACTTTCGAGTCCGTGATGGAGAGCTGGGCATTGCGCGAGGCCGCGCCGGTTCCTATCAGCTGGTCCGCTGGGTAGAGAGAAGGGGTTCAGGTTAGCTTGTGATTCGGTGCGCGCGGTGTTCAGGAATCAACGTACCTCCCATGAGCTGCTCGAGCAGCTTTCTCTGTTCGGCCGCCATGATGCGATGAGGGCAGGGGAACAAGGAAGAAGAACAAGGAACAATGAGAAGGAGGGAGCGCGGGGAGGAGAGGAGGGGAGAATGACTTGGAGATGGATTGATTGATGCGCCGAAATGGTCGTCCCGATTTCTTTCTTTCTGCGGAGTGGCGCTAACCGCGGCTGCGCTTAGGTGAGCTGTCCCCTTTTGGCAAGCCGGGGGATGTGTCCAGAATCCAGATAAACTACGAGTTACTCGATCTACTCCCGCGACAGTCAGACGTGTCAACTGTACAGTTGGTCTCGCAGAGGACACATTACCCGAGGCTGTCCTGTACAGATTTGATTTCCATTACCTGCAGCTCGCCAAGACCGTGCCCTCAGCCTACAACGCTTCCTGTCTGACCTCCCACCATCGGCTCGGAGCTCCGCCCGGCGCAATCATCCTCGGCGATCGAACGAGACGCGCGACAAACACTTGGATTGATTTGGACAAGATTGGTTGTGCCGGCAAGCATGACGTGATGATTTCTCTTCAGTCTTTTCCTTTGCTCCTCCTCGGCGCGTTGTCGACGCTTGCCTCCGCCGCATCGGACTACCACGAAAGCCTCGTCCTTCAACCGCTCCCCCAGTCGTCATTGCTGGCGTCGTTCAATTTCCGCAGCAATGCTACGAAAGAATCATTCGACAAGCGCAACTTCCAATACTTCCCTCGGGCGCTAGGTCAGATCTTGCAACATGCCCACACCGAAGAGCTCCACCTCCGCTTTACGACGGGGAGATGGGATGCGGAGAGTTGGGGGTCGCGCCCTTGGAATGGGACCAAAGAAGGCGGCACCGGAGTGGAGTTGTGGGCGTGGATAGACGCGGTAGATGAGCAGGAGTATGTGATAGGGTTGACTGCTGGTTGAAATATCATCTGCGCATGCTGACGGTTGAGTACAGGGCATTTGCCAGATGGATCACCCTGACGCAGTCATTGTCCGGTTTATTCTGCGCGTCGCTGAACTTCATCGATTCCACGCGAACCACGCGGCCCGTAACGTCCTTCCAGCCGACCGGGGACCATTCGACTGCGAAGAACCTCCATCTCTTGCACGGAACACTTCCCGGCGAAGTTGTCTGCACGGAGAATCTGACACCCTTTCTGAAATTGCTGCCATGTAAGGGCAAGACCGGCATTTCCAGTTTGTTTGATGGTCACAAACTCTTCGATGCCTCGTGGCAGAGCATGGCGGTTGACGTGCGCCCTGTCTGTCCGCAGTCGGGTGAATGTCTTGTGCAGATCGAACAGACGGTGGATATTGCGCTGGATCTCGAGCGGTCGAAAAGAACTCGGGGTGAGGCTCTAATTTGCGTGATCTTTTGTAATGCCCTACTAACTGTGGCTAGATAACCCAATACCTAGGCCGGTGCCTGCTGAGCAGCTTGTTTGTGACACTTCCAAGTCCTATCACTCGGATGACACCTGTTACCCTTTGGAGAACCCGTCCGGAAAGGGATGGGGCCTGACCGAAGTCTTCGGTCGCAGCATTAATGGAGTATGCCCTCTTGCCGAGGGTCAAGAGGCTGAGGATGGGCCGGTTTGCCTACGAGTGCCACACGAGCGAGAGGTTTCCGTCTCTCCGGGAGCCATTGAATCTAGGAAACCGGACGGATTCACTCGCTGCTATACCTTACGGTCCTCTACGCCATTTGACATCACCATACCCGAGCAGGAATCCACGACGCAGGTTCCTCTAGACGAGCCGATCTTGCGTGCCGAACGTACGATCGTGGGCCATGGACAGGAACGGGGAGGCATGCGGAACATCTTCGACAACCCGTCCGATACAGACGCGGTGGATTTCATCTACTTCGAGACCCTACCGTGGTTCCTGCGGCCCTATATCCATACTCTAGAAGCCACAATCACCGGTCGGGACGGCGTCCGCCGGCCAGTTCCCGCCTCGCAGATCATCAGGGAGACGGTCTACCGACCCGCCATTGACCGAGAACGTGGGACGCAATTGGAGCTCGCGCTGACCGTCCCCGCCGCATCGACCGTGACCCTCACCTACGACTTTGAGAAGGCGATTCTACGGTACACCGAGTATCCGCCCGACGCCAACCGCGGATTCAACGTGGCTCCGGCAGTGATCAAGCTGGGCGCCCCCGACCGCCAGGGCAATCCCATCTACATGCGCACGACCAGCCTGCTTCTGCCTCTGCCCACTCCGGACTTTAGTATGCCATATAACGTGATCATCCTCACCAGCACCGTCATTGCCCTAGCCTTTGGCAGCATCTTCAACCTTCTGGTCCGTCGGTTTGTCACCGTGGAGGAGGCAGCCGCTCTCACGGCGCAAACGCTCAAGGGGCGGATTGCCGGGAAAGTGGTCGCGTTGCGCGACAAGATCAAAGGGAAAGGGGCCAAGGTGGAGTAGTACCGGCTGGCTGCATTATTCATTTTCTTTCATCAACTTCTCGGTATTATTAGGAAAAAGAAAGACCAATAAATGTACAGTTTAGTATATGAGGTAAATCCATGTCCATCCTTATATCAAATATCAAATCATCAAGACGCCGAAACCCCCAAATCGATCGCAAAAACGAGGGCAATAAGATTCAAGGGAGACTAATGCACGTAAGTCAGCCAAGCCAGAAGAAAATCAATTAAAATCACAGGACTTACAGATTCCCCACCACGTTCTTCGCCTTCTCCCAGCCCGGCAACGTATCCTGAGCGCCGGGTTTCTTTTGCATGAAGCTTCGATCTTCGGCGGCGCCGGGTTCTTCTAGACCGGCGCGCTGGTTGTAGTGATGGCCCGCCATGCCTTTTTGCTCATTGAGGCTGAGGAATTCGCCTTCAGTTTGTTTAGGGGCTCCAATCTGTTGGAGTCAATTTTGTTAGCCTTTCATTGTTCGCCGGGATGCCAAGGTCAGGTCTAGAATCGTACCCCGACGTGGCCGGCGCCTTGGTTGCGCACGCCGGAAGTGTCGCCTCCCTGCAGACGCTGGAAAAGGCCGCCTTCCGAAGTGTTGGCGGGCGTCGGAGTGTCGCTGGCACCGCCACGGACGCCGGTCGAGGGCTGGTTTTCGTGGGACATGTTGGTGAGGCTTTTAGAGCGTTGGCTTGGTATGAGGATTGGCTGTTGGCAATGTCTTGGATGATGTATATTAAGACGGTGGAGCTTAAAGAGAAGTGTAGCAATCTACATCTATTGATTTATATAGTTCTTGGTATCGCCTGTCACCACCATGACGTGTTGTAGCGGTCATTCTGGGGTTGCTGTTGACGGTGATATCATCATGACCGCAGTGCTGGTGGCACACGACTCCAAAAAATCATAGGAAGAATACTCCGTACTAGTGATCAGAAGGATTACCCCGTAAATTCCAAATCCTTTGCTAGTGCCTGATCACGTTAGAAATTAGTTGGTCCTTCTCCTACGAAGGACTCCACCGAAGACAAAGGATCCTGTTGCTGCCTTGCGGCCTGACTTGGGCTCGTGTAACGTGGGCATGACTAAGCCCCGGCTGCCTCGGGTTTCAGGCGACCCAAACATTCTGGAAGATCAACATTTCCTTCCACTCAACGGTCGTCCAAACGGACATCTTCCGCTCATCCACGAAAACTCTTTCTCTGGCTTTCTGAGTGTATGACATGCACCTTTCCCCGAAATTGAGCGAAATTAGCCCGTTTCAGGTCCCAGGGACTTAGGGGACTTGGCCTGGCAATGCAAGACGTGCCTCGTGGCCCAGCCAGCCAGCCTCAAGGCCCTTTTCCCCATTTCATCAAGGTTGGCCCGCCGGTTCTGTGCGCCATGGCGTTAGCCTATCGACCATGTGGATCCCGATACATCGTCGTCCCATTGACCCATACCTCCGTACTGTCGATCGGGATCTGTTGGCCGATGCGTATCAGCGTATCAGCCTATGACCGGGGGAGGAGTCCGTTCCATAGTCCGCAATGTTGGCTGGAAATTGAAGCTGACTCGAAAGTCCAGATTCCTGATCCACCCGCTTTTTGAGTTCGACCCGGTTTCACCAGATTTTTCAAATGCTAGACCGTGGTCCTGACTACGAGCCAACTCGGCCTAGTCGTGTCGGTAAGGTTAAGCGATGCCTCTCTAGCATCTCACGATCGTACTCCGTACTCGTCCCAGCAGTTCAGCTGGCTCCACCCCGTTGTGCTGGCCAATCTATGGTTGGTGTACCGCGACGGGTTCTTGCGTGTCGTCCAGATTCCTGGCAATGGACAATCAATCTCCTGTGCAATTAAAAATTCCTCCCTGGTGCTCCAAGGCCAACCGTGTTCTAGGAAAGGCGCTGGATTCAATCCCTGAAAGGGCCAGACGCCCGGAATTAATACCTGGGATATTCCGCCCCCCCTTTAAACCTCCCCTCCATCCCACCACCTCTCCCCCTGACATAGTAATAAATTCTCCCACACATTGCAAACGTCGACGGCAGGGAAATCTTGTGCAGCGACAACGTCTGGCAGGGGGTTTCACAGACAATTAGCAGGCGACTAACGGGCCTATTTGCGACATGCCTTCTTCCCCGGAGGATGCCGTCTTTGCGATCTCCGCTCAAGCTACCCAGCTGGGCAACCGCATCTCCGTGCGCATGCTAGACTATCTTAGCACCGTTCACGATATCCCCGACGGCTTTCAAGACCTTGCGCGAGTCTTCCTCGATACATGTCGCGCCTTGTGGACCATCGAAGCCGGTCTCGGCGAGTCGACCGGGGCCAAGCGACCACTGCCCGAGATTATCTTGCAAGAAGTGGAAAAGAAATTTGCGGAGGCGTACAAGGACTTTCAGCAGCTGGACCGCCTCGTCACGAAACTGGCTCAATATGAACACCGAGGAGCTCTGGGCAGGCTCCAGAAGGGATGGCACCGGCCCAGCCACGAGCTGAACAAGATTCGCGAGTCTCTCAGTAAGGTGATGGACGCCTTGCAGATCAGCGTGTTGGCCTTCCACTGGTCGCTGGGAGAAACGCGGCCGGAGGATTCGGTTGGTGTCGGATACGCGGGGCTGGCGGCGGCGCTGGACCGTATGGCGAAGGGGCGATCGGTGACGGGCATCAACCAAGTCAGGTCGCTCGACCGCAGCAATAACAGCGTGAAGCAACCGTCCTCGGCTGTCAAGACGGTACCCGGTGGCCCGCCACCGTCCATTCCCGTGCCCCCGGTGCCTCCGAAGGCACCGCTCAGCGACGTTGATTTGAGCAGACACTCCGATTCAGACTACCATGTCAAGCCGGCGCCCGAATCGGTGCCGGATACCTTGTCATCCGTTCTATACCTCGATAACCTATCCCTCTCCGATTCCCACATCCACGAACCGACCAATTTCTCCACTCGCAGCCCATACTCCCGAAATGAGAACCATCCGGGGGTCTCGAGCTCATCGGCATCCGCGGCGGAAACTCTGGCGCAACCGGATATTGACGCGGACCTAACTGCTTCCATATCAAGCATTCGCTCACATCCGAAACGCGACGTGTCGATGCCGCGCCGCACCCCAAGCCATACCAGCGCAGCCACTGTTGGCCATCTCAAGAGCGCCCTGGCGTCCGCCGTGCGGGCGAGGAATCATCAATTAATGGAACAGCTCCTGGATAGCGGAGTGTCCCCGGATATGGGCGAGAATTCGCACCCTCTGAACGAGACCATCATCCGCCGTGATATCGAAGGCGTGCGGCTTCTGCTGCAGTTCGGGGCCAACCCCAATCAGCCCGACAAAGAAGGAAAGACCCCTCTCTGGCTCGCCGTAGACGGGTCATTCGTCGATGGCGCGACTCTCCTACTGAAGTACCAGGCTGAACCGACCTTTATGGCCAGTTTAGAGTTTGAGACCCCCCTCTCCTTTGCGGTAAATGCTCTAAAAACCGACCTGGTTCACACGCTGCTCGCTCACGGGGGCGATCCCAACCACGAGACGCGAAATAGGAGCACGATCTTGATCGAAGCCATCCGGAAAAGGGCGCCCCAGCGGCTGGTGGACGTGCTTTTAAAGGCCGGCGCAGACGCCAACTTGAAGAACGGCGAGGGAAAGACCGCGCTGTTTGAAGCCGTCCAGGCCGACCAAGTGATCAGCGTCACGATGCTTCTCGACCACGGAGCTAACCCCAACCTGCCCGGGCCGGAGCATGTGCTTTGGTCGGCCATCTACCGTCCGGCCTGCTTGCGAATTCTGCTCGCACGAGGCGCCGACATCCGCAAGACGCCCGGTATCATGGAACAAGCAACCAGTATCAACAATATCGACGCCATCCGGATTCTGCTTCAGGCCGGCATTGACCCGAATCTCAAGAAGGACGGCATCTATACGCCGCTCTGCTCCTCGATCCGCGACAACAGACGCGACATTTTCGCTCTCCTCTTGGCCAACGGCGCCAACCCTAACGTGATGGCCTCCGAGTACCCCGCCTGGAAGTGCGTGACGCATTTCCGCACGCACTTCCTGCCCGATCTCGTGGACGCAGGGGCCGACCTTCACCAACCCCCAGGAATTGTTGAAATGGCGGTGCAGATGAACAACGCCGAGGCCGCCCAGTGGCTGTTGGAGCACGGCGGAGCGAACCCGAACGACCGCAACGCGCAAGGGCATACCGCCCTGACGACAGCGATACGCGAACACCGTGTCGACCTGATGAAGCTGCTGCTGGCGCACGGCGCCGATCCTAATCAGCGGGGCCAGGACTGGCCCGTGTGCATGGCCGTGCGGTCACCCGACATTCTGCAGCAGCTGCTCCCCGCCGTGACGGACCTTTCGGCGCACAAGGGAGTCATGGAGATGGCTGTGCTGGCGAATCAACTCGAGAGCATCAAGCTCCTCTTGGCCGCCGGCGCCAGCGTGGAGTACAAGAACGGCGGCGTTTTCTCGCCGCTAACGACGGCGCTGCGAGAGGGCTACCGCGATATCGTGCGGTTCTTGCTGGACGAAGGCGGCGCCGACCCTAACGCGCCGGGCGAACATCTTCCCATCGTCAAAGCCGTACGTCGATGTGTCGACGGGGATTTCTCGATGATTGAGCTGCTGCTCGAGAAGGGCGCCGATCCCAACAAGACATACCGAGACTGGAACGCGATCATGCAGGCCATCGAAAACCGCGACCTCAGACTTCTGCACGTTCTAGTCGAGAAGGGAGGCGGCGTGGACCTCGGTCAGAAAGATGAAACCGGTCAGACGGTGCTTGAGATGGTGGATTCGTCTGGCTGGAAAGAGGCGAAGGATTTGCTGCTCAAGAGTGCCCGAAGCTAGAAGGCAATCGGTTCAAGGAGAGAGGTCAGGCCGGGCTCTCGCTTTTAATATACCCACTACACTCGCGGTACGGTTGACTTCCCCTTGAGAGTCTCCATACTTTTCAAGGGGCAAGGACCCCTTGCTGCCCACGAGTTGTTCTTTGTTCTCAACTCTCCATTCACGGGGCGAGCTTCCCCACGCCAAGCTCCTAAAACGAGATGGCAGTCGCTAGAGGGCGACTTTAATTTCCACCAGACCAGGGCTGAACATAGTCTGGATGGTCTGGTATTGAATGTACGACTTGTTGATTTGAAGCTAGTAACATGTTATATACACTTAAGCTAACTATACATAGTTGGTCAATAATCTATATAATTCACTTGATATTAATCACGACGTCTTTTTTCCGTTCATGGAGACCCTCTCTCCCCAACACACCCCATTAAAGAGCCGCCTTCTCCAAATTTCCCTGGAACGTCGAATCCTTGAAGGGCACCGTCGCCTTGCCAAACTCAGCGTCTTCCAACCCCTTCCTCGCCGCCTCGGGAAGCGACTCCCACGCAATCAGCGCCAGATCGCGGCCCAGCGTGCCGGTGAACTGCAACTCGTGGTTCGTAGGGAACGAAGTGAAATACTCAACCTTGGGCCGGTCGCCTTCGCGCTGCGGACTACTCGTCTTCTTGTAGCTGCCATGACCCGAGGCCGCGGCGCCCAGGAAGGTCGGGTTCGCCACGGCCGGGTCGTTCACCCACACCACGACGTTCTCCCAGTCGTGGCGGTGCGCGCCCGCCGACACCCCGCTGGTCGGCATGTCCTTGGGCATGTACCAGGCGTACATGATGCCGTAGCGGTCGTTCAGCCAGCCGCCGCGCACGTACGTCTGTCCTTTGCCCTGGTCGCGACAGCCGCCGGTGGCGCTGCCGGTGTCTTGGAGGCCGCCGCTGCAGATTGGACATTGAAATGTCAGCAACATCTCATCTCCTACTATTCAGTCTTGAGAGTCCTGAAGGGAGGGAAGGTCAAAACAAACCTGGTATCTCCGTTGGCCGCAACGGCCGGGTACGATTGACAGCCGTGCGCGATGTGCAGGAACGGCTCAAACTTCTTGTAGGCGTTGCCGGTGGCGTCGTTGGGGACGGTCTCGGGGAAGGGCGCGATGGAATCGTGAGGCACGACGGCGCGTTTCTGGACGGGGGAGCCTTGCACGGTGGCCGTGGCGAGGGCCAGGATGGTCAGGATGGAGGATTTGGAGAACATCTTGGGAAAAGATTTGGCGCAGAAGAAGGCGATGTCAGGTGGATCGAGTGGTTGGTAGTTATTTGGGATTGGGATTGCTGATATGAAGTGACGCTGTTGAAGGGGATTTGTCTCCGATTTATACCTCATGTCTGTCTGTCGCATGAGCTATTGGTATCCTCTACTTGGTCTATACCTCCAATCCGTGTATACTTCGGACCACGGAGCTCAGGGAAAGAACCTCATCCGACATCCGGATCCTTCAGGTCTTGAACCATCATAGTTCCAGCGCCAAGTAGTTCGTCTGAGGCGTTGATGCCTCTAGTTCTTCGTCATGTCTCAAACCACTACGAAGTAGTTCACGATTGAATGGCACCATTCATTCTAATCAACTAATCTCCAACCGAAACCCTTCCAATAAAGTAATACTGGTACCTATCCAGCCTCTCCCTCAAGAACAGCAAAACTACTAATCTGCACTCCCCTGGAACCTGCATAATCCGCAGCAAACTAAGCGACTAGTCAACAAGTAACCATCTAGTCTCGACTTCGACTCTCTTCCTCTAGGCATCTCGTCATGTCGATCACTGCTCGGACCCGGACGGTGCTGGAATCCGGTCGATCCGGTTCAATCCTTCCAACTCCACCGTCTGTTTCTTTTGCTATGCTGCTATGCTGCAATTCTGGACTCCTGAAATCAATAATGACTCCATACGGAGTCTTGATTTGAGTCAGTTAATCTACGGAACACGGATACTCCGTAGACCCGTACAATTTAATAGTAGTCCATAGCATGGCCATGGATCCAGCCGTTGAAGAAAAGCAAAAAGCCAAAGTTAAATCCCCCCCAGGAATGGGTCTGAAACATCGCAAACCATATCTCTTTCTGTAGTTTCTTATGTGGGGGTCGTTGAGGTTGCCGGATGGAGATTAGTTTTTTCAATATGATTTACTATGGGGCTTTCTTTTTTTGGGTGAATAGAGTTGTAAGATGATAAGAATCAAGGAGTCTTCCAGTTCATCGAGGCTGATTGACCAGTACACTGTGTAGGTATATACCTATCTACCCAATCTACTCTGTATGTACCAGTTCTACCAAGAAAGGTTTACTCGTGGAAAAACACCAAATCTACTCCGTACTCTATTCGATAATTCCTACCTATCCCACCTCAAATCAAATCATGGCTCGTCGGAGAAATATCGGTACAATCTATATACGGTATAAATCAAACGAATCAACAAACCATAATATCCTAAGGACCGTGGGACAGTAGCCTAGAGCACTAAACAACCTGTCGAAATGTCGATCCACCCCGACCTTCCTTCGTGTTGACCAAGTGGATCGAATAGAACATGACGTCGACGTTCTTTGCGCTTATTGCTCAATCGGCTTTGGCTTTATTTTATGTCATTTTCCTGTTGGATTTTCAGGTCGGTGGATCTGAGTCCTGAAGGATTGTGGAGTTTCGGGGCTTTTTAAACCTCATCCTGGGCGTCTAGCGTGAATGTGAATAAATAAATATTCTGCAGATATCAATCATCTTGGCAAGGTCTGTTTGTCTTGATTTTGAGACGGTGAATCTGGGTAGAGATAGCTGGTTGTCTTGAAGGGGTTGGCAACTGTCCGTAGACCCCTGTCTGGGTAAGGGACTGAGGAACAATAATCAAAAAAGTGGGCGTCACGCATTACTATCTAATGATAAGTCGGATATAACGTAGTCTCGGTTGTCCTGGACAGAACCACAAACCCAACCATTTCAATTGTCGGGCATAATCTTGAATAAAATCTCGTCAAAATAAAATATAATAATCATCATATAATAAGCAAGGAAAAGTGTGGCTCGTCATTTCAGGGGAATAAATCGTGCAGGTGTAACAGGTCTAGCCAGCCGTTGAAAACGAGTCAATCGTCTATGGAGACCCGAGGGGTGAGAGTCTGTATATCGTTCATTCTCTAGTCAGCCGATTCAACTTGCTCGGCCCAAGAGGCCCCAGTCGCTGATATGGGCGATATGGACACCTCGATCTTGGCCGCCTCGACGGCGGGGTTTGTCGCCGGGGCGCTCTCCTTCTTGTCGCTGCCCGGTAGAGCAGGGAAGTCGTTGTCGTTGTTGATCACTGGCGGAGATGAAGTCGGTTTGGGTTCCGGTGCCGGTCCGTCGTTCGCTCGCCCTCCACGGCCGTTTCCGCGTCCGCGACCACCTCGACCGCCACGACCCCGACCGCGATAGTTGGGGTTATTGTCAGAATGCGACGGTTCGTCCGCTTGCGCTCCCTCAAAGTCTCGACGTGCGTAGCCCGAGACGCCGCCGTGCATGCCTCGGAATCGGCCTCGTCCGCCGCGCCCACTCTCCGGTTCGTCCTGCTTTTGGGAATCCCATTCCCGCCCATTCAGGGCCTGCAGCTTCCGTAGGCGATTGCGCTCTCGTTCGGAGTCCATCACACGGCGGTTCTGGCGTTCTTGCTTTCGCTTCACCTCGGCGACCTTTTCGCGTTCAAGGAACGAAGCCTGGTCGGCTTCGGCCCGGGCATGAGCGGCGGCTTTCTTAGCGGCGTTCTCCTTGGCAGCTGCGATGCGCCTCGAGAGCTCTTCCTCGGTGAGTTTAGGCTGATAGAAAGAAATGATCTCCGGTTAGCAACGAACACGTCCCTGGCTGATCGTCGTGACCACGAAATCTGACGTACCTTTTTGATCCCGCCGGTGGCGCTGCGATCTCCACGCACGGCCGGCACTTTAGGAGCATCGACCCCCGCCGCGGACGCATTATTATCCTCGTTATTACTCCGCTGCTCCGCATTTTCCCCCGACGCATCCGGCGTGGAGTCTTCGACGTTGTTATTCTCCGTGTGAGAAGTCGCGTCGACCGACTTTGGCCGCGATACCGGCACCTCGGTGCGTCGTTGACTGGAGTTCCGCGACCCTCGTCGTCCGCGCCCTTTGCCTCGGCCCCGGCCCCGTCTCTCGCCTCCAGCTGCGCCGCCACGCGGCCGCGACGGGGTATCGGTGCGAGTGGGTTGCGCTTCGGGCTCAACGGGGGCGGCGACGGTCTCCTCAGCGACTGGCACCGCGGACTGGGGTTGTTCCTCCGCGGGGACGGGGACAATCTCGTCGTCGAATAAATCGTCGCCGCCGCGCGTCTGGGCGAACTCGTCGGCCATTTTATCGTATTGATTTTCGCTCGCGGAGATTGTGTGGGAGTAGATTTCGGTCGGAGAGCTCGATGTGGCCGAGATTCAAGACGTAGTCGATAGAGAGACGGTGACAGGCGATGCTGCGAACTCGGAGGAGAGGAAGGAAGAGTAGAGGGGCAGATGGCCGATTAGCGCTAACAGTACCCCGTACGGAGTAGCTTCTAATGCAAGCGGAGAAAGCCAGTCAGCGTATTGTTCATCAGAAATTAAACAAAAGCACCATGCAGAGAGGATCCGCAAAATGAGACATCTCATCTCATCTTTCTATAAATATGACAGCCCCGGTTTCCCCAGCCTCCCGGGTTTCCAAGGCGGTGTGTTGTCGCCGAAGTGCGGGATGGAGCAGGATTGACCATCACACACCTCGAGATCGAGAGGAGAGTAGTCTCACGTACCAGATTGGTTGATTGACAGAGTTCAGATGCAGCACTTCGTCAGAGTCTCGATGGGGAGCGATCGCGACGAAGGAAGAGTGGACGGCGGCGGATCTGCGCTCGATGAAAGACCGCATTTCTGCCGTCTGCCACCGCCCCTTTCTGCCGCGCCAAGCCTCTGGTTGCCTTAGGCCGTTATCTCATATAATGCCTGAGGCATACAATCATGGCTCTATACTGAGACTAATGTATTTATTAAGCGGAGATATGTAACGCTCATCTGAACAACTGAACGTGAAAAAAGCAAAAAGCAGAAAGAACCGCCCCCAAAAAAAGAGATGATCTTTTATCCCACCAGGAAAGACTCCTCCCAAAACCATGAATCACACAACGTCCACGCTGCGTTGTCGGTGAATAGGTCCCATCTCATAAAAATTGCTTGGACGGGCATCCACGCGAGTCGTCACATTAACCGGCTGGTAAGAGGCGCTAGGCTGATCAACTAACTGATCATAGTCGTAACTGCTGCTCAAGTGCTTGCTACCAGTGAGCGCGGATCCGCCATTCGATGGCGCGGATCTATTCTGCGAGGAACCAATCTTCCGGCGCACTTTAGCGAAGAGAGGAGCGTATGTAGGCATACTCGCGCAGATCAGCGCCATTGCTAGCTCGATCGTGGCCCAGTTTAAACTCATGGTTGTGGAACCTGATTGATCGATGTGAGCCTAACCGATATGTAAGATGGGAAAGGAACGTACTCACCAGTGGCTCCGTGGCCCCCCCTCCAGCAGTGATAGGAACGGATGGCACTAGCAACGCATACGCTATGAAAAGACGGTCAGCAGAGAAACGCAGGAACTGACTCGGGAAGGAAGATGGACGAACAAGCCTCCGAGAAGAAAAATGCAGAGGATACTGGCTTTCTTTGCGGTCCCCAAACCGGACTTCCGGACCATGTACACAGGGAGCGCCAATATGATAAGATCAATCACGATGTTGGCGATCCCAGTTCCGACCAAGAGGCTTCCAGCTCTCATGCATCTTGCCGTGGTCACCTTCAGGGCCACAGTCCACGCAGCGTGGATTGGGTGACATTGGAAGATGAGAAGTAAAACGAGAACAATATACCAAATGGTGCTCATCACAATGGGAATCCAGGTCAGGCGCTTGAAGCTGTGAATTGGGAAGATGCGGCGGTATAGGACGAGGATCGAGAGCTTGATAATGGTGATGCAGAGGCCGAACAGGTGTTCCTGAATGAAGAGATGCTGATGCACGAGTTAGGTGAGTAGGTTATGGCCCCTCGCGATCACTAATAGTGTACTCACTTTAAAGTAGTGATCCATCTGCGACGGCGTCATCAAGATAAGATCAGACCCTCCTGAACTACCATTCCCAAGAATGCCTGTTTCTTTGCATGAGCCGTGTTGGCGCTGCTCCCTTCCTACCGAGTCTTACTTACCCAGGAGGAATGCTGTTTGTTCGGCATAGAAGGTCACGGCGGCGATGAGAATGAGTACATCATCCAGGGCCCAGATACTCGCCTTGATCTGGAGTCGTGCGATAAAACGAAGAGGCAGGGAGATGAAGGCCATGATCATCATGGCTATAGAAAGGCCCAGTGCCAAATCGCCGGTTGGTTGCCGGGCTACTGCCATTCTGGTGGATGAACCAGCTCAAAGGATAGGAAGGAAGTCAGCATGGAACTGAATGACAATGGAATGAAAGAGAATAGGAATGGGGGTACTCGAGGCAGTTAACGGGGGTATAAATCTTTCATTTACTAAGTGTTATGTATCAACTTTACAATCTACAATATAGGACTGTGTAGTATTCACGCCATGCTCTAGAAAATCTTATCACAAAAGTACCAACCGCTCATTTCTTTATCCTTGTCATCGCGCACGGTCGTCTCCCGTACCCCTAATTCCACTCTAGCAAGGCGCATCCCATAGTCAGATCAATAGTAGGCCGGCGACACTCCCTAAAAGAGACGGTGGCTGCCTTCGACGCCTCTTTTCTTTCTTCTTCCTTGATTTCGATTTTGTCTCTCGGTTCCTCGATTTGAAACAAGCTATCGGAGGTGGCCGACATGGGACACTCAGCATCGAGACCTGTTGGGATCTATCCAATCGGTTCAGTTGGCTCAAGACCTTGAGAGCAGTAAGCCTGATAGATGAAACATCCTGCTACACAGTTTAATGGCAATATATTTGAAGCCATCCCATAGGACGGTAGACCCCTACCGAATTTTCAGAGTCTGTGCGGCGTCGCGCCCCTAACCCTAAACAATGACAAGCGTTTTATCACGTTCAGCGTTGCAGTTCATGGGTCGGTGTTCAGGCCTTCTAGTCAGAGTGAGTATCGGACCCCTTGCCTTGGTTTTTGTACTTTTTTTTTTAACTTCTTGTGGCGCGACTGATCACAAGCTGCGATATCACGCTTGTGCCGAGGCGGAGGGAAGTTCCGTGAAGGAAGTTCTAGATGCTCCATCTGGGGTGAATTGAGTTCGATTCTTCTCCTGGAGGCTGGTCGATATATACACATCTTTCCATCAAACTGACTCCTGTAGAACTACACGCAGTGCCACGCACTCTCCTCTGTGTAGTTCCCTGGCCCCTTGTACACGTTTCTCCGAGGGTATCTGCAATGTTTCCGAGTATACTCGACCGCGCCTCCGGGACTATTGACAAACTTGGCGCCACGGACATGCTCCGGCGCAATGCCCTTCTCAACCCACTGCACCATCGCCATCAGGACGTTATTCTCGGGCTCCTTGCCGTTATCCGTGCGGTACCCGTTTCCGATACCAAACGCGCCGTCGCCCTGCGCGCAATGTGCCATGCCACTGATGGGGAAGAAGCGATAGAACTCGTCCAGGTCCTCGGGCGCCAGATTCATGGTCTCTGCCACGCGCGCATAGTACAGCTTCGAGTTATCCGAGCTGATCAGCTGGTCCTGTAGACCGTGGTAGGTCAGCACCTTTCCGCCCGCGGCGCGGAACGGCGAGAGGTCGGCGTCCCAAGTTTGAATGTTGAAGGGGTTCTGGGCCAGCGCGTTGGCCGTGTCCGAGACGGAGAAGGTCGTGGCGTCCCAGTTCGTATCGTTGTAGACGACGTACCGGTACCAGTCCTTGCTGTAAGCAAAGGGCTCGCCGTTGTACATCATCCGGGATGCGAGGATCTCTGAGCCCGGCTGCATGCGCGGGTACAGGAGGGTACCGTTGACACCATAGAGGGGGGAGAGAACCTCGCGGACCGTTTTGGCTTGGGCACCGGTGATGCATTTGTTCGAGGAGGAGCCGGACTTGCAGATGATCGTTTCCATGGTCGGATGGCAGAGGTCTGGGTCCTCGATGACGCCGTCGCGAGCTCCGTCCATGCCGTCGCACTGTCGGAGGATCTCGTTGTGCACTACCTTCCACTCGGCAGGGGATAGGTAGCTATCGGATGAAGGGGAGCCGGTGATCGGGTAGAAGTGAGCGCTCCACGACAGCAGGTTGATAAAGTTGAAGGCGGGAGCGCCGGCGACCACGCCGTCAAAGTCATTGGGGTATTTCTGGATGGACTTGAAGCCCTGACGGCCACCGGTGGAACAGCCCAGGTAGTATGATTTGTCGAATCCTTGGTCGTAGAACTGCTTGGTGAGCTTTTTGCCGATCACGACGCCGGTATGGAGGGAGCGATAGGCGAAGTCCTCGACGACCTCGGGGTGCTGGTAAAACGGCTCGCCGGATGTTCCGTTGTGACCGTTGTTGGCGCCAACCGTTGCAAATCCTAAACCGGATGCGTACGCAACGTCATAGTACTGGATGCCTGGATATATCTATCAGTGGCGAGCTCCAATCAAATTGTGAAGCAAACCAAGTCACATACAGCCACCAAGTCCTCCATTTCCGGTGCTCAAGAAACGGCCTGTGTAGTCCCGCGGAAACCAGGCTTCCATAGTGATCTCGCTGCTGTTCGAAGTGGCCACGGCCAGCGCAATCCGGCAAATGTCTGCAGGCACAGTCTGCGAACCTTCGCCACATGTAGCTGGATTGCCTGCGAGGGAGAGGTTCGTGTTCCCCGGGACATAGCTGACGAAGTTCACCTTCACATTGGGTAGGTCGATTTTATCCGCGAAGCTGGTGCATTGAGACTTGAAAGCATCTTCCCGAGCAAGAGACGCTGTTCCCAGCGAAAGCAAGGGTAGAAGGAGGTGCAAGGGAGCCATGTTCTCTCAATTGTAATTGACGGCTTTGGAGTGTCTGGCTAGTGTTCTTGCGAGCAAAGCACAAGATCCATTATTATATACTTTTCCTGCCAGTGATAGCTATCAGAGGGTCTGTGGGGACACGGGAAAGCTCCCTCCGAAGTTATGCCGGAAAGTGAATTCGAGATTTCCCCATTTGAGGCAGCTAGGAGGATGCCCATTGGCCAAGATATGGTGCTGCATAGCACATTTGGCGGATTTAAGCACACTCCGAAATGAAGAAGAGCAATTTTCCAGGGGTACGTGGGTGATGTTTGTGACTTGGCGTCCACCGGAGTCTGGGGATCGTCAAACGGATTCCCCACAAATGCGGAGAAATTTCCTGGGCACGTCATCTCGATTGCTTTCGGCAGTTGGAGAAGGTCCCTCAAGTCCATTCCTTCGTCAAGATGCATTTCTCGGCTAGTGCCGCTGCCGAGATCAGCACCTCGAAGCTTTTCACCGAGCTCTTCATCGTCACCTGGCAAACCCAAGGTTCTTTGGCCCTAAAGCGGAACATGTTGCCTTGCCTCGTCAAAATATGCGGCGATAGTTCGACTCGACTTGCACTGAGGTAGCACTGTTAAAAACCCTTGAGCAGCAGCCTCTTTGAGCACGAGAACTGCCATTCAAGTAGGCCTAAAATTGCCGAGGCACGCGGGGCAGACATATGCCTGGATCTCTTGCCGATACTCACCTGGGGAAGATTATGGTTGTGTCTCTACCGAGCGCGATGCCGTAGCGCAAAACATTGTTTTTCCTGATACAACACAAACTGTTATCTCGTACCCATCCCTGACACCAAGGGAGTCAAAGCATTTTTTCCGTCCTTGGTTCATCTGCCTGCCTAAAATCCCCCGGATTAGTGGGCCCAGTTAGTCTAGCTGCGCGGGAGTGAGGGTTGTGAAAGGGAAAAAAGAAATGAAAATAAGAATCATTAGTAATTAGCATTCGTAGAAGTCCGATAAACAGAAGCTGGAAAGTAAAGGGGGGAAAAGCAAAAGGAAAGCACGCAGTAGACAGCCGAAGAAAGAAAACATTCGAATAACAGATGGCTAATTGCTTCCCTTTCATCTCTGCTTTAGAAAAGACCGCAAATGAACAGTTCACAATCAAATGTAGGAATAACTAACTCCAGGGGAGTTGAATATAGTAGGGCGGTTTCGTAACATGCCATGGTCAAGGCCTATACTCCTGGCGCGCTCTCATCGTGCGGTACTTTATCAGCGTGTCGCGCGTGAATCAAATATACCACAAGAGCTTGGCCGAGACATGCACTATGCGAAGAATAAGTTAGCTCCTTCTTCAGACCCCGAGCGAAAGGATTCTTCACCGGCAGCGAATAGTAGCATTGCAATGAATACTTTCAGATTCTGCGTACCCAGTACGCTAAAAAGAAGGCCATACGCCATCCATGCCGAGTATGACCCAAAAAGTCCGCTCATCGTAGGTGACTCTTTATACTTCATCGTGGCTTCATCAATCATGGCCTGCAGATTGGCCGCGGTTGCAGCGGCTTTATCTATGAGAGCCTGTGAGATATGCATGCTGGTCTGCATATTCTGCTGGATTTGAGATTGCGCCCTGAATGACTCAAGCTGCTCGGCCTGCGATTTGTGGAGATTGTCGGCATTCATTTGAGATTTCTCGAGTGTATTTTTAAGACCTTGCAGGCGCTTCAAAGGGTTAGCACAGTGTGAAAAGCTTGGAAGATTTTACATACCTCGGATATGCTCGTCTCTTGCTGCAATAGAACCCCAAACCTTCCCGACAGCCATTCCTGCTTAGGCATGAGCATGAGCGACGCTCGGAATTTTAACGGGGTCACTTACTATTGATGAATCAAATGCCTGCATTTGAACGACTATAGTCGCAATGTCACCTCGCAAGAGGATTTCCAGCTTTTCCTGGATTGAGGATGCAAGCTCAGTCTGTGTCGAAGAATCCTGCCGATGAGCAATCCTCATTTCCTCATTCCTGAGCAATGCCTCATCATGAACAGCTCTCAATGTCTGCTGCAAGTGGCTTATTTCGGTGGTGGCATTGAGAATGTTCTATAAAGTTTTAGATAAACCCTCTATATTGCAAGCGGCTGCCTTACCCTTTCTAAGCTGGTCGCTTCATTTTGAGTCCTGCTAAGTACTGAGTTGACGGAATCGACCATCGACTTGGCACCAAGTTCAATGTCATGGAAGATCTTCTCGAATATTCTGCTGAAGCGAGAATCTGTTTCTTCAAGGTCTGCGACTAGTCTGGCCCTCATGATTTCTGTGGCTTCCATGAAGGCTTTATGCTGTGCTGACTCCGCAACAGCTATGCGCAAAGCTTCTTGAAGGCCGCTGTTAAGCTTAAAGGAGGCCTCAACAATAGATTTGTAAAGCTCAAGAAGCTCTTCTTTCTCGCCTTCGACCCTTGCTGCTTGGCATATGACTATGGCATTCTGCCTGCTATTACTGTACGAGGTCCACCATTGGGGTCTCGATTCCAGCGTTTTGAGGCATGAAGCAAGCAGCTCCTTGGAAACAGTGCCTGGCCCCTGGATTGGCGACGTGGACTTGGAAGAGAATCCAAAGAGTCTTCTTTTGTTCTGCGACGGCGTTGTCACCGGGACACATGGCGAGGGAGTGGAGGCGCCCGCTTCATTGAGTTCGCAAATAGCCAAGCTAGCAGCATAGAGCGACCGCACATGCTCCAGAGCCACGTAGGTATCGGGGTCTATGCTCTCATCTATTGCTCCAATTGACTGGCACGATTTAATCAGCCTCGAGGCTGCTAATCGGTTGCAAGACGGCGATGACTTCATTGTTTCCAGCAGCTGAACCGCTTCCACGAATATAGCGTCATGTTGTTGTGTCTTCGAGTTCAAGAAAGTAACAAGGTTCATATCTTCGGCCTGAATATCTCTCTGTAGCTCATGTCCTGCAACTCCTTATTAGCGCGTCCCATTCATGTCGAGCTTGAACGTACCACTGGTGGTTTCAGCGTAGCCAAAGCCCAGAACGAGCAGCCAGTATACCATCGTATACGATAACGTAGCTTTTGAAGAGAAGGGTCGAGCCATCTTGTCACTGGTATCAAGGTCAAGGATCCGAAAGAACTGAGCGAGTGGAAGTTTGGAAAGTCGTGATGGCTGCAGGGTAACAGACGCTGCTTGGTCCTACTAATGAGAAAGTACGTCGGAGAAAGGATGCAACAACAATAATAGACAGAGCTCCGGTGGGATATCCAGTATGTCTTCGACAATAAAGTTGGATCATATATCAGTAGATATGGATGGCCAGATCGGAACGAAAGGTAAGTAGTATGTAAATATAGCAAAGTAAACCATGTGGACAGACAGAAAGAGAACTGGACTATCGTGAGGCGGGGACGGAAGGCAATGCATAAATCAAATAATCTAACAACTCAGTCAATGACGGATAAGTACCGTCGATGATGGAGCTCAACACCCCATGATTCTTGTTGCAGCGTGAGAGGAGGTCGACGCCTCCCCCGATCTATACAGCCAGTCCATCACGTGACCCGAACCGCACTAACCACATTTGGCGACGCAGGGCTCCGGGCAAAATCAGTCGGGAATCGGAGTTCACTCCGCCATCGTCCAGCATCAAACCCTCAATTATCACCGCCATGTCACGATCTCTCGCCCAGAGCTGCTTCCGACAGCTGTCACGGAGTCCCTTGAAGCAGGGATCTCTGCCAGTCTTCCTCGCCCCCGCCTTTTCCTCCCAACGAACACAATGTTTCTCTACCACCTCACCGACGCAATCTCGAGTTGGCGGCGCCGCGCTCTCCATCCCCCCCGAAGTCAGCCTGAAGTTTATCGATCTTCCTCAGACCCAAGTGAGAGGAATGGCCAAAGAAAAGCCCAAGGTCGCAATTGAGGTGAAGGGGCCATTGGGTGAGCCATTACGCTGGAATCGTCGTCCCGGGGATGCAGGTTCTCTAACCGTGAATGTGAACGATAGGTGAAATGACACTGGACATCCCTCCCTTCCTGGAGGTCGCACACGACGAAGCTTCCCGGAAAGCCAGCCTCACTGTCCAAGATCCGGAGATCGCGCACCAACGCGCTATGTGGGGTATGTATCGCTACGATTGAGAGCTTGTTGTGCTGTTGGCGTCAATCCCAAATCTAACTCTTGGTTCTCTCTCACTTAGGCACTACTCGGGCGCACTTACAGAACTACATCCTCGGCGTGTCGGAAGGTCACATCTGTATTCTCAGTCTGGTCGGTGTCGGTTACAGAGCCAGCATTGAAACGACGGCCACCACCGTCGAGTCCGAGTACCCCGGTCAGGAGTTCGTCTCTCTCAAGGTCGGATACTCTCACCCCATCGAATTGGGTGTCCCCAAGGGTGTCAAAGCCAGCACTCCGCAGCCGACGCGTATCCTGCTGGAGGGAGTCAACAAGAACGTGGTCACCAAGTTTGCGGCGGAAATCAAGGAATGGAGAAGACCGGAGCCGTACAAGGGCAAGGGTATCTTCATAAACGGGGAGACGATCAAGCTGAAGGCCAAGAAGATCCGGTAAACGGTATTGTCTTATAATCAGGTGTTCGAAAAGAGGAGCAGTCTACACTTTCTGTACATGTATATCCCAAGCACGTTTCCTTTTTGTCCGCGACTGGTATCTATCAAATTTTATGTACTTTTAGACGCATCTAGCGCGCAACGAGTCTGGAAAGAAAATTCGTGACAAAGATGGTGTTCATCAGATAGCAAATACGTAAAGATATCCCCCTATTCATTTTTACAGCTTCAGAACAAGCTTCACAGCGTCGATGACCTGGTCCTGGACGGCAGCAGGAGCGGCAACAACGCCCTTGTTGGCAGCCAAAGTGCGACCCTTGCTGAAGTCCAGTCGCTGGCCATAAATGTCGGTCACTTGACCGCCGGCTTCACGCACGATCAGGTCACCGGCGGCGTGATCCCAGATCTTCTCCTGGTAGTCCTTCTTCACAGGCAGTCGCAGGTAGATATCACCGGCTCCCCGGGCAATGGAGCAGTACTTGGCCTGGGAGTCCAGTCGCACGCTGGGGGCGGTAATTCCCAACCGCTCCGCAACAGCAGCGTTGTCGCCCTGGGCGGAGTGTCCGGCTTCGACACCCTCGCAGAAGACGGCCTCCGCAATATTGGGAACGGGGCGCATGGAGATCGACTTGCTCTCGGCGAGAGTGGCGTTGGTGAGCGGGCGGCTGGTGGAGCCGGCGCCCTTGATCGCAGAGAAAAGCACTCCGTTGCCAGAGCCGCTGGTCTGGTCAACACCAATCGAAGCGGTCATGGCGGCCGAGTCGTCCACGGGCAGGTTGGGGCAGCCAATGGCACCCGCCTTGACATCGCCGTCCTCGATCAAGCCGAGACAAACGGCGTATTGTCCGCCACGCAGGAAACCCTTGGTGCCGTCGATGGGGTCCAGAGCCCACACGCGACCCTTGGGGCCTCCCGCACTCTTGCCTTGGTCGATAATGTCCAACATTGCTTCTTCGCTTGGCAAGGGCCCGCCCAGGAGATTGTCGCTCTCGGGGTCCTCCAATTTGATGTCGCTGACCAGTCTCCAGATCTCGGCGCTCAGCGCCTTGTCTTCCCGGAGGGAGCTGGCCTCTTCTTCGGCAACGATCTCGTCATTGGGGAAGTTCTTGCGAATAGCCTGGATGATCAAGGCCTGAGCTCCGAAGTCACCAATGGTAACGGGCGACTTGTCATCCTTGGATACGGTACCCTTGGCCTTCTCGTTGAAAACCTTCTGGGTGAGGAGGGTTGCGCGCTGGACGGCAAGTTCGGCGATAAAGCGTTCCTGTTGGTAAGACATGGTTGCGACTTGGGTATAGGAATGAGAAAAGGAAAATAGTTGAGGGAGGGGAAGTAAGTGGCGGGTTTTTAAGATGATACTGACTCCCAGAAGCAGAGTGGAGCAGACGACAAATGTTGAGAGGCGCGGCCGGCGAATCGAGAAGCGATCGGCCGGTATCGCAGGACCCATTTACTGAGAGAAGGAGACGATTGGGAGGGCCTTTCCGTACCTACAGGGGGGGAAAGGAAGGAGGGGCAGGTGGGTATCAAAGGAGAGTACTGAGTAGGCCGAACGGTGTCGAGCTTCAGCAGGAAGGAAGGCCGTCCAGTCCTCGAATCGTCCCGGCATCCTCAGGCAATGAGGCACCGAGGCACTGAGGCACTCCTTAATCTTTCCCCCGCCCTAAACCCGTTTGGGAAGATAGCGAGGGGCAGTCACGAGATTGGCGATTGCGGCATGACGTTGTCTTTGCTTTCTTTTTCACTCTCCTCGTCTCCCTCTCTTCATGCCTGGAGGCCTAACCGTCGATCTGCACGAGCTTGTTTACGAGCTGGGATTTCCTTTCTTGGAGGGGTACGGCGTGCTAGGCAGCTCATCACCAAGGGAGACAATCTGAAACCCACTCCGACTGGGTCTAACACGTCACTGTTTGGCCATTGTCATTGCGCTGGTCCTTTGCTGTTCTGCACTACTATTAAAGTGAAACTCCGAAGGGCTTCGCGCGAGGTCAAAATAGGAGTCAGGTCCCTTGAGATATCTTCACTTGGTGGTCACATCATCATCTTCGTTGCTTTGTTCCGTTAAGTTTGATTGATTGTGGACTGTGGACTCGGATGCGGGGATACCGGTTATCAACATCCAAGGCGAGGGCGATTGTCAGATACTGAATCTCGGGATCAAATATCAATATATCGGAGCGACTGCGTTCTTGTCATCATGTTCCACTCGTCGGTAAGTTGATCCCCATGGGGGCAGTCTTGTCGAGAATGCACAATCCGCGTGTAGATTGTCCCCTGAGGATTTGCAGTGTGATGGGGTGACTGTTGAGCGGGCTGGCACTAACGCAACAGGTGTGCAGAAACCCTACTCGGCCGTGACCGTACAGATTGAAGTTCTTACTAGCGAACAATATGAGGTCGAAGACTCTAGCGGAATCGTTGATCTTATAGAGGCTGTAACTATCCAGGGTAGCGGCCCGACCGAAGCTAGTCGGGCTTTGCGCAAGAAGCTGTCAGTCTTCGCTCTTGACTCCTGGCTAGTGCGGCATTACGACTAACGCTTATATAGAAAATATGGAAACCTCCATCGCCAACTAAGAGCGCTTACGATTCTCGACTTTCTGATCCAAAATGCCGGGGACCGTTTTCTGCGGGAGTTTGCCGACGAGCCATTGCTGGAACGGTTGCGAATTGCCGCCACCGACTCGGTTTCTGATCCCCTTGTGAAGCAAAAATGCAAACAACTCTTCGGGCAATGGGCAGCATCTTACAAGAATACCCCTGGCATGGGAGGAATCACGGCCCTCTATCGACAGTTGCCGAAGCGCAAGCAACCGGCAAACCAGGCCAAGGCCAAGGTTCTACGGGAGGCCAACCCCTCTGATGAACCCCCCATGGGTCACACCGTGTCCATCTCGGCCGGAGATGGACCATCCACAGTCCTTAGTGGACCCAAACATAAGCACTCGTCGAGCAAGTCCCTCAAAAAGGAGAAGAAAGATAAGAAGGAGAAGAAGACCCGCGCCCCCTTCAATCTGGAGAGAGAAAAGCCGGAAATCTTACAAACACTCGCCTCTTCATCAGTCGCTAGCACAAACCTTCTGAACTCTCTGAAACTTGTCAACCGTGAAACGCACCGCGTGAGTGAAGATGCCGAGGTCCTCAACCGCTTTGAAACATGCAAGCAACTCCGACGCCAAATTCTTCGGTACATCCAGAACGTAGAGAGTGAAGAGTTCCTGGGGAGTCTGATTCACGCCAACGAGGAGCTAGTTACCGCCTTGATGGCATTCGAAGTCTTGGATAAGAGCGTGGACTATGATAGCGATAGCGACCAGGATGTTCTGGAGACCGGCTGGACTCCTGACCGCGACGATGTGAACGAGTCGTTTGCGGGTCTTGTTATTAACCCGCCCAAGCCTCCCCGGCCTGTGCGGCCGCTCAGTATCAGCGTCCCGTCGTCTTCTTCACAGCAAGCGCGACGGGCCAACGACAGCGATACATCAGAAACCGACGAGGATGAGGACGACGACGAGGACAATCCGTTCGGAGACCGCAATGAGATCCGTACTCCTGGCATTGAGAAATCCCAACCTACCTGGTATGTATCGCGTTGTCGTCTGCGACCGTTCCACCGGGCTAGTCCGCTAATTCTATGCAGGAAGGAGGTTTAATTAAAAAGCATTCGACATAAGGGGCCCCTGTCCCCTATTTCTAGCCGTTTCCGCGGATTGACGGTCATTACACCCTCCCTTGACTCGTTTACCCTATTCCCTCACGATACATGATAAGCAACGATGGTTGGACTCGGTGGAGTGGATTGAGTGTTTTGAATGGATTGACTGGTTTTCGATCCATCATGGCATGTACCATTACCTTTTCTGTTTCTTGATATATTTTTTATTTTCTGGTATTTCTTTTGCCCTTTCACTTTCTCAAGACCAATAATTGTGTCATACGATACCAATCTCATTTACATTGAAAGGCGTAGCAAAGACTTTTTCTCCAAAATGAAAAACAACACAGGCATCATCATTAACATTGATTCAGAAACCTCATCATGCCATAGACTCATTTCACAGAATAACGGGAAAAACCCTGCTACCATGCAATAAGAATAAATAACACTTCCTAATTTACAGCCATGCAATCAGACGTTCAAGTCAGACAATACTAAAAAGATATAAATGCAAATGGGTATTATGAACGTGGCTTTTCCGGGGACGCAGGCGATCGGTACTCTATAAGAAAGATTGTACCGAAGCCCTGGAGGGGGAAAGACGCTAAAATAGAAATATAAGTAATGAGGAAGAGGTCGAAGGCAGGCAAGCACTTCTCGCACACATCCCGAAGACATTGTAACTGAGCAGTGAACAGTCTCATCATAATACCTTCGTTTTCATCCATTCACTGGTCCCGACGCCCAGGTTGAGGCCGTTACGGGTCCACCAGCGTCGGACACGTCCTTCTGCACCGGAGACTGGATCGGCATCTTCAAGGGCTTCCTCGATATCGCAGGTTTTGAACTCCACCCGCAGCCCGCTCTGTCGCCACCATTCGAGCACGTTGTCGTGGCCGTTCTTGGTAGGTCCGACGAGCACTTGGCAGTCGAAGATCATTTTGGCGCCTTTAAGGTGGTACCAGAAATCGAGGACGTGGACGTGGCCGTGGGTGCTAGCAATACGGGCTACCGATTCGGCGTGACTATAGGGGATGCCCGAGGCATCCCACCAGGCGATAGACTCGGTACGGCCGGATTGGGCGGCAAGCAAAACGGATTTACCGACTTTCAGGGGGATTGGATTCGATGCGGGAGCGTTGTCCGAAGCGTCCTTCCACCACTGCAGCACGTTGACGCGGCCCTCCGCGCTGGCCGACTCCAGTGCCCGCTCCGTATACCGGAGTTCTAGGCCGGATGTTCTCCACCATTCGAGGACGTTGACAAAGCCGGCGCGAGAAGCTCCGTCCATAGCATCCGCGATATACTCTTTGTTTGGCAGGGCCGGCGCGTCACGCCACCAGGTCAAAATATTGGAATTCCCGTAAATCGCGGATGCCCGGTATGGAAGGTTGGTGAGGCGAGATGTGGTCCAGAGGAGATCAATATGATTTTCTGTGAGGTAGGACAGGACGTCTGTTCGCGAGAACTTGGAGATTAAGTGGCATGATAGGTCAGATATCGGTTTCCATCGTGGCAAACTGTCAATGCGCTTTTTGATCGCGGCGAAAGATCCCCTCAGTATCGTGTACTCCAATGATGCAGGGGTTGACATCTTCAAAAGATGGTTTTGCCATTCTTTGGGTACAGGCAAGTTTGTCGGGATGCCGACAGCTTTGGCAATCTCCCAATCGTGTAGTTGGTCCTCAAAGATGTTGAGCCACAATTCCATGGGCAATGAAATTGGCCCATCTTCAGGTTTATCGGAACGACCTGTAAGATGCCGCAATGTCGCCACAGTCGTGGTTCCGGTTGCTTTCGTATCCGAAGCGATGGATTGTTCGTAAGAGTTGCCCGAAGGGATATGCGAAGAGGTGGCGACTTGTGAAAAGGATAGCCCAAGGGCCTTCTCAATGGTTTCAAGGGTTTCTTGCAGACCGTCCCAATGTAACTGAACTAGCTCCTCCGGGTCGGTAGATTTCATCAAGACCGGCGTGACAACATGAATCCAGGGCCAAAACTGGTTGACCTCCTCTAGCTGTCTGCCACTCAATGGATGGTGCCATTCCGAGATGGTCATGCCAGGTATTAAGATGACTGGCTTGGTAGATATCCAACCGCGGAGAAGTGCCAACGTCAATGTATTCGTGAGGCCCGACAGCATCGACCCTAATGTTCCAGCATCAATGGGAGCGATGATAAGCATGTCCGCCCATTCACAGAGTTCGGCGGCCTTGGCTTTCAACCACTTCCGAGCACCCGTCTTTTTCTCAAATGTCTGGCTATCGACAGTATCCATGTAATGCGGTACTTTGCTGGCCCCGGAGAGAAGGGCAGAGGGCTCGTCTGTGATCAGTCGCAGCTCGATGTCGGGATGCTGGACCAGCGACGGGAGAACATTTCCAACGAACGCGCTCTCCGTCGAGAGTAACAGGCGTTTCCGGCGACAGACAGTTGCCGAAGACGAGCCATTCGCTATTGAACCCTGGGCAGGTGTTGGTGATCCATTATGTTCCGCCACATTCACATCACCGTCTCCATCAATCTCCATTTCAGACGTCCAGCCACACTTCGAGACGGTCGTTGCGTAACTTGGCGTAGGATTATCTGCCTGGAATCCCACTGCCATGTCAATAAGAGAAAACGCCAAAGGTTACAAGGCCAGACCAACAGAGTGGTGACCAGAACGTGGTGATAGGCAGGTAGTGTTGTTGAAATGTGTTGTTATCGGGGCTAAGACCAAATTTGAAGACGGTAGAACAAATTGAGGCAAATCAAAGGTAGGTGACAAGACGCGCGACGTTGGAGTAAGAAAGAAAGAGGTTAAGAGGCAAAAAGAAACAGTGGCTGTCTGTACCTTACTACCCCAGCAAGAAACTCGCAGCCGGCGCGAGAAGGGAAACTCAGCGATAGGTAGCGATAGGGACGCAGTTCTAAGTTGTTTCGAATCGGAGGAGACTTCAACGGCGCCCAAGCAACTTTCCAGCAGACGACGCTAACCAATCCATGTAGGTGATTTTCATTTAGATGGACGCACGTGTTGCACGATTCGTGGTATGATCAAGAGACGGGTAGCGGTGTAGCTCGTTGGGTGATATTTCAACGAGACAATCGACGGAGCTTTGGGCGTAAATCGGGAGCGTCTCCGCTCAGTCGCCACGTCGGAGGGACAAATGAGTAGCAATGAGCGAGGGAAGAAGAATGAGGAAAGCGGCGCTGGTCACAATCACTGCAAGTCCCACGCGGGGGAGTTCATTTGAAGGAAGAAACTCGGGATTTATCTGACCAGGGTAAGCGCCTCTGGCGGGGATGCTAGAATCATGCAAGAATCATGGCGAAGTCATTCGGTTGAAGGCGGCGATCCGCGGGCGATGGACAACGTGGGTCCCGTGATTGGTCGGGCCTGCCTGCCGTCCGTCGCTGCCTGAGGCTGTAGTCTCCTTCCCCATTGGGAGCATCTAGTGTCATCGAGGTATGTACATGTCTATCATCTATACAAGTACTCCTATTCGTATCCTTCATTCCCTCTATTCTCTAATCCCGTCGCGCCAGGCTCGAATGCAACTTGTGTTGCCGCATCCCCAGGCTCACGGCAGCCCCCAGAATGGCAAGTGCCAACAAAGTAACAAAGGCAGCCCGCAGCGACTCCATGTACGCGTCCAATACGCCGGACTTCCAGTCCGCTGGCAGCTTCCAGATCTCGTCCAGGCTGTCTCGGATACGGCGTATCACTTCGTCGGCATCCTCTCGGTTGCCGAACCGATTCCAAAGACCGGATTTCAGCATGTTCTGAAACACTGCGGACGCAACGGTGATACCGATCGTACTGCCAGTGCTGCGGAATGCATAGGAGGCCGATGTGATCACCGCATGGTGCTTATGATCCACCGCCGAGATCAGTGCCACCAGAGTAATGGTGAGCATGCTCCCGTAAGCAACCCCCAGGATGAAGAAGTACACGAACGGCAGCAAGGTTGGGGTGGTCAGATCCAGAGTACAGATGAGGCTTCCTCCGAGGATCATCAGAGCCATGGCGGCAAAATTCATGGCCTGATAACGTCCGGTGGCGCGCATGAGAATCCCTGATCCCAGTGAGCCCATTGCGGTTCCGACCGCCTGAGGGATCAGCCGGACACCAGCGGCCGTCGCCGATAAGCCCTGTACCTGGAAGAAAAGCGGCAGATAGAACAGTAGCCCGAAGACCGCCATCGTCGTGAACCAGTTCGTGAGACAGGCAGAAGAGACTGTACGATCCAGGAGCAAGCGGACCGGGATGACAGGCTCGGACGCGACATTCGCCTCCACATAGACAAAGATGCAAAAAGAGACGGCCGATAGAGGCAAAGTGGTGAGGATCAGAGGATGGGTCCACGGCACTTGGTTTCCGCCCGCATTGAGCCCTAGCAGGAACAGAATGAGGGTGATAACCAACGTGATAGCCCCGAGGAAGTCAACTCGCTTCAACTTTCCCCGCGTGGTCTCCTTAACGGGCACCTTAACGGTGAAGGCGACAACAACACAAGACACGGCGACAAACGGGACCTGGATCAAGAAGGCCCATCGCCATCCCAAGGTGTCGTTAATCCATCCTCCGAACACGCCGCCGAGCCCACTTCCGGCTCCGTAGCAGAGGTTTCCGATGCCCTGCCAAACCCCACGTTTCCGGAGAGGTACCAAGTCCGACGTGACGAAGGTCGAAATCGCCGTCAGACCTCCTCCGCCGATGCCTGCGACAACACGGCCCAATATGATAGTCCACTCGCTTTTCGCAAGACCGCAAATCACGTTTCCCGCGGCGAAGAAAATGTTGGACAAGACGAGCCCCGTGCGTCGAGAGAATATGTCGGTCAGTCGCCCACTCAGCGGTTGAAACGCTGCGTTGGAGATCAGATAGGATGTGGCAAGCCAGGACAGCAGGGAAAGTGAATGGAAGGAGGACGAGATGGGAGCCGTCAGGGTTGCGACAATGGTCGTATCTAGTATTACCATTAGCTACAATCCGAGTCCAACGAAACAGATCGGACATACCTAGCGCTGCCAAAAATACTCCGATCCAGATACTTCCTAGAACCAGCAACAGCTCCTTCGTGGTGGGTTCCTCGGCTACAGGGACCTCTGACTCTTGGGGAGTAACTGTCGCATTCTGAGTCTGATCCCCGAGGAGCGGTGTCTGCTCCGACACTGGAGCCCTGGGGACGTCGGCTACAGTGGTTGGATTGTACTGAGCTGAAGCCATGGTTGTACAGCAATCTTTTGTAGGTTCAATTCCCTTGGTTGAGGATGCTGCTGGTCGATGCAGCGAGCGGGGAGAAGTTGGGGTCGGAACGTGGAGATGCTCCGACTTGATCGCCGATGATGACATCCCGGTCTCGGCCTGATTTCCGAGGCACGCCTGAATTTTATTTCTACTCCCTCTCCCTTCATCCTTGTCTTCTATGCCAGGTAACGCTATGGATCACCCGGTTCTTGCCCGTGACAGTCGGACAGTGTGGTAAAGAGCCGGTCAGCCAATCCGCATCATACCTAGTCTATATGTAGGGCAGCGTTCAGTCATCTGGCATTGCTTTCTTTTGACCCCGTTGTATCCTCCACCCAGCGTTTCGGGAGTGTCTTCAAGGATAATGGCTACCACACAGGCAACCGGTTCACCAGAAGAATATGGACCAGGGACGTACGTCGACACGACCTTCACTCCGGTGCCCGAGGAATGCAAACGACTGTTGAAGGTCTTCGCGGCCAAAACCCCGGGATTCACGCAGGATCCAGCCCTGCTTGATGGAGTAAAATTCGAAGGCGACGGTTTGCCTTGCATTCCCGGACCGATCAAGGCGCAGGCTGTGACAGCAGTGCTGCATGCGATGGTTGGTATTGTGGGTCTTGAAATGCTCCATTTGCGCGGCGACGATACCAGCACGACAACGTACGTCAACCCCAACCATGCAGGACTATATCCCGCCACTCCTGCGTTGGTAAGCGTCGACGGACAGACGGGTCCCTCCGTGATTGCTTTGCCGAGCGTGCCTCAATGGGACAAAGACCGTCAATCCGGCTCTCCCTTGGTCTATCCGACTGCCGATGAGGGCATCTGGTTTCAGCTTCATGGCTCCCTCGACCCATGGAAGGCACCGATTGGGCAGGGATTCCGCGTATAGACCGGGTAGCGGGAAGCAATATAATGGCCATTTGCCGAGCACGGAAGCATGAGTATGGATCGAGCTTTATGCCTTTCAAGGTCGTGCTCCATACCATTGCCTTTAATCCGTCAGGCGGGGGGAAAGCCAGATTACCCCGATAGATTCGTGACTACTTAGCGGTGACCCGTGTTAGATTCTAACTGCATCCATTAATTTTCAATCACGACGCCACTCCGGCGGCGGCTGCGCATCCACGCCTAGAACAACTCCACAAGTCTATGGAGCATGGTTCCCTGGCAGCCCTAACGGAATTGCACCGTGACTGACTCCTTTTGAGACATCGGCGCCGCGTTGCACTCAACAGACCCATTTTCGTTGCACGGGGACGTCGTCTCGGTCCCCTTGGCGGTCAAATCCAGGGACATGGCCTCTAGAAGACAACGCGTGAACGCAATGCTGGATGAGTCGCCGTAAAACACCATGGTCGGTTCGTCGACAAATCCCAGGGCAAGGCCATCTGTCTTGGTGTCATCCGACCGGGGACCCTCCCCCATTGAATGCATCGAAATGAACCTCATCTTGTACCGGCCGGGCAGCACTGATGGTGGGGTTATCACGCATTGGTACATCATATCGGTCTTCTCGAACTGTTGCGCATACGGAGAGATGCCCTGTCAGCAAGTCATCATGTCGTCGCAGTCTGCTCTCGACGCATCTCAGCCGCTGTTCCAGGTCTGCGACGTATTCCTTGCGGACCAATAGTTATGTATCATCCCTACTACATACACTCGTAAGTAATCTATCTAGTGGAATCGTGCGCATCGACCCACCGGACAGAGTCCCTCATCATCCCAGTCTTCACTCCCAACCTCCCACCGAACAATAAAGAGACCGGTAGGATCCCACTTCTATTTGATAGTATACAATCGCCGATGATGGCTACCCCATATTGATGTCTAGTCGAATTATTAACACATCGATCGTCTGCATCGGACTTCATTGCGTTTGTAGCAGGGAATACAAAAGGCTTGCCAGTTTGCATCGCCATGAATGGCCTCTCACGACAAGGAACGCAATGGGAAACATCAGTCGTGTCAGGACATGAAATATGAACTCTGACCCATCTCGGCCGTCATGTGCATTTAATCTCAAGATCATGTTCCTATGTGCGTATAAACGTAAAGCCAAACAGACCATTTTGAGGGGGTAGACGTCTTATAGAATATAGACATCCTCTGGTGAGGGAATACGCCATGTGAGCCCAGAGTCGGAATGGATGGGCAGGGAAGAGGGAAAAAGCCATGTGTATCACCCTCCGAGACATGATCCTTTTTCCCATGGAGAATTTTAGACAACGGCAAGGCGATACCGTCACTACGACATGAAAGCCATTTTTCACTTGTACCTCCGATTATTAAGCGGAGCCCTGATTCAGATCTGATAAGATTCCCCGCCGAAAGTCTGTGGACTGCGAAAGTATACTCAGGTAAATATTCTGGAGTTGTTTGAAGATTCTAATAAGCGCATCATGTTCGGAAAGCTCTTCCAGATCGGCAAAATCTTCGTGGTTGTCGTCCACCGCATCTGCACAGCCCTACGCATGCTCCTGACACAGCAACTCCACCGTCTCACCTACCAAGCTGTCGAGCATCCACGCAATGTATTCGTGATCGGAGCTTCGTTTGCGGGCTATCATGTTGCGCGATGCTTGGCAAATTCGCTTCCTACCGGTTATCGTGTTGTCGTGATCGAGAAGCATACGCATTTCCACTTCACGTGGGTGTTGCCTCGGTTTAGTGTAGTGCCGGGTCATCAGCATAAGGCTTTTATTCCATATAGATCTTACCTGAAGTCTGCGCCAACGGGCTCGTGGACATGGGTGACCGATACAGTGCAACGGATTGTTCCGGGTGGGAAAGGGGGGGCTCGGGGAAGGTGGAGCTTAAGTCTGGCGAGTCGGTAGACTATGAGTATCTGGTCATTGCAACGGGTGCATCGGCTGGTCTCCCGTCGAGGGTTCCTGTCAGCAGCAAGCAGGAAGGTATGAATATGCTAGAGGATGAACAGGAGAAGTTGCGTGTTGCGAATGACGTGGTTGTTATCGGCGGTGGAGATGCTGGGGTGGAGCTCGCAGCGGATGCGAAGGCGCGATATCCGGAGAAGAATGTTACTTTGGTGCATCCACGACAGCGACTGCTGAATAGTCACTATGGCGATCAAGTTGGACAGATTGCTTCGAGGGAGCTGAGGACATTGGGAGTGAACGTCCGTCTCGGAGAGAGGGCGACGCTAGATGCAGAGCAGACTCAATCTATCTGATTGGGATCCGGGGGAGTTATTCCATGCGACTATCTGGTAAAGCATATTTGTTCCTGGTTTTCTATCCACTAACCAATTTATCTGTAGGTGCATTGCGTCGGCCACTCGACTGATGTGAGGCGGTCCACAGGCTGCCCAATCTATCCAAGGTCTGTACTCCCTATGTGCTCTGGAAGAGAACATGATGAGGGTACCGGGGAATCCTGCGCAATTGCCTCTTTTTGATTCGTTTATTTCTCATTGTCGGGAACTGCGCTTGTCAACCTTGTCTGAGTAATGACTAGAGGAAGGGGACAGAATCGAGGGCCCCACGCAGACTTCGGTACCTGGGGCTAACCTGGAACGGTGTTAGTCTGGTTCTCTTAATATACTCCAAATCTTTCTAGAATAGGAGGACAATTTAACTAATTCCAGTATTACGGACTGGAGGCGCTAATGGAGAGCATGACTCATGTAGCGTCGGACTCTGTTCAATTTAGCCAGTCAGCCCCTGGAAGAGTGGCATCTCCTTGTAGGTGAGCTTGGGCGGTTTAAGGCAGTTGGTCCGGGAATCCAATCTCCGAGAGACATGTATCCTTGAGATAGCCAACAATTCAACTAGAATGGCTGTGCAGGCTCAGACTTTGCCGAATTCCGGTTTCTCTCGTACGCTGCAAATGGGATTGAGTTGGGAGGACATTCTAGCTAACTTAGTTGACTGGTTAGTTGACACCCGTGATTTAGTGCACTGTTGGGCATTTGAGATACGTCAGTTTCAGGGATGAAGAGTGTCGCAGGATTAGTCCTTAACTGTTGTAACTCCCCTTGCATAGAGGGACATTTTCCTAGAAAAAGATGATTTAATCTAATTGAGTTCGAATCTCACCGAAATCCAAGGAGTATGCGTACCGTGGATTGGAGTTTAGCGTAGCGACGAGTTCTAATTCAAAAGCCCCCTCAGATTTCGACGTATCAGATTCAAACCGAGCAGATGCTGTCGATAAACAACACGAGTCTCAAACATCTGTATCGGTGAGCATTGACTGTTGGGCTTGACTTGGCAGGGTTGGACAACATGATTCTCATCCCTATCTCCAAGACGTTTGCAACTGGACTCGATGAATCCGATCTAAAATCGACAGTCCAATAGCCGGCTAAACTCCTGAATCTGAGCTGATCTAGACCCTCATCAGGTCTAGCGAGAGCAGCACAGCCACAACGGCGGCCTTTGGACGAGAAGGAGTTCATTGTTCAGCGCCCGTACCACGTCCAAAGTGACGGACACGCCCTTGCTTGGTGTGACCTCGAACCTAGCCTATCCGAGAAGGACAATCGGCGTGACGGTTTCATCGAGAACGCTCGTCATGAAGGCCAGCGTCGTAGCGAGACATAGGAGTACTGTGGAAGGTCCAAAGCACGGCGGGGAGCTGACGAACCCTGAGGATCGGCGTCGGTCCCCACTTTGGAGATGACAGGGGAATTCTAAGAATTTCTTAGTTTAGGTACTCCGTGAAGGAACGAATAAAGGAGACGGCGGCAAATTATTTATTGATTAAGGACGATCAGGACCGTGCTCCTTGCCGTCACGTGGGGTGTCATACGGAGGTTTAAAATGCTGGGGGAAGTACCTACTCGCCGTCGTGCTTTCTCTTCTCTTCCTGTCGTCTCCCATCCTGATCCTGATCATTCTACTTCTACATTCCTTCTTGGCAATATCTATCCTTCAGATCTCTACCTCCTTTGACAAAATGCCCGGTGTTCGTGAGTATTTTGCGTTCATCACATTGGCCTCTAGATTTCTAATCGGTATCCGCAGCGCCTAATGCGTTTCGGCAGCTGAAGCAGGGACTCAAGTCTCTGCTTCGGAGGAAGAAGAAGAACCCCCAGAACAAACCCACCGATCAACCCGCGGAGAACGCTGCTGCGTCGCCAGCTGAAGCCAAGCCTGACGAGCCCGCTGCGGCTGCAGACCCCAAGACTGGTACGTCTACTGACCAAAACATTCGGTCCAGCTAGAACGTTAACACTCCAAAAGAAGCAACCGCTACGGATAAGCCCGCTGAAAACGCAACCGCGGAGTCCTCCCAAACGAAGCCTGAGAACCCCGAAGCTGCTCCGGCACCGGCTCCCGAGGCCAAGCCCGAAGCTCCAGCCGCCGAGACGACGGCAGAAGCTTCAGCGCCGGAAACAAAGACGGATGGTACTGCGGAGGCAAAGACCGAACCGGCCGCCCCAGCTGAGGCACCAGCTGCGGCACCAGCTGCGGCCGAAAAGCCCGCTGAGACGAAGCGTAAGCTCTGCCTGCCCTCTCCCTGCAGATGATGGTCCTAACAGAAGTCATGCAGCTCAAGAGGCCAAATAGTTGCCTAGATATTCCATGTTTGCTTTCTGATATGACTGATGCGGCTGTCCATCCAGTCATGCGATTGCTGCCAGCCCAGCATCGATTTCCTGTCCGCTTTTTTCTGCCCTGTGTTTCTGCCCTGCGTACCCATACCCAGGCATCAAGTGCCGATCGAGTCTTGAGATTGAGGTTTTGATTGTTGTTGTTCGTTTTATTCTCATAATACCCTGCATTGCGTTTATCCGTCGTTGTTTTACCTTATATATGTTGCGTCCCTTCTTGCAGGCGAACCTTTCGCTTGTATAATCAGCGTGTCGACGCTTTGAATCAAATTGCATTACAGCAAATTTTTATCAAGACACTATAGACACTTCTTCGCGGAAAGAATATCGAATTAACTTAGCAAGGCGATGTGAGCATGGGTATCAACAACTAGGCACAGCCCAAAAGGAATGCAAACCACCGAGGATTCAATTGTCTCCTTCCGAGGATACGTCTTCATCCATCTCAACGGGCAGGGGCTGGCCTCTGGCCGCCGCCGTCGCAGCTTTGATTTCTCTGGCTTTCTGTCTCCGTTTGATCTTCCTCTCGCGATTCTTGCGGTTCCGTTTTTCCGCCTCCGTTTCCTTTGCCTGCTCCGCGGCCTTGACACGCTTGCGCAGTTGTAGACGTCGCTTCTTACCCGGCTTCTTGTGGGACTTGGGAGTCTTAGTTTCACTTTCCGCGTTGTATGCAATAATGGTGACATCGTTCGAGTCCTTCGGGAGTTTCGTATGCTGTCTGTTCAAGCGAATGACCCGCCATGGCAGATAGCAGCCGGGCTGAGAAAGAACAATAAGTATTAGCCACACTGCTCAATCCCTCTCACAACCGGAGACAAATAACCAAGAAAAAAAAAGGAGGCACGACTCACCCATGAAACCCGAGCCCACGCCAACATATCATCCCCAGACACTGCAACATCCGCAAACTGTTTCTTCCTCACCTCCAGCTGCGGATCCTCATCCACCTTCACTCCCGACAACGTCGGCGTTGAAAAATAGTACCCCCAACCCCGAAACGGGTTCACAAAACGCCCCTCCCCTGCCTCCGGAGTCGGAGACCGCAATCTAATGCGCAGTTTCTGAGCCCCAGGGGTTTTCTCATCGTTGTCGCCCGCCGATCCATTGGTCGCTTGCGCTTGCGATTGCGTTTTCGGCGCTGCCGGCGCGCTGAATAGTCGGAACTCGAACTCTTGCTCTTCCTCCTCCCCGGCTTGTCCTTCTCCTTTGTTTTCTTCACCGGGGTGGGTGGCTTCTTCGGTGGTCTCTTGTTGGTCCGCGATGAACGTGTCCAGGTTTAGCAGTTCGGCGAGACGTTGTTGCGCTTCGGGGTTTGCGGATTCTGGTTGCGGCGAGGGGGATCGGGAGGTTGAGGAGGCGCGGGAGAGAATGTCTTCGCGACGAACGCTGGAGTTGGGAGAATAGAATCAGTATGTTTCTGTATTGATTGGGATTTTGGGTTGGTAGCAATTGGATGGATGGCGTAGGTGGACGGGATCGGTTACGCGAACGTACCGTTTTGCGTTCGGGAGATCGAACATGGTCTCTGTGTAGGTGTGATAAGAATGAGGAGTTTGATTTCAATAGCAATCCCAGCGTCAGCAAGAGTATCTGGTGGAGCACTGGAGGTAAGTTGGGCTTTGGATTGCGGTGCGGAGAAATTCCATCGGTGGGAAGTTTTCACAGTCGGCGGGCGCGGGCGCTATTTCCACGTGGGTTGGTCTTTGCGGCCACGGCTGTTTCTACTGGAGTAAAGCCAAGCCAGATCTAATAAAGAGAACTATGTTTGATTCAATGTATAACTTCCAAGTATATATGTTCTTATAAAGACTTTCCAATACGGACTGATAGAATTTTGGAATTGGATATCCAGAACTCATGTCAGGCCCTGGCATAGATCTGTTATTGTATCCTAACCTAGTGAGAACCTTGAGGGTTATCAGATTCATGATCTTCAGACAAAATGCTGACAAGCATTGGGATGCACGATAGATGGTTTAAAACCCGGTCTCGTCCGAACTCATTGTATGCCCTAAATCAAGATCGTGACGAGCGCAGTCTCAAAGGCCCATGCTCTGGGATTCTCCGTTGAAGATAAGACCAACAGCATAGAACCATGTACCTTCGTTGGCCAACTCCAGCACAATGGCTGCTCCTCCTTTGATCTATATCGGGTTAGGAAAAGGCCGCTGACCTAGATGACATCCAGTAATGGGGTAAATGCTCCGTAGCAACCGCCCAGTATCAATCGTCCATCTGCATGGAGTGAATCAAGTGAAGATCGCTCAATAGACCTCGAGTATCCATGGAGATGAGTATCGACAGGTGGCCAGGTGCATCTTCATTATGCCATTCCACACTCCATGCATGGGCTTGTGTTCATCCTCCATCACCCCACAGTATCCGATATCGAGGAGACCGAGTGTGCAAAAGAACTCCGATAAAAGACAGCGATACAGCGATCGCAATCAAGCCAAGAGAAAGCCCTTGCATAGAACCTGTCCCGGGTGGCGTATAAACATGGCAGCGCCAGCAACCAACATTTCACAGCTCCGGGCAGATTGTCATCGAACCCAAGTGGCATGGGGTAGCCAGGGGTTATCAAATCAGATACGATGATCTTTCTGCATGGAGAAGTTGAGCGGTGATCTGATTGTGACCCTGTGATACGTGAGCATCCCTTGCGGCGAGGAGAAGCATCAGATGAGAGAGAAAGAGGGAGAGAAAGAGGGAGAGGAGTGGCCTCCGATGTCATCGGGGCGCACGGGCCAGCCTGCCTTCCGCATTTCTCCATCCCGCCAGCCATCAGCCATTTCATCCATCGACCAGTCTCTCTCCCAGCATCACCGGTTGGTGCGTCGCCATTGCTCTGCTCTGGGCATCCATCGCTCGTTTTCATATTCTTCCTGTTTCCCTGTCGCATCTGCAACGCGGTTATTCCAGCCTTCGATTAACGACTCCGTCATCTGCAACTCCCCCCTCGGGTTCTTCCGGCCTTTGAATGTCTTGTGCTCCTATCTCGCGATCAAGACTTGCTTCGGTATAAATGGGTATCTGCGCCTCGTGTCTCGGCAGTCGACGAGACAGTCAAGATGTAAGTATTCATGCAGCGATAGGGATCTTGCGACGGGAACACCGTCGTACCCCAAGGGATGCGGTGGCTAACTTCGACTCCATTTCTACTAGTCTTCCGAATCCTCGCGTCTCCTCGATGATGATATCTACCAGTCTGGATACGGATATGGAGCCCTCAATCATGCGAACCAGGTCGCCCAACCAGACACCGGATACATAAAGCGCGAACGGGAAGCCTTAGAAGCGATATGTCAACGGACTTCGGAGTGAGTCGCCCCTCCCGGCTTAGAGAGTCGATCTGCCGGCGCAATCAATGTTGTCGCAGGTGGCCGCTTCCGGTCACAGGGGTTTGAATAAGGTCAACGGCTAACGCCTACAAACAGCAACGTCATCGATATCTGGTCCCTTCAACCTCAACCTCACCTCCAACCCCAAGCAACGCTGCACGGTCCCGTGTCCCCTTCGACATCGAAATCAGGCGCCACAGACGATGTCCCCGTGAGGATCACAACCTCGCCGCCGTCGGAACACCCCTCATCAGCCGGTAAAGACTCCGCGACGAAGCCCGGTGCCGTCCCAAAACACTGGGGCGAAGTCGTCATCAACCCCCGAAAAGGCAAGCAGGCAGGCTCCGGATCAAACGACGAGGCCCCTACTCGCGATGTCTTCGGGGTTTTACAAGTTTCTTGATCTCCTGGTCTTGAGTGGACACGACGTGACGGTTTTATTTCCTGGGGCCATTTCCCTAGTATCTATTTTCTTTTCGGTGGTCTAATCCCGCCTCTCTTGATGCCTTTGCTGCTTCAATCCCTTCCTTGAACCCGTTACATAGGTCGCCGGTCGACGGTCTATACTCTCCTTTTCATCTTGTCGTTTTCTTGCCATTCCCTCCTTACCAGATGTTTCATCTGCTCAAGCCACGGCCAATCTCCTTCTGTCTCTTGATCTTCCTTTTGCGTTTCCTCTTCCCTCTTCGTTTCAATCTACCCCCTTTTTAGAGACATGGTTATCATAATACCCTTGCTGCATGTTTTCCAATCACTGAAGTTCACATCACTGCTCAAAAACTGCCCTTTCTTATGTATTACATGTCTCTTGCTCGAATTAGCTATTTGCGTCGTGAAACATTAGAAATGACATCATAGTTCAGTATAACCGGCGCTGTGTAGAGAGGGGATTATGATCTACAGTATCTTTTACTGTCGTCTCTACCTACTACGGGGCATTTAGCAGACTAGAAGATATATCGCTAACTATTTCATATTGTGTAACATAATAATAATATAACAGGTGGAGAGGGAAGAGACATAGAATCAAAATCCAGCACCTGTTGCTAGCGGGAGTCTCAAGACTAATTCAGAAAAAGTAAAAAGATAGATAGAGAAACAACATGCGACCACGGCGCTGGAAGGTTGCAAGCGAAAAGAGGATAGAAACTATGAAACACGGTCCAGACACGGTAGCAAGGCGAGACAATGAAGTGAAGGATTCAAGAGGCCTCGCCGTGAAGCCGGCTCGACCTCTGCTGAACTCCGTCCTCACAGCCGTGGTTAAATCAGTTGCACCTTGAACGTCAGAACTCCACCGGACAAACGCCGAAAAAAACCCTACTCCGATAGAACGACAGATAGATGATAGAAAGGAAATCATGCCGATGCAAATGTAAGGTCGTTGGTCGCGGATAGTCACTCCCAGGTCCATTATAGTCATCGAAAAGGCATAGCCGAAGGGAAAACATATTAGCAGGCGATTTAAACGTCGTCCATTGTTCCGGCCGGCTCTTCTCCGCCCGAATCGTAGCTTCCAGCGGAGCTGAGTTCATCTTCCGACTCGGTGTCTTCCCCAGCGTCGTCAACAGCTTCTTTGCTGGCGTATTTGGCCACGTATTCTGTTGAGAGTAAGCCAAATTTGCAATCACAAGGGACATCAGGTGGCGAATACGTACCCTTCACCTTTGCCTCGTAACTTTTGGGTTCCCGCATCAGCATGGCCGCGGCCTCCCCATTTAGCGGGTCCGAGGGATTCGGGTATCGCAGGAGTTGCGGGAGGAAGACTTCGAAAATGTTGATCATGTCGTACATCGGCGACCAGGTCTGGTTGATAACATCCAAGCAGACAGAGCCCGATCTATGCCGGAGAAAGAGGCGTCAGCGAGGGCAGTTCAAAAGCAGGGGTTGTATTCCTTACAGCTCATCGATGTTGGGGTGGAATATCCTGTTGACAAAACCAATACTTGGGCTCTTGTACGGGTACTGATCTGGTAGTTCGACGTGAATCTTCCAATGCCCTCCTTGAAAGGGAGCTAGAACACTGTTAGCTGGGAAACCCCAATAATCCAAGTGTACAGAGCAATACATACTCTCCTCAGGGCCCTTGAAGCGCACGTAGAATTCTTGCCTGTAGAGAAATTGCCCTATGAGCTTGTATACAACGGGGATGTTGTTTTAAGGTTGTGTTCAACATACACTATTGAGCAGTCAGTAGGCAAGTTCAAACGGACGGGGAGTTACGGATAGAACCCACTATTGTCATTGACCAGAGTTACCTCGTAGTCACTCATTAGCCTATCCACGTTTATCAGCACATATCCTCACTCAAAGTCAATCCCAGATTTCTGTGGTTCGATAGCGGCAAATAGTCCCACGGTGTAGACTAGAGGGTCGGTATTGGGAGTGAACGAAAGGGTAGGCATACATCCTGTTCGACAGTTAGCCATGGGTTCGGTCGCAGATGCATTCAACCGCAAAGGAGACAGGTTTATATAAAAGGCAGTGTTCTAACGTACTTCATGACCTAGATGAGTCAAAACCAGGGTTAGCCTAAATGATCTCTCGGCAGCAGATAAGAATGTTCACCGACTCACATCTGTCTCGATTCTTCGCTTCGGACTGCTCATTTTGAATAACTGCGGGAGATCCTGTGATCTCTGACCAAATACTAAGGATATCCAAGTTGTTCAAAGCATATACCGGGTGGAGGAAGAGCGAATTGTGCGACTTTGGAACAAAGCAACTGGTCCCCAAGGTGGAAGCGGGGAAGCGATAGAGCGAGCGGGGACAAAGGAGCCGGAGGCGGTGGCGAAGGTAGAACGAGAAAAGTAAGTTGGATGTGGCCAAAGTAACAAAACTGAGGAGGTGAGAGGCGTATAGAGACCGGGGAAGGTGCAGGTTTAAAGGGGGAGGAGAGAGCTGAACAATGGGGGACAGGAGTTGAGAGAAGTGGGAGGAGGGAGGGGAGCAGAAGGCGAAGAGGGAGTTCGATGATAGCGGGCGATGATGGCACCACGGCCCGCACGAGTCAGGTGCGCCTGCAGATGACTCAGCCTGCTCTTCTCCTCCAGGCAACTGGCAAGTTGGGCGCATACGCAGATCGTGAAAGGGAACCTCTCAAGCTGAGTGGTTCTTCCACCCGGGTCTGGTGCCGGTGACTACTCAGTATACTACTCTCTGTACGGAGTAGTACTTGTCTTGCATCGTGTCGCATGTGGGGCATGGTCAGGTAGCAAACCCGGCGAGTTGGATCAGGTACTCATTAATGAAGAGCCAGGTCAGGTTTGGTGTTTTGGTACTTTATATCAGTAGCTGAGGACTGGTTCGACTAGAATTCTTGGTGACCAGACTTTGGGTAGAGTTGAGTCTTAGGTTTAGTATGCCCCAACCACTAAGTTACTACTACGGAGTACTAGTTCCTAGGTAGTGTTATAAAAGAGTAATAACTTGTGTTAGAGAGAAGCCATGACTGAGAAAACCAAATAATAGTAGTTCTACCAACGAGAGGCGAGAAATAAACCCCCATTCCTGTTAATGCCGCAGACACCATATAACACAGCTGTGGCCTCAGGTGTCAATGCCTCATCCCGCCGACAATTAAAAGAGAGGAAAGACTCCTCCGTCATGCACACATCTGCTCCCCATCACACTCCATCACTCCGCCGTTGAATCAAGCACGCACCAGAGTCTATTAATACAGTTTTCATTCTCATCTCCATCCCAATCACAATGCACAAAATGGGATCCCCGTCCTCTTCATACCCTTCCAGCCAAAATTCTCCCCAACCAGACCGGAATCCGCCCGGGATCGCCCAAACTAATCTGCCCCAGCGACCGGCCAGTCGAAATAAAGCCTCAGACTCCGCTGCCAACACTGATGCCCCTATTCCGGATGACGAGCATGGATCCGACCTGCCGCTGACCATGTCCGCGTCCGTGGTGTTAACCAGTCTACCACGGGACGCACATCAAGCACTAGCGGATGCCGAGGCTATCGATACAGGAAAGGGTAAGTATAGGGTAGTTGGGCACTAGATGTATCCCCTTTTCCCTCAAACAGATGCAAAAAAAGAAAGCCAGACCCCGTTAGATTAAAGACGAGGGCGTCATTGTAGGGTCATCTGGCCAATTTCCCTTCCCATGTATCTAATCATGTTCTGTAACTCTATTTTCCCCGCTTGATCCCTCGTTTGGCATGACCCAAGAGGCGCTTTTGGTGCTGACTGACACTGCAAAACCAGTCACCGTCCGCTTCCAGCCCTTACCTGCGGCCCCGATCTTGAAAACCCGCGTCTTCAAGATCAGTGCTTCCCAGAAATTCGAGACCGTGGTTAATTTCTTGCGCAAGAAGCTGGATTGCAAACAGTCGGATTCGGTAATCTGTTATGTGAATAGTACCTTTGCTCCGGGGCTTGATGAGGGTGTTGGGGGGCTGTGGAGGGTGAGTTTCCCATTTCTTCGGTTTTCTTTTCCGTGGGATCTGACGTCGTTTGAATTTTTATTTTTGTTAACACGGTTGTGGACAGTGTTTCAAGACGGACGACCAATTGATCGTGTCGTACTCGATGACTCCTGCGTTTGGTTGATAGGGATGCGACGAGTCGTACAGCGCCGAGAAGAGATGGTGAGTATTATGTGTTTGAACTCTCCGCGAAAAAAAAAGTCTAAGTTGACTCGATTGAAATGTACATAGGTCAGCGTAGAGAACAGCCAGCTGGCATCTATCACTTTCTAACAGACATGAGACATGAGACATGAGCTATGATATGAGGTATCAGGAAAACCACTTATGCCAGACAGAAAGAACAGCAACAGGAGCAGGAACTTGTAGCAAGCAAATGGTGAAACAAAGCCACAGAGAAAACAACTGAAGGGAACTCTTTATTCATCCGACTTGTTGACAATCCTTTCGAACTCCGCCAACTCCTCCTTGGGAATAGGATAAGTGTACTCTTCCGACGGATACGCGCGACTCTTCACCTCTTCCCGATACTGCTGAATCCCCTTGATGGCCTCGCCCCAGACATCGGCATACTTCTTCACGAAGCGCGGGAGGAACCGACCCGGCGGGAAGTTGCCGGTCATGTCAATCTGCACCAGAACCTGCCCGGAACAGCCATTACCAGCACCAATGCCGATGGTCGGCACGGTCAGTTTCTTCGTCACGATGGCGGCGATCTCCGCGGGGACGGCTTCAAGAACCATCATGAACGCGCCGGCCTCTTGCACCGCCTGGGCGTCTTTCAGCAGACTCAAGGCCCCGGCGGTCGACTTGCCCTGGACACGGAACCCTCCCAGCGCGTTCTGGCGCTGCGGCGTCAACCCAATGTGTCCGACGACGGGGATCCCCGCCTGCGTGATCCGCTTGATAGTCGGGGCCATTTCGGCGCCTCCTTCCAGCTTCACGCCCTGCACGCGACCTTCCTTGACGATACGGATGGCCGATTGAAGGGCCTGTTCCGGCGAGACCTCATAGGAGCCCATGGGGAGATCAGCAACCTGAAAGACCATTAGCCCAACATTCCCACTAAAGTCATATCACCCTCTAAGAGAAGGCGAAAAAAAGGAAGGGAAGAAACAAACCGTAAAAGCACTCTTCGCGGCCCTCGCCACACTCCGACAATGCAACAACATCTCATCCATCTCCAACTCACTCGTATCCTCCATCCCCAGCGCCACCATGGCCAAGCTATCACCGACCAGAATCATCTCCATGCCCGCCACCTCCGCGACATGAGCACTGGGGAAGTCATGCGCCGTGAGCATGGTGATCGGCTCGCCCTTTCGATAGAGACTGCGCAGCGTCTGCACGGTGGCCTTTTTCCGGGGCGTCGTGGGCGTTGCGCTCAGCGGAGAATGCGAGCTATGGCGGACGAATGATGTCGGGGCGGTGCCAGTGCCTGACATGCATGTGGGGAGGAGACATCTAGTAGCGAGGCGGGAGGATGGTTGACGACCCCCCGCCAGAAGCAGCGGAGTTATCGACGATGAGGAGATGCGAGTCCTCGAAAGACATTGTCTCAATGGCGGCATCATTTGGGCTGCGGTTCTGGATGAGGCCATTGTTGCCACAGGACAAGTATAGATAGTAGCGTGGTAAAGCGTAGCGCGAGACAACAAATCTCCACCGCGGATACTTTTTTCCAGGAGCAATGGAAGTAACACAAGTGCAAGAGATTGTCAAGACGCAATTGTTATCAACAATGTATCTGTAAGTGTATGTATGTACGCATGTACGTATGTATGAATATCTTGTTTGTATGTACCCTATAGGCAGGAAGGCGAAAAAAAGAAGCTCCGACCCGATCAGATAACCTAATAATGAAGTGAGTGAGTGGCGTTACCAGCGTCCACACCGGAAGGATCCACCAGTGAAGTAGATCCTCGAAGTAGATTGATTGGTATTTGGTAGGTAAGTTGAGTGACGTTATCTGACCGAGGGATAACTTAAAAAAAGAAAAATTAGAAAAATAAAATTTTCGAGTAAGTCTTGAATCTGCTCAGAAACTTCGAAAGAAACAATTCGAAATTTACAATTGAACGGGGCGTCTTTATAAAGCAGCGCAGCCCGGACGTGCTGGTATATGCAGCGTAGACGGGAGCATCCCCAGCGCCTTCCGTTCTGCCGATGCCTCGTTAGGGCTTTTTTTTTTCTTCTCCAACCCACGAGTGGCGAAGCGCTGATGGATTCTCCGCCGGACGGACCGTTCTTCCTGCCGAGTTCCATCTTGTCACTGGGCCGAGAAGACCGAGGCTGTTTGTTTTGAAGGTTTACCAAGGCAAGTTTTGTTTACTCACTTGACTCCGTTTGACTTCATAGGGCAGGGATGTTTATCATTTCATAGCTAGATATAATGCTAGGTACTTGTACTATGTATGTGCCCCGAGTGACCTAGACCTAGGCCATGATTCGAACGCCTCCGTCCGAGTTCGGTCCAGCTGCTGATGCATGGATCACAAACCTCGCGATAAGTAGGTAGAAAGAAGTGAAAGCTAGCTAGTAATAAACACGCACATTGGGGAAATAAGATTGACAACGTCAAAGTTCAAAAACACCACCGGTACGGACTGTCCGTCCTTTTAATGCAACCCCATAACACATCCACCCAAGAAAAACCAAGAAGAGAATAGAAGAGAACCGAATGGAAATAAGATAGAAAGGGGAATGAGAAGGGAAACGTGTGAATTAGGCTCAATGCAAGGCATGAACGGGAAGCGGATGAACTTTTGAAATCGCCTCGGTCAACTCACAAGCCTTCCTTGTTCTTCCTCTTTGTAAGATTTTTTTTTCTTGTTTTTTTCTGTCGAATGGCCGAAATCATGATTCCCAAAATTGACGTCGGACAGGCCGTCAGTTGCTTTCGTTCATCAAACCCGTATGATATAATGCAGGCAAAATCCAATGACGCCGGCTGTATGATAATGCACTGTGAGACATCAAGTACAACAAAAACGGATTGTAAAACACATAACCGATGCAAGAGATAAAGGGGGGAAAGAAAATGAAAACGGAAAAAAAAAGTATAGGAATAAAGGGGAAACCTGGGAATGAAAGGTCAAATGAGCGACAGAATATCAAGTCAGTTGTTTGCTCCGTGGAGCGCAAGTTTTGAATCAAATCCGAGGCGCATATGTACCATTTGTTGTTTAGGATCGCTCTTTCAAATGCTCTCGTGTTCTCCATGCATGTAATTACTGCCGTCAAAGGAACAGCTGATCATAAAAAAAAAAAAAAAAAGTCAGTGACGCTAATGCGGTTGAGATGGAAGGAATCGCGTCATATGTATGTGCCATGATTTTTATCTTTTTTTTTTCTGCTTGTTTGTTGCTTTTGCCTTTTTTGCTCTTTTTTCTTCAGTAAAAATGGCCTAAACATAATCGTATTCTTCCTTTAATGGTCGCTGGAGCTGGAAGAGGAGTGAGTCAAGCTCCGCCCAGTTAGACGTGTTCAATGCGAATTTGCGGTGTTTTCTGGTCAACACATGCTACATTCGTCAGTTAGCAATTGCTTCTCCTCTTGTCAAGGGCAAGGCACTCACCTCATCAAAGTCATCGAACTTGTCCCGGCAGTTCTCACAGTATCCTGGCTTAGGATCCCTCCGCCTGTCCTTTTTCTTTTGGCTGCTACTTCTTCGAAGGCTTGGCCGGTGCTTGGTGGCACCATTGCCTTCCGACTGCGTAGTCTCCTCTTCAATGACATGTCCAAGTTTTTCTGGCGGATTCGGCTTGCCTTGCCGGCTGGCCTGATTCCTTGCCGCTTTCATCGCTGTTGAAGGGTCCACGGGATGGTGAGACAGTCCCGTACCGGCGGAAAATCCCCCGTTGCTCTTCTCGAGAACCTTTCTCTTCAGCTCGTGGACCTCTTTGCTCACACCAGCCTTCGCACCGGGCGCAGCGGCAGTCGAGGATACCATCTGGGATCGGATAGCAGACGTGATATTTGAGGGCTGCACGCCCGATGCAGCAGGCTCCCGACCAAGGTAGAAGGGACCATTCCGGTTTAGCTGGGGAGGAGGAATGAAACTTTCTGAGCTCTTCTTTGGCGACAACGGCCTCGTTGGTTGCATTTCTTGCATCTCAGGTTGCTTTGGCTGAGAGACAGCACCTTCAGGTTCATCTCTGGGGCTGGTCTCTCGGTCAGCCTCAGGATTCTCTACCTTCCCAGCAGTGTCCTCGGGTGCCTTGGGCTTGGTGTCATGAGTCGCTGCGATGGGTGCAGGCTTAGAAAATGCCTTCTTTTCCCTTTCCTTCTGGCGCGCCCGTTGTCGTTCAGTTTCCTTCTTCGTGGGGGCCTCTTCCACAAACGGGCATTTTCCCAATGGTGCACTCCGAAATTGTGGCCAAATACCATCCTGTCGCCTTGCCACCTTGGGGTATTCACGGACCATGACAGGTCTGGTCTTTTCATCCATGTCATGGATATAAATGAACGGACCTTTGAACATGACCAGGTCTTTCAGGACCGACAGAGGATTGCGATCCGAAGAGCCACTCATGAGTTCGTTTTGCAGGACCTGGGACAGGTCCGCGTCGCCCCTGGCTTTAGCATGGCCACCGGCATTGGCATTGCGGGTTGAATGGCCGCTGTGGCCGCCAAGTTCACCGTCGTTGATAGTAGCGATCATCCGCTGCAGTTTCTCGATAGCCCATATCTTCATTCCCATTTGGCGAGCCCGGTACAAAACATCCATATTGGTCGGTTCCCGTCGAGCGTCATTCTTCATTGACATATGTAGGTGCGGGTCGGCATTTTTCTCGAGCAAGGAGGGGTTGACCGTCTGCAAAGAACCATCTGCAGCTACCTGATCCACCGATTCTGCCTGATCCGCCAATCTTGCCAATTCTGCCGGGCTTGGGCCTTCATGTTCGGGGGGGATGGGGCGGGAGGTAACGACGTGAGTCACTAGACGTGAGAAGAATTTCTCTTCGCGCTAGGATGAATTGTCAGCGAATTTTCAAATCTTCACTACCAAACCTCCATGCATAGGGGAATCAAAATGTCTCGTGTACAGAATCACATGAATGGCTTCCATTACAAAATGATGGGAATGCGAAGGGGCGAGGTCAAAGAGAATAGCCAGATGCACTTACAGCACCCAATGCATTGACCTGTCTCGAGCATTTACTACGAAGATCTTCTGGGATGCTGTCAAAGTAAAAGACGAATTGCGGGAAGGCCTTGCGATAATGTCTCTGCCACTGCCGAATAGTATCGATGGTCTCCGCGGACGGTTTCTCATGTCTCGACGCCCGATTCTGAGGTTGTCTATCCTTATCCCGAGCGGCGACCAGCTTCCTCTCGAACGCACTTGGCTGAGTATTGTTTGTTCGGCGCGTGAACAATTGCTTGGAATCGTTATTCTGGTAGGCGGAGGACCTGGTCCGGGTCGGTGAGCGGCCGTCCACCTCGGGACCATCGACTACCTGCTTCTTGGGTGGTGGCTGGCCGTAAGGGATTTCCACAGGACCATTTCCCGGGCGAGAACGTTTGGCAGGCACGAGGCCCATTCGGTGAGGGGAGTTCGTAGCATTCGGCACGTTGGCGAGTGGACGGCGAGTCGACATGTTATACGAGGTCTGCGGTGAAGGGGGTATGAATACTGCTGCCATAGGGTAACGATACGCCGAGGGTAAATAGGTTAATTAAGCAGCTAGTTCGAAGGCCTGTTCAAAAGAGGGGCGCAGCAGGCCGAGCACGCGAAGAACGACACGTCTCGAAGGCTTGCACGATCAAAAAAATGCCATTGTTCACGCGATCCAGAGTCATGGAGGTAGGGAACGGAGGGACAATAAGAGGGGAAGGGTGAGAGAAAGCCTCTTGCCCAAGGAGGATAGTGAGGAGGGGAGTTTGACGAGCACTGTCCAGTGAAAGAGGCCTGGGAGTGGAGGATGAAGGAGAGGAGTAGCAGTGGCTGCGTCGGAGTCTTTTGGGGGGGTGGGAAGAGAGAGAGAGAGCGGGAGGAGAGAAAGGAAGTAACTAAAGCGTGTCGGAGAGTGGAGACCGTCTGGTTTGGTTTGGTTTGTTTTGGCCGCGGGATGTGCGCCTTGACAACGGGGCATCAACCCACCGCGAACCTCCGCCAGGTATGAAGGTTGGGACATTCCGCTGCTAACTGCTTATTTTCCTCTCACCCTAGGAAATTTCCCGGATTTTTCCGCGTCACTGGTGCTGTAGGTATTCCAGTACTTCTTCCTGTACTCCGTACTCCGTAAGAAACCCGGAAACACCGCTTAGGGCTGCGTTTGTTTGTTTTCTTCAGCTAAACTCAATAACAATAACAACAACAACGGAGAGAGGCGTGTTTTTCCTCCCAACTCGGATCAATACAGTTCGCTATTATACATCCATTTACAAAGGGTATCTTCCCGGCTACAATTATGCTTCCCCTAATCTAGTCCCGAAGTGCCTCGATGTCGTCGACCTGGAAAATGACGTATTGTCAGCGGAGAAGGCGCTAATGCACGCAAGACGGCTGAACGACGGCAAACTTACCTCCTTGACGGCTTCAGTGGTCAGCACGATCGGGCTGTCATCTCCCACGCAGACGCTGTCCTCAATACGGATTCCAATTCCCCGGAACTTCTCCGGCCATCGCTCGTCGTCGGGAACGTAGATACCGCTGGATCAGGTTAGTGAAGGCTTCTCAACCAGTTCGAAGGAGAGACACCTACGGTTCCACGGTGATGCATTGGCCCGCCTTCAGGTTGTATCCTCTTGGATATCCGGGGCAGTCGTGCACGTCCAGTCCGATATAGTGGCCAAGGTGGTGAGGAAAGAGGGTACCCATGGCATTTCCCGAGACGTCAAAGCCCAGCTGCTGCAGTTGATCTTTCAGACCATTTTCCGCGACGGTATGCAATCGGTCCAGGGAGAGGCCTGCGTCCTCGCGACAGAGAGAGACACAGCTGCGGTGCACATTCAACACCGCATTGTACAGATCACGCTGAGGATCCGAGAACTTTCCGTTGACCGGCCACGTCCGCGTGATGTCGGAAATATAAGTACCTCCTTCACCACCTCCATCCACCAGCACCATATCGCCGTCATTCAAGACGTCGTCGTTTCTTGTATAATGAATACTCAAAGCATTCGAGCCGCCCGCGACCACGGGAACGAACGCGCTGTTATCACAACCGTTGATCTTGAAATTGTATTCCAGGAACGATGTAAGGTCCTTCTCCTTGGAGAATGTGTGCCTCATGGATTCGGTGAAAGCTCTTCCGGAAGCTTGTCCAACTGCCCGCATTTGTACAACTTCGTCCTCGCTCTTGAATACTCTCATCTCGTTGAGGATCGGGCGCAAAGGCTTGACTTTCCGGTAGTCGACAATCTTTTTGAGTTGCTCCGAGGCGCCTGTAGGTCCGTATAGATAACGATGTAGGGATGATCGGCCGGGGTTGAAAGCGGGAATATCCGTATAGATCTCCGTGGCGTCTGAGATGATGCGGGGGAGTAGATCCCCGATGCGCTCTATGTCACCGGTCTTGGAATCTCATATTAGCGATGCTTTTGTTGGTAGAAAAGAGGATCGCGCCTTACTTCGTCGGCATTGAAAACGTCGGTCGCAGCCTGCGTCCCAGAGCGAGCCCCATCCCAAAGCTCGGCCTTGGCGTCTTTCTCCCGAACATAGAGATGGAAAAGGTGGTTGTCGCCAGAGCCGTCGTTTGCTGCAGGCTAATCAGCATTGCTGATATCCTTTTATTCGGATCTCCAGGCAGAAACTCACCGATAATCGCAAGCGCATTGGGTTCGTTGAATCCTGTACCCAACAAAATCAATCAACCATAAGTTCCTTTTTCCTCTCATCATGAACACCGACCCGTAAGATAGAAGAAGTTTGAGTCCTGTCGGTACTCATTGAAGATGCCCGACGCGCGATATGTGACTTCGTTGGCAGCTAGGACGGCAATTGAGTATTTGGGGAGCTTGTTCGCAAGTCGTGATCGACGGTGGGCGTATTCGAGAGCGGTAATTCCGGGCGTCACTTTTGTCCGTAGTCAATATAACCATGTCATATTATCTCGCGCGACGAACATCAAAGGGGAAGACACACATTCTCCGGGATTCAGTAAATGGGGGTGCGTCTCGTGTAATGGTTGTCCGAATTTAAGCTCCGCGGCGGAGATGGACGAAGCGTAGGAACGGCGAAGGGCCGGAAGTTGAGGAGAGACCAGCCGATTTGACGATGACCGAGGGATCCATGGTACGGAGCGGCGAAGGCAACGAGGCCATTGGCGAGCGAGTAACCTGCATGTCGACATGCTTGTCATCAAGTCACCATTGAAGGAGGGACGAGTGTTGACTTGGAGAGGTGGACACTGGACGTAAAGGTTCAATCGGAAGGAAGCAGCAACTCCCGCGGCGGGCCTCGTTGCCTTGTCGCCTTAGGCCACAACCCGGGGTCGGTGCCGGCAGCCAATCAGCGACTCGCCGTTTGTGATATGCCACGCCGCATGGACTTGCCTGATTGGTCTGGGGCACCTATCTGCACCTCCTTTAGCATCTACGGTGTAGGTGCACTGCTTTGCTACTCGGTCTGGAAAGGATTCAGATTGCGTCAAGGGTTACCAGAATGACTCACACTCAGGAAATAAAAGAACGTCCAAGTTCCAGAGCTGGGCATCCATCAACGCCCAACTACAGCATCGGCAACGTTTCCAGCATACATCATGGGACGCACATTGACTTACCCAAAGAGGTCCACAAACACCGTCAACCGCTATAAGCACAGAGGTGTGTCGAGGGTCAGCTGCTTGACAAAGAGAATAAAGACTAAAACTCTATGCAGCGACATATGACTTGGGGGCAATCCATTCCATCATCAACTCGACTCAGGTTCTCCATGTATCCTTCAACCCCGGTCCCGAGGACCCTTTCCCCGCCATAATACCTATGATCGGGCAAATGGGATCGTTCGACTATCCCTCTGCGGATATCAACGAGCCGCTGGATTGTTATTTACACGGCTATGTCAGCTCGCGGATCATGAACCTTGCCCGAGAATCTCAGGGACAAGGACTGCCAATCTGCGTGGCTGCTAGCAAGGTCGACGGATTGATTCTGTCCCTGACACCGAACTCTCACAGCTACAACTACCGCTCCGCCATTCTACATGGTTATGCGAATATCGTCACCGATGAGGCCGAGAAGCTTTGGGCAATGGAGCTGATCACCAACTCGGTGCTTCCAGACCGTTGGAATAATACCCGAGTGCCCCCGGACCGTGCCGAGATGTCTTCAACGGTCATTCTCAGGGTCCGAGTCGTTGATGGAAGCGGCAAGATTCGTGACGGAGGGGTTTCCGACGAGAAGAAGGACTATTCCAACGAAGAAGTGACCGACCGTGTGTGGACGGGAGTGGTACCGGTCTGGGAGACGTTCGGGGCACCCATTCCAAGTTCTGATAACAAGGTGGCCGAAGTACCTGACTACATCACTGGCTTCGTTGCCAGTAAGAACAACCAGAACCGTGGTTATGCCCAAGAAGCAGTCGGGGTCACTCTTCCCAAGGAAGAACAGCATTAGTTCAGTATCTATTTCACTATTTCCAATGGTCTGGTTACCAGTTTTGTCTCCACAAATATCGTACATTATCCACTTTGTTTTGTAATCTACATATTATTCAGTCGTCCACATAGATTAAAAGCGAGTTGTCGGTGCCGTAATTCCACCCTTGATTTAGTTCGCGTATTCAGTACTCCGTCCGCACTAACCAAACTATATATTGCAGGTATGTACCGTAGTGGTAGTATAAGGGCAAAGAAAATTAATTTCCTTGAACAACTCGCCAAACTAAACCGGTAAGGTTTCCATAATAAATCCCTTAGATCCAGTAGGTCTAATTTAACATTCGCATTTTGTAACTTAAAAAAGGGCCTGACAAACACATGGGGATGCAACCCCCACGTCATCGCCAGATTTTAGCGCGTTCCCGACTTGCTGCAACATCAACATCCGACAACGAACTCGCTTCTAGTAGCTCCGGAGGACATCCATTCGAGCAAAACTTACAAGTTCCGTACCTCATTTTATATTATATACCTGTCGCAAGATTTATAGTTCTGTCAACACGTTCGGTCACACGGTCTAGATCCCTACCTATAAGTAGCGACATCCTCAAACGTCCCCGCCATGGCGTCCGCCATCCCAGCAGCCGATCTCCGATCATTTTCAGAGTACCTGAAGGGACGCAGGCGTGTCCTTGCTCTTCTAGGCGCAGGACTCTCCGCGTCGTCAGGACTGCCTACTTTCCGGGGCGCCGGAGGGCTGTGGAGAACTCACGATGCAACGGATCTCGCCACGCCCGAAGCTTTTGAGGCCAACCCAGACCTGGTGTGGCAGTTCTACAGCTATCGCAGACATATGGCGCTGAAAGCGAAGCCGAATCCGGCTCACTACGCGCTCGCGAAACTCGCCAAGATGAATAAGGACTTCATCACGTTAAGTCAGAATGTTGATGGTAGGATACGTTTAGGTTCTGTCATCTTGTTGGTCTGAGATGCTAATATTGGAACGGTAGGTCTTTCGCAGCGAGCAGACCACCCGTCGCAACAGCTACATCTCCTTCACGGGTCTCTTTTCACGGTGAAATGCACCTCGTTCTACTGCAGCTATTCTCGTGAGAATGATTTCACGGACCCTATTGTCCCGGCCCTGAAAATCCCCAAGGGTACCCCGGACTTCACCCCTTCCACGGAGGACAAAACGGACGAATCCGCCTCAAAGGATTTGTCTGATTCTCCAGGGAACGAAGAAGCACCGGAAGTAGACATATCTGATGAACGGGTTCCGCTTCCTGCGCTAAGCTTGGATGTGCTTCCGCACTGTCCCGAGTGTAAAGATGGCATTCTTCGGCCTGGAGTTGTGTGGTTTGGCGAAAGCTTACCGTTGCATACGCTTGATAAGGTGGATAGTTGGATGCGCTCGGGACCTATTGACCTTATTCTGGTGGTCGGTACGAGCTCCCAGGTGTACCCTGCTGCGGGATATGTCGACAAGGCTCGCGATCGGGGCGCGAGAGTCGCGGTTGTCAACATGGATCCAAATGATGTCGGGGCTTCCAGGTTGAAGCCGGGCGATTGGTTCTTTCAGGGCGATGCAGGTACCATTGTCCCGGAAATACTGAAGGAAGTTATTGGAGAAATTTGAGGATTCAAGGATTGGCGGTGGGCTCTGATAACGAGGCCTATCAATGGTATAAGAGGAATTTGGCTACGAAGCTGGGTATTCCTAGGATATAATATTGAGGATAAGGGAGTATAACGTGAAAGGAGTTAGAACAGGTCAATCGTCCATTTTCTGAACAAAATCTTGTACTCATAAAGCTCTCTGTTTGAGTATGGTCCGAGTAAAAAGCAATAAAGAGCAATAAATTATAGAGAGATTCTTCTTGGAAGCTTGACAGTGTTGCTCTGGGATTCGGCGAATTTGATTGTCCTATTACTATAGCCGCAATGAGTCAATCGGCTTCATATTATAGTTCTAAGTCCCTCGAAGATCGACTAGCTATGATTTTCAATATAATGGCACTTTCACTTACCCAGATGTAGAAAAGGAAGTCAAGGGATCGCAGACAGATGCGGGGCGGCGTTGCTGGGGCAAACATCCCAAACAAACGAGAGATAGGCGCTATCGATAAAATGTGGGCACTCACAACCTTTGCATCACCACCATTTCTTCCCCTCCACGACTTTTTGGCCCCCCACTGCCCTTTGTGAGTGCAACAGTTGATCATCCTGAAATGGCATGACCAAGGTGAGTCGTATATTCTCTATTGAGTCCAGCAGAACTGGCGCTTCATGGTTCGATGAGAAACTAACCGAGTTGCCCCTCCACCAGAGAAACGCGAAACTTTTTCGACCACGTTACATGAACGACAATAGAGACTAAACATTTCCTAGACAGCTTCTTGCATAGTCTATGTGTCCTTCTTTTACGCAGAGCTATCGATAGCGGCAATACTCGACTTTTGACGCACATTCTTTCAAAACATACAAGACCCCTTCCCACTTAGACAGCAAACGCACCTCGATCAACCCACAACAGCTCCCCACCTACATTCAATATGGCCAAAGAAAGCGAAAACCCCCTCAATCCTATCACTCCCCGAAAGCCAAATGAAGATCCTCGTCGGCAGGTCTCTCATCACCCCGAATTTGGAAGACCTTCGCCGATAGGCCCAGCGCGCCCTCCGAACCAACGCTCGAACCACCCGTTCAATATACCCAAACCGAACAGGGGACGGCCCGAGCATCATCGTCCGCCGCCTCAGCCCCAACAACGGCCTCAATACCCCCACCAGAGTCATCGACCGATCGCTACCCCAGGGGCCGGGGTATCTACTCCGAGACGGGGCGAAGCGTTCGACCCTTTTAAGCCCGTCCGGCCTTCTGCTTACAATAACAATCGATTCTCTCGCCCTGTCAACAATGATGTCTTCCAGATCAAACGCCCCGAAAACGTCACATTCTCCACCCCTAAAGCCCCCAAGACGTTTTACGCCTCCTCGGCCAAACCTTCCGCAATGAAAATGAACCATGCCTCAAAGAACTTGCAGAACTTTGTGGATCTTACGGGCGAGGGAAGTTTTACGCCAAGCGCCCGACCACGCAATGTGGGATTTGGCTCGACGGACACGTTTGGTTATGTGGATACAGCCAAGGCCAACGAGAACATCAAGGCGTTGTTAGAAGGAGCTTTCGAGGAAGAAGACGAATCGAAAGCTTCGAAGTCAAAGGACAAGAAGAAGAACAAGAAGAAAAAGAAGGGCAAGAAAGAGAAGAAAGACAAGACCAAGGACGCCAAAGATCAAACTAAAGGCGAAAAGAAAGAGACTGCTGATATCGATGATTTGACTGCCCAATTGCAGGGGGTGACAGTCGCAGAACCTAAATCGACAAGCGATGATTCCAACAGCGATTCCGACGTTGAGGAGCCGGTCTCAAAGGCATCGACTGGGGAAACTGGTGACGACAAGAAAGCCGCAAAAGAAGACGAAGATGTCGCAAGTGACCAGGACGATGAGAACGATGACGAGGAAGAGGAAGAAGAAGATGAAGACGACGGTACTGTAGAGGGCCTGAAAGTTAAGCTCCTACCTCATCAGCGGGAAGGAGTAAACTGGATGAGGGACAAAGAAACCGGTCAGAGCAAAGCTAAGGGAGTTCTTCCGAAGGGTGGAATCCTCGCGGACGACATGGGTCTCGGAAAGACAGTCCAAGCTATTTCGCTTCTACTCACGAATAAAAAGCGTGCGGATGGGCGCAGACGACCCGTCGACCCGGATGATTCCGACGACAGCGACGATGAAGATGGCGAAAATAGTTCGAAACTGCCGCCGGGACTGAGTAAATCCACCCTGGTCGTTGCGCCTTTGGCTCTTATCAAGCAGTGGGAGGCAGAGATCAACGACAAGGTCGAAGCATCCCACCGACTTCGCGTGTGTGTCTATCACGGGAACACTAGAGCAAAGGCAACAGACAACCTCGAAGATTACGACGTCGTGATTACCACCTATGGCACGTTGACCTCAGAACATGGAGCTTCCGACAAGAGCAACAAGAGATCGGGTCTCTTCTCTGTTTTCTGGTACCGAATCATACTGGATGAAGCCCACACCATCAAGAATCGAAATGCAAAGGCCACGCAATCTGCCTATGCCTTGGATGCGGAATACCGGTGGTGCCTATCGGGAACTCCTATGCAAAACAATCTCGACGAATTGCAGAGTCTGATCAAGTTTTTGCGTATCAAGCCCTACAACGACCTAGCGGCCTGGAAGGACCAAATTACGAAGCCTTTGGCCAATGGCCGGGGTGGTCTGGCGATCGAGCGCCTGCAAGTTTACCTCAAAGCATTTATGAAACGCCGAACCAAGGACGTTTTGAAACTCAACTCTAACCTCAAACCCAGCGAAGGTGGTGCCGAAGGCCAGGGAAAGAAATCCTCCGGGTTCCAAATCACTAAGCGAGAAGTCATCAAGGTTGCTGCCGAGTTTATGCCTGGTGAGATGAACTTCTACAAGCGCCTGGAACAGCGGACGGAAAACAGCCTTGAGAAGATGATGGGCGAGAAGATGGATTATGCTGGCGCCTTGGTCCTGCTGTTGCGTCTCCGGCAATCTTGCAACCATCCAGACTTAGTGAAGAGTGATCTTGCTAAGGACAAAGATGTTCTTTTGCAGAATGGCTCTTCCGGCAGTCAGCCTGCGCCAGGAAAGCAGGATGACCTCGATAGCATGGCCGATCTCTTCGGGGCTCTCAGTGTGATGTCGAAGAAATGCGATGTCTGCCAGACGGACTTGAGCAAGGATGACGCAGCAAGTGGTGCTAGTAGGTGTGGTGACTGTGAGGCGGATCTCAAGAACACCCTCGCAGGCAACCGCAGTGGCAAGAAAAAGAAGAGCTCCCGCAAGCAATCCATAGTGGACCTTACCGACTCACCATCGGCCAGTCGTTCAGAGGCCAAGATGGCTCGTGCTCAAAGAAACCGAAGAACCATCGTCGATAGTGACGATGAGGACGAGGATGACGGAGAGTGGATTGTACCCGAAGGGCAGCGGTCAACTCCCAACCTTGGAAAGGCCGGAGGTTCGGATGACGAAGATGCAGAAGGAGGCGGCGAGTGGCTTGTTTCAGAAGATTCGGATTCTGATGACGATGATGGACCTGAATCACCAACTGCCAACCGCATGAGCTCAAAGATTGAACCCCAAGAAAGCGACTCTGAAGACGACATTTATCTGAACCCGGGAGACGATGAAAACCAAGTTTTACCTTCGACAAAGATCAAGCATTTGATGAAGATCCTTAATCGAGAGTCGGCTGATCACAAGTTCATTGTCTTCTCCGTTTTCACTTCGATGCTCGACAAGATTGAACCCTTCCTCAAACGAGCGGGGATTGGATTCGCGCGGTATGACGGCGGCATGCGCAACGATCATCGAGAAGCTAGTCTCAACAAGCTCCGAAACAATAGCGGAACCCGAGTACTACTTTGCAGTTTGCGAGCCGGCGCATTGGGACTGAACCTGACTGCGGCGAGTCGTGTAGTTATTTTGGAACCGTTTTGGAATCCTGTAAGTGTCCAGTCTGTCACTGTTCGTTTGATACTTCAAAGCAGATGCTAATCTATCTACTTTCTAGTTCGTTGAAGAACAAGCCATTGACCGTGTCCACCGTCTCAACCAGACCGTGGATGTCAAGATCTACAAGATGATCATCAAGGATACGGTCGAAGAGCGTATCATTGATCTTCAGGATCGCAAGCGAGAGTTGGCCAACGTCACCATTGAAGGCAAGACTGCTGCCGCCAAGCTTACGATGAAGGATATGATGGCTCTCTTTGGTCGGGATGCAGAGGCACGATACAACGGCGACGGCAACGTTGATTTGGCACAGAAAACCAGACTGTTGACATCAACGAGCGAGAGCAGCCATTCCGGGTCTCAAAATGAGGACCGTGGCTCACAGGGTTCGTATTCCGATTCTCGCGACCGGCATCGACAATCCGAAAAGCGCGCTCCTAGATCAGAGGACTCGGTTTACGGACGGCGATGGTAGATAGCCGCGACGCTGATGATGCGATGTTGTTTGGGTGCTATTGGATAGGCGTATGAAGGTCTGGATGGGGTTTAATAGGGGTTTCGTGAGAATTGGCGTTTGAGGCCACTATCAGGCACGCTTTTTGGGTATGCATGGCAACTTGTTTACTTTCGGCTCATTTACTCGGTACAATGTTTACTTTCGGTTATCTCATTACATCGGCCTACACGCCATGTCTGCTCTACTCAATATACCTTGATCATGTAGAAGATATTAAGACCAAGACCAAGTCAAGGCTCGGTTAACTTTTCGGTAGATGTTGATATCCAACTATGAGATGCTTCAGATAAGCCTGATCATCAACTCAGGGTCCTCAACCTAGTCCACTTGCTATCTCCCCTCGCATATCTTCGCCTGACTGCATTGTAGAGCGCAGTTCCTGTCGACCTGCAGCTCTGTGTAGGCACAATTTGTCATTTCTCGACCGAATGATAACTAACCAGTTATAGCCAGCGCCTTCAGTAAGGAGGTCTGGAACCCTCGTTCCTCATGCCATCGTGGTTTTCTTCTAGTCCTTTTCGAAAACTCGATCCCGCTTGTAGCGCAGCATTTGCATAGATATGACCCGTACGCTGCAGCTTGAAGAACGGAATTAGGTATGTGGCGGCATTTGATATGCTTTGTTATGGTTTGCAGCGGGAGGCTTGCAATTTTTGCTCAGGGGAGAAAGAATAGGCCGGGTTGAGACACTGTAGCGATTTCATCAGTGTGAGGGAGCTGAACTGGGGATCTAATTGTTTGCCTTTTTTCGGTTGAATTGTCTGGTTTCTGTCAGTTGAATATTCCAAATCATCAAATAGAGTTAACCATTGATTTGAGTAACCAGATCTAATCCGATAGAATTCTCCCACCTAAGCTCGATATTTGCTGCTGGGACAATCATGGACGAATCCGCCAGAGTTCGATGTTAATTGCCACCATGTCAGATCACTTAACAATGTTTGTTACCTGTCACTTTTGGCGCTATTGCATCCACTAGCCAACTCTATTCACCTCCAGAATCCAATTTGTTTGCCCCAGCAGGGCCCCCCCCCGGTCCCTGACCTGTCCACTGACCCAGCGCCCATTTGCTGACCTGTCAACTCCTCACGACCTCGTGAGACACGTTTCGGACCAGTCAGAATTCGTGGCCGCGACCCTTGCGTCTTCTTTGTTTGCCCGGCGTGGCTGAATCTCGCGGCCGCCACGTTTTTGAGCGACCGTCTGTTTCCTCTCGGTGAGAAAGATCCATGGATCCGATTGATTGCCTGGTTCTCTTGAGTGGCTGGCCAATAGCCACCGTTTGCATCTCGGCCTTTTCGTGACAAAGAAAACAAGGTCCGTGTTCGCCGGTAGTACTTTTGGTTCGTGTCCGCCACGACTCATTGGAGATTCCTTCCTCGCTTCTTCGGAATGCCCTGGCAGGCAACGGAAGCAGAGGTTAGCGAGTAAACTAGTCGACCATCCCTGCTCCCCCCAACAGTCTGCAGATCATCCATGCTGGTTCTCGTTAGCTGCATATTGCAGGATCCCTGTTCGCTCTGTGTTTCATGTTTCAGCTTCGTGTTTTCGCTTCCATCTGGGGGTTGTCATCTGTTCTCCGGGCTCCACATGGAACTGTGTTTATCTAGCGTCTAGCAGTAGCATCACAGCATCAAAATATGGTTCATAGTGGTGACGGGGTGACAGAAAGATGGGGTTCTAAAGTTTTTTGCCCCTTTAACTGGGGGCCCCTGCTTGGAGACCCTTGCGTTGCAGGTTCTATCGCAGTAGTAAGTGGTGGTTCACGTTGCAGTGCGTATACAAGCCGCAGTAGCTACTGTACAGAGTAGGTAACGATCCGTACCCTGTAGGCAGATAGCATTAGCTGGAGAGCTATTGGCCCAGCGAATGGGTCGGGATGAACGGGTTTGCGATATAGTAGGGCGATAGACACGGATTCTACTGTAGAAACAATGGTACATCCAGGAAGTTAATCTCTCTGTTGGCCATGGTTCCAGTTTGCTTGAACAGCAAACCGGAGGCGTTCGTGTGGATTCGTAGCGAAGTATGTACTCCATACTCACGGAGTACGGAGTAGGGAGGCACTAGAGACAGTCACATGACAGACTCGTCTCTCACTTCTCTCTTGTTGAACGGCGATTCTTCAGCATCCAGCAAGTCCACCGATCAGATCCTTTCCATCCGATCCACTCCTACGTTCTCCTATCAGGAAACTTCATCCAGAGGGGTGGACTCCATTTTCATAATTATCACTATATTAACAATTAACATACTCTGATTATGGTTCACTCCATCCATCACTTACCCACATTTCTGCACCCTGACTAATGGCACGACCGTCGATGACCACATTGGCACATCCACCTTCCTAACACTGAAACAATCAGAAGTCAACAGTCAACAGTTCACCTACTCCCTACTCCGTACAACTCCTCCGTATCTGTTCCTGTCACCACGTCTGCCATCCCTAGCGTCCTGGTCTAGGATCGGCCGCATTAGGATTGGCGGGTCTCTCCACTTCCATCCATCGATGAGTGGATCCGTCTCCCATCGCATCCAATTTTTTTCGACGCCAACGGTGCTGATCCCATTTATCTATTTGAATCCCAGGTTAGAGCCCCCGACAAGCGGGCTCCCGTCCTACGCGCCAGCGCACCGCTGCGGACAAGTACAGGACGAACAAGGCTGCTCCTCCGACAGGATGCTTGGCAGGCGAGACACTCCCGAAAGTCCAGATGGTCTTAACAGCGATGATCCTATGGGCGTTTCCGCTTTGCGCCCACAGACCAACTCACTAATTGCCTGCTTCGTGTTGCCCTTTGATTTCTCGGAACGATGCAGGCGAAGGGTCTCCTGAATTCGCTTCCATTTTCGGCAGGATGAAGATATCCCAGGCAGCATCAATTCCCATCGATGTCCATCCGAACAATAATAATTAGCCACGGCCAGACGCAGCATCCCGGTCACCGCTATTTTCTTTGCTTCTTCCCCCCTTTGTTTCACTTTTCGCCTGGATTGTCCTTTTTGCTTTTTGGATTTTTACCTTTCGGGCGGTCTTCTGGATCTTCTAGAATCCCGGTTCGATGCATCTTCCAGACGGGGGCCGCCCGCCGTCTGACTGGGCGTGATGTAAGATGCAGGATTCTCGGGCCCCTTACTACGCCCAATCTTGCTGCATGGCGCCATCTGGACACACATTCGATGCAGTAGTGCACTTTCTGTATACTCTACCGACGACGAAAGTGGATGACATATTCTCCTGAATAAATTGGCCCCCCTCCGCCCGTACGGTGTACACCGGAGGGAACAAGGTGTATATGTACGGAGTATGAGATGCATGGCTCTCTAGTCTCTATAGATAGTCATACCGTCTCCCGGTTCTCCATCGCCCAGCCTAAAAGGTTAGTAGTTCGTCTGTTCCCCCCATCGGCCTCTCCACCGACTGTCCATCCCTCCTTGCGCTTTTCCCACCTCCTGCGCCGGCGTGTTTCCCTCGTGGGCCCAAGCGGCAATCCTGATTTCTCCTGGCCGACGGGCTGAATAACCCCCCGATTCGTGTTGTCTGCTTTTTTTTTTCTTTTCTTTTTTCTCTTAGCGTTCACACCCTGGTCCTTAATCACCGTCAATTATGGCGCCTTCTCTCTGCCGCGATCAGCGACCTGATCCGGATTGTAAACTCAGTGTCAGGTTAATCAATCATGTCTTTGGATCGTAGGATCGTAGGATGAGAGAGATCCGAATAGAACCCTTCCTCCACGTCCTGAAGGATTCTCGGTATCTGGCGATCGACTTGTGCTGTTACATGTACACTGTACGTAGTCGTTGTCCTTTTTTTTTCCCTCTTCAATTCTCACATACTATAGCCAGTACTCCGTAGTCCGTACTGAGATCCATTTCCTGTCACCTGGTTCACAAGTTCATTGATTCAGGCTCGTATTCCCGGTTGATTCGCGCGTGCTTCTCTCCTCAGTGTACTAGCTTGGCTTCTCCATTCTCTTACTCTGTCTTGCGCGTCGTCTTCGCTATTGAAATAGAAGGAATTGAAAAGGTTGTAAGGGACTAGACAAAGAACGAAGAGAAGAAGAGAGGATTAAGTCAACAATGTACTTCGTAGCGACGAACCGAACCCTGTTTAATCAGTCGGTCCAAAAAAAATAAAATAAAATAAAAATAAAGATAAATTCCCAAACGACATGGCAGTAAAAATAAAATCGATGAGCTTGAACTTGCTAGTCGCAAAGGGCCCGCCTTTTCTGACAGAAACCGACCAACTAAAGCCTCCGGTTTAGGGGTTCCTTTCCTTCCTTTCCTCTTTCCTCACCTCCTCGGAACCAACCCAAAACGCCTCTTCTTCGCTCTCTCTTCCTCTTTCCTCCCTTCCCGTTTACCTTTTCCCTTTCCCTCTGAATTGCCACCCTTTCGCTGTCTTGACGCCCAAAAAACCTTGTGCTTCAAGACAGACTCATTTGTCGCTTAAGCCATTGCATTGCATTGGGGTATGTTTTACCTGCGCCTTTCCATCTCCCCCTCCCCCTGGAGGGTCTCGGTCGTCCTGGCCATTCGGAAAAATGAACCCCTCCGCCCACGTTCCCGTCTTATCACCATTTGGCCGGCAGCCTCACACCGTTCCGATTCTTTGTTTGCAGGCTAACCCGTTTGTCTCTTCCTCTGATCAGGACTGGATGTGCCGGACTCTCCATTTCTCCTATAAACCCGCTCGATCTCGCCCCTGGTGATCCCACCTCGCTCTCGTCCCGTGGAATCGCTCGTTCTTCCTCTCTCTCTCTCTCTCTCTCTCTCTCTCTCTCTCTCTCTCTCTCTCTCTCTCTCTCTCTCTCTCTCTCTCTCTCTCTCTCTCTCCGTCTTCCCTCCTGCACGCTCTCATTCTCCGATTCGCGCAGATACCCGAATACGCCAGGCCTGGTCGCTTTTGTCTCGGGGGATTCTTGTGCTAGTTTCACTGGCATGTGGTCGGAAGTGACGTTTTGAAACGTGTTTCTAATTTCTTCGTTGTCGCACATCCTTCTCAATGGGGAATACGCAGGGGAAACCGGTGTGCTCCTCCGATGAGGGTACGTACTGCGATGATGGTTGGACTGCGACCGGGTGCCGGCAATGAAATCAAGAACCGTTGCCAGCTCGGTCGCCAAAATGGATTGCGCTGACAATTGGGTGTGTAGTGAACCTGAATCAGTTCCGATTGCTACGAGTAGTAGGAAAAGGAGCGTTTGGCAAAGTTCGCATCGTCGAGAAGAAGGATACCGGCTTAACATTTGCTCTCAAATATATCCGGAAAGAAGAAGGTTCGACTTTCCTCCCATAAGATTCTTCCGAGCGTGGTCCTGGCGGGTGAAACTAACGAATCGGTTTTTCCCTCTCTAGTGGTTCGATCGGAAAGCGTACGGAACATAATTCGTGAACGACGAATGCTCGAACACCTGAACCATGCCTTTCTTTGCAACTTAAGATACAGTTTCCAAGATATAGAGTATATGTGCGTTCTGCAGCAATTTTCCACATATATCCATCCTGCCCTCTCTCGCGCCCGATGCTGATCCTTTGAAAAGTTACATTGTGGTGGATTTAATGAACGGCGGTGATTTGCGGTTTCACATCTCTAGAAAATGCTTCACGGAGGAGGCCGTGCGATTCTGGGTGGCGGAGCTGGGTTGTGCTCTGCGATATATCCACTCCCAAGGTATCATACACCGGGACGTAAAGCCGGATAACGTCTTGCTGGATTCGGAGGGACACGTCCATTTGGCCGATTTTGTACGCCCTGACGCCTACCTTTCTTTTTCCGAGTCGACCGACAGACCGCTGATTGTTTCCAGAACGTTGCCTCGGACTTCCGACCCGGAAAGCCTCTCACGAGTAAATCGGGAACGTTGGCGTACCTCGCCCCCGAAGTCTACGAAGGAGGAGGATATTATTGCGAAGTCGATTGGTGGTCGCTCGGTGTTACTTTCTACGAGTGCATCTACAACAAGGTTTGTAAATGACAGCAGCATGGTTATCGATCGAACAGAAACTAACACATTGTGTAGCGGCCGTTTGAAGGCCGCAGCCAGGACACGCTGAGTGAAAATATCAAGAAAGCGTCACCGAAATACTACGTCACCAACCCTGCCGTCTCGGTTCCATGTCTACGCGCAATGGCTGCCTTTATGGAGAAGGACCGGAGCAAGCGTATCGGCGCAATCAGTTTCGAATCGTTCACCTCGCATCCTTTCTTTGCCGAGCTTGATTTTGTCGCTCTCGAGCGGAAAGAAATCCCGCCCGTATTCACACCCTCCAGCGACAAGACCAACTTCGACGCCACCTATGATCTGGAGGAGCTGCTCTTAGAAGAGGCGCCGCTCGAAGCTAGAGCTCGCCGACAGAAACCGAGAGCTGAGTTGCGAGAAGATGCGACGGCCAAGGAGATTCGGGAGGATGAACTTCACCGCCTCATCGAGACGATGTTTGAGCCGTTTGATTATACTATGGTGACTTTTCGAGGGTACGTTGGCCTTTTTTTTTTTTTTGCGTGGTCCATATCAGAGTTGAACTTACTGACCCGACCACAGAAACGCCGCCGATGCGATCGCAGCTACAACGTGAGAATATAGCCGTGACTTTAGCCCATCATATTTGCTGACGTCCGTTCCAGGAACCCGGAAGACGTTCTTCCTGCTGGCTCGACTCATTCACGACAGTATTCTCAGCATGATTCGAGGAACTCGCCTCCCCCTCAACGCAGTGAGGGCTCGGTAGGCCGCCTGACCCAGCCGGATACGCCCTCTCCCCTCGGAGGGACCCCAGAACCTCAAGACCCAGCGTCAGCGCCTAGCTCAGCGCCCAATAGCAAGATTCCTCTCTCGCTACAGGCAGCGCAAGCCCCGCCTCCACCACCGCCTGCTCCTTCTTTCCATCGGCCGCTACCGCAATCTAACCGCCCGCGTGGAGCAACGCGCAAGACAAGCAAAGGCGGAGGAGTGCAGATGGTTCTAGAGGAAGCCGGTAGCTGGAGCGAGCTAGCGGACCATAGTACCACGCTTCCGGCGGAAGGCTACGATACGAACAACCCGAAAGGAAAGTCCTCCAACAGTGGCATGCTTGCTTTCCTGAGCCGGAAAAAGGGTCGGGACAGGAGTCCCAAGCCACAAGAGCCAGGTGTTTTGGGCAAAGAAGGTGCCCGACAAATCATTGGCTCATAGTGATAGCGTGCAGCCGAGTCTGTCGGAGAGCAGCACTGTAGCGCCTTTCTCCGCTGCGGTCTATCTCAAGCGTACCCGAGCCGTTGCTGGCGCATCGAAAGTTTCTTGTTTGCTCGTTGAGAATTTATTGGTACCTATGTTGGGGCTTATCGGCTGGTCCGTTTTACATGGCCTTTACCACCTGAGAACGACCATCGCCGAGTGTCTCATGAAGGTCGCAGTTTCCGGTCAAGGCAACCGAACGTTTCATAGACGAAATCATGCTTTTTCCGTGGCATTGTTCAGGCGAAATTCAAGACGCACTCAAAAAGAAATAAACAGCAAGCCCTGGATTATCGTGGTTGCTTCGGCTTTGCTTACGGCTAATTTGGCCTTTTGCGAAACCACGGGGTTCTCTTCTTCGCCACAAGAACAACAATGCAGAGCCTTGACGCTTCTTGATGTGTCGTTCTCCGTTATCTTACCCAAGCAGTCACTGGCTGCGACAAAAGAAATATCTAATATCGACCGCCATTCATGGATTTCAGCGAAGAAAAGATTACTATTCCACCCACTTTTTCCTCCCCCTCCCCCGCCTTCTCTCCTTTACCTCTTTGTGATTCTGGGATAGGTTGATTGCGGAGTTGTACAGACGGCAGTGACATACATGACATGTTTTCATAATCATCATTTATTCATTCAGCAACCCCCCCTTCTACATGCATCTCATTTTTCATTATGGTTATGTATTTTACTTACTTCTTTTCCTTATCTCCTAGCTTTTATTCTGTCTGTTCTGTGGCGTTTACATACCCTCTTGATAGTCATTGCCTGGAAGTGGCTGATGCAAGACTTCATGGATGAAGATATACGTGAAGGGCTGGATAGACTTGTTTTCTTTTCTCATTATCATTTGTTGTTTTCCCTTCTTATTTACAGTTCATACTGTTCCATGTTGTTATCTGTATCTAACGAATATTCTGTCCATACTCATTCAGAGCATACATACCTAAGGTGAAATATATAGGCTGGATTATCCATGACACATGACTTGGTTGGGTGCGGGAAGTCACCGCTCATTCCTTAGGCAATTTCCCTGATAACCCATTCCAACTTCCTTCTCGCACAGACATGCAGGCAACTGAAGTACGGCATTGGCAGCTGAAAGGAGAGGAGAGGCCAAGATGTTGGCAGCGACCAGTCTGTCTTGTCTCAGACCTTCAGACATCCCCCATTCACCGCCTTTGTTGCGGCGCAACTTGTCCCCATCTTCCCTTCTGCTCCACCGACCGCCAGGGACTGGCTTGAGGATCGTCGGATCCAGAATCCCTCGCGACCAAAATAGAACCCAGCCAACTGCAATTAACAAAAAAAGGGATTAGCAGCCATTGTGCATGATTTGCAGAAGCTGTTTAATTTAACGGCCCATTCAAGAGCGACCGGTGCTGCGGAGTTGTGGTCCATCTGCAGCTGAGTTCTTAGCCTACCGACGCGAGTTCCTTGGAAGCTTGGATTAGTCTGGGATTGGTTTGTTTACTGTTTTGAGTATAACAGGCCGGACTGCTCCCTAGCGGGGGAGCACTTAAAGCTGGAGCCTGCAACATTTGCTTTTTGTCTCGCGCCATATGCCTTGTCAGCAATTCCATTCAATGTTCTTCTTCTGTGCGATTTTCTCGCCGTGAGCGCAATTGGTTCCTTTCGATTTACGGCATCTTAGAACGCGACCAATTCCCCGAAACTTGCTTCTAACCAAACAGGCGGGGTCAACATTCCACTCATCGCACCCCCGAAAAACACCATATCTTGACACATTCCGATCAAAATAAGAGTGTATGCCGAGTCACTCCCGCAGTCGAGACCGCATTCGCGGCCGCGAGCCGGGCTCCGACCACACGCGCCGTCGATACCGGGAAGACGATTATGACGACGACTTTGATTACGACCCTCGCGAGCGCCGGTACCGACGGCACGGATATCGCCATTCGCGAGGCGACTCACGAGATTACGAACCCCGCAGCTATTACGATCATGATGCCCACGACGCGAATGAATATGACATGGCCCCGGAGGATCCTGGAGTGCCTCTGAGACGATCGCGTGAAGAGAGCAGACGCAGAGAGAGGCCCCGAACGAACGCATCGCCACTTACGTCGCCGCGGAGGACTCGCGACCGAGACAGGCGCCGGGCCTACGACGAAAACAGGGATAGGGGACACCGGGATCGCGCTGGAGAGAGCGATGCCGAGCGGAGGCGTCGCAGGGAAAGGAGGCGTGCTGCGGCATCGAAGCATGAGAGTACTGAGTCGACTAGTAGTGCGTCTCATCTTCTGAGTGCTGATGCACTGGCCAAGCTAAGCTCACAGTACGATGAAGAAGACCGAGGTGAACGATCTCGCACGACGGGCGACTCTCGAGCGGAGAGGAAACGACCACGCAAGCGCCCCGTGATGGAAGGGGAATCCCAGATGCTGGAACCGTTCCCGGACGAGACGCCTAGAGGGCAGTCGAAAGGTCGAATCGTGTCCGGCGCATACTTGGAAGAGGGTCGAAATCCCGACATGAATGTTCGGCATCGTGGCGGCGGCGGCGGCCCGCCAACGGAAAGTACATGGCAGAAGGAGGGAGATTGGGGTGATACTGTGGATGGCTCCGGTGATGGCCAGACCTCGAAGAAACGGAAGAAATGGATTTGGATTGCCATTGCTCTGCTAATTATCATACTTGCGATTGTCATCCCCGTTGCGGTGGTAATGTCGAAAAAGAATAAAGATTCGTCCGACTCGGCCGATGGGGGAGACGATGATGACGATGGCGATGCGCCTGCGAATTCCGAACTGAATGGCAAGAGCCATGATAGTATTCCTGTACGTCTGACACCTTTCTATAATGGACCATCCTGCTAGAGCTGACCGTGCGACTTAGGAATATGCCCGAGATACAGTCCTTGATCCATGGACTTGGTATGACACGACCGATTTCAACGTGACGTTCACGAATGAAACCGTGGGTGGCCTTCCTATCATGGGATTAAACTCCACATGGGACGACTCCGCAAGGGCAAACGAGCACGTCCCTCCTTTGAATAAGCGGTTCCCTTATGGCTCGCAGCCGATCCGTGGCGTCAACGTCGGTGGCTGGCTGTCGATCGAGCCGTTTATCGTTCCGTCATTTTTCGACAAATATTCATCTGGAGACGGCATCATCGACGAATACACCCTCACCAAGAGACTTGGAGACTCGGCTCCCAAGAAGATCGAGCGACATTATGCCAAGTTCATCACGGAACAGGACTTTGCGGATATCAGAGATGCAGGACTCGACCATGTTCGAATTCAGTTCTCGTATTGGGCGGTGGAAACCTACGACGGCGACCCCTACGTGGCGAAAATTTCGTGGAGATATTTGCTGCGGGCTATCGAATACTGTCGAAAGTATGGATTGCGGGTTAATCTCGATCCACACGGGATTCCCGGGAGTCAGAACGGTTGGAATCATAGTGGCCGCGAGGGGACGATCAATTGGTTAAACGGAACAGACGGCGATGTCAATCGGAAACGATCTCTCGAGTTTCACGACAAGATCTCCAAGTTCTTTGCCCAGGACCGATATAGTAATATCGTCACCATCTATGGTCTGGTGAATGAGCCACTCATGCTCTCACTGCCGGTGGAGGACGTTCTTAACTGGACGACCGACGCCACCAAACTGGTGCAGGGCAATGGCATTGATGCATTTGTCGTGGTCCACGATGGCTTCCTGAATCTGAGCAAATGGAAGAAGATGCTGAAAACGCGCCCCGATAACATGTTCCTGGACACCCACCAATACACGATCTTCAACACCGGCCAGACCGTCTTGAAACATACAGACAGAATCAAACTCATTTGCAACGACTGGTACCACATGATCCAGGAAATCAACACCACAGACGCAGGGTAAGTTTCCGATCACCTCAAATGCACAAACGAACAGCAACTAACGTTCGAACAGCTGGGGACCAACCATCTGTGGTGAATGGTCTCAAGCCGACACCGACTGTACAAAGTATCTCAACAACGTCGGCCGTGGTACTCGCTGGGAAGGCACCTTCTCCACGACCGACTCGACCGCTTACTGTCCCACGGCCGACGACGGCCCTTCTTGCGACTGCACCAACGCCAACGCCGACATCGCCGACTATTCAGATGACTACAAGAAATGGCTGCAGACCTACGCCGAAGCCCAAATGTCCGCCTTTGGAACAGCGCAGGGCTGGTTTTACTGGACGTGGCATACCGAGTCGGCCGCGCAGTGGAGTTATAAGACCGCTTGGAAGAACGGGTTTATGCCAAAGAAGGCATACGCGCCTGATTTTAAGTGTGGGGATGATATTCCTAGCTTTGGTGATTTGCCAGAGAATTATTGATCCTCCTTGTGCATAGATAGCTAGCTGTGTGCATGGCGCTTCTCTGTATAGTTTTTGGTTATGTGTATATGTCTAGAATCGAATGACCCATCATGGCTTCATCGGCAACGTATTCAGGGAGCTGTACGTAGCATGCAATCCCATGACTTTAGAAGTCACCCCCTTGTGTATCTACTATTTAGTGTTCAAGTTGAGACAAATGCCCTAGTTGACGCCAAGACTAGGCTATGCTCTTTCTCCAGGGCCCAAGATCGTGAAGAAACGCAATCGACGAGAGGAACTGCACCCATGATTCGCCAGCACCCACGACTCAGCCCTGCAGCCAAGTTCTGCACCCGCCTGTCACTCAACCTGAAACACAGAAGAAACCCCGAGGGACTGAATGCCGTCGGCGGTCCATTGCCGACTCTCATTGGATGAGACCCCGTTTACCGTTCACCAGCCAAGGCGGGAATCACAGGCACCGGCGCCTACATCACACTGTCACCGTGATCTAGTAGGGATGATTCGCTGGTCTGCAGGCATCGTCGAATCCTGTCACCTTGTCCGCTGCGCCCAGTTCGTGATGCAGGATTGTAACGGACTGTGTGTTGGGAGGTGAGGATTGGTGTGCTTTGGCCCTGTTACGGGCGGTTGGCTTGCAGGAGGTTTCCTAATTGATGCCTTGTGTTTCTTGGTGGTGTGTTGGTGTGGGTGTTGACGAGGAGTTATATAGTGGTTGTGTGGTCTTGTCTGGGATGGATGAGGGGGTTAGAGCTTACCTATCGTCTGTGTTTTGTTTCTTTGGGTCTGTCTGATCTCGTTGACGTTTTCCACGCGGGTCAGGATATATCAGCTGCAAGGTCAAGAATCATTGATTGTCACACCTCAAACCGTTTTGAGCACTTATCGTTGCTCACGTTATCTCTGCTCAATATTGTCTATCACTTCCATTCTACTGTCCTAAAACGCCGACGAAAATGGCGTCACTAGCATCTACATTCTTCTATCACTGTCTCGCGATCAGTCTGCTCGTCGCATATTCCACGGCCTACGATATTGGCAATGATGTCGAGAGCCAAAACCGAGCCGGAGCAGAAGGGCCCTCTGACGATGGCGTGGGAGTGTCGTCGACAGGAATGATCGTCCTCTGCACAATAGTAGGCGTGGTTGTCGTTATTGGAGGTTTGTCACCCTTGACCCTTGTCTTTTCATCTTCACTAGTTACCCTGTCAAGAGCAAGGATGAACGACCACTAACCAATCCGCACAGTCTCCTCCGCAGCTCTCTTCTTCGTCGCTAAGCGCCGCCAATGGGCCATGCGAGAAACCCTGCGTCGATCTGCGCGACACGTCGTCGACGCCGTCAAGACGCCCCTGACGCCCAAGTTCTCGAGGTCGCAGCTCCGACAGCCGCCGTCGCAGTCAAGTCTGAATCCGATGGTGAAGAAGACAACCACGGATGAAAGAGTCAAGAATTGTGGCCGAGACGATGATTTGGAGAAGAATGCGGTGGTGACGGAGGTTGAGGCTTCCGCGGGCGCGAAGCCGAGGACTTGGGGATCTATGTTCGCTTTTGGTCGGAAGTGAGGATTCATTGATCTGTGTGTTTGGAATCGATGGTGTCTATGGAAGGTCAGGTGGGGCTGTAAGGCGTCCATGGTGATATGTAAGCCAAGTTGGAGGCGAGGGGATATAAAGGTGGACAAGACCGACGGGTGACGCTAGCCTTGCAGCTGCAGCTGCGTAGCTGCGTATCAAGATGAGGAAGGCTCTGGCCATCGTAGGGCGAATGTCGATGCTGCTGGCGGTATCCCGGACGATACTGCTAAGGGTATGGAGGCTTGAGAGTGACGGTTGGTTGGTGTGGAATACGATGATTGTCTGCTTTATGAGTTTATGGGAGCTTGGGAGTTTGGGAGTTTGGTTGAATTGTTTGGTACTTTATAATCGAATAGTCTTCTTGTGGTCAAATGTTGATGAACAGATTGACATCAGTGTAGGTTCCATGTTGTAATACTGATCTTCTCTCTCTGTTGTCCGAGTTGCGGCTGCCTTCGATCTCAGGCGTCAACGTGCTCCTTCCCTTTTGATAACTAGGATTATTATCACGGGACTTGTTTCCTCGCCTGCCTTCTTTGCTGCCTTACGTTATTCAATTGTAATTCACTCCTGTCATCAACCGATTCATCTCCGTCTACATCTATTCATCACTTTCTACCGTCAGACCTATCAACTCGAGCGGAAGGACAAGATCTCTGGTGACAAGATATCAATTGCGCAGCACCGTCTCCATTATGGAAGACCCAGGATCCCAGGTAGCTCCTCAGATACCAAGTGAAACTCCTTCGGAGCACGACATCCGCAGTGAGGCCAACACATACGAGGAAGACGAGCTCTTACTCGTACAGATAGCGGACACCAACACCCCTGCCTCTCCAAACCTAGACGCAGTCACGTACAGACCCACAGACGCCAACTGGGCAAGCCGGTCAAAGGCCGCGTCTCCTCTTCTTGTGGAACGTCCCCAGAGCTCTGGGGTTGATGTCTCTGCCTTCTCGTTTGCGAAGCCCTTGCGGCAGGGGAAGCAGTTTTCCATTCAGTCGTCTGCTAGACGAGTATTGAGAGACCCTAAAGCACAATTGTCTGGGCCCTCCGTCCACGACAATGAGGAACGGCAGTCTATAGGTGTTGAGAGTGGTCAGGAATGGAAGGGGCGATCGAGGTATTCTTCCATGGTTGATGTTTGGAAATGGTGCTGATTGTCCAAGGCAACGCTTCCCTCAATCAAGTGGCCGCCAGCACGGCGTGAGCCAGCAGAGCATCAGAGAACCACGACCACCAGAAGAGCAAATGCGACATGAACAGGTGCCACTCAATGATTACCAGAGCCGCTCGGTCACGGATGGAATTGATAACCATCAAACCCCATCAGCCCGTACACATAGTGCGGGAGGTAATCGCTCGCGGTCTTTAGCTACCTCGCAGATCATGGAGATAGAGAATAGAGAGCAAGGTATGCTTGCTCACATTCCTCTTGGTTTCGGATACGATATACTTTGGTCTGCTTCCATCACAGCAGCCCGGCACACTCTTCACTCAAAGAGCAAGACTGACTATACCAAGCCCGTGACAGGAGCACAGATCCTCCCAGGCCTTCTGGTAGAGGGTCAAAGAGACCGCGCTCTGTTGTGACCGCCGAATACGATGAGCCAGCCACGGAAGACGACTCCCCTGTCCATAATCCTCCGGTGTCCTTGATAAGCGAGGGTCGGATGGCCAAGCGCCGTCGGTCAAATGAAAAGACAGTGCCTTCAAAAGGTAGCGCATTGAAAGGTCATTCTCAACTTTCAGAAGAGCATCTGTTTCAGCTCCTCATCAATAAAGTTAAAATGCGCGAGGAAGGTGAAATAGCCGCGTCCAGAGTCAAAGAGCAGATGCAAATCCACGTCATGGAATTGACAGAGGAGAACAAATGCCTGAGGGAAGATCTAGAGGCTTGTCAGACCCATCTGCACAGGCGAGAAGCCGAATTGAACACAAATAAATTACGAATGGAAACCTGGAAAGCAAAACTCACCAACTTTCGGGGCTTTCTCAATGAATTTGGGACAGATTACAAAGTTCTTCGTCGAGAAGCGATCCAACTCAGGTTGACCAAAACACATCTAGACAAGGAGAAAAAGGAGATAGAAGCTAGCATTGCCGGTGCTCAAGAGCATATTGTGCAAGTGTCCAACCTTCTTGACGAGAGACGAAGCCGTCTTTCGGAAACGGTGCACACTACTGAACCTCTCAGACAAAGCTTGGCGGATACTGAGAACCGAGTGAAGGTCTTCCAGGATCAACTGGCCCATGAGAGAAAGCGATCTTCCGCGTTGGAATCATATATTCGACAGCAAACATCTGCTCAGGGCAAAAGGCTTGGTTTGGTGGTATCAAACCAGGTTGCGATTATGACTACTCTAGAGTCAAAGTTTCAGAACATTGGCTCACAGCTGGAATCCATTGCATCCAACACTCATTCAATCTTTGGTACTGCTCTCGATGAATGTCTAGTCTCTCTCAAGCAGCTGAATGAGAGCCATTCCGCTGGGATGATTGATGTACGGCGGGCAGAAGAAGTTATCAGAGAGTTCACAATGAGGTAAGTTGCGAGCTATCCTTCGAGAAACATTTACTTACCACCGTAGCAGGATTGATGCAATCGGGCTCGAGATCACCAGCGAAATGCGCGGGGGCTCCAAAGCCAATAACAACCTAGCCGTACAGCTGAAAGAGCAGCTTCAATATCTGGCGGATAGTATGAACACTGGCTCGATTATACTTCAAAAGCTTTCTGAAAACGAGAAGTGCTGCGGCACCTTGCAGGAAAGCCTTGGGGCTATCATTCCGACCATTGACAGTCTGAATTCATCTATGAAGATAATAGATGACAAGGGACTTGATATCACGCGGCAAATGGAACACCTTGGCAAGAGCATTTCAGATATTAAGATACCAGACAAGGTTGAGCTCGTCCCAGTGGAACCCTGCATGCATGCGCAAGAGAAGATTGAACTGGAGCGCCAGGTGCAGAATCTCGTCGCAGAACTCAAGATCGCAGCAGAAACCCTCAAGGATAAAGAATGTCACAATGAGAAGACAAGCAATGCCTTACTTGAAGCAATGAGCAAAGTTGATGAGACTGAAGCTCACGCAGAACAATTCAAGTCTCAAATTATCGAGCTCGAAGATCAGGCGAAGACCATTGAGGCCAATGTCCGCGAGGAGCTGAACAGGGCAAGCATCGTTGCCCGAGATGAACACAAAAAGAGGTTTGAACAGCAGCTTCATAGGGCCTTACAAGAGAAGTCCGAGATTGAAAGACATTTGATTAAGCTGCAGGAGCAGTTGGCCGACTCCCATCGAGAGATTGTGTGACGATCTAGTTATTTTCCGAGGCACTAGCTAATGATGTATAGGCTGAAAAAGAAACGTTGTTCCAGCAGAAGCAGGCGGAAAGTGAAATTGCGGTCAGTTACCTAGATTGCTATGACGAACTATGCTGAGTTTAGTAGCTTTCGGATATAGAAGGCAAAATGCAAACGCTTGAGAGCTTGCATGCTGAGAATACCGCGAAGTTGGCAGAGAAAGAGGGGGAGGTCAGGAGACTCCACGAGGTAGAAGCTGCTAATGGAGACCAAGTGGAAACATTGCAGCAAGAACTAAACATAGAGAAAGAGAAACTCGCCAGTGCTGTTGCCGAGCTGTGTACAACGAAGAATGACTCTCAAAAGGCGACACTCGAACTAGAGGCAAAGCTTGAATCACTCCAAGCCGATAACTTGAGAAGAAATGAACATTGCAAGTCATTGGTAAGCGAGCTATCAGCAGCAAATTCCGCCAAAGAGAACCTAGAATCTGGGAAGTCTAATGCAAAAGCCGAGATATACGCCTTGCTTCGGAGGGTTCAGGACGCAGAAAGCCGGATGAAGAATGTCAAGGAAACACTGGACCAGATGCGTTCAACCTCATCACAGGAGACAATTACGGACGCATGGTCCCTATTGAATGACTTATTGCAACTCGGAGATCTGAAGAAGTCCACTGACTGCCATCCTATGGATTCAAGCTCTCAGGTCAAACTCACTTCCGATGTTCCTGTAGAAATTCCTTCCGTTGCAGCGTCCCAAGGGGACTGCAGAACTCCAGCCCGAGGGGCTCTTCAGACAACGGAATTCATTTATCGGACCGAAAGCATCCAACGGAGTTTGTTCTCATCTCCAAACGAAGAAGGCCTGAATGTTGCAAGCTCCCAGCCAGTCAGTCGAAACATAGGAATTCCTGATTCGCAGTCATCCGCCGGTATTATACCATTTTCAAGCATCCGGCAACAGATATCTCCAGCCCGTCGCTCAACCTCTGCAGAGAGCTTTGTCGATTTTGCCATCATGTCCGGTATGATACCCAATGAACACAGAACTTCAGGGACGCCAGATACGACAGGTAAAGCTGGTGAACCCGAGGGGGCAGCTTCGCAGGTTGCCGACTCCCAGCCGGTTGAAGAAACGAGGGAAACAATAACCCCGACAGGCAAAGATGCGCCATCTGTAGTCCGTGCGGAGCCGATAGAAGAACAGCTTCCTACAAAATGTCTGCCAACAAAGCACAAGACAGTTAAGTTTCAATCACAAGATTCAGGTGCAGGTGACGAAAAGCGCCAATATCCGGCACCCGATGAAAACGAGTTCCTTGAGAGAACGAACAAGCCACGAGAGAGAAAGCTGGTCCGTACAAATCAACGAACCTACAGTCGCACTCAACAGCTCTCTTATACAAGCAAGCACGAAAAGACGGTTCGCCAACAATCTTCTTCTCGCATCGAAGAGACCAGCGATCGTGATGGCCCAGGTCGCTCCCGTAGTAATATCCGAAAGACAACTGCCTCGGCGGCCTCGTCTGCTACACGAACACAAAGCAAGGGCTCCTCCGAGTATCCGGAGCGCAAAGCGAGCCCTGCGAGCTTGGCCTCGGGCAGCAGCAAATACCCATCCGCGCAGGCTGATCACCCGAACAGTGGGAAATGGACACGGGGGTCTCGGGGCCGCAAGGCACGAGGTACGTAACCATGTTGGTGGCTTGAATGGTGCTAAGTCGCATAGGGGAACGGTATAACGCTCGGTTCAACAAAGAAACCTGAAGTAACGCACGAGACGAGACATGACCGGATCATCTCGAGTCTCGGATCCAAGTACTGTAACAATTTGCCTATTTGTTGTCCGAATATCCGCGTAATTTGATTGACATTGACGGGGTGTACCACGGTTGCAGGTTGATATTTAACGCACGAGCGGTGTTATGATTATATGATATGTCGAAAATGTTGATTGACCCAGATTGTACTGCTTAAAACGCCAGAATGCAAAACCGATATAGATACATCTGCTTGCAAGAACCGTAGAAAGGTCTACGCCATTCTCGATACTGCCGATACCGATGATCCGCCTAATATACAGGAGTAACAACATTCGAAAGCATCGACTCCAGGGCCCTCGGGAACCAAACCGCCAACCCGACAATTCTCCATTGCATTCCAGTTCAGCACCACGCACTCAGCCGGGTCAAGGCGCGGTTCCGAAAACCCATCCCCAAAGGCACCAAATCGTCGACCGATCGAACGAGAAACAGGGAGGGGAATAAAAAGAGTTGAGAGATCGTAATTCATCGGTTACGGCCGCCCTTGGTGGCTTCCAGGAACAGCACCTTCTTCTTGACGACGGGGTCGTACTTGAGCATGCTCAAGGGGCGGTGGGCACGGGGTCTGATCATCGTTCGGAAGTAGCCCGTCATGGCCATCGAGATGAGCCGAACGGGGAGGGTACGCGATTTGCCTAGAGGATAGAGTCGGATATGTTAGTCTTGAATCGCAGTTTTTGCATGCGCCATTCAATTGACACACCACGATACTTTGACGATCGATTGTGAAGCCCGGGTATGAGCAGGGTAGGCGAGAAATTGCGAAATCACATACCTTTCTTGGCCATGGTGATGGCTTGGACTAGAGGACGCGAGGATGAAGAGGGAGGGATGGAAGCCGTTCGATCTTTGACGACGGGGCGCTTCCGGCGGAGAAACTTGGGCGAGGCCGGGATGGAAGCACGTGACTTGGCTACGCTGACAGAAAAGGCTTGGCGTCAAGAGGTACCTCAGGCAGTAAATTACCGCTAGTCATGGATGATCGTCGACGCGGCTTGGATGGTGTCCGGATGGTGTCCCTCTCGCTTGTCTCGTGGTCTATCCATGGGAGATCTACATGTCTCAGTGTGCCCTCGTCTGTTCGTGCTTTGTGGCTTCAAAGGGAACTAAAACTTGATCCTAGCTGAGGTACTCTGCGCTGATACGCGGACAGGGTTTCCGGTTTCTGCATCTTGATGGCGCTTGGATCAGAGCATGGCATACCTGTGGCTACCACTAGCACGACCGTCGCATTCTCCGGAGACTACATCATGGTCGATCTACCAATCTACTACGTGCCAATAACCACCCCGGCAGTACATCCGCCGTTGACTCGTCGTGTACACTGAATGGAGATGCCTAGCGTCGACATCGTGATACCGTCGGCTGTCGGGGACGCAGTAACACACCCGTCGTTGACTGACTGACGAACGTGGCCTCCCAAGAGTAACACGGCATAGCATAGGTTCCAGCTGAGATAGCAAAGTGCCTACCGTTCGCTGTGCTAGTTACCGGCTGCCTATATCCGTCCGACGCCGGCAAGACGACAAACTGTGGAGATGCCGTCGAACCGCAACCACCCTCCTTGATTTTCGATTCCTGAATCCGGCTGCAGGAATTCCCTAGCTGCAGCTGCTCTCGCCGGATGAGCCGTGTGGTGGGTAACGGGTGTGGCATCCACCGGGTGTTCGGTGAACCAGCTGACCTGATGGGTGGTTGGAAAAGCTTGGATAGCGGCCGCACATCGTGCATGGCTTGATCCACTGAGTTAGCGGAAGGATGAAATGAAGGGAAAAGACGGATCTTGATGCGCCATGCATGCATGCATGCAAAAATGCATGGACCATGGGGACGGTGGGTTTGGGTCTATGGGGAGTTGGGCTCTAATCAAGGCAGTCGTGCATTATCAAAGTAGATCTTGCTGGTACTTCGGCAGTAGTTATTGAGGTCTCTGTTTGGGTTCTGGCATCTTTGTCTCTGCGGTTTCCTTCCTTTCACTGAGGTATTGAAGGGTATCCGGCGGGCTGATATCCGAGTATATCGGACCTTGTCTTCGGTTGAGACGGAATCTGGCTCATGGGCGTTCGTCGAGGCCATCTGGGTAGAGTATGACGATGATAGCATTCCGGGGTATAATCGAGAGCCGGTTGGAAGCGTCTCATGACCTCCTGGAGAGCGTTCGTTAGGGGACCGCCAGGTCACATGGCCGGACTCCGCTTCGATTGTCTCTCTCTTGGCTTCGCTTTCTCTCCCTCTCTCTTACTTTCCATTTTCCACCTTCCGGCTTCTTTCATCTATCCCATCCAGTCCACCTTCTCGCGAATTGGCAAACCTTCCCTCCCTCCGAGTTTGTTGCCATCCACACCCATCGTGCGGGGTCGTCTGAGTCGTGAAAAGTTCTTTTTCATTGTAGGGTAAGGTTTTAGTTTCGCGATCATCAGCCGACCCTGACTGGTCTTCGGCCAAAAATAAAAAATAGAAGAAAAATAGAAAACAAAAAAAAGACAAAAGATAAAAGATAAAAGGCACCAGCCACAGAAACGAAACCTCCACAGACACGCTGTCTTATTTCCACCCTGCACGGACTCGAATCTGCATGTCGGGCTGACTCACTCTCTCATCCTGTCTTACCTGCAAGCCAAGAGCAGGGATCTTCATTGCAGTGCAGTATGTTTGGTTTGTATGACTGTCAATACTGATCCTGGCATGATGCGAAAAATTATACTCATGAAAGACAGACGAACGGTCTTCTCATTCAATAGAAGCGACGCACCGGACCGATGGATAGATACATGTCTGCTGTAGTCGAATCATTACCGTCGCCATTCTCCCATGTGAAACCAATGAACAAACCAGAGAAGAAGAGAGGCATCATGCCGTTTATTGAATACAAAACAGAAAGAAAGAAATCCCAAACTCCAACCGTCGCTATGCATCAATTATGCCACCCAATATCGTCAATCCCAAGGTATTATGATTGCCCATACCACGCAAAAAAGAAAGAGAGATAAAAAGAAAAGAAAAAAGAAAAGGAATCGAGATGAAAGCGGGGATTAGTCACCATATCAATGATTCAGAGCATCAGCACTTCAAGCAGACCCAAAAAGGACATGTGCGACCCCTTGAAGATCGTAGCCTAGGTTGCCACGTAGGAGTACCGGTATGTCTGCTCAATGTTAATCTCATCTTAGACCGAGGGAGCTTTTAGAATTGACTTTCAAGTACTCACTGTCAGTTGCCCGGCTATTTGCCGGTTTTAGTGAGAGCTGCGATGCGAGCGCTGCGACGTCTCTTGCTGAAAAAGGAGTCCTTGGCATTGATCGGTTGACTGACTTCGTCTGATTGTCCAGGAGGAGACTGTTCGTCTCTATTCCTTAGAGGAGGTCCAGAGGTGAAGTTCTTGTCCTTGCGCTTCCGAATTTTACCGCCCTTGGTACCTCCTTTGGTCTTTTTTGCAGGAGGGTTAAATGTAGGTTGCTGGGAATTGGGACTGACACGAGTGCCGTGGATTTCGATATCACCGTTCGGACAAATGCTGTCCTCCATTGTTAGGTATTGTTCCACAGACAATTCTTCGGATTTGACTTACCAATCTCCGTTTATAGAACCGCTGTTAGAGGTGGCGATCTCTGTGAGGATTTCCAGCTGGTCGACGCTGGCCGCATAGCGTACGCCTTCTGCCACAGGGGCATTCGGAAAAGGCCAGTGGCAGGACGACCGACGCCAGTGTCGCATACGCTCACAGATTCCGATCTGGCCAATCTGTTCGACGTTGTAGGTTGCCAGAGCTCGGTGTTTTCCTGCACCACCCGCCCCCAGAGGGTATGGAGTATTCGGCTCCTGACCAGACGCCATAGTTGGTAGAGGAGTAGGCTTTCTTGCAGAGTGGGGAGTCGCGGAAGTTTCCGACATCCTGACCTCACGGCCATCGTCGTCGTAGTCGCCGCCACGGTGGTTATGGTGAGTGGGATTGAATGGGGAATAGGTCTCACGGAATCTTCTACCCCTGAGTTCCTCCGTGTACGGGTCCCTGGCCATCTGTTCGAGGACGAAGCGGAGTTCCTCAGGCTGGAAGTAGGCTGACATCCAGAAGAGCTCGACAGATGCTAGAGATTCAGCACTCGTTAGCGATCGATCACAAATTCTCTGTGTTTGAGTGTGAGAACCATCTGAAAGAGTGGATTTTACCAAAATAACACGCGAGCTCTGATGATATCGCTCTAATGATTATCTGAAGCACGTTTGGGAGAAAAGACACGACAATTGCGAGAGTTGTGAGCTAGTGTGTAGGAAGCAAGTGAGAGAAAGGTGCAAATCACTGTGACAACAAGATGTGCAAGCGACCCATAACATGTTTTCAAAGCCCGTGACCAACCCACCCTTGTCTCTCAAAAGCTTGTCTTCACATTTCCACTGAGAAAATACAAGATAGCCACCAAAGACATTAGTTAGTGCGAGCTCTAGCTCTGGCTCGCTGGTGCTTGGGAGGGGACTACATGTAGGAACTGCTCGATATCAGGCACGCTAGTCACCTTAGGGTATCATCACTCTTTCCAAGAGCCCAGGGCAGTGAATACCAGAATGACAACTGTGCGAGGTGCTATCTAGACAGTGAATCAATATATTCACTGCACCCGTGGGCTTGGTGTTTCTGTATGGGATAGCAAGCCCGATTGGAGCATATCAGTGATTAAACAAATAGACCAGAATTTGGCTTTTTCTTCTTGAACTTGGTAGATAGTCCTCGAAATATGGAATAAATAGCTGCATTTAAGCCATAAGCCCCTGGAAACCAGAGTCTGAACTTCATTTGTTCACAACTTCGGGATGAAGTATACCGAAGCTTGGCACCGTACACGACTCCTGGATCTGCATGCAGGGGCCTACCTATCACGGAACTACGTATCTAAGCACTAAGTAACCAGCCCTGTTTTCCAAGGGTAAACCACATAGATGCCGGGATCCAACAGTCGAACATCCATCATAAAATCGAAAGAATGGGCGATTCGGTCGGGGACCTACTTTCTGTTCGGACTTCATGTCCAGAGTACGGAATCGACGGATTCTTGGACCTTTTGGACCTTTGTGTATTTGTCCCCTGGATGCTTCTGCTGTTGATTGCTGATGGTACTATGGTTAGGGCTATTTTATGTTTTCATTGCTCCGTGGAATTGAAACTACGGAGTGATTGTGGAGTTACAAGCATTGTGCTGACTGCCTAGATGGAGTGGTTCACATACAGTAGGCAGGCAGGGTGGAAGTAAATATTGATCTGGGGTGGGGTGGAACACGAAGAAGAAAGAAAAGGAGAAAGAAAGAAGGAGAAGAGGAATAGATGATAGGTACCTACACAGCAGAGAATGACTGTGTAGGTTAATATGCTAAAAGCAGCTCATAGTTCCGCTCTCTCTTTGTTTACCCCTTCTCAAATGTATGTACATATTTCTGAGTAGGTACTGTAAGTGTCTTTTTCTCCACCCCCTCGTTTAAAAAAGTAACTGGAGGTAATAAAGAAAGAAGAAAGAAAAGAAAGACCAAAAACGTCAATGCTCCATACATACGTAGATCATCCTCCCCACCGGGGCACACTCACTGTCTCCAAAGTATCCACACAGCCAACTTACACTGTGTAACCCAGGATCAGTACACCTACAGACGGGTAATACCTAGGTAATAGGTACCTACTGTATCTGCCCTCCAGCTGCAGCCATCCAACATGCATGACTAGTCGGGCCAATGAGGATGACCTGGCCTCGCATGACTCACAGATTTACTCACTGTATTATTATTGCTTTTTCTTTTTTTTTTTTTCTTTTTTCTCTTTCCTTAAAGTGGTGGGAGGATTTTCTATTACCGTTAGGGCTTCTTGCGGGCCACCTAGCTAGGCTGCCGCTACCTGCCAGATAGCTAAAGTACCTACTTATTCAGTTCTTACGAAAGATGTGAAAGTCAAATCGTGGGGACATCGTATTATTCTCGCATAAATACATCACTCGTAACTAACTAGTTAAACAAAGGAAAGGAGTTTCGTTGCAGCCTCCATCTCGACCCTCCAATAATCAAGGCCTGGACACTGAATGGTGCGGAGAAATCGGACTAATGAGTCACTGCGTTTCTTGCAGGTCGAATGCAAATCATGTACGACATTCTGGCATTCTCCAATCGATTTTTTTTCAGTCGCATTTTGTCTTTTTGATTTTGTTTGGGATTTGATTTTGTTTCGCCATCAGTTGACTGCGGTTCAGAAACAAGGAACAAGAGCGGGCAAGATCCAAAACATGGGAAATAGCCAGTTATAGAGAGCAGAGAAATTAATCTCTTTCATCTGGAAGGACTCAATAACACTTGAATACGGCAAAATTCAAATGCGCCTGAGCGAAAAGAAATAAGCATCCTAACTCCCAAAGTAGAGGGAGATGGGCGCATGGCCAGAGCCCGCTGGGCTCTGTGCTGTGTTGCGAAGCTGCTTGTGTTTCACAAGATGTAAGACGTTGGGGTCTAAAATCGCATCTGCCAGCAGAACGGCGGAGGGAGGGGGCCGGTGGTGGTGGGTTGAAACCGTAAAAGTGATACGAAACGTAAGGCTGATGAAGAAAGCATGGCCCTGGTCGGATTCAGCGGTGGTATTCAGCCGGTCGGTAGATGCGCGAAGATTCTTTGAAACGTTCAACACGATCAGCCGCATCGGCCTCGTACAACGAGCCCCGGCTGGGCGAGCTGCGCGGGGAGGGATAGACGATGACCCGACGACGCTTGGGGGTCCGTGGTTCCCTCTCGATGATCTCATTGTATGCCGGCTGCTGAGGTGCCGGTTGCGTAATCCGGCGACGGGGTGGTACAAGGTAGGTCCGGTCGTAGCTGATGACAGGGGCAGCCGTCTGGACCGGCTGTCGCTCCCTGCGGTGCAGGCGCAGTCCATCTTCGATCGCAAGCAGGAGTCCACGCACGGCAACAGAGTTGCGAGGGATCCTGACCATGATGGGCTGGTTGGTTTCACGGCCCACAACGGAGTATGCCTTGCCATTCTTGCTGTAGATGTAGTCGGCCACGTCCAGTGCGTACTGGTGTCCACGGTCACAGAGCGAGCGGTCCTCCCGGTGGACCTGCAGAGGGTCCGCGCATTGGTAGCAGTGGCCGGCGTGACGCTCGAAGTTGGTCATAACGTATTCCTCGTCGGCCTCGAGCTCGCGCACGGGCACGACGGGCTCCGAAATATTTTGGATGATCGGGGCGGGCATGCTGGGCGTTCGACGCAGCGATAATCTTCTGCGAGGAACTAGGCGAGGGAATATAGAATCCCGTATGGATGATCTTTCGTGTTGGCGAAACAGGCGAGATGCGTCGAAGGGCGACACTGTGACGGATTGGAGGGGGATCACAGGCAAGTAGGATGGGTCTGAGATGAGCAGACCAGATTCAGTAATAGATGGTAGGAGTGAAGTCTTCTTGATATGGCCTATAGGTGTAGAGCACACAGGAGCAGTAGATGAGTGAGAATGTTGAGAATGAAGATATCAAGAGGATATGCAGAGGGGGGACCGGGGAGGTATAAATACTAAAGGAAGGAGTAAACACCTGGGAGGAAAGGCACCCATGTTTAAAATTTAGCGCCATTTACTAGCGGAAATACAGGCAGCTTCAAGAAAATAATCAGAAATCAAAAAAAATAGAAATAAAATACGGTGACGGCATTGATCGTGGGTCATAAGAAGGAAACAGATGACTGGCCTTGGGGCCTTGTGGCTGATGCCTGCACTTGCAGGCAGTGCTGTTCTCCACCCTCCTTCCGGTTTAGCGCCGCCCCCGTCCCCCCCATCGGGCTTACCCTTTCGAGCCGTCGGGGACGCTCTCTAGTCTCTACTACTCTCTAGTCTCCTCTCTAGACAGTCTAGTGCACTGGTTTTGGTAGGAATTCATATGTCACTCGCCTGTTCGTATTGCTTTTCAAGACACACTGTGGCTTGACCCTCGTGTTCCTTGGACTCCCTGCGCCGCAATCCCTATGACGACTTTCCTTCGTGCAACTGCCACCACCGCCTTCTTCTTTTCCCTCCGTCTGACGCTTTCCCCTCCAATTCCCTTCCTCCTCGCTGCATTTCCGGGTCCTGATGCCTGTCATGCATGACGATGTTTTTTGCATAGAATCTGTTGGCTCTGGTGTGATCTCAACTTCACAACTTCCTGCAGCATGAGCCTCAGCACCCGCCCGCCTCTGCTAGACTGCTTATTTGCTCTACAGCCGCCGTTCTTCATCCCCGGTATATCCTGAGACGTTCGGTCGTTTGGTTCCATTCTGCTGGTAACCTACAGGATTCCTGCAACCTGGCTTCGGCTATTCTCTGATCGATATTCTATTTTAGTGATGTCACGTCTCTGTTCTAAGAATAAGGATCCCCGGTGGTTTGATACGAGCGGTCCACCGAGATCGCCAATGCCATGATCATAAAAGGGGCCTAGTGAGCTCCCCAGGGGTCGAACCGTCTCAGCCTCATCCCTCTCTCGCGCAATCCCCAGCACGACTCAGCCTCAGCCACAGACGCGACTGGCTATGGTTGCTTCTTCTGGCTTTCCCTCCGTTCCGTCAAGCGCCGTAGCCACAGTCCGACATCGCGAGGGTCCGAGCACATCCACAGAACCCGACCTAAACAATCTTCCGAGTATTGATACAATACAGAGAACCATTATCGACGATCCACTGATCATCCGAACTTGTCCTGCATGCTATTTTGGACGCTCTACTCCGTGTTCCGGAAGGCGCGCGCAATGGACTCTACTTCGTTTAGAGTCACGATAACCTATCGAATTGAGGTCGGACCTCTTGCGCGGTAGTATCCGAGTCTGTATAGGGCTACAGCTCACAGCCCCGCGGGATATACAGTGGCCGCAGCTGCGTGTAATGTCGTCCTTGGTTTTGCTGCATGGAATTTTTTATAGTTCTCACCGGTTCAACTAATCAATGTCACAAGGTCATCCACGCGAGCGCGTAACTGCATACTGACCTCCCTCTAGGCCTTGACTCCCCTTTCAGCACGCTCAGAAACCTGCTGCCTGTCTGCCTACCATGATGACGCCTCTGGCCCGTTGATTCCCGGTGGTGGTCATTGTTCTGTTGGGAAAGGACAGATGTCAAAGTCAGCCTTGCTTAGAAATATCACGTCAAGAGATCATCGGACGCGTCTTTCCTCGCAATCAGTTCGCGCCACCGGCGCTATTCAAGGAGCACCATCCTGGTCAATTGCGACGTCTTGGTAAGGCCGATCGTACGAGTGTAGGCAGCCAGCACAAGATCCTTTTACGTAGATTGTCTACCATATGTAGGTTGCTTCTTTCAACAAGCCAGCCTGGCTAGCTCAATCGGTAGAGCGTGTGACTCTTAATCACAAGGCTGCGGGTTCGAGCCCCGCGTTGGGCTTTACTTTTTGCTTTTTGGTTAGATGAATTGAGCTGTCTTTTGGGTGCGAGTGGAAAATTTTCATGGATCGGGACGCGGATGCCATGGCGACTCCACATGGCGCTCCACATGCGCATTACAGTTCGGTCACGTGTTAGATCTATATCGTATCTGGCAAACATGATAGATGAGACATATGAATACTTTATAGTATTTTGGAATTTAATCAAGAAGCCTGAGAGTTGTTTTTATGTTTCTTATTGGAATCAGGTAACAACAATCTTACTCTTGCTGCTTTTCCGGACCAGGTCAGGTCACATACCTACAACAACGAGAATCTTCATTATCACATACATATATATACAAACTGCACCTCGGGCACTCCCGCCACTCATCGCCATTTTTCAATCACTGAGTAGACATGAGCATGTCTTGAGCCCCCGCAGCAGATAACTCGACAGGTACTAAGCAGAAAGGTGAGTAGGGCGACCCAAGTAGGGTAGGTTAGGTAGCCTCAGTAAAGTCACATCGTGCTAGAGCTATCTGTCTCAGTGTCTATCTTCTCTTCTAGCGTTTTTGACCGATCATCTAGTTTTGTCCACTCAAAAAAGTAGATAGCGTCATCAATAAACTAAATAGTCATAGCACAGATACTCTGATCCCACCGTAAGACAAATTCTCCGATGTGCAAAGATCCTCTCCTCCTTTTTCTGCTTCTCCTAATTATGGCTGCCTATGTCCATGTGTACTAGTATAGATAGCTGGCTCTCTTCTGTAAGACAGCGGTCCGTTGACTTTACCGCTGCGCTACAAGTTCAAAAAGGCACACTGAATGACTAACAGGTCATTCAGTCAGCGTACTATACAGTAAGCTGTTCACCAGCAACATTTCTCTGTCAGGGTGCTGGTATCTTTCCTATCACTGGTCCTCTATGCCTTATTTTAATAGATATGAACCAATAATATATCCAAGCTAAGTTTTATGGCCAGATATTAAAATAGCAAGTCTTTTAATAAAGTTAGGAGGATATGACGTACCTACCAAATACATAATTTGCTAGTCGCCTTCTTCAATAGAATTTCTTCGTTTAAGAATAATAAACTGTTGCATATTAAGTTGATTAGATAGCTAGATCTGGTCCCTTGAAGCAACCTGTTAACCTAGGTACAGTACTATAGTTATGCCTGCGACACAAGCGAGTATTCCTGACGTAATGAAGATTCGAAGGTTTCTCCCATGATCCTTGCTTCTCTCCCACCGCAGACATATGGCTTCAGGCCTTTGCCGAAGTTTCTTAGACACATGTAGATCATAATCGTAGTGGCAAGTGAGAGAAAAATTGTCAGACATCCAAATGATGCCAGGATTGGTCGGACCGTGAGGAAATTCAGATACGTGCCGTCGGAATATAACAATATAAATCCCCAGGTAAATAGCCCCGTCAGAGCCATGTGAAATATCTGTGGATTTGGTTTTAGCCAGTGCAATGAGGCGTCAAGAGAAAATAACAACATAAAGAACGCACAAGTATAGTAAAGGTCCAGGGTGTATTCTCATGTCTCACGGAGAAGGCCGTACCCAAAAGGAGCACGCATGATATGGGAATAAGAGCGAGTGGCACTTTCCAGATAAGTGCGTTCAGCTCAGTCTGAACTATTACCGCTTGCACAAGGAAGCCAAGGAAAAAGAACACATCAAACTTCAAAATTGACAATAAAACCTGTCCAGGGGGTCACGTTAAGAAACATCAAACATATCACCATCAATAGGTAGGACCTACTTGGAAGGTCCAATATCGCCTTCGCATAGTGAAATCAGCATCCACTTTTTGAAAGACTACCCAGGCAAACTCTTCGTGTAGTTTCCATGCAACAAAGAGAAGCCAGCAGCAGAATATGGTTGATATCACAATCATAGTAATTAGCATGCCTTTATATACCGGCAATCGCGTATCTTCAATAGCACTGTTATCGGAGAGGACCCCTAATGCCTCCTCAACAAGGCCAAATTGGAGACCAATAAAGACACATATCACAATAGAGTAAGCACATAGCCCATATAGTTGGATGGTATTCTGCTGGGAAAGCGTGTCGTATGCAAAGACCAGTTGATACATAAAGCCTAGAATGATAAAGCTAAGGAAGGATGGAATAGTACGGCTCGCGGTCACCTGGATGGCCTTGGGTTCTAAGTAAGTGAAGAAATCTATCAAAAGAGCTCTAGATAAGATTGTCAGATCTCGCCGCCCTGTTTAGTCCGATATAGAGTGGCCTTACATCTCTAAAGGTATAGCTATCAGGGCCTCCAAGAGAAGGGATAAGAAAAAGGTCCACGTCCACCGGGTGGTAGGTCGATACAGCATGATTGGATCTGCGAAGGAAGCTTTTGAAAGAGTGTGTTCGGTCGGTGGGAGACTTCCTCATGTTATTGATTACATGTGACCTGCGGCTGACAAGGCTGAGCGCGCCTGGGCGGACCTCCTCAGTTAGACCAAAGAAGGGAAAGATCCATTCCCAGCCTCGCAACCCCACACGCGCATGGCAAACAATATTCTCTTTTCCCCCATCCCATCTTCTACATTCGACTTTCCTCAAGTTATGTCGAATGAGGAGGGTTGGCACTCATCTCCGGACACTCGAGGCACAATTGATATTCTGTGGTCATGCCTCTCCACACTGGCTCTCTGCGTTTGGACGGCCATTCATCCAAATATCCCCGTTGTATACAGATTCTGGCCGGTGTTTTTGGATCGACTAGGGCTTATGGCGTTGGCTGTTGTATTTCCTGAGATTATCATTACCGCAGCCTGGAGTCAGAAACGGCTTGCCCAGTCTCTGCTCCAGGACATCAATCGGTCTCATGGACACTTGTCCAAGGTATCAGGGCCCAAGGTAGTAGCAGTTGCCGTGGTGATCGAAGTCAAGAACAATTACCCCGTGGATTTCCTTTCTCTTCTATTCCCTCATTTCTTTTGTGGTTTATACAACTTGGCTTACGAACGGTGTAGCTCAAAACTAGAAACTTGTTCAAGAAAAACACCTACCCGGCCAACGACGCCTTTCATCAGGACGATACGCCCCTAGGCGCGTATTCTGACGTGGAACTTGTTTCTTTACAAACCCCACAACACCCTCGATGGGAACTGAGCCAGGCCCTTTTTGGAGTGATGGGGGGATTCGCAATGGAAACAAGATACCAAACACGCGGCGGTGAGGAACACACCCTCCGTCGCCTTGTTACTGCGGACGGAATCTCTATTCTTGCTAGAATCGGTCAACTACCTACTATCACGCTAAGCGATATCGAGGAAAGAAGTAAAGCGGATATCTTTGCGAAATCGATTGTTGTGGGTCAGATTATATGGTTTGCGCTGCAGGTCTTTGGTAGATTGGGCCAGAATCTACCTGTCACGCCCCTCGAGACTCATACAGCTATCCATGTGGGCTGTACAATTCTGGTCTATATCATTTGGTTCCATAAGCCGTACAATCTGACGCAATCGGTCGTTGTCAAAGGACCGCAGGCGCAGAATATCGGGGCTCTTTTCAGTTTTCACGATATATCGCGTGACGTTTATCGTCAGCAGTGGTCTCGTTACGAAGAGGAAAGAATTCAGTATTGGAAGACCCGCGTCATACAGGCATCTCGGGGAGAATCTACCTTCTCTTCTCCCCCACAAGCCCCTATCTCTAGAGGTCTTCGTCAAACACTTCAGCACTATCAGCTTGAACCAGCACCTGACAAGCTAAGTCAGGATATTGAAATCTTACATGCCCTCGCAGAAAGCGCAATTCAAGGTCTCCATTACATCGAGAGCCGTGGGTGTTCCGCCCTTGAAAACGCTCCGTCTAGCAACCTAAAGTTCCTTCGCAACAGTGCGGAGAATTTCGCCATTCGCTCCGTATGGGGTGGCTGGAGCACTGACATCGGCCACGAACCATCTCTAGCCAAAGGAATTCATGTCATATTCAACGTCCTGTATGGTGGGAGTCATCTGGCCGCGTGGTCTTCGTTCTTCCCATCGCCTGTGGAGTCCTGGCTTTGGCGTGGCTCGGCCTTGTTCCTGACTACCGTCCCTTTGTGGGGACTTTTGTGGATCCTTTGGTGGAGAGGTGTACGCTCGCAACGTAAATGGCTATATCTCATCCGCGAAGGGGAGTTGGATATCGTTGCAGCTCCTTTCTTCTTTGCAATTCTGGTTATATATACACTAGCACGGTGTTACTTTTTGGTAGAGGCGTTGATGAGCCTAAGGTTGCTGCCACGGAATGCCTACTCCGGGGTTCAGTGGACATCCTTCTTTCCCCATGTCTCATGACCATCTCGCTGCTTTTTTTTTCGGCCGCTTGCCATGACATTGTCTCGATATGTCGGGGAGATAGGGTGACTCCACCTTCCAGTATATAAAACAGTTCCAACTACGCAGTCTGTGGAGCATGCTAAATATAAATAATACTACGAATATTCTATCAACGCCTAGAAGTCCTATTTAAGATAAAATTAATTAAGTCTCTACTACTCTCTAACTAGGTTATTGAACAGGAATATTGAAGAAGGAGTCAATTAGTACTTTAGTACCAATTCCAATCCAATTAATGTAAAGCCAAGGGAACTAGGGCTCCTATGTCACGAGACCGAAGGACATTTCTTTGTCTCTCACACAAATCGAACTGAGAACCCTTTCCACCCCTATCTCCAAACCACTTCCATCAATCATCCTCCACCTACAGCTCCCAGAATGTCCGTCCGGCTCATCATAACCGCCTGCCGCAAGCCCGACCTCTCCCCTGAAGCCTTCAGAACCCACTACGAAGCCCACGTCGAGCTGATCAAGCGCCTCGCCGCTGACACCTTCCCCCTCTGCCATCGACGCAGCTATCTCCTTCGCACGACCGTCTCCGTTCCTCCTGACGATGCCACCTCCCGCAACTCCAACACCCCAGCAACCGTGCTGAAGGGCGCGCAGTCGGACTTTGACTTTGATGTCACGGCGGAACTCACTTTTGTCGACCAGGCTGCGTTGGATCGGTTTGTGGCAAGGGTGCAGGAGCCGGATGTGGCTAAGGAAATTGCCGCGGATGAGGAGATGTTTGTGGAGAGGTCTACGGTTGTGGTTGCCATGCTTGATGGGGTTTGGGAGACGAGGAATGACTGATAGACTCGTGCTTTATAAGGGGAGGAGGGGTCCGATGAGGGATGGTAATCGTCTTCATGTTAAATAGAGCATAGATTGAGACTGAGGGCTCCTGTTCAGTCTCCTCTACCCTTCACCTCTTGTTTGTGAGAAACACAAGCCAGCATGATGCTTAAAGCAACAATCAAATGTCGCATTTATTCACTATTTCTTTTTACTTCTAATGATATCAAAACCTTGATCCTTCCCGCTATCGCCCTCCCTGTTCCACGCAACTCATCTCCCCAAATATATCCATATATCTCGCCTCCCTCTTCTTGTATAAGCGTACATAGTCTCAAACATAGTAGCTGTGTGAGGGGGAAAGCAAAGCGTGAAAAAGTACCTATACCTTATCTACCAAGTAAGCAACGCATCTACAGAACAAACTACAACCCCCATACACACAGAGCAATCTAAAAAAAAAAAAAAAAGAATAATCCCTTTGAATAAATTGACTAGACGAAAATCCTAGATAAAGAACAATCCAAACAGACCCAAAAAATCACAGATCACCATCAAGGCATCTCATCCCAAGCGTCGAAATCTTCCTCGGGAAATTCATCCAGTCTGTCAAGAGGGTCGCCGTACACCCAATCGAGTAGGTCGGCCAAGAGAAGAAGTGCGAAACGGAGAGTAGATTCGAGGGCGGTCTGTTTGTGTGCACGCGTAGATGGGACGCTGTTAGCTTGGGTGGGTTTTGAGAGATGGGGAGAGAACGAGAAGGAGAGGGAGTATGTTGATAGAGAGTTAGGGAGGAACTGACCATTTCGAATCATAAGACTCGGCTCTTACCAGAAGAGGCCACCCGCAAGAAGAGGGCTACTTCTTTCCTGTGGCCAATGTCAGCTTCAGTCCAATGTATCGGTATAATATTCTCGAGAATTGACTTGTTCTGTTTGGGTATCTTGCTGCTATGGGGAATGAAGGAAGCGAAGAAGAAAGCAGGGAGGAAACATGACAAGAAGAGACGGGAAGAGAAAGAGAGGTTCAGAGATAATAGGGCAGACAGACTCTTGCAAAGGCCGTGTTTGTTACAGTAGCCGCATTTACCACTGCAATCACTGCTGTTGGAGCAGAGCTGGCCACATTTGTCACGACGGCCGCGCGCCTCAAGTTGATCAGCATCGGTATCACCAGCGACGACGGGGCTCGCGGCTGCCGCGATGGCCAGCACGACGAGGAGAGTGAAGATGAAACGAAGATCGAACTTCATGGTTACGGTTGATAGGAGGGTCTGTAGAAGATTTGGAAGTGGAATTGTGTGAGTTGGTGAGGAAAGTGGGAGCAGAGAGACGAAGAGAAGGTTGGTGGTTGCAGGGACAAGGAAAGAAGGCCTTGAGGGTATACTTATGCACAGCTTCATCCTCGTGACTTCGCTAAGGGGGACGTGGAGAGTTCCGTCATGGGACTGGTAATGAAGCAGTGAATGTTGTTGTTGTTAAGTGGGCGTGAAGACGTGAAAATCGATATGAGTGGTGCGATGCCTGAGCAAGAGGTTTCACCAGCGAGGCACTATACCAAGATCGCTAGTAAGATATACCAATCAAAAGCCTTCTTCTGACTACAGGTGGTGACTTCAGGCCTGATCCTGGGAATCTCCCTTATGGACCTTCACTGTACGTCATTTCCTCTGGCCTGGGAAATATTTTGTGCATTCATTAGCGTAGTAGATGATGAGGTGGCGTATAACTTCATAGGCTAGCTGATCTGGGTAGGTATTCTTTGTTTGACCATGGATGGGTACTATGTTTGGTTCCTTTGGTTGGATTCTGTAAGCTTCTAAGATATTAACTTGCATATGATCTTTTGAAGAAGTCGTGGACAGGGATAATAATGAGTATGACAATACAAATTGCAACAGAAGACTTCAGTACTTAACTTCATGGCTCACAGGACTCCTGTTCTCTGGAGCTTATCTCTTTCTAGTACATGCACAAGTATTCCCACAGAATTGTTTCTCATTAAGTGCCCCATGGATTTTTTATTGCACTTTGTAGGCTAAGTCTCATGATCTGCCGCTACTCAGAATGCAGATGCTCCTCAATTCATTTGGGCCAAGTTCTTGAAGCCGGTATTCAGTATGCAATGGCCAATTGACATACCCTCAGTATCTCAGTCTTGAGACTCTCTTACACTCTGCTGCATAGATCATAGTCTTCCAAATATATGGCATGAAAGAATTAAACAGCTCCCTGGGCATGTCCACCGGGGAAACAGGGTTGCGGAAGACTTATCAATCTGCAGTGACGGTGGTCAGACTGGTTGAAGGCAGGAAGATTCACGGATTTTGCGACAGTCGTAGGTGAAGTTGCTTTGGACAAAGTACACAAATCCTCGGGTTTGATGCCATCACTGTGAATTGAAAATGCTCAGAACGACTGAAATATGGTTCATAACTAACTTCCAGTTACGTTTTCATGGTAGACCAGGTGCAGTAGTAATATTCTGTCCAGATTGCATTGCTGATGCTCGATTTGGGTAAGAAGAGCTTTCGAGCTGGCGTGAACTGAACATCGGTTATTGTAGGACAGCTCGACAACAGACAACGTCGACCGAACAGAGTGATTGATGTTGAATTAAGGAGAGGCCCTCCAGGGTCGAATTGGCATCTGCCAGGGGCAGAACCCCCTATTCAATAGGTCTCAGCCATTTTGCCGGTTCAGGATGATTGCCAATTGGTGGGCCGGTTGCAGGTGTCCTGCATAAGTCCTCTATGCTGTCGTCATTGGACATCTCATATGAGAGAGCATGTTGATTGATGATAACGGCCAGGCTGTGTCGTCATCGAGGCAAAAGAATGCGAGAAGTCCAACCGACCGACGCGGCCTCAGCCGGGACCTTCCCAAAGCAGGCCTGAGGCCCACAAGCGGGGCGCTCCTTGCCGAGAGCGGAGCAGCCAAGGCGAACGCCTCAGGCCCGCTAGGCGAGAGCGAGCTTATCGGTCGGCAATTCCGCTCGATCCTTCTCCCCCATCGCGAACTCTGTTTCACAGTTTCACTTGGCTTTTTCTCTTAGTTCTGGCACTAGATCGGTTTCTGTCCGATTCACTTAAGACCTCCCCTTTCCCCCCGCATTTCTTCGTTCCCAATGTCCCCTCTTCTCCTCTGTATTACTCCCAACCAGACCTCATTTCCTCCCCCCGCCAAACACCATGCAGATCAAATGTAAGCCGCGCAAGCATTCATCCTTCGTTGCTCTCTTTATTCGAAGTCCATTGCTGAACCAGACTAGCAACCGATCACAGCCTCAAGTCCATCCTCGATAAATTCCGACCGGATGTGAGAATATTCGAGGATATCTATCGCAAATTACACAATTCCCCCGAGCTATCCGGTCAGGAAAAAGAGACATCCGAGCTCGTCGCGAAATTCCTGAATAAACTGGGCTTCGAGGTGCACACTCACATTGGTGGATATGGCGTCGCGAGTGTGCTCCGAAACGGAAGCGGTCCCACCGTCCTGTTGCGCGCCGACATGGACGCCTTGCCCCTTCACGAGAAGACCGGAGTGCCGTACGCGAGCCACAAAACCGTCAAAGACAAGGATGGAGTGACACAACCGGTGATGCACGCCTGTGGGCATGATTTTCACGTCGTGGGTCTCTTGGCCTCTGCCGAGCTCCTGCACGCGGCTCGCCAATATTGGTCGGGCACCTTGATTTGCATCTTCCAGCCGGCCGAGGAGCAACTGTCCGGTGCGCAGGCTATGCTTGACGATGGGTTATATGAGAAAATTCCGAAACCGGATGTCGTTCTGGCTCAGCATGTCATGCGACAGCGGGCAGGGACGGTCACCGTCCGGCCTGGTCGGTTATTGACGGCGGCCGATGCTTTTGACGTCCGTGTCTACGGACGTGGCGGCCACGGCTCGGCCCCTCATACCTGTATCGATCCCATCGTGATCGGTGCGGCGATTGTGACTCGGCTGCAAACTGTCGTAAGTCGGGAGGTGATTCCCGGGGAATTGGCCGTGGTGAGCTGCGGTAGTATCCAAGCTGGCAGCACGCCGAACATCATCCCCAGCCATCTGGACCTGAAAATCGGTGTCCGAACCTACGACCCGAAGGTGCGGGAACGGGTGAACGCGGCCATCAGACGCATCATTGAGGCCGAATGCGAGGCCGGAGGCGCCGTGCAGAAGCCGCTGATCAAATGCACCCATTCCGCGCCCGCGACGATCAATGACGGCGAAATGGTCAAGGCCTTGAGGGGGACCTTTGAATCGTACTTCGAGGACAACTTGGTCGACGACGAGCCCGCAGCGGCCAGTGAGGACTTTTCTCTTCTGGCCACGACGGTGGGAGCGCCGTACGTGATGTGGACGTTCGGCGGCGTCGACCCCCAAACGTGGGACGACGCGGTGGCCAAGGGAACGGTACACGAGCTGCCGAGTAACCACTCGCCTTTCTTTGCGCCGGTCATTCAGCCGACTGTGCAGGTCGCCGTAGATGCTATGTCTGTCGGCGCTCTGACATTCCTCAAGCAGACATCTTAAATGTGGCCACATTGTGGACAAGTTGTTTCCTACTTTTGTGCTGTTTTCCGGCGACGTCGATCTGTAAATAACCTCATGACGAAACCCATTGGATGATCAGAACGCTATTAAATACCTTACCTACTCAATATTATACAAGTTGCATCCCAGAACCAGTCTCCCTCCACTCAAGCCTTCTCAGAGACATGAACCACAATCTTTCCCCTAGTCCTGCCCAGACGAAGCTTCTCAAACGCCTGCACCGCATCCCCGAACTCAAAGGTGCTGTCCACCACCACCTTCACCTTCCCTTGCTGCACCCATTCACCAATCTGCGCCAGCTCATCCGGTCGCATACGGCACAAAAGGATAACGTATTTTCTCTTGCCTCCACCCAAGAAACTCGGCCACGCCACGCGATTCACAAAGATGAGCATCGACGACGCCCCAACCTGGACAAAGGCCTTTCCGGGCAACAAGAAGGCGTCGCATTCGCGATACAGCGCCTCGGGCGTACCGATATGATCCACAACGTGAGCAAACACCTGACCCTTCGCCTTCAGCACAGCCAGGACATCCTCAGTCGTGTAGTCGATGACCTCGTCGGCGCCCAACTCCCGACAGAAGTCGGCGTTGCGACCTGAGCACGTCACTGTCACGTGGCAGCCCAGCAGCTTCGCGAACTGGATGGCGAAGATGCCGCAGCCGCCCGATCCGCCGTTGATGAAGACCTTGTCGCCGTTCGTCACGTACGGTACGACCGCCTGGTAGGCCGTCAGGCCCGCGACGCCCAGCGTGGCCGCGTGGTCGGGGTCCACGCCGTCCGGCAGCGCAGCGACGTTGTGCTCGCCCACGGCCATGTACTCGGCCAGCGAGCCAAAGGGGACGGGTTTCGCCGTGGTACCGTAGACTAGTTGGCCTGGTGAGACTTTCGTCACGGCAGGGCCCGTGACGACGACGCGGCCGCAGAAGTCCATGCCTGGCGAGGCGGGCGTCGAGAAGATGACCTTGGACACGAGGCCCATTTCGGGGACCTTGAAATCCGCCGGGTTGATGGAAGCGGAGAGCACCTGGATGAGGAGCTGGTCCGGTCGCAGACTGGGAGGCGCGCGGGCTGCGGTCTCCAGCGTCAGTTTCTTCTCGAAGTCGACGCCGGCGCTGTGGTACATCCAGGCCTTCATGGTGGAGGGGATGGGGTGGGTTGAGTCGGTCATTGTGGAATATTTTGGCAGCACTGAGTGCTCAGTATTGTGTTTGGACTCTGGGCTTCAGAGCAAGTGGATTGTTGCGAGGTCTGGAATTTAGATGTTTATTCGATTTGATTTTATTCAAAGTGGGGCGGACGGATTTGACATGCGATGACATCATTGCAAGGGAGATCAAAGTATGCTTTGGGGAAGTATAAACAGTGAATAGATGGACACGGTCAGGCGTATAGACCACGGACTATGAAATACAGACTAGACGAAGGATCCAGTGGAGAGTCTCCACATGGGTCTGCTCAACGCTCGATAAAGACCCGATGACCCCCAATGGCCTTCCGAGGTCCAAGTATATAAGCCCGTATCTTTCTCTTTGTCTTATCTTCTCATCTTCCCCTCTTTACTCTATCTTACAACGCCCAAACAAACCCACACGCCTCGCCATGCCGTCCAGAGCAGAATCTATGACCCGGATCTTCCCAGGCACCTCGTCGCCTCTTATATGCAATGCCCCCATGGCCGGAGCCACGAATGCTGCCTTAGCGGTGGCCGTAACTCAGGCCGGAGGTCTCGGTACGACATGACACGTTTCCCCCATTTCCATGGACTTGATATCCAACTAACGAGGGAAACCAGGCTTCATCAGCGGAGGAGCCAATTTCACTAAGGACTCCGAGGACGTCAAGCAGTTCCGCGCCCAGCTTGATCTCATCCGAGAACAGTTCCTCGCGAAGACTCCGCTACCCGTCGGGATTGGAGCCCTCACCATGAAGGCCGATTCCTGGACCGACGACTTTATCTCCCTCGTCGCTGAATACCAGCCTGCTGCGGTCTGGCTCTTCGGCAACGAGCGTCGAGACCAGCACCAGAGGCTGATTTCGGGGCTAAAAGCCGTCGGACGGGGATGGGATCTCCAGGTGATCGCTCAGGTTGGTAATGTTTCTATTGCGCGCGAGGCCGTGCATGACGGGATCGATATTCTGGCGGTCCAGGGCACAGATGCAGGGGGGCATCAGTTTCGACAGGGCGCGGGTCTGATGACGGTTTTGCCGGAGGTTTGCGATATGTTGGCCGCGGAGTTTCCAGGCAGACGGGTGCCGGTTCTTGCTGCGGGGGGCATTATGGATGGGAGAGGAGCAGCGGCTGCGTTGGCTTTGGGTAAGTTCATGTTATGGGGTGGAGTGAGCGACATCACTGTGGTATGGGCACTGATGTTGTGTAGGAGCGGATGGGGTTGTGATGGGGACACGGGTGAGTGTTATTCCCCCAGAGCTCTTCGTTTCAGACATGACGCATGTTTTGCTGATATGATACTAGTTTTTGGGCACGAAGGAATGTCCGTGGTCGGACGAGATCAAGGCTCGTCTCCTGGCTGCGGACAACGGTGCATCGGCAACGGCCAAGTGAGTTATATATATCTCTTCCGGGAAAAACAAGGAAAAGCACCTATTAATCCAGACACTCGACTAACGACCAAGATCACCCCTTCATGACGTCGTCACCGGCATGAAGAGCTTCTGGCCCGGTCAGTATGACGGTCGAGCTCTGACCACCGATTCCTTCGAGCAAGCACTGGCCGGCGCAGATGAAGAGGAAGTCATCGCGCGGTATAAGGAGACTCTATCAGGGACGGATGGCCATCTGCATAAGGTGATCTGGGCGTGAGTACCTCCGCATGTTCTATATCCTCGATCTGTAATGCTGACCGGATGATCGAGTGGTGCTGGTGTTGGACAAATGACTTCGGTAGTGTCAACGGAGACGCTCGTCACGGACACGCGGGCGCAGTGTAACGACTGCCTGCAGCGGCTGGACCGGTCTATGAGGGCAAATTAGCGCCCGCTAATATCAAGAAAGGCCGGCTGGCCCAATGGCAAGGCGCTTGACTACGAATCAAGAGATTGCAGGTTCGACCCCTGCGTCGGTCAATCTTTTTGTTTTTTCTTCCCCACTCCTTCTTCGGCACGCATCTGCATATTCTATAGTTAATCTTTGAAAGAGGGAAAACAGACCGAGTATCTTTATATTTTTTTGAAAAATTTTTTTTTTTTTGAAAAGGGCGAGGATGTAATGACGTACACATGTTTGGTAACTGAGGCCTGGTGCTCGTATCGCCAAACTGCTACCGATTGCAAAAGAAAGCCATTGATCGACATGAGCTTGGCCGACGTGGCTCCCAGTATCCGAGGACCATGTGTAACTCCGTCGGATCGAGGGGTGCACCGGGCCCATCTTTAGCGGTGTCGCCCCTGGGACGGTGGACCGACTGTTAGTGTTAGCGATCGCAGGTCCAGCACTGCATGACGTCATGGCGCCGTTCCCCCCCCAAAACACTCGCCCGTCGAAAGTCTCGAAGTCTTCGCTGTCACCGCAATGACCCCCTGTCGTGTCTAACGCAATCATCCTTTGTGCCTCCAAGTATCCTCGTGTCTCCCGTGTTTGTTACCTGTTCCTCTCCTCTCCCCCTCCACCCCGGTCCCAGCTTCTCTCCCCCTTTTCTTCCTCTACATTCTATATTAGCAAGGGATGGGTCGCTGTAGTGCTAGCTTATAGCGACTCTTCATCCTTTCTTCTTGCATCCCGACATGCCTCTCAATACGGTGGCATTGAGCTTTGCTCTCACTCCTGCAGTTCTCTCGACTTTTGTCTCTCATGTGAGTGTTATACATGCGACTACAATTGCCCCAACCCAACTCGACTAACAAGAGACCTCCTAGTACATACATCGGAAATCGCTGCATAATAAACCAAACGTCCATGTCTCCTATGATGAAGGACTCCGTATTTTTCGCGAATTTCTCGCCTACGCCTCCAAGCACACCGTCGAGGACATCCAGGCCTTCACCACCCAATGGGTACCTAGTCCGCACTGGGTGAGGACGGAGACGGTCACTATCCCCAATAAATACCTGACGGCCGCCGCGACGGCCCTCATTGAACAATTAGGTCCTCATGGCATCAAACGGGTCGGCGGAAAAGAGTGGTGGCAATGGCGTGGCCCTGCCGAGGATCTCAAGGGCGAATGGATCGAAATGCGAACCGACCATAACGAGAGGAAGCGGGCCAACGGGGATCATCCCAGCCAGAAGCGCATCATGCTGTACATCCATGGCGGTGCGTACTACTTTGGCAGTGTGGATACGCATCGGTACCAGATGCAGCGTCATGCGAGGAAGCTCAAGGGGCGGGTGTTTGCACGGTAGGATCCTGTACGGGTTGTTTGTGGTCGTTATGCTAACTCGATGCAGTGAGTTACGGTATTCACAGATAGGGTTCGATTGATATTTAGGACTAACTTGATTTTCATCCCAGCGCAATATCGTCTGGCGCCACAGTATCCTTTTCCGTGTGCGCTGCAGGACTCGTTGTCGGCATACCTGTTTCTCTTGAATCAATATAAACCCAACGAGATTCTCTTTGCCGGTGATTCTGCCGGCGGAGCCATGGTGCTTTCGTAAGTTGGAGGCTCGCGCAAATGCTTCTTTCTGTCTCTTGTACTGACCACTACCCAAGCATGCTGGTCACCGTTCGTGATCAGGGGCTTCCTCTTCCTGCAGGTGCCATCTTAATTTCCCCTTGGGTGGACCTGACGCACTCCTTTCCCAGCATTGTCAAAGATAATCCCGGTGACTATATCCCCCCTTACGGCTTCCGGCATAAGCCGTCGGCGGCATGGCCGCCGCCCACCGCAGACGAGGTCCTTTCGATCAAAGAGGCGGTTGGCAAGAAACGGGCCTCGCAGATCAAAGTTCCGGATTCCAATACACCCTCACATGGTCGGGCGGATGAAGCCGTAGCCAAGGGCTACTCGGTTGAGGATAGCAACCCACCTTTGACAGACGCTCCTGCGGACCAGAGACCGGATGCAAAATATGAAGAACTCTACAACGTCAAGGTTCCCATGGACGGTAAGACGGTTGAAGTCAAGGATCAGATCCATATGTATACGACCAATCAGATGCTGTCGCATCCATTGGTATCACCTGTCTTACAGTCCTCGCTTGGAGGTCTTCCGCCCCTTCAGATTATGACCGGGGGAGGCGAGATGCTCCGTGACGAACAAATCTATCTCGCGCACAAAGCTGCGAATCCGCCGGCCTATCCACCGGCAGATGCCTATTTAGACGAACACGATCCGAACCGCGAAACTCTGCACAAATACCCTGGGACTTACGTTCAGCTTCAAGTCTGGGATGACCTTTGTCATGTTGCACCGACCCTCAGCTTCACTCGTCCGGCCAAATACATGTACAGATCAATCGCCCAATTTGGGGCGTGGGCGCTTGCCTGTGCACAGGAGTCTCGCATTGATATCCTTGATGACAACGTCGTCTCCCCCATATCTTCTAGCGACACGGACACCCCGGAAACATCTGCGGACACAGCACCGGAGAAGCTAATCTCTGATGCTGCCGGTTCCTCCATCGGCATGGCTGGCGATCCCCTGCCCCCGTTCAAAGATAGAATGGTGCGGCAAAGAGTGGACAAACGAGGCCGTATTTACCCCCTGCCTCCGCCATCTTCATACTCCATCCTCCAACTCCCTAGCGCGCACGTGGGATCCTTCAATCCGGAGCTCGTCAAGAAGTGGCTCGCGGGTAAAGAAGAATGGGACGTTAAGTTTGCCAAGGAGAAGCTGCGAGTGCAGCAGCAGCGACTGAATGAACTGGCCTATGGCTTTGAAGATTACGAGAACGAATGTCCACCCCCGTGCTCCCTGGCTGCGCGGAAAGAGGCTCCTGGTGTATTGCCTTCGCGCAATGGCCGCAAGAGCTACCCGATGACACTATGGAGCCACTGGGCGAGCAAGCACGACGAGAAGACTATCGAGAGGGAACGACAAAAGGACAGCGAGGCCCGTCGGACCAGCGTGGAGGCAGGAAAGGCCGGCGCATCGCTCAAGAAGCCGGCGAATCGCGAAAACGGTGATGTGCCCACAGTTGGGCAACCGCAGCCCCCTGTCCTCGATCTAGGACAATCTAAACCACCTGCTCTTGACGTCGAAAAGGCGAACGGGGACGCCTCGTCCGGGGAAAGGAACAGCCCCGACACGACCACCAGCACAGGCACGCAAACACGCCTGCACCTTCTCGACAAGACCACCAGTCCTCTCATTGTTCTACCCGCCTACGAGTCAAAACGGTTCGGAGAAGAGGCAGCCAGCACGCAGTCCCTCTTCCACGCCCCGGGGATCATCGGCCCGACTTCAGACCCCTACGCCCCGCGACACCGACAGCGACCTTCGTCCCATGCTGGATCGGGCACGATCCGCAGCGGCATGACCTCCGATGTGGCTGACGATGTCAGCACCCTCGGAGATAAGTCCTTGGCCGTCACCAACGGCGGTGTCGATGCCGCCAGCACCCGGGCGGTCCTCAACGCCGCGGGTGTCGTGAACACCATGAACGATGCAGACTCAAAATCTCGCTCCGTGGAGGCTCTTTCCATGTCTCATGGCTCGGCAGGTCTGGCGAGTACGTCTTCCTTGGGTGGGAAGAGCGAGGTGGTTGAGAACGGGGTGGACTCTTCTCGTCCCGGCATGCCAGAACGCGATGTCTTTAGGACCGCTGATGAGTACATACCGAGTCATTGATTCGTATATTTGATAGATATTGGTACATTCGCTGATCTCTCTCTCTTTTTTTGTTGTACGGTCGTTGGGCACATCTTATACCTACTTAGTTGACATGTCGGCTTTTCATATGTTTTTGGTTACCTTGATACTCCGACGGATCTTGTTTGTCTCTTATTGTCTCTACTATCTTTACCTACATACACAATGGATACCCATACATGACATCTCATCTGCGGGAAGTGTACATCTTACTAGGCATCGGAGTATTGGAGCCGAGAGTCGTTCTAAACATCAATCCTATAGTACAACTAACGATCTATCTATCGTTGGGTATAAATATCACATCCATATCAAACATCACCCTTATCTGTCTACCATTCCACCCCCACCTTCCTAGCCACCTTCTCAGCAACATCCAAAAACGCCTCTCTCCTCGCACTCCGATCCGCCGACTCCTCCGCCACCACCGTCGGCATACCCCGATCCGCATCCTCGCAGACACGCGCATCAAGCGGGATATCGCCTAGGAAATCGACCCCGAGCCTCTTACACTCCGCCACGACGCCCCAATCTTCAGAGCCATGATGGTGATGATGATGCTGACTCTCCCCATGAGAAAAGATCCTCGTCTGATGCCCACACTGCGGACACGCAAAGAAAGCCATGTTCCGCACCATGCCGAGCACGGGGACCTCCATGCGCTGAAACATGCCGAATCCGCGGACGGCGTCCCGCAGCGCGATGTCCTGCGGCGTGGACACGATCACCGCCCCGTCGAGGATGATCTCCTGGCCGATGGTGAGTTGCACGTCGCCGGTGCCTGGGGGCAGGTCGAGGAAGAGAACGTCCAGGGGACCCCAGGAGACGGAGTGGAGGAGCTGGTGCATCGCTTTCGTGACCATGAGGCCGCGCCAGGAGATCGGGGTCGTGTCCATTGGGAGGGGGGTGTTGGGGTCTGAGGAGGTGGTGGATGCTGCGGCTTGGGGGAGGAGGTAGCCCATGGACATGGATTTTAGGCCGTAGTTGGTTAGAGGAACTAGGCAGTTCTCTTTTGAGTTCCGAATGGTTAGTTTGTCTGAGTAAGGACGGGGGATATAGAGGGGGGAGGGAGGGTTGATGGCATACTATCGTCAAGACGAGGTTCGCCGGAGAGATTGAGGAGAGTTGGAATAGAGGGACCGAAGATATCGGTGTCAAGAATTCCGGTGCGAATGCCTCGACGCGCGAAGGCCAAAGCGAGGTTGACTAGATCGCAGACACACGTCAGCTCCTGCTTTCTTTTCCTGAGCGGATATGGTATGCCGCTGTAGCATTGCCCGTCGGGAAGGCAAAGTGCTGGAACTTGTATAGATGGATAATCGACCCACTCACCAGCAATTGTCGACTTTCCGACACCTCCTTTAGCCGACGACACCGCAATGACCTTCTTCACATCGCGAATCTTGCGCTTCTCAGGGAGCCCGCGACGACGGGGGAATGGAGGCGGAGTGCCGGAGCGAGGCAGGCCCTAAGCGGAAATGAATGATTAGTAGATAAACCAACGAGGGGCTCCCAGACTGGACCACGAAGGAAAACGCACCAATGGGTTATCATGTTGCAAGACCCGGGCGGTCGAAAACAACCTCCGTCCGAGCATGGTCAATGCAAGCCAAATGCTGTATAGTTTTGGAATGAATTACGAAATGATGCAGCAGAAACCCGCGGAGGAAATATTGCCGGGAATAAATCCCCACCGCCGGACGAACTCCCCTCTTTCGCTACCCGCTAGCCTAACCTGGAAAGTAACTCCCTCACCGCCTCGTGACTTTCCAGCGGCAGAAAAAAAAGATCGAAGAGAAAAAAAAAAGAAGTCTCGGAATTTCTTTGGGTTGATCGCAAGATTACCAGAAGAGAACAAGCAGGCGCAGATTCAACATGGCGCGAAGATCGCTGGCAGAGCAGTATGCTGAATTGGATGATCCTACTCCTAAAGGTTCGAAACATTATTCTACGCTGAGTGTTATTGTTATTTCGCATCCTAACTAATTTGCTTTCGCAAACAGATTTCGACCCCGAGGATTTGGAGCGCGCCGGTCCGGACAGCGACGATGATGAGAGCGGTCGAGATGTCGATGAGAATGCCGGTAGAGAGCATTATCAAGCTGTAGGGTGAGTTTGCTTTCATCAATTCCAATTCATTCAGGTTTTGTTTTGTTTCGTCGCGGCCCTGCTAACGTCCAGCAGCAAAGCGAAGCTTCGGAAACAGGACCCAATCACCCTGGGAAAGCAGTATGCCGGCTCCAAGGTCAGCAGAGACGCCCTCGAGGCTGAGAGCGATGACGATCCGTTCAAAGCGCGTTCCGGGGACGAGGAGAGCGACAGTGATGATGACGATGAGGAAGAGGGTCTCGAGCTGGGGAGCGACGAAGATGACGACGAGGGCTCTGAGGAAAGTGAAGAGGAGGCACCTAAGAAGTCCAATATCTCTGGGAAGAAGGGAAAGCGGGATGTGGATCTCGACATGGAAACCGATGGGTCGGACGAACTTGAAGGGAGCGAGGAAGGCTCTGATGAGGACGAGCTGCCCTCTGATATGGACGATGACGACGACGATGAGGACGACGACGAGGAGGAGGACGATGAGGATGAAGACGAATCCGAGGACGAGGAACAATCCAAACCCTCCAAACGTCGCGTCAAATTCAACGAGTCCGCCAAATCCGATGACCGGGACGAGCTGCGCCGACTGATGGCCACCGACCAGAAGAGCATCGCGGCCACCATCTCGCAAGCCGCCAAGTCCGACGCGATCAAGGGCAAAGCCGTCAAGCAACAGCGCGCCACCTTCGACGCCCTTCTCAACACCCGCATCAAGCTCCAGAAGGGCCTGACGGTCATCAACCAGCTCTCGCTCGCCGACCAGGACACGGAGAGCGCCGACGGCGAAGCCATCAAATCCGCCGAATCGGCCGCCCTGGCCCTCTGGTCCACCCTGGAAGACCTGCGCCTGGCCCTAGCCGACGCGCACTCCCCGGACGAGTCCAAGAAGCGAAAGAGACCCTCGGCCGCCTCGCCGAGCACGTCCTCGGCCTCGCTATGGAAGCGCATGACCGACCTGGAATCCGACTCGAACACCCACCGCCGCGCCATCCTGGACAAATGGTCCTCCAAGGTGCGCGGCTCCAACGCCGCGGCGGCGCCGAACGCTCGCGGAAAGCTTCTGGGCGCCGCGACCGGCAGCCAGCAGACCATCACCGCCGTTTTGGACGCCCAGGTTGCGTCCGAGACCGGCGACCGCGCTGCGAAGCGTGCGCGCGCCTCGAATGGTGCCAGCGAGGACCGCGAGCCTGTCTACGACGACACCATCTTCTACCAATCGCTGCTGCGGGATCTCGTCGAACAGCGCATGTCCTCGTCCGATGCCATCACCAACGGCATCGATACCTTGCATATCCAGCTGCCGTCTCGTCTTTCCTCGATTCACCCGGTCACCGGCATGCGCAAGGATAAGGTCAAGAGGGACATTGACACTCGTGCGTCCAAGGGCCGGAAGATGAAGTTCGACGTTCACGAGAAATTGCAGAACTTCATGGCCCCCGAGGACCGCGGTTCGTGGACAACCCACGCCCGAGAGGAGTTCTTTGCGTCGCTGCTTGGAAAGACTGCCAGTGGTCTACTAGGAGAAGACGATGAGGAGGATGCGAGTGGCGCTGAGAGTGATGAGGATCGGGAAGAAGGCGGATTGAGGCTCTTCCGGAGCTAGATCTACGCCTAAAAAAAAATTATGTAGAAATTTCATTTCGCTATATTCAGAAGCAAATTCTTTAGCAGCTTTCAAAAATCGCATTTGCATTTATCTTATCGTCGTGGCCGAAATCATAGCCGCAAGTAGGCCGCCAGTTTTTCTTCCTTTGTTCAATCGTAACACGTCAATATCGTCAATCATAAGTCGTCAAGTGTATGTTTATCATAGGCGTCGTTTTAGAATCGTTGTGTGTAAAGCGGATGGCAGCACGGAGTACCCAAAACCAAAACGTTTATCCATAGGTATGGGTAGATTAGCGAATCTTCCTCTGTAATGGACGAAACACCATAAGTAAGCGGCCTTCATCCTCCAGCGAGAGTAACATCGGCTTTCAGGACCAACCATATAGCCAGAGAAGGCAAGTTGAAAAATTCTTCACGAATACCAACCAGACACGCATCAATAGCGGTCGCCTCGGTGCGCCGGTCGTTGTGATCGTTTCGCCTTTGCAGGCGAGTACTGCGGCAATGCGGTTCCTTGACAAGGGCTTTCCCATGCGAAGTCCGTCCGTCTCGACAGACCTAACATTCGCTCACGTACAGCACGCTCCAACCTCAATTTCCGCTCTACCTCCTCCTGGGGCGAGAGGAAGTGAGGTAGCCCGTTCCAATCAACTATAACTGCGCCGCTCACATCGTTGTAGCCCGGGAGAGCACTGTTTCTGATCGAGGTGGGTTCGCTCCGATTCATTGCGTCTTGGTTCTGAAATTGGACTGACGAAGGTGATGGCGATAGTGAAGATGGCAAAGATGGTGAAGATGATTCGGCCCGGTTATAGGCAAACACGGCTGGTGTATACTGATGCCCTACGGGTAAATTGATGTCTTTCCAAAAGTGAGCTGGTTCCTGTGCAGAAGAGCTCGAGGCAGGTTCGATCTGTGCTTGGAGAGTTCTCTGTGCTTCCTTGCGGGTGAATGAATAGTGCGGACGTTTATGATCGACGGTAACCGATCCTGGACCTCCCGTATAAGTACTTATTGGTTCGTTGTCGACATGGGTGCTGTGAGGTGCAGGTGACGAGAATCGAGATTTGCATAGCCGCATAAACGGCATTGTGGCAGGTCGTAAAAGGGGGTATCCACTTCCGGAACTAGAAAGACACAAGCAGCCACTTCCAGGATTTGACGTTAAAATTAGACTAGAGAGGTAGGTGGGTGAAAGGATCCAGATGGAAAAAGGCTCTCCCTGTCCCGATGTGATGACCTGTCAACGCTGCCTTATCGCCAAGATGACTGACGGTCTGCTGAATCCCAATCAAGGCCGGCCGGAACGTAGCTTAGACGGGGTCAAGAGAGGTCAAATCCGAGCGATAAGGGCGTCACGAGGCGTTTCAAGCATAAAGCTTGACATCTCCGGTGGGTACACGTGGATAGGCCGCAATTGTCGGTCGTGGAATGTCAGGCAAGGACTTGCTGCCCAGGCGTACAAGGAAATTTCCGACTTCGTGTTCGGATCAGGGCACGGGAAATGCAAGTTTGACTACAAAGGAAATCATGAACGAGTCAAATGATCGGGATAGGATTGAGCCATGCAGTGTGCAGAAACTGTGGAGCATTGTGATAGGTCAAGGCATAAACCCTAGGCGCCAGGAGCACTCAGTATATGCAGCATATCATGTCACCGAGCCCATCTAGATTGATCTTCCGTCATCGGTTGCATCTCTTCACCGCTTGTGTGTGGTCGGGAGGTGGCCACCAAGCAATTCACTTCTAGAGCCTGGAGCTAGTTGTGTGAATGAATTTGCTTTCTCACTAATGCAATAAAGCAATCAAAGACCAGTTGATTGTCGGGAAGAGAGTATGGCTCTAGTCTGTAGGGGTCCCAAGCACAGTAAGCCAAGCCTTAATCGCACCGAGTTGCTCTTGCCAGTTGTAACGGAGTCGCAGGGATTTTAGGGAGGTTGCCTACAATGCGCAAGGACCCAGGCGCAAGGGCCGAATCATGACAACAAATAGCGTGTTGAATACTGTCGTGATGGCCGATATCCGGATATTAACTATAGATATCGTCCAGTCTGTTTCGCTGTCCTGAGTTGACTTATCAACTTCACAACAATAAGCGGGGTCTCAGATAGAGCCCATAGGGTGAGAATTGCTGGTAAAAAGCATATGAGAGAGTATGCGTGCAGCACGCATTGATTGGTGCCACTAGTTCAGCCAAGGCTTGCTAGAAGTCTTCTTGAGTTCTGGACTACTCGTCCGAGCATTCTTCATACCATTGCTCTCTCAATGACTGAATCGATGGGGCTACATCCCAGCCAGTTCTCTTCTCCAGGTCATTCAACAGGTCTTCTGCAGCTGCTTGATCTAGCTTATGGCGAAGAACCCAGCCCCCTGTGTATACATAGTCAGCACGGCTGCACTCGGACTTGGTAAACGCTCAAATCGACCAGATATTTTGGCAAGAACTCGAAATCCTAGGAGCAAGTACAAGTACTCACAAGCAACTAAACTATGGCGTGCAGTGAAAAGGGTGTTTTCGGCTTTTATATTGGACTTGGCCAGACCTAGCACGGTGAGAAGATGGTTCCGAACAGTTTTCTGGAATTCTTGATTTCAACAGGCTGTTATTAGTGTGCCACGTCGGATTAGAAAATCATACCTCGATATAGCGAGAGTTTTTGAAGACCTCATAGGCAGGGGGTTGGGTTGGGCAGCACGAGAAGGCCAGTATAATCTTTGCGATGTGATAGTATTGAACGCCGATCACTACGGCTTATTAGTAGACCGTCGCCAAATTCTCGGTTATAAAACCAACCATGAACTGGTAGCAACATCCAGATGCCCGGGAATCTGTCTGGAGTTTCTCTGCTGCGCGGAGTAAAATGAGTGGGCTCGAATGTGCGCGGTTTAGCGGTATACCAATGCTCAATCTCTTCCCTTGCGCACTGCAGCATAGTAAGATGTGCCTCCGAGCTATAACTAAATGCACATTTGAGGAGTTTGGCCAATAAGAATACCATTCGGCTTGCCCAGGCAAAATCGTCGTTTCTTATAAAAACATTTGAGTTTCTGAAGCTCTCAAGGCCAGCACGCAGTGGCTTTTGTGATGTTATCGATATGTGGATGTCTTCGCGAAGGCATAACCATGCCGCTGCTTCACCCAGACCGCCGGATGACCCAAACGACGATACTGTATTTAGAATGTGAGTCACCCCTGTCAAGTGGAATTGATTGTCCTCGCCTGAAAAAGTGAGCCCAAGTCATCAAACCAGAAAGCTCGGGGAACCTACTGTCCATCTCTTCATGCTGCCGAAGTATTGCGACCGCCGCAAGAACGGTGTCACTAATATTATCCCTCATATCTGATAAAATGGGAATCAGCAGCTGAAGGCATCGGTTATGATACTGCAATGCCTCGGCTGCTTCACTCTTTCTCTGTCGGTTCATATGCCGGGAGGAGAATGCAAGGATGGAAAGACATAAAACAGAGTTTTGAACTGCTAGTAAGGGGACTTCAATCTCAAAATGTCGTTCACGGTCTGTAATATCAGCCTGTCACAAGTAACGTTAGTATACTCGGCAGAATCCGGGGTAAACCCGGTATTCTGAATTCCCTTACCCACAAGGCCATGTTTTCCACATAGTTGCGCATTAGGATAGCCTCTCTCTCATTGAAAACGGCGTGCGTCTTTTGTGGGCCTCTTTGGTCATCGTTAATGGACGATGCAAAATTGTTTGGAGTAAGCTGATCAGTAGAAGCCGGCGAAGCCACTGGATAGTGGACGGCACCTATGCTATTGGTTAAATCAATTCCCAAACAACAAAAGTCGCTCCCACCTACTCAGTTGTTGCCTATTTATGTTCTCGGTTGTTTGGGTTAACTGCTGCTCATGTGTCTGGGAGATTCCGAGTTGCTCAGGACTACCGTATGTACGACATGAATCGAGGAAGTTGTGCACATGACACTCATTTGCTTTGTCGAAATCCGGAGAACCAACTATGCTATATAGACTTTTGATCTCCGGGGTTTCGTCATAAAACTGCACTTGCAGGAAGTTAATAATAGAAACACCTGACACCTGACACGAACAAAACCCACAGGACACCATTGGCCGTGGCCATATCTTTGACTCTGGAAATGAAACGGCGGGATCGTTGTCCAAGCCTAATCCATTGCGAAACCTCACATTGAGCCCTCTTTCGCAATTGGCATTGGCTAGTCGGCAGTGATTGCAGCCTGGATAATTGAGATCACCTTCAACTGTGTAAGATGTATGCTAAATCAGAATTGGGGGACAAGTACGCACATTTCAGATGGCGGGCTAAGAAATAATAGCCAAGTTAGTCTAACACATCGTAACCGAGACAGATCGAATTTCTATGGCGAGAATGGCTTCTTCCCCATGCATCAGGGTCTCAGCTTACCCCTACATCTTTGGCTGCGGCATTGATCAGTCTCCTTTTCCATATTGGGGTCATTGAATAAGGTGGACAGGGATACCCATTACCAGCCAGTAGCAAGTCGACTTCTCTTCTTCGATGACTGAGACATGGAGCTGCATGCTGTGAAATAGTAGTAACCGATCTGGGGAGAAGGGGAAGAAGAATGCGGAGAGAGTTGCCGTCGGGTTTCTCGCAAGGCGGAGAAAGGCCGAGCCCCGCAAGAATTTCCCCGCAAACAAGAAGATCCGCCCTCTTAAAATGTAGGGAAAGTCTTTCCGTCTCCACTGGAAAGTCTGCCCGTCTCCGCTAAGGAGCTCGTCTGCGGAGTACAGACTCATGATCACCTTCAATTCCCACGTTATACCCCTCAGTATGCAGATACGGATAAAATTCGAATGGGTAGACTTGCCTTGTGTTCAACAGGCCATGCAATTGAAGGTGAAACAAAAGCTCCTCAGTAGAGGCTCGCTGGATATAAAAGCGCCCCAGAAATGCCCCGGTTGAATGTTCGGATTCATTCTCTTGAGCTCTTTTCCTTTCTCTCAACTTTCTAGTTTCTTTTCTTCGCATTTTTCTGTGTTACTCCTACTCCACGATGTCCATCCAAAGACTCAAAGTTGGCATGGCCGGCCTAGGCCGCGTCGGCAAAATCCATGCCAACAACTTCCTCCACCAGACTCCCCGCGCTGAGCTGGTTGCTGCATTCACTCCTGACCCGGCAGAGATCAGCTGGGGTCGGCAGAACCTTGAGCCGTACGGAGTAACATTGTACGATGATTATGAAAAGATGTTGGACCACCCCGGGCTGCAAGCCGTAGCTATCGGAACAGCTACGTCTGTGCATGCCGAAGAGACGATGAAGGCCATCGATCATGATCTGCACGTCTTGTGTGAGAAGCCACTGTCAACTGATGTCGAAGTTGTAAGTCTTCTTTCTGTTCCATCTGCATCTTGGTTATTTGCATTAGCAGACTGACATTCAATAACAGTGCAAGGCTGTTGTGCAAAAAGCAAAGACCAAGCCCCATCTCAAAGTTATGTGCGGGTTCTCGCGACGATTCGATGAATCTTATCGTGAGGTTCACGAAAAGATCAGCCAAGGAGCAATCGGACGACCATCGATCGTGAGAAGTCAGACCTGTGACAAGTTCGACCCCTCCGGCTTCTACGTTGCCTACGCGGCATGGTCGGGTGGAGTGTTCGTCGATATGTCCGTCCACGACATCGACCTGACCTTGTGGTTTTTCGGCGACGATGCCGTTCCGAAGAGCATCTCGGCGCACGGAATCACGGCGGTGCAGCCCGAATTGAAGAAGTACAAAGACTATGACAATGCGGTGGGAATTGTCGAGTTCCACAATGGCAAGATTGCCTACTACTATTGCTCCCGCATGATGCCCCATGGCCAGGAAGACACGACAGAAGTGATTGGTACCGAGGGCAAGCTGTCTGTAAACATCAACCCTCAACGCAACTTTGTGAACTTCTACCACCCTGGTGGCATTACCCGCGAAATCCCGGCCAACTTCATCGGACGGTTTGGACCTGCCTTCGTGCGGGAAGCCAATGAGTTCACGGCCTCATGCTTGGACAACACGCCGCTTCCTATCAAACTGACCAACGCGGTCAAAGCAGTAGAGATTGGCTCCTACCTGCAAGAGGCCTTGGTGACTGGAAAGCAGATTCATTTCGATGAGATTGGCAGGAGGGTGGAGAAGGCTCAGCTCTAGGCGACGGCAGAACGGGCTACTGAGAAGTATGATTAGCAAACAATAAAATTTCGAAAACCTTTTCCAACGTTTATTCTGGAACACGCAATTCATCTCTGTAACATGGTAAGCGGAATTCTATGTTAGTGCCGCCATCATTGTAAGATGGGGGAATCCCCGATCATCGGCGTTGGCCTTGTACGACGAAAATAGAAGGGACCCTTGGTTGTAGGGAGATAAAGGGGTCAAGACCAAAAGCGATGTAGTGTGTTCGTAAATAACCAGGAACCCGAGGTTTACTAGCTTAGGGGGTTGAGAAGGGACAGCGACTTGATGATGAAAAAAGAGATATATATTGGTTCAATGGTGGTAAATAAAAATTGGAAACAAAAAGAAAGCGATAATGATAATGGGATGAACCGGGATTGAACCGGTGACCTCACGATTGCCAGCTGAACTGACGGACTGAGTGGATCTTCAGTCGTGCGCTCTCCCAACTGAGCTATCACCCCATTTGTTGAGATTTTGGCTTTGACTTATGTTACATAATCATTTTCACACAATCTCCTACTGATCGGCTTTCTTTCCTGGCATCTTGTCTTTCTGGCACTGTGTAACAACCTCCAAAGCAAGCTTCTCAAACCTCTTGAAGCCATCTCATCCTTGAAATTTGCAGCATTCTAATTGCTTTTTGCGGGCACAACGCTTCTGTGGATGATCTGCTTGAGGTTCATCGCTGCAATTTTATATATATCTTGCGGGTGTCAAGCCGAGATTGGTCCATGCGCGTAGGCTTCTTGTGATTTGCTTTCTTGATCGTTCTATCCAACTAATTCATGACTTATAGTGATATCCAAAGAAGCCAGCAACCAAGCCACCAATCCCCCCCAACGCATCTAGAAGAACCGCATCACTGGGTCGCAGCGGAGCCCTCCCGCTCCTTCAATGCCTGGCGTACCCGAGGCAGGATGTAGCGGCCATAGTCGATGGCATCGTTGAGGTTGTCATAACCTCGAATGGAAATCAGCTCGGCCCCGAGGTCCACATAATCCAGAATCGAGTCGGAAATGGTTTGATGCGATCCAACGAGCGCCGTGGACGCCCCCCGCGCGTTGGTTGCGGTGACGGTGGGATACCACAAGGCGCGGTCCTGAACCTCCCCACGTTTGGCAATGTCGAGCAGTCTCTGCGAGCCGACGTTTTGCGGAGGAGGGGCATCAGCAGGCGCTTTGCCCTGGCCCTTGGCTCGATTCTCGGTCAGAGCGTCCAAGGTGCGATGAGCCTTGGCCCAGGCGAGCTCGTCTGTCTCGGCGAGAATTGGTCTGAAAGTGACCCAAATCCGTGGCCGGTCGGACTCGGGACGGCCCGCGCGCGCAGCCTCGGCGTAGATACGATCGATTTGCTCCTTTGTTTCTTTCAGGGGTTCGCCCCAGAGTCCGAAAATGTCGGCCAGCGACCCTCCAATGCGGTATGCCTCATCTGACGATCCTCCCACCGAGACGGGGATGGTGCCGTTGACCGGGCGTACCTTGTTGCTGAACTGCTTGAACTGATAATAGGTCCCCTCCCAGTCGAAGGGTTCCGGCGACTCCCAAGCGCGGCGCAGAATGCGGATATACTCCTCGAGGCGGGCGTATCGCTGCTCCTTGTTCAGGAAATCGCCCTCTTTGGCCTGCTCAGCGTCACTACCGCCGGCGATAAAATGAACGACCGCGCGGCCGGAGCTGAGCTGATCTAGCGTCGCCAGAGCCTTTGCGGCCACTGTCGGATATAACGTGTTTGGTCGAAGCGCGATGATGACCTTGAGGTTCTTGGTCACGGCAGCGATCGTTGCACCGATGGTGAAAGGATCATAATAGGACGAGTCGTAAGGCACCAATGTATAGTTGAAGTCATAATCGTCTAGCGACCGCGCATAGCGGACCAGGTAGTCCGGATCAATCGAGGGATTGGGAATCGGATTCAATTCCGTCGATTTGTTGGGAAACGTTAAACTGATAAACTCGGTCGGCATGTTCGAAATCGACAATCAGGCTTTTGAATGGTATCTAATTTTCAAAATGGCTGCCCCTTCAACCACAGGTTAGATCCTTCTTTATATACATTTGTCCAGTCGTGACCCCTCCAGCTCGGATACATCGTGATTGGCCGACTATACCCTGTTGCGCACGCGATGGACGATGAATGATGGCGACAGCTGCTACGGAATCACGTCTTGTGAGATTCCTCCGATATCGACCAGCGTTCTCTCCCATTATTAATCATGTTCCTGAGCCGAGCATCCGTTCGTCAGCCAACACAGTTGCTCGCCATCCCGCGATGTTTCAACTCCGCAAGATGAATTGCGATAGGCGATTGTTATATCAAGCCAACAAATGAGCATATCGCACCGCAGGAGGGATGGACCTCTGTCAGGAACGCCGCAACACCCCGCCTGTCAGGTACACTACAGACCGGGGTCGGCGGAGCAATCATTTCCAAGGCCTACTCTGGGACCCGATAAGACATTTGTCATACTACCTTATGAAACCTCAATGAACTTATCGACACTCTAGCGTGTGGAGAACCACCCGGCGGGGGGTTTCCGGCGTGGCATCAGCCAACCTAGAATCACGCAATCGGGGTTTAAATTGCGGCATAGGAGTTGAAGGTAACTCTGTGAGAACCTTTGGAAGAGCCCGAGAGGACGGTCGAAGAGGAAGGAATTCGAAAACAATGGAGAGCGGAAGACACTCGACAGATCAAGATCGGAGAAATGACGCTGCAAACAGAAATCAGGCGCTGCCCGATGCTTGCTTACGGAGATGACAATGGTATTGGACTTTCATAAAGCCATGAGATTTCGATCAGGATTGGAATTCTGCGCTCGCGACTCCACAACTCCCTGCTTTGCTCAACGAGGATTTTGCGACTACGACAGACAGACAGCAAGCTCATTGGTAGCTTGAGAACTGGACTATGGATGGGCCTTGGTTGCCCTCGTTAGTTGCATTCGAATACACGAATACCTCTCCTGAGCTCGAAGGACCTTGAGAAGTTTGTGGGCAATGGTGGCTGTCTTCTGGCTATAAAATCTGCACTGCTCCATATACCAAAAGATGAGGAAGGAGTGTGTTCGATGGGCGGCGATCAGGAACCAGAAGAAAAAGCACCAGACAGAATAGTCTCACAATACCATGCAGCATCTATACACCAACTATACTCATTCACTCACCATGAACCTTGTTGCCCTGGCTCTAGGACTATGATTGAGATCTTAGAATGCCCCCTCTCATCGCTTTTATGAAAGCAAAACCCCGCATTCCTCACCCTCTTGGCATCTCTTTTGCTGGATGATCTCGCAACCTGTTTTGTCTTTCCCATCCGACTCTAATCGATACATCGGACGACTGAAAAGGACTGCAGTGCCAATTTCTCATGATCAGTCGCCTGAAACACGTTGCCTAGTCTGTTGTCGAATGATTGGAATCATCTTCGACTCGCCGGATCCCTTTCGAGGGCGACGCGCACCCCGGCCCCAATGACGCCATGGGATCGGCATCCTGGCCTGGACCGGTCGCTGTTCTCCCCCGGATTCTTCATGAGGCTTCGCTGTTGCCGACAACATCAGTCTCGTGTGAATTGTATACTCCTTGTACAATCCCTTTTCAAATGGGCGCCGGAACTCTTACTCGGGAGAGCTTCCATCATGCATATCAATTTCCACAAGAGCCTAGGATTAGGATCCTTATTGACAACGGTACTTTCACTGTTCACAAATGAACCCAATGCGATCGCCTACCGACCAGCACGGCCGCCGTCCTATCCCCTGGCCGTCCGTAACCCGTATCTTTCAGCGTGGATGCCCGGCGACCAAATCCAGAATTTACCGCAAGCCGACTCACAATTCTGGGCTTGGCAGAATCTCACCTGGTCTGTTATGGCGCGTGTAGATGGCCAAACCTACAGTTTGATGGGTGTGAAAGACCACGGCGATGGCGTTCGCCCGGCTGTCGTTCGCAGCGCCGAGTATACAGCGACCCATTCGCTGTTCACCCTCTCGGCAGGGGAGGCAGTCATCACGCTTGACTTTTTCTCCCCAGTATCACCCTCGAACTATCTTCGGCAATCTCTTCCTTTTAGTATGATGCGCTCCCATGCCTCGAATCATATTTGGTTGAGTGCTAATACCGTGCACACCAGGCTATCTGACGGTGACCGTATCCGGGCCATCGACCAACAACGTTCAAATACTTTCGAGTATTGACGGACGATGGGCTGGGAGTGCGGAGAACACTGCCCGTGACTTCCAGCAGACTGGTTCTACAGCAGTTTACTCCCTTACAGTGGAAAACGCAACGCCATATTCCGAAGCGGACGACATGGCCACTTGGGGAGAGGTAATCTTGGCGTCTCGACCGACGCCTGCGTCTAAACTGTCTTTCGCTTCAGGCGAGTGGGAGAATGTGGAATCCAAATTTACAAAGACGGGGGTTTTAGCTAACAACGACCCTTGGCTGCCGGAGGGAGTCCTAGCCCTCTCGCATGACCTGGGCGCCGTTACTACCGAGCAATCGGTGAACTTCGCCGTTGGTTATGTGAGGGAGAAAGCGATCAACTACCTTGGAAAGACATACACGGGGTATTACCGAGCCCAATATCCCGATACGAACCAGGCCATCTCAAACTTTTTGGATGATTATGACGACGCCCTACAAGAGTCTCTGGTCCTTGACTCAGAAATGGCGAGTAAAGCAAAAGCAGTTGCGGGTCAGAAATATGCGGACATCGTCACTCTTTCGGCTCGTCAGGCATACGGCGGAATCGATCTTACAATCCCCAATGACACTTTGAACACTGAAGATGTCCTTGGGTTCATCAAGGAGCTATCGAGCAACGGCAACCTCAACACCGTGGATGTGATTATGCCCGCGTTCCCCGTCTACTATATAATGAACCCAGATTATATTCGAATTCTCCTCGAGCCGATGATGAGGTATCTCGCGGCGGGACGGTGGAGGAAGCCATACGTGATCCATGATATGGGAGCACATTACCCGAATGCCACCGGCCACGATGATCAGAAGGCGGAGCCTATGCCAATCGAGGAATGCGGAAACTTAATGGTGTTGGCTCTGGCGTATGTGAGAGCATCAGGAGATACAGCCTGGAAGACACAGTATACGCCTATATTGAGAAGCTACGCGGACTATTTGGTCGAGCACGGCGTTGACATTGCGGAGCAGCTGTCTTCTAATGATGCGGCAGGGCCTTTGGCCAATGAGACCAACCTAGCCATTAAGGCTGCAGTTGGCTTGAAAGCATTTGGGGAACTGACGGAACTGACGGAATACTCACGCATTGGCGACGAGCGAGCGTCGCTGTTCTTCGCTCAAGGCCTTGGAACCGATGAACGCAAAACGCATTTTGTGCTTCAGTATCCCGAAAACCAAGGTTCATGGAAGATCCCATACAATTTATATCCTGACGTATTATTTGACTTACAAACATTCCCCAATGCCGCACATCAGATGGGCAGTTCCTTTTTCAAGACGGTGCGCGCCGAATATGGAGTCCCTCTGGATCACCGGCAAGACTGGGCCAAATCAGATTGGAACATGTGGCTAGCTGGCACGCTTGACACAAACACCCGGGACGAGTTTGTCGATGACCTGTGGGCATTCATGACCAATGGAAAACACAACTGGCCCTTTTCTGATCGATACGTTGCCACATCAGCCAAGGGCCAGCACCCCGGCCTTCCCATCCTTTGTCGCGCTCGACCCACAGTCGGTGGCCATTTTGCGCTGATGGCGTTGGATGGTCCTAGGTCACTTCATAATGACGTGATCCGCTCATTGAAGTCTATAGAAGACATGAAAATCGAACAGGTCTTGACTGAGCAGCACGGGGAAGACCTTTGAAGCCATGGCGTAGCGTCTTGTTTCGGGGAATTTCTCCGGGTATAGCGGTTAGGTATGAGGTAGGTATAGCTTAAGATGTGCGAATACAATTCAGAGATCGAACAAAACAGAATAAGAGAACAACTGAACAGACTCGCTACCCTGTAATCTATTGTCAGAGCTCCACCGTACCAATCACCCGGCATTGGAGCTGTGCTGATTGCATGATATGTCAAGCTACATACATGAATCGGGTCGCGGTGAAGAGGATCCATGATGTCTCCCAACACGTGGTTGCGTCTTTCCAGCCAGGCACCAACGGCTTCAAGGGCCCTTTACTCTGGAAATTGACATTCAAGAACCTGCGGGACACCTGGCAAGCAAGCAATTGACTCTCCAGAAGTGAAAATAGTCCCTTGCTTTCTTTTTGTTTCTTGTGTTTCTCGCTGGTTGCCCCTGGTGCTTACATAAGCGACGCTGAGTGGCCGACTTGTTTCTCTCTCTCTCTCTCTCTCGCTCGCTCTCGCTCTCTCTTCCTCTCTTTCGCAGCATCCAAACCGCCGCTTGTTTAGCTTCTTGCTACATTTCTTCCCTTCTTCTTCTCTTCTTTTCCCGCTTCCTTGTCCTTTTGATTTCCCTCTCCCTATCTTCCTTTGTTCTCTTTGCCGGTTTCATCGCCATCGTCGACCTTCTCACCTCTTGTCTTCCCCCCCGGTTGAATTAGATCATAACTCATGGCTTCCGTATGTCCTCTCGTCCTCTCAGTTCCCCGTCACTCTTTTCTCTCAAGCTACCTGGCCAACGTCATGGCCACCTCGGCCACGCGTTCTGCCACCCCTCCGCACGCGCCAGGAGAGGACTCTTTCGCTAATGCTTCGATGCCCGCCCTCTAGCCCCGTCCTCCGCACAGCTTCGGTCCCCAAGGCTATCCTCTCCCCAACGGTGCCACTGGTCCTGTTCCCGGGGCCGCCCCTCTTCTTCCGAACAACGGTCGAATCATCCAGAACGGCCCTGTCAGAGTCCTCTGCATTGCCGATGTTCGAGGTAGGTTTCCTGGCGCACGTTCAACCAAGATGTCGCGGCGAATGGATATATGTGGCTGACAATGTTGCTTTTTTCCCTTTTTTTGTGTTACGCAGGGAACTTGAGGTCTTTGAATGAGTTGGCCAAGCAGGCCCGTGCCGACCACATTATCCACACCGGTGACTTTGGCTTCTACGATGACACCTCGCTGGAGCGAATTGCAGACAAGTGAGTGACAATTGTTTTGGACTTTCTGTTTTCTCCATTTTTATATATCTTTGGCTCAATGGGCACCATGGAGGTGTATTTCTTTTCTTTTCTTTCCTTGGTTGCGATGTAATTGGGTGTGCTAATGAGCGAACTTGTAAACAATAGGACTCTTAAGCATGTGGCCCAATACTCTCCGTTGCTTCCTGAAAACGTGAAGCGGACCATTGCTCAGACCCCGCCTTCGCAGTCGATTAAGCAGCGATTCACCCCTGACCAGCTACCCCTCTCAGAACTTCCGATGTTGCTCGATAGGCGGATTACGCTCGATGTTCCTGTTTACACCGTTTGGGGTGCCTGTGAAGACGTTCGGGTATTGGAGAAGTTCCGTTCCGGAGAATACAAGGTGGACAAGCTGCACATAATTGATGAGGCCAATTCGCGGTTGCTGGATGTTGGTGGTGTCAAGCTGCGTCTGCTGGGATTGGGAGGTGCCGTGGTGATGCACAAACTGTTTGACAACGGTGAGGGCAAGACCACCATCGCCGGTGGACAAGGTACCATGTGGACGACTTTGCTACAAATGGGCGAGCTGATAGACACCGCGAACCGTGTGTACGACCCGTCGGAAACCCGCATCTTCGTCACACATGCATCACCCGCTCGGGAGGGTATGCTAAACCAACTCTCCGTGACCCTCAAGGCCGACTTCTCGATCTCTGCCGGTCTGCACTTCCGCTACGGTTCGTCCTACAACGAGTTCTCCGTGAACCCTTCGCTCGACCATTATCGCGGCAAGCTGGCTGCCTCGAAGGCCTCTTTCAATGACGTCTGGGAGACGGTTCGGGGTGAGGTTGAGGCCGCCATCTCTTCCAACGAGGCCCAGAAGACTTTGTTGGACAACGCTCTCAACGTGGTAAACCAGATGCCCACCGTCGCCAACGGTGGAAACCCCTTTGGCGGACCCGCTGGACCAGGAAACGCCGCCGGCCAGGTTGATGAGAGCGCCTTCAAGAACATGTGGAACTTCAACCTGGCTGATGCCGCATTTGGCTTCTTGGTTCTTGAGGTTGAGGCTGGCCGCATCGCCACGGAGATGCGCGCCCAGGGTTTCAACTTTGCGCATCGGACCGGAAAGCCCCAGGCTGCTGGAGGGCCCGGTGGTCAAGCTGGCGCCCCCGTGCCTGCTGGACCTCCCGGTGGCGTGACCTCCCCGGCGACTCGTGCGACCGGACCGGCTGCACCCCAGTTCAACCAGGCTCCGCCCGCCACTGTCCGCCCCGGAGCTCCCGCCCAGCCCCAGGCGCCAGCCAAGGGCCCGACCGCCGCCCCCGCTCGTACCTCGCCGGCCCCCGTGATCCCCAAGCCCGCTACCCCCCAGCCCGCTGGCGCCGGTGCTCAGTCCCAGCTGCCCGCTCCTGTCTCGCCCGAGAAGACCTCGGTTTCGGAGGCCAACGGCAGTGCTCAGCCCGAGAAACCCTCCGAGTCTCCTCTGCCCAAGCCTGAGAAGAAGCAGAGCAACGGCCTGTTCGTGTCGAACGTGGACAACGAGCAGGCTGTGCGCGATCTTTTCCCCGAGGAAGACAAGTCGAAGATGGTCAAGGTCGAGAAATGGGGCAAGTTCAACCACGTCGTGATGTTCACAACTGTCGAAGAGGCCAAGGCCGCTCTCGACCGCCAGCCCGTCGAGCACAAGAAGCCCTCGCCCCCTGGCCAGCCCCGCAAGCCCAACATCAAGTACTTTGAAGACCGCGGTAGCCACCGGGGCAACGCCGGTACGTGGCAGAGCAGCAACCGCGGTGGAAACACCTCCCAGCGCGGATACCAGAGCGGCGGTGCCAGTGACAGCGAAACGGGACGAGGACGTGGTGGATTCGGACGAGGCCGAGGCCGCGGTGACCGTGGCGGACGAGGTGGACGAGGCGGCCGCGGCGCATTCAGCAAGGGAGCGACAGATTCTCCAGCCCCGACATCGACCCCTTCAGGCGACAAGCCGGCACCTTCGGGCGGTGATGCTTGAACGGTTTGATGTGATCAATGGATAGCCTGTTGTTTATTTGACTTGTGTGTTTTCTGCCTGCGTTTTGAATTCCCTTTATTGTTGATTTTCTTCTTTATCTTCCACTTTTTTTTCTGTCGAAACATTTTCTTTTCTCGGCCGTCTCATTTTCCACCTTGTTCATTCCTCTTCCTCTTCGTCCCTTCTTTCTCTTGATAACACTCGCCGGATTTCCCACATTTTGTTCCAATTAATCACTTAATTTCTATTCTTGTGATACTTGCAAAATCAGTGTTTTCTACCCTTCCTTTTTCTTGCCCTCTGTGCCCCCATCTGAGCGAGATGTTATTCATTTCTTTGACCTAGTAGACCCTCGTCTTCGGATGGATCCCGCTAGGATGATTTATCTTTTCTACTACCAAGAGTCACCGTTGCAGTACAGGGTGGAAAGCCAAGAAGGGAACATCATCAGCATTATCATTTAATGTGAAGAAGGAAAAAAAGAAGAGAGCGAAAAAGCGTGCCTTGGTGTGTATTATTGGTGATGTACGAAGGAAGAAGATCTACAAATCGACAAAAAAAAGATCAAAAAAAGGGGAACTGAGCGGACTGTCTTTCTGTATTCTAACCCTGTTTTTTCTCCTTTTTTCTTCTTTTCTTTACCTGGATCGCACCAATATCGATACCCTTGTAAGCTTCATATTGCTCCTGTCTTTTGTTCCTGAACGTAGTGTCTCTTAGTTGGGTGATGTGGTCTGATAATATGATGATTTTATTCAAATAAACGCAATGTTTGGTATCTCTAGAGTCTGATGATTCACATGAGGCTTGCAAGCATGTCCTGAACTCCAATCCATCGTGAGAAACGTAAGGTGTACATAGTCCTTGTTATGTACGAAAGAGTAAATAAAGTCCCTCCCTGTGCATTGAAAACGCCAAATAAACCCACCCCATTCATTAGATAAACCTAAACCCAGACCAAATCAAACACCGACCGAGCCAGCCATAACCGAAGACATGAAAGAAACGAGAACCTTGACAAAGGACGGTATCAGGGAAGTGCCAAGTTCCTTTCATCCAATGATGGTATCCCCAGTCCCAGACGAGCACCACCATCGGAGCAAGATCTTGAAGGCCGGGACATTTTTCTCCCTGAAATCAAGAAGCTTGGATTGACGAACGACCAGGTCGGTACCATTGTGATGAGCCAGGAGGATGCGAGCATGTCGAGGTCCCATGAAGGAGATGAGTAGGACCTTGGAGAGGTTAGCCCGTGGCATCTGAAAAGAGGCCAAGAAAAGAACGACAGCACTCACCGGAATGACTTTATAAGCAAGATAGCTTTTCGCGCGGAGGCATCTGATCATAATCCGACAGATACTCAGGATCTCGCCGCGGGTGATCTGGTCGTCGTCTCCGTTGACGCTTTCAAGAACCATACATCTGATCTGAGACCTGCCTTGGATTTCGCGGATGCCGGCAGCGCGTCAGTCGATGGCGTTCTCAAGCTCGTACTCCCAAAGAGGGGTGCGAAAATCTCCAGGCCTGCGGGGAATCATCAGTCTGTTGTTATTCTTGCGTTGGCATCGTGGGACTTGATTTAGGGGGGACTTGGGAACATACTGTCTTGGGGAATCGAACTTGCCCACCCAGCCTTGATGCATGGCATCGTCGAGGTAGTTGGTGAGGAACTGCCATATATCCGAAGCTTCGCTCATCGGTGTTGAAAGTGGGTGGTGCGGATTGTGAGCCGGGTATTCGATTTCCTCACTGGGGTCCTGGAGCAATTTTCGGCAGGGCTGGAAGTATTCAGACTGAAATAAGGGGTCCCCGTCGTTCGACAGGGGCATTGGAAGGATCTGGATGGGGAGGTGATCAAGGTCTTTGTGCGCATATTGGGCCTCCCGAAGATTCGAAATGGTATCCGCGACGGCCTCAACAGCGCGTCGACGAGATTGATGTTCTTTGCTTTCCACCATGTTGGCAGGGCTTAGCATAAGCCTTTCTCTAGAGATTCAGGGATGAAAGAAGTGCGAGTGGAGGGTGGATGGTGGGGGTTCTTGGAAGTACGGAGTAAACATGAGGGAGGGAGGATGTTGAATAAATAATGGGGGGCTCCGGGGCAACGACGGGGGAGGTGCTTTGCCTTCAGGTACCGCCCGCCAACCCTCCCGCCTACCATCTTGCTCCATCCCACCACAGTCCAGACCCAGAGAGAAGCGCACAGACAGCATCTTCTCCTCTTCGTGATACATTCACTGGCGGCAAATTTCATTATGATTGCCTGGAGCACCTCCGGATTGGATGGATCCCAGCGGCGGCGCAGTACCTTCCCTGGCCTTTATTCACTAGCCTCGACGCCAAGCGGATTCCATTCACAAGCCTGCCGTCACAATGCTCTATGATATTATGGAATCGTAGGTCATCTTGATCTTCTTCGTAGACTCATCCAGGGGATCTTCAATCCTATCTTCACACGCCTTCCGAGTTGATTTCATCTACAGAAGAGCACTACTACAGACACAGATCTTATCCCATAAACTACCGGATCTAACATCCTAAAGCCTCCCTCACAATCCTATCACTGCTTGTCTCCACAAAATGTCAGAGTCGGCGGTAAAGCTTCCCTCGACTCCCAAAAACTGGGAAACCATGGTGGCAGCAGCTGGCATCTCTGACAAGCAGATACATGATGAACAACTACCGTCGGCTTCCAAAATGAAGCTGCGGCACTGTCTACTGCTCCGAGTTCTATGGAAACCGGTCAAACTCAGCAGTTTCACTCCCAAGCAGTTCGACCTAGACGAGTGGATGAAACCCGCACGAGACATGCTCAACTCGTATCACTCCTGGAAGGTTTACCTCAAGAGCTTCACGGGCAGGAAACCGATGGGCGAGGGGAACTTCTTCCTAGCGAAGATCTCTCAGCTCGAAGCGGCCAAAGTGGAGAGCGATGAGATCTCAGACGATGTCATCATGTCGCCAGTCTCGAACCGTACTCGTCAACAGATTCTCAAGAAGCGCGAAGAGCAAAACCAGACCCCGACCAAGTCTTCGTCAATCTCCCTGGAAGGCCTCACACTCGACGATCGGACGCCCTTTACGCCAGATAACCTCGAGGAGGACGATCCTTTCAAAGACCCAGCGCCTCTGACAGCGGAATCCCTCGGTCCCCGGGAGATCAGGAATAAAATGTACCCCAAAATTGACGACGAGCAAGTGGTCAACGTTGCCACTCAATTTCTTGAAGGCCCTCACGGCTCACTTCCCATCGCTTTCGAGCTCCTGGACCATTCACCGAAAGCCCTTCCATGCCGAGTTCGCAAACACCAAATACGAAGCCAGGACTGACGGCTACCTCCGGGGCAAGGAGTCCAAAGACGTGCGAGGCCTAGTAGAGGTGAAGGCCCCTCTACGCATTAACAAGCAAACCGAGATCCGCATCCAGGAAAGCGCCCAGATGGCCGCCTGGCTGAAGGAGTTTCCGTATACGCCGCCAAATCGTTCTTTTCGGTGCGTTTAGAGCTAGTAACCTTTCCTTGACTAAGTACTTGACATTGGATCATACTAATCCGGGGAACCAGGCGCTTTCACGTGTCGCAGGATCGGCACGAGATTTGGCTCATCTTTGCTGAATATGATGACCAGTACCTCAAGTACCTCCAGGGCACCGCTACTGCTACGGACCCACTCTCCTTTCTAACCATGTATGAAGTTGGCCCGTTCAGTATCCAGAATGAGAGGCATATGGCCGAGCTTGGACCTATCCTGCTCGCGCTCACCTTGCGCGCTGATGACGATCGCAAAGAGGAACAACGATCATCGTGATATCAGGGTAGTTTGTGGAACAAGACAAAGATACCTCCCGATTTGTAAATGCCTAGATTAGGTTAACGCCTAGCTTGCTGGCCATTCACATAACGGGAGATGGTATGGAACCCTTGGTCGAGATTTTGATGCGTTATGTGAATTTATTGTTGGAGCTCGGTTATCAAGCACCTACTGTAGATATCGCGTTGAGAAATAAAATAACAAATCATGCATTAAGTCGATTGATCAAAGACTAGACACTGATATCATACGTAATACCTTTACTATTTGGCATAGTTAGACAGAACTAGAAATATCACAAGTACATTCCAAAATTATGTTCTGCAAGAAAGTCCGTGCTATACCCTCAATATAAACAAACCAGATGAATCAGAAATGTGAACTCCTTCAAGCTCCAGGTCGGGCTCCGGCTCCAGTTCCATCAAAACGCAAACTGCGCCCAGTCCAAAGCGCCGCTCCTTGAGGTCGCCGCCAGTGTAGGGCTTTCAAGTAAAAGGTGACATAACCAACAGCATAAACATGCCCACGATCGAAGAGACATTGATGTACATCCCTTCCAATTCGAAGGGAAATGAGGTTTGACCAGGGGTGCCTCCCATTCAACTCAAGTGTAAATAGAAGAAAAGAGTGCGCAAGAGAGGGTGAGAACGAGAGCGAGGAGACTGAAAGTTGAAAGACGACTAAACAGGTACGCCGGATATATCAAAATGGTGATTTTCAGAAAGAACGGATAGATTTGATCATGTTTTCAAAATGATGACTGTTGTTCCATTTTTCCGTTTCCATCTTATGCTCGTCATGACATCAAGTGCGGTATCGTATCGTAGAGTAGGGGGTATCAGAACTTAAAGACAAGGGAGACTATGATAAAGAGACATGTGCTAGTGAGCACGTCCCATGATATCGTCAACGTCCTTTTGATTGACGACGACGCCTCCCTCAGAGCACCGAGCTTTGGTACGCAGTTCAGAGCAAAGGTTGTCGACATCAATCTCGCCGTTGCGGAATCTCTCCATAGACTGCAAACGATCCCTGTGATGGCTAGGTCAGTACACTCTTCGCGAAACAACAAATGGGAAGGATGATACACACCATATCTTGGTGCAGGACAGCATCTGAGACTTGTCCTCGCCGGGTACCATTTCCTCCTCGTCCAATTTCTGATCGATAGAAGCGAGTAGGTCTTTCTTGGGCACCTGCTGCGGCTGCTGCGTGTGCTGTGGCTGCTGGTTGGTCACCTCGTTGAAGTTGTGAGATGGGCTTCCCAAGTCGGGCAGAGGGAAGGCATCGTCAAAGAAGGTGCCAAAATCCTGGGAAAGGATCGCATCTTGGGGCTCACGCCAGTCCCCAAATAGCACGGGGTCAAATTGGCCGCCATTCTGCTGGGCCAGGAAATCAAGTCCAAGGTTATTATCGGAATCATCTGGCTGCGCCTCGGCGGGGGCCGTCTGCCCGGGAGTATTCGATGCACTTTCGCTGTTATGTCTCACGGCTGGGATTGGATTTCTAATGTTGCCACAAGCCATACCAAGCTGAGCGCAGAACGACTCTTCACCGTCGATTGTACTATAAGTGCAGTGGTGCCCATCATCGTGGGTCTTGTTTGCTGGCGAGTGTGTGGAAGGCTCGGGGGAGGTTCCACTAGAAGACAACAGCTGGCTCTGATGTGAGTCGGAAGATGACGAAGGGGAGTCTGAGTTCGATGCACCAAGCGAAGATCCCGACTGCTTGGTATTGTAAGCGGAAGAATACTTAGGAGCCTGGCCTCGGGATGAACCATTCGTGGAGGTGGGAGTCGCGCCGGCTGATTCCGACGCAACGGTTGGAGAATTGGCGGGCTTGGCAGAAGCTTGGCCGTTTGCTGAACGGAGAGAGTCCCGATTCAAAACGCCAGGGACATAAGAGTCATTCCGCTGCGGCGCATGCTGATCATCTTTGGACTTGTTTTGGTTGTTGGATTTGGACAAGTGTCCGTTGTTGAAGATGTGCGAGGCGGGTAGGTCTCCGAACTTAGGGAAATCGAACATGAAATCGTGGTTTTGGATTCCAGATGATCCTTTGTTGGGGTAGGCGCTTGGAATTGCGTTGATGGCAGAAATCCCGCTTCCAGTTGTCACCCACGAGAGACGCTTACGATACTCTCGGAGTTCAACCTGCAGACGCTCCACCTGAGCACGAAGCAGGCCATTTTCCTGGTTCGCATCGTCTGAGGCTTTCTGCAATTCATCCACTTTAGTCTCTAGGTCCTTCAGATGTTTTTCCTTGCGCTCACGGAACGCCCGCTGAGCTGCGCGATTCTGGGCCTTGCGCTTCTGTAAGATATGTTAGTAACACGAAACTATCGTGCTCTGCAGGGGGGAGGAAGAGAAGCGTACAGAAGTGGGTTCGGAGGTCAGTGGCTTCCGCCCTGGCTTTTTGGCTGTTTTATCATCGCTCTCCCTTCGCTTCTTGCCAGAGTCCTCATTTTCATTGTCCGAGCGTCCTTCTAGATCCTTCCTCTTCTCTCCAACTTCAGGATCATCAGACGGAAAACCGCCTGGGAGATCTCCAATCAAGCTTTCAGAGCCTTGGAAATCAAAGTCAAGGTCAGGGTTGAAGTCAAGGAAAGGGCTCTCGTCATAGCCCAGGTTACCGGAGTTCTGGGAGCGGTCAAACCCGGGGGAGGCGCTGTAGCTTCCGGAGGATGTACGCCCCGGAGTGTGCTCAGGGTCGTTCTTCGACTTGGAATTTTGCGGGGTGTTCTGCTGTTTCTGAGAATGGTTGTTGGACGAAAGAGCAGCGAGGAGAAGGTCCTGTTGACCAGGAGAGAGGTACAGGCCTTGCTGGTAAAGAGAGTTGTAATCGGCCATTTCGGCAAGATTGACGATAGAAAAGTGGTTTGAGGGTTTGAAGGAGAGAGGAGGGGATAAGACTGAAAGTAGCGGGGTTGTTGGTCCGGCTAAGCAAAAAGCGAACTTAGCTGTTTTATCGGTGAGATGAAAGGGCCGGGCTTCCCGCCCGTTTCTTGTATCGATATAAATCACCGATGAAGTGAGGGTGAGAAGTCGGATTGAAGCGAGACAAAGTAAGGTAGTTCAAGGTTGGGTGAGGTGTTTTTGTTGGATGAACGATAAAACCCAAGCCCAACTGAACACACGGTGTATTTCTTGGCGAAATCCTTCCGCGGGCAACGATTGCAAGGAAATAATAGTCCAGAAAACCAAGCCGAGAGGGGAAAGGTTGTGTGCCCTTTCAATCGATATCGAAAACTCGTATTCCGACGTAGGCTTAGAGATGGCGAGCGAGGAAAACTCGAGGGAGGGGAGGCTCCAGCAAGAAAAAGAAACGAGCTAAATCAATTGCTTGAAACTGCCCAGAAGACCACAACAAGGTCTCGTAGACTAATAGTTGGCTAGATTAAAATCCAGGAGAGGAAGAGGGGACAGGTGCCCGTTGGTCGACGATGAAGAGCCGGAGTTGAGGAGGGGTTTCCGGATGGAGAGATATGGGGCAGACACTGCAGGGAGGCTTGCGAGAGCGGCAGCAGCAGCCTATGGGGACGGACAGGGTCTTCAGGCCAATTAGGGAGGGGGGGAAAGGCGTAGGCGAGAGAGGTGGGAGGCGAGAGGAACGAGGTGTATTGAAGAAGGCAAAAGGAGAGAACGAGGATGGTAAGAAGAGATGACTGAGGAAAGGAAAATGCGAAGTAGAAAGAAAGAAGGCAGGATGAAGACTGACGAATGAACCAACCACGAGGCAAATCCCGACGGGTCTTTCGATCGAGGTGGAAGAGTTGCAGGAATGAAATGAACGAACTGGATGGGATTGAATGAAACGGGATGCATGCCTGAGGGGGCGAACGGCGGTGACTCTTACTTTCCGTGGGCGGTGGGCAGTCGGGTCAAAGCGGCGAGGGCTTTTGAGTGTGGCCATTGGCTTCCACCCGCGTGGGGCAGGCGGCACTGCCAATGACCGAGGGCCGCGACGGACTGCCGCCTTAAGGGAAGAAACTGCACGCAAAATGCTTAGAAATCAGGCCAGGCCGGCAATGGAACGTCGCGCCTCCGACGTTCTGCCACTTTCCACGCTCTAAGCCCGAATAGTACGCTGCTCCAGATCTGACGCCAGGCAGAAATACGGAGTACACCGTAGGCTGCCAGATGATGACTACTTTAAGTAACTACTAACTAGTTAAGTTATGTACTGAGTTGAATGCTCATGGTAATAGTATGAAGTTCAATCCATGCAACCTAGGTACTCCGTACTTTGCGACATACCGGCAGGTCCTCTGCATCTGACGTATTCCCCGCTCCGGCCATCGGACTCGGATGATTCGGATTTAATGGACTCCCTTATCACGTTACCCCGTAGATGAGAGATTTTTTTTTTTTGTGAAAAAAATAATAACAAAAAAAAATGGTGGAGAACATAAACCGCAATGGAAATTCGGTATCTCGAAAGCGCAGAAAGTCAAGCGTCACAAGCGTTCTCAATATCATCCATGGATCCGGTGATTGATACGAGTTCTCCCCGGACACGGAGCGGATATCTTAGGCTGCCGTATCCCAAGTTCCAAATCCCTACGTCCGACAGGGTTCTGGATCTCACTCTCTGCCAAAGCACCCTCCGATCCCAGATAATACCAAGTTTTCCCTGGTGGCAAATGCTGATAGCTGGTCAACCGTTGTGTCCAATAAGACCGTGTCCCGAGTGACGTGACGATCGTCTTTCGTCCGGACTCGCATTTGCATAGCGTTAACCGTCCAGACTAGGCGCTGATCCCGCCCACCCGTTGGGCGGTCCCTCGATTGGGTGCGGCTAGTCCTTGGGGTCCATGGAACCTGGAGAGACAAGAGATTGAGCCTGCTCAATCAAAATGAGGACAAATGGTGATACCTATCAGCATGCACACGCAACCTTGCGGGGTCTTTGAGTCGTACGGAGTAACTATGTATTCAGGAGGGTCGACTGTATCCGTACGGAGCACTCCCTAGATAACAGATTCAGATAAGACAGGAAGAAAGGAAGAAAGACGCGTCGGGAAGGACGGCGGACGATCATCTCGGGGAAGGTGTGTGTCACGTGATGCAGTCTCGCCCGACCGCAGCCGGCACGTGCGCGCGCCATATCTTATCCCGACCGTCTCGTCTCAACTCTTTTCTGGCGCTCCCCGATCTCTGCTCTTTCACTTGTTGAACCCACCCCACGTTTTTACCCCGATCTCGGTACTTGTCTCCTGTTCCGTTGCATTCACTCTAACCTTTTGTCTTTCTTAATTCGTCCCGAACCTAGTCCCATTCAGTCATGGCGGACGTAGCAGCCTTGGAGGCCGAGGTCAAGGAATTCAAGCTTCAGGTTAGTTCACTCGCCGAGTCGCCGGTCACGCCTCCCATCCTATTCTAACCGTGCTCTGTTTCAGCTTGAAACCGTCCAATCGAGTTTGCAGGTAGACCCAGATAACACGGAATTACAAAGTCTCAAAGCTGAGCTGGAAGAACTTATAAACCTCACCGAAACCTCCATCTCCGAACTCAAACCGGCCGCTCCGCCATCATCCAGACCGTCTCCCCCGGTCAAAGAGAAGGGCTTCCGAGAATCCCAGGCACCTTCGCAATCGGGTTATCGCAAACCAACGGTCGAAGCGGACGAATCGTCGGCCCCCGTCTCGTTCTCCGTCAACGAACATGTTCTCGCTCGATGGGTTTCGGGCGACAATTCCTTCTACCCTGCCCGAATCACATCCATTACCGGCTCGTCTAGCAATCCTGTTTACCTAGTTTCTTTCAAATCATACAGCACGGTGGAATCTTTAACTGCCAAGGATATCCGACCCGTTTCCGGCAATGACTCGCGCAAGCGCAAGGCTGATGGAAACTCAGGCAATTCCGCATCCCAGTCACCCACCCCTCAGCCTCCAAATTCGAGCGTGATCTCGGCGGCGGCGGACATCAACCCCGCCTTGGCCAACCAGGCGCGCAAGGAGCCGAGCAAGGTTGGCGACGGGCCGGCGCGTCCTTCCAAGGTGCCTCGCAAGGTCAAGGCGACCCGGGAGTTAGAGGCAGGTAAAAACAAATGGAAGGATTTCGCCAGCAAGGGTAAACTGGGCCGGAAGGAAAGCATGTTCCGGACCGGTGACAGCGTCAATGCCCGAGGTATGGTTTCTCTACCCTCTCTTGGTGTGAAAGCTATCCATCTTCGAAACTACATACTGACCGGATAATTTCGTAGTCGGATTCACCGGGTCCGGCCAACAGATGCGCAAAGACCCTTCGAGGACCAGACATGTCTACCAGCAGGGTGATGACGAAGGATATTAAAAGCAAAGCGGCGGAGTTATGGCCGCAACGTGATTCCGGGTGTTCTTATGTTGTGGTCTATGTGACAGACCGGTTGTCTCCTTATTCGTTCATATCTGTTTTCCTGCGACCCTTTCTTCGGTCCTTCTTGCTAACGGGCTATCGATGACAGATAAGTCATCTTGTGAATGTCGAGGCAGGAGTGTTCGTCCATAGAGATGGTGGAGAACCTTGGTAACATTCAATCCCATGAGTCTACCGGCGGTCCCTTGATTATTGCGTTCCATTCTAATGCACCTCGATGACCATAGGTATTCTGATGTATGATCGGAGCTGCTGGGCCATGCTGTCACCTTCCTGGACCCGTGGAAGAGAGGCGTTTGAGCTCAAGCGAAATCGTAGATGTACACGGCAGCTTCATGCCTGTGTGCATGTAGATGGTTTCTTTCTGGAGAGCCAACATAATGTATGCCGTGGTTAGTGCTTACGATGTAATAGACTAATTGTCAGATAGTTGCCCGCTAGGCAAATGATTATGCTTGATCGTTGGTGGTCGAGGTTCCTGGTCGGCGTGCAAACCTCCGATTCTACGTTAGTGAGCAACGCCAATATACCTAGATTTGCAAGGCATGACAGTACCTTCGGGACACTGCGCTCCGCCACAAATGTCTAACGATGTCAGTTGACAAGAAAGCAAACGAACTGACGTCTTTGCGGAAATGAGGGGTAGGAAGGGTCTCCGCATTGATAAACCAAACTTTGCCTGCCTGTCTGTCTGGAAGTCATTCCGCCATTGGATTCCATCTTTATAAGCCAGTATCTCTCTAAACAAATCGCGATGACCTTTCAAAAGGACGTTCTGCCTCCTACTCCCCAGATACAAAAGCAAATGCCATGGATTCAGCTTGGCCAGCATGATCCCACCACAACGCTGACTCCGCCGCCAGCTCCATTCCCCGAATCCAGCACCCCGGGGCAACGAGCGACGATGAGGTTCGCTGTCAATGGAAACGCAGCGTGTACGTTGATCCCGTTTTCACAAGACAAGATCTCTTTCCTACAAGCCCGTGGCCAACGAATAGCCAGTCACCGGAGGCGCCGGGGCCCTAGCCCTGGCATCTGCTCGCGCTCTTCTCGAACACGGTCTGTCCGGCATAGCACTCCTTGACCTCCCGCAGGGTCTTCAGAAGAGTGCCACCGAGATCGAGACACTCCGACGAGACTTCCCTGCCGCGAAGATCATCACCCAGGCCTGTGATGTCACAGACGCTGCGGGCATGAATGAAACCGCTCAGCAGGTCCGCGACCAACTGGGCGATACCAACATCCTCTGCTGTTTCGCAGGGATGGTAAACTGCATCGACGCGGAGGACCTCGCCATAGAGCAATGGAGGCGCGTGATGGATGTAAATACAACGGGGTCTTGGATCGCGGCGCAAGCATTCGGACGGTAAGTGCCAATTGTCTCATAACACTACTCTCTAAGCAAACAGACTCATTCGCCTCCCGAAACCCAGGCATATGATTGCTAGCGGCCGCGGAGGCAAGATCGTCCTCGTGGCTTCGATCAGCGGACATCGGGTGAACTATCCTCAACCACAGGTAGCGTATAATGTTTCCAAGGCAGCGGTACTACATATGCGGCGCAGTCTTGCCGCAGAGTGGACGCGGTATGGGATCCGGGTCAACTCCATCTCCCCGGGATACATGGATACGGTGCTTAACGAGGGCGACGACTTGGAGGCGTGGCGACAGAGCTGGGCGGAGAGAAATCCCATGCGCAGAATGGGCTCGCCCCAGGAATTGACCGGACCGGTGGTGTTGTTATGCAGTGATATTGGAGGCAGCTACGTGAATGGGGCAGACATTGTGGTTGACGGTAGGTCTTCCTTGGGTTGGCATGTCGGGCGGTGCTAATGATAATTAGGTGGTGGGCTGGTATTTTGATATATAGGAATACCAAGTATGTGAAGTTCCACAGTCTCAATTTGGGATCATCCATTTCGCGATTTTGAGAGGTCATTAATCGGATACTGCGGCGAGAATCTATAGTTACCCACTTTAGAGGATCGGATAAGATGCCGATGCAAGGGATTAGGGCAGGCATTCTACCTGTCTAGGCAGTACCTAGAGACTCTTACTCTCAATCAACACAGCCAATGCTAAATCAAGCTACAGGCTTTTCTCTGTTATGATATCCTAGTAAAGGCTTCTTTTTTTGGGCAAAAGACGAGAAGTATAGGGAGGTACAGGGAGGTACCTGACCTACAAGGCATGAGATTCCGATATCAGTACCGGTATTGGTATTTACCGCATCCGGGTCTCAGGAACCGGTCCATGCACGGGCTACGATTGGTCCCCCGCGCCGAAAGGGGAGTTATCAGGGCCGTTCGGCGTATCGATAAACCCCCCGGATTACGCGTGTCGTACGGGCGGTAATTTCCTATTTATTGATCCTTCGCTGCGACTCTCCAACTCTCTCCGCTTCATCTTCGACCGCCACTTCCTCCTTTCTTCCTTCCCTTATATTCTTATCCTCCTTCCATCGTATTGATATAGTTCCTTATATTTTCTCCTTTGTTCACACATCGAGTCCTTCCATTCTCCCGCCATGGCTGCTGCCCGCCAATCCCTTGCCCGGTCTCTCCCCGCTCTCCGCGCTGCTTCTCCCCGCACGGTGCTGGCTTCACCTGCTCGGGCTTCAGCTCGCTCTCTTTCGACGACCTCCACTCTATCGGCCTCTTCAGTGCTGGCCGCTCAGCGCTCTTCGTCCTCATCCTCCTCCTCCCCTTTGATTGCTACGCGCAGACTGCACGTTACAGCCCAGCAACTCGCCCCCGCAACAACTACCGCGGCCACTACCGCCACCGAATATCCGACAGATCACAAGACCATTGCCAACCCGATTGATACCACCAATTTCATCGACAACCAGTTCGTTTCGTCCAAGGCTACCACATGGATTAACTTGAACGATCCTGCCACCAACAACCTCGTCACCCGAGTCCCTCAGAGCACCGATGAGGAACTGCGGGCAGCCGTCGAGTCGGCCGAGAGGGCCTTCCCGGCCTGGCGGGCAACCAGTGTCATTGCCAGGCAACAGATCATGTTCAAGTTTGTCAGCTTGATCCGCGCTAACTGGGACCGATTGGCCTCCTCGATCACCCTGGAGCAGGGCAAGACCTTTGCCGATGCCAAGGGCGACGTTCTCCGCGGATTACAGGTGGCCGAAACCGCCTGCGGCATCACCACTCAGCTCACCGGCGAAGTGCTCGAAGTCGCTAAGGATATGGAGACCAGAAGTTACCGAGAGCCTCTAGGAGTTGTCGCGGCCATCTGCCCCTTCAGTAAGCCCCCACCCCCGGAATCCCTGTGGATGATCCACTATGAACTTCTCCGATACTAACCGCTTCTACCCCCGCGCGCGCAGACTTCCCCGCCATGATTCCCCTTTGGTGTATTCCTGTTGCGACAGTGACTGGAAACTGTCTCGTCCTTAAGCCTTCAGAGCGGGACCCCGGTGCCGCCATGATCCTGGCCGAATTGGCCAGGGAGGCTGGCTTCCCTCCTGGTGTGATCAACCTGGTCCACGGTTCCGCCAAGACCGTCGATTTCATCCTGGATGAGCCTGCCATCAAGGCCATTAGCTTTGTCGGCAGCAACAAGGCGGGTGAATACATCTACACCCGTGGCTCCGCCAATGGCAAGCGTGTGCAGGCGAACCTCGGCGCAAAGAACCACGCCGCCGTGCTTCCGGACTGCAACAAGAACCAGACCCTCAACGCCATTGTCGGCGCTGCGTTCGGAGCCGCTGGTCAGCGATGCATGGCCCTGTCCACCGTCGTGATGGTCGACGAGACCAAGGACTGGCTTCCTGAGATGGCCGAACGCGCCAAGGCCCTGAACGTCAACGGCGGATTCGAAGAGGGCGCCGATCTGGGCCCTGTCATCAGCCCCGAGAGCAAGAAGCGCATCGAAGACTTGATTGCCAGCGCCGAAGAAGAGGGTGCCACCATCCTCCTTGACGGACGAGGCTACAAGCCCAAGAACTACCCCAACGGCAACTTTGTACGTTTATCCCACCCTCCTCTCACTCGAGAGGAATCATGACAACCACCAAGCAAAGGCCACCATTGACTAACCGTCTGCTACAGGTCGGCCCCACCATCATTACCAACGTCACCCCCGACATGAAGTGCTATAAGGAAGAGATCTTCGGACCCGTGCTGGTCTGCCTCAACGTCCCCACCCTGGAAGACGCCGTCGACCTGATCAACAACAACGAGTACGGAAACGGCGCCGCCATCTTCACCCGCTCCGGTCCCACCGCCTCGCGCTTCCAGAAGGACATCGAGGCCGGTCAGGTCGGTATCAACGTCCCCATCCCCGTGCCTCTGCCCATGTTCTCCTTCACCGGCAACAAGAAGAGTATTGCCGGCGGTGGCGCCAACACCTTCTACGGCAAGCCGGGATTGCAGTTCTACACTCAACAGAAGACGGTCACGAGTTTGTGGAGAGGCGAGGATGCCATCAGCACCAAGGCTAACGTGGTGATGCCGACTCACTCGTAAGTCTTACTCAAAATGACATACATAAAACAAAACGTTAGGAAGTGTTTTCTATACTTGATTTCTTGTGCAGTGTGAGAGTGGACTATGCTGCTTGGACAAATTGAATTTGTCTTCTTGGAGGGGAGAGCTATGTTGCTACGATATGATACTCATCTATAGTTTTGATTCCTCATTTAATATATTGCTTTATTTTTAGCCATTTTTTATTATATTTGTTCTCTGATTTTTTGGAACTCGCATCTTTTCGTGCTCATGTCTTCCTTTTATGTTTAAACAATCAAGGATGAAATGATATGCTCTCTCAACGCTGAACAGATAGTATTCAAAAGAAAAGAAATGGTCCAGACCAAATCTCGTTTATTTTTCTTTTTGCTCGCACAACTTAAGGAGAAAAAAAGTCTATTTAGACTCCTTCGCGGCCTCCTTCTTCTCCTTCTTCGACCCCTTAGATGACTCCTTGGGAGGTCTGGGGATCGGGTTCGGGTTACCCTTCCATTCCAGCTTGCGGGGGCGCATGAACTCGTTCAGGACCTCGTCCGTGGACAACTTGCGCTTCTCCTGGAAGTCCAGCACGTTTTTCTGCAGGGTTTCGATGGCCATCTTCTTCAGTTCGCCGGTGAGCAGCTCGCCGCTCTTGTAGGACTTGTAGATCTCCTCGAGCTTGGCGTCGTCTTCTTCGAAGTAGGTCAGGTAAACGTAGGAGACGTCGACGTCCGGGTTTCCGCCGAGACGGCGGTGGTCTTCGACGCTGACTTGACCGCCGCTGAAGGCGTATTTGTTGATCTTGGTCTAGATGTTCATATATCGGTCAGCACTTTGATCTTCATCGCCGAGAAAAGGAGGAAGGGATGGCGATATTACCTTGATCTGCTTCGCCGTATCGTCCATGAAAATAGCCGAGTTGGGATTTGACGACGACATCTTTCCGCCAGCGCCCTGTAGCGCAGTCAGGAACTTCGAGTGAATAAGCGCGGGCTTCGGCGACGGGAACGCCATGCGGTGGGAGTTGTCGCGCAGCAGCCGGAAGTACGGATCCTGGTCGATACCCATGGGGATCAGGCAGGCGATGTCGGCGATCTTCTGGTTCCGGTTGGCCTGGGGCTCGTCGGACCAGATCTCGGGGTAGGAGGTGGCGAAGGCGGCGACGCACTGGACGGAGGGGAAGAAGATGCGGCCGATGTTGGTACTATATTATTAAGATTGAGATTTAGCAGGCATTGTTCACAGACGGAGGCTTATGGTCCCACCTTTCATTGAAACCAAACGCCCCACGGACCTGGTTAAAAGTAACCAACTTTCCGAACTCCCAAGCGTTCATGAGGAAATGGTTCGAGATGTACTTCAGATCGCTATAGATGAAGGTCTTCTTAACGTCGAAGCCGAGGGCAATGATGTCGCGGGCATTCTCCATAGCGTAGTGCATGGCCTCCTCGAAGCCAATGCTGTCCTTGAACAGGGCCTTTTCATCGTCCGTCAACATGAAGACCAACGGCACGTCGAACACATCCTGCAGCCATTTCGTGAATTGCAGCGGGATGGTGTGTCCCAGGTGCAGACTGCCGGTGCTGGGCCCGCGGCCGGTGTAGAGGAAGAAGGGCTCGCCGTGCTCATAGCGCGTCAGGATCTTGTCGAAGTCGCGGTGGCTGAAGAACAGGCCTCGTCGCAGCCAGCGGTGCGGCTTGTGTCCGGTCACCCGTTCGAATCGCTCCAGGAGCTCGTGGTCGATGGTGGAGGTGTTCCATTTTCTAGAGTGGCGCGGTTAGCGGTTGATGCCATCTTTTTCTTTCTCTCTGTGTGTGTCTTGGTCGCAGAGTCTCCGGTACATCAAGGGAGTAGAAACACATACTGAGAGAGGGCCAGGTAATCGATCGAGATGGCTTCGCCGTTCTCATCCTGCCCACCGTCAACAGACCAGGGATTGATGTCCTGGTCCCGGGCAGTTGGTGCCGGTGCGGTTTCTTCGGCCATTCTGGAAATCGCAGGAATGTCAGATCAGGAGACAAGCAAGGGAAACAAGTGGCCAAAGTGGAGAGTGGTGCAGGAAGAGAAAGCGGCGTGAGTCAGGATTCCGCCAAAGGAGGGGTCGATCTTTAATTTGCTTAATTAATTTCAGGCCATCGCGGCGGGGCTGGTCACGTGGGCCCTTATCTACTTCTTATCACCAGACGATGTCCATTTACACTTGTATGCATTCCTTCATTGCTTCATGATTCAGGACTCAATTAATTGATTTGCACAACAAGACTATAATATAATGGCCACTAAGAATCTGGAGACAGATCACTCCCCCAACTCTCCCTACTTTACAGACAGGCTTTTCTCGACGAATTTATCTCTTCCACTCTTTTTATGCCCTTGCAAAAACGTACCGTTTCAAGGGCTCTCGTATCGCATCTCAGTTAGATATCAATATCAATAATTCGACAATAGAACTGCTGGCATCGACCTTCGAATAGAACGCTTCAAACTGGTATGAATTTGGTATTGGAAAGATTCTGGTTTTATCTGATGTGGTTTTCCTTATTCGATTTTCTCTCCGCCTGATTGGAGGTCCAAAACGGATGCCTTCATTTACTCCGCCGACGACCGCGTGGTACGCTTGGTGGCCTTGCCCTTGTTGTCAGTGTCGGCCGAAGAAGTGGTGGCAGAGCCAGCCTTCTCCTTGCCTGCTCCGGCGGCTTCCTTGCCCTTCTTGGCGGGAGCGGGAGCGGGAGTGCTAGAGCCGATAGCGCCAACGATGATGAGGACCATCGTCAGCACAAGAGCACCGAGACCACCGGCGACCTCGGGAACCTGCTTCACGGCGTTGACGGGGTCCTGCTTGGCGAGAACAACGAAGGAGTCGACCTTCTCACGGATGTAGGTGACGGGGTCCTCCTTGAAGCTAACGCTGGTAGTGACGGGCTTCTCTTCGGGCTTGGGCTTGGAGGCTTCCTCCTCGGCCGCCTCGACGGGGTGCTTGACGTCAAAAGTCTCCTTGCGAAGCTGCTCAGCATCCTCGACGGAGTGACCGATGTAGATGTTGTCAAACAGGATGTCGTTCTGCATGGTCCAGATCTCGAAGCCAATCTATGCAGTTGATTAGTCATCGCGCGTCATATGGGGTTATCACAGCGCGGCAAAGGAACAAACTTACAGCGCCAATAGGTTCCAGGTTGGAGGGGGTCTTGTCCTCAAAGTAGGCGGGGTTGGCGATCTTGCGGGGAGCCCAGGGTCCCTTGTAGGCCGGGTTGTCGATCAGAGGAGCGGACCACTTGCCCTTGTAGGCGGGGTTCTTCTTCATGGGAGCCTCCCAGGCACCACAGCCGGAGACCTCGTTACACTTGGGGTTGGGGACGGTGGGAGGGATCCAGTCACCATCCTCCTCATCATCCCAGTCCTCAGGCTTTTCAGCCTCGGGGTCGGGGATGCTAGTGGGCTCGTCCTGCAGCCAGTCTTCGGGGATAGTGGCCTCCTCGTCGACAATCTCGAAGGGAGCCTCCTCATCCCAGTCCTCGGGCTTCTTGGCCTCGGGGTCGGCAATCTTAGCCTCGTCAACCCAGTCGGAGGGCTTCTTGTCCTTGGGGTCATCAATCTCCTTCTCGGGGTTGACGGGAGGGTTGAAGTCCTCCAGCAAGCTGCCCTCCTTGACCGACTCGCCGTCGATGAGGATCTGGAAGGTCTGGTCGGGCTTGATGACCAGGGTGTACAGCGAAGTGAGCTTCGAGGTACGGGCAGCAGGGGGAGCCTTGAGATGCTTCTCCTCATACTCGCCGGTCTTGGGGTTCTTGTGACGGAAGATGAAGTGCACCTTGTTGGTAGCACCGCACTTGTCGGGACCGAACATGATGACATAGGGAGTCGCGTTGGAGAACTCCTCGGCGTGAAGCTTCTTGTTCTCTTGGAGAAGCTTCAGGTAGGCACCACCGCAGACCAGAGAGTTCTGCGGCTTGACCTCGTACTGGACAACCAGGGTCTTGCCCTTGTTGTCCACCTTCTTGGGGAACTTGGCCGAGATGGCGTGGTGGGCCGCAGCGTTCTTGACGACGAGACCCTTGTCGCCCTCGATACCCTTGAAGACGCTGGGTTCCTCCACGGACCATTCACCGACGTAGGCCCAGTCCTCCTCCGACTTGGAGTCATCCTTCTTGGCGTGAGACGGAGTCCATCTCGAATCCCAGCCCTCCGTGAACTGTTCAACGAAAGGAGCTTTGATGGTAGAAGGCTAATGGGAGGATTGCGTTAGCAATTGCGGAGAATTGATTTGATTGGGGCGGGCGTCGAGATGCGCGCGATCGCTTGTGCCGATCAACAAAGAACGGGAGAACTCACGGTGAAGGTAGGCTTCTCGACGACGGAAGTAGCGTCGGCGGGCTTTTCAGCCTCCTCTGCGTGGGCATAACCCATGAGAGTGGCCGAGGACACCAGAGCCGAGGTAAAGGCGGCGTTGATACGCATGACGAGATGAAGTCGAGCTGGAGCGCCGACGAGCTGTAGGATTCAAGGAAGGAAGGAAGAGAAGATAAACAAATGATCAATTGATCCACCTAAGGGGAATTAGGGGGACAGGAGAGGGATGGAGAGAAGACAAGGCCAGCCGTGAACCGCGACAAAGCTACCTGTAGCGCACGGGGAAGAGAAGGGAAGAAGAGGAGAAAGAGGAGAAGAGGCAGGCAGTTTGTATAAATAAGCAGCGAATGAAGCCCGGAAGTTCAAGGTGGCCTCTTCCTGCCGCGCCCGGGGGGGTTCTTCCGCCTGCCTCGTTGGGGTTAGCCGTGCTTCTCCCGCGTTCTTCGGTTTCTACTGATTACTTTCTAGTATTTACTACAACTTATATACTCTATTGAAGGTACTTTAAGATCAGGATGAATGAAAGATCATGCAGGCAGTCGCCGTGGTTTACTAGGTGGACTATCATGCTTCCTCATGTTGTCAGCTCCCAGCTCCCAGCTCCCAGCCCCCAGCCCCCAGTTGCTATCTCGTAGCTGACCGTTCCCTCTGAAGATGACACCATCTCCCCGCGACGCTAATTAATCGCAAAAATTAATTAATTTTCCTGCAATTTCCTTCCCTCCCCGCTCTGCTTCTTCCTCGTCCTACGCCGTCGCCTCGTCCTGTCCCACCTCGTCTTGCTCCATTTTTTTTTTCTGAGTCTGTTTCCGGCGATCATTTTTCGTCGTGTGGATTGTCTTTGATTTGAAAAAATTGATTAGATCCTACATCTTCCCGATCTCATTCTCTCGATCTCTCCCCAAAGCCGCTTCCCCTCACGCTGCGATCGCGCTCTCGACATCATGTGCCAGGAAATCCAACAGACCAACAATGACCACCTCGTTCAGTCGACGGACCCCGAGCATCCGGCCAATTTGATTCCGGAGCTCTGCCGCAAGTTTTACAACTGGGGTTGGGTTACTGGAACCGGTGGCGGGGTAAGCTGATCGCATCCATGACAGTCTTCGGATTGCCCGTCGCTAATCGGAATCTTGTCGCCGCGCTTCTAGACCTCCATCCGTCGCGGAGAACACATCTATATCGCGCCGTCGGGTGTGCAGAAGGAGTTGATGCAATCGCAGAACATCTTCGTCCTCGAGTACCCCACCCCCAAGTATCCCGCCGAGGATCGCAAGTACATCCGCAAGCCGCTTGCTCTGAAACCCTCGGCCTGCACGCCCTTGTTCCTCGCTGCTTTTGAGCGCGGGGCTGGCTGCTGCATCCACACCCACTCTCAGTGGGCCGTTTTGGTGACGCTCCTGGTTGAGCGCGAGAAGGGTCCCGGGGGCTACTTCGAGATCAGCAACATCGAACAGATCAAGGGAATTCCTCGCGGAAAGGGTAAGGGCATGTTGGGCTTCTTCGACACTCTGCGCATTCCCATCATCGAGAATACGGCCTTTGAGGAGGACCTGACCGGCTCGCTCGAGAAGGCCATGGAGGAAAACCCCGACACCTATGCGGTGCTCGTGAAAAGACACGGAATGTAAGTGGATCCTGCCTTCCCTTTCTCCGACATTTCTGACATGATGGGTAGTTACGTCTGGGGCGACGACGTTGCCAAAGCCAAGACCCAGTGTGAGAGCTTGGACTATTTGTTCCAGCTAGCGGTAGAGATGCACAAGTTGGGCATTCCCTGGGTGAAGCAATAGAGCAGAAGAAGGTCAAAGGAAGCCTCTAGGTATCTGTGGAGGTGTTCAGAATAACTAGTGTAAATGATGTTGATGTGATGACGATGACGATGCAATAGAGCCACGGAGACAATGATCCTTGTCCAGGAGCAGAAACGGATAGAGAAGTCTTCGGTGATACTCATTCCATATAATTTAATTGAGGTACAGCGCAGTATTCCGTAGTTTCATAGTACTAGAATGTAAGGCCCCCAGTAGACTAGAAGCTTGGCGGGGGAACCCTAATCCGTCGACGCGGATCACCTGTCCAACTCGCCGCTTCTCCGACTCTCCAACCGTCCTCCGCTTCATCCTCCTGTTCTGTCCTGGTGGTCCGTCCTTGATTTTACCTCCCCAACCGATCTTTGACTTCTTTTTCTTATCCCTGATATCGCCGTTGATTCCCCTCTACCCTCATGGATTTGGACACTGGTGATTCCCCGTGGGGCGGTAAGCAGGCAGTCACGTTTCTGTCGCATCTATCCAGGGTGATCTCTAATCGGCCAGTACAGATGTGCCATCCCAGTCCGTCGGCAATCGCGATGCCTCCGAATCGAATGCAGATGACAATGCCTGTATTTTTAACTCCCCTTCCCGCCCGGTTTTCCCATGTTTGCTCCGGAGCCCGTTCCTAATTGCGTCACTTGCGCAGCCCCCCAACAACCGTCACAGCAAGCGAGCTCGAGCAATCCCCGGTCCCCTGTACGACGCGGCCCCCGAGGCACCCGCAAGATCAGTGCGCAAGCCACGAAACTAGAGGCCGTTGATGATACGTTCGACCCGTTGGGTCCCCTTGGAGATAAAGCCAGCGAAACGACCCCGGCCGCCAACGAGCAAGCTCCCATTCCACCCCAGAAGGAGTCCGCAGGAAACAATGCTCGTCCTACATCATCTACATCGCAGACTCCGAGCGCGGCCGGCATGATGGACTCGATAGAAGAAGATGGCTCCGGGCTCAGGGGACCCCCGCCCGTGCAACCCCCTAGCGAAGCGGACAGCTCAAGAAGAGTGTCGGAACCCAGCGTTAGTGTCGAGAAGGCCGCTCATCCAACATTCGATATCACCGTTGGTGATCCACACAAGGTGGGCGATTTGACCAGCAGTCACATTGTGTATCAAGTCAGAACCAAGGTAACCGACCGTACCCCCTTGGATCGCGGGCGCATAACACTGACTTTGGACCACAGACCACGTCCAAGGCGTATCGCCAGCCCGAGTTTACTGTCAGCCGTCGATACCGCGACTTCTTATGGCTGTACAATTCCATGCATAACAACAACCCCGGTGTCGTCGTACCTCCTCCGCCCGAGAAGCAGGCGGTTGGTCGGTTTGACACTAACTTCGTCGAGTCGAGAAGAGCTGCCTTGGAACGGATGTTGAACAAGATCGCAGCACACCCGATCCTCCAGCACGATGGGGATCTCAAGATCTTTTTGGAAAGCGAAAGTTTCACTCTCGATGTGAAGAACAAGGAGAACAGAGAGCCGGATCTTGGTCAGAGCAAGGGCATGTTCAGCTCGTTTGGCATCAGCGTCGGAGGCGGTGGCAAGTTTGTCGAACATGATGATGTAGGCCTTCCCGGAGCAAGGGATTTGATTTGCATGCTGACAGGGGTCGCAGTGGTTCCACGACCGGAAAGTCTACCTGGATGCCTTGGAAAACCAGCTCAAGGCTCTGATGAAGGCCATTGATACGGTAGCCGCTCAACGGAAAGGACTGGCCGAAGCCGCCGGAGACTTCTCGGCTTCTCTTCAGGCGTTGGCCTCTGTCGAGCTGTCTCCTGCCCTGTCTAGTCCCCTGGATGGTCTTTCGATTCTTCAGCTACGCATTCGAGAGCTGTACGAGCGCCAAGCGCAGCAAGATGTCCTTACCCTAGGTATCACCATCGACGAGTATCTCCGCTTGATTGGTAGTATCAAAACTGCTTTCTCGCAGCGACAGAAGGCGTTCCACAGCTGGCATACCGCCGAGTCGGAAATGCAGAAGCGCAAGAACACCCAGGAGAAGCTACTCAGACAAGGGAAGACGCAGCAAGACCGCCTGAATCAAGTCAATGCCGACGTGGCCGATGCGGAACGGAAGGTTCACCAAGCCCGCCTGTTGTTTGAGGACATGGGGCGCTTGATGCGCAACGAACTGCAGAGGTTCGAGAAAGAGAAAGTGGAAGATTTCAAGTCCGGAGTCGAGACCTTCCTCGAGAGTGCCGTGGAAGCGCAGAAGGAGGTGAGTAGTTGTTCTCTAGACAATCAGCATATCTCGTGCTAATGACCTGTGCAGTTGATCGAACTTTGGGAAACATTCCTTTTGCAGCTGGATGCGGGTGAAGAAGGAAACCCTTTCTACGGGAGTGCATCTGCCCCGGCGGAGCCTCCAGCAGAAGGAAATCCCGAGGCAGCTCCTCCGGTGACAGCAGAGGAGCAGTCTTAAGGATCTGGGCCTTTATTGCGAGGCCTTTTCTTGACTTGTACAAAAGCAAAATCCACGACCCGCCCTCCCTTTCATGCTCCCATTCCCGTGCCCTGCTCAACCTACGATGCCCGTCATTGAACAGTGTATGATGTAGCGCACGACTTGTTTTTCATTGAAGCCATGGGCCAGTGTGTAATGCAACCATACTGTCGGAATCCTGTTTAGCATAGTGTGATATCGATAGCCTGAAATAATCTGACGTCTGTCAAAGTTTGCCTGGTCCGTACGATTTGTGTGAGTTTCTCAATGAACCCATCTTTCACAAGTATACAAGAGATCTGTACAGTAGTAGTATTGGTCATATCTTGACAGAAACACGACAAAAAAAAAGAGAAAAGAAAAAGAGAATCTAGCCTATAATACAACAGGAGCAGCAGAAATATCAATCCCGTCCATGCGTAACCCCATTGGAATCCGACTTCGTTCATTCAACCACCACCACCCAGCGAAACGACCCGCATCTAATCCTTCTTCTTCTTTCCCCCCTGCTGCTCAACCTCCTGCCCAAACGAGCTGATCAAATCCAATAGATTATCCTCCTCTTCCTGCGCCGCGGCCGCCTCGGCAGCGGCCTCCTCCTTGCTCAGCTTCTCCTTCCCGCCGCTCTCCTCGCCCTCGACGGGGGTGTTGGCGTCAAAGCCGCGTCCAAATCGAGCTCGGAAAGCTGCCAACCGTCCGGCCTCGTCATCTTCAACGTTCATCAGCTTGCTGGACGAAGGGTTCCAGAGCAGCGAGTTGCGCGTGTCGCGGGTCGACCGGTACACCGGGGCCGGGGAGGTGGTGCGGTGCGTGAACGTGCTGCCGTCCGATAGCGTGATCAGCTGCGTGAATGTGTACGGGTTCTTGGGCCGGCGTAGCAGCGTCGCGTGTCGGCATTGCGAGCAGATGAAGGTTGTGGAGGGCGTGCTGCTGTTGGTCAATCGGGTGGTTGTGCCTCCAGTGCGGAGGAGGGAGGTTGCGAGTGACATTTTTTTCGTCTTCGGTGATGATACGAGGGATTCGCTATTCGGGGGTTGAAGATGTCTGAGAAGAATAGACGTAGAGGCAAGACCGTCTAGAGGAAGATCGGTCCGCGAGAGGAAGGAATTGGCAATGGCAGGTCCGGGGGTCGTCTTGATCGGAGGGAAACGAAGACCTTCTTTTCGGCGGAGAAATTTGGCGGCTCGGAGCGGGCTTAGTCAGCGCCGGGATTTCCTTCTGAACTTACGGCTTCATCTCGAACAATCATCTCGGGCGCTCTTCGGTCAGAATGGTCTGCAATTGACTTCACTCCTTTCGGCAATCTCAGGATGGTGGCTGTCGGTCCATACTCTCTTTGTCTTGTTTCTCGCCTTGTCGTTCCCTGAGCCTTTGAGCTCTTCCCTCTACGCTATGAATCTCCTCGCTTCTCCGCGACTTGCGGGCCGGTTTGCGGACCTATCAGGTATGTGTCTTCCACGAATGCGTATCGATTACGGCGTGAGGCTCATGTACAATGCAGGTCTACCGTGCACAAACCTCCGCGTATCCTCTCTCAATCTCCCGCCACAATTCCTTCTCCGAACACTCTCCTCCGACGTCACCGGCTCCCGCACATCCACCAGATGCTTCAGCAGCAGCAGCAGGAACAACAACCAACCCACCACTACCACCACCGAAACCCCCTCTCTCCCCGACCAAGTCCGCCTCCTCATGCGCCGCGTCCCCTACCCCGTCGCCATCATCACCTCCACCGACCCCTCCGAGCCCAACAACCCCCCGCGCGCCTTTCGCGGCATGACCGTCTCCTCCTTCAACACCGTCACGCTGCGCCCCGACCCCATCATCTCGTTCAACGTCCGTCACCCCTCGGAGACGCTCGCCGCGCTGCAATCCTCCGGCCGCTTCCTCGTCCACCTGCTCGCGGCCGATCAGGTCCCCGCGTCCCTAGCGCGGGACTTCTCGCGCGGTAACCATAATTTGTCGATCGCTAGCGGGGACAGCGAGTTTGAATTTGTTCCGCATATGCCTACGCTATCTACATCGATATCGACATCCACGAAGGGGGAAGGCGCCGAGATCTCGAGTACAGAAACCAGCAAGCCTCGACCGTCACCCGCACCGCTACCTTTACCGTTACTCCGACGGAAATCAACCCCCAAATCCAAGGAGAGTGATGTCTCCTTCCCCTTCGTCTTCGAGTGTCTGCTTCATCCACAGAACGTCACCGTGGCAGATCATACCATTGTCGTGGGGCGGGTCATCCGCGCGCTGTCCCCGGACGGCCATCATGGTGGGATGGACGCGGAGACGAACACGTCGTTCTCAGCTGATGAGCTGTGTTTGACGTATGCTAATACGCATTTCTGGAAGATGGGGACGGAGATTTGATGTATATTCTTCCAATCCCTTATCCTTATCCTTCCACACCTCCCCTCCTCTCCTCTCACGTGAACTCGATGGTAAGGATCTAGTTGGGTATATCTAGCTGATGTTCCAAGATTGGATACCTACTTACCTACCTATTACTTCAACCATTTGAATTTTCTGACCATGGAGACGGTCTGTATGTATTAATATGCTCGGTGTTATGATAGATTATATTGGGGATAGATAGGTCTGGTTCTGGGTATTACTTATAACTTCACGATCCAAGATCGGTGGATTATACATGTATATAGATAGAAACATTGAAAGAAAGAAGAGCATGGAGAAGCATAGAAACAAGACAAAGGGGAAAAAAAAAACCATAGGAAGGAAAAAACCTTAAGAACTCATATTTCCCCGTCTCACCCAAGAACGTCAAGAACTAGTCCGTATATCCCGAGATCTACCAGTACAAGTCTACGAATTCAAATCAACATACCAAACCGATAATCTACAAGGACAAAAAGAATATATTGACCGCAGTATGTATCACAGGCGAAGACTCAAAACCAGGACGCAGCCTCACGCGAGGCCCCCAGTATCCAAGACAATCCATCGCCGTATATGATGAGAATCGACACAAGCCAAAATCGGAACCACCTCCCACCGTCACACGCAACGCAGCACAACTCCCTACTTACAACAGAACACCGGCATCGATCGAACACTTTTGATGCTTTATTTTCTTCATGCGCCTCGCTCCTCTTCAACAGGTTGTTTTTTTGCGTTTCTCGAATCGAAAAGGGAATCATCGAGTTGTCTCTCTCCCACTGGTCGAGCCGGGACTGCCACTGGCGCTACCGCTCCCACCGCTGCCGCTGCCGCTGGTACGACTCACGGCCCGTTGAAAGGGGGTCGAGATGGGTCGGAGGCCTAGGTTGGAGCCATTGCTCTCGGATCCGGAGTTGCTCCGTTTCTCGGTAGCGATGTCGGAGAGGTCGAGATGGAGCGGAGCGCGACGGTTCGAGTCCAGGAAGTCGGAGCCGAAGAGGCTGCTGCCGGACCGGTTCGAAAACGAGCGGGCCCGGGTGATGTAGTCCGATTCGAAGGGAAAGCTGTTGTTGCTTTGCCCGAGCGGAGATGCCGAAAAGTGTTGCAGGTACGACGGTGGTTGGGTCGGGCTGGTCGGATGAGAGGTAGAAGCACCGAGAGGAGACGATGCGTGCTGCAGCGGGCTGGACTTCAACGCGGGAAAGCTGAGTCCGAGGAGCGATCGGGTGTGGGGAGCACTGGTCGTCAGGGGAGCCACCGAGGACAGGCTGGGGGCCTCGCTGAGCGGGTTAGTGCCCGGCAAGTTGCCCTCGGGAGTGAGCGGGGCCGAGTCCATGAGCATTTGCTGTTGCTGTTGCTGGATAGCTTGCTCGATGGTCGCCGATTGCTGCCAGAGCTGGTTGGTGCGCAGCTGGTATTCCTGCACAGACTGAGTGATGCTCGCGAACTGTTCGTTGAAGTTGGCCTCCAGCTTCGCCTGATCCTGTTCTCTGGCAAACTGCTCCGCCGCGCGGCGTTCTCTCTCGTTAAGACCCTGTGCATTGGCCGAGACAATGCGCTCGTACTGTTCGTTGACGCGAGTACGACGACCCTGGAGACGTTCCCGTCTCTGGATCGTGGAGTTCAGCTCGGACTCCAGCGCCGACACGTCACGCGCAACGGTGGATCGCGCGGTAGCCAGATCCTCTTTCGCCTGCTTAAGGAGTTCAAGCTCATGTTCGTACTTGCCCTTCTGTGCCTTCCACTCTTCATATTCCTCCTCTGGGATGTTCTCCAAGGTATCCAATTGACTATCGAGAGCAGCAGTCGCTTCTTCCGTTTGCTTGATGTTTCTTTCCAGTTGCAGGGAGCGCTGTTTCTGCCGATTCTCATCCGTTCCGCTTTGAAGTCGATGGTTGTAGTTGTCCAGCTCTTTCTTGATCTTGGAAATGACCATTTTGTGGTCATTCTTGGCCTTCCTTAACCGAGAACGTTTTTCGTTCAGTTTGGACTCGGCGTTAACGATGGAGTTCTTCAGCGTGGTCGTGGGAGACGAGGGTCGATAAGATGGCTGCGGCGGGGTGGAAATCGAAGAGACTATTCGTAGCCAAAGGTCAGGCACTGTCTTCTTCTCAAAGCCGAGGTGGGGATGGAATTCGAAAACTTACCTTGTTCTGCGTCATTGGCGACAGGGGTCTTAACGCTCATGACACAGATCTCTTCGTCGGTATCGCTTCGTACGAAGGAGCAAGTATAGGCACAATTGGGCGCAAGGCCGGAGACCTCACCGCGCCAATGCACCGCACTTGATCCCTTAGAGGCATCTTGGACTTTGCAGATCGTGGCAGTGGCCCAAAGAGCGCCATTGACACAAACATAAAACGGCTCCATCTCCTCATCCCCGAGCCGTCCAGCTTCGCACGCTCCGGAAGCGCCGGAATCCTCCAGGGAAGCAAAATCGCCCGCCGCGAACTTGATCGTAGAGCTATCCACCTCCGTTATCCACACGAGTCCGTCGTCCAGAGAGACGCCCTGTAGGTCGTCCTCGGTCATTGTAAGACCGCGGGCGGTCTTGGACAAGGCCCTGGAATGTTCATATTCTCTCATAACCGTAACCTTTGTACTCGCGAGCGCCGCCCAGAAGGGCTGACGACTCCGAACCTGGTTTGCCTGTCGTCTGCGTTTCTTTGCCGAAATCAATCGATCCCTACCATCCTTGTGCGTTCCCGGTGTCACGAGTTGCCCGTCGGCACCGATATACGAAGACATGCTCGCCCCCGACTCGAAAGCCGAATCGATCGTCTGCGAGCCGGCAGAAGCCTCGGTATCGACACGCTTGCCGGTTCGAGAGGGAGCGGGAGAACGGTTCTTGGCCATCGAGCGTCTTGCCATAGCGGTGCCGGCTTGTGCCAGAATGTGGACCGCAAGCAAACTCCGTATCCAGCTCGGCGACGACTGGGATTCCGTGCGCCGAAACTCCGCGGGCATAAGATGGGAATACTGCGATAGTAGGTCGGGACTGATGATCTTGGCGGAGAGCAGGTGACCCAGCACAAAATCCTGTATACCTTTACTGCGAATCAAATGCAAAATAAGAACAATGCCAACACATATAGCATTCACTCCTCCATTCTTTCCAGAACCTCCTCCTCCTAGCGTGATGGCAACCTGGACATGGGCCAAGTCGAGAGCAAAATTCTGCGCCCATGACCACATGAAAAGCCCCCAGAACAACAGGAAGAATCCATCCATCGCGATCATTGTGCCGAGAGACGGCGTACCGGCCGGGCCCTGGAAGATATCGAAGTTGGAGGACAAGGAGCCAGCAGAGGCGCCACCGGGAGGCATGAAGGTCAACGAGGCGAACAAGAATTGAACCAGGGTCAACACCATAGGCGGCAGCTGCAACAGGAAGATCAGGATAGCGATGGTGTCGTACATGGGACACGACTTGAGGATGGTCGAGGCCAGCTGCAAGGGATTGATGGAGGCAGTCGAGTTGGACCTCTTGGAGCCGAGCACCGACTTCTCCGCGCGTCGCGAACCTTGCCCTGCGAGGCCGCCATTCGACGGCACCGCACCGTTTGTCTGCCCATATGACATGTCCGCGTTGCCCTTGGCGTATCCATTCAGCTGACCACGTCCGGTCCCGTCGGGCTTCGAGCAATCCGTCGATCCGTTGGCCTTGGAAGCCGCCGCTACGGTGGTGGTGATGGCGGAGTCGCTGGAAGAACGAGACGCGGGCCAGTCGACTTGAGAGGAAGGGCCAGAGCTGGATGCAGAGCCACCGGTAGCGTTGCCGTTTAGATGTCCATTGGATTTCTGCTTATTCACTTTCTTTCCGGCACCGACGACGCCGTTCTCCTGCCGATTGCTGAGACTCTTCCTAGCCGTAGCCGATGAACGTGGCATGGACAAGGGAGCCTATCACCCAGGTCCGAGTCAGCTTGGCGGAGGGTAGCCAAGGACTTGGACCAGGCGGGAAAGTGAAGACGAAGACAGCGTCGAAGAAAAGAGAAGAAGGGGATTTGAGGGAAAGGGAGGGCAACGGAGGGGGAGAAAAGGGTGGGTAGAGAAGTCGATAGGTTAAGAGAGGAGAGCAAAAGGATGATCTAAGAAAAGTGTGTGGAAGGGAAAAGGAATGACAGGAGGGGTCTAAAGGCGGAAGAGAGAGAAGAAAAAAAATTGGGTGTAAAGCAAGATAACCAAAAAGGGCCAAAAAAGAAAAGTAAAAAAAAGGCAAAAAAAGGAAGGGAAGGGAAGAGAGACCGGGGGAATGAAGATGCGGCAAAGAGAGAGGGAGTGGCGGGGAGGAAAAAAGAGGGAAATTCGAATGAGGTTTGGCAGGCAGTTTTGGCTCTTCTGCCTCTTGGAAATTGGGATAGAAAATAGAAATTATTGGAAAATCGAAAAATGGCGGGAAAGAGACGGATCAGGCAGTAAGGCTGTGATTGTGGCCTCAGGCAGTCAGGCCATGGTCTGTATCTGTAGATACGGTAAGTACGGTACATTACAGTACTACCTCGGTATAAGTACATACTACATAGTACCTTTAGGTAGGTAGGTACTAGGTATACTCTGGGATTACCGGGCCAAAACACATGAAAGATTTACTACGGAGTACATCAGATCACCTTGTCACCTAGCAGGTACATATACTGGGCTGTCTCGACGGAAGCTTACGCCATGCATCTACCTACGGAGTAACTAAGAAATAGTTACCTGCATCTCCGCAGTCATCGTTGCGTCCAGCCCTCAATATGAAACAGGCATGCATCGGTCAGTCCTCACCCCCAGGCAACTGCTGCACCGCAACGCTGCTGCAAGTGCACGAAGATGACCCAAAATCCGTCCCGCTCGAAATCTCGACGCTATTGCATCAATCGTAAGTTATCGGGCGATTTGGATCTGCTGCCACTGTCACTGTCATAAATCATCATATTATCATTCCCTTCGGTTTATCGATCGGCTATCGATTACTTTCAGCGTGTGATGGTTGCTGAACTAGGGCCAGTTTGTCAGCCAACTGCTACGTGTACAGCCCTTGACGGGTCAAACATTGATCAAGATCTCGTCTCTCGCACACCTTCCAGGCGTTTTGCCGTCTCATCTGCCCACCTGATAGCTGAGAGGTGCTCTCTCAGCATCTTGGGTGATTTAGAGCCAATCTAGGGCGGACGATCCGACGATCTCATCTGTCGTAGGCCGTTCTCTGCGGGGTTGTTCTCATCCCAGAGGGTTATGCGACAATCAGTTGGAGAAGTCTCACGGGTCGGCTTGCTCTGATCAAAGTGATGGTGTCTTGGAGGGAGGGTATCATTGAGGGTCACAAATGAGCGTGTCCGGATACATGCCATTGAAGTCTCCTAGACAGATAAGAAGGAGAGCCCGGCGTAGGTCCATATCCACGTCATTATCAGCTGGGATTCACATGCTCGGCTAACTTGCAGTATCGGTCGATCCTTCAGACTGATGGACTGGAGAAGAGGATGGCAGACGTTACATGAACCGGGGTGATTCGTCGATGGCGGTTTCTGCCGCCATTTCTAGGGTAGGGTTTACCTTGGTCAATTTTGACTTGAATTTGGGACCCAGAGGTGTTACCCAGATTCAGACAGGGTATGACGGAGGAAGGCATGTACCATTCGACACCGTGTAGTCGGTTTGATACTTCCTCATTCGATTGTTAAGAGTGTTTGAAGATGACGGACCAATGGAAGAGATGAGAGAGAGCGATAAGATGCCCCTTGGATCTTCATTCCAGGGCGATGGAGGTAAACATGTGGTATACAGTATTACCTATACTCACTGTGTTTTGTACTTACAGACAGGCATTCTTACCGGTCGGAGAATCCCAATTTTCCAATTGGCAATTCTTCAAGTCGCAGATCCACCGGTGCATCGTCATCGTTCTTCCCTCGCCCATCCTTGCCCATCCGACCAGGCCGTTCCCTCGAAGGACGGTGTAGGAACAACTCCGTAGCGACTGATAAAAGAGGCCACCTCCCTGTCCGTCCCAGCCAGTCTGTCACTTCGGCCGCTCAATCACGGCGCTGTTACGAGCCGCGCATGCAGCCAGCATGTCAGATGGAGGGAAAAGCGAATTGTTTGTTGTTCGCCAGGCTTGGGCGTGCGCTAGGCTGACGATCTACCATTTTCGACCCTTAATTGGGCGAACGAAGGAAGACGCTGTGGTGGTCAACCTGAGCGAGCTGCCGACGATGCCCCGCAATTACTTTGTCAGATGATACGGAGTAGTTGACTTGTTATGCGTCGACCGCTCATTGATCTTCTCATGGGCGAATGCCTGTACGGAGTACACAGACTGAGTGTGTACAAATGTTGCAGACCGGGGTTGAGGCGCAAGGATGGCGACTAAAACTGGGCGGATCCACGGATGGCGCTCCCGATTCCAGCCCCTAGAAAGTAGAAATTCCCTTCTCAGGTTTTGACTTTCGGCACTAGATTTTCAAACGGTCGATCATTTCACTCCGGTTACTGGATTCAAATCAGTCTGGGATCCTAGGTCCTCTTTTGGTTTTGCCATCTTGATGCCTAAAACTATCTACGTACAGTACCTGCTTACTTGCCTCCATGTATGCTTGATTTTGCTAAATATAATTCATCTCCGACCAGAGCTAAGAAACAGCTGAACCACCGCACAGGAAATCGTCCGGGCAGGTCCCCTCTCGCACGGGCTAGAAGGGTCTTCCTCGGCCTCCAGACTGGAATTGACTGGACCCGGCAAAGGGCCGGCGTCGCGCCGATGCATTTTTATTATGGAGTCGTGCTCCGTAAAATTCTGAACACCCAAGAATCTCTGGAATGATGCTTCTGGACCTGGTCCTTGTCCCGTGAAATTTCTTATCCGTTAAATTTGCTGCTTTTTGCTAGACCTTTTCGAGACGGCCGACCAACGGTTCATGATGCGCCCACCCACCAGAGCTTTGACGGCCCTGAAGGAACCGTCATATCCCTCTACAGCGGACGGAGTATAGTCTCTAGTCTCTAACAATCTCCGCCCTAATATACACACAGCACGTAGGCCATACGAAATACTCCATAGCATGTACAACACATAACTCGGGAAACCAAGAAGAAACAAAAGAACGTGGTGTGAGTCACAAGAGAAAAACGCAGTCTCACCGTCGCTTCATTAGAAAACCATTACCATTTTCTATTACCCAACGAGAAAGGAGAAACCCGCCTGCAGCCTCCCAAGACTCGGACGAGATCTGCATCGCAGGCGCAACGATTATTGAGGCCCCGGTTGCTCGTCCAATACCGAGCTCTGGCGAGGACCACTTGGCGAGCAAGCTTTTCTTGGCTCTCGGAGGGAAGACCGCCACTGAGTGACTTGAGCGCAGTGATGTTGTTGATGAGATTGGGCTGTCATTGATCGATGGTATCATGCTCATGTACTCAGTGTACACCTACTGAGTAAGTGAGGTGCTATTGTAGTGTTCCTCATTCTACTGGGTTTGGGCATTTTCTCAATCTAGCAGATTGATACAGTGTCGGTTGGAAATGGGAATCGGGATGGGTATATATATCCTTGCTCTATCTCTTAACGGAACCATAGTTTTTCCTACCTTTGTACCCCCCATTGATAAATTCCTAGATACTTCCTGAATTGTATCGAAGAGCTGAAATATACCACGCCAAATATCCATACAAATGATCATTTTTGATTGCTCACAATTCAATACAATTGAATGCAAGGGCACAGTGAGAACCTTACCTACAGTTACATTGCATCGAGGCAGTTGAGGCCGGCGGTTTGATTATCTTAAGTTTCGCGAATATGCCTCCTTGCATACCTGGACAACAATGCAAGGGAGGAAGCGGACAGACAGATTATCTACATGCTACATGACCATCTATGGGACGTATGACCTGAAAGACGTTGCTACTGAGTGATAGGACTTGTCCCGGTGTTGACAGCGCCAGTTCTCATTGTCCCTAGATTCTTGGGGAGGTTGGCCTCGAGAGGCCTATGGGTTTTTTTTGCTTCTCCTTTTTTACTACCATTTTCACGGCGCTAGCTACCAGTCTCGTGGAATCTCGTCTTTTTGTCTAGTCTTTAGGCCCAAATTCGTGATTGGGGTCAATCGCTTTGGAGGTGGTGAATTGTTCACCCGCAAGAAGTACGGGCTTCCCCCTGGGCTTCGGTGAAGGTATGAACATTGCTGAATCCATCTTTCAAGCCTTAATGTTAGCCCACGCTCTGCACCTGCCCCTGCATGGCATGCTTCATATCAGCAGTCTATCATCTTGGTCCAGTTCACGATGCGCAAGTCTAGTTGTCAGATAGAGTAAGATGACAAGGGCACCAAACCATGCTAATACCAGCATAAAGTTGAAGTAAGGAAGGGGAGGTAGAGACTGGAATATTGTAGTATGAAGAGTTGGAAGGTTATACCTTGGACCCCGCAGATGAAATGGTTCCTCTTCTCTCTATTGCCCCCCTGACCCAGTATCCTCAACAGCATCCTCCCTATCCCAACTCTCTACCTCCAGCGTCCGCACCCGATCTTCGATTTCCAATATCCGCTCCCGCCAGGCCTTCTTCGCCTGTTCTTGAAGCTCCCACGTGGACTTAAACTGCTCCATCAAAAACGGCGGCAACGCCGTCTTCCTCCCCAGCTTGTAATCATACGTGACTAGGTCCTCATGCACGCGAGCCGCGGGTCGCTGACGAGATTCGGAAAGAATGATGGCTTGCAGGAAGAACGCATGCTGCGATGAATGAGGCGAGTCCGGGTCATGCGCCAGTTTATGGTACACCGTGACCTTGTCGGGGTAAGTCATGGGCTGGGGACGAGAAGATGAGTAGTTAGTAAGTGACGGTGGAATTTGCGCCGTCCGTCTGATCATGCGGGCAAGTCGGGGGCAAGACAGGTCATACGAATTTATAGTCGATTTTGATACTGCGCAGGATGACGCCGATTCCGCGCGAGCTGACGAGATTCATCCATTCTTTCTTGTGGGCGGGGTCTATGTGCATGGCGTAGTTGCGGGTGAAGTATACCCGTGCTGTTTCGGCGTATCGGACGTAGGTGACGTTGTTTACATGGCCTGGGTTGTGTTAATGGGTCATATTGATCGGAGTTCTGCTGTGGAATTGGAGTTCGGAAGAAGGTGGAGGATGTATGTACCCTATTCGTTGTGTTAGTTCCATCCAATAAACGAAATGCCGGGGACAGTTCTCTCTGCTTCTTACCATTGTATCCTATATCCAACACGGTGTCCCCCATATTAGCGAACATCTTCCAGCAAAAGGGTATACAGCTGAAAACCCTACCATCTCCCCCCACGCGACATTTTGTCTAAACAGCCCCCTCCGCGTCGCATCGGTCAGATAACCCTCACTACCGGCAATCAACTCCCGCCAATCCCTCGCAATCTGCTGTAGTATATCCCCTGCCTCCTGGACCTGCGGCGGCTTCAATCCAAACATCATGCATTTCCCAATCCGTCGCTTGGTCGTGGTCAGCCATCGGGGGTCAATGTCGTGGGGTTTCCGCGGTGTCTTCGGATCAGGGTGACGGGCATCTTGGGCGGTTGGGGAGGTCGACAGGAAGCGGGTGCAGCGAATTGAGCATTGGAAGGGGAGAGCAGCGAGTCGCTGCTTTTGGAGGACGTTCATCGGTTTCATTGTCGTTGTGCGGTGTGCTGATAAGGGGGGGAAGAGTTGGGGTTTGGTCTTTGGGTATTATTCCGTCACTTGTCTACCCCATTGCGCTCCGGCTGCGCGCGCCCAGCCTCGGCCTTGTCTCCGCCGGTTAAACCCCACTCGAGCTCCTCCGCAGGGCGCGGTTGGAGTGTCAACTTGTCAAGATTGTGTGATGAGAGGATGGCGCATTCCAGGAAGAAGAAACACCAGCTGTTTATTAATGTGACAATGTATTTTAGCTTACTGTCTTCCGGTTCCATTAGATGATGCGCAGCGTGGTCAATTCATGCAACTTCCTAGTAACCAAACTATATAAACAAACGCAGCTGTAGAACAATTACCTTCCAAAAAGTGTCCCAAGCACCAATTGGTGATTAACTGTAGTATTTATGTCATATAGAAAAACACCCCAGAAACCGAAAAAGGAACCGTAAAGCACAAACATCAATGAATAAATAAATATATACATGTATACCAGAGGACGGTTGAGTCTCCATTCTTGGCACCAAACAGAGCCCGGTAACCTGGAGCCGTACGAAGACGTCACTCCAGAAAGATCCCCGAGCCAAGTCTCAACCTCTCCTCTCCACTTCCCCAACTACCTCATTTCCTACTTCTCTCCTAGGACGCCCAACGCATGGATCGAAAATGACCAATCTCGAGCTGCGTCGGCAGGTAATTAACATCTACAAAGGTAAGCGTACTGCTTACTATCTTCGTTTGTTTCGCTCGGGTTGCGATTACATGAACCGCCAGGAAGCTGCATCTGGTTTCTCTGGAGCCGAATCGTGAATGGTATCTGATAATAAATGATAGAGCTTCTTTTTCTCGGACGAAATTATCCCCTCGGGTATGAATATTTCAGGGACCGATTGCACCGGGCATTTGCGTCGCAGTCGCATTTGAGTGACGAGGAGCAGATACGGAAGGGAATAGCGAGGGCGGAGTTTGTTAAAAAGGGTGGGTTTGATCCATTCCATCGCCGGATTCTAGCGTATTCTATTATGAAGAGGGGTGCTCAGGGCTAACATCGAATGTTCGAATGTGCTACAGAAGTTGAGGCATTGTAAGTTTTCCCTCCTAGGAGTCACAGGTTGGGTTTGTTTGCTTCGAACATACCCGGTCAATATACACAGACACTTTCAATATTCCAAAGGATCCAATTCTATTATCCATCACGTGCATCATGCAACTGTCTTCCAAAACCATATCATCTCTCTGAGCCAAGATACTAACTGAAGCAACCAGGTATTATTTAAAACGATATCGCACATTGAAGCAGCGCTATGAAAATAAATAGGGCCAGTTATGCTGTTGGGCATCAAGCGTTGACATAAGAAGATATAATAAAGAACAAGGGTTGAAGAATATACATGTGAAAAAAATCCAAAAAGAAGAAGCAGAAGAAAAAAGAATAAAAGTTGGGGTATCACCAATATGAACTGAGCAATGGTCACTGGCCCTGCGTGTGTTTTGCAGTTTGCTTTCCTTTCCCTCGTCCACGCGGAAAATCGAACTCTCGAGCAATGTTCAGGATCCTGTCCGAGCTCTATGGCTTTTCTGTTTTCATTTTCATTTCTTTCGACCCCACCAGGCGCTCACTTCTAGACATTCTCCGTTGGCAAGGCCTCCTTTCTGGAACACATCTGCCATCATGGCGGTCCACCATCGATCCCACTCATCTCGACTCTTCCCGCTGGCTTCCATGAGCATGGGTTCCATGCCCTCGATCATCTGGATCACCGTCAATAGCGCTGTGCGTCGGATGGATAGCTGGTCCGAGGTCAGTTGTTTGCGAGTGCCCTTGCCCTGCCCTTCTCGTTCCCAGCGCAGCTCGCTGAGCGGGATCGCAATGCGACGGCTGTCGATGTTTTCTAAAACGTCGATCTCGGAGTTGAACGATAGGCCGATGGTGGCACAAGGCAGCGCAGTGAGTTTGCGACGGTCGAAGGCCTTCTCCACCCAGGAGTTATAATCCTGCAGAAATTTGTTCTGGGCTTTCGTAAAGGGAGTCGCGGACGAAAAGGTGTATGTCGCGGTCGCATCTGCGATCTCCTGTTCTCTCGACGCCAATTTGCGAGCGGGCGCGGGGTTGGGAAGCAGCGATCGAAACACCCAATCGGAGTCCCAGACTTCTAGGATTCCACCCGATTTGAGGACGCGCAACGGCTCGCTCAAACCGGACGCCTGCTGAGCCGGGCTGGAAGGACACATTCCCGCGTCCTTGATGAAGACGAAATCGAAGTACCCGTCGGGGAAGGGCAGACGGGGCTTGCGTAGGTCATGTCGCTTGAACTGCCAGTTCACACCCTGTTTGCGCAGGTCAGGCGCGACGGACAACAAATCGATTCCGTGGAAGGAGACGTTGCGATTGCCGCGCCGAGCAAAGTAGTCATGACACAGACTGGACCAAAGACCCGAGCCGCAGGCGATTTCCAGAATTCGTTTCGGCGGCCCGTCAGCCGGGTATGGCGTGCAGAAGGGACCGCCAAAGACGCGCATCAGCATCAGGGAGCGCAAAGTCTGGCGGTGCAGTTCCGGAAGGTCGCATGGTAAGGGATATATACTGTCAGGGTCTCGAAGGTAGGTGCGATCGCCCTGACGGATGAGAGGGTAGTTGGAGTAGTCGTGGAGGGAGGTTAGGGATGAGGTGGACGTCGCGGCCCCCCAGGTAGGGGCTGTCGAGCTGGTGGTAGAATGCAGGTCGGAGCCGGAGGTGGCTGCCGGTGCAGCGAACGCCGCGGTACTGGCCGACATCATGTCCATAATCGAAACACAAGCCCCGTGTTCATCGATCAAGTGTTCAAGTGGTTCAACAGGTAGTGGTTGAGACGCATTCTCGTGTTACACGGTATTAAGAAGGGGGTGGAAGGAAAAGAAGAGAAGGGTTTTCGAGGGGTATCGAAGAGCGGACGAGAAAAATTAGATTAATATGAACATTGTAGAGGCATGAACCAAAGAAAACTCAAAAAGAAAGGCCGTAAGATCAAGAAAAGAAAATTAGAGTTGTGGGGAGGGTGGAAGAAGGAAACAAGTTCGTTCTGGACACTTGTGGATGAAAGACTGACCCATGCAGGGAATGGAATGAATGAATGAATGATGGACGAGGGAGGGGGGCAAAAGAATGAAAAAATTAAAAATTAAAAATTGAATATGGTGACAGGAATCGCGGCCAAGTCCCCCCCTAGAGAAAAGAAAACTCCACATGTCGACCTACACTTACTCTGTACCAGTGTACGTCCATTACACCTCGACTTCGGCAACCACGATGTGATCCTGCGGACCAAGCCAACAGTTGCCACGGAATTCAGCCCTGAAAAGTTTACAACCTGGCCTCCGACGCGCTGACGACAGCTTATACTAAGACGCATTTTCTACGGAGCAACTTCTGCATGGTGCATACACCGTACACATATGACTGACGCTACTCCGACGGACTAAGACTGTCTGTTTCACGCCGTACTAGCGGAGAAAACCGAGACTCGAACATACAAGCCTTTATCTGAGGTTGTTTCAGCTACCCTGATCCCTACTCCGTGGTAGGACTATGTAGTATGCACAGTCCTACACTGACGTTTTACCCACACCAAGGGTTGCACCGAATACGACGTGAGCGTGTCTTGATGACCGTACATGGCTACTCCCTAACTGAGATCGGGATTTGAGGACAAAGGCAGTCTTGTTCTTGCCCCCCGGACCGACCAGGAAAATGGCCAACAGCCCCTCGAAGGGCGTTGCCGAAGAGTGGAACCCATTGTCGCGGACGGTTTACCTATTCCGATCGCACTCTCTGCCCAGGATGAAATTTATGGCGACCAAGACCCAACCAACGTTGGCGGCCGGGCAGACTAACGTAGGTACAGACTTTGATAGCGGCCGGGCTATCGTTAACCGGAGACTTTTAGATTGATTCGGAAGTCGTTAGGGGGGAGAACAATTGAACAATGGTCAGTTAGTACGAAGAAGACAATAGAAATAGATTAATTGATTAGCACTACATCATAAAATATAATCTGATCAGAGAATAACTGCCATAAGACGGAGATGCAAGTGCTGACATCATGACAGGCGGCGAGTCTCCTGATCCATGGGAAGCGCCCTGCCTGCAGCCTGCAATCTCAGGAATCCAACCAGTCCTGTTCGGGTGGCGGTCCGCTTTCCGGGCACGTGTTGCCACGGCGCGCTGGTTGGCCTGAGGCCAGGATCACTCGAGATTACGCGATAGATCTATCCATTAGTTATTAGTTATTATTTATTAGTTATTTAGATTATTGTTCGATAGTACGAAACAGGGAGGACATAAATACTAGTTACTAAATACTAATCTCCTTCTCCGTCCACTGGACCCTGAAAGCACCGATCTACCCGTACCGCTACCCCATGGATTCCACGCTCTCTTTTCCGTGGTCGCAAACTAATCTTCTTGGTCTGCCCGTTTGCCCGTTGATGTTCATTCGGATTGACTCGAATGAACGGAGTACCTGGTACGATATACCCAGAACCTTATAGTCAACTTATAGTCAAGAAGTACCGTTTCCTGCCCACTTTCAAAGGGGGGTTGGTATCAATCGGTTTCACCAATACCAATCTGAAGGGACCTTTTTCGGTATCAAATATTAGATATTTATGTTCAGGGTTGCCATTAGCCATCATCATGCCTTAAGGCACCGACTCTTATTTCAATTATGGCTACAGGACTTCATCGTTATGCAGGGACATGCAAGGAGCTTCTGTCCCCTCCCCTAGAGTAGTCTATATGAGTTACGACTAGGGATCCCAGGAGGCATGGTATATAATAGTACGCCCCTGTCAAAGGCACGTCCCACACTAGTTAGCGATTACCTAGATAGGAGGAGGTGACAACTCGTAAGAAAGACCCCTTGATTCCATAATCTCCATCAAGGTGACCTGTGGAGAGGAAGAAAGACGAAAGCGACTGGAGGCCTTCCTTGGCTCTTGTCATCGGCGGCAAATCACGCTGGCGGCTGCCACCTCACGTGACCCATCGACTCCCGCCTTCGATGCAAACCACTTCGCAGCGTCAAGGCGACAAGACCCTCAGCTCCTCCCGTCGTTGGCGTCTCCGCTGCATCTTTGGTCAAGTTTCTCCGTGCGTCCTACTTGTCTCGCCAATTTTACTTTCTCGAGGACCCCCCTTCTAACCTTCGGTGCAGGTCTCTCGCCAGATCGCTATCGCCCGCTGTTGTGACTCGTTCGTCCGACGCCGGCCCCTATCGTTCGACCACCGATCGCCCCTCCGCTCCGGGTATTTGACTGCCACCGAGGTCAATCGAGGCCCATATATCTCCAATTCACTGCGGCCGTGTTATCGGGGAAAGCCTTCAATTCAGGGTGGTTCCGTGTCAGGACCCCATGTTGAAGAGAAGGAGAGAACGCATTCCATCCCCGACTCCTCTCTTCTCGCCTGCCACCACCCCGAGCCCAACGTCGCACTCCTCCGCCGGCTCCGACTCCCCTCCCCAAATCATCGAGTCTCGGTCTCGTCTGCCACGTTAAATGGCAGATGGTACCTACAGGTTCCAGCAGCCTGGGGCCGGGCAGTTCTTCTTCCAAGCGCAACAACCTCACCAACGGCACCTAGTTCGGAACGGAACCAACTCCCCAACTGGGAGACTAAAATTCAACCAAGACGCACCCTCTCCTTCTCGATCTCCCCCTATTGGACAGGCCGCTGCGCTCAACCCCTTCACCATGTACACGCAGACTCACCAAGGGCAGCATGTCATGATGAATGGCAGCCAGGCCCACCAGCGGTTTGGCATGCAGATTCCCAAATTCCAGTCGCAGAGTCACCACCCACATCCCGCTCAGCAAGCCCATCATCACACACACCACAACCAAGCTTCCCATAACATCAACCATCAGCACAACTTCTCCAGCGGGGCTTTGGCTGCCGCTACGCCACATTTTACCCCGGGCCATCTCCAGAACGGGGCCCACGCTAATCTTGACGACGATATCGATGAGCCCATGAACGAACATTGGCAGCAGCAGCTTCAGATGGCCGTAGAGTCCCGACAGGCGAATTCCCCTCACTACTATGCTCGAGCGGTCGCTCAGCAAGCGAAGGGCATTCAGATCGCGCCCAGTCAACCCGAACCCCAGGAGAATGGGACCGACGGACGGAATGGGGTGACCAAGACCAAACCGGCGCCGAGGCAGGGCTGGCATGCCCTCGATTTCGGCGGGCAAGGATTGCGCGCGCTCTCTACGTCTTTGTTCAGTTACACTTTTATGGAGAAGCTGTATCTGGGTCACAACAAATTGAAAGTGCTCCCCCCGGCAATCGGACAGCTACGCAAATTAGAGTACTTGGATTTGTCACACAACGATCTTACCGAGTTACCCGAGGAGATTGGAATGTTGACGAGCCTGAAGAAGCTTCTTTTGTTCGACAACCACATTCGCACGCTCCCTTACGAGATGGGATATCTGTACAGGTTGGATACATTGGGCATCGAAGGTAACCCGTTGAACGACGTGTTAAAGTCTCAAATTGTGAAAGAGGGCACGAAGGCTTTGATTAAGTACCTGAGAGAGGAAATGCCAGGTTCGTACTGCTTATCGACAGATGGTTTCATCCCCCATCTCCATCTCTAATGCTAACGTGGGGCTCTACACAGTTCACCTCCCGCCTCCGGATAGAGACTGGGTGATCCTCGACGAGACCGCCAACTCCCCCAACAATCCCACAGAGAAGATCACTGTTCTTTCTCTCAACGCCCTATGCGATTCCTCCGCAACGCAGTCCCATTTTGGCTATACTCCGTCTCGTGTTCTGTCGTGGGAGTTCAGAAGAGAGCTCATCTTGAGCGAGCTAAGATCGCACGACTCCGACATCGTCTGCTTGCAAGAAGTCGATCAAGGCAGTTACAATGGCTTTTTCAGGGAACAGTTGGCATATAATGATTATAAGGGTGTGTATTGGCCTCGAGGCCGAGCAATGGGTATGCAGGAAGAGGAAGCCAAGTCGGTCGATGGCTGTGCCACGTTCTTCAAGGGAAGCAAATTTATCCTTTTGGATAAACAGATGATCAATTTCGGACAAACCGCCGTTCGGCGACCTGACGCTAAGGGCCAGGATGATATCTACAATCGACTCTGGCAAAAGGATCACATTGCGGTTGTGTTGTTCCTGGAAAACCGACTGACGGGCTCGCGCTTCATCATCGTCAATGCCCATCTTTACTGGGATCCGGCCTTCAAGGATGTCAAACTGATCCAGACGGCCATCTTGATGGAAGAACTCACGAAATTGTCCGACACCTACTCGAAATGGCCCGCATGCACCGACAAAGCTGCCTTCCGATTCTCCGAGGCAGAAGGGGAGGAGGCTGCCACTCCACCGGAACCTGCTCCGTCGGCGGAATACTCCAGCGGCGAACAGATCCCGCTATTCATGTGTGGTGACTTCAACTCTTCCCCTGGCTCTGCTGCGTACAACCTGGTCTCGCATGGAGGACTCCCGGAAGAACACCCGGATCTCGAGAAACGCCTTTATGGAAACCTTAGCAAGATGGGTATGACCCATCCTTTCAAGCTGAAGTCCGCCTACAACTCAATTGGTGAGTTGAGCTTTACGAATTACACGCCCGACTTTAAAGCCATTCTGGATTACATTTGGTATACGTCGAACACGCTTCATGTGTCGGCGCTACTTGGAGAAGTGGACAAGGAGTATCTACGCAGAGTGCCCGGGTTCCCCAACTATCACTTCCCAAGTGACCATATCGCATTGTTTGCGGAGTTTACGGTTAAAGGGAAAAAGGGAAAGGTTGTGGAGGCGGATTTTGGACCGCAACGGAATTGAGGAACTGGAGCATGTCGGAATCTTATGAGACTGGTGTTTGTGTAGCCGGTTTATCTTGTTATCTCGGAATCTTTGGGGGCTTTTCGCGTGTCTGTGGTGTTTTTGCCAAATGCTTTTTCTTGCTGCCTTTTTTTGTTCCTTTTTCTCTATTCATCATTCATCCTTCATCCTTTGTCATTTCTCTTTCTCTTTCTACTGCGCCTTCTTTTTATTTCCTACTCTTGATTTTCTGAGTCTCTTGTTACTGCTGCTGTCGCCAGAGGGTCCGTGTGGAATTCAACCTCAATATTTTCCTTCTTTTCTTTGTCTTTTTCTCTTCTTTTCATTTTTCATTTTTGGAAAGTAGTGCAAATGGCGTGGCAGTCTTCTTCCCGTTTGGCATGTCTTAGGCTATGACTACGCTCTTCTACCTGACCTCGCATTTCTTCAGTTACATGTGTCAATCTTCCTATCTTTACGACTGTTCTGTGTTTCTTTGTTATTATGTCATGCTTGATGTGTTCGGCTTTTGCAGGGTCGGTTGACTGGGGGGGGAAAGAGTACAGTTGGGATGAGAGAGAAGAGTTGATCTATCTTACGTCTTTTGTTCCTCTCTTCGGCGAATGGGGTTCTTCGTCTCGTTGTTTGTCTGTTGGCTTGGTTTATCTAGTCTCGACAGTTCTTTTCGCAGTTCTAGTGAAAGTAGAGTGATGTTTCTTTTCTTCTCTTCTGTTTCTCGTCCTTTGGGAGTTTAGATGCCCTCATGTGTTGAGTAGTAGTATGTAGTACGATCGATTGAGCTCTATCATGTGGTCGCCGCTAGGTATTATGGTATGATATGATATACAAAAGGGGTATGTATGTATACAAAGTGGGGTATCAGAGAGATACTTATATCCAAGCATCAGCGCTTCTGTGTATCCTCAAAGCGTCTCCAGATGCCAACAAAGCCTCCACCCACGATCCGAGCCCCGACTTTCGGCCGGCAGACCAGCACGCCGTCATCACGGGGTGTCTCTTCACGGGGAGGAGTTTGCACGGCGACAGCGTCGGCGTCGTCTGCAGTCCACGACGACGGATCAGCACGGGACTTCTTGACCGCGAAACGCACATCCCATTGCCTGCCGCCGCTGATACCAGCACCCAACTCGACGACCCGGTCCAAGCTGAACGGCAGGTTCTGTTTGCGGATGAGGTCCACGCACTCGCCGATCTGCGTGATGCTGGGCATGAAGACGGCCAGGATGCCGTTGGGTTTCAGGATGGGAGCCACGTGGGGGATGCGCTGATGCGCCGACGGCATGTCGAGGATGGCGTGGGTGAGGAACGGCTCGACGGTCGGTTTGGTCAGGAGAGTCTTCGGGGTCCGTTGTCGGATCTGCTCGGCGATCCAGTTCTCCGCGTGTCCGACGTAGAAATCGACGTTTCCTGCGTACAGTCCGCGTCGGAAGCCGCGGACGGTCTTCTCCGCGCGGGCCGAGAAGCTGGGCGATACATCTACCGTGTGGATCACTGCGCGGCGCTGCGACCGCCAGGCGTCCCATTGTTCTTGGAGAGGGTCGGATGAGGGCGGCGTCGTCTCCTTTTCGGCGGTGTTAGACGTGTCGCTCTTTTGAGATTGTTCGTCCTTCTTGTCCGTCTGGTCTTTCCGTTCGTCGGGCCGTTGGGGACGACCTTGTAGGTATTTGATCTGCGAGCTGGGTGGAATTGCCGGTGGGCATGGGTTGGCGGCCTGGATGGCACGGGAGAGGTGTAATGTCAGAGAGCCATGGCCGGTGCCTGACTCCAGGATCTCCAAGGGCGGTAGATCATCTCCCTCGGCGGGAGGAGCGACGTGGATATCGAGTAGGGAAACGATGAGTTCGGCGTCCGGTCCGTAGATCTACTCGGTATGATGAGCTATGTTGGGCGGCGCAAATCTCGCGGCGGTAAGGATCGCGCTCATACCGGCGTTACTAGACGAGGCGTCAAGGAGACATATTCTTCGAAGGTAGGATGGGTGACTCGGTAATCGGTCCCTGGTACGGCGTGATATCGAATTGTCAGCCTTTTCTATCCCGTTTCAATTCAACAGTCGCCCATCGTTCAGGTGCTAACCTTTATGCGCTTGAACGCGACTGCGCGCTTTCTGCCCGATGATGCTTTCGTGTGGTAGGTATCCGCGAGAGAGGTCGGTTTTATGGTTCTTTTGTAGAGGCTTCGTTAAGATCGGGGTTTTGCCATGAAGGATGACACGGTCGCCCTCTGGTATCACGGATCGGATTAGCATGAAACTCAGTGAAGCTAAAGAGCAAACGAAGAGAATATTACCTCGGAACCGAAAGAAATCTGTGTCTATCGACCGGGCAAACGTCTGAGATGGTCGGGGAGGAGTCAATCCCAAGACCCGACGCAGGGATTGAAGTACACGAGCCATTCAATTGAACTGCGCCTGGCTAGGCGAGAATGGCACGATTGACGAATATGGACAAGTCAAGGATGAGAATTGAAGGTCCCCCAAAAAGATCGAATTAATGATGAATAGTTCCTGACGGAGCTAGTTGGTCCAGAAGAGCCAAGAGGCGCGAAAAAAAAAAAAGAAAAAAGAACCGGCCTTAAAAGACGTGGGCCCATCACAATCTCAATTTCCGTCAGAAATATGGGGAATTCCAACCTTTGCCAGTCTTTAGTGCGCCGCATGGGCCCCAACGTGAGCGACGACAGTCGTTGATTGGCATGACTCGAGCGCATTTGCCTCCGGATTGCCCTGAACCCCTTCGCGGGGCAGTTTGTCCGGTCTTTCGTGCTCAGATCGAAGTCGCATTCCTTGCTTTCCTTTTGATCCTTCTCCCCGCCTTAGAAATCTCAACTTGTCGCTCAACCCGAGAATACGGTATGTTTCTCTTTATCTTTTCCCCGGTCAATTGTTAAACTGTTCCTTGAACTGGCTCTATCTGTCAATTGCCAATTAAAAACATTGAGACAAAGTGGCTGGCCTCGAGGTTGGATGTGATGGCGGTGACGTCGTAAAAAGGTCGCAGATTGCTAACGTTGACTATTCTATACAGTCCCTGCTTAGATCGCCATTCCTAGTCACACTTCGACTTTGCGACCAAATTGCGTGACCATGAGTGATTCTACTCTTCCTTATATGAAGACCAACCCTAAGGTCATCTTCTTCACCGATTTCGACGGGACGATCACACTTGAAGACAGCAATGATTTCTTGGTACTGCGGATGCACCACATCTTCTATGCTCTTTACGCATCGAAAACTGACTGAGCACGTTTCTAGACCGACAACCTTGGATATGGGCAGCAAAAACGCCGACAGGGCAACCTTGATGTTCTGGAGGGTAAACTGAGCTTCCGGTATGCTGAAGCGCATGAAGTGTCTATCGGTTGATCATACACTAATCTCTGAATGCCAGCGATTCTTTTCGCGATATGCTCGACAGCGTCAAGACCCCATTCAACGAGTGCATCGCGACATTGCAGAAGGAGATGAAGCTGGATCCCTACTTCCTTGAGTTCTACAAGTGGTCCAAGGAGAACAACGTGCCTATCGTGGTCCTGTCCTCTGGAATGGTGCCGATCATTCGTGCTCTTTTCGAGGCCTTCCTGGGCGAGGCCCCTGACGACCACCTTCACATCGTGGCCAACACCGTGGAGAGCCGCGACGGCAAGGACATCAACTCCGAAGGTGGCTGGCAGATCAAGTACCACGACGAAAGCCATTTCGGCCATGACAAGTCTCTCGAGATCAAGCCTTACGCTGCACTACCGGACAATGTGCGCCCTACTCTTCTGTATGCCGGAGATGGCGTTTCCGACTTGTCTGCTGCTTCGGAGACCGACCTTCTGTTCGCCAAGAAGGGCAAAGGTGAGATTCTCTCGCGCGAAACATATCGCTATCCTCCCTCGCATCTGCCCGGTGGGCTGACTTCTTTTAGATCTGGTGACTTTCTGCCAACGTCAAGGACAGCCGTACACCGAGTTTGTGAACTGGGAGTCTATTCTTGCCACCACAAAAGACATCCACAGTGGCAAGGTGTCCGTGAAGAAGGCGGCAGACAACTAAATCTGAATCTGTAGATGACCCGGATGGATTTGATAGATAGAGTATATAGACCGAGATAGAAAGAGGGGGGCGATATAGAGTCGAGGTACATACAGTTATTGAATAGACCAAGTCGCCATAGTGCATAGCCCAAAATGGCCCAAGGCCAGTCTAAGCCTGAGGCCGATTCCATGTGACCGCCTTCCCCAATTGGCGACGGGCAACTGGCCAAAATAATGCTGGCCATTCATTTCCCTCGTCGATCTTCCATCTATGCTCTCGATAATGGCCCCTTGAGATGACCTGACGATAGGTCTTCTTCTTGGTGAGCCCCTTGAATACATTTCGCTGTCCGAGTGGACTCCACCATGCTTCAGCGCCCGGTCGCTTTTCATTCCTTTAAAGCTTTCCAGGGGGAACTAGTGCTACTATCATGGCACGTCGACTTGTACGTCCTCCTACCTCTTCCTGACTGGCGCTGTCTCATCCATAACGACATCGGAAGCTAATCGAGACGTACTTCTAGGTTCGCGCGGGCGTGCAGCTCGCTATTTTCGCCGCTTTTGTCCTACTCCTCATCGTAACTCTGGATAATCGATTTCACGTTCTACCGGACTCCATCCATGGACACCTTCCGTCTCACTATGCGGGCTTCGTCGTCACCGACGTGGTCATCGTGACCTGCTCGACTCTCAATGTATTTGGCGGCTGCAAACCAGACTCGCCGACATGGTCGCAAGTCGACAAGGATCTCTATCTGCGCACAGGCTGGACCTCCACTGCCTTTGTGCGATTCGAGCACAAGAAAGAGGAGGATCTGCTTCCTGCCGACAAAGTTGTCATCGACCTGAAGATTGGCCGGCTCGTTCCTGAATCGACCACTGAATCCAAGAACAAGGGCGAGGAGTGGGAGCAAAGGCAAGGTGGTATCTGGCTGAAAAGGACGGCAAAGCGCCATGCAAGCGATTCGCAGTCCGTCATTACTTCGGTCGATGTCCTCTTCGGCGCCGATGCGGTCGATCCGCGACTTGGTTGGGAGGTCAACGGGACTCCGTTACTGCTGGATAGCCGGACGGAGGAGCTGGAGACTCGTATCAGCGTGCGCAGGGGAGACATGCCCAAGACGAAGAGGCCCGTTCCTCGAATCAATGATAATGGCCGATTCAAAATCATGCAGTTGGCCGATCTACATCTCAGTACTGGTCTTGGACACTGCCGAGACCCTGTTCCGGCCGAGCTTGTGCCGGGACAGAAATGCGAAGCCGACACGCGAACGCTCGAGTTCGTGGAAAGACTCCTTGATGAAGAGCAGCCCGATATGGTTGTGATGAGCGGGGATCAGGTAAATGGCGAAACGTCTAAAGACGCACAGAGCGCGCTCTTCAAGGCGGCCAAGCTGCTGGTTGACCGCAAGATTCCATATGCCGCCATCTTCGGCAATCATGACGACGAGGGTAACCTCAAGCGGGCGGCGCTCATGAACATCCTGGAGGACCTTCCGTACTCACTATCATCGGCTGGCCCTGACGAAGTGGACGGAGTCGGCAACTACATAGTCGAAGTCCTTGGTCGCGGAAAGACGGCCCACTCTGCTTTGACTCTCTACCTTCTGGACACTCACTCTTACTCCCCCGACGAGCGACAGTTCCGGGGCTATGACTGGGTGAAGCCCAGCCAGATCCGGTGGTTCAAGAACACCGCTCAGGGGCTCAAGGCCAAACACCATGAGTATACCCATATGCATATGGACGTGGCGTTCATTCATATTCCGCTTCCTGAGTACCGCGAGTCTCAGAATTATTACCGTGGAGATTGGTCGGAGGCGCCGACGGCTCCTGGATTCAATTCGGGGTTGAAGGATGCGCTTGAGGAGGAAGGAATCCTCTTTGTTAGTGCCGGACAGTAAGTCATAGCGCCCTCCACGGTTAATCGAAGATATGTCGGTGGCTAACTTATCGTCTCTAGTGATCATGTCAATGACTACTGCATGCTGAACAAGGACACAAATGAGAAGCCGTCTCTTTGGATGTGCTACGGTGGCGGCTCCGGATTCGGAGGCTACGGAGGCTACGGCGGCTATGTCCGGCGTATCAGATTCTTTGACTTCGACATGAACTCGGGACGAGTCATGACATACAAGCGGCTTGAATATGGCCAAACCGAGGCTAAGATCGACGAGATGATGATCGTCGACGGGGGGATTGTGAAAGGACCCGGGGAGGACAACTAAAATTGCATTCCGTCATCACCCGCTTTCTCAACTCTTGAGTATTTCAAAGGAGAGGGGGGTAGAAAGTCACTATATTTTCATCCACTTACTGTGAGCGAAGGCTCGCTCTCCCGGCACAGATCCTGTGCCCATCTGATGAATATTTAAGATGCTGGCATGGTCACTCGTCAATGACGATCAGTCTTATCATGCGAAGCTCTGTTTCCATTCTTTGGCCGATGTGGTCGTTTGATATCTGTATAGGAAGCCAATGTTGATTTACTAAAAACACGACGTATCTTTTATTATTCAATATCCACCTATCTTACTCTTCTCGTTTCGGAAATTCATGTATCGACACGATATGCACCGGAATATCTCAGCAGTCTTAAGACTAACTACAGTTTACCACCACTTCTCAAAGAACACTCTCTCCTTCCCCGAGCCCATCGAACCCCCTAGAGCATCTACAACACCATCCGTCATGCTAGGCGGACCACAGACATAGCATACTGTATCAGTAGGATTAACTTTCCCGTCTGGACCCGTTAAGCTCCTCTCTGAATCACCATCATTAATCCGCCGCGAATGGATCGTTAGATCTGCCGGAGTCTCCTGCAGCAGGCTATGTTGGTCATCGGACAGGTTGGTGAGGAAGAGATCGAGAGAGATCCGTAGACGATGGGATTGCGAATGGCCGCGGATGATCTGGCGAAGTCGCGAGAGGAAGAGGACCTGGTCGAGACGCGACTCGGAAGATGCTGTCGGTGTATTACCAGTCGATCGGGGCAACCTTGTGGAGTAGAGGAGGCGGATATTGAAGGGGTGCCGAAGAGCTGTGATCTCATCGACGTTGTTGTTTAAGTGGGAAAGAATGGAGATGATGGGGCTGGTTTGCTTTTTAGCTTCTATTCAAGATAGAGGGAAGGGGGAGGAAAATGAAGGACTTACTTGATCCCCACACCACCAGCAACTAGAACGACATTCCGGACCTCTTCGAGGTTAAGACCCGATGGAGGCCACACAAAGCTGCCTCCAACGCGGACGGTCAATTCCTTTCCTTGGATTTCACTGGGGGCCTGCCAGAGCCATGCACTAGCCGGGTTTCCCGGCGCATGCTGGACTGCTAGCTCTACGTAGGGGGCTCTGCCTTGAAGTTCAACGGGGGAGGTCTCTGTCTCGACCTCACTTTCCACCAGAGGCTCAGTCGCTGGCTCTGGGGTTGGTAGAACCCGTGCATCGGCGGGCGTGGAGGTGATGCTGAACCCACCGGCGTGGGCGACAGACGGGATATGAACGTCTAGCCATTGACCGGGAAGGAAGGCGAATGGTTGAGGAAAGGACTAAATTTGAATGTTAGACGATGCATGAATCTATACCGGGGGTAAAAGATAAGATACTTACCTCGGCATCATCCGACTCGGGGGTCTCTAGTACATTTTGAGGAGGGATGGCTAACTGGAATAGTCGAATCGACGGATTGACTTGCTCAATATGAGAGATGTGCACATTGTAGAGTCGGTTCTGGCGGGGTTCAGCAGCAGTGCGCACCAGATGAGGCACCGATGTCTTCTTGCCGCCGGACGAGCTCATCGGGAGTGACGAGAAGGACCGATGTGACGCGATTAAAGAACGGTGGAGTCGGCGGCACTGCAGTAGTTGGGGTCGCATTCAGGATGGAGTATGAGTGATTATACAGTTATGGTGGATGTTGTCAACGACCGGGGGTGGGAAGAGTGGAGGAGCGAAGGAATGACGTCTCCCCGCATTCTCCTCTCTCCCTTTGGTCTTTTCTTCCTCTTCTTCCATCTCTATCAATGACTTCAACCACCATCATATCATATCAATATCCCACCAGATCTGATCTACATCTTGCTCTCGATGGGAAACTCGCGATTGCGTACTTTCGGGATCCAAGCCAACCATGCCAATCCCATGCATGCGCCGTCACAGCAGACCGACTCAGCACAGATGCCAATCTCCACACGGGCGCTTAGGTCGATGACAAGGCCCCGGCCAATCCCACCAGTCCTGGTGCGCCGATGCGTTCTGCTCGACCATGCAGATCACTCTCGCTATCACACGGTCTAGTGTGTGACGGCTACCGGCCATTGCTCACGTTCTGCCGCCCCATTGGCGACAGACCCTCGTCCTCCTTCCGGTGCTGGCGCTTTTCTGACAACAAGCATTGGCCAGATGCACCTCTGGGAAACATTTCGCTCTGTTGCATTCTCGTCGCTTGGGCGTTGCCCCTCTTCTAATCCCTGGCCATGGTCCGTACGGAGCTGATGGCCGTCCCTGCCGGTTGCTGCGGCGCTGCGCTCCATATCTACGGCGCCTGCCCGGCTGATTTTCCAAGAGCTCGTTCTTGGGATTTCTCCCGTCGCGACCTGACTTGCTTGTGCCGTCTGATGCGTGTACTTTGAACGCCCAGCCAGCCGGCCTGGCCATCACCCACAGAATCTGTTCGACTGCATCAGCGAAATTAAGGCGCGGTAGAGCTCAACTGCCCCGGTTTCAGATAACACCGCCAACATGTTCTTCCCTCGGAACTGGCGCAACCACAACCTCTTCTATATCTTGGTGGCCATCGAGTTCCCGATCACCGTGATTATATTGACGTTTGCCGGCATTGCCTCCCATGATCTGTTCCGGACCAAGCTATGGCAGGATGGTGCAGACAATGGCTTCAACAGTGCACCCGATGAGGTTGTCTATGCCGCTGCAAACTACCGGACTTTTAAGATTCCAATGGTCTGGAGTTCATTGTATGTCTATCTCCATTGCTGATGGTTTCAACCAAGGGGATATCGGACGCTGACAGATGATAGTATCACCGACTACAATCTAGTGCTGAGCGTTTTGAGCACCTTCTTCATGATCACAAAGGCCGCCGTCCATGTCCTCCGCATCTGGTATCCTCCGCTGTCAGTCATAGTCCATGCGGGCTTATTCGCACTCTACATCGCGTCTGCGGCGTACCAGGCTGGGAGTGATACATCAGACCCTAAACACCCCCAGCGCGGTCCCCCATGGTACATCACGAAGCAATGCTCCGTGGCCTCCAACCCAGATAATGTGGGGTATTGTCAACAGGCGAAAGTGCTGTTTGCTTTCACTATAATAATAATGTGAGTGGTGCCTCTGAAGCACCGCGAACCTATGTTGTTATTTTCTTCGAACTAAACGTCTCTCCAGTGTCCTGTACTTCGTCGAAATGGTCGTCAGTATCCACTCGTGCATCCCAACAGAAGAGGAGCGAGCAGAGCACGCCGAGCGCCGCGAAGAAAAGAGAACCATGAAGGAATACGAAGACATGGTGCTCAAGTCGCCCATGATTCCCATGACCCCCGCGGCGCCCCCCCCTGAGGCAATGCCAGGGATGCAAGCGTCACCCATGATGACACCACGCAGTCTGGCTTTCAACCGACTCGGCCGCGACTCGTCAGACCTTCCCCTACGGGAGCATTTCAGTTCGCCGAACCCGCGGCGTTCGTTGCACCAGGAGTCGGCGGAGACTCTGACGCCGGGACATCAGGCCCCCGTTCAGACGTATTTCCCGCCGCCGCCCAAAAAGGCGGCCAAGACGTGAGACCAGGGGAACTTCGCTTTGCTTGTCTTGTCGATTATTTCGTGGGGTCTTGATCCAGTGTGACATGTTCTCATTGACAGTCACTGCCTTGTCGGTCGGGCGATCCTCTGATTTTAAATTCTGATCGACGAGTGAGACGTCACGATTCACCAACGTTCAATCTGACCTTCTGTTATATATCCTCCATTTCTCATCCCAACTTGCATTCTGGTCGGCTGGTCTTTATTGTTTTTCTTGATTTCAAATATCCCTGCTGGCACTAGTAGTTTCTAGGATGCAGCGAAAAACCAGGCGACCAGTCATGGTGTTATATTCGTTCCTTTATGATGTGTTCTTTTGACTTTCGTTTAGCTAATGTGCTCGTCTATACCATTTCTGCGCGAAGTATGCCTTCATGACCAAGTAGTTAATATGGCTCTCAATGCACATCTGGTTCGAGATATATCAATATACACAAGTTTTCATAGCCGCAAACAGATTCTCATTTCATGGGAAATTTCATCAGCATCATTTGTCAAACGCGTGTGACAAAAGAAAGTTCTGGGGGAAAAAAGATAGTGGAACAAAGAAAATCCAGGAGAAAGTGTGAGAGAATTAGAAAAAGAAAAGAAGGGAAGAAAGATAGACAAGAATATACGCTAAGGCAAAGCGCCGATCCATGGCAGCTAGACATACATTACAGTGTGCTGTGTACGCGTCAGTGTGCGAGGGAGGGTAGCACGGAGGGAACAAACAATTAGGTCCAGGTGCGAAGTCACATTGAAAGAACAGAAAACAGGAGTTTGGGGTATCGTCGACAACAACAAGATATTTGCAACGCAAGAAATGATGAATCGGCCAGGCACCCGATCCAGCAACAAATGGCAGAAGGGGCAAAGCAAGAGGAGCAGGAAAGGGACTACATCGGGTCTTGACGCTTCTTCTCCTTTTTAGCCCAACGTACTATATGCACGAAGGAATTAGTCTGGGTAGGAAGTCCCTAAAAGTAGGAGCTTTGACTCTGGGGGGGAGCGTTCTTCGACTTACACCCGCACGCGTTACACAGCGTCTTTGGTCCTTCGGGACCCTTTCTCCACTCTGGAGAGTCGGCTGTGCCGCAGTCGGTGCACATATATTCTCCCTTTAGCCGTTTCCTCCGGTCGCCATCTTGCATTTCTTGATCTTCCGAGTCGGACGAGCTGCTGTCCCTGTTGCAGTGGTAGAGACGGCCTTGTCGCAGGCCGGTACTGAGTCCTTGTGATCGTTCGCCGTCTCCATAATACAGACCGGTCATAACCTCGATGCCTTCAATATGAGACATGTCTTCTGTCTGAGGTAGCCGATCCTCGATTTGTTCCAGAAATGAACGTGAATCGGACTCGTCGCCGATGGTGGGCTCGTCGGACGAGTCGTTGGAATCATCACCCGATCCGGTAGCGTCGGCGTCGACGTCGTTGGACTGGGTGACGCTTTGCTGCACAGAGGTGATGAATGTCGAGTGCATTGTATGTGTGGTCGTCGTTGTGGTTCTTTGGTTACCGGTGGCCGCTTGCTGGCCGGCGTTAATGTCGTCTTCCTCTTCCTCCTCCCTCAGTTGCGCGATTTGTTGGTTCAGGCGGATGTTTTCGAGCTTGTGCTCCAGGAACGAATCGAGAGTCTGCGAGCTCTTTGTGGGATAGGGTCGACAGATGAGAAACACGCCATTGCAGGCCTGAGCCAGTTTGCCGTTACTGCTGCCGCTGCCCCTCTTGGGCGTCGCCATATGCGGATGTCCATACGCCTCGAGGACACAGCTGGAATTGTCGCGCTTGTAGAATCGGAAATGACAATGAAATGGCCGGGACTTCGTGATACATTCATCCATTTCGGCCGCGAAGAACGTCCGATCCTCCGTGTGGATGAAACGGGCAATATCTTGCCTGTCCATCTGGGCGAACTCATAGCCGGTGATCCAATGACAGGCAGGCGACGCATATGCAATCCGCCCGTCAGCGCCGAGAAGGAGCAGCATGTCTTTCATCTCGCCCAAAACCCGCTGCGTCCATACCGACTCCGTGGATGCATCGGATGATGGATTGAGATGGGCGTTTTGTGCGCCGAAATTCTCCGGCTGTGATGGTGGAAGATATCGAGGCTCCCTTGACGCGGCCGTTGAGGTCGGCACTGCGGTGGAGGCCATTATAGGAATGGTGGTTGTAAGCGAGGTCATGGCTGTGGTGGTGGAAGTAACAGGAGCAGTAGTAGGAGAACTGGTGGCGGCGGTGGGAACCGTAGTATACGGGCCCTTCACAGCGCCCTGCACCAGCGATAAATGGTTATTGCGTGGCATGATTGTCGACCCTCTGTCGACGGAGGCCGGATTTGAGTCCATGGTGGAAACGGGAGTGGCCAACGAGACAGCAGTCGCGAGGGAGACTGACATCCGGGGCCACTGACAGAGAGAGAGGGAGAGAAAGAGAGCGAGAGCGAGAGGAAAGGAAATGAGAGAGAGCGATAGCCAGACAGCCGGAGACTAGGCTAGCAGCAGCATTTACGAGCCACTTAAGCTGGAATGAGTAGAGCTGTCAATTCCTGTAGTGTACACAGTGTATAACGACCGGGGCCGACCCACCAGACGTGCCAATGAGGAGAGCTGACAGCACGGAATTGGCGTCCAATGGTCGAGATGTATCCGATAGGATGGTGCCTGGTGTCTCGTCCACAAGGGGGGTTGCGCCTTGACCCGTCCATTGCATAAGTGCATAAGATGCAAGTCGGACTGTCGTTGCGACTAATTTAAGACAACTCCCACCGGAAGTGCTTTTTCCCTTTGGCTGTTGCCTCTTTCGCTTGCTGGAGCCCCGTGACCGCCATAGTCACGTGTCCGCGCGCCGCCTTCCCCGCGTCGTTTGGAGTCTCGGACGCGCCGTTGCCTCTCTTCCTTCGGCTGGAGTTGAAGCTGAAGCTGCACGGAAAGAGTCGGGGAAGTCGCCCGTTCGGACATCATGTGAGTCGTCTCTCTTCTTTTTCTTTTCTCTCTCTTCGCACTGCTCTCATGTGAGTTTTCGTCTTTCGTTGACCGCCTAAGCAGGTGTAAGTGCTGCGGATCCAGTCCAGACCCCGAAGTCCGGAATTGGTTCAACTAACTATCATCTCTCAGCGAAGATCGATAAGCTTTCCATTCTCGGGTATGTCGATGCGATCTTCTCTAGTCTTTTCCTTCCCATACATGTATAGAATCTCACTGACTCCGCAACGCTGCCTAGTGTCCGCTCCTTCGACAACACCCGCAGCGAGACCATCCAATTTCACACCCCTCTCACGTTGATCGTCGGTTACAATGGATCGGGTAAAACGGTACGACTCTAACACCTTCGACAGAAAACCCCGTCCGAACTGTGGCTAACGCGAAAGACAGACCATCATCGAATGCCTCAAATATGCCACCACCGGAGACCTCCCGCCGAACAGCAAGGGCGGTGCCTTCATCCATGACCCAAAGCTCTGCGGCGAAAAAGAGGTCTTGGCCCAGGTGAAGATGTCATTCAAAGCCACCTCGGGTGCCAAGATGGTCGCCACGAGAAGTCTGCAACTTACGGTCAAGAAAACCACCCGACAACAAAAGACGCTGGAAGGGCAGTTGTTGATGGTCAAGGATGGCGAGCGAACCGCCATTTCCTCACGTGTGGCAGAATTGGATCAGATCATGCCCCAGTACCTCGGCGTGTCCAAGGCCATCTTGGATTCGGTCATCTTCTGTCACCAAGATGAGAGCTTGTGGCCGATGAGCGAGCCCTCCGTCCTCAAGAAGAAGTTCGACGAGATTTTCGAAGCGATGAAATACACAAAGGCCATCGACAACATCAAAGCTCTGAGGAAGAAGCAGAACGAGGAGCTGGCCAAGTACAAAATCATGGAGCAGCACGCCAAGGAGGACAAAGAGAAGGCCGACAAAGCCGAAAAGAGGTCCATCAAGCTGCAGGACGAAATCGAAGCTCTACGTGACGAGACGCACAAACTCTCGCAAGAAATGCGACGGGTTGCTGACCTCGCCGACAAAGCATGGAAAGAATCCGAGAGCTACTCCCAGGTGCTGGGCGCCCTAGAAGGGAAGCGCATCGAAGCAAAAAGCGTCAAGGCAACAATCGACAGTCTGAAAAGACACCTTGTGGAACTGGATGATTCAGACGAGTGGCTGGAAACGAATCTAGAACAGTTCGAAACACGCCAGATTCAGTATCAACAACAGGAAGAAGCCCAGAAAGAGAACTACATGGAAATCAAGGAGAAAATCGAACACGCCCGGCAAAGGCTGGGAATAAAGCAAGCAGAATGTGGCAAGTTCGAGAACGACAAGGCCAATTTTGAGCGACAGGTTGAGCGGCGGCAAAAGATGACTAGAGAAATCGCTCGAGGAAATAACATTCGGGGGTTCGATAAAGTCGAAGACCAAGCCGATGTTGATGAGTTCATGAAGAAGGCCAGAAAGCTACTAAAGGACCAGAACCAGGCGCTAGACCGGGCCAGACGGGATGCGCAGAGCGAACTTCGCGAGGTGCAAGCCACCCTGAATGATATCGAAAAGCGGAAGTCTGCACTGCAAGAAACCAAAAACGCCGCAAGACGCCAGATTGCTTCAAATGACAAGGACGCAGCATCTTACCAGGCCAAGCTCAACGAAATCAATGTCGACGAGGGCGTTCAAGCTGCACTCGAATCAAATATCGAAGACACCATGTCTCGTTTGGAACAAGCTAAGGAACGCGCAAAGTCTGCCTCCTGGGATCAGGAAATTTCAAATGTGAATTCTGAACTTCGCAACCTCGAGGATGAGAGCTCTCGCCTAAACGCCGAACTAATCGATGCGACTAAGCGGGCTGGTGACTTAGCCCGTTTAGACCATCTCAAGAAGGAGCTGAAGGAACGGGAGCGCAGCTTAAGTACGATGGAGGGCGCCCACGGTGATCGTCTTTCAAAGCTTGTGAGTGCAGACTGGAAATCTGAGACCTTGGAGCAGGACTTCCACAATGCCCTGCAAGGTGAATCAGAGCATGTATCGAAAGCCGAACAGGAACGTGATGCAGTCAGTAGAGAGCTGGAGCAAGTGGAGTACAAATTGAAGAACGTCCAAAAGTCTCTCACTCAGCGGAAAAAGGAACTCAAGGAATGTACCGAAGAGATTCGCAAGGCTATTAATGGCGAACCTGAGGAATATCCTGAAGTCCTTCAGCAGCGACAGGCGCAGCTTGACATTTCAAGGAAAGATGCTGAACAGTTCGCGGGTATCGGCGAATACTTGGCTACGTGTCTTGAGACAGCCAAGCAGGCTAAGGCATGCAGGCTATGTACTCGGGGGTTCAGGAATGATACCGAGCTGCAGTCTTTCAAGAACAAACTAGAGAACCTAGTCAAAAAAGCCAGACGCGACGCTGACGATGAGGAAGTACGCAGTCTGGAGGAGGACGTGAACACCGCTCGTGCAGCTGGCACTTCGTACGATACCTGGTCCCGTTTACAAGATACGGAGATCCCAGAACTGGAGAAGGAAGAAGGGCAGTATCTCAACCAGCGGGACGAGCTCTTGAACCAACTAGAGGATCGTGACAAGGTCGTCAGCGAAAAGACTGAAAAGAAAAGGGACGTCGAAGCTCTTTCCAAGACGGTGAATACCATAGTCAGGTATGAGAGTGAAATCAAGTCGATCCGCTCCCAGATACAGGACCTTACCTCGAAGCAGCAAGACGCTGGCTCTACGCGCACATTAGAAGACATCCAAGACCAATTGGCTTCCATCGGTGAAAAGTCTAGAGCTTCGAAGAAGACCCTGACGAAGCTCACGAATGACCGAGAAAAGACCCGGTCTGAAATCAACAATCTGGAGTTACAATTAAGAGACGTGAAAAGCAACCTTGATAATACGAAATTCCAGCTGGAGAAGAAGGCTGACATTCTCAGTCGTCTGGAGGAGTACAAGAATCTCAATGGTCAGCAGCGCGACGCGATTGCCCAAGCGGACAAAGATATCGAAGACTTAACGCCAGAGCTTCTGAAGGTTCAAGCCAAGTATGACGACATCAGCCAGCGCGCCGAAGATCGAGAGCGGGAGATGCAACAGGCAATCTCCCAATTGTACGAGAGCGTTCATCAGTTGGAGTTGGCAAATGAAGAAATCGATGCTTACAACCAGCGCGGCGGTCCTGATCAGCTGGACCGGAGTACGCGTGAACTTGAGGAAATCGAGGAAGAGACCAATCAACTGGAGGCCGAGCTGGGAGCCATAACCAAAGAGATCAACAAGATTTCTGCTCAACTGAAAGACAGCGAGAGCACCAAACGCCAGTATGCGGACAATTTGACATATCGTCAGGCAACCAGAGCGCTTGATACGGTTCAGGCAGAGATCGAACAGCTCGCAGCCCAGAATGCAGAGGTTGACCGGAGTCATTTCAAAGAGGAGTCAGAGCGTCGCACTCGTGAACACAATGCGATGGCCGCAAAACAAGCCAGCAAAATGGGTGAAATGAAGTCCAAAGACGATCAACTGATGCAGCTGCTGGCAGACTGGAACACCGATTACAAAGATGCTGCTTCCAAATACAAGGAGGCACATATCAAGGTGGAGACCACGAAGGCTGCAGTCGACGATCTGGCCCGGTATGGAGGGGCCTTGGACAAAGCCATTATGAAGTATCACGGCCTGAAGATGGAAGAGATTAACGCCATCATCGGGGAACTGTGGCAGAAGACATACAGAGGAACCGATGTAGACACGATCCTCATCCGCTCGGACAACGAAAACGCGAAGGGCAACCGATCCTACAACTACCGGGTGTGCATGGTCAAGCAGGGTGCGGAGATGGACATGCGAGGGCGCTGCAGTGCCGGTCAGAAGGTGCTGGCGAGTATCATCATTCGTCTGGCCCTCGCCGAGTGCTTTGGTGTCAATTGCGGTCTGATCGCGCTGGACGAGCCCACGACTAATCTTGACCGCGATAATATCCGGTCTCTCGCAGAGTCATTGCACGACATCATCCGCACGCGTCGCCAGCAGGCTAATTTCCAGCTGATTATCATTACGCACGACGAAGACTTCCTTCGACATATGCAGTGCGGCGACTTCAGCGATTACTATTACCGTGTGTCCCGAAATGAGAAGCAAAAATCGATCATCGAAAGGCAGTCCATTGCCGAGGTAAGCTTATTTGTATCCCTAGTCGGATAGGTCTGGAACTTCTTGTATTAACACCCTTTGTCTTCTAGGTTATGTGATTGCTCTAACATTGACTGGGCTCAGCCTCGTCTTTGCTCTATTTCAGTGATTCGCTTGGGATGTTTCCTTCCGATAATGGCAAAATAGGGGAGTTATGATGCAGTGTCTCTTTTTCTGTATATCTATTAAGGCCCTGGGATAACTGTGTAATAATCAAAATACCATCTCGTTTTTCTCTACAGAAATCGTTTCAAAAAGTAAGGGAACCTGTTACTTTCGCTGTCATTGAATACGCAATGTTACCTTTTTAAAACTTCATAAGCGTATGCATTAATAATCGTCTAACCAGATTTTATGGTAAAGATTTTTTATAGCCATTCCACCATCGCCAATGCAATCCCATCTAATTTGAATAAACCACTAGATCCAATTACTCCATTTCGATAGTAGCAGGGGGCTGTTTGTCGTTCATGATCAGCTAAAGGACCTTTTGGGATTCGGAATTGAAAGAGACGTTCAAGCTCACCTTGGAAGAGATATCGTAGAGAACGCGGGAAACTAAAGCACGTCAAATTAGCTTCATTGAACCATGCATGGATCGATGGTATAGACCGCAAGAGACAGAGAAAGAAGAGGAGAGAGGAACGGAGTGGATCATAAAATGAGAGAACATACCGCCGTGCACTTCGTTGATGATCCGAGTAGAGGCGCGGGAAAGGAAATCGTGAGGGAAGGGGTATGCGGTACAGGTCATGACTGTGGTTAGTTGGTTAGTTTGAGCTGCTTGACTGTATGTAGACTGGGAAAATGGCAAAGAAGAAGGAACATACAATCAGTGGTCTGGACGGCTCGGAGGATAACCATTTCGGCGTGGACACGCTTGTCACCCTGTGATGAGAATTAGTATGCTACACAATGTTATCGCAGCGGAGAAAGGGGCCATTTTTACCATCACACCAACGGCCTTGGTGGGATCCAAAGCGGCGTAGGCCTGAGCAATGTTATCGTAGAGGCCAGCCTCGCGGATCATGGAGATGAAGATGTGATCGGCCTGTCTGGCGATCTCGACACGCTCGGGGGTCACTTCGCCGAGGACACTGAATGGGAGTGTTAGAAGTTGATCTGGTAGTCTATGTTTGGACCTAGCTGATGGGCTAGGTCAAGGCTGGTTTGCTTACCGAATGGCAATTCCAGGACCGGGGAAGGCTGTTGTGGGTTACGTTAGTAAAAGCTCCATAGCGAGGTTATGAGACAAGAGTAACAGAGTCACTTACGGTGACGCATGACCAGGTCGTTGTGGATACCCAGTTCACGGCCCAGCTGTCGAACCTCATCCTTGAAAAGCTCACGAAGGGGCTCGATGAGCTTCAGACCAGCACCCTCCTGCATACGGGCCGGAAGGCCTCCAACGTTGTGGTGGGTCTTGATGGTGGCACTGGGGCCCTTGAAAGAAAGACTCTCAATGACATCGGGGTAGAGAGTACCCTGGAGGAACCAGCGGACCTTGGCACCGGTGTGCTCAACGCTGGCCTCAATCTTCGCCGCCTCAGCTTCAAAGACATCGATGAACTTTCCTCCGATGAACTTGCGCTTCTTCTCGGGATCCGTGACACCCTTCAGACCGGCCAAGAAGTCCTTGGAGGCGTCCACGACCGTCAGGTTGATTCCCAGGTGCTTTCCAAGGGTCTCGTAAACTTGCTGGGCCTCGTTCAGACGCAGGCAGCCGTTGTCAACGAGGACGGCGTGGAACCGGTCGCCAATGGCCTCCTTCATGAGCTTGGAGGCAACGGTGGAGTCCACACCTCCACTGACAGCACCGAGGACATGGTCCGTCTCACCGACCAACTCGCGAATACGAGTGATCTCCTGGTCCACAAACTTGTCCATTGTCCAGTTCTGCGTGACGCCGCAGATCTTCGCGGCAAAGTTCTCGAGGAGCTTCACGCCCTCGGTCGTGTGGTTCACCTCAGGGTGGAATTGAACGGCGTAAATGGGCTTGGACTCGTGGGCGATACCAGCGAATTCGGAGTTGGGGGTGGTAGCAATGGTGTGGAATCCCTCGGGGAGGTTGATGAGCTTGTCACCGTGGGACATCCACACGTTCGTCTGGTCCTCAATACCGGCAAAGAGGCGGTCGACATGGCCCTGGTTGTCGAGTCGCTTGGCGGTGAGCACTGCATGGCCATACTCTCTAGCAGTTCCGGCAGCGACGTTGTCCTTGCTCAGACGGTACGCAATCTCCTGCAGTCCATAGCAGATACCGAGGATGGGGACACCGAGCTCGAAGAAGGCGGGGTCAACGTGAGGGGCGCCGTCCTCGTAAACGGAGTAGGGGCCACCGGAAAGGATAATACCCTTGGGCTTCCACGGGAGATCGGCCAATTTCTGAGTGCTGCAACGAGATCGAGGAATTGAGTCAGTGGCGCGGGGTTCCTTGTATTATGACTCAATCGATGAATTGGCACATACCAAGGAAGCATCTCAGAGTAGATGTTGAGCTCTCGCTGGTGGGCCGAGGAGCAGTTAGTAGAGTAAATTGAGAGAACAACGATAGCATCCTAAGTACTGACCAGCCTAGAAGGGTGGGTGTTAGCTGCGCTCATCTGGACCTGAGGAGGGGTAGAAATACCTGCGAGTGATAAGGTGGGTGTACTGACTCCCGAAATCCAGGGTCAGGATGGTGTCGAACTCGGAGTGAGGGGGCTTTTTGGCGTCCATTGTGGCGGGTGTTGCTCTGGGAGGAGATACTTGACGTGTAGAGGGCCTGGGGAGGAGGAGGATGAGGAGCAGACCGAAGAGAGGAAAGTCCAGTTACTCCGTGAAATTTTTCTTATCGTTTTCCGCGGGGGCGCCGATTGATTAGCTGCCCCGTACGCACGTGATGCGGGTGCCGATAAGGGCGGGACTGGAGGCCTCAGGCAGGAACACTTTATTCTTCGGATGTGTGATAAGAATATGGATTATGATGGATGATAGACCAACCATAGTTCACAAGTGACAGGAACATGAAAATAGAAAGACAAATCGCCACCCGCCTCACTCTCAATCCATCGTATCTTCGCCCTCTTCATCCTCCCCGGCTTCCTCATCCAATAACGGGACAAATCGGAAATCCACGAAACTCACGGGAGGTTTCACCGCGCTTCTTGCTTGGCCTGATTCATTCGAGTCGAATTCAATCATGAACTGAAGGCTGAGAACCCCTTGCCGATCCCCTCGGATACTGACTTTGTTGGCAGCAGCCATAGCCCGGGAGGCCTTCTGGATGAGAGGAAACCGATAATCTTGCTTGATGCGAGAACCCATTGACGATGGCGGACTGACGAGAAAGGTCTCGGTGACGGTAGGAGCAAGCTTGGCTCTCGTTGCACGTGCGCGAGAAGAACCGTCATCGGCGAGGACCTTGTGATGTGATTCCTGCGGCGCACCAGTGTTCTGGTCTTGCTGCTCGATGGAGAATTCCACCGACGACTCGCTAAAAGGGCCGCCGTGGCCGGAAAGAGAGAAGAAGGGTTCCTCTTTGGCGGAAGCGGAGATTTTTAGAACCCGCGGGTCGGTGGCCCCCAGTTCGGTGACTGCATTGTGTAACCAAGCCGAGCGCATAATGATCTTCATGATGATGGCCTCTCTTTGAAGAGGAATGTCGACCTCGCTGCCGTCGAGTTCATAAGTTGTCAACTCGCACGTAGTCTTGACTCCGGTCTCGGACAAGGTGATGCTGAGAGGAGAGCCATCGCGGAAGTACTGGAGAGTACAGGAACGATCCAGTAGCAAGGCAGGGGCCGTGAACGCACTCGACGCCGACGGGTTTGGCGGCGCGACGCTGGCTGCCCGGTTGGTTCCGGGGGTGGACGTATCGTTGGCGCCAAATATTTTCAAAGTTTCAAGGAGAGCGGATAGCGAAACAACAAAGCACGGGTAGGACGTAGCGTCCGGGGATTCGTCGTCTTCCTGGGTCTCGTCTCGACTGGCGGGTTGGTTGAATGTATAACTTGTGAAGAGAGCTTTGTCGAGAAAGGCAAGTCCTTGAATCACGCGCGTGTCGTGTGCGGAAAATCGAATCCCATCCGGGGTTATCTGCACGGTGGCTTTTGGCGCGAATCCGATGCATTGGAGCAAGGTATAAAGATGTTGAGTGTTGCTGGAAACAGCAGAAAATATAGGTTCCACGACCGACATGGCCCTGGATGATAAGTCTGTACAATAGAAAAAATTAAAGCAACAAACGCCGAGAAATCAATTATAGAGAGTCTGCAGTACGGGGGCCTGCGAGGTTCTAGTGGTACAGCCCTTGTGTTTCACGTTTAACTCTCCATGTATGGTACATTGAGGTATTTGCGCGTCAATTAAACGTAGACCCCAACGGCACAGATCATATACACGGCTCCAAAGCTGCAGGAGAGCATACGTTAGCTTGAACAGAGCGCGTTGGGGGTGGGTTGTTTGTCATACCCAAATGCTAAGGATGCTGGGATACCGAATGATGCAATGCTCAGAAAGGAGCGATCTAATCAATTAGCAAAGAGAAACGACGAATGCAGCTCAAACGAGAGGCAAACTCACTCAATCCGAAAAGACCAGTCAAGATGAAGGCTACAGCAATTGATCAGCGATGCAGTTCTCTCGGGTACAGGACAGGTCACTATTACCGGAAAGCAGCAGACCGAAGCCAATGGAGAACTGGCTGTCTTTGCCGATGTAGGGCGTGTAGGGGCTTGCAGAAGCTGCCTCCCAAACCTCGTTCAAAGACATGGGGATAATACCGAGGGTATGAATAACTGAAACCAGCAGTTTGGAGAGGTCGAGGTGTCAAGAGAAGGACGGAAGCTCCCAAGAGCTCTCCAGACTAAACGGTTGATCTGGCCCAATTACAGCCGGATCGACGTATCTCCGGTTCCGGCCCCGTATCGGCAATCCGCCAAACGTGGAGATATCGCAGGTCGCGCCATTGACTCGGTCACGCCAGCGATCGAACCCGCTCTTACAGACTTTATACGACATAATGGTGGCAATGGCAACGGACAGTGAGTTCTCTCATTTCCAGAGGAGTCCTTGGTGGCCGTCATCTTCTCGTTTACTGAGCACAGACCTAGGTATCAAGCGGAAAGCATCGGAGGAGGCCCTTTCCCCAGATTCCCAACAACAGAGCAAGAAAGCGCGCACAGATTCCCCGGAAAGGGAGCCAAAGGTATATGACTGATTTCGCGGGAGGTAGACCATGAGAGTATTCTGACGTGAGTTGCTTTGCAGGCTGAGGATGAACCGTTGGGAAAGCCGCCGCTGCGAATCGTCCCTTTTCCCGAGAAGGTAAGCCAAGCCACCTGGGTCCATCCGATGAAGGTGTCACGGCTAACACTGCGTCTGCTTCCAGCCCGCCGTACTTGAGGAGCGTCGAGGAGAGATCGAATTCCGGGTAGTCAATAATGATGGCTCGCGCGACAGTTTCGTCGTCCTCACCGGGTTGAAATGCATCTTCCAAAAACAACTACCGAAAATGCCCAAGGATTACATCGCGCGACTGGTCTACGATCGATCGCATCTGTCCATGGCTATCGTGAAACACCCGTTGGAGGTTGTCGGGTATGTGCGCCCGACGTTGCCGAGCTCGGGGACATGGTCTTACTGATGGGCGTGCAGGGGTATTACGTACCGACCATTCAACGGCCGTCGATTTGCCGAGATTGTATTCTGTGCTATCTCTTCGGATCAGCAGGTTAAGGGATATGGTGCGCATCTAATGTCTCACCTGAAGGTAGGTCGGAATCCGGAATCGTCACTTGTTCCTGCGTCGGAAGAAGCTGACCATGCTGTACAGGATTACGTCAAGGCAACGTCGCCCATCATGCACTTTTTGACCTATGCCGATAACTATGCGATCGGTTATTTCAAGAAGCAGGGATTCACGAAAGAGATAACACTTGATAAATCGATCTGGATGGGGTACATCAAAGATTACGAGGGTGGAACGATCATGCAGTGCACTATGCTTCCCACGATACGATATCTCGAAATTGGCCGAATGCTCCTCAAGCAAAAGGAGGCGGTTCATGCGAAGATCCGCGCCTTCAGCCAGTCATACAAGGTCCACAACCCGCCGAAGGAGTGGAAGAATGGGCCGTGCAAGATCGACCCTCTGAGTATTCCAGCCATCCGAGCGTCCGGATGGTCGCCAGACATGGATGAATTGGCCCGTCAACCACGCCACGGGCCCAACTATAACCAACTTTTACATCTCCTCAACGATATGCAGAACCATAGTGCGGCATGGCCATTCACCCAGCCTGTCAACCGTGATGAAGTCCCGGATTACTACGAAGTCATCAAGGAGCCCATGGATCTGTCCACGATGGAGGAAAAGCACGAAAAGGACATGTATCCGACGCCCCAGGAATTTATCAAGGACGCCTCGTTGATATTTGACAATTGTCGAAAATACAACAACGAGAACACGCCATATGCCAAAAGTGCCAACAAACTGGAGAAGTTCATGTGGCAGCAGATCCGGAATATCCCTGAGTGGTCGGTAAGTGGCTGGTCCTATTTTCTGCGCAATTCTATGACGTGGAAATGGCTAATTGTTGCATAGCATCTGGCGGACGGTCATTGAAGGATGTCCCTATTCAAACTAGGGATGAGTGGTTGTACAGTATTCTTGTGCTTGGAGGAGTCTTTAGAGGCGAGGGAGTTTCATTGGAGCCGGCGTTTTGTACTTTTCTTAGGAATAATGAGTAAATACCCAGGTTGACGCATCACGGAGCGTTGTTTTCGGAATAGTTAGACAGTGTATGACGAAATTCATATGCCATGGAACTTCTTACGCTTGTTCAGGATCCTTCAATCAGATAAGTCGCGACGTTTCCTCTTTGACATCACGGATACTAGCATCCTTGGGTTGGTATCTCTAGCCTAAAATCGTTTTATGAAGGGTTGATGCATTTCATATCTTTACAAACTTCCGAAATACAACAGCTCGATGCCCAACTACACAGTTGAGCAGTTGTGCTGGTCAAGTGTACGTTTCTTACAAACGGGTATGTGCACAATGATACAACTTGCAGGTGATGAGTCTTGTTTATTTAGATGGCCCTTTGTAGAAGAGGAAGAAGAGGAAGAAGAAATTACTTCGTACTAAGCCGAGCAAACAGCAAAACATGAACCAAGAGATTGAGTACGATGTGGTCTAGATTTGTGTCCTTCAGTAACAGTTCAGATTTTCCCTAGCCACATCCCTATCCCGACATCTGGCTGCGCTTAAACGTGTTAATGCTTCTTGATCGCTTCTGCATTTGGAACATGCTACAACGAGCTACTAGTAGCCGGTCCAGACTCTGTGGTTTCACTTGGAGGAGAGAAGGGGTAGGTCGTGCTCGATGCTTAAGGAAATGTAAGCACGGGTTCAGAGTAGCTCAGACATATTACATACCTTCAGTGCCGGGACTTTTACTAAACAGGCAATAGCTATTACCTGGTTGCAGGGCACATGGTGTAATGTTGGTCAAGCTGGGATTCCACGCGAGAAAGTCCTCAAGCGAGACTTCATATGCGGTCATGGCAAAGAAACAGCTGTTGATACGTTCATCAACGGGAAAGACGTAATCTAGCTGAGCTCGTTCAGCAAGGCTGGGGATGTGAAAATGTTCGACATAATCCGTGCAGTTTGCAACGGTTCCAGGAGCAGTGGGAAGAGGAACATGGGTAATGAGTCTTGGAGGTGCTGGGGATGGGAATGTCGAGGTTGTGGTGGTGTAGTGCATTGGAGGTATTGTATAAGGCTGAGAAGTTACTGGATACGACGGGTAGGTTGAGATGTCACCCACCGCCTTAACACAGTAAGCTATGCCCAGCTCGAGGTTTCCGCATGTTGTATTGATTCCAGGATTCAAGAAATAAAAGTCATTGAGGGCAATATTGTGGGCTTCAGCAACGGTGGCACATGCATCACCTTGCTTGACGACATACCATTCCCCGCATGGCAACTTCAACTGGGGAGAGCCATTTGTTGGTCTTGGGACTGGGGTTACGGTGGCCGATGTTGTCGGTGCTCGTGAGGTAGGTGATGGTGCTGGCGTGACCACCGGATTTAGCGATCCACCTGGAGGGCTATTGTACATTATGATATCAGCAGGTGCTATACTTGAGGCTTGCTGGTATTATCACTTACCCAATGCAGATATAGGTGTATTCAAAATATCTGATATTCCCGCACATGGAGTTGATACCGGGGTTCCAGGCCAGTAACTGACTCGCAGTAAGTCCGGGATTAGCAGACAAGATACTTTCACAGGTATCGTCCACTTGTACATAGTACAGCGCACAGGAGGGAGGGAGACAGAATGGTCCAACCGCGTGGAGGTTGGAGCAGGTTTGGCTCAAGCCCCCGGCCACTTGTAATCCATCCGTTGATACATTTTGTGCCAGCGCAATAGAATCACATGTGTCATTAGCCTGGACTTGGTAAGGGTCGGAGCATTCTGGCGTAGTAATGTAAGTGGAGGAGGTCGCAGCAGATGAGGAAAGCGCGTAGGCTGCTGGCGATGTGAAGGGATATCCAGAAGCTTTACACCTTGAGGTAGTGTAGGCAAATCTACTTGCGAACTCCTCGTCATACCCAAAGGGGGAGTTCAGCTGGATTTGCACAACACCCAGCATACAGTCGGAACACTTTTGGGCGTCGGTGAGTGTGCGTTGATCAAGCCATGAGACAAAGATCTCGTCACAGAAATCGTTCGAGTGTCTGTTGCCAATGAGCGATGGTCACCAAGGGCCACGATGGGTTGTGTTAACTGACGAATCCTTCCGACATGACAGCTCGTATGTATATGTAAAACGGTCAATGAAGAATGTAGCTATCGGAAAAGTCAATTGGTCTTCGCGCGGCATCTTGAAACGAAGCAACCCGTATACGCACCAGGCCAATCAATGTCATCAATCGAGATGATGTCGGATTTTGCAGTGCATCCGTCAGCGATCGTTTTGCGGACTTTTGTCAGAGATGCCTCGCAGTCGGGCGTGCACAGCTGGCCGAGCTGATCGGAGTTGAGACGTGGGTTGTCCACAGATCTTGACCAGAGCCAGGATGGACAATTCAACAAAGTGGTATTGAGGGCCTTAGAACAGGAATCACTGATACCCGGATAGTTGGAAGGAGTCTCTAAATCTTCAAAGACCTGAGAAGTAACAAGCTGGCCTGCCACCAGGAGCAGTGAATACAGAGGGAGCTTCATCACCACGTCTTCCACTAATACTGTAAGATTCCTTGTTTAGGAGAGCAAGCCTGAGTGGAAGAATGGGGATTTGCGTGTAGAACTTGAATTTGATCTTAGCAACGACTACCAACTCAGCTTTGTATAGAATGGGTCTGGAAAGATGGTTAAGGGGAAAATCCAAAGCACAACCCGGCAATTTCTTCCAGAGTGGCAAGGTGCGTCTCAGGGTAGACAAAGAGGGGTTTAGTCTAACCTTGCGGTATAAAACCCTAGTACATGGTTGGGTTACATGTACTACTCTGCGTGCCAACAGCGCGCAAGGTCCAGGAACTCATGACTCCCTACGGTGTAGATAAACAAAAAGACTCGCCATTCAGAGATCTCTGGCCCTGAGAACGATGTCCCATGCCAAACATTTGTCAGAATCCCGTCGTACCAATTACCCAGTATATAGTTCATTCGGTCTTGTACTACATAGCCTCTGAGGGTGTAACAATCGTGTTTCACTGCATCTTGATTTTGAATGGTGTGTATTCACTTGCAGTACTACCTTTTGGTTCTCACAACAGATGACGTTGCCTACCAGTAGGGGAAACAGGTGCAAATCTTCTGGCTGGTTATCCACAGAGGCAAGATATCAGCCCAGTGGTCATGCTATTCACGGATGATGCTCTCAACAGATATGCTTCCAGCCCCAAAAAGGCCCGTGCAAAGGATTAATCTCAGATTTTCACAGTATCAGTCAGTGGGCTGATAGCAGAGCAGAATATTCATAATATTCTTATGTCTTCTAGAAACTAGGATCTAGATACAAAAGAAAAGTGAAAGCCACGTGTGCACTAATCTTGCAGCACCCTGGCCCTATCATGTAACTTGTCAAGGATTCAATAGTAGGAAAGTCGTAGTTTCCCAAACTGCAGGTTTTTGTTCCCACCACAACATCCATGCATCAACACAGCCATGGGTCACTTTTGGAGTCGGACACTCTGAAACCCCAAATCTCGGCTCATTCTCGGCCATGTTGTACTTGATGTCGGCTGGACAGGACCAAGGATGCATTAAACGACTCCGGGTATACCGCGCAACAATCATACTACTTTCCATGCAGTTCCCCGGTGATTTATGTCTCATCGATTGGGGCCCCCGATCTTTGAGGGCTTTTGGATCATGTGAAGCCTCGCTGGTAAGGGTAACTACAGTGTACGTGCTAGTAGTCCGGTGCTATAAGAATGCACTGGTTCTATCGCCCACTGCAAAGTGCGAATACATCTCTCTGATATCTGTGTTATTTCACTCTTCTCAATCACGCCAGAATGCACACCTTGAGCAGGTTGTCGAGTTTCGGGGCTGTGCTCAGCCTTGTTGTTCTACTGTCCTTTGGCCGATTCTCTGGCCATATTCCAACAGCTACTTCTGTGTTTACTCCGCATGAGTCGGTCTTTGGTGTATATAGGCGGGATACATCCCCTGAAGGCGCTCGCCTCTTTCCTCGGGATGATAACACCTGTGGTCCGGGTCGTCCATGTAAAAACAGCGCATGCTGTGGCGCCAGTGGTTATTGCGGCTATGGAGACACGTACTGTGGTGATGGCTGTTCCTCCAATTGCAACGCCACTGCAGAGTGCGGAAAATACGCAAAGCCAGCTGGAAAGACTTGTCCACTTCGCACCTGCTGCAGCGAGTTTGGTTTCTGTGGGACAACCAAGGTTCGTAGCAACACAACAATAGACTATCCTTTCCTGATTGACAACAATGACAGGACTTTTGCACCGGAAAATGTCAATCGAATTGCAATTTGCATCCCAAGGCTCCTGGTGGCTCACCGAAGAACAAAGCACTCAGCAAAGGTACGCTATATTCCTTCCTCTGCAGATCATCCAGCTCACATTAGCAACAGTCATTGGATACTATGAATCTTGGAGTGACCGGCTTGCGTGCCATCAAACAGCGCCTAGCGATCTTCCACTTAGCGAGATGACCCATCTCAACTATGCCTTTGCGTACATTGACCCAGCCACATATGAACTGGTGACAATGGACTCCCAGACACCAGAACGGCTCTTCGAGCTTGCTGTGGAGACAAAAAACTACAATCCGGCATTAAAGGTCTGGGTTAGTGTTGGTGGCTGGACGTTCTCGGACAACCACACTGCGACACAGCCAGTCTTTGGCGACATTGCGTCTAGTGCTCAGAAGCGACAGAAGTTTGCTGACAACGTTGCTCGTTTCTTGTCACACTATGGATTTGATGGGTAAGTTTTCTCTGCTATTCGTGTATGAGAAATATCATGTAATCTAACAGCTCCACAGACTCGATATCGACTGGGAGTATCCTGGAGCACCGGATCGCGGTGGGAAGGCTGAAGATACTGATAACTTCGTGGAACTTATGACGACGCTTCGCTCCACGTTCAACAAGTATACGAGAGAGTTAGGTCTCAGTTTTACTATACCTGCATCTTACTGGTACCTCCGGTGGTTCGACCTACCGGGTATGATGAAATATGCAGACTGGACAAATATGATGACTTATGATATTCATGGTGCCTGGTGGGTAACAATCAAACACTTCTGCCATGGGACCGGTACTAATGGGTGTCATAGGGATCGGGATAATCCCATCGGAAGTATAGTCCAGGGGCATACCAATTTGACTGAGATCAAGCAGGCTGCTGAACTCCTGTGGCGCGTCGGGATCAAGCCCGAAAAAGTAGTCATGGGGTTTGGCTTCTATGGGAGATCCTTCCAGCTTCAAGACCCGTCATGTACCAACCCTGGATGCCAATTTCATGGAGACGCAACACCTGGCCCGTGCTCGAAAACAAGTGGGATCTTGATGTACTACGAGATCCAGGCCATGTTAAGCCAAGCACCCGGTCTCAAACCGACATACGATAAGGATGCGGCAGTAACTATGTCGTATTTGACAAAAACCAGTGGGTTTCGTTTGACGGCGCGGAGGCCTTCAAGCAGAAGCTTGAATGGGCAAACGAAATCGGCATGGGTGGCTCACTAATCTGGGCGTCTGATACGGATGATGACCAGTACAGTGCCATGAGTGGGTTTATGGGGAAAAAGGTCTCTCATCCAGACCTGGCTCAGAAAGCACTGTCACAAACCCCATTCACAATTGTGGAAGATCTTGTGGGTGAAAATGGACAAGACTGCAAACTTGGCAAGGAATGTGTGGATCCTAATATCGTTAAGTGTGGGCGTGGTCAGCGCACACTTGGATGGGACAAGGCAGGCTGCAAGGTACGCACGGCTATTATTCGAGTTGACTCCGCCGCAATACTAATAAGATCAGTCTGGCGGAAAGCTCATCTGCTGCCCCACGGCATCCTCGCCTCGATCCTGCACTTGTGCGTATAACCCGCTTTAACCGCAAAATTGATATTGACATACCCGCAGGGCGCGGAGGAACTGGAGACTGCAATGGACAATGTCATCCTGGTGAAGCTACGCTGTTCTGGTCATCATGGTAGGCGCTATACCCAGTCGTAGTAGATTTCTTCTGACTCTGATTTACAGGGGTGGTGGCTTCGAAGCCCAAAGCGACACCACCCGATGCTCTCGTGGAGCCAAGGTTTTCTGCTGTGAAGCTGGGAACTGGAAGAAAGCCACCGAGGGCTGTTACTGGACCCATTGGTACGATCGTTCTCTGATGTTTTTGGTCAGTCGAGTCACTAATGCCAAGGTAGCATAAATGACAACTGCAAGAAAGGCGAAACGCAGGTCTCGCAAACAAAGGATGGATGTGTTTTGGGTTCAAGTGAGCCTCTTCTTTGAGTTTGAAAATCCCAGCGTGAGACCACGGACAATGCTGACACCAGGCTGAGGTCAATACTGTTGCCCGTCCGACACTCCCATTCATGACTGCGTGTGGAGAGGAAGTAGATATGATTGCCCCGACGCAAAGTGCACGCCAGAAGAAGTTGCAATTCGAAATGACGATAGGGGGGATAGTTCCTGGAGTTGTTCCTGTGCGTGCACGTCCCTCACTTCCATATTGCATGCTGAAGCTAACATGCCACACAGGGAGGCGAAAGAAAACCAACTGCTGCAAGGTCACCAAGGCTGTTCCGCCACCTCTCAGATGTCATGTAACCACGTGCGATCTTGATCCTGGTTTCTGCCAGATAGCAGAAGATGGTGGAGACACACTCTCGACTCGTGATCTACACACCTTTGAAGAGCGAGGGCCCAAGAGACAATATAACGTCCATCTGTTCGGAGTGGGTCCAACATACCCGATTTTGAGCTCATTCTCTCGACCTTATATAGACAGAAGCAGGTATATGAGGCTCCTTCGGAGTAACCTGCAAGGTTTATCGAACAGGTGGTGGCGCGTTACTTCCGACAGATGTGCACGTCCAGATCTGCGAGGAAGAGACATTCCTCTAGGTGACCAAGCTCCCAATGGGACTATCATTGAGCATCCACTACACGTATGAGCCCGATTACCCAGCCTAGCTTGCTCTGCTAATGAACCAATAGTTAGGGCTTATCCCGCGGTTCATCGCGACGGCGAATTGGGGTAGACTCCCTTCTGGATATCCTGTAACCAGAAGCAATCTTGGAATCCCTACGGGTCCAATAACTCGTACACCTGGCATCCCGAACGAATTTTGGCAACAAGTTTGGAATAACGCACAGGCATTGCCAGCCGACCTGCCGCGCGTAGCAGACAACTCTCCGGACCTTCGTGAGCCATCGCAACGTATTTTTGAACGAATGGGATCCCTCACAAACCCCAGTCATTTCCTCCTGCTTCAAAGATCCGTCAATGCAGTCAAAGGTAATTTGGAAAATTTCAGACGCCCTATGGCTGAGCCGGTACTCCATGAACACATTCAGAATGCCCTACGGGGTCAGGAGGAAGCGGTTGAGAGTTTCATGGCACCCCTTCGCGAGGTTAGATGACCCTTGCTTTGTATACTTACATGGACTGCAATTACTGACTTTGGCTCTTGTCCCAGTCAATCGCTACGTTCCAATATCTGCGATCCGATGCTGTTGTGGATCGCATTGACGCCATTGCTTCGGGCGTTTACCGGGATATCCCTTCTACATGACAGAGGTCTCCGCACACACACGGGAATACATTTGGTCCTCCATCCGAGTGATTCAAGAGCAATTGAGTCTTCTGATAGTCCATTTCGTGAACGTGTACTCCGAGAGTTGGAAGACATTGATAATCAGGTCCACATCTGTCGATATACGTTCGAGGACCTGAATCTGGATTCGGATTGGTAACTTTTCACCAAGATCTTACTCGTGTCTTCTGATTTGTCGTCTTACGCCAAACAAATTTCTTTTCTCTCTTGCTGTCCTGCTCGTGATATCTATATGATAGATAACAGAGAGCTACCATTCAATTTGAGCGAACCCGAACCCTTCCTATGTACATCTACCAAGTAACGATAGCCGGTGGACGCTGGTAGAAGATATACCATGATTCGTATTCGAACCCGTCAATGCCATCGTACCATTCCATGCTTATATCTGCTGCGTCCAACTTCATCCAGCCAACGTTTTCTTCAATGCAGCCTTCAATAGGTGCATCATACTCCCCTGGTTCATCAGGCCAGGGGTTCTCATCATCTTCGAGCCCAAGCTCAGACAATGTTTTCCAGTATCCGTCCACAAAGTTCACGTAGCCTTCCAAATACTCCTCCGGCGGGTAACGACCTTCGTAGACAATACTGCGCAACGAAGCCTCGTCAATTTGAAAAAAGTATCGATATCGCACGAGGGGCATGGGTCCACCGAACTCAGCCGAAGTCCTCGGGTTCTCCGACGCAAAAGCGCCAGGCACCCATTTTTGAAAGTACGCGCGAAGCTGAGCTTTCGATGCTCCCTCGAATGCTTCTTGATCTTCCAGGAATGTCAATGCAAGGCTTTTCTCGAGTTCTGGCGTCTTTCTCCATGCGAGTTCGTCTTGCATTTCTCGGATCACGCCTCGCTTGAACCGAGTCCATGCTTCTTCGTCGTTGTATGTGCAGCGATAGAACACCCAGCCCCATGTGTCTAGTTTTTCGTTTTCGAGCAGTCCTTTGATGTTATCGACTGGTGAATGCATTCTGTAATTGGTTGATGTTTCGAAGAAGCGATGCTCGGGTGGTTGAAATAATCCAACCCTGCTTTGGAGTTGAACTGCTGATGCGGTAGGGAAGATTTTCAGAGGAGAACAAAGGGATGGGCGAAAGAGTTGGAGTCCCAGAGGACCCAGAAAGCGTAAAGCCCTCATGCTAATAGATGAGGTTTGATGGCAGGTAGGTTTGGTGCCTGAAGGAGTTATACGAAAGATAGGGGTAGAAGACAAGGAGGGGTGGGCTCATTTATAAACCTAAACCTTGGTTCATTGTTTACCATCTGGGGTGGTTCGAGCCACTATCATCGCTGCTTGGTGCCTGCTTGTTGCTACGGGCCTTTTTGGTTCATTAAATAGGTGAAACTACTACACTGTACGTAATTGTACTACCTACTGCGGAGTACCAGCTTTTATTTTAGTTCCCAATAGTCATCTACAGTGTATAGAGTATCGGCTATTTAGGTTTTCTTCCGTTCAGGTCTTCCCGTGCTAGGAAGTGTACTTCTTTGTACTCCGTCATTATAATATCATAGTGTAGTATACCCGTTATGCTATCAGCCATTAAGCGAGAATTAGAAAAACATCTTTTACATGGACTGTAGCATATCCTTCCTATTATATACTAGGACATGTTGTTACTATAGAAATCACAATACTCCTCTCAGTATTGATATGTCCATACTACGAGCATCTTCTCGAACATAGATATATGCATTCCGCCCAGGCTTCAGCATACTATGTCATACCGTAGGAGGTTAGTCCAGAAACATAGGCAACCTATAGTTCCAGTTATTTATCATGGCAAGCTACTATCCAAACAATGATAACCACCAAGACCATGAACGCAGCCTGAGGCAATGAAGAAGTGGCTCCTACCAAGATGAAATACTAGCTCACAAGGACTACCAAGACCTGTCAAGGACCTATCGAATCCCTCTTTTGATCGTAGTCTAAAATAGGGAGTGTCGAGATGGCGAGACAGCAAGGTGAATTACTGGTTCGTTGGTCAGTTCTACACCGTTGAATGTTCCAAATTCAACATCATCCATTTGATATCGCTAATATTCCGTAGTTTTGTTTTGTTTGCAAACTTCGAATGACGTACGATGTAGATCTCGGTCACTGTACGTGTTATGTTTTTTCTTTCATTCATGTCGTCACTGTGGAGGTAGGTACATATACCCCCCTGAGAAATGCTGGATGCTGGTCAACCCCATTCAAGGACCCTCCCCAGCCAATTCGAACTGCCGAGATGTGACCAGTCTGATATTGAGACATCCCTTGCAAAGTGTCGAGAACGTGGACAAGGACGATCATCGACTAGCTTCACTTGCCGTCGTGGGGCGTTCATTTCGGATCAACGTTGAGGCGGGCCGTTTTGGCTGCAGAAAAAGCGTCCAGGCCAGCAGGAAACGAGACCATCGCCGGGAGAAGGAGGCTTTGCCTTATTCTTCTCTGCAGGTTGGCTGGCTTGCATTCCTCCCCCTCCTCCTCCTTTCTTTCTCTCTCTCTCTCTCTCTCTCTCCTTCATGGGTTGTGCTGGGGTTCTTTGATCTCAGCTGCTGTCGGGTGGCTGTCCGTTGTTTACTCCTCCAGTCCGACTTCCTCTTAGTCGACTTTGTCCTGCCCCAGGGGTTCCTGTTATTTTGGACAGGCTCCAGTTTATTTATTAACGATCTATTTTTGAGCTTTCGCCGCGTTCTCGCCCAACCACTACTACGCCCAACTCTTCTAGTCGGTCTTTACTCTTTCTCTCTCGCCTACGTCGGTCGCAAGTGTCTTCAATAATCGACGAATCGAAAGTCCTTGTCTACACCGTATACGCTCGTTTCCCGTCGTCGCCTCAGAACTCGACATTCATTCATTAATTCCCCTTTTTCTTGGCCCTTCGTTTCATTCACCTTTTTTTCTTCTCGCTTCTCGCCCTGAAAGCGTTACCCCCGACTCCAACTCCGACTTCTAATTAGATTTCCGACAATTCATTCGCAATGGCTTCCCCTTCTCTGACGGACCTGGAGCAGCGGAATCGCCTACCCACCCTGTTCGAGGTCCTGAGCCGCCGGACGCTCGCTCCGGTCGATCTCTTTTCGTTCTATATTTACATGCGGGACCAGAAGCGCTCGGTCGACTACTTGGATTTCTGGTCAGTCCTTGAATTGCATGGAATCTCTTGCGGTCGCATCTCACCACTAACCCTAACTCTCTTCTAGGCTGGATGTTTCGCAGCATATGTCATTATGTCGTCACTATGTCCGTGAATTGCGTCGATCCGTGTTAGTCGCTACGCCCGATCTCGAAAAGGCAGATAGCAAAGGCTCGTCGGCTGCTTTGGAAACATTGGAGAGCTTTGGTGATATTCCGCTCGTGGAAGCCGGGCCGTCTGGCATGCGCCGTGGTCATCAGGATTCGGACGATAGAGATACGAGTCAAAGGTTGTCGGCATTCCTTCGCTCAGACGGTCACACTTCCGGTCACTCCCCCCAAAGCAGTCTTGGATCGCAGAATGCTGCTCGTACGCCGTCGAACGAAGGTCAGCCCCGCGCCAGCTCCGCCACTCGCAACGACTCGATTTCGCCCGGACACACGGTAGCTCGTGCCGACATTCGCGCAAGTGCAGAGAAGGTTCTGTACACGTACTTGCTCCCCGGAGCGGAGAGAGAGATTGTTCTACCCGAAGATATGGTATCCACGATCATCAATCTAGTCGAAGACGACGGTCGAGACGATCCGGAGGTTTTTGATCCTGCCAAGGACTATGTATTCCAGGCAATGGAACGCGACGCATTTCCAGGGTTTTTGCAGGCAAAGGCCCTTGGTAACCTGGTACCGCTCACCATCATTGCTCGTTTGGCCTTCGCTCTCATTAGCTTCGGCGGAGGCTTCTGGGGCGCTTTCTACGTCGTACTTCGTAATAAGCCACGACACACCCGTTGTTGGGTAGGTTAACTTGGTCCCTCGAGTTCATGCGCACTTTTACTGACGGAATTACAGCTGATTCTTCCATTCGCCGTTGCCGCCTATTTCATTGTATCCTACCAGTACAAGCTCGACCCGGTAATGGCAATGCTCGGATACAGCGAATACACGTTCATGAATTGGTCTCCGATTCGCGAGCCCTACGTGCGGAAACTGTTGAACAAACGAGCGACCGCAACGATATTCATAGCGTTTTTTGTCGCGGCCGCATTGAGTGTTCTATTCATTTTCGTTCCGGGTACTATGCTTTAAGCTCCGTTCGTGTGCTGCATATACCCCTTCTTGAAACTCGGATATAACCGTGACCTCCCTTTCTAATTCTTTTCCAGGCATGTAATCTATTCTCTATATTGCATGCCCGTGTTTCTTGTTCTTCCGACCGAGGCTTTGCTTTGCATTCTGCTTTGTTTGAGACTCAACAGCATGGCTTGACGCACGGAGGAACCGAGTATTGTCTTTGCTTTAGCGAGCAGTTAATTTTGCACTAAGCGACTTTGCATTGCAATATTTCAAATCTTTTCCTAACGCGAACATGCGTGTCCTATATAATCAGGCATGTCTTTTGCAACTCTCGTGATCCAACTTATGACAGGTACATTCAGTCCAGTTCCCTGGCAGTTTCTCTTTTCTCACCCCGCGGGCTTGTCAATCTTGGATCTTTTTGTTGTCATTTGTTCACTTCTCTTCTTGACAATACCCCCCTTTGGCCGCTCAACTTGCGTGTATGTTAAATGACATTTTCTTTCCCCCTCTTTGGCGGGCTCGTTTGTTTTGGTGTTATGGAAATCGTGTTTACCATAATTTTATATTGAACTTTCACAATTATATATTGCATCGATCACAACTCTAACTGTAATCTACTATGCTGCAACTGCATATCATTGGGATGCAACAACTTCGCAAGCTTCACTCTGATAAAAATTCAGTCTCTGGGTGGCCGTCCCGTTGTTTCGACCTTCCTGTTCAAGGGTAAAGTCTCCGAGACTCCCCATGGTCCTCTCGCATCCGAAGATGCTCTCTGGAATAATATGGGCCGTGGATTGAAAGAGACGATTTCCGAGGCTGTACGAATACACCTTCGACGTTGCATGCCTTCCACTACGCCTTCCACTTGACCTCACTAATGTGAGTATCATGGTTGAGAACGGCTCTCTTACCGGCATCATCGATTGGGAAATGTCTGGATATATTGCAGCGTGGCAGGAATATGTGTGTACCTCGGTTGCTGAGCTCTGGGCAGTGAAAGGGCTATGAAGTTCCTGGAAAGCAAGAAGTGAGGCCTGTTAGTGCTCGGTAACTTTCATAGTGCTAGGCCGCTGAGCAGCGCATCTCTTGCAATTGTCTTTTTAGTTAGGGTTATTGTGGCGCTTTTGTCTGTGACTCTGTACTCCGCATGTCTCGGTGCAATAGCAAATGTACCCAACGGCGTTTACAGCAAATTTCACCTGAGATCTCGCAATGACTTCAGATATTAGTAGGTAGCTGGCCTACAATAGCTAGCTACTCTTGAACCCCTAATTGAACACACAAAAAGAGTTGTGATTTAAGGTAAGATAAAAGTTGGTTACATTAGCCATGCTTCGTTATGCTAGAACCGTAGCCAGGGACCCTGGCAAACTACGAGCCCTAAGTTTCAAACATCAAGAACAAATAAAAAGGGCCACCGTTTTATGACTTCTTGCCCAGCACTCGCTTGACATGACGAGACCAACCACCTCCGGGTCCAGCCCGCGAGGATCCCAAGCCCTCATCGATATCCATCCTTGAGCCGGGATGCGCCTCAACACCGCCTTCCAACCCATTGTCCCAATATCCATCGTCGTCATCGAGGTCATCCGCGCTGTACTCCCGCTTACTACCGCTATAGCCCCCCGGCCCGCCTCTCACTTTCTTGGAGCCAGGAAGCCGAGCGGCCTCGAAGCCAGCCAAGTCGGCGCTGATAGCGGGCCAGTTAGCCAGGGTCTTTTCGAACAGCTCGTTGTCGTCGCGTTCCTTGGCGCGGCGCTTCGCCGAGTTGGTCCGGATCTTGGTGATTTCCGCCTCGATGTCGGTGATCACGTCGCCGCAGCGGGTTTCCCAGTCTGTCAGGAAGGAGATCATGGATGGTAGGGACTGCGGTTTCACGTCCCGCAGGGGAGCCACGGCAGTGACGTTGACGGACGGCGGGCTGGTGGCGGGGGAGAGACGGGCGGTGATGAGCGAGGCGTAGATGGCGGCGGTGACGAGGGACTCGAGATCGGCGGCGGCCGAGATGGATAGCGAGTCCATGAGCGTGTCGTAGGTGAGGGGTTTGATGGATGCGGAGAGGGACAGGAGGGAAAGCAGGCGGAGCTTCAGGGCTTGTTCATCCGATAACGGGGGGAGATTTGGCGTCGCTGGAGAGCGGAAGGAGAAGACGTTAGTTTCAACGATTGTTTCTAGGCTGGCTAGGCGATGGACTGGATATAGGATGCTCACTTTGATATTCTTGCCATGTACCCCACGCAAAGATCTCGAGAAGGGTCAGGTACCCGTGAAACTCTTCGGGAACATCCTGGGATCGAAGGCCCTGCACTGCGGGAGTCTCTAATAGCTCGGCGAAGACGTAGGTGTTAGGACTGGAGGTGGCATTTGTGATAAGATTGGCGACGAATCGAGGTGACGAGGCGCTGTTGGAGTTGGCGAGATGGATGAAAGGTTGAAGGGCCTCTATAGCCCGAGTATGTACCTGATCCATTTTGGAGGGGAGGAAAACCGGATTTGGCGATGGGATGGGATGATGTTAAAGCTTGACAAGCTTTGTGGATACTGTAGCAATGGATTACTGGGGATGGAGGGCCGGTGTTTGGTTCATGCTGTTGAAATGATAACAAGAACTAAAGTAACCGGTCGCAATGACATCTGCCTCGCACGGGGACTGTTTGCCTGAGATGCAAACCACGGCCATTCCGCCGCACGTGACCGTAGACCGGAGCGGCGATTAGGTAATAAAGGGAGCATCGTCGTTTTACATTGCGACACGTCCGACCAAGAGATGAGGAACCTCATTCTAGTTGAAACATGTCAACCCAGACCCAGCCAATCCTCGGGACCCTCGCTCATTTCATTTTCTTCCAGAACGCTGCACTAACCGAGGGGCCAGGGCCCTTTCTGCAACTCTTGCTGAGACAAGTACCTCCGCGGTACACCGTAAAGGACCTCAATAGCAAAGGAACAAAGAAATACCTCAATGAATAACTGCAGGTCACAGGACCGCCGTAGTCCGTAAGCAAGGGAAGAAATCAATCATCCCTCAACCTTTCCACACCTCCTTGCAGTCCCCGACGACGATCACCCATCACTCCTCAGATCATTGATCAATCAATAATGATAATCCCACCGGATCTGCTTACGCTCCGGAGCTGACTGGCGTGAAAAATAAAATAGGCGCCAGCTGCTTTCTGTCTTCCCCACTCTGGGCACAACCCAGAATGACAGTCCCATAACTGTCTGCGACAGTAGCAGCAACATCCTTGGCACGATTAATTTATAATCGGGCCATTTCCTTCTTTCAACTAGTCGAGCTAGTTTTGCATTCCCTTATTAACACCAACGTCTCCGGATTGTCCTTATTATGGCTGCTGTTCCCTGTCCAAGACCGGTCCTTCAGTTCTTGCATGAACCCCGTTAACTGATCGACCCGCCCGATCTTCCGGCCACATCCGCATCAACGCAGAGTTACATCTTCCCCCCTGCCTAGTGACGTGCTTCACTCGCCCTCTTACGCCTGATAAACCGCCTGTTCGATCCGGCCCCCTCCCGTCCCCCTTTCTTTTCGACTGAGAAATCGCTCTTATGCAATAGTCCGACTGGTTTTCGGCCTTTTTTCGCCGGGTTCTCTTCCAGCTAGTTAGGCGTAAAAATGGCGGCGTCTTCCTCCGCTCCGCTACGCGCCGGTCTCGATGGCCCATCCACCGGACGATCACCCGCCCACATGGCGACCACCACGGTCAATGTGGATGGGATGACATGCGGCGCATGTACGTCCGCCGTGGAGGGTGCTTTCAAGGGCGTTGACGGAGCTGGAGATGTCTCCGTGAGTCTGATGATGGGCAGGGCTGTCGTACACCACGATCCGACGTTACTTCCTGCGGAAAAAGTCGCCGAGATGATCGAGGACAGCGGGTTCGACGCGACAATTCTCTCCACGGACAGCCCCTCGCTACGAACGGGGAACGAGAAGGAGGCTCAGGGTAACCAGTCACAAATTTCCACCACTACGCTGGCGATTGAGGGAATGACTTGCGGCGCTTGCACCTCGGCCGTGGAAGGAGGATTGAACGAGCTATCGGGGATCCGGTCAATTAATGTCTCGTTGCTCTCGGAGCGCGCGGTTGTGGAATACGATGCTACCGCCATTACACCGGATCAAATTGCAGAAACCATCGAGGATCGTGGCTTTGGCGCGAAGGTGCTGGAAACCTCGACGCTTCAGGCCGGTCCTCGCGCCTCTCAGGATCTTACGGAACCAAAGTCACATCTGATGGTCACAACCATCTCAATTGACGGCATGACCTGTGGCGCATGCACAGCAAGTGTACAGAATGCCGTGGATGGTCAGGATGGCCTGGTTCAATTTAATATCAGTCTGCTTGCCGAACGCGCCGTTATTACCCACGACCCTACGGTTCTTCCTCCGAAGCGGATCGTCGACTTGATAGAAGATGGCGGTTTTGATGCTGCTGTACTCTCTTCCGAAGCTCAAGTACCCGTTTCGAGCGCCGCAAGTAGAGTTACGCTCACTCTTCATGGGTTGCGCGATGCGTCCTCGGCGAACGAATTAGAAGATACCCTTCTCAAAAAGCCCGGAATAACCTCAGCATCGATTGATATAGGTGCCTCGCTCGCTCACATTTCTTACGTCCCCTCTGTCATTGGAATTCGCTCCGTCGTGGAGACCATCGAGGCGGAGGGATACAATGCCTTGCTAGCTGACTCGGATGATACCAATGCGCAATTACAGTCGCTTTCTAAAACCAAAGAGGTTCAGGAGTGGAAGCGGGCATTCTTGTTTTCGGTGTCTTTTGCAGTCCCTGTCTTTGTCATCAATATGATGCTGCCCATGTACTTGCCGTCTCTCGACTTTGGGAGCTTTCAGTTGCTTCCTGGTATTTATCTTGGGGACGTCGCTTGTCTTTTGCTCACCATCCCAGTCCAATTCGGCATCGGAAAGCGGTTTTACGTTACGAGCTTCAAGTCATTAAGGCACCGTTCTCCAACAATGGATGTTCTGGTTATGCTGGGCACGTCTGCAGCATTCTTCTACAGCGTTTTCACGATGGTTGTCGCCATTTTTTCCGCAGCTCACAGACGCCCCAGCACTGTCTTTGACACTAGCACAATGCTGATCACCTTCATCACGCTTGGTCGCTGGCTGGAAAACAGGGCCAAGGGCCAGACGTCAACCGCCTTGTCGCGGTTGATGTCACTGGCTCCATCCATGACCACCATTTACGACGACCCGATTGCCGCAGAAAAGATGGCCGAGGAATGGGAAACTCCTGAAGTCGGCTCAAAGGAACCTAGGACATCGTCTTCCGGCGAGAGGTCAGGTCCCGTTATCAAAGCCATCTCGACGGAACTCATCGAGGTAGGCGACGTCGTTGTTCTTCATCCAGGCGACAAGGTTTCCGCGGATGGGATCGTTATTCGGGGAGAAAGCTATGTCGACGAAAGTATGATCACTGGCGAGGCTTTACCTATTCACAAGACTAAAGGCAGCCTTGTCATCGCGGGTACTGTCAATGGAACCAGCTCGATTGACTTCAAGGTGACGCGGGCGGGCAAAGACACGCAGTTAAGTCAGATTGTCAAACTGGTCCAGGATGCGCAAACGACCAGGGCTCCCATTCAGCGTATGGCCGATATTGTAGCCGGGTATTTCGTCCCCGCGATCATCAGTCTTGGTTTGATTACGTTCTTTGGCTGGATGCTTATGAGTCACTTGCTTCCTAACCCGCCCAAAATCTTCATGTCCGAGCAGAGTGGCGGCAAGGTAATGGTTTGTTTGAAACTTTGCATCTCCGTCATTGTCTTCGCCTGCCCGTGTGCTTTGGGTCTCAGCACCCCGACCGCCGTCATGGTTGGCACGGGCGTTGGGGCTCAGCAAGGCATTCTCGTCAAGGGCGGCGCTGTTCTGGAAGGCGCCACGAAGATCAATCATGTCGTCTTTGACAAGACGGGGACCCTAACCACCGGAAAGATGAGCGTTGCTGATGCTAAGATTGAGCCCCAATGGGCAGCAAATGATTGGCGCCGTCGACTCTGGTGGTTGATAGTCGGTCTTGCAGAGATGAGCAGTGAACATCCGATTGGTAAAGCGATTGTCAACGCCGCCAAAACCGAATCTGGTCAACCTGGTGAAGGCGGCTTACCCGGGAGCTTGGGTGATTTCGATGCCTGCGTGGGCAAAGGTATCTCTGCTTTGGTGGAGCCTACTTCCAGTGCCGAGCGCGTTCGATATCGTGTCTTGATTGGAAACGCGACCTTCCTCCGGTCGAGGGATATCCCACTGCCCGAATCGGTCGACGCCGAAGATTCGGAGGCCGTCAAGGACAAATCTAACGTGCCTGCTGGTATCACTCACATCCATGTTGCCATCGATGGCCAATTCGCCGGCACCATCTTGCTACGGGACACTTTGAAGGTGACCGCAGTCGCTGCCGTCGCAGCGTTGAATCGCATGGGCATTGCCACTTCCCTGATCACCGGAGACACTTACCCTACGGCCGTATCTATCGCCACGGCAGTCGGGATCCCCGTCGAGGCCGTCCACGCCTCCGTCTCCCCCTCCGACAAGCAGGCCATCGTTGCGTCCCTGCAGGACTCTGGTCTTCGCGTCGCCATGGTCGGTGACGGCATCAACGACTCGCCCGCCTTAGCCACGGCCTCCATCGGTATCGCCCTGTCATCCGGTACGGACGTCGCCATGGAAGCCGCCGACATCGTGCTCATGCAGCCTGACGACCTCCTCTCCGTGCCGGCCAGTCTAGCGCTTTCCCGGTCCGTGTTTAACCGCATCCGCCTCAACCTCATCTGGGCCTGTCTCTACAACGTCATCGGCATCCCTTTCGCCATGGGTCTCTTCCTCCCCTTCGGCGGTTTCATGTTGCCCCCGATGGCTGCCGGCGCCGCCATGGCAGCCTCCAGCGTGTCCGTCGTCGTGAGCAGCCTCCTCTTGAAGTTCTGGCGCCGGCCCCGATGGATGAACGCCGAACGACTCGAGAAGGAGATCGAGGCGAACAACACCAGTCTCCGCGGTTCCAAGAAGAGCTGGTGGAATGCCAACCTCTCCGTCACCGGCTCCGGTGCCGGCTCCGGTCCCGTCCGCTTTGCCCAAAACACAGGCCGCCAGCTCTGGTCCTTGGTTACGGGCAAGGGATCTCGCAAATCAGACACCGATGAGGGATACGTTCCGTTGCAGACTGTTGAGCCTGTGGCTTGAGACATACACATGGAGAATCACCACCATCTTTCTCTTTCTTTCCCCTTCATCTTTTCCTGGGCTTGGCTCATTGCAGTATATTACATCGACATATTTGCATGCAAAATGGATGATATATTGCACAAATTTACGAATTTCCTAATGATTATTGGACTTCCTGTTTCCGGGTGTTATGTGTATGTGTCTGTGATTTGGACATGTTGAGAAAATATTATTGTGATTTATTTGCATTGGATTGATACCTCCTTGTCGTTTTGACTAACTAAACTAACTACCTACTATCTACTGCCTGGTTAACTGAATGTTTCGGGAAATAAAGAAGATTCTTTTTTTTTTTTTTTTTGGCTCGAGTAGTAACCGCTCGACAGTCGCTTCTATAGAACTAACCAGATCAGAAGATTCCGCGTTGCGGACCATCCTATCCGGTGGCCCGCCTAGCTAAATCGCATATGCTTCATGGTAGATATTATAGGTGAAAGAGGTAATAAGAGAGAGATAAAGAACAGGAAATAGATCATCAGTCATCACTTGGATTAAGCGGGAATGAAGAGAATATAACTCATGTGTGGTGTTATATGTATGTCTCACATGAGTCGAGTCATTGCCGATCATCAATCATGATATAAAAAGAAAACAAGGAATCGCAAATCAACAACACAGGAACAGTTTAGTTTGAAATGGTCAAGTGCTCATCATCATCGTCTCTGGCTTGGTTTCCTGGGTCTGTGAATCTGAAAGAACCAACCCCCCCCCACCAAAACATAGGCATTGAAAACTACTGGTCTGACTTTTGGTTCTCAGCCGGCGCTGCCGGTTGTTCTCCTGCTCCCTGGATGTCTCCGAGGACTATGTCTCCGTCGCCGTCGGCATCCTCCTTGTCGGTCGCTTGTTTGGTGGTGTCGTTGTCCGGGACTGGTTGGCCGGACCGCTCTTGCTGGTCGTCGGACTGCTTGCTAGAGTTGTCTTCAGCGGCTGGAAGGGTCATTTTGACTCCCTTGCCATCCTGGAGACCCATATCCTCTACGCCTAGGACCCGTGGACCGCGCGCGTGCGGCACATCTTCCGAGGCGTCGGCCGGCGGAGACCCCGTGCCTTCCATGGCTTGGTTCTCTATTGTGGAGGGGACAGATTGAGGAGGGAGAGTAGTTTCTTGCGTCGTAACAGCCGAAGACTCCGACTCCGACTCTGGTTGGATAGGCTGCTCGGTTGGGGCAACTGCAAAGACCGATTCATCACCTAGGTCACTCATTAGTCGCAAGTCCTTAAGGTATATCCACTGGTCTGGCAGATAATCAATCGGTACCTTCGGTCTCGAGGGCCGCATCTTCCACTCCTGGCGATGCAGCATTACTCAACCACGGGATTGGTGTGAGTAGAGCGCCGCCCAAAGATTCATCACTCCCCAAGGAATGGTCTGGCAGCAGGAAGCTACTTTCTCCGCCATTCATCACGCCATTGGGCTGGCTTGTGGCTTCTTGCACCTGAAGCGGGAAAACATCGGCGCTACTGGTCACTGAGACGACGCGGTCGACAGCCCGGAGGTAAGCGGGGAGGGTTCGGTAATGCGCAGTGGGACGGAGGATCAGCTCTGCGAGTCTCTGGATCGTATGAGGGGGTTTGGAGGCGAACAGCGTCCGCAAGTTCGATCGAATGGAGTCTAGTAAGAGGAGGAGCGGGGCGGGCAGGGCTGCGTCTGTTGCCGGTTCGTCAGACGGTTCAGGCTGGGAGTCTGGCACCCGTTCGGTCGAAGACGAAAGCGATGATGCCGTGGGTAGAGGTCGCGGCGGAGTCTGGAAGTCGGCCGGGGTGGCGTTCTCTTTATTACTACTGCTGGTAGGAGGAATTGATTCTGACCCGGAGTCCCGGGGAAGTGGAGCAGCCGAGACTGTCGCATGGGGAGGGACTTGAGGCATGGGGAAGACATTGAAGACGATCTAGTCGGATTGTCAGCTGGCGCTAAGACAGGTAGGGTTCGATAAGGGCAATCGCGTACATGTTCCAATCGTTCTACCAACGGTTCAACCATTGAGTCCCATTTCTCCCTAATTGAAATTGGTCAGATTTCCCCGTCGCGTCCCGATCACGCCGCAGGTCAGACCCATTGGTCGGAGAGGGGAAGGTGTAGCATACAAGTCCATCAAGCCGCCATTGACGGCGGTCTCTAGGGTTTCTTCATCTAAAAGTGACGAACAGCCATTAGCTCGGGGATATTCAGAAAGTGTGGGGAAGTGCCGCGGCAGGACCAACCTAGAGACATTCTCCCGACGCGTTGAGGTGCAAAGAGGGAGGAGCCGAAGGGAAAGCTGAGGAAGGGAAATGCGGATCCTCCGAGCTGCTTATCGCGCGCGCACGTGACGGTTATCGGGCCGATTTTTCCAAGGCGGAGAAGAGGGGCATTTGCGCTCTCGTCCTCCTTGTGCCTCCTCCACTTCTCGTCACCCTCGTTGCCCCGCGCAATTGCGATTTCCCCGGACTATACTCGCTCGTCTCCCTCTTCCTCTGTCACGATGTGGAACTCCCCCAAGGTGGGCATCCTCGGAGGAGGCCAATTGGGCCGTATGCTGGTCGAATCGGCGAACCGACTCAACATCCAATGCAACGTCCTCGATGCGGAGAATTCCCCGGCCAAGCAGATCAGTGCCCACGACGGACATGTTACCGGTTCTTTTAAGGAGCACGAGTCCGTGAGGGAGCTGGCGAAGTCCTGCGACGTCGTGACCGCGGAAATTGAGCATGTCGACACCTACGCTCTGGAGGAGATTGCGTCGCAGGTGCGGGTGGAGCCCAGCTGGCAGGCCATTCGGACCATCCAGAACAAATTCAACCAGAAGGAACACCTGCGCAAGTATGGCATCCCCATGGCGGATCATCGCGAGCTGGTCAACAACACCCCTGAGGATCTAGCTGCCGTCGGTGAGCAGCTGGGGTACCCTCTCATGCTGAAGTCGAAGACTATGGCGTACGACGGACGTGGTGAGTCATATACACCCCATACACCTATGCAACCTCCCAAGTATTGGGACTTGCGACTAACAGGACCCGATTCCTAGGCAACTTCCGCGTCAACTCCAAAGCCGATATCCCCGAAGCGCTCGAAGCTCTCAAGGACCGTCCTCTATACGCCGAGAAATGGGCTCATTTCAAGATGGTTAGCCCACGCCCCTCCCTCTCCCTCTGTGACCGCAAACATCTAATTAAACCGTCCCACTATAGGAACTCGCCGTCATGGTCGTGAAGACGAAGGATGAAGTGCTCTCATACCCCACGGTCGAGACCGTCCAGGAGGACTCGATATGCAAGCTCGTGTACGCCCCCGCGCGCAACGTCTCGGACGCGATCAACCGCAAAGCGCAGGAGCTGGCGCGCCAGGCCGTCGCAGCCTTCGACGGCAAGGGTGTCTTCGGCGTCGAGATGTTCCTGCTCGACGATGAGAGCCTGCTCCTTTGCGAGATTGCCAGCCGCATCCACAACTCCGGCCACTACACCATCGAGGCCTGCCCCCTATCCCAATTTGATACCCACATCCGCGCCATCCTCGACCTCCCCATCCCCCCGCAGAGCCTCGAGCTCCGCCAGCCCTCCATCATGCTCAACATCATCGGCGGCGCCGCCCCGGACACCCACCTCCAGGTCGCCGAGGCCGCCCTCTCCATCCCCAACGCCAGCATCCACCTGTACAGCAAGGGCGCCGCCAAACCCGGCCGCAAGATGGGCCATGTGACCGTCACCGCCCCGTCCATGTACGAGGCCGAGACGCACATCCAACCGCTCATCGACGTCGTCGACAAGATCCGCGCCCAGCGCAGCGACGTCAAGACGCAGCCGCAGGCGTCCGGCCCGTCTAAGCCCGCCCCGACCGTCGCCGTCATGATGGGCTCCGACTCCGACCTCAAGACCTTGGTGCCCGGCCTCAAGCTGCTGCGCGACTACTTCGGCATCGAGCCCGCCGTCGACATCACCTCCGCCCACCGCACCCCGACCTTCATGGCCGAGTACTCCGCCAGTGCCGCCGCCCGCGGCATCAAGGTCATCATCGCCGCTGCCGGCGGCGCCGCCCATCTCCCCGGCATGGCCGCTGCGCATACCACTCTCCCGGTCATCGGAGTGCCGGTGAAGGGCAGCTCCTTGGACGGAGTGGACAGTCTGTACAGCATCGTCCAGATGCCTAGAGGTATAAATACCCCCTCTTCCCTTGTGCCTCTCTCCACCCCCTCCATTCTACCTTCCCCATCCACATTTACATTCAAAAGCCCTCCATCAACATACCAACAATCTAACCAAAAAAAAAAAAATACAGGCGTCCCCGTCGCAACCGTCGGCATCAACAACAGCATCAACGCCGCGCTCCTCGCCGCTCGCATCCTCGGCTCCTTCGACCCCGCCATCCAGCGCAAGGTGGAGGCCTACGCCGAGAACGCGCGCACGGAGAACATGGACCTGAAGGGGACTAAGATGCAGGAGCTGGGATGGGAGAAGTACTTCGAACAGATGTAGACTAGCATCTTGTCTTTCTTTTGGTCCGGAAGACGGATCTATACGAGAGAAGTTTTCTTTTTTCGAACAGAGTCGGTTTCGATTTAAATGAGGGATCACAAACGAGGAATGAAGGAATGAAAACAACTGAGATGTCTGGGTTATTTGGTTTAAAATAATTGTTTAGAGGGTGGCTTGGGCGGTCGTATATAGATGGAAAAATGGATTTCACGTGCTTACCTTGTTCGTATAGGCGGTTTGTTATACTGATAGATACTAATGCCCAGTGCGCAGCCAGTAGGTCAAAACAAATGGAAATTAGAGAGGCATATTATTTAGACACATTAATATGACAGTAGCCACAGGAATTATCGTCATACTGTTGTACTAGACAGTCTCGAGTCGAGTGAATTTGAATAAACACAGGACGAATTAAGACATTTGTACTGGAACACAAAAGCGCAAAGTTAAATGAAACAGGACCATACAAGACAGGATATCAAGTAAGCAAGAATAAGCATAAAATCCATCAAAACACCAACGTCGTGTGCGATCTTCTCGGTTTCCTTTTAGGAAGTCGTTCGGTTCAAGTTAGCCCTCCCTCACGCTGTCTGAGGGTTGAAAGCCGTCTCCGAGCCTGGGATAGTCGGTCCCTGCGATTGAGTGGTCTTCGAGGTATTAGCACCGTTGCTGAAGGCCTGGTCCATTTCGTCGGATAAGCCATGCGAGCCGATGTATCCTTTACTCGCGCCGTTGGCGGCACCGTTGGTCGCACGGTGGGCCGCACCGTTAGTGGCGCCGTGGGTGGCACCGTTGGTAGCGGTAGTACCGTTGGTGTGACCTGTGTCAGACAGTTGGGGTTGCGTCTTAGGATGAGGCTTGCGGGTGATGTCCGCCAGGCTAGGAATGTCCGTGGACTCGGAAGCTGAGCCGATGGTGAAGATGGGTGATTCCCAGCGATCACCCTTCTGGGCAAGTTCCTTGTATTCGGTAGCCTTGGACGAGATACCGCCCGGTAGGTGAATGTCAGGGAACAAGGAGTCGTGCATGGTGGTTGCCGTTTGAACCTTAGTATCGCGCTGGGCGGCCTGCTGGGCGGCCTGCTGGGCTTGACGCTTCTTCTGATCCATACGAGCCCGGACGGCATCCACGTACCGGCTATAGATGTTAGGAGCGTCGGCAGGATCGTTCAGGGCAGCTTCCTTGGCGCGCTCAACCTCGGTGTGGACCTCGTAAGCAAAGGCATCGCCGCGGGTGAAAGCGTCCCGGATCTGTTCCTCGAGAACCTTCTGTAGAACGGGGCGGACCGTGCGGAAGAGCATGGGTTTGAAGATGGTGAAGAGAGCCTTGTGCTTAGATTTCTTCAGCTTGATGTTCAGATCGGTAATCTTGACCGTCACCTTGTCCAGTTTAACAAAGTTTTGACGGTCAGATTTGTGAGCAGTGGAAGCAGCGATCTTGAAGCCAAAGCCTTCGCCGCCAAGGAAGATGTCCATAATACCGGTATCGGTGATGGAGGGGAAGCCCTGCTTCTTGTTGATGTGGTAGCTGACATCTCTCAGGTCAGCCTGGATGCCGGACACCGAGATCATAATCTTGTTGTCGTGCTTGTTGCTGATCTTCTTGCGGCCCCAGCGGAAGTAGTTGTCACTGCCGAACTCCACGACATTCGGCATCAGGTTGTCACTTTCGATCACCAAGTTCTCAACGACGACGTCGGCCATTGGGTCGGACACTTCGATACGGGGGATAGGCACGTATCGGACGTTCTCAAACGCTCCTGGAAGAATCACATCCCTGATATCCTTCAGCAAGTGGCTCTTGAAGGCGACATTTCCATTCGCATCGCGGCCAAGGTCCAGGAAAAGCTTGTCCATGGAATCAGCGAAAGCCTTGTTCTGTGGGTCCTTGGTGAATTCAACACCAATGAATTTGATCTCGTCGAGAACGCGGTTGGTATGGTCCCTGTATCGCTCACGCAGCAGGTACCGGCCATGATCGGCCAATTGGTCCCATTGTCGGTCGCAGTCATCCTGCATAACGTAGCCTTGCTCCTGGAGGGTTTTCCTACGCCTGTTAGACTTTTATCTGACGATGACCGGGGGTGGGTGGCTACTCACCGGAAAAAGGTGTCGATGTTTTTGAACCATCCCTTGAGTTCTGGATCCTTATCCGCATCCCGGTAGATGATCTCCAACGAGTCGAAGAAGTCATCGAGGGAAGTACTGTTGGCGAATCGTTCAATCAGAATCTACAAAATGTCAGTTTCACGGACTTTGTTCAACAACGAAGGAGGCAGCTGAACATACCCTGAGATTGGTCTCCATGGTCTGGACCTTCTCCCCGCCTCGAATGCCCTTAACAGCACCAGCACCCTGCTGTGACATGTGCCTGCCAGTGCTGCCATATTTACTAGCGAGGTCAAGCAAAGCCTGGATAGCTTGTTGATCTATCATTTTGGGATTTCCGTCAGTTTCAAGCGCGTACGTGTGCAGGAGATTCCCCAAGTGGACTCACAATCAGCGCGGCCTTGGATTTCAAGAACCATTTTCTTCAATCGCCAAATGAGCTGCTCGCGACGCTCTTTGGGCATCTTCTGCGCCATGTAGTCCTTGGTGCGGTCGGCATAGTCACGAGCACGAGACTTGGTACTCTCAGAGACGTTGTCGGAGACTCTTCGCTTGGCTTCCTCGGCGCCTGCGACAGCACCAGAACGACCATCGAAATCAGCCGGTGTCTCCGGGTTACGAACTCCTGTTGCCGCTTGCATGGCAGTGTCGCCTATCTCCTCATATTGTTGCTGAGCCTGATGAGAGGGGCCGAATCAGCCAACGTAACGCTACGTTGGAGAGATTGCACTTACGGCAGGCTTAGCTTTCTTGAAGCGCGACGTGAATTCCTCCTTGTGCTTTGCGAAATCCGGCTTCTCATGCCACACATTTTCCTCGGCCGGCTCATCAATTTGGGAAAGCTGTTCTTCCGACGGGCGGACTTTATTGGCGGCCTTCTGCGAGGCGTCACCGGCAATGTCGCGAGCAATGATCCAAGCGTCGTTCACTGTCGATCGTTAGTATCGCTGTGCAACGGTGTGGTGATCGATTTCACCTACGGAGCTTTCTGAATTCGCCGTTGGTGATCAAAAGTGTTCCCAAAGTTTTCAGTCCTTCAGATGCCTTCTGGCCATCCTGTTGAGCCGATTCTTTGTCCACGGGCACATTCGGTTTCTCCTGCACATCTTCGGCGGAGATGTGCTCGGCCTGCCAGATGAACTCCTGGAGCAACTGGCCCTCGTTCTTGCTCAGGATGAGTTTCTTCGCCTGTTCAATGACTGTTCGCAGGTCTTGCACGAGGACTTGGCCCTCCTTTGAGAGCTCTTTAGGGGGCGACGAGAGCGCCTTTGAATTCAGGGCGCTGTTCAAGGCAATGTCGCATTGTTTGTTCTACAAGACGGGGCAGTAGTTAGAATAATTGAACTTCAAATGGTGATTCCATTGGAGTACTTACCGATGGGAGCTTTCCATTCTTGAAGGCTATGTTTCAAGGTGTCAGCGATGGGGTTCAGATGCACGACTCGTGCGCCGGGATTACCTTGATAGATGCCATATAGCTGCAGCTTCTGGTTGATATCCTGAGGCACGATATTGAATCAATTGACAGTCCTCAGAGGAATCCAGACACGCATGCACATACCTTCTCCTTCAACTTCGTATCGGTGGGACGATTGACTCCAGCCGGCATGATGACGAGTTTGTGATACCAACGATTGGAGGAAAGAGGATGTCAAACGAGAAAATAAAAAGAAATAAGAAAAAGAAAAGCACCAGGGGTATTATGTATCAGATTACGTTTACAGTAACAGACGGTTCCGAAAGAAATGGAGCGACGACGAGGATTAAGGTGCGATACAAGGGAGGAAGGGAAGTCAAGGGACGCGTCGCTGGGGTATCACCGGAATGGGCAAGGGAGAATGTGAGGGAGAGGCGCAAACCACGGAACCAGCAGGGAAGCAATCTGAGGTGTCCAGGAAAGGAAAGAGACGTGGTGCGAAGAATTAAGAGGTTCAATAGTCGGATTCGGGGGCAGGAAGGAGGGATGGAAGGGTTGAGTTCATATAGCAACGTTCGAGAGCAGCCAGCCTGACGTCACCGTGTCGTGAGGGTTTGCGACCAGCGACCAGCGACCGGCCATGAAAATGAATATGATCATGATCTGGGCCAGCAAAAAGGGCGTCGCACACCGAACTCGGCTTGGTCCCTGAAGATCTTCACCAATGATCAGGCAGCACAATTGGGACACCGAATCGAGTCGCGGTCGATGAGATCATCACCATCACATCGACTTGGCCTAGTGCTGTAGTGCATGACGACTCACTTGGGTCAATTTTTGCCCCCAGAAATAGAATAAAGTTGTCCCCTCGGGACCAACTCGACGGAATACTCGATGGAGAAAGATGCGCAGTCGGCGAGGAGCTCTTAACTTCCGACTATCGTTGATCGATGCTGATCCGGTGGGCGATGACTAACACAAATTCCTCTATCTGAGGGTTCCATGAGTCCTGACTCCTGACGGTGAACTGAATACTGATGAAGGGGGAAAGCAAGCCAGAACCACGGGTCGCGCCAGGAAAACGGAGGTACTAGACTGCAGTACTAGAGAAGAGATACTCAGTAAGTGGCGCCAGGAAAAGCAAGCGCGACCCGGCCGGACCCCCTTGAGCTTCTCGACTCGCATCACGCTGACGTCAGGCACCGCGTTTCATGTCGTTCATCGCTACAATCAAGTTTTGATTTGTTTGGATGAATATAATTCTTGCTCTTTCATTATATACTTTTTTTTTTGTGAATTATCATTTTTATTTTTTTTATTTTGATCCCTCTGTCGAAGGCTTCCTTGGGTACACATACTCCGTACACCGTACTAGGTAGTCACTCTCACCGCTGATCTTAGCAATGCCATACCCTCTGCTTCCTCCCATGCAGGCAGATACAGCTTAAACTGGAATATGCTGTAGTGTAGGCCATGCTCGCTGCTCTTCAAGGCACGTCGTCCGTAGGGCTGACCGGAACCTGTTTCCGCAAGACACGGAAACTAAATTAAACAACATGGCCCTCCATGGGCCCCTCCACCGGCCCACCATGTAGCAGCCTTGTTTAACAACCGTTACTCATCACATTCACTCGCCTCAGATCACATCCTTAATACAAATGACCCCCGCCATTCCCTTCAAGGGCGACCTGTTCCAACAACCTGGGCAATTGTCATATTCACTAGAAAGAAGCAGCCCGTCATGCTCGCCGATGTCCAGGCTCTGACCTACATGGCGTATTCCGCCTCGACCAATAGCGTGACTGATAGTCCGAGATTTTGATCCTTCAGATTTCTACGGTGTGTATGGCTAATACCCGCCATATCCTGCCCCCGCGGCAGGCAATGGACCGGAGACATAAGCTCCAGACGCCGGCAAGTAGGCGACCGATGGCTGCATAAGTTGGCCCCGGAGCCAAGTCGACTGATGTTGAAATGTGTCAAACAGTTCGGTAATCTTCCATTTTCTCACGCCAAACTGCAGAATGTTCTGGGTGAAAAACACACATTCCATGGCCCGGCCCTGGCAGTTGATGGTGCGATCAACTTCTAAGTTCGGCGGCGTAAGCGTCTCGTAGGGCAGCGGCGGAAGCTCCGGCACGGATGGGCTCAGCACGAAGTCAAAATCCCGCGCAACGAGGTCGATGAAGCGCTGGCCCACCTGGTATGCTCGTTGGATATCGAGGAAGGTCATATATGGCAGCCAGCTGTCGTTCTGCAGAATCCGGTGGAGTTCGGCGATGTACTGGATGCATCGATCAAACAACAGGACTTTGTCATAGTCGCACAGAGTCGAATATTGACTGGTGGGCGACAGGATCATCACGTTCGTGTATAGTAGCTCCAACTTATATAGCATGGGAAAGTAGCGGGGGACGACCTTGGGGGTATGGTCGAACCACTCGCGCGTCCTCGAGAACAGCGTCCAGTTGGATGCGAGCCAATGCGGGACAGAATCCGACACGTTGAAATATTTTCTCTGATAAGCCGCCGACAGAATTTGCCGAATTTTGACCAGGTGCCATGCCGGCTCCGAACGGTGTAAGAAGATGTGGCTCTGCTCGGTCGATCCGCTACCTGGCGCCGACGGCAAAGCGACGTTGACCGAGTCGTCGGAAAACGAGAAGGTCCGCTCCATCGCGGTACTGACGCTCCTGTTTGGTCTGAGTCAGCTTCCTAGAGCCTTTGGGAGAGGTGGTATCCGGGGTTCAAACATACCTGTCCAGGGAAAAGACGCTATGACATACCCGACGGCGGAGGTCTAATTGCTCGTCTGACACGGGGACATCGGACGGTGGATCCTGGTGCAAGCCCAGATCAACCATAACCCGGCCGGCCATACCCACGAGGTACCAGGACCGAAAATGTTTGGGGTCAACGAGTGAATACTGAGCAAGTAGCAGTATCGCCTGGACGCCGGCGATGGACCCTGGCTGCAGGACGTCCTCGGCATAATCCAAAGCCGAAGAAGCCAAGGACATGGCATTCTGGTAGTTCTGGTCGCCGAACTGATACGATATCGACGCGTACGTGATGGCTAAGACCATTCGTAAAAACCAATGGTCGATGGGCTTTGCGAAACGGCCGCCGGCCTGGTAGACAATATCCACCGAGGTCCAAAATCCCGTCTCGGCAAAAAAGGGCAATTGGGTGAAGAAAGTGTCGAAGTAGTGTTGCAAAAGCGAGGTGATTTCGTGACGTGCGGGGAGTAGCTGGCTCGACTGCTTGGGTATGGGTTTGGCAACAGACAGAGACAGGAGAAGGTTGGCAAAGGACGTGTTGGACTGGATGCCATTGAAATCCCGAGAGGTCGCATTGACAGACCTGCATCCAAATGTTAGAGGGGTTCACCTTCTTTACGAGAGGCACACAAAATGGGTCGTACTGACAGGAAACCAAAGTCTCCTACTAGATCATCGATATCGGACACCTCTTTCCGATGCGCGTGCCCGACAGGATCGGCGGATGAGCGCGAGGTTATCGAGCTTTGCCGTACGTACCCCGACTCGTCGGTGGATAGGGATTCTTTACGGCGCCGTAGGTCTTCGATTCTGCTCTCAAGTCGTTCGCAATAGCCCTCCAAGGACGCAACGTAGCTTCTCTCTTTCCCTCGGGCAAATTCGTCACTGGCGCCGGAGCAGGTGTTGGCCTTGCCCACCCTCTCGCAAGCGGAACAAGCCGGCAGCTTCCCGTCACATTTGATCTTAGCCGTTCGACATCTTGAGCATGCAGCCACCGGTCGGCTGACTTTGAGCAACGGTTTGTCCAGGAATGAATTAGTCGACATGCTGGTCTTGCATGTTACCTAGATAGGTAGTGAGTACCACCGAAAACCTCGGGCACGATGCGTCTATGGGATGTTATACGTCGAAACGGATCTACCTACCCGACAGAATTATTTCCAATTCAGGATGTATTGCACTATAGGATAGAAACTAGGGATTATTCTACCTAGCAGGACCTAGACGAGGTGTCGTCCGGGATCAGCACTAGTCCGGTGCATGTGGGAGATGAGCCGGACACCCAAGGCCTCGAAAGGAGGCGGAGCATCAGAGCCCGGGGCAAGAAGGTTATACGTCGATCTCAACCCGGACGGTGGCCGTGTAATGCAGGTACACTCACCTAATAACGAGTAGGCCGTCGTTTGCAGAGGCTTAATGCGACCACAGACCAGGCAGATTATCGGCGTAGAGATGTCATTTCCGAGTGTGGGCGGATGAAATGACTAAACGTTACATTAGCTAGACATCTAGGTGATAACTAGGTACTACTCCGAAAAAGGCTGACCTGGGAAAAGGCGAGACAACTCCCGAGAGAGGGAAATAAAGAAAAGAAAAATAGCAATAAACAAGAGAGGCAACAATAAAGTAAGGTACAAGTCAAGTGGGTAAGGCAAGATGATGAAGAGACAGAGAGAGGAATGGGAGGAGAGAAGTCGCTAGGCAGAATTGGGTTCCCAGGAAAGCGGTACGGTACGGTAAGATCCCCTCACGTCGGACCCCCACTTGCCCTCCCCACCATCTTCTTGATGGGTCGGAAGGGAGAAGATTTCCAGTTTGAAGGCAACCAGGATCCGGGAAAACCAGAGAAAGATACTAGAGATTAGAGAATTAGGACACTCGTGCATATGATGAATGCGTAGACAATTCCGGCGTAATTGCAAGTCTTGGCGAGGCTCCTGGTCTGTTGGAGGTCAGTACAACTTGAGTATGTACCCTACACTTCTACACTGGAGGATTGCATTTTGAACACATCTGATTCTCCCAGACGCAGTTGCAATCGACAGTACACCGGAGTACCCCTTTTACTACCTGGTACATAATTGCCAAGGAAGGAATCCAGGGCAGTTGGAAGATGGATTACTCATCGACCAGGGAGGGTAACGTGACGCCGATCCTCTCCACATCCGGCCTTTCCAGATCAAAGCCCCGATCGTCTGGAGTATAAGATCATTAAGATGTGATAGAATAGACATCGGTCGAGTACGAGTGAAAACGAAAAAGAAAATCAAGAATTCCGGTCGATCGCAGATACCAGATCGACTGCCTCGAGCTTCCTGCAGGAAATCACGGGTCGTCATCATTTCATGCCCTTGGCTCTTAGCGCGTTTGTCGATCCAGGCGGGACTGGACCGAGGATGCCCTTGTCATTTCAACTCCGTTTCGTCTCCGATCCTTAGTCTTTTACGACGAAAAGGAATCTCCAGACTTAACCTACCCTAACCTACTAGTAACCAACTGATTATTCCCCATTTCTCACTCCCTAACCGCTGGACTATATCCCAACTACTGCCATTTAGATAGTCGGTAGTCGTCCGTCATCCACTCTCCTCCCTTAACGCCGTCGATCCGCCCAAGTGATTGATGTCCGCCTAACGCATCCCTCCGAGAGCCTGTGCGCGCACCTAATGTTCTCGTCCTGGTATCACCGCCTACGCCTCCTCGCAGCTGGGCTTGGTCGTGTCGGCCTCTGAACATGTCGGAAGTCCTGTCTCACCGGATCCCATACCGACTGTCGACTGCCTTAGATGCTCTATTCCGTCTCTGACTCCGGTTGATTTGACCTTTCGGAAACCGACAAGAATCTCATGCGATCGCGGGGGATACTTCTCACTCCCCTCCATCGACAAAAATCTCCCCCCTGAACTTGGGGGCCGTCGACCGACCTCGACAGCCATGGACCCCCAACTAAATCCAACGGGCTCACGCCTCCAATTCATGGATCTGTGGAAGAAACCGTCTTCTAGATCATCTCAGCAATCCGACGATGCCCCGGATGGCCGGATCGCGCACACGTTAACGGCCTGTACGAGGTGTAGACAGGTACAGTCCCTTCTCTCTCCGCCCACCCCTTGAATCACGATCTGAACTTCCGCCTACCATGACCTTTCAATCCCTCCCCGCATTTTATCAGCATTACATCCCACTCGGATTTTTTTTTGGTCGAACTCTGCTAACATCGGCCCGTAGCGCAAATCTAGATGTGACCCCGGAATCCCAAGATGCGCCCCGTGCGAACGCAGCAATGCCAAATGCGTCTACTTCGATTCCTCGCGGAAATGCACCATCCCTCGGACGTATATTGTCTCCCTTCGCGAAAAAGCCCGCGTACTAGAAAAAGAGCTGGCGGAGCTCGAGAAAGATTTCCAACATGCCGCAGATGCCGAACTGATGGTCCGCGGGGCGGGTCGCATCCGCTTCAAGGAGAATGACGAGTCAAGGTTCCTGGGACCGTCGAGTGGCATCGCAATCACCCGCTTGGTCATGGAAATGGCCAAACAGAACACCGATTCGAAGAGTATCAAAGACGTCGTCCCGGAGTTGACCGCGCAGGAGATCAAGCTGGCCTTTGAAGAGGAAAGCTCCAAGCCGACGTCGAAAGTATACCCCATGATCAGTTCGATCCCTCAACCCAATCTCCCCGCAAGGAAGTCGACCGACCGACTTGTCGACGTGTTTGTAGTCAAGGGTAGGTGCTCTGTCCCCTCCTCCGGTCGCTACCGAGGAACATCTGAGCTGATCGGTACCTTAGCGCAAGCGATGCTTCCGACGTTACACCTTCCGACATTTCGCCAGGAGGTAGACAATGTCTTTAACGGTTCCGACGATCCCTGCGAGAACTTCCAGTTGCGAATTGTCATTGCAATTAGCATGCAAAAAATGGGCCCGACCTACGCAGGGCTGGCCGATAGCTATTATCTCGCAGCGCTACCTTACTTGGAATCGTCTCTGAAACGAATGGATCTAAAATCGCTGCAGTGCTTGGTTCTTATCGGGCAATATTCCCTACTGACCCCCACGAGAACTGCAGCCTACTGGGTCGTGGGTATGGCGGTCAAACTATGTCAGGACTTAGGTTTGACCGACGAGGAATTGATCACGGGAGCTTCCGACGGACAGAGACCCAATCCCCTGGAAATTGATATGCGGAGAAGGCTCTTCTGGATTGTCACGTCGATGGAATTCGGCCTCTCTCACAGCCTTGGTCGTCCCAGTTGCTATTCGGTCGACCACGATTATATGCGAAGGGTCAAGTTCTTTGAATTGGTGGACGATGACTGCATCACGCCGGAGGGCATCCTGCCCGGGTCCCCCAAACTCGCCAAATGTATCGCGATTCACTTCTTCAAAATGCGACTGCTCCAAGCGGAGATTAGACGGACTCTCTACCTGAACAAACGCGATACACCCACCGACGATCAGGACCCGTGGTTCTCTCAGATGCTCGACAAACTTGATCACTGGGTGGCCTCCTGTCCGAAGAACGACGGGGGAAGCGGTCTCAGTGAAACATGGTACGGAATCACATCGTCGGGCTTGATTTCCCGTTCTGGCTGGCTAATCCGAATGACTTTTTGCTTAGGTTTCTTGGCCGGCGAAATACGATGATTGTGTTTATGTTCCGGCCCTCGCCTCAGATACCCGAGCCCTCGTTGTATGCGGCGCGGAGGTGCTACGAAGCATCGATATTCAACGTCGCAATGCAACGAGAGCAGATCGCGACAGGGTCGGTGGATCTGACGTGGATCTTCACTCAATCATTGTTCATGGCCCTCAACACCGTTCTCTGGTCTCTTTCTTATCCCGAAATTCGCAAGGAACACTCCATTGAGGAAGTCCAACGTCACCTCGATATAGCACTCGACGGTATCGTGCTTGCCGCGGAGCGATGGCCAGGCGTCGAATCGGCCTTGCTGCTCTACAAAAATCTTGTGACCGCATGCCTCAAGGCATATACTACCGAAGAATCGTTCGTCGTCCAATCACCCTCCAACCATGCCACCCCCACCTCCTCTCAAGACGTGACGAGTCCCCCATCAATCTCGAGTCCCGCAAGCACGACCACTTCGTTCCAGTCCCAAAACGCCCGGGCCGGCAAGTGCTCGAATCCCGACAGTCTGTCCTCGGGAACCTTATCGAGAGGCCCTTCTGCAGAGCCGGCGTACTCGTACACGCAAGCTTCCCCGGCATCCTCCACAACAATCGAATCGCTGAAGGCGCCGCAGTACACTCTGTGGGAGCCCCAGCTCCAGCAACCCCAACCGCCGCCAGCAGCCGCGCCACCACTGCCACCCTCATCCACCGCCACGCCTACCCCTTATACCACTCCGCCGTACAGTGAAGCGCCCACGTCCTTTTCGGGGTTGGCATTTGATCCGGAGACCCCACACAATCCGTTCCCGACCGTCATCCCACGCGTACAAGGCTGGGACCCGAACTTCACCCTCGGCTCCTCGACTCCGGGCCATCTAGCATACGTCGAGACGCAGGTGGATCCGATGGACTGGATGGGCATGATGGGGAATCAATATTCGCAATATTTCAACGGCGCATTGCCCACCCCGTCCTGGCGCGGACGGACACTCAGCCAGCAGGAACAAATCGAATTGATGGCCTCGTTGGAACAAAACATTCCGGACGTTTCGGCCCAGCTGATGCGCGAGACGGGGACGTTTTATCAGACCTAAGCGTTTGCTTTTCATTTCCTTCCTCGTTCTTCTTTGTCGAAAGCAATTCGAATCTTGACAAGTAGATATCGGTAGGTAGGTGCAGCCAGGCTCGATGCGCCAAGAAGGGATCGTATCAGCCCGGTGGGATATAATACCCTTGGGCCGTTGGGATTGGTAGTTTATGAGACAACGTCTGCATTTGGTGTTGGAGCGTGCTTTGTCATTTGGAAGGGATGTTCTTCTTTGTTTGGTTTTGCTTTCTTTGCTTTTCTTTCATGCTTGACGAGTATCTGAGCGGCTTTATCTTGGATCAGTAGTTTTACAATACATGACCATTGTGCATTTGGTATGACTCGATCGATTCGGCCGATCAAACAGTGAATCAGAAGACCTTAACTTGAGTTCATTGACCATTGAAAGGGGGACCCATGGTTCGCGGCGATCGACCGGAGACGTATGGCGACAAAGAAGTCGAGGCGCTTAGTCAGGGACCTTCGGGCGAAATACCGGGACAATACGGGGCGTACGGTACGGTACGGGCGGCGAAACGCGAGGCCAAGCGCCGTCACGTGCCGGCTGCCGTCATCCGCGACCAAAGAAGCCGCCCGTTCTTTCTCCTCTGCTCTGCGGATCCCCAAAGGCCTGCGCTCTCTTCACCCCAAAATCCCAACCCTACCAAATACCAACTACTACCACCAACTCGTTCTGAACTTGCCGACATCCTTCCAACCCCAGACCAACCTCCCTCCGCTCTTTCATTTCGCCTACTTTTCCCCTCCCTTCTCTGCTGCCTCCCTCTTCGCCAACCCTTGAGGGTGGTTCAAACTCGACTCATTGGAATGCGTGACTTTTAACCGGTCGGAACGTCCAGCTCGTCCGCCTGAGCGATCCTCGACCGGAATTCCAGCCTCCCCCCCTCTTCCAGACCTCCCGACCTTGAAATCAACCCTGAACACCACCCTATCCGTGAAATACTCCCCGATTCTTCGATCAACCTCCTTTTTATAAGGTTACGGGTCCCTTTTTGAAGGTCGTTCGGGCTTCGGCCATCCTCTCTCGCCCTCCGCCAAATCCCCCCTCCCTCCTCTCTCTCTCTCTCCGTCCTCTGTCTCTTCCCTTGAGACTTTCCCATGTCTGATCGCGCCTCGGCATCTTTCCGACTTGAGCCTCCATCACCATCGTCTCCCGCCGCCGGGTCTCTCAAGGAGAACCAGCCCTCGATCATTCCCTCCGAGCCAACTCCCCAGACTCCGACATCCCCTCCGTTGATGTCGGTAGGCGCTCAGAACTATGCCTCCAATTTCGCATCCTCGCAAGCATCACCTAGCCAGGCAACGTCTCAACCTACGAACCTCTCCTCACCTCCTTCCTCTGCTCCGATGTCCACTCAGGCCTCACAACAGCCCACAGTAGGTGCGACCAATTCATTCCCCACGCCCGCGAGCAGCGTCAGTGGCCACTTCACCGGCGCCACCTCGGTCGACGATCCCGATCACGCAGACAAGTCCGGGGTTTCTTCAACCTCCACTCGGCAACCAGAACATAGACGCACTGATCATGATCGGAATCCGGGCGATGCAATGACGGACCTAGGGATGCGCGATCCTACCAGCATGGGCGATTCAAACCTATCGAGTCATGGCGACAGCGCTATGGACATTGACCCACAACCGGCCGCCCCGTCCAACCCGGATATATTCAGCTTAGAATCGTTGCAGAAGGAATTCACTTCGGCCTATCATCTTTGCAAAAGCTGTAAGAGCTCCCCAATTGGTGTGACTGAAGCAGTTCTCCTGTGATTTGAGCGTGCCCTTTGTCTCTTTATCTTTGTTCCTTTCTTTGTTTTTCTGGTCTTCTTTTGGATGAGGTTCTGTTAACACTTTTGCTTTACCAATTCTGCAGCCCATGTCGCGACTGGTCCAGACCCATCACTAGATCTGGTTTCTTTGTACGGGCTAGGTCCGGTTGCGAAATCGGTGGCAAGGATGGATCCGGTAACAGGCGAAAAGATTAACAGACTCAGGAAATCCTATGAAGGAAAGCTCAAGGGGCTCGGTCTGGCCGGACGGAACAAAGCGGTGAAACACGAACCTGCCGGGGCGCCCGGCACACTGCGACATCTAACGATGTGGCCGGAGGAGGAATGGCAAAACCAGAAGGTATACGGGAAGGAAATCAAAATGGCGGATATGGATTCAGCGCTGCAGAAACTGCACATGAAGGCGATGCACATGGAGCCCGGGCCGATCCCGAACAATGATCACTGGGAGGATCTGTTAGGACATGAGAAACCATCGAAACATGCCGGCAGTGGGGAGAGCAGCAAGAAGGCGGGCGCACTTCCGAACAATGCTCGAGCTCCTACTCAACCCAACGGCACGCCTACTGCCACGACGGCCTCTGACGCGGACCGGGCCCGACCCAGCCGAGGTCGCAAGAGGCATTACGGAGAGAACAGCTACGTTGGATACGGCGAAGGCTATGCGGATGACGATGACGACGGTGCCTTTTATTCCAACAGCGAGGGTATGGGCAAGAAAAAGCGGAAGAAGGTAGGACACTCACCGGAGTTCTGAGAGAGTTCTACCTTGCTGACGACTGGCGTTGGTCATTTTGAAGGACCATGTCTCGAAAATATCGACACCTCTACCCGATCGCGGAGGAAATTACGGGATGTATGGGATTGGGGCGAGGTAACCCGACTACAAAAAAGGAAGACGTGAGATTTGAGAATTGATTCTTCAAGTCCGTTTTTTATTCCCTTGTTTTTTTGAGAGTTTTACATCTTTTTCTCATTTCCCTATACCTTGTTTATCTGCTTGCTTTATCTTTTTTTTTTTTTTTGGTTCACCCATTCACCTCGTGCATAGGTTTTCAGGATCCAAAATGAGGACTCCACTGCGGACCTGCTGCATGACACGACGATCAATGATGGCATGCTGGGATCCGATTCATCAGTTGGTTTGTTAACGTCCTCGCCTTGACTTGTTATTCTCCGTATATTTTTTTTCTTCCTGACTTTTTCGTTCTTTTTGCATTACGGTGCTGGATATACCCGGCTTCATCCAATGGGCGGCGTTCAGCGGAGTTCAGTTGGGTTTGCTCTCTTTTGTTCTATTCGTCTCGTTCATTTATTGCAGGAGGGGATCTCGCAGCTGTAATGTTCATGGATTGATTGTTATTTTATACTCGAAGCTTGCGATGGAACCGAGGCGTGCGAGCTCGGCCAGGATTTGTATTCTTGACGGGACTACAGTACAGGCGAAGGATGTGATATATTATTAGAAGTCGAATGACATTGAATGTGCACTAGAGTATGGAGTAGAACGATGGAATCGTACTTGATCATACTGTACGGGGTATAAGGGGTCTTGATATGAATGAAGTACTAGTATAGACTATACCCGAAGCAGCGACCATTCAGACGCCGGACATTTCATATCTTAATCTTTATCTGATAAGACCCCTCCCACTTCCCTCTCTCACACTTCTTCAATCCACCTCAATTCCCCCACACAGGAAGCCACCTAGAGAAAAGAAACATTCCAAAATGACCACCCCATTCACCAAAGCCATGGCTCTCATCGACGCCGCCCACGCCCAAGATCCGCGCCGCATCCCCATTCCCAAATCCACACCCGGATCCGAATCCCAGCACGAACCCCAACCCCAAGACACAACCCACCCGGGGGCCGAGAAGGAAGAAGAGGAAACCATCCCCTACGAGCTGCACTACGCCCAAAAAATGACCCACTATCTCACGCTGCACACCAGCGCCTCGACACCGCCATCAGAACCCCTCGCCCTGGCCATCCGCGCGCAACATCTTCGGCGCTGGGAGATCCCCCGGAATACATACCCCATGACGAAAGTGGGTTATCATTCCTGGCGAACGGCGCTGCAGCGTCATCAGGCGTCGCGAGCGGAGCAGATCTGTCTAGACGCGGGGTATGACGTGGTCTCTGCGGCGCGGGTCGCGGCGTTAGTGCGCAAGGAGGATCTGAAGAAGGAGGATGCGGAGACGCAGGTGTTGGAGGATGTAGCATGTTTGGTGTTTCTGGATGATCAGTTGGTGGGGTTTGCAGGGGAAAAGGGGGCCGAGTATGGCGAGGAGAAGATGTTGGGGATTTTGAGGAAGACGTGGGCGAAGATGTCGGAGCGGGGGAGGGAGTTGGCGTTACAGGTTGAGATTGGGGATCAGGGCGTTAGGGAGTTGGTGGGGAGGGCTGTTGCGGGGAATTAATCAGATGTATGTATATCATGATGGCTCTTGGATTGGGTTGGGATGGGTGAGTGTTATTATTTGTATCTATGTAGGTAGATGTGTATGCAGCGCAAATGCAATGCAATGCAACGACCAAAAGTATTCCCAAATTTCTATACCCCAAACGCCACGCTGTCTATCAGAATACTATGCCCAGAGATGTTCAATCAAATCCATATCGTACACTCTCTCTCCCACCTAGAAAAATCTAGGCCCCAATAACCCTAACCAACGCAATCGCCGCCCCAGCCGCAACACCCCCGACAAAGACCATCTGCACGCCCCCCCAAAGCCCAGCCAGGATATTCTCACTCCCCGCCCACCCCCGGACCACCCCCGTCTTGATATACCCAAACACCAACAACGTGACCGCCATAACCGCGACACTGCAATACAGCGCCACGATGACCCGATCCACCACAAAGTACGGAATCAGCGGGATGAACCCGCCCACGAAATACCCCAGGGCGAGGGTCAGCGCCGAGATCCAGGCCTGGTTGCAGTCGGGCGCGGACTCGCGGTGGTGGAAGGCGACGAGGAAGTCGCGGAGGTTGGTGGGTGAGGCGTGGAGGGAGGTGTTGATCTGGGCGATCGCGGCTTCGGGGATGTTATGGGCTGCGAAGATCGAGTGCACGATGGAACTGGTTTCTGTGGGGGAGGCGGAGATGAGGGCGTTGGTTTCGCGGACGGTGGTTTCGTAGGATTCTCTGGTTGGTGTTAGTGTTTTTGGTTTTCGTTTCCTTTTTTTTTTTCCAATGACTTTCTGTTGGAAGTGTACAAGAGGAGGGAGGAGGGGAACTCACGCTTCACTCTTCGCGCCAACATATCCCCCAAGACCCATGGAGATCGCACCGGCGGCCAACTCGGCCAATCCGCCTAATACAACAACTTTGGTATCGCCGAGGGCGGAGAGTCCCGCGCTCAAGGCAAACGGCACCGTCAGGCCATCCGACAGACCCAGGATGGCGTCGGAGACGATGCGCGGGTTGATGCGCGAGCGGGTGCTGCCGGTGCTGGAGGAGTCGGAGACGGTGTCGTCGTCGGAGTCGGCATGGTGGTGGGGAGTCGAGGAGTTGAAGGTCGAGTAGGAGCGTTGGGATTCGAGGTCGTCGTAGACTGTGGGAGTGTTGGAGGAGTCTGTGAGGAGTGGTTTTGCTGGTCGGGGGTTAGTGAGTGAATAGATGGAGTATACCGTACTCCGGAGTATAGATGGGAAGACGAACCGGATGTGTTTTTGGACTGGGAGGAAGGGAAGAGTTTTTGTTTGAGGAATAGGAGAGCCATTGTGGTTTTTCTGGACGGTTGATCTCAAGATAGAGACGTAGGAGGGAGAAAGACAACGGAATTGCAGATCGTAAGGTAGGAGAAGTCGAAGTATACAAACACTGACGTCAGCCGAAGGAATAGACCGAAGAATCTAGACCGGCCGAAGAGATCACAATCCACGAGACACAACAGACACAACAGAAGAGCGAGCACGACACTTCAGAGATCAATTTCACAATTCAATCAAAGATAATTTCTCTCACCAGAACGACATCCCCAATTCTTATATCCATTCGTCACCGAATCTACGCAAAACCTGCTCCCTCCCCCCTCAGACCAATCACAGCGCCGGTAATCGTCAGCAATCGGAGATCGACGCCATCCATGGATGGAGCTCGGATTTTAGCACGGTCGAGTTTTCAACATTTTCCACCGCTGCGGTGCTAATCTGACCGACGGGGTTAGCAATGCATCCCTTTTGATTGGGTACTGCCTGTGGCCTGCAAGGTTGGATGACCATCGTCGACATGCTGAGTGGTCAACACCCTTTCTGGATGCTGGGTCGTGCAGAACTTACACCGGTGTAGACACACTAAGGCGGGACTAATCACTAGCCAGCAAGTTTCGTGCGAGAAGCAGGTCGGATAGCCGCCGTGAGTATGTTTCAGTCAGTCTTACTCATGCTGGGGTTGGGAGGTTGTCCGACTCGGCCTCGGGTTCGGATTTGCTGTGGGACTTTGTGCGCCGTCGGGGTATTACATCGCTCCGGGGATTCGGGGTCATCTGTTCAGACTACAGGTCTACAGTTGTTAAGATTTAGGCAGCAGGGGAGTTGTCGAGGGGATTGGTTGTTGATACGAGCTCGAGTCCATGCGACTCAGCCGCTGCCTTGGATGTTAGGGCTGAGCTTGTCAGGTGCCTTCTTCGGACGAGATCAACAGATGATACAGGGATGATGATGAAAGCGAAAGAAAAAAAAAAGAAATGAAAACGGCTGGATGATGTCAAGCGGCTTAGCTGTTTTCCATCTGCCGTCTACTTGATCTATCTAGCCTTGCTTCTCCCTGCATACACCCAATGCTTGTGTACTGAGTGGAGATGATCCCTGCTAGGAGAAAGGGTTACATCAGAGGACTTGATACACCTCCAGCACTCCCACTACGATCAACTCTTCTAGAATTACGGATAGGTCGCAAGAGACATGACATTCGGACCCATGGTCCACCGATCAGAGTTGACACGATCGACCACGTCGATCACGCCACACCTATCACGTCCTGATCCCTGTCCCCGACAATCAATCCGTCATCCTTACTTCATACTAAGTAAATCCCTTCTGTAGGTCTAAATCAAGCTGTGCATTCATCTAACTACATCAATCATTTACAGGAACACATCATTAAAGGTGTATATCCAGGCGCGTGCCATGCCAGGACTCAATGTACTAATATAGGGGGAAAGAAAAGAAAAACAAGAGACCCCCTGGGTTGGGGAAACTCCACGAACAAGTCACACATCCAAGTCGCAGCTCTGTTATATCCATTTACAGAGCAAAGGCGAGACCAATGATACCAGCAGCACCGGCCAAGCTAGCGGCCATGGCGCCGGTGGGAGCGGGAGCACCGCCCTCGGAGGTAGCGCCCTGAGAGCCGGTGGTCTCGGCGGCGGCGGAGCTGCCAGAGGCGGAGCTCGATCCAGTGGTCTGGGCGCCGGAAGTCTGAGAGCCGGTGGTCTGGGAGTTGCTGGCGTGAGCGGCGGAGGACGAGGCGCCCTTAGTGTCGGTGGCCGTCGCCGTAGCCGTAGCCGTGGCAGTGGCAGTGGCGGACGCGGAGGCGGAGTCAGCGGTGGTGCTCTTGCCGGTGTTGTCGGTGGCCAGAGCAGTGTTGGCCGGGATGGTAGAGACCTCGCCGTAGTCGGAGACGGCAGAGTTCATATAATCCTTGACGTCGCTGGGCAAGCTGGAGTACCACTCGGGATACTTGCCGCTCTCCCAGTCTTTGTCCACCTTCGAGGCGAAGGATTCATCGGCCAGCGAGGTGATGAACGAAAGGGGCATGGCGGTTTCGAGGACGTTCGCGACGGAAGTAGGGATGCCAACCGCGGCAAACAACGAGTCGAGGTCGACGTCAGTCTCGCTGGCACTGGCCGGTGGGTTAGTTTGAGAGGCGGCGGTTTGATGGAGAGATGGACAGGTACTCACGCAGCGGACACGGAGGAGACCTCCTCGTAATTAGGGAGTTCCTCCAGTTCGGTGTTCTTCTGGGGGCTCGGGGCGGCCAGAGCAGTCGCGCTCAAGGCGAGCAGAGAGAGGGTCTTGTACTGCATGATGACGGATTGAAAGGACTGTTGATAACAAGTTGTACAACGAAAGAGATCGACAGTACGGAGTACGCTCAAGAGAATGAGAGGAATGGGTCTTAAAAAAAACATGTCGCGATGGCGGAAGTCCATATTATTAAATAGACGGCGATGGTCACATCCTGAACCAAGAACTAGGGGAACTACCCTCGGAGCCAGAGGCTAAGGCGACTCAGCCTTTTGGGGGCCATTCTAGATCGCAGTTAGCTTCTTCCAACAAAGGATCACCGCGGCAAGGGGCCGAAATGACTACGGTGTGTCTTGGATCCAGGGTCTTGAGACTCCGATCAGGGGCCCTTTAGGACTCCTTGACGACGGAGTGTTCAGATTAGCGGCGATGGAATCACTCAGAAGGTTTGAAAGGGTGGATTTGAGGCTCGTATTGCAGGCAGAATGTGAGATTCCCGACACTCCATCGACGCAGGGCTCCACGGAGGAATGAAATTGGATTTGCGCTAGTCGAACGAAGTGGAGCCCACGATTGAGGCTGTTGCTTCCTAACTTGCTAAGCCTTCCTTCGAGGCTGCGAGCAACCAACGGTCCAACACACCAGGCTAAGCCAGCGCAGATGAACGAGGGCATTTGCATTCCTGGAGGTATTTGGAGCACTCCATCGAGTGTGTCGGGTAAGGCGGAGGGAGAAAGGCTGAGGGTATCAGCTTTGACGATTCCCCCGGATGTCGAGTACCGGAGAAAGTCCTTGTTTACTCCGTACACTTTAGACTTTACTGTTACACAGCATGCTGCAGGCACGTTTCCGGGACCCCTGAAATCTGCATGAACCGTGACCCCATCTAGAGAATACTATTATTACTCATACCTTGGACCTTACAGAGTGCATCACTGCATTCTCATTTCACCCAAAAAGAAGACAAAGCGAGTTAAATTAAGGACCCACCGCCAAAGGCTGCGAGTGAGCCGCAGTTGGCAAGCCTGCCTGCCTGCCCTAACGTGGTGGGTCAGCGTTCTTTTCGCTTCCTCGTCGGAGCTTGGCCGATGCCATCCTTCGTCTCTGCTTTTGCATGTCATGAACTTGACTTGATTCTTGTGATCGATATCAATATTGAGAGTGCCCAACCCTCTCGATTATCAGGATCACTAGTTCATTCCTCCGCCTGTTGCTTCTTTTCCTGGCAGCGCATCGCCATCCAACTCGTTGGTTAACTTGATTTGCGTGGAGGAACCCCGCCGCAATGGCCGTTCCTTCAAAGAAAGTCCAACAATTGAACCTATTTATAGCGAACTGATATAGCCTCTCTGTCTAGGATACACCGACTAACCTAGTACTCCTACTCATCCATCGATCATTCCTCCGCTCAGGCATTCCCCGCCGTCCATCCGCCGTTGGCATCGGAATGCCAGGCACACAGGCAGTCAGGCAGTCAGGCACAAGAAGAGGGGTTCGGAACGGGGAACATCAATTGTCCGACAATCCCGCTCGACCAATCAGCGCCCGTATCTCCTTCCGCAACTTGGGATATAATCCAATGTAATGTTGTTCCCTGTGCCTTCGGGCATTTGGTCAATTTGAAACGATACAGAGAAGATTAGCATGGCCCCTGCACTAAGGATGACACGCTCAATCAAAGAGAAGCTACCAGTTTTTTTGATTCCTTACCGACCTTTCTGTGAGGTGCGACGTTTTTGGTGGTAATCCTGTAGTTGCAGGTGAGGGGTTGGGTTCGAATCGGGGTGTGGGTGATTCTTTTTTCCAATCATGTCCTTTGTTGTCTTGAGATATGTAGTTTACAGATAGAGAGAGCCATATACCATCATTATTGTATTCACCACTTTCATTCAAGCCTTTCAGGTCAGTACTACAGGAAACGTACGTTCAGTCCCCATAGCCACTAATGATGCATTTGGCAGCATTTGGTGAGTTTTCTTCCCTCAGATCTGCCCTCTTCAAAATATGTTGACAGACATACAGGGGCACGCGGCGTTCTTTGGCGGTGATGGAATAAAACGACTGGTTTCCGACAGGATTCACGACTCGGTCTACCTTGGCCACCATATCCACATGATGGGCATTGACGCAGTATTTCTTTCCGACCTGAAGGGTTCCCGCGGAGTCTGTTGCCCCACGAACATGGCGGGCGAACATGTCCAGTTTGGTTGACAATCGAAACTTGTCTGGCAGTTTCCATTGAAGATTCTGACATGTGTGGTCTGTAGTTTCGAAACAGTGCGGAGATACGCAAGCAAATGTCGCTGTTATGGACGAGTCGCTCAAGACTTTGGTCCATGGGTGATCTCGAGCATGCAAAACCAGCATACGGTGTTTGTATTGCTGGTTGAGAAATGCAAGACGGAGATCGCCCTCTCTTGATATACCTGTATCTTTGACCATGGCCAGAACATTTCGAAATAAAGACAGGATGCGGTCCTGCAAGAGTTGTCTGGAACCGGGGTTTCTCCGTTCGAAATCCCGAAGCAGATTTTCGAGCCAGACCGCGATATTTTCTTCCCCACTCAGGACCTGCACGAAAGCGTCCAAAGAGTCCTCACGAGACTTGTCAGGCAACTCTGGAATCTGCCCGGGCACATGAAGGCAAACATACGCAACTAGATCGCGGAGTCTAACCCGAGTCATCACTCCAGTGCAGAGGCTGACGAACAAGCCCCACATCTCATCATAATCGGTGATCTGGAATTCGAATAATCCCGCTGAGCTCAGGAGTGCCTCTTTGGCAGTTGTTCCTGGCTCCCTTGCAAATGTTGCTTGGGTGATGACATTTACATATTCACCTGATTGCAGCCCAACTGTGAAATCTTTCATCTTGATATGTGGATCACTCGTTCCTGGTATCCGAAACCTCGATCGCAATTCTTCAACACTGGTACTCCGATGGCAGCTTTGGTTCCAACGAGCAGGTCCAATCGGTGTCAAATGAAGGCTGCCTGTCCCTCCGATTCTAATGCGAGTATGAATGTCGATGCCATTATTCGTTTCGAAGATGACATGCATATGGTTTTCAACCATCTGGTTCACGGACATCCAGTGCCATTTCGGCATCCCGTCAACAGTGTCACCACTTGGTAAAATGATTCCGCCATTGATTCTAATGCCGTAAATAGCCATTTCCCCGGATTTAGGCACACCCATCTGGCCACCAGCCACTTTCCGCCCTGGTTCATTTGCTGTGGAAAGGCGATCATTCCCTTTGATGATGAACTCCACGGGTCCCCACATAGCAACCACTTGGGCTGGTGTTGCAATAAGATCCAGTCGTCTTTGTGCAAGCGATTTCTGTAGCCCAAAGACCAGCACCTCCGTGTGAAGCATATCGCCCAAGCACGAAAGCTTTTGTGAGGTTGCATAGACTTTCCGAGCTTGCGAGCTGTGGTCGACACCCTCGAGAACGAAATTAAAAATAGGTGTCGTTAAGAATTGAAATCGAATTGGTGTCTTCGAGCCTCGTAGGTATGATTGAAGAATCAAGTTGAGACATTGCACTACCAGAGCAGTGAGGTGCAAAACTCCAGACTGAAGTAATTCTGAGCTCTGGTCCCGATCGAGTTGACCAATTCCGAGGCCTTTCAGCAAGGGCTCCAAAGACTTCATCATGGGGGTCAGTCTTTCTAGAATTTGGAGATTTCGCGTTCGGCGAGAAGCGGAGCGCCTGTAATTAAAGAGTAAATTCCCTGCCGCGAGAACCGTTAACGCCGGAATATTGCCCGAAATCGAAGCAACCAGTAAACTCGTGTCTACAAACCAAGCATAGCGGTTCTCCTCTCCTGGGAAGGTTTCAACATCGTCGTCAAATGTATTTCTGCATTCGCCATAGGCGTCGAAAAGGTCTTTGGTTTCCTTCATCTGTATTGAAGCTATCTCGGCATGGTCTCCGTCGCCGTCTGTCTGGCCCTCAGTTGTCGAAGGGACGTGGCGGATAAATAAAAGCTGATCAAGAGGGCCCGCACCATCCTCGAGCGTTTTGACATGTGACATGAAATTCTCGAAGCCGCGATCGATAAAATCTTTAGCAGCACGTCTCGCGGAAGCCTCGGGACTCTTTTCACTTCTTTGGGAAAACGAGATTGCTGCATGTTGCCTAGATGTTGGCCCCATAAATTGAACATGATCGCGATATTGATTGACATAGTTGTCTTCCATCTCGCTGGCCATTCGCGATCCAGGACTTGTATTTTCGTACTCTGCTGCAGCCATCTCAGTCCAAGGTGAAAGACCTGCTAGGCCAAGAGCGGCATCCGAATGTGCGAGCAGCTCAGAACTCTTGTCAACTATTTTCAAGCAATTGACCGAGGTATTTATGAAATCCGTATGATCCGCTTCAGCCGTTATCAGTTCTGTCAGATCTTCGAAAGCCAGTATAGACCTATGGTTTAAATGAGGCACATTCAAGGAACTATCATCGATATTCTCTAGTTTCCGTTCGACCCGCCAGGGGTGGAAAATCCAAGGGCGATTGCAGACGTAGCTCGTGAGGATTCTAGCTATCGACTTCGCTTCATCACCTACAGAGTTTTCCTCGAGATCTAACTCTGCTAGCTCAGAGATCCAGTCATCTTCCTGTGATATGCCAATCACAGATAGACGCTGTGTGATCCGGCTCTGAATGGCTTCAAAGATCTAGGCGCGCTGCGGTTTGCTGTTATCTTCACTGTTTAGAAAGTTGTTAACCTCCGGAATCGATTGAAGAAAGTGCTCGATTTCTGCGCTTGAATGCTCCTCCTCATAGCTTGACATTGTGGTTTACCAGCAGTCTGAAGAATGTCATCGTCTGTTGTGAATACTCTCGAAGGATAGAGAGGGCCGAATGAGTACCACATCAGGTTGTCTTGTGAGTCTCAAAATGAGGGGCTGGGTTGCGCCTCATAGGCAAGAACGAATCATTTCCTACCACGTGCAGGTATCCCTGCAAGTCCAAACGGAGCGCTGGGTTGGAATCGGGGCTCCTAAGACAGTCACAGACATTGAAGCCATGTCCTTTTACCATGACACTGCAGTCGGCTTTTCCCAAAGAGCCGGTAGCCTTTCAAAACAGTAGCACTCGGATTCATAAATCAGACCTTGTCCTATATTTTCAATCACTTTGCAGCGTGGGTCAGTCACGATCTTTAGTGACTTGAATACCTACAGTAGGTACACACAGGGACGAAGTTATCAAGAGTCAAGACAAACAAGAGTGGATTACACGTGATCAATGGCCATCACTCCGTCCGTAGAGGCAGGGTGATTTTGCAAGGGGTTGTGTATTATATTTTTTTTTTTTAAAAAAAAAAAAAATACATATATAGATAAATAAAAAAATAAATAAAACAAAATTCATGTACATAGGAAGAGGAGTTCATTTATCATCACATCACAGACTAAAAACCACTCGCATAATATACAATAAACAATCGGTCTCTTCGCCCTTCATCCATCCCACCGTAGCGGAAATATATCCGCCACTGCCTCGTCACTCAGCCACCCAAAACATATCCATGCGGTCGGTCAGATTTCAGAAAGCAACAGTACGCGACAATGAAGAGAGAGAGATGGTTCGATTAAGCACCTCCCTCTCTCTTCGCGTACTCCTCCTCCATGCGCTCCTCGTACAATCGATCCGCTTCTTCTTTGCTCAGCGGCTGCTGCTCACCCGAGTTGTCGGGCGCATTGGTATATTCTGCGTTGCTACCGGTCGACTGAGTGGTCGACGTCGAGGGGTTCGGGTGAGGTTGAGGTTCAGGTTCGTTGGTGAAGTGAGGCATTTTGAGTCTGGTGGGTTGAGGAACGTATTTGTTTGGATTCTTACAATAGATTGTATGTAAAGGAACTCGAAAGTAGGAGGGAGATAGATGGATAGAAGTGGTAGTTAGGTCGGTGAATTACAGACGTGAATCAACAGCTTGGACAAGCTCCTTTTATGTAGCTACAGTGGCGAGACAACGTCATCCAGGCACAGCTTTGGCGTTCCACTATCTTCTATCGGTCCGTGACTCATTGCAAATGGATTAACAGATATTCAACTACCATCAAGACTGATTACACTGGCGTATCTATCTACAGAATCTCTTCTCCATACCCCCGCATATAGCGAAGAAACGATGAAAAGAAAGTCAAGTAGTCCATCAAGTGGAAAGTGCCAAAGAATACGCCTGTCAATGACCCGAAGGCCGTTGAACAGACTGTTCCGCCGCGCTGTGCAATGCAGGGACCAATCTGTGGTGGACCGCCTTCTTGATCGCAGCCACCCAAACAAGGTAAGTATGAAGAAAAGAAAGAAAGAAAAAAGTCTAAAAGATCGGGGGGTCGCGGCTGTTTATATAGGGGTGACCAGGGCGGTGAGGATGGCGCTAGTGTAAGCGAGGCAGTATGAGTGGGTCTGATTGGTCAGTTGCCGGAGGTCTCCTTGGCGCTTCAGAGGCACGTGCAAGGCCTAGATGGAGTCTGGCCGGACATACCTACAGTACATAGGCATCACGGTTACTTTTATTATCTTCCAGTATTGATCGTCCACTCTACCTACACAGTAATGTAGTCGGTCAAATAATCGACAAGTTGTTTCTACAACTAGCACCCTCTCACTGACCACATATCGCTACAATGAAAACATCTTGCCATATTGACATATTCTATTAACTATTTCGCTCCACCGCGGAGCTCTCCAATATATGTTACTGCGCCCACGACGCATCCCAACTAAGCTAACCATACGACTACCATTAATGCAACGTCCCAGACTTCGCATCTCATCCTAGTCACCGAAATCATCAATCGCCGAGATCTACTCGGCGCTCAGAGCAAGACATGCGTCCACTGCTAACCCAACCCTGTATACATTATTGTTAGTAATGGTTCACGTCACGGTCGATTAAGGCGACAAACTCACCGACCCTCCTTGATCTTGACAACGTCATCGATCACGTCGCGATCAAGATTCGGAAACATATTGGACAAGGTCTCCACTACGTTGGTATGCTCCGCCCGTTGAATTCTCCGCGCTTCCGCGTCCTCGGCGCTGGCCTGTCGGGCGGCGGCATCTTGAGCGTCCATGACCCGGCGCGGTCGCTCACTCGATCGTCGCTCGCTTGAACGTCGTTCTTCGCCGCTGCTACGCGGAGGCTGATACACATTTGGGTTCAGCCTCGCTCCCGGTTGCGGAGTGGTCGCGGGTTGCGTTGGTGGTTCCACCGGCGAGTCGGGCTCGTCGGAGAAGATCCTCCCAATGGTCGACAGCGGTTTCTGAATCGTGCGCAAGATTCCGGCCACCGGTGCTGTATCCTCGTCGCTAGACTGTGCCGCCTCCCGTCGTCCTCGTTGGGTGTCTGTCGAAGTTCGCGCCGATGCCGACTGCGAACCCTCGGCTGGTCGTTCGGAGCTCTTCTGATCGACGGATTCTGTTTTGCGATTCTGCTCGGCAATGGCGGACACGGCCGCTTCGACGTTGCGCTCGAAGTCTTCGTCACTAACCGTCAAGCTGGTCCGATCCAGCGTTTCGATGAATTGAATGGCCCCAGACTGCACTTCAACATCAGCTTTCAGCTCCCCAGGACAGCAGTATTCTTCCCAACTTACCAGTGAGGACAGATAATATCCGGCCTCTCCCGAAAGCTTATCCTGGTTCCGGAAGCGAAGGATATATTGGATATTAGAAACCAGATGCTCAGGGTTAGCCTGTAGCACAACGTAGATCAAGAGAGGTATGAAGGAATCGGCGGATGTGTCGGCCTTTTTCGTATTTTTGAGGAGACCTTGTTTACCCGCTCAATCAGTAACCATTTCCCTCGTTTCACAACCGAGTCCTTTACTCACCGAAGATAACCTTGCAGCAATTTAGAATGCAGATAACCTTGTCCCGAGGCGCGCGGTAGCCATTGATCTTGGAAAGTTCTGGTCTGTGTTAGAAAGGGAATGCCCTCAACCGCAGATAAGAGGTTGACTGACCTTGTTGAGCAAGGTTCAAGAACCGAGCGCCCTGATTGCCCACAGGGGCTATGTCAAGATGCTCTTCCTTCACCCAACGGTAGATCCGCATCTTTTGAGCCAACACTTCATCCCGCTCGATGTCTTCCTGGTGCTGACCACGGCGCCATGGCCCGTGAAGCCGCTCCAGCTCTCTTCGCTTGCTTCTACTCGCACTCCTGGGAATAGATGGCGGCGCAGGTATAGTCGGGGAAAATGTCTGGAAATAAAGTCGGTTCATCACGAGCTTCTCCATTCCTTCCTTGGCGTTGTCGAACTCACTGTCCGACACATCACGCCAGACATCACACATGGCCATCTTATTCGTGATGAATGCCAGAAAGTCGCTGATAATCTTGACCTGCTCGTGAACCATCCACTGCCTTTTCCCAAACTCATGGAGAAACGAGCGAAGAAACTTGGCCACCGGGTCCGCCGTACGATGTCGCAGCTGCTCCAAGAATCTATGGAAGTCGAACGGTTGGTCGGGCTCGGGTTCAGGTGGTGGAGGAATAGTCGAAGTGGATGAGCGTCGAGACGATACCGTTTGCTCCATAATTGAGGTCCTGTGCAGGTTTCTAGGAACCGGCGCGGGCGGTTTCTCGTGCGAAGCAGTCTCAGCCGTAGGTCTGGGGCTTTGTGCAGTAGTACCCTCGCCAGCTGCTACCGCTTGATCCAAACTTGACTGTCGCTGAGGAAAGTAGCTTTGTCCGCTCAGGAACTGCTCGGCTAGTTCCAACCGAGGCGACATTATCTGTTCCTGATCTCCGCCGTCCGCGGAGTCTTGAAACTGTCCCATGATGTTTTGGATCTCCGGCTGGGAGTCGTCCTCTCGTGAACCTACTTCATTCTTGATAGCCTTCTCCGCCTGCTCTTGTCCTCCCGGGACATCCGGCAGTTCTTTCTCCGTCAACTCAGAGGGTAGCTTTGTTGGCGACGGGGGAGGCAGCGTAGACTGAGGTTTGGGTGCACGGTAGGCGTCATCTTTCTCCGGTGGCGGAGGGGGCTTGTCGGTCCCGGATGACGAGGCCCGGGACGATGTATCGGTGGATATGGAGAGTCCCTTCATCCTCCCCGAAAGTGGCTCTGGGTTGGATGTTGAGTCTGTAGGATCGACATCGGCAGGTGCCGGTCCCCCACCACGGGGTTCTGTAACGGTTTCCTGTGATCCATCATGTGTTTGTGTCTCCATACTGCCTTCCTGTATATCCTGATGGCCTTTGGGCGTTTCTGGCGGGCTGTTCTGCGACTGGGCCGTCGATTCGATGCCGTTCGAGGTCACCTGCGGAGTCGGTTGATTTCCCTCATTATAAGGAGTCGGTTGAATGTCCCCTTGACCACCGGAAGCTGGGGTATCCGATGTTCCTGTCGCAGACATAAGCTATCCCCGCATGCACGTCACCAAGATCGAATTATGAAAGAAAACACAAGGATACGCTGGACGAAAGGCTAATTCAGTTGAGAACACGGAGCATGGTGAGAGGAACCATCCAGCGGAAAGGATAGATGTTAAACCGTCACAAGCTTTGCAACGAGCGTCTCTGGCGAAACAATAAATGCGATTCAGCCAGGAAGTAGGGAACAGGTGGTGTTGAGCGATAATATTCCTCCGGAGGTGGAGGGAAGAGCGAGTATGACAGCCTTACCGGGATCATCGTTCTGCCGACATCCGTCTCCATCTCCGTCTCCCCCCCCTCTGTCTCCCTCTTTCTGTTTCTTCCTTCTGTCGCGTCGCATTTGTCCCCAACTGGTCATATTCGGCAACCGAAGGGCTGGGGATCATGTGTGGGATCTTCTTCTCCTTGAGTCAAGCTGGATCGGTATCCCCCAATGAGGAGACTTGTTGTTTATTGCGCAACCGAGGTCCGGACAGCTTTCAAGCCCACACATTCCAGTATGATGCGCACGCCGATCAGGCCGATGCAAGGGTCTCTCTCTGCCTCACGTTCGTCTCCACCGTTCTGTCCATGAGAGGCGACCATGTCGTGTCCCAGCCTCTCATCGACACCGCCACCCAGTCCGTGCTTTGCTGGAATGGGGACGCCTGGAAGATTGCAGGCAATCCAATCCAGGGCAATGATACGGAGGTAATTTTCAATCTCTTACTGGAGGCTACACAACCTTCTACCGAGGCGACCACGCCGAGTGATACCGTGCAGAATGTTGCAGATGTCCTCGGTAGTATTTCAGGGCCTTTTGCTTTTGTATTCTATGATGCAGTCAACTCTAGGCTATTCTTCAGCAGAGACTGCCTGGGAAGACGCTCTTTGCTCCAGGGCTGTGACAAGACAGGCTCTCTCAAGATTTGCAGTCTTTGCGATGGGACGTCCACAACTCATTTCGAGGAAGTTCTCACGGACGGAATGCATATGATTGATTTGACCCAAAATGTTTTCCAATGTGTCCCTGAAGCCAGCACCGGCACTAATGTTACTTTCAAAGCTGAAAGCATTCAAACAATACCCTGGGACAATAGCGACTCGTCCACGGGGCATCATCTGGTAATAAGTTCAACAACGCCTGGCTTTTCTTAACATGCTCACATGACAACAGAGGAACCCAATCCCCCCCATGAATATGTCTACCCCAGATGGGGTTCCCCCTCAGCTAAGTGTTGAGTCTCCTTCTGTCAGCAATCTTGAACAGAAGCTCCGCCAATCTCTCGCTTTAAGAATCCAGAATGTCAGAGCGCCTCCTGGAGCTACGGCAGAAAACAATGTTAAAGTTGCTGTTCTGTTTTCCGGAGGTCTCGACTGCACTCTGCTTGCTAGAATTGCAAATGAGCTCCTACCACACGATGAGACCATTGATTTACTGAACGTTGCATTCGAGAACCCCCGGGTCGCTGCCGCTGCCGGCAAAGAAGCAAAGGCAGTCTCGGTGTACGAAAATTGCCCCGACCGCATCACCGGCCGAGGAGCGTTTGCAGAGCTACAAGAGATCTGTCCCGATCGCAACTGGCGGTTTGTGGCGATTGACATTCCCTACGTGGAGACGGTTGCACATCGTGACACAGTGAAACGGCTGATGAGGCCTCACAACACAGAGATGGATTTGTCTATTGCATGTGCGTTGTATTTCGCGTCGCGTGGACAAGGATTAGCAGTTGACAGTCGACCAACCCACTCCGAACCCGTCCCGTATACGACGCCCGCGCGTGTGCTACTCTCTGGTCTTGGAGCCGACGAGCTTTTTGCGGGATATGCACGGCACGGGATGGCGTTTGCGCGAAATGGGTTTGAAGGACTCATTGAGGAGATCCACCTGGATGTGAGTCGTCTAGGTAAGCGAAATCTCGGCCGTGACAACCGTGTTATTGCCCACTGGGGCCGCGAAGCACGATTCCCATTCTTGGACGAGGAATTCGTGGCGTACGTGTCGCAAGCTCCTGTCTGGGAGAAGTGCGGATTCGGGGTTCCTGGCTCGGTAAAAGAAAGCGCAGAGGACACATCGCTAGAATCCGGGCTTGACTCGGAGAAGAAGGCGCTTCGTCTGGTGGCGCTCATGCTGGGAATGAAGCAGGTAGCTCGCGAAAAGAAACGCGCGATCCAGTTTGGGTCCAGGACCGCCAAAATGGAGAAGAGTAAAGTTAAAGGGACGGATGCTCTCAGCTGAATCAATCACGTCCGATGGACTCTTCTTCACTTCCCTTTCCCTCTTTTCTATCATCAGGGGGCTTGTTTCACCTCTTACCCATGACCTATAACAACCCACCAGCTATGATGACAAAACATGGAATCAGATACTTCTGAGATCCTTCCTCTCCTACCGCAGGCCTTCTCTTCCCCATCATCCATTATGTTCTAGCCAATGTACATCCCACGTTACAAGCCCATCATCCCCGAATTGGCATTCAATCCACCTCACATGCGATTGCAAACCGCCCTCTATCATCTCCCCCTCTCTGCACCGATTCATTCGGAGCGAGAGGACCCGGCGATGATAGAAGGGACTGGTTCTTCGTATACACGAGGTTGGAGGCACGGAGCGATGAGTCGGTCAGTGGGATGATTGCATATGTGGTTGTCTGTAGTATCTGTTCTGGATGATGGTGGTCCTGAGGAGGTGCTGTGGCCACGAGAGGTCGGGCGATGAAGCTTTCAAAAAGGCAAGTCTGAGCTTTTGGGTTCCCCTGCACACATATACCTACATACCGGTCTGATAGAAGTTGTATACACCCAGATTTAGAGATTTACGTTACACATTATAGACACCGGGGAGGCGTTAAATCAAAACAGCATATGTAATAGAAACAATAAGTAAGGTATCTATTGATAAGTCCAACAGACTTCAGAACTGCATAAGAATAAGAGAGCAAAGTCATAGTTCGTTAGAGTACACCGAAGGATGGGGGTTGAAAAGGGTGAAGAAAAGAAAAAGTAGAAGGACCCCCAAAATTGAAGAAGAATCAATAATAAAGAAAAAAGGAAACCAAGAAAAAGAAGAGAAGGAGAGGGTAAAAAGAAAAGAGGTCGATCTAGAATTCCTCTACCGTGGTGCCAACCTGCCTCTCTCTGGCCACCCGAACCAGATCCCCACCAGTGACGAGATCCATCAAGCCCATGCCCACACTCTTGAAAATGACATTCCCGCGCTGCACCCAGTCGCTCAGGCTTTTACTGTCGTCGTCTTCCTGGGGCATGCCCTGTCGTACCATCAGGATCTCGCCCAGCTCGACCACCTGCTTCGGCTTGATCTCCGCCTGGATGATCTCGCCTGCTTCCTTGAGCGCGGCGTCGAGGCTGTCGACGACGATCACGCCGCTGCGCTTGACGTGCTTGTGGAAGTGGCGAGAGGAGTGGTGGACGTCGACTTCGTCGCGGAGGATGTCCGGGTGGAGTTCGGTCATGTGTGGTTTGTAGGAGCCGATGGCGCTGATCAGACGGCCCTTTTGCCGAGCCTCTTTCGAGGTCAACAGCTCGGCCGGGAAGAGGGGCTCGACAGACGGCGTGCAGCAGAAGATGGCGTCGGCCTTGTGCAGCGCGTCGTGGATGATGCGGGTGTATTCGACGAAGTCGGTGCTGACGGCGGAGAACTTGACGTCGCCGCGCCAGCTCGAGTTATCCGGCGAGTAGATGTCGCGGAGGAGCTCGGCGGCGCGGTCAAAGGACCGGTTCACGATGAAGACCCGTTTGATGTCGGATCCACGCAGCGTCAGCGCCAGTCGGATGTGCCAGTAGGCTTGCTTGCCGGCGCCGAAGACGACGACCGTGCGGACTCGCTTGCGCTTGCTGAACACCATCGTGGCCGTCAGGGCGGTGCGGAAGGGCGTCAGCTCGTGTGCGTTGATCAGTCCGAACGGCATGCTGTCCTCGTCTAGCAGCGTCAGACTCCCCTGCGGGGAAGTGTCCCGGGAGCCCGCCGCGGGCCACGCGCCCATGGTGTTGGAAAGGCCGGTGTTCACGGGCTGCTGGTTGACGCAGCCGGAGGGGAGGGAGTGGCTGCTGGAAGTGCTGGAGGAGCCTCCGGCACCGCTGCTACCATTCTCCTGGGACGAAACGGATAGGTCACTCATGTCCGAGGAGAGCGAAGACATCGAGTCTCGATGGCTGTGCCCGCTCCGGGCCCGCGTCACCGGCTTCTCGACGTCGGCGAGACTGCCCTTGGATTCAACCGCACATCCAGCTGCACCTCCGTCCTGCAACGAAACCATTTTCATGCCGAGTGTCTGACCCGTCGTGGCGGGCATGAACAGCGTCGTGCAGCCATTTCGTCGGGTGATGGCGGTCCTCTGCGGTTGGTAGGCGGCGGCACAGCCGTTTTCTTGGTTGCCCGTCGAGTACTCTCGCAGTGCATGGGCTAGATTCGTCTGTAGGGAGATGATTTCGTCCCGAGTGAGGGAGAGCAGCAGCGAGCGAAGCTGTGCTTGGGAGAGGATGGTCAACGGCATCGGAGATAAAGGTGGGGGGAGGGTAAGTTTATGGTCGGAGATAGGACGGCCAATATATTTCGCTGTTTTGCGAGGTTAAGATCCAGTCTCCTGACCTCGAATGGGACTCGGTAGAATTGGTGTTATCGAGGGGATAATTAGTGGAAAGATAAGAGAGAGAAGTCGGGGGAGCAACAAGTGTCCGTTTGCGGCGATTCCATCCATAAAATAAATAGTAATCATCAACGTGCCAAGATGAGTGGACCAGCCAAGGAAGACATTGAGGTCGGGAAGGGGGCCAAGCCAGGAGAAGGAGAGACCAAGACAAAGCAAAGAGGATGCAAAGACGAGCGATGGGCGCGCTGAGGGGAAAGGATGACGACGGTCAAGACGTCGGGCGGAGCGGTCGCCCTGCGGATTGGCCGAGGAGCGCCCACTTTCGCATCGGAATCGCTTCTGGAGCCTCTTGGCATCGCCATTACGTGCGAGTACGGAGTTATCTTCATTTATCATTATTCAAGCAAATGTACGATGTAAGTCCATTCCTTCCTCCCACCCGCCGGGGGTTATCCCCACACATCCCCATCATCCCGCACCATATCATCCTCGTTCAACACCCGCAGCCCGTTCTCCTTGACCTCCCGCTTCCGTTGGCGCTTGGTGACAATTCGGCTGGGTGTGAGGGGGGTTACAGGTGTAAAGGGCATGTACGGACTGTACGGCGTCGGTAGCCCCGTCCGAGGACCCCCCATCGGTTTCTCCGGTCGCTCCAAGACCGTGGTCTTGGTGGCCGGTGCACTCTGCAGGGGGAACGCATCTCGGAAGGGCAACGAGGAGGACCCGTGACTGCTGACCGTCGACAGAGTCAACGGTGCTGGGACGGGTGCCCTGCCCCCGCTCGAGACCCTCTCGTGAGGTGCTCGGCCGATGGCGGCCGGAGGCGTTGGTGGCGGAGGCGGATTGTAGAACCGCGGTGTCAGCGGCGGTTGTTCTTCGCCGTACGAGGCAGAAGCGGCCACATCTGGAGAGCCCACGGGGGACGATATAGGTAATTTTCGAAAGGCAAGCCGCGGAGATCGAAGCTTACTAGCGCTGGCAGGAGGTCGCTGAGCCGGGTTGGGATTGGGGTTCGTGTTCGAATTGAACAGGGACAAGGAGGAGATCTTGGACAGGCGTGAGCTCCTCGGACTGGTCGGGGACTTCATCGGAATCGCCGAGGGGCCCTCGGAGATACGTGACGAACGGTCGGTGAAGGGATTCGTCACGGCGCTGTCGGGGGACTGCACGTCCTTCTCCTCTTCCGAGCTCGCTGCCCCAGCCGCTTTCTGCTCGTCGTGCTCCAGCACGGCGGCGTAAAGCATCTCCATCTCCTCCTGCGCCCGGCGCCTATCATACGCGACCACCGACTCATCGATGGTGGCGGCGCTGCCATTCCCGGACATGTGAGACCTTGACCCCCGGGCCAAACTGCTCCAGGACCTGCTGAAGTTGTTCGGTCGGTTGGGACTGGGAAGGTTGGCAGAGATGGGAGTGACTGGACTCGGATCGATACTGACGGACGGCTTGACCGGCTTCATCATTTCTACCTGGAGGCTAAAGTTGGATGACTGAACGGTCCGGCGTAGGCGTCGTCCTATAAAGAGTAGTAGTGTCAGGAGCACGGCGACAAAGATCACGTATGCCCCGACAATGCCGCCAACCTGGATGGCCAGGAGAGACTGATCCAGAGGAGGATTGACAGAGAGGTCGTTATCCCGACGCAGGTTCGACAGGAGACCCGAATTGTCTTGGAAGATTGAGCCGGTAGCAGCAACACTGGCCGGCGACAAGAGGATTGCGATGCATGTAAGAGTGGACATGGTAACTGAATGACCCTCAGACAATGAGTGATATTAAGTACCTAGGATCCGTAGGCATATCGCGGTATTGCAAATGAGGCCGCAAATCCCTTACGAAAAAGAGATAGAGTGTGACACATGCCGGAAGAAGAGGGGCCAGGGTGATATACCGACAGAGCTGTGCCAAGTGATTGGGTGTGATAGTGTGAAGAAACCGCCATGAAGACGGTTAAGTTTGAGGGGGATCGTGATGCCCGTTGCTGCGCCGTCGTTGGTGCAATTTAAGCGCCCTGCTGCACGCTCGGCACGCCCATCACACATCCTCCTTCTTGGCCCGTAAAATGGTCGAGTCTGGAGTCTGAAGACTTCAATCAATTGGTCAGTCCGTGAGAGTTTTGGTTTTCATCGATTAGTTCTATTTTTTCTCAATCATGAAACCCATTTGACTTATCTGAAGTGATTGGTTTCATCTCGTCCACTTCTAGTCACTAAGTTGTCGGTGAGAAATCACAGCCAATAAATCCTGGCAGGGTCCAAGCTCCTGTCACATTGAGGCTGTGGGCTAATGCCACTAACTCTGTGATTGACGCTCGAACCTCGATTCTGGACAAGATGAGGAAACACGAAGAAAGGGAATCCCGGATGAAGACCGCAGAGCACGTGGGATGCTTACATACACGTGAATAGCCTCAGGCCAGTATGGATAGTATAGCATGCCTGAGGCTAATGATACATGCCTGAGGTCAACCACGATGCGTTCCAGCTGGGAAAGAGCGTCCTGCAAGACTTCGACAATGAGACGGTCATCCTCTGGAGAGGCAATCATGGAGTCACTCTCTCCACCCTTCCAATCTCCCTGTATGTATCCAGTCTAGTCACTCATTTATCACCAATCCCTCCATATCTGCGTACCGCTCTACACCTCGTCATGGGCCAAAATGTCTCTGCCGTCAATGGCGTTCGGTCCGACAACTACTACCAACCCGGCAATGCCATCAACGAGATCTGGTTCGGCGACGTCGAGCTCATCTCTCGTCTCCCATTTGGGGACTCCGATATGGCTCAGGCGGGCTGGTCGAACGGCGAATGGCCCAAAGTCCCCTGGCACAATTTCATCATTCCGATGAAACGAGATGTATCGCCGACAACGGAGTACGAGGCACCAGTGATCACGGTTCCTGTCACTAGCCCGACTGATCAGAAGGGACTCTCGGATGAGAAAGATTCGGCGGACATGAAGGACGAACCGACCGGCCAGAAAGTCTGGTCTGGCAAGAAATTTTCCGGCAAAAAGATATCGCCTGCTTGTTCTGACGACGGGGGTGATGAAGATGACGGATGGGACGAGCCCGGCGTGCTTTCGGACGTCGGCACCATAGCCCTCATGGGCGCTCTTTCGACTGTCTCCATGGCGAGTTTTCGTCTACCGATTTACCTACGACAGCGCCCGGAGCCGACCAGCTTGGCCATGGAGCCTCATCGGACGAAGACCAAATATTACATCTCCCGTGCAGCCATCGCAACGCTCTCCACAATGGTTTGTCTGACGACGGCAATTCTGAGTCTTTTCTTCCTCATGACCTTCCGGCCGTCTTCGTCGCTGCGCGCTTGGTTTGGCCCGCTCTTTATAACCTTAATTTCCCTCATCTACACATGGGGACTGTATATTCAACTGAAAACGATCATCCCGCTCTGGAAGGATTGGAAGACCGTTTGGCGTGAGGGCGATCTTGAGATGGCGCAACCTTAGATTCTTTCCCCGGAGACGTTTGTTTTTGGTTTTGCATACCGACAACTTGGGCGGTGATTATCCTTAGCAGAACACATGCATGAGAGGAGTCTATCTTTACCATGGGACAGCTGCCAATGTTTGGCGTCCGGGCGGCCTGTTCCCGGCATACCTCACTTCATCGGAGTAAAGCCTGTTCGTTACACGTCAATTGTATTTACATAATATACATACCAGCCCGATATATACAGCTGTTCCAAGTCTAATCCTTCTTTGAAAACATATCCCGCCAGAATTGCTTGAACCCGTAGCCTTTCGCCTGGTCCTCCTCGTACACGTTCACCGTAGGAGACGTGCTAAGGGAATCAAGCAATCCGTTGGCTTTGGAGCCCACTGACTCGGGCGTGCGGGCTCTCTCGGTCGCCCGTCTCCTGATCTCCTCTGCCAAACTGGGAGCCACGTCGGCGTAGCATGCGGAGAGCTCGCGTTCCAAGTTCAGGTAAGGCTTCTGAGCAACAGGCGGTGCCTGCAAATTGTATGAACGGGCAAGTGTATTGAGGTTCTTGATTGTGAGCTCGTAGAACGACCGCTCAATTGCAAGATGCTCTGGATCTCGGAATGGTGGTAGATGCGGCAACCGGCTAGCATCTTCCGTATCAGGGATGCTCGATGTCTCTAGCGTCGAAGTATTGGGGACTTCATCAGCCAACGAGGCGGAGACTTCAGAGAGATTATGTTCCAGCTCTGTCGAAGGAGCTTGGGAGCCAGCACCACCCTGGAATGATTTCTCGATATTGGCCTTTTCAACTAGGCGAGCCTCTGCAGCAGCGTACGCTTGCGCGCGTCTGATCTGGGCCTCAAGAGACCCCCCGTGGCTGGCAATCTTTCTGGCAGCATGCCGTCTCCATTCCGCCCTGAGACGTTCGCGAAATCGACCAACCTCTCTCGCTAATTCCTGTTGTTTCTCAATCCATGGCGGTACGAGCTCCTGCTTCTGGATCATCTTATTCATGAAATATTCGGTGGTATCGATATATGCGCTGTTTGCGTTATGATCGGTCTGGGTGTTGATACCCTTCCCTCGCTTTATCCTGTCGAACTGCCCCCGAGCAATCGCATCTTCTATCCGTTCGTTCGCAAGCGATGTCAATCCTTGGATCGTGACGGGCATCGGACGCGCACCGGGGGTGAAACGTTCTCGCATCTCCTTCCGCATAGCTTCGCGCTCATGGTCCGATACCCCAGGGCTTTGACTGTGTGTATATGTCGAGGTACGTTCTTTGGCTTCGGCGAGACGGAGGCCTGCCGATTTCTTGGGCTTGGGGGAGATTCTCATATCGACGGGATTGGGTTGAGGGATTTTGTAGGGCGTCCGTATCGACTTCTTCGAGCTATCCAGCATCCGTAGCGTAACGTCGTGGAGGTTTTCCGAACCGCTCCACGGTTGGGCTCCGGCAATATCGCGAGTTCCTTGACCTGCGCTCGCCTTTGGGGTCAATTAGCACCATATTCACCGGGCCCTGCGGTTTGAGAGCTGCGGTGGAAAGAAAGAAACTTACCGGCATGTCCACAATGGAATGAGCTGTAGCATGCTCACTCTTGAAGGCGCTGCCAGCGATGCGCTCCTCCAACTCTCTCTTCAGGTCTTCCGAGAACCCCGCCTCCTGCATGTTTTTGCGCGCAGAGTGCCCCCCCTCCAGCATGGCTTGTTCTGTCATCTCAGACAGCCGTCTAGCCATCGCGCCATCTTCCTTGGTTCCCTCCCGCGACTGATTGGGCTCGATGTCATTCTGGGCTTTCGCGTTTGCATTTTGCCTCCGATACACTGTCGAGAACGGCCTTGCGACTGTATGATTCCTCGGTGCGTATAATGTCACGAGACTGTTGACATTGAAAACCCCCACATGTTTTCTGTTCATATCTGATCCGCCCAGTTGAAGTATGTCAATCGACAAACAGAAGACGAAGGTCGTTAGATTGCAAGAGTGGCGATAGTAAGAGGTCGAGTATACTTGCTCAACGGAGGACGAGCGAGACCGCGGCGGATGTTTACGTCAGCCACTTCCGCGGGCAAATTTGCCGGAACAGACGTTTCTTGGCGCCTTCACCTCCGAAGGGCAACTTTTGGCTTCCCTCGTCTGTCTCGGTTTGCGACGCTGCCGGTTCTCACCACTCCCTTTCCTTTCCTTTTCTTGTTTGGTTTAGTTTCTTGCTAGGGAATCAGCGTCCCCGGCTTCATCTCGTCAACATGCCTCCTAAAGGTGCCTCGACCAAACTCAACCCCGTCCGGTTGCAGACCATCCCTCACCTGCGAATCCGCCATCCGAACAAGAATGAGGGCAATCCCTGCCTGACGGTGATGTCGTCGATGCTGAGTACGTTTAGATCCTACCCCGCTCACTACCCTTGCTATACTGGACGGACGATTTCAATTGCGGTCGACTCGCTAGGATTTCCTACAACGGCACTCCCTGGTGCTATCGACCCATATCCAAATTAATCCAAGAGCTAACCAATCCACTACCTTCCTAGGCTGCTGGGCTTCTTCCGGCTACACCTCGGAGGGCTGCTTTGCTCTCGAACAGCAACTGAGACAATGCATGGACGCACCGGTACGTGTCTTGCTGCGAATCGAATCAATCCAACTCAACCCCCGACCGATTCTGAGCGCTCTTCCACCTGAAATACAAATCCACGGATGAATAAATGCTAACGATGTCCTCTTCGGGCGATACAGAAAAAGAAGAAGTCCGGCATGAACACCATCAACTACCACCTCATGAGAATGTACCCCAAGGTTGTTGGACCGAAGAAGAAGAACTAGATGTCGGTTTTGTCTGCGCGCAAATTGTCGGGGGTAAAACAATGAATGGGTTACTGAAGGGGTAGTGGTTGGCGTGATGGTCTCTGGTTCTAGCTAGGAGCCTTGTCTGCCTATTCGCCGCCAAGTTGATGGTTTCGAAGAAAATATCGCGTACCCGGAGTTTCTGGATTTTGATCTTTGAGGGCAAACTACGAATACATGGTTGCTGTGCGTTTCTTGAATTGTGTGAGATGAGGCAGGGGTCTCTTTCTGTATATGTTGCATCTTGTATATTATTACTTGTTATATCTTGAAAACGAGAATGTTCTTCTTTCTGAAAACCGGATACAGTTTGGAACGCAGCAAGGAAGATAATTTAAAACCGGACAGAACACTAGGCGGTTTCAAAATTCAACACTAACTTCTCCCCTCGAGGCTTGACCGTATAAGCATCGATTGCTTCGATATTGTCGTCGTCGACGATGCTGGTCTTGTAGTTGGTGTAAATCGCGGCAACTACATGTTTAATTTCTGGTGAATGAACAGGCTGTCAGCTCTGAAGCCTACAGAAAGGGAAATCTATACATGGCACTCTTACCTTGCAGGGCCAAATTACTCCCCACGCACATTCGGCCGCCACTGCCAAATGCCCAGAACCAACGCTTCATTTCCTCGATGTCGGAGGATGAGTTGCTGCTCTTGAGCCACCGTTTAGGCTGCCAGGTTTCGGGAGCCGGGAATACCTCCGCGTTGCGATGGAGCGAATAAGCTTGCGCGTTCACTCGCGTGTTGGCGGGGATATCTTCATACCCGGCCAGACTACAAGATGGTGACGGAGTCACTCGCGGTTGGATTCCGGGAATGGGGGCATGAAGGCGCAAGGTCTCCGTGACGATGGCTTCCAGGAGAGGCAAAGAGTCAACGGACTTGGCCGATGGCAGTCCGGCGGAGGTCGAGGGTCGAGGATACTGGATTCTCGGTTCTAGGGTAAGAAGTTCTTCGCGCAGTTCTCGCTGCAACTCGGAATGCTGGGAGAGTTCCCATAGGAGATAGGTTAGCGCAACGGCGCTCGTCTCGAATCCGGCCGTGAGTTGATCATATAGTTCACAAGCGATATCAATTCGCTCCTGCTCGAGACTCTCCTGATTTCTCTTTGTGCCGGAGGATTGTTTCGCCATTGCCTGCTTGAGATGCTTGTACACGACAGGCTCAATGTTCAGATCGGTCAATTCCAGATTTTGCTCTGCCTTGTCACACATTCCTAGGCACCATGTATCGAGTACCTCATTGGCTTCGTCGCACCATGAGGGGATCAAACGGATCCCGAAAAACTTGAGCCAGGACAAGGTGTTTGGAACTTCTTGGTGATAAAACTCGAACTTCTTTCTGGAGTGATAGAGTGACAGTAGGTTTTTCCGATAAGCTGGATCCTGAAGGAAGTTGGTCCCGTTGGCCAAGCCAAATAGATATGCCGACACGAAATCCATCGTGACGCCCTGATTGAGATCGTACATTTCAATGGGAGTCTTGGCCGCCACAGCTTCCTGGATCATGGGCAGGAATCTGTCAAAGATGATGGTTTCGGAAATCAGACGCATGTGAGGCGATGACTGCAAGTACGACTTGCTATAGATATTCGACAACATCCTCTTTCGAGTCGAATGAACCTTGCTTCCAGTCATGGTGAACATGCTGACTGTTCTGTATAGGCGTCAGTTCTTGGTACTATCTATTGCTGCTCGTCGGATGTACCGAGCGCGAGTGGATCGTCTCTTACCCCAGGGATCCAAAGACCCGCGGATACCATTCATGTTTTTCAAACCCGCCCGAGTAGACGGTCTTGATGCCGTCCTCCACACAGTTGATCGATATCTCCGAGGGGGTCAGCCTCACAATCGGCCCTAGCCTCTCATGGGCCGCATGGATCGTCCGGTTGTTTTCGCTTTGGAATCGTTTCCACAGCATCCATAACGGGGAAACCGGGGCTGTCCAATGGGCATTCGGGATTTTCGACAATGAAGACAGAAAGACCGGATGCAAGATGTACTTGTAGAGCAAGAAGAGCACCAGGGAGGCGCTCACTATAGCGGTCACCGGGGACAGGGCCATGATGATCACTCCTCAGGTTGAGTCCTAGGGTTTTCTTTCAGGTTTCTTTCAAGGATCAGGCACTGAGGACCCTTATCTACCACGGGGGGCACCGCTAATTTCCCCAGTTCGGTTCGATAAAACCTTCCGATAGGTTGGACCTGCCATTAGGAGAACAACTCCCCCGCAAAAAAAGAGAGAAATCCACTTTAGTAATGGTCAATAGCGAGTCGGTCATCGGTCGACGCAAGCACGATCCGAGATCCATCGTGATTAAGCGATAAGGGCCCGATGACATAATTCCCGGCCACTGTTCGGCTTTTGTCGCTGGGACATTGGATATCGATTCCATCTTCCTCCCTTCTTGTGCAATTTCAAGAGAAACTAGTGGCGAATATCTTGAAAAGGTGACTGTTTGTCCTCTGAGTCATTCTACAAGAGCCTTGCTTACCATATGGGTGTGAAGATCCACACACTATGGGACTATGAGTCGTCAATCGCATCGTTACAGGGCTTAACGTTGTGAACATCCCACAGTGCCCTACCTCAACAGGCAGTTCTTCACGTCTTGTTGTTTTGACTTGTTTATTTAACAATCCTACAGCTGTGGTGTGAGCTTCCTTGCTGTCTCAGCAATTCCAAGGAACTGCTCATCGTTTCTTTCTTTCTCACGTCATCTTCTCAAAAATCTTGCATTTCTTCTTATATATTTCACACTCTATACATAGAGAGCCCATCGGCATATCCCGAGACCAGAAAAATGCTATCTCTTCTTCCAGCTGAGATAGTGTATGTTATTGCCAGTTACTTGCCCACTGCAAGTGCTCTGGTGAATCTTTCACAAACCTGTCGACGCCTGTATGCTTTCTTCTCCACTGAAGATTGGCGCATTTTCCGCGCTTTTATTCAGCACCGCTTTCCTGGCATTGATACTCCTCCGTTCTGGAAGGATGCGACTCAGGCCTTGACCTCCCGCTCTCGTGCCTTGGATCGAAATGCTGCCATCGGTCGATTTGTGTTGCCTTCTGCCGGTCTGGCGAGAATCGGGACGCATCAGTCCATTAGACAGGACAACCCCACGCATGGTTATTGTCCCACTGTCGATTGCTATGAAGTATGGAATGGCGACAGATGGGAGAACCGACAGGAAACGGTGGCCTGGGGTGCTGCCCATGAACTGGCCGTGGGTATCAAACAGTTCGGACCGGACAAAGATGAGAAATGGTTTGTATTCAATGATTTGGAGAACACCAGCAGCCACGATGATATCTGCGGGTTGCATCTTTTGAAGCCTGGCCATTATGCAAAAGAGGCCAATAAAGAGCACTTGATCTTCGGTCGTATGCGTGGAGATCTCGTTCACATAGCAATCGTCCCTGGTGATGGATCCCTCGAAGTCAAGCAGAGATTCCTGACGAATACTGCCGGCATCCAACATATCGACTTGAGTGACGGACCCGAATCAGTTCTTGCGGCACACTACCTTGATGGTACCATCGGATTTTTTCCGACTACGTCTCGGGAGGAAGTAGTGAAGCCATTCGCTGCTATCTCTATTGAAGAAGAGAATGTTGCACGTAACAAGTGCTCACGATTTCTGTCGTCGGACCGCTTTGCCGTGGCCACTGGACGACTTGACGACGCGCTCGTGATTTCTACTATCACTTCTCAAAGTGTGACAGCTGGCCGCCGGATCGGTGTGGATGACTTGGATCTTGACGACCAGGCTGCCCTCGCTCCAAAGACCAGCGTCAGTGCCATTGCACCGTTGAATGTGCCGTTCTTCGGAGGCACCGAAGGAGACACATTTCTTTCTTCTTGGGGTGACAACGTGATCCGGTAAGTTCACTCGTTTGAGATTCTCGTTCTTCGGGTTATCATTTACTGAATTGGGCCGATTGTGCAGGCTTCATGACCTCCGCTCAGATAGGACGTATGAAGCAGCATATCGAGACATCACCGACTCGAATCCGGTTTATTGCATTCATCCTTTCACCCAGGATAAGTTCGTCGTTGGTGCTGGGGGAGATGCTGTCCTTAAGATCTTCGATCTGCGCATGCCCAGAACTTACGACTCCCTCGAGGCCAGAGGTTCTGTTCTGAGTGCCCCTAACCAGCAGCCTTCCAACAAAAGTCACATCAAAGCCGCCAAATCCCCCCATCTAGACCTTACTATGTTCCTCTCATACCCGCCTCCACATGCACAAGGGTTTTCAAATCCGGGTCGTGCCCGCGGGCGCGCAACCCGAAATTATCGTGGACCGATCTATAACATGTCTTCTCCCTCCCTTCTCTCACCGACCATCTACGCCGGTATCGAGGACGCAGTCGTTCGGCTGGACTTTGTCTCCACGGACGACCTCACGGGTCCCCGCCAGTCCTGGTATCAGGAACTCATCGACCTCGATTTGAGTATCGAAAACAACCCCGCCACCCTGGACCACGTTCTCAATCTCTCGGGCTACGAACGCCCAGACCCTAGAAACACCACGCATCTCCCGCCGCTGCGCACCCAACAGCCCTTCAGAGCTGTTGGGGATGATGACGTCGCGAACGAGTCGGCTACGGGATGGGATCGTCGATGGACGCGCGTGGAGACCGGCTCTTGGAGACGTCGTGATTAGAGAAAAAAAAAGTTTTGCCATTATGACTCTTGGTGTTTCTTTGTGATCCATGATACCCAAGGTTTTGGTGATTAGAATATGTCTTTGGAATATCTCTCATTTGCGCGGACATGGCTGGCCGACTCCGGGTATAAATAGTTAATATGTTTGATCTCATTTTAGAACGGTAGAAGGCTCGGCAAGCGTACTGGTGCTTTTTGTTATAAGGAACTAACATATAATTACGTGCATCGACGAATTGGAGACGCAATGCACCCGAAAATGAATGGGTTAGAAAAACGAGCAGATAGCTTGCGTTGCTATATTTATTTCTCTAAGTATAGAAGAATGCAAGTCGACCCAAGCTCCATAAGCGCCTTGCTTTCGAAGCGAAAATCATGAAGAAAGGCCTAAGACATGCAGGCAGATCTATATCTATTTTGTTCGGAAATTAAACCTTTCTTTTAACGAAACAGGGGATTTTAAAAGAAAGAGCAAGATATAGAAACCGATAGAGAATTTAACTGAGAAATAGAAAAACAAAACACCTCATTTATGAAACCAAATGGACGAGCTTGAACGCAACGAAAAAATAGACTTTCAGTCATCGAACTTGAAGGACTTGCCTCCGGTGATATCAATCGGCCCTCCACGGTACGAGCCGCGCTTCTTCTTGTTCTTCTCCTTCGTGAAGCCCTTGCCACGGGTGACGATCAAGTCGTTGTAGGCCTTCTCGGCGTACGCGTAAGGCACGTAGGTGTTGGAGGGATGGTGGTCGTAAGGCTGTTCACTGAGCAACGCCAACGGGGTGGGACGGGCGCCAGTGTGCTTTCTCGGGGCCGCACCATTTCTAGGAGCAGGGCTGGCGCTCGACGAGCTAGTCTGTTGAGCCTGCTCCAGCTTGTCGGAGTTCTCAAGGGTTCCGCTGGTGTCACTGGTGTCCTTTTCGTTGGAATCCGAGGACGAGTCATCGCTGGATCCGCTTGAGCTCGAATCGGAAGGGGGAAGTGGTGTCTTGGCCGCCTTTTTCAGGACTTTCTTGTCGTCTTCGGATTCGGAGGAAGAATCGGAAGAAGAGTCGGACGAGGAATCAGACGAGGAGTCGGATGAGGAATCGGATGAGGAATCGGACGAGGAATCCGAGGAGTCGGAGTCAGAGTCGGAAGACGAATCAGATGAAGAAGAGCTAGACGAGTCGCTCTCGCTGCTGGAAGACGAATCGGACGAGGAGTCCGAGGAAGAAGATTCGGAAGACGAAACCTTGGTTTTCTTGGTCTTAGGGGCCTTCTTAGAGTCTGATTCGGAAGAGGTATCCCATTCGGCCTTGCGCTTGGTTCCTTGCTGCTTGAAAGCAGTAGAAGATGCAGGGGCGGCCTCATTCTCATCCTCGTCGTCAGCATCACTCTCGGAGCCCGAGGACGAAGAAGACGAAGACGAAGACGACGACGTGCTGCTTGAGCTGGAGGAAGACGCCTGGTTCTCCCAGTTCTGGAAGATCTCCAACAATGAAGGCACATCCTTCGCATCGCTCGAAGATTCGATAGACTTAGCAGCCTGTTCCTTCGCGAAGGCGGTACTTGTTTTCAAGAATCCGAATTCGGTCAGAAAGGCACCGACCGAGGCGATCAGTTGAGCGGGAGGAGACTCCGCATTTTTCACCTGTTGGATTAAGAGTGATTATTAGTGACGCTGTTATCAAATCCTTGAAAACTGGATTTTCAGTACCTTCTTGTCCTTTCGCACAGCCATGGTGACAGAGATGTGAGCAATTCCTGAGGTGAGAGCGTGAATGTCGTGAGAAGTGTTGGTTCACCCTGATCGAGAAGGTGAAGTAGGGAAAAAAAAAAAAAAAAAGAAAAAAGAAAAAAGAAAGCAGAAAGAAACAGAGAAAAAAGGCGGTCAAAGGAATGTGATGAGCCCATTGGACGGATGTCGGACTCGGTGATGGGGACTCACGTGGACCCCCCGTGATCTGGAGGTACGCCATATTGAAGTATTGAAGTGCCTGGACGGTTTGCCTACATGTTATTTATATAGCGTCATATATGTTGATAGATAAGATTTGCACTATACTTCGAATAAATATTCTAGGAATCGAAAACCTCACTGCCCGACCTCCATTCCACATAAATATCAGTCGGTACTGCCAGTCTGACTGACTGAAACGGCCACGAGCTCTCCGCCCTCCAACCTGTTAGTCCCACTGGCTGATGAGCTAATTCCATTCCCTCCGACCTACGATTTGCTCCTCATTCCTCCGTCGACTCCAACTTCCGAGCGCCGGCATATCAATCGCTCCTTTCGCTTTGCTCGACAATTCGGCAGAATCTCTTACTCGAGCACCATATCCTGCGAGGATCGACCCGCCGACGTCGCCTCCTTCTCGAGTACAACGCGCTGTTGTATTCCGTCCGCCTCGCCCGATCATGTCCATTTAGCCCTCCTGAGTGATCCCGGCTTCTGGAGACTGAGAAACAATGATGAACGGCCGCGATCGTCCAAGGGGCCCTCCGCCAGGCGATCTACCGCCCCCTCAGAGAGACCCGCGTCGAGGCGGTGATGGTCGCAACGGGGGGATGCCTGCTCCCGGTGACGCCTCTATGTCGAGGGCCGAGAAGTTCGAAGACGAGAAGAAACGAATCATTCAAAGTTGCTTCGCCAGGAAAGACAATGACGGTTCATGTATGTGGTTTGCCTCCCCGCGCGTGTTATCGACGTTGTTTCAGCAATTGTCATGCCCCAGTCTTCAATGTCCGGCGTAGTAAGGCTTAGTTAAGGTGGTCGGGCTATCATCTCTTGCCGTCGGCTACGCGCTAAACTATGACCACTCTGGACCTGGAAGACAGAGGCAAACGGATGATTGAAAGCGCATTGGATCTGGAAGAACTGTCAGCTAACATCTCTCTCTTTACCCCCCGCAGTGGTTGAATCCTACATCACACATGTTCGCATCTCGGAAGATGCTGCCTACCCGTCCACCCCCGCTCCGCCGACTTCTCCCCCGGAGAACAAGAAACCACGAGTGATCATTGTTGCAGTGAGAAGGTCCGGGCGGGTGCGCATGCACAAGGCTAGGGAAAACAACGACGGAACGTTTTCCATAGGCAAGACGTGGATGCTTGATGACCTGTCGTCAATTCAATCGTATAGTGCATGGACACCAACATCCCCGATGGAACAGCAATATAAGCAATGGGCATCAAACGTGGGATTTTTGGTCAATGTCGGAAAGCCTTATTATTGGCATGCGAGAACCTCCAAGGAAAAGGAGTTTTTCATCGGCAGTCTCGTGAAGATCTACAGAAAGTACACCGGAGGCAAAGTGCCGAACCTCATAGGCTTCGATGATCGTGAGCGACAATTACTTGCCGGATCATCGTCTTCGGGAACACCACCTATGGGTCCACCAGGTGCGAACGCAAGAGGTCCGGGTCCAGGTCCAGGTCCTGCGCGCCCTGAGCGCCCTGAGGTGACTATTCCACCACCGCGTCCGGTTTCACCGCAGGGCGGTCGGCCTCAGTCCCCTTACTCAAGTCGCGCACAAAGCCGGGACGGTCCCCGTCGACTGCCCTCCGAAGAACACTCTTTACGAGCCCAGAGAAGTCGAGAGCAAATGACCAGGCCTTCTACCGGCAATTCTGGGAGAAGTGGTCCTTCGCCGTTTGCGCCGCCCCAACACCCGCCGCCGCCGCCGTTTCCCGTTGACCAACGGAGTCAGCCACCACCCCGATCAGCCGATCGTATGGCCCCTGAGAATAAAATGCCAAAGGGCCCTATGCATCTACCACCTGAATCGGCGAGAGGTAAAGATATCCCTGGCAGCTTACTAGCCGCATCTCCTACGGGCCCACGGGAAAGACCCAGCGGGGATTTTGAAGAAAGCAAATCAGTCGCTTCTCAGCCGGATTCCCGGCCTCCGTCGTCCCGTGATCAAATGCCTTTGCCTGAACCGAGACCCATGCTTCGCTCGCATGATTCGAGTTCAAGCTCTCCGGATCCCGGGCGTAATAAGGACAGTCTCCGGCCAACAACCCCCAAAACACCCGCTGCTGAAAGTCAGAAAGTCACTCAAAGCCCGGGAAGCCACCGGGGATATCCCGAAGGACCCCCGAGACTGCCTTTCCTGGAGACGCAATCGGAGCCTCGGGATAACGACGGTTCGGAACTGTCATCCGACTTGCCTCCTGAAGTAGTTGCAGCAGCAGTGCCGCCGGCATTGAAGCCTGCTTCATCTGGAGCTAGCAGTGCTCCAGCCACGGCCGACCCAGTCGATACCGCAACTTTAGATGACGCCAAAGAACTAGAACCCACCGAACCCACGCCAAGCAATGCTCCTGTATCTCCCATCTCAAGCCCGCCTGAGCCATCCTCGCCCTCCGGAGATGGTGCTCTAGATGCCCATCGACCCGGACTTGGCCCTATGATCAAGAAGAAGCAAAGCAAGGACGTGGTAGGGGCGTTTCGCAAGCCCGTAACAAACCAGGCTCCTTTCAAACCGAGACCAGGAGGAGCTGGCCAGAGGCTATTGGCAGCGGCAAAGAAGCAAAAAGCTGAAATGAGCGAGCCCGATGGAATCACTGGCGTGGTGCCAGCCCCATTCCTTCGGTCGAATCAAGAACCTGAGAATGCTGCCACGCCCGAGACGCCGGAGCAAGAGACTCCTCCCCCAGTCCCCACAACTTCGCCACCGACCGCATCTCCGGCAACGGAACCACCGACTGTGGAAGTGACCCAGCCCGTCGCGGATGAGGCTCCTGCTGTGCCGGTGTTGGAAATTCCGGAAGAACCTAGAGACACCTCGAGGGCTGCTGTTAAGGTGGATGTTGATGAACGGGCTAGATCGGTGTCCCCTTCACCCCACGATCGCCGTCGCAGACGTCATGAAGACAACACCATTAAATATTGCCAAGCACTTGGTATTGATGCCAGTGTTCTTGAAGGTCGTGGGGTCGATTTCGATGACATCTTGACTGACCTTGGTTGGAACGGGCGCTTGAACGACGAGAAGAAGATCGAGGATCTCGAGGCGGATATCCGTCGTGAAATCGGACGTGTAGAGGCTACCAGCTGGCTTGGTAACCTTGAACAGCAGGAGGGTAAAGTTGACCAACTTGCTAGATTGATTGACAAGACTATTGAAGAGTGTGAAGAGCTGGATAATCTTCTTACTCTGTATTCGCACGAACTCAACGTAAGCCCACTCCCGAACCCCATCCTATGCCTTGTCTTCAAGGATGTTTCCCGTCGAAGTCTTTTACTGATCTTAGAGCAGACCCTCAACGACGATGTGGCATACATAGAGACGCAATCTCAAGGGTTGCAAGTGCAAACCGCCAACCAGAAACTTCTCCACAATGAGTTGCAGAATCTATTGAAGACCTTGTCCATTTCTTCGACCGATCTGCGATCACTGAAGGAGGCGTCTCTCAGCAACCCAGACGGGCTGAGAGACACCGAGATCGCATTATCCACATTGTACAAAGCCATGCTTATGATTGACTCCAACATCTGGCAGAATAAGAGGCGACTCGTTGACAGCGCAGGCGAGGGCAGTGTGGGTGTGTATGCCGACACAGAAATCGGGCAGATGCGTGCAATCAAAGAAAAGAAAGAGGAATACCGCTTCCAGTCACACACCTTTTTGCAGAGGCTCAAACAATTCATGGCAATTGCCTACAAGGCGGCAGAACAGAAGAGGGTTGATGCTGCAGCGAATACCTCTAAGGATCCTCGGAAGCTTGACAGCGAGGCCAGAAACTATTTCCGGAGGGAGTTGTGGTTGTATAGTGCCTTGATGCTATTTGCGAGAGAAATCAGCGGGTCGGAATGGCACGCTCTTATCTCCCTCTATGAGCAGCAGGCGAGACTCCCGTACCAGAACGAATTCAGGGATAATAGCCTGGCATGGAAACGGGCGGCGAGAAAGCCCACGGGAGAGGAACAGGAGCTCCTGTTCACTCATCAAGAAAAGGAGAAGGAGAATGAGGGTATCACAATGGCGGCCCGCAAACTGACCGTCAGAAGGGGCAAAACCACGAAAGCCGCCCCCGGTGCGCGACTTTCCTATGGTGATAAGCAGCACGGCCGGCTTGAACCTTGCGAGGTTTTCGGTGGTACGCTACATGAGACTCTGAGAATGATCTCGGAGGAGCAGAACTTCATTCTGCACTACTTCCACTTAAGCTCTCTCTCGAGTGTCGACTTTCCTGATCTGGTTGCGTCTGCGAGCCCCGACATGCGTCGGCTGCCGGATTTCAGCGTAAACCAATCGCACGATCCCGATCGAGGAATGGCAAAAAAGGTCGAACAGATCATGGACGAGCTTTTCGCATTCTGGCCAACCGATATGCAAAACCTGGTGGATTGGGCTCTTCATGCCGATCCCTTGTAAGTGCCTATGCCTTGAAAGTATGATTTACCCTCACCAAGCTAACTACAATGTACAGACAAGGAATTGGCATCTTGTTCGCCTTGGAGAAAGCTATATCGAGATTCGACGAGACCAATCAAGACTTTATCATCCATTCTCTTCAGAAACTGCACTCCCGCCTGATCGGCCTATTCAACCGCTTTGTGGATGAGCAGATTCGTGGCATCGAAGACACCAAGGTCAAGATAAATAAGCGGAAGGGGGTCATTTCGTTCATGCGAGTCTTCCCCCATTTCTCGGTGGCCGTGGAGAACATGCTTTCCCAACCGGCACCGGAGCTCTGCGATATCCGAATCAGTGTCAACGAGGCCTACAATCGTATCAACCAGGCCATGTGGGAGTCTCTGAAGTTCATCGCCAAGGAGGCACCAGGGCAACCCACCGGAGCCGCCGCCGCATCAGGCGACCCGGAGGATAAGGAGATTCTCAATTATCATATTCTTCTGATCGAAAACATGAACCACTACATCGAGGAGGTGGATGTCCGAGGGCTTCCCGTGCTAGAAAAATGGCGCGACCGAGCGCATCAAGATTTCCAGGAACACATGAAGCTCTACCTGGACTCAGTGATTCACCGACCCTTGGGCAAGCTGCTGGAATTTGTGGAGTCTGCTGAAGGGTTAATGGCGGCGAGCAGTGACCGAACGGGCATTGCCAGCCGCCCTAGCCACTCCCGGTCGGTGGCAAAGAAGGTGTTGGGCACGTACGATATCAAGGAGGTTCGGCGAGGGATTGAATTGCTCAAGAAACGAGTCGAGAAGCACTTTGGAGACGCCGACGATCCCGGACTCAGCCGAAGCCTGGTGCTGAAGGTGATTCGGGCATGCGAAGGCCGCTACCAGGAGGCTCACGACCGCACTCGACGGGTTCTCACTGCGGTGTACGAGGGACAGTTGGACCTGGAATGGAACAAGGAGGACCTGATGACAATGTTTAGGAAGTAGTTGGGATCCCGCGGTTTCTCTTTCTCTTTTCCTTCTTATTCTGTTTCTCCATCTCTTCCCCTTTTCTTATCTCTACATATCCTTGTATCATTGTCATCTTGCCATCACCCCTTCACCGCTACGATTTTTGTTTTTGCACTTGTATACCGGGGGCGGTACGGAAGGAGCATTTTCTTTAATTCGGTGGATCATAGATCGGGGCGCTCGGGTTGGATATGTATTGCATCTGGTTTCCTCGCTCGACGAGATCTCCTTGCTGTTGAATAGTGACGGTGCGTGTCAACGAGACCGGCTAGTCACTAGCCCCAGTCTACCACGATCTGGGGAGTCATAGCAGGCTCTTACGCTTGTCGTCCCTCGTAACTTGTACCATGAAATTTATAGTTCTACTGTCAATGATAGGACGGCCTTTTTCCCAGGGAGGACGGGGACGAAGTCGAAAACCGAGGATCTACAGTATCTGAAACAGCAGAACCGTGGGAAGCCCGAGTAGTGGGCCGGCGCCAAAGTGCCTAAACTATGGCTATTCTTGATTTCTTATCCCAGTTTAAGGCTTTAGGTTAATTACGTACCCTAATTAGCGGCCCTGAACTACCACTAATCATAAGTAATAATAATAAGGAAGAGGAGTCGAGGTGAAGGGATCCATGCAGTGGCCTGGTTCAGGGGGAAGAAGGCACACGAATCACACCCCGTGAATGATGGATCATAAAACAGAAAAAGAAAATACAGCTGCAGTAGTTCAACGTGCTGAGATGAAACCGATTCTGCGGAGGGGATCCAAGGCACTGGAAACTGGAGACTGCGAGGGTTGAAGAACTTGATGGATCAACTTTGGATAGGACTAGTATTTAGTAGTAGAACGGAGGAGTGATGGAGTAGTATATCGAGTTTGTGATAATAATAATAACAGCAATAATATTATTACTACAGTCAATAATAGCAGCCATTAAGGGATTAAAGATTGGGTGCCTTAGGGGACTAGCCTCAGGCACTAAGGACCATCTCCGCCGCGAATTCGTTGATTTTCTCGATCTGCTCAGTCCAGACTCTCTCCATCCTTCAATGCTCTCTCGTCGTTCAATCTTCCTCCTGTCATCTTCGCTTGACCTTTCTTTTCTTTGCCTGTGCCACCGCCGTTGGCCCGGACTCATTGACCTCCATTGGGTACGTTCACCCTCTCTTTCCCCCCTCTGTCCGTGTTTCTCCTCCCCTCCCCCTTCTTTTGTTTCCCATTCTCCACAGTTCCTGCCAAGGTGAACAATTGATGGTTGGGCTCCACAGGCCCGGCCATCCACTGCCTGCTAGGGGGGCAAAAAAGGGCCATGGGAAGAAATTGGACAGCCCAGGGAGGATGGGCCAAGTGAAAGAGACGCGAAAAAAAATATTAGTGAACAGTCAATGATCCAGAATCGCTTGTGGTGATAAACAGCTTGTCCATATGCTTTCTTCGCGTCCCCTTCCCGTGCAACTTCAACTCCCCTGATGGGACCTGCCCCAGTTACCATTATTTTCGTGCGAAGTCACCTTTCTGTCTTTAAACTACGGAGTACCTCTGCTAATAACTAAGGGTGGATTTAGTGATGGACTTTTAGTGGCCCTCTCCTCCCACCCCCCTTTTAAACATACCAACTCAGCGACCTACCCTCGTTTGCTACCAGATTCAGTCCCCTTTGGGAATCGCCCACATTCCTTCTTTTCCTTTCTTCAAGCGCCGATAACGCGACCGACCACTGCATGTAGCGCCCCATTTCTCGATCAGGACTGAATTCCAGTTTAATCTCCCCCCTTCTTTTCCCCTCCTTTCCAGTCCCCGCTTCCATTCCTTACGGCCATTGTGACGACCGCTGCGGGGTGCGCTCTGGACGGCCGCCTCGATAGCAGATATGCCCTGGAGGCCTCTGCCTCGAATCGCCTTCGCCGTCGCCATCTATCCCTTCCAACCCTCGACGCCGGCCGATTTACCTCTCGAACTGGGCGATGAATTGTATATAATTGAGCAAGGGGGCGTCAATGGAGAATGGTGTCGCGGATACCTTGTCGCTCCGCCGTCGCTGCTGGCGGGCTTGACGAGTACGAAGGGCCAGACCCTCGAAGCGCGCGTGTTCTCCGGCATCTTCCCCCGCAATTGCGTCGAGATCCGTGAGGTGCTGGGAGACGCAGATGGACAACGAGCGTTGACGAACGGCGAGCGCTCGAGCTCTGACCAGGCAGAAGAAGCTTTCGCGGGGGACATTCGACAGAGTCTGACCTCGATACACTACGACGATCCGGTGCCGGGTGAGGTGTCGGACGTTGTGATTGCGAAGAAGGGCAAACCGTCACAGATCTTCATACAGAGATTGGAGGAAAATGGCCAGCCCAGCCCCCGTTCGCTGCTCAATAGTCCCGCGCCATCGACTTCCCTTTCACACACCCCGGTGGCCGTGACTCCTCGGGATCCCAACGCCCCCAAGCCCGCTGCTCCTGTTCCGATGCTGAAGATCGGCGACGAGACCCCTACCTCCTCCTCAGAGCCTTTGGTCGACGAGATCGCGTCGTGCCTTCGGGAATGGCATTCCACCAACCTCCATCAGCTATTATTGGGCCGACAGTACAGTGTGGTGGAGGAGATGACCGGCATAGTTAGCGAACTCGATTTTGCTCGGCGACAGCTGTTATACAACGTGCTCACGGCACAGGAGAAAGAGTCACTGCGGCGCGAGGTAGTCTGGAAGCTGGTTCGGGGAAATAAGATGCTAGGCGGTGATATCATTGTCAGAGATCCTGAGCAACGGGGTCGTTTGCTGACCGGCGAGGACTCGGCCATTCAGCTGGCCAAACTCCAATCAGAAATGAGCATGCTAGACAGCAGCCCTACGCATCAATCCGATACGGCTGCGCTCCACCATCTACTCCTTGAGATCAATGCTGTTTCGGGCAATGCCCCAGGCCCGGTGACCCTCGCCCTTTATCTGTGTGTTCAATCGGAACCCGGTGTTCTTAGCCCTCTATCCGAAGCATACCACCTCTATATACCGTCTCCTGAAAAGTTCGCCAGTATGGGGCAGAGCAACAAACTGAAGACGCTCTTCACCGAATTGAGTGGCAATGATATCGGCGACGATTCGGCCAGTGGGCCAAGTCTATATCTAGTAGTAGCGGTTAGGGCGACGGAAACCGCTTCTACCTCGACAGCTTCCTCTCAGCCAAGGCCGTCGGTCTCCCGGGAAAGTTCGTCTGCGTCCAAACAATCTCCGGCAGTCAATCAATCCGTCAAAGGCAGTCTGAAGACGCGCCGTAGCATGATGTGGTCATCAAAGCCGCGTGGTATTCAGAGTGCGGAGCCGGGAAGGGAGAGTCCCCGAGGCCCTCCACAGTCTTCGGAGAGTGCGTCGAGCAGCAGGGATCGAACGGCTGGTCAGCCCGCGAAGGAGTCCACTCAAACTCGCACAGTGGGAGTCGGTCTCTTGGAGGTCTCCCAAATCCTTCGGCAAGATAAGGACGCCGAGCAAGTGATCAATATCTGGTCACCTTCTGAAGGAAGCGATGACGGCGACAGCCATACGGATGGGTTCGACGAATTGGTGCGAACGCTGCTTCCTAGCCGCACTGGGAAATATGCGCGATCTCAACGTGCTGCTCGCCTTCACATCCATTTGCAACCTTTTGTGTCCTCTGACTCGGACGCCCTGGTACGGCAAAACCCGACAATCATGCACAACGTTGTCCAGACCAGGAGAATCGGATTTTCACAGGCCCCCTCGAAACCGAGGTCTGATATCTATGTATCGATCTCACAGGCTTCGTTTCCCCCGGAAGCACTCCTTTCACATCCTCAGGCGGGGCAAGTCCCGATACCTTCGAACACGGCATTTAATAATCTGCAGCTGACACTTGAGGTGCGAGCATCGTCAGGCGCACGGATTGAGCGGTGTATTTTCCCCTCATCCAATAACACGGCCCACACCGCATGGCGGACCACAATAGTCCAACGAGGCACTCCCTGGAACCAGACCATCCGCCTGAATGTTCTCGCCGACGAGATTCCAGGGTCACACTTGATAATGAGTATCGCGGATGCCCCTGAGTTTCCCTTTGCTCTCGCTTGGATGCCCCTCTGGGATAACCAAGCTTTCATGCGCGATGGCCCTCATTCGCTGTTGCTGCATGCCTACGACAAGCATACCTCGACCATCGAGAACGGGAAGGGTGCTTATCTCACCCTGCCGTGGAGCTCACTTGGCAAGAACGAATCCGCGAAAGACGAGGCGATTACGGGACCAATGGCCACTTTGCGCCTCGAGACTCACTTGTGTAGCACCGAGTATTCGCAGGACCAGGTGATATTAAGCTTGCTTAATTGGAGGGAGCGACCGGTGGACGAGGTATTAGACACTTTGAAGCGGGTTCTCTTTGTTCCCGAGATCGAGATTGTCAAGCAGCTACGCGGTGTCTTCGACGCACTGTTTGGGATCTTGGTAGAGAACGCTGGTAATGAAGAATACGAAGACCTAATCTTCAAAAACCTCGTGACGGTGCTTGGTATTGTTCATGATCGCCGGTTCAACCTAGGCCCGCTAGTGGATAACTATGCCGACACTCAATTCAATTTTCCCTTCGCTACACCTTGTCTCCTTCGAAGCTATTCACGCCTCCTCCAAGCCAATTCGGATCCTCAACAATCACGGAGTCTTCGGGCGACATTCAAGGTCGGGAGACATGTCCTCAAATTCATCATCAACGCCAGACTGCAACAGAAGGTGAAGGAGGAGGGTATTGGCATCACTCGGGTACAGTCGACTTTCAACCGAGATCTTCATACGATCTTCAAGTCGCTTGAAGTCCTCATGAAGAATTCTTCCCCCGCTATGGTTGGAAGCAAGACGCTGGTGGTCCAACATTTCCACACGTGGCTACCGGAACTGTCCAAGGTTCTTCCGAAGGACGAAATCATCATGGTGGCTCTCAGCTTCATGGACTCGTGCAAGGATGTGAAAGGCATGCTCATCTTGTACAAATTGATTCTGATCCAGCATTACACCCGTCTAGAGATCTTCAGCAAGGGATCGGAGAGACAAAGCTTGATCACGAGCTGCGTGGGATGGTTGGCGCCTTACTGGGGAGCGACGGGCTCGGTATCCGACCTTTATCGCGACCAAGTCCGCTTGAATTGTGCGATTGTGGCAGAGTTACTGAAGGAGCCGAACCCTTACCTTTATGACTTCATGCCGCATATTGTCTCCTCATACTATTCCATCATACCTGATGGGGTGGATGACACCGAATACCTCTCGTTGCTGTTTAGCAAGTCTTTTCCGTTTCAAGTCAAGGCATCCAAGAACATACAGAAGTTCGATGAAGCCCTTGTGGAGCTCTCTGCAATCATGGCTGCGATGACAACGGTAACCAATCCCAAGAGGCCGCGACTCAAGGGGTTGGAGCTTTCTACCTTCCTATCCCAGGCGTTTGAGGTCCATACCTCAATCCTCAATTGTGAGCCTTATCCTGAGAGCTGGCTAAGTGTTCGTGTTTACAACCATCGCGCTACCGTTAAAAGTCTCGAGTATCTCTCATCTATCATGATCAACAAGTTCCTTCCTGCGCCGGATGATGCTGAGACTTTCGACACGAGACTATGGGAGAACTTCTTCATGACTCTGCTCAAGGTCGTCTCCAGCGACGTTCTGGCTCTGGAGACATTCCCCGAGCAAAAGAGGCGGGCTATCTGGAAGATTGCGGGAGATGTCCGCGAGCAAGGCGCCGACCTGTTGAACTCCAGCTGGGAGGCGATTGGCTGGGAGACTACCGACGATGAGCGGGAGCGGTTCAGACTAAAGAAACTTGGCGGCTATCAGGTGCAATATGTCCCGGGTCTAGTGGCCCCTATTATTGAGCTCTGCCTCAGTGTCCACGAGGGATTGCGGCACGTAGCAGTCGAGATCCTGCGCACAATGATTCTCAGCGAATGGAGCCTCAATCAAGATCTGTCCATAATCGAAACGGAGATCATCTCCAGCCTGGACAACCTCTTCAAGACAAAGAATATGAGTGAGGGCGTCGTCCAAAAGCTCTTTATTGGAGAACTACTTGATCACTTTGAGGAGTGTGCGTCTTTTGACGAGGACTTGTCCAATGCGGTCAAAGCTCTCATAGTGACGGTAGATGAACTGTTGGATCTCTTCGTCGCCTCCCAGTGTGGCTCCATGGGCGAAAGTTTGCACACGCTGCGGCTGATGGAGTACATGAAAGACATGGGACGAGAGGATATTTTCATTCGGTATGTCCACGAACTCGCTCAAGTACAGGCTGCGGCGGGCAATTTCTGTGAGGCCGGGCTTGCGCTTCAGTTCCATGCCGACCTTTATGACTGGGACCCTAAGCGGACGGTGCCCGAACTTCTTAACCCTGCTTTGCCCGAGCAAACGTGTTTTGAGAGGAAGGAATCTTTATACTTCACGATCATCCAATATTTCGAGGATGCCAGCGCATGGGCGCATGCTCTGGTCTGCTATAAAGAGCTCGCTCAGCAATACGAGGACACAATGGTGGACTTCGCCAAGCTCTCACGGGCCCAGAGCTCTATGGCCAAGATCTATGAGACTGTCTCGCGTGAAGAAAAGCAATTCCCGCGGTACTTCCGCGTTCTCTACAAGGGACTTGGCTTCCCCGCAAACTTGCGAGACAAGGAATTCATCTTTGAATGCCCACCAGGTGAACGCATGGCCACTTTCGTGGATCGTATGCAGCGAGAGCATCCCGCGGCGCAGATTGTATCATCCGGGGAATCCCACGATTATGAAGGCCAGTATCTACACATCAATCCTGTCAGCGTCCATCGAGACATGAGCCATCCGGTCTATCAAAGGTCCAAAATTCCGTCTTCAGTCAGAGATCATCTTCTGATTTCCGAACCTTGCCGATTCACCTCAACATTGAAGAAACATGCCCGTGGAGCAAGTGTTCAGGGACAGTGGGTTGAGAAAACCATATATACCACCGCGGACCCCTTCCCGAACATCCTCCGCAGGAGCGAGGTGGTAATCACTGAAGAGGTTGCGCTGTCACCCTTGCAAACCGCCGTTGAACGGACATGGCGCAAAACCCAGGAGCTGTCCCTTCTGCAGAGGCGAGCGGCATCCGGTGAAGACTCAAGCCTTTCCAACCTAACCGAGGCATTGGAGCAATTGTTAGACCGCAGCTCTTCCTCATCTAGCTGCGTGGCAGTTTATCGTCAATTCCTGTCCGAGACTCGCGTGGAGGACGAGATCGAGGACACCCCAACTCCAGCCGACCCCATGAAGAACGCTCTGGCCGTCGCCCTGATCGACCATGCACTGGCAATCAAGCATGCTCTTGCCATGTTCCATCGCCCTGCACACCAAGCAACCCAGGCCGAATTGATACGCCGCTTTGAGGATGCGTTTGCGCCGGAACTGTCTTCTCTCACCCCGCTGGCGCAGGACACGCCTCAGCTGACTTTGCCCTATTCTCGGACTCCTTCTGTAAATCGCAAGCCGCAGTCCATGGCGCGATCGGCCAGCCCCGAGCATGAATTGATTCGGTCGTCACGCCAGAACAGTCATAACCGGAGGCATTCGCAGAAACCCTCCGTCAGTCATCGAATCAGTGTGATGAACCCTTTCAAACGATCCAATCACGGAGCTAGCAACTCCGTTTCTACGGTACAAGGGGTGGCGGCGTCACAGCAACCAGCCGGCAACACCAAGGGGACCGAGGATGCTCATCGAGCACCTTCGCGGGCCGAGGCTTCGCAAGAGCGCGACGAGGATGCGATAACTATTAACAGTCGAACTACCAATCAATCTCGAGACACGCAATCAAAGCGGAGGAGTTTCTTTGGAGAGAAGCTACACAAGCACACCTCATCCTTGTCGGTCCCCGGTGGTAATTCCGCCGAGAACTCATCCCAGCGATCGCGAAGCGCCTCACGAGACGCGGCTGCTAAGTCCCATGAGAGCATCAATACTCCTACGTCGCAGCCGCAGCCGAACGGGACCTCTGCGGGCGAACCCTTGGTCACGAGTCCTCGATCAGGATGGTCCACTATACCTTCGATCAAAGACCATCCGCGACCCATGACGCAGAGCAGCGCCACCTCCATCAGAAATCCCGATATTGGTAGTCCGGTCAGCCAGGCGACAGGACACTCCAACGGCGGTGTACGAGACTCGGTCATGAAGCGTTTCAGTCTCTTCAAGGGCCTCAACCGGAAGGGCAGCCGTCTTGATTTTCGGTCTGACTCGAATGGAATGACAGTCCACGAAGAGTAATTTCTATCTCCTCTCCTTCGATTTTTATCCTATTCTTTGTAATGTCTGGACATTTCTTTCTTCATTTTATCTTCTCTCTCCGTTCTTATATTTTGCATTGCAGCGTTCACTACTTGTTACGCCCGGCTTGAGAACATTCTTTTGGATATTTATTTCCTTTTATTGATTTTGATGTGTGGCAACACATATTGTCTGATTTCTTCTATGTTTTCTCGGCCTGTCAAGGGCATGATATTGCCATTTATTCTCCAGATACCTGACACTTTTTTTGTCCGTTGCCGATCGCAACCTTTTTCTCTTCTCTTATATTTCCAAACACGTGGAAATGCATGTAAATTATTTGGCACCATTCTGTTTATTCGATCCTTTTTGCTTCTTGACACTTCTTTCATCGCATATTGTTGCTTATCATGTTTGGACCCTTTATACCCGTGGAGGCAAATGGCTGGTGGGTTTGGTCCCTGGAGGCGTGGGTTTATATAAGGAATAAAGCATTTGGCATTCTCATCTGTTTGAACTGTTGTACCTGATTCAAATGGCAATTGCAGGAGTGGGCACGCTAATATCAATCTCCTCAAAATCCCACGGTACTCCTCGCCATGAATATATAGTAAGGAATATGAACATATAGTAGTATTTACAATATCGAGACCACTCAGTATCCTGTCCTCAATTGCCCTCATCCAGCGGTAGATCCACGTCCACCACCCACGGCGCATTGGCCGGCTCATACTGCACCGTCACGACGCTCGCATTGATGAACAGCGTCTCCTTGCCCATGCGCAACGGATTTGGCGAGCTCTCGCTGACATCCACATACGCACATCGCTCTTCCCTGGCCGTCGACTCGTCAACCTGAATCATCGACCGATTATGCGTACTCCACTCGAACCGCCTCGCCCCGTAGCCCTCATGAATATGTCCGAACACATGCACCCGCGGCTTCGCCCTCTCCGCCGCCCGATATAGATGCTCACACCCCACACTCTCATGCCCAGGCACCACCTGATCCAGAATTCCATACGGCGGACCATGCGTCAGCATCACATCCACGCCCGGCGGGAACGTCGGCACGGGGTTCCTCGCCCCCTCAACACCCCCATACCGATCCTCTTCGCGCTCATACGCAAACGCCCACTCACAAAACGCCGGCGTATACGGCGACGCATAAACCCGAACCCTGGCCCCCGTCGTCAGGCGAAACTCCCTCGTCCCTTCCTCCAAATACCGCACCCCCGCGGCCTCCGCCTCGGGACTCGTCCACAGCGCCTTTATCGCCGCGGGGTCCTCCACCGCGCCGTCATCCTCGGCCTCCGTCCCGCCTCCTGAGATGAACTTCTCCCGGCCATACGTCGCCGACGGCGCCGTGTATCCGCTGCGATATCGGTGGCGGTAATGCCCCACGCGGTTATAGTACTCCTCGTCGAGCGTGATGTCGTGGTTTCCCGCGATCACGAGCTTCAGTTCCGCGGGGGCGTTCTTGAGCATGGAGAGCATGGCTAGGTGTTCGGAGTATCGGCCTACTTTCGTGAGGTCTCCGGCGTGTAGGAGGATGTTGGAGCTTGGGAGTGGATGCCGGTAGGGGTTGTGTGTGTCTGTTGGCGGGTTCGGGGGGAGGCTGTGCGTGTCGGAGATTAGACAGAGGCGGGTTTTGATGGTGTTGGTGGAGGGGGGCATTTTCTTTTTTCTCCTTTTTGCTTGCTTGGATGTATATATATGGTGGGAATTAGGTTTCTCAGAACTGAGATGGTTGAATGTGTGGTTGAGGAAGGGGATTGGGTTGAGAGAGTGAAATGAGGAAGTAAAGGTACCAAAGTGGAGGGAGGGTTGGAGTGGCGTCATCGATCTTCGACAGCAAAGGCCAAGCCTAGGAGGGTCAAGGGAAAGTCCTAAGATAACTACATCGGACTCCAGACATTAAAAAATCTTAAATTGAAAACAACGTAACTAAGGATCATTTCCATTTGGTTGAACAAGTTGTTCAGGAGCTTCTACAACAACAGATGCAACCCCGTCCGAAGAGAAAACCAGCGAAGAGGCCCAGATTCATAACGTATTTGAATTTCTGGTAAAAAATTGCTTGAACAAACTCCAAAGACTACCCGTTTCCACACATCCTGATTCTCTTTTTTTTCTTCTCGTTCGTTTACTTCCGGATCGCACGCTGGTAGAAAGCCAGCTCCTCACCCTCCAGGATGTAACCGTCCACACGGCCGCTCTGGCCGGGACGCGAGGCGATGACGGCGTACAGACGACCGGCCTCGAACTGTCGCTCGATGGCGGACTCGACCTTGCCGTTGTCGGCGAAGCGAGCAGCCTGCTTCTTGGTCACGCTGTTGCTCTTCTTCTCCTCGGGGGCGTCGGACTTCTGCTGGCGACGGCGACCGATGGGCTGGCCGTAGTGGGCCTCGTACCATTGACGGAAGGGAGCGGCATCGATCTGGACAACGGCGGACTTGGTCAAGGTGTTGGTACGGACCAGCTCGTTGTTGGAGGGGTGGTAGGCCACGACGATGACACGGGTCTTGCGGGAGATTCCCTCGGATCCCCACGAGAAGTTACCGGCCTCGAGACGGAGACCACGGAACTTGCGGTTACCACCGCGGGTACGGACGAGATGGATTCTCTTGGTACCGATACGGGTGTTGGAGGGCTGACGACCCTTCTCGAAGGCCCTGAATTGCAGATAAAAAAAAACCGTCAGAAACTTTGGATCGCCGGATAACCATCACGATGTGGGTTCGCAGCCGGTTTCATACCTCTTCTTGCGGTAGGTGGCCCTCTTCGCACCGGTAGCCGAGCGCTTGTGACGGGAGTCGCGAGAAATACCCATGTTGTCGATGTATGGACTAGATGAGATATGGGTATTAGTGGCTGATAAGAAAGATTTTTCTTGTCCGCGGTCTTTCAATCTCCTTCTTCTGTTCCTGCTTTTCTGCTTTCCGTTGCTGTGCGCGTAGGTCGGGTGTGTAGACGAAATGAATCGAGCGTTGTGAACAGAGTCGCAAAGTCCAAGAAAATTCTCCTATCTTTCCAGACCGTTGTGTCGGAGGTGAAAAAACAAAAGCGATGTCGATGTCGATGTCGACGATTGAAATTTCTTTATTCTTGTCTTTTGTGAACCTTCTCGTCCTTTTCGACGTTTCGATCCCAATTCCGACTCGAATTGACGCTAAACGAGACTGACCACGGCGCACGACGCAGGGAGCGAGAACCAACAAAAGCAGGAACAACAAGGAGATATCGAGGACGGAGGATATCACAAGAAACTCACCTCTAATCCTGCAGCCCTTCACCAGGAACGCAGCGGGCAAGGGTCGTTGGGGTTGTCGTCGAGGAGTTGAACTGCTGGTCGTCGGACTCTCGTGAATTTCGCACTGTGGCTCGCTTGTGTCGAAGGTTGCCCTATTCCACACTGCGCTAGTCCGGATAGAGATTAGCAGCGTGTCCCGTGACTTCGCGTCACGGGGCTGGGCATCGCTTATGTCAGCGCTTCGGTTTCCCTTTTGGTCGACCATGGGTGCTTCTTAATCTTAATCTTAATATTCTTGCTCTTCCACTCTTCGAATTGGGTTCTCTAACTACTAAGCCCTATCTACACATCCCTCCTCTGGTCTCCTACTGACTGTGTTCCTTCCCCCCTTGCTTCTCCCGCACCATCGCGTCAAACCGTATCCATGCCCCAAATCCCTCCACCACGGTGGATAGCACCCAGGCGATCCATGTCACTGACAGGAAAGGCACGCCGTGTGGCTTCAACCGCTTAACGGCCAGCAAAGTTGCCTCGATGACATGCGCCCCGATGAGGAAGATGAACACCGGGGGCTGCACCTTGTAGCAGAACCGGGCCATCGCGGGGAAACTGCCCAGCCCGATCGTCTCGTAGACCAGCGACCCAGGCAGGAAGTTGTCGCGCTGACAGAATCCCACCATCGCAGCGAGGCACACGGCAAATCCCACCGCGCCCATGCCCCGCGGTGCGCGATACTCGTTGATCGTAATGTCCGAGAGTCCCAGCTTCTGGAGACACTCCTTGTGCATGGCCACGACTCTGCCACGGGTCTCGGAGAACGAGGCCATGGGCGGATCGAGCGGCACGGTGTAGCGCGTGCCTCGGGCGCTGAGGAGTAGATCGGACAGACTGATATCTTCGAGTCGAGCGGATTTGGCCTCGGACGTCGAGACGTGGCAGTAGACTTGGAGGTACATAGCCAGGGACTTTTGGTGGTCGGCGTTCATGTGTTTGATGATGAAGTTCTTGGTAGTGTTGGCGGACTGATCCGCAGCATTGGAGGGTGCCATGGTGATTGTTCAATTTGTGACTGACAGGGAAAGAGAGATGGAGAGAGAGAGAGATAGAAGATGAGAAGCTGGAAGGGAATGGTCTCCGTAGAGCAATTGTACTTCGGGACTCGACCGGAGCGAGGATCTTTCGATCTCCGCCAAGAATCCGGCCTCGGCTTTGCGATGGGAGCTTAGCCGTCGGCTTCTTCTGCCCACATGTGCTTGGGTCGAAGTATGGAGTATGGAACGCCGTGTGGGAAGAAGGAAAACTGCAATATCCTTATCGAGGATCACCTCTCGATCGACGGGCACGTTGAATCTCGTGCGCCACGTGATGGTCACCCTTCCCTTCCCATCCCTCTCCTTCTCCATCTCTCTCGTTTCCTCTCCATCGCAACTCAGCGCATTGAGCTGTCCATCAACACATCTTAATCTCATCGACCAGCCTGGAATCACACAAGACCGAACGGTCACTAATCATTAGCCTTCAGCATGGTTGCCTTCGACCCACATCTACTACGGCCCTAGTACGGAGTAGTCAAACTTCTATTTATCGACGCTGGTCGGCTGGGATCATCGAGAATATCAATATTATCAAATTAAAAGAAAGAAGTCTTTCCAACCTAATGTCAAGAAATCAAAACACCGGAGAAACCGATCAATCATGCTAGCAGATGGAGTATAATCACGCACAACACGCATCAACACGAACAGCCGAATTCTATCGGAAATCGAAGAGGCAGAAGAACAGAAAACATAGGATGTCAAATCGCGGTCAACTGTTCATGGCTTTCATCACAAAACGAATACATAAGAAAGAGAGAAATAGAAGGGAGAATTCCATGACACGCAGGTTCGTCGAATGGCCCACGACCAATGTGCAACTCGGATGTCGGTCATTATGCACTGCATGGGTAAGAAGTGGTCAACTCCTATTCAATTCTTAGAGTGCCTCATGGAATGGAGGTACGACGAGGCTAAAGAAAAAAAATAACTTACAGTAAGGATAGGGTCAGGTCGCCGTGAATGTGCGCCTTCAGTTCCACCTCGATCTCGAGGTTCAACTCCAGGGTCAGTCGGAGGCCGTCGTCTTTCTCCTCGCCGCCCTTATCGACGGTGTTCATCGCGCCGTTTTGCACGTCCTGGCTGCTGATGCCTTGGTTGGTCAATGACTGCTGGCCCCGCTTGAAGGGCTGCATCGCATTGCCCGGCACCTCGTCGTCGGCCTCTTCATAGTCATCGTCGTATTCGTCTGTAGAATAGTCGTCGGACAGATAATCGTCCTCATCGTCAGCAGGGCGTCTTTGTTGGTTTTGTTGACGCCGTCGTCGTTGCTGCTGCTGCTGCTGTTGCTTTTGACCGGGCTTCTGAGGGGCATAGTCGTCTTCGTCCCCAGAAACCGAGTATTCATCCGATTCGTAATCGTCCGAGTAGTCGTCCTCTTGCTGCTGAAAGGGCTTTTGCTCCTTGGGCTTCTCGGCGGTTGCGGTTGCCATTGCGACCTTCTGAGAGCGGTCCTATGGGTTTCTGATCAACAGCACACGGGATGACAACGAATGAAAGACAGCTGCGACCAGACTGTGTTCTTGTCTGAAACTAAGAATGAGTGGACAAGAAGAGGGAGGGAATAATGACTCGGGAAAATTAACAGGTTCAAGACCGGGGAAGAGGAGGGGGAAGAAAATGTGATGGATAGGAAAAAAAGCCGGACGAGAGCAGACGAGCCAGACACCTTTTGTCTACTTTTCCCCTTCCCCGAAGATGGGCAGCCATCTCTAACATGCATGGCCAAGCCCATGACGTTGTCCTGCAATGCATCTGTCCAGAAATCCCACCCAACAATCAATCGGTGATCACATCGGTGGCGCGACCGACAGCATTTCCGAGGTGTGGATGGTCAGACGTTGACCCCCATTCGTCATCCCCAATCCTCAAGTCTCAGGCAAGTCATCGCATGTCACGACCAGATTACATAGTGTGGAGTTTCTATTTTCAGTACCTAATTGACACCAGTCAGGTACATTCGGACCCATGGTCCATGGTACGGAGTACACGCACGCGAGAGAGCTGAGAACCAGGCATTTGTCTTGGTTGGCACCCACTGTGTTGGAAAATTTGCTAAGGGGCCATCACAATTTCCCAGCGTTTCCCCTGCCTGTCATCTCCATGAAAACTCCATGGAAACCGGGACTTGAAGTCTCGACCGCACTGACGTGCGTGGCGTCATCTCGCATCCAAGCGGTCAAGTGGGCCGCCGCGATGGAGCAGCTCGGGCCATACATCGTACGCTACTATATTAACCCCTAACCCGCTTCAGTATAGTCGGCGATCGTGCGCGGCAGAGCAAGATGCGAAGGGCTGATATCCTTGCGCTCGAGACGTCATTGTCGACCTCCACCCGGTGCAATCAGGGCGGGCTCCAGCCCTCCTCCTCCTCGTCGTACGGATGACGCTGTCCTCGCTGCTCCCGTTTTCCTCCAATCTCAGCTCCTCGTTTCGAACGCAGCTGACGTCGGAGGTGGGCTGGAATATGCTCCAACCTTGCATGATCGTGAGGGTCATATAAAGTAGATCTAGCCGGGATGCGGTCATAATCTCTACAACCCTACGGAGTAAGCAGCGCCATCAGGTAACCTTCCCCTCCCCCCTTACGCCAGATATAATCCCCTCTCCGCTTCGATCTCTAGTCCTTTTCCTTTCTTTCTCTTTTTCTTTCCACTATGTCTGATAAGGAAGACAACCCCCAGACCCCCGCACAGGAGAACGAGAACACCCCCAATTCCCCTAAGCCTCAAGAGGAACAGGACAACGGTCCAAGCTCCCCTCAGTCCAAGGAAGAAGGACAAGAAGACAACGGTCCTAGCACCCCTCAACCCAAGAAAGAAGAACAAGAGGACAACGGTCCTAGTTCCCCTCAACCTAAAGAAGAAGAAGGACAAGACAACGGTCCTCAACCCAAACAGGAGGAGAACGACAACAAGACCTTCAAACAAGAACCCGACTCGGATAACGAGCCCGCTCCTCAACGGGAACCAGCTCCTGAACGTCGCCAAAGAAGACCTCGTCCCCAGAAAACTCGTCAGGACTCCGGAGCAATGGCAGACACTGCCGAGAAGCCCCGCCGCCAGCGTCGCCAGCGTCGCCAGCCCCAAGAACAGCAAGACGGCGGTCCCCTCGGAGGCCTAGGTGGAGTGGACCAAGTCGGCGACCTGGTCCAGAACACGGCCGGTAATGCTGTCAATGGTGTGACCGGCTCTGCCGGCAAGGCTGTTGGTGGTGTCCTCGGCGGCGGCAAGAGCGAGGGTGGTGACGACGGCGGAAAGGACGAACAGCTGCGACTGCGTCTAGATCTGAACCTCGACATCGAAGTGCAATTGAAGGCCAAGATTCATGGTGATCTGACTCTTGGATTGCTGTGAGTCTCCCCTTCACCCAAATCATTATTCCTCATGGGCCCGAGCTAACCTACTTCCTTCGCAGTAACTAAACGACGTGACGTGAACTCGACCGATAGACGAAAAGCACCCTTTCCTATCTCGTATCCGTCTCTTTGCTTCATTGCACATACTCGATACCTTTGATCTTTTCATGCCTTGCCTTTCTATGTTCGATTGCATATGATAATGCCTTTTGGGATTTTTTTTACTCGGGTGTTTGTTCGCAGAGTTTAGATCTCCCATGCTGCCGATTCCACTTTGACGATTAGCTTTTTTCTGGTTTCTTTCTTATATTGGTGGGATGATATGGTTGTTTCTGCTTCTTTTCTTCATTATCCTTTCTGTTCCATCTTTCCATTGTTACTTTGTCTCGAGACCGAAACGATGCGATGCATATAGTATTTCCGAACTTGGGATCCCAAGGACTTGGAACGATTAATGAACCATTTCAGATTAATATCTCATAACCCAGAGTAGATAACTTGTATATCTTAGTCAGTCCAATTTGCTTTGTTCAAGTCATATCTTAGAAGATAGGTAAGCCATAACAGTCTAGCGAAACATAAATCATGGTCGGGAAAAAGCAAATCCAAGCCAAGATGAAGCAAAGATATACATGTTGGAGCAAGTAAGTAAAAAGCCAATTCCGCCTCCCCCTGGTGCGTTGCCCTGCCTTTTCTACCGTGTATAAATAAACCAAGTAACCAAGTATAGTACCTATATCTCGTCTAAAAAAAGCCAAACAGATACAGAATAGAATAGAACAGAAACACGGACATAGAAAAAAACGACCACTCAAGCAAGGACAGGCAAGCAAATATATCCAAGACGCGAGATACGGCCGCTCAATATGGGCAATCAAAATTTTATCAAAGGAAACAGGTTGGGCCGTGTGCGGTGATCATAGCGCTTTGCCGATATAGAGTATGGGCTCGAGAGCTAGGATGTATTGGATCTCGGTTTACAAGTCCATCAATCTATTGGTTATAGACCGGCGATGTACATCAACCCGTAACCGACGGTCACGACGACAGCGAACGACATCAAACTGGCAGGGATGCCTCTGGTCAAGAAGTGGCGGACCTGGAGGTATCGCTGGCCCGTTTGGGGAACCTCGGTCATGATAGCCGCTGGAACGGGGAAAATTAGTTGAGTCTGCAATGGTAATGGGAAAGAAGAGGGAGGACCTACTCATGTTGGGGAATCCACTGGTTGGCAAGCCCATGGCCACAGAACACATCAGGGCGCTAGCCATGACCAGCAGGTTGGGATGCGGGTCATCCATGCTGACGCCGATTTGTCGGACAAGAGGGAGCATGATGAGGGCGGCGACGGTGTGGGAGATGAACGTGGCCACGACCAGGATCAAGCTGGAAAATACGATCAGGACACTGTATAGACTCAGGTGCTCGACTCGTTCGCGGATGCCATTGGCCAAGGTATGCAGGAGGCCGGAGGAGGTCACGGCTTTGCCGAGGCAAAGCCCTCCGGCGGCCAAGATGATGATGGTCCACAGGAAGTTATTAAAATCTTCTTTGTTGAGGATACCGGTTCCGAAAAAAAGTACCATGGGGATAATCGCGATGACACCCATGTCGCCGAAGACATGCTCCAACTGATGGCTGCCACACCAGAGAGCGATGGTGGACAGCGTGACAATGCTGATGAACCATTGAACTCCGGAGAATTTGTCCTTCACGGGCCGGATGGGGACAAGGGTGGTGTCACGGCCGGGATGGAAGGTGGCCAGCAGGAGGAGCCAGATCAGCAGGATGGATATGATGCAGACGGGAAGTGACACAAAGAACCAGGTGCCCCAGCTGATGCTGGGATACATGTTCTGGAGCGCAATGATGTTCTGAGGTGATGCAATTGGTGACGCAGCACCACCGACATTGGCGGCGAGAGCAATACCCAAAATTAGGGCTTTAGCAAAGTTCGAGTCGGGTGGAAGGGTGCGGAGCAGGGGCTGGGTATCTAGGTCAGCAACATAGAACGGCTGAGGGGCAATCGGGACGGCTGGTTACCTGTATGATCGAGTAGCACAAGACTGGAGATGCCACATTGCTGATCCACATACTCAGAAACATGCTCACAAACATGTTTGTGAGTAGTACAACCTTGGGATTGGAACCAGCTTTACTCAAGACAAACATCGCCATGCGCCGAGCGATGTCATGTTTAGACAAGGCTGCGGCGATGGTGAAGCCACCGAGCAAGAGCATGATGACCGGCGTCCACATCGAACTAAAAACAACCCCTGTAGCTTCCTTCGGTCCTAATCGCTCGTATGGCTTTTTCTCCGATTTCATGATGCCCAGCAAAACGACAAGGAACGGGACAAGAAGCGAAGTAACGAAAAGAGGAATGACCTGGCATAAGAAAGCGCATGAGTTAACGAGACTCACAACAGACAAGGGGAAAGTCATACTTCTGTAGCCCACAACAAACTGACAAAAACAAGCATGGCCAAGCAGTTTTGCTGCTCTGGTTTTTCCATGATCGGCACAAGAAGCAGCACCCCGAAGACCAAGAGGTTGAAAACGAGGGTACCGAAGCTCAAGCTAAACAGCCATTCCGGAGGACGGAACACGCCTAGAGGGGTTCTGATTTCCTTGGCTGGAGATTCCGATTCATCACCTTGTCGTCGTGCTGCTGCAGGATCCTCGGCGCCGCCCAGAAGAGTCCTGCGAATACCGACATTCGCCGCCTGGGCCTTTCTTTCAATGCCGATCATTTCCCTCCACACCGTATTCCTCTCCCAAACCACATGCTCCCTCAAGTGCAATCGAAGCTCACGTTTGGCGAGTGATAGATTCTTGGCTGTAACCACGTCCGCATAGACACTTTCAATTTTGAGAATATAATCCTCCACCTTCTTCATGGTCGATTCCGTAAAGGGGTATTGCAGGGAGACCGTGGAGTTCATGTACTCTCGTCGGAGGTTGCGATCGAGGATCTTGTCGTACTTTTTCAAGGCTTTGGAAAAACCGGTTTTATTCAGCTGAATGTATGATTTGAGCCCGCAGAGTGACACATAAGCGTCGACAATCCGCTTCTTCAAAGAGAGTCCTGAGTTGTAGAGGTCAAGAACCTTGGGATCTCTGAAGTTCTCGACCTGTGCACCTGGGCGGGTGTTGGGGTGACCATCATATTCTAGATCCCTCGCGTCTCGCAAAAAGGATGAATGCCTCATGTCGGCACGGCTATCGCCGAGGTTAGTTGAGGTGGCGCCGTGCGATACTGGTCTTTCACGATGCGACAGCGGACGGTCGTCGTCGCTATCTGCATCATCGTCGTCGTCTTCTTCTTCGACCATCGACTCACTAATCACACTGCGTCGTCGTCCATTGCTCAACGAATAATCCCGGAACGTGCTCTCCCCGCGCGGTCTGGAACCCGAGCTCATGGTCCGCGTCTTGGTCATATTCTCGCTCATCGGGTCCAAGCTCACACCATCGGTCTCCGAGACGTACTCTTCGGCATCCCGGGCGACTCCTTCCACTTCATTGAGTATTTCTACCTCTTTGTCTGCGTAGAAGCTACAGATCTTCTCGAGTTCCAGATCCAAAGCTCGCCGAAAGATCGCATCGGGATTGGGAGTACTGTCTAGCAAGGGTGCGGATTCAACGTCGGGATGGGTCGTTCCAGTGGCCTGATGTGCCTGTTGCTCCAGAGAATATATCCTAGAGCCGAATTGCACTCTGTTAGCGAGTTGTCATCTCATGCGAGGCACCGGAACACGAGATGTAACACGCGGTGTTCCGAGTGGACCAACCGTCGCACTTGCACGCCATAGCCAAGTAACACCGGGAGCGCGGAAGTTGATATAAGCGGGCGACGGCCCTCGATGTCCAAGGAGCATGCAAACACTTACACTTTCTTGAGATTGCTATATGCGATGTAATAAGAACTCCACTCCGGAACAGCATTGAACTGAATGCTGTGTGAAAACTTCATCTTGGCGTCGAGTCCACTATCTCTCAGATACTGCGAGCGATTCTGAAGAGCCTCGACCCAGTATTTGAGCCTGAGCGGTCTCGAAGATGGGCGACGTTGATGCGGGTCACCGCCTCTTCCTGGGCCCACACGCTTCTCAGTTATCGATGCCGGATCGCGATCGCCGGCCTGAGGGTCAGGAAGCAAAGGATATTCGGCAAGTTCGATGCCTTGATCGGGTGAATGGGGTGTTAAGTCGAGGTCGTGAGAAGAGGCACCCGTCGCAGAAGCGATGCGTGCCACGTTTCGTCCCGCAGCATTCGACGACACGGTGTGTGCGACGGCGAAGAACCGAAGGATGCAAGGAGGGAGGGGTAGGAAGATAAAGCGGCCTTTTTCAAGGCGGCGCGACGCAGGTGAGCTTTTGAGTCTCCGCAGACACTAGCTGACTTGGGCCTCTAACTTAGAGTCTAGATAGTAGTAGCGGAGCGTAGCGAATAATGGCAGCGGTGGTACATCGGAGAAAAGCGACCGGGATGTGGGGGCGAGCAGAGCCAGGGAATTAGGTTTGGTACATTATCATAGGTGGGCAGGTAAATCATCTGGACACGCTCATGACTTCCAGACTTTTCAACAAAAAAGTGATCAGCTCAGGGGAGGACAAGAAGTCAATGCGAGCAGGTCAAGGATCCTCCGGGTCACCTGTCAGGGTCCTCCCCTTTCGGGACGCGGTTAGTCATCCAGCCGATGGCCCCGGATGTCAGGCTCCAAGTCTCTACGATGTAGTATACCTAGTAGTAACAGTGATCAGAGCCGCTGATGGGTTTATCATCTTGTTGAAATGTACAATGATAGTAGTATTTCTCTCTCATTGTACGGGGGTCAGTTCTTGCACTTGAGACACTTCCCCTCATCAACTAACCAAAACCTCGATCATAATTATACACAGGTCGCACGAGGCTTGATTATAGCATGCCAAACAAATTAAAGACCACAGACTCCAACGTATCCCGAATTGAATCTCACCAACAGGCTCCCGTTTACCGTTTGCGAGGGACGAGGTTGACGTTCATACGGGCGGCAACGGCAAGCTTGTTGGTGTGTTCCTTCTTCTCCCAGGCGCCACCACGGCCCTCAGCAACGGCGATAAGCTCGTTGGCGATTCTCAGGGCGAATGTAGTGTCCCGTCGCTTGTCAGAGGCATCGATAATCCATTTGATCGCGGCCCTTCGCCGTTGTCGTACGCGGAGGGGAATAGGGACGTTCACGGAAGCACCTCCACCGGCAATACCCTTTTGCGACTTGAGTTTGAGAAGAGGAGCGACGGAGTCCACAATCGTAGTGAGGTAAATGACGGGGTTCAAGGGGAGTTGAGGAGCCGGGGGTGAAGGAAGGAGAGGGCGTCTAGGGCTGATCTGCGGCGGAGAGGCGGTGCGCAGATGGGTTAGGATAAACTCCATATCCTGTATGATGATGAATTAATGCTATCAGCAATGGTCTAAACACAAAGAAGGGGGGGTTCTTGGTTCTCTTACCCTCTGAGCCCTGCTCTTCTTACCATCCCGCATGATCAGGTTGGTGAATTGGTCGATCACGGAGTCGTATCTCTTGCGAAAGTTCTCCGTCTTGGGGAGGGGACCAGGGGCTTGGAATTTAAGGCCGGTATGCAACTCCGCCGCTTGCGCGTTGACCTGGGAGATCATGTTGGCCACCACGGCAGCCGCCGGATCATGGGCGTCCGGAGTTTGGCCTTGAAGCTCGGATTGCTGACGACGAGCGAACGTCGAGAAGGACCGCGAGCCAGATGGTCGCTTCATCTGATCCTGCATGACCTTGGGGGCATGCTTCTGCGCTTCCTTGTCGCGCTGGAGGATCTATATCGGAATCGCCAGTCAGAGACGTCGAGACAAGAAGTCACCGAAGTATCTAGTATTGGAGTCACCCACCTCTGAGATCGGAGTACCCTGCTCCAATTCCGGGCTGGCGGCGGTACCGTCACACTTCTTGTCCATGATCTTGGTCACCTCCGCGGCCTCCTGGCTGACATGGGGTAGGGGATCCTCGGTCGGGCCCTTGAGTCTATCGGCATCATCCTTGTTGTCGGAGCCCGAGGAGTTCCATCTCCTTTGTGCTAGGCCAGAGTTCACCGCATTGGGCTTGTTAACGTTGAGAGCCGTGACGATGCTGCGGCGAGAAGGGTGATTCACAGACGGCGTCGAGGATTGACGGAGGACAGGGACAGGTGCCCTCACGGTGAAAAGGTTGAGACGAGGCGGCATTCTGAATCACACCTCCAAGAAACCCAGGTCAAGGTTAGAAGAGGATGGATGATGGCGACGAAGGGTTCAATCTGCACGCCGCTGCAATTCCTTGGATAATTGGATTTTCCTCGCATCCGCAGCTTAGTCATCCAGTGCCAAGAGTCCGCTGTCGGCCGCCCCCATGAGATCATCGATGTTCAATTCCATGGAAGATCGAGTTCTTATCATTTCCGATATATTTTCTGATCCTATGAAAACAGATTTGAAACCAGACCCAATTTCCCATTCCAACCTTTTCCGCGTCCTAGGTCACCTAATGATAACAAAACCAGAGAAAAAGAAAAAGGAAAAGAGAGAGAGCCGCCTATCAGCGTACAAGCCATTCAACACCAAACGAAAATGAATAGACTGACCCGCAGTACAAAACCTCAGGTAACTGCTTGCACATCACAAGACTACATGAGTTTAGAAAGGTTGTAAAGAAAAAAAGCCCACCGTTGACAACCAGCCGTCATAAGGAGAGCCTGAGGCACTAAGGAGCGATAGAAGATTTCGATGGCTGCGCAGATCAAGAAGAGAAGTGCGAGACCACATCGGGTTAAATGAGAAATTTGGACCGACCAGGCCAAGACATGCAACAGAAACAGAGATAAAAGAAAAAAGTGCGGTATGCACAATGTGTAGACGTAGGTGGCACTTTGCGGTTCTGTAGAACACATCGCAGGGCACTCAAGGGTTGAAGAGAGCGTCTTCATTCACATTATCCGGGTAGACGTAGAAGGCAAGTGCCAGAATGACATACCTAAGAACGAAGAACGAAGTCAGTTTAAATCAATCAACATGTTCAGAACAGCCTCTAAGATGAGGGGAAAAGAGGGGTAATATGGAAGGTGCCACGACATACATTCCCAAACATAGCCCGCCCTCAAGGTAGTTGGACTTTCCGTCCTGAATCAGGAAGGTCACAACCAGGCCGGATATGAAGAAGGCAACGGTTTCGAAAATATGGAAATGAAGGGTCATCTCGATGTTCATGATCCAGCCTAGGATGACAAGGAACGGAGTCACGAAAAGGGCAATCTGCAGACTGCTCCCGACGGCAACCCCAATGGCAAGATCCATCTTGCCTTTCCAAGCAACGACCACCGCCGTGACATGCTCCGCAGCGTTTCCAACGATAGGGATAAGGATCAGACCGATGAAGGTTCGGCTCATGCCCGTCTTTTCCACGATGCTATCGATGCTACCGACAAGATAGTCGGCACAGATGGCCACAAAAATTGTCACAATGACCAAAGCTACTGTAGCAGCCCACGGACTGAGCAGGTGCTCCTCTTCAGCTTCCCCCGAGTCCTGGCCTTGATTTTCTGCATCGTTGTCGGAGTTGGCTTCCTCGAAGAGTTCCGCGTGGGTCTTGAGTTGGAAGTAAAGATACATGACGTAAAGAATCAGAAGGATGATGGCTGTCCCGTGAGACAGAATGAGGATATTCTTTTGAGTTTCCTTCGAGTTTGTGGACGACGAAAGGGAGGCGTAAAGCGTTGCGGGGATAATGAGGGAAGCCGATGCAACCGTCATGAGAGAAGACATCGTCGACGCAACCGTGCTGTTGAAGGTTTGCTCGGAGTAACGAAGACCGCCAACAAAAAAGCAGCAGCCGAGCACAAGTAGAATGTTGGATAGGATACTACCAAGCATGCTGGCCTGGACCACGCGGATCTGTTTATCTTTGAGGGCAATGATACTGACCTAGAGATTGTCCAAATGGTCAGCTGAACGCCCAACCATGCAGCGAAGGAGGAAAGAAGAGTACATACGATCAGCTCTACCGCGTTACCGAATGTGGCATTCATCAGTCCACCCAAAGCCTGGCCCATAGTAGCTGCCAGCTCTTCGGTCGCAAAGCTCAGCAGGGAAGCAAGCGGAATGATAGCCATGAAGTTGAGGGCGAATATCACGGTACTGTCCCAATGGAGGGCCCCAGCGATGATACCCAGGGGGACGAAAACGAGGAGCAGGTTGACATAGTCTCGAACGAGGGTGGACCATGTCAAGTGAACTGCTTGCGCCGGCCAGTAACTCCAATGGCGGCGATGTTTGTGTCGGGGACGAAGTCCTGAGTTAGCTCGATTGATATCGCTGATCAAAGCTTCTCTTTCATTGGGCTCCGAAGAACCATTTCCTGACAGCCCCGTCATTGTCCGTCTAGACCCCCAGCTATAACTTCGGAAATTAGAGCGAAAATTCTTCGACGCTATACGGAATGACCGCGAGAATAATTAGCCTCTTCTCTTCCTCCTTCTCAGTGCAGACAACTAGAATAGCCGTGAGAAAGCTGCAATGGGGGCTACACCCCAGAAATAGCGTCGAAGATAAAAGGAAAAGAATTTATACAAGAAACATTTACAAATTCAACGCAACGGGCCAATGGGGGAGGGTGCGCAAAAAGGTTAATAGTGGGAAGCAGCGCAAGATTAAGGAAAGGTAAATGATTAAGGAGAGGAAGGAGTAAAACCAACCAACTGTACCACAGGAGGCCCAGAAAGATGAAGAGCAAAAAGGGTGATGGTATGGAGAAGTCAAAAGAAGGAATTATGAGTGGGTGAGGGAAAAGAAAAGAAAATAGAGAAGAAAGAGGTAATGGTGATGGAATTGGAGAAGGGAGATCTCTAGCACGTACACATCGGGAAGGACGGTGGCGTAGGTGTGACAATCCGGAACCACACTCAGCAGTATCGAGCAAATGATCAATGGGGGTCTTTCAAGTCTTGGACTCTTGAGACGGGACCAAAGGAAGGATCAATTGGCGAACTAATCTGGAGTGGGGGGGGGAAGTGTGATGGTGGTGTGGCTTGTCGGGTAAAGAAAGTATCTTTGATCTTGGATGATTTTTTCTTTTTCTTTTCCCAAAAAAGGTTAGCAAACCCGTAAGAGGGGAAATGAACGGCTCAATTGTGTCGCAAATCGCAAATCGCAAATCAAGAGTGGCTCGAGTTGGACAAGATTCCGGTCATTCCAGGGATCCTTCTGTTACAGAATGGTTAGTCTAGCGCACCAGACAGGACTGATGGGGGGCCGCATTAGTGGAGTATACATTTTCTGAACCTGGAAATGTAGAAGAATAGCGCCGAGAGCACAGCCTCAGATTTAATCATTCAACGTTCAGGGATGAGCAAGCAAGTGCATAAGAGCGAGAGTCCCTGGTACAGGCTAAGACTTTGACCAAGTCTGGGCAAGAGACCGGGGGGGTGGTTGCTTTTTATCTGGAATTTGGTCGTCCGCCAAACCTAAGCAACCTGATGGCCGAATGGTGACGTTGACGGGGTTGACGATAGCAGAGGAAGAGAAAGGATGATGCCCAACAGAGATGCAGCCAAAACAATTCAACGCTGGCCACGCATCAGAGACAATAACGACGGCCAATGACTTGAGACTTGAGAAGTTGAGAGTTAGCGAGCTGGCATAAGAAATGAATAATAATAATAAAAAGGCTGGTCGCGGGCTCGCAAACAGCTTGCTTGCTCCGTCGGGACTAGTGGCTGACTGTATCGGGCATAGTATTGTCCCAAACGGGAAGGATGCAAACCTTCCCCTTCAGGCCATTCCCGACTGAGACGAGTCTGGCTCCACCGGAGAACTATGCAGATGTCTCATCATCTTTTGTCTCATGTCTGATGTCCGATGTATGTAGGCGCTACGGAGTATACATACCCGGAATTCTTACTCCTATATACGGATAGACAAGTATGTAAAACTACTCCTGATGAATACTTCCGATCAATTTCCCCCTCTTCCGTACCACCACCCTCAAAAACTCAAACTCAAAGCGAGATCACAGATGACGAGGTCCCCGCCAAGGTTGGCACTGCCACAATGGCGTCCCCACCTGCCTGCATGAGACATTTTGCAGTTTCCAGTGGTTTGAACCACTACTGAAACCGTCCGATGCTAACTGGACCGGCGCCACAGTCAAATTAAAATTATCAAATAACTCCGGACCCAGAACCCAACAGACCACCTGTTCCTCCCGGGCGGTGTAAACTGTATAAATCAGAGAGGATGAGTTGCCGGCCATCCCCCAGGCAGTCAGGCACCTACTACGGTGTGGATCGAGTATAAACCTCTAATTAAGCATCACAATAACCTTTTTTGATGGTATCATCTCAACCGAGGACCGTCACACGATCCAAATCTATAAATATGATAGGCATAAAGCACAGAAACTAAGAAGAGAACGCAGGAAAAGATCGGCATCCCATGGCATCGCTTGACTTCGTTTCTTGTCAGTCGCAAATGCCAATAACTTAGTTGCGGTCAACAGGCCGAGCAAGATCATATCGTGGGCTTCTCCATCGGCTTGATGATGCCCTGCTTGATCATCACGCGAGGCTTGGTTGCGCCTTGGAAAGTCTCCTTGGTAGACCACTCGGGGCCGATAGGCAGACGCAACGATCTCTCGTACTGCTGCCGAGTCTCGAAGGGGTGAGGAAGTTGAGTTGCCAAGTACTTCTTGTTCTAGAGCATTGAAGACAGCCGGGTTAGTATCGGGTGATCGAGTACAGGGGAACGGAGAAATATGTTAAACTGGGATCATCCTTACCTTCTGGATTCGTTTCTCGTTAATGATGACACGAGATAGTTTGGCATCCTTTCGGTTTTCGGGCTTCACACCCTCGACAGTGGTGATCGAACGCTTCTGGCGCTTTTGCTGTTTCTTGCTCACGCCATCGCCCGCCCAGCTGCCCCAGCCGGGCATGGTATTGTCAATCACCTGGTCGCCTTCATCCTTAATCGTGTCCATCTTCTCGTCTTCGAAGTCTTGTACAACCTCATCCCCAGCGAATGCTCTCTTCACGAGATCATGGTTCTTGAGGAGCACGGGGACACTTTCCTCGTCGCTATCGTTGTCTTCGTCCGCTTGTTGGCTCTTCGGGGCAGCGGCCGCCGTCTTTTGGTTCTTGGAAGAACTCTTGGGTCCTGAGTTCTTGGGTTGGGCATCATTCACCGCGATGTCAACGGTTTGCTGCGAGTCATTCGCCGTTGTGCGACGGTTGTTTCGATTCGTCTGAACCAGCCATGGATTTTCCTCCGAATCGTCTTCTTCCTTTTGCTCCGAAAGACCACCTGCGGGACGACCGCGGGACTTGTTTTCGGAACGAGCCGGTTTCTTTTTGTCAGGACGATCAACAACGATATCGACGTCCTCATCGGCGCCTTGTCTGTGGGCCTCTTCGTCGTCGGAACCCGGGGCCTCTTCAAATTCGTTGCGGTTAAGTTGTTTTGTATTACTTCCCTTGGCCGACTTGTTGTTTTCTGACTGGCCAAACTTGCGCCGACCGACTTCAGACTCAGCTTCTGACTGGGACTCCTCTCCGTGAAGCTGTCGGTTGAGCTGCCGGACTTCAGCATCGTTCTGGGCCTTGCGAGCGGCCTCGGCATTCTGCATGAATTTCATGGAGAACAAGTTGGCATGGGGGCCCTTGGCCTCAAGCTCGGCATCTTCATCACCTTCCAGCTCTTTCAACTTTTGGTGGATTTTGCGCTTTTCCTTCTCGGCGCCAGCCTCCTCATCCCAAGGATCGTCGTCGTCCTCAGATTCCGAGCTCGATGACCCGAGATAATCCTCATCACCGTTGGTAACACGCTTGCCTTCGATTCTCTTGCGCAGCTCTTCCTCTTTTTGGGCGAGGTCGGCTGCACCAAGTCGGGCATCCTCATCCCACGCCGTCCGTCCGGTCTGTTTCAGACTCTTGGCCCATTTGCTCTCTTTGTGCTTCGAGCCCATTCTAGCCTCGGCTCTCCGGCGGTCGTTGGCCTCCTTATCTTGTTCATCCATATCGACCCCAGCTTCAAGGAGAGCCTGCCGTTCCTGCTGCTCCAGCTTCTCGCGCTCCTTCCGGTGCACGCGACGGTACGATTTGCTTTTGATTTTCTTAATGCGCTTTGCCCGCACCTCTTCTCTGAACAGCAGATCACGTCGCTTCCGCAGCTCCGCCCGACGAGCGCGAATTTCCTCAATGGGCAATTTCCGGGCTTGTAGCTCTTCGAATTCTTGCATCTGTTTCTCGCCATCTTTCTCGTTGTTTTCAGCAAGACCACTCTCCACAAGAATATTCTGGATGGTACTCTCGAGATCGTTCCGAGGTTGGGTAGGGCCCATGCGATGGACCTGCTGACCCTCGGGGTCGGGAAGGGGAAATATTAGGTGCTCGGCTCGTCGGTTTGCCTTGACCGTGTCCAGCCAGCGATTCAATGTTTCTTTGCTTTTCTCGTAGGCCGCTTCACGGTCCAGCCGGTCCTGTTGGCGCTTGGGAAGAGGAGCATCCAATTTTCCCGGGATGCCGGATGACGGCTTTTTAGACGAGGCTTCAGAGTCCACATGCTTCAGGGAGTTCTTCAGGCGGGAATCCGTAATTGATGGCAAAAGGTCGGCAACGGTGAGTTTTTTAGTAGACGTCAACCCAAACTCGGTCGGATTGGCATGCTCTTGTCCGCCAAAGGTCTTTTTAGTGGACTTTTTGGTAGATTCCGGTTCCATCGAGTTCACAAAGTTCTGTAGTTTTGAGAGTCCAAGCTCATCGTCGCCGTTCATTTCGTCATCGGACATGGACAGTTCACTTTCCTCGTCGGAATCGCTGGCTTCCTCGCTTTCGGAGTCGGCTTCATCCGAGTCTTCTCCTGCAGCGGCCTTCTTTGCCTTGGCTGCCGCCGCAGCTTCCTCTTCCTCCTCGGCCACGTTCATATCCCAGGCGGTAGTCAGATCGATGGCATCTTCTCCGAGGTCATCCTCATCTTCCTCCTCGTCTTCCTCTTCTTCTGACTCTTCTGTATCCTCGGACAACGTAACTTTACGGGCGCGCTTCTTCGTCTCCGCGGTTTTCTTCTTGGGCTGGTTTTGGTTTTTTGAGCTTCCGCGGAAAGTAAAACCCTCGAATCTTTCCTCATCGCTAGAACCCATGGCTTCGTCACTGTCCAAATCACTGTCGTTGTCACTGTCAACCTCTCCTATCCTCCAACGGTGTCCTTCGCCGTCACTGCCGGCATTCTCATCGAACTCGCCGCCTTCGTCGCGAGTGCGACGGCGCTTGTTATCGGGTCCATCGGAGTCGTCGTCCACGTCATCCTGGCCGCCGGAGTGTCGCTTGCGCTTGATCAAATCATCGTCGTTGCCTAGTCGATTCCGTCGGATCTTCGGTTTATAAGGGAGTTCACTCTCGGCGATAGCAAAGGCATCCAGGGCCTGGCGGCTTTTTCTCTTCGGCTGTTGCTTCTTGAAGGACTGGTCCTTAGGGCCGCGCAACTGGGTTTGCCTGCGAGGCATGGTTGCGGGCGTTCTCTCTCAAACAAGTCCAAATAGAGTATAATGATTTGAATGGTAGAGTGGGATCAGGTGTTCCAGCAGCGCCAGCCGACGCTCCGTGGCAATCGAAAACAAGAATTGGGCAGGAATTTGTAAATGATTTTTTGTTAGTCTTGACGGGCAAAAAAAAAAAAAAAAAAGAGAAGGGAAGAATCTTGGCGGAGCGCGGAGCTCACTAGCGCCGCCCGCCTTTTTCAGATCTTTCTTCCGACCTCCGAAACTCTTGTGGAATCCCATAGTCAAGTCCTCCGCAACGCGGCCGAGTGCGTCCTCTAGAATTAATCGCACCTCCAAGCTCCTCGTCACGATGTTCAAGCCTTCGCAACCGATGATGGCGCGTTTGCGCCTGACCACCAAGCAGGTCAACGGCGGTTATTATAAGGGAAACCGGTCCGGCTCCATGGGTTACTTCGCAAAGAACGGCACCTACGTGATTGACTGGAAGAAAGTCCGCACCTATGCGGTTCCGGAGAACCTGGATGAGTTCAAGGTACGATACCGATTGAAGAGTCGGGGACTTTTGAGAGGCATAAGGATTGAAGGCTGACGTGTGCTTGACAGCTTACCCCGTTCGTGACGAAACGCATGGCCCCGACCAAGGGCAAATACATCAAGGATCTGGAGCGGAACGGCACGATAATCGCTGCGCAAAAGCCCTTCGAAGGGAAGGAATACTTGGACATGTGGGCATCCGACAACGGCCCTGAGGTTCTTGAGCAGGAGCGACTTGAACAAGAACAAGCGACGAGCGAAACCGTCTCAACCCGGCAATAAACGACTCATGGATTTTGTGGGTGGATGGGAGGAATTGACTGCGAGAACTGAGGCGAGGACAGCGGCACTCTTGGTTACGCCATGACCCTTCATAACCTGGAACATACAGTGGAAGAGGTACGCGTTGCCGTCTCTGCGCTTCCATCGGCTCGTCTCGCAACCATCGTTTGTATGATATGTATATTATATGTCCGGATAAGGTGGCCCAACTGGACATATTCATGTAGGAGCTATGGCCTCCGTCTTTTGTGTCACCGGGAGATTCTGATCTGTTTATTGGGTCCTGGCGTCTTTTGGTTCTAGCATTTCAGGAACTACTTTTTTTTTTTTTTTTCTCTTTTACTTTTTTTGTTTTGACTTAGATCTACCCTACTATGGAAATAGAGGTTTCAGAAACGGTTGACTGGGTTGATCATCGGTCATATCTAGTATCTATGTTCATGACAAGTAGACTATGACTATAAATATATCCGCGTGAAGAGTGAACCCCCACCAACTCACCAGGACATATTTATGATGTGACGACTGCCAATGGAGCACCTCCATCTCAATGGAATTCAAACAAAATGCCAACTGATTAATACCAAACACTGGATCGTTCGATGTGGCGTCTTGTGCGTGGCAATAATCTTCTGGGCGGGACATGTTCCGTCGGCCCTGCCGGGTAAAGTGCGTGTGCCGAAGTGTAGAAGCTGGCCGGAAGCTCAGCGATCGATCGTCAATCCCGTCATGGCCCAAAAACCTCCCTCATCTCAAACCCAACGCTTACGAGACCCGAGCGCTGCCCATCCTTACGTTGCGGCATGGAGATGCTGCCATCCTACTTCTTCCTTTCCAGAAGTGCCCTTTTTAGTTCATGAATAAGGGTTTTCCTCATCCCAACCGACCTCTGAATCCTCTCCGCGCATCGAGCCGAAAGCTATGTTCCAATCATTCACGGGTAACTCCCGCCGTCCCCGGCAAGTTAATCTCGGAGCTCGCAATAACAACCCGTTCGCCGCAACTCCCTCCGGTCGACAGAATCCCCATGCTTCCGGCTCGCAGAACACTCTAGCCATCGCGCAGCAAGAGCGACTTCTCAGACAACAGGAAAGGGAACGACTGGGCGCAAGTCGAGTGGTCCAGCGGACATGGCGGGGTTATCGGAGCAGGAAGATAACGCGAGGGAGATGGCGATTAGAGTGGGATGCAGCTGAGGCACAGAGGATCCAAACTGCTCCTCGCTTCGAAGAGCTGGCAGAGAGTTCGGATGGTGTCATGCCGCCCCCTATTGCATACGAAACGGCGGCAGATTGCTGGGCACAGCTGCGACTACTGGTTCAGTTCCTGGAGCCGTGGAATAGCAGCGATATTGTTCGTTCGGTGGCATTTTCGAGTTCATTCCAAAAGACATGGAAGGAGCTGCCGACCATTGCCACTGAAGGAGAATGGATGACTCCGCTGAAGCGTCTGGCACGGCTGACCCTGCGCATGCTTCACGCAGCTCCTTCGTCGACGATGCCGGCGTTTGCCATGCGCCCTTTGCTTGAGCTGCTGGGGTTCCTCACGGGCTTAATACCCAAAGAAGTGGCACGAACAGCCCGAGAATACTACGCTGTTGTGGGCCACCTCACCAGGAATATCAAAGACATCTCCGGCAGATTCGCTGTGTCCACTGAGGACCTGGCTCAAAGTGTGCTGGCACTGCTGCGACCGATCACGTCGGAGACCCTCACGGCCTATGAATGGTTTGCCAGGAGCTACCTGACAATCCCCGATCTGACCGCCCATCTCAAGTCGCTGGATGACTTGGCAAATAACATCAATTATAAACTGCTCACGTCTGCGTTGGGTCCTCTACAGTCGCAGTTCAGAGAGCGGCCCCAGGGCACGGACGATGTAGAGTCCCGTCTCTGGCTGCTTGCTTACTTCATTTTCTTCCACCGATATGCTCTGGGCGGCCATGCCGGACTTCAAGCCTCAGAGCCCGGCTTTGTCCAGGTTGTCTCCGAATTGTTGAATTCCACGGCTGTGTATATCTCGCGGCGACTGGACTTTGACGACGCCCCTGAGCTGGACGACCCGTCCCAGAGAGCGCCTTTACATCCATTCGTCAAGGATCAGCTTGTCAGTCTTATCAACCAGGCGAGTATCACCGGCCTCCTCTCCCAGCTCCAGTCTACGCACTTGTCGCAGGGTGATCTTGCCGATGTGCAGTCGGACGCTTCGCGGGAGGCCAAAATTCTGGCTACGTATGCTTTAACCCTTCTGCGAGTGTTCCCCCGGCGGGGCGACGATATCCGCATGTGGTTGTACCTAGGGTCGGCCAATTCGAGTGATCAGACCGGAGATCTTTCGGGATCGCGGATTCCGGCTATCAAATACTTCTGGCATGCATCTCGGTCTAGTAGAATATTTGCAGCTATCTGCCAAGATTCAACAAAGGTTCTGTCTCTGTTGAAGCCTGCTGTGGAGTCGACCGATTCTAGGCTGTCGGCCCTCTCTCAGAACGAGAGAGATGAAGAATGGACGATCATCCTGCTTTTCCTCGAGCTTTATACATTTGTTCTGAAAGTGATGGACGACGAGGAATTCTTTTCGAGCGAGTCGTCGTTCACTGCGTCGTCGAACACGCGCGTGTCCTGGACTAAGGAGAGTGCCCTACCACTGAACGATATTAAAGATATGACGGTGTTCCTCAAGAATCTCGCTTTCACCTTGTACTGGAACTCGGCAGACTTGAATGAACAGCAGCCCACCCAGGAACCTGGCAGCATTCGCAATTACTTCAGCTCTTTAACCCCACCCTCCGATTCCGTCACAAGTGTCAGGGATCTGGAGATGAAGAACAAAGAAAAGGGCCTGGCCGGAGTGACTGGTATTCCGCTCGATTATTTCAAGGGTCTCGTTACGGGTCTATTGAGAATGATTCATGAGCGCGATTCGCGGCGGAAATTCCTTCCCGACGGGCATTGGCTGATGACGAATCGCTTTGATATGGAGGGCTTCATCCCTGCTGTCGTTGCAGAAGAAGAGAACCGACACCAACTCCAGGACGAGGATGAAGATGACGAGCAGGACGACTTAATGGGCGATTCCTACTACGAGCCTTCACCGGGCCTAATCGGTACCGGTCGTGCCCAGCAAACTCGCCGAATCGAAGCCCTGCGACGGCGGCAGCAGCAGGCCGCCCGAAGAAAGCAGCTGGAGGCCGTGGCCCCGAGACTGGAGATTTTGCGGAACATGCCGTTCTTTATCCCTTTCACCACCCGCGTTCAGATATTTCGAGAATTCATCTTCAGAGATCAAATGCGCAGACGGCAAGGATTCATTGATCCGGACTCATGGCGCATGTCCGTGGCCCACGCGTCCATGGGACGCATGATCGATGGGCATCCGGCCGTGCAGGATATCTTGGGTCGGCATCATGCGAACATCCGACGCGAGAGCGTCTTTGACGACGCCTTTGACCAGTTTTACGAACTAGGAGAGGGGTTGAAGGAGCCGATCCAAATTACGTTCATCGACAAATTCAACACGGCCGAGGCGGGAATTGACGGCGGTGGCGTGACGAAAGAGTTCCTCACCAGCGTGACCAACGAGGCTTTCAAATCCACGAGTGCACTAACTCTTTTCGAAGAGAATGATCAACACCTGCTCTACCCTAATCCAGCCGCCGTTGAGCAGCGCCGAGAGTTCCTGAGACGGACCGGCTTCGTCGAGAACAGCCCGGAATGGAGTGAGCAGGTTCGTGATTTGCTTCGACGGTATGAATTTTTGGGGCGAGTCATCGGAAAGTGTCTCTACGAGGGCATCCTGGTCGATGTCAATTTTGCGCCGTTCTTCCTACTGAAATGGGCCCTGACCGGCGGCACGGGATCGGCACAGAGGGAAACCGCCTACCGCGCCAACCTCAACGACCTGAAGGACTTGGACCAGGGGCTTTACCAGGGATTGGTAAGTGAATCGCGAGATTAGCTTCTCGTTGAGCGGAGCAGGACTGAATGGCTGACTGGCATCGGAAATTTAGCTGCAATTGAAGAATTACCCCGGCGATGTAGAGGACTTCTCCCTGAACTTCACGGTCAGCGACACGATTTCCCTCCCCGATTCGACTAGTCGCACCATCACAAGAGATCTGAAAAGCCACGGATCCGACATTCCTGTGACGAACCAAAACCGACTTGTGTATATTTCCTACATCGCGCGGTACCGTCTTCAGGTGCAACCGGCTCTCCAAACCAACGCCTTCCTTCAAGGTTTGGGTCAGGTCATCCAGCCCTCGTGGCTGTCCATGTTCAACCAGGCGGAACTCCAGACACTGGTTAGCGGCGAGTCGGGCGACATCGACGTGTCGGACCTGCGACGGCATACGCTGTACGGGGGCGTATACGTGATCGGCGACGATAAGGAAGAGCACCCGACGATCAAGCTGTTCTGGGAAGTCATGGAGAAGATGAGCAACGAGGAACGACAGAAAGTGCTCCGTTTCGTGACCTCCACTCCGCGGGCGCCCCTGCTCGGATTTGGCCATCTGAATCCGCGATTTAGCATTCGAGACTCCAGCGAGGACCAAGAACGACTGCCTAGTACCAGCACCTGCGTGAATCTCCTCAAGCTACCCCGTTATAGCAGCGCTACCGCACTACGGGAGAAGCTTCTCTACGCGGTCAACTCGGGGGCCGGATTTGATTTGAGTTGAAATTGATAGGATAGGTGAGACGGACATGAATCGCACATAGAAAGTAGGTGGTGAAAGGGAGAGAGAGTGAATGATGCAGTCGAAGAACTGTAAGGTGAATGTTGATAGTATACCTACTCCATACTCCATAGTAGTACACCGTACCTTCATACCATGAGTACCTAGCGATAAGCCCTATCGACACCTGACTGCATCCCGTGATTTGCCGCTAAGAACGCAGCAGCCCTAGTCCTGTTCGGGTCTAGTTTGAGTCCCTCCCCCAATCAGACCGTGGGAAAAATCAAAAAGCATGACCCAAAAAGAAAGAAAAAAAATTAAAATTCCTTTGACTTTTCCAGAAAAGAAAAATTAAAAAATAAAAAAAGAGGATTTTTTTTTCTTCCGCCTCCTCACTTTCCTTTCTTCTTTCCTTCTTTCTTTCTTCCTCCCCCTCCAAAACCCTTTCTGCTGCCTCTCCAGCACATCCTTTCTTCTTCCTATTCCTTTTCTACATCCTCTTTTTTCGAAAATTATCGAAAAAAATATTAAAAAAAAACCCGGAAAATCCAGAAAAAGAAACGTTGTCAAACCAAGTCTCCATACTTGATTTGACTCTTTCCCGCTTGTGTGTGCGTGATCCCTAAGGTTTTGTTTCTTTCGCTGCCCGCCTTTCTCTCCCCATCTCGAGGTGATCGTGATTGTTTGTCTTCGCTGTGTTGCGTTTCGTCCCTTGTTGATTCACTCGCTCTATCTCTGTCATGTTGATGCTGTGATCTGGACTCGCTCGTCGGTCGCGCTGTATTCACGATCGATCGCTCTTGTTCTTTTTTGCTTTGTCCCGCTTTGTGTGTTGGTGGTTGTGGGACAGTTGAGACATCCTCCATCTCTCCTTTGACCATTTACCCAACAGGGTTCGGTGTCCTGGACTGTCTGTTCTACCTACTTGGATCGAGCAAACTACCTTACTTCGGTCCACTTTTCTTTCCTGCTATCAAGAGAGCCTATCCATCCCACTCTGCACCGGTTAGAATCTCGTGCTAATCTCAGCCTGCCTGCAAACAGATCCAATAAAACTACAAAAATCCAAAGAAACCTCAAATCATCAAAATGTCTGCCGACGCTGCCACCACCCCCGTCGCCGACAACGCTGTCAACGGCACTCCCGAGACCAGCACCACTCCTGCTGCGGCCCCCGAGGTCACCGCGGTTGAGAACTCCTCGGCCGCCCCCAGCACCTCTCAACCTCACTCGGCTTCCCTCTATGTCGGTGAACTCGACCCCTCCGTGACCGAGGCCATGCTCTACGAGCTTTTCTCCTCCATTGGCCAGGTCGCTTCCATCCGTGTCTGCCGTGACGCCGTCACCAGACGCTCTCTGGGATATGCCTACGTCAACTACAACAACACTGCCGACGGTGAGCGTGCTCTGGAGGACCTGAACTACACCCTCATCAAGGGTAAGCCCTGCCGTATCATGTGGTCCCAGCGTGACCCCGCTCTGCGCAAGACTGGCCAGGGCAACGTCTTCATCAAGAACCTGGACAACGCCATCGACAACAAGGCCCTGCACGATACTTTTGCTGCCTTTGGCAACATTCTCAGCTGCAAGGTCGCTCAGGATGAGTTCGGTAACTCCAAGGGCTACGGTTTCGTGCATTACGAGACCGCCGAGGCTGCCAACAACGCCATCAAGCACGTTAACGGCATGCTTCTGAACGACAAGAAGGTCTTCGTCGGCCACCACATCTCCAAGAAGGACCGCCAGAGCAAGTTCGAGGAGATGAAGGCCAACTTCACCAACGTCTACATCAAGAACGTTGACCCCGAGGTCACCGACGACGAGTTCCGCAAGCTCTTCGAGACTTTCGGTGAGATCACCTCGGCCACCCTTAGCCGGGATCAGGAGGGCAAGAGCCGTGGCTTCGGTTTCGTCAACTTCTCGACCCACGAAAGCGCGCAGGCCGCCGTCGAAGAGATGAACGATAAGGATGTCCGCAGCCAGAAGCTCTACGTGGGCCGTGCCCAGAAGAAGCACGAGCGTGAGGAGGAGCTGCGTAAGCAGTACGAGGCCGCCCGTCTGGAGAAGGCTTCCAAGTACCAGGGTGTCAACCTGTACGTGAAGAACCTCACGGACGACGTTGACGACGAGAAGCTGCGCGAGCTTTTCGCTCCCTACGGCACCATCACCTCCGCTAAGATCATGCGTGACACCAACCCCGAGCGCTCCTCTTCCCCCGAGTCCGAGAAGGAGAAGGAGAAGGACTCCAACAAGGAGAACGAGAAGACCGAGCCCGCCGAGGCTGAGAAGTCCGAGGAGAAGCCTAAGGAGTCCTCCGAGGAAAGCGACAAGGAGAAGAAGGCCGAGAAGGGCGACAAGAAGCTGCTTGGAAAGAGCAAGGGCTTCGGTTTCGTTTGCTTCAGCAGCCCCGACGAGGCCTCCAAGGCTGTTACCGAGATGAACCAGCGCATGGTCAACGGCAAGCCCCTCTACGTTGCTCTGGCCCAGCGCAAGGATGTCCGCCGCAGCCAGCTCGAGGCCAGCATCCAGGCTCGCAACACCATCAGACAGCAGCAGGCTGCTGCTGCCGCCGGCATGCCCCAGCCCGTAAGTTTTTCTACAATCTCTTGTCTCGAGATTTTGTTGTTCACAGCTTGCTAATCACGTATACAGTACATGCAGCCCGCCGTTTTCTACGGTCCTGGACAGCAGGGCTTCATCCCTGCCGGTGGTCAGCGCGGTGGTATGGCTTTCCCTCCCCAGCCCGGTATGGTGATGGCCGGCATCCCCGGTGGACGCCCCGGTCAGTACCCCGGTCCTTTCCCTGGCCAGCAGGGCGGACGCGGCATGGGTCCCAACCAGCAGATTCCCCCCAACTTCGCTCAGGGCATTCCCATGGGTATGCAGGGCCCCGGTGGCCTGCCTAACGGCATGGGTTACCCCCAGGCTATGGCTCAGGTTCAGTTCGGACGTGGCGGTGGTGGTCGCGGCCAGGTCCCTGGAATGCCCAACATGGGCCAGGGCATGCGCGGCCCCGGTTACGGCCAGGGTCGTGGCGGTGTGCCCATCCAGCAGGGTCAGATGGGTGGCCGCCCCGGCCAGGGTGGTCGCGGACAGAACGCTTCTCAGCCCGCCGCTGGTCGTGGCGAGGAAGCCGCCGCCGGTGGTGTCAACAGCCAGACCCTCTCCGCTGCTCCCCCTGCCCAACAGAAGCAGATGCTTGGTGAGGCTCTCTACCCCAAGATCCAGGCTCAGCAACCCGAGCTGGCTGGTAAGATTACTGGTATGCTTTTGGAGATGGATAACACTGAGCTTCTTAGCCTGTAAGTTTTTTGTACTCCCCTGTTCCTTTCTCTCTCGCGTCGTATGAACCACGTGCTGACAATTCTGCCCCTTTTCCAGGCTTGAGGATGAGGAGGCTCTGCGCGCCAAGGTCGACGAGGCCTTGAGCGTCTATGACGAGTACATGAAGAACAAGGGTGAGGGCGAGCAGACCGGCGAGGCCGCCAAGCCCAAGGAGGCCGCCAAGGAGACCTCGACCGAAGAAAACAAGTCGTAAACGATGGGTCTGATGCCCGATGCACGGTAGATTTGTATCTGCCAAGGAGTTTTTTGATTCACTTTTTTTTGATGACCTACTTTTCCCATGGATCGAATTAACGATTTTTCTCTTATTTCCTCTCTTACCTCCTCCTCCCCTATCTCCCTTCTATCTCTCTCTTTCCCTCCTGATATCCCTCGGTTCTCAAAAGTTTTGCTTGTTTTAGCGGTGTCACTTGCTTGTATCTTGTGAGCGACACTCGGTTTTCTGGATCTCCCTTTGATTTGTTTTACCTCTCCTATGTACCGTGGAGATGGAAAAAATGAAATGAATGGAGAATCAGCGAACCATTGGGATCGGAGAAAAAGTTACTCGGATGTCATGGTGTTCTCTTTTTTTTTTCTTACCTTTTTTTCTCTTTCCAGATTTTATGTGACGAGGGGGGAAGTTGTGATGTCTTTTCTCTTCCTATCCCGCTATACGACCTACTCTCGTGCAGTGCTTATCTGACACGAGCGTAATATAGACTTATGGCTTCCTCACGGGATCTTGATCGAGCTTTTCCATTCTACGTAGACGTTTAAAGTAGTATGTAGTCTGATGTCGCAGCATGAAATTCCACCCCTGTATATGCACGCAGCCTCAAAAACTAGGATACTGCTGTCCAAACATATCCATCAAATTATCAAAATTCGCTCCCTGCAACAAATCCGCCATACTCAGGTCGAAATCCATCATCGAGGTTGCCGACCCTTCGGGAAAGAACAGCCGATCCTCGTAATCCTGATCCTGGTCTAGAGCCGTGCGGTGCGGATCAGATCCCAGTAGCCTCCCCGCTGTCTCGCCGTCATCACTACCGAGGCGACGATTGTCCAAGATGGGCTGGATGTCAGAAGACATGGTGGGCATGGCAGTTCCGATCTGAGTAGTATGGTTGTTCCCACCAGCAGGAACGGGAGTTACCGATAGCTGTGCCTCGGGATATTGGCCACGCAGAGGGGAGTCGGTGGTCGACTCAACACGTCTTCGTTTTCGGCTCTCAGTGTCGATATTAGGGTCCGTTGTTGTTGTCGTTGAGGGCGATCCGTCTCGTTGTCTTTGTGCTTGTCTCTCGAGGGGGAACCTTGGTTGGGAACTGGGGAGGTCTCTACGCAGAGAAGGGGTTCTGGTGGAGGTGGAGGTTGTAGATGGAGATGTGAACTGGTGGTGGTGGTGGATGTTGTGGGCGAGCAAGGAGAGCGCGCGATGGCAGTGTTTGGCTGTTTCCCATTGCGTGGACATCAGGTGGAGAAAGTCGAGACATTCGGAGATTTCTCTACCGTGGATGGGTTAAGGATTATACTTTCTTTGGACAGGAAATATAGGGTCGAGAACGTAAAGGAGGGAAATGAACTAACCTAGATGCCTTTTCTAGAACATACTGGCGCAACTGACACGCAAAAGCGAGTACCAGTCCGGCCATCCAGGCTGCGGATAGGAAACCAGGCCAAAAGAGGGCCTGGCCGGCATCGACCTGGGCCTTGAGGGCGGAGAGAATCTCCCTAGCGGCGCCAATGCAGGTCTGAAGGCCAGAGGCGAACTCCGCGGTTGACGGGCTGAGGGAGAGTGAGGGGCGGTGAATCAAGAGGATGAGATGTTGGTAAAGGACGGTGAAGAATGGGCCGAAGTTGAAGGGAGTTTCGGTGGAGGTCGTCGGTACGGATGGCGTTGGGACACCTTGCAGGTCAGCGGAGAGGCTGTTCCACCATTTGTGCACGTCGGTGACGAGAAAGAGCACGGAGCTGCGCCGAACGGAGCGCACGAGGATGGATTTGTGGAAGAGTTCCAGTGCTTGCCCGGTCAATTTGCCAGATTCGACGTAACTGGCGAAGGCGATTTCTCGCCTGTGTTGCTGAGACTCGGAGTTCCAGCCCGAAATCGGGGGTCTCGTGGGGATCATGGGTGCGGTGGTGTCATACTCATGGCGAGGTCCGTTGAAGCTAGGATTCTCGGTATGTGGGCTTGCTACGCTCTCTGCTGTCGGAGCGGCAGGAGGCAAGAACGAGGGCCATTCCCGATTATAGGCTCCGGGGATATGGATCTCATGGGCTCCCGGAGCGCAGACATCGATATCTGAGTCCTGGATCCCCAGCGGTAGGCCGAGGGCCTGGCTGAGATAGCGGTCAATGGCGTATGCTGACCAGAAGATTCTCTTGCGCAGCTGGCGATCATGCGAGGAGAGTTCCCTGTACCGGAACGGACAGCGGTGGAGACCAGCATGCAGCATGGAGCGTAGCATGCACCCGCCTACGGTGGAAGCGGTGCGAAGTGACATTTTGGCCACGAGATACAACTGCGAGGCGAGCAGCGCCTGCAGAGAGGGGAGGTCATTTCTGCCCGTCAGCGTGCCGAGCAAGGTGTGCATGCCACTAGGAGATCCGACCCGGGATTCCGCAGGAAATTGGAGATCCGGACGCAGGTGGCTAGTCAGGTTAAAGACACATTGGAAGATGGTGGTCCAGCAAGCACTCCGATGTGCCGAAGAGGGCGAATGGGCAACATCCCGGCTGCCAGGTGAATAGAGCAACTCCATGGCCTGTAGAAACGTCGGCCCGTGCAGAAATGGAAACAGCGGGTGCCAGACTTTGAAATAGACCATCATCAGCTGGCGGGCCGTGTCCAACGGGGGAGCATTCCCCAGGACCGCCGCCACGGTAGGATCATATTCCCACTGGCCTAGGGACGGCTGTGACTCTGTCACCGCGGGCGATGCTTTGGCAGAGGCCGGGACTGAACGCCTGTCATGAGGCGAAGCATCACTGCCGAGAAGAGTATCTTCTGGCTGAGGAAAGTCCTGGGTAGATGAAGCGCCAGCCGGTCCATCCAAATTCTGCGAGAAAGCCTGTCGAACGGTCTTGATGAAGAAAACGCCGCTAGAACTGCCGACGAACTGACTCTCGTCGTTGGACTGGGCCGTCAGGGAACCAATCTCCGAGGGGCCAGTTGTGAGATTGGAAGGCTCCATGGTGGTAAGTACATGGCGCCTCTCACGAGGAGGGATTTGTGATGGGAGGAATGGGCATTTGGGGAGAGGTTGTCGGAGTTAAGAAACGGGATGCGAATGAAGTTGGAGAGAAGAGAGAAAATGTCAGTGGATTCAAGAGTTACCTAGGGTTATGATGTCAAAGTCTAGGCTCCTTCTTCATCAATTGGCAAGATGGCCGAGCGGTCCAAGGCGGTAGGTTAAGGTTCACCTTAATTCACAACTCATCCGAGTTTCCTACTCATCTCACGATGGCGTGGGTTCGAATCCCACTCTTGTCATCTCTTTTTGCTTTTGGCTCTTTTTGCAAACGCTCTTTCTTCTGTTGGTGTTGCTGCCTATCATCCATTTCCTCCTTTTTTTCTTTTCTCTTTCTTGCATTACATTTATCCTTTCTTACCCCTTTACAGCCCCAGACATGCAAATATGTATCCATGTTTTCATGGAGTGGCTCTACGGCCAACGATATATATTTCTGCACGGGTGCAAACCCTAAGCGACTTATTTACAAACCCCTCTAGACTATGCCTTAGCCAAACCTTCAATCTCTGCACAAACAGCATCCACCACGTCCTGCGTATTCGCATTTCCTCCCAAATCCCTCGTCAAAACACCGGCCGCACACACCCTCTCCACACAGCCCATAAACGTCTTCGCGGCCTCCTTCTCCCCCAACCACGCGAGCATCTCCGCCGCCGACCAGAACGTCGCGACGGGATTCGCCACCCCCTTGCCGGTAATATCAAACGCACTGCCATGCACCGGTTCAAACAGCGACGGGCTCTTCCGCGTCGGATCCAGATTACTCGAGGGCGCCACGCCGATGGAGCCGGCCAGCGCGGCCGCCAGGTCCGAGAGGATGTCCATGTGCAGGTTCGTGCCGACTATGGTATCCAGGGACTGAGGCTGCGCGACCATGCGGATCGTCATCGCGTCCACCAGCATCTTGTCCCAGGTCACGTCGGGGAAATCCCGCGCCACCTCCGTGGCGACCTGGTCCCAGAGCACCATGCCGTTGCGCATCGAGTTGCTCTTCGTCACAACCGTCAGGAGCTTCTGGGGCCGTGACTGCGCTGTCTCGAATGCAAACCGCATGATTCGTTCGATGCCTACGCGCGTGAACATGGCTACTTCCGTTGCCGCTTCCCATGGCTGGCCGACGTGGCTGCGGCCGCCTTGTCCCGAGTACTCGCCCTCGGAGTTTTCGCGCACAAGCACCCAGTCGATGCCGTCTTTGGCCGTCGTCAACGGGCATTTGGTGCCCGGGAAGGTGCGCACGGGGCGCACGTTGGCGTAGAGCTGGAGTGGCCCACGGATGGCGAGGAGGAGACCCCAGAGGGAGATGTGGTCGGGGACGTCTGCAGGTGAGGTGTCAGTGGGAAGTGTAGGGGATGGCTGAAATGAGGACTGGCGGGGAGTATGTTACCTGGATCGCCCACGGCTCCGAATAGCGTGGCGTCGAACTGTCGTAGAGTGTCAAGGTGGCCTTCTGATACATAGCGACCGTGCTTCTTGTAGTACTCGGTGCCCCATGGAAGGTGCGTAAAATCAATGTAGAAAGTTCCCAGCGTCTGCGCTAGCTTCTGGATGACCTGGATTGTGGCGGCGACGACTTCGGTGCCGATGCCGTCGCCGGGAATAGAGGCGATGCGGTAGGTGGGTGCTGTTGAGGTCATCGTAGGGAAAGATAAAACAAGTTGATATCTTGAAAAGCATGCATGATACTTGTGAGGAAGGATAACGGCGAATATATAGCATGAGCGGCTGAAGGGAGTTGTACGGGACTGGGATTCTGCCTGAACGTTCACCCGATGGACCCAGGCACCTAGGGCTGCTCATCCTTTCTCTCAAATAATTCCAAAATCCCCTCCTTGGCATACGTAGTCGCAATGTCAAGAGCACTGAGACCCGCGTGATTTTCTTGCCTGGGGTTGAGCCCCCTGGCAAGTAGCTCCTTGAATAGAACCACGGCATCGCCCTCAGAGTCCCCGTCGTTGTAGTAGCCATACCGACCATCGTAACTTCTCCGCGCAACGGCATGTAGTAGCGTGTCCCCTGCATTATTGATCGCAAAAACATCATGCTGGTCGAACATACTCCGAATGTCCGCTAGACGAGGTGCATCGACGGTGAAGAGTTCACTCCGGTCTTTCACTTGTTCCACATAGCGGAACAATGGGGTGTTGCCAGCGTTGTCACGAGCATTACAATCACAACCCGCGTCAACAAAGCGCCGATACAGTCGTGTATACTCGTCGAAATAGTCAACCGGGTCTTCAGCCGTGTCGGGGGGACTCGAAAGCATCAATACCGGAGCAATGAGGTGCAGGGCCGTTTCACCTTCCGGGCCGGTAAAAAGAGGGTCTGCGCCCGCAGAGAGCAGCGCCTTGGCCACTGGAAGTCGCTTACCATAGTACCCATTGCTTAAAGCGTAGCAGAGCGCGGTGAGACCCGCACCGTCACTTGTTAAGACGGAGGCCCCGTGCGATAAAAGGAGTGGGACAATTTCCGTAAAGCCTGACGCGGTGGCAGCATGAAGAGGACTTGAGCCTTGGTGGTCGGTTATATTCACGTCGACGCCGGCCTCGATCAGCTCCCGTGCTGTAGCTATAAGTCCACGCCTAAGACTAAGCGTCATGACTCGTGAGGAGGATGAAGATGAGCAGACAGATGCCATTAAGGGCGTGTGGCCCTGGCGATCCTGCATGTTGAGGTCGACGTTGGCTTTTAGGAGTGGCCCGAAGTATCCAGCATATCTGGCTATTGTGTGAAGTACGCATCCATGACTGCCACTGAGATCCACCAAAGGGTCGGCGCCGTATTGGAGCAGGAGGCTAATGATGGCGTCTTTGGTTTGTGTCCTCTCTGAATCAAATTCGCGGCCTTTCGACGCAGCTGCAAGTAAAGGCGTCTCAAATTCCTCGCCCTGCTCTAACCATCGCTCACGTTTCGGCCGGTAAAGAACTTTTGGATCTGCACCAGCTTCCAGAATAGCTTTTGTAGCATTCAAGTGCCCGCTTCGAATGGCCGCGCATAGGGCGGGGGTCCTACCGAGGGATATGCTGGCACCATGGTCGAGGAGTTTCTTGATAATGTTAGACCTTCTCCCTGACCCGAGAGCAGTGACAAGAGGAGTCGTTTCTCCGTCCGATGACAGGGCGTTGACATTGACACCCTGTTCTAGGAGCACCTCTAATGTGTGGTCTCTCCAGAAGCCCTCGCTCCCATTGCCTCCACTTCTCCTACCCATTAACGCACATAGCAGAGGCGTTCGTCCAGAGCCATCAGGTACCTCAAGATCTGCACCTGCTATATGCAGAAAATGCAATGCAGGTATATGCCACCATTCTCTCCCAGCTGCGAAGACATGAATAGCCGCATATGATGGATTCGGTAGGCCATGAGGGCCCTTGGGTTCTGTGTATACAGCATCCACGTGTGCGCCAAGATCAACTAGCAGGTTAACAATCTGGAGATTCGAATGCACTCTCAGTGCGGCTGTATGGAGTAATGGAGGTGACAGCGTGTTTATGTCGGCCACATACGGTGACATTGTCTTCAAAATCGTAGTCAAGCCCCAATAGGCAGCTGTATGCATCGCTGTAAGCCCAGCGGTGCCCAAAACGGTAGGATCTACACCAGCCTCGAGGAGAGCTTTGACTGCTTGATCAGATCTGAGGTTGACCGCAGTTTCGAGAAGAGAGTGCGCATTGGTTTTGTCCACACTTATATGCTCGGCGATCTGTTTCATGCCCTCTGTCCTAGCCAAATGCCATTGTTGTATGAGCAGAATCCCCGAGTGTCCGCCAATTACCAAAACTGACGCATGACCTGAAGTGGACGAGAGAATATTCACCATAGGCTCACACCCTAGTACCATAGCCATATCATATGGCGTCTCGTTATCCCTGTTTGTGCTTTGAGGGTCCGCACCGGCCGATAGAAGCAGCAAGACCACGTCATGCAACGTACGTGCTTCTTCTTCAAGTGTGATGCTATGATTTTGCCCGACCCTTAGGCTCTGGATGGCGTCCTCTGAATTCGTGTATAGGGAAGCCAAATTGCTCATTGCAGGAGGAATGTCTGATGACAACGTTATCTGGCTTTTAAGACCAGACCCCTGCTTTGACGGACAGTACTCTGCCGTGGCATGGAGTGGCGTCAGGCCTCGATTGTCCCTTGAATTTGGATTTGCCCCAGCTTGTAACAGAAATTGAACACACTCCAAGTCACCAGAACGAGCCGCCTCCTGTAAAGGCGTACGGCCCATTCTATCCCTTATGTCTACAGACCAGCCATTCTCACGGTAGATATCGCAAATGAGGCCAACTGTGTTGCTTTCGGAAGCCGCAGAGGCATAATGGAGGGGTGTGCGGCCGTCGAAAGTTCGAGCTTGTATATCGGCTCCAATACTTGTTAGATGCCATGTAGTAGATGCGGATACCGAAGCAGCAAGATGAATAGCCATGACACCCTTCAGATCCCGAGAATGGAAATCAATCGCGTGTTCCTGCTGCAAGAGAAAGCCAACTTTTTCGATAGTTGTGTCATATCGATCGATTGGCTCGAGGCAGACGGCCATATGTAAAGCCGTGCGACCATGATTGTTGATTTCACCTGCCACTCCACCTGCCTTAACAATGGCGCCTAGATGAACGGCCCCCGTCCGTATCTTACTCAAGCATGCATCGTGAAAAGGGGCATTACCGTCACAGTCAACGGCGTTAACATTTGCCCCTGCATCCACGAGACATGGGAAAATGTCCATTGTGTATCCGTGTTCTGCAGCGATATGGAGAACTATCTGACCATCAGTGATAAGGAAGAAGAGATGCACTAGCATATCATACCTGATTTCTTCTGATAGTCTGTCGCATCGACCTTCGCTCCAAATCTGAGCAGCGTCTGGACAAGCTCGAATTGCCCATGCTGCACAGCAGCGTGGAGCACTGTCCTCCCTTGATCATTCCGAGACTCTAAATCCAAGCCCTTCTCTATGAAAAGCAAAATTGAATCCAATCTCCCCTGACCACCATTCCCGTACCGCAGATTATAGATGCAGGTATTTCCAGCGTTGTTCTTGATCGTTGGGTCGGCGAAAGTCAGCCATTCCTGTAAATGTTTATAATCTGGTAACCACGAGGAGCAAATGTGATGTAGTGCCGTGTTTCCATCCAGGTCTTGTATATTAGGATCTGCGCCATTCCGAATGAGTAAGCCGACGTCAAGACGTTGCGCTTTGGCTACAGAGATAAGGGGCGTCTCTCCATCATCATCTGCAGCGTTGATATCCGCGCCAGCTTGTACAAGCACGCTGATGACTTGTTCGCAGTCGTCATAACTTCGGATTTGATGTAGCGCAGTGCGACCATTCTTATCCCTGGCACAGGGATCGGCTCCATATTTGAGAAGCATTGTCACAAAATGCAATTTCTTTTCCAAACTCTGAGCCCCCGCAAGAAATTGTTGGCTCCATGCAAACAACGGCGTCTCGCCTGCATGGTTTCTCACGTTGACGTCACAACCAGCATTGACCAGAAGCTCTAGACAGCCCTCTACCTCCTCATTGTCATGCTGGGTGCCTAACTTCTCAATATCTGCCCAGCCTTGTAGTGGGGTCAGGCCTCGATTATTGGGAGGCGACTTGATCCTTCCGACTGATTTGCGTGCATATTCCGATGTCAGATGCGCGTCGGCGCCATGATCAAGCAATACGCGAACAGAGGCCATGTGCCGCCCACAGGCAGCCGTGTATAGAGGTGTTTTGCCATTCTCACCCTTTCTATTGATGTTACAGGCAATGTCTGGGCACTCAAGCAGCACGGAAAGCACTTGTGACTGGCCTGTTATGGATGCCCATTGTAAATGAATGTTTTCCTTTTGGGGTGGCTCGAGGTATCGAAGAAGCACGGCAACACAATCAGTATTTCCCAACTCGCAGGCATACTGCATTGGGGATTTCCCTATAGTTGACATAGCTCCATTCCACCAACTCAGATCCTCCTTGGTTTTGGGAGCCATTGGATCAGCACCTGCTTTGCACAAGCAGTCTACCGCACTGTGATGGCCATTTTTGGCGGCATGATGTAGGGGGGTCAATCCCTCGTGATCGTAAGTATTAAAATTGGAACCGTTGTGTATCAAAATAGCAACAACATTGGTATGTCCCTGTTCTGCTGCGTAGGCTATCGCCGACCGCTGAAATGAGTTTAACCGGTTTGGGCCTGCCTCCTTGCCCAGAAGATGAGACACATACGCCCCTAGACCAGATTGAGCAGCAATGTGAAGTGGCTCAAGTCCTTCAGGAATCTTTTTTTCTTCAGAAAGCCAGAAGTCTTTCCAGCTTTCGTAATCATGACTCCCGTAACTAAGGAAATTGTCCAGCTTTGAAAATAAGTGCGGTTCAAAAGAGTCACACCTGGCTGCGTGATACGGCCAATTTTGCGACGCGTACTGTAAGAAGGGAAACTGCACCAACAGGTCCCTGCGTTTGCTTAAACTCTCAAATCGCTTCTCATGTTCCTGATGGCCCAGATCAGACCATGACTCGAAACACCCCGACGCAAGATAGTCAATACAAGCTGATGCCAGAGACCGATGGGCGCTTGTGGATTGAAGAACTGGAAACCCGTTTGAAGGTCCGTCGGGACTGCCATCGTGGAGTCTTTTGGTGTCAAGCAGGAACTCGGTAAAAGAATGATGCACTACTTGGACCGTTTCATCTTCTAAAATCTCGACCAGAGGGCCACATGAGGAGCGAATCATGCATTTCACCTAGTGCAGAGCCCCTAGACCCCAACGGCTGCGATCGAGATGGAGAATGGTAGCCAATTCTGTTAATCTAAGGGCTCGCGAGGAATGCGTGACCCAAGTTAAGAGGGAAGTCTGAAATTCGATCGAAGCCCCAGATCGAACCGAGTAATCATGGAGCATGCTTGCATAGATATCCGCAAGAGAGTCCGGAGGCTGCTCCAATTGCGAGACAATGGCACCTTCTTTTTGTAACAACTCGTCGAGCATTAGGCGAGCGTAAAGAAAAAGAGCCTGCCGTTTTCTTCCCAATACCTCTTCAACAAGAGATCGGTCCTCACTGGTTAGGAGTCTCTGTTGTTGAGTATCCAATCGATGGGTGATATATGTTTGGATGTCTTTTTGGACCGTTCGCCGCGCGAGCTGAAGATCCAGAATAGAGAGGTCCTTGCGCCGCTTTTCGGGGGGAGGATGGCGACTAGTGATGACGACTTTGATCGATGGCGGTTTTCTCTGTCCAAGTAGGATGAGGTTATCGATGAACATGTCCTGATCAACGGCAATCTCATCCAATGCATCGATCACCAAATACACTTTCGGTAACGTAGGCAGCAAAGCCGTGAGTATTTTCCAAAGCTCCCGGAACGGAGCATCCGTAACGTTCTTGTATTTATCTTTGACTTGAGTGACCACCGAAGGAAAATCCTCACCGTAGTTCAAGACCTGACACAAGAAGTCCCGTGCTATTTGCTGAGGGTCACCATTTGACACAAGAATTCGTCGACAGAAGAAGAACAGCACCGGGGCATTGCTGTCCTGGGCTAGTGTTCGGATGATATTCGCGGCGATCACCGATTTGCCACTGCCTGGAATACCTTTAATCCACAAAATGCCATTATCGGTGGAGGTATACCAGTTCCTGTACTGTTCAGCCCGGAACAACCAATCCCCGGTAGTTGGGACTCGGGCATTAAGATGCTTGCGATATTCACTGCCTTCTGAATCGAACCCAGTCGGCGATAACCAGGATCTGATTTCATCCATGTCTTGTACTAGAGAAGGGATACAATTCGAATGAAGGTGTGTTGATGCTGGTGAGGACAGGGTGTCAGAGAGTAAGGAAGAATGTGAGAGAGAGGGACACGGTGATCGCTGATCAGGCAGCCTCGTGTCGCCTAGATCTCCTGTTGCCTCAGGCCGATAGCGCTAATCGGCAGGCTAACGTTGGGTCAAGGGGACGATTAATTAAACAAAATACCAATTGCCATCTTAGAGCCCCGAGAATAGGAACAATATCATTTCAAGAAGCATCCTTGGTTGGGTATACAGCAAAGATAGAGCAGAATGAAAACTACGGTCCACATCCCTTCATACAATCAACATGCGTGAGAGGCCCTCTACACCCCAAACTTATGGCCCAGTTGCTCCAGTTGGTTCTAGTAGCATTCGGTCCAATGGTTGCCCATTCGGCACCAGAGGAATCATCTCAGTATCATCCGTCAGGATATCTAGTACTGCGGGCCCATGGCACCTGAGAAGCCACTGGATACACCCCGGAAGTTCATATAGACAGCCACAGCGCCGAGATTGACAGTTCATACTTCGGGCCAACTTCACGATATCAGGATTCCCTTGGCGGATATAACACACGCGGCCATCATAATCGGCTTGCTGAAGCTGCCGTATCATCCCTTGCATATCGTTGTTGAGGATAATCACTTTGATTGAAATCCGATTGTGAGAAGCGGTGAGAAGTTCCTCCATAGTCATGCTGAAGCAGGCATCACCATCTACATCAATGACTTGATGATCTGGTCGGGCAAGTTGCGCGCCAATAGCAGCTGGGACCCCGAATCCCATCGGTGCGAGGCTGCCAGGTGTGATGAGAGACCGTGGATATCTCCAGCGATAAAACCTCGTTGTCCATATCTGGTGCTGCCCGACTCCTGTTGTGATGGTCGTGCGATGTTTGGTTGGGGCGGTTTGCTGGTTCAGTTCCCTCACTACATGTTGAGGAAGACAGCGGCAAGCGCCGGTGTATGAATCACTGTTAGGGATCTTGATCGGATGCTGTCTTTTCCACTCTTGAATTTGCTTGAGCCAATTCAATCGACCTTTACGTCCGACCAGGCGCGCAAGCAGAATTGGCAATGTTTGAGACAGATCACCAATCACCACCTCGGTCGGTTTGATGACCCTGCCCACCGCGTCGGGTGCTATATCAAAGTGGATAATGCCACGGCCTTGCCCCGATTCGGTTTCTCGAGCCCTTGGAGCATATGCAGCAGCATTGCCTACCGCACGTTCGTCTAAGCGGGCGCCAACCGCAATAATCAAGTCGGCATTCTGGATTGCATAGTTACCATATGGCGACCCATATGTGCCGATTAGATGCAACGACTTGTCTCGAATCTCATCATAGCTGCCGAGTCCTAGGAGCGTGGTAGCGACCGGTATTTGGGCCTTTTCGGCCACTTTTGATAAGAACAAAGCGCCGTGTTCGCCGTGAACCCCATTTCCGGCGCAGATGACAGGGCGTTCGGAATTGTTGATCACATCCGCAACGCGGTCAATCTGGTCGTAAAGGGTACTGTTCGTGTTGTGCGCTGGAGCTAGACCAGAATCCTGGGGGCTGCTATTTCCACGAGCATTGTAAGAGCTTTTCAAGGATTCTTCAAATGCAAGTGCGTCGAAGGTAGCAAGTCCGATATCCTTGGGGATAGCAACAAGAACTGGACCAGGGCGTCCATCCATAGCATGGTGAAATGCCAACTCCAGGCAGTCCGGTAGGCTACTGATGTTCCGCACACAGGTGCACCATTTAGTACATGGCTTGGCTAGCGTCTCAGCATCTATCTCCTGGAAAGCCTGCGTGCCCTGGACAGCGGTCGATACCTGGCCGCATAGTACAACCATCGGGGTCCCGTCCAAAAGGGCATCCAGCATAGGGGTCGCCATGTTAGAGATTCCCGGGCCCGAAGTGACCAAAACAACGCCTGGTTTTCCACTAGCACGGGCATACCCCTCGGCCATATGGCCTGCTCCTTGTTCATGGTGAGAAACAATGAGGCGGAAGAGAGAGCTCTTGAAGATCGCATCGAACAGGGGTAGGGCAGCACCCCCAGGGATTCCAACTAGGCAGAGACTGTGAGCTATAGTCTATCATGCCAATGGGAACCGTTTCCGTACAAACATGATGAATCCCGTATTTGGCAATGGTTTCTCGAACTACTTCTCCTCCCGTTAGACCGACGAACTTTCGAGTATCCATGATTCCACAAAAGCTGCGAGACCCTTTACATGGTGACATGAGCAGGCCGTCTCATTGCTTTTATGTAACAAAAGTCCGGTCTGTGGCAGTGAATTCATTGGAATTACACCGCCATTCCCGAAACCTGCCTGAATGAAAGTACTGAAGAATCGGACCTTCCGGCCCAAGGTACATACATCGACACAGAGGCGACTTTGAATGAGCTCGGCGGTCACACAGAGTCAACATGACCTTGTTTCTCATTGTGACGCAAGTTAAGCCAGGGACCCATGCTTGGGGGCTGCGGAAGGTGTTTATTTCCAGAGTTTGAACCAGGCTTTTAGTGGGTACTTGCCCGAAAGGGATACAGGATCTAAAATAAGCAAGACATCGCATTTGTAAAGGGATCCAGCAGGTGTTCAAGGGCGGGGGAAATCCGTCTTGCCCGCACAGCATAGAGAAACACCAACCACGGAATCATCCTTTGGAAGCCACGTATCTCACCAAAAACAATCAGTAGTTGTTTCTCACCGCGGCGTTTGAAGCCTTTCGCCGGCTTTATGGGTCATTCCCGAAGAGGAACCAGACGCTAGCACCGAAAGCAACAACTGCGAGCCAATTATGTCCACTTATTTTTGGTCTGTGTATCCGGTGCATATTGTTGCAATGCTCTTTTGGTCGGCTGCGGGGTTTGGCAGCTCAACTGCCTTGGTTGGTAACAGCATTCGGCCTGGAAGTCATTAATGATTGAAAAGACCGAGATGATGAACGATTGATTCGAATGAGATCTCGGCGATCTGTTTCCTGATGTCCGGCGCCGACACGGATGGCATAGATGATTTGTCGTCGAGATGATCGATGATGGATGGTTGATGGATGATTCAAGGGGACCGAGGAGATGCACAGATGAAGGCCGCAGAGACTTCTGCCTGAGGCAGGAAGGAGTGTCGGCTGAACCTTCAGCCGGGTCTTCCGCCCGGAGACCAAATGATCTCTTCTTGCGTTGCACGTCTTTCAGCTGCACAGCACTTCTGGATAATTTCATATCCTCAGGTGAATTGCAATGTCTCCCTCCAAGTCTGCCCGACCGTCTCGCATCACGATAGCTTGTAACTCTTGTCGCACGCGGAAGCAGAAGGTAAGAGATCGCCCGAGCCACATAGGTAAGAGGCGTATGTACTCATGCATGTTCTTTCTCATCCTCTTTTTAGTGCAGTGGCAAAAGGTATGTCTCAATTTGGCTCAAATCACCATTTGCAAGAACTAACTTCTCAAGGCCCGTATGCATGCAATGCTCTCAGCACAATCGGAAATGCGACTGGCCTGAGCAGCTCAAGCGGTTGGTACTGGCCGATTCCTTGACTTGTTACCTTGAGATCTCATTCAAATTTAGTGGACCTGCAAAGGGGTACATCGAAGTGCTAGAGAACAGACTACACGAGACAGAGAATGCGTTGTTGATGGTATTGTCTCGGATCTCAGACGAACAGTTCCTGGGCGATTCTACGCCAGATCAGTCAGGTTACTCGCTCCCTCGACAGGAAAGGAAGGGAACAGAGTATTGGAAGGAATTTCCTTTGGACACAGCACATAACATCCGAAAATGGCAATATGATAACCAGGAAAATGGTCCCTTTGAATCAAGCAACGAGGAGCAGGACTCGAGGCAGAGCTCGACGCAAAGGACGGTTGATGCCCATCCCATGGTCGGCCCACCAGACACGAATATTTTGGGAACAAACCATGGCGCAAATATCCGAAGAGATACGTCTGAGATGGAGTCCGATTCAGATATAAATCGAAAAGCCGCTCTTATAGATGCACACAACACTCCCCGACCGGTCTGGAATATGCCTCCGACCTTCCCAGCTCAGAGAGTCAGCGGAGAATCAAGTCGGCCTACAACACCTATTAGCCATCAAAAGGCGCCCTTCTCGGGCTTTAATGAGCAGGCTACGGCTTTAAATATACCGCAGGAGCCGAGTCAATGGACTGAAGCGCCATCTGTAAAGTTCCAGGAGCAATTCCTCTGGTAAGGTTGCAGTATCTGGTATTTGCATACCCTGCAAGAGTGAACAATTATGGAGTAACAATGACCTGGGAACGATAATTCTATACTAAAGAATCAAGCTATATAAGGGAGCGATCTATGTCCTTCACTATGCAACTACGCCCTTTGCTTTCAATTCGTGAATTCGTGAATCGCTAAGCCCCACCACATCCCGCAGTATCTCCTGCGTATGCTGCCCCAGAAGAGGAGGAGGACTTCTGATATTCGGTTCTGCGTTGGAATACTTCACAGGGGGACTGATTACCTTGATGGGTCCACAGGAAGGATGATCAATCGTTTGAACCATGCCTCGAGCGCGGACTATCCAAGGAGTCAGCAAAGACCATTGAACTAACAAAGAGCACTTACCATGCTCATGGTTCATCGTGGCTTGAACATCGTTGACAACTGCGAATGGAAGATCGCTGCCCTCAAACATCTGCTGCCATTCCTTGGTCGTGCGCTTGGTTGTTTCGGCTTCGATCATACCCTCTAGCACGTTCCGATTCCGAACTCTCTCGTTATTGCTGCCGAACCTCTTGTCGTCTTGCCACTCCGGTCGTTCTAGTTTCTCACACAAGATGCCAAAGAGCCGGTCATTGGCACCACCGACGAAAATATCGCCATCGGCAGTTTTGAAACTCTGATAGGGAACAACAGACGCTATCGACAAGTGTCAGCCAATTCAATTTCCCTCAACAAGAACCAACAAAGAGTCTTCATAAACTTACGATGTGCCGTGCCCCATCTCCCCGAATCCTTCTCCCCGCTGATCAAGACCGAACTCCCCATATTGGCCAACGTCGCCACCTGGCAATCACTCAGACACACATCCAAATGTTGGCCCTCACCCGTGATACCTCGCGCCAACAACGCCGCCATGATGGAATTACACGCGTACAAACCCGTCGTCAGATCCGTCACGGCGACGCCCACCTTCACGGGAGGTCCGTCGCGGGAGCCCGTCAGATGCGCCAGGCCGAATTCCGCCTCGACCATGACGTCAAAGCCCGGTCGGTTGCTGTATGGCCCCGTCTGGCCGTACCCGGTGATACTGGTGTAGACGAGACGGGGGTTGATGTGTCGTATGGTCTCGTAATCGAGGTTGTACTTTTTCAATGAGTTTGGGAGGTAGTTTTCTACAAGCACGTCGCAGCTCCGGGCTAGTTCGTGCAGGATCTCAACGCCCTCTGGGTGAGCGAAGGAGAGACCCAGTGAGCGTTTGTTTCTGTTTACCTATGTAGGGGTTATTGTGTTAGTCAATCCGAGTTGATAGGAACTAGGGAATGTACAATAGGGTTACCATACAGAGAGGTAATATGCACTTTCACCTACGCCGTCCCTGCCATCCTTGTAGGTCGCATACGGAGGACCCCAAGCCCTCGTATCGTCTCCTCGAACTGGGTGCTCGATCTTGATAATATCCGCCCTACTTAATCATTAGTACTCTTTCAGTGTCCTTCAGACTTGTAGAGAAATGGAGTTACCCTAAATCACCGAGGATTTGAGTACAGTATGGCTAATGGGACATTAGTATGACTCTTTACATTCATTCAGACGCCAATGAATTAAACCACGTACACCAGCCAACACTCGACTCATATCCAGCACCTTCAACCCTGCCAGAGGCAACTTCTTCGTAGCAGCTGCATTGGTTAGTCGGCGGATATTCCAGATCCTGCTGTTGATAGTCCCATTGGGAATGCATCGAAACGCCGCAAGACATGTTGGTAGACGATTCATTTTTTCTGTGAGAGGAATGTATCCTGCCGAAACTCATCTTTAGTTCTTGTTTTACTTTCATTATCCTCGGCCTAAGAGTAGGTCTGGGGGAAGAATGGCGGCCCCACGAAGGGCATATGGGGGACCTCCACATGTGGAGAATGCGTCGGCAGTTTGGAGGGGATGAAATTGGACTGAGTAATTAGACATGAGACTCTTGACTCGTGTGTATTGAGTATTGACTATCCATGGGGAAACCTGCTAACTGATAATCCGTACTCACCCGCCAATAAGTATTCAATCCCACTAAATCCTACTAATTCGTCCCCGACGCAACGTGAACCTCCACCCTGCCGGTCCCCGTCTCCTTCGTCTTAATATACACGAGATCCAACACCCCATTTCCATTAAAATCAATCAACTCCCAGAAGCCATTATTCTCCGGATAGAACGTAGTCCCGACCTCCTGCACACGGGTCTGATACGTCGAACTCCCCGACGCCACATGAACCTCGACCTTCCCTGTCCCCGTATTCCGGTTCTTGATATACACGAGATCGAGCTTCCCGTCGCGGTCAAAGTCCACCATCTGCCAGACGCCATTGTCCTCGGGGTAGAATGTCGTACCGACTTCCTGCACGCGCGTCTGGTAGTTCGACGCCCCCGATGCGACGTGCACCTCGACGCGCCCGGTCCCTGTGTTTCGCGTCTTGATGTAGATGAGATCAGGCTTGCCGTCGCGGTCAAAGTCTGCAAGCTGCCAGACGCCGTTGTCCTCCGGGTAGAAGGTCGTGCCGGTGGCGACGATCCGCGTCTGATAGTTCGACGCTCCCGAGGCGATGTGTACCTCGACGCGGCCGGTGCCGGTGTTCCGCGTCTTGATGTACACGAGGTCCGGTTTGCCGTCGCCGTCCGTGTCGATGAGTTGCCAGGTGCCGTTGTCCTCGGAGACGTAGGTCGAGCCGACTTCCAGCGTGCGTGTCTGGTAGGTCGAGGACCCCGAGGCGATGTGCACTTCAACCTTGCCGGTGCCCGTGTTGGTGGTCTTGATGTAGGCGAGGTTGGGGGGCGTGCCCGGGAGCATTTGCCACGGGCCGTAGGGGTCTGGGGACACGAAGGTGGTCCCGGTCTCTAGGATACGGGTCTGGTAGGGGGCGGCATGGATGGCCAAGGGGAGGGAAAGGAGGGTGTAGTAGAATGGAATATGCATGGTGACTTATTTGAGGCACTTTGTCCGTGGCGTTGACTTGGTTTGACTTGGCTGGATATGTGCTTGGAATTGTCTTGATGAGAGACCGTGTTGGTACCTTCTAGATGAGTAGCGAGGCCCTATAAATACTTCTTCACAGACCATGGCCTCGCGAGCAAAGTACGATGGTAACAAGTCTAGATCCCCGGCGATTGCTCGGAACCTCGCCGGATGCCTGCATCTTACGCGCAGATGTGAGCTGATCAGTTGATCGTTGCGAACACAAACGCACATAAGCTTAATGTTCCATTGCAGGAACCGGAGCCGACGAGCCAGTGAGTGGTGGCGAAGTTCGAGCGCCTTGCTGGAGAGGTTCGTGGAGATTGGATGGTTGGATCGCTTGAAATTGCCTTGTTCGCACTGCAAGACACTACCCCGACGTGGTATTGCAGCGTGTCTCAAGCAAACCAACAATTGTAGGGATTGTAGGGACGCAGACAAGAAGCCAGGCTGCAGACTATAAAAGAGGGGGTTGTTCGAATTGAGGCTGGCTGAGGTTGGGTCAATGGGTCGATGTGAGGGGGAAGAGTTAGGGCTTCGGGGTGCACGTTCGCCTTCTCGCGATGGTCCGATGAACGGGATGAAGGATACACACTGCTGCCTACAACAAGCCAGAATATTTCGATGATTCAATTTGAGGTACTACATAAATACAGACAGAAAAGTAACAAATTGAAGAAACAAGCACATGAGAAGTACATAGACCCTACTTTGCCTCCCAGTAGTCAATTCCGAACTTGCCTCGTCTCATAGAACCCCTTGCGATCCCAAAAACTTAAGAATTTGTTGAGCATTCCCGAGGTGAAGGGAATGTATGAGATTTCAGGCACATCCTTCAATGCGACCACCGTGTTCGAGCTATCATAGTGTGGCGTGTTCCTGCTGGTCTCGAACCTAGACCGTCCACCAAGGACCGGCTCCTGCAATAGCGGCATCACCGGAAGTAGCGGGTTTTCCTTGTCGGCGGTTGACTGCAATCGTTGCACCCACTCCCAATACGGGATATGCTCGACCGGATATCCGGCCTCTCGAATGACTTCCACTGTCTTTTCGAGGTTGACGGAATCGGCTGGATCCGGCGCAACCAGGCTGTATGACTTTCCGAGATTCTTGTTCTGCGAGGCAATGTGCAGCGTCGCATCGCAGACATAGTCGATAGTCACATATTCCATTCTCTGGTTTGGCAGGATAGGGAAGGCGCCCAAGAGAATGGACCCAACCATCAGACGCGCGAAGAAGTCATCGGGGTTGCCCGATCCATCACGCGAGTCCCCAATCACAAAACCTGGTCGATAGATGGCTGTAGGCAGACCTCGCGTGCGTGCCCGCCGCACCATCTGCTCGGCAACCCATTTGCTCTGGGCGTAGCCGATGTCAAACGGAAGGCCTCGAACATGTGGCTCGAGGGGGTCGTCTTCGAGGACTTTGCGGGTGCCAAGGACCAGCCCCGTCGGGCCCCAAGTGTCGATGCTGGACATATAATGGAAGGATTTGCGCCGTCCCGAAAGAGCGGCTTCAAGTACATTTTTGGTACCGAGGATGTTCGCATCGAAATGAGATTCATATGGCTCGCAGAAGTTTACTTTAGCTGCGAAGTGGAACACCGTGCTGGCCCAGTTCGTTAACCACGTGAAATTCTCCTTCGTAAGACCAAGATGGTCCAGACTGACGTCTCCTTCTAGCACCAACAGTTTTGTCAGATGGCTAGCTGAATCATCCCAGAGATCGTAGCGGCGGAGGGCTCTATGGACCCGGTCGGTAGGGCTCAAATTGTCCCTGGAGCGGGCCAAACACACGATCTCTTTAATAGCTGGCAATTGGAGAAACCGACTGAGGAAATGAGCACCCACGAAGCCAGTCGCACCGGTGACAAATACTCGACCTTCGTTAGTGTCCTGCCATTCTGGAAGGGGCTCTAGGGAATCGGCAATATGTGCATCGTAGGTCCAAGTCTCTGCCTCATCGGGGGCGTTGCCTCCCTCAGTAAACTCCTCAAGATGATTGACTAGGTCACGAAGACGAGAGTTCTCATGCAGAGATCGCATGGAGATGGTCTTACCCAGCTGTTGCCTCAACTGAGCGATCAATGTAGCAGCCTGAAGGGAGGTACCCCCTAAAATGAAAAAGTCGTCGTCCTCATTGATCGTGGGCTTGTTTAGCAAAGCAGACCAAATCCCCTCCACAACAGAATGTAAATTGTTTCCGCCTTCTTGCTCCCGTGTTTGAGCTTTTTCTTCACGTTCCTTAATGTATCTTTGGACTAACGCGTTCCGGTCCACCTTGCCGTGTTCAGTCAAAGTGAAGTTCGAGCAAAAGACAATATCCTGTGGAACCATATAGGCCGGCAATCTTTCTTGGGAGAAGGTGGTGATATCCCGGGGACGAATACTGTTTGCAATGCAAGGGATCACAAATGCCACGAGGAGAGGCTCGTGGCCGAGATCCGTTGAGGGGACTTGCACAACAATTGCCCCAGACAACTGGGTGCTAGAAAGAAGTACCTGTTCAATTTCCTCCAGTTCTATACGGAATCCACCATGCTTGACTTGTAAATCGACACGACCAACGAAATCGAGCACCTCGGGGTCATCCTGGCGCCACTTGGCCATGTCTCCAGTTCGGTAATAGCGAATTCCGTCTAGCGTAGTGAAACAATCTTGATTATCTTCGGGCCGACCAATGTAACCCATAGTTAGGCCAGGGCCTCCCAGAAGAATCTCGCCCATTTGACCGGGCTCAGTGATGATATTGGAATTTTCATCTACCAAGCACAATTTCGTATTTCCAACCGCCTTCCCAATGGCAATATTTTCATGTTTAAGTTCGCCAAGTGTAACAAGATACATAGTTGAAAACGTTGTCGCCTCAGTCGGACCATACGTATTCCAGAGATGCTCTGGTGGAGCCGAAGACTCCAGAACAGCCCGCATGGCAGCCTTATTGGCAACTTCGCCGGCCGTAAGAACATGCCGGGTGTTTGCGAAAGCAGTCGGACAGGCCTGGGCGGTAATCGAGAATAGTGCTGCAGTCAAAAAAAGTACGGAAAGATGTTTTTCGGCAGTAAACTCGCGGAATGCGAACGGATCCGTAACTACTTCACGGGGCACAATGACGAGTGTTGCCCCAGCAGCCAGAGGAGCAAAGGTTTCGAATAGAGAAATGTCAAAACCAGGATTATTGATTATTGCCATGCGGTCTTTTGGGTGCAACGGTGTGACTGGGGAGTTCTCTGCCAAATGTAGTAGACTTCTTTCGGCAATCTGTACGGCCTTCGGTTTGCCGCTGGATCCCGAGGTGTAGAGGATATGACTGCGAAATTCGCCGCCGCGGTCTCGAGATGGTGGGCAGGCCACATATTCCTCAGATGAATGACCAGAGATGGGGATGATAGTGATATCTTCATTGTCTGGAGTATTCTGGTCTGTGAGAATGTATTTCGCCTCAATATCTTGGAGCATATCCAGTAGGCGCAGTTCGGGAGTCGACGGGGTGATAGGCACGCAGGTCAGCCTGGCCCGGAGGACAGCCAACTGAGCAATGACCATACTGGAGCCAATGTCTTCTAAGACACAGATGGGCTGCTCATGGCTCAGGTGGAGTTCATTGAGGACTGATGCCAGTTTGCCCACTTCTCGGTCGAGCTCTCGATAGCTCAAAACATGTGAGCCATTTTCGATGGCGATGTCGTCGGGTTGAATGATTGCATGACTGGAAAGGTAGCCGTCCATATTGAATGCTATGTTCTTGAGTGACAAGTGAACAGCGAAAGATGAGGCAAATATGCAGAGTGTCGTGCTGACTTAATGGTTCTTTGTTCGAGAGTAGAGTAAATTGCGAGACTGTTGAAATTCATGCAAAAGCGAGACTTGCTGGTTTATATATGCCCAACTGCACACCAGATGACAACGTCAGACGACAATATGCTGCCAGGGTTTATGTGACTGTCATCTTGAATAAGCTGGATAGATACCAGTTTGAACCGGCATCTCCTGGACCATTTCCGTGCGCTGAAGCAGGTCTTCCCATGCTTCCGTATTGGGAGAATACAACCGCGAGCCAACAAGGTATACGCTCATATCATCCAGGTTTTCGAATCCGGGGTATGAAAGGGTCTGAGGTCATCGGACCGTTGTGGCTGAACGCTATTGGGGTCAGGGTTGCCAATGGGAGCTGTCAAGAAGGGTACCTAGAAAATGCTTAAAACTCTGATCACATCATCTTGTGTCATGTCAAGCGACCCAGGGTCGTGTGATCGTGGTTGACATGCATTGTTGAGTCAAAATCTTCCTTGTCCCGAACTCCCCGACATTCTTACTTCAAAACCGGTGGATCCGCATGAAGTCCTCTTCAACAATAGTATACACAGTTTCCACTCATGCGCCTTGGTCTGTCATGAACGTTTCTTCATGCTGCGGGCTGTTCCCATCGAAGTAAAGATTTGCTCTCCATGTCATTATGATTTTGCGAGGCTTAGACAGCCAGCCAATCGTGTTATTTTTTCGCCTCAAACCGCTGAAACTTTGTTTCAACAACTTGCACATTACTCTTGCAAATGGATGAAACCCAACAGAGCATTACCTCAGAGATGTGGGGACTCAATGCATCAAACTTATACCCAGGGAGGAGATGGGGTTTCTTGTTTTCGATGGATCCATCAGCAGTGGAGCTCTTATACTTCGTCTAGATGCCTAGCCCCGTTTTCGGCCAGGAGGCGGATGACAGGCATGTCTATCAAGCTTAAACGATACTTCAAGTGGGTTCGTCTGTGCCAAACTGGCCCTATGATGGGTCGTTTGTGACGCAAGACAAGTCAATAGACGAGTCGTCCTCGCGTTGTGCTGCAAGGGAGAGGGCGAAGAATGACCGGCATGGTTTTCTTTCACTTCTGGCATGCTTTAACCCAAAATATCGATCTGCATCGGAGTACGGTCTTGAAATTCACCGTATCCGCGGGGATTTGATGGCAACTTGCGTGGGATAAGACTTTCGTTGAAGAGGAGATGATGACTTCGGGGAACGAAGAAGGTTGACTTTGAAGCGAAAACAGCGCGCCGCCAAAACGGGGCCACCACGTGGGCAGGTGGTCCTGAGGTGTCAATGTCGACAAAGCAGAAAGGATCAGTCGAGACTTCATGCAGAATGATGTTGAAGGCGGCAGAGTGCGAAATCGATTCGTGGAACGAGAAACCGGCCAGAACCAGCAACACGAGATGCCGGCTCTACAGATAACAGGTTTCGACTAGAATGATATTGAACAAACCATAAATCAATTGACCAATCTATATACAGACATCTATGAAAATGAAATAGAAATTTACAGCATGGGCTTCAGGTCATCCGCCACCTTGAAGGGAGCGGCGGTCTTGCTGCGGATCTCCTCCACGGAGACACCCTCGGCGTGCTCAGCCAGAGTCAGACCCTCGGTAGGAGAGACGTTGAACACGGCCAGGTCAGTGATGATCTTCCACACGCAGCGGGGACCGGTCAAGGGGAAGCTGCACTCGGGAAGGATCTTGGAGTTGCCCTTCTTGTCGACGTGTTCCTGCACATCATTAGTACCTCATCGCACCGAAAAAGTTGCCAGCCGGTTAATCACATACCATAGTAACCACAACCTTGGTCTTCTCGGGGTTGGCGACCAAGTCCATGGCACCGCCAACACCCTTGACCTTACCGGGAAGCATAAAGTTGGCAAGATCTACAACAGTGATCAGCTCAAACTTGTTTTCAGACAGGGGGATGATCATCACATACCGCCGTACTGGCTCACTTGCAGAGCGCCGAGCATCGTCAGATCAATGCGTCCCGCGCGAATCATACCGAAGCTCTCATGGGAACCGAACAGAGAAGCACCACGACCCAGGGTCACGGTCTCCTTACCGGGGTTGATCAGGTCGGGGTCCTCCTCGCCGGGCTTGGGGTAACCACCCAGACCCAGGATACCGTTCTCGGCCTGGAGGACGACCTCCACGCCCTCGGGCAGGTACGAGGGAGCAATCAGGGGCATTCCGATTCCGAGGTTGACATACATTCCATCCTTGAATTCCTTGGCGGCACGCTTGACGATACGCTCGCGACGGGCGGTAGCCTCTCCGGATCCTGTACGGCAAGACAGAAGTCGTCAGCCTTTGCACCTTTGCAGAGTCCACATTGCAACCCTAGTAAATAGGTAGGTAACTTACCAGCCTGAAGCATCTCACTGGGGTCCTTGGCAAAGGTGAGCTTCTCGATCTGCTTCTCGCCACGGCTCTGGATGACCTTGTTGACGTAGATGCTCTGCAGGTGGATATCCTCGGGGGCGATCTCGCCAACCTCCACGATGTGATCGGCCTCGACGATGGTGTACTTGGCGTTCTTGCCCATGGCCTCGTTGAAGTTGTTCATAGCCTTGCGGAACTGACAGTTACCCAGCTTGTCGGCCTTGTGGACCTTGACCAGGGCGTAGTCGCCGAAAATCGATTCTTCCAGGATGTAGTTCTTGCCGTTGAATTTGCGCGTTTCCTTAGGCTTGGAGGTTTCGGCCACCGAGCCATCCTTGTTGTACCGAACGGGGAGTTCACCAGTTTGCACTGTCCTTGGGTCAGTCTCTCCAGCCTCTTCAGGCAATTATACCTCGTGGCGTGCTGTGCCATGGGATCGACCCACCGATAGTTCCATAAGCCGCGGGAGTATAGAAAGCAGGGACACCCGCCGCACCGGCAGCGCATTTCTCAGCAATGCTGCCCTGGGGGGTCAATTCGAGAGCCAAATCACCAGTCAGATACATTTTTTCGAAGACTTTGTTTTCACCGATAAACGACGCGATCATTTTACTGATCTGCTTGGTTTCCAGCAGCTGGCCCAAACCGGCGCCGGGCATACCGGCGTTGTTCGAGACGACGGTCAGATCGGTGATATCGGGCCGGTCGCGCACGGCGTCGATGAGGGTGTTGGGCACGCCGGAGAAGCCGAAACCTCCGACCAGCAGGGTCGAGGAGCCCTTCATGTCCTTGATGGCCTCGGAGGCCGAGTCGCATAGCTTGTCAATGGCTCGTCTGGGGGTCGAGACGCAGAAGTTCCGGCGCCACATGGGCCGGAACACCGCAGGGACAGGCCGCGCCATGGTGTGCGGGACCTTGAAGAATGATTCAAACTGGGGAAGTGAATGAGGGGAGAAAGGAAAAAAGAGAAAGAAAAGTCGGAGAGGCCAAAGGGCTCCATATTGTTATTTAATGGAATGCGAGCTTCCCCAGAAGCTCTCCGAGCGGCTAGCGACCGTGGCAGCCGACAAAGCGATTATCCGGCGCCCTTGGAGCTTTTTGCCGCCTTCCGAAGCCGACTCCACCGCGTTGTTCGGGGGAGAATTCATCCTGTCGGTAAGAATTTGCCAGAGACACGTTAGGAAGGATAGAAATGTTGTAGAACCATATGGGATTTATATAGAAATACTTTCTCCTTGTTTTGCCTGAATTCATTCAGTCAATAGCTCGGTATGCACGATCAGCGAGATCAGTCCGTCGGAACAGTCGCATCCTCGACGATTCCGATGGGCCTCGCGGGAGTCGGCGTCGGCAGTGCTCTTTGTGTGGGGAATTCCGGGGTATTTGCCTACATTAATAATAATATTCATTAATCATTGTTAGTGAACACTTATGAATTAGAGTGCATGTCACACTGTGCAGGTATGTACAAACTAGACAGTAGACAGTATGTTACACCTTATGTACATACTCCCCAGACAACCACCACATTATGTCACTGCCCCACATTTCTCTCCAACGCTCCTTAAGTACATGTAGATTGCAGATTCTACCCCAGACAACATCGTAACGCCCATCATGCTGCGGAGAAGCGCCCGTGAAGTCTTCACCAAATCCCCCAACGATGTCGTCGTGCTCTCCTCCGTGCGCAGTCCCATCGCTCGCGCCTACAAGGGCGCCTTCAAGGACTGCTACCCGGAGGAGATCCTCATGCCTGTACGCATTACAACTCTAGCTCATCGCCCTCTGTTCGTAAACCCCACAACTAACCCCATCTAGATAATGCAATCTGCCGTCCAACGCGCAGACATCCAACCGCACCATGTCAACGACGCTCTGATCGGAAACGTGCTGGGCGAACTCGGATTCGCCAAAACCGGTCGCATGGCACTCAACGCTGCCGGGTTTCCCAATTCCACTACGTTCCATACCTTGAACCGTCAATGCTCCAGTAGTCTGCAGGCCATCACCCACATGTCGCATTCCATCCTCGTCGGACAGATCGACGTCGGACTGGCTGGCGGCGTGGAGAGCATGACGCGCAATTATACCACGCGCGGTATTCCCATCGATGTGTCGCCGACGTTGAAGGACTCGGCCGTGAAAGATGCTCGAGACTGTCTCCTTCCCATGTTGCAGACGTCGGAGAATGTGGCGTCGCGGTACGGCATCGGTCGGCGTGAGCAGGACGAGTATGCGGCCGAGAGCCAGCGACGGGCCGCCGAGGCGCAGGCGTCAGGCCGGTTCGAGCACGAGATAGCTCCGGTCCTGACGCGTCAGGTTGATACGGAGACCGGGGAAGAGACGGCTCGGGTGGTGGAGCAGGACGAGGGAATCAGGAAGGGCGTGACGGTCGAGAAGCTGGCGAGCTTGAAGCCTGTGTTGGAGAACGGATTCAGCACGGCGGGCAATTCGTACGCAAACCTTCCTTGCAGTCATTATTCTTCTTGGAAACTGGCAGGTGCATTAACGATCCATGTCCAGATCCCAAATCTCCGACGGCGCCTCCGCCACCATTCTCGCTCGTCGATCATGGGCTGACGCTCATGGTCTCCGGCCTATCGCCCGATTCGCAGGCACCCAGCTGGCTGGTTGCGCGCCCGACGAGATGGGCATCGCGCCTGTTTATGCTATTGAGAACTTGTACCGGTATACAGGGATCCAGAAAAGCGACGTGGACGTATGGGAACTGAACGAGGCGTTTGCCAGCCAGACCATTCACTGCGTGCGCGAACTGGGCTTGGATCTCGACAAGGTCAATCCGAATGGCGGCGCAATCGCTCTTGGTCATCCAATCGGGGCGACGGGGGCACGACAGACGGCGACTTTGTTGGCAGAGTTGACGAGGAGAGAGCAAGAGGTGGGGGTGGTTAGCATGTGTGCGAGGTGAGTTTCCCTTTGAATTTTCCACTATTCATGATCCTTGTATTTTCGGCGAATGCTGAGATTCATTTGACTGACTCGAACGGTGAATGCAGTACGGGAATGGGAGTGGCGGCGCTGTTCATCCAAGAGTAATTTGAGACCGAGAAATTCTAGCAGTCCTTTCTGCGTCGTAGTATGTCATGAATCATGTCCAATTTGCACAACGAGCCTTTTTTGATCTCGTTGAATTTGTAGTTTGTAGATACTCGGGCTTTGCTTCCCCACGCTGAAAGTGAACGCCTTTCTTGGCTGCATTAGGTAGATCGCCTCCAGCACGAATCCCACCACATGACGTTTCCCAACTCTCCAACTCTTGGTAGGAAAGGCGTCAAATCGCAGGGGCAAACAAGTTAACAACGCAAAGTAAAGCGCCTGCTCCACATGGGCCCCGCAAAGACACCACACGCCCAAGAGGCCCAATGCCGTGGAAGTCGGATCTCAGAACCGCCATGTGGGTCGATGCCTTCATTCTTCAGGATGTAGTTCTCCACATGCAAAAACAGAGGGGCCATGGCCACCGGAAATTTTGTCCCTTAGAAATGATGGGATCTGCGACTTGAGACTTCTCAAACTGCAGAGAATAGCTGGGTAGACGCATTTAGAGAACGCCTGGGAACCAAACCATCACAATGCCGGCGCCCCCGATCGAAGAGAGAGTCCCGATTAAGGACATGCAGAAGGTCTTCCACTACACAGATACTATGACCCGGAAACCGACGAGAGAAAACGATCCTTACGAGTACCTGGCGGGATTTGGCAACAGACACCAGTCCGAAGTGATCCCGGGGACGTTGCCTGCTGGTCAGAACAACCCCCAAGAACCTCGCTTCGGACTTTATACGGAGGGTATCACCTACTCGGCCTTTGCAGCTCCGCGCCATGCCAACTTCAGCACTTACATGTACCGGGTTCGACCGGCGGCTGCTCACAGTATGTCCTCCCTGTCTGTCAGTATTTGCTACTGTACATAATGGCTAACCATACGCAGATGGGTACCGAGCCAACATCGAACACAAGGCAGACATCGAGAACTGTTTTTTGTCCTTGAACCCTAAGGTGGCGACGCTTGCGGAGCAGGGTGAATGGGCTCCCTTCCCCCTCCCGAAGGAAGACGAAAAGATCGATTTCGTGGACGGTCTTCACACACTGGGTGGTAGCGGAGACCCCAACTTGCGCGAGGGAATCGCTTTGTACGTGTTCATGATCAACGCGGACATGGACCGTCGGGCCTTTTGCAACACCGACGGCGACTTCCTCATCGTTGCTCAACTCGGCAACCTGGACATCCAGACCGAGATGGGAAAGCTGTTCTTGCAGCCCGGGGAGATCTGCGTAATCCCTCGGGGAGTTCGGTTTGCCGTCCGTCTCGGCCCCGGACACAACGTGGCTCGTGGATATATCACCGAAGTTTGGGGCTCGCGCTGGGAGCTGCCGGATCTAGGTCCCATCGGAGGCCACGGCCTGGCCAACCCCCGGGACTTCCTGCACCCGGTCGCCCACATCGACGAAGTTCTTCACGCAGATTGGTCCATTGTTAACAAGGCCAACGGCCTTTACAATGCCATTGAACAAGACCACAGCCCCTTCGACCTCGTTGCATGGCACGGGAACGTTGTCCCCTATAAGGTACCGGAGTGCTGATCCTGTTTCCGCTGTGTTGAATCAAGAACCCGCGGCTAACCAATCACAACACAGTATGACTTGACCAAGTTCTCCTCGCAGAACGCGACGTCCATCGACCACACGGATCCCTCGGTGAACTGCGTGCTGACGGCGCTCTCGCGCGACCCCATGACTCCGCTGGCGGACTTCCTGTGGTTCGGACCTCGCTGGGACGTGGCGGCTAACACCTTCCGCCTGCCGTACTTCCACCGTAACTCGGCCACGGAGTTCCTGGCTTCTCTATACGGCAATGGACTGGGCCGGTCCGACGACTTCTTGCCCGGCGGTGGCAGCGTTGAGATCAGCCATACACCACATGGCAATTTTAGCGAAGACTACGTGTATGAGATGCGTAACCAGGTCAACAAGCCTCGGAAAATTCTCGAGAGTGAGTGAAGACCCTCCGTGACCATAACCGAAACACTCACTAATGGGCTGCAGATCAAATGACGATCATGGTGGAGAGCAGTCGGTCGTTCTTGTTCACGGAATACGCTCGGAGCGGATGTGGGACCTTCAAGGATCAGGGAACCGACCCTAAGGTCTGGGATGCTCTGCCGGTAAGAACTGCTCCTGCTGACGATGGAACTGCGGAAGACATGAAGGCTGTTCGCTAATCTCTTGCGTGTAGGACAAATTTTCCTCGTACCCCAACATCCAGGAGATTCTTCGCCAAGTCAAGGCCGACAAGGAAGCCCGTAAAGAGCGCTTGGAGGCGTATTACGACGATGGGAAACTGGCGGAACTCGTGGCAGGTCAGAAGTCGACACAATAGGGGTACATAAGTACCTATACGTACCTGTTTTTCTACATTATCGTAAATTTCCTGTTGTAGACATCACCGCTTTACTGAGAGCACTCAAGGGGGGAGCCCACTGACCGGACAGCCCTTATCTAATTAAGAAGAAAACTAAACTATCTTAAGAAAACAGTTTTAAGAAAGCGATTAGACTATGACACGTGACTCCTGGCTCTGCCCAGTCGCTGACTAATTTATATAGAGATTAACGTATTTCACTACCGAGCGGCCACCCCCTACCGAGCGGCCACCTCTGTATTCCCATAGAAAATGGCTATTTTATAGACGTGAATAACACAACCACAATATAACCCTAGAATCTATATAAATAGTATAGTATATAGGTAGGTATCCTTGGTATAAAAAGAGTTTTTTTTCAGAATTTTAAATATTTTTTCAAAGATTATATAGTTACCTTTGTTATAAAATACAAAATTACGGCTGTAATTTATATTACCTAAATTATTAGGCTTTATAAAGACTTAACGATAAAATTTATACATTATACGAAGTATTATAATAAATAATACTAATTCCTAAACCTTGAATAATATATTGTGGTTGTGTTATTCACGTCTATAAAATAGCCATTTTCTATGGGAATACAGAGGTGGCCGCTCGGTAGGGGGTGGCCGCTCGGTAGTGAAATACGTTAGTTAAAGCAGGTCCCTTTTCGTTCGAAATTATCCCCCTAATCGGCAGTCTGATTAACGACTTGAATAACAACCTTGCCAACCTGCTGTCCGCTCTCCAGTCTTCGATAAGCCTCCTTGTATTCCGCAAAGGGATAAACCTGATCAATGACCGGCCTCATCTCATGTCTCGCCATCGCTGCAAGCATTGCCTCGAAATCTAGTCGTGACCCGATAATTGATCCAGTCAATGTCAGGCTCCGAGCCATGATATCAATGGGCGGGATGCCGCCACCAAGTCCACTCGCAAAGCCAATCAAAACAACCACACCACCTATCTTGGTGCACGCCGCGGACTTCTGAATGGTCTTCTCTCCAGCAATATCAAGGGTTCTGTCAACCCCCTTGCCATCAGTTAGAGCAAGGATCTCGCGATCCCACTCTGGAGAAGCGTTGTAGTTCACCACAGCATCTGCACCGAGTGCCTCCAGCCTAGCAGCTTTGGTGTCAGACGAGGTAATAGCCAGCACACGAGCGCCATAGATTTTCGCAATCTGCAACGCGAACAGTGAGACGCCTCCGGTTCCCTGAATCAGCACCGCCTGGCCAGGCTGAAGGGGCTCGATTTTGTTCAGTGCCGTCCACGCAGTCACTGCCGCACAGGGAAGCGAAGCAGCTTCGTTATAGGACATGTAGTCTGGAATGTGTACCAATGCATCCTCATGGAAGAGCACGTACTCTGCTAGCATTCCATCCATACTGAACCCAGCGCTCGTGCGGAAATATTCTGGAATATACAGACCGCCAATCCAGGCTGTAAAACAACCGACTGCAACCCGATCATTGGGTTTTACCCGCATTACTCCTGGCCCGACCGCGATAACCTCGCCGGCGCCGTCGGAAACAGGAATCACCTCTGCCTTGCTATTGACAGGATAGTCGCCTCGCAGTAGCACTGCATCACGGTAGTTGAGTGAGACGGCGTGAACCCGGATCAAAACTTCGTGTTGGCCTGGGCTGGGCAAAGGTTCCTCGCGGAGCTCGGTCATAAGCTTATTACTTCCTGCGGTAACAGCGCGGACTGCTTTCATTTGCGTCATGACTGGATAATAACAAGAACTCGTTTAGGTTTGATTCGATCGGTAAATTGACGGTGAGTGAAAGAACTGCCTGATTCGTAAGTATTAGAATCCTGCAGGGGGCTTTGCTGGATCCTATCTCAAATAGCTCTACGTCAGCGTGATGCTTCTAAAGACGTTCACATGTCGTGTGCTGCGCTTCAACGCGAGCTATCAGCGGAAGGAGCATCTTCGCCGCCATGAAGCGCAACATCAACAGAAGCGTCTCCGTTGCCCAGCCTGCGATCGAGAGTTTGGGCGAAGGTACGTTGTGGCTCTTTAATTAGATCGGTGGGATGGGTGACCCTGACGATCCACCTTAGTGACGTGCTTCGACGACACATGCGACCAGTGCATGGAGAAAAGGAAAGTACGACTCCCCCCAAACGCGCCTGTACACACTGCCGCAATCTGAAATCTCGGTGCGATGGCGGGCCACCGTGTAGGACGTGTCAACGCCTTGGGAATCACTGTTCTCTCAGCCAGCCTGAAACACCCGTAGGAGGCGGCGCTCATAGTCCCCCGGTAGAGGACACACTCGCTTCATCTGCAATTTCCGTTGCCGTGTAATACTTCGCGGTGGAATGCTTTGACTAAAGCCGAATGGGTGTCAGCGGATGCAGAGGGCATGCTTCGCTGTCGTTTTGGTGATATCAAAATCGGCAAGCGTCTTGGAGCGTCTCTGAAATTAACGTCCCCTCTTTAAAGATAAAAAAGATAAGATAATATAAAGGAGCAGAAAGAGGATCCGGCACTCGATGGGTCGCAACTGCCGAAGCCCCGCGTGGGCTGAGTCAGCCACTAAATCGGAAAGGGCGCCAATCACGAGGGCGTCAATACGGTATTACCACGGACGACGTTACCGTACCGACCCCATTCTGCAGGCGGTGGATCCCATTCCAGCCTAGTTCTCCTCCTTACCCGATCCGTCCGATTGCGATTAGAGTCTCCCCTCATCCTCTCCGCTAAACTGGAATCTGCTGCACGAACACTCTTCTTTTTGGTTTCTTTCTTCGTCGTTGACCCCCCCAGTCACCTCTGTCCTCGGCGTCCACTGAAGGTCATGCTCCCTGGCCCCGGTCTCCCCGGTCTTTCATATTCCCTCGCCCTCTGGCGCGTTGCATCATGGTCATAAGAAAGTGTACCATCTGTGACCGGCGATTCAAGAAAACAGAGCATTTCAAACGCCATGAACGGTCACGTCAGTCAAGTTGCCCGGATTCTTACTGTTTGAAGTCTAGTTGTCAGTCGCGCTAACGAGCAGTAGACACCAAGGAGAAACCCTATGAATGTAACGTCTGTCACAAACGATTTTCGCGAAGGTGCGCAACACACCCTCGTCGGATGGGTATTTACAATAGTGCTTTTCTTGGATAGAAATCTAATACGGGCCATATCGCAGTGATGTGTTGAGTCGACATGCCAAAGGACACAATGGCGCCGCTGCAACCACGTCCAACGGAGTCAAGAATGCGCAGCCCGCGGCGACGTCTGACCAAGCCGCAATTCGTCCTGCCGAGGGCCAACAATTCGTTCCAGGAACTGGCGCCGAAGCGGTTAACATGGTGCAACCACTTTCGATGGCGCCTCGCGACGTGCCTCTCCCTTCAGCAACCGGCCTCCCTCCGTCGTCTTTGGATTTTCTAGCAAATGTTTCGACGCATCATGCCCGCACCGAGCCCGAAGTCAACCCCATGATGATCGATGACCAACAAGCGGCATACTTTGGGTGGAACGAGGTTTCTACGACGGCAGATACGCCGGCCTATCGAGGGCCGATGTTCGACACGCCAAACGACATGATGCAGTTTTGGCTTGAACCGCGCGCCGATGCGGGTTCGCACAACGGTTCGATCAATTTGATGCCGGATTCGGGATTTGGAATGCTTGGGGATAGTCACGGAGCCTTCTCAGACCGACAGGCAAGACCTTCCGCGGACAGCGTTGGAACCCCCAAATCAGGGGGGACCATCCCTAGTGAGCGGTTCGCCAAGGTCCAAAAGTACTGGGTTGCTCCTTCGAATCATAACGGACGCCTGATCAACAATCTCTGGCAGGAGGTAGCGAGCATCGAGTTGGATAATATCTTCGCGCTACATCCTAGCATCTCAGTCAATGGCTCTCCTAGTCTCTTTCAGGGGACAAGGCACGGCTTGGATGAAGAATGTCGACAGCATCTCCAGGCAATATTTGGATATGCCCGGTTCGCCAACTCACATTCGCGCTTACCAGAACATATGGCGCATCCCCCTAGTTCATCCGGCGCATTGGTCACACTGCCCAACTTCCCTCCGGCCGAAGTTCTTGACATGGCCTTGGATCTGTACTTTCGGAACTTCCATCCTTTGGTCCCGTTTATCCACACTCCCACGTTTTCTGCCAAAAATACGAACCCGTCAGTGCTGTATTCCATGTGTTTGATTGGCATGATCATGCTGGGGACGAAGGGGACAACCGACTTCGTATCTAAGAATTATACTGTAAGTCTGAACCATTCGATGCTTGGTGTTCTACGGGTCACTCATCATAGGATTGTATTAGTTTGTACTCGAGAAGATCATGGCGGAACTAGCCAAATGCTCGCTGGGCACCGAGAGTTCGGCGAACACTATGTCGACGTTTGCAGCCGCCTTCCTTTTCCTCAACCTCGCTGCCATGACAGGGGTACGATTTCCATTTTCGAGCCCAATGGTGCATAGACTGATGTGATTGCAGGAAAAGGAGCACCTGGAGAAGAGCCAAATGCTCTATATCAGTCTCATTTCGGTAAGATGGACCAGTGGTCTTCTGGTGGTTCGCTACTGACGCCGGATAATAGATTGCACAGCGGCACGGGCTCTTTACAGCAACCGAAGGCCAAATACTCGACATGAGCTTTTTTGAAGTTGGTCCAGATGTTGATATGCGATGGAAAACCTGGAGTAAAATAGAATCTGTCAAGCGGTAAGTCGTCCAATCTGACGGAATTGTTACTACGTGCTGACCCAGGCAGGTTAATTTCTGGTCTTCTACTTTTGGACTCCTGGTACTCGTCGTTTCTATCGATGAGTCCTATTATTGTACCCGACTCTATCCAGATCATCCTCCCTTGCAATGAGAGTCTTTTCCAGGCAAACAGTTCGGGCCAATGGACGCATCTAATTCGAAGTGGACGGCGCATCCTGATGCCCACTGTGGTAGCCCCGTCGGAAAACGTCGAAATCGCGGCGCTAGATAGCCCCGTCGATGATTTCTGTATGCATTCGATTCTGGCGATGGTGCAGTTGCGGCTGTCTGAAGCCTACCATCGACTACTATCGAATCGAGCCAGCTACCCCTTCGCGCCCTGTCATACGTATGCCATGGACGGTCGTGCCCGCTGCCTACCATCTCTCCAACTGCAAATCGCCAGCAGATACAGCGACGTTCTTTCTCATTTGAATCCCAACGCAGCTGTCATGTGGCACAATATGTGCATGACGCTTACGGCCGATACGCAGATCTTCGATCTGGCCGCGGGACGAGCAGGTCCACTGCCGGCCCAGAAAGCACTGGAGGACATTGCAGCGTGGTCGCAAACACCCGCTGCGCGCAGAGCGTGCCTCCACGCCGCTCAGATCTACAAATCCATGATCAATCGGAAAGCGTCCGACCATACGATGTTCCACTCGGTGTTTTCGCTGTTCTCCGCTGCGCTTGTCCTGGGGCTTTACGAATTCATGGTCCCCAATACCGAAGGACAAGGGCAGGGCGCCTACATCGAACTTCTCGACGACGTCGACTGGCAGGCCGTCGGCACGGAAGGATTCACTAGCTTCATGGAACCGCGCGGCAGTCAGTCGTTTGCCCCGTCCGATGACCCGGCCGTGAACTTCATTCGGAATGGCGGCGTGGTGTACCTTCGCGGCGTGCCATTCCAGGGAGGATATCAGTCTGCACGACGGATTCTCCTGGACTACGCGGGGTTGCTCAAAGATGCCGGCAAATGGAGCGTTCGAAAGTTCTCATACGTTCTCCACATTATGAGTGACGTGCTGATGGACGTGGAATGAGCGAGTCGAACTGCGCTGTCAAAACGGAGACAGTCGAACGATATAGCGAGCGATGAGTTCTGGTAACAGGATTCTCGATAAACATTGAACATATGCCCAGCGGGCTGGGTGATTTTGTACACATGCATGTATTATTAACGACGGTCTGGTCTGTACCTGCGCGTGCAACTGGCTAGAAGACGGAAACGAACGTTGGGACAATGACTGGTATGTATAATTTATGATAATCTAACAAGGTCGTCTATAATCAAACACATCATGACATCGTATCTTTCACTATCATGTCATCATCATCAAGCATGAACCGTCCAGTCCTTCTCTATCACCTTTCTCTTCAACCTCTCCAACTCCCCCTCCGACGCAATCACACTCAACGTATACACCTGGCCAGCCCTCAGATACGACTGCCCCTTCGGCCTCCCCGCCAACACGACCCTCGACAACCCACAGTACTCATCCGCGCACCACAACGCCTCACCATCCACATCGCTCGTCGCCTGGAAATGCTCCTTCTCCGTCTCGACCACCACAGACAGGGGATTCGCCCGACGATACTTCTCCAAACTCAACCCATTACAGCGCGCATTCGGCAAATGCAACACGTCCTGCAAGATGAGAGTATTGATGCGCTCATCCCCCGCTGGCTCCCGCCGCCGGACCTGCAGCTCGACAGTCCCAACGCCCAGCACCTTGTTGCCTCCGATCTTGCCCGGAGCGCGGCGGTAGCTGCGGAACGAGGCGCGGTTCTTGGCGTAGTGGCAGTTGCCGCCGACGATGATCCAGTCCCAGCATCGGTTGGAGGAGGCGGGGACGGCGGGCGATTGTGAGCGGGATGATGGTTGGGTCTTCTTTTTGTTGGGTGTAGTGAGGGGTTTGGGGAGGGGGGATTGGGGTGTTGAGCGGCGTTGGTGATAGTCGTTGTAGTAGGATTTGAGGTCGGGCATGGTGGATTGACTATGTAGGGATGTATATATCGTGTAGGAAATAGATGATGTATATGGAATTGGAGGTAATAAAGGTCTGTAGGAATGTAGATTGTAGAGATTGTGTAGGATAATAATGGAAAGAGGGCGAGGGAGAGGAACGAGGGAGGAAATGATATTTAGAATTGAGAAAGAAGGAGGAACCCGTGGCGAGAAATGGCTCAAAGAGGCAGGTGGTGACAAGACATGCAAATCAAACAAACCCGGCCAATCTCTGCAGTCTGGACTTTCTCCTTCGCATCTCTCGCCATCATCCTTTGTGCTATCCAGAAAATCACGCAGAGTCTTGACGTCAGAAGAGATCCCGGATGGCGAATTGGCATCGCCTGGCCTGCCACATAAGCTTCTCTACGTGGGTCCCTGACCGTCTGGAACTTGCTCAACGACACATAAGCTTCTTTTTTCTACCAGGCTGTTCTTACAGATCTGGGTATGAAATATGACAGGCTCAACCATACAACAGTCCCTCCACTCGCTCCGCAATCGCCAATGAACTCGTCAACCCGGGACTTTCGATGCCCAGCAGATTCACAAACCCCGGGAATCCGTCCTCCTTCTGGATCACAAAGTCCTGGAAGCCCTTGCCCGTGTTCACGGCCCCGCCGCGGCCCAGTTTCGGTCGAATCCCACAGTAGTCCAGACTGATCGCCTCCGGATCGACGGCGGGCAGATATGCCCGGATCTCGGACAGGGCCTGCTGCAGGCGCGCCGCGCTGGGTTTCAGGTCGTTGGCGTCGTCCACCCATTCCACGTCCGGGCCGAATCGGATGCGCCCGCCCATGTCGAGGGTTAAATGCGTGCCGAGGCCGCCGTGGCCCGGTAGCGTGGCCGGATACACCAGCACGTTGGTGGTGGGTTTCGAGGCGCCGTACGAGAAGTACGTGCCCTTGGCATAGTACGGCGTGCGGTGGCGCTCCGCCGGCAGGAGCATGTTGTTGATCATGCAGGCGTAGTTACCCGCGCTGTTAATCACCGTCTCGGCTGTGATGCTACTCTCCTGGCCCTCCGCGTCGCGCGCCGTGATGCGGTACCCTGCCTCGCCGTTTCCCAACGGCTCCAACGCCGTCACGTTCGTGCGGAACGCGCAGTCCCCGCCTTGCTCCTCGAACGACCCCTGCAGGTACACCATGAGCGAATGGCTGTCGACGATGCCCGTCGTAGGGCTCTCCACGATACCGGCACGCGCCTGCACGGCCGGCTCTCGTCGCGCGGCCTCCTCGGCGGTGAGGATGCGCGTGGGCACGCCGATTTTCTGTGCGTGCTCGTGCACTTTGAGCGTGGCTTCCCACTGCTCGGGGGTCTGCGCGACGATCCATTTCTTCGTGTTGCGGTGTGGGATGCCCTTCTGGGCGCAGAGTTCGTAGAGTAGTTGTTTCCCGCGGATGCAGAGGTTGGTTTTGAGCGTGTCTATGCCGTAGTAGAGACCAGCGTGGATGACCTGTGACGGGTTAGCGTGTTTCAGAGATCTGGTACTCATCGAATGGGGATGTTGCTCTAGACGAGCAGGCGTAGTCTCTGTATAGGTCTAGGTAGTAACCGGGTACACAGCAGGTCCTCATGCTACTTACACAAGAACACACAGAAGCCAGGCAAGAGACACATCCCCTCGACATCGAGGATCAAGTGAAAGAGATAAATACCTCTGAATTGCGACTACTCGTCTCCATGCCCGGCGCATCGTTCCTCTCCAACAAGATCGTCGACCCGCCCCGGGCCGCCAACTGTCGCGCGACGGCGAGTCCTACAACGCCGGCGCCGATGACCTAAATTCATTGTTAGACTGTCTTCTTCTGGCCTCAGGTTTATACATAAATTCAAAAAATCCATCAAACATCAACAGAACAGAACATACCGCATGGGTCACGTCGGCCCTCGCAGCGCGGGAGCTCGAGAACGAGCGCGCTTGGAACTGTCGCGCCCTGCGAAGAGATTGTAGGCCTGCGCGCGACGACAAATGCATTTCGAACAATCTATACAAACTAAATATTGAAGTATGGAATTTGAGTTGATTAATTCCAGGGATTGTTGTGGCATGGAGACAAATGGCGAAGAAGAAGGGCCGATGAGGTGATTGCTCGAGTGGGTCTGCCTTTGCCTGCCTCGGAGTTGCCGCCGATCGCCGACTTGGCCGAGTATTCTACTTTACAGACAAGATGTATTATGTCGGGGATTATATGCTATATACATGAGATGTCAAGATCAAGATCATCCTCGCTTGCCTACGCTCTTCAGCATCTCGTCTAGATGCTGTCGTTGTTCAGTCGCTAATTTGCCTTGGGTATCCTGTTATGTGCAATTAGCAAGAGACTCTAGGTGGACCAGATAGACAACAAGACTTACACTGATAATGGTCAAAATCAAGGAGTAGTTGTTGAAGAGGAACCGTTCGCGTCGTTTGGCGTCGCCGCCGATGCGACTCAGCTTGGCCAGCAGCGCGTCGAACTCGCCGCGCAGTCGCGCCAGACTGTTGGACACCGGCTCGTCGTCCCCGGCTTCGCTGCTGAGAACGAGAATCCCGTGCAGGAGTTGCCCGAACCGCTGCGTCAGGAAATGCGGCGCCGTCGACTGGTTCAGATCGTCGCCGCCCGCCAGGGACAGCGCCGACACCGCGCTGCGTCCCGTGTTCGATCCAACCCGTCGCAGCGACTCACACTGAATGTCCATGATCACCTGGAACCGCGGCCACAGGCGCATGTTGGTGCCGTTGACGTACGCGTCGGCCACGGGCACCTTGCGACGCTGCAGCTCAAAGGCCGCGTGCTGATTCAACCGCACGCAGATCAGAACGCCGAGTGCGTCGGTCGCGTTGTCGATCAGCTGCTTCGTCAGCGTCTGGCCCAGAGCGAAGACGGGTTCGAAGATCTCCACGGCCTTGCGCGAGATCTGGTGGAAGGATAAGGATGAGAACATCTCCGTCATGAAGGAGTATTCGGCGGAGACGTTGTCAACCAGCGCCAGGTTGAAATTTCGGAAAGGCACTTCGATGCCGTGGAAGGAATTGTCCTCTTCCGCAAGGTACGAGGACATGGCCATTTGATTGCCGGTGCGAAGGATATCGATTCTTCGTCCTAGCGAGAAAGGGTCGTGGGCCGCAGCACCAGCTCGACTGCCGGTGACAATGTTACCTGCGATCGGTTAGGGTCAGCGGTTCCAGTACAGACCAGGAGTGAACCGACCGGACTTTTGCGTCGCATCTCCTCCCAAGACCTCGTTCCGATCGCTGGGATATACTTTGATCTTCTCTAGTGCCTGCAGGTAGCGCGTGAAATGTGACAGATAGTACCATCGCATGGTGTTGATGTAGGCCTGAGTGATTTCCCCGGTCAGAGTCGGATGCGCTCGCGACATGTAGCTGTACAAGTCCTTGAACTTGACCAGCCGCTGCTGCTGGATGATTTGAGCGTTGATATTCGGCGACCGCAGCGCTCGAATCTGGGAGACCAAGTAGTCGCGGATCCGTTCCACTGCCTATATTGGCGTTGTTAGCGCCGTCAACTTGTTGTATGAAACCGCTCAGGGGGTAGTTCGGTAGTTCCCACCTTCTTTTTGATATCGCCGAGGAGCGGTCGCACATCTTCAATTGACGCCGTCGTAGTCGAGCTGGACACTCGAGCCTCAATACTGGCGGTCCGCGTCTCAATCTCGTTCAAGGCCTTGACCCAATTGTCGTCGATGGGGCCCTCCGCGATCACCCGCACCGTTCGCGGAGAGATGCTGATTTCCTCCACCGCGGGTCCTAGAAGCTGCTCCACGTTGCGTCGATTTTCTAGCATGGCGTTCAGCTGCACGGAGCGGGTCTGCAGGGTTTCGATCTCCGCCGAGACCGCGCCCAGTTCGGTCTGAAAGTCACCCATATACATCTCCACCGATTTAGACACGTCGTCACACCCCGTGATGGCCGAATGAAGATCCTGGAATTTGTCTCGCTCTTGCTCGAACTGTCGGATGGTCTGCGCCCCGACATCGCTGGCGGTCCGGCGAGGCTCCGATTCCGCGGCGGCGAAGTCCTCGAGACTCAATCCGTTGAAGTCAATGTCCTCCACCAGCGTCGAAGGCTTCTCTATTACTACAGCGGAGGTCGGCGTGAGTTTGTCCGTCTGCAATGCATTCTCCTTTTGTTTCCCAATAATGCCGTTTAGCACCTGCAGTGGATCGGCCACGTCGGAGGGACGGGACCTTGCAGCGGATTGGGTCAACACCGACCCATCACCGCGCACCGTTGCCGGAAGCGAGACATTGGAGTCACTGGGCGTCACGAGGACCGAGAGGGAGGAACCTTGTCGGGTGGAGGAAGTCGGGCGGGCGGATTGCGCATAAGGAGAGAGGCGGGAGGAGGAGCGTCGAGGCAGCGGGGAGTTACTGCGACTGTCGGCTTGAGGACCGGAGGGGGTGGAATGGCCCGAGATGCGGTCGAGCCACATGGTGGGAGGGGAAAGCGGGAAGGAGAAGGGATGGTGGGATCATGAAGACATGACCAGCACAAGAGAGCAACGGAGCGAGTGAGTGAGTAGGGAGTAGAGAGTAGGGAGTACTCCGTCGTGATAGACGGGACAAGTATAGATCAGGTGAGATCGGGTGAGGTCAGGTGAGATCACGGGAATGGGTCGAAAGACTCCGGCGAGCCACAAACACCAACCGCGCAATCCGGCACGGGAACCACCTGCGCCAATCCCGATCGGGACTAGGCGACACAACCCCGCCACAACAAAAATGATTTCTTTTTTTTTTTTTTCTCTCGCCAGCGATTTGTCGCTTTTCTCGCCTGTTCTTCTTCGTCTCTCTCGACCTGCCGATTTTTCTCTTCCTCTCCTCCTCCTCTTCTTGATCTCCATCCCTCATCTCTCTCTCTTTTCTTGTCCCTTTCTGTCCTTATCTCCCCCTTCAATACCATCACCATGGCCGACGAGGTGGTATGTATCCTCTTCCTTTGTTCTCCTCAGAGTCCTCGCTGTCGCTTCTCGTGTTGTTGCTGCAGCCCCGCATCTTGAAATCTGCCCCCCTCTTCCCTCCTTCATGCTGGCGGTGGCTGCACGCGATGCATATGATCGAACTTGCGTCTCTTCTCGACAGATTACATTTCTTATATTTTCCTATCAGATCGCCTGGCTAACATGCGACCTCTTTACAGCAAGAGACTTTCGAATCCGCTGACGCTGGTGCGTCCAGCACCTACCCCATGCAGTGTTCCGCTCTGCGCAAGAACGGTCACGTTGTCATCAAGGGCCGTCCTTGCAAGATCGTCGAAATGTCCACCTCCAAGACTGGCAAGCACGGTCACGCCAAGGTCCACATTGTCGCCATCGACATCTTCACCGGCAAGAAGCTCGAGGATCTGTCTCCCTCCACCCACAACATGGACGTCCCCAACGTCAGCCGTCGGGAGTACCAGCTCGTGAGTGATCCTTCCCCTGTTGGACTCGACTTACATCGAGGCCTTTGATGCCGGAGAGAGATTCGGAACTAACGCTGCATTTTCAGATCGACATCACTGACGATGACTTCCTGTCCCTGATGGACGACAACGGCAACACCAAGGACGACGTCAAGGTCCCCGACACCGAGATCGGTGAGAAGATCATCCGTATGTTCCGTGAGGAGGAGAAGGACTGCAGTGAGTATTTCTGAATATCGACTCGATAAGTCACGGTAGACTGACCCTTCCTCCAGACGTCATCATCCTTACCTCCATGGGTGAGGAGACCGCCATTGAGTGCAAGGAAGCCCCCAAATAAGCGCAACGCTCAGTTGTTCGATGGGAACTTTTTCTTCTAAACTCCGTTCACCTCCCCTTGAAATGTTTTCCGGCCTCCTTGATGTCTGCTTTACTAGTGGTGTGACGTTTTGGGCTACATACGGCAAGGCTGCTTGTATGCGTCAGTGAGCCTTGGATGTACGCTGAGCCGGCAGGAGAGTTGCATTTAATTGGCAGCATAAAGCGTGCTTTGTCCGAGAACCAGTTCTGAGTTTAGCTCTCACGATAGTTTGACGAATCAAAAAATTAGTGGTCCATGTTTGTCTTGACGATGTAACTACTATCTTTGATATATGATTTCAACGATCAGCTATATCCTTTATCTTGAATCTGCCTGTCATCATATCTCTACGACCTCAAATACCTTTTCACTGAAACCCCCCATACGGCCGCCCTCTTGTAGTAATACATCCCCGGTACATTTCCCCCTTGCAGCCCGTCAATCGCCTGCGCCAGCGTCTCGCCCAGTCCTTCGGCCTTGATATCCCGGATGGGATAGAGATAGGTCTTGAAGGAGAAGCAGATGGCTTTGCTGTGGGGAAGCCTGTGCACGAGTTGGCGTTCGGTGCGCACGTAGGTCTATCTCTCTTTTTTTAATCCCTGTACTTCTGTATATATAAACAAATGCAAAACGTACCTGATCAATATCCGCCTCGATAGGCTTCACCTCGTCGCCCTCGTAGAGATGATTCCCCGAGGGCGCAAAGAGACGACCATGTGGTTGGATGGTCCACTATCACAACACAGACATATTAGTCCATCTATATCTACCCTTATGCCCCGCAACACCTCTAGAAATTGTAGGGGAAGAGAAGAAAAGAAAAGAAAAAGAAAAACTCACATTAAACCTCCTCACCACCGTCCCGACCTCCAATCTCTCAAACCACCGATCCATACTCCTCTCCAACTTCTCCTTATAGCCCGGCACGGGGATATGAATATCCCTCAACTTCAACCCTAGTTTCTTGCGCGTGTCAAACCCATTCGGGAAACAGGTCACGAACGCCTGTAGAGCGTACCCGTCTCCGTCGGCCGAGGGCAGTAGGAAGAGGATGTCGTCTTCGATGAGTCCGCCCAGGTGACGGAGGATGTCAATCCCTGGGGTTGATGCTGGGAGGGTAAGGGGATAAGATTCGTGGGTGACTTTGCTGTATAGGCATAGATTCGCGGAGGAGTTGGGAGTGGTAGTGTTTCGATCTGGGGTGAGAACGAACAGGTCTGGATATCGGTTCGGGAGGTAGGTGCCTACCATCCAGACGTAGAATTCTTGGATAGCAGGACGAGCGACGTTGTCGTTCGCTGCGAGGACGGTTTCCTCGTGGTCGGCCATGATCTGTCGGCGGAGGGTGATTCGGTCGAGGTAGGTGTTGTCGATGGCGAGGAGGTCCGAGAGGGTGGTTTTTTCGATAGCTTGGAATTGTACATGTTAGATTATAGTGTTTGTGGTGGTTGGATGGGTTGATTAGACATACACATGGTGAGGTTGTATTTGGGCTTATAGGGCCGGTGCTTTTCCGGTTCGGTGGTTTTCCAGTCGAAGGGGGTTAACGGTTCGATGATTTGAGATGAGGAGGTCTTTTCGTTTGGAGGGGTGGGATGGATCTGGACATGGAGTTAGTCTGCTTTATCATTTCATCTTGCAGTGAAGTGTGTTGTAACCGAACGTACCTTGGAAGATCTACGATAGTATCTCCTCGCCCATCCAATCCCGGTGTACAACGCGAAAACTGCGAAGAATGTGAGAGGAAGTATGGTCGTAGTCATTGTGCAGATCACAATTGATTCAGGGTTCACGATAGATGGTTTTGTTCATCTCCAAGGGACTCAGTTGCATCGAAGGTGTTATATAGAGAGGGGAAGTATAGATAAGGCAAGTCTTTCCCGATTAGGCAAAAATGGCCTGGCTTCGGCTATCGGGCTCGCCATCTCCCTTGCCTCGCATCGCGCATTTTGTCCGGTTTGGGGGTCGCTTCCTACAGTGTCAGGGAATTTGAAATTTGCTAAGTCGTTTTCTTTCGATAATATCCTCGCGTGGTGATCTTGTGTTCAATATTCTGGATCGAGATTCGATTGTATACGATTCACAGTTATGATGTAATAATTCCACCCTGGTAGATTAATTATCTAAAATATGTACTCAGAATATCTCGTAGATTGGTCAACATGCATAACCTCTTGATCCATAGATTTAACAAAATAGAACCTCCCATCCATTCTCTATCATCACGTCCATCCAGTACACATTCGGCATTCCCCTATCCGATTGCTCCCAGACCTTCAGTACAATATCAAGTTTACGCTGCGCCGGCTGCGGAGCAAAGACAAACCTGAAAGCCTCGAGTCTGCCACGAATGAACTTTCGGGCTTCAGTGATCTCCAGCATCTCATTTGTTACAATTTCAATGTCGTCAGGGGATGTCGGATATCGCAGCTCGCTGGACAAGGCCACGAGAAGAAAGGCCTGTATCGAGCGAGTATGAGACTCGAATGGTACTTTGCGAAGGATGCTAACTGTATGCATGGCAAGATGCTGGATCCATTGTTCGGCACTGTCTGATGAGGGCTGCGGCAGTCCTTCGAAGGCAGGTGTGGGGGTTTCTGACATGAGACGTTCTTCAAGGATGTCCGGGAATACTCGGTAGATCTGTAGCAGGGCGACAAGTTGATAAGCCTGAGCGACTGATAGGAAGTGCGAAACGGGTGTCGTATCATCGCCTGGATCAACAATGTCCTCTTGTGCGGGAAGTTGATAGTTCAATAGATAAACTTCGATCGATCCAACGTCCTGAACCATGTCCTGCAGCATAGCAAGGTCTGTTCGTCGCCAGAATTTCGATCGCATAGTCATCCGTCTGTGATTGTATACAAGCCGACCTACTTCGTGAATCCGGTCCATCAAGTCTGGCGAAACTATTGCCCAGGGATGAGGGATCATCTGCAAAGGTAAACTCAGACCTTGGGGCTCTCCCGGAGGACACGCGGGATCATCCAAGGGCGTGACGAATGAAAGTAGCATCTTCCAATAGTCCAAAGACTGCTGGAAAAACACTGAGTTTCGCCCAGGGGAACTCAAATCATCTGTTATGTTGCTGCGACGCCTTCCGCTCGCCATAATCTTCTTAGCGAGCCGGTACTGTGACAGACCTACATCTGCTTGCAGATGCCAGCTAGCAGATTGCCCCAGCATAAAGAGCGACAAAAGAGACATCTCAGTAGTCCTTCCGGCAACTGCTTCCTCTTCAATGATGTTCAGTGCTTGCCGTCGCATCTCCATGCCTTGAGATTTCAAATGTGGAAAATCGCGAGCGAGACAGGCAGATGCCATACTCTGAAGCGTCCACGTCAAGACCTGAGATGACGCCCAGACGCGCCCAACTGTCGTACGAAATGGATTCATGCTTCCATCAAAGCACGAATATATAGTGGCCACATGCTGGAAGTAGTATTCCACGAGCGACGATTCCAATGAAACTAATGGCCTTATCAGTCGGCTCTGGTTCCATGGTCTGTCCCTCCGTAGCTCGATAGTTGGACTAGTTGAAGGTGTCGCAAGAGAGGTGGCCAACATCTCGGCATCTTTAGCGAAATTGGTATGATCTGGTCTATCTTTAGCAGCCCCAGGGCCTATGGATTCTTGGTCTTGCACAACATCCAGCGGACTTGCTGCGCTCAGGCACTGTGGAAACAATGAACCGAATCCATCCAGGTCCATCTCTTCGAAGGAGGGGATGGTGTCCCAATGCAACCCCTCGTTGTCAGTGAGGCTTTCAGCAGCTCTATGATTGATACCAGACGAGGTATCTGCTTCTGCGGAGCTGTGATCTGCAGCCGGCATAACCGGGCTGCTGGACGTAGAGCGAAAATCACGCCGTGAACTTGTCCGACCCTTCATGAGGACCTCATACTTTGTCGACCATCGGAACCGCTGCTGGTAACCAGGACATGGGAGCTGCAGACGAGTACACCTATGACAGGATGGTCGTTTTTCATCGCATTTCACCTAGATTGCTAGATAAGCGACCTGTTCTGCTCTGATGTCATCAGGGGCAGCGTCAACTAACCCTTTTCTCCTTACATCGCGCACATCCTCCGCGAGACTTTGCGCTTGCAGGCATATCTTCTTGAGTGGCACTGATTTTGATGTCTGAGAAAATAAAATAACAGAGTCGATGCAGTATGCAAAAAGCTTCGGTCTGCAAGGAAGTAGAAAATCCCCGCACTGTCGCTGATAACCACTTGGCACGTGTGGGGCCGGCCTTATCTCTTCTCTATTTCATTCATTTCAAGTCACCCTGAACGCCGATGACCCTATATCGAAATCTGTGCCATGTCGAACCACTCAATTGAGGGTTGAGTGTTGAATAGCTCCCACATCAAATTGTCATCCCACATCGAAGGTCGCAATTGTCCCATTTCACCCGGATACTCTTCATCCGCCATGGATAGCCCTCCGTCTGTGCCATCGTTTACATCATGCATATCCCAGAAGTTTCTTGACTGGGGCCCATATGATATTGAATCCTCGTACTGCGGCTGTGATGATCGAAGTCTCTCTGGGCTAAGTGAAACAGATTTCGTCACATGTGTCTCCGTGGTATTGCTCTCCACAAGAGCCTCGAGCTGGCCACATAAATCCATGAATTGAGACAGTAGGCCGTAGAGAGCTAATATGAAGGAGTTTTTGTCCTTGATTCGCGACAAGGCAGTCATGATTTGATTCAGAGTATGATAGTCTTGCTCGTTGGATGTTGCTAGGACATTACAGAATATGATAAAGAAGGGCGTCAATGGATAGAGAAGGATGGTCCTACAATTCTTATCAGCCAACCTGAAGCTTTGAGTTGATGAAGATTAGTGAGATCATTGTACCAAAAGAGGAAGTCCATGAATAAACGTTGCCCATCTAGAATATGATTGAGCAATGCACTCATGGCGCTCAATGCCTTGCGTGCATGTAGTAAACACTGTTCTCTGATTTGATGGTCATGAAGAGAGGTGGAATTCAGTCGAAGCACGGTTGTAGCAATAGCATGATAAGTAAAATCAAGTGCATCCCATTCTAGGCGCCATTCAGGTGTATCGTTCGTTTGAAAGCGTGCCTACATAGACTGGATTAGATCCGCTAGAACGGTATCGAAAGAAGAAAGAAAAGATAGAAAAGAAAGCCTCAAGTGCAGAGTGCACCACGGCTCTTACCTCACAAGACTCTTTCCATATGTCCTGCAATTCCGATTTCAAAACAGGAATAGATGCCGAGGCTTCGACTTCTGTCAGCTTGTCGCCCTTGATCAGAAGTGAGAGCACCCCATCCTGTACATGAGACAGTTTCACGAGTATTCCCATTTTCATTTTAAGAGGCTCGGTATATTTTAGCTCAATCAAGGAGACTGGGTCAAGATTCAGGTCAGGTAAGGATGAGGGCCGAACCAGAAGCATACTCAAGGCCTTGTCTAGGTAGTAGCAGTAGTATGTGCAATGTCGGATTTCTGCGGAGTCATCGTGTTCCTTCAATGCCTGGGGACTTAAGTTGTGGTAACCCAAAGCGACCATCACTCTGGATGCATATGATGTGAGAGTCCAGGCCTGAGAGGCGTCACCAAGAAGCTGAAGTAGCTGCGCCTAATAGGACGCAGGATTAGTAACGACTTCTGAGTCCCATCTTCTTAGGTGTAAGAGTACTACTCACCCCTGAGATCAAGGTCTGGAGTAGTGACAGGCTGGGACTGTTTAAAACATTCAACCGTCGTAGGGCCCTTAGACCAGCAGCCGCGTACTTCTTTTTGGACTCCTCCAAAGCCTTGGAGAGGTCATCTGAAGTAGCAACCCGTAGCCATCTGTTGACGTAGTTGACTGCTCTCGCAAGCACGGATATTCCATAATGGCATGCTGTTTGACCCGTGGCTTTTCCATACAGCAAACTTAAACACATTTGCTCAAACTTCTTTGGAGGGATATGATCAGGCCAGAACAAACTAAACGAGCTAGAGCAATTTGGCGTGGCTGAGCATGTCAGAATAACTGATAGAATACTAGGCGGAACGGACTTACTATATAGCATCATCAAAAATAGTTCCGAGGGGATTTCACTCGAAGCCTGATCATCCCCCGGGTCTGAATCATAGTTTGCATTGACAACTGGATGCGAAGTATCTTTGAAATGGCCTATTAAAGATAAAGCCGATTCCATCACGCGCCTTCGACCATCAGATAGCGAACTGTTTGAGTCCAGTTCTCTACGGATGATAGTTGTTGCCTCACCTGCTGTGTGAGCATAGCCGGGCGACACCCCGGCGGTGTTGGAGCGGGTATGCGCATTGTTCATGTTGTCAGATGCCTCTGTGGTCCTCGGTGATGCCACTCGAGAGGTGGTGTTGACCTGTCTATTGGCAACCACAGACGAGGTTCTGGAATTTCTGGGGATCTTGTTAAATCGATGAGGAAGTACCCAGGCGCAGTACTTACCGCGAATCTCGAGGTCGCCGAGCTCGCCGAGATCTGGACCGTATGCAACGAGCCTGTGCAGTTGTACAATTTGAACATTGAATTTGCCTGTCACATTTGACCTAAGTATCTAGATATTAACGACAAGTCTCGAATATGAATATGAAAGTTCTTCATCCCAGAATTGAAATGGTCATACCTTTCTGGTATGACACAAGTCACACTGTTTCGAGTTAGCTTCTGACTGCCGCACAAGTCACCCAAGATGGAATTTTGATATGCTCGTCCTCTAACAACGACAGAGATTTCATCATTCTCCAGATACCTAGCCAATGACGCAGGAAGTTCCATGTTGAACCAAGAGAGATAATAAGTATTCCTGCATGCTCGGAAATTCGGACAGAAATTGACAAGTTCCTGAAAGAATTGCAGGACTTACCGCTTGAAGCCGGTGGTATCTTGACTGCACTAGGTTCGGACTGCTCTCGGCCATAATGAATTTGTAAACAATATGAAATAAGACGGAGCGCTCTTGTGAAAGTCTCGATCATGGAACACTTCATTGAATAGTTCGGGAATCTCGGAAATTTTCTGAGTCGGAAATTCGGACGAAGCGGTCGTGTTGGCTGACATCATCAGCCTCCGGTCTAAAACTGCATTGACCTTCAACTGATGCTTTGAATGCCACCGTTTGTAATTATCGTTCTCTTAGTGATCTGCGATGAGTGGCTAGCAAGTCAAATGCATAAAATAAAGAAGTAGTTCGAATCAGCCATTGTGTCCTAGTTCTCGTCTAGTCGGTATGGATCGGCATGGAGCCTGAAGTATGGAAAGGATATAGCTGCAAGATATTGATCTTGATTTGTGGCGGTAGCTATTAACAGATCAGGCAGTCGAGTTGTATCAAATTTGCACCAGTTCATCAAAATGCTGTCCATTGTTAGGTCGAGTTGGGACCCGATCCATTGAAGCGGGTCTCGTCTAGAAATCCGAAAACCCGAAGATCCGAGCCCTAAGCAAAGCATGCAGCTAATCGGATGAGATTTCTGAGCTGAAGCACTGTTTAGAAAGTTTGAGTACGTAAAATCTTGTAGGGCAATGACATAGAAGGGGCTGTCCCAACTTACTAAATGAAGTGTATATATGCTGTACTTTGCCGACTTTCTTCGACCGACTCCATATCAAATCGAGTCCTCTAACTTGAAATTTGCAAAACGGGGGCAAATTTTCTTATAAGTTCTTTATTGAACCTTTTCAATCGACCAAACCGCCCTTAGTAAGAACAGCCATGGATGGCTCCACGACAGCATCGACCACGGACTGTTCGATACAAGAACAGAAATGCACTTCGAACCATGACGACCCTTGGCCGTTGACATATCGACTGGAAGATATGCTTCGCCGGGACCTTGATTCGGGATTCCCGCCTCGAAAGCTGGGTGTGACATGGAGCAACTTAACGGTGAAAGCAAAAAGCGCGGAATCAGCAGTCAACGAGAACATCTTCACTCAATTCGACGTAATCGGCCAGGTGAAAAGAAGGCACCGAAAGCTTCCTCCGAAGGAGATTCTCCACGAAAGTCACGGATGTGTCAAGCCCGGAGAGATGCTGCTGGTTCTTGGACGACCAGGGTCCGGGTGTACGACGCTGCTTAAAATGCTGGCCAACAGACGGGCCGGTTATGAGGAAATCGAAGGTGACATCTGGTATGGCAATATGCGACATGACGAAGCGAGCCATTACAAAGGTCAAATAATCATGAACACCGAAGAGGAGATTTTCTTCCCGACTTTGACCGTCGGACAAACCCTTGACTTCGCCACAAAGTTGAAAGTACCTCAGCAACTCCCCACGACAATGCGCAATGCGGAGGATTACAGGGTGGAGATGAAGGAGTTTCTGTTGGAAAGTCTCGGTATCTCCCATACCAAGGAAACAAAAGTTGGCGATCCCTACATTCGTGGAGTGTCCGGAGGAGAGAGAAAGCGTGTCTCGATATTGGAGTGCCTCGCCTCATCCGCATCGATCTATTGTTGGGATAACAGCACAAGAGGTCTCGATGCGTCAAGTGCTTTGGATTGGGCCAAGGCCATGCGTGCAATGGCGGACGTGTATGGCAAATCTATGATTGTCACGCTTTATCAAGTTGGCAATGACATATTCCAGCTCTTCGATAAGGTCTTGGTACTTGACGAAGGGAAGCAGATATACTATGGTCCTGCCAACCAAGCACAGAAGTTCATGGAGGATCTCGGCTTTACTCTCAACGAAGGTGCAAAAGTTGGTGATTTTCTAACTGGCGTCACGGTTCCCACTGAGCGCCAGATTCGACCTGGCCATGAATCCGTCTTCCCTCGAGACGCCGAGGCAATTCTGCAGGTTTATGACAATTCTTCCCTTCGAGCGCAAATGGCAACCGAGTATCAATACCCAACCAGTGAATCAGCTCAGAAAGACACCGACAATTTCAAGAATGCCGTGTCCACGGAGAGGCATCGCCCAGGAAGTGTCCACACTGCGGGGTTCACCACACAGGTACGGGCCTGCGTCGTTCGTCAATATCAAGTTCTCCTAGGCGATAAGAAGACGCTTGCCATGAAGCAAGGTTCGACTCTGATTCAGGCCTTGGTAGCCGGTTCACTCTACTACCAAGCCACGGGGGATTCAACGGGGCTCTTTCTGAAAGGAGGCGCAATGTTTTGGTCCATTCTGTATAACAGCATGAGTGCCATGTCCGAGGTGGTCGACTCCTTTTCCGGGCGTCTGATGGTAATCAAGCATAGTGACTTTGCATTTCATCATCCAGCTGCATTCTGCGTAGGGCAGATCACCGCGGACATCCCCATCAGCTTAGTCCAAGTTACCATATGGTCTCTGATTGTCTATTTCATGGTGGGCTTGCAAATGTCTGCCAGCGGTTTCTTTACCTACTGGGTCGTTCTTTTTGCGTCCATAATGAGTGGAACGGCTCTATTTCGCGCTGTCGGAGCAACGTTTCGTACTTTTGATAGTGCATCCAAGATATCGGGCTATGTGGTCACTGTGATGGCGATGTACGCAGGATATCAAATCCAGTATTCGCAAATGCACCCGTGGCTAGGATGGTTATACTGGCTTAATCCGGTCGCGTATGCCTTTGACGCTTTGATGAGCAACGAATTCCACGACAAAACAATCCCTTGCGCCGGCGTCAATCTGATCCCCCGCGGTGAGACCTATTCGAACGTGGACTCTGCCCATCAGTCCTGTGCCGGAGTTAGAGGCGCGAAGCCCAGGTCTAATGTGGTACTTGGAACTCAATACTTGAGCGCCCTATCGTACTCACAAGGGCATCTCTGGCGAAACTTCGGTATCCTTTGGGCATGGTGGGCTTTTTACGTGACCATCACGATCTTGGCAACTATACGTTGGCGAGATGCTTCATCGTCCGGTGCCTCGCTTCTCATTCCTCGCGAAAGGTTGACCAATCACCGACGATCACACAACGTTGACGAGGAATCCCAAGCACATAAGTCTCTGGACAACCAGCCAACCTCCGAATCGACTACACCGCCAAGCACAGAGAAAGAAGCAGATGGTGCACAACTAGTCAGAAATACATCGGTTTTCACTTGGAAAAACCTGACGTACACTGTGAACACTCCGACAGGGCCTCGCGTGTTACTAGAAAATGTCAATGGATGGGTGAAACCCGGTATGCTTGGCGCATTAATGGGCGCATCTGGGGCAGGCAAAACAACGTTGTTGGATGTGCTTGCCCAGAGAAAGACAGAGGGTAGGATAGAGGGATCCATCATGGTTGATGGTCGGCCTTTGTCTCTATCGTTCCAAAGGTCTGCGGGATATTGTGAGCAACTTGATGTCCACGAGCCATATGCTACAGTTCGAGAAGCTTTGGAGTTTTCTGCTCTTTTGCGTCAGCCTTCCCATACCCCAAGAGCAGAAAAGTTGCAATATGTGGATGTCATTTTGGACCTCTTAGACCTTCATTGCATCGCAGACACTCTTGTTGGAAATTCCACCATCGGGGGCCTCAACGTTGAACAACGGAAGCGGGTAACCATCGGAGTCGAACTGGTTGCAAAACCCAGTATTTTGATTTTCCTTGATGAACCAACTTCGGGGCTTGACGGACAGGCTGCATTCAATACAGTCCGTTTTCTGCGCAGACTGGCAGATCACGGCCAAGCAATCCTGGTCACCATTCATCAGCCCTCAGCTCAGCTTTTTTATCAATTTGACACGCTGTTACTCCTCGCTCGCGGTGGCAAAACGGTCTATTTTGGCGACATTGGTCCGAAAGCTCAAACGATAAAGAACTACTTCGGACGCCATGGTGCGCCTTGCCCAGCAGAAAGCAACCCAGCGGACCATGTAATCGATGTGGTATCCGGTCGACTATCTTCCACCGATTGGCATCACATCTGGCTCCAATCCCCAGAATTTCGCCGTTCCACAACAGAGTTGGACACTATCATCAAGGAATCCGCGTCGCGGGAGCCGGGGACCCGGGATGATGGTCACGAGTATGCAATGCCCCTCTGGGATCAGACAAAGATCCTGCTGCACCGAATGAATGTCTCTCTTTTTCGAAACACCAACTATGTGAACAACAAGATCTACCTTCATGTCGGGTTGGCGCTCTTCAATGGCTTTTCCTATTGGATGATTGGGAACAGTGTCAACGATTTGCAGCTGCGCATTTTCACCATCTTTGTGTTCATGTATGTGGCCCCGGGCGTGGTCAATCAACTTCAGCCCCTGTTCATTGAGAGACGGGACATATATGATACACGTGAAAAGAAATCTCGAATGTACTCGTGGAAGGCCTTCGTGACTGGTCTGATCGTCTCCGAGTTCCCCTACCTATGTGTCTGCGGTGTCCTCTATTTTGTATGCTGGTATTACACCGTAGGGTTCCCTGCAGAAACCAACAAGGCTGGTGCATCCTTCCTGGTCGTCCTGCTGTATGAATTCTTCTATACGGGTATGGGCCAATTCATCGCAGCATATTCTCCTAATGCGGTTTTTGCATCGCTGGTTAACCCCTTGGTGGTCGGTATTCTCGTGTCTTTCTGCGGTATCCTTGTGCCCTATGGACAGATCGTGCCCTTCTGGAGATACTGGATGTACTATTTGAATCCAACCAACTACCTAGTAGGCAGTTTGCTCACTTTCAGCATCTTTGACATCGATGTGCAATGCACGGAGACCGAGTATGCTGTGTTCGACCCTCCCTCCAATGCCACCTGTGGCGAGTATTTGGCCGGCTTTTTGAAAGAATCCGATGCCAATCTGGTCAACCCGGAAGCCATCCACGGGTGCCGTGTCTGCTCGTATACCAAGGGAAGCGGCTACCTTGAGACCCTGAATTTGAAAGACTTTTACTATGGTTGGCGAGACGTGGGCATCTTTGTCATTTTCGTCTTCAGTTCCTATGGTTTGGTGTACTTGTTCATGAAGTTGAGAACGAAGGCCTCCAAAAGGGCGGAGTAGGAAGCGGGCACTCCGTGCTGTGTCAGATACGAATCCATTGTCAAGCTATCATTCAAATTTCGTGTTATCAGTAGCAGCATATAGTTCCAATCATAGTTTTGAAGCAGTTCGTTCTTCCCCCTCAATTTGTGTCAATCAGGGCCTCAGCGAGGCACGCGCAACCCGTAGAGAAAGCGACTGAAATGCATCGCGCATCGTTGAGAATTTCTAGCAAGGCGACACAACCCCTCAAAAATTTTCAACGTTGTAAGACGTCGAAACGTCGCAGAAAGGTCACAGGCACAAAGACGATGGCTGATATTTCGATGATGAGGAAAGCAAGACAAGAAGGGAGACAGAAAGACGCCCGTTTTGGTCACGGCAGCGCACGTGATGCTTAGTCAAGTTCTTCCCAAATTGGCAGTCGATCTCCACTTCCATCATGAAAATCCGATGAATGGACGCCGATAGAGTAGACAGTACTCATCCATAGGATTTCGTTCCGACCCCTTCAGTCCCTGAAACTTGGAAACATCCTCGCTGTGATCTAATACGGCGAGGGTCGATGGCTACTAATCTTCGTTCTTTGTGATCAGAAGAATGAGGAGCGTTGCCCCGGATGGAGTACACCATCCGAGGACGCTGTGGGCAGGAAGGATGCCGTGAAAGACGATACTACCTTGACGAGGGTATCTGGTTTTGTAGACAAGGTCATCAACAAGAGGTATTGCGCGCCGAATTCCTGATCTCGGGATACGTCGGGGAAAATCTTTCTACATTTAGAGAAATCAGTTTACTGATATACTCGGGTTTATTTAGGGGCGGCAATACGAAGCAGAGTACGATCAATATGGGACGCAAGGCAAGACAAATCGAATTAAAAAGGTGGTTGCAGAGAAAGGCCACAGGAGTAAGGCCGAATCCCACATTCATTCGCATCGCGCCCGGCCAATATACTAATGCTGAGCAGCCTACCGCGGTCGCCGGGCTTATACCCTCTTCTTACAAGTTTACCAATTCATTCTCTGGAAGCAATGCTATGCCTTGGTCCAGGCTCGGGGGTTTCCCGAGCAATTTGAGGTACCAATGCTAGACTTTCATCCTCAACACACGATCGCAGACCACCAGCTGACTTGGTCTATGTATAGAATATTGTCCGTGATTTATGGGCTCTTCGATTGGAGACGTATTCCAATAAGATCAAAGAAATCCCGGAAGAGGATGATCAGCCCCAACTTTTCAGCTCGCAACCAAATACAGATGTTGAGAGCGAACCTGAAGACTTCAAACCCAAATCGAATTGGCCCAGGCTAATTGACACCGTGGGTCTTTGTTACCTGGCCGCTCTACTTATGAGAATCCCTGTCAGTATTTGTGGTATGCACCGGTAAGTCATGCCATTGAAATGTACTCTGAGTGTCTATAGACTCATTCACTACGCACTTAGTATGATTCTTCGTGGTGAAGTACCCTATATGCGGGTGGTAAAAGACATCCCTCGCGAAATGAGAGACAAGCTTCCACCGGAGTACCTCTCGATCATTGAAACAAGCGTAAGTGATTTACTTTTGCTCTAAGACAGCAGGCTGACCGTTACAAGAGGCTCATTCAAGCTGAGCAACTCCACAAAGCTGTATCAGAGCTACTGCTTTTGTACCATCACAAGTTCGGCGTACAATTTCCGCCATTGAATCATCCACCCCTCTTATATCGTTTCATCAGAAGGCTCGCACTTCCCAGTATGGAATTCTTGTCCCTTCAGCCACGGTCTCTTCTAGCTCTAACCCGCCTCCAGTTGAAATATACCCTTCTATTAAACGACTACAATCTCTTTTGGGTTTCTCTTTCCAATACCAAACTCGAATTGCTGACACGAGGAAGCCCCTCAATCTGCCTGAGCTACAATTGATGACTCTCATTGTCATATCCACTAAACTTCATTTTCCCTTTGACGACATCAAAAGATACCCTAGCTCGGCGCAAGAACCCACGACTCAGACAATAAATTGGAATGCCTGGGCCCAAGCTCAAAAACAATTCGACCGTCACGAAACCTCTGGAGGAAAACTTGGAAAGGGAAACGAGATCCAAGTGAAAGAAGACAAGGTTTTCGACATGACACCCAGTCAACTCGATGAGTACATGGATTGGTACGAGAACAGTTGGCTGGACATCAGCAAAGGTACGTCATAAGGGTCTTCCGGTATTTCTGGTCGATATTAATATTTTTCTTCCCAGCGAAAAATCCATTAGCAGATCTATTCCCTATGAATGCAGGGGCCGGGGAAAACCAGCCTACAACGCCATTGGCGACAGCGGCGGCACCAGCGGCACCAGCTCCAGCAATTCCAGCCGAAGAAGACGAGGACGAAGCGATGAGCACAATGGTGCAGACAGTCACCAGCAAGCTGAAGCCTCGGAGGGTAATCCCTGATGGCGAAGCACATGTTCCTCGTCCGGGCAGCTCGTATCCGCGTTGTCGGATGGAGTCTAACCTACCGGAGGCGGCAAGACCATTCTACGAAACCGCGGCAAAAGTTGTTGGGGTGTCCCTCACAACTCTCACCAGGGCTGTGTATCAAGCGGAAACCAGAATCTCTCGTTGGCTGGAAGATCAGAGGCGAATTAAGTATTTCGTGGACCATTCGGAGATGGATGTTGCTGATGATGATAATTCCGATGCTGCGGAGGAAAGTGACGATCATTCTATGGCTGATCTAGAATCATGACATCTTCCTACACGGGCATATAGGAATAGTTCTACACAGAGGCGCACATGTTGAGCATGGACCCCACTTGAGGACAATTCAGTCAGAAGTTTCTCATGGTGACTTCGCCGTTTCCAATGCAATGTATAGCCCTTTGCGGATCAAATTACACTTAGGAACAACAAACGGCAAAGATCAACAGTATGCCCGTTATCCATTGGACTAAGAAGAGCTAAACATATTAAACTAGAATAGGTCAGTCATGGTATACCTAGTAGGCTTGTATACCTACGGAGTTTGCCCCGTGTAACTTACGGCCTATAGTCATCGGTCGAAAATAGCCAGGGATACGTTCACGAGAACTGTCTTAAAGTAATTTAGAGCAGAATGTTAACCAAGTCTTACTTTCGACCCAATTTTTGAGACTGATGACGGACCCCGACTGATCGAGGGCTCATTAGGTGGCCCGGTCTACCCGCGTTAACGCCGCCCCGGTTCGGCCTTATGATCGATCTCCGTTGAGACTATGAGAGTACACCGCGTGCAGACGTAACGTCGCCATACATTGAGATAAGCATTTTCGGACATCTTCTAGCGTATGAAAGAGTAAATCATTCAGTAAGAGGCAATTATATAAGAGAACATCCTGTCGCACCTGGTTTTACAGCATCCGAATCCAAGTTCCTACTGCATTTACCAAGCTTCTAAAAAAAAAAAAAACCTCAGTTACAAGCCAACATTATGTCACTTACGGGCAAAGTCATTCTCATCACCGGAGCATCGGCCGGAATAGGAAAGGCTGTGGCACAGCGCGTGGCTAAGAACGGCGCCAGCGTTATCATCAATTACCTACGAGATGCCACATCTGCGAATGCCTTAGTCGACGAGATCGGCTCAGACCGAGCTCTCGCCGTGCAAGCCGATGTTTCAAAAACCGACGATATCCACCGTCTAGTCGAGACGACAGTGACTAAATTCGGGCACATCGACGTGGTCATTCCGAATGCCGGCGTCCTCCCCATGAATGACCTCGATAGCACCACGGAGGCCGATTTCGACGCCGCATTCGCGCTCAACGTGAAGGGACCGTACTTCCTGGCCCAGGAAGCAGCACGTCATATGCCAGCTGGAGGCCGCATCATCTTCGTTTCGACAGCTGTTACATCCTTCTCCACGGCGGCGCCTGCTTACCTCCTGTACGCAGCGACGAAAGGCGCAATCGAGCAAATGACGAGACTCGCGGCTAAAGATCTCGGGCGGAAAGGGATCATGGTCAATGCCGTGGCCCCCGGGCCGACGCAGACCGAATTGTTTCTGAAGGGGAAGTCAGAGGAGACATTGCGACTAGTGGCTAGCGCAAATCCGTTCAAGCGTGTCGCTGTGCCGGAGGAGATCACGGGGGCCTTCAATTTCCTTTGCGGACCCGACAGCTCTTGGATTTCGGGGGAAGTGATTCGAGTGGATGGCGCGATGGCATTGCATTGAGATGGGTGAATAGACAGATTGAAACGAATGATGGAATCAGAATGAGAATAGTATCTTCTTGAAAAAATCATTTGAACATCGATAGTAGCGATAACCGATAACCGATAACATGAAGTACTCCGTCGAGATGATGGCAGATGATGACATGACAAGTCTATGCAGCGACTAGACTCTCCCACTTTAACTCTTAAACCGGAAAAAGAATGGAACCCGTGGAGAAAGACGCCCCGAAGAGGCTACGCCGGGCCCTCCAGGAAAGCGATGACGAAAGCGGCAATTAGGGCTTAGGGTATCACGGCACCCGTCCACCTTTGCTAAGCGAGAAATCCTCAAATTGACATTGCCTCTATCCGACCGACCCTTCCAGCGATCGTCAGCCAGCAACAACGAAAAATCGCAACCAGTACGTGCATATTTGTCCCCTTTGGCGCCGTTATGGAGACCTGTGAATTACGAGCTAACGTTTTCTTTTTTCCGCGTGTTTTCAGTGCAGATGTAGGTCCCATTAGTCCCTCGCAACCCAAGACCAGCCATTCCAACCCCCCTCCGACGAGACGGCCCGCTCGGAATCGACACAGTCATGCGAAAAACCACGAAGATTCAAATACTGACATGTCCCGGTTGATAGTTTCGTCAAGACCCTGACGGGTAAGACCATCACCCTCGACGTCGAGTCGAGCGACACCATCGACAACGTCAAGTCCAAGATCCAGGACAAGGAGGGCATCCCCCCCGACCAGCAGCGTCTTATCTTCGCTGGTAAGCAGCTTGAGGATGGCCGCACCCTGAGCGACTACAACATCCAGAAGGTATGCAGGAACTTCCTATCGAATGAACAAATTTGCGCTGGTTTTTGGTGTGGTGGTCTGGAGAGGTTGCGACAACGCGATACGATTCTTTGTTTCAGAAAGAGAAGGAATGGACACCGACCAAATGAAATTATCGACCCCGGCTTTTCTGATTGAAACGAATTGGAGATGGAACTCTGGTTTCCGGATTATACGACACGGTTTTGGCTGACGCGGCATTTCCCTTTCTACAGGAGTCCACCCTTCACCTTGTGCTCCGTCTGCGTGGTGGTATCATCGAGCCCTCCCTTAAGGCCCTTGCCTCCAAGTACAACTGCGAGAAGTCCATCTGCCGCAAGTGCTACGTACGTTTGCCCTCTTTCCGCTCCATGTCCCATTGAACCGGACTGTCGGTGAATCGATGAGATGGTCTGCAATGCGACCGCTTACTGACATCATGTCACAGGCTCGTCTGCCCCCTCGTGCCACCAACTGCCGTAAGAAGAAGTGCGGACACACCAACCAGCTCCGCCCTAAGAAGAAGTTGAAATAAACGATTTCATATTGTTACGGTTTTTCTACGTTGCTGGAAGGAGAAGATGCTGGGGGTTACGAGCCGATTGCAGCGTGGGAGGTTTTTCACGGCGTTGGAATGATAAAACATGATAGCCGAAGTCAAATGTTAATAGTTGGCTCCTCTCGGAAGCAGCTGCAATCAAACAATTGTAAAATTCAAAAGTTTCTCATAAGCTTTATAACTAAGATGGATACAGATACACTTTGGAAAAAGAGCAGTGGCGACAAGGGCGAAAGGGAAACGCGGCTGAGCACATAGGAAGGCTTGGGTTATCAAATCAAATGATGGTTCGATTGCTGCCTGAGCAAAGTCATCGGATTCGCAGTCGGCACTCGGGGAAAGGATGATGACAGCGAAGAATAGAGAGCAGAGGAATAGATCTTAGTACATCCCCAGCATATGTCTCTTATCGTGGTGGTCATCATCATCGTGGTCTTTGTTCTTCTTCGACACGGGGCTCCCGTGGCTGTATCACGAGTCGTCAGCAAAAGAAACTAATTAGCTCAATCGTAGTAGTCGGTTTAACTTACGCGAAGAAAAAGATCTTGATGGCAATAGCGAAACCCGCATGCAGGATGATGACCAGGACCAACAGGATCTTGCTCGCCTTGGCATCCGTGGCACTCAGGACCGGATACAAGTTGCGTAGCAAGAAGAAGACGGTCCAGCCAAACCCAACCCCAACCAGGGCCCAGTTCAGAGCAGTCAAGGGGCTCCAGCTGACCAGCGCGACCGCAATCCAGATCAAGTTCGAATACCCGTACAGCGCCCAGCACTCGATCAGGTCAGCAGTGGAGCTACCGAACCAGCGTAGGGCCCCCCACAAAGCGATGGGCAGAAGGCCCGTGTATCCGTAGACCAGGCCGGCAGCCCCCGACAACAGAGTGAAATCGTATTCAAAATGGTCATCGTCGTTGTTCGAAAGCCATTGCGAAATAGTTCCCGTCAAGAAGAGAATCACCACCACGGTTGTCGCAATCCAGAACGGGCCGTAGAGGTCGGCGTTGCCTTCGAGGACGTCGAGGAAGTTGCTGCGAGGGTAAACGGCCGCCACGCATCGTCGCAGGACCTCGTTCGTGTCGACGTCGAAGAACTGGGCGTAGTAGTGGATCGACCACCAGGTATGCTTAGTTGGCGTGCCTCCGGGGGACCGGTCACGGCCACGCGAGGAACCTCCGCCGAGGAAAGGCGCAGAGTCTTGTTGCGCTTTAGCGCTGCGTTGGTCGTTCTCGAAATCTAGAGTAAGAAAGGAGATCAGTTTACTAATCCAGCGATGAAACTGCCTCTCTCGAGGAGATTGGGCTCACTGGAAGGATGGAATTCCAGGTCTTCCTGGAGGTCGGTATGGCCGAGGTCGCCCTAAAGCTAGGGTCAGATTCATCGCACAGTCGGGCAAGAGAAGCTCAATGACAACAAAATACCTCGGCGTCCACATCTACAACCACATCATAACCCCGGTTAGCCATCTTGGGCTGTCTGTATGTCGCTGAGAACCGGTGTTGTTAGGCTGAGGGAGAAGTGCGGGAAATGAATGCAAGAGTACACATCAGCTCAAGTCGGAGAAAGCCACCCACCAGCCACCATGTGGGGACGCACGGCAGACAGTGGCTTGCCTTTACTTTGTAAGCACCCTCCACGTTCTAGTCAACTATTTAGGTAGTATACTGAATCTTTGAAGTCATAGATCAAAAGTAAAATGATACATAGAAGAATAAATTATAGAGAAGGGGTATCGTTCCACCCCCACGAAAATTTGATCGTGATATGTAAAATCTATTTCAAATAACTTTTTTTTTGGTTGTCTTAGACCCATCAGAAGCAGAATATAAACGCCGGCCGTAATCGTCAGGAAAATTACCCGCAGAGAGCTCATTCTTCATTCATGTTCAGCTCATCAAAGTCATCAAGCAGCTCGTCCATGTTAATACGCGGGGCTTCATTATCGCTCTCCTGTTCCTCATCCTCCTCCATAGCATCGGCCTGGCGCTGTTGTCGAACCTTGTAAAGATCCATAGTCTGCCGTAGCTCTTGGTCTTCTTCGACATCACGCAAGAACATCTCAAAGTCTTCCTCGAGACGGTTGGCCTCCTGTTCCTGGCGGCGGGTTTGCTGAGTACCGGCACTAGCCAGAGCCTCTTCCTCGTACTCGCGCGCCATACGCTTGACACGCCAGGCACGGCTCTTGGGCTTCTTGCGAGCGTAGAACTTCTTGACGAGCACGACGTCCGGCAGGGTGGAGCCGTACTGGTGACTGGACTCGATAGCCTCGTAGTTGTCATCGTTAAAGATAGTTCCGGCGAGATGGTAGCCGAGCACAGAGTCACCGACGTGCAGAATGCCGCCAAGGTGTGTACGGGTGAAGTAGGTGATGTCGTTGGAGCCTAGGTCCGAGGCGCGCGCGACGGTGGCCTCGGCTAGGTGCCACTTGCCATTAGACTGGCCGGTAGGCTCAATATCTAGGATGATGAACTCCTTGAGCTCGGTCACATCAGCAAGGGTCCTGAACGGAGCCCGCCAGTACGTGTTGGTGGGAACATCCGCGGTTTGGAGGGTGGTGGGGTCCATGATATTGAGAGAGTTTCCGACGCGGTAGCATAGAGTAAGGGGCGAGATGTTTCCGAGCTGGCGCGCAAGCTTGATGGGTAGTGCGACGAGGTCGTCCTTGCAGATAGGGACAATTTCAATGGAGAAGGTGAACTTGTAGGATTTCGTGCTGGTGTGGATGTCCATAGAAATAAGCTCCTGTGACTTCTGAGACCTGCAAGGGACGACGGAGGCCAGGAAGTCGACCATCTTCTCGGCGTGGTTTCGCTGGGCAAAGTAGAAATCAAGACCATCCTTGGCTTCTTTGATGTTGACTGTTTCCCTGTGGGCGCCATTCTTCAGGATAAGCTGCTCCAGGTAGAGGAAAGTGCGCTTATGAGGCACTTTCTGTCGAACCTGGACTGCCGCTCGCCATGTGTTGTGGGTGTAGGACTTCTGACAGTCTATGGAAAATGTCAGCGAGATCCTCAGTGGCAAAGGCCCGACTCGGTTGATCAAAAACCACCCCGTACTAAAACTTACCAGGACATTGTTGCGAGGCCACGACGTATTCCACCTCAAACGCTTGTTGGATGATTGTACCCTGGAAGGCCTCCTGTTGAATCGTGATCTTAACCTTGATACGTCTCGAGTGCGGTTCGGTCCAGATGAAGTTGGCGTCGATAATGCGAACTTTCGATAAGCCACGAAGACGGCGGAGACAGACCGCAAGTAGTTCTTTCGATTCGGGGGCTGCGCTGACCCAGCTGGTGGGAGGCTGGAGCCATCGCTCGCAGTCACGGCAGGCATGGAGGGTCGATTCACGCTGAATACTGAATTTTGAGCAAATCAATCAGTCTTTGTTCCGAGCGTGGGGTTGTCGAGAGGAACCTAGGTCTTTTGAACTTACCCTTGGGAAACGTCGACATTGAGCTTCAGACAGTCCTGGCACAGCGCTCCGGCAGAAAGGGTTCCATCGATGGGAGCACCACAGTTGCAGCAAAGAATACTAGGGAACATTAGCAGCCATTCTGGCTAAATCAACTTGAGATAGTTAAAATCGCAATCAAAAAGAAAATATGGTGTAGCGATAAGAAACTCACGTCGCAGCGATAGGCGTCTCCTGCTGCAGCCCCGACATGGGAACTGGAGCGTCTAAGTCCATCGACATCTTGGATTCAGAATGCAAACTGCAAGCACAAGTCCACTAGAATCGGAGGGTCGCGGATTTGGAGTGATGCGAGATTAGATATGTGCCTCTTTTTTTGCCCCGCCTCAAGTTTTTTGTGGCTGACTCAGCTGTTTGTTCTGTTTGCACTAAGTGGTATCAAACTGTCGGATTCCAGACTTCAAGTGGCATCAAAGACGGTCATGGGAGGATAAACTGGAATACTGGGTATTATTACTAGAAGCGTAGATATGAAAGAATGTTGGAAGATGGAAGTGGTTGGATCGATCGAAGAACCCATGTGGAAGAGGGAGGTATAAACTGTGCCTGCATCTGCACGACGATAGGAAATATTCCATGAACACGCCACAACACCCTATTCATGTCAGGTAATGATGTTATTCTATCCCTTTCCATGTCTTCTGCGGGTTTATACATTTACAAATCATCTAGGCCGATCTCCATCGGTCTCAACGGAACCGCCACCTACCTCCGTCTGTCAGCACGTGATGTGCTTCTCTTTTGCTTATAAATACATGAAAGTGAAGCCAACGCCAAATACTTTTGTAAATGAGAAAAGAAACATCTTTAGAGGTAACCTCGCGCCTGGAACGCTGCCTTGAAGCGGTGAAGATAAGACCAGATCGGAGTGTCCAACCCCTTCTTTCTGATCCAAACAGACATGGCACCAATAAAAATAGCAACAGCCACAGAGCCGATTGTTCTTCGGTGATACCATAGAAAGCCGATGGCTTTCTCTCGTCGCTCTTCGTTGTGTAGTTGTCGTACCTGTTGCTGGAATAAGTCCACTGCTTCGTCTGTCGTCTGATTTGCGAGGAGGTCTCTTGAAGTTTTCAAGACACTGGATTGTGGAAGGTTTTTCCACGCACGAGACGACAAGGACTCTGGTGGATAGTCATCAAAAAGCCGTACAGCGCGGGATATCAAGGCTTCCAGATCAAGAGGACATGGGAGCTTTGAGAGTGTGAAATGGAGCATTTCCGGCTCGTCTTTGGGGATCTCTAGTAGTTCTTTCTTCCGGGAAAGAATTATTGCAACAAACAGATAGATCGAAACAACAGGCTCCTTGGCCAGCAAGAAGTCAAAAAGGCGAGCAATGTCGCTATATTCTTCGATGTCGTGGGCATACAACGTGAGAGTAGCCGCGATTGCAAAGAAAGGTCTGATGCCCTCAAGATGCGATCGAAGGGCCGGGTCGGCCTTTTTGATGATATCGGGGATGAGTTGCAGATGCTTTAGTGTTGGGGATAGTGATGGTAACATGTAATCCCTGATGCGAAGAAGAGATAGCCGGGTGACCGCCGGCGCGGCCCTTTGGCCCCCTAAAACCAGGAGGAGAACCTGAACGATGTCATGATAGCCTTGGAAGTAGCAAAGCATCGGATAGGTTCGTAATACTTGGTTAATAAGGTCTGAGAGCTCTTTTTTCTTCAACGAAAGCTCAGTATCAGAGCCTAGACGGAGCAATTAGCTTGTAAATCGATCCACCACGGATGTCAGGGGGATCATACAGTCAGGATAGTAGACGAACGATCGATTGACATCAAGTTGAATCTGGTCCTCATCGGCATGCGGCGGCAAGTCGTCCCAAGCGGGAAGGTCGGGATCTCGGTCACTCTGAAGAAGCACCGGCCCTAGTTGTGATCGTTACCGAACTGCATCTGCCTCATTTTCTATGATGGTGACTTACAGGCTAGCCGTCTGATATCATCGCGAAGAAACCCTCCTTCCGAGGTGGCATGCGCCACTAATGCATCGAAGTCGCGGAGATTACAGGCTTGACGAATGGATTCTTCTTTCTGTGCTAGTTTTGCTTGGGTTTCCTCAATATGGGCTGTTGTCGGCGATGCGCTATCTTGTTCGGTTCCAACGTCCTTCATGTCAGGAACGGGGACTTCTGGTTGGGATTCCATTGTAACCAGACTTCACCTGAGGCTGGGAGGGAAGCGCTAGGTGAGAAGAATGAAACTGTCGAGTTCAATGAGGGAACCAGGCTACCATTTCCCTTCATGGAGTGAAGCAATCTTGTAACTTGTACGGAAGTAACTCTCCGCTGTCCAGACCCTGGCAATCCACGCCTGGGCGGCCTGAGGCCAGAAATCCGGGGTCGCGAGTCCCGTGATTTGGCGGGTTTTCCCTTGACCGCCCGAAAACCAGGCAAACATCAGCCCCTCCAAAGTCGGACCCTCCTATCTCCCCCTTCAACAACAAATCCCCTTGAAAATCCACTGGGGCTTTTCATTTCAAGTCTGCCATGATCTTACACCCCTGTTCCCGGCCCGGAAAAAGCAACGCTACATTCTCAGTGCCCGAAGGGGCTGCTTAACTGTGGCGGCAGATGGCATAAACATACATCATCGCCCGTTCGTCTACCAACCCAACTACGCAGGCGTGGCACTCAATAATTCGACCCGTTTGCTGCGCCGAGAGAATTTGAGGATCATATCAGCTTTCGATTTCCGTCTTGTTATTTAACCTTGAATTTTCGGAGCCCAAAAAGTGAGGGGAAAAAATGACACGGTACTAATGAGGTTGCCTATCGTTACCACAGGGTACATGTGTGTATGACGATCCATATCTGCCTGTAAGTCGCATGCTCGAGATCCACTCGTCCTTCGAGAAGGTTATTCCTGAGTCATGACAGCCGTCTAGTCTGTGTTGTATTATACACATTGTATGCGTCAAGTCGAATTGCTTGCCCACCTGAAAAAGAAAAAAAAGAGAGAAGAATTGGGAGGGGCATCGTTCCCCATCCACTATACATCACGACACTTCCACTTAAAAGGCATCAAAATGGGAATCTACTTCTTCACTGTTTTAAGCATGGTCCAGGGAATTATTTGCCTCAGCCCTTAACTGTTCCCATTCGTTCTCAATCACTTTTCTGCAAACCTTGTTTGTTCCCCATTCATCTCTTCGCCCTCAACTGTCTGTCCTCCACAACGAGTCTCTCATGGTTTTCTGGTCCCTATATCTCTAGGCATTCTCTTTGTGATTAAATCATTATGGCTCTCCCCATGTATGGCCAGGGTCGCACTTCACATACGGCCAATCGTTCTGGCAAGCGACGTGATGCCGATCCAATGGATATAGAAAGTGACCTCATATCTTCGAATACGAAGGCAAAAGTTGGCCTGCTTTCTCATACTCTGGTACCAAGTCCAATTATCCAGTGGATCCTACCTGCGCGGCTTCGAGGAAAACATCAAAATGATGTCGTATTCGTCGGTGAACGGAGCTTGCAGATCAAGGAAGCTGTTTCTGGCGTGCACTTAGAAGGGGTTACCTCCAAATCGGATTTTGATGCCTACATTATGGCAGCGAAGGTGATTAACGTGACCACCGAGTTACCTTGGGAGGCGCAAATGAAGCTAGGAGCCAGCAGTGCCAGCTCAACTGCCACCCCGAAGGTGGAAAATGATCTGCCGCCTCAGATTTTGCTTCTCAGCCTGGCATCAAAGGAACTGGTCTTCCTTTACTATTCAAATGCGCGTGGGCAATTTATTCATCATCATCGGCCATTGCCAAACGATGTCAGCACGTTTGAGCGATTTGGACGAAACATTGCAGTGGAGCCGAGGTATGCTTCTCCCTCTACCCCGCCCTTTCAGATGAGTTTGTGTTCTCAGACGCTTGCAGATCTCGCGCAGTGGCTGTCAGCGCCTCCTGCGATTATTTTGGCGTTTTCATGTTGAAGAAGCCCCCGGTTCTTCAGACACAGATGCTACAGAATCAGCTCGATCCTATAGCGGAGGTAAGTGCAGTAGCTGCTTTGGCCCCGAAGGAAGCCTAGTTAACCGTTCACATCAACTAGGAACGCTTTTTTCGCGTTGACGGGGATATCATTTTCATGGAGTTCCTGTATCCGAAATCCGACGATGGCGGAAAGGTCATCCTCCTTCTCCTAGTTGCGCAGGAACATACTACCCATGCCATATGCTACGAGTGGGATGCCAATGAGCCCCTGCGACAGGCGTCCCCTCGGGTGACTAAAAAGCTTCTGCCCGCTGAAGACAGGTTGCCGACCATGCTGATTCCGTTAACCAAGACCTCTTCCTTTATGCTTATCACAACAACTTCCATGGCTGTATATAGGAGCCGGTTAGACCCGCGGAGGCCACCGAGCAGGTACCCACTTCCTGTTCCCGATCGTGAATCCCGAAGATCCCCATTATGGACCCGATGGGCAAGACCATTGCGCAATTGGATCTACAATCAGAAGCATGACGACATATACCTTTGCCGTGAGGATGGCCGTATATTTTACCTGGGCATCGGAAACGACGGCGAGGTTGAGACCCAAACTCACTTAGGGCAACTTTGCTGTGATGTCGACGCTGCCTTTGATATCTTGGATATTGGCCACGAAGGTGGTGATCTACTCCTAGCCGCCGGAAATACAGGCGATGGCGGTTTATTTGTCCAAAAAGCACGAGACCATCCCAGGTGTGTCCAAAAGTTCATGAATTGGACCCCAGTTACCGACTCCGTTCTGGTAAAATCTTCCAATCGGGGACCTTCCGGGGTTGATGTTGCCGGCGATCGGCTGTTTGTATGCTCTGCATCTTCTTTCGCTCGAGGCGCGATTGTCGAGTTACGACATGGAATTGAAGCGCAGATTGGATTAGCGGCCTCATTAGAAGAGTTGTTCGGCACTCGGGATATATGGACCATGTTAGACAGCGCAAACGGAGGCGTTTATGTGCTGACCTCAGATCCCATCTCCTCTGTACTTTTATATTTGTCTGCTAATTTTGGGGAAGATATTTGTGCCGTGGACGAAGTGGACTGTGGCTTGGACTTCGGGTCCCAGACTCTGGCTGCGGGGTGCGCTGCGTCTGGTGTCCTCATCCAGGTGACAAACCAGGCCATCCACCTTGGGACAACGGCAGAATCTGTGTCGAGCTTTCGCTTTCATTATGACGCCAGTCAAAGCATCGCGATTGCTGCGGTAGACGAAGAGTCTTCCCTTATTGCAGTTGCCGTTCGGGCCCAATATGAGACACATCTTCACCTCAAGAGGCTGACTCCGGCTGCTAATCAGTTCCAACTTTCTGACGTTGGTCACCCTCTTAAGGTACCTTACGAGCCAGTCTGCATTTTCGTTGAGACTTTCGATACCGCGTCTTTTGTTTTTATTGGCACAGGCAACGGGAAAATCCTAGTATACTACGTGGAGGAAGACTCCGTCAGGTTTCTGTTTGGGGAGTCGGTGGATGTGGGAAGTGTTGACGACATATCGAAAGCAATTGATAGCATTGCCACAGTCAGTGCAGCCCCGGGTGGGCTTCGGAAGGAAACCCTTCTTCTCTGTGGCTTGCGGAGTGGCATCTTGGTATCTTTTGGCCTGGCATTCGACTGTCACGGCGCAGCGCCTCCTATCTGTAAGCTTCCTGCTCTGGTCGATGACCGGATAACGCTGACAGCATCCTTTTCGTGCAGTGCTACGGCAAACCTCTTCCCAGCATCTAGGACACACGCCCGTTAGAGTACAAAGCAAAGGGAAACTCGCCCTGTTAACCTGCGGGCAAGGTTTCTGGCAGGCATCGTGCGTTCAAGATGGCGGAAAGCCTGATTGTACACTCCAAAAGATCTGGATCACTGACCAGAACAATGTACGTTGTGTCCGTGCCCTCATATTCCCTATGATCTCTCTCCTAACTTTTTTTCCAGCCGGCCTACCATCCAAAAAATGTCTACGGTTTCTCAACTGCCAACATTGTCAACGCGGACGCGGATGCCCTTTCCGATACTTTGTTCTGCATTGCGGATGGACAGCTTCTCATCTGTACCTTAGATCGCGATGCCAAAACTGTCCCAAGAAGGATCGATTTACCTGGAAGCGCCACCAAACTTGCCTATTCCCAGTACCTGAAAAGTCTTATCGTCGCTTATACCCAAACTGAATATGACTCGGAATCCGACCCTATCAGACGGTTTACCCGACCACGGATTGAATTTGTCGACCCTGATTCCCAACATGCTGTCCTGGACCCTCTTGAGCCTCATGCTGAGGACGAGCCGGTACCGTGGAGACCGCAAGGCGCAGCCGGGGAAAAGATCAGCTGCATTCTAGAGTGGACCCCAAGGAAAGGCGACGAGGAGTATCACTTTATTGTCATCGGGACCAGCCGCAAGAGCCAGTCTGATCAAGGTCGGGTTATCTTCGTGCAAACAATGCGGGACTTTTCAACGCCATCACGAATCGAGTGCCAGGTGAAACACATTCACAAATTCGAGCAGCCCGTTTATTCCATCGCTTCCTACGGGGAGTTCACTTTGATGGTCTCGACTGGCCATGAAATTGTTCCGTTGGAGCCCAAAATTTCAGACTCACGGGGGATCCGAGCAGCAAGATTTCCCGTTTTGTCTCCCGCTCTGTCGATGACCGTCCAGGAGCCATATATCTATATGTCCACAGCTCGAGAATCGCTCATGATCCTGCGAGTCTCCGATGACAAATTAACGCTCCATGCCCATGACCGGCAGAAACTGGATGGACTTTCTCATGTCCACATCGGCGGAGAACAGAATCTCATTCTGGCGTCCAGTCGAGGGGGGCGGGTCAGCATCTTGAGAGAGAAGGGGGTGACCGAGGCCTACAAAATGATGCCTGTCGCCCTGTGCGAGGCTCATCTACCGTCCTCCGTGTCGAAACTCAGCTGGGGTACGAAGCCGTCACCAGTGTCCTCGGATTCCCAGGTTTTCTACGGCACCGCCATGAACGGCACGGTTCACCGATTCATGACGCTGGCGGAGAATGAATGGCGCTTGCTGCGTCTCTTGCAGAACCTGTGTGTGCGGGACCCGGTCATCTGTCCATTTACTCCCCGGCGTACCAGGTTACGAAGCCCTGTCGGGAACGATCCGCTTGAGTTGCAGCCCTCTCAGATGCACATTGACGGGGATATCCTGAGTCGCCTCGTGATGCGCGGGCCCGACTGTTTGGCGCGCATGCTAGCTACGGGAGAGTTCCATACGTCTTCGAGTCCAGAGATGGGATCCCCGGAGGCGCTTCGTGAACGATTCTCCGAGTTGACTGGAGAAGTACTGGGAGAAGAAGCCGGGCTGAATCCGGTGGAAGCGGTGATGGGCTGGTTGAAACGCTGTCTCCACGTGGAGTTGTAGAAAATGGACCTGTCTATTTATTCTTGAGAAAATAATGTTATGATTCTCTCCTCTAAATTGTACGAGGATAGTTGTACATAACCGTGATTGTAGTGGAAATATCCAATCAAAAAGGGAAAGTATAGATTGACAGCCCGATTGTCCAGGCACCAAGGCGGAACGGGCAGGCAGCCAACCAGCGGCGTCCCCACCACAAAATCTTCGCTCTTCTTTCCTTCGTCAACCATCGGGGGCTTTTGCTGTGATCTCCTTTCAGACCCCTCTTGCGCTCTGTCCTTCTTTTGGATCTGCACCTAGAGCATCTTTGTCTCTTTGTCTGTCCCTTGCGATCCCTGCCGATCGCACGTCGGAGAGAGAAAAGCGGATATCAGTGTTCGTGCACCACCTACCCGTTTACCTACTTAAGAGCAATTGCCCGCCGGGTCTTGCCCACCATCGTGCTTCTTCTCGCATTCCACATTGGATTAATCAAACTAACCTGACCTTTCAACTCTGAAACAGCTATTGATATCCTTTTCTTTTCTTTATCAGTCCGAATCCTGTAATAGGATCTTTATACCCCACCGAACGACCGTCCGTTCCGGTTTTAGAAAAGAATCCTTCCCACCTCCAACATGGCGCCCAAGAAGAAGGGAAACAAGAGACAGGAGGAAGACTGGGAGGCCGAGCTTGGAGAGTCGGCCCCTGCCGCGGAGGCTCCCCCCGCCGATGAGCCTCAGGACGGTGCCGCCGACGAAGAGCAGTCGGGTGGCGGTGGTTTGCTCGCCGCTCTGAGGAAGAACAAGACCAAGAAGGCCAAGAAGGGAAAGCCCGCCAATGATTTCGTCGAGGGCGAGGATGCGGATGCCGGTGAAGCCAACGGAGATGCTGATTTCGCCAGCAAGCAGCCCGAAGAGGGTACGTTCGACGACGAGGACGTCTTTGGCGGAAAGAAGGCCGAGAAGGCTGCTAAGGCCAAGGCTGCTGCTGCTGCCGCCGCTGCTGCCGCACCCGAAGAAGAAGGTGGCTTCCGCGTGAAGTCCAAGAAGGAAAAGGAGAAGGAGAAGAAGGAGAGAGAGAAGCAGCGAAAGAAGGAGCAGGTAAGGTCTATCCGGTTGATGTCTTGTCAAGAATCATCGACTGACTTGTGATTTTTTTTTTAATTCATCTAGGCGGCCTCCAAGAAGAAGGCCGCGCCCGCTGCTGAACCGGCTAAACCCGCGCCTGCGAAGAAGGATGCGCCCGCCGCTGCTGCTCCCGCTCCGGAGCCCGTTGCCCCGGAACCTGCTGGTGGCAAGAAGAAGAAGATCCCTGCCCATCTGGCCGCCATCCAGAAGCAACAGGAAGCCCTCCGAAAGCAGCGTGAGGAAGAGGAACGGCTCCTAGCCCAAGAAAAGGCCGAAGCGGAGGAACGAGAGCGCCTCGATGCCGAAGAAGAGAAAAAGAGAGAAGAAGCTCGTCAGCGCAAGAAGGAGAAGGAGAAGGAGAAGAAAGAGCAGTTGAGAAAGGAAGGCAAGCTCCTTACCAAGGCTCAGAGGGAAGCCAAGGAGCGCAATGAAATGCGTTTGAAGCAGATGCTTGCGTCCGGTGTAGGCAAGGTCGCTGGTCTGGAGGACTCCCAAACCGAGAAGAAGAAGCCTGTTTATGAAAACCGAAAGAAGAAGGGTGGCAAGAAGCAGGAAGAGGATCTTGAGGCTGCCGCCGCTCGCGCCAAAGCTCAGCGTGAGGCCGAAGATGAGCGCCGACGAAAGGAGGAAGAGGCCAAGGCGAAGGCTGAGGCTGAAGCTGCTGCTGCTACCGCCGGCGCGGATGAAGATGACGAGGTCGATGACTGGGAGAAGGCCGCCGATGCTGACGACGTGAAGGATAGCTGGGATGCCCCCTCCGACGAAGAAGAGGAGCCTAAGAAGGTCGAGGAGCCCGCCAACGGAAAGGACGAGGAACAGGAGGATGAAGAGGAATCTTCTTCCGAAGAGGACTCATCCGACGACGACTCGGAAGACGAGCAGTCTGCAGCCCAGAAGGCCATCGCTCAAAGGAAGGCCGAGGCTGCCGAGCGGAGAAAGAAGCAGCACGAGGAAGCCATGGCAGCTCGGTCCAAGGACGACCTGCGATCTCCCATTTGCTGTATTCTGGGTCACGTCGATACGGGTAAGACGAAGCTGCTGGACAAGATCCGACAGACCAACGTGCAGGAAGGCGAAGCCGGTGGTATCACGCAACAGATTGGTGCTACTTACTTCCCCGTCGATGCTCTGCGCCAGAAGACCGCCGTGGTGAACAAGGACGGTAACTTCGAATTCAAGATCCCCGGTCTTCTCATTATCGATACCCCCGGTCACGAGTCCTTCTCCAACCTACGGTCCCGAGGTTCGTCTCTCTGCAACATCGCCATTCTGGTCGTGGATATCATGCACGGTCTTGAGCCGCAAACCCTCGAATCCATGAGATTGCTCCGTGACCGTCGTACGCCTTTCATCGTCGCCCTGAACAAGATCGATCGTCTTTACGGCTGGAAGAAGATTGACAACAACGGCTTCCAGGAGAGTTTGGCCATGCAGAACAAGGGTGTCCAGAATGAATTCCGTACCCGACTTGAGCGTACCAAGGTTCTCTTCGCCGAGCAAGGGTTCAACTCTGAGGTCTTTTACGAGAACAAGTCCATGGCCCGTAATGTGTCCCTGGTGCCCACCTCCGCCCACACCGGTGAGGGTATTCCTGACATGCTGCGGTTGTTGACTACCCTGACTCAGGAGCGTATGACCAACTCGCTCATGTACCTGTCGGAGGTCGAGTGTACCGTGCTTGAAGTTAAGGTGATCGAGGGTCTCGGTACGACCATTGACGTTGTCCTGTCGAACGGTATCCTCCGCGAGGGTGACCGAATCGTGCTGTGCGGTCTCAACGGGCCTATATCAACCAACATCCGTGCCTTGCTCACGCCGGCGCCTCTTAAGGAACTGCGCCTGAAGTCGCAATACGTCCACAACAAAGAGGTCAAGGCTGCTCTTGGTGTTAAGATTGCCGCCAACGACCTCGAGCAGGCCATTGCCGGTTCTCGGTTGATGGTCGTCGGACCCGACGATGACGAGGAAGATATCGAGGAGGAAGTCATGTCCGATCTGGAGAATCTCCTTAGCAAGGTCTCCAGGGACCAGCGTGGTGTCAGCGTCCAGGCCTCGACCCTTGGTTCCTTGGAAGCCTTGCTGGAGTTCCTGCGCGTCTCGAAGATTCCCGTTGCCAACATCTCCATCGGTCCCGTCTACAAGCGTGATGTCATGATGGCAGGAACCATGTTGGAGAAGGCCAAGGAGTATGCCGTCATGCTCTGCTTCGATGTCAAGGTGGACAAGGAGGCCTACGCCTACGCCGAGGAAGTTGGCGTCAAGATCTTCACCGCCGACATCATCTACCACCTGTTCGACGACTTCACCAAGCACATGGCTGATTTGACCGAGCAGCGTAAGGAGGAGAGCAAGCTGCTTGCCGTCTTCCCCTGCGTGCTCAAGCCCGTCGCCGTCTTCAACAAGAAGGATCCCATCGTCATTGGTGTCGATGTTTTGGAAGGCAGCCTTCGGATGCACTCGCCTTTGGCGGCCGTCAAGACCAACGCGACTGGACAAAAGGAAATCATCGAAATTGGTAGAGTGTAAGTAGTTTGCTATCTCACGAGACCGAGAAAGGACTCGTAATCTGTTGGAACGATCACTAATTATTTTGCTCACAGGGTATCTATCGAGCGTGATCACAAGCCAGTGGCTGTTGTCAAGCGAGGCCAGCCTTCCGTTGCCGTCAAGATCGAAGGTCCCAATCAGCCCATGTACGGCCGTCACCTGGAAGAGAAGGATCAGCTGTACTCCAAGATCTCCCGTGCCAGTATCGATACGCTCAAGGAATTCTACCGTTCGGAAGTGTCGATGGAGGAATGGGGTTTGGTCAAGAAGCTCAAGCCCGTCTTCGACATTCCTTAAATCACTTTTTGCAGTTGATCTCTCGCACGGCCTTCGTGCCTTTCCCAACCCCGAGGAACGAGGCCGGACGAGCTCCCTGCAAGTGTACATGTTTTTCCTTATAGCGAAATTTTGCCTTTCATGTGTCTTGATGATACGTGCGCTGTGTTGACAGCGGTGCACATGATGAATAGAGACGAACCTTTGGGAGAGGATTTAAAAAAACGGTTGCAGGATCTGGATGCATGAGAAATGAATTATTTTCCTTTTTCCTTATATTTCCCTTTTCTTTTTCTTGTGACTGAACAGTCTCCCAAAACAAACCCCAAAAGCACAGATGGGAATGCCTGTACATGAACGACAAATGCCAAAAGTGAAGCAGAAGCAGGCCATGGTCTGTTTTCAGATGTGTGTTAATGACACATTTCCTTCTTTCTCTCGTTTGGATCTAGTACTGAATGACAATCTGGTTGGTGCAAAGTATAAGCATGGCATCAATATAAGTATACAAGTCCGTCATTCGTATTGACATAGCACAGTGCATGGAGCATGGAGCATACTCCATCGCTCTCTCAAAATCCAAACCAATCCTCTTAACCACCCCATTTATACACCCATCCCATAAGAAGTTTAATAACCAGCCAGCCAGACAAAGACAAACCTACTCATAATCCTCCCCCTCCCACTTCTCCGCCCTTCCGCCCTTCCCAGCCCAATCCAACCAACTTCCCTCATAAACACCCACCCTCTCAGGATCATACCCAGCCTTAACGGCCAACTGTGCCGCCGCTCTCGCCCTGACCCCAGCCTTGCAATAGAACACGATATCGCCCGTCTCCTGGCCCTCGACCGCCCCGGGCTTCGGGAACCCGAACCGCGTCTCGAATTCGTCGGGCGTCAAGAATAGCGCGTCGGGCTGCGATGCGAGAGGGACGCATACGGCGGACGGGATCACCCCCGTGGCGGTTAGCTCGGCGGGTTCGCGGACGTCGACGAGGATGAGGGCTTTCTGGGGCGTGGAGGGGGGCGACGAGGGGGAGGTTGAGGGGAGGGAAGCGTTGATCTGGAAGTTGGTAATGGTTGTCAGGAATTGGGTCTTTTCATTCTGAAGTTTCTCTCTTTCTTTGCTTTCTAATGATGGATTGGGGAATGGGGGGAGTGAGGACATACATCTTCAAATCCCCACTGTCTCATAGAACTCTCGCCGCTGCTCTTCCATCGAATTGACTGACTAGGATACTGTCTGGGCTTTTGTTCCTGGATCTGACCCGGCGTCCATCTTGCGCTCTTCCTCGGAAGAGATCTCGAGCTGAACGATCTCGAGCTCGAGAGGATGGTAGGTGCGAATGCGGGGGTGGAAGTGCGCGAGGCGGTTTGCACGCCGCGGGCGAGAAGAGATGTCAAGGGGCGTTTGGCGATCATTTTTTTTCCCTTCTGGATTGAATTGGAGGTTGGCGGGGTTGTGTGAGTTGAATTGGTTGAATGATTAGTTACGAGGGGAGGATATGTCCGGCCTCGGGGAAGTCCGTCACTTCGCCGAGGTGATGTCAGGCCCAGTGGGTTTACGTTCACCGCCTTCCGGATTGGAAATCTATAACAGGCTGGTTGTGTCAAGTGCTTGCGGGTTTCTTTTGTTTCTGGGGGTTTATGTGAGTTATTGGATGGCATTTGGCTGATGTGGACCTATCTTACAAGTGCGTTTGTTTTCTGGGGTGGGTGCGCGCATGATCAAGTAGCACGGTTGTACAGCTACGTCTTGCTAGAAGTATAAAGCTTCGTGCTAATAAGACACGGCACAAGGAAACAACAGTACAGTCTGATGTACAGCCTATCATTGATCTAATTTCCAAGGCTCATATACCAACAACTTCAAGCGGCCATGAAATATGCACACGCCAGCCGGGTTCCAAGACAGTCCGAATTGCTTCCAGCACTTGTCTGCCCCATGACTGAATCCACCAATATCGATTCATATGGTCAAGTACGATGCAGTAATGCGCCAAAATGACCAAAGAAAGAGGGTGTCGGTCCTGAAGCCGATCAAAATACTGGGCGGGAATCTGCGCCATCCACAAGAAACCCGCCGAGAAAATCTCCTGTCCACTGTACATCCTGGCCAAGGTACTCGCTAACCGGTCAATGGTATCTCGGAAAGCCAGGTGAGCATTTGGTTCCAGTATATGTGTGGTATTCAGCTCATGAAGAGCCGACACTCTGGACTGAATGGTATACGACAAGCTACCCCTAGTCTCCTCAAACGAGGTCAACTGGGCGATTTCGCCGTCTTTGACAGACTCTACGATATAAGCGTAGAACTGGGTCATTTTGCGCACGAATGCAAACACCCGGGTCAACTCGTCAAGTACATCGGGGATTCTCCCGGCCACGCTATTATGGACCAGGGGGAAGGTGAGAGCGATGGTGACTAAGAGGTTCGACAGTGTAAATGTCGCCTCGTACTGTGAGGGGGTGAGGTTGCCAATGATAGGCGTGAAGATCCTGATGGCTTCACTTTGGTGGTATTCAGCCGCCTTGATCAGCTCTTCTCGGTCAGGGTTCTGACCCGTCATGGAAAGGGAGAGGTGGAGCGCCGACACGGCGAAGAGGCCATGCAGGAGGTAAGGGTGGGACAATGCCATCCCGGGGACTGTGGTTTGCCATATTCTGAGGTCTGCGCTGTTCCGAGAGATGGAATGGCAGGTTGACGTTGTCCAGTTGAGAAGCAGTCTTAGATGTAAGAGATTGAATTGGTCCGGACTTGAAGGGGGGGCGCTCTCTCGGGTCTCCGAGGTCACTGGAGCCGTTTGCAATGGAGGAGGATCCTCTGCACTAGCCTCGGTCCATGACCGTGGACTGGCATCGGCATATTGACATTGTTCTAATCGATATTGGCAGTGCGTACACTTGGGACGCCTCTCGTCGCACTATTTTTGCCAAGGTATGAGTGACAACCACCTTAAAAGGCATATTGGCAGGAGATTTACCTTGACACTCCGGCGTTTGCATTGGAGGCATCCATTCCGCGATCTCCGGAGGCCCTTTCGAGTCATCAAGAGAGAAGATCAAGGTCGGGGGGAAGTTGGGAGGAGAGAAAACTTACGAAGCTTACGAGGATTACGAATCTTACGGGTGGTTCCGGGTGCCGGGAGTGGAGCCCTAACTAGTTGCCCGTTTGGGAAGTCATGCTTCTGGCTTGTCTTCTTCCTATATCTTCCTCTTCTTCGCTCATCTGGGGTCAACTTCATGTTTCTCTTCGTCAGTCTTCTCTACCGCGATCTATGTGAAACCCCAGGCAATCCAGAACCCCATCCAGTCCAATCCTGTCTCCATGGCGCTTCTTGACTATATCTATCTCAAGATTGCAGCAATCTTTGTGAGATTGCTTGCTCGAATGGCAAGAAATATCACCTCAAACCCCGATTTGATTAGTATGATCCCCTCACGCGACCCCAAACGAGTCATACGAATCCACATCTATAAACCGACCCAGCCAACATCTGAAGACCAACCTACCCCAGTCCTGATCAACTTCCACGGCAGCCGGTTTATGATCGCCGCTCATGGCAGTGACGACGCCTTCTGTCGACAAGACAGCAGTCAGTCAGACTACACGGTCGTGGACGTCTCGTACCGTCTTGCACCAGAGAATCCTTTCCCCGCCGCGCTCGAGGACGCCGAAGACGCGATCAACTGGGTGCGGAATGAAAAGAAGCTATTCAACACGTCACAGATAGCTCTATCTGGATTCAGTGCGGGAGGAAATATAGTTCTCAGTCTTGCGAGTACGGTCTATCCTCCCGAAACCTTCCACTGCGTCATAGCTTTCTATCCAGCTGTGGACTGGGCGACGGATGTGAGAGCTAAAAAGGCGCCCAATCCCAACGGCCAGCCCATTCCTGCATGCATTATGCGCCTCTTCTCGAAAGCTTTGTTTCAGAGCCAGGTCGATTTTGCAAGCCCGTATGTGTCCCCGTTGTATGCCACCCCGGAAAGTTTCCCGGATCGACTGCTGGTTGTCACGGCCGATGGTGACAGTCTCGCACCAGAAGCGGAAGCGTTGGTAGAAAAGCTACAGACTCGAACAAATGGTCGTGTTATTCACTTTCGGGCGCTTGGGTGCAACCATGCTTGGGACAAGATGGCAAATACGACAACGGGGATGATCATGAGAAGGAACGCTTATGCTTTAGCCGTCGAGATGCTAAATTCTTGAATGACTGTTTAGCTAGCCTGGAAGTCATTGTGGTATGTTCCAAACTGGATGTTGGTGGTAACTCGCGCATTGTGTGTATACCTAACTAGTCGACCAAGATGCCTCACGAGTGGGCCTCGGACGGGTATACTCGGTCCCTGGAATCGTGGATACTGGATGGGATGTCACATACAGGGCGTGCACCCCACCGATACTTCGGGTGCCTTATGATTTATTAAGTCGCAGCTTTGCATCCCACGATTGAGTTCTTTTAACCTTCATTTACCGGGGCTCCAATCCCACTCATCCATCTAATTACGAAAACAAAATGACCGTTGACAGCCAACACCACAATATCGTGGCAATAGAAGCCGTCCACTGCCCAATTCCGGCTTTCGACCTTCCCAAACCACACACCTACACTCTCACCCAGCACCAATGGACCTCCCAATCGGAGCTGGTGCCGGGCATCAAAGACGCCACCATCATCATCACGACAACCATCCCCCTCACAGCCAAGGAACTGAGCGCCGAGCTCACCCCAAACCTACGTCTAATCGTGGTCATGGCCACAGGGACCGACTGCGTGGACAAGGAAGCGGCCCGGTCCCGGGGAATCCCCGTGTGCAACTGTCCCGGCACCAACGTCGAGAGCGTCAGTGAGCACGCTATCGGTCTTTACTTCGCGACTCGACGCAAGATCGTGCAGCTGCATTGCGCGACAACCGCCATCCCTGAGGATCCGCGGCAGGATACCGAGTGGAGGACAACGGGGTCGTTGCATCGACGATTGCGCTCCAAGGATGGCCATGCGCCGGTGCTATGCGGACGCGAGACCCTGGGCGTGATCGGATACGGGGCGCTCGGGCAACGGATCGCGAAAGTAGGCGAGGCACTAGGAATGAGAGTCCTGATTGCAGAGAGAAAGGGCGACGGGCAGCAGCTGCCGCGAAAGGGACGTACGCCGTTCGTCGAAGTTCTGAGAGAAGCAACGGTGGTGATTCTCTGTTTGCCGCGGAACCCGGAGACGGTTGATTTGATATCGGAGGATGAATTAAAGGCGATGCGTCAGCAGGCGCTACTGATCAATGTTGCGAGGGGTGGGATTGTCAATGAGGTTGCGCTGCTGGAGGCGCTCAAGCAGGGGTGGATTGAGGGGGCTGCGACGGATGTGTTTGCGAAGGAGCCGGCGGGGAGAGGGGACTCGCCGTTGTTGAGTGCTGAGGCCCAGGGACTGAATCTGGTTTTGACGCCTCATTTGGCGTGGTTGTCGGAGGATACGTTGGTGAATTTGCAGGATGCGGTTAAGTATACGATTGAGCGATGGTGCAGAGGCGAGACGGTGAATGAGATTAGCGATTAGGGGTTAGATCAGCGTATGACGTTGTTGAGTTGATGTTTCAAACTAGACAGAATGAATCTAGATATAGAATAGATAGCTATACTGCCGACGCAAGTACTCAGCAGACTATCTATTTCCTTTGTCGTCAATATCAGCACCAAGCCAGCTTCACACATGCCTAATGCCTGGGGTCTACATCGGAACATGAGAAAGACATTAGCATTTCATATTAAAACCGAAGTTTATACATCAAGCAAGCTTTATAAGCCTAGATTAATCATCCAAGAAAGCTGCAATTATTATTAGTTCTAAATACCGTATCTAAGGAAGTGGCCCATTTCTTCATCGCGGAAGCTGAGGGTTCCACAGGCATCATTTCAAAATCATGTACTCCGGTCCATCTTGACCCCAGAGATCACCGGCTCGCAAACCAGATCTGAGGCCCTTGGACTCCCATCCACCCGAAATAAGATAGAATGGGGATGAAAAAAAAAAAAAAAAAAGAAAACAAGGTAAAAGACAAAAAGGCCGGCAACGGGAAACCGCGCAAGGCAATAATACAAAGGTAAGTACAACAAGAATGGGAAACAATGAGGAAAATAAAGCGTCTGGCCATTCTATCTCCAGGATAGAAGCTTAATGCTGGAGGACCAAGGTTGGAATTTTATCGTTCCGACCAGATATCAAAGGTCTAACTCATGACACCACTAGCAGGACGCTAGAGCGCAAAAGGAATAGGATGAGCCCGAGCTTCGCTTTTTGAAAGAGAAACAATGAAGAAAAAGAAAAGGGAATATAGTGAATGGTAGTAAAGAATTTAAGGACGGGGACGGGGACGGAAAGTGAGGAGGCAGTCGTCCTATTGGTTTGTTAGCAGGAGGGCATGGAATGTTGGCTACTGGAAGGGGGCAATGACATACCTGGGGGAAAATCGTGGCAAACACCTTGATATCCTCGGACTTCTCGGTAGGGAAATGCTCCCAGTCCATCTCGATACTAGCCTTACCAATCATGGCCATCAAGTTCAATTGAGCATAGGTTTGTCCCAGGCAGTAGTGGGGACCCGTGCCGAAAACGAGCCAGTTCTTGGGGTGCTGCTCGGCGGTGCCGGAGATCCAGCGATCGGGGTCAAACGAGTCAGGGTTGGGGTAGGCCTCTTCGTCGTGCGTGGCGGGCCAGACGGAGGGAATGATCATGGAGCCCTTGGTCACGGTGATCTTGTCGGTGATGGGGAAATCCTTCTTGACCAGATAGGGAACCATGATGACAGGGGGGCGGTACCGAAGGGTCTCCTTGACCACGGCGCGAGTGTATTCCAACTTGTCGAGGAGGTCCATGGTCAGGGGAGCATCGATGTCGCCGTTGCGAACGCGCAAGTTCTCCTCCCGAACCTTGTCCAAGACGTCGGGGCGGTCGGCCATGAGCTGGAAGAGCCAAGTGGAGGCGGCGCTGGTGGCATCTTGCGAAGCGAACAGGAAAGTGAAGATGGTCTGGGAGATCTCGAAGTTGGTGAAATCACGGAGAACTTGAGGGGGCTTCTCGCTGGAATCGACCTGAATGCCCTGGGCAATTTTCTCGCGGTACTTGGCAGAGTCCTGCTGAGCCTTGACCCAGGCGTCCATGATACAGCTGACTTCACCGCCAGCAGCCATGCGCGCCTTACTCTTAGCCGCACACTTGGCGAACTCCTCAAGGACCATGTCCGAAGCCTTCTTGCCGTACCAGGCCTTGGTGTAGGGCAGGATGAAGGGGAAATTGACCAGTTCCAGAGCGGCGGTGATCATGTAGTAGTCGTCGGCGATCTTCTTGATGGCCTCGTCGGTGATGTAGTGGCCGACAAAGGTGCGGCAGGAGACAGCGCACATGAGTTCACGGAATTCGGGCATCCACGGAGTAGGCGCATGCTTCTCAGCTTCGGACTTCTCGAGGAAGTACTTGTAGTACTTGTTGTATTCCTCTTCGAGGCGGGGAAGGTAGCACGAGAGCGCCTGGCGAGTGAACAGTCCGTTGAGACCCTTGCGGAACTCAACGTGATCTTTGCCATCCAGGAAGACCCAGTTAGTCTTGCCGAGCAGCTTGTGCGCAACATCAACCACGCAAGGCTTGACGTAGGTGGGCGAATTGAAGATCTTGCGAGACATGTCACGGGTCGAGGCAATGACAACGAATCTATGCAGCAGTTTGTTAGTTGATAGTCGCACGCGACACTGCCAATGGCAAGCGAATCGCAATTGAGAGGGGTTGGGTGGACCAACTTGTGGAAGACGGAGACGCAGCTCAATTCTCCGCTGTCCCATTTGGCCTTGTACTCGTGGAATTTAGGGTTGACCGATTGAAGGAAAGGACCCATGAAAGGCATTTTCCACGAGGGTCCGACGATAGAACCCTTTTGCCAGAAGTATCGCACTGCATTCGCCCCACTGGGTCAGCCAAGTCTCCCGATAAGAAACGTCGGGATTGTTGGAGGTCACTCACTCTGATCGTAAATCACAGCAGCCAGAAACAAGGTCAGAATCGCCTTCCAGACATTGAGACCCTCCAGATAGGCAGAGACCAGACCACCGGCCTGGAAAAGCCGGGGGGTGACGGTCGCATCCGCGGCAGGGGAGGCGAAGCTCCCATTGACGCTGGCCATGTCGAACAAACTCTCCGGAGATGGAAGGGAAAGAGAAGGGAGCGAGAAGGGGAGAGAAGGGGGGAAAGAAAGAGGAGAGATGACCCCGGGAACAAGGGATCGAGTCGGAAGAAGGGAACAAAGGAATGAATGGATGATTGTCGAAGAAAGAAAAGAAAGAGAAAAAAAAAATCCCAAGAGGATGTTGTGATACGCGGAAGGAACAGGAAGCACCTACGGAGAGGCCGGAGAGGCCAACCGTGCAAGAAAAAGGAGGAGATATCCGATGCCCTATTGGGTTTAGCGCCCCTTCATTTCCCTCCTGGCCCGTCCCCATCAGCCAATCGGACTGCGGGCCTTCATGCAGGTACTCGACCAAAAGCGTTAGTCCCAGTCAAACTTCCCAAACAAGTACCTCAGGCCACCATCTTGCAAGGTTTGCGCCCGGAAGTATGGATTACGGAGGAAGGATTGGTAGCAAACAAAGCCCAGGATCCGTGAGGAAATCCGTGAGGAACAACAAAGTAGGGTGGTATGGAAGCCGACTAGCCTGCCTCCAATTCCCAAGTGATTGCGATAGTCCTCCGGATGTAAGGCCGGCATATCTACCTGTAATGCATGTAATATTATCATAACTCAGGCATCCAGGCCTCACCCCGCATCTTGCTTAGCCAAGGAGGGACCCCCGGAATTTTTGCAGCGAAGAGTCAAAGACACGCTGGCCACTATGATCAATCATTAAGCACTACACCGTATAAAACAGCCAATGTCCAACGGCAATTAGTAATTACAATAATGGATATTTCCATAGATTTAGTATTGACAGAAAGGTGATTCGGCTATCCAACTCCCGTCTCGGCTTATCCGGGTCTGAGGGCACGTGCCTCTATCCTGCCTGACTCAGCTATGCTCGGCTTTATTCCTATAATGACACCACTAACTGCAGTTCGTGTCTCGTGGGATTGCAGCCTTCGGGCATTGTAAGTACCTTAGGGGGTATCCTCTTAAGGCATATATACAGAATTTGGTGTTCTAAGCAATATCTTGTATCCAATTTTCGCAGCGGATCTACAGCCTGCGCTAAGCTGACGGACATGTCGGCAAATATATAGTTTGAGATCCGTTGCGGTTCCACAAAGGCGCTTTACTACCCTATGGTGAATGCATTGATTATGGGCATCCAAGGAAATGAATCAGGCTTGGTCCTAGCTTACTGCCACCTGGAATACTACTGATCACATCAACGGTGTCGAGTCGTACAGTACAACGAACTATTTGTAGACGCGCGACCCTCCTGAAAATCACCGGTGCATTCAGAAAGTGAGTTTTCCATTGTTACCACTGGATAGAGAAACGCGTCAATTCGTAATATCCGCTTTTGCTCCATCGTCATCATATCATATCTATTCACAAAAGAACCCCGAAACCGGCCGAGAACGAGCCATTCAAGTATGCACATGGGCACAAGTTCTATTCTAGCGTCCAAAACCAAACCAACCTCGCCGGCCACCCTTCTTTTCTTCTGCCGGGGGTTCAGCCTCGACTTGAGTGGCACCCTGGTTGGCGTCACCCTCACGGGGATAATCAATGTAGTTCCATGCAACGTCAAGGAAGAGAGGCTTCACGGGGATCGGTTGCATCTGAGGCGGGTATGGCACGAGATTCGCCAGATCCAATCCGTCGCCGGAGTATTCATGCAGTCGTTCAACGGCAGGGCGCGGGGTGGCCGAGTTTGATTGCTGCGCCTCGGAAAGTTTTTCCAAGGTCACCAGTCCACGGTATTGTGCAACCAGCCCCTGCAAGGTCGACACAAGGGTCTGGAACTGGCCTCGTGAAACGTCAATCCTGGGTGGCCCTTCCGCATCCGAGGCCGGTGCAGTGCCCGAAGCTTCGGAGGAGAGGGTCAACGCCTGTGAGTACAATGCGAGCGCATTCTGGGACTTGCCTAAGATGCCGTGGGACCGCCCAATGGAAAGACATCTAATTGCACGTTAGTATATTCACAACCGAGCCTGGGAAACTGGGCTGTACCTTAGTGCGCGGAAGTAAGAGCTCTTGACTTCCATTTCCTTTACGAAAGCAGTGTCCGCGGCTACACCAGGTAGCTCCAGGATGTATTCGATACTCTGTAGCGTAGAATCGTACAAGACGACTCTCTCGCGCAGGCGCCCCAATTTTTTGCCCTTCGCATCATCGTGCTTGCTTCGCGATTTGCCACTCTTGTGCGATTTGATCTGGTCGGCCTCAAAGGAGATGCCGTCTTGCTCACCACACAAGACGCGATTGCGCCCGATTCGCCATCCCACCAAAGCATAATTCACGGCAGTACGAGTAACCTGCAGACTCTGCATTCGTTTGTCTCCCGGATCTACCCCCTCGCCAGCAAGATCATCAATTGCCGTCTTGGTCGCATCAACCGCATCTTGACTCGCGATGATGACATTATCGTAGGCGGCGGCCTTGTCCTTTGAGGAGGCAGCTTTTCCTGAAGCATCCGCAAGCCACGACGTGAGACGAGATTCTGAAGCGGCAGCGGCAGCCAGAGCTTGGGAGATCGCAGCATCCTCCAAAGGAACGGTCCGAGACCTCCATGTAATATTTTCGGGGAGTTGCTGAACTCCTCCATCGGCCGTTTTTTGAGTCCCAGCGGCTTCCTCATTGAAACAATTCGGGTCCACCTTTTCAACCTCTGCGCGGACATGGGCGTCCGCTGGGAAGAAGCCGATAGCCAAGGACGGGAGGGGCTTGGATCGGGGCAATTTCATCTGATACGCCGCGTATCTGAGACTGGGATCGACCGTGCTGGAGAGAAGATCCCGGAATGCATCTCGTTTAGACTTTTGACCGAGTGCGGTATAGATCACTTTGGCGATGGAGTAATGCTCAACACATTGCTTCCATTGGCGCTTGTCCAGGCATAGTGCACCGGAAAGCGTCGCAAGGTATGCGCGTGCTTCGAGGACGTCGATACTCGTAGCCCCAGAAGCCGCCTGGTCCTCCAACAACAGTACCAATTGTTTCGCGTAGCCCGTTGCCTTGTTAAGTCTTGAGATGATCTGCCGCCGGACAGCTCCGACAATCCCCTTCGCCGATGGATCTGCCGAGTGTGCGGACTTCATGTGCATGGCCTGTGCCCATGCCCGTTCGGAGCTCAAAAGGAGGATATGAACGTATCTAAACGACAATGTTAGTCAACGAGAGCCAACGCTCCCAGATCTTCAGATGCATCTCCGAGGCAAAACACAGGGGAGCGAAGAACATACGCCACATTATTGTTGATATTCTCGGCGCTCACCGGCGGTTTGGCAGTGTACTTTCGACCTTTGGGGGTGGTCTGTCCCAGCTTCTTGCGGAGTTTGTGCAATTTGCGAGTTGCGTGGGCGCGGTAGCCATTGTAGTCGCCAGCGAGAAGAACATCCTCTCGCTGGGCAAAAATAAAGTCAGTGATATCCATGGTGCCAACAACGCAGGCAGATGGACGGAGAGGACAGTAGTATATGAGAATGGGCGGGTGGATTGAGAGAGTGCGGGCTGGCGTGGTCAGTTCTCGGCCAAACGAATGCCCGGCGGATTTGTGACCGGCGGGTTTCTCATCGGCCAAGCTTGTCAACTTGCACCTCTCGAAATTTCACCCCGTATCAACACCTAGCCGTCAACCCCGGTGGATGCGTTTCCCCTGTTGGATTCCGACCGATTGAATCCAAACTGCATCTCGGATTACTTATTTTTTCCGTGGAGCACCCGGTTGGTTGTGCGTTGTAAGCTTTGTGCACAAGGTTACTTCGTTCCGGTACGACTTTTCCATTGTTTGAGTAGGGAAACCTCGTTCTTTCACTAACCTTCTTATCTGACTATAGGCCTTTCCGAACCGATATGCTACGCGTCCCCCTTCGAACTCGGTGATCTCAGGGCATAGTGCCGCAATCTTTGGGGGTAATGCTGGAACGGGCTGCCGGATGCCTTGAGAACGCAGGACGGCGTTTCTTTCGGGATTCCAATGGCATGATCCGTGGCCCCAAATCGTTCAATTCCGGTCCCGGGAAAAACACCATCGCAAGCGTTGAATGTCTTCGTTGGCTTCTGATCTCTTTGCGAACCAAGCTCACGCGATCCTCGAGTGCCTTGGGAGGCAAATCAAGCTCGGGCGCGATCACGAACGATGCGCGATCGCCTTTTCTCGAATTCTTGTACCCGCCACATGCACAGGAAGTCGTCACGTCTTCTTTACTACGGACCCCCAAACGACTTCCTCCCCGACGGAAGAAAAAGTCCATTCCCAGCCTCTCTCGAAATTATGCGACACAGGCTATTGGTCTGCGACAGTCTGCAAGGGAATGCAAGCCGGAGGACGAAACGGTCGAGGAATCCAACGAGACGAGCGAAACAAGAAAGATACTTGACTCTCTATTGGCCGACGCGGAACTAGGTCAATATGATGAAGCATGGGCGTTGTACGTGGCGCTGGGACATCCCGCGGATATGGCCTCGGCTCTTTTGGCTTATCTTAGTAGCTCGACGCATGCCGTCGACTGCAGGAGGGCCAAAAGACTAGTTGAAGAGATCGCGGTTGACTCTCGATCGGCCGAAGACTATCTGAACCTGGCTAGATCCTATCATTCTAATGGGCTAGCCACGGAGATGATTTCAACCTGCAAGGAAGCCATTTCTAAGCATCGTGGTCACAACTGCTGGGCTTTCACACTAGCGAACCTCTTCGCAGCCGCCAATTGGGGGGCTCTTCAAGATATATGGCAGTCGAAGCCGACATCCTCCGAGAACCAGCTCTGGAGCCTCCTTGTGCCTCATATCTCTGCACCCGACTTTGCGCAGCATCTGCTCGCCCTATCTACGTACTTGGATGAAGGAGATGCAGATGTATCTCTTCGTGGCCTTGCGTCGTTTTTCCTCGCCCATGTCTTCAGGAGTCGAGATGTAGTTGAAAACATATCGACCGAGAACCTCTTACTTCTCCTGCGAAAGTACCATGCACTTGGTATTCTCAAACCTCACAACTATTTCGACCTTATCGAAACATTCCAGTCATCTGACATTCGTTCGACTTTTGTCAAGTCCATTATTGTGTACCGCAACTTTCGCTGGCAATTGCAGGGAGAAGTGCCTCCGTCTAAAATTTTGGGCAAACTTCTAGAAAGGCTTGCCACACTGGAAATAACCACTGGAGTTCAGTATCTGCTGGATGAATTCACTCAATTCTACCGAAAACCATCGGTATATGCATATAGGAGTGCGTTGATCGCCTTTTCAAGGGCTGGCGACGTGCAAAATGTCACTCGTGTTTTTGATAGGTATCTTTTGGATCATGGCAAACCGTTGAGCCGGAAGCTTGTCACTCCGGTTCTCTATGTTCATGCCAGAGCTGGTGATGTCAAGTCGACGCTTCGTCAATTCAAAAGAATATCGGAAGAGTTCGATCTTACGCCAAATACAATCTGCTGGAACATTGTTCTCACTGCGTATGGCAGATCAGATGACTTCAATGGTGCTTTTGAAACCTTCAAGACGATGCTAGAACACAAAGTCGAACCCAACTCGCACACCTTCGGTACGTTGATGGGATTGAGTGCCAACAAGGGTGATATTGAAACCGTTCGACAACTGCTTGTTCTCGCCAAGAAGAAACGAGTGCAGATCACAACCCCGCTGCTTGATACCGTCGTGGAGGCGTACTGCAATAACCACCGGCTTGACCTGGCTGAGAGCGTTGCAGAGACATGCGTTGGCTTGCGTGTTAAGGGATCGCGCTTGAGAATGTGGAACTTGCTGCTTTGGAACCATGCTTTCCGGATGGATCTCGATGCTATTTCCAGGATCCGCTCCCGTATGGATGCGATTGGCCTAGCACCGGATGAGATGACTTATGCCGCCCTCATGCTTAGTTTGGTGCTCATAAACCAGACAGATTCAGCACGCCGGATTTTGCGGACACTTCACAGAAGCCGTCGCATTTTTGCGTCCGAATTCCACTATACTATTATCTTATATGGTTATGTCAAAGCTCGGAATCGCGACATGGTCCACATCGTTTTCCGCGAGATCAAGAAGCGTTTCAGCAAGCCCGGATTGAGTTCTCATCTACTTGTTTTGAGGAGCCAGCTTCATCGAGACTTACAGCTTGTGCAACATGGAGGTGGAGAAGCCGATGCTGCCCAAGTCCGTCTGGAATATGCCGAAAAGTTCCTGGTAGAAACCCTCGTCGAGTTTGATCGCACTAAGCTGGCATCTAAGGAGCCATTACCCGGTGCAGGAAGGCGATCTCCCAGTAGGGCATTCCCTGTTGTGTACTTCGAACATATCATCAATGCCTACGGAACGAGAGGAGTCTCGAAGAAGGCTCGTGAGCTATTCGATGAGTACCTCCGAAGCAGAACTACCCCTGATGACCCGGAAGCCGTTGAGGACATAGCGCCAATTCGATTGATTGCCGCATTGATGCTCGCCCATCTGAAAGGCGGAGAATACCAAAAGGTAGAAGAATGTTGGAACATGGTTCTCCCTCGTGCCAAAACGTTAGCCAGCCGGCCTAATGTGGATGAATGGCTGTCTATAAAGTCGCCCCCTACTACTGATGCTACTGAGCCTGGTCCGCCCCAACCGTCTCTGCCAATTTCCGTGCGCAGTGAGCCAGAAGGAGGTCTGCAGTCTGCTACTTCGGAAGCGACTTGGCCTAGGACGTCTGTCCTGCCCTCATATCGGTTCTGCATATCACGGCCGCTATCTTTATACATGCGATCTTTAGCTTATCGGAACGAGGCCTGGAAGCTCCCTCAGCTTGCATTGGACATTAAGAAGGCGGGCTTTTCTTTGACGACTTTCAATTGGTCAACTATGGTGCAAATGCTTGCCTCCTCTGATAGACCCTCAGACCAGGCCGAAGCGTTTACCATCTTTGAAACAAAATTCATGCCGAACTTTCCTGGCTGGAAGAACCTACGCCGAGGGTATGGGTTGAAACCCGATGGAGTCCCGGACAGTATTGACTTGATGGAAAAACCAAATCGCTCGAAACCCCCCCACGTTCTTGGTAAGGAAGGGCGGCGGTACTGGAGTAAGATCCAACCAGACTTTCTACAACCTACTTACATCTCTATGGTGTACCTGGCTTCATCCTTACTTAGATTCCGCGAAAGGAGTCTCTACGACGGGTCGGCCGAAGTGAAAGCGCTCTACAGGGAAGCACCGAGAACCATCAAGGCGATCGCCAGAATGCCTGTTCTCCGTGATAAATTCCAGGGAGTGTTGCTTCGCCGTCGCCAGGAACGCAGTGACAAACAGAATGACGGGTCTCATCACTTCGTATGGACTGGTGGTATTCTTGGAGTAGGGGGTAGACGCCGGGCCATTCCGCAGCCAGAGAAGGAAGAAAATGACCAACACGAGGAAGAAGATCTTGAGGAAGATGAGGATGCCAATGAAACGGAAGAGGCTGAGGAGACAGAGGAGATCGAGAAGACCGAGGAAGAGAAAGAGGCCGAAGCCCTGGCTTTGCAATACGCGCACGTTCGGCCTGATCCGGATAACACCACGGAAGTTGCCGAGGACTCTTTTATCATTGAAGAGACTCTCTCATCTGGCAACACTTCCGAGCTTCCCGAAAAAACCATCGACTCTCAAGATGAGTACGATATCGAGGCTGAATCCCTTCTCGAGGCCCGACGCATCGCTGATGGAGTGATCGACGAGATGCTCGATATCGAACAACGTGACAGCTCCGACGAAAACGATCAACATGATGACAATACTCCGCCGCTGGAAGAGGAACATCACTCCGACCAGGATCACTCCGACACCGACAATCAGCTTCCCGAGGGAGAAATGCATGAAAAGAGTGATGAGGACTCGCGTTAGTCCGAGCATTGAGGATATGTCCAAGAAGCATGGCATTGGCGTTTATATGTATATAATTCCATCTCATTTCTCAAAGTGTACCATACTGTTACTATAACCAGAACATAAACTTGTACGAATATTATTAGTTGCATTGTCTTGACCATCCGTTGTTTGGTTCTGTAAATATAATCTCCTTGTGCAGGAGACTCCCCAAGGGGAAAGGCCTGACCGGCATAAAGCGATGCTGACTCAGCAGCATAACTTCCGCGTCGACACGCGTCGGGTTGGACGAGACGCGTTTCAATTCTGCCCGATCGGGACGGCGTGTCACCGTCGAAAGGATCCTCCGCCATCCCACTCTTTCGTCCAGCTCCGCAAGGGAACAAGAAACACCTCCACCACTGGTCCTTGCCTACCAGGTCCCCCAATTTCGCACAAGCTACCTGGCTCATTTTGATCCTCATTCTATATCGCCGCCCTCCGAGACATATTCTTCGCCATGGACGGAGTGCAACTCCGTGATGAGGCCGCTCAGGATCGTGTGCGTGCCGCCGTTGAGTTTCTCGATCCAAGTAAGCTCCCTGATGCTCGTATACTTCATTTTACATGCTAATCTCGGGTTGTTTCGCTCTATTCTAGCCGATGCGAGAGCGCGAAGGTTCGTGGACATTCGCCGGATCCTCCCTTTCTGGGGCAACCATTCCTTTCTGGAAAAAAATATGGAGGCTGACTACCGGCTAGTTACCGGGCAGATATTGTGTTGATGTTGAATCGGGGTCTACGTCGCTTGATAGTATGTCTTCTAGTGATAATTCACCTGTGTTGGGAAATACAAAGCTAACAAAATTTCTTCTGCTATAGGTTAGCATCGATGAAATCAGAGCCCACAACCGTGAAATGGCCGATGGGTAGGTTGTCCATAAGCATAAACAATCAATGCAGAGACCTGTTAGCTAATCCGGCAAAAAGCCTGCTCACCAATCCTTTCGATTACTCGCAAGCCTTCGACAGAGCTTTAAAAGATGTCATCAAGTCGTTGGGCCGGCCCTCGAGGGAAACAGCAGACGATGTGGTACGATAAACTAGATTCTGGCAATACATCCACAGAAATTGACATGTCTCAGAACTACTACTGCGCTTATATTGGAGCCTTCGGGGAATTCGCCTGCAATCCTAGAACCCTAGGGTCGAATCATCTGAACCGGATGATCTCCCTGGAGGGCATTGTTACAAAATGTTCATTGGTTCGACCGAAAGTGATCCAGAGTGTTCACTACAGTGAGCGCAAGGACCGATTCCTTGCGAGAAAGTACAGGGACCAGACTATGACTGCGAGTGGAGCTACGAATTTGAATGTCTATCCCCAGGAGGACGATGAAAAGAACCCGGTATGTGTTAAAAGGAAGCCAGACTAACAGCAGTTACTAATGCTTCCTCTTATAGCTCATTACCGAGTATGGTTACTCCACTTATATGGACCATCAAACGATCTCGATTCAAGAAATGCCCGAGCGAGCGCCGGCTGGTCAGCTGCCGCGAAGCGTGGATGTGATCCTTGACGATGACTTGGTGGACCGAGCCAAACCCGGAGACCGAATTCAGCTGGTCGGTATCTACCGCTCCCTCGGAAATCGAAACGCAAACTCCGGATCGTCGACTTTCCGTACCCTCATTCTCGCGAACAATATCATCCAACTATCTTCAAAGTCCGGTGGAGGAATTGCGCAGGCCACCATTACCGACACCGACATCCGAAACATCAACAAGATCTCAAAGAAGAAGAATGTTTTCGAGCTGATGTCACACTCACTTGCACCCAGTATCTATGGCAACGATTACGTTAAGAAGGCGATCCTGCTTATGCTTTTGGGTGGTATGGAGAAGAACCTTGACAACGGCACTCACCTGCGAGGTGATATCAACATCCTGATGGTTGGTGATCCTTCCACCGCCAAATCGCAACTTCTGCGATTTGTCCTAAACACCGCTCCTCTTGCAATTGCGACAACTGGACGTGGATCATCCGGAGTTGGTCTTACGGCTGCTGTTACTTCTGACAAGGAAACCGGGGAGCGCAGACTGGAGGCAGGTGCAATGGTTCTTGGTGACCGTGGTGTTGTCTGTATCGATGAATTCGACAAGATGAGTGATGTCGACCGCGTGGCTATTCACGAAGTGATGGAACAGCAGACCGTCACCATTGCTAAAGCCGGTATTCACACGAGTTTGAACGCTCGTTGCAGTGTTCTGGCTGCAGCCAACCCTATTTACGGACAGTACGACCCTCACAAGGACCCCCATAAGAACATTGCCTTGCCGGATTCTCTCCTGTCTCGTTTTGATTTACTCTTCGTCATGACGGATGATATCGAGGATTCCCGGGACCGAATGGTGTCGGAACACGTGCTGCGGATGCACCGTTACCGCCAGCCTGGTGTTGAAGAGGGCGCTCCTGTCAGAGAACAACTCAACCAGAGCCTGGGTGTCGGGCTTGAGGATAACCAAGACTCCAACCAACCCACAGAGGTCTTTGAGAAATTCAACGTGATGCTTCACGCCGGCATGGTTAACACCGGCCGGAACAAGGGAAAGAACCCCGAGATCCTGAGCATTCCTTTCGTGAAGAAATACATCCAATATGCCAAATCGCGTGTCAAGCCTGTGCTGACGAAGGGGGCTGCTGATCACATTGTTTCAACCTACTCGGCCCTGAGAAACGACGAACTTTCCAGCAACCAGCGCAGAACTTCTCCCATTACAGCCCGTACCCTTGAAACGTTGATCCGTTTGTCGACTGCCCACGCGAAGTCTCGTCTGTCCAGCCGGGTTGAAGAGCGCGATGCCAAGGTCGCCGAGTCTATCCTCCGTTTCGCCATGTTCAAGGAAATCCTCGAGGATGAGCGCCGGAAGAGAAGAAAGGTTACCACGTTTGACGAAGACTCCGAGTCCAGCGGTTCAGACTCCGACGATGATGACGATGCCACGCCAGCAAACACCGCAAGTGCGCGCTCGACCCGGAGAGGCGGCACGACAAGCACACGCGCAGCAGCTCGTTCGACCGTTGACGACATGGATGCCGATGGAGACGATGTGTCGGAAAATGGCGACGGCTTGTACAGCTCTAGCCCCCGTGGCCAACGACTCCGATCGAGCGCCACTCGCAACCAGTCTCAGAGCCAGTCCCAGATGTCCGTGGCATCTTCCCGACCTGCTTCGCAGCTCGTCCAGTCCCAGACCGACAATTCACAGTCCCAGACAGCGTCCGCCGGTGGCGCTTCGCAGCCTTTGCAGCCCGCTCGTCTGACCGTGTTCCGCCAGGCCCTTGGCCCCTTGATGGGAACCCAAGTGTTCACCAGCGGCGATACCGCCGACGTGGAAGAACTCATTGGCGCTGTGAACACTGCGGTTCGCGGTAACCGTTCGCTCGGCGAAGGACATGTGTTCCAGCGAGCAGAAGCCATCCAGGCCTTGAAGGCCATGAACGAGAGAAACGAGTTGATGTAAGTTTGACTTCCTAGAACACCCACCACACTAGGGGATCTAAGTTTGCTGACCACCTTACTTTCTATCAACAGGTTCCTTGAAGATGACGAGACAGTTTATAGAATTTAATTGATGTGCTTAGAGATGAAGCTAGGAAATGGCGGGAATAACGGCAGCTATGAATTTTCTTTATCTGATTTCTGTTTCTCCGATATCCTCACATACGGATAGTTGGTGGTACGGCGTCTTAGGAGTTTTTCTTCTCCCCTTGTACCGCAATGTCCCATTTGACATTTTGAAACCCAATGCATAAATCAAAATAGTGGAATAATTAGATTCGTGAATGCCTCTTATTTTATTTGGTATTTACATAGTACCGCCCAGGATCAGACCCATTCGTGTTTTTGCGTTGTTATACCCTGCAAGGTCTGCGTATCGCAGACTCAAAATGTATTGACAAGATCTAGCGTGGGATACAAAAAAATTAAAAAGGAACCCGAGAACAGGAGAAGAGAGAAGAATAGATCAATAGAAAGAATACGAGGGAAGAGAAAAGGACATATATCCATGACAGCATTCCAATAAACATGCATCATGCAACCAACCAACAAATGTTGAATTGGGGTATTAGTATATCATCGCAAGGCACGTGCAAGAGCAAGATGAGTCCAGCAGAAGTGGTGTGCTGCTCAGCTTTCCACGGGCTCTTCCTTGACTTTAGTTTTCTCGTCTCCTGCGCCTGTCATTGTGGAATCATCGGATGAGAAAGAAGGCGTACGGACACCCTCTCTGATTTGCGCCTGGGTCAGAGGCGAAAGACCCCGGGTCAGTGTTTTGGACCCTTTCTTTTTCCGATGCTGAGGGCTCTGCTCGGAGGCTGACGCCGTCGAGGTCGGCGTGCTTCCTCGCCGCGGACGGCCGCTTGCAGAGGACCTGGAAGGAGGACGATCTTCCGCGTCGACGGGAGTGGTACTACGCGAAGGCGTACGGGAATGGGAGTCCGAGCGCGTGCTACGTCGGACCGGAGATTTGAGTTCGTGACTGAGTCTAGAGATACTGGGGTGCTGGTGGTGGTGATGGCGATGCTTTTCGCCCTCCATGGGTCTGTTGAGCGTAGCCGCTGCGAGTCGTCGCCGTCGCGCTGCTTTCCACCCGAGCCCGAATGACCCAAACCAGCTTCCGTCTTGTTCGGCCAAGAGACGTTCTTTCTGGCGCAGTTTCTGGCGCAGTTGAGCGCGTCGCTCGTTCTCCTTCTCCCAATACTCGGTTCGGTAGTCATCCCAATTCCCTCGGAACTCAGGGGAAAACGACTTGGGTAGTAGGAGTAACCGAATGTAATCTCCTCCGGGACTGAGATCCTCTTCCACAAGTCCTGATTCGGGATCCACGTTATGATACTGCTGATGGTACTGCCGACCACCAACACGTTTCTCGGATGCCGGTCGTTCTATAAAATAGAAATCTCCAATGGGAGAAGGGAAAAAGGGTGTGGAGAATGGGAAGAGAAAGGAGAGATAAGACAGCAATTCCTGCCACCAGGGACCTCTTATCACAACAATCTTGGTGTTCATGTTGCGAAGACCGCGATTGGCGACAGCGAGCCAGCGCCGCGGCCAACGCACCCCACGCTCCCATTGCCCGGTGCCCCAGACTAGGAGGGCAGTGACCACACCCCCCAGTAGGGCAACTTTATCTCCCATCTCCACAACCCAGTAAACCGAGCCTCCTACCCCGCGGCCATCCTCTCGTGGTCGAAGAAAAAGGGCGTAGGCAAAGTATGCGATCCAGGCGGCAAGTAACAGGAGGAAAAACGTGTTCTGTCGTCGGCGTTCACGCAGCGCCAGGTACTGCGCTCGAAGGGAACTCTCCAGTATGAGCAGGTTCAGGTATATCTGGGGCGGAGCTGATGGCAACGTGGACAGTGGATCTGGGGTTGATGAACGTGGTGGGGAAGAGTATTCCGACGAGACCGAGGAATCTGCCCGTAGGTGCGAGGTCGATGCATCGGGCACAGTCGATGAGGATGAAACGGGTCTTCCAGAGGCTGTAGACCCTTTCACCAGCTGATCCAAGCTTGGCGAAGCCATGGCGCTCTAAGCCGTCGAGGTAGGGGAGAAAGGTAGCGGGCGTCGAGTAGAGGGATCCGGATCTAGATCTAGATACAAAAGAGCCCCCAAGAGTCCAGATGAGAGAAGACTATGGACAGAAGGGCCGCTGCGGCCAGGGGTTACCGCATTGCGAGAAGGCGAGAGGCGGACGAGAAGAAGAAAACAAGCGATGAAGCGGAAGACAAGGTGAACTCGAAGGCGATGAACAAAGGAGGAATGTTACGGTATGGTATCGTATGTTTCGCGGCTACCGAGGCAGCGTCATCGGTCACATGATCCCGTGCCCCGTGCTCCGGCCTGAGGCGTTGAGGCGCTGAGGCGTTGAGAGCTGCCTGAGGTGTTATTCCTGACGTCGTCTCATTTCTCCCCTCCGATGATCCACGGCGTGTTTGCCTCCTCCTCTGTCGCGCTCGCAGTCGCAGTCGCATTATTCACCTCCCCCCCGAAACCAACCTTTTGTGCATAGTCTCCTTTTCCTTCAGCCTCAATCTCCCCTGTTATTTGACTGCCTTGTTGATTTTCTTGGCTATTTATTGATCGGGGTTAACGGCCTTTAGCCTCGCTCTCCCCGTTCGGATTTTTGCAACCTGTCATCCGAAGACCATTGACTGCTGACTATAAAACATTGCTTTCTGCTTGCGCCGCCCCCCTTGCTGTTGCTTTTGGAGTGACAGAGAAAGCCTCTGTCGCTCTGGACTTTACGCGACAAGGTGTCTACCGCGCGACTCCCTTATCTAGCCTTCCAAGGCTGCCGACCTTGGACTTCCTTGGAATCTCCCCGTCTTCTTTCGTCGTCGAATCCTGCAAATATTCGCCTCAGTTCTTCTATGACATCGGAATCATTGGACTCGTCGAGGAACGAGTTTCAAGATCGCAGGCAACAAACTTCAATGTCTTCTCAACAAGAAGGCGTCCCTCATGCGGCTCGAGGAGCTAGCGCCACGCCTCCCCCGTTGGCATGGTTTCCCCTCGGCTACAGAGAAGGGTTCAATCAGTGGGTAGGTTCCTGAGCTCACGGGCCTAGAAGGAAAGTCAGGGACCACGGATCAACGGTTTTACTAAAAGCTGTCTTCCTTAGTGGGCGAGTCTACCAGCCGCCGCAGCTGAACATAAAGTGCTATCCTATCTTCCCTACCTCCAACATCAACCTCCCACTCATTTGCAAACCGGCAACAAGACGGTCCCTCCGGACGGCGAACTGGGGAGTCTACAGTCTGCAGACCACAGTCAAGAAGGCGAGGTATCCGCAAATTCCCTTGACGATCCGTACGGCCCTCGACGATGGCGCTCCAGCATGGTGGAGCTGAGCGGCAAACATCGGGCTCTCAACGAATTCTCCGTGGAGAGAGTCGGGGAACAGGCAGATCAGCATCTGGTGATGCTTCACGGATACGGGGCCGGTTTGGGATTTTTCTACAAGAATTTCGAGCCTCTGAGTCGGCTGCAAGGGTGGCAACTTCATGCCCTCGACTTGCTGGGCATGGGTCGCAGCACCCGCCCCGCGTTTCGCATCAAAGCGAAGAAACGTGAAGATGCCATCAAAGAAGCTGAGGACTGGTTCGTCGATGCGTTGGAGGAATGGCGCGTTAAGCGCAAAATCGACCGATTCACTTTGCTGGGCCACAGCCTGGGTGGCTATATGGCGGTTGCCTATGCTCTCAAATACCCGGGTCGTTTGAACAAGCTCATTCTCGCCTCTCCGGTAGGCATCCCAGAGGACCCGTACGCGGTATCAGCGGATATGCCCGAACCGTCAGAATCGACCATGGCCAATGAGGTCACCCAGGACCAACGCGAAATCGCCCAGTCCGCTTCGTCGGTGCAGAAAGGCGACAACAACATTCTTCTAAAAGGAGCTCCTACAAGTGGGCCTGATAATCGACCACCCCGCCGAATGGTACCCAAGTGGTTTGCCTACCTTTGGGATGCCAACATCTCGCCCTTTACTCTGGTGCGATGGGCTGGGCCCTTTGGCCCACGGCTCGTGTCGGGTTGGACTTCTCGGCGCTTCTCCCACTTACCTGCCGAAGAAGCCAAGGCCCTGCATGACTACTCGTACTCGATATTTAGCTTACGAGGCAGTGGAGAGTATGCACTCGCTTACATCCTCGCCCCGGGGGCTTTTGCACGCAGTCCTTTGATCCGCCGTATTGAAGGGGTTGGCCGACAAATGATTCAATCCTCATCCTCGTCCTCGTCCTTGTCCTCGTGGGAGCCTGCCGAGGTCAGAGACTCTTCTCCCCCTCAGTCGCCTTCTGTTGCTACCTCCGGTCCAAACTCGACTGTTTCACCCCCGTCTTTGTCCGTGAAACGGGAGAATGGCTTGCCCATTGTTTTCATGTATGGTGACCATGATTGGATGGATGTCAAAGGTGGCATGGCGGCCCGGGCGAAGCTCGAGGAAGAGAAAAACCGCATTCTTCGCACGGCCACGCCGGAGGAGCGCGAGTCTGACAATGGCTCGGCGAAAGTGGTGGTCATCAAAAACTCGGGGCACCATATCTACTTGGACGGTTGGCAAGAGTTCAATCGCATCATTCTGTCGGAAATGGAAGAAGTGGGCCGGAAAGAAAGAGCGAAGAAGCCATGAACGCTACCTACTCATGTGAATTTTGTTGCCTGCCTGCCCATTTTCTGGTTTCTTTCATTTCCTTGATTCGTTTGTTGGCGGCGCGTTTGGGTGTTCGTTTGGCCCAAGGCAGGATGGGGGCGTCATGCCGCCTAGCATGCCTTAATATCCGGAGATATGCATGATGTATACTATATATTTAAAACAGATAGAAATACCGAACATAGAAGTCATACGAGATCAGAGGTATGACGTTATCAGCAGAGAGTGATTTGTCTAGACCCCTGTGGCCGGGGTAGAACCTAGCGCTAAGCCAGGACTTCGTCATGACCCAAACAGGACAACATGATTTGAGGGATTAGGGGGAGAGGCAGGAGGCAAGAGCAAATTAGCAAGAAGACCGTTTAAGGTGACTTTGGAATCTTCTCGGCTGCAGTCGGCACCAGCGAGGCCAGGAAATCGGGGCGTTTGGCTCTCCCCAGATCGATCGTGATGGTGGGCAGGGGAAAGTCGCCTACTGGCTGCTTCATGTTAGCCTCGACCAATCTGCAGATGCACGTAGCACCGAAGAACCAATAATCCGACCACCGATGATGATCGGACTCCCCCTGTCGTTTTGGTTTATCATCCTGATCATTATCGGTTTCTTCTTTGTCTTCGATGTCTCTGTCCACATCATCCCATCCGAGATGGAGGGCGGACGAGAACCCTCAGACTCAGGCGCAAAATTAAGGCATCCATGACCGAGGACTTGGGTAGGAACACCATATCTGTCCAATGCGAAGAGATGATGGCCAACTTGGATGGGATTGGGCGACAGCCGGGTCCACTGCAGGTTTGCCTGACCCAGAGATAGTCATGGTCTCTTGTAGCATCAAGAAGGCCGTTGCCGACACTCTCTGTTTGCTCATCCGATGTCTTGGATTGCGATTGATGCCTGAAAACGCCCGGACCGGGTTCCGTGACGCAGGGAGCCGAGAGAGAGAGAGAATGGGAGAAGATTGACCGATACCTAATGGTTACTGGGGAGGGGGGGGGGGGGGGGGGGGAAGAGGAAATTTGCACTTCTTCAGACAGATGTGAGCAGTTCTTGGGTAAAGAGTGGAAATGATAGAGAGAGCGATGCATACAATGCAAATGATGACTGATGGCTGCAATCACGTGCAGAACGGTATCAAAACCACCCCCTCTCCCGCACTCCGGCAGAATGGTATCACACTAAGCCCCAAAAGGCAGTATAATACCGCCGTCCGCGTACAGACACGGTAAAACCGTTACGCCCGCAGCCAGAGCGCGCCGACTTCTCTCGTTCGCTCGAATCTCCTTCCAATCTTCCATCCATCGAAGTCGGGATTCTTTATTCATTCCAGCCAGCCAGACCGGCGTTCTGCACCCCTCATCCAATCAGTCAATCATCAAGTATCGTTCCCGGTTCATCCATCCCATCTTTTCTGCCGGTTTTGTTTGGAGCAGTATCGGTTAGTGTCCATCTCTGCTACTATTGGCGTTGTACTGTCCCCAGCAACCAGTGATCGTGCTCGTTCTGCCAGGCACCTCTGGTTCGCCAATTGACGGCTTGCGCGCATCGCGGCCGTCTCCAGAGTAATACTAACTGTCCTCCTGTGACATTTCAGTCCTCTAGACCAATTATCTCTGGGGATACGCAAGATCCATCGAAGCATCGCCCCCAAAAATAACCCGATTGCTTTTTAGTCAGGTTGATTTGGACTCTTCTTTGCACGACCTGCCTGTTCGTGACCCACTGGTTACTTCCGTGTCGCATTACCCGCGTCACATCTCCCGTGTTGCTGTGCTGGATTGCCCGCGCATAGTTGACGTTACCACTGCATTCTGTGAGTTCTAGTCCCCTCCACTTCCCTTCCCTCCCCGGGGGAGCCCAAAAAAGTTCCTGGAATTTTGGTACCTCGTCACCCTCACTGGGCATCAAATCAGCTTTGACCTTCCTCGGTCTTTTTTCCCATTTGAAGGGGTTTTTTTTTTCTTTTCACTTTTCTTTATATTTATTTCCTTAAAATAAATAACAGAGCCTTATCGGGCGCCCCCTGTCATCATTGCCATCCTTGTTGGATAATACCCAGTCTACCTAGTGGACCTGAATCACACCGCCAGGGCAGCGCTGTTGTCGCAGCATTGCCAATCCCCCACACATGCTGACATTGTCTTGCTTCCCCGTTTAGGCTGCTGTGAAGCGAATCGCTGCCCAGCAAGGCATCTTCCCCCTGGGGCAGGTTGATTGTAGCGTCAAGGGTTTGACAGCCATCGCGCGCCGCATCTGTGACGTGGTTTTCTTGCCAACAGGGCAATTAGACACAGCCATCCTTTTCCAGAATTCTAGTATCCACCGCGCGTTGCCAAACAGCTAAAAATCATGTCGTCGGCCTCCCCTTCCAAGGAACCTGAGGTGGACCCTGAAGTTCAATCGGGTGAAGAGCAAGACCAAATGGACAAGGAACAGCAAGACGCACAAGGCCAGGGAGAGTTCGAGGTAAAGGAGCAGGATAGATGGTTACCCATTGCAAATGGTTAGTTCCGTCCCCTTGCAGCGCGTCTGTCCTCCTGATTTGCGCGTACCTTACGTTTTACCTGCTGGTCAACAGCCATCCTGCCCTACTACACTGCGCCAAACCCTTCTGATTTCCCGTGCCAATGTTCTCTCTGATGTATTCCCTTTCTCTTTTTTCTTTCTTTCTTATTTCTCACGGTCTCTCCTTTCCTGGGGAAGGCTCCTTATTTATTCGCTTCCTTCCTTCCTCGTCCTGCCCCTCCAACCCACCCCCTTTTTTTGACCTGATCGATATTTCCTCACTACCTCTCTTGACCCCAATCAAAGGAATTGTCCTCGCTTCGGCCAATCTCTTGAATATGGCGCATGTCATTTGTACCCCCTTATCGTCTCTTGCTTCATCATTCTTATTACCTCGTCACACTTCCAAATGATCAAGAGAAACAAATGGAGAAAGCTAACTCATGCCATGAAGTGGCTCGTATCATGAAATTGGCCCTTCCCGATAATGCAAAGATCGCAAAGGAGGCCAAGGAGTGCATGCAGGAGTGCGTGAGCGAGTTTATCTCTTTCATCACCAGCGAAGGTTAGTGAAATTGTTTTGTGAATGTGCATGTGTTCTTGTCTAATAAGGCGTGACGTCTGAACCACAGCCTCCGAGAAATGTCAACAGGAGAAACGCAAGACTGTCAACGGAGAGGACATTCTGTTTGCTATGACTTCCCTTGGGTTTGAGAACTATGCAGAAGCCCTGAAAATCTATTTGTCGAAGTATCGCGAGGTAAGACTTGTGTAACACCCTTGTTTCCTCCGGCCTTCTTACTAGCCGTGAACGGTCTAGCGAATTGAGACCAGGTTGCGCTGATGACCAGTATAGACCCAGTCCGCAAGAGGCGAGCATCAGAACCGGCCAACCAGTAGCGGTTATGGCGCCGGTGGACCCGTGGGAGCTGTGGGAGCTGGTCCGGGTGGCCGCCCCGGAGCCTTTGGTGACGCCGCCGACGGCGCCAACAGTATCATGAATCCGGGTCTGGATGCTGCCGAGCAAGAGACCGCTGCCTATGGTTACCCTCCCATGGTCGGTCAGCCGCACAACGGCACAGGTGGTGACGCCTACTAGATTGCCTCATGCGCAGGGAAGCGGTCCGGGAGCTGCGCCTGAACGGGTCCAACCTGGAGAGGATCTCCAAACCGTTGCGTTTCAGCTCCGACTTCCGGATGCCGCTTCCTCTCATCGAAGTCCGCTAGCGCGGCAGCATCTTTCCCTCCCCGGGAATTTATTTTTACGGATCGAATACGAGTATAGGACTACGACGGATGGTTTTAGGGGTGGCGGTATTTTCTTCATTTTCTTCATTTTTCTAATCTTTGGGCTTTTTATCTGCTGTTTATTTCCTGATGTTTTCTGTGCGGCGCTCTTCGACAGATAGTCCGCACCCCTTCTTATCCTCTTTTTCTTCACTGGGACTCAGGCCAGACGTGTACAATTGCATGTATCAAGGGGTTATTTCAAATCCCATTGACGTCGATGATGATCCAACCGTCCTGGTTGTGTCCTGCGCCGTTCCCCGTGGATGGGAAGTTGTACACTTACGAGCCGAGTCGCCTTTGTATTTATGATATCATTGATCAACCTCGTTTATGATTCTCGATGGGTCTCATGGAAACGGATATGATTGATAGAAAAATACATGAGTTGGGACTTCACTGTCCTCCTTGACTATTTCTCTTCAGGAATTGTGGGCAGTTCATCCGTCGCAAGGTAATGTGACCTACAGCCACACGCTGGCGACTTATTGAATACGGAAGGGAGGAGCTTTACTCTCATTCCTTCCACTTCCCCCGATCATCAATCTCCAGCATTCCTGGTCATGCTGAGGCCTCCTATATAATACTCCGAATACAATTCACTCCGAAGATGAGGTCGGTGTTCCCTCTCGCAGTTATTTAAATCATCAAAAAACATTTTCAGGTCCTACAAGCAGATTAACCCCCTTCTCGCTTCAGCCTCCATCCCTCTCCATACTTCGCGACCAGCCATACTAACCCGGCTGAAACCGAGATGAAAAGAGCCGAGATAGTGCTGAACCATCCGACTCCAATGGCCTGAATAGCAGGAAGACAGACCGCCGTACTCGCCGCCGCGAACATAAACCTCGTGAGATAATTACCCGCGACGACCAGCGATCCTTTCCCACTCTCCTCCATCGCATCTACGCAGTACGTATTGAGACTCGGCAGGCACAGCAGCTGCGTCACCCCCTGCAGGTACATGGCGATCACGACGAGCGGAATCCCGCCGACCTCCTTCTCGACGGCCCACCCATACACCAGCATGCAACCTGGCACCAGAATGGCCATGATAATGACCGCACTGTTCAGTCGGTCCTCGGGGACGCGTCGCCCCCGTTTCGCCATGTATCGCTTCACGATATAATCGGACCAGCGGCCGCCGCAGAAAGTCCCGGTCAAGTAGCCCGCACCCGGGGCGATGAAGAACAGGGCAGACTGCAGCGGCGTGGTGAGGTGGAAGCGGGGGTTCAGGACGTAGCGAATAGGCGTGAGCAGCGAATACTGGTTCCACATGAAAGAAGAGACCGCCAGACCGACGATCATGAAGTTGGGAGAAGTGAAAAGCAGCATTACGATTTCTGTCGGGTTCATCAGGCGCAGCAATCGTGTTGATCTCTGAGTTAGGGTCAAATTGTCGAAGACCTGCGTCTTCTTCTCATGGATGGTCTCTGGGAGCAAAAAGACCACGAGCACCGTCGAGAGACCGGCCATTCCGGTCTGTGTCCAGAATATGACTCTCCAGGATGTCCAAGTCACGATGATCCCGCCTAGCAGAGGTGCTATCGTGGGACCGATGAGCGTGCCCGACAAGAACCAACCGAGCGCGGTTCCTCGTTCCGTGGGCAAGTATATATCCCCGATGACTACAGCCCCGACGACCAGCACGGCGGTGCCTTGAAGCGCACTCAGCATGCGAAAGATAAAGAACGCAGGAAGGTTCGGTGCCAGGGCCGTCCCCACGCTGAATGCCGTCAAACAGGTGCTTGAGATGAGAAAGACGGGACGCCGACCAAAGAGCCCAGAGATGGGGGCCCAGATCATCGGGCCGAGCGCCATGAAGGCCATGAACAAGGCATTGGAGACGTTGATGATGGACCCCGTCGTGTGGAATGTGGCGGCGACTTCAGGGATGGCAGATAGCACAGCGGTGGAGCTGATGGGCGTCAGAAGGCCACAGTAGCAGAGCACAACCGTGATGACTCTTTTCCTTGCCGGAGAGAATCGCTCAAAGACCGAGGGCTGATTCTGATTCTGATTTTCAATTTCATTTTCCAGCATTGGCGGCGATTGTGTTGGATTGTCGCAGGTAGCGGCAGTGTCCGTGATGCCCTCCTTCTCCCCCATTTCGAACGTCTTGATTCGACAGATTGGTGAGAAGCAGTTGTAAACGAGATGAAGAGAAAAGCGAGCTAATTCCAAGGACTAATTCGTTAGGTTGACAAGGATTAGGATCTCCACTGATTGTGAAATGATTGGGTTGATCTATTGTAACAAAGCGGTAAATATTTCTCCCTGCCAGCCCTATCCCTATCTTGATTATGTGCTGTACCTCCTATTGCCCCGTTTCTATAATTTCACGCTTGTTCGTGATTCCATGGCCTCCCTCCGACATACTACACTGTCGCTTTAATAATGTGAAGATACACACAGCTTTGTTTCGGGAAATCCTACAAAAGCAACCGATGATCAGGTAGGGAGAACAATTAACCGCCTACTAATTGACTCATCTGGGAATGGATTTTCGCCATCGGAGAGAAAGCCGACACCAGACCGGCGACAGACCGTGATTGATACCATTCTCGGCGTGCTCGTCTATGTAGACTATGAGTGTAGTAGTCCTACGGGGTAGAAGAGATGCGCGATTATCTAGCGACGAGCGAGCGGCAATACATCTGAGCTAGGACAACACCCTACAGCTGATGCATGAATTCTTTCAAAATCCGGAGCCTAGTACTAGAAGCCACCGCTAGAAGCGTCTTTTCTGATCAGGCGTCAGATACCAAGAAGAAGATAGATGTCTATCACAAGTCAGATGCGTACTATGAGAACAAGTCTAAGGTACATCCTCTACCAGATATAACTGGTCGACTTGGCCAGGTATGAGAGTTGCCCATATGCTTTGCGAGACGAGGTGTTCACGCTGTATATCGAGGGGCTCTTAAACACACACAGTTTCGATTATCGCGAGGTTATGGCTTTGGAGTTGCCTCATCGTTGCCGGATTGGGGGGTTTGCGAATGCCTGAGGCAATCTGCCAAGGCTTCCCTCTCTATAGGTAGGCAATAGTGGAAACATCTGTTCCTGATCATTCCCTCTATCAAACAATGCAATTCATTCCTTTTACAATCCCCTATAGCACTCCACCTTGTCCGTCCACCTAGATATACAGGTATGCACTCCAGCCAGATGAAGTTCTACCCCGCTTAGTCATAGGTATTCCAACCAAGCCAACAAAAGCACCCTCCATTCCAACTTTCTTCCATCCAACTTATGATCCACGCGTGTCACAATGAACCCCTTGCGCCTCTCCTCCAGTTGCACGCGCCCATTGACCCGAAATCTCTCGTCATGTCTCGCCCGTGGCGCGATTCCCCGCATTCAGCCCTACCACCGACCCGCGGTCGAGGCACTGCGATATCCATTCCGGCGGCCCACTCTAGGCACTACTATACCACACCCGCTGACCTACACCACATTCATCAACGCGTCCCAGTCCCGACCTATCCACACTAATACCACAGAGACGTCCGGGTCAAGTCTCACGCACGAGAAACCCAAAAATGCCACGCAAGCACAACAGCTCTACGAGCTCTCGCTCGGACTCTCCCGCACCCCGGCAAGCGGCAACGTCGAGATGCGAACCACCATCTACAACGCCGAGGGAGCATCGGATCCAACGTCTGCGCCACCCACAGAGCTGAAGCTCACGAAGCTAGACATTGCGCAGCGGTATGGTCTTAGTGCGCGCGATCTCCGCGCCATTGATCTCCCGTCCGACGGATTCCCGCATATCCTGATCCGCGAGTCGACAATGTTGATCCATCTGTTTAATCTGCGGTTGCTGGTGCAGGCGGATCGGATGCTTTTGTTTCATATCGATGGACAGGGGCAGGGACAGGGACAGGGTCAAGGGAAGGGGTCATCGTCGATGGATAACACCACACGCGTCTTCACGCACGACCTAGCAGGGAAGCTGCGCGGAGACCGCGGACTCGGGGTGTCGACGCGGTTGCCGTACGAGCTACGAGTACTAGAAGCGGCGTTGGCCGCGACGACGTCGACGCTAGAGGCGGAGTACGTGCTCGCGAAGGAGCGGGCGGTGCAAGCTTTACGGACGCTGGATCTGCAAATGCAAGACAAGGAGGAGAGTGTGATCCACTCTGATCTGCGAGAGCTGTTGGACCTAGTGCGACGGCTAGCGGGGATCGAGCAGCGGGCGCGCCACGTGCGGAGCGCGGTGCAGGAGGTGCTGAACGAGGACGAGGATATGGCGGCGATGCACCTGACGGATAAGAAGGCGGGGAAGCCGCATCGGATGGAGGATCATCAGGACGTGGAGTACCTGCTAGAGGCGTACTATAAGGCGAGTGACCGGGTAGTGCAGGAGACGGGGAGTCTGATGCGGAATATCCAGCAGACGGAGGCGACGATTCAGTCGATTCTGGACGTGCGGAGGAATCAGATCATGGTGCTGGAGGCGAAGGTCGAGATCTGCATGCTGGGGCTTGCGGCTGCGACCCTGGTGGCGGGTCTCTATGGTATGAATGTGCCGAATTACTGGGAGGAGAAGGGCTGGGCGTTTGGACTGCTGGTCTCGTTCTGTCTGGTCGGGACGGTTGGGATCTCGCGATATGGCATGCGCCAGTTGCGGCGGGTTCAGAGGGTCTATCTATAGACATCATTTGGTGTCATTGCATACTGACGTTACATTGACACCTCGTCTATAAGAATATCCCCAGCTTAACTGAGCAGACTTGGTCCATGGCTTCCTCAATAGAAGTACATACGTCTTCTGTACAGGGAGTTCAATAGAGCTCATCAATTACCCCAGTGCTATGGCTTATCATTGAGAGGGCAGTTCCTCGTCGTGACACACCTTGTAGGCGGATGTTATTTAGGGCAGACTATGTACACTGAAAATATGTTCTTACCCTGTGCGTGGTTCCAAACGATTTCACTCAGAGCCAGAGACGAAGCTTTTTACGTCATAATAGAGTTACTGTCGCCCATTGTTAGCAATAGGGGGCCATGCATCTGAGTGGGTTTCATCATGTGGCAGTAAGCTTGGTCAATGCCGGAAGCTTAACACAGTAACCGTAGTTATTTACACTCATGGTATATATTCCACGAACAGTGGTTCGAAAGGCTCTGCCCAAGGCCAATTGAAGTAAATGACACTGACGCACGGCAACCTACCCATGCATCCATCCCCCGTCTTGCAGGAGATCAGACATGGGCGTGTCCTGCCAGTAAATTTGGCGCCATTCGTCTTCCAGCTCTGGAAGTCCCTCCATGGCCATGGGAAGAACGGCCTGTTCCGGATCGGTGAAGGAAAATAGCTGTCGCCAATCCAGTAGCTCCCGTGGTTGATCTAATGGGTCCACGGATGCCAGGTTGCTGGAGGGAATCCAGCTATCAAATGGTTGGTTTTGACTCGGGCTGATAGTAGAGGTGGGTAGATGTGGCGATTCTGGTGTCGGAACTTCAAACGGTAGTGACGTGTCCGGTTGAGGAGGCTGTATGATAGGGTTTGGAGCGGGCGGGTTATGGGTATCGGTTTTAGGGATTGGATCGTGCGTGCTATTGAAGCGCCCAGGTCGCTGGCTAGTCGTTACCCGCAAGTCCTCCTGGAGACGTCGAGAATCCTCAAACAGTCGGAGGATAGTGTTGGCATGGGACCAGTACGAGGCCAGCTCGCGGAGCGAGTATGACGCTGAGTCGAAACGACGCAGCGCATTGATCGCCAGGACCGGATTAGAGAACCGCAGCTCCACACGCACTTGGATCATGGCCGTGAAGAGAGTATGGACTCCAGAGTACCACAGGAACTTCAGTCGGTCATTCAAACGGAGTTCTTCAAAGATAGAAGCAATCACTCCGGCGGCCGCGCTGCAAATCTCGGCATCATGCGGGCCATAGTCGTCGGAGTACGCAGATGCCCTTGGGTGCGGTCGATGAAGAAGTATGAGAAAATTATTGTATGTAAGATGTAGCATAGCAGACCAAGGGTCCATATCTGAGGCTCGCAGGCGCAGGTTGTCCGGTAGCTTGAGAGACCAGTTCGCCAACGCTTCGTCGGCTTCTTGTAGTGCAGCCTTGCGACGTTCTGCACTGACTCGCAGGCCAAAACGTTCGCGAACAATGTATGAAATCATTGTGCAGAGCTCCGAGAAATGAATTACGTATTCCGATTGCACTCGGGATCCGCATCCTTCAAAGTCAGAATGAGTTAATGGGGAGACATCCGAATCCTCAAGATTGCTAATACATACTTTGGTTAGATAGGAAATAAAACCAATGAGAGATCAACTTACATGGCTTGCGGTCGCCCATATGAAAGAGACACCATCACATCAAACTGAACCAGGATGTACCATAGTCTCCGCCACATGCGGCGATCTCGGGATACAAAGCTGCTAGAGACAGGGTTACGATGCATTCCGAGGCCCGTGGCAATCCTCGCGGCGACTCCGACCCAGTAGTGCGCGTTGGCAGCTACATCGTCGTCGGCGCTATCCGAATGCCAGGTCAGTAGCAGGGCTGCTTGGACCATGATATCGCGATTCCGTTCAATCCGGCTATCAAACAGCCATTTGGCGCGGCGAAAGAAGATCTCTTTGAGAACATCTCGCTCTGGCTTAGGTCGGGTCACATGGGCTCCAGCTAACAATATGGTCTGAAGAAGCAAAACTGGCGGGGGATCGGCGGGGTCTCGATTGCGATATTGAGTCATAAAATGATCCTCCTCGATGATGGGATAGCCAGGATTGATGTGGCTAAAATATGCATGCACTAGCTCGTCGGCAAGAGCTTGTTCCGGCAAGGTCAAAGCATCCATGAGGAGTTGGTCATGACCGGTTCGCAATTGACGCCGTGGAATCTCATTTCCCGCAAAGTGGTACACATTGTCATCTTGTTCCCGTTGCTGGCGAATCAAGAAGGACATGTTCGACAATTCATGACCAACGTAGATCGCCCGAACCCCTCTCTGGATTTCTCGGGTGCCAGTTTCTTCCTCATCGATAATCTTCACCAATCGTTTCTCCAAATCTCCGTTTGTATCCTGTTCCGTCAAACGGTCAAGGCCCGGCTGGCGGACATATTCCTGGCTTCCTGATATTGGCGAGGTCTCAAGGGAGCGCGGATCACTAGTATTTGTTGTGTCTTCGAAGCCAGATTTGGGAGAATGGCTGGTTGGTGCGGTGTTGGTAACCGGAGTCGTCACATCGGGCTGAATGCCTCGAAAAGTAGTTGTAAAAGCGGAGGGCTGGCCAGCCGATTGGGAAGGCAATGGTCTAGGGGACGGTTCAGAAATTGAAGGTGGGCGACAGCGAATGGGAACGGGGTCGAGAATCGAGCGCACGGCTAAACGTTTCTTTTTCTCATGGATGCGGCAATCCGCCTTTCCCGCGGTGCGACAGTTGGAACAGGGTAAACCGACCAGACGTGCGTCGCAACGGACTTTACGTCGATGGCAATGAACGCAGGCCGCGGAGCCTATAACGAAACAGGCGATCAATGAAACAGATTCGTTGGAAGGCTAAAAAAGCAGAAGAGAGCATAACCAACTTACCTGACTTGCGCTTAGTCACACCATTGCCGGTGGGCGAGTGACTGTTATGCGCGGTGGAGGACATAGCAAGATCATCGACGCAAATTCAGGGTCCGGAGACTCGCGGCTTCATCATCAATGAGCAGGGGGGTAAGCGACCGATGGGAGGCAGCCAGGGCCTAAGACATAGCAAAGTGTTCAAAGGATCAAGTGGGAGGAATTGAGGAGAAGCGAAGAGGACAAGGAAAGCGAGCGATACGACCAAGTGGGGCGGCTGATCTGGGGGAGCTGTCACGTGGCTGCGGAGAACGTGCAGGTCACGGGGGCTGCATCTATTCTTGTGCATTGGATCGAATAATATGTACATTACGGGGTATACAGGCTTTACTACATCTATGAATAATAGTGGCCAAAGGTCCAGCGCCCTCACCCGTACACAAATCGCTTCCAATTGTCCGCCAACTGCTGCACTCCCTGGTGCAACGTCCACCTTCGCAATTCGCAGATCTGTCGTGCGACTTGCTCCAGGAGCTCGTCCATTGGCGGCCCGGCAGTATGCAAGTCACTCTCTATAAGGATTCGGTCGTCAGGCAGAGCTTTAATGACGTCCATCACTTTCTGCGCCGATGGTCCGCTGAAATTAATCACAGTGGAAAAGGAGAAATATACATCCGAAGGATTGGACGCGTGTAAGAATTGTTTCACGGGATTCACGGGGCCGGAATACGAATGCATACAGATCCGTGGTGGGAATGGAAGAGGGGGTTCTGGCTGGGGTGATGCCTGTTTTCCCTCTTCCTCTTCCTCTGCCTCGCTATCCGCGTGTGCGTCGGCTACACTGCGGCGTCGCTGCCTGTCTCGTCGCGATTGCACCTTTCGTTCATGACCAGACCACAAGGTTTTGAAAAGATCAAATACAGCTCCATGCGCTTGGACACTATGGACAGAGATGGGGCGTCGAAGCTCTCCGGCCAGTTTAAGCTGTGCCCTGAGAACGGCTTTTTGATGTTCCGGTTGTACTCGATGAGGAGACAGCTTGCGACCCTCGCGGGATCCCGGGGTCATTCCCTCGTCACGATTCTCGAGATCTTGTGGCTTCCAAGAATTGGGTAGCCTAAACGCCCGGTCCAGGCCAACCTCGCCCACAAGTGCCAGGGGGTGCGTTGTCAGGCGGGATCGGATTTCCGAGATGAGCTGGGATAGTGGTTTTGGCTCCGGAAGGGTTGAGATGAATTCATCGTCCGGCGATGGAGTAAGCACTTTTCTATAATGCGCCTTCTTTCTTTCAGATCCCGAGGCTACATCAGACTCTGATGAATCGGGATTATCATCGAGAATTTGATGTGAGAACCACGGGTGCCAGCCGAAACAAGGCAAGACGCGTCCGGTATTTGAGCCATTGATAGCTGTGTCCCGACCCGAGAGAGTTGCAGCAGTCTGTAGCACCAAATCCTGGTCCTCGCCACGCGTGGCCATGACGGTCAAAGTGGTGGCTTTCATCTGAGGTATCTCAGCAATCGAGGACATGGTGTCGGTAGGATGACAATGGGCGTCAAAGACCCCAATCTCCCAGGGAAAATCACCCCCATTTTCGTGTTCATTTTCCGAGAGGGTCATGTTCTTGAGCTGAGATGTTTGTTGGAAACACCACGAAGTTCAAATGACCCGAAGACTTGAAGCAAAAGCCGCGGCGGGTATGACGTAAGAAATGCCCGCGATGCCGTATCGGGAACTTCATGCCTGGGGCACTCAGCATCACATGTTTTTCTCCGCATTTCGCATTTGCGCTTTGTTGCATGACTCTTTTCCTTCTTGCATCTCCTCGAATGTCTGCGGTATATTGTGGACTCTTCGTCTTATTATTTACAGAGGCCTTACCTGGGTGATCCGTCGGGCGGCATTGTTACTCTACGAGTATCTGGTAACTACTAGTAGTACTATCTCATACTAAGTACTAGGAGATCGCCCTATGAAGAGCATTGCTTGGCTCCATGTCCTCCATTTGGAACACGATCATCACACTACCTCTTCTTCTCTTTATCTCGATACCTCTGATCTCATCTGCCTGCTTTACCATCTTCCTAGCATTTGTGACTTTGTTCATACGCTTCTCGTTCGTCTACATCAAGCTTCTCTATGGGATCATATCAAGCTATTTTACCATTCCCACGCCTGAAAGTACATCTCTATTGAGTTTTGCAGCATCTGAACCAACTACGCCAGGCGTTCCAGCAACCCCAAAGCGTCGCTCTTTCGATCATGGCATGACACCGCTCTACTCGAGTCCTCTGGCGTACCGCCAAAGCTTCACCGGCCAAAGTAGACCAGATTCGTTACGGCGCCGGCAAAGTTCGAACTCCTCTGAAGGTCGGGGTGAGCAAGAATGGGCCCTCATAGGCTCCGATGGTGCACACAATCCGAGGGGATCGTTGACTATAAACCAGCCCTATCCTCCTTTCCTTGGTCTGACTAGCGGGGACGTGGGAAGAGACTTCGAGGGCGTAGGCGGGTGGCGCACTCAAGTGTCATCGATGGGACTCCGTGGATATCTTTCTGGATCAGCATCTCCATCCCCTAACGATAGCGTGAGCGATGAAGCAGACGAGAGGGCATGGCTCTCCATCAATGAACGATTGCAGCTACCTACAGAATCTCTAACCCTGGAACACAGTTATGACTCTCCAGAACATGCATTTCTGTGGGGATGCAGACAAAGGGCGCCTGCCACAGCAGGCGCCCATAGAGATCGCCATCACCACCGTTCTGCTACGACATCAATGATACCGAATCCTGGGCCCCGTGGCTCGCATTCAATGTCTTCATCCAATCGCTTGGCTCCCCACCGGTCTAAAACATCATTATCACCACATCCACTGCGGCGACGAATGTCTCACGATATATCGCCCACTACTCTGGCAAATCCGCCCCGGATGAACGCTCAATCGGTGGATGGATCCGAAGGTTATTTCGCATTCCGACGCAGAAGTGCAGGAAGCAGCAGGTCTACGACGTCAGGAAGCTCAACACCTATGGACGAGCAGATGATCCAGGGAGCGGCAGGAGGGTCCATGGCTCATCATTCAGCTGGCGTGAAACACCGCAAAAGCGCGCCAGGGCCGAATTCGGGATCTCGACTACGGAGGCATCCTGAAGCTGAACGTACGCTTTGATGGGCTTGCACATAAAACGTCCGTGGGGGTAAAATTACATCGGCGCTCGAGGTATAAATGAGACGGCCACTTGCTCGGTATTTCCAGGGCACTTTTTATCCCGACTATATACCTGTGAATATTTACTCCACACAAGACATGTATATACGAATGCCCCGTCTGCGATCTACTAATTCTTGATAAAAATGAATCACGACCGCCCATGAACTCACTCGCTTTAAACCTTCATTTGCTTTATCGATAGCCACCCGCACGAACCAAGGCTTAAAATCTCTATGGCTCAATCTACCGCCCAATTGGCTTTCCAACCGTAGAAAAGAAATATAAATGAAAATAGTCCATTAGCTAGTTAAATAGAGTTATTGCTTCCAAGCGAAAATCTCGAACCTCTTCCTCATTTTCGCCTACTAGGTGCGGGCTGGATGAGGAAGTCTCTCTGTGGTCATGTGCTGATTGCAGTGCATCTATCTGATGACCTAGTAGGCAGTAGGAATATCATCAACGGCCTTATCAGACAAACAAGCAAGTCGTCCAATATACAATACACCCGAAACCCACGATGGCGAAGAATCGACCCAGCAACTTTTGAATCCGGTCTCCGGACTCCTCCGAACGCCGCTTTATTGAGTATTGTTAGAACGCCCGTCTCCAATACATTCCGAGCGATTCAGAAAGACATGAAAGACAGACAAGGCGCGTAGACCATCTCCTTAGGGCTGAACGACCTGGATGTTGTTCTTTTTCTGTATCGCAAAAAAAAAGTCAGAAATCGATTCCCCAACCTGGCAATAAGCCTTGAAGAAAATTCCAGGAACGAACCTTCCAGGTATCCATCTCCGCCTGCTTCCCCTTGTACTGCTTCAACAGCTCCTCCAACACCGACTTCAATCCATCCGAGTTGGTCTTCAGCGAGGGGAGAACATCTTGGATCGTGCGCTCAACCAGAACACCGTTCACCATGCGGAAACATTTTCGGTCTTGAGGCAGGGGGTCAAGCGTCTCGATGACGAGTCTAACAGGAGCGAACGCATGCGTTAGTTTCAAGCTGTCCAAGATTGTACGCAGAAGAGGGTAATCCTGTCTGATCCAGAGCGCTTGATTGAATAAAGCAAACTCACTTGTGTTCTTCCGCTTCCTGCTCAATGTCTCCGATTTTCGAAGCCAACTGCTGCAGTGTGTTTTTGTAGTTGGAGTATTGGAGCTGGAGCTCTGTATGAGGTCAGTCTTCACTCTTCGCAATAGAGTTCCATGGATTTGAGACGTCAGAGCGCCGTATAGTACATACCCTGCTGCTTCTTAGGGTTTATTTGTCCTTGGGCGGCCATGTTGATTTGGATGGTTTGGTTGCAAAGCTGGACTGGCGATGCGGGGCGGTTGTCGGAGTTGATGTTGCGCGGAGTTGTCGCTTGACTTCCGCAGTACGAGTTGCCCAACCCAGTTGATTTTGGTGAATGATGGTAGTAACTCGACGTTCCAATAGCTGTATGAATGATTCGGAATGGAAATATTGCCTCTAGTATCTATCTATAATCACACAGCCAGATCCTCGCTGTGACAGCCCCTCGATGCGCAGCTGCACGTGACTCTGGCCAAGTTTGCACTGTTTGCCTTCCCGTCTCTCTCGAGCGGCGACTTTCCTTGCGCTCAACTCCTCGACTCCAACTGACTCGCCAGGACGTCTGGAGCAGGCAGTTCGACCTCATCGCGGCCAAACCGAAACCGGAGAACCCCCTTTCCTGAACACCGCCATCCAGTCCCGAAATTCCTCCTCACAATGGCGTCCGACGGCCCCCCAGCCAAACGGCAAAAAAGCTCCAACCTGCCTCCGCAGCTGCGCGATGCCAAGCGCAAGGACATCGACAACTGGGAGACGAATCGAATGCTCACGTCGGGTGTGGCCCAGCGACGCGACTTTGATGGCGATTTTATGCCCGAAGATGAAGAAGCGACCCGTATCCATTTGCTGGTGCATGACCTGCGCCCCCCGTTTCTCGATGGCCGGACCATCTTCACCAAGCAGCTGGAGCCCATCTCCGCTGTCCGAGATCCGCAGAGTGATATGGCGGTTTTCAGTCGGAAGGGGAGCAAAGTTGTCCGGGATCGCCGTCAGCAGCGGGAGCGACAGAAACAGGCGCAGGAGGCCACGACGGTGGCGGGCACGACACTCGGAAACTTGATGGGAGTCAAGGAAGATGAGGGCGACAGCGCCGTGGCCATGCCTGTGGAAGATGCGTACAAGAGCGGAAACAAGTTTGCCAAGCATATGAAGAAGGATGAAGGAGGCCAGAGCTCATTCAGTAAGAGCAAGACGCTTCGGGAACAGAGAGAGTACCTGCCGGCGTTTGCGGTAAGGGAGGACCTGCTTCGAGTTATACGCGATAATCAAGTAATCGTGGTCGTCGGTGAGACGGGGTCCGGAAAGACTACGCAGCTGACGCAGTTCCTGCACGAGGACGGCTACTCGAAGTTTGGTCTGATCGGGTGCACGCAGCCTCGCCGTGTAGCTGCGATGAGTGTCGCGAAGCGTGTGAGCGAGGAAATGGAAGTTGACCTGGGCGATGAGGTTGGATATGCCATCCGTTTCGAGGATTGCACCAGCGACAAGACAGTGATTAAGTACATGACAGACGGTGTTCTTCTGCGAGAATCGCTGGTCCAGTCGGATCTGGACAAATATTCATGTATCATCATGGACGAAGCGCACGAGCGAGCTTTGAATACGGATGTCTTGATGGGTCTTTTGAAGAAAGTCCTAGCTCGGCGACGAGATCTGAAATTGATTGTCACCTCAGCTACCATGAACGCCGATCGTTTTTCGAGGTTCTACGGTGGCGCTCCCGAATTTATCATACCAGGAAGGACGTTTCCCGTCGATGTTCACTTTTCGCGAACCCCTTGCGAGGACTACGTCGATAGTGCCGTGAAACAAGTACTGGCTATCCACGTGTCGCAGGGCCCCGGCGATATCCTCGTGTTCATGACCGGACAGGAGGATATTGAGGCCACCTGCGAGCTGGTTGACGAACGGCTTAAGATGTTGAATGATCCGCCAAAGCTCAGCATTCTGCCCATTTACAGTCAAATGCCAGCAGAGCAACAGGCGAAGATTTTCGAGAAGGCCGAGGCGGGCGTGCGGAAAGTGATCGTTGCGACAAACATCGCCGAGACGAGTTTGACCGTCGATGGTATCATGTATGTCGTTGACGCAGGATACTCCAAACTGAAGGTCTACAACCCGCGCATGGGTATGGACACACTCCAAATCACGCCCATTTCCCAAGCCAACGCCAACCAACGTTCTGGCAGAGCCGGTCGGACGGGACCTGGAAAAGCGTACCGTCTGTTCACCGAGGTGGCCTATAAGAACGAACTCTACCTGCAAACAATCCCGGAGATTCAGCGAACCAGTCTTTCAAACACAGTACTGCTTCTCAAATCGCTGGGTGTGAAGGACCTCTTGGATTTCGATTTCATGGATCCTCCTCCCCAAGAGACCATCACAACGTCGCTATTCGAGCTGTGGTCCCTAGGAGCGCTAGACAACCTCGGCGATCTCACCCCATTAGGACGTCAGATGACGCCCTTCCCCATGGACCCGCCACTTGCCAAATTGTTAATCACAGCGTCTGAGCAATACGGCTGCAGCGAGGAAATGCTAAGCATCGTATCCATGCTCTCCGTGCCCAACGTATTCTACCGCCCGAAGGAACGACAAGAAGAATCCGACTCTGCGCGCGAAAAGTTCTTCGTTCCCGAATCCGACCATCTAACCCTCCTTCACGTATACTCGCAATGGAAGTCCAACGGCTACTCCGACGGCTGGTGTATCAAGCACTTCCTCCACGCCAAGTCCCTGCGGCGCGCGCGCGAAGTCCGCGACCAGCTTCACGACATCATGATCGCGCAGAAGATGCCGCTCGTCAGCTGCGGCACCGACTGGGACGAGATCCGCAAGTGCATCTGCTCCGGCTTCTACCACCAGGCGGCCCGCGTCAAGGGTATCGGCGAGTTCATCAACCTCCGCACCAGTGTCACCATGCAGCTGCACCCGACCAGTGCCCTGTACGGTCTCGGATATGTCCCCGAGTACGTCGTTTACCACGAGTTGATCCTAACAAGCAAGGAGTACATGTCCACCGTGACGGCAGTCGACCCTCACGTAAGTCTCCTTTCCCCTATGTCCCCTTCCCACCAGAACCAACCCAACCGAAACTAACCATCTTTTGAACCAGTGGCTCGCCGAACTAGGAGGCGTTTTCTACTCCGTCAAGGAAAAAGGTTACTCGCAGCGGGAGCGCCGTGTCACCGAACTAGAATTCAACCGACGCATGGAAATCGAAACGCAGATGGCCGCGGACCGCGAACGTGCCGCCGCAGACAAGCGACGCGAAGAAGAGCAGAACGACCCGTCTCGCCGCAGGAAGGAGATCGAAGTAGGCGGCAGCAGTAGCAGTACTGGTTGCAGTCGTTCCGCTGTGCGACGTCCTGTCGTTGCCAAGCGGGGAGGCGGTGTCACGGCGTCGTCGTCACGGAATGGTGTTACTGGAGGTGGTGGAAGCGTGGTCAAGAAGCCGCAGATCAAGAGGAAACCTGGTCGTGCGTTCTAGACTTGAGGATGTCTATATTTGTACAAATCTTATCATCTAGTCTTTGAGCTATAGATTATATACCCCGTGGTTTGCATTCGTGATTGGAGAATGATAGAAATTGGATAGTCGAAATGGGCGTCTAATATTCCAAACTCTGTCTTCCAATGCCTCTGAAAGGATACAACTCTTCTTATAGAGGATATATTATGCCCTGTAGCAACGCTTAAAAACCACTATACGACTCGGAAGCAACCAGCACAACCTCGCGTGTGTATTCAAACCAATCCCGAAGTATACCAATCCAATGATGTATAGGTGGATGTTAAATGCTAATATTTCAATTCAACGACAATCGTCCTCAAGACGACATCAAACATACAGATAGGTATTCGACCACAGACCAGACAGACCAGGACCGACGCTCGATTCAGCTTTCCAGGACGAGGAAACAGCCCAATCCATCACATAACCACACTCCACGACACAAACACCCCCCCAACCTCTTTCAACCCATCTAGTTGATGAAATTGATACAGAAAAAGTGCAGAATCAAGCTCCCGAAGATATAATCCGCAAAGGCCCTACCGACCAAGAGAACCCGTTAGCATAACGAACAACATAAAACAAAAGCAATATACGCCCACAAGGCGGCGAAAGAAAAGGAAGGGGAGAAAAACAAAAGGAATCTCAAAACATACCGTTCATGAGAAATACCCCCCTCCGCAACACCGGCCACGTTCTTCACATTCTTGCCCTTGAACGCCGTCGCGCTCTTGCTTGTATCTTCGGAACTTGTCTGCATGCGCAAGCTGGCCGTTAGGACGAATTGGCCGACGGCGGCGCAGAAGCCGCTGAGGAAGGCGTTGAAGGGCTGTTTTTTGGTTATCTGTTAGTATTTGGTTCACATCCTCAAGTTGTTTGGGTTGTAGGTTCGATCTCATTCTCGATCATCCCGTTGGAGATGGATGGGAAGGTAGGTAAGTAGGTAGATGAGCACGTACATAGTTTCCAGCCAGAACACAGTACACGAATTGAATCACACCGATCAGGACGAGGAAGGCCATGAAGGCGTCGAGAAGGAGGGTGCGCTGCGGCGTTGTCGCGACATACTGTTGCCAGACGTGGTGGGCGATGTCGATGACGGAGGAGTTGCTGGTGAGGGTCTTGGGGCCGGAGGAGAGGGAGGTCGGCGTGGTAGGGGTGGCCGGGGAGCGTTTTTGCGGCATGGTGATGACGAACACTGAGATTCGACCGGGGAAGGTCAATTGATGGCGAGGGAGCGACGGGAGTGCTTGTGTTTGGTCGGAGATGGCGGGTGAAGGTGCGGAGAGGATGAAGCTACTGTGTACTCTGCCGCGGAGGTTGGTCACGTGATGGGCGTGGGATCGCAAGGTTTCCTGCCAAAATGTCTGTATTGTCCTACAGATTCAAACGAAAATGATATTTGGGGAATGTATTCATATATTTCCAAGATTATAGTACAGGAGTTGACTCGTTCGCAGCCATGCTATTGTGCCAATATCTCCTAAACCATGCTGCTATATAAGTAGGTCACAACGCACAAGTAACCCATGTATCGTACATCATACTTCGTAAATAGTGGAGAGTTGTCCGTGTGAGAGGAGTGTCGTTTTTTTAAAAGAGAGGGGTGTCAAGTAGTCCAAAACTAGCTCCGGGGAATCATGAATATATGCAATTATACAACGTTGTGCGAAAGATGGCCGCCAGGGCATCTTGGTGCCGGTGTTACCGGCGAGCGAAAAGAAACAAGTCAAATCAAACCAATCACATAAACCAGTCAGACACATTGGCCGAAAAGTTGCCGGTAGGGTTTGTTGTATGTGCCTGTTGCAGATCCATGTGGAAGTCGCGCATAACTTGATCCCACTCATCCCAGTTCAGCTGTGGCGAAGACAGGTCTCCTTGTGGCGCCAATGGTACCACGGGAGATTGGTTTGGAAGAGTCATCGTCGGATCAGGATTCGGGTTCGGGTTATATGATAGCGACTGCTCCGAAGGACTCTGAGAAGTAGGAACAGCAAACCAGTCCACGCCTGGAAACATGCCATTGATGGCCTCCAAAGGCCCGCTACGGAGATCAATAGTAGGTTCCTGGTCGGGTTGGCTATTGGTGTCCATTCCATACAGAGCTTCAAGCTCCGACAGTTGAGGCAAGACGGGCGGAGGTACGATTTGTGGTCCTTTAGAGAAGGTGCGTGGCGCGGCAGTATTTGAGGCGCTTGGGTAGGGATCGCCACGAAGCCGCATCTCCTCCTTTTTCTTCTCGCGGCAAGCACTCGCTCGCTTCATCAGCCGAGCCAGAGGGCGCCACAGCATTCCTTTTCTTTGTTTTGCGGTGCGCATCCAGTCACCGTAGAGCGAACTGACCGCGTTCCATGCCCGGTCTGTTAGAGGATTGATGGGGCGAACGCAGAGCTCCGACAGAACAAAAGCAATGGATTGCCATTGCATGTTGGTCGCAAATAGCCAATTCCACTTGTGAGTGTTTTGGTCTGCCGCCAAAAGACGAGAAAATTCGGCCACCTGAACCGAGGTAACGAACAAGCTCTCACGGGAGTCATTGGTCAGGTTGATCCCTTGATATGGTCTTGTCATTGGATGATGAACCACCAGCCAGAGCTTCGTCAGGATGAGACGCCCAACTGTCGCACAGACCCATTGAATCGGCACGCTCGTATCACAGTGTTTCAGGTATTGTTCCTCAATGCGGTCATTGACGGCCTTGATCAATTTCCCACATTTTTCGGGGGAGGGCTGTCGAGGTGGTCCCGGGAAGTTGTTATTCGGGCAGGCATAGCTCACTCGTCGAAGGGCGACGGTGATGTCACATCGGATCAAGCAGAAACTCATGTCGGTATAGCCGATTCTCTCTTTGGGCGGTTCCAGCATACCGGGAGTGATGTCTTCATCGTTGATGTTCAAGGGGAGTCGAGTATCGTAGATCCTCTCATGAATCTGAGCATCCGTTCCATGGTCCTCGGATGAGCGAATATCCAGTAAGCAGATATGCCACCAGAGTCGCCGCCGCATCTCAGTATCGAAGGGCTTCAGCCCAAAGTTAGTGCCGTCTCGGTGAATGCCCAGTCCTTGCGCAAGACGAAGAACAAGAGCAGTCAGAGACCATACGAATTTGGTGTCATCCTCTCGACGGACGGCGATCAAAAAGATCACAGCAGCTTGTAAAACCATGATGTGTTGGGTATTTAGGAAGTTCGCTTTTGCGAGAGCCTGTTCCACCGCGAATCGATAACGGCCCACGAGGACCTCTCGCTCTTCGCCAAATTTAGCCCGACACTCTTCGGTGGAAAGACTGACAATCGAGACAAAGTACATGGCAAGTATTAGCGCCTCGGAGTTTTTGTCCATCGACTCTGGTTTCCGAGCTGCATTGGCGAATAGCTGCTTGACCGTAGGTTTATGCATGATAGGAACCAGTGGCGCAACGTTCTCTGAATAAATATCCCACAGCATCGAGACCTTTGCAGGCGGAGGGTGGAAGCTGCGTAGAGATTGCGAAAGGGAATAGAAACCGAACAAGAAGCCTTCATGGTTGCCGGACAGCGTCGACGACGACTCTGGTGATGGATAGTCTTCTTCGTCCGAAGACGACGGGTCGAGAATATCCTGCAATTCCTCCACCTAATATCATGTCAGCATGTGCGATGCGATCCGATCGACAGACAACGCTAATCCGATAGCTCCGTAGAAAAACCCACCTCGTCTCCAAGACTTGCCCACAGTCGATTGCTCACGTATCGACTACGCCCTTCTTCAATCACCAATCGACCGAACTCGTGCTCTAGATTTCGCGTTTTGGGAGGTTCCCGAGGGTCCATATTGGCGAACGGGCAGTTTTCGCTATCCGCAGAGTGAGACGGATCGGCAGGGGCGGGCTCCTTTTGTTGCGGTGGGGAAGGCGTAGTAAGAGCGCCTGCATTCTTTTCACTCAGATGCTCAATGACGCCCTCGAGGCGCTTCAAGCGCGACAGCAGTTCCGCATCCTGCGGTCGCTTCGACTTGCGCGGCGCGCGGCCGGGTGGAGGAAAGATGCATTCGATGCCGGCCCGCGTGCAATTCGAACATGGACATCGCTTGTTGCAACGGACTTTCCTTCGACGACAGGTCACACAGCTTCGCAGACCCTGAGAATCTGGCAAGCTGTGTGCGACAGAGGTCGAGGCATTCTCGGGGCCCTCTGCGGCGGGGAATGACGACAAGGGGGCGGTGGGATTGTTCATCGGCGGGGTGGGTTCCGTGGGGAAGGACATGATATAGAGATAACGTGCACACCCCTTCTACATTCTTTTCATGCGTTCGGAAGGAGATTCCGCAGAGTAGGAGAGCACAGCAAAGGAGCAGAAAGAATGAGAGGGGAAAGATCAGATAGGGAAAAAACACATGGAGATTGTCAGCGTCAGGCAAAAAACGATGGATCGTCAGTCATCGACTCATAGTGGGTCTGGGCCTGCCGTCGACGCTTGGCGGTCTCGTATTCTTACTAATGTGTTATTGCTTGTCCCTTGTTCCATGGAGCGACCGTGGAAGCATGTGGTAGTTATACACTAGGTATAGCTTCATTGTCACTGCCTCCTATTCTGGAAGGCTGAGTGCTACTCACCTATGTAAGGCAGAGTCAGGGTCTATGGAGGACTCCGCTGGAGACGCTCAGGTACCGCTATACTGGATCCGGTAATTGCTAGAATTTCGTCTGTCTAATGTAGAAACTAGACGTTTATACTTTCCTCCCATATGATGCCGGTCGATAATTGATATTGATATGCCTCGGGGAGAACAGGATGCTTCGTGACGTCACTGTGTCTTGCAGTGAGTCAACGGTGAGACACGTGATCCGCATGTGTTGCTCGAGTCTCACTTCTCTATACTCTATAGAATAGTCAATCCGGATGTTGGGACGGAAGGCATTGTCAAACCGCCCCCAAGTCCCAAATCCAACAAGTTAACAACGTTGCAACTCTCGTCAAGCTTTGACGTAGCGCCGTCAGCACTAATCGATCATCCCGATACTGATACTTTGCTGCCTAATCCGGGCTATGCTGCTCCCGCCGCTCAATTAGGATAGGACTCGACAATAAACAGTGAACACCCAAGTCTCTTAAATATCCATACATAAGAACTTGTCGACCTGTTCAAGAACCATATATATATACATGTATTTCGCTCTCCGGAGAGAAAATCTAGTATTGACACGCCCTCCAATCCAACCAGATTTTGAACCACAGAAATAGAGAAAATGAAAAGAAAAACCAAGATTAGACGACCGAGACAAAAGACGAGAAAAATATATTCCAAAAATGAAATGCCAATCACAACCAATATCCGGGTGGTGATGCTGAGCAGATTCAAAACAAACGCCTGGTATATGCAAGAGATGTTGCTAGATCCAATCCTGGCTCACATCATTATTATCATGAGTGTAGGTAAAGAGACCTGAGAGTTATATATAGTTCAGGACGCGACGGGAAGTAAGGGGTTGTCGCACACAATCATCTGAGTCGGGGACCGAGGGGGGAGGTTCGAACGGGCATGCCAGCCTTCCGTTGCGGGACCGAGTCTCTCTTGGATTTTTTCTCCCTAAAGCGTGGTGTGAGCAAGACAACCACCTCGGAATGCTAGGAACGGGCACTTACTCGTTTTTATCCCACACCAGCGTCTCTTCATTAAAAGTGTGACTGTAAGAAATGACATTAGCGATTGCGACCCCAACCGGTCGGACGAGGGGCCAGAACATACCCTTGAAAGTTGGTGACCGTCAGCGCCTTGTTGCCATACTCCTCGACAAGCAGTTTGGTGTAGTCGTAGGGGATCTTGACGGGGAAGTCCTCGAAATGGCTGTTGCGGAGAGGGAAGATCTCGTTTTCCTGGACCGGGAAGTCAGCGCGCCTGCTGTGCGACATGGGCGCCAGCCACTTACGTCGAAGCGATGGCCGTCCTTGCACATCAAAGCCGTCACGTCGCCCTTCTCCACGGCGGCATCATCCTTGCGCACTGCCGTGATGTCGATGAAGAGGCCGGAAGACATGTCGATCCATCGCGCGTCGATCACGTTCGCCTTGTCGTTGGTCGACCGGATGACGTAGAACGGGTTGATTTCGAGTAGATAAGATCGTCCGCCCTCGACGCCGGGGATGTCGAAATGATGCTCGGTCATGTTATAGTACTGGTCAAGGAAGCGGATCGTAGGTTCCGTGACCTGAACGTCGATGTCGTTGTCCCACGGGAAGATCTAGGCAACCGTCAGCGGACAACACGTTGTGCATCCCATGGCGCTTGGCAAGCTCAACCTTTTGGTTCCACCACCACGCCAGCATTGTGCCGTGCATTATCCATGTTTCTGCTCCCAGATCGGCCATGGTTGACAGGTATGTTCGGATGAGCTCCGACAGATGAGGGATGGTTTCCTCCGGGGGAAGAGTCTCGTTCGCAAACCTTGGATCCTCGTTAGCGATCAAACTCAACCGCCACCACTGAACCGGTTTATCGGAAGCGAGGGAGAAAAAAACCTACCGTCCATCGTAGTGATAATGGAAACTACCAGGAGTGAAGGTTAGTAGAAGAGACAGGACAGAATGACAGCGTCGCGGTGTTGGCAAACGTACCTAGATTCCCCTAAAAACTGGTTAGAATCCGAACTCATCAAAACGGCGTGCCGGGATGGAAGCACTCACGGAAGTATTTCTTATTGGGGATGTCACCCCCTTGGCCGGTATAATCTTTCACCACCTCATTCCTCACGTCCTGGAAAGTGACATCGGCACTCGTGGTAGGTTGGGCGACGGCGAACAGCAACGTGCTGACGGAAAGGAGGATTCGGGACGGCGACGTCCACATTGCGGCGGATAAACGGTATAATGTGCTATTTTATCTTGATTAATCTTCCGTGGTCCAGTTCAACGACTCGGCGATCGCATGCTCCGACTCGAGGTTACACAAGAAAGCAAATAGAGCCGGTGGTGGTGGTACGTGACCGGACAGGGCGGAAGCCAGGCAAGGATGGTGAATGCGCCCACCAGGGAATGAATGGAAGGGAGAAGATCAATAATGGGAGACCGGGGAGAATTACGGAGTATGGGCAGGCGTCGGAGGGTCAGAGCGCCAAAGAATAGAATTTCCAATAGAACCAAGTTAAGAGAAACAAAAAGGAGGGCGTATATATAAAGGGGGGAAGAACAATTCTCCAAGAATGGAGGAGTTCAATGCAGAAGGGTGGAAGTAGGGAAGGGACAACAATTTGCAAAAGGATGCAGATTAGAGAGAGAGAGAGAGAGGAGAGAAAGACAGACGGGGATCGGCAGCGACAGGCGGTTCCAGGAGACACACGACTTTTTCAATTTATTTTATTATTGTCGCGTGCTCAGTTACCGCCAGCCTGTAAGTTGGTGGCAAGCGGCCACTGACGACCAGCCTTGTGGGCCTTGGCAGGGAGTTTTCGGTGCCGATCGGGGCGACATTCACTGCCAGTTCTCACTGCACACTGCAGTGACTGCACACTCTCTGAATGCAGCTTTGTTGCTGACGATACCCTGCCCTCATCCGTCCGTCCCTCGACACGGACCCTTCGAACCGGGAAAAAAACGAGGCTATTCCAACCCCCGTGAGGATACGGCTACGACATAGATGATACTAGGGATGTACTGTACTCCGTAGAAGTTCCTGATCCCAAGATTTCGATTTTATAACTGCTCCGTACAGCCCCAGGAGAACAATAACCATCGTCCTGGTTTATCAACGTGATACTCGAACTAGTCCAGCACGGCCACCGAAATCGACTTTGGCAAGGAAGAAATGGAGTTGGGGGCCGCGTCATAAACCACCACTTAGCGGTTCATAAAGGGGCCAAGCCCCCAATCACCGTGGCCATGTCTCAGCAGATAATCTCATAATAGATGAGATACGGCCTCCAATGTACCACCTTGGACCCGGCCCTCCTGCAACGCGCAACCGTGCAGACGGTGTAGTACTCCGTGCATATTCTTCCGGACGCTCTGTCCCTGGCGCAGAACCATTGAGCAATCCGGACATCGGTATGCCCTGTACCTACGGGAGTAACGGATGCTCCAGGACTGAAGTGGGGACTGGGGTGGACTCCACTAGGCAAAGATTAAAAAAAAAAAAAAAAAAAAAAAAAAGAGGAACGGAAAAAAAGTTTCTAATCAGACCAAGCTAATAATCAGCGGGTTGATTCTCGTTTCAGACCGTCAGCATTCAGGGCAGATCGTTCGTATTCCAAGATCCACTGAAAATCAGCTTTCAGGAGACCCGACGGAGACGGACAGGCTGGATCGTCCACCGGTGCAAATCCCAAACTTATGTAGGATTGTAGGTAGGGTTCTACTAGGGCAACGGTCAGGAAAAGGCAAGGTGACATTCAGATTGCAGAGTAACTTGCGATCTGCCCTGGACTTTTTAGTCCCATTCGGATGCCGGAATTGTCGATTCCCACGTCTAGCGAGGCAGTCATTGACATCATGTCCATGGCTATCTGATTTTGACGATCTAACCATAACCATATATTTCAGTACTAAGTAGTTAACTGAAGGGTGTGATTGACGCAAAAGAGTGAGATCTCCTCATTCCAGGTTTCCAGCCCCTGCGTGCTTGTTCCAGTGTACTGCCCAGCACCGCATCTCGAGTCTCAACCGTTAGAGGCGGTACTAATCTTGTCCTCCGTAATCTGGTTGGACTGAGTCTGCGGATTCGCTAGCGATCGACCTAGATCTATTATCTGACGTGCCCTGTGCTAATAAGATAATAATAAGATCTCATCGGAGTAAAGCCGATATCCAAGAAGATGGTTGTTGCGGTAACGGACACGTGCCCATCGTTACCCCAACGCCAGAGACAACATTCCCTGGAGTGGCTTGGAGTGTCTGAGACTTTGGAGCTTGGAGTTTTTGACTTCCTGATACGAATTGCCCGGTCTTTATTTCCGACCGGATTCGGTTAAGTCCCCTCTCCCGAAGTCTGTGCCCAAAGACGATTGACAAGAACGCCATGATTGACTGGAAAACTGGCAAAGGGCGCCCTACTATCAAGCCACAAGCATTCTGGCCAAATAAACCTCATGATGAAAATTTTCCACTTATGTCCCGGTCTACGCTCTCTTTACTGATCTTGCAACGTTGTTGACATCCTGCACATCCAGGACCACCGGTGTTCCCAGAGTTCATTTCTCATAACATTTGAAAGCGCTCTAAATTCAATACTTACTTCAACTCACTAAATGCGCTTATACATGACAGTGCCGCACTCCGTATCCAGGAGCCTAGCCCATGCACCCAACTCACTAGACCCTTGCAGAAGATTCATTAGACAACATGAATCACGAAGATTGCACCTTTCCCGAGACATTACTCTTCGGGAACTGCATACCAAAAATGTTTCTCGTGTTAACCTGCTCGCTTAGACAGAAACGGGAAGGTTTCCAAAATGCCCCGGCGGGCCGCTTAGGAAGGACATTCAATGCAAGCCACCAGACTCTCTGACACTCTGCCCCCTTGGATCTACATTCTTTTCTTAGAATAACAATCAGTCTTGCAAGATCTACCACGTGTTGCGTGCATGACTGTTGGGGCGGTTTTCTGTTCTACAGTTCCACTACTGACTGCAGTTCTACCAGCGACCATCATCGGCCGACGCCCTTTTGGCCCCTCCCTTCCCCTCCCTCAAGCCATGTCTGGCGCAATACCGTTGTCTTGAGCCGTCGAGATGGTCGCCACTAGGTGCAGGGCACTAGAGACACCGTCGGTTACAAAAGTGCGGTGGCACAGGTATCACCCCGGTAGGGTTTGATCAGTGCATGGCTCCGCTCGATGTCTATTAGACTAGTACGGCGTAGTGGTCTATCAGGAACGGTACAGGGATTAGCCGGGGCTCTCCAGGGCCACGTGGGAGGTGCTAAACCAAGCTTACTTTGTCACTCTCACTCCTCGCCTCGAGGATCAGACAAGATATGCAGATGGTTCTATTTCCAGCCACGGGGGCGTCGGACCCCTGTTAGTATGGATGTGTTCAGTTCCGCTATCATCGGGGTCGACTAGCATGCCTGTTTACGCTTACCGGTTTCTACGAAGACATGGTCCATGATTAGCGAGTTCGCTACGGAATGAAGTTTGCAGAGTCAGGTCTGTTCTATCGTGTCAACGGCCCAGTATCCATGCCAGCCCCTGCCTGAGCTAAATGAAGTTCAACGAGCGGAAATATTCCGTGCTCCGGCCGAAACGGAAGGATTCAACTGAGGGAAAAGTTGACAATCGGTACATGTGCCGAGAGCGCTGTCAACATGTCCAACAAATCAAAATGAACCTGAATAGGAAGGTGGTACAAATGCCCGAGAGGCAAAGAGGCAAAGATCTGTCCGCTGTCAGTGTCAGTCAGTCGGATCATGAACAGGGCAGGACCTTCTGGTTTCAAGTAGCGTGCGGAGTACGGAGTAGGAGTACTTGGATTCTTGAAGGCCAAGACGATCTTCATCTCCTTCATCCGATGACTGCGATGGACCATAGCACTCCGTAGTACTAGTAGGCTGGTACTAGTAGCATGAACTACTGAGGACTCCGTATGAAGAGGCGTTCAGCCAGGGGGATCTTGGGAATTTCCCGAAGCGGCAATCGATGTTCCAACGGGCCGCAGGGTCGATGCGCCGAGTGGGGATGCCTCGTCGCCTGATTCGTCAGGTTTCGGTCAGTTATCGAAGTTCTCTTTGATGATTTTTGATTTTGCTCTTCGGATTCCTCGAGTTCTCGTGGATTGACGTTCCTGTGGGGGGTTCTCCGGCTCATCTCTCTTTTGGCCCCATGTACTCTGGAGTCACAAACTGATGCTTTGGATAGGAAAAGGGAAATGATGAATGGTACTTCCTGAACACCAATCGGAAACCCATCTCCGCCGAGGTCCACGTTTTTACGCAGTAGTAATCAACAGATGAACTCGGGGCTGGAGGATTGCCAATTAAAGACGATATCTGCGCATATTATTTCCTACTGTCCAGCAGGCATCAACGAAGAAAAAGGCGCCGTCCAAAGGCTATTAGATTGACCCCGTCGACCCATGTGGCCGGGAAGCTCACATGACCCACCACTCCTCCAGGTTGAAACCGGCCCGGCTTGGTTAGTTAGTATTATTTTTATTTTGTTCTTCGGCTTCTGCTTTGTGCTTCTCCTTCCTCGCATTCTCATCCTTCTCTCCGTCATGGCGTGTTTTGACGTCTGCAGCGCCTGGAAAGTGGAGATCTCATTGGACTCTGGTCTGCGAACCTGCATCAGGGATTGACCTCGCTTCTCTTTCTTCTCGATTTTATTATAATTTATTATTAGCATCCTCATTCTGCACGCCCGACAGATCACTACGGAGTACGGATTCGCCATCTCCTGAGATTTTTGGGGTCTGGTTTCATCTCTCTCCATCGCATGCTTTTCTTCTCTTCTTTATTGTGCCTGTCACCCGTGTTAGCAATGGCATCCATAAAGCGTGTTTATTTCTCCATTTAACTTCGACCCCTTCGCGGTGGGTCTCTTCTCGGCTCGCGGGAGATGAAGTTTTGCTTTCTGCACACCTTATAGCCTTCTTTGTCAGCTCTCGTTTTGAGTTTTCATTTCGTTAGACTTCTGTTTTTGCTCTTGGTCCCGTTGTTCCTTGGTTTCCTATTCCACCGGTTCCTCTTTTTCTTTTTTTTCGGCGACAAGGCTGGAGGGAGACCATGTCGACCACGCCCGTCACCACAACTCCGAGTGACGCCGGTCCTGTCCAGCAAGCCGCTCCCACACAGCAACTGAATAGGTCTTGTGAATCATGTCGGAGTCTGAAAGTTCGCTGTCTGCCTGACCACACCTTCCCTAACCAATGTCAGCGATGCGTTAAAGCCAAGAGGGCTTGTGTCTTCGTGGCTCCGCAGCGACGGCGACCGCGCAAGCGAACTGACTCGCGGGTGGCTCAGCTGGAAAGAGAAATGCGCCAGATGCGCTCCCTCCTCAAGGACCGCATCATAATCGACGAAAGTAGCACGGAAAGCACTGGGAGTGAAAGAGAGGACTCGTTTGAACCAGACTTCGGGACTGACCCGAAAGAGACCTTACCGACCATCCTAGACGCGCCAAGCAGCACCTCAGAATCTCTTCGACGTATGGAAGCTTCGCCCGGCTTTGGCTCGTCCACATCGTATCCACATACTCTTGAAGATGGCTCAATCCCTCCTGCCTCTTTCAATCCAGCCCAGGCCAGACATTCTCCGGAATTGGCCGTCGGGGAAGATGTTGTCGATCGGGGCGTGATCAGCCTGGACTATGCCAACGAATTGGTGGCATTTTATATGACAGATCTAACTGGGTTTTCTCCAATGGTCACTTTGCCGGGCGATACGACAGCCGCCCAACTGCGTCGCTCGAAACCCGTGCTTTTTCTGTCGGTGATTGCGGCAGCCGCTCTTGCCGTGGACGAGGGCCTAGCAGCCATCCTCAACCGCGAGTTGGTTCGACTTTATGCGGAGCGCTTTTTCATGAACGGCGACAAGTCCTTGGAACTGGTTCAAGCTTTGCTGCTCATGATCATCTTTTATTATCCACCTGATTCGCCTTCAAAACTGCAGCATTATCAGTATACCCATATCGCCGCCACGATGGCCTTGGAGATCGGGTTAGCCTCTAAGCGGAGGGTACTCAATGGCACGGACCGCAAATCAAGCAGGCAGGGTGTGTACGACCAACACATGGCTGAGCAAGCCAGAGCGATACTGGGGTGTTACCACTTAGCATCAACGTAAGCATTAGGACTTTGTGCAGCAAGAAAGATGGCGTCTGACATATCACAGAGTCGCAATGAAAACACGCCGGCCCAATCTGCTTCTTTATAATGACTGGATGGAGGAATGTGTAAAACACCTCGAGAATTCACCGAATATGCTCGATAAGCATATGGCGACGTGGTTTGAGCTGCAAAGAATCGTTGACGAGGCGATGGCTTCTTTCGGCCTGGATGATACCAGTTCCACTACTCCTTTGACGGAGTCGCGGATTCAAGCCATACTGAGGTGGTTTGATAGCCGGATGCAGTCCTGGATGAAGAATGTCCCCTCAGAGTTGCTCACTGGTCAGTGCCTTTGCTGCCTGGAGAATTGGATCTTGAAATATCAAGCAAACAGTCGCTAAATCTCTCTCAACAGTGCCGATGACCTTCGAATACCACTATACCAACCTTGCCATATATGAACTAGCCGTCGGAGAAGGGTATCGAGACCCCGATGCGATCAAGCGACAATATTACACACTTCCCAGACCGGAAGACGGAGGCAACGAACGGTACCAAACCCCACTGAGCGCCGTGCGAGTAGATGTCACAATCAAATGGATGAATGCGGCCCAGGAAACTCTCGATACCTTCCTCAAATGTGACACAGAAGTTATGCGATCGATCCCCAGCCTTGTCTATACCCGGGTCGGCACGGCCATGATGTCTCTTCTCAAAATCTTTTTTTCGGTCAGGTCAGGGGGGTTGGGGGAGTTTATCACGCCCCAAGCAATCAAACTGGAGATGTACTTGGACGCCATGACCAATAGCCTGACCGAAGCCAGTGGCGGGGGAAAGTACAGGATTCCCAGTCGATGGTTGTATGTCATTGCGATCAAAGCCCGAAATTGGTACGATCGGTTCCAACAACGGCAAATGCAGAAAGAGACGGGGCTTGTTCCCTCGATCAACACCAGTCCATCGACATCACAAGCTCCGGCATCCTTTGCAAACCCTCCAGGGTACGACCCTGCCTCTGCCCTCCCACAGCAGCCGGTTGGAACGTATGGAGTGAGCGTGGATATGTCGCAAGTGTCGGCGTATCAACCGATGGGTGGAAGCTATGGAACGCCTCCAGGAATGACCCCGACGTGGTCATCGGATCAGGGGACAAATCACCTCAATTTCTCCGGTGTGAATCAGTTCTCAACGTATCCTCCAGCCATGGTGCCGTCACAGTATGTATATGAGGCGCCCCAGCAGAGGGTTATCCCGGGCGGCGCACTACATAGTGGCACGCCGATACCTCCAAATCACAGCATGGAAGTCGAAGGTTGGGTCCCGGATAGGAGCATTGTGGGCATGCCTAGCCTGCCGGAATTCTGAATAAGAAGCATCATCTATACCCATTGTGTTGAAGCGTTTTGCCTGTAAATAGTATAGATTGACCAGGGATGATCTTGGTCAGTAAAAATCAAAATAATTGCCCACACAACAGGTAGCCATGACTTTTCACAAAGCACCAAGGGTCAAAAGAGAGAGCGAGAAGAGATGGAAAGGGAAAAAAAAAACATCAATAAACCAGATACCGAAAGAGCAGATGCCGAAGACAATTTAAAGTAAAAAACTGGAACCAGGAAAAACTTCGGCAGAACTGGCAAACCGGGGCATCGGCCGCTTCGAAACCTCCGAGCCAACCGAACGGGGAATCTCGTCACCATTTCTATTATTTCCACTTTTCTGCAGTCGATCACGGACATGCAACGTTCCATCGATCGTTTAGCCGACGGAACCAATAACTCGTCGCCGTGTGAGTTGTCCATTGTTGGATGTTATCCTGAGTGTCCTCCCGTGGGCCTGAGACATTGTTGGATTGATCGGTTGGTGATCTACCATCACCTGCCGTCTTTTTCTTAAGGGGTTTCGTGTGAAATGCTAAGGAGTGTTCAATTTCAAATGATATTTGATACTCTTTTTATCTCAATCGTCCCTTATTTTAACCTCGCGGCTTTATTTCCCCAATGGGGTATATCCCCAGGCTTCGTCAGCTCCACTTCGTCTAAATAGGTTGACCTTTTCTGGTGCAGTGGAATATTTATATGTACATTCATGTTTAGTCTAATTTTTTTTCTGATATAAATATTGAATAAGACCTGTTTTTCTTTAGGTATCTCTACTCCGTACATACATAATATGTGTAGTAATTTCAGGTGCCAGGGGGGTTCTGCCGAAGTGGAAGACAAATGACTGAATCTGGGTGACTGCAGAACAACTAGCGAAAGGGTCAAGAAAGGTCCTTTTATTTTCAATATTACGTGGTCTTTATGGCCGATCCCATAGAACCCTCCGCTTCGTATAGAGCTGCTCGGAACTTGCCCTTTAGCGAAGGTTTGGCGGATTGCTCAGAGCACCTGATTCTTCTACAATATGAAACTGGCTACTGGTGTACATATTCTTCAGATAGCAAGACGGGGTGGATTGATATTAAGGCTAGCTTCGTAATAACGATATAAGCTCTAAGAGCAGTACATTGCAATCAGATTCCTCAAGAATACTTGGATCGAACCTTTCCATAAGAGGTCCCGTTGAATTGAAGATCAAAGATTAGCGCAGCGGACGCAGGATTCAGCACAAGTGTAAGGTGGATTTCGTAATACTCGACCCCCTTTGAGTTGCACTTCTTCACAAATAAACGTCTAGGGATGCTAGTAAGATCCGCCTCCACGATACATAGCTCTCTGATACCTTTTTGGTGGTGAGTAAGAAAGGGAAAATGAGCCTTGGGTGCAGACTTACTGTTGTCTTCGACGTTTGGCGCCTCCACTGCATTGCAGCAGTAAAGAGTAACCTTATGGAGCAAGTGTCTTCTGGCGTCTTCAACGCGTCTCTTAAAATAGAAGTTTAAACTGATCGGCTGGTCCTCATACATTGGGAAGGACTAGGGTCCATATGATTAGCCGGGTGATGAAATGCGTGGGAAGGATCAAGCACCTTTTTGATGAACCAAGACATCTTGTCGGCTTTATAGGTTTCCTCCAGATAGTCCCAGTGTTTATTCATTTCTCCATGAATGGATTGCTTCCATGGTGTGGTGGATATCATGCCGTAGTGTTGACGAGCAATTCGGCTTTCGACTTGGTTGCCCTGTAATCCGCGATGCACAGCACCTCTTTGAAAACGGTTAGCAGGACCATTAGAATGTTCTAAGAAGGAGCTATGCCTACCTGACAACTGCAGACCAGCTGAATTACCCTATCAGTCAGTACTTTTCATAGCTCATAGCTCATACGCTGACGGAAACATACGCATCTTCTGGCTGCAAAATCTTCACTGTTGGGTTGCCTTCTTGCAACCGGCGGAAAAGGTAGTGTGAGGATCCGAAACCACCAACAAGGACAATGGCCTGCAATAGAATTAGCCGAAACGCTCTAAGGCTTTTTTTTTATTAAGGTGTGTGAGACCTTTGTCGAGCGTCCCAGTCGCTTAATATTCGCTACCTGCCCGGCAACAAGCTGTTCGACGTCCCGTACGATAGGCTCAAAAATGCTCTCGAGGTCATCACTAGAAGCGCTTCAGTATTCAGCCTCTCGGAGAATGCAGTGGACTCACGGGCTCAGCGGAAAGCACCCTCCTACAATCGGAGTTCTTGGATCGTCTTGCGCACCCGCGATCGGAATGAACTTATCGGTTTCGGCGTATTCATCCTCAATGCTTGTATCGGAGTGATTCAAGTTGAGCCCCAATAGTCTCGAAGCAATGGATACCTGGATGCAAGTAAGTCGCAGAATATCACATCAGGGATGAAGAGGCCAGCTGTGGCCTCTCTTGATCACTTACCTTCGTCTTCTTCCTCTGCCCTCCTGTGTAGTAGGGCTTCACTCGTTCCTGCCAGTAAGTCCGCACCGCATCCTTGGATACATTCGACAGCGAGTCATATTTCTTGGCCCCCATTCTACCACGAAGGAGGTCTTCAAATCGTTCATCTAAGAACATGGATCCACAAGCACGACCTGTTCCCTCGGTCACCTCCACGATCTCTAGGGGCACCAGGGTCTTGATCCGATATGAAATGAGGTCCTATTGAGGGGTTACTGCCTGTATCTCGCTCACTGATCCCACGTTAAGGAGGATACTTACCACTGTTCCTCCTCCGGCATCACAAACAATAAAAGTGTCATTTTCCTGCGACAGTCAGACTCTGGCTTCGTATGCATGCATGTATCATGATCCGGGACTAGTAAGAAACTCACAGAGAATGAACCTGGCAAAACCTTGCGCAACGCATGTAACGCCGCGGCTTCCGGCTCGGAAATCAGGGAAAGATCCTCCGGCGAAATGCCTGCTTGGATGGCAGCCCTCATTGTCGCATCTTTGGCCTTGTCAGACCACACGGCGGGGACGGTCAGAATGAATCGCAAATTCAGAGTAGATTTCTCAGGCATCAGGCGGTCTTTCTTCAACATCTCTTTCGCATGTTCAACGAGGCATTCCAAATAGTCTGCAGTGACTCCCACCGCATCTGTATTGTATATCTTCAGCAGCTTTCTCGAGGTCAACGAAGGTGCATAGTCAAGTTTCTGGTCTTCATCTAGCAGTAGCTTGACTCCTCGAAAGCCCTCGGCGCAAGAGTCAACCTGGTAACCCCAGCTTATGTAGTTGTCGTCATAAGCGACCACAGACGGGACTTTTGCATAGGTTCCTGCTGGGGAGTTAGCCGAATGCTGAACATTGATCAGGATGAACTCATAGCTGACGATTGCTTTTATCCTGCCATGTCGATAGGACCGTGATCTCCTCATCAAACCCCTGAGACCCCTCAAGTGCCCAGGCGACTCTAAGAACTAGTAAGTATTCAGCGACATCAATGATCGTGCTCTCACATACCCGCTATACGTAGTACCAAAATCGATACCAACAAGGTATGAAGGTCCGCTAGCCATGATGTAGACGTATCTGCTAATACAGAGCCAAAGTATTATCTATCGCTGTCGCTACTTTCTTCGGGTACCAAGTAGGAGGAAATAACGAAGTTTAAATATTGAATGAGCTATAAAATGATGGTTGATGAGATTTAACATGATGATTCATAGTGATCCTATTCTGACGGTGGCGGAGCATCATTCCTTCACTAGTACCTGTCATTCACCTCATCGAAACTCTTTTAAAACCTTGTCTAGATATTCCCTATCATTATTCATTCCCCTGTTTTTATTGCCCTGTATTCATTTCTCTGTGTTCATTCTTCATAATCCTTCAGAATGTGCGAGTGGCCGAACCCATGGTGGCCTAGTGCCCGCTATGAGCCCAGTAAGTTGATCCAGATGCTAGTCCCTTTTCTCTCTCTCTCTTCTAATTTTTATTAGTCCCAGAAGATGGCAACGAGGCACAAGATAGGATCATTGGTAAGAATATAGCGTTGGAAAAGGTACGTGGCGTCTGCTTTCTGCGATCCGGGGCATCTTAAGCTCAACGCACAAAAAGGAGAATCGAGATCTCAAGAAACAACTCGAAGCAACGAACAAGAGAATCGGGGAACTAGAGAAGACAGTCGTAAATCATTACAAGGGCGTCAAAATCCTCCGAAACAAGGCAGATCGCATGCATTTACTTGACTCCGAGAAGATCCGACGGCAGGATGAATTACTCTCCCAAGCAGACAAACGGGCTGAAGAGACCGAGAAAGCTCACCGTGAGACAGTAAACAAATTGTATAACGAGAACAATTCACTGCAGATCGGACCAGTGCAGATGAATGACGAGCAAATTACGGCAACGATGCGGAAACTCGGTCATGACTTGGACGCATGGGTCAAGTTGAATTTCGTATATCCCCCGACAGAGGAACCTAGCAACCAATTTCCGTGCAATTCTCTTCAGCTTCAGGCTTGGATCCAAGCAGATATCACGCAGAGGATCCACAACCGCATTTTTGCTCCGCACCATTTTGGAGTACGCAATAGCTACATGGGTTATGTGATTGAATCGTTGAAAGACGGCATCGAGAGTACCCGTATGATATGATTTCGGCTGAGTGTGCAGTACTCGTACTTGATCTTTCAGCATGCTAACCTACTGTTCCCCAGTTTCCGAAAAAAACTCTGAGAATATGGCAAGACGTAACTTGCGATTACCTCGAAAAATCCGTGAAGGGCAACCGAGAACAAGCAATGCGGAATATTATGTACCAGGTTGAAAAGCACTTTGGCAAGTTTGCATCCACGGATAAGAGACCACGACAGCATCGGTTCCAAGAGCTTTTGCAGGACTGCTCCGATTTGAAAACAGCTCTTAGCCGACAGCAAGCCCGGTATTTGTTCCACTGTAGCCCAATAGGCTCAGAGTTCTCGTCGAAATCCATGGCCTTTGGTGGAGGAGATGGTGAATTGGTGAACACAGTAAGGCGGTCCCTCTGGCCTGGTCTGGCAAAACGATGCCATGGTGGTACTGAGTGCCTTTTGGAGCCGGAGTTGGTGTGGACGATGGATTCGAGTTTGAGTGATATATCCTGAGGATATTATCTAATGGCAGAATGCTTAGAGAGGGAGAGGGTTGCGTTGTACCCGAATATCAGCTCCCTGATGGGGCTCTCCAGGGTCGCCAACAGCTACTAGAAAGGGAACCAACTGAAGTAGTAATGAAGTAGTAATGAGCTAGAAAAATGCCAAACAATCAAGGTCCTTAAGTCGCAATAAAAGCCCTGTATACAGACGTACCACTGCACCAGGGTCAACCCTTCTTAGCGAAGGGCTAGTCTATGCATATCCACACTGCCACACCCTTCAATCGCTTCACTTTATCCTCACGCTGCACACAGCAGCTCACACTGACAATTGTCGCCCGGTTTGGCCCTGTAGGTGGTGTTGTCATTCGATGCCTGTACTGTACGTCTCCTGTGGTGCCTCGACACCCGAGTGCCTGAGCGGATAGCAGAATTACTCACTTGAACTTCTAAGTCAATCAAATTGTTGGAACAATTAATCCCCATGCAAGTCCTACCTACGACAGATATACAACCGACTGGCTCGCGTAGCAGTACGAAGGTACCAACGAGGTGGGTACCGTGATCCAGACGGACATATACCAGGTCACCCCTCGCAACACCATCATCCACCACGCATCCACTGCACCCTCTCGGCCTCCAAACCTTCCCTGCATTTTATCGATGAATTCATCCAATGAATCAAGAAGAACGTGGCCATTCTCATGCCATTGATTGCAAGGACCTTCAAATCTGCCCTTCGTGTCTCGCGCCTTGCCCTGCCGGGTGTTCTCGATTGCTCGCGGCCACGCTTCAGCTGCCAGGTTGATATACTCTGCCACCAAGAACTTGAGATGCTCGGGTCTCTCTGAGAAATACTGAGTGGTGCGTGAATGCATCTCGTATAGACGCTGAATGTACCGTTGTTTCGCGGTGTTGATGTGCGAGGACGTCGCGTCTGTGCGTCCGGTCGATTGCTTGACGTAGGGATCGTTTTCCCATCGATCGAAAAAGTCGTCGGGGTAGTTGTCATGCAGCTCGGTAAGGTAATCGCATATCATAGATATGTTTGATCGTCCGCTAATTGGTATGTCCGCACTTTGTTGTTGCTGAACCATCTCTTTCAGCCGAAGGAGAAAAATCTCTCTTGTTTCCCAGAACAGAAACGACGAGCCAACCTGCGACGTGCGAATTGGATTCACAATCAGGTTGATGTCAGAGCCCGGTAGTGGAATAAATGGCGACACGAGTCCGACGAGGTCTCCGAGCGCGAAACTGGCCCGGGACTGCCATCCATTCACGATGCCTCTTTGCGAGTAGCCATCCGACAGTCGCGTCGCGATATTTTTGTCGACCCCGAACCGAATCAATGCTAATCTCAATAGGTGATGCGTTTCTGCATCGTCGGAGCCCGCCAGATGGAGGTTTGGCAGCCCTAACATCGGGTCTCCGACAAGAATCCCACAGGCCATCATATCCGATTCCTTCGTGGGCACGAGAGCGTCCTTCCCAGGAACCCACTCGAACGCTGGTTCGCCGCCGTTGATCTCGTGCATCTGGACGGCAGGCGCTTTTTTCTCGAAGCTATACTGGAACACCGGTCCCAGTCCCCGCAGAAGAGTTGCCGTCAAGCTATGTCCGTTTCCCTCGGCACGTAGGAAACCCTCGCTGAAACGAAGGTCCAGCCAGCGCATACCCATGCGATGCGCGATGACCACAATGTCCCCTAATGTGCTGGTCGCCAGCGGCCTCGTCACTTCAGGAATCATCAGATCCCACGACCTTTCCACGTACACGACACCCACGTCCCGCTCTACTGTGGACGGCGGCATCAAGGGCATTTCAAACGCCTGTTTCTCCGATCCGGGAGAACTACCTTCTAGCCTCCACCTCGCCTGCCGTTCATGAATCATACGAAGGAACAGAGTCCATGAAACCTGATCGCCGGGAGAAGTCGAAACCCAGCGGCGACGACGCGCACGCACCGCACAAAGTCTCTGTCGCCATCGTGCCGTCGGTCGATTGCAAACCTCGTGGTCACAGTTATGGATCGTCTGCTGCAGCTCCTTAGGTGGCGCTTTATCGTTAATGCCGACGATTCGGGGATCTTTGAATACATCGTCTGTGTCGTACGATACGATCAGCGGCGTGGTGTATTTGGTCTCGAACCGAAACTCGGACCAACGCCAGCTCAGGCGCGTCAGTCCCGACCAGGGACCTATGATGGATTCCTGACAGCGTCGGTAGCCGTCCGCAGTGCCGAAGAGTTGCTGCAGTAGCTGGACGGAGGCGATGAACAAAGCCACGATGGCTATGACAAGGGCCGCCAGGGAAGTGTGGGCCTCGTCTACCATTCCTACAAGTTCCGGGAGGAAAATGTCAAGAAAAAATTGCTTATCATAAACGGAAGAAGTTAAGAACTGGGTTATTGAGGGGGCTGTCAGCAAAGCCCATGGAGCTGAGATCGTCCTTCAGCTGATTGGTCCAGACACGGACGAGGCTGTACTAGTATAGATGTACTAGCAGCTCAAGATGTCACTACGTGCAAACGGTGCGATCCTCGGATTCCAACTTTGCATTGTAGACCTGTCCGTACATGGTATACCGTCCTACATTCTCTATGGATGAGTGGGAATCATTGCGGCTGTACAATCCGATCAGGACCCCCTCCTTCATCTCTCTCTTCCATTTTCTCTTTTGCCTCTGGGCTGGCTACTTATAATATCGATTCCTACTCGTCGATCCTTTGCTCTTTGTTCCTGTGTTGGGGGGCTTGCCGCTAGGTAAACCATACCCAAGCCACGTTCTGTCTCTTGACTCTTTCGTAGGTAACTGCTATTTCGATTCTCGATTTCGATTTCGTTTCCCTTTTCTCCCTTCACGAATTTGACTTCCAGTCAACTCCCTCTCCATCCACGCACCACTGCTATGGCTGCCGCAATCCTCAGTCTTGCCACCACGTACGGGGCTCGAGTGGCCCTGGCGGTGATCGTTATTATGATCGTGCCTTTTTTTTACGGGATGCTCAAAGTACGCCTGCTTTTCTATCGTTTGCGAAAGCAGGGCCTGGTATGTCATCCAGACGAGAACCCCCCTTAACGATGAACGAACTGGCTGACGGTAGCTTGCGCAGCCAGTGCCGAAGTGGGATTTCGCAGCAGGAAATCTGCGGATGCTCCCTGATCTTATGAAGCGACATCCCAAAGGGTCGCAGCAGTCGGAAGCTTTTACTTTATTGTCCTACGAGTTTCCCGACAACGATAATTGCTTCTACATTGATGTCTGGCCCTTCTCCCGAAAACCATTATTGGTGGTGACCTCGCCGGATCTAGCAGTGCAGGCCTCTCAAACATATGCGCTGCCAAAGCCGCCCGTCCTCGCCAAGTTCTTCAATCCCTTCACGGGAGGTCCCAGCATCTTCGTGACCAATGGCCCCGAATGGAAGCACGCCCGAGGACTGTTCAATCCCGCATTCAGCGCCAGTAACATTCTCCAGCATACTCCCCATATTGTCGAAGAGGCCGAAGAGTATGTGGAAATCCTTCGCGGACATGCACGCAAGGGAGACACTTTTACCCTCGACAAAATGACTTGTGACTACGTCATGGACATTATTGGATTCGTTGCCATGTGTGTTTATTCTACCAACCCGGGCCCTGAAGAATAAGACCTAACATGCTCATAACAGGAAAGCACATCTTCACTCTCAGCGTGGACATAATGCAGTAGCGGCGGCCATGAGAAGTTCGGTCGAGTGGCATTGCCAGGATGAGGAGATGAATCCGTTTATTCGATGGAATCCCATGCGACCGCTTATGCAGTGGTACAATGGACAGACGATGAACCGGTACATTGGGATCGAATTGGACAAGCGATACGAAGTATGGAGGCAGCGGGACTCTTCCACGCGGGCAAATTCCATCATCGATATTGTACTCGCGGAATTTATGAGCACGCGGACGGCTGGCGACAAGCTGGATCCCGATTTTAAAAAATGGGCGACTATCCAAATCCGAACCTTCCTGTTTGCTGGTCACGACTCCACGGCTGCGACGATTGTCTACAGTATTTACCTGTTGTCGAAGCACCCGGAGATACTGGCGAAGGTACGCAGCGAGCATGACGAGGTATTCGGGTCAGACATCACGGCTGCGGCAGGCTTGCTGAAGCAGCACCCAGAGCTAATCAACCGACTCCCGTATACACTCGCGGTGATCAAGGAGACGCTTCGTCTCTTTCCCGCTGCCTCCGCGTTGCGAGAGGGCCAGCCAGGGGTCTACCTGCAGGACAAGAATGGCACCAAGTACCCGACAGAAGACCTGTGCATCTGGATCATCCATACGGGCCTTCAACGTAACCCTAACTACTGGCCGGATCCACACGCCTTCAAACCGGAGCGCTGGCTGGTTGGACCAGAGCATCCGTTGTACCCTCCCAAAGGGGCCTGGCGGCCCTTCGAATTTGGTCCGCGAGACTGCATCGGTCAGCCGCTGGCCCTACTAGACGTCAAGATTACCCTCGTTCTCACTCTCCGGGAGTTCGATTTCCAGGACCGGTACGCAGAATGGGACCGTCAGCATCCCCGGCCGGGGCCCAAGACCGTCTTCGGCGAACGCGCCTACCAGATTCCACTGGGAGGCTCCCACCCAGCCGATGGCCTTCCGTGCCGGGTCACCTTTCGAAAGCAAACAAACCAGTAAGAATGAAAGAGAAGACGCTTACTGTGCCACCGCGAGATAAATAGACGACGACATTCACTTTTGGCTCGCCATCCAATGCATGTCGTATTATTTATGCTCAAATAAGAGCTAGGCCCATTCCAAAATGCCAAAGTACAAAGTGTCGTTCGCCATTCGACGTCGACAAGGTCTTAAATTCGAACTCCCCTATGCGCGTATTTTACGAGTCAGGGCGAAGTTGGGCTTTCAGCCCGTGTACCGCGAAGGGATAAGGCGAGAGGGCACTTGCATTAGTTCGTCTAGGATCAGCATGCTCGAGTTACCTGCTGCCAAGTCAAGCCACAGTGGAGGCGTAGGGAGCCTTGAGAGAAGAAACAAAGAAAGAACAGAATAGGGAGAGAAAGGGGAAGGAGGGTGAGGACTGAAGCCGCAGCGAAATTTGTCATTATTGTCTTATAGATAGGAAGCTTGCTCGCTCGTTACACATGTACATACCTACATCCTACTCGTGCCCTCCGCAAGTAACGAGACCCCACCTCGTCAAAAATGGCAGCCCCGACAGACGAGATCAAAGATCCTCTTGAGAAATGGCTTGCAGGAACAACGCGCCAGAAGAGCCAACGGCCCCTGCGAGGCGTCTCGTTTACCGATGTGGACGTGAACGGGTTCACTGAGCCCACCCTATTTCAGCATACGTTCGCTACATATATCCTATGTCTCCCAGTATTTATCAAGGCTCCATTGGGAATTAGCCAGCGGCAGAAGATCCAGATTCTGCGAAACTTGGATGGCGTGGTCCGTCCCGGAGAGATGCTCCTGGTGCTGGGACGCCCAGGAAGTGGCTGCACGACCTTTCTCAAGACAATTGCTGGTGATGTTTATGGGCTAGACATCGATGGAATCGACAGTTAAGTATCAAGGTGAGGAAGTCTTATGCCGTTCTCTCTCTCTCTCTCTCTCTCTCTTATGTTTTCCGTTTTGACAGGCGATGAAACAAACCTGACATCCATTACAGGGATTCCTTTCTCGGACATGCACCACAAATTCCGAGGGGACAGCATCTATCTAGCCAAAAATGACATCCATTTCCCTGGGCTGTCGTTGGAGGAAACGCTGTCCTTCGCGGCAGATATGAGACCTCATCAGATGAGTCGCAGCGAGATCGGTTTGGCGACAGCCAGTATCTTCGGGCTAGAGGGATCACTGCAGACACAGGTCGGCAATGACATTGTTCGAGGACTCAGTAGGGGCGAGAAACGACGAACGCGTATGGCAGAAGCCTTCCTTGGGAGATGATAACAGTACTCGGGGACTGGACAGTGTGACCGCCGTCAACTTCGCCCGGATTTTGGTTACCGCATTCTTGGTTATAGTTTTATCTTGGGCCTTTGCTGCTTTTTGTTAACCTAAGCTAAGCTTTCCGTCAGGACAGACCGAGAAGGCCACGATAGATGAAAGGGAAGTTTTACATCCCGACAATACATTTACTGCGACGGTGCCTATACCTCCCAACCCGATCATCTCTACTGGTTTCCAAAACCATACCTCCTTACGTACAATCGATAGTCCATACCTGTCTACTCCACTGGGTGACCGCTACAATGCCTATATGTTCTGCACTATCCCGTTCACCAGAAGCTCCCCGTCACTAGCAACTTCCTTGATCTGTGAGTACGCAGAATACGCCTGAATAAAAGCCTCCGCTGTCTGCAGCCCTCCCGTTATGACGTTAGAAACAGCCATAATGCCTATCGGAATTTGCTTCGAATTCGGATCCGGATCATTCACAGCCACCGCGTACGACACTCTCGAGACATACGCCGACAGATTCGACACCTCGCCCACGATCGAGGCAGATCTCACCGCTCCTTCTGGTTTCTTGCTCAGCTCATAAAAGTGCCACCCGGTGACGAACAGCCCCGGGATCACGAGGATCGAGTCGATAATGGCCGCAGTGGCCCGGCCGTCATTCAGTTTTAGTCCGGTGAATTTACTGGCCTTGGCGCCGATCTTGTTCTGTACAGGTCCGCTGAAGAACACCTTGTTCATGATTACAATCCCTCCGGTGACTTTCGATATCACGTCAACAGCAGTATTCTCGACTGGGTAGACAGGAGCAAGGAAGTCCCCGCCCACTTGCATCCCGGCGGCTATAATCCCTGATATTGCCGCGGGGATGGAGAATGGGTTGGTTCCTGTTGGGGATTCAGCTTCGAAGACATTCAGGAAGTTGCCGGAGAATGTGGTGAAGCCTGCAGTGGCGTGAGAGGCGATGAAAATCATCCCCTTGAGGCTCTTGGGTATTTCCTTGCCACTGGCCAATGCTTGGCTTCGCGATTGTTCGTCCTCCTGGATGATTTTGAGCAAGGCGTCCCAGGTAGGGGCAGAGATGATGGCCTTGATTCGGTCATTGTCAGGGAATGGCGGCTCGTTGTTGACGATCTTATATACCACCGTGTATCCGACGGCGGCAACCCACGTAAACAAGTCGAGGAAGGTAATATCGGGCACTTCTAGGAGATCCAGAATATCGGAGATGATTGGAACACGGATCCTGGTATCCAGGAGTTTCAGCGCCGACTTTGCAAGTGCTAAGAGAACGTCTACTAGGGCGTTGAAGACAACCTTAACCCCGGATAGAAGGCCGTTAGCCAAGATGGCAGCCACTGCTTTAATGTTCTCCCCAACAGGGTTGGACTGGAAATCTGTAGCCACCTTCTGCATTCTTCCGTAGACCCCTGAGAGCACATCACCCTTCTCCGAGATTGCGCCAAGTAAGGCGTCAAAGAGGGGCTGCATATTGTCCGTGAGAGAGAGTTCCTGGTTATCAAGGACTACTAGGGCGCCGGCATTATCCTGGAAGTGCTTTGCGAGCAGCAAGGAAGGCGAGTTTTGATCTTTGGCTGGGCTGACCGTGCTCTTTTTTGGTGGTATGGAGGCTTCGTGGCCGAGGGATTTCCAGTTTTCAATGCCTCCCCATTTGTCCAGGTTTTGCTCGGCTTCCAGGAAGTATTTACCAAAGTGGGCCTTCGCTGTCTCTAAGCCGTCCACCGCGTAGTGTTGAATGGCTAACTTTGTTACATTGTGTAGAACATTCTTGGTCCGGCGAATGTCATCCCATTCAAACAAGAACTCCACGAAGCGGATCAGATCCTTGATCGCGGTCTTGATAGTGTCAAACAGCCACTCGAATGCGCCAACCACCGCGTCAAAGGTGTTCAGAATCGCTCTGTATATCTTGTCGCCGATTTTAGCAACAAAGTGCCAAGCGTCAGAAAAGGCATCGTAGACGATGTTGACTAGGGCTTCCACGCCTGTTTTGAGCCAACGGAAAAGGTCTCCAGCCGCGATCGCTATATCGCCCAGCGAGGTACGATACAGGGTCGCCGGAACCACACGAGGGATACGGCCTCTATTCCGTCTGGGAGCCAACGCCATGGGCACCGGGAGCTTTTCAGGCACCTTCTTCAACTGTCCTAGGGCGGCCGCTAAGGCTTTGGAATCCTCCTGGCTGACTGCGCGCTTGACGAGCGGAATCCGGCTAACGTCACCCACCACTCCGCCGGCTTTGGTCTCAGCCGGGAAGGTTGCGTTCCGCAGCGCATCATTGGTGTCCAGGTTGGTTATTTTCTTGAACGTAGTATCCATGGGGTTGATGAATTTCGTCTCCGTCTTTCCCAAGACCGTTGCAGAGAGGGTCGCCGCGTGCAAGTCCTCCGTCGCTTCCATGATCATAATTGAGCCCATAGAGTCCGTAGCGATTTCCGTTGCGGTCGGGCCGAGGACGTAGTAGAGCCCGTTGATATACACAGCGGTCGGGGAATCGGCCTTGACGGAAACTTTGACATTACTCGAAGGCATGTCGTTGGCTTTGGGATCGCTCACCCTGATGGTTGTCGTATATGACTTCACCGGTAGTGGTTTGAGGCTGGGCGGAGCCTCGAGTTTGATCTCCTGGGGCCTCCATATCTTTGCCAGAGTGTTGGTGGCCTGTGTCAGCTTGACCAACCTTCCGCCTCCTGACGCGAAGATAGTGTTCTGCCCGTCTGCTCGGCTAACATAGGCAGAGAGCTTCTCGATTCGTTCAAGGACAGGAACCGGAGTGCTCCATGCGCTCGGGTCGGTGACCTTGGAGGTCAGGCACGACACGTAGTAGACTTGATTGTTCCCGTTCTTACCCCAGAGAGTTGTCACTCCATCGTGCGTCATCGCCTGCAATGTGGTTGTCCTCGAGAGGAAGTCATTCGTGATGATCGTTTTCGGAACAGCCCCTTCGTATTGCTCGTCGGCGCCAAAACGGTATAGAGTAGAGCCGCCAATTGCATACAGATCAGTGGTGGACAACAGGCTCCCGTTAGACTTGCTGTCGTATCGCGCCGTAGCAATCGCCGATGGAAGCGCACCCCCCTGGAGGCTGAGGCGAATAGGAAGAGGCGGTCCTTCGCCCCAGACGTTGACAATCGGGACATAGACCAGCTGAGGCATATCCGCGGTTCGACCAGACGTGTAGATTCCATCGACATAGCCTTTGGTTTTCCGACCGATGCAACTCTGATAAATTCCGCGTTCGATGTCGACAGGCACATCGTGTTTTACCCAGTAGCGTCCACCCGATTTTGTGGGATCGATATGGTAGCGTTGAATATTTTTCTTCGATTCCCTGCGAGTGGGCCGGTCAATGTCGACAATCAAGTATTGCTTCATGTCGGTGGTTTCAGCGAAGAAAATACCCGCGACCGTTATCGTTGCAGGTTGAACACCGACAGGGTCGAATGGAATGCGAGTCCAAGTTGGTTTCCCCGTCCACGATGTGTCTCGGCTGTCATTCTGCAGTGAGAGGAACAGAGTGTCGGTTCCCTGGGAAGATACCGCCATGGCCATGGAGATTCTTCCGTCCACCGCACTCTGGCCCACGCTGAACGTGCTGACAACGGGGTTATTCCCACGGAATTGGTCCTTGAGGATGCTGGAGGCAAGGTTTCGAACCCTCCATCCGGTTGCTGTTTCGCCGCTTTGCTCCATGATTACATTGAAGGCGTCCAACGTGTCAATGCAGAAGAGCAAGGAGAGCCCATTTGCAGTCTGCGCTGCCTCAAATTTCTCCATCGGAGACACGATCTGACCTCGTACATAATTCTGCATCAATTCGGAGGAATGATTGATAGAGAAATCCCAGGCCTTTGGATCAGGCCGATGCCGCCTAGGATCCACGTAGGTGATGGCAGACACTAGGTCCTGATGATCTGAGAATCTGGGATTCTTGTATGTAAACACACGGGAGCCAGGGAAAACAAAGTTATTCACCTCGCTGAAGGGCACCTCCTTCAGGTTGGTGTCGGCGATTTGACTGAGATCGCGCTTCATGTCTTTGACAAGATTGTTGATGCCGAAGAACCAATTCGAGATGGGACTCTTGCTGGGGTCCTCCGAGTCATCTGATTTCTGCGTGCCGTTCTTTATCATTTGCAGGCCTCCGTATTGATCCACGGAAATGGTGTATGTGTCTGTGACCGTCATTTTGTATGCGTTGATTCCTTCTCTGGATCCGAGGTAGTTGACATTGACATAGATGCATACATACTGCTCCACAACGATAGTGTTGCCTGTGAAGGTGACCTTAGCCTTGTAGGTAGACTCAATAGCCATGTCACCATAGTATGCCCCCCATCTGTCTTCACTATAGGCACGATGGAAGTACTCGAAATTGATGACATTTGGACCTGAGTCGGTAATCTGGGCCGTTTGCGGCTGCTGCCCTGGGTAGTGCCACACCTCATATATCACCCGTCCGAGCCAGTCAGTAGTCACCTTGACGTCGAACCGAATGGAGCATGACTTGGACACGGGCAGAGTTTGGTCGAAGATGAATTTGGCAATAGCATTGCGGTTCACAGCGATGGCTCCACTCTGGGAATCTACGTTGTTCTCCCCTACCCAATTCCAAGGGAAACTTGTCACCGGCGGGAGCGTCTTATTGTCTACAGCACAGAGATAGTCCAGCGTGGTCGCTGACTGCTGTTTGGGGGTCGGATTCGGAATCACCACACCATTTTGCTTGAGGCGAGACACCTGACGCTCAAAATCTGTCATTTGCAGCGGCGACGGGTCCGGTTCCTGTGCGACAGCCATGATGGACACCAGTGGGAGACCCTTGTCCTTGGCACCAGTTCTGTAGGCTGAGATGAAGGACCTCTGAAGCACGAGCTCCGCCGGCGATCCGACCGGCAGGCCCTTGATAGATGGGAGTTTCTGCAGCACCGCGCTATCGAGGTCGAAAAGCAGCTGCTGCAGGCTGAACGCTGTGCCTGAAAGGTTCTTCAACCGGTCCTTTAGCTGCTGTTTTAGCTCCGGGTGATTATTCAAGTACGTCGTGTCGAGGTTTTTATCAAGATTCGCCATCACCAGATCCACCGTCGTCTCGATGTACCATGCTTCGTTGGATGGCTGGGTCCAGACATCCCATCTTCCTTCGTTCCACCCTGGTGGGGTGTTCTGGACGATGACAAAGTCGGAGCAAAGAAGTCTGAACACGACGTTACTCGCGTGGCTTCCGAGACTCACGACCGCTGGTAGGCTTTTGGGAAGGATGCCGGACGGTAGACCCATTTTGATTTTGATTCCCACATTGAAGCGCACCCCAGTGAGTTTTTGAACGTCGGGGTCTTTTGGCGAGGTGCCTGTGGGGATGTTGAACGGGTTGATACCTCCAGTTTTCTCCAGTAGATCATCGAGGCTAATCTGGATGGTCGGGTTGCCTTGATCATCTGCAAGAAAGCATATGTACTGGACAGGTTGCTCCGACTCGTTGAGCCAGGCTTTTAGCCCCGAATTGATGCTGGCTTCAGTGGTTGATACCACGAAGTCGTAGCCATACCTTGGGCTCGAAAGATTGGACTTTTGAGAATCATCGGTCATGATAAATCGTATTGGTCAATTCTGCTGTAAAGATGTTGGAGTCAATAGTCACCGGACATGAACAGACTGAGGAGCTTAAATAGACTTCACAGGTTCTGGATCAAACAAAAAGTATTGCACTGGTAATAGTCAGGTAACGCATGGGTACTGTTGAAGTCATGGCTAGCTGATTTCCAACTTCCAGCTTTCGCTTGCATCATGGACAGGTATACCGTTCTAGCCGAGACGTGACCCTCAAGATATCCCTTTTGCTCAGCCGAGGAATTGGTAGGGAGCATCATATATAGCTCATAGTAGAGACACGACCATTTCCGCATTCATCCATCCGAAGAACCCGACATAAATCCAAACCTTGGCTGTCAAACTTACCAGGCCCAGTAGAACCTGGCCAGGATTTATTCCATGCAATACAAGCATCTGCAAACGTCTGCATCTGCAGAATGCATCGGGTAATAGGTGGGCAGAAAGCATCCATATCACTGGGTGTTACTTTGCACGAGAAAGTACTGATCAAGTACGTGAGGAAACCCGGGCTGTGTCCTTGCGGATGCACTCATGAATCTTTTTTCAACCTGCAGTTTTCAGTATTCCTTCCTCGACACATTGCCAAGTCGAGACTCACTGCTGATCATCTGTCCGACATGAGATAAAAGGGCAATGGCAACCGACGGGCGCGCTTTTGGGTCGATAGGTGACATCATGATCACCAGCTCCGTGCCAGCATATTTTCCGCATAGAGTAGCCTTTGATCAAATTAAAGCGTTCATTCAGATCGGTACCACCCATATCAATAGACGAACAGTGCGCCAGGTAATGACCCGGATAGATCTATGCTCAGGTATCTGAGAGACAGGCGCCGAATGTCTGGCTCTTGGATGTCAAGGTCAATAATCTAGTTGTTGAGTTGATCAGTGAGAGTACTAACCTTCAGTCAAATTGCCCACCTTCTCGACGGAAATCAAGAATCGTGGATTGATGCCAGCATCCAGATGATCCCAGAACCAGGGTACACACGATACGTCCAGCTCTCCGGAGTGAGCGCAGTTCGTAAGGGGAAACCGGAGTTTCCGGAGTCCAGATTAGTTTATAACCCTACAACTCCCCTTCGTAAACATTATGCTCGGCTCTCTCTCTCTCTCTCTCTCTCTCTCCACCTTCGTTCTATACACGAAGAGCCAGTGACTCAGCACAATGCCTGCTTCTCGCCCGGGGCATATTTTGCTTCGCAATGGAACGGTTCTTGTCCACGATGGAACCCACGTCAAGCCACTGCCGGGGCATGATCTTTTAATCGAGGGAAACACAATCGTGAAGATTGGTCAGGGTCTGAACTTACCAGCCGGTGGTAGAGAGGTCGACTGTACCAGAAAGATAATTTCGCCTGGTTTCGTGGATACCCATCATCATGTGTGGCAGACGCAGGCAAGTGCCAGGGAGCGACGGGATGAATTAGCACTCAAGTCTTGCTAATTGCGTGCCACAGCTGAAAGGGCGGCATTGCGATCATACTTTAATGCAATATTATCCTACCGGTATCGAGGCAGACTCTTTGAGAGCCAGTGCTTATTTATATCGTCCGATGCGACTGACGTATGCCCTCCAGGAAATATGCAGCCCTTCAACTACAAGCCCGAGGATGTCTTCTGGGGACAGCTGGCGGGCTGTCTGCAGAGTATCGACGCCGGCGTGACTACTGTCGTTGACCATGCACACATGTCTTATTCTCCGGAGCATGGTATGGGTTGCCTGAGTAGTCAACACATATGCATACCTCCCGCATACTAATCCATGAACGTAGTGGACGAGGCAATTCGGGGCTCGGTGTCCTCCGGCATTCGCACGTTCTTCTGCTACACCGCGATCCCACTGATCAAGAGCTGGTCGTCGACCCTAGAATACGAGGAGGAATTTCCTCCGTCCTGGTGGTTGTCAACCCTTGAGCGTCTCTTCATGGAGGAGCCGTTCGGCAACGGCCGGGTCAATATAGGCGTTGCTCTTGACTTCATTTACCACTCCGATCTCGTCCTCGATCTGTGGAAGAAGGCCAAGGAGATGAATGTAAAGCTCTTGACTTCGCACTACGTTCCGCGGTTCGACGCGAGTACGTGGATCCCGCCCTTCTTGCCCTCTCTTAATGCTGACATTCCATCAAGCCAGCACCGTACAGCTCCTCTCTGAGCACAATCTCCTCGGCCCTAGCATCATTCTCTCTCACACCAACGACTTATCCGACGCAGACGCTCACAACCTCGTAAAAAACAATATTTTCGTCTCCGCGACCCCCGAAACAGAGCTCCAGATGGGCCACGGCCACCCCGTCGCATTCCACCCCACCATCAAATCGCACACCTCGCTCGGTATCGACTGCCATTCTAACAACTCGGCCGACATGCTCACCCAGATGCGCCTCGCCTTGCAGCACGCGCGCGCGGCCCACAACCAGGCCACCCTGAGGGCTGGCGAACCGCCCCGCGTCGACATCACCGTTGAGGAGGCCTTCAATCTAGGTACGATCCAGGGTGCCAGGGCTGTCAAAATGGAAGATCAGATTGGCAGTCTTGCCGAAGGAAAGAGGGCCGATGTCGTGGTCTTCGACGCGACGAGCCCCGGCATGGTCTGTGCCGCTGAGGAGAACCCCGTGGGTGCAATTGTCCTGCATGCTGGGGTGCGTGATATCGAGATGGTGATTGTGGATGGGCAGGTAAGGAAGGGTGGGGGACGGTTACGGCCGGTAGAGATCCTGGAGAAAGTGGATGCAGAGAGGGGGGTCGAGGTTGGTTGGGATGAAGTTGCTAAACAACTTCTGGACAGTCGGGAAAGAATCACTCAGAGAGGTCAGGGGCAGGATGTTGGGGCTGCCAAGCTGTGGTGATTGGTACTCTTTTTTGGAAATGAATACGGTTGATGCGTATGCCCTGTTTGTGGTACATGTATGACACAGTATCCCTGATCGGAGACAGCCATGCTACTGTCATAAAGAAATCCCCGGAGGTTGTGAACAAAGAAGTGTCAGTGCTTGCGGCCTGTGCACACTGATCTGTCCCGGGAATCAGCAGCCAAGCCGACGGCTGCTACTCCGGATATTAGCATGACGTATCAGAGCCAGCTGGACTCGGATAGATGCTGTCCAATGGATGATCCTGAGAGTTGAGTGATGACGGAGAGATGAAGCTATTCAGAGGGTGAAGGAGAAGATCCGGGGAGATTAGATAAGCATCGCAGCCCCAGATGGCATGGACTTTCGACGTACAATCAGGTCACATGAAGAATGTGCAGTCCAAGGTCAATAAGAAAGCCATGAGGACCAAATTGAGGGGAAGCTCTTTGTCCTCTGTCGATCCTGGTGGATACCCTGTACTCCGTAGGAAGTAGGAACTACATAGAAAGGAGTGACATCGCATCGGCAAATCCACTTGTAGGCAACCAGAAACGTGACCGGGGCCGTTTTCGGTGCTGTCGCTGAACCATCGACTGCCCGATCGCAGGCCACTCCTTCGCTCTCTCTCCTCCGGAATCATCTTCGGCGAATAAGCTGTGGTGGTGCGCGAAGACGAGGAATTCGTTCGGCCAACTCTTTTCCCCTTTCCTCCTCGATCCGCCGCTCCTTCGCTCCCTCAACGTCTCCCAATCTCCCACCTCTCGACCCACGGTTACGCCCCCTTTGCCTCTCCGATTCCCCTCCCTCCTCTTTTTCGACTATCAGCCTCTCTTGCAATCGCCTACCATACTCTGCGTTACAATTCAATTCAACAGTGATCCTCAAGCCTCGTGGTGGTGGCAACCGAGCTTCCATCGTGCCACAACTCCGCACGGGTGGCGGAATCCCTCAGCACTTATACTATCTATCCTCAGCTGACCCGAATTCTGCTTCCTTGCGCGAATGGGTGCTTCCTTGCGTAGTTCACGCAGGAACTTGGCCAGGAGGTAATTGGCACGAGTCGGCGATCCGATCGAGCAAAGGACAACACATCTCCCGAGACGATAAAGCCCTTTTTCGACGATTGCACCTTCCATGAAGAAATGAGCTCGGTTCCGAGTGCCGCCGTTGACCACCCCGTCGACTCCTCTGTCGGCGATTCTCCCGCCGGTTCGCATGCCTTGGAGACTCCTCGCCCGGTAGACGCTGCGGATGCGCCATCATCGGAGGGGGATAAGGAGCAGAAACAGACTGGCGGCCCCGCTGGAAGTAACTCAGACGATAAACCTCCTGCGGACCATACTGGCCAGGATGCGGGATCTGGACAGGCGGAGGAACTAGATGACTTCGGTTTGCCGATTCGACCGCGTGCCAAACCTGCCCGGTCGCCGACTGAGTCTTCCGAAGACACTCAGGAGTTCCACGATGTTCAGGAGGCCGCCGCGGACACGACAGACAATGACAAAGCGAGTGAATCGGAAGAGCAAGCGATTACAGACAGACCTCAGAAGGAACAAGAACCTCAATCGGTACCTGAGAACGAGGTATCGGAGAAGTTAGAACGTGGAAAAGAGGAGACGCAGCCTACGAATGCAACCCCTACTGCAACTCCTACCACAACTTCAACTCCGCAGAAGGAAGAGGTCCCCCAAGCGGCCGAAACAACTCCACCCAAGCCCAACGACAATAGCGAAATCTCCGACATCTCCCCGGACCATGAAGGCGGGCCGCCGCCGCCATACACTAAAGACCCAGCTCCACAAACCGCAGCTTCCTCGATTAAACCGGAGACCTCGCGTCAAAAACGTGCAAGTCTCAAGGCTTCGGAATGGTCACATCAGCGACTCAATGAAGCCAAGGAATCTGAAAGTGAGCCCGAGGAAGAGGACGATGGTGGGTGGAAGGAGATGCCCGCTGTAGATGAGTTTGATTTTTACGACGATTATGGACGTCTAGTCGTACGCGGTGCCAAAACGGAGAGCAACGAAGCAGTGTATCAAGGACTAGGAGGTGCTGGAAAGGGATACACTCGTGTGCAACTTGACGAGGATGCCCACTCAGTGACGAGTTTAGACGAAGACACGAGCTATCTTTTCAAAGAGAACGGTGCCACAGCGGCTGGCGTGGAGGGGGAAGAGTTGCGTGATCCCCTAAGTCAACTGCAGGCGACCAAGGACCTGCTTAATGAAACCCAGAAAATAGCCTACGTTGGTGTGGTCAGACTTGCTATTCATCAGCTTACGTCGGATGTGGAGAAGATACCGGTCACCAGGGGCACGCGCAAGGTCAAGCAAAAAAGTATCGACTCAATGCGGAAATGGGGTCAAGCGATGATGTCCAGGATCTATTTTCACATGGACATCGATTCCGCAGAGCAAATCATGATCGAGCAACTGGCAGAACACGGCGTCCAGCCAGCCGACCTTGTTCGACCTCTCATGCAGAATGCCCGCGTTCACAATCCCTTGGCAGACGAGCAAGACACATCCAGAAAATCTACATCTTCCCTGGCATCTCCCAGCGTCCAAAGGAATTTCAGAAACAGTTTGTCCACGGAGATTGACCGGTCTTCCGCCTCAACGTCCCCTCCGCCCTATGAAACCCACGAAGGGGAAGACCTGCCCGAGGTTCGTACACCCTCTCAACTACCCACCTCGGAGAAAATCGATATAGATCTCCGCTGGACGGTGCTATGCGATCTATTTTTAGTCCTCATCTCCGATTCCGCCTACGATTCACGGTCACGGACCCTACTCGAAAGAGTGGGCGATTCCATGGAGGTTTCGTGGCTGCAAATTGCACGATTTGAAAAGCGTGTGATCGATGCCCTCGAAATGCAGGAGGCTGCAGAGAAGGAGACCTGGGACGAGTCGGAGCACATGGAGGCACGACGTAAGAAGGCTTTGAAACGCCGGTATATCACGATGGGCTTGGCTACCGTGGGTGGTGGACTCGTCATCGGTCTTTCTGCCGGATTGCTGGCTCCTGTCATCGGTGCCGGTCTCGCGGCTGGGTTTACCACCGTAGGAATTTCCGGCACGGGAGCTTTCTTGGGAGGTGCAGGTGGCACGGCATTGATCGCTTCCAGCGCTACTTTGACCGGAAGCTCGATTGGAATGAGGGCTTCCAAGAGACGCACGGGTGCAGTCCAGACCTTTGAGTATCGTCCTTTGCACAACAACAAGAGAGTCAACTTAATTGTCACCGTAGCAGGCTGGATGACCGGTAAAGTCGATGACGTCCGGTTGCCGTTCAGTACGGTTGATCCCATCATGGGTGATCTATATTCAGTCCTCTGGGAGCCTGAAATGCTTCGGAGTATGGGTGAAACCATCAACATTCTCGCTACTGAGGTGAGTCAAGGCCTAGTCTAGCGAATCTCTCTTTCTAGCAACTAACGACAGCACGACAATACTAGGCCTTGACGCAAGGACTGCAGCAAGTTCTAGGAAATACGGTCTTAGTTGCTCTAATGGCATCTTTACAGCTTCCTATGATCCTGACGAAGTTGTCTTATCTGATTGACAACCCCTGGAATGTCTCGCTGGCGCGCGCAAGCGCGGCAGGTCTTATTCTTGCTGACTCTCTGATCGACCATAATCTCGGGAAGCGACCAGTCACCTTACTTGGTTTCTCGCTCGGTGCGAGGGTCATCTTTTCCTGCCTCAGAGAGCTTGCAGACAGGGGTGCGCATGGGCTCGTTCAGAATGTTTACATGTTTGGGTCGCCCATGGTGGCCAGTAGAGATGAATATCTGAAAGCCCGAAGTGTCGTCTCTGGCCGCTTTGTGAACGGCTATTCCTCCAATGATTGGATTCTGGGATACCTTTTCCGTGCTACAAGCGGTGGTATCATGCGTGTGGCCGGTCTCGCCCCCATCGAGGGGATTCCCAATTTGGAGAACTTTAACGTTACTAAACTGGTGAATGGTCACATGGATTACCGTGCAGCCATGCCTCGACTATTGAAGGAAGTTGGATGGGAGGTTCTGAGCGAGGAATTTGCCGAGATCGAGGATCCCGACCCTGACAATCACAACGAGCGACAACGGGAACTGATCCGAGAGATTGACGAAGCTCGGCGGGAGGCTGAAGCTAAGCCGGAGAAAAAGCGATTTGGACTTTTCAAGCGAGGAAAGTTGGCGCAGAAGAAGGGATGGGAGACCTACGATGTGGAGCGCAATAATGCCACTCCTCGAGAGTCGAGCGACAGTAACGGAGCCGGGACGGTGCTATTTGACATTGACGCAATCAAAGCCGAGCTCGCCTCGGAAAGCATTGAAGTCAAACAGCTTGAGTCGACGCTTCCACCCATGAAGTTAGACTTGAACTCTCCTTCAAGTCCCTCTGCTGCTGCTCCAGCAGCACCATCTCCGTCGGCTGGCAAGGACACCAAGAGTACGAGTGCAAGCCAACCTGTGTCTCCATTGCCCCAAGACCCAGTCGACAAGAAGGGTCCCAACGACTTGCATCATGCTCCCAACCATGAAGAAGAAATCGAGATGACCTTCGACACCCCTTACCACGAACCCCCACAACGTTCGTATTCATCGTTTGGGACTTCGTCTTACGATCATTACGAGCCCCAACCTGCAAGGCCCGAACTCCGGTCTTCAAACACGATGCCAGTTGGAGTCGGAGTCGGAGCTGGAATGGGCGTAGGCGCCGGCGCACTTGGTGCCATGGCTCTCGAGCACAACGCCTGGGCCGATCACGACATAGGCAACGGAGAGGAGGGTGAAATCTCCATGTGCTTCGAGTGATGATGAACCTTATGATTCTATATGCTAGACCGGTGCTATACGATCTTCGCGACCCAAATCACTCACCGAGTGCGACAAGGTTACGTACGATACGATTCTTCTTTGTTTAATTCTTTTATTACCGACTGGTGGGAGGTAGGTAGACCTTTGTGCATAATAATCTTTGTTCTTGCATATCATTTCTGTTTGCTACTTGCTGTTATTATTTTTGCTTCATCTTTCATTCTATCCTGCTTCTGGCATTTTTGTGGACATTTAGTGGTGTCCTGGCGACGCGGCGTCTGCATATACACTCTGAAGATCATTGGTTCTGAAGTCTATCATTGTGTTAGAACTTTAATTCATGACAGTCACCTCAATTCCTTATAGAAATTCTCTCATAATGAAATAAAAATATAAAAAAGCAAACAAACCCGTTGTGAGGGAAGTTGTACAGAAGGCGATCCCGTGCGAGCGGAGACTTTTGATTAGCAGCTGCGGAGAAACGCCTCGATAGCGTGTCACCTCACGCGTCCCTCTCTCTCTCCTCTCTTCTCCATCATTCAGCCCTCTATATGCGCTGCATCCTACACCGGTCGCCAATAGATGGCTATCTATGAATTATCCAGTCTCTACTACAGTATCTTTCCGACAGATGAACCATCTGCAATCACCGGCGGGGGTTTGTTGACGGACTCCGCAGCTACTTGCCGCAACCCGGCTTGACGTGATCATTCGTCAAAGAAAATTATTCAGCATCTATTGAAATCTAACTTTTATCTATCCTCCGCGACCCTTGTCGTCATCTCGAGCCGATTCCTTTGAGTGTCCGAGTCTCCACGATCAAGCCATCCCCTCTACAAGATGGTCCAAACCCGACCGAAACGCGATGCGAGCTATGCGTCGAACCGCTTGACGAAGAACAATGGACCAACCAGAAGTCTTTTGTCAAGCTTTAGAAAGCCAGTTAATGACGCTGAGAAGGATACTGTGAAGACTGAGAAGGACGAAAAACCTCCCAAACCGGAGCCAGCTACGGACGATGAGCCCGTCAGCTCCAGCGACGAGGATACCAAGCTCGATGGGGACTCCGAGTCGGAAGATGAAATCCGGCCCCGCGCGTCGGAGGAGAAGCTCGAGGTCAAGATGGCAAAGAGCTCGCCTAAGAGCGAAAAGGAGATAGGGTCCCCTCGCTTTGGGAAATCGCCGCAGAAAAATCGCAAAAGGGCCGCGACGGGCCCAGCTCCCCTGGATGAAGAGGGTGAAGGCATGTTCCTGGAATGGAGTGCGTCGCAATCATACAAAAGACGTAGATCAGCCCATTACCCATCGAAGCGCACATCGGACGTACACATCACAGCGCCGAGTTCGAACAAGGCCTCTGCGAAGTCGGAAACGCCTCCTGCGAGTGCTCGCAAGGAAAAGCCTAAGGCAGGCAAGAAGGCTGGGACCACTTCGGCGAAGGGAAAGGAAACTCCAAAACCTGAATTTAAAGTCCCAATCGGCGCCGACATCGAAGGTCCGAGTTCCAGTTCCAAGACTCGCTCCCAACCCGAGTTCAAGGTGCCTCCGTTCCCTGCGGACGGGATATCCAGCTCCTCCTTCGCTACTTCATCTGCTCGAGAACCACCAACTTTGGACTTTGACGACGATGACTCTCCTCTCAGCACCCCCCTTAGCTCTGCTTCTTCGACCTTCATGCAACAGTTCGAGCTGGACGATGAAATGCTCGCCGTGAAGGATGAGTTGGAAAATATCGAATCCAAAGAAGGATCCTTCTGCCCGATGTGCAAGCAGGCCGTGGACCCAGAGCTTCTGATGCGGTTCCAAAATCAACCAAGACAACGGATCCGCGATCAGAAACGTTTCTGCGAGTCGCACAAGCAGCAGTCTGCCCAAACAGAGTGGCAGGAGAAGGGGTATCCCAGCATTGACTGGGATAAATTCGACGACCGCATCAACGACCATTTCGACTACATTGACACCCTCTTGACCTCTGAAAGTCCTTCCTACTTCAGGAACATCTTAGACACCACCATGAAGTCTGGCAAAGCGCAGAATTTCCGGCTGACGCTCGCTGGAGATGGTCTAGAGACGATATCTTGCGGCTATTATGGCACCCGTGGTGCCGATAAAATGTACGGTGCCGTCCTTGCCAATCCTCTCACTTATCTTGCATGAAGCTAATTGATTCATTTCTAGGCTACACGCGCTCACGTCGCGATTCTCCCACAAACTTCGTCGCCTGGCGACGAGTGACCATATAGTCAAAACTGCCGGCGTTGTTGGCTACACTCAAGCCGTGCTTGTCCCCGAATTGGCTGTCCAGCTCGTCAAAGAAGACATGAACGTCAACGATGAGTCCGCGCGACAGATCCTGCGTGAGACTATCGACATCGGCGAGAAATTCAATTTTACGCTAAACGACAAGGTCTCGGTCCCTGAAGAGGAAGAGGAAGAGAATGCGATGGTGACGGCAGAATAGGTGTACTAACAATCTATCACATAATGAGCGGTGTTTGTTTGCTTTTTGCTACAGGGCCCATTTTCGGCTGCTTTTGTTTTCCCATTGTGAGCTGTTTGTTTGAACCAGTGTATATAAGTGAAGTTCGGCCAAGATACCTTTCTGTTTGCTGATTGTTGTAGAAGGAATATCAATATCAAGTCCCTGAGTATCCTGACTATTCTTTGTCACTATGTCCCTTGGAAATAGTTCCTTCATTATGGAGCCACGCCAAGTCACGCGATGTCACATGTGGGGCGGATAAGATAAGGCGCATCACATCATCTCCGCACCGTCTCGCTCTTCCTCCGCTCGCATAAGTATCCCGCCCGGGTCCAGACAATGTCCCCTTGTCTCTTCCCTTATCCATCCATCTCCTTCATCCATTGATCATCAAACCATGTTGGCTCCGGAAATGAGGGAGAAGAAAACCATGTCTCCCTCCGAGGCCACTCCCCTCCTCACATCAGTGACCGTCGTTCCCCGACGTCCTCGCTATCCCCATCACACCCTCCGACGCATCTGCAGCTTCGCATTGGGTCTCCTCCTTCTCTGCTCGCTCACCCTCTTTCTCATCCCCACCGCCATCTTGCCCCGCGAACACGGCTCCATCTGGTCCTACCTCCCCTGGGCCCGTCCCTTCCCGCACGCCGCCTGGCCTCAGAGCAATGGCCTCGGCTACAAGGAACTCCAGGCCATCCTCCAGGAGACTCCATCGGCCGCCAAGGCCCGCGAATGGAGCAGCTACTACACCGCGGGGCCGCATCTCGCCGGTAAGAATCTTAGCCAAGCGCTCTGGACGCAGGAACGCTGGCAGGAGTTCGGTGTCGCCGACACCAGCATCGTGGCCTACGACATCTACCTGAATTATCCCGTGGATCATGCCTTGCGGCTGCTCAAGCAGAGGGGCGACGGCGAGAAAGCTGAGGTCCAGTATGAGGCGACCCTGGAGGAGGACGTCCTGGAAGAGGATCACACCAGCGGGCTGCCGGATCGCGTGCCTACGTTCCACGGCTACTCGGCCAGCGGCAATGTGACGGCGCCGTTTGTCTACGTCAATTTCGGCAGCGTGAAGGATTTCCAGGACCTGGTTGATGCGAATGTCAGTCTGGCGGGCAAGATCGCGATCGCCAAGTACGGTGGCATCTTCCGTGGGTTGAAGGTGAAGGCGGCGCAGGAGCATGGCATGGTCGGAGTGGTGCTGTACGATGATCCACAGTCGGATGGCGACATCACCGAGGAAAATGGCTACAAGCCGTACCCGGAGGGTCCTGCTCGGAACCCGAGTGCCGTACAGCGGGGAAGTGTCCAGTTCCTGAGTGAGTTGATTTCTAATCACGCTCTGGTAGAGTGAGAATCGCATGAAGCTAATTGAATGGCCATCTTTGCATTCTAGGTATCGCTCCGGGTGATCCTACCACGCCTGGTTACCCTTCGAAGCCGGGCAGTGAGCGCAAAGACCCCAGTCATTCGACCCCCTCGATTCCCTCCATCCCTGTATCGTACAAGGAGATCCTTCCCTTCTTGAAGGCCCTGAATGGCCATGGTCCCAAGGCCGAGGACTTCAATGAGTATTGGCAGGGTGGGAAACTCGGCTACAAGGGCGTCAAGTATAACATCGGTCCTACACCGGATGATATAGTCATCAACCTCTACAACGAGCAAGAGTACACGACTACGCCGCTGTGGAACGTGATTGGCGTCATCAAGGGTTCCATTCCGGATGAGGCTGTCGTTGTGGGTAACCACCGAGACGCCTGGATTGCCGGTGGAGCAGCCGACCCCAACAGCGGGTCCGCTGCCCTGAACGAGGTGATTCGCAGCTTCGGAGAGGCGCTCAAGGCCGGATGGAAGCCGCTTCGTACGATTGTGTTTGCCAGCTGGGATGGTGAGGAGTACGGTCTCCTGGGCTCGACCGAGTGGGTGGAGGAACAGCTTCCGTGGCTCTCCAAGGCCAACATCGCGTACCTCAACCTTGATGGCGCCGCGTCTGGCCCCAACTTCAAAACCTCGGCGAGTCCGCTGTTGAACAGCGCCATCTACGAGGCCACAGGACTTGTGCAGTCCCCCAACCAGACCGTTGCTGGACAGACGGTCCGCGATGTTTGGGAAGCCGTCGCGAACAAGTATATCGGGACTATGGGAAGTGGTAGCGATTTCACCGCTTTCCAGGACTATGCCGGAGTCGCCAGTCTGGATCTTGGCTTCACTAATCGGGGCCAAGACGCCGTGTATCACTACCATTCCAACTACGACAGCTTCGACTGGATGGACCGGTTTGGCGACCCGCATTGGCTCTACCATGAGGCCTGCGCCAAGGTCCTGGCCTTGATCACGGCCAACCTAGTCGAGACTCCCGTGCTGTCCCTGAATGCCACGGACTACGGCCTCGGTCTGGCTGCGTACCTGGACAAGATCCGGCCGGACGCGAAGCAGCTGCCTGACGGCGCCTCCTTCGACTTTGGCCCCTTGGACAAGACCATCGCCGAGTTCCAGGAAGTAGCCGTGCGGTTCGACGCGTACGCGGCGGACCTGGCCTCGCAGTTAGGCGAGGATGTCCCATGGTACCATTGGTGGAAGAAGGTGAAGCTCTATTTCCAGATCCGGCTGGTCAACGATAAATACAAGTTCCTCGAGCGAGCGTTCTTGTACGCCCCTGGTCTGGACGGGCGCAGCTGGTTCAAGCACGTCGTGTTCGCGCCCGGCGTTTGGACCGGCTACGCAGGAGCGACCTACCCTGGGTTGGTCGAGAGCTTTGACGCGGGCGATGTGTCCAATGCACAGGTGAGTTTTCGTCCTTTGTGGAGATATCGTGATTCTTCCCAAGTCAAGATGCTAACTACTCATCAGAAATGGCGCGCGATCATTGTGGAGCGCTTGGAGACTGCTACCAAGCTGCTGCATTAAGTATACGAGAGAAACAGTTTTTGAATAAGACCGGCGTAGCAGAAACACCCCCTGCAGCAGGCTTGACGCCGGCCGGTAAATGGAGGTATATAGATTGCACAAAATAGGCGGATTTAGCTTAGCAGATGATGAATATGATGTTGCTTTTCCTTACTTTCTTTTTCTAATCCAATAGGGTCATTCTCCACGCCGAGGGACCAGTAAGAACCGAGGGAGGCTATTCGCGCGTATTAAGCCTTGACTCACAGTCCCAAGCAGGCAGGACAGGGTCAAGATGCAGTGACCTTCAAGGGACGATCATGGGGACAAAAAGCACTAAGCAGGCCTCTCGGTTTCCCCGCTTAGTGGATTCGCCGGGCCTCGTTAGCTCCATGCACGGCGTCACTCGCCCATTCCTTTCCATCTTATCCTCTATTCTTTTTCTTCTCTTTTTTTTTCATTCCTCCTTCTTTAGCTACCTTCGTTTTGTATTGATTTTGGGGCTTTCGAGTATACGATCGTTTTTTCTTCGTGACTTCTCCCCCTTGCGACCTCTCAGCCCCCTTGTTTTGTTTGGTACAACTTGTTAGACCCGAGTATAGGATTTTTTGAACCCCTACCGAATTAACCGCCGAGTCCGATGCTGGAGAAAACGCCGAGGCTGCCGGTCCGGCAGCTACTGATTCTCTGTAAGCTTCAACTGCCATGAGCAATGATGGTGTTCAAAGCTAACCAGCTCGCGATCAGCAATATGTCGGTTCGCTGAGCCTGGTAAGTCGTCATGACCTGGACTCCGAGCAAGCAAATTCGATTCTGAATTTGCGAGATCCACCGCCGATGACGCGATCGTCGAGCTCAAGGAGTGGTGGTTCGGTTTGTTGATCGCTGTTTGCAGTCGTCTTGACGTCCGTTTTGCCTTATCTTGTATGAATTCTTTCTTTTCTCTCTTTGTGTTTGGTGTGGTTTGGCCCCTTTTGGTCGGGTCTATTGGGGATGTGTTACGGGTATCTCTATGCTGACGCCATGTCTATCTAGCCCGAGATGATCGAGTATGTCGGCGTCCCTAAGAATGAGGTCGCCAAGTGGGTTGGTATCACCTCGGCCGTGACAGCGACCTGTCAGGCCGTGATGGCCGTGTCCTGGGGTACCGCGTCGGACTATGCCGGTCGGAAGTATATCATCCTGCTGGGGTTGACCTGCACGATGATCTTTTCGGTGATGTTCGGAATGTCGCAGACGTTGGCAATGCTGGTAGTGTCGCGCGCGTTCCTGGGCCTGATGAACGGAAACGTGGGGATCATCCGTACCATGGTAGCCGAGATGGTGCCCGAGAAGGAGCTCCAGCCGCGAGCCTTCAGTATCATGCCGCTGGTGTGGACCATTGGCAGTATCTTTGGTCCGGCCTTTGGGGGTGCGCTGGCCCGGCCTGTAGAGAAGCACCCCGAGCTCTTTGGGGACTCGGACTTCTTGAAGAAGTATCCTTTTGTATTGCCCAATTTGGCGGCTGCGGCACTGTTCATCGTGGGCATTGTCATTGGCTTTCTATTCCTCCATGTAAGTATTCTCTCGAGGATGTGCGCAAATATGAACACCTCTGACAGTAGACAGGAAACATTGGCTTCTAGAAAGGACCGTCGCGACTGCGGGCTCGTGCTAGGAGAGATGTTGACGCGCTCGTGCATCTCCCGGCCCGAGAAGCGCCGTTACCATGTTGAAGATGACGAGTCGACCGCATTGCTGGGCGACAGGAGATCGCGACAGACGGGACAGAAAAGTCCTGGCAAGCGACCCAGCTGGAAGCAAATCTTTGCGCCGCAGTCACGGCTGGTCCTGCTGGCATATGCCTTGATGTCGATGCACACGATGGCGTTCGACTCCGTCCTCCCCGTGTTCTTACATAGTCCGGTCCAGCGTCTGCACGACAACCCCGACGTGCGGTTGCCTTTCAAATTCCTAGGCGGGTTCGGCGTGGGTATGTCATCCTCGTCCTTCAACCATGACCCCCGGTCCACCTACTAACTGAATGCATCAGACTCCCAAACGATCGGAATCTACTATACCCTCATCGGCATCATCGGCATGCTGGTGCAATTCATTGTGTTCCCCACCGCGGCCAAGCGATACGGCGTCCTCAACTGCCTGAAAGTGGTAGCCCTCATCTTCCCCGTCCTGTACTTTTTAACCCCCTTCACGGCCCTCGTGCCTGAATCACTCCGTCACGTCACCGTCTTCCTCCTCATGCTCGGCAAGCTCTCGGCCTCGATCTTCGGCTTCCCCTGCACCACCATCCTGCTCACCAACTCGGCCTCTAGCCTCAGCGTCCTGGGCACTCTGAACGGCGTCGGCACCAGCGTCAGCGCTATCGGTCGCGCCGTGGGACCCGCCGTCGTCGGCGCAGCGTTCTCCTTCGGCGTGAAGCGCGGAACGATTATCATTCCCTGGTGGATTCTGGGCGTGTTTGGAACTCTCAGCGCGGTTCCGGTGTTCTGGGTCGTCGAGTCGGAGGGATTCCAGAATTCGGCGGACGACGACGAATCGGAGCCGGATGCGCCGCTCGGTGGAGGTGGATATGGCGCGACGGAGACTGAGACAGAGCCTCAGACTGAGACTGGTCGACGACAGTGATTTGCTGGCGGGGATCGTCTCGGGATATTGCAGTGGTGTCAAAAGTTTAAATTGTTTTTGTTTTTGTTCAGTATAATGATGGTCATGGTGATGATGAGATTGCATGTGATTGGCGTCTGTATGTGTTCATGTTGATTGATGACAGATAGTATGAGGGTGAGGATCTAGTAGAGATGAACTAGTAGAATAGAATGAATGATGATTATTGCAAGAATAGAAAGTAGGTGGATGAATGTGAAAGGTATGGAAGTAGATGGAATGTACTTTCCTATACTCCCGCCAGTAAACACCCGCAATCACCTGACATCATCTGACAGACGATGACGAGCGGCGGATTTCTAATCTAATCAGCTTTAGCTCGGTTTAGCTTCAGTCCACCTTTCCTACTTCGACATCAGACCATATCATCAACTATCACTCTCTCCCCAGTTCTCACCTACCTATCCTCTACCAACTGATTCAATTCACACTCAATAATACCCACCAATCCCCCCTCGCAGAACAAAAACAATCAAAATGGTAAAACACCCCTCCCCCTCCCCTGCATCAATACAAATTACCCTACCAGACAGCAACACTAACACCAAATCCCTCTAGACCACCCTCCCCACGAACTCCGCCCTAATCCTCTCCCTCCTCACCTCCCTCGGCGGAATAATCGGCTTCGCGCGCACCGGCTCCATCCCCTCCATCGCGGCCGGCGTCTCCGTCGGCGCCCTATACCTGTATTCGTTCGCGCGACTGCGCAGCGGCCAGGCCTACGGCGAAGAGCTCGGTCTATTGGCGTCGATCGTGCTAGGCGGGAGCTCGGTGCCGCGCGCGATTAAGACGCGCAAGGCGGTGCCCGTGGCGTTGAGTTTGGTGGCGGCGTATGGACTTTTGGTGTTTGGGGCTGCGGTGAAGGGGGGTGCGAAGAGGGCTTGAGCATTTTGTTCCATTGGTTGGTTGGTCGGATTTGGGGGGGGATAGAGGGGAGGGGACGAAGGGAGGACAGTGCCTACAGGATGGGTACGTGGTCTGTCTGGTGTATTATATCATATTGAGGGTCTTTACTACTACTTTTTGACCGGTGGCGACGTGAATGAGATTAAAAGATGCAATGCACAGTCCTGTAAAATCATCTACCATATCTGCCCATTCGTACTAATAAATACCCCTAGATCATGGATTGTCTGGCCTACCTTGACTAGCACTTACAGTAGACAGAATCAAAATGAAGAAACATAAAAAGATTTAGACCAGCCCCTCTCGGCGTCAGGACGAGATCGCGATTTTCTCAAAGATCAGTTTCCTTCAATAAGGTGACGACCAAACTCACCAACTCTCCTCGCAGTGTAATGCTTTCTTTCTGCAGTCTTGTTCTCGGTGGTGATGCGGAGGGGACCCTCTGTCTTATCTTCTTTCTTCCAAACCGAAGCATGAAGCGTGGTGTTATCATGTCGTGGGCTTTTGGTTTGCTTGCACTGGTGTTCGCCAACTACTGACATGAAAATCAGGGCAGGAAGCGGCAACACATGACCAGGGAGTAAGATGAAAGAAAGAGATTATCAAAACGTTTTGCGAGAATTTGATATGCAATCAAACTTAGCTGGAGTTTGTATATCTTCCATCTTCCGGATTTTTTGACCGCGCGGGTCTCGTCGCACCAAACAAGTAGTTCTTCCCCGGGTTGTTTGGAGAAGCAAAAGAAAAAAGCACCGACTGTATTCCCTCCCCTTCTTCACCCACCATTTCTCATAAAGTGTTCGACATCTAGTCCGTAGGGTCGACAACCGTTTCCGAATCTCGGATGGGTCCCACTACTGTAGAAGAAGGAAGCTCCCCAAGTGCCGTTTCCCCTCGTTGGTCAGGAACGAATGCGTACCTTGACAACTTGGCCATCTTCTCCTCCGGACTGGTTTCATTGTCAGAATATACCAATTTGGCCTGTTTGGACTTGTCCTTCTTGCTGGTTTTCTCTTCGGTCGCCTCCTTGGCGGGTGCTGCGTTGTTGGCCACCGCTTGATCCGCTTCTTTGGCCGCGCCCGAGATAAGGTCATCGATGGAGGATGAGATCGGCGTCGCTCCGGTTCCTGCGGGTCTGTCACCATTGGAAACACCGTGCGGCGTACCTCCAGGCGTGGGTGGCGCATGGCCCATGTGCATCTGCTGCATCTGGTAGGCATTGACCGGGGGCGCCCCAACGACGGGTCGCTGGGGAAGGCTCGGGGCCGCCGGCAGGCTGGGAGGCCGTTGCACGAAAGCGGCATTCTGTGGGGGCGTGTTGGTCTGAGGAAGCGTGTGCTGTTGCGACGGGAAAGGCGACGGGGTGTTTCCATACGCAGGTTGTCCCGGTGTGGGCTGGAACGACTGTGGCGAGTACCCTGTAGGAGTATATTGTGTTTGCGTACTAGGAGGAACCTGCGGTTGCCCGCCTGGTGAGAAGGTTTGGTAAACTGGACTTGCCGTTTGTTGGTAAGGAGAGCCAGCACCTCCGTATGGCTGGGGGTATGAGTATTGCTGGCTTGGGGCGGCTGCCGCGTTTGCAGCTGGCTGACCCTATAGAAAACATTTGTGTTAGCCACAACCTCCATCAAGCTGCATGTCCAATAGTCGCAAACTTACAAAGCCACCGATATTCTGTGCCTGTCCCGCGCCGACGGGGGTCGCCTCGCCACTGCTTCCTCCAGTGCGAGTCTCCGCCTTTTTGGCTTTGTGTTCGGCCAGTCGCTTCTTCAGATCCGATACGTTTTCGAGCTTCGGCCTCTTCGCGGGCTGGCCGCCAGCACCGGTGGTTCCTGGAGGAGGGTTTCCCGTCACGGCCTGCCGCTCCGCCTCCGCTTGCTGGAACTGGGTCATCACCCGTTGGTTATGAGTCTGGATGATGTCGTCCGGGACACCTTCCATACCGAAGATCTCGACATCAAGACTAGATCGATTAGGAAGCGCATTGTCAACGGCCGACAGCTGTTCCTTATGTACTTGGCTCATATGCACCGACAATCCTGTGGCGATAGACGTGAGCGAACGGCGGAAAGCGAAACACGAAAAACGAAACGTCAGAAGATAGGAACTCACCTCCTGCCGTATTCAGCCTCCGTCCACATCTCTCACATTTGAAATGCTTGGCCTTTTGATGGGATATGAGAATTTTAAGGTCGTCGAAATCGCGCTCGCAGTAGTAGCACCACGGACGAGCTAGAACCTCGTCCAAGGTGGGTCCACGTCTCTTCTTGCCCATTGTGACGGTGTTTGGCGATGAGAGTCAAGGGTGTTGAGCAGTCTGCGTATGACTGGGAGACGGAATAGGTCGGTTGGCGGTGATGGTGTCTGGTGTGCCGAGCGCGTCGCCCGAATCATCGGTAGATGATGAAATTGGCCCGGAAGTGAGGCTGCAACATCACGTGAAGATTACATATTCACGTGACAGGGCAGGCCATTCACCGCCACCAAGTATAGAGCTACAATGACTAGATGAAGAAGCAAGATTCAAATCATGAATTTTTGGCAGGTTTATCTAACACGTTAGTAGATGCAATAACCAACCAAACCAGGCCCAAGATCAAAGGGCCCCCCAAACGCATCTAGACCCAAGTTCAGTTATCCACCAGAATACAGAACGATCGACACCAACCCCCAAGACATTATTCCTTCCTAAATGTACAAGTACCTCAATTCACCAAGGTGGGCCAGAGACAATGAAAGTGAAAAACCTTAAAAAGAAAAAGGGCAGGAAACCATAGAGCCTCCAGAATTGTACAGTTTTCAAAAACACAAACGAACATGAAAACAGAACCCTGCGCCGATCGCTAGCATGTAACACGCTAATAAATTCGAAAACACAGATGATTAAACGAACAGGTTAATACATATCAAAAGAAAAGAGACCTCTACGAGGTGTGGACCAACCGATATCCTAGGTTAGATGCAGGCTTCAATTGGGCCGAGCACGCCCTGCATGAGGCATACCAGCGCCGGGAGCTCCATAAAAGTTGTAGAAATCCGGATAAGGTGTGTGATACGGCTGCGGAGGCGGGGGCTGAAGAGGGCCCGGAGGCCCAGGAGGAAAGGGCGCCACAGCTCGGGGGTCAATAGGAGCATACGGGGCCATTGAGCCGCGAGGAGCCGGCATGGGTGCCAGTTGGGGGTGTGGCCCTGGGGGTCCGGGCGCCAGCGAGGCGGGTGCTGGTAACGTGGGTGCCGCAGCGAGACCAAGGTCGGTATTCGGAGTATCGCCGAACGTCGGGCTACTCAACCTCTTCTTCTTGCCCACAATCTTCGGGGGCTCGGTTGCCTTTCTCGCCGCTTCGGCGGCCCGATCAGCCTCAATCTGGGCTTTCGACCGTTTGGGATTGCGCGTCCGCCCTTCTCGATTGAATCGAGCCCAGTGGTTCAGCATAGCTTCCGTGCGCTTCGGATTCTTGGAGTTGGCGATCTTGTCGCGTCGAGCCTGTTCCGCCGGGTCCAAGGCACTGTCCGGATGTCCTTCCGCGGCGATGATGATGGCGGCGGGGGAGGCGCGTGCTTGCGCGCCGCTAGGTGCCGGTTCAAGCGGCGCGAGCTGGGACGTTGCGGTGCGTGCCTGCAGCAACCCTGACGTTGGAACCGCCCCTTCACGACCAGGTACTCGAGCCGACGCACGAGCTGGGCCGGCGGCCGCTTCGAACTGAGGAGCCTCAGATCCCGCACGAGAGCCCGCGCGGGCTGCCCCCCGTCCACGGCCTCTTCCGCGGCCTCGAGTAGACCCACGTGTTGGAACCGGAGATTGGAACTCGGCCTCTGCGGCCGAACGGCGGGTGCGAGTGCGTCGCCTTCCTGCATTTTCTGCCTCGGGGTCTGCAAGAGCAGGAGACTCGGCGAGTGCATCGTCGGTCTCATTGGCTTTGGCGGCTTCCAGCTCGGCAGCCTTGCGCTTGCGAGTTGCCTTTCCCACGAAATCCTCGCGCGGAGGATTCTGGAATTTCGGAACATGCTCCACGCCGAACTTGGAGATAGTCGGCCAGCCGTCAGGATTCGGCTCGCTAGAATGCAAACTCGATTTGGCGATGATCTTTCTCGCCTGTGCGGGCGTTGGCTTGAACCCGCCCTGAACGAACGGGTTCTGGTTGCCAACCTTATCTTCCTTGGGGTCGTGTTTGTACCCATACAGCATTGCCTCCTTCTTGTCTTCGAAAACTTCCCGCCGGTCGAGCTTCCGCGGCCCGCTGGGTTGCTTTACATTGTGACGAGTTGCAACCCTGTGGAGCTTTTCAATAGCCAGATACTCGTCCTGCCATGCTTTCAAGACATGGGCCACGTTTTCGGTGATGGCGTAAAGCTCATCCTGCGAGCGTTTCTCGGCGTCACGAAGCTGAGCCAGGAGATCCTCAAGAGGGGTTATTTCCAAAAATTCCCCTTTAGCCACCTTGGGCTTTCTATATGGTTCCGGTCTTGTGAAAGAATCGGACGGGTCGCGTTGTTTGGCGCGCTTAGCATCATCAAAGACATGCGCCCAGTTTTTCTCCAGACCGGCATACGTCTCATCGTAGTCTGTAGAGAATCTGCGGATATCATGAATATTCCAAAGATTGTGCAGGCGCTTTTCTAGAGTGACGGAATCTTGTTCGCGGGAGAATTCGTGCAGCTGGTTTGATAGTGCAAGGTCGGACTCTCCTTCGGGGCCTTCAGCGTCACCGTCGACACCGGCATCCTCTTCATCGATGTCATTCTGGTCGTTTTCGTTTTCATACGTCGCGGTGGCTTCGCCACCTTCCGCGATGCCATTCTCAGTGGCCTCTATCGTGTCCTCTTCCTCATCTTCTGCTTCCGCTTCCTCTACATCCCCCATTTGATCATCAAGAGCAGCGTTCTCTTCTTCATCATCGTCGGCGTCAAGCTGCTCGTCAGTATCATAGGAATGAGTTCCATTGACAGCCTCGTTATACGAGCGCTTAGCGATTTGCGGATGTACGGTGGCAATATGTTGCTTGAGGGCGTCTTTATGAGACGATTCAAAATCCTCTCCGCACCAGTCACATGTCGACTTCTGCGGTACAGGAGAAGGGTATGGCGATGCCTGTGTGGAGGCCGAAAGGCCATGAAGAGGTTCGGAGAATTGTCGGCGCAGCGGGGAGTCCTGGCTGGCCATGTCCGAAGTATGACTGTCCATTTCGATGTCGCCTTGAGCGACAGGTGCCATGGTCAAATAGACTCAGTAGAGAGGGAACAGACGATGACAGATACAATAGACAAGATTGACAGGAAAGATGGAAAAGGTTCGCACGCTGGCGGCGAAAGGAAATAGAGATAAAAAAAGAAAAAGAGAGCCGATCTCTACGGCGCCCAAGAACGGGACTTCGATGCCTGTACAGCGTTAATGGAGTAAACTTGGGTTGAAAAGTTCGCTTGCGGTGCCAAGAAACCAGTAGTAACTGCAGCGTAATAGTCCAAAGCAAATGCACGACGGACGGGAATGGAGAAAGAGATCGCGGGTGAAAGGAAGCGAGTTGAGAAAAAAAGGAAAACGAAGAACGATGGGTAAAAAGAAGGCAAGGAAGATGAATAGCATGGGAGTCATGTAGAATTTTCTGGGTTGTGGTAGAGAGAAGAGGAGGGAAAAAAAGAAAGCAAAGAAAAGAAAAACCGGGCAAAGCGCAACAAAGTTCTGACTGGCAACAGAGAGAGAGAGAGAGAGTAGATGTAGAACGGCACACATCGATTGGAAACGTACCTTGCGGGAAAAGATAAACAGAGCCAGTCCGTTGGCGGTGACGAGGAAAGTTGACTGGAAGGAGCCAAAGAGGGAATCAGACCCTGTATCGTAGGCAGTAGAGTCGAAGGGGGATGGTTGACGAGGCAGAGTGAAGCGTTGTTTTGTCTACAATAAAGATGGTCGCGAACGGCTGCCAGGGAGGGAGAAAGGAAGAGTAGAAAAGTAGGAAAGCCGAGCGGGTAAGCCGAAGAATGACTGAAGCACTTGGTTCTATCGGCCTTCCACCACGGACAGAACGAGGTTTCAGCACAAACAAAAGGATCACTGCGAGATTCGCGGTGTGGAGAAACTGGGAAATGGAAGTAAGGAAATTGGCGATCAAAGATCCGCCGTTTCTTTGACACGGATTTCCCTTCCAGAAGCAAGTTGGTAACGTGAGAGGCAAGTAAATGGGTGCGGGTGCGGGTCAGCAGGGGAAAGCTCGGTATGCTTGTCCACCACGTCTCCGATGGTAGGAAGAAAGACACGGAGAGAAGATTGAGACGGGAAGAAAGAAAATCGACGAGGGAAGGGAGATTGCGATGCTTAATTAGCAAGATGGCGTGGTGTTGTTGTAGTTGGCAGAGGTAGAAGTAAAAAGAAAATCGAGCGGGTAAGCAACAGAAAGGAAAGAAAAAAAAATGCTACTATGCGTTTTAGCCACACTCTCCAGTGTCAACCCGGGAGGGAAGACCAAACGGGGGGCAAGAAAAGAAGGATGAAGGCTGCAATTGAGAAAAGGCAGTCTGAATGGATGAGAGGAAGAAACCCGGAGGGATGGTGAGTAGAGAGAGAGGACTGGTGTTGCAGACGGGGGTTGGTAGGGAAGTAGGAGTTGTAGAAGTGGAAGTAGTCGTGTAGTAGGAAGTATGAAGCTAAGTCGACGGGAACGTGGGGAGGTGGAGTGAAAGGATGAAGAAGGGGCTGAAGGACTGAACTCTGAAGACAGATGAGGAGGGAAACCCTTGACAGAGGGAACGAGTAAAGTAGAGAGGAGGAGGTTAAAGGAACTGGCTGGAGAATGGAATTATTTTGCAGAGGGAAAAATGCCTGAGTCTACCTCGACCTATCCTCGTTGGCCTGAGGTGTCGCTGCTGAGGTGGTCCGTCCTGCGGGTACTGTACGGTATGGTCAGGGTGTAACTTTGTATTTTAATTTGTATATCCGCCCCACACCTACAGTCAATCAGAAGTGTTGAAACTGCGGATCAACGATAATGCCGAACAGTCTATCGTCGCCCTGTCCGTTTCCTGACGGTATGGCGTATCACTTTATTGACGTATCGACGAACGATGAAATTGCATCCCCTTTTCTCCGTCCTTCTATGAGGTTTTAGCACTCCAATAACTGCCCAGTCACAGTATACAAACACTTTCCAGCCATAATATTGTTTCTTGGTCTGGCAACCTCCTGCGACCCCTCCATGGCCCCTTCATCTGTCCAGATCTTCACGCACTGCCATTGGCGCGAATATACAATCAGTAATTTAACCGTCACCTCAATACGGCCTGCGGTCCTTGACATCATCGCCTGTTCGCCATCATTCGACTCGTAGAAAGTAGATCGAGGAGGGTAAAATCGTCTCCGTGACCTCATCTCCCGCTGTCATGTTTTGTATCCGCAGTTACTCTTTCATTCCAGAATTAGGCCTGTCTCAGACAGGCAGACTAAGGTACAATAAGAGGTCAAAGGGGCGCGGGAGTGTGTCTTACAAAGGAGAACAAAGGGAGTAAACGGGGGAGAAGGAGGTGGTTTGATCTACTGATTTTCTGGCCAGATGTCTACTAACTAATCAGGTGGTTTGAGGGTTAACATTCACCAGAGGTTAGATCCCATAAATCCACTATCATATCTAACAGGGCTTGGGTTCTTGGGTGTTCAGGATGGGAAAATCCATTGACTTTGAATTTATCATCATCAGGCACTTCTATTGACGGTCCGTAGAGACTTCACCCAATCCTTTATCCTTGGAAGTGGTATCCGCTGTCTATACTTCTAGTGGGTCTCGATATTCTCCATCATAGGCCGTTGCCCAGTAAGTCATACATCTCAACAGAAGCCATAACACAAGTCATATATACAGTCTATTGGTTCTTCTCTCCCACGTCTAAAGCCACCAGAAAACGACTAACGCAATTGTATGCCGCCACAGTGGCGGTGATTTCCACAACCTCTTGATCGTTAAAGAACCCCTTCAGTTCCTGAAACACTTCGTCGGGCACAGCGACGGTCGTCGTCATGGCATCGGTGTACTTGATGACAGCGCTCTCGGCCGCGCTGATGACATTGTCCCGAACAAGCAGAGAGAGGTCCGCCTGCGCATCGCGGACTACACTGATCGCATCCTCACTGAACCCGCCGTCCCGCAGCAACGGCGCATGGTGCTCCCATTCAAACCATGCCCCGTTGAGGACGGCCACGCGGCAAATGATCAGTTCGCGGATGACTTGGGAGAGACTCGTTCGAGTGCGAATGGCCCCGAGGAACGAGTTCCAACCGTCCGCGACGGGGAAGGAGTGCAGAAGAGCGCGGTCCAGTGGGATGAGGCCGCCGGGGCCACGTCGGGCTTGCACTCGAGCCAGGATATCGGCCTCTTCGGGAGTGTTGGTTGGTGGGGCATCGGGCACATATGGGAGACGCATGGTGAAATGGACGGATTCCGAGCGGTTTTTCAGGCCAGAACTAAAGGTACTTGGCTTCTTGACTGCCAGGTGGGTTAACTGTCAATACATTCCGGCTGGAATTGATGTGGGGTGTTGGGTTTCATACTAGTGAGTTAATACCCCTCTCTATTCTTTCTGAGAATCTGTTGATGACCGGTTGTGACTATGCGTATCCTTAGTAAATCCACACAAGCTGCAAAGCGCAATCGCTCTCGAGTAGAACCGACGTGGGGGACTGCCATCATTTAAGCGTCTTCCAGCTTGCACCCCACGGGCCGCGGGAAGGGTCCGCTGCGGCCTGCGGGTGAGCCGAGCCAGTGAGATGTAGGTATACGAAGTATAGGAGGTATGTCCTCTGTATAAGTTGCGCGATTTGGTTTCTATAAGGATTGGCTGAACACTCTGCGTAAAAACGGTACGTCTACGTCTGGGAACGCACCTAGTGTATGTAATCCGTATATTCGTCGCAGAGGAAAGTCGCAATTGCTCCGCTGGCCTTCGGTAAGCTTTCCGTTCAGCGGCCCGGTGTTTATTCTTTGCCGCAGGTTCATGGGTGCATGAGCTCATTCAATGTGAAATTGCAGCAATGCAAGTTTTGAGGGACTTACGTCTCAGTTGGAGCATGTGAGAAGGACTGGACAACAACAGAATGTGCATACTCCGTAGGTAGTACATTGAATGTAGAAGACCTATATGCCTGAGGCAATCCGCCAAAGCATTTTGCTACTGTAAGAGGATCCTGGTATGTGGAAAACGGCCATAATTTATAAGAGTCAGTCCTTCAAATAAATATAGCTATATAGATACATACTTTTCTTCCCTAAGTAGTTGATCGTCCTTGACCGATTTAATTTGGTTTTTCGAGTATTTTCAGTTGCATACAGAGCCTACGTACCAGCAAAATATATACCCGAATTAGAACACGAGGTACCAATATTCATGCACAACTACCAGCCTCAAATTCAGCCCGAATAACTGCCTTAAGATAAATCCCGACCAATTCCGATGACGCATCCTAGACTATTTGGAAACAAACACAAAACTATACAAAAACACACCTGCACACGTAATGCCATCTAGAGTCTACCATAAAGCTGCACGCTAACGCTTCTTTGGCGCAGGTCATCTCCGTCTCCACCGCCCAAAACATCATCCCGGGCGTGATCAAGTCCACCTCTGTCCATCAGTGTCCCTAGCGACCACTACACAAACAAACAAACACCCTCTGCTGCAAGCCATCCACTTCCGACCGGCACCATGCGTCCTAAAGGTGGCAAGCCGACCAGCGATGAGCTTCTCGCTCAATTTGACAATCTCGGCGTCGAGGACTCCGGCGCCGACAAGCAGGCGTCCCAGCCCGCTGCTGCACCTCCCGCTGCGCAGTCCGAACAGGACATCCTGGCTGAATTGGATAATCTAGCTTCCCAGCGTCCAAGCAGTATTCCTGGAACTCCGCGGGCCTCTACTAATGAGCCTAGACCCGTCATCAAGTCGCCCAAGCCCGCTGCGGCGGCGGCGACCACCCCCTCCACCGGCCGATCCAGCGAAGAGAAGCCCACTCCACGCAAATCAGAGGAGAGCGTTCCCTCGGCTCGTGCGACAGCTCAGGCCGATAATGTGCAGAAGTCGGTGTCTGAAGCTCCTGCGACAGAGGAGACCCCTGCTTCTGGTGGCGGTGGTGGATGGTGGGGAGGTATCTTCGCAACGGCCAGTGCCGCCATGAAGCAAGCCGAGGCCGCTGTGAAGGAGATTCAGCACAACGAAGAAGCCCAGAAGTGGGCTCAACAGGTTAAAGGCAATGTCGGTGCGCTGAAAGATTTCGGTACGTATCCCTCTCCTACGATCTATGTATGATATATCTGACTCTCGGTTCTTCTAGGTGGTGAGCTCCGGAATATGGCGATCCCTACCTTTACCTCCCTCATCCACACCCTCGCGCCCCCGATCTCGTCCCATGAACGTCTCCAAATCCATGTGACCCACGACTTTTCCGGCTATCCCAGCCTGGACCCTCTGGTTTACGCCGTCTTCTCTCGCGTGATGTCTCAGGTCGAAGGTGGTGACCTCCTCGTGATCCAGCGAGGCCAGGAATCGGCACCCAGACGCGGAATCGATATCACTGGTGCTACAGCGGGCTGGCGCGATGGCCCGTGGTGGCGCACAGTTACTCCCGGGAACCCTCGAAATCTCTCCGCGATTCGCGGCTCCGTCGAAGCGACCAAGCTGGCGCGGGCCAGTGCCGAGGGGTATGCGGCGGAGTTTTTCTCGGCCAAGGGCGGTGTCGAGGAAGCCGCGAAGCAGGCCAGCCAGGTCCTGAGCGAGACGAACCCTGTGCGAAACAGCGACATCTTCCTGGCCATTCAGGCGATCAGCCAGACCTCGTCGACGGAACTGTTCCAGGCGGGCCCGACCACGGACAAGGCCACTCCCTCCGGCGTGGTGGACGTTCCCGACGCGACCGAAGAAGAGATCACCTTCGCCCTGTACCTGCACGACCCCATCCACGGCATCGCCTTCCACACGGTGTCCCAGGCTGTGCCGCAGAAATGGATCGAGTGGCTGGACTCCTCGGCCCCGGCCGTTGGGGAAACCAACCCTGAAGAAGAGATCCCCCGCGCCGTCGTGCCGGAGGAGATCGCCGAGATCGTCGAGAGCGGCGGCGTGGACCCTCGCGAATGGGCGGCCGAATGGATCGAGGAGGCCCTGTCTTTGGCCACGGGAGTCGTCGCGCAGCGCTACGTGGCGCGGAGAATGGGCGTGGGCGAGGCGGGAGTCGCCAAGGGCAAGATGCGTGCTGAGCAGGCGTCGGCCGTGGAGAGCGGAGCGGGAGAGGTTGCGCGGGCGCTTTAGAAAGTTGGCTTCGCTTGACTTTTCTCTCTTTTCTTTCGTGTTGCTATTCTTCCATGTCTGTCTACCTTGCCGTTTGTTGATATGCCAGTATTCCATGATCAGATGATACTCACCCTCCATCCCTCATATAATGTGTTCCACTTCATGTGTTATTTTCTTGCGAATCGTGCCTGTTTCGTATTAATGGGTGATAGCGATGTTAATCCCAAATATAACCATCAGACGAGATACGTGGTCCAGCTTGTACATAGCAGATAACCCTAATGGGGTATGTCTCATCCTAGTATTGTCATTAGGTCTTACGAGATACTGCTGCCATTACTGCTGCCATCCAATGCGAACTCCGACCCTATGGAAGTAGAAGTAGAAGTAGTAACAAAAACAAGAACCTTTGCGGGTATCTATCTATCATATCAACTAACGTCACCCCTTTTAAACATCCTCATCCCTCTTTTCTTTTCATGAAATCAATTGCCCAACTCCAACGGTCCATCCAGCCCGGGCACATGCCAGAAATTCGCACAGAGGGCCGTCACACTAGATTTGGTTCTGTTAGCTTCGGGGCTCGATAGTTTTCACCTTTCAGATATGGGAATCTACAACATACCTAACATTTCCATTCAGCACCGTATGCGCATCCGTCCCCTCCTCACTAGCCTGCAGCGCCTTCTTCATATCCGATAGCTGCGCGGACCAGTTGAAACTGCGCTCCTTTAACCGCGACGAGGACCCGTTGACTGCCTTGGCGGCGCCATTGGTCAGTGTCGTTCCGTTTGTCAGGCCGTTCGTCGTTGTTGTCGTTGTCGTCTTCTCTTGCGCCGGCTCCTCGGCGTACAGGTATCCCCGGGCCCAGTAGTACGGCAGGGCGCGGGTATATTGAATCGGTTTGGTCTCGACATCGGCCCGCATGGGAATATTCAGGTTATACAGCTCGACGCGCTCGTCCCAGTGGCGCGACAGGTGGTCGACGAGCTTGACGGCGAGTCGCGAGGCGGCGGAGATGGTGTCGGCGGGCTGGGGGTCCTTGCTGCCGAAGGAGATGGCGATGGCGCGCTTCCCGCAGGTCGCGGCCTCGAGGGCGCCGCCGACGGTGCCGGACGAGAGGTTGTAGATGGTGGAGGCGTTGCGGCCGTGGTTGGGGCCGGAGATCACGAGGTCGAAGGGCCCGCGGTCCGCGAAGAGGTTGAAGAGGCCGAGTTGCACGCAGCTGGCGGGCGTGCCGTTGCGGATCACGACCCATTCATCGCGGTCATCGGTGGATGCGCATTCCTCGTCCCAGGTGGCGTCGTTGCGGAAGGCGGCAGGCGGCACGTAGGTGGCTCTCAGGGAGGCTTCGATCAGATGCGCCTTGCCGATCCAGGAGCGCGAGGCGGCAGGGATGGCGACGGAGACGACATGGCCGGCGTCTTGGAGGGCATTGACGAACGGGAGGATGTAGGGGGAGAGTCGGCTGCACGGCGGACCGTCATCGTTGACCACCTGTTGATCGCATGGCGCATATGATTAGTTTGAAGAAGAGCCTAAGGTGGGTGTGGGGGGTACAGATAGCATCGGGTGACCTGAGGGTCAATCCAGCTATTGGATGACAGTCGAAGGTCAAGAAAGACAAGAAGATGGTGGAGAAAGAAAAGAGAACCTACCAAGATATGCATGATGGAAGTCAAATCAACCTGAGGGTTTGCGATACTTGGCGCAGAGTAGACGGAGGACAAGATAGACTGAGAGTCTAGAACCACGGATGGATCAAGTAGAAGACGAGAACAGCTTCGATTGGGCCTTCGACCCGTTGAAGGCCATCGTCAAGTACTTATAATTGATAAAAACGGTGAATCTGGAGAAAGACTCCAGCAGTTGTTCCTACTTACCCCGACATGCCGAAGACAAGCCGGGGATGAACTCTCCAATTCGGTCACGGTGAAGCCGCTGTCCTTGCGGGGGGATGTTTCCATACCGTCACGTTCCACTGGATCTGATTGATTTGCGTGCATAATGGTAAAGATACAGGTATGGCTGTGACGGAGAACCCGATGGGCACCGAAAAGAGACTGCGGTGAGCGTTGAGCATCGTGGGGGGGATTCCGATGGGAGAAGATTCTGTCTGGTAGATGAGGACGGTCATGTCCAGAGTATTCAGAGTATTTTTGGGAGGGTCATCGTGGACGTGGTGCATATACTTCCGAGTATACCTGGAAAGTATATCTGTGGACTTCTATTTCTTCTATTCCTGCTGTGGCTGCAGGGTCCCCATGCCAATAATCTAATTGTTCTTATTATTTCTCTTCTTCCTCTCTCGGACTGACAGGCGACTTCGGACCCTGACCAAAGTGGACTCGCCAGTGCAAATTTTTCCCTGACGAAAGACTTCTAGAATGATTATTATTCTTAGATGCCCTCCCACCCAGACCATCCGACTGGCGCCAACCATTTCCTCGGCGGGTCCTCCGTGCCTTGGTCTTCTGGATCTCCCATTCAGCTCCGTGCAAGCGACACATGGGCCCGTGTCGCACGGAGGACTGATCCCCGTTGCAGGTTTCCATGAGTGATTGCGTCGCGTAATCCTCAGCCTTCAGCATGCAGTCCTGATCTTCCGCCGAGAGACAATAGTCACTGTGTGCCCTGACTATTGGGCTTTCTGCCTACGGATCACCGGACGAGGAGGGCGTGACGAGGACCGTAGTTGTAGTTGGTGGATCGCCATATAACTGCTTTAAGACCTCCCCTCCACTTCGGACCTTGGGAGATTTATTGTAGTACGTTTCATTCAAGGCCTGGTCAGTGCGGACTTGTAAGGAAGCTGGCCTTAGTCAGTTGTGTTGCCAATTGTTATTAGCGGACGACCGATCGCCGCAAAATCTTTGGTGGGGAAACACTTCACAGCCCGGTCGAATTTCTACTCTCACCATCAGACCATCATCATCCCTCCGTCTTCCACCTCACTACCGATCGCATCTCCATCCTCCCATCCCACCCCCTTACGGCTTTTTTTTACCCCATCGTCGGTGCGAGGGTTCAGCGCTTCCCTCCTGCACCATCCGTCGCTCGTTCAGAGGCCACAAGCCCGCCGACGCGCGTCGAGACCTTGTCAGCTTCTCGAGGTCGTTCACGCTTACTTCCCCCCTCCCTCGATCCCCTGGATGGACTGCGGGAGCACTGGTACGGCTGCGGGCATCGACCCCAAAATTCTCGATAACTGGCAAACGGACGCGGCTTTTTCCATCCCGTCTTGGGAACACTCGACTTACGAGCATCCGCTTGATTGGGATACGAGCCAGGATTCGAGCCAGGCCGATGGAGAAATTGTCGATGTAACCGCCCAGTATGGGCCTCTGGCGAAAGACCAGCCGGATGCCTCGTACGCGGCACAAGCAAACGGTTATCGAAGAGGCGACAACAGGTGCGTCACCGGCCCCTCTTCCCCTCTTAACCCCTGATGATCTACCAAACAATCCGGAAAAGAAAGCACGTGGCGGACTGACGGCTTCTCTCGCAGCAGCAAACAATCTACCACCTCGCCCGATAAGTTCAGCATCGCCGATGCTACCATCGAAGGAACCATCAGTGGCACCGTCAGCCCGAGAACGCTGCCTTCGGCCGATGACAACTTTCACCTGGATGATTCATGGCCTCAATACCAAATGTTCAACACCTTGACGGCCGGGGTCCCCATGGAGAATCCCCTCCTTTACCAATACGCAAAGGATCCCACCGCTTCTGGAAATACCGTCATCGTCGAGGATGTCGGAGAGCTTTCCCAGGATCACGGGTTCCCAGACATCTCGCCCGACCAGTTCCTTTCGTTCCAGAACATGCCGCAAGCGTTCCCATTTCCGCCGACCGACACCTGGCCCGAGCCGTCGACAAGCCCTTCTACTACCGACCACATGGGTAACTCAATGCAAGTACCGATTCCGATGGGCTCTCAGCTGCCAAACAAAAATGTCAATGCCATGCGCGCCTTCCACGGCTCGATGCGCTCGCTTGAATCTCGCTGGCTCGAGAGCCTCGAGTCCCAACTGCCTACAAACATGACTCCTGCGTCGATGCCGACTGTTCCGCAGGATCCCGGTCTGTTTAGAGACAACAAAGAACAGGACGGGTTCCAGTATAAATCGGAAAGCTCGTCCGTGTCGGGCGATTTCTCCGGAGTTTACGAATGCTCCTACTCCGCTACTAGCGACGAGCCTTCGGCGTTCCCCGAACGGAAGTTGAACGAAGACGCCTCGTGGAACGCACAGAAGGACGAGGCGTCGGAAGTGTCTCAACCTCTCCAGAGTGCTACTGCCTATATGGTCAGCGAGACCCCATCCGAGCCGGTCCTTGGCTCTGCTCCCTCGAGATCTAGGGCGTCGTCCAATGCTGCGCAGCGGGCGAATGCTCGACCGCAAGCCCTCGGGCTTCAGTCCGTGGCGACCGTTAGAAAACGCAAGCAGCGTTCCTCCAACGGTTCGATAGATGGCCTGCCAAAACCGCTTCAGATCGTGCAGGAAGATGGACAGGGCGGCTCGATTGCCTCGGCCGATTTTGTCTCTCCGCCACGTGGTGCGCGCCGCAAGGGACCTCTGTCCATGGTAGGCCGGGCCAATGCCGGTTTGCGGAGGAAGAACAAGGATACCTGCGTCCAATGCCGCTTGAATAAGCGCAAGGTTGGTTTCTCATTGGCTGGTAAAACGTGGCTGAGTGGAAACTGATTTGGTTCATCTAGTGTGATGGCAATGCTCCGTGTGATGCATGTCGCCCTACTCTTCACGAACAGCCATGTGCGCGGGCTTGTTTCGCCAACATTGTCGAGTACGGAACGTGCAACTACATCTGTATGCATGGCTTGACCTTCATTTTTTGATTCATTGCTGACGTGATATAGCCCAACGAGCGGTCAATCATCCTACTTTAGATAGAACTGGCCGAGTCCGAATGGAGATTCCTGTCGAATTCGACCTAAGCGATCTTCTCACATTCCTTGGCGAACGGCAAGGTCGCTTCAACATTCGTGCCAGCCAATCTTGGGGATCGCTCTACGTCCTCGACCTGGGCGAGACTTACAAATTTCTCCGAAGCCTGAGTGACTACAACGGCAACTCTCGGTCCAACTTTTTGGAATTCATTGATCGACGGATCGTGGAGTCGAAGGATAAATCGAAGAACTGGCTCACTTGTGTCAAAGACTGTGATCCAATGAACAATATCTACGTGAGTCCTCATTGCTCGATTTGCACCAATTCTGTTACTAACCTGGAGCTACAGTCTCTTCTCTCACAATGGAACAACATGCCCAGCCGTGCGAGCTACAGTTTTGTTCCAATCCAATCAGGAGGCCAGGAACGGCCAATGGACATCCACAACCCGGATGACCAGCGTGAGATCCTTCTAGCGGCCCAGCTATCTCGAATTGTCTGCCGCATGCTGGAAGTGGAGGGTTTCCGCAAGCTGGAGCGAGACTTTTACAACATCAAATGGAAGCAGATCTCTCAGGAAACGCACCTGCGCTTCCTGGGCGAGCTGGGCCATATTCTTCTCACTCTGCGCTGGCGAGTTTCTTGGTGGAAACGCCTCGGCGACGGCGGCCGCAACCCGGACCCGACAAAGCAACACTATGTCGAGCGAGTCGATCTGCTGTGCAGGATTCTTTACGTTTACTACACTTGCGTGCTGGCCAAGCTTCCTTCGTGGTCTGTTTCTGAAGTCCCTAAGGGAATCTGGTCTACCTATCCAGACTCTGAAACTGCCATCTGGGACGACTTCCCAGTGGATCCCAGTGACGACGGTTTCCAGAGCTGGATGGACCGGGGCCAAGAGCTTATCGATGAAGCTGGTGTTCAGAAGCGTTCTCCCAAAGCCTAGATGCCTGGGATGTCTGAAGAACACAAAGATCGCGCGGTGGATGGATTGATTGGATTGAAATGAGTTTGAGATACCCTTTTTTCTAGCGTTTCTTGCGACCTCTCTGCTTTAATGACTGATGATTTGTTCTGGCTTTTTACAAATTCAGGATTTAGTTTCACTTGGAGTTCTATGCCGTTGCAATTATAGACTTCTGTGTTGTATGTATCTTTGTGTGTACATACATGTTATCTTTACATATAATTTATCTAGACTTTTTTCCAAAATCAGAGCTCTTCGTAGAACCCATCGTAATCTATTCTCACCTGCCAAAAAAAGACCACAAAGCGAAAGAGTACACAAGGGTATCGTCTGGTTTCATTAATCATAGTGTACTGTATACTATATTGGCGAACAAATGGGCGACCTCCATCAATCAATCAATTCTTCCATGCATCATCCCTCGGACCATCTTTCTACCCATTCCGTTTATTTCTTCGCACCCTGCTGCTTTCCCTTCTCGGCCGTCTTCTTCTTATCCTTCTTGCCACCAGCAAGCAGTTCCAGATGACCCGCCCGCTCGGCGAGACTTCTTTCCGTTCGCGTAACCAAACCAGCCGTGAGTTTCTGTTGAACAAAAGCTCGAGTTAGCACAGCATTCCTGATTCCCTTCTCTCTCTTTGACTGTCATGACACCTCGGACCTCGTTCTCCAGAGAACTAGATCCTGAATGGAAAGAATGTCGCAATAGGCGAAAAAGACTAAGCCAAAACCGCAATAACTCACCTTGGTGATCTTCTTCTGCTTCACCAACGAGGCCTTCTTAGGCGCGATCTGACGAGGTCCGGGCTTGGGACCGAGGGCTGTGTGCCTGGATGGTGTGCGGCGTTAGTCTATGAATGATTCGCAAGTCTGAATATCCAATCCGAAGCAGATACGGCGCATTCTGCGGCTGCACCACCGGAACCTCCGATAGCTTGCGCTTGTAGCGTTCCGAGGGGGGAGGGGAATACCGTTTTGTAGAGGCGGTGTTCGCCTTGGCCTTCTTGAGAGATCCTTGAACCATTTTTGCTTCGGTGTGATAAGATATACAGGAGGAGGGTACTGCCAGCAGCACGGCGATGATTTGAAGGTGTGTTGTATGGGGAGGAGATAACGATCAAGACAGTCGAGCTGAGGTGAGGTCTGGACGGGTTGATGGCGGAAATTATTTTTCTGGAGAAAATTGCTTATCGCCTCGTTATCGGTCACGTGGTGCTGATCGCTGTGGGTGGGTTTGCAGTTGAAAGATTTTGGGATTTGGTGTTAATATTATTTTGTATAGGATTTGGTTCTTTATTTAATTTTTTTTTTTTTAGTAATACGTATGTGAGGGAAGTGCTGGTCGGTGATTCTAGAAGAATAACTAGAGGGAAAGTGTCCAAAGTCCTGTACTTTCAGTGGGACTGTTATCTGGTGGAAATAGACGGCATACCATCACACAATATCCCGGTCGTACTACACACTACTATAGCACTAAACTAGGTAGACTTGACACCTCTTCAACCTCTCCAACGAGTTTCAGTTTATTTGTCAATATCAACCACCTCGTCGGACAGATGCAGTATAACCAGTCTCACAAACCAACACTCTTTGTTTCATCTCACCCACCCAACAAACAAACCCATGTTTCTGGGATCGGGAACATGCAGCCGACAAGCCACAGCAGAAACGAAGGATGCACATGTATTATTCCTTTCGTACCTGTGCGGATGGCGCAGGAAGAGGATGCGAATCCTGCATGTTTACCTGACTGACAAACAAGGCTTCGTACGAAGTATCAGAAACTCGAAACTATGATCTACAAATGAAACATCTAGAGACAATCTCCAACAAACTACCATCGCATTGTAATCCAATAAACATAGAAGAGTACGTATTGTGTAAGGGGAAAAGAAAGGAGACCTGTCACGCAAACAATCAGGAGACAACCATGTCTCAGTCACTCAGTGCTAAGGCCGCCACAACCACGAACAGGTGACTCAACGTTTGATTGCAACATAAATTAATTTCCTTCCATCTGTTCTAGCTCGCCTTGTTGGTTTTTAGGCTGATAGATGAAGAGTGGGACCATGAGGTTGATCAGGTCATTTATCCGGAGTCTGTGATTATGGAGATTGGGAAGAAGACGAGGTTTGGTGAATGGATGATCGACATAGTGAATGTCTTTTGTCGGGGAATCTTGGGTGAATACGGTAGACTGGTACGATTTGGTGAGTTGTTCAAATCTATAACGTACCGCACGTACAAAATATCGTATCTCATGGTTGGCCACTCTGCTGAGAGCCGGAGACTGGGATGAGAGCTAGAAGGGAGGATGCTTGAATCTAACATAGTGTAAGGCACAGACCATGTCGGATTCGTGACGCGTCGTTAGAAAGACATTTAATTAATCAAGGCGACTAAGTTATCTCTTTAGCGTAGGCAGTCATATTGCGAGATTATAATGGATCCTGTAATCCGTACTACCGGCTAACACAGGAGAAGCAACTTGAATGGACATCAAGTAAAACTTTGGATTCTGAGCTATGCGATCACACAATTAAGGGGTTGAAATACATTGCTAGAAAAAAAAGACAAGAGGCTTCACATAGATCATGAAAAGCGGGAGAAAGGAATGCACAAGATCTCCTCAAGGGATTTAGAAAGCAAGAACGGCCAGAACACCGGCAGCAACGGCACCGAAGCTGATAACGTTGCGGTCAGCGGCACCGGTGAAGAGGGGGTTCGAGGGGCCAGTCGAGGAAGGAGTGCCGGAGGGCACGGACGAGCTGGCCAGAGTGGTGGGCTTGTTAGGCTGGCCCGGGCGGACGGGAGTGTTGCTGGGAGAGACACCGGGAACACGGCCGGTACCGATCAGAGGAATGCTGGAAGAAGCAGGCTTGCCGGTAGGGTGAACAGCGCCCTCAGGGCAGATGGTCGTGGTAAAGGTCTCATACTTGGTGGAGTAGGCACCGTGGGTCGTAACAGCGGCAGGAGCGGTGGTAGCAGCGGCCTTGGCAGTGGTAGAAGAAGTAGAAGTCGAAGAAGAGGAAGAAGAAGAAGAAACAGCCTGGTTGGGGTTCTTGACACCGAACTGAGTGGAGTACTGGTACTGACCGGTACCCTCGTCAATGAGCAAGAGACCGTAGTGGGTGACGTCGTCCTCGAGCGAGGTGCTGGGAGTCCATTCGAAGCGGCCAGAGTTGGGGATCTGCTCAGCGATGGTGTCGATGGGGACGACGTTGGTGCTGGGGCCACGCATGAGGACCAAGGAGACGGGGCCCTTGGTGGTAGGATCCCAAGTGATGACGAAGTTCTGGCCAGCCTCGACCTGCTGGTTCAGGCCGGGAGTGTAGATGGCATTGCCAGTGGGGGCCTGAGAGTAGTCGGGGTCGCGGTGAGCAGAAGCCAGAGCGGCGACGACCGAGAAGATAGCGGCGACGGAGAAACGCATTGTGGATGGATTTCGAGATTTGTTTCTTTTCTTCTTAGAACTGATCGAGATGATAAGATTCGAGGAGAGTAACTGGGAGGTGGATTGCGGAGAATGCAAGTAAAGAATGAATGACTGAGTGGGATGGGTAGGATAAAAGAGTGACTACCGTGGGAAAAGAGCGACGAGGGATAGATAGATGGGTATCGATCGAAGAGAGAAAGTAAAAAGAAAAGAGAAAGGAAAGGAAGAGGAGGGGGGGGGGGGAAGGGGGCAAAATAAAAGGATCCGGGTTGGAGGTGAGTTGCACTGGAGTGTCACACTCACAGCGAGCTAAGCCTTCGCGAATTCCCCCCCTTCGAAAGGGGAGATTATTGCCTCATACACCGTCCAAGCTGCGGCTCACTTGACTTGTGGATCACGGACGGAGTTGGGACCTGAACTAGACAAAGGCAAGTGGACATCTCGCAGGGTTCGATGGCCATTGGGACTCTCCTACTTTCTACTCCGTACGCTTCTAAGCAGTCTAATTACATCGCGGCGCTGTTAGCCCACCGCGCAAACTCAGGAATGTGGGAATGTTTGAACCTTGAAGGGCTGGAAGGAAGCAAGAATGTTACCTCACGAGAGGGGCAGGCCCTTTCCACCTGCAGCAATTCTTAGTTCCATCTTTAGCCTGTATAGATCTCTCCAACCAGAGCCAGGGTTGGGGGTGCCTGAACTGTTGACCCTGCGAGCGTTGGCAGGGATTGGCGGAGATTTACAATTCACTACCCAGTCATTTGCCAGGCACTAAAGGACAGGAACCAAAGAAACTTCATCGAGGAGGGGCCCGAGGGGTCAGACAAGATGGTAGTCTCGTGGATCCTGTGGCTAAAAGGGCATCTAGTAGCGGACTAAGGGCCAACGGTGCCGACTGGTAGTGAACTGTATCAGCCCAACGTTGTATTATTATTATTATTCTGGAGGAATCACTGTACCCTGTATCTGCAAGATACTTCAAATCCTGCAATTATAGGACAAACGGTGAATGACCAGGATGAACGGCAGAGTGCATGCGGAGGGATGTGCAGGAGGCAGAAACGTGAAGGGGCAGAAAACAAGAAAATCAAAAGCAAAAAGGGCGGCCCGAGGCATCAAAGCCAGGGATCTCTCGTGTTTTCCCAACTTCTCCCCGTTCCTGCATTTTCCCATTTTCCCATTTTCCCCTCGCCGCATGTCTCATTCTAACTTCCGGAAAATATCCGAGTATCTGAGACCTTGTTCCTAACTTCTGCTCGACGATGGAGGCTCTCCAGTATTTTTACATTTCCACCTCGTTAGTTTAATTGCCTGCTCCAGCGTGGCATGGCGCTTTGTGCGTCTAGATGAGTCCACGTCAGAATCCGAGATGAGAATGCGACGCCACGAGACTGGATGCAGTTAATGGCATCTCGTTAAACGAGGGCGATTGATTAATGCCAATTTCGCAATCTCAGTAAGATTATCTTGTCCCCCACCCAACTGGAAATCGCCCACACACCGGTTTCAGTCGATCAACGACTCCTATGCAAGAACCGGGCGGACTTGTTCAACTCCCGAAGCCTTCATGTTGATAAGCTGATAACTCGCCCGATCCCCGCAAAGGGATGATCGCAACTTGGGATGAAGTCATTCTTTGTCTTCTCTCGGGGATGATGTTCAACCCCCGTGTCGCTCATTTCTTGTTCCTGACCTGGTCGGTGGAGCCGCTCGGTCCTATGGCCACTAAGAAAGGGACAAAGCCTGCAAGTTTAATTGCGGTGTACCAAGGAAATTGGTCACGAAGAGGGGGGAAATAACCGACGGCGACAACCACGGTGTACGGAGTAAAGAGAAAACGTGGGAAAAGCTCCGAGAAACGCCGCCATCGGCCTGCAGCGTGACTGATCGCAGGAACTGCTCTCTCTCTCTCTCTTTTCCAAAATGGAAAGTCGGCGCTACCATCGCCAAATGGTGTCCTATCAAATAGCCACCAGTGTGCCCCAGAGCAGGAATTTTCGGTGGCGTCCGAAACTAGCGCGGGTGTCTCTCGTTCTGATTCCTGACTTGCACCCTACGATCAGTCATCCATCGGCTTGTGGAGATGGACTCAACGGAGGCCTAAGCTAAATTACACTAACACGAACGGATGTGGTACGGAAGCCAAGAAGTCTTTGACCAGTGTGGATTGTGAGACCTCATCCACTGTCTAAGGCACTGTCTCACCTCTGCTTAGAAGACTCAGCTTATCTATTTACAGCAACAGATTCACTATATATGGATGTTCAAAGGCTAACAACGGAGTCGCTAACCTGAGAATTGGGATGCGATCGACAAACACCTGTTGGAGTCATGGCCCATGGACTCCAAGCCTGAAAATATGGTCAAACGACTTCCAAGGTCGCACTAGACTACCCGAGCATTCTAGTCGCCATGGCTATTGCTCACACAACCCACGGAACAAGAAGCAATAGTACTATCTTTTGATTTTCCGGATGGGGAAAAGCATACTGCGTTCCCAAAATATCTCCTAAAGTTTTGACTGTTGCTATTACGCTCGATCCCCATCATTGGTTCAATCGCTTGGCCCCCAAATAGTATGGAACTATGAATATCGCCATCCAGTGGATTGTTTCGCACCCGTCGTTCTCATGGCGAACCGGCCTTATGCCAGTCTAATTATTTACTAACACTTCAAGCATTCTGCGGACCAAACTATTGTGCTCCAAACTCAAAGAAAGACCGGCCTCTGACCCCGGCAAAGTTTATCAATTTTCACTCTACTGCACCCATGTCACCGTCTTGGTTTGCAGCCACTCGTCGTACCCGGAAGTTCCCCCGAAGCGGCCGAATCCGCTGCTCTTCCATCCTCCGTGTGGTAGCACGGGCTCGTCATGTATAGTCAGGGAGTTAATGTGGACAGCACTAAACCACGATACGAGTGACGATGGTCAGTAAACCGGAAAATACTCGGGCTTCAAGGAAGAAACAACTCACCCGGACTCGATCTGCTTGGCTACCTTGAGTCCTCGGAACAAATTGTTCGTGAAGACTGCGGACGAAAGCCCGTACTCAGTGTCATTGGCCAGCGCAATAGCGTCATCTTCGTTGTCGACTGTGATCAGGGAGACAGTTGGACCAAATGACTCCGCAGAATACAGATCCATGTCCTTGGTGACGTTGCCGATGACCAAAGGTCGCATACTGTTGGGGCACGATTCATGAGCGTTTGCGTCACCAAAGACAACATCTGCCCCTTTGGCCAGCGCGTCTGTTACCAGGCGCCTGTTCTTTTGGACCGCAGCGGACGCCACAAGCACCGGCGCTGCCGCATGCCGGCCAAAGATCTTCTCCGATGCCTCGATCAGCAATTGACGAAATTGTGGCGCGACAGATCGCTCTACAACAATACGCTCGGTAGACATGCAAACTTGACCCGACTAACACTGGAATTAGTATCATCGAGCCACCCGGAAAAGGAATGATATCGTACATGCATAAAGGCCCCAAGGGCGCAACACGTGGCAGCCTTCTCTAGATTGGCATCATCCAAAACAATGGCAGATGCCTTCCCTCCAAGTTCGAGGAGTACCGGCTTTACGTATCTGCCAGCCGTGGAAGCGACGATTCCGCCAACAGCCGTACTGCCCGTGAAACTAATCTTGCGTACGGCAGGGTGCGCAATGAGGGCCGTGGTGACAGCCGACGCGTGCGATGTCTGATGATAGAGCACGTTGAGGCATCCTGCGGGAAGACCGGCCTCCCGGAAGATATCACCAATCGCCCAGAAGCACCTTGGCGACAATTCGGAGCCCTTCAAAATAGCCGTGTTGCCTGCTGCGAGGGGCAGCGCTACGGAGCGCGTACCAAGGATGTAGGGGGCGTTCCTGAGGCAGATAATGAGTATTCACCTTGAAGATAAGTTGGACTTTTCGTTATTCCAACAGGTGGGGAAAGCCTACCAGGGCGCAATCCCCAGGATCACCCCATATGGTTCTTTGAAAACCATTGCGCATCCATCTTCCGACACAGAGGGCACAGATCCTTCAATCGAAGGAATCCTGGCCGCGAAATCCTTGATAAAGCTCACACCCATCATGAAGGTTTTCTCCACGAAGAGCCTTCCGGCGCCCGTTTCTTCCATTTGGTATGCGATCAGCTCCTCCTTTCGCGACAGCATAATATCCGAGGCTCTGATCAAAATGTCTCTGCGATCGTATGGTTTCGTTCTGCTCCACGCAGGAAACGCAGCCTTGGCAGCTGCTGCGGCACGATTGGCATGTTCGATCGACGCGCTGGCGCAATGTTCGATCACCTCACCATTTGCAGGGTTGTGCACCTTGAATACCGTGTCTGTAATGATCGACTCATTGTTGATGATGAGGGGGATGATGCTTCGACCACCATTCGTGTCGGTCGAACCCATGTTAACTTTCTGGCTTTCGGTCCAGGTTAAATTTCAAAGTTAAATAAAATAAGGTAGATAGAATCAACGGGCAGTGTTCTGAGACTGGAGAAACTGTCTACAGAATATCGCTATGGAGTGGGAGTTTGAGCGAGCAGAGAATGACAAGGGGTTAATGAAGAGAGGAAGAGAGGAAGGAGGTGGGGGGGGGGGGAGACAAAGAAACGGTCGAGGGATCTACATGCATGACGGATGGCGCGACGTTCAGAACCGTTTTAACCCTCGCAGAGACGGGCCTGTCTTGGGAAGTGAGGGGAGCCAATCTCGGTACTTCTCCCCCCGGAGTGCAACCGACCTGTTCATCATCCACTAATCACTGTCCATTTCCAGGTAGGGTTCATGGGCGACGGCAAGGGAGATGAGCGAATCTGGATCCGGTTCGAGAACTAGTCTACTTACTTGGCAGGCTGGCACGTTTCGCTACGGCTTACTATTAAGCAGGGGTGCGAGTCGTGACAGAAGTTCATAAGAGTTCTGAACTTCTGATCGTTGGCCATGCTTGTCATTCCGTCTCCCAAATTGCTGACGTCGAGTCAGTAGTGCGGAATTCCCCTCCAATCCGTTCTCCACTTGGGACTTATAAGGTTGACAGGCGAAACACGAAAAGACGGGGGACCACTGGCTCAGGGGTGGATTTGGACGACCAGACGGAGTACTCCGTATGTGGAATCCCTTCTGCGGACGACAGTTACACGCATGCGATGTCTCCTAGCAGGAGCATCTTGGATCGTTGAGGACATCCTCCCTCGCGTCGTTGCCACTGGTCCCGTCGCGCCGCTCCATGCCGTGGATGCCTGAACTCTAAGGTGGCCACGTCCCTGGGTCGGCTGCAAACAGAGTTATGTTGAGGAAGGCTGAATGATTTAATTCCCCGCCCCTCAATTATCGCCAATAATTCGCATCGGGTGGCTTGTTCGATCTATTGGAGTCGAGATCCCGGAACTCTTCCCGGGCAAAATCCAATAATGGGTAATACTAGTATATCATATTGACTATTGACTCTATATGAGATGCAGAGAAGTGAGGTTGGCATTGCCAGAGGATATCAAGAAACAGCAAATCGAAACCGTGAACACCACCCATGCATGCTCCAAAGAGCCAAGACCCAAGACGCAGACAATTTTTTCTCAGATCCAACCCCAAAAATAACCATGAACAATTTAAAAACGAGTCCCAAACTCTAATAATCCTGAACAGTGCGCCGGCTAATAAACCCGTTGTGCCCCTGAATCCAGATACCTCATCGAGACGCCTAATGTGAGCTGTCCGATGCGGATATCCTCTTAACTTTTGATTCATTTCCCAGCCCAGATCTTGGTCTCCGACACTGATTTCCCTAGATCTGCAAAGGGACAGGCCGAGGCCGCCGAAGGCGCGCAGCTGCTGGCGATACTGGAGCGATCGTCGTCACTCGAGCTGGTGGACGCGCTGCTATCCCCCAGGATCTTCTTCTCGCCGACATAGCCCTCCTTGTCGTCGGTCGGGATCGTGGATATCTCGTCGGCATATTCCTCGCCGTCGCGGATTCGCCACCTGGCGATGAGGTCGTTTTGGATCCAGATGATTTTGCTGATGGCTCGCACCAGAGCCACTTTGCGGTGAAGGGAAAGGTGAGGATGCGACATCAGCGCTTCGGTGAAGATGTCTTGGATAAAGCCCAGGCAGGCTCCCATGTGGATGTATTCGATGTTGAGGGGGTGCATCCGCTCCGAGGCCGTGTGCATGATACTATTTGAGTCAAGTCAGTCTCCCTTCAAGTCTGATTGGCTGTCGAGGGGAGACAGTACTCACCCTACTTTGTCCAGGTAACGCCAGAACTCCATCTGCGTGGGGTCGGAGCAGAGCTTGGTCAAGTACCACCGCAGGAACATCTTCCGTCGCATGATCTGAGGGCTCTCCTCCGAGTAGAAATCTTCGATCGGGGTCTCATCGGAAGTGTCACGGGTGATGAAGGCGCGGGCCGTGATATCCTGTTCCAGCAACTTCTTATACACGATGTTGACAATGGCCGGGATCAATGCTTTAATGTACTTGGAGCCTGTGGTGAGGGCCTCGACGTCGGCTGGAATACGACAGTTAGGTCGAAAAGTTCGTCTGGTGTGATGGCCGGCGTGGGGACGTTACCTGCATTGAAGTCCAAGAATTCGCGAAGATAATTGATGCGCGCCTCCAGTCTGGTGTACAAAGCCTTCCGACTGACATGCTTTATAGGGCGATTGGTTCCCAGAAGTTCCTCCATGACTACTAGTTGGGATTGGGGTTTGATCGAACGATGAGATAAGCTGAAGATGTTGGATCGGATTGCAAATTACGAACCACTGGGGTTTCTGTTTAACTGATGAGACAAGAGAAGATGGAAAGGTAATGGAAGAATCGAGAATTCCAGAGAATGGTGAGATTTGGTCAGAGGCATGGCATGGTTATATAGATCGATGACCGGGGGGCAGGCGGGACGGAAAGAGAGAGAGGAAAAAAAAGGGCCCCTACCCAGCCATGTGCAGGATCTGGGAGAACATGATCCGGATGGAGACCGACAGACCGAAAAGAATTATCTCAAGGGAATCGAGCTGTTTCAGGCTAGGCAACGATGGAGACCTCGCCTAACGCCTAACACGAAGCACAGATGGTCCGACCAGAGAGGACGACAGAGAGAGAGAGAGAGAGAGATCCCGAAACTTGGCGATATTCGACGGTCACAATACCCAACGGGCCAGTGGTCTGATGTGACAGAGCGACACAAGGAGCTGCAAGGCTTCCTAAACCGCGGCTCCTGATTGCTCGGACGCGAATAACGGTGCTGATGACACACGTGGTGCCGTGGGGCAGTCCGACGTGGCCGGCCGAATCGAACGGAGGACTATTCTGGACTACTGAGTATGGACTTATCGAGCATCGATCATCGAGCGTCGGCTGCGAATGAATCCTCTTTGTTTTGTCGAATGACGTGCATTCCGACGCTGGCAGTCCTTCCGTAATAAGGCGATGGAGTCACTACGGAGTCACTACGGAGTCACGACGGAGTCACGACGGACGAATGCATGCAAGTCACGGCTTTTCGGACTCTGATTCATTTTATTTCCTTTATTTCTCTCTCTCCTGGTTATCGACCCGTTCCCGCATGTCTTGCACTAAGCGTAAAAAAGACGCGAAAAAGGGGGAATCCAACGAAGGGAAAAAAGGATCCGCAACGGTTTCGGGGCCGATAACCGACCGAGTCTACGGAAGAAAGACAGGGAAAGGCGGAAAGTAAGCTGCTTCTGATCCTCTTCGTATTCTCCCCCGGTGGCATATGCCAGATGCATAATATAGTGATGCACTTGTAGTAGATTAGCTCCTGCATGGCCTGACCTGAATAGATTAAACTCCTGCCCAGAAGAGAAAGCAAGACCGAGAGAGAGAGGAAAAAGGGAAGAGACGCGAGAGACGATGTTAAGCGACATACGCTGTAAGCGCCAGACCCTGACTGAGGTCACGCGACCGGCACTGGGAAGAGATTCAAATCCTCATCGAATCCTGATCTCTTCGTCATTCCTTCGCTACCAACTTCCGAGGCTCGGAGACTGAAATCAAAATTAACTCACGATCATAATTTCGTAAATTATTGATCGCAAAAAAATAAAATCGAATTGCCTCGATCGTGTGATCACGGACCATCTCGCATGTGGATTCCCCTCGCGATGGGTTGATTTCTCTTTAGTCCGTCGCTTTCGGCCATGACCTGCCCTGCCACAGTGGCCTGATTCTGGCGTGAAACCGGTTTTCCTGGTCCTTTCCCCCGACCGTCTTATTATCATTTCGACCCCTTTCATTGGTCCTTACTTGATTTCTGAACGGGGATCGATATCAGGAGTACTGAACTACTGATTCGGAATCGGGACGAGACGTTTGCCGACGGTAGCTAACTAAAGGTGTTGAGTTAGTAATGATCGACACTGGACAATCATGATTTCTCGGGAAATGCAGGAGCGCCCCGACTGTTTGCGACGCACATCGTCCATAATACCTCTTGCTGACAACCCCGGCAGTGAGCATTTATTAGGCCCTGCAGCTGCGCCCAGCATGGTTCTTTAATCATCAATGACAATGCTTAGGGTGGCCACATCCTGGACGACCACTCCGGTTCGCCGATCAACCGATCCCGACATTTATCACCGGGGCGAACGGGCAGCAGGAGCCCCCAAACAGATTGGCTTCGACTTCATGAATCCCTGATGGAGCAGGAGGGGTCGGCTAATGAACCAAAACTGCTCTATGATCTATCTGGGAAATAATGGGGTACCGAGTTTAATCGAAGGATCAGTCCCTGCCGGTTTGATCACGGCTTCTAGCAGCGACGGTTGTGTCACGCCGCCGCAAGTGTCGACTGTCGACTTTCTAGTTTCCACCCGGCCTCGCTGTCAATACTAATAGTCTAGTATAGATAAATTAGCACGACGGCCGAGCTCCAGTGTGACCCAGACTGGCAGACAGACCCGATTATCTCCACCGACCGTCGTCGGGATCCACTGGCGGATGGCATATGCAATGGACTCGGAATCGAGCCAACGGAGGAGTTCATGGTCTCCCGACTACTGCAAGTATCCTACGATATCTGCGGAACTAATGGTCATGGCAGGGTTAGCAGGTCCGAAACTCACGTCTAGCGGAGCTATATGAGGACATCATATAGATCGGTATATCTCTTGGTCCCGTCCCCGTCCTCGTCGATTCTGATCTATCCATTCTCTCCGTGTGCATTGAATTCGATCTAAGCAAGATGGTGGATCTGATTGACTTGTCGTGGCGGGATTGAGGAGATGGTTAGCTCGCGGAGTCGTGGACGCATGGACGCGGTCCCTCCCATGTCTGTCTGGGAACTCGGAGGGGGTTCCGGATGGGTGTTCTACTCTTGAAGCTCCTTTGCCAAGTCTAGATCTATCGGTCTCGGAAGATTATCATCCTTTTCGACTGGTCCGGATGCTTTTCGCAAAGATCGACCTAATGGAGAGACAGCCTCCCTTGCAATGCCCGCCTGTCGTAGATCCCAATCTTCACAGCCTATCACCTACTCGATCGAGATCTCGTCGCCCCCAACTTTCCTGGCCAGACGTGATGGCACTTGCAGCGAATGCAGTGCCTTGGCTAGCGTTCTGCACAATTGGCTCCACCATGGACTTGAGTCTCGTCCTGTCTCGCCCGAAACAGTTGAGCCCACGTTGGTTGCCATCTGAACTACCCGGATACCAGACCTTGTTATTTCAATCTACTGTAAACATAAACTGACTCGTGGCTTGGCTTTATCTGGAATCGGGTGTTTCATTACTGCTATAGTTCGTAGGGCAGAGGACTCATCATCGGACATGGAACTACGGAGTAGTCCGACACAGTATGTTCATGCGGCACCAGGACCTCCTTGTTAATTAAACACATTCCACGTCGCCCTGCACCATCGAGATCTGCATGACACCGTGGGTTTCAGTGCCTGTCGAGCATTCCTGTGGAGCTTGCACGACTCGACGATGGGGAATCTCGAATTCTAGATCGAAGTGGGTCACGTGGCCGATGCCGGATGCGGACGTCACCTGCTGCCCCTCGACTCTCCGTCGCCTCTTCCTTTTTGCCTTTTCATCTCTCGACGCATCGGGGAGACTCTGCTCGGTGGGTCGCTTCTGCAAGCAGAAATGACAGCTGAAAGTCAGTATGCGGTTTCCGATCATCAATTCCATCCACGCGTCTGCTACGGTTCATGCCGGGAGACAATATCGATGGATATCTACCCATACCATGGTGGGATTATCACCCGATCAGTAGTCAAACAACGGGTTGAACCAAATTACTGAAGCGAAGATGCCTCATTTAACCGCATTCGCCGACAAAATGACGAAATGGTTATGGCGGCCCCGTTGGGTTTCCTCTTACCCCGGATTGAAATCGCCGATCCATAGATCCAGATACATCAGGGTCGTCGGATTCTTGAAGCGTTGAGGAGCTTAAATTGAACTCTGCGCTCGTCAAGGTGATCTCATTCTGCAACAAGGGCCGGTGGATTGGGCCAAGCGAGCTGTCAGACTGTCGGTGGCTACCTCGACGGTTCTGGAAAAGGAGAGAACCAGCGCAATAGAGACAGAAAGACACTACTGCATTGTTTTCTTGCGCCCATTGTTCCCCGCAGATCTTGCTCTCCCACGTTGCTTCTGTTTTCGGCACGGCCGCGTTGATGCTTTGTCGGGTGATTGCCCAAATCGACAATCGAGACCTCTGAAAGCAGCCTGTTTCGTGCTTCTCCTGCATCCGGCCGATTTGACACCAGTAGACGCATATTTCCCTACTTATACGGCGGCGGTTTCCATTCCAATAGACGTAGGATTTCATCAACATCATTCTTCGTTCACCAGCCTCCAGATTGTTCCCTTTGAGCTATTTGTGTTTTCGGAATGCTGTTCAAGATCTCGCCCAAGGCGCTTGCGCTGTCTTTGCTGGCGGTCAGTGCGCAGGCTGGTCGAGTGTAAATCTTTCCTATTGGTGATCCTGCTATGACTTTCATACGCTGACTGTTTCTCAAGTCGCTTGCAATCTCGTGCCACCTCTTTCGACTTCCATGCCGACAAAGTGCGCGGTGTTAACCTCGGAGGTTGGCTTGTATTGGAACCCTGGATTACACCTTCAATCTTTGATGAGGCCGGTGATGCTGCCGTCGACGAATGGACCTTGACAGATGTCCTGGGCAAGGATGAGGCCAAGGCTCGGCTTTCAAAGCACTGGAGCTCTTTTGTTTCGCAGGACGATTTTGCGCGCATGGCTGCAGCGGGACTGAACCATGTTCGAATTCCCATCGGATATTGGGCCGTGGCGCCGATCGACGGAGAACCGTACGTCGACGGTCAGTTGGAATATCTGGACAACGCCATCTCTTGGGCCAGAGCTACTGGCCTAAAGGTCTTGGTTGATCTGCATGGTGGTGAGTAAATCAGTTCCGAAGCGGATAAAACACTGGGAACCTGTCCCGAGGCACCGGAATATCGCTAACAATGGCACCAGCACCGGGCTCTCAAAATGGCTTTGACAACAGCGGACGTAAAGGCGCTATCAATTGGCAGCAAGGAGACACTATTCAGCAGACCCTTGAGGCGATCGACATCTTGGCCGAGCGTTATGCCCCGGAGGATGATGTTGTGAGCTCTATTGAAGCTATCAATGAGCCTAACGTCCCCGGCGGCTTGAGTGAGGCCGGCCTACGAGATTACTACGACGAAGTGTTTGACAAAGTCCGCGAGTACAACGCGAACATCGCAGTGATCTTTGGGGATGGCTTCCTGCCCGTGGAAAGCTGGAATGACTTTGGCGTTGGCGATGAAAATACGGCGATTGACTCCCACCACTACCACATGTTCGACAACGGGCTCCTTGCTCAAGATATCAACGGCCACATCAACAACGTCTGCCAATATGCGCACCAGCACCTTCTTGCATCCAACCGGGCTGTTTTTGTCGGGGAGTGGACCGGCGCCCTGACTGACTGCACCAAGTACCTCAACGGAAAGGGTGTCCTCGCTCGATACGACGGTACCTTTGCCTCCGACACCAAGCTGGGTGACTGCTCCAACAAGTACAAGGGCTCTGTGGCGGATCTTCCCGCGGAGGATCAAGAGAACATTCGACGCTTCATCGAGGCCCAGCTGGACGCCTACGAGCTCAAATCGGGCTGGCTGTTCTGGACCTGGAAGACCGAGGGCGCACCAGGATGGGACATGTCGGATCTGCTCGAGCACGGAGTCTTCCCTGAGCCTCCCATGGACAGGAAATACCCGAAACAATGTGCCTAAGTATCGGGCGTGCTTTGGAGCGTACTTGTGATGACTCGTTTCCCTTTTCTTAGTTCCGTTTCCCGCTTTTCCGAAACGTCATATGATTTCATTTGGCCTTCTTTTCCCTTATTCTCCTGTTCTTACTGAGGAATCGGTTCGTCTTACTGGCATCAGCCCCAATCTTTAGTTCCTAATTATTATCATTCATATTGAAGACATGGTTCGTAGACGAGGGGATTATGTATTGCCGTTCATCCTAGCAACGTAATCCTCAATATCCAAAGGCGTACCTGGTTGATCTGATTACGGGAAGTGAGATAGGGGGACAAAAGAACGCTAAATCCAGAATCATGTAAACTAGAAGTTAAATCGTGTCTGATGGGGTATCTATGAGATATGTATATAAAATTACTGACGATGGGGCAAGTAACAGAAAAAGAGAATAGTCGAGAAAGCGACAGACAACGACCAACCCGTCTCTATGCATGATTCCGCCACGCATCCCAATTCCCCGAGGCCAGAAGCTGCGCCCACTGCGCATCATTGAACGAGTCCATCCCTCCTGGCGTCATCTGAGTCACGTCGGCGGCGTTGGGATCCTGGGTGGGCGCAAAGTCCCACGCCGAGGGCATGGGCATCGAACCCTCTGACCCGGTCGAGTCGAGAGGCGTCACGATCCCCGTTGCCGGGAATCCTCCTCGGCCTGGGTATGCGATGCCGATGTACGGGCCAGACACCATGTCGATGTCCTCGAGGGATGATGTGCCCATCGAAGTGCTTGGCTCTAGTGGATGGGTGGTGCTAGATGGGTGGGGATGCGGGTGTTGTTGGTGTTGGTGTTGATGTGGGTTTAGCTGGTGCTGCTGGCGCTGGTGCTGCGAGCCATTCTGCATAGCTGTGAGCTGAGGATGTCCGCTTAGAGACGGGCGGTTTAAAGTCACTCCTGTATCTTCGGGAATGATGGTGTTGCTGTTATTGTGCGTGGTGGTGGAGGTGCTGTTTGTGCTGGCGTCGGTGAATCCAGGCGATAGATCCATGTCGAGGGGTGCGCCACTCGCGGCGCCTCGTCCTCCTCCGCAACTGCCCGTGGGGGCGACGACGTCGTTCCTTGCCCGCGGTAAATACATGTCATTAGGCATGGAGCAAGAGGAGAGGGAAGCGGGGTTGAAGGGAAGGGGGTGTTGTTTTTGTCGGCTGGGTAGGGTTGTGGGTGGACGGGCGGAGGCTTGACGGGAGTTGTTTGAGGATGGCGAATCCTCTTCTTCGGGGGCAGGTGTCGCCCGTGAATTGGGGCAGATGGATCTTAGAGGTTGGGTGTCTGGTGCGGTTTCTTCGTCCGAGTGCTAGAGTTTGGGCTCATTGTTTAGTAAAAGAAAGCCAACCAAAAGACTGGTGGGCTCGTTTGGTAGGAGACATGAGGTGCTTACCGTACGATTCGGCGCGTGGCGAATCCTTTTTGATGGTCGAGGTCGGATGTCATCGATTGCGGTGCCCTCGATGTCGACGTCCAGTTGGACCAGGAAGGACTCGGTCAAGGGATTCTTCTGCTTCAGTGCGCCTAGAGCGGAGAAGAGGAATTGTAGAGAGGATCGGGCGGCAGAGTCATCGGAACGAGACTTGAGGTACTGTACAAACACTCTGGCTGCAATATAGACGCAGAACGCCATGAATGGGTTCATCTAGGATCGATTAGCTGTCGTCAATTGATCACACCAAGATTGAGCCGGCTTACAATCGTCAAATCCATGTGGCTGATCATCTTCATGATGTTGGATATTTGATCTGCGGCAACTATGCACCTCCGTTTACTCTCAGTGGCAATCTGTTCGGAGATTTTGTTCTTCTCTGCCTTGAAGATGGCCGCTTGGTGAAGACATATCGTCGAGGTATGAATCGCCATGTTACAGAAGATCACATTGGGATCAGCCACACCCGCGGGCAGGCGAAGATGATTTGGCATTGCCAAAGCAAAATGGAGCAGAATGTTATCGTGAGATCGATGTCGCTGCCAGTACAGCCCGTTCAGATCATGCTCGTTGTCTTGTGGATCGGGACGATGAAGATGGGTAAGATTCCGGCCAAAGAGATATGCCATGAATACAACGCTCCCGAACGGCGAGAGCGTGGGGATACGGTCACCAGCCACAATGTCGCTGACACTCGCAGTCTGCTGCGGCTGGCCTTTAACAAAAGCTTCTTCGCTGGCGGGTAGATTAGTCGTGATCTATTGGTAGTTTCCGTTAGTGCGTTCCGTGGCGAATGGGCAATAAGAGGTGAAATGGGGAACTCACGTCTCGGTCATCCATCAACACAGGCCATCCAGTTCCGACGCTGGCGTACCGGTCAACGCAGTACGTCATCCAAAAGACCCGTCGTCGCTCCTCCTTTTCCGTCCAATCCCTGGCCGCTGGGAGTGACTGTTTCACACCGTGGCCGAGACCATCTATTCGGTTCAAACCGAGCATGAGTGACAATCGCGAGGCTTTCCCAACGCTGAGCCAAGCCCGGGGGAAGCACATCATTCGAAACTCGTAGGTACCGATAAGTAGCCATGTCTGACAGCACGCCAAGGACAAGACACCCTCGCCAAGACCTTTCATCTCCTCCAGCTCAGCGTATTTGCGGGCTCGCTGGTAGAAGAGTTCATGCAGATTATGGAATTTGTCACTGACCGTTGCAGCATGACTCCATGTGATGTATTGCAAACAGACCGGGGGTCGAATATTTGGGGCCAAGTCCATGGCCGCTAAATGCCTCGGCCGGTGTAATATGGGGAGCGCGGGGTGGATTTTTTCGAAATAGATTTGGTTTCTGCCTGACCATGAGAAACCGATTTCATTCTGAAGGGGTCAATCCGGACATAAAACATACAGTTCATCAATGACTTCCCGGGCTGGGAGAGGCTCTTCCAGTCCCAGACTTATCATGTCCCACGCGGAGGTATGGGAGTCGCGTACGGGCGGTGGTAGATATACTTGTCCCGGAAGAGTTTGATTCACCGTCGCTTCAGGAGGCGAAATAGGTGTACTCGTGCCATTTGACAAAGTGGTCGACCCGGGTATGTCTGTCAGTTCGTTCTGCGCCGGGGCGCTGAAATCGTTCGTCTGGGCGCTCCCTTCTTGGGTTCTGAGTAAAGTCTCAACCTGAGCTATTCGAATAGAAGACAGCGCGGTCAGTATGCAACCATATAACAGAGATCGAGATGAATGGGATTCACCCACCCAACCGTGCCTCCAACTGCTTCACATAACCCCGCTTCGGACCGCTTTTTTTTCGGACTTCGTCGTAGGCGCATTCATGCCCCAATCGCGCACAGGTTCCGCAGCTGGGTTTTTTGCCGTCACATCTTAATTTTCTCCTCCTGCAGACGACGCATGCGATGCGTTTCGGGCGGGGCACGTAGAGCCCATCGACATCGCTGTGACCCGCCGCATCGAGATTCATCGAAGCATGTTGGGAATGCAAGGTAGAATTGTTGGAGGGGGGTTGTTGCGACTGTTCGTCGTAAAAGTCCGCCATGGTGTGATGGAAGATATGGCGAAAAGGCAGACGATCGTAGATAAAAGAGACGTAATATTTCGAGGGTGGGACCGGACGCTGGGTGGGAACGTAGCCTTGCAAGGCCTAGAGGTGCCAGACCTCGATCACGAGAAGAGTGAAATGGGTAGTCAACATTTGCTAAGAGGATACGAAGGAAACTAAGGCAGCAAGCAAGCGTAGGGTGGATGGACGATGAGAGAAAAGGATGTCGGAAAGCGCATCGTATATGCTGATCGGCCGATCGAATCCACGGTCGTCGGCAGCGCCACCGAAAGGCCCAAGTCACGTTGACGACCCAGACCCGTTTGGGTTGGCTTCCTTCCTAACATTTCAGGACATCGATATATCCAGTGACTACGCATCATGCATTAATTCATAGTCCAGTGAGTATGACCTATATTCTAACCCATATAATACAGTAACAACGCCACGGACGGACGGAGAGAATGGAAACATGACCGGAAAAGCAGCGCAGCAAGCTATTGACATGTCGGAGTCGCCCTCGCACATAGGCACACACACACACACTCTCTCTCTCTCTCTCTCTCTTTCTCTCTCTCTCTCTCTCTCTCTCTCTTTCTCTCTCTCTCTCTCTCTCTCTCAGCAAGCCCCAAGACAATGAGAACATCTCTTAAGAATAGTACAAGATGAGCACACTTTCTCATCTCCGTGCACGTCTCAGGCTAAAACAAATGACAAAAAATCTTTTGGAGAAGCATCGTGGCAAGCAAGAAGTATACAGATTAGGAATCGAATGCAGAACAGAAAATGACACGAGAGAAAAGATGGCACCTGCGTCACCTTTAGCTGTAACCTCTGCGACGCTTGCCCTGGTTGCGCACTCGGGGAACAACCACGTTCTTGTTGATCTTCCACTTGGGTCGGGTTTTCCAGCCAGATTTCGCCTGCGATACCAGTTAGTAGACTGCTGGTAGATTAATTCTAGAACAAAGACACGTACCGGGAGACCCCAAGGACTCTTCGGGTCCACGTTACCCTTGGATTTACCACGTCCACCACCGTGGGGGTGGTCCATCGCGTTCATCGCAAGACCACGGACGGTGGGACGGATGTTCAGCCAGCGAGATCGTCCAGCCTTTCCGATTTGGGTATACTGGTAGTTCGGGTTGCTGGCAACTCCCACGGTTGCGCAGCAGTCCTTGTGGATGAGACGGACCTCACCACTCTGGAGTCGTAGCGTGATGTGCGTAGCGAGACGCTCCTTCTTTTGCAGCTCCCGCTGCGACACCCGCTTGGTCTCGGCACCCTCCTCCGGCGTCTCCTCCTGCGCCTGGTTGGGGGCGTTGGTACCCTTGGCGATCACCGTGGCGAAGGTACCCGCGCTGCGGCACAGCTGACCACCCTTCCCGGGTTTCAATCCAACGTTGAAGATCGACGTACCGACGGGGATCATGTGCAACGGCAAGCAGTTGCCTCGCCACGCAGTTCGGGCGGCCAGCACACCGGGATCCACGGCGCCGCCCATGCTGTCCCACAAATCTTGCGGGATACCAGACATATAGCTCTGCACAACGTCCCCGGCTCTCATACCCTCGGCAGCCAAAATGTAGCTCAGCTGTTTGGTTTCTTGGCTGCGGACAAGAGCAATGTGAGCACTTCGTCCCGGGTCATGTTCGATACGTTCCACCAGATGCGGTCCGGGGGCAGCTCGTCCGAAGTCCACCACTCGAATACGGCGCTTGTGGCCACCACCACGATGCCGGATCGTCACTCGTCCAGTATTGTTACGGCCACCCTTGCTATGGCCTCGTTTCGGGAATGTCAACTTCTGGACCGGCCGACCCTTCCAGAGATGATCGTTGATGGGTCTCCGCAAATGTCGAACACCGGGGGTTCGGGGGGTGTAGGTTCGGAGGAGCACACCGGTCTTGTCACGGGTAGGCGGAGGAGCAAAGGCGATACTAGGATCGAAGGTCGCACTCGGAGGTTCATTCGCGGAGGGAGCCTCCTTTTCCGTGATCACCGTCGAGTAGGCCCGAGACGAGACGGAGGACAAACATCTGAAGGGGAGACGAAGGCCGGTCAAGGCCAGGCGAGGTTGAAGCATGATGAATCAGTGATATGCAGAAGGGATTCTGAGATCAATTGACTGGTGTCCGTTCTCCTGACACAGCGCAGCACACTGCAAGATCGAGGACGGAAGAATGCGAAAGGATCCGGGCGTTTACTGCTCGATCATGCTGGACGAAACCAAACACAAGGGAATTGAAGTGAAGAGGTCAGCTCAAGAGCGAACCAGATCGTTCCCCGATAGCACAACCGGCCCAATTCGAAAGTTGATCGAGATACGCGGCGGCGGATGTCTGCACCGACTTGGACTTGGACGCTTCTCCGAACGAAAATGTCTTTGGGTCCGCAGTCCGCGGTGGCTCGTGTTAGGTCACATGACATGGCAATTGCACCGCCATAGGGTAAGACTGTGGCGCAGTGACTCAGGTCACGGGACGGCGCGACACGGCAACACGTCCCGGACGATACGCAAAAGCGTAAAAGGGCCGAGGCGTTGCGCGGGCAACGGCGCCTCTCTGGTGTTTTGGGCGAGCGTGAAGCCAACGCGCTCTCCCCGTCTCCTTCTCTCTCGGGCGCGACGGCGTCTCGGCCTGTTCACCCCTCAGGCATCCATCACCACCCCCTCTCTGTCCCCGTGACAGTACCGATACTTTCTCCTTCCCGTAGTTTAGTAGGAAGGTCCAGTGCTTCACTGCACTTTCTGTATGTACCGATACTTTTCCCCCGGTGATTCCCGTATTTTTCCCTTCTTTCTCCCCCCCTTTCCTTTCCTTTCCTTTCCTCCTCTCAGCCTCTTCTTGCCTTCTCTCTTTCCACCTTCTTGCGTTCCTCTCCACCACTCCATCTTACACAGTACATAATCTTAATCCCTGAGTTACCCTCAAGAACTGTCTGCTGTGTCTTGCAGATACATCACATCACCAGTGTACAGCCGTTAATAATCCACGAATCCACGCGCCTTGACCGGACTTGTGCTGTGGGGCATCATTTCCCAGCTTGGCTGATTTCCACGCTAAGACTAGGGCCAAACATTGCCTTTGCCCTGTCAAGTTTACACCTTTCCCTGCACCCAACCTCCATCATCAATCCTGTGTTTCCTCCAGGCCAGCCCGCCCTCTTCCCCCCCAGATTCACCACCCTCAACCATCTTCAACCGGTTGCCTTTCGCGTGTTTTTGCTTATACTCATCGATCGACACGTGCAGCCTTGCTTTCCTGTACAAAATTTCTTCTTACAGCGGTGACTTGCGCGCCCGGAAACTTACGTGATTCGGGCCTTTTCAAGATCCGGCCTTGAACGTCAGCAAACCCATATATGCCCTTATTTTAAAGCCTCTCCACCCCAGATTCCTGTGAAATACCGGTCATTCCTGCCTCGACAACCTTGCATAGCCATAGTACCTTGTTGCTTGGGGTTGGACAAGAATCCACGCGTGGTACGTGCATTGTCACTTTCCTGGTCTTCAGGTATTTGGACTCCACTGGAGTAATTTCCTGTGGAATGCTGACGAGACGATGAGCACAGTAACTATAGTGTCCTTTTTTATCTCTCCTCTTTTCCACCCTTCCTTTCAACCCTTCCTTCTAATATCATGCCTCCGGTAAGCTGTCCTTGACTCTGGGGAGAAAATCAGACGCGTCAGACTTCGGACGACTCCGTCCGTTCCTGTCGACCCGACGGCTCTTGAATTAACAATCGAGCAGGCTCGGAGTCTTCGTACGCGGGGTACGATGAACGAGAACGACGAGAACGGGCCCCAAACGCGTCTGACGCGGGCCAAGGCCGCTGCCATGTCGGCAGGAGATGCCCCGGCTGCCAACGCTGCGAAGAAACCCCTTCAGACCAAGAAAGCTGCCACCTCCATGACCGGCGGAGTCCCCAGAAAACGCGCTGCCCTCGGCGATGTGAGCAATGTCAACAAGGCGGACAGTGGTGAGACCAAGGAAGCAAAGAAGCCCGCCGGCAGCAAGGTCGGATTGACATCCAAGGCCACGATGCAGCCAGGTGGCGTTCAGAAACTCAGCCGCACCAACACCACCCGGACTGCCATGGGCGCCAAGGACGCGAACACCAAGAAGCCTGCCGTCGACGCGAAACGCCCCGGCAGCGGATCAGGAATCGGTAGCGCACAGAAGAAGCGGTCAGCCAGCCAAAAGTCGATACCGGAGAAGACCCTGCAGCAGGAAGAACCCCCACGCAAGAGAGTCGATGTCGAGAAGCTCGAGGCCAAGAAGGCCGCCACGGAGAAGGCCTCGACCGTGAAGGAGAAGGTTCAGGTCACCGAGGAGGTCGTGGAGAAGGCCGACGCGAACTACGAAGTGGAGAACCTGGACGAGGAAGACCTGGACGACCCTTTGATGGCGGCCGAGTACGTCGTCGAGATTTTTGATTACATGAGACAGCTCGAACTGGAAACGCTACCCAACCCCGACTACATTGAGCACCAGCCTGATCTCGAGTGGAAGATGCGCGGCATTCTCGTCGACTGGCTCATCGAGGTTCACACGCGTTTCCGTCTTCTGCCCGAAACTCTCTTCCTCGCTGTCAACCTCATCGACCGCTTCCTGTCGGCCGAAGTCGTGGCCCTGGATCGCCTGCAGTTGGTCGGAGTGGCTGCCATGTTCATCGCATCCAAGTATGAGGAGGTTCTCTCGCCTCACGTTGCCAACTTCAGCCACGTCGCCGACGAGACCTTCTCGGATAAGGAGATCCTCGATGCCGAACGTCACATCTTGGCCACCCTCGAATACAATATGAGCTTTCCCAACCCGATGAACTTCCTGCGTCGCATCTCGAAGGCCGACAACTACGATATCCAGACACGTACTCTTGGAAAATATCTGATGGAGATCAGCCTTCTGGACCACCGCTTCATGCAGTACCGCCAGAGTCACGTGTCGGCGGCTGCTATGTACCTTGCTCGTCTGATTCTGGAGCGCGGTCCTTGGGTAAGTCTTTCATGCTGTTGTGTATGAACCTTTGAAGATCTAACATGTGCGTTCTTGGCATTAGGACCCCACTCTCGCTCACTATGCTGGTTACGATGAAGAAGAGATCGAGCCCGTCTTCCGTTTAATGATCGATTACCTCCACCGTCCAGTCTGCCACGAAGCCTTCTTCAAGAAATACGCCAGCAAGAAGTTCCTCAAGGGTAAGTGCCAGCTGCTCGAAGCTTCTCCTCTCCCGCTAACTGACTTGCTGCAGCTTCCATCCTTACGCGGCAATGGGCCAAGAAGTACCATCACCATTATATCGACAGCTCCCTCTCGGAACCTTACAACTACATCAAGGACCATGAGTAAATGGTCACGATGCGGGTTATTGATGCTCGAATCGGCGTCCGTGGCAAGGTTACTCAGAAGGAGTTGATTGATTCCATATGTTGGCATTTCTTCGTTTGTGATGGTATAAGGCACACACCTCTTGCATATGTTTACGACGGCATTTTTCCATTTCAGTTGCGGACGTTGGCATTGTTCAATTCTTCTAGGGGCGTCAGGGCGCGCTTCTCATGTTCTTTCGTGACTTTCCATTTGCTTTCTTCGTTTACCTCTTTTTCCTCTTCTTTTTTTTTTTTTTTTGGTAATGTTCGGGCTGCATTACATCTTTTTCTTCTCTCCAATTTTCTTGTTTTCTGTTCTTACTTCAGGCGTCGGATTCTCCATGGTCGGAAATTCTATTTGCAGTTCTCATTTTTGGTTTTTCACACTGCTTCTACGAAACTCATTTCTCAACCCATGAGGGTTGCTTCTGATTGCGTTTCGTTTCCCATACTCGCGACCAACTCCACGCTGTTCCATGTCTGGGATCATGGCTTCTGGAGGAAAAGATGTCGCACGGCCTGTTTCTTAATGACCCATGATGCTTGAAAGCGTGTTGAGGATGTTAACCCGCCGGCCGGCGGGTTCTCAATGTTCGGATTAGTCTGCTAGCGAGGATAGAGCGAAGGACTTATTGTAATGTGCCTTTTAGGGAGATTAATTTACCGCTGAGACTTTTCAGCCTTGTTGTGTTCTAAGTGCTTGACCAGACTAGTGTAGTTCTCGAGGTGTCCGCTGAACCGAGGTTGCTCCCGTCTTGACTTCCGGTCGAACTACTTTGTTCCGCTCTTCATACCTCTCTGTACTCTTTTTCCCAAAAGCCCAGTCATGGCTTCCAATGAATCTGCCTGTCCCTTCTGTAACATCGCAAACGCATACCCCCCTATCGCACCTTCCGCCTTTCTCAACCAATCCTATCGAACATCCCCAGCTTCGTCACCCTTGCCATCAAACCCAGAGCCCCAAGCGCATCTCATCCTATCTACTAAACATGTCCTTGCCTTTCTCGACATCATGCCTCTCACAGAAGGACACATTCTCGTCGTGCCGAGAGAACACCATGTGAAACTAGCAGACATGGGTGTCCGAGTTAGCCGAGCGGTATGTTCGAGTATATATCTTTCCTCTCCCCTACTCTCTAATTTCCCTTTCGAAACCTGAATCAATGGTTTTATTTCACCCCTGGTATATATTTGAGTTATATACTAATCAGTTGATCCAGGTTGGCCAATGGCTCCCTATTATCTCGCGGGTTGCGATGCGGACGCTCTTTGGGGAAGAGGCCACCTCTGAGTCTGGTTCGAGTTGGAATTGGAATTGGAATGTGGTGCAGAATAATGGTTGATTCCGCCCTCTTTTTTATTTCTCTGCGTTTTCCATGTTTAGTCTGCTGTCTTGTTTGATTGTATGCAATGAGTTTAATTTAACAGTGAGCAGGTATCACCGCCGCGCAACTCGTCCCCCACGTTCACTTCCATGTGATACCTCGGCCAGCGACGAATGCGCCGCCGAGCGGCGGGAAGGTGAGTTTCGTGATGTTTGGTCGCGGGCAGAGGGATGAGTTGGATGATGAGGAGGGGGAGAAGTTGGCGGGGTTGTTGAGAGAGGAGTTGGCTAAGGAGGTGGGGAGAGTGAAAGAACAGGAGGGCGTGGATTTGGATCTGGAGGGTAGTGGTGATGATGATCATGATAGGAAGAGGGAGTTGGGGAAGCTATGATGTTTTATATGAAGTTGCTGTTTCATCCTGGATTGTTCTTCCTTTTTCGATCGGATTAACAGAGTGGATCGGGTGATATAAGAGGCGTTGGCGCTTAATGGACTATGTCATCTGTAATATGTTTTCAATTTGTTTTAGGTTTCATCTAGGATATATACTTTTGTTTGATTCATTCATGTCTTCATTGCGATGCGGGACTTTCGGTTCCCGACTTGTGGTTCCTTGAGAAATACTGGCAATTGGATGTGTTAGACAGACCTCCATGGCGAGCAAGTGTAGGATTAACTAACCTTTCTCCTAAAGGCGTTCAGGTCGTCGGCACTGACTCCCTGGTCATCGCCCTTTTGTCGTCCAAGCGTCACGTCCGAGACCTGGCCTTCTGGGAGCCTTCGGTAGGTGATAAGTCGACGTGCCCCTTGATCCGTTAGTATCCGCCTGCAGATTAAAGTATGTGGCACTTACAGTTGTTGAAGGGTTGCACTGAAACGCTGACAACCTCCAAGTTCTGGTGCATAGGAATCATCAACTTCACATCTTCATCGCCGGATGTCGGCATCCACATGCATAGTCGCCCGTCCGTGACGAGGGTCTGCGAAGCGAACTCCAGGATATCGTGCAGCATTGCCTCGAAACCGTACGGCTTCTTTGGAGCGACGTAGCCCGGCCGGCTGTAGGTATGTTAGACGGGATTGAAGGACAAGAGCAGACAAAGTGGATACATACTAGTGAGCCGGTACGCCGTCGATGACCACCTCTTCCTTACCACGGCCATCACGAGTTCCGAGAACCCGAAGACCCTCACGCACCCCGTAAGGCGGGTCACAGATAATGCCGTCCAAGAACTGGCGGTTGAGCAGGGGCGTATTCGTCAAATCCGATGTGAACGCATCCACGAACTTGCTCGTCGTTCCATACTGCTTAAAGTTCGATGCCAGCCCAATCGGGTCTCCCGCCTTCCTCTCTCGACCGCGAAAGCTGCGCCCATCAATATCCGAACCGAAAGTCAAGGCCCCAAAGTGCGCCGCCGCTACACAAAAGCTCCCCGTGCCAACGAACGGGTCGTAGAAGAGCCTTGCGGGATCCGCATGCGCCATATTGGCCGTGACGAGACTCAGCTCGGCATCCATAGACGTCGTACTGATATACCGACGCTTTTTCAAATCATACTTGTTCACGATGTCCCGATGGCTGTTTGCGATCCACCGACCAAAGTAGATATGCTTCGGCTCCAGATTCAGCTTCTGCGGGCGCGGCGCATCGGGGTACTTCACTGCGGATTCCACCTGCGAGAGATAGTCCTCGTGGACCCAGAAGTCCTCGTCCGGATTCTTCATGCGGATGGGACCCGTAAAGGCCATGTAGGAGAAGGACTGGATGATCTCGCGCCTCTGCTCCATGCTGCGTTTGCCGCTGAAGGACTCTAAGCTGAACCGGAACGAGGCCTCCTTGAACTCGCACCAGCGGTGCTCCGTCCGCCTGCGGACGTCGGCGTGCACTTCATCGTAATTGGCGCCGTGGCCCCAGAGCTCGAAAATGTCCTTGGCTAGAATGCTGCGCGAGATGAGGGTTCGCGCAGCTTTTTCATCGGGGAGCTTGACGATGCAATATGGTGACTGGAGGCGCGATTAGTTGTGATGCATATCTCTCGGATGGATCGCGGGGTGAAAATATCTCCAAGGTGGGGGGAGTTTAGTGCAGTCAAATCTCGATGAACAATTAAAAAAAGCATCGAAGAAAACAACTAATATCAAGTAGAGACAAGAAACCTACAAATTGATCATAAAAGACGATCTCCAAGTCAATGCCAGCCAGAGACGCCAGGGCATTAATCTCCGGCCGTCGAAAAGTCTCGTGGGCTTGAGCGAAGCGGATCAGATATTCCATGACGATTGCGTCCACTAGGCCGGACTAAGGCCCTAAGGATAAAGTCGTATGTTCTCAATCGAAATCCTTTGAAATACGTGGATGGTTGTCTCTTCTAAGAAGCTGCTCTGGTGGGGAAGAATTTGGAAGGGAAAGGTTTTTTTTCTCTTGACGTTGCCGGAAAGAACCCGCTTTCTCTTGATGCGCTTCAGCGACTCTCGATGGACGAACTTCCACGCTGACCGAGGTCTTACAAACTACTTGCATGATAATGTGAAGATAATCGCAATGAAACATGGATGAGAACTCAGATTTCCAACTGTCAAAAAGCCAATCGCCTTCTATCAAAGAGTTTATCAACCAATAAACCGCAGCAGCCAAGAAGATATCTGTATCTACGAAAAAATCCATTTCAAATCAAACGCAAATCAAGCCCTCATAGTCCCTTGCGAAATAACCCGTCGAGATACGCCGTCTCTTAAATACTAGAGATCTCCGTGACAAAACACCGCCGCTATGCGCCAACAACCTTAAACACATGTCGTGATTCATATCCTTCCACTGGAGTCACCTCAACCTTCTCGCCCTGGGGAATCATCTCGTGCTTCAAGTCCCAGCCAGCTCGGCGAGAAAGTTCAGACACCACCACGTCGCAGTCGCCCAGCAAGTCGATATCGAAGCCAGTGTGCGATACAGGCTGGGGCATGGTCAGCTAGGATTCACTTTCTTTGAAGAACTCGATTTGTTGCTACTTACGGTGCGAGAAATGTAGATCTGAGGCACGGTGCGAGGCAGCACCCCCGGCACTTCCGCTACAGGGGCTACTTTCAACGAGGTCCCAATGACAATCACCAGATCCACCTGGTCACGGTCATGGTGGAGAAGACGATGGCCGAACTCGTCGGGAAGATCCTCGCCGAAGAAAGTGATGTCCGGCTGGTTTTGTGTTAGCGAAAGGTGAAGCAAACCAAGCGCACAGCATCTACATCCATACCTTCATCACGCCCGGAGTAGGAATTTCATAATCCTCTTCTTCCGAGCTGTCCTCGCCGTCATTCTTGCGGTTTTTGTGCGTTCCATTAGTGCTACGTTTGCGCTTCATGCCCTGCGCCTTCAAGGCTTCCTCTGCGATCTTCTCGCGGCACACCGTACACTCAGGAATGACCCCCTTCTTGATCTCGTCAAAGATTGCATCGCCCTGGACTTGATACTTGCACTTCACGCACGTGGCGGATGCAAAAGAGCCATGGCATTGGACGATCTTTTCGGGAAGCACGCCTGCATTGGCCTCGATGTTGTCAATGTTCTGGGTGTAGTTGGTGAGGAGTTTCCCTTTGTCCTGCAGCAGCCGAATGAACCCGTGGGTCGGCGAGTATTTCTTCTCGGTAGGCAAGATGTCCTTTGCGATCGAGAAGAAGATACTGGGGTCCTCGCGGAAGACCTGAATGTCAAAGACTTCCTGCGGGTCGCTCAGACCGAGATGCTCCAACTGCGAATACAGTCCGGTGTCTTTCGATCGAAAGTCGGGAATACCGAGACTCGTAGAGATCTACAGAATTAGTTAGCGTAGGTCTTTTGCGACACATACAAGTCAGAAACGTACGCCGGCACCTGTCAGCACGACGATATTTTTGGATTCTTGAAGCAATCTGACCGCATCCTCGATCGTGTTGTATTGGGGAAGCTTCTGGCGCCTGGAGAATTCCCGCGAGATCGCGATCGCTAGAAGAGGATGATACGCCTCATCCGGCGCGCCTTCGAGGAAAGGCGGGGGCAAGATGCCGAACGCCGTGCAGAGCTTCTTAGCGGTTACTGTATCCTGGCCGATGGTTTCGCCAACAAAGGCAGCCTTGCCGATTTCATGGAGCCGATTTCGAAAAGCAACGGCTTCTTCCAAGGTGCAAGCATCGGGTACTGTTCCAGCCAAACGGCGTTGAGTGAGCTGAGTGAACGATCAAGGAGATGGGCGCGCATGGACCAGGCCATCAAAGAAGCTTACCTCCATCGCGCAGCTGATCATCGCGCAGAACCTGGATGGCGTCCTCGTAGAGAGACTGGGTCTCCCACTCGTCGCCCGAGGCATCGCTATCGGTCTCGTACTCCGACTGAGACACGTCTTTCTCCACCGCGACCACCGTCTCCGTCGTGAGATTCGTCTCGTCGTCCATATCCGCGGCGGAGGCGATATTGGCGGCATCCACCTCGATCTTCTGCAACGACGAGGGCTCCCCGCGGGGCGCTGGTACCGGGTCCATCCTGTCAGGGAGATCGGACAGTTCCAGCAGCCTCGAAAACAACACTTTCACTCACATTGGGCTATTTGCCACGCATCGGTCGAAATGTCGGGTCAAATTTGGCTCTGCGACTGTCCGGGGAAAGCGGTCGGCCCGGGGTTTTTCCGATCGCCTGATCTGATTACTCGGTGCTAGTATGTACTAGTAGTATGTCCTAGTGTTCAAAGGCGCATTGACTGGAATTCTCTTCTCTATTGGTATCATGTCATAAAGGTGCTTTTTTTGGGTTTCATCACAATCAATACTGTCTGTGTGTCGTTCTTCATGAATCCGCCATCTCATGGTCCCCGTCCGACTCGGCCTCGATCTCCTCGTCGGACCACTCCTCCTCTCCTTCCTCGCCCTCTTCCTCGTCCATCTCCTCTCCGAGTTCCTTGTTCATTTCCTGGACCAACTCGGTGGCGTGTTCCTTCAACCTCTCATCCTCATACTGGAGCACTTCGTAGAGAGCCAGACCCTGCTTGAGCCACTCTCGACTGGCGACAAGTGAGGCCTGTCGTTTCGCCTCGGGCGATTCGTCCGCCTCGGCGTCTTTCGGGGCCTGCTGCTTCTCCGCCAGAAGGTAGAGACACCATCCACCGAGATACCATGCTTCCACACTCTGGTCATCTTCGAGAATCAGACGCTCCAGAACCTCCAGGGCCTCGAGTTCCATGGTCACCTCCATGAGCAGACGGGTCAAACTGATGCGGGTCGCAAAGTCTGGAATGGTGAGGTCGTCGGGTGGCAGGTCCTTCCATATGGCCAGACTTCTCGTGAGTGCCTCTCGGGCATCGTCTGTTCGCAGCTGGGAGATCCGGATGGAAGCAAGGGTTTGCAGCACCTCAGGCGCCTTGGGGTTGGCCTTGAGCGCTTCCGTAACTAAGAATTCGCATCGGCTTTCCGCATCTTCTTCCCATCTGGTCGTTGTCAGCAACTCCTCGCAGAGCAAAGCAAGCAACAAGGTGCTCAATGACAAACGTAGGCGACTTACGAAAGATCGGTCATGTAGATCTCCGCCACGCCGCACAAGGCGTTGGCCAGCTTGCGCTTCTTTCCGTCCAACTCAATGGCATTCTGCGGACCGGCGTTTGCCTCCAACTGCTCAATCACATGTCGAAGGGCAGAGACACCCTTCTCGAACCACTGCACGCTGTCCTTGCCGCCCGACTCACTCAATTGAGCCAGCCATAAGAACTTTTCCGCCCCGCCACCCTGGGACTCGGGTATCGTGCCCGTCGGATCCAGCTCGACTGCACGCAAAAACTGCTCCCGCGCCGTATCGATATCTCCCAGTTCCACGTAGATCTCGCCGACCAGGTTCAGGGCGGAAAGCTGAGCGGGCGAATTGGCCGGCGCATTGTCGAGGGCCTGTTGGGCTAATCCAAGCGCGCCATCGGCCTGTCCCGTCTGAAGGAGAATTGTCGCTTGGTCGAGGAGCTTCGAAGGGTCTTGGTTCATTTTCTGTTTCGAGACGGAGCCACCGGCGCTGAGAACGGATTTGGATTTAGAGGTCTTCTTTTTCTGGGGTCTGGGTTTGCCCATGATATCAGAGAACAAAAAAGGGAATCTATATATTGAGAGAGAAAAAAGGTCTGATCCAAATTAAAACGTACTCTTCAATTCCAAAAGGCAAAAGAACAGTATATAAATGGGGAGTCTGTCTTTGCGGGTCGAGAAAAAAGAAGATTCCCTTTTCGGGTCGAACATTTTTGGGCGGGTTCTTATCGTGTTTGCTCCGTTTGCATGTGGGACTGCAGATTCAATGGACTCGACGGCCTGGAGTCCTGCACTGTCGTCCCCAAATCCCGCCTCTAGGGAATCTCCTGTTGCTGTTCAATCTTCTCCGTCTCTGTCTGCGACGAGACTCCGGTCGACTCTTCTTGTTTCGTGCTTGCTCCACGTTGGAATCTCTTTTCGCCGCCTCTAATCCCTCTCACCCCCAGTCCCTCGTACCCCTCCACACTATCCGCACGGCGGCAGAACTGAAGCAAAATGGGCCGCGAAGACCAGATTGAAGAGCGCGAGGTGCTCGACTCGATTTTTCCGGAAGAAATCACAGGTGAGTACCAAAGGAAAAAGAAAGAAAATCCTACAACTGCGATTCCCCGCGTATCACACACCTCGCCTTTTCCCACCGGCGCTAACAGATCTATCACCTACCCAGACATATCTGACACCGCATACCGGATATCGATCGCCCTCGACACGCCCGAAAATGACGTCGAAGAAACAGAGCAACCGGTTCTGGTGCTGCAGGTGTCGTACCCGCCTGACTACCCCGACGTGGCCCCGGAGTTAGACATTTCGGCCCCTCCCAACGCGCCGAAACACCCGCGACTAGATATCCAGGAGGATCGGGACCGACTGCTCGAGACGCTGGGGCCGGCGATCGAGGAGAACATTGGGATGGCGATGGTGTTTACGCTGGTGAGCGCCCTGAAGGAGAGCGCCGAGCAGCTCATGTCGGAGCGGGTAAACGCCGTGCATGCGCAGAAGGAGATGGAGGCCGCCAAGGCGGAGGAGGAGGAGAACCGCAAGTTTCAGGGCACGGCTGTCACCCGGGAGTCGTTCCTAGAGTGGCAGGCGAGGTTTAAGCAGGAGATGGAGGATGATGAGAGGAGACAGAAGGAAGAGAAGGAGGCGGACGACAAGAAATCGAAGACGAAGACGCCGGCGAAGGAAGAGAAGAAGCTGACGGGTAGAGAACTATGGGAGCAGGGATTGGCCGGAAAGGCCGACTTTGATGAAGAGGAGGAGGGTGCTATGCCGCCTGTTGAGAAGATGAAAATTGCTGCGTAGGAGGTCGGCTTTGAGCAAAGCTTTCTTATTTCCCTGCACGAAATGTTCAATTCTTACGTCTCAGCGCTATGCCGGCAAGAGTGTGGTCAATGTAAATACATATTATCCTTGATGAAGACCTGGGGGAGATTAGAGATTGAGATTACATATCTTGACTATGTACATTGCTTCTCAGGGCGACCGTGAATCGAGTATTTTGGCGATCCAGATCAGGTGAGACAGCCGTCGAGCCAATTTCCAATGCCTCCTAACTCCAAATTGCACGACCGCTCTTATGTAGACCCTGAACCCGATATTCAAAGACAGCCGTGTGGTCTGCTTGAAGATGGAAGGCGAATGCCAATGAGCTTTAGCCTAGTCTGTGCGAGGCATTATCAAGGGAGTGTTGGCCTGCTATATCTCTCGGATTACCGCATAACGCCGGCTCTTTGATGTCGAGAGAGCGCCTGTACTGCGGTAGTCTGAGTTGCTTGTTCGGCACTAATTGAGGTGTAACAGGCGCGTGATGTGTGCAATGGGTGAATATCAGGCAGCACTGAACCTAATCTGATTGAATAGTATTCACGCCAGATGCTCAAGGATCCGTGGTGATTTGCTTTTCCTCATTCTTCCTTTCCTCATTCTGCTTTCTCTCCTTCGCTGCTAATTCGCGCTCAGCAAGGACGACATTCCACATCTTTTCGGCAAGTTCTCGACTCTTCGTATCCGAGGTGCGCATCTGATCATCAGCAGTCGATAAAGCATCTTCAACCGACGTAGTCCAGCTGTTATCGTCCCCACCGCCGGTCAATTCATCCCACTCGTCTTCGTCCTCGTTAAAGAGCAAGTCCGCCTCTAATCTATCACGACGCACAACCAAAGCCCATCGCTTTTCGAGCTTGCTTCTAAGCACGCCACTGAGGTTCTTCGGTTGGGGCTTCTTAATGCGCAAGAACGGCATGCCTCGCGCACTGACAAGTCTAGGGATATGGCGCTTGCCACTCACGACGGGACGAGGTCGGGAGAGTATGGGTTCTGCGTCCGGATGACGACGGGCAGTAAGATCTTGGTGGCGTTTGAATTCTGCCTTCTTTCGTTGTTCTTTGTTCAGAGGCTTGGGGGGCGCGGCTTCCGCGAGTGCTCTTTGCGCTGTAATTTTCCGCTGTTGGATCGACTGCGATTCGACGATGAGGTCCGTAATGCGTTGTATGCCATTCTGGTTTCCGTGGGCAGCCAAGTGTAAGAGGTCAAAGGCCTGCGAATGGAGAGAAAGACATGAGCAATTGAACAACTGAACGAGAAAAAGGAAAAGGGGGTACCTCATATCCAGCCTTCAATGCATTAACAGTCTGGGATGGACTCTGAAGGCTCTTGTACCTTCGAAACCTTTGTCTGATGAGGGATCTAGGGGTTTTGGGCCCGGGGATAGTGGTTGGTAATTTGGCGCATTGTCGGAGAAGCCCTCGATAAAGAGCTAAGCCTAGAACACAAAAGTCTGGTTAGTATGGTCTGGTACACATACTGTACACAGTGAGGAACTTACAGGCAAAGCGATGGACCCCCGAGGACTTGGGAACTACTGATTTGTGAAACGCCATAACCTTTGGAGGTTAACTTGACTTTGCTGTCGGAAACGAGTAGATGCCGCGGTCGGTCACGTGCAGATACCATCAATCGATACTGAATTTACAGGACTTGGTGATTTACTTTAACCAGAGTTTGTGTCTAGTGACCATGGGCCCTTACGATCTACTGCTTCGTTCTTAGTTAGATCGTTATACTTGAACTTAAGACGCAAAGTCGACATTAATGCACCTTGTAATATGATAGTACGAGTCGGTCATACCTAGTGGGCTTAGTCCAAACTTCCGAAAGCAGCAAATCATTACGCAAAGAAAGCAGGGAAGGAATAAGATTCTAGGTTGTGATATATTTGAAGCTAGGCTTCAGAAGAAACCACGCCATGCCCGCCATAATGCATAGACTGTACACGCTCTAATAAGCCAAGGAAGCAAGAAGTAAATGAACCTTACGCAAAAACCAACCATAGTACTCCGAATCGGGGTCCCGGGCCATGCACAAGGCGAGTTTTTATTTGGTGTTATCTGTTTTAGAAAGTCGAGCCCTCCGGAGGTTGAGGGAGCTTCTTATGTTGCGGAAGGGCCATATACCTAGGAGCTTGAGTTGGATGAGTTCATCGTAAAACATGGTAGAGTTTACGCACCTTCTGAGTTCAAGCAAGATTGTCTCCATGGTGTTCTCGCGTTTCCATTGGGTAAGACACGGAAGTTTCGTAGGATCGACCTGTACGAGTATAAGAATCACACCATTCCGATATTTCCAGAAAACAGGGCGGGCGTTACCTTTCCGGTTCGGGCATCAACGCAAGGCAGATTGACACGCGAAATGAATTGCAGGGTCGGGGGGTTGTCAGGGTAGTCGGGACCACAGTGGATGTTTACACTGTAGATTCGGTTCTCATGGACACTCTATATCATAGTACGGGTCAGCGAAGCTGGTCTGTGGAACGGGTAGTATAGGCTGGACGAACATGAGGAGGACCAAGAATGGTTCCATTCCAGTTACTCATCATCACATCATCTCCATCTGCTAGACCGTACGAGCATGCCTCTGGAGTCGCATCAGTATATGTATCGCCGACAAAGATCAGGGAAGGTTCGTATCTACCTGCGCCTTGGCCCTTCTCGCCCTTCTCTAGCTCGTCTAGGAGTCTGAAGTTTCGGGGGATTTTAGCGCCCATTGTGTAAAGGTCGGAAGATCGTGTGGTGGGGAGTATCAACAAGGGAGTTGACCGGGGAAGGGGCGGGGTGGATGATGGGAAGAGGGGAATCTATGAACGAGGCGAAGGAGGGGCACCGTCGACGTTATCCCACCTTGACGGACAGGCGTATCGTCCCGGTTTCCTGCAGGCCTCGGGCACGTGATGATAACGGGTTGCCCCATGTCACGTGGGCGCCCTATCTCCGCTGGTGCCTTGGCATTGCCGGAGATGCCACTGTTGAGGTACCATTGCGACTCGTCGAATGCCGGCAGTGCCATTGCAGATTCGCGTATCCGGATCACGCATGACTTGTTTGCTGAGACGAGGAGTACAGAACTAGCCAATTCCGAAGTTATATTGGTCGCTTTCTCTCTAGCTTCCGTTCTGTTGCCAAATATTCTGTCAACAACCCCATAAAGCTACCTTAGCTTGCTACCTGCTTGATAGATCATCAATTTGAATGGTGGCGTTTGTCATGATCTAAACCAACCACCTCTCGGAAATGTCCTCCCAGCTCCTGCAGGCGGAGCTCTTGAACCTGATACAAGAGTCCAAGAGAAAGAATGCCGACCTGCGACACGTAAGCTCTGGGGAATAGGGATACATGTCATGGTGTCTATGCTGACCCCCAAGTGTAGGCGGCCGAAGAATCACTCAATGAGCTGAAAAGCTTGCCATCGACTTCTGAGGCACAGATCTCGGCAGGTAAGCCTGGACCCTTACATGGTAATTTTGATTTGGTGGCAGATGTACTGAACTCCCGCGAGATCTTGTACGCAAGCCGAAGTTTGTCGACCCCTTCATTTTAGCCTGCCACGCTCGCCATGCACGGCTTTCAGGCATCGGAGTCATCTGCCTCCAAAGGCTAGTCGCATCACGATCACTACCTTCCCAGAGACTGGAAGATGTCCTCGGGGGTTTGAAAGAAACAACACATTTGAGTAAGTCTCTACTTTCTTAGCTTGATCGTGTTACTGACGTGTCAAGGTTTGGACATCCAATTGAAGATCCTGCAAACTCTTCCTGCGTTATTGCAGCATTATTCTGATGATCTTGGCGGTGAATTGCTTGTGAGCACACTCGAAATATGTGCCACGCTGCAAACAAGCAAGACCCTTGCGCTGTCTAGCACGGCTGCCGCCACGCTTCAGCAACTAGTTGTTTCAACTTTCGAGCGAGTTTCGAACGAGGACAGTGCGTTTTCCCTGTTCTAAATCATTGAGTGGGCTAGGCTGGTCGCTGACATCAAACTAGAAACCCTCGACGATGCCAAACCAACAGTAACGGTCAAAATTGACGGCAATCCGATCAAGATCGGATACTTTGCCTATGATGCCTTGCGGGTAAGGCTTAAATCCCCGCCGCGCACCTTGAACGTGCTGACTTTCTAAGGTCTTGGATGATCTCTGCCGCATAGTGGATGGTGAGCAGCTCCATTTCCTGCGCATTAAAGCACTGTCTCCAACGTTTACTCTCGAACTCATCGAGAGCGTTCTGATCAACTCTGGCCGCCTATTCATTGGTCATATGGAGCTTGCACAGGTTTTGAGACTCCGGCTTATGCCAATGATCGTGAGGTTCTTATCAGAACGACATGACTTTGCTTTGACCGTTCGAGTTTGTCGGATCCTTCTTGTGCTTCTCAAAAGGCACATGTCTCTTCTCACTGCCGAGTGTGAGATGGCACTGGGCCTTTTGACGCACTTGCTGGAACCCGATGGTACCGCGCCGTGGAAACGAATTCTCTGCATGGAGGTTTTCCGTGGGCTATACGCAGAACCAGGGCTTGTGAGACTCATTTTCTCACTCTATGACGGCAAGGATGGAAGGAAATGCATCCTCAAGGATCACATGGCCGCACTGGTTCGTCTGTCATCTGAGAAACCTTCGTTGATTGGTGTCAGTAGCCGTTCAACCGTACCTTTGCGGACCGATCATTCAAGGTCCATTACCGAAGAGCAAATCACGCTGGAAGCGGGCGGACTTGCTGGAGTCATTGGAACTAGCGTTCCTTCAACTGATGCTAGTGTACCAGGCATCAGTAGCCAGTGGAGTGTTGTTCGCACGCAGTATCTTGAACTGCTCGACAAGACTGAGCCACCATCCCCGCCGGAAACGTACATTTACAGTCTGGTGCTGAATTGTATCAGCTCATTTGCCGAGGGGCTTGCGAAATTCATACTTCCTTTGACCGTGCCAGACTTGAAGCAGAAGAGAAAGAATCGGATTACCGGTGCCGACCAAAATGCAGACCCCGTCAGCCCCATCAGTCCTTCCCACGACGTTCAACGGACGGAATCAATCAAGCATGGTCAGAAATCCGGAGCCAAGAAATCCCCCATGCCTCTCAATCCGCTTCAACTAGAGTCCCATCCCCAACTTGGTGCAATCAAGACTTGTGCGGGCATCATTGAAAATTGCTGGCCTGCTGTTTTGGCGGCGTGCTCTACCTTCTTATATGCATCATTAGATGATGAATTCTATCACAATCTCGTCCGCTCCTTCCAGAAATTAGCCCATGTGGCAGGTCTTTTGCGATTGTCCACTCCCAGGGACGCTTTCTTGACAACACTCGGGAAGGCAACTGTACCAGCCGAGACTTGTGCAGCTAAGCCGGGGTCTGTCGCCAACCCAACACCTGATGAAAAGCGGAAAAGTATAACAACCTCCACCTTGGGCTCTCCCGTACCGGATGCCTCTGGAGCCGCTTTTGATAAGGCGCCTGTATCACTCAGCACCCGGAACCTTCTCTGCTTACGTGCGTTACTTAATTTGGGCATTGCTCTTGGCCCTACGTTGGACCAGCCGGCCTGGTCCATCATTTTGGGGACCCTCCAGGACACAGACCTGTTAATTGGTATAGCGTCGACGAAAACAAATCCCGCCCTCAGCAGCACCACCGAGCCATCGTCCGTCACAGGGAGTGATGTTCCCAAGGCTAACATTGGAAACGAGATTATTGCCGTGCAGGCAGCCTCAGCTAAGCTTCTTGAAAGCACGAGTGACTACCCAAGCCGCTCGTTTCAGGATCTCTTAGCTGCGTTGTTGAATCTTTCGGAGCCCACTGAGGAATCCGATCAACCAGCCACTCCTGACCTGAATTCGAGTCCTGGTCGGTCGCCGCATCAGCGTCCCGGACCGATGCGCCGGAACACCCGTCGTGTCTCGCTTGCACTGGGTAAATCGCGAATCCAGGACGAAGAACTGCGGTTTGTGTTGGAAAAGTGCAATGAATTAGGCAGGTCCAACCTGGAGAGATTGTCATCGCTAGAGGAGAGTGACTGCGCCGCCTGGCAACTTTTGACAGGGCGGCTCATGTCGAGTGCAGCGGATAGGGAAATAAGTCAGAATCTTCGCCTGCGCGCCAATGAAATTCTGAACACCCTCATCTTCCAAACCATGAAACAGACGGCCGACGACATTGACCAAACCAGCAATTCTCGGCAAAAGAGGAACCTTGAGACACTCAAACAACAAATTCAGTTGCTCTATGATGCCAGTGCCTGTCGGCTGGGTTCTCCTACTGGGCCTATTATCGAAATACACAGTCAGAGCTTGGAGACGTTGAAAAGCATCCTAGAACAATATGCGGAGACATTTGTCGATGGCTGGTCCATTGTTTTTGATCTCATTACGAGTGTTTTCGGGGATTCTGGAACGGATGAACGCCAAAGAACGTCGGTCAGCAGTAAAGATCGCAAGACGTTCCTGCTGGCAGATTCGCACCAGCTCATTCGCATTTCATACAAGTCTCTGCAACTGATTGCGTCCGATTTTATTGCACTCTTGCCGTTGCCTTGTCGGCTGGACCTGGTAGAGTCCTTTTCGAAGTTTGCCATACAGCAGCAAGATTTCAATATCTCGCTAACTACAACCTCGTCTTTCTGGAATGTATCCGACTTTCTCCAGGGCCAGATCGAGCGATTTTCTATCGAATCCAGTGTCGACGCTTCGGTCAGCGAGGACATGTTGGTGACGTTGGCCAAGAACGAGGATCATTCTGTCTCCCGAAATGCCCTCTGGTTATTGCTCCTCCTGCGAATTGTTGACCTTGCTACGGATAGCAGATCAGAAATTAGGAATTGTGCGGTGCATACCCTTCTTAGAATCTTCGACGCCTACGGCCAACAATTAACCCCAAAGGCATGGCGTTTATGTCTCAACCGGGTTCTTTTCCAGATGACTGATGAGCTGGAGACCGAGTTGAATTCGGCAAAGGGCACGACTAGCCCAGATGAGTTGAGTTCGTGGGTAGAAACCGCGGTCGTCACGATCAAAGGGTTCTCTGATTTATTGACAAACTTCTTCGAAGCGATAACCAAGGATGAGGAATTTGACCAGTCCTGGAAACGCCTGCTCAATCACTGCCAGAATCTGACGGCGCTCCACTCTTTGGAGCTTAGCGAAGCGGTATTTACTAGCCTGTCAAACATTCTTCTTCGGGTGCAGGCCCCCCATGTCCTGAGCAAGCAGTCTCTAGAGGCGGCCTGGCTGCTATGGGTTCATGGCCATCCCGCCATTCAAGAAGATTTGTTGGACCTAGAGCGTCCGAACCAAGACGCCTCGATAGCCTACCTAAAGGCTTTTCAGCAAGTCTATCGTTTGTACCAGGACGAAATGACCAATCCTCACGTCGAGAAGATCCTGCAGCACATCCAGCATCTGGCATGGAACTCCATCTTTCCACGGTATTCGCCGGACATCGACCGGCCGTCTAGCCTGCAAGCGTTGATCGTCGATTGCATCAGAACCATTTGTGTGGACAAGGAGGATTCCCAGGCGGAGATTCTCACCTGTCTCGCAAGTTTCGCCGATTCCGCCTTGTCGAGGTGGTCGCCAAACAGTGACTCAAGGGTGCCGACCTATGTTGCCTTCTCGAAAAGTGTAATTGATCTCCTGAGCTGGTACATCGCCGAATTTGGGATTAAAAGGCAGATCTTTGCCAACGACGCCCTCTCAACTGCTCTGGAGCATCTCGCAAACCCTGTCTCTCAGAAGTACGAGTGGCCCGGGAAAGACCGCGAGCCTTCCCTCTGGCGGAAGTCCACTACCGCATCGCTCAACATCCTCAAGGTTGCAATTCCTTACGTAGAGAAGCAGTACGACGAATCAAACAATGCCCAAATCTCTCGCTTCTGGGCCGTCGTCGTGGGTCTCACCAACGGCATAGTCTCTGCCCAAGGATACCGGACCGTGGCGATTCCGCGCGCCAACATACTCGACGACGAGACTTTCGATGTCGACGCCTTCCAGAGACTCAAGACGCTCATCATCCCAGCCCTGGGAGCATCCATCATCGCGGATTCCATCCGGCGCGAGTTGGCTTGCGCCCTGCTGTCCTCATCCTTCATTTACCTCCCGCAGCGATTCGACCTTCCGGCCAAGAACCTGGAGACCGAGCCCCTGCACGACTTCTACCAGGTGCGGCTCGGGAGGACCTTTGATCCCACCCCGACCTCGCGCACCAAGATGGCCTACGCCGTCATGGACACCTTGTTCGAATTGGCCTCGGCTCCGGCGCCCGACCAGGCCCCCAGCGAGCCGCACACTGCCGCCCGCATCCTCCTCGCCCGGTCCATCTCGCCGTACCTCATCCTCCGCACCGCCGTCTCCTTGAAGGGGTACATTGCCGATCAGCCCCTCCGGGGCCTTATGCCTCAGCCCACTCCGGCGCGCCGGGCCCTCTTGCACCTGCTTCTGGGCATGGTGAACCTGCGCAGCGAGCCCACGGCCATCCCGCAGCCTCCGACGAGCTCCAGCTCTGCGAAGTCAGGCGACCAGAGCCATAAGAGGCATTTGGAATGGATTTATCCTCTCGTGGTGCGGGCGGTGCAGGTGGCAGGCAAGGAAAAGGATGATGGGGAGGTTCTTCACGCTCTAGGGAAGGTGCTACATGAGGTTGGGGGGTATGCATAGGTAGAAAGATTTGAGGAGTGTCTAGTATAGAATGTTCTGTTTTTGATCTCCATTTCCTATTGTAGTGGATGAATTTCCGTGATCTTCCTACTTCTTCATGCTCTGAGATTGGTGGACGTTGCACAATATGGTAACTTGAAACTGATTACAAACTCGCTGATAGTAGATGGGGTTCGAATAAGAGCTAAGAAAGATCTATCTCTTGGCACATGATGAAATGATACATGAACGTAGTGGGCTTGCTTATCTGGTCAAAGGAGAGGGGGGTTCGTCCGCCACGAGACGGAACGAGACGAGGGAGAAGTGCAGGGATACAGTGGTAGGTAGGGTATATGAAGAACACTACAAAGACAATTCAACAACCACCAGAATCTATGCCGCAGGCGCAGTGACTGGCGCGGGCTGGCTCTGGTTCTGGCTAGGATACGTCTCTCGTCCGGGACCGGCAGTGGCGGAACCCGGGGGCAGTTGCTGCTGCTGCAGTTGCTGTTGTTGAAGCTGCTGCTGCTGGATCTGCTGCTGCTGGGCGATTTGCGGCGTGGAGGCAATCTCGGGGGCCTGACGGTAGAGAACGATCTCGGACTGTTTGAAGTAGCGACGGGCATCTGTACGGGGTCAGTACAGGGCGGTTCTGAAACAAACGGGCGGAAACTGGGGACGAGTGGGGCCGACCACGCGAGGCCGCATCCCAAAGCGGGTTGGCGTGGGGGTGGCCATTCGGGGCCTCCCCGTTCCCTGCTCAACTCACGGCCCGAAAAGGTCGTTCAGTAGCCGACCGGCTATTGATGGACCCCCCCGTGGGATGCACGGGTGGGATGCGAGGTTTTCGGGGCAGTCCGATCAAACCCGCTCGGTGGTCGGTCCCTCTCAGGCGCCAATGCAGTCCCGAGTCCGGGCGATGCATGACGACAGCTGCATAACATCACGTACCTTCGTCAATGAGTACCAGGCTGAGGTAATACCGCGTGGAGTACTTCTTGTTCACATCTCGGAATGTGGGCGTCAAATCAAATCCGCCGAGGAAGAGACGAATAGGGATAGTTTCACCTAGGAGCGATCAGCATGGACTTCATCCAGTTTTATCACAGGGTCCGCCGCAGCCGGGGGAAATCGACCAGTGAAGGCTCAGATGACCACCCGTTTAGCGGCACCGAAGAAGCCAAGCTAATGCAGTCAATCAACTTACCTCGTGAAGGGGAACCGTCCATGATCTGTACGAAACTCCGAATTAGCATCTCATGTCTCGCTCCAATCGTCCCAGGGTTTCTCGGATCACACCAACCTCAAACCGCACCAACGTCTCGCTTTCGTTATACTGGTTGGGCGGAGAGCCTGTGGTCTCGCGCCGGATGATGGAGAGCTCCATGTGTTTGATCTTCAGCCGCACCAGGAGGAAATAGATGCGGCCCACGATCACATCCTTCAGGTGGTACTTGGATTTGGAATATTCGAACTCGATGTGCAGGCAGTCCTCGATACCGACGTCCATCTTGATCGGGCTGTTCGTCTCGGGCGGCATGCGATAGGAGTAGACCCAGAGGTCCTTCTCCCGGATCACGTCCGCCATGCGCCGGGACACCGTCACCCGGACAAAGTACCGCAGCTTCACGTTGATACCATTGTAGGACTCGTACTGTTTCTCGATGTTCTTGAAGTTAAAGGGGAACGTCTGCGGGTGTTGCAGTTCTCCCGGCGCTGCGAGTTCCTGCACCAAGGACAGGAATTCGTAGTGGTTGCCACGGTCGTAAAACATCTCTAGATTAGGCAGACACCATGCGTCAGCGTACCGGATCAATTTCATACGCCAGAAGAGGGGATAGGCCGATGCATTGGGAGAATTGATAGACGGGAATGTATTCGCGCCTAGCAGCTGCGGAGATGCAACATTGTCTTGCCATACCAATTGTGCCGATGAACTGGACCTTGATGCCCGTGTGCTCTAATCGCCTGCCATCCTTCGGTCGCACCGTCACGGCGCCCTTTACGGATTCTCCATCTTCGTAGAGAGGAACTCGTTCGCGACGGCCCTTGTCGAGTTTGACGTCGACGGTCTGGCGCTCGTCGCTATCTTCGAGGACGACATCGATATCAACGGGGGTGGAGAAGAAGAGGGAGGTCATCGTGGGCCAGGTGGTTGAGCCGGCGGAGACAGAGGGATGTAAGCGGCGAAGACGATAGGGTTAGTCGAGGCTGATCGAGATTGGTTGGGGCAGTTGAATGTAGTAGTCCGGCAAAAGCCCTGTCATGCAAGGAAGGCAAGACGCATTGGAGTGAAGCTCCGGTCAGCTTCCAGCGATTGACGGCATCGCAACTGCTGGCGTATGCGGTATTATGTAAGCATCATCGGGATCCCCGCCTTCCCGCAAAAGAAGTCATGCTACTATCATTTACACCATGGCAAGCATCCCAGACCAATCGAATTCATGGACTGCGCCTTTCAAATCATCATCGGTAGCCCACCGTTGGTCGATGTGCCTCCATACCGACATTTCAAGAGCACAGACATGCTCTCAGACAAACAAAATATGTATGTCTAGCTACAGCGCATAACGCAGTGTTTACTACAGGTGATAGCACACTGATCACTGGTCGGGGATTTCGGATCCTCGTTTGAGCCTGATTGACAGCTCACAAGTGGCTGATCCTTCGCGCATGTTTGATGAATATTTGCTTGGCCTGGCTCGCAAGACCGTCGCCATCGACGGCATCTTCAGCCTCCTACGGTGTGAATACCAGGTGGGTGAACTACTGTGCGCCAATTGTGAATATGAGAACATCCAACAGTCCGATCTATCATTCCCATGCGTCTTTTCTATGAGGGGTTGGATGGTCACAAGCCCATATTAGGCTTTGTTGGGTGATGGCAAAGACTTTGGCCCTCCTGCGGCAATCCAGGTAATGATTTAGAATACGGGGTATACACCGAAGTGATAAGGGTTTCTGCCCGATGAGACAATTGCAACCGAAAGTACCCCGTACTGGGAACTCTGTCCGGAGCCTTGTGGGAGAGGAAATTGGCAGCCGACATACGCGCCCAACGGAAAACCTACAAAGTAGTAAATGCAGCAGCACAACAAAAAGCGGATTTCCCAAGGAAAGCTCATCATAGGCTGGAGCAGCCGCCTGGAAAATCAATAGCGTGTTGTTGGAGAAGACGGGGAACCTAGCCGTCAGGTCAAAGTCATCGCCGTGATCATGCGGCAAGCAGCTACAGGGGTTGGGTCCAGGGTCGAGCCAGGCTTCCCCGGAATGATTGTTCTTGTTGCAGGGCAGGTCATCCTGTCGGATTTCAGGTACCACCGGGCGGAAATGCGGTCTAGGGGAAAATCGACAGATCCAAAATCTGACCTCCGCGGGGCAAAAGTACAGACGTCAGACATCGTGTTTGGGCGGCAGCGAACATCGGCAGATCGACTTGTATGTTCGCAGCGGATGTCCACGGGGGAAACCTGCGACTGCGTGCTCTTATGTATCCCACGAACTCGAGCGGAGACGGCGACGAAGCAGCAGAAGCGACGGCGAAGGCGGGAGAATCGTCGCCGTCGTCGATAGCGTGGGGGTTCCTCTCCACCGATACTGTACAGAACCGTCATTGAAACATGACATCATGCGGTCACCATCCTTACAGAGTATGCCTCAGGAGTCAGGACATGAACCGACAGGACTCTTTCTTACAATTGGAGCGCCCTGCGTCCAAACGAGACCAAGTCCCAGTCCGAGGCTGCATGTTGGTCACAGCCGGCAAATGACACAATAATACCTTCAAATACCGCGGGATCGGATCTGCCGCTACTGACCAGACCGCTGGACTCCTTTGTCACCCCCACTCGGCAGGTATTACTTGTCGCATACGCAAGGACAAGAATCATCACTTCTGGACAAGGCACTTTTCCCCCGTACAGTCCGGGCAAAATGGCAAATCTGCCCGATAGCCAAAATTACGGGTACAAATGACCCACCGGCCCAAATTTCATACTTGAAGGAGCTTGATTCTGCCTCCGATGCGCTTGTCCTCTCTGCATTTTTTTATTCCTTTTTTATTATTACCCCTTGGATCCTTCAGCCTTCTTCTCCCTACTTCATACACATATCTCCCATCGGCAACTCCTGAGCACTCTGATCACCACCGCCTCTCAGGCACCGTTCATTCCTGCAAACACTCTCCGGCCGTTCCACCAATCACATCCCTTCCGCGGGTTGCGCTGCCGGTTCCAGCGTCATACATTTCCATTGTTGTGCTGCCGGTTCTTTCTGAATTGCCAATCCTCCTCGCGATCCCTTTGTCCACCATGCTCTCCGCTGGAGAACGCCCCCAACCGCCTTTGGGCAAGAATGCTGCCGTTCTAGACATGGCTCGCAACGCCTCCGCCTCCAAGACCTCCATGAACCATACCACCACCCCAATGTGGACGCAACCGCCCAAGCCCGAGAGCGTTCAGCATATCTGGGTCGTCACGGGCCCAGCCGGCTGCGGGAAAAGTACCGTTGGACGGGGCATTCAGCAGGCACTGCAAATCCCGTTCCTTGAAGGCGATGATGTAGGTTCATTCCCAGTCACGAACACTACGACAGATTCAAAGATAAAAACTGACCATGCATGACCGTCTAGTTCCACACCGTTTCCAACCGGGAAAAGATGACCAACGGAATCCCTCTTACCGACGCTGACCGCTGGGACTGGCTCATCTCTCTCCGCAAGGCCGCCATCGAGGCGCTCTCCCCCTCGGAAGCCAACAACTACCTCCCTCCGTCCGGCGTGGTCGTCGCCTGCTCCGCGCTGAAGCAGAAATACCGCGACGTCATGCGCGTGGCCGCCTACGGCTCCCCGTCCGTTCAGATCCACTTTGTCTACCTGAAGCTGGACGAGCAGGCCCTCTTCCAACGGGTCACGCAGCGCCAATCGCACTACATGAAGAACACCATGGTCCAGTCGCAACTGCGGGATCTCGAAGAACCCAAGGGCGAGTGGGACGCGCTCACCATCGACGCCAACCACCCTCCCGAGCAAGTGCAGAGGGAAGTACTAGAGAAGGTGCGGGATAAGCTGGCTGAACAGAATTAGCCGTCTCTTTCTCACTCGCATATTACCCGCTTTCTATTCCCCGTCTCTATATACCTCACCGGGTCAAAACTTTAGGTCCCGATTCCCATGCATAATATGGGGCAATGCGTTGAATGATTGGTTTCTTTTGGGCTGGTTTTCTTGCGGAGTTTCTAAACTTGCGATAGGTTCTGGCAAGCATGATATCGAACCTCAGGAGTTTCGCTTTTCATTGTGTTTTCTCGGCGGAGTCTTGTTCTTACCCTGACCGGCTGTGCTGGTCATATACGTTTGGGTCTCTGTATATGTTTCAATCATTATAGAATCAACATGTGTTTATCTTCCTCGATTCGTTCAACAATGACGCCCGTGTAGATCAACTGGGTTCCTGGTCTAGTATGACGTCATTCGCGCGTTGTGACATGTCTAGGAAGTACATCTACAGCCTAGGAGTAAGACAGATATTGGTATGATTGGTCCCTAAGTTCCCTATTTGAGGCAGCATCATTGGTTCAGCCATTGCTCGGATAGCAGGACATCGGACCAGAAAGCCAGCTGTTCCTATCTCACATATCCTCACACACGGTTTCTTCCAAGACTAGAACAAAGAAAACTAAGATGTGTGCAGACTGATGAACAAGATGCAGCAGAAAGGAATAGCACATGTAACGCCACAGTTTCAACCTGCTACTCCTGCGACCATAGTGCAAGACAGACGACCGTTAGTCACTGGCTTCCTCGCCCTCACCTTCTTGTGCATCCTCATCGCCGCCACCACTTTCCTCCTGGTCGGCAGTTGTCTTGGAGTCATCACACCCAACGCGCTTGCGAGACTCAGTGATCGGATCCCATTCCGTGCCGAAATCCTCGTTGCCGCGAAAAGTCATCAGCCAGTCTTCCAGCTTCGCTCGATCCTCCGGGTCCCGGATATTGAGCGGGCTGTCTCCGGGGTACAGCTCAACCAGGCGCTGCCTTCCGTCCGAATTGGTGCAGGATTCCGCAACCCGAACGCTATACGAACTTGGGTTTGCTGGAACGGCCGGGGTTTCGTCGCGACGATAGACATAGTAGAAAAGCCTCGCATTAGTTCCGAAGGCCACCAAAATCGGACGACCCTTGACATTCTGCTCTCGGCGGCGACTGAACTCCGTGAGGCCAAGTTGAACGACGGCGTAGTTGATGGTTTGTTCCCATTCCACGGGACTTTCGTCATCGGGGTGACGCACAAAGGCTTGCAGTCCATTACAGAACAAATGGTCCATCCTCAGCTGCCGATAACGCGGGGGGAGGAGACACTGCCATTTTGCATTGTTGAGCATCACGAACCGATAGGCCGAGTTTTCACCGCTTCGAATCAGCGCCGTGATGAATTGACCCCAGGCGTCCTCGAAAGATCCGGGATACAAGTACGTGGGCAACTCGAAGAGTTTGTTGTCGGTACCGGGATTGGCAAATCCGCCAGTGTAACTGTACTGCTCACTGGAGAAAGAGTGAGAAAGGAAAAGGTAGGAAGAGGGTTACATGTTCGACGATAGATGAGGACTTACTACCATGGCAGTTCTATCTTTTCCGTGTATTTTGGATCCGATGCTGATAGGTTTGACAAGTAAAAGCTGACGGTATCGATGATAGTCATTCGGGGACTGTTGGCATCTGCTATACCAATGACCGGATTCAGCTCAATAGACGATTTCATGTTGGCGAGATGATGATAAGACTTGGAGCTATAGCTCACTATCGAGTTTATTCTTTCTCCGGTGCGTAAATCCTCGATGATGAATAGCTCGGGTGCCTGTCTTCTATCCGCTCCAACGATGGCGTAATAGTCATTCAACCGGATCCTGCTGTTTCCGAGTCGTTGGCAACAAGCCGATGTTTTCCGTAGCATTTGATGCGTTCGGGCATCTGAGAATTCCATGACGGTAGTCATAATCTCGTTGGGGACTATACGAGACGCCTCACCCGCTAGATGCTCCCTGGAGGCTGCATCAAAGAACCGCAACATCATACTGAACGTAAAGTCTTCATCCTCGTACGACTCCTTGACAATGGTGGTGGCGATTTCTCCGTCTTTCTCATCCTCAGGTTCAACGTCATCGGACTCTGATTGGCTTGAGATCTCGTCTTCCGACTCTTTCTCCGTGACAGATGTGGTAGCCTCACTCGGACCAGAGTCTCTGGAGCGAGGACCGTTGGCGAATCTGGAATTTTTGTCATTGAAATGTACCAAGGCCATCAGGGGCGACCTCCGAACATGCACGATTCCGTCCTGGTGGGTTTGTACGCGGACAAGAACAACGTCCAATATCGAAAAGACCATGGCGTAAAACGAGTTCATTCCCGCATTGAGGCCGAATTCGACAACTTCAGCAACCGCTGCTTCCTCGACATCAACCAAATCAGTCCTGGTAGCCAGATGAATGATAACATTGTTCATCCAGTAGGTCGTCTCTTTTGGAGCCGCCCCAGGCTCGAGCCCAGGAGCATGACTCTCATGTAAGAATCTAGGCAGAAGGCTCTGCTGACCGATGTGCAATCTGGCTTCGGGAATGAGAAAATAGCCCTCGCGACTGTAATTCCTGTTGAGAGATTCGGGATACTCAAAACTCATTTCACCGGCTGTGATGGATAGGAATGCGAACGCGAGCTCCCTGAAACCGAAGCTGTTCGAGTCCCATTCTGGAAAGAACTGATCGAGTATAGGGGAGTATCGACGGTGTGTGAGGGAGAAGACAATCCAAAACAGGGCTTCCCGATGGATGACCACTTCTTCCGAGTCAGGGACTAGAGACCTCGGAGGCACAATCTCAGGGTTGAGAGTTTTATATCGGTCTCTTGAAGCTCGATTAAACTGTGGGATGCAAGTAACGTCGCCGATTATTTCCTTGGGTGTGGAGGGTTTGAAAGCCCTACGATCATAGCTATCTTTGCCGATGTAACGAATCCAACGATCATAGCGAGGTATCTTTGTGAATTTGAAATGCAGCGCATTGTCAACTGTAAAAATCTCGCGGTCAAGGTCAAGAGTGTAAGTCCATTCAATGAACCAGATCTCCACGTCAGACATCACGATCTGTAACGGGGAGTTTTCAAGCCGGTCATCGACAGACAGAAAGCTCCCCAAATAACGTTCAGGAAGCGAGTCGGTTGATTCGGATTGATCACCCTTGACTGAAACGGGGAGACACCGCTCTTCATACTGCGTTGCGAGCTCGGAGTACCTCGCTCTCATTACTTGAAGCCATTCTGGAAATCTTGAGCGTTAGATGGTCGGATGAGAACGAACGGATGATGTCTCTCATACCGCGATACTTGTCAAGGTCTTCCGGAATTTCCTGAACAATAGCACTTCCAAGACCATCGGGATAGCTGTCGAAATGGTTGTAGTAGACGAAATATCTGCCGCGGCAACGCACAAAGAGGAGTCCTCTGGTCCCCATTTTGCCAGGACTGCTCGAGATCGACGGAACTAATTGAAGGAATAGGACATGGAAAGGCAGGAAGATTAAAAGAAACTCAAATGCGAGAAAATGAGCAAAAGAAAAGAGTACGACAATAGAGTTGGATGAGAGACGGAGGGAAGACAAGATGGAGAGGTGGGAGGTGAGAGGTGAGAGTGAAAGGAAGGAGACAACAAAACTTCCCGGCAACTACGAGGGGCGCAAACAATGCGAACGGGGTCATGTCTCAATAAAGAAACTTGAGGAGGGGCAGGCAGAAGCCTTGCTACCTAGTAATCCATGCAAGAAGGTGCATGAACCTCTGGCATGTAGCAAATAAAAAGCAAGATAGAGCCGCTCCAGCGTTTGGGCGCTAATGTGAAACGGTAGTAGTATTCTCTATGGAGGGATTCTTTTTGTATGGTCCACCGCGCCAGAAAGATGTAACGGAATGAGTTCTTTATGTATAGACAGGCTATCGGAGGTTCAGTAGCATCAGCTCTGGTGATTCAATAAATCCCCGGATCCTGTTGGCCATCCTCGCCATGGTCGCTCCGTCTACCACGCGATGATCTGCGCTCCAGCTGAAGTTCACCAGTTCGCCTTTCGTTACTTGGCCTGCCTCATCAAAAATGGGTACGGTCTTGGATTTTCCAATGCCTAGAATCGCCAACTCGTTGGGGATAATCACCGGGGACAAATAGGTGCCCCCAATATTTCCAATGTTGGAAACAGTGATCGTGCCGCCACTGAGGTCTGCAGGAGTGAGCTTTCCCTCTCGCCCCAAGACACTTAGTCGCGAGATTTCCGACGCAACGTCGAGGATCGAACGACTGGCAACGTCCTTGACGTTAGGGACGATCAAGCCATTGGGGGTATCCATAGCAACTCCGATATTGTGTTTAGGTCGCATTATGAGTTGCGGCTTGTCGGGGTTGCTCGCGTCAATCTTCGCATTGAGAAGAGGATATTCGTTCAGCGCTAGGGAAACTGCCTTGACGACAAACGAGAGGAATGTGATTTTCTGCGGGTCTCTAGGGTCGTTTGCCAGCTTCCTTCTCAGAGAGGTGATCTGGTTGATGTTCAATTCATCCGCATATAGAAAGTGTGGTACGCTGAGTGATTTGGTCATCGTCTTGAACATCTGAGATTGGAAGGGTGTCAAGTTGACAGCGGTCTCTGTTTGTGGTGCGGTTATCGTGGGCCCTGTTGCAGCTGCCGAGTCCCGGGAGGCTATAAACCGGTGGACATCTTCCTTGAGAACGCGTCCAGCTTTGCCGGTTCCTGATATTTCTGTGATGTCAAGGTTGTGTGCTTTGAGCAGACCACGCACTGCCGGGGTTGCCAGGGTTGCATATGGGGATTTCGGCGTCTCAATCCGCACCGCATTTACCGGGGGGGTAGGTGCGATCTCCTCGATGAACGGCGTTTGTGAAACGGCTGCAGGGATCGGGCTGGGCTGAACCGGTTCCGGTGCAGGCGGCGGACTGTCCTCAAAGTATTTACCATCTTCTACCTCAATATCGCAAAGGGCCTATAGATTGACCACTAGTTAGCAATGTCGCTTTCTGAGGTCTCAAACAAAAGACAAATCTCTCACCTTGCCCGTTGGAACCGTGTCGTCCGCCTGAAAGTGTAGTTTCTTGACTACACCTTCATATCTCGATGTGATCTATCGCCGTCAATCGTCTTGTTTGCATAGTCCATGGAGTTCGAGGGACTAACATCGTCAACTGCTTTATCTGACTGATATTGGCACAGAGGTTTCCACTCTTCTATGTATGCACCCTCCTCCACGTACCACTGGATGATCTGAACCTCCGTGATTCCTGGGAACATTGAAAGGTCAGCGATTGGCCAAGAAACAAGGCAAGGAAAGTAGCTCCAGAAGTGGTTTTGAAAAGACATAGGGAACGACCTGCATACCTTCACCAACATCTTTCAGGACCTGGGATTTAACCCCCCACAGTGATGGTGCAGCATGAAAATTGCGGCAAGAGAACGAAATGGCCGGGGCATGTCCAATTGGCAGGACTCTGCGCGATCGAGTAGATCGGAGAGCGCAAGAAAGGCCTGTACTGAAGCGGAAAAAGCTCATTGTCGAGTTTCAATCAAGCTAAGAGGCACGCAGAAGCCAAAGAAACACCCGGAGCGTAGAGAAGGCGGCCCTGCATGGCGAGGGACAGCGAGGAGGTTGTAGATATGCCCGTTCTCCCTCCGCATCGCTGCTTCTCCGCGCCGACGATAACCGAACCCCGGCGTCATCCCACATGACCCCACGTGATCCTACTCCGCATCTGCCCTCTGACGGTCCGTCAGTTGTTCCGTCCGCTTTTCAGATAAGTTATCAAGGCATCGGCCAACGCTGCTCGACTTGAGATGCTGGGAGCCTGGGAAATCTTCAAAATGCCCAGGCCTCGACTTGATCTAGGCGACGGATATCTCGATCAATCATTGCGGCCCACTGACCCAAACCAAACTAGCAGTCCGGTCGGAATTTGCGTCGAGAATGGGATGAGCATGGGCGAAAACCGCGAGCAACGAGTGCGAATTTTGCTCGGTTCTAGAGCAGGTTGCTATTTAAAGAGTGTTTGCTGATGCGAGCCCTACGGAGATCCCCACCGTCAGAAAATCGTCTATCCTCCACTGTTAGTGGATCCCGGGCCGGATTCGACCCAATTGCTAGAGCGACCAGCCGTTCGTGATTGCCCGAGGACATTGAGCGTGGTTAATGTTTGCTTGGGAATGAGTGATTCATAAGGAAGGAGGGACAGCCAATGGTCGAGGATCAATCCCGTCGTCATTCGCCCTGCAGGCCGCAGGGGCACACGGGGAGGAAACTTTTCTAGGCCCCGTCCGTCGGCTTCGCAGGAGATCCCAGGACGCACCATTATTGGTGCGCCATCCATGGTGGCCGGCCTAGTGCTCTCGTCCGACCCCAGTGCAACCATTCATCCTGGCCCGTCCAGACCAATAATGCGCGCCGTTTTGACTGGTAGCCTGATACGGGGAACCCTCTTCTAGCCTTTCTGCCCCTATGGAGCTGGACTCGGTTTCTTATTCTGCTCGGAACTTCAATTGACTGCTTCTCATCTTCCCACAGGACCACCTCCGCCCACCTCCGGAAGAGAACGCTTTCTCTACTCTTGCCGTTCGTCAAATACATGCGACAATGGTGGCCGACCATTTGACCGTTCGCAACCTCACCTCAACCCCTATTACCCTGAAACGCATTGAGCGGTTTCGTCCCCACGAAAAACCCCGCGATGACATTCAGTCCCTAGCGAAGAACTTCACCCGGCTTGTGGCTAATGTCACCACCAATGTCACCCGTGCGGCTGGGCCCGTCGCCTCCCTCGGCGATGATACAAAGCCATTTGAGCACAAGGATGTTAATATTCGCGTCGAGCCGTTCAAGGCTGTCAAGACTGAACTGCGCACCTTCATTGATTCGGACAAAGAGCGTCTGCGCTGGGTCTTTGAGGTAGAGGGGGAGAAGCACCAAATCCAAACTCCTGTACCCACCAAGGAGTCTGCCACAATGAAGGCGCTGTGTGAAAAGCCGAAGTTTAAACTCACCGGCGTATATGTCACGCCCGAGTCCCACCTCGCCATCTATTCCTCAGCCAACCTGAATGCTTGGATGAGGGAACTGAAGGATAACACCTTGGTTTCCTCTCTCTCTATTCCCGGCACTCATAACTCTCCCACCTGCCATGTGGCACCCCCGTCTGTTCGCTGCCAGGCAGTCAGTCCCAAAGAACAGCTTCAAAACGGCGTACGGTTTTTCGATATCCGCGTACAGCCGCAGTATCCCAATGATCCCGCGAAGGATGATCTAATTCTAGTTCACAGCGTGTTCCCGATCTCCTTGACGGGAAACAAATACTTTCGGGATCTGATGCGCGAAGTGGACGATTTCCTTCAACACAATCCATCTGAAACGCTCATCATTTCCCTCAAACGTGAAGGCCCCGGAGAGCATACGGATGAACAGCTAGGTCGCATTCTGCACGATCATTACGCACGCTCCGAAAGCAACTGGTATACGCAACCCAAGATTCCAACGCTGGGTGAGGTGCGCGGAAAGGTCGTCCTCCTGCGCCGATTCAACATCGCACAGAATCTGAAGGAGGCGCATGGTGGACGTGGTTGGGGCATCGACGCCAGCGCCTGGGCTGACAACTGTGCCAATGCGACCTGCGCAAGCGGGCAAGTTTGTATTCAGGATTTCTACGAAGTCCAGGAAACACAGAACATCGGGCAAAAGGTGAAATACGTCACTGAACATTGCGAACGGGCTGGCAAGTCTTGCTACCCATTCGGGGTGCTTCCGGGCCCAAAAGCGACTAGTGCTCACCCATTCTATATCAACTTCCTGAGTGCGAGCAACTTTTGGAAGCTCGGAACTTGGCCGGAGAAGATTGCTGCCAAGCTGAACCCGGCTACAGTTGACTATCTCTGCCGAAAGCATTGCGAGAAAGACGGCGATTGGTCCACTGGCATCCTTGTCACGGACTGGGTCGGATTAGATGGTGATTGGGACCTTGTGCGCTGCATTGTCGGCATGAACGCACGGTTGAAGCTAAGACAGGAAGTCCATGAAAAAGAGGCGATCAAGAAGAAGAACGCGGAGGAACAAAAAAAGAAGCAGGAACAGGAGGGAAAGAACAATCACGAGAAGAATGAGAAGAAGGGTAACGAACAGAATGGAAATGATTCCAAGGGAAATGAGAAGAAAGACGACCATCAGAAGAACGAAAAGAATGGAAACCACGAGAAGCATGAGAAACATGAAGAGTCCAAGAAATAAATGACGGTACCAGGGTTAGTAGATATACTATAGGGAGTTCGGTAGATTATCCAATGTTTATGATCATACTATTTGCCTGATTCTCCCGTCAAGTTTGAGGGGCCGACTCTGAGGACTGAATTAACCGAGATACTTATATGGTAAGAATCCTTGCATTCTATGTTTTTGGCTCTCCTCGAATCAAATATAAATGCTAAAAGAAAACCACAGGTGTCCAAGAAAATAGGAAAAAGTACATAAAGTGTAGTAGTATTATACATAGAAACCAGATGGGCTTGGGCTACCTCGTTCAAGCATCACTCTTCTGCTCCTCAGGCCCCTTCTGCTCCTCCTCCAGAACGTTCTTCCTGCTCTCAAGAGTGAAGTAGAGGCTCTTGCCAGCTCCTTCCAAAGTATTTGTGAGACTGGATCCCATGCTCTGCAGGGACTGGATGAGCTGGGACCGCAGGCCATCCATACCACCTTGGATACTGCCAACCCATTTCGTCTGGTCGACATCAAACACCTTGCCGTCCACCCGGGTAGCAAGCACGGCCAGTTTGTTCAGACCGTTCTGGACCGGCAGCTCATGCCATTCCGGGTTAGCCTTCCGGGTAGGAGTAGGGAAACCACAGGCCTTGGGCGCAAGAACGGTCAGTGCAGCCTTCAGATGCTCGGGCGAGACGTCGGGGATCGAGAGCACCGCGATAGGGCCCACGAGCAGCGTCGACAGCTCGTGTTTGCCCTTCATATGCAAGACGGCGTCGTGCGCTGCACGGGAGAGATCGTGCGTCAATGACGGGTCGTCTCTCGAGCCGGTGGGAGGGAGTTGGGCCGAGGTTTGCGTCACCGGATTGACGGCGCTAGGGGGCTGCGAGTTGGCCAGGGCGGCCTGGTTGGGCCGGAAGTACTCGACAATCCGCAGGGCCACCTCGAAAATGCTGGTTTGCACGATTTGAACCTTGACATGGGGGGCCAATGGCGGAGTGTTGCGACCCTCGGCGGCATTCTGTTCGTCCACCTTACGCAAGGCGCTGGTCAATTCTCGTCGGATTGCAGACCATTCCACTGATTGCAGGTTGTCGTGTTGGAGAAAGACCATAAGAGGCGTTGTGCGGATGAGAGATGTGTATTGACGTAGGAGTTGCGACCGGCGGTATTCCGGATTGCGGTGCGAGGGAACTTGGGAGGGAGGATATCTGGCAATTGGCGCAGCAGACTTCGTCATCTGCTCAATTGAAGGAGCCGGCGTCGTCGCCGTTGCGGTGCTCGCGCATCTGGTCACCGTAGGCAATTCATATTGGCGGAGCCTGCTCTGTCGGAGCGGCTGGGGAAGTCGGCCACTCGAGAGACGCACTCGGGGAGGCATTGTGAAGACAGGAGGAAGCGATGGATAGCCTGGAATGACACTCACCGAGGTGAAGGGAACGACGGACGACGGGCTGAAAATATCACGGAAACTTGCGGACCCAAAGGGGAATGGTCGGAGTTGGGGCGGTGAAGGTTCTGCCGCGGCATGCTGTGCTGACTACGCCTGCGCGTCCCTAGAAACCGAGGGGCATTCAGCTGCAAGGTGACTCAATCCTCATTCCTCCCTTCCCCCTAAGACGGGCTTATATATTCGGCTTACTCCCGTCGTGACAGCGGCTTGGAGGTCATCATTGCCAAAATGTCTGCCGCTGCCTACGACCAGAAACCGGAGCACGTCTCCATCTCACCCCTCCTTCAAAAGCTTGCTTATCCAAACCAGGAGCTACCGGTCGATACGGCCGATATCGCTTCAGCCTTCGCATTGATTTTTGAGGATCGTTTGTCTGCTATCCAGACGGCCGCTCTATTGACCCTCTTGCACTCCACCGGAAAGGACCGAGATGCGGAGGTCATCGCCAAGTGCTCTCATCGCATGAGAGAAGCCGCTCTCCAGGTGGATAAGGCGACCTTGAAGCAGGTCATCAAGTCCCGTGGTAAGAATGAGGGGAACTACAGGGGTGGTCTGGTGAGTTTTTCTTTTTTCTTTTTTTTTTTTTCCTGAAGTGTCGATCCTGTCTAACACCGGCTTCGCCTTCTAGTGCGACATTGTCGGTACCGGCGGTGACTCCCACTCCACGTTCAACATCTCTACCACGGCCTCCATTATTGCCTCGCCGTTCCTCATGATGGCCAAGCACGGAAACCGGGCACAGACGTCTTTCTCTGGATCCGCCGACGTCCTCAATGCCGTCTCGCCAGTTTCTCCGAACATCTCTGCGGTCTCCGCCCAAAACATTCATCAGGTGTACGCTGAAACCAACTACGCGTTCCTGTTTGCGCCCAACTTCCATCCCGGCATGATGTATGCCAATCCCGTTCGCCGTGGACTCGGCCTTCGAACGATCTTCAATCTCATGGGCCCTCTGGCAAACCCTGTTGATTGGGCCCTGGAGGCCCGGGTGGTTGGCGTAGCTTACCAGAGCCTCGGTCCTGTCTTCGCAGAAGCTCTGCGCCAGACTGGGTGTCGCAAGACCATGGTCGTCTGCGGTGAGGAGGATATGGATGAAATCAGCTGTGCGGGCAAGACAAACTGCTGGAAGCTTTCGGAATACCCCAATCCGGCTTACACGGGCCCGACTGACGACGACGCCTCCGGTGATGAGGAGGAAGAGACCCCTCGTACCTTGGTGAAGTTGGAAACCTTCCAACTGCATCCTTCTGACTTTGGTCTGCCCACCCACCCTCTGAGCGCAGTGTACGGCAGAAAGATGCCCAAGGACAACGCTGCCAAGCTCATGAGTATCCTGCGGAATGAATTGCCCCCGGATGACCCCATTCTAACTTTCGTGCTCATGAACGTTGCTTCCCTATTGGTGACCTCGGGCATCTGCGAGGCCGAGACCAGCAACATGGGCGCCGGTGACAACGGCCAGGTAATCACCGAGCGCGGACCTGGCGGAGGGCGCTGGAAGGAGGGTGTTCGGCGAGCACGCTGGGCCGTGGAGAGCGGTGCCGCTCTCCACTCCTTTGAGAAATTCATTGAGATTTCCAATAAGCTCCAGTAAATTTGTTTAAAGGTGAAGTGAATTCTGTCATTTCTGCCATTTCAACACAACACCCTCTCGGTTTTTGTCTCTTTTCTTTTCTTTTCTTTTTTGTCTTTGGGACGGTTTAGGGTGGAACATCTGGGTCTGATTTGGATAAGGCATAGCAATGTAAAGCACAATGATCAACGTATTCATGATTTTTTTTTTATTCTTTCCCAGTCTCCCAGGTTCTAGAGCAATGCTTGCGAAACGGAATTCGCTCTCACATCTCACCCGAGAGTTACAACCTCTGGATCGCAGTAATTTTAACAAATCGAAATATTGATAAACTCCAAGCGCCGCAGAATGCATATCACGTAAAAGGTAGTTCAAATCCATCCGACACTCAGTCTACCCCCTGACTCCTACTCCGCTTCGAGCAACAAAGCTTAAATCCGAGTTCATCGGGCCTCAAACTGGACCATCCTATAGTATGACCATCGTCAGCACTTATTCCAATCCCATGACCCTGAAAGACGGGGCATAAAAATCATCGAAACCTACCGCTTCGTTCTTTCCTTGTACAGCACACGATGACCGCAGTCCTTGCACCGAATCTGGTCGCCCCTCTTCAGCGACACGCGGGCGTAGCAGTCGCCGCAGCGGTAGAACACCGAGGGTCCGTCGACGGCACCAGCACCCATGTCGGTGCTGAAGGCATTCTGGTTCAGCTGAGCCGGCACCTGGTAAGCTTCACGGGACATGATGGCGGGTTTCGGCGGGAAAAAATGTATCGGTTGGTTTAAGGGCTCGTATCCGGACGGCGTGTAGGTCGCAGGGATGAAAGACGTAGCTGGAGAAGCGATTTGGCAGGCCAGGAATCGGATACGACGGCGGTTCTTTGTGGAGGCTGAGGGAAAGGAAGCAGGTCGCATTGAACGGGCAGTTCTGGAACTTTTCGCGCAAATCTAGCGGGGCTGAGTCAGCTGGTCGGCGTCGGCCTGCTGGTTAAGGCCGCCGTTAGCTGAACTAGCTGTTTTGGGAACGAGGTATGAAAGGTGGCCAATCATAATGCTTTACTCATTGTAATCGAAGAATCTCTGGATATCTACCTAAACAAGATCTCACAGGTAAATGTCTTCAGTTGATTTATTGTTATATGACATTTTGATCTATCACACCCATTAAAAACATCCACAATCTAACTTCAGGTATAAGTACTGTACTATCTCTATCTGTCTATCTGCCAAATGCAAATGTAAGGTTTCGTAAACATGAAATTCGTGGGTATAAAGTCATCGCAACGTGTGGATATGAAACTCATTACCTACCAGCCACCGCCAATCTTTCCAGCCAATTCTACGACCCGCGTGGTATCGTTCGGCGCTGGCTGAGGTTTTCCCACGTCGCTTTCCACCTCACGATAGGTGGTATAGGCTAGTTTGGCAAGCGGAATCTCCGTCAAGTTCGACCAGTAGCGCAAAGCTTCGTGGACTCGGGTCTCATTTTCCGAGATAGTAAGTGGTGGCTGGGTCTCTGTTTCTGTCTCTGCATCCGAATCTGCCGAATAGTATGCTTCGTCCACACGAGCCAGCCACGAACGCTGCTCATGCGGCGTTGGTTTTGTCGAGATGCTAGGTTCCTCTTGAGGAAGAGTCGAGTTGACCTCTCGAGCATCCTCGATCCGTATTTGCCCTCCTCCGTTGGTGCAGCCTCCAGGACACGCCATGACCTCTACATAGACATAATCGCTGCCTGATGCAGAAGAGGCCCCGTTGCGAGGCATCAAACGTCGGTTTGCTGGAGTTTTGGCGCCAGGAAGCCTTGACACGCGTGCGGGCTTCAACTTCCTGACAAGATTTTGAATATTGCGGAAGCCATAATAGCGAGCGGCTTTCATCAGAGGCTCCCCACCAGCAGACATGAGTATATACTCCACAACATCGGCATTGCGTCCGCGCTGAGTTACAATCTGGCTGCCCGGGTTCTTGGCTTGGAAGGTCAAAAGAACATGGTGAAGATATCCCCCAGATGTGCCGGTGTTCATCGTTTGTTTCGACAAAGATTGTTTGGAAAATAGGAATGCATCGAGGGTCGCATCTGGAAATCGTGGTGAAAAGGCCGAGGGTAGCGGTTGCAATGGTAGGGAAGGAAGAGAAATGCCGCGCGAAGAAGCCAGAGTAAGGAGTTCGCGGGTAGTGATCACACAGTCCACGTCGCGAACAGGGGCACGAGATTCGGTAGTGCTTCCCGGAGTATACCACGAAGCATCGGTAAGTTCTTCTCGGCTGGCTTCAAGTTTTTTGTCAAAACAAGGCATAATGGCCAAGTGCCAAATCTGTGAGGCTGGGACATTGAGGGCCTTGCTCAGAACTGTCTTCAAGAAGGTGCCAGATAGTGCCTGCGGGGATTTCAGTCGAGACAAATGAGGAAGGATGAATGGATGTGTCTTCTCGGCGTAGCAGATCCAACCTGGACAGGCCGAGGACAGAACAGGCTTTTTCGGTTTAAGGGGGTCTGACAAATCGCTCGAGAGAGTCTCGCCAACTTCATCTGCCGTGAGTACAAGAACCGCCTCGCGCAAGGTGTTACTATCAACAACCCATGTGAATCCACTGCCATGTTTGCCACCAGACCTCAGCCCTTTCGGCCCGCGAAGCAACTGATCGATCATGTGTGTTGCCTCCTGCTCGGTGATGTTGTATGTGGCGGCCAGACTCGCTCGTACCTGAGGGCTGACACTGGCGACAAATATTCGGCCCTCGCTTCCCTGGACTTCTGGATGGGCAAACGATACTTCTGGATAGGCATCAAGTGTGTTGAGAACCTCCGCATGCGATTGCATGGAAATCAATACGGCCTCGGCAGAGGTAACACATCCCGAGCATGCAAGACAGTCCGTCAACGAGATTTCAGCCGGTGGGAGGTTTTCAGGTTGGACTTTGTCTTCCTTGGTTACTTCGTAGGGGTTCTGCGTCATACAAATCAATACCTGGGTGGTGGGAGGGCGGGGGGTGGTTTCTGCGCACCTCTGAGGCTGAAGGCTCTTTCGCCGGAAGGGTTTCCACCGGTTTGATACATGCGACACCGGGAGAGATGAAATCATTCAGGTCATCGGCCGACAGGATTGCGCTCATGGTTGTAGATGCCGCGGGGTGCCCGCCGAAGGCTGGGTAAGTATAACGGCGATAAGAATGAGCGAGAAGGGATTATAGAAGATGAATATAATACTTGTGGAATCTAAAAACAGTGTTTTCAAAATAGGAGAAGATAAAGAAATTAGAAAGGGTTTGAAAATGTTGCAGAGAAAAGATGGAGAAAAGATACTGATAGAAGAAGGACGGATTCGAATGAAATCAGCGAATGCTTTGTCAGCTGCAGTGGCGACGAATCCCGAGGCGCGGATTAGACGAGTCCCCCGCGATCGGCGCTGATAAGCTCTCCGCTTTTATCACTCCGCCCGATTCTGCCGCTTCTATACTCTATGTAATCATGATATAGATCATTTAGGGGGACAAGAAGTTCTTCGGGACTTAGTAGGCAAGCTGTGGATTGGTATACGATCAATCTGTGTGCCGGAGGCAACAACTTGATGTCTATAGCTACTTATTCGTCCGTCTCCATAGTACCTCCGCCTAGGTCGATTTCAAAAAATCTTCATCATCCTGAACTAACTCTGCCCATGTCGGTCTACTGTAATGACCCTTTTCATTTCCTTTCGGCAGAGGCGTATAGGATCGGTTTTGACACTCTCTGGTTCTTTCATAAAAGGCTTTGAGACTGTCACTGGGAGCTTTGGAAGTGGATCCTTGCTCTTTCTGATCTTTATTGCTAGAATCTTTCTATTATATCGATTAGTATTTTAGATAAGATAATCAAATAAAAAAAGTTAAACTAGTATAATATACCTGGTCCTGAGGATTGGTTATTTCTTTTTTCTTTTCTGTCGGAGTGGTATTGACGATTGGGATATTGGAAGGGTAATTGGCCAGCATTGTAACTATTGCATTACTTAGAGCAGAGTACACTGTTGACACTATCTAGTTATCATCTATTAGTATTTGTATATATATCATATCTTGATTTGATTTCTTCCGGTGTAGTGAGGGTAACTTGAAGAACAAAACTTACCATTCTTTTTTTTTTCTCCCTTCACGTAGTTATCGGAGTGGGCTCAAGACAAGGTATAAACGAAAACCCAAGTCCGTCGACATTTTAAACAATAATTTTTCTTTTATTGTTGAAAACCTCGTGTTATTGGTGTGTATGTATATATACAGTCAAGCCCCGGCTGATCAACGTATGTAAGCCGTCAAGGCTCGATGTCAGCTTTGAAAGAGCCATGAAGTGTAGAAACAGAGGTAGTAAGATATAGAAAGCGGAGAGGAAAGAGGAAGAGAGATGCAGCGGGGAGAAGCCTACTGCCCTAGTGAAAATGTCTTCTCCTTGGATTCATTCCCTTTCAACTTCATTCACCATAACTTCCCTATCACATATTCCAAGTCTTTCAAGTGACAGGTCTAAACATACCAGGGCAGTTAACAAATCAGCGGGCTTTCAGTGAATAGGCTGTAGACGGCCTAACAGCGAGGGCCGTACTAACCAACAGCTTAAGCATTCTATCACTACATTTCTATCGCCGATGCCCCGATCACCGCCACTGGCAGACGGGTCATCATCTTGACTGTGATGCCGCCATATCGGTTCTTTAGATAGTCTCTCCTTGCCTTGGACTTGATAACGGTGTTTCCGGAGAGAACGGTGCCGTAGTGGACATTGGCATGGGCAGGCTGACCGTCTGGCTTCTGGAATTCGCGATCGTCGATACGCAAGTGCCGCCAGAACCCCGACTCATTGTGCGCTCGAATGATATTGATAGACTGCAGTAGATGATGCGTTGCGCTCTGCCAGTGCTTGAGCTCAAATCGATCATCTTCCCCCGCCTTTCCCTGATCATATCTACTACACCCGGACGGTCTCCTTCCGGGACTGCTACGGCCACCTCCCCAAGCTGTATATCCCTCGCTGGGGATGGGAGACCGCCAGCGATGCCAACCAGAAGCCCGAATTGCAGGCTCGGCAGATCGCGCTTTACTTCTGCTACCATGCTTCCAGAAACCGTAAGGCCCTGTTCCTGGTAGTATCCAACGACGGCCACCTTGTGAACACTGATTTCGCCCACAATGTAGACCACATTCTGGCCTGGGACTCTGGGAGGAATGCCCTCACGAACCCGGTAGAGCATGGCGATGGCCGCCCGTAATTCCACCGCCAGCGGGCACAGCCATACCACCGTGCAGTCTTCGCTTGGTCGGACAGGCCATATCCACTGGCAATTTAAAGATCTGTTTGTCAGTCCAGAAAGATTGAATAGCCTAGTCAGCTTGGTAGCGCACAACCCCACCACAGGCTGATGCAAGTTGAGGTGGCAGCCCTGGACCGCAGCCTTGTAGGAGCTGCTTGTCATCGAAAGGCCGCGCATTCCAATTTACTGATAGGAAACACTCATGTCGAGGAGTGATTGACTCGGCCGAATATGATGACTGTGAGTTATGCTCGCCAGAAATGGTCTGTGCCTACTTCCCTCTCCGAACATGGCATGGTCTATCCAAACCATCAATGAACTGCAGCACCTACTGCTTCCTTTCTAGGTTCCTTCCGGCGATCAAGTTCCCGGGCGTCCTCGTTTGGTAGCCATGTCTCTGGAATATCGCATCTACCCGGTCCCAAGAAGAGACGAGCGTCCATCATCACGGGTGGGATGTCTAGTGATGCCCATTTGAAGCAGGTTGCCGACTGGGATGACGGGCACATTGGGGTCCAATCGAGTCTATATGGGTTAGTTCCGGATCCTTTCGCAGCGCCAATAAATAACGTCATCGCCCTCTCCGCAGATGAACCCAACCAAATAGCCTGCAGAATTCACGATCCCTACACCAGCCACGCCCGAGGACATCGACAAGGAGACTGGCCCTAAAGCCCCTCTCTCAGCCTTTAGCCAAGTGAGACGACAGTCGCCGTCCAAAACAGCAGCATATGCACCACTGTCTCGCCCGCACCCACGGTCATGGTCCGCGGCGGACCCAATCCGCCAGGTACCATCCGTACCTGCAGGCCAGAGGCAATCAAGAGAAGAGGCGGCGGCGATCAAGGTGGGTGGGACCCAGCCACAAAATGCTTCACCCAAGGGATGATGCCGTGTGTCTCGGACCTTTATCAGGGCTCATTGGGTCAGGCAAACAAGCGCAACGTTAACAGCGATGCATCGAGGGTGTCCCACAAACAAAAGAGGAATGAAATGCAATTGGGACAAAAAATAGCCGCCCAAGAGGACGAGATTCGAAAGCAATCGGAAGCCCTGCAACGGCAGGCGCAGGACATTCGCGTGGTGATGCAAGAGCGGGGATTCTACCGCCCAGAGAGAGACTTCTACTGCGATCATGCCAGGCAATTAGAACCGGCTAGCCAGCTCCTAGCCCGGCCCGTTTCACCCCCAGGGGTTTCGAGTGTCCCTTAATAAGAGAAGCGTGGGGGATCCAGAGCTCCGCATAGGGGATGGGATCTCAACGCTTCCAGCTATCCCCCGATGAAACAAATAGGGATGTGGTCATCAGCGCCTTCCGCTGTCTTGATTACACAGCATCATACGGAATGCGGGCCGCTGGGGGACGAATCGATGCGGAGTTTACCGCGATTGTCTGGTCCGTGGCGGCCGTGATCTTAGGCTCGCGATGAGCATGTAATTGCACTCTCCGTGTCGATAGGCGGTATCTAGAGATATCGAGGGCCGTCACGTCAATTAGATCGAGCCAACGCGTTAGAGTCAAGCGAGGATATGAGACCCTGCGAGCAGCTTAAATAGCTGTGTTCATATTGATAATGTTTAGTTCGTACCTACACCTTAGTAAAAGCCATCGCGAAGTAGTTGGGTATGATATATGATAGAATGCTGTGCCTTTGCTCCTGTACTGAATTCATATCTATGATTCATAATGATAGAACATCGTTTATCTCGTTACACTCAAAGTCGTGGATCTGGCGTAAATGTACCCCGGGAAAGAGCCGGAGGAACAGTTAATCCGACGGCGCGTGGCAGGCATCCCGAACTTTTTTCTTTGTTCTCGAGGGAAGCACACGATCTCTTCTCCCGTTGGACTTTACTTTCTGGATGATTGACGGGAGTTACTTTTTGTATTTATATCCTTAATTTTTTACCCTTCCGCCTGAGACCATGGCGGACTCTTCGAAACCCGCTCCGGCTTCAGGCCCGGCTTCTGCCCCGGCTCCCAAGCCGCAGAACCCAGCCATGAGAATGATGGGTATTGACCCATTTGACTAAACTTGTGGTCAATCACTAATACTTTGTTGCAGGAATGCCCAACTTTCGCTTCAAGCTCCCCTCCCGCAATTGGATGATCTTTCTCACCATCACCGGTTCTTTCACGGCGGCCCTCATCTACGATCGCAAAGAGAAGAGTCGTACGCAACAGAAGTGGTGCGATCTGGTGGCGCATTTGTCGAAAGAATCCCTTCCGGTCGACCAGACTCGCCGAAAGCTTACCGTATATCTGTCCGCTCCCCCGGGTGACGGACTCCGCAACGCCAGGGACCACTTCAAAGAATACGTGAAGCCCATCCTAGTGGCCGCGGCTTTGGACTACCAAGTCATTGAAGGCAGGAGACAAGGCGACGTGAGAGCCGCCCTTTCGGAGCGGATTCGCAAGGTGAGAAGGCATGCAGGCGAGTCGAGTAGCGTCGTGGAGGAACCCAGCATAGAAGACGTTGTGGCCGACGCGCGACAAAAGATCGGTGTTACGGATGAACCAGGACCGAAGGGCGATTTGGTGATTGGACGTCATACCTGGAAGGAATACATTCGCGGTCTTCATGAAGGCTGGCTCGGACCTCTCGACCCTCCTGCCGCCGAGCCTGTGGACGCGCCTCCGTCCGAGGGAGCAGAGGCAGTCAAAGCCTCTGACGATGGCAATCCCGCACCCGAGAACCCCGAAAAGACCGAAACACCCGAGAAGAAGGAGGAGAAGCCGAAGCCCAGCGGTCCGACCCCGGCCTACTTGGCTCCTGCCGATTACTCGTCGCAAAGTCTCCCGCGCACTCTTCCCGAGTCTCTGGACGGATCGGCTCCAATCGCCTTCCCGCACATCCTGGGCTTCTTGAACACCCCGATCAGAGTCTGGCGATACCTAAACCAGCGCCACCTCGCCGACACCGTGGGCCGAGACGTCGCTGGCATCGTCCTCGCGTCGAGCACCAGACCCTACCACGACGGTTCGTTAGAGTCTGAATTCAGCACCCCGAACGTTGATGCCGGTCCATCATCCTCGGGCAACTATGAGCAGCAGACTCTCCTCGAGGAGGAAGAGCTGGAATGGCACAAATCCGTGCACAAGACGGATGAGTCGAATCCCGACAAGGAACGCGAATGGGTCGACGAAGTTGTCATGGATCCCCGCATCGCTTCGCGGATGCAGCGCTACATCCTCTCGTCTGACGAGGAGGCTCGTTCGCGACGCATTCTCGAGGGCGCGGAATACATCCTCGGCGAAGAGAGACCCCCGCCTGTTCCTTTCTGGAAACACCTGTGGATCAAATACGGCTATGGCGAGGATGAAGCCACCCTCAGAAGGAAGCCTATCCTGGGCAACATTGATGAGGAGTGATGCGGCTTACGGACCGCATTTTGAATGACTTTTTTTTTCTTGCACTGCAGCAAAGATCTCCACCACTCTACTGTACCACAACTTCTCAGCTTTGTATATTAATTAGACTCTGGCGTTATATATGAGCCTTAAATACTAGCAGATTTTAGATGACAAGTTCTTGCGCGTCGTCATTCTAGATGTCAATTGGAGCGACCGCTTGTGTACACATAGTTTATGCGAGACCCAGTTCGACTAAGGGGCAAGCCCAAAACTGTGATGCAAATCAGGGACGGGCATTTTGTGCCGCCTGATTTTTGTATTGCCGCTCTGGGCGCTTGATACCCATGAGCCGTGTTTGTTATGGGGAATGATAGCATAGCTACCATGTCGGGCTTTCTAATCCTAATATATGGCTGAGATTTGAAGAAATTCTATATTCAGAGATAAGATCAGACGCAGCTACCCCGGCGAGCTATTCTGAACGTTTCGGGTGCTATTTTGAGGGCTAAGATTGATTTATTCCTGACGGAACAAGGTCGAGTTGGGCCACTTGCTAGCAGCCTTTTCGGCGTAGGCCGTCTTGGACGCTTGGTCACTTCCCCATTCGCTCAGCAGATCGAGACCGGCAAGGGCGGTCTCGAGAGAGATGAGGTCAGAATCGAGGGTCGCCGTGAGATCCTTCTCGCACTGAGGCTTCGCGTCCGCCTTCAGAAGCTGCCCGCATGTCAGACCGGCTTGCGTATGCGGGATGCTGTCCTTGTGCGCGGCAAGGAACGAGTTGTTCCATTCCTCCAGATTCTGGGACTTGGGGAGCAGCGTCTCAAATTCGGTGTTGACGACCTCTGCGACCTCGGGAGCAAGAGGCTCGGAGAGGCTGTCCAGAGCTTTCCGGAATCGGAGGAGCTGAACGTGAAGCGTCGGGTTGGACGCATCAATCGCATGGGCGGCGGACAGGCACTTGAGGGCAAGCGCGTATTTGTCTGGGCATGTTAGTAAATCCACAGGGTATATACAGCAGGGCAACATACTTTTCCTCAGATAGACTTCGAACCCAAGACATTGCGCCTCAATGTTCTTGGGGCTGTATTCCAACAATGGCGTCAAAAACTTGGTCGCCTCTTTCAGGGGGTCCTGCCTCTGGACAAGCTGGTTTCCAAGCGGATCGGGGTCTTCTTTCTTCACGTCTCCATCCGTGCTCTTTGCGTTTGCAGCCGCTGCCTTTCTCGCTTCCCGCTTATCGGCCTCAATCTTCTCGAGTCGTTGCTGCTCCTTCTTAGCCTTCTTGAGGGCCTTTTTACGTTCGGCATCATCCTCGCCTGCGCCGTTAACACCGCTAGGCAACGGTCCATGAACGAGATCCGGCTGGTCGTGGAGAAGCAGGTACGCCTTGATGGCGGCAAGAGCCACCCTCGTGTAGAAGGGGTGTTCACGCAAACGGTCCTCCCAGCGAACCATGTCAACGTAGGCTCTGACCATACCCTTTCGGAGAGAAAAGCTGTGGAAATCAAATTGATCTTCTTGCCACACGTCGAAGATGTTGTAGACGGCATGGAGTCGCTTGAGAGCAAGCCCAAGCTTCTTCTGTCGCAGATAGGCCTCTCCATCCTCGGTCAGGTACCAGACGCACTGCATCTCGTGGAGATCGCCCAGCGCACCCCCGACAGTCTCATTACGAGTGAACTTGCTCATGTTGTCGAGGGCCTTGTCGTTCTCGTTGTTGCGGAGCTGGTATTTGGCGGCCTTGGAGTTGATGTAACGGTCTTTCTCATCCAGCAGTCGGGCCTTCTCCATTTCCTCCGCAGCCTTTTCAACATAGCCATAATGCTTCCAGATCCTTGCTTTCGTCATTTGGTATTCCACGGCCTTGGGAGACAGCTCGATAGCCTTGTCGACGTACTCCATCGCCTTGGGCAAGTTGCGGCTGAGGTGGTAGTTGTAATGCTGAGCCAGGAAATAGTAGGTAGAGGAGAGGAATTCCGTGTTGTCGCCGTTGGCTTGTTCTTTGGTTTGGGCCGAAGCGTAGCCTTCAACCAGCTCCTGCACTGTGTCGCGTTTGGCCGTGTTGGTGTACAGGGTTTTGATGTTGGCAAAAAGAGACGGCACGCCCTTCTTCAACATCCGCTGCAGATAGGCATCGGCAGCCTGCTTGAAATCATCGCCCTCTAAAAAGTCCAAGGGAATCCTGCGAGAAGCATCCCCGCGCGGGGTCTTCTCCGCCCAGGAGTCATATACAGCCTTCAACGCTTTGTGGTCATCCGCCGAGATTCCCTTGGCTCGGATCAGCGCATCGTAGTAGATTGAGTTCTCCGGGTTCCGCTCGAGGAGGGCATTGTAGGCGGCCTCCGCTTCATCCTTTCGGTCCAGTCGCAGGAGGTAGTCTGCCTTCATTTCCATCACGGCCAGAACATCGGTGCATCGGTATCCCACAGCTTCCAAATGCTCCAGCGCCTTGTCGATCTTACCCGCTTCGGCCATGATGGTGTTCTTGTACAGGACAGCTTCGGAGTGCTCCATGTCGGCCACTGGCGGGGGCGTTTTGAGAGTCTCCTCGTAGGTCGTCAGCACCTTCTCCGCCTCCTCCAGGTCACCAGCGAGGTGGTGCGCGATAGCCAAAGCCGTCCAGTTTTGTCGGAAAGCCGGGCGGGCCTGCAGCATAGCGCTACGACTTTGAATGTAGCCCTGGTAGTCCCGCATTTGCATCTGCAGCAGAGCGAGATCTCTCTGGATGGGTTGGGAGTCGGGTTCGATTCGCAATGCGAACCGGTATGCCTTGATTGCCTCCTCGTAGTTCTTCTCGGCCCGATATAGCAACCCATAAACGTGCCAGCAGATATGCGACCTCATGTCGTTTTTGAGGGCTTCCTTGGCCAGCGCAAAAGCCTCCTCCTGCTGGCCCATGTTGCTAATGATCAGGGCCTTCATTGCGAGGGTATCGCCATGGGTGGGGTTCTTGCGAAGGATCTGTTCGGCGGTCTTGATTCCTGTAGAGGATTAACCATGGTCAGTCATACCACGCAGCCCAGTCCAATCGCACGGGACAACCCACCCTTCTTGTGCTGCTTGTTCTCATAATGGCGAACCACCTGACGAAACAAGGACGCATCCTTGGAGCTCAATTGTTGCGGCATTGTGGCTGCTGTGGGAGGTTGGCGGAGGTGAGGGAGTTGCCAAGTAACTGTGTGTGAACTGAAGCTGGATGTGCGCGGGGACTCTTTCCTCCGGGAACGGCTTGACTTGTCGATCAGGCAGCGAAGAGCTTAGGGCCGGGCTATTACGACATTCCCTTTCCTGGCCGGTCAAGTCCACCACGATTGTTTCGAGGGCTCGAGTTAGGATTTTGTTCAATTTTGGGTCAAATTCGAAAGGCAATCGCTACTCCAGAATCATCCGAAAACAGACTTTTAGGTCCGGTGAGCTTTTACATGAATCCGAGGAAGCAAAATGGGAGATTTCCACGCTGCAAGGCGACCTCCCTTACTATATGCAATTAATCATACATGTCTCGTTTATATACATCCACAATTCCGGCTTTTATTTCGTCGTTGGCGGCGCCTGCTGTCGCGGCTGCCGTGTTTCGCGCCAGCTGTTGAGCTCTTCCCCCCACCCTGCAGACGAGCTGCCGCATCTTTCAGACACTAGACCCCATGTCCGAGACCGAACAATTTCTTCCACGCTGCGTTGTGTTCGGACTACGTTCGCCAGTGACTCTGTGCGCGCTTCCCGGGGGAAGAATCGAGCAGAATATGGGTCCAGTCTCTCATCAACAACTCGCTCTCGGTCCTTTGCAGATTCGGTTTCTCGGAGGACGAGATCGGGGTCGTCCGGATCAGGGCTTGTGGCTACACCCGCGCAGTAGTTGAGCACGTCGGAGCGTGTCTGCCACGAAGGGAACAATACATTCTCTTTGAATCCCTGACAGGCGGCGGGATCGATCGATTTTTCTGTATCTGACGTTGTCTGGCGCACCGCAGTTGAGGAAGGATCAAACCCCTTTTGCGAGGGAGTGAACAAGGCGTTCAGATTTTGGCTTATCGAGTCATCTATCGTAGTCCTAGAGAGGCGAAGAAAGTCTGTATAGACCCGTAGGTATGAGCACTGCTCCTCGCCACCAGTAACCGGGATAGGGACTAACCTGTGAGCAGCTTCTCATTGAAGCAGAATCGTGGGCTCAGCGTGGGTGCCGAAGTGGAGGAAGCCCGCGACATTTTCCTGACGTTTCCGTCTCCTTTGACCTTTTCCGACCAGAACCACTCCAGATTGAATGATTTCTTAGGGACAAAACTAGATTAATCAATTGGCGCCGTAGGCAAAATGGGAAACACCGAAACAGTGTCGGTTGGTGTATTAAATTGTTGACCAATAGTTCCAGTTACGACTGAGCGTATAGCCTGCACTGTGGGAAAAATCTCAAAGATCGGTTTTGTTTCGTTGGATTTGATGGTTGGGAAAGGTGTACAAAGTATGGAGCAGATGGAAGAAGTCCCTCGGCCGGGATGGTATCATAAGTTGCCTGCCTGATCAGGCTAGCAGCCCATTGATCAGCCCCGGATCACGGGACTACGTGACCCATAGGCAACGCGCTTCCTCGCATATCAACAGACCACTCTTCCATACAACGGAGCAGCCAATTTTTGGTTCTTCTTGGAAAGGCAGAGTATCCGTCGCCGCCATGCCTGAGCTAGCTGAAGTCTCGCGCATCGTCCACTTCATTCGTCAACATCTTGTTGGCAAGACGCTTTCCAAAGTATCTACGCAGAACGATGACATCGTATACGGCAAAGCTGGCACGAGTGGCTCTGAGTTTCAGAAAGCCATGGAGGGCAAGAAAGTAGTGGGTGCGGGACAGCAGGGGAAATACTTTTGGATTGCCATGTCCTCACCACCGCATCCCGTCATGCATTTTGGTATGACCGGTTGGCTCAAGATAAGGAATGCCGACACGTATTACTACAGAACAGACAAGCCAGAGGATAAGGAGTGGCCACCGAAATACTGGAAGTTCTTACTCGAAACCGACGGAGACCCCAAAACGGAAGCTGCATTTGTCGACCCCCGCAGACTTAGCAGGATAAGGCTCGTGGATTGTCCTGCGGAGGAGATTCGCAAGTACAGCCCTCTCAAAGAAAACGGCCCAGATCCGGTGGCCGACAAAGAGGCGGTGTCGGAGAGCTGGCTGGGAGACAAGTTGAAAAGCAAGAAGGTACCAATAAAGGCTCTTCTTCTGGACCAAGCCAATATAAGTGGTATTGGCAATTGGATGGGGTTAGTTTTTTGTTCACTCAGCTAGACCTGAATACTGACTCCGCAGCGACGAAATCCTGTACCATGCGAGGATACACCCCGAACAGTACAGCAATTCTCTTAATGATGATCAAATAAAAAAGCTTCATTCCTCCCTTCATTATGTCTGCTCAACGTCGGTGGATCTGCTAGCAGACTCGGAGAAATTCCCTGAGGATTGGCTCTTCAAACATCGATGGGGAAAGGGAAAGAAAAACACGCCGTCTGTTTTACCCAACGGTGAAAGGATCACGTTCCTTACTGTTGGTGGTAGAACCAGCGCCGTCGTCCCTAGTATGCAAAAGAAAACAGGGCCGGTGACCAAAGGTGCCAGTGGTGAAGATACTAGCGACACGCAAAGCAACTCCAAGAGGAAGCGAGCAGAAGCCAAGGAGGAAGGGGGTGATTCGGAGGCAGTGCCCAAATCTAAGAAAACGCCCAAACCTCCTGTCCAGCCTCCAGTCAAGGAAGAGAATGAAGAGAAAGCTACAGGTTTAGGGCGACGACGCTCGACGCGCTCGAGGAAGTGAGCTAGGCTCGAGCAGGCTATTTTCTCGAAAAAGAATTGCATCTGCTTACCCAAACATAATATGGATGCAAGTACATTCTCTTACCAGGAAGATAGGATGCGTGGCAATAAGAATATGATAGTGGAATATTCGGAGATCAGGCTGGAGGCCTGAATATCTTGGCTGCCTGGAATACGAGGCTGACCTCAAACCCACAATTTCAGTAAAATCTTTCTCTTCGAAGTAATCTTCTATCTCCATTCATTTATCTGTCTGAGTTTCGAGGAAATCTCCGATCTCGCTCCCACACCACGATAATTCCCACACTGCAATGGCGCAAGCATTCAAAATCCAGCCTTCTGGAAGCAAACCTGACCTCAGGAGAGTCGCGGAAGAAACCAAAGCTCTGCTGCCCGGGGTATTGGCACTGAAGCCTCAGGCTCCCCCAGATGGACACTATTGCCCGTACGCGAAGATGGCTCCCTTGAATTTCAAGTTCCATCCGAACCTGGTTGCGAAGGTCAAGGTCATCAACGGCGACACGTTCGATATAGCCAGTGCGCTTTCGAGTTCAGGTCCTTCCAGCGCCCACCACGCAAAACATGTATGCGTCCTGAACATGGCCAACCAGACGAACCCTGGAGGAGGCTGGCTCAATGGAGCCATGGCCCAGGAGGAGGAACTCTGTTATCGAAGTAGCCTTAGCTTCACTCTCAAGAGACGACACTACCCCATGGGGAGTCACGACGTTTTGTACGCCCCAAGTGTCGTCGTCTTCCGTGAGAATTACAGCAAGGGCCACAGGCTCATGAATTTACAGAAGCCTGACCAGCTCCCTGTTGTCAGCGTGATCAGCGTGGCTGCGATCAGAGATCCGGAGTTGATCTCCGGGGCTGCTCTTTCGAAATACCGATACGCCGCCGATCGAGACTTGATGAAGGCCAAAATGCGCTCTGTGCTCCGCGTGGCGGCTTTCAATCGGCACCGACGGCTAGTCTTAGGCGCGCTTGGCTGCGGTGTTTTCGGTAATCCCAATAATGAGGTCGCCGACTGTTGGATGGAAGTTCTGCAAGAGAACGAGTTCCAGGGCTGGTGGGAGTCGATCGTGTTCGCCGTCTTAGACAACATGGTGAGCCCCGGCTCGAATTTTGAGGTATTCTACGGCAAACTGCATGGACTGAGGGTGTGATCGACCAGCGCCAATTACACGGTCAGTCAACGATTCACCACCAGCCCGCTTATCTCAGCAAGAGTCATAGTTAATTTGACCACAGCTCAATATGTCTATGGCTTATTACCATATTTAAAATTGAATCCGGCTCTCTTACTTCAACCCGAATAGGCAAGCAGTTCAAGAGGGGGGCACTCCCAACTAGACCATTGCCCATCTCTGCATACAACGTTTTCGTTATCATTTAATATATACCTATTCCCTCCAGGGTCAATATCCCAAGCGCTACTTGGACAGACTCCGGATGTAACCTCTTGTTTTGAATAACTTCGCTATACGTAGCCCGCGTGAATGGCTAGCCATCACACAATCTTGCTCACCCAACTCTGCCCATGACAGTTCATCTTGGTTACCCTTTTGGTCTTCTTTCGGGAGAGACGTAGGTTCGTTCTTGATTATGTTTGGATCTTCAACAGGTGGCTTCGGGACTGGATCCTTACTAGATTTGTTCTATTATATCAATGATAAGATAATCAAATGTTAGGGTTTTGGATTGGTATAATAAAAGATGTGGTAAGCACGCAGTAGACATATAACAGCTGGTTTAGTTATATTACTCTTTGTTCTTATCTATCTTCTACAATTATAGGATTATATAGTATATAGATCGAGATTCTACCTCGATCGACGAATCGCCTGTATAATCTGTTGTTTTAATGGATAGACTTTATTAGGCAAATAGAATTTTGATTAATTGGGCACCCGAGCAGACATATCTATGGTTAAGACGTTGAAACGTTTATTCAAATACCGCAGATCATCCCAAAACAAGACATAATTTCTCGCTGCTGACTAGCTGCTGGCCTTCCAAGCCGAAGCCTTCCCACAGAGGTTTAGAATTTAGACTAAACCCCAGCAGTTATACCAATCAAGTTTTAACAACTTGTGATTGTAGTTTTTGATCTATCCCGTCAATTCTAAACAGTAACGGGGGCCTTTTACATCCCCTGCATCCCTTTTCTAAACATATCATTGATATCAATCTTCTTTGGATGGTTGTCGTATCCGTTCGTTTGGGCTCGGGGTCTGTTTTCTCTTTCTGAATGATAAGCTTGCGTTCACTTGTTCTCTGTTTGTTTGGAGTTGTTTTGCCATAGGCTATACGTACTGTATATATAACAAGAGTTATAAACACAGTCGTAAACACAAGCATGACTGCCGACAGACGAACAATAGATTTAGTTAGAGAGAGTGCTCGCATCCATGTAATAGAGGACTGACTAACCGCCATGACTGATTACTGCAGGCTGTTGGAAGCCCGTTTGCCGCGGGCTATTGAAAGCCCGGGCTCTTCCCAAAGAAATTTTAACAGCGAGACCCTCGCGGGCTAGTACTGTGTGGCAACGTGGTGCAGGACTGCCCGAGCGACAGTGACTCCGTTGTACGGCGGGCCATAGCCGCCACTCCGCAACAAAAAAAATTCCCCTCACCGCTCGCTCAACCGCCTACTACACACGTTCATGAAGCTATATAGAATTACTTTAGATAGTAGAAAGATCAAAAAGCTAATTGATATTTCATTATTTACTCGATTAAAACCCTTTTAAAACAAAACAAAGTTGTAAAAGAAGTAATGAATGATCTATTTGTCACCGAACGCTATTGGACTTCCAGCGGTGAGCTCGCTCCAAGTTTGTATGACACTATATATAACGGATTGAATGATGGAATTTTTACGAGATTCCATGTTAGTCTTTTGACTCAATTGAGAGATTAGACCACCCATTACTCCTCTTACACTACTCTTTCAACTGAACCAAAAAACTAACATAGAATCTTTACATGATTCTATCTAGACCTCGGCAGAGTCCGTCCATGGACGGACACCTCTTGACCTGTCCGCCCATTACAGTGGTAATACACTAGTAATACAATATATTATATGGGTAAATACGGTAAGCACCTTGCAGATGGGCGGGTTTGGGCGGTATTCATGGACTTTGGACACCTTTCAGATCTTGTTGGACGGACTCTGCCGAGGTCTAATTCTATCATCCAATCCGCCATATATAGTGTCATACAAATTTGAAACAAACGCACCCGCTGCAATCTCAACAACGTCCGTCATCCAATAATAAAAATGTGACAAACGAATGACCACAAAAAATCATTATATAAAACAATGCACGTTATAACTATTGACTTAATATTCTAGTCTTTTAATGACACAATAAATAACCGTCTTATAAAGGGTCCTGTCTAGATTCTGCCGGCAGAATTCGGGATTTTTTTTTTGTTGCGGAGTGGCGGCTATGGCCCGCCGTACTCCGTTGTAAGAGCTAGCTCCTTGGCCTAGTTCATCGGGGATAACGAGAGACCGGGCCGTGGCTTTGTGCATGGGCTTTATTGGTTCGATCTACATGCGATATTAGTACCGTTTCTAGAAGGTACAGGCTAGTGGATATAACATACCAATGCTCATCCGACACAGGATTAACTTTGCTCTTTAATCCACTGGTCTTGCGACCAATTCTAAACAGGTCTGACAAGTAAGTAAAAGATATTTATACCATGCCAGTCTGACTATACCTCGCGAGGGTCAGAGTGGAACCTGTTGCCCCACCCGAATGCTACCTTACCTAGATAGCTAGGTAAGGTAGTGACCCTACCGAGCTGGGCTGGTCTCCGCAACGGTCTCAACTTAAGCCGTTTCGCGGCCAGGGCTTTCCTGCTTGGCTGTCTGCAACGGTGTAGAGCTTCTCTGATAGTATACCAGGCGCGTGTGTGTGTGTGTGTCCACGCTGATGGGAAGGAGGGGGTGAGTGACGCGGGCGACGCGACGCGCGAGCGAACAGCAGCTGAAGGGCCAGCAAATAGGATATTGAAGACTCGTTTGAACCAGGGGAGCTCTTTGTAGGCAGGACGGAAGCCGTGGCCTCATTCGCTAACGTAGTGGGCTTCGTCAATGGTAATGCGACTTAGCTCTCCCTGGCTGTGGATGGTCTGCAGGCTTCGTTGGGAGATCTCATCCGGCGTGTCGTACTTCGACACAGTCCTGAAGGAATCGGATCTCACAGTGGCTGTTAGGACGAGCGGAGGGGCCCCGTGTTGAAGATTCGCAGATGTGCCGGGTCTAGTTCGAGCATGCCCAAATCTGCAGTCTGGTTAGCCAGCTGACTTCAGGCTGTGTCCATGACTTAGCTACATTATAGAAGCCATTCGCTTTCAGCTTCGTGATATCTGCAACGCCGATTCTTGATTGCCTGTAAGCCCTTGTTGTGCAGTGTGTGATCAGGTGCATACCATGAGCTTGGATGGAATCGATGTTCACGATGAAAACCTGCTACAGGGCACACTAGACGAAGGTGATTGAAAGAGAGAGAAAAGGAAAAGAGAAGGAAGGTCGGAGGGAAGTAAGTGTCCGGTGCAGATAAGTCTCCTGTGAAGGAAGGAGCCCTCGGGAGCTGCCTTTACCGCTCCGGGGGTAATGCTCGCATAGGCTGCGCGAAGTCGAACCTTCCTGCGGAAAGACCTGCTCGCGTGTATAGTGTGAAGCTATTCCGGATTAGGTTACATTGTTCAGCATTGAGTTGGTGCGAAGGCCAGGTAGGTCTTTCCTTGCAACTGAGGGTCCCAGTCTGCGTCGAAGACGCAGAGCAGACCCCCAGGACTTTCAGATCAAGGACCTCATCTCGTGGTTCAAGTCTATCTAGCGCCGCCCAGAGGCGCGGTTAGGCGCAACTACTGCTGCTTCGTTGCCCCCAGTCTCAGGCATCGTGTACGTCTCACTACGGTCGATCTCCGAAAAGCTAGCCAACGTGCTGTCGACGGCGTGGGACGGAAACATCCGCGCCGTAGCTTACCACGCCGGCCTCTCATCTCAAGGTCGCACCCGCATCCAGACGGAGTGAACATCCCCGAATCCCACGCAGGAACCCGATACCAGTCATCCCTCCCCATCCTTCTATGTCATCGTCGCGGCCAACGCCTTCGGCATGGGCATCCATAACCCACACGTCCGCTTTGTCGTTCACGACGGCCTCTCCACTCAAGATTCACTCCCAGAATCAGCTACATCACATAATCAGGCGACAAGGCGGGCGACGACAGGGCCAGAGAGCATAACTCAAGCCTGTCACCTACGAGGGTATGCTGGCCAAGGGCAGCACCGCTCATCACCACCACCGATATCGAGAGCTTCCCCGGTTTCCCCGACGGTATTGGTGGCACGGAGCTGACAGAGAACATGCGCAAGCAATCTATCTATCTGACTCGGAGCCGGGGTGATCACCGAGACCATCTTTAAGATCGACCTGCCCCAGCGGTCCTTCAAGCTGTGGGCCACATGGAACGAACGACTTTGAAAGCCCTGCGCCCCTTGAATCATCGAAGAAGGAACCCGCCCCGGCGCGTTTTGTCGGAGAAGACGAAGGATCTCGCCCAGCAACCCGAGGACAACCAGACTCCCGTTCTGCCACCAACGCATGAAGACCAGGCCGAGGAGGTCCCCGGTGATAGCGATGCGGCCATGGCTCCGGCCACCGACGACGAAGTTGACCCGAAGAATGAGAAGTATCCTACTCACGAGGAAGATGCGACGAAGCTACCTGCCGTGTTGCCCCCTCCCCTCTCATTCAACCGGGCAAGCAAGCACAAGTCTGACAAGATAGACGACTTCTCAATCATGGAGGTCAAGAGCTTTGCAGAAATGAAGGCGGCAGATACCAAACGGGTTGAGAAGCTCGCATTTCAGGAGGGTGACATTGTTGCGGTGCGAGATGGCTGCCAACAAATACCAGTGTTGGTCCCTTTGATTTTAATGGTCCTTATCTTAATGTGTTCCCATTAGCTTTCTAATAAAGCTCGTTCACGCGGTCTACTATGCTTCTTATTTCCGGACTTTTCTTGTAATCATGTTGGCTACATCTCTCCGCGGCGTCTTTCTTGATTCGCGGCTTTATAAGCATTAAGAGTAGAGATTAACCACTATAATACCATATACATATGTAAACATAGTGAGATATTAATTGGTTTCTTTCCAGCCTGCTAGATCAACATTCCGCTGGCCCGGCTGGCAGCTGCAAACACCCTTCTCACAGCCAACGGCGATGTAAATTTGACTAGTTTCAAGCTTTCCAGTCAGCCGGAAGGTCTGAACATAGTACCGTTCAAGGTAAAACGACCCATAAGTGATTGAGATTCCTACCTTATAGAGAGTCTAGGAGAGTTTACTGTTCTCAAACATAATCCAACGTTGATATTGCACCTCTTGTTGCTGGCTGTGTTGTTTGCTATGGCTTTTGCATCTGTACAATCTCTGCAACATAGAGCATATATCCTTGGCATTGCCCAAGGTCATATATAGAATTGTAGTGTACACAGATGGGAGTACTGCCATATGACCAACAACCCCACGGGATGAGCTTCAAGAAGGCGCTGGAGGATCATCCTGTCTATCGATTCATAAACACCCTAGGCAGTCTTTAATAATCCTAATAGGACTCAGGGAAAGTACGTTTATGCCACACGAGGTGCTACAACACCCGTCCTTTCCCCAGCTAGTAATCGTATCGATGCCATAATGCACTACCTGCTTCGTGGTATCCACGGAAGGTGCATAGCAGGCGCCATGGTTCAGATTGAACAGAAAAGGCTACTACTACTGGCTAATCGGTTCCTACCGGCAGATTTTAACCTTAATATAGATCAAGAGTTACACTGGGAGAAACAACGAGTAGTTCACAGATATCAGTGGGAGCTGATTGACAAGTCCGCAGGCTCTATAGATGGGACGCCTGAGGCAGACGTAGGCACGTGTTGTTGGGGAGTGGGCAGTAGTAGTACTCATCTAGGTTTCCCTGGCTCGTCTGGAACTTCTTCCTTCTCTTTCCCCTCCGGCCAGCGATCATCCACAACGAGGTACGTATACATTCCATTTCATCGAGTTCCATCTCTCCTTATCATCGAATTTCATTCTATATCATCTCTTTATCATTATCTCTTTCTATTCCTTTCTTTCCGCTTGATATCAGGGTTGCCCCTCCCGGGGGTGAGGAAGTCAGTATAGGACTGAACCAGCAACCATCCTATCCCTATCACGCGTTGCACTTACCTTCCATCAAGTTCCATCTATTCTTTATATCATGTTAACCCTATATCATCTCTCTATCATTACTTTATATTTCTTTCTTTCCGCTTGATACTAGGGTTTTGTACTCTAGACAAGTGTTGGTTCAAGGCTAGACCAACTTGTCCTTGTCTCACGCTTCATTCATATTCTATATCTTGCCCTTCCTTATATGGTCTTCTATTATATACCGTGTTGGGATACCTCTAACAAATGATAGAGAGCAACGTCAACAAAATCATTTCGAATATCTACAATTCTACATCAGCACCCACAAGGAGAACAAAAAAAAAAAAAAAAAAAAAAACCAACAAAAAGTCCTGCCTTGGGCCGACTGGCCTCACTCCGTCTACGCCGTTGTAAGTGAGGGAAAAAAGAAAAAGAAAATATGGTAAGTTCTGTTCCTCAAGTTACTCTCATGACATCGGAAGAAATTGATTCAAGATATATATAAATACTAATAGTCATAACTATTATAGTGTCAACAATGCGCTTTGATTCACAAGATCTACCATCCTGGCAATACGCCCCCACCGACCCCATTGGCTGCCGCTGCTGCTGCCGCTGCTCTGAGTAATGCGATAGTTACAATGTTAGCCAATTCTCCTTCAAATACTCCAATCGTCAATACTACTCCGACTGCGACTGGGCCCTCTCCTCCTCCCTCTACTTTGAAGCGACAAAAAAGCAATGATCAGGTATATTATACTAATTCAATATCTTAATATTTGATTATCTTATCTATAATACTAACTGATATAATAGAAGAAGTCTAGCAAAAAAGATCAAGCAAAGCCCCCAGTGACAGTCCCAAAACCTTCGATCAGCCAACCAGACTCAGAGAGTGCCAACAACGAATCTAGTATGTCTCTGCCGAAAGGAAATGAAAAGGGTAATAGACTGACATGTGCAGAAATAGTTGAGCAAGAGGATGACGATTTTCTTATCTACCTTGGCAACTAAGTTGTTCTGTTGTGGGTTGTGGTTTTTTTTTCTATGATATAAATGTTATATTATTAATAATTATTATATTCTTATATTAATATCCAAATTGAACAAGATTATTATCTCTTATATCATAATTTACACATTCTCAAAGCAATACACCTTCTATAAATCCTGGCTATCTCTACGTAGGTGGTGGTATCCCGTCTGGGCCGGATATCTTGTCGGGGGAGTCAAAGGAGGACCTTGACTGTCAAGGTTGGTTCGATACTGGGACAATCTAACATGGTTTTATTGAATCAGCAGATGACCCATGCTGTTCCCTCTTCCTCTCTTCCTCTCTCGTCCCTTTCCTCCATCCTGATTCCTCAGCCGCCTCATAAGTATCGCCGGTGCGCATGCTCATCGGGACCCGGTGGTGAGGATGTCGAACATGCAATAGCTGCTGAGGGAGCATCTCACCACGAGGTGTCGGTCGGAACGTTGGGGCTCAGGCTTTCTGAGCCCCGTGGGGAGGAGTACGCAAAGGCAAGGACTATGAATGGTAAACAAAACCGACGAGTGGTGATAACCGTGCTGCTGCAGCGGCAGCTGAAAAGAAGATGTTAGTACAATGTCGGTATTTTGGAACCCAGGACATTAAAACCGTGGTGGGAGGAATACAGAAGCGAGGGGCTGTGGATGGGTGTCTTGACTCCGGCCTCTGGCCACATGGATATCGGGGAACTTGATGATTGTAGCAGCGATGAACGAATACTGTTAGGTAGCGTTTGGATGCCTGAGGCAACATGCCAAGCCGTTTGCTTATCGTTCCTTGGGAACCTTATATTCATTATCCCAGACATCACTGCCTGAGGGTCGCTTAACAGCTTGCACCAGCCACAAGGCAAAAACCACCGTCCGCCTTCTTTTCTTCTTCTTCTCTCTCTCTTCTTCCTCTTCCTCTTCCTTCTTCCCTCACCTACCTCTCTCTCCCTTCACCCCTTGCAATCCCTTTGGTCCGACCTTCTTAATTATTCCCCTTGTACCATAGTCTGTCTTCTGACACTTTCGTTAATTCACATTCATTTGTTCGCCTGGTTCGGGCGGCTTCTCTCGTTCGGAACTCTCGAAAGAGAGCTCTCTCAAGAGTCCCTTCTTGCCACCAGCTTCGGAGCTCTGAATTCGATTGTTTGGAGGTCGCCTAATCATCACGGCGAGCGACAAACCTACAAAGCGTATGACTAGCATAATTTAATAAGCCATCTACAAGTACCAATCAGCCCAAATTCTAGTATCAAGTACTTTGACTTGTAAAGTCTACAATTGAGCTACGAAGAAAATGCGACCAGGTTCGATCCTCGGCAGTTTCTTTTCTTTTTTTTTTTTGTTTTTAACAGCTCGACTTATGCCAAGGCGGGTGCAGTCGCCGCATCTGAAGTGTGGTCCAGAGGAGCAGAAACGATCAACTGAGTAAATAATCAAGTGGCAACGTTCTGATTCGGTCCAATGCAATAACACTAGAATGCCGAAGAAGATCAAGTTGACTATAATTTAGAGCCCGACTCGTCCAACTAGATTTGTAAGTTTCTACCAAGTGAAGTGAGTTGACGCTGTTATAATTGCCATGTTGTCTATAGTTAAGCTGCTGCACGATGCGCTTTCCCCGATTGGGAACGCTATACGGGATCTCATACTCGGTACTCCTTAATACGGCATACGATCTCAACAGCTAAAATAAAGGCATCGGCACTTTCGATCTATGTCGGCAGTCAATAGATCAATTTGAAAATGGTCAATTCCCTGTAGATCCAGATGGTCACGCGAGGTCCGGTGCCTGGTAGCCTCAGGAACCACCCGCACGGCTGGTTCCACCGGCACGCCGTAGCGAGAGAGTCCAGACTTGACGGTAATTTTTACCACGTTGGACAGTCTGAGATGGACCCCTCTCACTCTCTCACTCTCTCCTCTCTCCTTTCTTCCTTCCTCGTGGCTTCTTTTCTTCTTCCTCTCTTCCTCTTCACGGAATAAGAGCCTTGTTGTTCCCATATCAGGCTGTCCGCTGCGCATTTCCTGCCTGAACAACAACCCGTGGAGACCGAAACGCCGCTCTCCACTATTTTCCTCCCCTCCTCCTCTCCTTTGATCTCCTACTTGTCGGGGAATTCGGGCGACTCCTGAGCCACCGCTCCTTTAGTTTCTTTCCACCCCCCTCCTCTCCCCTCCCCCCTTGAGTTTCAACTTTTCCCTCCTTTATATCGAGACCTTCACCAATCTTCCTCATCCCCCGTCCAGCGACTGTTTGGTACTCGGGAGGAGCCTCAAGATGGACCCCAACAACAATCGCCTCCACCTGAATTTCGGGTACAACGATCGTGGCTTCAATGCGGCCGCTAACAATCGCGCGTATCCCACCACGCCCTCCGCGTTCCCTCAACCGATCTATCAGAACCAGGGTCCCCAGGAATACATCGATCCTCAAAATGGGGCGTACGGTCAAGGGTATTTCATGGCAAACCCCTATCCTGCGCAGCCCCAATACGCTCAGCAGCACTATGGCCAGCCCAACTTGCAGTCTCCGCAGCCCGCCTATCAGTCCCGGATGGGCTACAACCCCAACGATGGACCCAATGGCCTGATCCAGCAATTCTCCAACCAGGACCTAAATGCCGGACGCACTGGTTTCTTCGGTCGCTCAGGCTCTCCCGCGCAGAGACCCCGTACCGCTGGTTCTCCTGCTTCTGGGCAACAACAACCGGGGCATCTGGCTCCGCCGATGCCTCGCAGCCCTCGCACCCCCGCCGAGAACGAAGAGCTGCAGCGCTACCCCGAAAGATACTCTGAGAATATCCACAAGCGAGGAAAGGCCGCCAAGGAGCTGGTGAACGTCTTCTTCCACGAGAACATCGAGCGTGCGCGCGATCGTAACATGCGGTAAGCCACCAGCAGAAGAAAGTTCTTGATGAAGAAAATGAACTAACACACAACCTGCAGATCTGCTGAGCTCGACAAAATGATCCGCGAACCTGGAATCCCCAACGAGACGAAACACCAGGAGGCCGAGGTCGTTTCGAAGAAGGAATCCAACTTTTTGCGATTCCTCCGAACGCGAGAAACCCCGTCGAACTTCCAGACCATCAAGGTCATCGGCAAGGGTGCCTTCGGTGAGGTCAAGCTGGTGCAACGGAAGACCGACGGCAAGATCTACGCCCTCAAATCGTTGATCAAGACGGAGATGTTCAAAAAGGACCAACTGGCCCACGTTCGTGCGGAGCGTGATATCCTGGCCGATTCCAAGGATAACCCCTGGCTCGTTAAGCTGCACGCCTCGTTCCAGGACACTGCCTACCTGTATCTGCTGATGGAGTTCTTGCCGGGTGGTGATCTGATGACGATGCTGATCAAGTATGAGATCTTCTCCGAGGACATCACCCGATTCTATATGGCGGAGATTGTCATGGCCATCGAGGCCGTTCACAAACTCGGTTTCCTTCACCGGTGAGTCTTGCAACCCGCTTGCATATATCATGTGCTAATTTGCTTGAACAGAGACATCAAACCTGATAACATCCTCCTTGACCGCGGTGGTCATGTGAAGCTTACCGATTTTGGTCTTTCGACGGGAGGCAAGAAGACGCATGACAACTCCTACTACCAAAATCTCTTAAAGAACTCCACCTCCAAGGACAAGAACCGCAACTCCGGCTATTTCAACGATGCGATCAACCTGACGGTGTCGAACCGTGGTCAAATCAACACCTGGAGGAAGTCCCGCCGGGCCATGGCCTATTCGACTGTTGGTACGCCTGACTACATTGCACCCGAGATCTTCAACGGCCAAGGATATACCTACCTCTGTGATTGGTGGTCGGTTGGCGCTATCATGTTTGAGTGCTTGGTTGGCTGGCCCCCATTCTGCGCTGAAGACACTACCGATACCTACCGCAAGATTGTGAACTGGAGGGAGTGCCTGTACTTCCCCGAGGAGCTCACCCTTTCGCGTGAATCCGAGGGATTAATCCGAAGGTGAACAAAACCCCAAAGCAAATACTGTGATACTGAACTAACAACTATTCAGCTTCTTGTGTGACACCGAGCACCGGATTGGAAGTGACGGTGGCCAATACGGAGGTGCCTCCCAGATCAAGAATCATCCGTTCTTCCGTGGGGTTGTCTGGGAGCAGCTTCGCAACATTCGCGCTCCGTTTGAGCCCAAGCTTAGCTCGAACATCGATGTGTCCTACTTCCCCATTGACGAAATTCCTCAAGAGGACACCAGCGCTATTCACCGCGCCCAGGCTCGCGCCATGCCTGATGACCAGGAGGCTGAGATGAGCCTTCCCTTCATCGGATACACATACAAGGCGTTCAACGCATTCCAAGGAAACTAAGCATTAGAGTCGATTATCCGAGTTGAACATTGTACCATGAACATCTTTGGGAAGTCTGAAAGCGGGCTGGCTTGCGTCGATGTCTTTCCAGTGATTCATCGATCGTTTAATCTCGGCATACCCCTGTTGGTTTGTTTGATCAAGCATATAGCGCATTTGTCATCATTGTGTTATTGATAATGACCTGAGCATATTCTTCTATTTCCCTACCTCTCTTCCCTTGCATGTCGCGAGACGCCTGCTATCTACACATGGTTCATAGCCTACGATCTATGCGTTACATCCGCAGAGCAGATCAGGATTGACCAGTAATTGGTTCGGATAATAGTAAGGTGCATCGCTCTATTTCCTAGTACAAAATTTGCTTTTTGAATCTTTTGCGTGGAGAGGAATGACGGAATTTACCATATTATACCACCAGCTCAAAGTCACAATTGAATTTAAATATTGGCGTAAGGTAACAATGCTTCGAAGATGTCCTACTTGAATTGGAGTAAAAACGTGAAGATAAAAAGGCCGTCTCACCCGGCACACAATCCGATAGCATTAGCAAAGCTAGGTCACAACATCAGAAGATGAAAATCCGAAAACGCCATTATGAACCCTTTCTAACAGAACACGCCATCAATATTTGCGAGTCAGCACATTCTTCCCACCCCTATGATCCAATAGCGGGAGCCAGACCAGGCACACCACTGAATCGCTCTTCACGTTCGGTCTTGAACATAATCTGGACCCAGAACTCCTTGCTATCCTCGTCAAACCAGGTCCAGTACCGACCATCTCGGCGATCGATCTCCCTAGCCTGAAGCTTGAACCCACACGTCTGGTACGGCTCCGCAGCCACGACGAGGTACTGAAAGTTCTTGTCCGGAGGCTCCTCCACCTTCTGCTCAAACGCCGACATAAAACGCACCCGGGGCTGCACTCCCGGCGTAATCTCCTGATACTGCAACTGGAACAGCAACCCCAGCTGTCGCGTCAACGGATCCCGGATCTTGGTGATCTTGTACCCGGGCCGTCCGATCTTGATGGTCTGCTTCTTGACCTGCACGCCCATCGCCCCCGGCAGCGACGAGGGGTCCTGGTTCTTTCCTTCCCGGGCCTCGCGGGCCGCACGCCGCGCAAGGTTCGTCTGGTGTTTGCGGCCCTGCGTGTGGGCGAGGTAGGAGCCATCGTTCTGGTGGACCGTCAGACACAGACGACACTCGAAGCTTCCGACGTGGTTCTTGAAGAAGTAGGGGTCTTTGTCGAGGTCGATCGTCTCGAGAGCGAGCTTGCGGAGACGTTCGCGACGGTCTGCATTGGTCGCGGATTGCGATGCGACACCGCCGCCACCGAATTTGGATCCTGCACGATTCTATGAGAGGGGGTCAGCATATTAAGAAAACATATGTAAGAAAACATATGTAAGAAAAATATGTAAGAAAAATATGTAAGAAAAATATGTAAGAAAAATATGTAAGAACTGTCAAGGGTACATACCTGGAAATCCATGCTGAGAATCTCCGCTTGGACAACGGGCAAGAAGGAATGGCTGAAGTTTCCCAGGTTGGCGATAAGCTTCGGCGGGAAATTCGCTGGATAGCGATTATGTAAGCCACCGGTCTACGATTGGACAAAACGGGCAATCCAAGTCTCCCCAATCAACAATTCATTGAGGAATGGACTTGTTTCCATGAACTTGGCAAAAAGGGAATCATGAATGTCCCCTGTCATGTCGGCCAACGGAGGTCGTACAATGGCGACCTTTGTACTGTTCGCTATATAGGAAAAGTCGAGGGCACTACCGGCGAGTGGCTCGGTGTCGAATGGGATGATTCAACTCGAGGGAAGCACTCGGGCGAACACCAGGGAGTGCGATATTTCACATGTATGGCTCTGTCTGATTCAATACCTGTTGTGCTGCCTCGACTCATACCATGTTCTAGGCAAAAGCAACCAGCCGACGGCCGGGTCGTTCGTGCGTCCATCTCGAGCTGCGGACAAACCTCGGGGCTTTCTAGAGGCACTGCGTGAAAAGTACGCCTCGGAGTCGGAGCAGGTTTCCACGGAGCAGGGACCGAGGGGCGTTGCGTCTGGCGACTCTTATCAGAAGCCGATAGAGATCAGCGGCAAAGTCGTTGAAGAAGTAGGCTTCGACAAGATCCGAAAGCAACTGGCAGAGCTCCAGGAACTGCGGATCGTGCTTCTTGACGGGCTGTGTCTTGCGGGGATTCTACCATATGCAGCAGAACGAGAAGAACTAGAAAAAGCTCTGATGGAGATTCAACGGACTTGTCCGAAGATTACAGGGCTCGACCTTGGTCGAAATTTACTGACTAGCTGGACGGACGTCCAGGGTGTCTGTGACCAACTTAAGAGCTTGAAAGTATTGAAGTTGAAGTAAGGTCCTCTGGCGTAAACTGCGTGCTCTGATACTAACCCGAATATAGTTGCAATAGATTTGACCCAGTCGAGAAGAGATTAAAGTTCGAAGGAATCACCGAGCTCCATTTGGACGACACTCTTCTTGCTTGGGACGAGGTATTAAAGGCACCCTGTTAGAGCTGCTCGTACTGATTCCGTTTGCAGATATCAACCTTGTCACATCAGTTTCCATCCATCACCACTCTGTCTGCATGTGCCAATCAAATCTCGACGATCCCAAGGTCAATACCAAACACCATCACATCTTTGAGTTTAGAGCTCAATAACCTGGCTTCGTTGTCGTCAATACAGCATCTAACGTCACAGCCCAATCTGGAGCACCTCTCCCTACGGGGAAATTGTATAAACGCAATATATGACAAGATTCAGACAGGAGCGTCTCTCCAGTTTCCACCCACGCTTAAATCCGTGGATTTGTCTCGAAATAACATCAACTCATGGTCATTCGTGGATGAGCTTTCAACCGTCTTTCCCGGCATACAAACTCTTCGAATATCCGGAAACCCTCTCTACGAACAATCAGTCGGGCCGTCGATCGTCACAGGAATGCCGGAGAAGCCGATGACAGCAGACGAAGCATACATGTTGACTCTATCTCGGCTTGCATCTCTGCAAGTTCTGAATTACGGGAAGATCACTGCCAAAGACCGCAGTAACGCAGAGCTCTACTACCTTTCGCTCATTGGCAAGGAGCTATCTGCCAACTCGGAGACTGCCGAACCAGAAATCCTCAAGAAACATCCTCGCTATAGTGAGCTGTGCAAAATCTACGGTGAACCCATAGTCAGTCGGGCTTCCGACTCGACAGGGGCCGGTACTTCAGTAAACCCGCGCTCGGTTGCTGCCCGATTGGTGAAAATGGTCTTTCATTTGCGACCCGACAACACTCAGACTTTCGAAACCATCAAATCAAAGGAGATCCCTCGGTCCTTTGATACATTTCAGCTCAAAGCAATTGTGTCTCGCCTCTTCAGTCTACCACCTTACGAATGCCGGCTAATATGGGAAACGGATGAGCTGGACCCTGTCAGCAAAGCGAACGTGGAGGATGCGGATGGATGGGATAGCGAACAGGAGGTTGCAGACGGTGACCCCAACGGGACTGAGGGTCAGAGACTTGCGATTGACGAAACTAAATTTGTCAAGAGAGAAGTTGAACTTGTGGACAGCACCAAGGACATTGGATTTTGGTTCCAACCTGACCTCATCGAAGCAAGAGTCAGAGTAGAAGTTGTACCTCGCTCATGACGGGAGGAGCACATGCGTCTAGTTGGGATGAAACGAATTACGATTCAATGCCATCATCTAGCGCATCCAATTTCATGAATCGGGCTAAGTTGGCTCTAAAGTCTAAACACATTCATACACTAGGATTCATGCACAGCAGCACCTTTGCTGCACGAACCACAGGCAGACGAATATGGGCATGGTTGCAACGAACATTGGTGACAGAATATAACGACAGCTGTACAGGTGCTTGTCGATAAAGGCGCCGATTAATGGGGAGAGAGATCCCAGGGTCATTGGGAAGACGAGTCCCTAACCAGTCAACCTGTCTCTTTTCATATGCATCATTTTGCGAATAGCGGTATGACAGCCCTAAAGGAACAGATCACGCGACGCAGCGGTATAGCGCAGACAGCATTCGCGAGTAGATAGAAGGATGGATGTGGCTTGACGACGCTTTATGGCTTTGTGTGGCACTTTTCTGGCTCAGAATCATCATACACACCTGTGGAAGACATCCATTTACTAGTGATTTGGCTAGAATCCAGCTGAGTGAACTAAACCCCCAATCAGTCTACAGCACTCTGTAGAGCCATTGAGAGTACTCCGTACATCCTCACATATCTCCGAGGCAGAATCCATTGACATGTTACAAAACACATGCACACTAGACGCAATTCTCTTGCTTCATTTGTACATGATATTCTGTAAGTGCACAACAGCAGTAAGATAAACAAAATCTGAAAGAAAAGTAAACAATGTTCACTTTAGTTTTAATTTTGATATTTCTCAAAAATGAGAATAACATCTATGTATAGTGTATGCCTGAGGTGCCATATATTACCCCATTAGGACTAGCCCCTGTCACACCTGAGGCATCCTCAACTCGCCCGAACCAGCAGTGATATCATTTAAGCTTAGCAACCCCCTCACTTTCCTAGCTTTTGATCGACTAAACATGGCCGAATACTGGAAATCAGCGGTAGGTCTCATCTCTTAATCTGTCGCCGAACTCTCCTCCAGGAAAGCCACTAACGTACACCTCCCCAGCCTCGACACTGGTGCAAGCAATGCAAGATATTCATCCGCGACACCCCCTTCGAGAAAGCCCAACACGAAGCCACCGGCAAACACCAGGGTAACCTGAAGCGGTTCCTACGCGACATCCACCGTGACAATGAGCGCCAGCAGCGGGAAACCCAGAAAGCGAAGAGCGAAGTCGAGCGACTAAAATCGGCCATTTCTGGCTCGCCCGCCGACGGTGCCAGCAATGCCGCGGCTCCCTGGAAACGAACCGCTGTCGCTGCGCCTGCGCCCGTCGAGAAACAGGTGTCCGTAGAGGAGCGGAAACGGCAGATGGCGCAGCTGGCGGAGATGGGGGTGGCGATTCCGCAGGAATATCGCGGGGACATGTCCCTAGCCGGAGAATGGCAGACAGTGTCGGAGACGGTGATTGACGGCCCGTCGAAGCCGTCGCTGGGCGTGCGCAAGCGGAAACACGAGGAGCCAGACGAGGAAGAGGAGGAGGCTAGAAAGGAGGCGGAGAGGTTTGTGAGCAAGCCTTGGGGGTCGAGGACGAGACAGTACCCTGGAGCTCAGGACGACACGGATCTGGATGCGCTGCTTGCTTCTACGAAGGATATGAAGAAGAGCAAGCCGTCGGCTTCGGATGCGCCTGCCGACGGGGAGGATAAACAGGTCTCTGAGGCGCCAGAGAAAACCGAAGGCGAAGCGGCGAATCCGGAGACGGATCAGCCATCGCATACGAAGGAGGAACCGCCCCAGACCCCTCCTGTTACTGAAGTGAAGAAAGAGCCCGAAGAGGCAGCTGGAGGGGTGGTCTTCAAGAAGCGCAAGCCGAAAGTGATGAAAAAATAACGAAATTGACGATGCTGATGATATATCTACTTGGCACGACACCTTGAGAAGTACTCTGGTTAGACTGTAGCATGCTCAGCATACGGCATGCTGCTTCCTTACAACCACTCGATCGAATCCGACTTCGACAGAAGGGAAAGTAGGAAGCAGCGCATTACAGTCAGGTTGATTCTACGAATGGATGAGGTCTTGGCCATTCTCTAGAGACATGTCATCTCTACCATAGAGGCTGGCTTCCGAATCACTGGTCTGAGGAAGTTTACATCTCTTGGAGCCCTCTTGATCCATGAATAGGGGCTATAGAGTCTGATCCTGTTAAATAAGTGAAAATCGGCATGACATGACGATGAATCTCAGGGATATCGGTTTCTATTAGCGATTGAAATTTTAATTTTTTTCTGACGCAATATTCACTATAAATCAATTCAAATTAAGATACATGAGGTATCCGTTGATCGGGCAGTTGCATACATGACTGGAGGTCGCCGTTAACTTAATGTAATGCAAGTGCGGAGAGGACAAATTCCTGCCTTAAATTTTGGGAACCGCAATTTATTGGCCCCAAAAGCTTTGGCCGGCCGAGTTCTCTCTTTCCGTCGCGCATCGTCTCGCCTTTCCCTCTCCCCCTCTGTCGCAACCACCCCAACGTCCACCTCTACCCCCAATGCAGTGCTCATCAGGTCCGGAATTGCGTTTTCTGATGGAATAGTCCGTTTCTCCCTGCTTTTTCGCCTTGCTTTAGACCCGCTATATGGTAAGTACATGGCTTCGTTTTCTCATTGCTTGCCTCGATTCCTGCCATTCGGGACACCACCTCCTCTGCTTTACCCCCTCCTCCAGCCACGTCCCGACTATCGGACATGATCAGCCTGCTGCTCCGTGGTTACCTTCTCGCAATTCTCCTCGGATTTATAGAAAGGCGGCGTCTGTGCTGGTGCGGTGGTGGGTATTGGACTCGACGGAGATCGGATAGCATCTATCCGGTCGCGTTCAACTCCGGCGGCACCAGAATGCATGGATAGGCTTTCCGATCGTCAGCATGGGTGGAATTGTGCCCTCGAGACAGGATGATGGCACTCGCATATACCGATCGATGCTCCCCAATGAGCCATCTATATGCGCCCGCCGTGTTGCGCCCACGAACCCTTGAGATGCCCATATCGAAATTCTTTTTCCATCCTCATGCGCGAATTTGGGGGAACCGTGCCTTTAAAAAGCCTTGCTGAAATTTCCTCCTTTACAATCACTATCGCATTCGATTCTTTCTGAGCGCCGTTGTCGCCACTCCTAAAATACTTTGGTTTCGATCGACTAACTGTCGTTTCTAAAAGACTACAGAGATTGCGTTCTGACAGGCCGCTGAACCGGTGAATAGCCCTTCAACGGAGAACAAGAACCCTGGTCGTATACCTCTTCCTTCCCGAGTATCGAGTCGTGCTTGAAAGTTTGCGTCGTCGATCTAGTCCGCCCGGTTCTCTCGGAATCTTTCCCGTGCAGCTTCCCGAGTCGGAGAATATCCAGCGATCTGAGATGGCGGACACGACAGAACCAGCAAACCCGTCGAGCGAGCCGCCCAATCCGGTGGGTGAATTGAACGATGCGCCTGCTACGGAAACCAGCCATGTCGACCTGGAGGCAGATTTCCGGAGTTTGGACACCTCCCTTCCCCCGATAGATAAGTCCCTGCCGGCAATGGACACCACTATCCCAAGTATGGACTCGTCACTACCACCGATGGATTCCACGATACCGTCGCTCCCGCCGATTGACACGTCGTTACCCCCTTTGGACACTACGATACCGCATGCGGATTCACACCTGGATGACTTGTCTGGGGATCCGAATTTTTCGTTCGATACGAAAGACGACGAACTACCGGGTGCCGAAGGAACTGAGTCCCATGCAGTATCCGGCCTTGCTGCCGATTCGACAGATTTTAATATCACCGACACTTCCTATCAATCTCATTCCAATGGCACGTATCCACAACACCACCCGGAGCAGCAGCAGCAGCAGCAGCAGCAGCAGCAGCAGCAGCCGCCAACGCCCCATAATCAAACACCGCAGCCGCAGTACCAGCAGCATGCGCCATCACAACAATATTCCTCTCCCACACCGCAGCCACCCGGGCAGCAACAGGGCCAACCGCAACATTATCAGCAGCACAATCCAGAAATGTATCACGCCAGTCCCTCTGCGTCTACGCCTATGAGTACGCCCGGGATGCAGACCATGGAGGGCCAGGCATCGCACATCCCACAGGCACCCATCGGATCCCCGATGCCACCGATGGCGTCGGTGGGACAGTACATGACAGGATATCCGACCAGCGTCGGGCAAATGGGCATGAACCAGAGCGCTCAGATGCGGTATCAGCTCCCAGGGGATCCGAACAAGATGCTGTCGGGCGGGCGACACAAGAAAGAAGTGAAGCGCAGGACGAAAACCGGGTGTCTCACATGTCGAAAACGACGAATTAAGGTACGTGGAATGAAAGCATGCTTCAGTCCAAGCCCCGCCTGCCTGGGTTGGTGGGTTTGGGAGGTGAGGAAAGGAGCGCTGTGTCGCTTCGGCTCGCGTCCAGCCCACCGACTGCAGAGGAACCCCGCCATTCCCGCCCTCGCTACTGTTTTTCTATTGATTTTCCTTTTTCTATTTTTCTCTTGAAGAACAAAAATTATCACTACAGTTGATTTTACTGTCAACCTTAGGGGTGTTTTTTTTTAAAACTCAAAATTTCAGACCCCACCTCTTTTTTTTTCCTTTTCGCGAAGCTCTCCACTAACCCGGTGCCGGTGACTTCTATAGTGCGACGAGGGCCATCCCGTGTGCCGAAACTGCGTGAAGAGTAAACGTGAATGCTTGGGCTACGATCCGGTCTTTAAGCCACAGCCTACTCCCTCCGCAATCCAGCCAGCTCCCAATCCTCATCCCTCGCTGGTGGTCAATCCTCAGGACCCTTCTACCTCATCCTCGCCTTCCTACCCGGCTGCGCCTCCTGGCTACGTGCCTGCTGTTTCTCAACCTTTTGCTCCTTCCGAGTCGCCCAGCACGTCAACCGAACGCTACGACTACGGCGCGGCCATCGACCCGTCGTTGGATGGAAGCAACAACGGCAGCGGCAATACCATAAACAACCACCACAACACCACCAGCAACGACTCCGCGAACATGGCCAGTCTACACAATGCAACCGATGGAGGCTTGCAGCCGACGGTCAATCCGGCAACGACGACCACAGCTTCGGATCCGACCAGCTTCAGAGGTAAGCTCCCGGGAATGGTTGTGACCGATGGTCCAGTGTGCTCACGCTCGCGGTTTGCAGTAAAACAAGTTCAGGTCAGCGACCTTCTCGCATTGCGAGGGATTCCTCCCCCGCCCCCTCATCCGATTACTTCTCTCCCGCAGAGCCGTCTCGACGAAATCCAGGCGGTGTTCCTGGCCACGTACGCTCCCGCGATCGACAAGTTCTTCGAGACTCAATGGTTCCAGGAAAAGGCATTGAATCATCTTCTGGGAAATGCGCAACTGATGGCCGAGTACTCGGCACTGATCGACGCCTTCAATGACCGCAACCTAAGCGACCCTAATGTCATCGCGCGACTGGAGAGTTTCGAAGCGTCTGTGGTATGGGGCACCATGACTACTTGTCGACATGCCATGAGCGTGTCGAATGGCAGCATAGGACAGGACTATGACCTCTTGGCAGCGTCGAAGCGACTCGATGTCATTGAGGCCATGATCACAGGAGAGCACCTCGACTCCAACCCTTTGGCGCAGTTCCCGCCCCGGGAGACGCCCGCCAACCCGCCGTCACTCGCCGATCAACTTGCACAGCGGTCGATAGATTTCTGGAGTGCCATCGGGTATTTCTTGACGCTTCACGACAACGAGGCTAGCTCAGCCAAGGAAATCGACGATACCTTGGCTCGGTGTCGCACGCTTCTGGATACCTTTGAGAACCGCGACGTCATCTATTCGATTGCCATTGCACGTCACCTTGGCCAACGTTGGGCCGACTTTCCGCGCAGCTTCCCCCAGCCTATCACGACCAACGAGAAGGACTCCGGCGCCAAATTGTATGTGGCGCAAAAATTCCTGGAACAAGAAGCAGGCGGCAAAGGAACCACGCAGGTGATCAAGCGCATCTGTGGCATGGTACTCCGGTCCTGGATCGTTTCACGAGAATGAAAAAACTGCGGTGATACCTTTTCTATTAATGTCTTTTCTTTTTCTGCTGCAATCTGTAACATGAAAAAAGCGAATTGGCGATATGCTTTCAGTTGTTTTAACGATGTCTCACTAGATTCTCTTTTCTTGACCCCCCCATTTTTCTTTTTGCAATGGTGGCCGCTTATTTATTTTCTTTTCATATTCATCATTCTCAACGGGGAAGACATGGCTCAGGAGTTCATTGCGATCGTCAGTTCTGTCCACAGCTGGGGAAACGGCAGCACAACGGCGTTCTGGCTGCATTCCCACCTTGAAATACAAGTTCTTTGGAAATTATTCGCATATTTATACCTTATTTATTCCTGGTGGCTTCATACCTTGCGATATGGGGACACCGTCTGAAAGACTCGTTGAATTGGTCCGCGAAGTTATGCGTCGACTTAGGCAACTGCCCGATCTCTATTAGATTCATGTACACATCTAAACGTCAAACAAGTACAATGTAACTTATAAGTTTGCCTGCTCGGGAACCGGGCTCTTCAATTTCCCAACCTCGAGCGCGAGACGCAGGTTACCGATCGCCCATTCTTCCATGGCCGTCTGGGTCTGGGAAAGATTAGTGCTCACTCTCTTCCAGACTGATTCAAGACTTACCTCAACCGTCCAAGTGCCCATGTGCGGCACCAGCAACACGTTGGGATTGCGTACAAGACCGGGGTGGATCTTCGGCTCTTCCTCGAAGACATCCAGGCCGGCCGAGTAAACCTTGCCGCTGTCCAGGGCATTCACGAGCGCGACTTCATCAATGACAGCGCCGCGAGCCGTGTTCACAATCACCACGCCGTCCTTCATCTGGTCGAATTGTGGCTTGCTGATGATATGGCGGGTGTTTTTCTACCCGGCATCAAATTAGCATTCACCCAAAAATCCCAGTGCCCAGTCAATGCACTCACATTCAACGGCAAATTCAAGCTGATCACATCACTCGTCGCGAGCAAATCCTCAAACGACACGTACTCCGCCCCAGCAGCCAACTCCTCCGTCAACGGTCGACGATTGTGATAGATGACGCGCATCCCGAACGCCTCGGCCTTGCGCTTCAGATTCCGCCCGATTCCTCCCATGCCCAGGATACCCAGCACCTTGCCTTCCGGGTCGTGGCCGAGAATCGGGGCTGGCTGACCGCGCCATTTGCCCTCGCGCAGGGCCTGCATGCCCGTGTTAAAGTTCCGCAGGGCCCCGATGATCAGAAACATGTTCACGTCGGCGGTGGCGTCGTCGACGGCCGTGGGCACGTTGGAGACGCGCAAAGGTGGGTTCCGAGCGCTGCAGGCGTGTACGTCGACTTGGTCGTATCCGGCGCCTGCATTGTGAAGGAAACCGGGTTAGATTAGCCCCAGCCCGGCGGGAGTATGAACATACCACAGTGAGCCAGATACTTCAGGGAGCTAGGCAGCGCGTTCACAATCTCCTCATCCACCAGGCCGGTGATGCTGACCGAGTCAAAGGTCCGGTATGCGGCGACCACGCCGTCCAGTTTCCCGTCGCGGCATTCTTGCAGAAATTCATCGCGGTTGGTGGCGGTGGGTTGGATCAGCTCAGCGATTTCACCGAGGGATTCCCAGGTTTTGTGTGCGCTGTGGATGTTAGTCGCTTGCGTAGTATTGACTATGAAGAGGGTGGGCGGGACATACTGGACTATGCGTCCAAGGAGAAGGACCTTGGGTTTCGTGGATGCCATAATGTGGGAATTTTGATATGACAGCAGTTACTCTATCAATTGATACCAGGTTCGTTAGCGCTCCGGGTTGTAACAAAGATATATGACTCAAATATCGCAATTGAATTATCCCGAGATAAGACGCGGGGAAATGCAGGCCGAGAAGCACGAACAGGCGGGATTGATATCGCGCAAACACTCACAGAAGACAACCTCGGGGGTAAAATTGTATAGACACAAACGAAAGCCAAAGAGAAGAAGACTCTTGCAACCAGGTCTATAAGAGCAACAGAATAAAGGAGAAGGGAGGAAAGAGAAAAAGAAATGGAGGGGAAGATCGGGAAATCGTCCGCCAGAGTTTCTCCCCCCACGTTCAACCCCACCGTTATCGCTGCTTAGTCACTCCGTCATCATTTGCCCGCGGCCTTTCATCATCCTCTTCTTTCACTTCTTCTCTCCTCTTCTTCTTTTCTCGTCCGATAGACTTCATCGCCTGCGCCTTCTGATGACATTGTCCCGATTTAGTCTTTGATCGCCATGTGTGTCATCGGCCGGAGAGCCCCGCCGCGATGAACAATGCTCGGCTCTATCCTCCGACGGAGAATAGACCTCTCGACTTTAGCACTGTCGGATTAATTTGCGAATCGGATCATAGCCGATCAATCTTAGCGGCGATTGCCGGACGTCGAATTGGCGGACCTTGACCGGTGGATTCTTCCACGCCATCGCCGGGAGAACAGTATGTTATCTTCGGCTACAAGTCCGGACATGCTCGTCGCGTTCTTTCGCACGTACAAGGAGAAAAGAAGAAGAAGATACGCTGTTTCATTTCTATTGCATATTTTTGAGAGTAATGAGATGGTCTAATCGTCGAAGAGGGTAAAGTGGAGGAAGGTACTGAGGGTTTGGGTTCAGCACCAGCCCAGGCGTAAGAAGGAATGGATGGCAGGTAGTGGATCATCTTGGTATCTCTATCAATCTAAGAACTCTGCTGGAGCGCCTTCTTGACCTCCGAAACCAGATCGTCTCTGGAGATCAAACGGCCGTCCTTCTCGGGGTGACCGTCAGGCAGGCCAAGGACCTTCAGCTTAACCTTGCCCGCGGCGACCTCGTCCTCGCCGAGGATGACGGCAAGCGGCACGCCTCCGTTTTCAGCCTGCTTGAACTGCGCAGGGAGTCGCGGCTTGACCGACGCGGTATATTCAGCCTTGATGCCCGCTTTCCAGAGCTGATCGGCAACCGACATCCGCTCGAGCAGGAGGCCGTTGAATCCCTTGCCACCGAATGCCATGACGAAGACCTCGACTTCGTTGGGTCGGATCGTAGCATTGCCCTCCTGCTGCTCCTTCTCGAGCCGTTGCTTCATGATGGTGAAGATACGGTCAATTCCGAACGACACACCGACACAAGGGATCTGACGCTTGGGAGCGAACATGTTGACCAGGTTATCATATCGACCGCCAGCGGCGACACTACCCACGCCGATGGTGTTGTCGTTGGATCTATCTTCATCGTTGTCCTTGCTCTTCTTGGGTTTCGAGGAAGATTTCGTCTTGTTCGCGTTGAAGCCGTCGGCGGAGGAAAGGGGAGTGACGACCTCGAAGATCAGACCGGTGTAGTAGTCGAGGCCGCGGGCAAGGGAGAGATCAAAGGACAGCTTATCCGTCACCTTGAACACTTCTAGGTATTTGAAGAGGAGTTCCATGTCGTCAAGACCCTTCTTGACGTGCTCGTTCGCGCAGACTTGAGCGTCCGCCTTCAAGGTGTCGACGAGTTCGCGACCCCCGCTTAGCTTCACGTATTCTCCGATCTTGTCGGCAACCTCGGGCGACAGGCCCTTTTCCTCCATCTCCTTCTTGACTTCTTCCCACGGCGACTGTGACCAGTTAGCGACATTCGGCGCGGCGGTACATGCATCACGTACTTTATCCAGCTTGTCAACAGCCGAGCTGATGCTGCGGATCTTATCCTCCGGCACACCCGCCACCGTGAACAGACCGTCCAGGATCTTCCGGTGGTTGATCTTGATTGTGATATCTTCCCGAAGTCCGAGGGCTTCAAACACATCGACAATGATACGCACGATCTCGGCGTCAGGGATCATGGCGTCGTAGGTACCGGCGATATCGAAGTCACACTCTATCCCGGGTAAAAGAAGTCAGCAGCCGTAAGAACAGGAGATCTGAAGGGTATTCACTCACGATAAAACTCGCGCATACGTCCTTTGGCCACAGCCTACAGCATACCGATTAGCAAGACGCGAACGAAGTCCCAATAAATCCGACAAAGCACCCACCGGCTGATCACGTCGGTAGACCTTAGCGATGTGGTAGCGCTTAATGTTCTGTATCGTCGAGTTCATCGCCAACCAACGCGCAAACGGCACGGTCAGATCGTATCTCAAGGCGCAGATCTCTCCACCCTGGTCGGCCAGGTCGTAAATGAGCTTCGAGTCCTCGCCGTACTTCCCGGCTAGGATCTCCTTCAGTTCGAAGACGGGCGTGTCAAGGGCCGTACCGCCGTGGCGCTTGAAGACGTCGGCGACATTGGAGAAGATCGAGTCCCGCAGGTTCATGTCGATACCCTGCCAGTCACGGGTTCCTTTGGCCGTCTTGAGCTGGAAGCTCACCTTACCGGCCTTTCCCTCCTTGGCGCCCATGGTGATATCGGAGTGCGGGTCTTCGTGCGAGTGGTGCTGGGTAGAATAAGATTGACGGTAGGGATGGGAGGCAGTGTTGATTGTCCAGCGGTCACAAGAAGTCCAGGCCGCACGTCGGAAGGCGCAATGGGTGGATTGAGATAGGGCCTTGACCGGAATGCGAGAGGCCCAAAAAATCTGCATGAATGGATGGCGGGATCGGAGATCGCGAAGCGGGGATGGAGGGGGAGCAACTGGACGGGGAAAAGTTTTTACTGCGAATGAGTCAATCTCTGGTTCGCTCCCCGAATGGGACCTGCGCCACACTGTCTGCAACGCCACATGGAGGGGCTCTTGCATAAATCTATGGATTATCTGTGCATAACTGAATTAAGGTTACTCTATTCTCTCTCCTTGACCAATATCATACAGGAAACATCGTCCGGCAATAAAACACATCCAGCTCGCGAGTAACCTTTGGGTACTTGTCTTTTTCCTCGGTGCTCGCCTGCGACCAGGCCTCTTTCACTTCCACCCAGGGAATCCCGCGTCGAGCAATTGCCTGAAGCAAACTTCGTACAACGACCGAGTTCCCACTCTGGGCTGCCACTTTGAGTAAACACTCGCTGCGTCGGTTGCGGGACAAAGGATCCGCTCCCTTATTCAGGAGAAGCTGCACGGCTTTGTCGTGGCCTCCGCGAACATGGCACCACAGCGCGGGCTCGCCGCATCGGTTCTTCGCCTCGAGATCTGCCCCGTAACGGAGTAACAGATCAAGTGTCGCACTCGGGTTTCCCCCTTGTCCGTCGGATGCCGTTTCCAAAAGCTTTGCACATCGTTCGCCAGAATCGAGACAAGAGCCTCGGTCAAGGAAGAACTGCAGCACTGCCTGCTGACCTGCTCGCGCCGCGATTCCCATGCATTGGTCCACCATTTTGCAAGGCGCAGGAATGGACAGTCCATGGTCAAATAGGAATTGCATCATCTTCTCACCTCCCCGGACACCTGATTTGAGAAGTGTTGTCCCTGTACGTCGTGGAAGCTGCAACTGGACTCCCCGTTCCAACAGTATCTCCAACAAGCCAATGTCCCCAGATTCAATAACCTGCACCAGGATATTGTTCTCCGCCTTTTCGTGCGCTGATTCCAAAGTAGCGCCGTAGTCTAAGAGCATCTTAAAGATCTCTTTACCGCCAATGGCCTCCCGAAGGACACTGCGGCCTCTATAGTCTTTGGTGTTTGGATCCGCACCATAGTCGAGAAGTAATTTTGTTTTCTCCAAGTCATTGCCTCTGATGGCGGATCGCAAAGCCCAGTCCATATGATTTCTCACATGAGGCGGGTTGGTGTCCAGTAGAAGCTTGATGGATTCTAAGCTTCCTAGTTGAGCTGCAAGGGAAACGGCCTCCCCCCAACCTGCTCCGAAGTAATCCGAATTACCACACTCTTTGAGCTTATTCACAATGACATCTCCGCTGTCCAGAAGCTTTTTGATGATCTCGTCCAGTCCACAAAGGGCAGCAGCTCGCAAAAGTAAATGGGGGTCGTCGCCGGTCTCGACGATTTTCTGGTCCGTATCGATGCGATCGAGTAAGAATCGCGCTATATCGAGGTGCTGAGCCTCTGCAGCTTCAGCTACAGCCATGAGTGTTTTTCCCTCCTGGCTGCAGACCGGATCCGGTCGAGCACCGGCAGCAATCAGAGTCTTGACAGTATCGAAATGACCCTCAGCGGCAGCCGCCGTCAAGGCTGCTCGGTATGAGCCTTTGTGTTCCAAGTTTGCTCCACATTCGATGAGAAACAAGACGACATCGTTGTGCCCGTTTTCCGCGGCACAGATCAACGGCGTGACCCTGTCTTCGTCTTCGTCTCCAGTGTCAATGTCATATCCCGGATCCTTCTCATATTCCAGATCGACCAGAAACTTCACAAGCGAAAGATCCCCATCGCTTGCCGCAGCAGTGACCGGATACTTGATAGTTTCGGGGTCCACCCTATATGGCAGAAGTCTCCGGGCCATCGACTCTTGGCCGTGTAGTGTAGCACGGTGTAACAGATGGTCGGCTAGATAGTTGCACGAGGATGTTTCTCCTATGTCCATCAGAGCTGTGAGGTCTAGGCCTTTTTCAATGAAGAGAGATACGATGGACCCGTGGCCTCCGCGGACAGCCACTACTATGGGGAGAAACCATGGATCCTCGACACCAGCATCCAGGGGTGCGCCCTCATCGAGCATTCTCCGCGCGGTCGAGGCATGACCGTGTTTTACAGCCCATTGCAAGGCCGAACACTTTGCATGTTTGATATTGTGTCGGTAAAGGAGAGGATTCAAGAGTGAATATAGATAGCCATTGGTTCGCGCAAGTGCGTTGATGTCGCTCTGGTAAGGGAGGAATTGGATTAAGTATAAATAGATGTCGTCGGGGAGGTCGGTGAACATTATCCTCCGTGAAAGGATGGGAGAGGAGAGTAGAAAATTGCAAGGATGCTGGCTGGACGCCTGCAGGATCTTCCGGAACCTTTAAAGGAAGAGGAAGGCAGGCGCAGCAGAACTCAGCCTTGTGACTAGTCTTTCCCGATTGGGACGCCGCGCTTCTTTCCCGTGGATTAACGCTGACTGCAATTACATCATTTCCAAACCCCACTAGAGTAAACATAAACATTGATATAGATATTGACAGTGACTCTGCTCACCCCTCGACCAAAACCCTCGTCCAGTCAAACTTCCTCCACCGCTTTTTAAATCCGTCAACACGTCGGTCTCCTCCCCGGTGCCAGCGCCCCTGTCGCTTGATCACCTCCGGGCCCACGTCCAGCATGCCTCCGATCACCTCGCGGGCGAACAGGTCTCCTTTAGGCCATCGGCTCTCGTCCTCCACGACGTGGCCCAGCCCTCCATCCAGCTCAAACCAGACGTGGAAATAAGGCATCTCCTTGACCAGAGTACGTCGGAACGCAGACCGACCGAGCCCTTGTTTGGCCTTGGCTGCCGTGTCGATTAACTTCCGATGCTGAGTCCATTCGGAGTCTGCGGAGAGAATGGCCTCCTTGAAGAAGGCGGGAGACGTCTCTCCGAGGCTGTAGGGTAATGGGACAACCTCCATGGCCGCGTGTCTCTTTCGATGAGGCTGGGCCGCATTCTCGTAGAAGATGACATCGCGGCCTTGCTCATGATACATGCGGGTCAAGCTCTTCATGAAGTTGCGGATCTCCTCCCATTCATCGTCATCGCATTCTAGGAGGTTCGTTCGGTGTTGAATGGGGACTATGGTGGCACAGCCGTCGTTGAGCTCCGGTTCGGTTGGGAGCGTCATATAGACCCGTGTCGCCAACGACACCACGGGGGCAATCGGAGGGGTGTTGGTATCTTCATGGTGACAGAGGGGACAGTTGTCGAGGATCCGATTCATCTTCTGGAATTCATTGATGGAAGTATTTCTGATGTCGATCTCAGACCGATGAACTCTTTTGGCCAATTTCGACGCGTTATCATCCATGTATTCCAAGTCGTTCTGACAAAACCCGTGTTAGTATAACGTCCGCGTCAAGCCTTTCCGGCCAGGAACATACCTCAAATTTGCCATCCTTGGCAATTCTCTCGGCGAGTCGTCGTCCGTCCCCGCCAAACTGCCCTCGTGTCCTTCGCTCTTCCCGTAGCATGTCGTCGATGCTCATGTCATCATTATCCTCCACTTTGCCACGCTCGCGTCCCCGTTTGGTGTCCACCGCTTTCACCTCGTTTCTCGCTCCAGCCAGCATACGATTATCCTTGACGCCTAGTACGACAACGTTGGGTTCTTTCCGGTTCGCCATTGCTGCCGCCGCAGCGTTATACTGCTCTTCGAGTTCGGCAGCGTCCGCCGACTTCTTGAGCTTGGCCTTCATCATCTGAGCCTTCAGCCGGTTGAGAGCCGTCAAGTCCAGAGGCTGCGTGGTATTCGAAGGAGGCTCAGTGTCCATAGGTTTGCCTTGTCCCTGGGCATCGAGTTCCCGTACAGGGCTTCGTACATGGTCATGAGGGTCGCGATGAACGTTTTGCTCGAGCTTTCTTTCTTGGAACAATTCCCCGGTAGGTTTCTCCTTGCCCACATACCCTTCACCGTATGTATCGCGTCGTTCTAGCTCCGCCTCCTCCTCTCGAGCATCATCAAAGGATCGCAGATCGCCAAAGCGCTCAAAAGCAATTTCTTCTGCTGGTCTGCCGCTCTCCTCGGCTTCCCTGTAGACGGCCTTCAACTTGGTCATTCTCCACTTCGAGCCGGCATCGCCAAACGTATAATCAACCTCGTGCTGAGCCGGCTCTTGTTCGACTTCTTCCAACGCTTTTCCATCTTTTAAATCGCGCAGGTGGCTATTCAGCTCCCTGCTGTGAATTTTGAGTTCGTAATCCGCTGAGAGCATCTTCGGCTTCGGTTCCTCCTGCAGGCGCGTGGTATCGCGTCGTTGTACGTAATCCACATCAAGGGCGGAGGGGGCTTCCATCCATGAATCTCTTTGTAGACGATTCGGTTCCTCCTGGGCGACTTCCTTCACGGGGGAATCTGCATCATTCTCTCTGTCTTCCCGTCGGTGCCGCCGTTTGTGAGTGTGGTCTCGATCGTCGGTGTGGTCCGATGAGTGGCGAGACCGTTTATGCCGATGTCCATCTTCATCGCCATGGCGCGATCCTCTGTGTTTATCGGACTCGCGTTCTCTCGATCGGGATGAGTGACGACGGTGATGGTGATGCCGATGGTGCCTCGAACGATCCTTGCTGCGATCCCGGCTGCGATCTCGATGCCGATGATGTCTGTCCCGGTCGCTTTTCGCGCGTCGTCTCTCCTGATCTTCCACCAATGACTTTTCAAAATCCTCCAGACCCATCTTGAAAAAGTTGTCGTGTTGGGTGTAAGGGGGGGGTTGGTGCAAGAAGAAGCTGTCGCGCGGCAGAAACCAACTAGCGGGAAAAGGCCGAATGACGTCTGGCCAGTCTCGACTCCACCCGAGCAGATCCTCCCCGCGACTAAAGAATTTCTCTTCGGCTTTGTCATTGTCTGCCTTCCTCCATGATAGAGTCTCTGTGATCCACGCATACCCTGCGCTCGGCTTTTTAAGTCACTACTGTCATCGTTGACGCCTCGCGGTCTTTTATAGTCTTGTTTAGGTGGTTCTTACTTTCAACAGCCTCTCACCATGGCCGAATCTCCCGTCGCCGTCGTCTGCGTGGGCATGGCAGGTATGGATATATGCTCTTCACTTGTCACAGCTTCCTTGCTCACAAGTTCCCCTTTCATCGGCTAGGCTCTGGAAAGACGACCTTCATGCAACGAATCAACTCGCATCTCCATTCGCAGAAGAAAGTGCCCTACGTGCTGAACCTGGACCCCGCCGTTTATTCCGTTCCGTTCGAGAGCAACATCGATATTCGCGATTCGATCAATTACAAAGAAGTCATGAAGCAGTATAACTTGGGACCCAACGGCGGTATCTTGACGTCGCTCAATCTGTTCGCTACCAAGGTTGATCAGATCATCTCGCTGCTGGAGAAACGCACCGCACCGAACCCGGGCAACCCCTCCGCCAAGCCCATCGAACACATCTTGGTTGATACTCCGGGACAGATCGAGGTTTTCGTGTGGAGTGCCTCGGGCAGTATCTTGCTAGAGACTCTGGCATCCTCGTTCCCCACGGTGATTGCATACGTGATCGATACCCCGCGCTCCAGCTCCACGAGCACCTTTATGAGCAACATGCTTTACGCCTGCAGTATCCTTTACAAAACGAAGCTACCCATGATCTTGGTGTTCAACAAGACGGACGTTCAGGACGCCGAGTTTGCGAAGGAGTGGATGACCGACTTCGACGCGTTCCAGCAAGCACTGCGACAGGAAGAGGAAACGGGCGCGTTCGGAACCGAGGGTGCCGCTGGAGGTTTCGGGGCGGGGAGTGGATACATGGGCTCCCTGCTCAACAGCATGAGCTTGATGCTCGAGGAGTTTTATCGGCACCTGAATGTCGTGGGTGTCAGCTCCATGACCGGTGACGGTGTTGATGATTTTTTCAAGGCGGTGGAAGAGAAGCGCCAGGAGTTTGAACGGGACTACAAGCCAGAGCTGGATCGCAAGAAGAAGGAGCGGGAGGAGACCCAGGCCGCCCAGCGCGAAATTGAGCTGGGTAAACTGATGAAGGACATGAACGTTTCGGGGTCCGGTCCCAGCCGGCGTGCGGATAAGGAGGCCGAGACCGTCAGCGAGGCCGAAGACGAGGAAGAGGAAGCCGCCGCGGCTAAGCGGAGAGGAGACCTCGAGGAGTCAGATGATGATGATTACAGCGGCGAGGACGATAACGCCCCTGCTGCTGGCGACAACGATGGGCTCTCCGAGCGGTACAAGCAAGCGCTGGGGGGCTCGCGCAATGCCCCTTCGGACCAAGACATGAGCTTCACCAGATACTTGCGGGCGAACAACATTAACCAATGATATCCCAACCTCCAACAACATTTGCATAGGCTCTGGTTTCTGTTTCCTAGGTGTTTTTCAAAGGAGTTACTTTTTATGGTCATTTCATGTTCTCATCTTAACCCGACATGAATAAATGAGTTAGATTTTCGAAATATCAGTTCAAGTTTCTCTTGGGCAATAATAGTCTCTCTGTAGCATCCACTCTTCCCAGCCTGGCTGGATAGTAAAGTTTTAAATCTTTAAGGCTGTGCCATTCTATCACCACCTGGTTTCGCGACGGTCAGACCACCCAAAAAACCAGGAACCCAAAAGCAAGCAATTTCAATCCAGGACCAAGACTAAAAGCCTCTCGAGTAACGTATATGCTGTGCACGTTTTGGATGTTGGGGGAGTAATCGGCCAAGCCGTCTGCTCCCAAACAGACCTCCTCTTTTCAATCCTTTTCATGATTATTTAGATTTCGTTGAAATGTTCAAGTTGGTAATGCATTGTCTTCCCAGTAATCAACTACCTACACGTCTTGTCCTGGTATGCTACCAATGGGGAGATCGTTGGATTGAGTTATAATAATATCTTGCTTCTAAATATATAATCTGAACGATGTGCCTCAGTGAGCCTAAGAATAAAACAACGCCCAACAATATTCTTCCCAGCCGTGGACAAAATGGACAGTGTACTCCATTCAAGCCATACACACAATTCACAAAATCTACAAACAGGACGAGCATCATCCCCAGACCAAGGAAATGGCACGGCGTTCGTTGCCTGAAGAATGTGGTTGAAAGTGACGTCAGGGCGATGATGTAATCCCCACGTCTGTTTCTGCTTTGCCTCTGCCTTCTAGAGCTTCGACTGATTGAATCACTCCCTTTAAAAGCTTCAAAGCTTCATCACTCTTGTATATTGTGACTTCTACATTCACTCGCTAGATAGTTTGACTGTCGTACATACGCTCACTCCATCATGGATGTATGTCTGAACGCAAGCGCCCGCTATTCCCCTCTTTAAGAACGCAGAGCTAGAAGCAAGCTAACACGCAATGGTTCACAGGTCTTCTACGCCTACACATACTCTACAGCCGGATGGCTAGCTCTGCAGAGCGTCCCTCTGGTCACAGTCCCAGAAATGATGACAACCATGTTATCCGAGGAAACCAGACCGCCTACCTGTGAGTGTTCTCGCCAGGTTGACTCGACCTACGACAAACAGAATCCAGGATGTCCAATGCTGACTGCATACAGCGGTCGAGGTGTATTTCGCCCGTTGTCTCGGCTTCAATCTATTCACGCTCGCCATTTTGGTCGTGATGTTGACGGGCTCCGTCCCCTTGACTTCCAGCGTTGTTGAACCAGTGACAACGGACGATTCTGACCCCAAGGCTCCGTATGCGGTGCCCACTTTGATCGTGACCACCATCTCCAACGGCCTCTCAGCATTCTATGCGTATTCGCGCTGGACAACCTCTGACCAGGTCGCTTTTGCCATCGGAATGTCCGGATACGCGCTGCTGGCAGCCGTGGGGCTATGGTGCATCCTTTTCGCGAGCAGTAACGGGAAAATCAGCCGAAAGACAGGGGCCGACAAGAGAACCGCCGGATTTCCGTTCAAGAACCAGGAGGCAGCCAAGAAACATGCTGGGAAGAAGAGTTCGTGAGCAGGGAAGAGATGCAGGTGCGACATGGGGCCCTGGGACTTGTGTACGGTGGACGAACAGGTTGCATTAAGCTCCACCGGAGTAAAGGATGAATATGGACTTATTTGCGGGCGGCGTAAGAACCTTGGGGGTGTCATGATCCGGTGGCTGAAATCCCTCGGAGTCTATTTTGGTGGCATTCGCGCCGGCCAATGACGCTATCTTGACCGGTCTTGATTACATGCGTGAGGTTTTAATCTAATCGGACATCTGTTCCTATTCTTGGCTGCAGGGCCTGCCCCTGTTCGGTCTATGCCCCGGCCCTTTGTTGCATAATATCACCTCATATCTTCTCAACCGGTCCTAATATTGTGTATTCCTTTGGCAATATGACGGTAGCTGCAGTCATCCCCCTAATGTGATTTACCTGCTGTATCTTGGGACTGCATTCTGTGCTCAGTCGAATGAAGAGGCGTAGATGAGGCGAGAGTAAAAAGAGAAAGGGCCTTTGCTATCTGTGGGCTTCTCCACCGTCCAACATGAAGAGACCACCTGAGCGTGAAGTAGGTACGGAGTAGCTGAAGGTGAGCAGGGGTCTAAAGTGCAACCACCCTCGACTGGATTGTAGGGCAGCACGTCAGTTTAGATGTTCCTGCGTGCTGAAGGCCTCTTAGTCCCTCAATCTCCTGACCAGAGAGCGCTCATTCTCCACTTCTGGAGGACACTGATTCTCTGCATTTCCCTTTTGAGCTATGACATGTGTTAATCCCCCTTGTTGTGTTCCTTAATCAGTGTGATTTGTCGGTGCGATGTTCTGCGTAACAGTGCCAAGCTTGCATGTCCGAGGGCTGCATCTCGAGAGAACGGGTGCCTGAAGTTATTTTGTTTTGTCTTTTATTTCCTGCCCCCTATCGCGTACACCTCGTTGCAACCTCGACTAGGTGGTGTAGTCAGGTTGAACGACTAGATTCGAATCATCGAATCATCGCCTACAGAGGGATAAATGAGGTATCCGAGTTTGAAATCCGCGAGGGGAGGGGTATTGAATACCACCAGTCCGAATCATACCCCGTGGCAGGGTACCAGGAGTATCATCAAGCTGTGCAGGCCGTCGGAGTCCCTTCGATCGACTCCACTCGCGACTTGGCATCTGATCCCGTTTACGGCAAGAGATCTTCATGATCGATCGGAAGTCTTGGCCAGGGACTAGTAAGGAGTAAGGAGACCGGAGAGGGGAAAGGCTGAGGAATGTCCATGAGGGAGCAGAGGGACCGTGATGGCCTCAAATCAGCTAAAGTTGGCAATAGCGGGGAAGGAGCAAGCCGTCAGCCCATTTCTAATCAAGGGAATTAATCTGAATGCCTGAGGACCAACGGACGCCCGAAGGAGCGACGCACGCCAAGCCCGCGTGACTGCAACCTCAGGCCTGTCATCTCCATCCTCGCCAATCAGCCAGATTAACGGGCCCAACTTCCACTTCGACTTCACCTTAACAGCTGATGCTAATCCCGCCACTAGTCTCACTTGTTGTCCACATCCCCCCCCCCCCCCGGACGGAAATCCCCGAATTACCCGGAAGACCCGCATCTCTTACTTTCTTTTGTTACAAGTCCTTTGTCAGTTATCAGTGTATCAGCTATCAACTATCACGCCGTCGTGTCTGACCGTCCGCGTCTTGGCTCGATGAATGGCCAAAATGCAATCCCCCCTGCATCCCAGTCAGCAGCCGGTCTTCCCGTTGGCAAGCATCGCCTTTCGCGCCAAGAGGATGTGGTCTTTGCTTCTGGATTCCGGATTCTGATTCATGCACCCAGCAACTGAAGTTATGACTGAACCGGGTTGGTGCGAGCTAACCACCACGGGACCCACGCTTTCCCTTCTCATCTGCAGGGTATGCATCTTAAAGACATCGCCAATGGTCATTCGCGATTCCATATTAGCTTCCCGGGCCTAGAGGATCTTGCAATGCCGCCCGTCCCCGCTCGATAGCCCTCTCGCCAGTCATCTCCTCTGGAGGTCCGTTGCGTCCCTTGATGCCAAGTCCCAAGGCTCTCCGGACTCCCGGCGGCGCACTCGCACCCTTCAAAGATGCCCTGGACGGTATGCACCTAGGCTTCAACGGTTAACGGGCTGCTGAATGCTGAGCCGTCGTGATTGGCGGCCTGCTTGCCCATGTCGGCGTATCGTTATCTCCGATGATTCTTGCGTAACGTGGAGAGGGAAACAACTCTGGCCATCGCCCTTCTGCATGGGGGGTTGAGCGCTTTTTTCCCCCTTGGTTGCCTTTACTTCCTATTGGCCTCGCCAATTTAGCTTCGCGGGAGGTGCATCTGATATGCTCCGGCCCTGGTGGCATCAGGCGACCCCCTCTTCTCTTCCCCTTGCACCCCCCTCCCTACGCAGGAAAGCACATGCCGTGCTTGTGTCTAGTTTGGTGTAGCACCAGAATTTGCTTAACTTCATCCTCGGGAGAGGAGGGGAAAGGGCGACTAATGCTTATCGCCACTATCTTAGCCCGTGTACGATCCCGTGTTGCAGCCTTGTTTAATCCGACAGCTCTGGATGGCCAACACTAGCTTTGTGACTTGATAGGCGAGACCAGCTTTGTATCCTGGCGTGCAACCCTGGGCACTTTACTGTTTTCGTGCTCGCTGTCCAGATGCCGGGTCTTGTCCTAAATGATCCCAGTAGGCTATCATTCGCCCGTCCAATCAATTCGGCGCGTCCATCATCGATTTTCTAAAATAAAATAAAAGGAAGGGGGGGTGGGCAGCAGCGCATATCGCGTGAGAATGCCAAGTATTGAGACAGTCACACTGATGTCTAGGGACAAAGCGCTAGGGCTCCCCGCCCCTTGGGGTCTTCTTTGCGCCTCATTGGCACCAAAGTGGGACTGTATGTCGTTCGCCGGCGCAGTCAAAGGATGTCTGAAGGATTGAAGCTATACCACCTTCCCTACGAAGGTGAAGATCGTCGGAATACAGCTGAGGAGACCGGCCCGTGCTATCGTTGCGCAGGCATGGGGCTCCCCATTCGGTGCTGCTCAACATCTGCCCGGCGTTCCTGGTGACCCAGTAGAGTTGCTCGCCCGGCCTGGAGAGCGGATCGGTTTCCATGATGGTCATTGCTGTCTTTGGACTTCCAATGTCCACATCGGTCTTCTCACCTGCATCTTGTTCCCCACTGATAGTACCATTCCCAATGGGGTACAACGGAGTTGTCTGAAGATGCGATGTCACCTTGAGTGTTCTAACCATGCTCCTCGGGACACCTGCATCCTTGTCCCTCCCATGGTGCATGAGTGGCTTGATATCACGAAATTGACCTCGAAAGGGGAGAGGCAGGGTGCTCCGGAAAGTTATAAATACAGCCCGGATCCCGCGCATTCTTCTTCTCATCATCACACAGCTTCTGGTTCTCTGATCAGCACACTTGAACAGTTCTTCCAGCTCTCAAGCAGTCGACAATGCCTTCCTTCAAGCAGACTTTGCTCCTCCTTGGAGCTATGCTCCCCGCCGTCTTCGGTGCCCCCGTCGAGAACACCCGCCGGGCTTCCGAGAAGATCGCTGGAAAGTACATTGTCACTTTCAAGAGCGGCATCGACACCGCCAAGATCGAGCAGCACACCACCTGGGCTACCAACATCCACAAGCGCAACCTTGCCCGCCGTGATGCTTCCGATGACTCCGACCTCCCCGTCGGTATCGAGAAGAACTTCAAGATCAAGAACTTCGCCGCCTACTTCGGTTCCTTCGATGACTCTACCATCGAGGAGATCCGCAAGAGCGCCGATGTACGTTTTGGCCTTAAACGAAGTATGAAAAATGGAACCAGCTGTGCTAATCTGCCTTTAGGTTGCTCACATCGAGGAGGACCAGGTCTGGTACCTCGATGCTCTGACCACCCAGACCGGTGCTACTTGGGGCCTGGGTTCCATCTCGCACAAGGGTGAATCCAGCACTAGCTACGTCTACGACTCCAGCGCCGGCGAGGGCACCTACGGCTACGTCGTTGACACCGGTATCAACGTCGACCACAGCGAGTTCGGCGGCCGTGCGAGCCTCGCCTACAACGCCGTTGGAGGCCAGCACGTTGACAGCGTCGGCCACGGAACTCACGTTGCCGGCACCATTGGTGGCAAGACCTACGGTGTCTCCAAGAAGGCCAACCTTCTCTCCGTCAAGGTCTTCCAGGGCGAATCTTCTTCTACCTCCATCATTCTTGACGGATACAACTGGGCCGCCAACGACATCGTGAGCAAGTCCCGTACCGGAAAGGCCGCCATCAACCTGTCTCTCGGTCAGTTAGCTTCTATCTCTGCAAATTGGGAGATTCACGGTTGCTAATTTCTTTTCACAGGTGGTGGATACTCCTATGCCTTCAACCAGGCTGTCGAGAACGCCTTCGATGAGGGTGTCCTGACCGTTGTCGCCGCCGGTAACGAGAACGTACGTGTTCCAACTCCCCGACCACTATCCCATCGCGGATTAAGCTAATTCAAACCATTTAGTCCGATGCTGGCGACACCAGCCCTGCCTCTGCCCCCAACGCCTTGACCGTCGCTGCTAGCACCAACCGCAACGCCCGTGCCTCTTTCTCCAACTACGGCTCCGTCGTTGATGTCTTCGCTCCCGGCCAGGACATCAAGTCTGCCTGGATCGGCAGCAGCTCTGCCACCAACACCATCTCCGGTACCTCCATGGCTACTCCCCACATCGTTGGTCTGGCCATCTACCTGCAGGCTCTGGAGGGTCTCACCAGCCCCGCTGCCGTCACCAAGCGCATCAAGGAGCTCGCTACCTCCGGTGTTGTCACCGATGTCAAGGGCAGCCCTAACCTCCTTGCCTACAACGGCGCTGCTTAAGCTCAGAACTAGAGCTCAAATCCCAGAAACTAGCTCTCCGCTAGCGTTACTTGGGACGACAGTGATGATGATGATGATGATGTATAAAGAGGGGAATTGACATAGATTGAAGTATATAGTCGATCACGAGGGGAATCTTTTCATGAAGACTCATGGGTACAGTACATATATGGACCTATACATAGTTTGTTTGCAGACCAATCAAGACATCTTTCTGCTTTCAGAGGGGCCGTTGCCATCACGTAAATGAAGAGAGCTTGCTCCATCTTTACTCCACGCCTCGTGACTACCTATTCAACATGGGACTTCTCGCCCTGTCATCGATCCATGGAGTTTTCAACCCTTCGGCAGGAAAACACATGCCATCTGAACTCTTGTCTCTTTACGTTGCCGCGCCATAAAACCGGGGTTTCCACATACCTCACCCAGCACAGAACAAGAATGAGAATCGTCGATCCAGCAAGAATGCGGGTCTTTACCCCCCCGAAACGAGCGACGAGACTACAAAGGGGCCGAGAGTGACGACTGCCTCGACGGTGATGAGAACTGCAATAGATGCTGACTGGACCAGCCGGTCAGTTACACCCACAATCACGGCGATCAACTAGGGAGTGTCACGATGACAGATGGGCGGATACTTGCAAGCTCGACGCCCCCTTCGCGGTTTGACGAGCTCGGGTCTCTCCTAACAGTTTTCGTGCCTGGTTTTATAAGCGCAAACCATGCTGCCGAATTCTTCAAGATGCGCCCTGTCCTGCCTGTCCATCTCTTCCTCTTTCTCTCTCTCGTGTTCTCTCCTTCTATCTCTCTCTTCCCTGCTCCCGTTCTTTGAATCCCGTTGAGTCCTTCGCATGAAAGCTGGTTCCGTGGGCCGAGAGACAACCATGTCGGAAGTGCAAAAATCCCCGGTTGTGGTGGACAAGGACGTTCTGGAACCATATTTGTCCGAATTCAGGCTGCAAGTGGCCTGCGATGGTTTTCATATTCAATGGGCCAAAGGAAATCCTCACCATCCTCGGAATTGGAGCTTGCTTCGCAAGGTTCACGATGCTAGCTTGATCATCTTCCTGGAGCTTTTTACGTACGTTGATGTTTTCCCGTGCCGATAGAGCTGAAATTACTAGCTGACACGGACGATTATGCAGGACTGCGATCAGCACCGCTGGTGTACGTTCCCTCGTTCTCATCAGGCCAGCATCGGGTTGAGCTTGCCCCTGGAGACCAGACCAGAGTGCTGACAGCTGCAGTCAACGATCGCCCACGATGCCGCCGGGGAATTTGGCATTCGAAAAGAGCTGTCTCTCTTTCTCTTCGTCTCCATGTCCGTTTCACACCTTTTGCCAATCCGTGGAGTTTCGCCTGCGCACCTGCAGCCATACAAGAGTCTGTTATTTTTCTGATGAGTACGTGGATTCTAGATATTTACTGGGCCAGGGCATCGGTGCCATCATCTTTCCCCCATACTCGGAGGCGTTCGGACGCAAAAAGCTGTATATCGTCAGTACAGCCTTGTACAGCATTGCCTGCGCCATCGTGGCCTCTGTTCACAGCCTTTCCGGCGTCGTCATCGGTCGCCTCGTCAGCGGGTTCCTCTCAGCCATTCCGACCACCGTGGTGATGGGTAGTATTGAAGACATGTTCAATTCGAAGGATCGGGTCTGGATGGTATGCTGCTGGGCTGTGGTGTCGAACTTGGGGCTGATCGTCGGGCCCATCATGAGCACATTTGTCACGGCGGATCTGGGGTGGTAAGTGCGAAGGTCCCCTTAATATCAAAATGAACAACGTTGGTTGACCATGAATTGCAGGAGATGGTTGTTCTATATCGCCACGATGGTGACCGGCGGCCTGGCTATCCTCCTGTTGGGTATCCGCGAATCACGTCCGTCGCTGGCATTGGCAAAGGAAGTTGCAAAGCTTCGCGAAGTCACGCAGATTGAGACACTCGAGGGCCTGAATCCCGACGAGACGCCGGATTGGCAGACCTTTGTTCGGATTGCGCTGTGCCGACCGGCGCGACTCTTCTTCACCGAGCTCATCGTTTTCATCGTATCTATCATGAGTGCCGTCGCCATCGCCCTGGTGTACCTGTTCACGGAGGTTCTGCCTCCCGTCTACAAGGACATGGGCTTCAGTCCGAAGCATGCGTGTCTGCCTTTCCTGGCAATTGGAATCGGACTGGCATTTGGGGTTCTGACGCGTTGCCTTGATCTGCACATAATCAAGAAGCACCGTCAGCAGGGCCGTCCCCTGTTGCCTGAGCATAAGCTGGCTGGGTTCGGGATCGGAACGCCCATCCTGGCCGTGGGCCTCTGGGTCTTCGCATGGTGCATCCCGCCGGAGGTGACCAACGTCCACTGGACGGTGTCCGCTCTGGCGCTGGTGCTGATCGGATATTCCCTGAATGAGATAGACTACGTGCTAAGTGGATACCTCACGGACAGCTACCTGAGCTACGCCGCCAGCGGACTGGCGGCCCTGAGCGTGGTCCGGGCGTTGCTGTCGGCTGCTTTGCCACTCATCGCCGTGCCTATGTTCTCGAAATTGGGGGCCAACGTCGCGGTGTCGGTGCTGGCGGCCATCGCCACGGTGTTTTGTATAGTTCCGCCGTTGTTTTCGCGATTTGGGGAGGGGATTAGGGCTCGAAGTCAGTTTGCCAAGTATAGTTTGCGCATGTATAACCAGAATAGTATCGACGAGAATGGGTATTAGAATCACGCAAAGAGACTGGAGTCCTCGGTGGATAAACATGGATTGCGATTGAAGTGAAGTGAACAGAAGTGAAATGACGTATCATCGATCGAGTATGGAAGTTAACGCATTTAACACCAGAAACGTGTCGTTGTTTGCTTTCGGGAGTCTCCCATTGTGAATCAGGCTGAGATGACCAATGTATCGCGGTTTGATATTCCTCATTGTTTCTTTTCTTTTCTTGGAAGTCAATGATTACATAGAAAGGATCGACCGCCTTGCCGCTTCTAAAACCTCCCCGCCTTTTCCGTCGCCAACAAAAGCAGCATCCCTTCTCCATCTATCTAGATCCCTCGACTGTATCGCGCTCCTTTGGTTCTTCCTTCTGTTGATGATCTGTCCTGAAGATGGACAATTCAGAGCCCCTGCATTCCCTCGATATTCCGCGCCCGCTTGCCCCAGACTCGCTGTCTTGCGTTGCGGAAGACGCGTCGACGTTGGCCGCGGCGCAGGAACTGGAACAACAGCCCCAGTCGATTCAAGGACACGCGACCAGCGACAACGCCGTGGATGCGCACTCTCTACCACCCTTGCATCTGGATTCTGCTAGCATCGACCCATACGCATCGCAGCAATTGGAGGGAAATGGAGATCATCTGTCCCGAACGGCAGAACCATACAGCGCCCTCGTGAGATAACCCGCCTTTCCCTTGTGCCTTTGTGATTAGGTTCAATCTGTGTTTGTTCGTCGGCACCAGGGACTTTGGCTGTTTATCTCTGACGGATGTAGTCGCGCGATGAAGTCACTGCCTCACTGCAACAGCGACACCAGACCGAAACCGAGAACGATGTGTCGATCTTCGCGTCGAAAGAGAACGGGTACCTCCGCGATATGATGTCGGTGTTAGATCCGCCGGACCTGGACCTATGGAGGGAACGGCTCTTCAACGTCGACGAAACCCTTGTCCTAAGCGAAGAGCAGTAGGTGGATCTACTGCCTAAAAGCTTGCTAGAGAGAAGCTCACCCGGGTAACTGATCAGATTCCGAACCTATTTCCCACATGTCGATAATGTCTACTCGCATCGATCTACACAGCACTACAAGCGCAAGCCCCTGGTTTCCCACTACTGGGACTGTCGACTCAAAGGCCGACCTCCCGGAACCCCCAAGTCCGACGACCCCAACAAGAAGAAACGGAAACGCACCGCCCGACAGCGCGACCTCTGCGATGTCAAGATCAAGATCACCGAGTACTTCCCGGCCTACGGCGAGATGATCGGTCCGGATGCTATCGCTCATGGATTGGAGACGCCGACGCTATCGTCGGAGTCGCTGCCAGGCGTGAACACGTTATACCCGGGTCGGGGGCATTTGGGCGTCGAGCAGCAGTCGAGTTCTCAAGACAACCAGCCGTTCGGGGTTCTCACGCCCAATCCGCCCTTGCCCGAGGGCCATCCGGGGGCCAACGGACAGCGGTTTTTTACAGTCCAGCGCGTCAATGGGAACGGAGCCAATGGCAAGAACGACGGGGTGGGCGGAGGCCACCGCCATAGCTTGGAAGAAAGCGACCGGGTGAAAAAGAACAGTGTGCAGCGATATCTGTTGAAGGAGGCCAAAGAGCAGAAGAAAGCGACGGTGAGTCGCAGGTGTTGGTGTTGTTGGGCGCTTTTACGTCACTCGTGCTTTCCCCACTTCTTCGTCTCCTCTCCATCCCCTCATCCTCTTCATCTTCTTCCTGTTCTGCTCCTCAACCAAGTAACATCGACATTGAATTCGTCTTTGGACAATTGTTCTATTTTCATCCTTCTAACCCGATTTGTATAATACAGGCTCGAACGATGTCGGCTCAGAACCAGCAATCGCAGAGGACGTACCACACCAAGGCCACCGGCCAAGCCGCCGTGACCGCAGCAGAGCATGCAGGAGATCATGAGCTGAAACTGTATGGCAGTTGCTTCTGGTAAGCTCTGCTCTACCCACCAAGGCCACGGCTCTGTAACTAATCCCGCCCAGTCCTTTTGTGCAGCGTGTTTGGATCGCCCTTGAGGCCAAAGGTATCCCCTACCAGTACATTGAAGTCGACCCGTATCAGAAACCACCCGAGCTACTGGAGGTGAATCCAAGAGGGCTTGTTCCTGCCTTGCGCCATGGCAACTGGGGATCGTATGAAAGCTCGGTATTGATGGAATATGTATGATGATCACCTGTTTTTCGGCCAGGGCTCGACCGATCCTAACAAATCTTTATGCAGCTCGAAGACCTGAATGTCGGCCCGCCTCTTCTCCAGGGCAACGCACAATTGCGCGCTCACTGTCGACTCTGGACAGATTTTGTGAGTCCTGCCACCCGCTCATGGCTGCCATTTACTGACACGTGCAGATCAACCGCCATGTTGTGCCCAATTTCTATCGCGTTCTCCAAGAACAGAACGACCAGAAACAGATCCTGAATGCGCAGGAGCTCAAAGACGCGCTGGCCACGTTGGTTTCTGCCGCGAATCCGGAGGGACCTTTCTTTTTAGGCCCGAATCTCTCTTTTGTGGATGTTCAGATAGCGCCCTGGGTTCTTCGGCTGAGCCGCGCCCTCAAGCCGTACCGTGGCTGGCCGGACCCCGAAGCAGGCAGTCGCTGGGCCACTTGGGTCAACGCCATCGAAGATAACGAGCACATCAAAGCGACCGTGAGCACTAATGAGCTCTACCTTGATAGTTATGAAAGATATGCCCGTAAGTGATTTTGCCATACATGGTTTGGTTTTCGTCCCCAAGCTGACAGTCTTGCTCTCAGAGAACCGTCCCAACACTTCTCAGCTTGCAAATGCGATCAACTCCGGAAGAGGCCTTCCGTAATTCTTAGCGAAATTGAAAGACGTGGTTGCTGTGAAACCCGGACTTGCCCGGGATCGGCACCCGTGCAAGTCCAAAGTAGTCTCATTAACCCCCTCTGGCACCCCGGCTGCCAGACCGGAAACCACCTCTGCCACTAGCATCCGGACCTCGTGGACTGCGGATCGGCTGTCGGGGAGATGACGGGTCGTTTGCACCCCGATCCCCCGTCTGCGGTCTCTCTTTCCGCGGCACATAGGACGAGTTCTGCTTGGCAGGAGACCCTGGGTCGTAGAGCTGTTTCGACCTCCCCGATGTACTAGAGGAATCCCTCTTGTTGTTGTTGTTGTTATTGCTGTCTCTGCCGTTCCCGCGACTCCGACCTTTGCCTCGGCCCTCGTTTTGTTTTGGCGGGGTTCCACTGCGCGGGGAAGATGCACCTGAGGTCGTTGCGGAGGGGCTTCCGAAGAGTCTCTCGCGCACTTCTTCGTACTTCCGTTGCTTCTCCTCGCGGTTGCGCAAGGCGATGGCGTGGCGTTCTTCAGGGCTCGGCTCGGGCGGCTTCGATTCATCGTCCGAGTCGTCCTCGGCGCCATGATTCAAGCCTAGGCGCCCGACACCGGCTGTGGTCGCGTCGACGGTGGAAGACGATTGTCGCGAGGGCGGGTTGCGACTGAGAAGAGTCACCGTGGGTTTGTATTCTTGCTTGAGCGGGACGTCGGATCGAGATTCTAAGAAGTGAAACGTTTGGGGGGATTCTCTATACGGGAGAGGGAGATGCCGGTCAGAATATAAGTTGCGCGCCTAGACGAGGGTTTTAATTATTCAATCGAGATGCGTACGCTTCGGCCCACAGTTGGCGGTTAAACTCGGCTTGCTGTGCTCTGCGCTGGGCTTTGGAGACTTTGGAGGAGATCTTCTTCTCCGGCGGAGGCGGGGTCGGGTCGGTGGACAATCTCTGTAGCGACGCGGAGTTCCCAGTCAGCCCGGAACAATTGAGTAGTCGAGATTGGCACGGTGACACGGTAAATACATACATCGGCTTGACTTTCCCAGTCATCTTCCCAAGCGTCGGGACCTGCGAGTGCAGACGAAGGCTGTGCGCTCATGATCGCCAGAGGTACGGGAAAGGAAAACGCAAAGATTTGGCTGTATATAGAATATGCAGAGATCAGGAAATTGAGAGAAGACCAAAAATGGGCGAATGTCTCCAAAAACGGGGATTGCGAGGAAGAGAGGAAGGAAACGACAGGACTCTATAATAATGGCGATGTGAAGGGAAAAAGAGACGAAGACCGGAAGAATCCCCAACCGGGGAAAATCGTTGTTGCCGCCGCTTAGTTAGCCAAGGTGACCCTCTTCTTCTTCCGCCTGCTTTGTCTCCGCGATCTTCTCTCCGATCAAATCAAACTACGCTACGGAGTACATCCCGCCATGGCTACTACCGGTATGTTCCTCTCTTCCGCTCGAGATGCTCGCCATTTCAAACTGTGACTCCTTCGTTGTTCATGATCAGAAATTCTGCCTCGCATTGACCATCAACATCTAACCCGTCTACGATCTCCGCAACCCACGTCACTCCGTTCCTCTTGACTTCATTGATCTAACTCACGGTCCTCCTCCATAGATCCCGACGGAGACTCACAGATGGCCTCCTCCCCGGAGTCCGCACATATCCCCTCTGACGGTTCGCAAGCCGGATCTCGCACTCCAACCCGAAACATCCCCAACCCGCCGGTCGGAGGTCTCTCCGAACTATCCCCGCCGGGGTCCCAGACTCAAACCACCTCGAGCAAGCTAGGCAGCGGTGCTCCTGGGACTAAGTCGGGCTCTACAGCACCAGAGGATCAACCGGGAGCCAAGTGGTTAAATAAGCGGGCAGAGGAGGAATACCAGCGTGCGATGGAGCTTGTGGTGGATAAGGATTTCAATCTAGGTGAGTGTCTTCTGCCATTGTGTTCTGCCCAGACACTAATATGAATTGAAATCCTTCAGATGAGTTCGGAGATCCGTTTGATGAGAGGGATATGCAGGCAAAGACATTTTGAAAGTGAATCGATGCATGGCCGGATGGCTGTATGAGAACTAGATCTACGGTGGATAGAGATATTAGGCACTCCCCTGTTGGGTCTCAGTTTAAAATGAATAATGAGAAACGATGATTATGAATCACCTTTCAATCTGATTGACTGAAAAAGGATGCATGGGTCTAGACTGGTGTGTTGAAGCAATGTATGGGGAAGGACGTTGGCACAGCAACGGTCCCGCAACCGTTTGAGCCCCATCAATTCTTTGTTTTTGTCTCCACGAGCTTCTTCATCTTCATCTCGACACCGTCGCCTTCAATTTCCTCCCATCTTCGCCTTATCTTAGTTTCACCTTTTCTCCCTAGTCGCCCGACGCTTTTCTTTATCTTCTCCTTTCTATCTATCGGCTACCATTCTCCTGGTTTTGACGTCACCAACTCGGCGCATCCAAACATTCTTCGCGTCGCAGCCCAACAATGTCCACCAACGACGCTGCGCTGCCATCTCCACCGTCATGGTAAGTCGCTTTCCACGAGCATTCCAAGGAGGGATGTCGACAGAGAGGGGAGTGATGCTCTCTGGGTGTCAGGAAAACGAACGTTTTGACGTGTTCCACGAACCCCTTTTCCGTGTCCCTACAAGTTTTGTCGTCATTCTGATCCGTAGACATTTTCCAAATCACCATCGATCGCTAACTTCATTGGTATCTTCTTTATCTTCAGCTCACTCGACAATCCCAATCTCGCCCATCTTCACGAGGACCGCCGGTTCCGGTTCACCCCCGTCAAGGCCACCCGGGACGTGCCTCGTGTTTGGGATCGCAAGCCCTCGACTCCGTTCCTGTCGCGTCCCCGGTCCCGGAAGGTGTGGAAGCGCTTTCGTTCCTCGTTTAACAGTATGAAGGCGCTGCAGCGGCTGGTCGCGACTGAGCGCGAGTCCGTCGACGAGGACCTCTACTTCACCGAGATCAACACGTCGCGAAATGCGACCACCATGCGCGGCGTCAAACGACGCTGCTTCTCACTGGAGGAGGATACCGATGAGACGGCATCGCGTGGTCGGTCATTCCTGGAAACGAAATGGGAGTCTAATATAATCATCGGGCGACGACGTAAGTCACTATCCATTATGCTTTCGTTCATGCTATTTTGGTGTTGTTTTTGTTTTCCTTTTATAAGCCCGATTGGGGTCTACGCATACTGCAACCAATCACCAAGCCAAAACTAACCGTTAGCAGGCAAGATCCCGACAAACTACGGTCTCGTGGACGAGCCCGAGCCTATTACCATCGAGATGGTGCAGCCTCGAGAACCGCAGGATGAAATCAGTGATGATGAGATCGCATCGGATACGTCCACGTTGGTCGCGCAAACTTCCGTGGAACAGGACGAATCCCGGGCGGCCACCACGGCGTTGGCGCCGCTGGTAGCCTATCCCCGCTTGCTACATGGCCAATCCACTGATACCCCGAGTGAGACGGATGAGGCCGCCGCCGACATAAAAGAAACGGCGGATATTCCCTCGCAAGAAGTAAATGAACAAGGTTCCCCGTTACGGCACGACAGCGAGAACACGGACTCGACTGCGACTGTGACGACCACGACCGAGCCTGAGGATGCACCGCTAGATGCGACCATGACGGATGATAAAAAGGCTGAACATCTAGAAGAGCCACCGAGCACCGAGAGCACCGATGAGAACGTCGCCACTGACGGTACTCCTGCTGTCGCACCTGCAGCTGCGCCCGCACCCGTTGAGGACCTGACTGCCGAACAAGAGTCGACCCTAGTGCGCTCGGCGCTACGAAGCTCGTTGGATGGGGAGGACGCCGCGCTGATCAACAACTTCCTCTCCAAGGCGAAAGCGAAACGTGAAGCCAAAGCGGCTCTGGTCACGCCGGAAACCGAAGAAGAAACTAATACCTCACCCCCAGCGGAGATCGAAGTCCCCGAAATGCCCACGCCGCCGCCATCTCGTCGGGCTTTGGAGGATCTTGACGCCAACTCTCCCTCCCCTCAGAAGTTTCAGTGCTCACCGATCAAGGGCTCGGTGAAGGATGTCAACGAGAACGACGAGCCGCTGCCGGCCAGCCCTCGTCGAAGCACACGAAGCACCAAACCGCCGCGAACGACAACCGGCGTTGTTCGCAACACATTCTCTCTGCGGCGAGCCAAAGGGACCGAGTTTGTCTTCCTCCAGCGTTCCGAGGCGCAGGAGCTGGCGTTGGCCACGCGGAAAAATACGCGCAACAACAAAGGCGAATCGGTTCCCCCTAAGTACACGCTGCAGAAGTTGGCGCAGCCATCCTCCGACTCCGAGCAGGTCGTGGCCGATGACGACAAGCCTGCACGGAAAGCTGGTCGTCCGGCCGCCGCGAAGAAGCGTGTCTCGTGGAATGAGCAGCTGGTCGAATATGAGGGGGAGCAAAATAATGGTGCGACGAAACACCGCGATGACGTTGGTGACCGAGGAGACCGGTTGCCGGGTCGCAAGTCCGAGAAAAGAAAGACGACCAGTAAACGCATCACTCGCTCGCAGGGCTCCCCCGACAGTGGTGGTGACGGGGCAACCACCGCGTCGACTACTGCACCCGCTACTGCAACCCCTCGCACGCGCCGTGTCCGACGCCTGGGAACCCCCAAGTCATCCACCACGGCTGCAGTCGCGTCCTTAGAATCGAGTCCGTCGTCATCGCCCTCGCCCAGTCCGGAGAAGCGTAAGAAGCTGACCCCTCGGTCGCCTCGCACGACGTTACTGGGGTCGTCTACGTCGAAGAAGGTGTCCAGTCGCAACAGCACGAGCAAGTCGTTGGACAGTAGCAGCTCGGGCAGAAGCGCCAGTATCTTCCAAACACATGCTGGATCTACGCCGATACCAAGAAGAATCCGATCGCGCGGTTAATGCTGAGCCATAATTTGCTTTCTACTGGAATGGCGTCGCTAATTGTTTCCCTGCTGGACGGGGCTCTCTATGATGAGATTAAAAGGTGGAAACGGGATACTGTACATAGTCATAATCTCAGGGATTTGAATGATCGTCGGGCTTGACAGGTTTGGGATAGCCGGTGTTCAGGCAGTGTTAGGGTGTTGGGATAGGATAGGATACCTTGCTTACAGCGCTTGTCATCAATTTCTTTCTAATTTTCTTTCTGATTCTGATATAATTCCAAGAAATCCGGGGGTTTCAACATGTGAATCGGGGAAGCCGTCTCCGCTTTCATCTAGAAGAGGACTACTAACTAGTCATGAACCCTGTATTGATTCTTCCCCTCCTTTAGCTGATCCTTGCCAACATCTCGCCTAACCTCCCTTATTCTTTCTTCCCCGCCAAACCTCCTCTTCGATTACCAAGAAACCCGAGAACCCGATCAGTCCACCCGTCAGAAAGGGTGCCGTTCGGAGTGAGCCAGGGGATAGCAATCCGAATCTCAATCCACAGAAATAACCACCCACACAAACAATAAAGAACTGTAGAGATGAAGTATGTAGTACAGATATGGAGCATGCCCCCCCCCCCTATATGATCCACCGTTCTCGACTCCAGACTCCATCCTTCCCACTCCATGCGAGTGCAAGTCCAACAGACATGTGGGATGGGCTGCCCTGCACTGCAACCTCCCTTGCCTTAGTCTACTCCATACCTGCCCATCTTACCTTCCTGGGTTACTGAATCGGTCACTAGATTCTAGGCAAGAGTAGAGTAGAGTAGCAGTACTAGTAAGATTGGTTGTATACTGGTATGAATCCGTAATACGAGTTACCGTCTTGTTCTGTTTTGTTTTGTCTGGGGTCAGGGTATTACCTACCTACTTTACTTCATGCTCTGGAGGTAGATTCTATTCGATAGGTTCTCTCTAGTTACATGTTACGGTGTACTGCATCTTTTACAGGGGGGGGGGGGGGGGGGTAAGACTAGGCCATTCCTACGCCTAGAATCGTCTAGTCAATACCAGCCGCTAAGTACTACTAGGGGGACTTGGTTCTGGACTAAAGGACTCGGGGAGATGCATGATGATATCATATGAGGTTTTTTGAACGTGAGTTTGAGTTTGGCACGGGAGACTGACTGTCAAATGAATACCTCGGAGAAAGGAAGAAGGTGAATTGGGTTTTCTGATGGAGGGGAGGGATGCCTTGTTTCAGGTGGGAGGGAGTGTCGTTTACAGGAAAGGGAGTTGGTCGAGGATGACTTGGCTTTGGTTCGAGACTTGGGTGTAGTCTCGTGGATCGTCGTGAAGATTGAAGACTGAAGAATGGAGACTTGAGGTAGGAAGAACTATGAGAGTGGATGTGATCTCCATGGATAGACACCGTACAGTACGTATGTGGATGTGGGTTGTAGATGCATGCATACCCCATATTCCATATTCCATATTCCAATACCTATACTAAGTGTAGTAGACCTACATAGTCACTACATAGCTGGAATCGCTATATCCAGCGATGACATGATACACAATATACGGACTCCTATCCAAAGTCAACTACGTAGCTATACCTACTCCTAGCGAGCGGTCTTTTTTCATAAGATGGCGTCGACCCGCATAATGTGGCTGCATAGCATACCAGTATACAAGGTGTATCCAAAGTCTACTCGTTCACTGGTCACACTCCATAGGGTACATGCTCATGGCTTGGAATGAACTCGCAAGAGTAGGTCGCAAGGAGGGATATCATAATAGACCGCCATATACCCCTTAATTCCATTTCAGCTCACAGATACCCTCATCTTGGCCCAAGTGGATGGATCTCCTCATTCCTATCCACCAGACCGATGACCGATGGCCGATGACCCGATCCCGAGCTCCAGTGTATCAGGATCTTCTTACCGAGATTGAGATAGTAGGTTTAACTACACGGATTTGTCCAATCTCAGCGAAGCTAGATAGAACGCCTCTTCAACCGGGAATAGCATATCGTTAGTTGTTTAGTTACTCGTGTAGTAACCACCCAAGTATACACTCATACAACGTGTCTAACTACTTTACATCCGCATAATGAATCCCTCAACTTGATCGCCTGTGAACCATACAAGAAACTCAAAAGATAATGATCGCAATAATTAAAGTAACAATCAAAATGCAAAAGCTGTCCAAGAATGCAGAAATGACCTCCTGCATCCTCGATCCTTGCCCGTACTCAACCTAGCATAATGTACAGCATTCTCCGTATGCAGTGTCTCCTGTACACAGTACACCGTACTGTTTCTTACTCCGTACACACTATACACTAGCAAACAAATCCAATCCAATCCAATCAAGCCACTCCCAGGAACCAAGTGGAGCAGGCCATACGGAGGACAGTGTACCTAGTCTGTTCCCGATCCGGTCTAGCGGGGGTAAGACACCCCTCTCCTCCCACGTCATTCGGCATCTTACCCAACTAACTAAACGGTGTAGTTGCTCATTCTGGTCCGTTACTTGCAGGAGGGCGTCGAACTAACTAACCAGCCAGCCAGCCTCAAAGTACGAAATGACAATTATAATAATAATAATAATAATAATAATAATAATAATAATAAGGGGGAGTAGGGTTATAAAACGAGGGTAAGGGTTGATGCCGGTCACGGATTCTCCACCTGGCAGCCACTTTACCTCTTCCGGTGTGTCGGTGGTTTTAGGGCTTGGTTTGGTTTCCGGATTTGCCCACCGGGATGGAGGGGGGGGATTCCGGGTTTATCCGAGGTGGAAGAGAGGAGAGAGGAAAGGATTGTGGCTTAGAATGTTGGATTGGGTGTTGCTAAACTTGCTATGCAGTAGGTACACAGTAGGTAACTTCTGGAGGGGTTGAGATGTACACCGTACGGAGTATGTACTCTAGATGTAAGGATATTGTGTTGATGTACGGAGAGACGGGATACTGTGCATACTCCCATACCTACATCTGACGCTTCCAGAATCCGACAAGATCAACGAAGGCATATTCAAATTGAATTGATCCTTGATTTCTCAGAGGTATATGCTGATGTCGAACATACACGGGCTGCTGCACTCCATGGAGGACAGTCCTCCGGTAGTATGCAGGTTGCAGGATGTTCCATTGGTCCTTTATTTTTAATGATCGTTCGCTTGGCTTGGGGCTCATTTTTATTACTCAATTACTCCATACTTTGGTCAGGATCCAAGCATACACCGTACTATGTATTTTTGATAGATACTTTTATTCCCGATGTACAATTTAATATCAGGTAAATCTCTCTTTCTACTATTTTGTGTATCTCCTATATGGTATCCAGTATCTCCCGTTCTTTATGACCCGCATAAATAAATAAAAAAGAAATTCGATAACCCGTTAAATCATTGGCCAAGCAATGTTCTGTTCCTAAGCAGACAGGTTCTTGGCGGTCTCCTCCGGCCACACGTCGTATCCGAAGGTATCCTTCATGTTGACGAAGCGGAAGTGACGGCCCTCGGCCACCTTGTTGACGGCCTCGAAGTCGGCGTCCGAGAGCTCGATGCTCTTGAAGTTGGACTCGATACGAGCGGGGTTGGAGCTCTTGGGCAGCACGACGTAGCCACGACGCAGACCCCAGGCGATAAGCACCTGGGCCAGGGTGTTGCCACCCTTGTTGGCGATGTCGTTCAGGGTCTTGTTCTCGCTAACTCGCTCGCCGGTGGTGGGGACCTGGTTCTGCGAGCCCAGGGGAGAGTAGGCCTCGGGCATGATGCCGTTCTTGAAGCAGTACTGCACCAGCTTCTCGTTGGGCAGGAAGGGGTGGATCTCGATCTGGTTAAGGTGAGGCTTGACCTTGGCGAACTTCTGCAGCTTCTCCAGACCGTCGATGGTCCAGTTGGAGACACCGATGGCGCGAGCCTTCTTGTCCTCGTAGATCTTCTCCATGGCGCGCCACGTGGGCTCGGGGTTCTCGGTGAGATCCTTGAGGATCACGTACTAGAGGAAGTGAGTTAATGAACCATCCCGGAACGTGATGGTAGATCTAGCTTACCTTTCCATCAGGGCCAATCTTGGGCTTCTCCTGGGTCTCCTTCTCGGCGGCAATGGGCCAGTGGACCAGGAACAGGTCAATGTAATCGACCTGGAGCTTCTGGAGGGAGTTCTCGACCGACCACAGGACGTCCTCGTAGCGGTGGAGGTGGTTCCAGACCTTGGTGCAGATGAAGATGTCCTCACGCTTGACGGAGGGGGTCTCCTTGAGGAAGTCGCGGAGAGCGTCACCGACCTCGCCCTCGTTCAGGTAGAACCAGGCGCAATCCAGGTGACGGTAGCCGGTCTTCAGGGCGCACATGACGGCGCGGTAGGTCTCGCCGGACGCACCCTCGCTGGCGAAGGTACCGAAACCGACACCGGGGATCTTGACGCCATTGCTGAGCTCGAAAGTGACTCCGTTCGACATGATGGTGGTGGTTGATAGTGATGGGATGGTGGGAAGGAGGAAGAGATGGAGGAATTGAAGAGAGTTGAAAGAGAATTGGGACCGGAGGAGAGTAATAAAGCACGGGATAGCGAGGAGGGGTAGAAAATTGAGAAGGTTCGTTGCGCTGGCGGAGCTAAGGTAACTGGGAAGCAACAAGGTGGGGTGGAGGGGAAGGAGGGGTTGCTCGACTCCGTTCTCTACCGTCACTCCGTCGGGTCGTTGTTGTCATTCTTTAACCATATATCCCTAAATTCGGGCATTTCCAGGAGGATCTCCATTGTGGTTGGCAGCTCATTCTGCACGCTGCCCGACTGGCTTCCACGCTGGTCTAGGCCCCTCGAACGTGTCAAGTGAGCAGTGAGCTATAGTGACCAGCTTGGGAGCTGTCCTTTTCAGATTGCCCTCCATGACGGCATCTCCTGACTGCTACTCAGAAGCGCAGCCACCGACTGCAGCCCCACCGACCAGCAAAGCTAACCGGGCCACGATGACATCACTGCGTTGAACCGCCGTCGTCCGCTCGATCGTCATCTCTCAGACCATTTCCACGGTGGAAAGGACTGTCTGGCCAATAATGTCTTCAATTCAGGCCCGCTCGGTTCGCTCCTGTCCATTCATTTGTGCAGGATGGGCTCATTCTTGGGTCGTCCAGTTTAGAAGGACTCCTTCTCAGTCAAGAACAGATCCCTTTTCGACAGAGATGGTGGATAGCTCTCGAATTATCTAGAGTATCTAGAGACAAGATAGGTAGTGAATACTTTGTAAAATGTAGGCTATGGATATCCCGCCCCGCCCCTCCTGGTTAGCCTCAGGCTGCCACCTGCACGAGACTGTCGGTAATTCAGGTACAGTAAGACCAATACCAGTACCAGACCGGTCCTCGTATTACCGTAGGAGACTTCCTGAGAAATCGTCTGAATGGTACGCGTAGTGGATCCCCCCGTCAATGGCTGCATGTGCTGAGAAAACAAATAAATAATAAAATGAAATAAAATAATGAAGTGAATTCCATACAATGGCCCGGCTTGGAAACGGCATAATCAGAGCGCCACGGAAAACCGGTTGGTCTTATCATTATATATAGATTGTAGCATTCCCTCCGGATTAGAACCTTCTTTCTCCAGCTTCCCCTGTTCTTCCAGCATATCTGTTTCTGCTTCTGTTCCTGTCCCTGTCCTCTCCTTACCCAGGGTAGTGATCACATACAGTTAATTGACTTATTCTCTATCTCTCCTCTTCCAATCTCTCACTCCCTCCTTAGACCTCCGCCATGCCTCGCTTTGACGATGCTGATCTGGGCCTGGACCCTGCTGCTCCTGCCCCCAGAGAGGCTCGCAACAGCAGCGCTCTCCCCATCCCCAGCGACTCTGGCAACACCGTGGAAATTCCCGCCACCCGCAGCGCCATCAGCGACGCTGCTCAGTTCATGCACAACCTGAGCCTGACCCCCTCGTCGCGGGAACGTCGTAGCTCTCGCAACTCGTTCGGTACTTCTCTGCCCATCCCCAGATCGCCTCGCGTGTCCCGCCTGTCGTCCGCCAGGCCCTCCGGAGATGCCTCCATCACCAGGGACATCCTGGCCTCGCAGGTGCAGGACATGTCCAAGGAGAAGGTCGCCGCCGCGAAGAACATGGCCTTTGCCTTTGACATCGACGGTGTGCTCGCCCACGGGAACGAGCCCATTGAGGAGGCCAAAGAGGCCCTCAAGATGCTGAACGGCGACAACGAGCTGGGCATCAAGATCCCCTACGTCCTCCTGACCAACGGTGGCGGTAAGACCGAAGCCGCCCGTTGCCAGCAGCTCTCCGAGATCCTGGAGAGCCCTATCTCCACCGACCAGTTCATCCAGTCCCACACGCCAATGCAGGCCTTGTCTGAGTACTACGAGACCGTCCTGGTCTGCGGTGGTGAGGGTCAGAAAATTCGCGAGGTCGCCGAGAACTACGGTTTCAAGAACGTCGTGCACCCCAAGGATATCCTCGCTTGGGACCCCACCGTGTCTCCCTGGGGCTTCTTCTCCGAGGAGGACCGCGCCGAGGCTAAGCCCCGCGACTTCTCCAAGATCAAATTCGACGCCATCCTCATTTTCGCCGACTCGCGTGACTACGCGACGGACTTCCAGCTCGTTATCGATCTGCTGCTGGCCGAGGACGGCAAGATGCTGACCCGCGCCAAGGACCCCGTCGCCTCTCGCATCCCCATCTACTTCTCCCAGGGTGATCTGGTCTTCCCCACCAACCACAAGGGTCCTCCTCGTCTGACCCAGGGTGCGTTCCGTATCGCCATTGAGGCCCAGTACAAGGCCCTCACCGGAGTCGACCTCGAACGTGTGGTCTACGGCAAGCCCGAGCGTGCCACCTACACCTACGCCGACGAGGTTCTCCGCTCGTGGATGGAGCAGATCCACAACGAGAACCGCCTGCCCCAGAACGTCTACATGGTTGGTGACAACCCGGCCTCCGATATCTGCGGTGGTAACATGTACGGCTGGAACACCTGTCTGGTCCGCACCGGTGTGTTCCAGGGCGGCGAGAACGACGACAACAACCCCGCCAACTTCGGCGTCTTCCCCAACGTGCTGGAGGCTGTCAAGGCGGCCGTTCGCAAGGAGCTGGGTGAGGATTTCAAGTTCAAGTGGAACCCCAAGGTCAACCCCGTCACTCACGGCGACGGTGCTTCCGCTATCGAGTAAATGACGCCTGAACCGAGCTACCTCGAACGAACACCAACCCGACCAGGGAAAAAGTACAAGAACATTGGATGTTCTTGATGGCGTTTGGTGATTTTCAACCTTACCTTCCTGACCAACTCACCTTTTATCTACATCATGTCCTGCACGAGGCGATTGTGCAGGACCATTTTACTATATGTTACGGTTTACGGAATTTTGGACTATTGATATCCATTGTCGCCTGTCTTGAGTGACTGCATCAGACGGCTGAACAATTTTGTTATGTGATTTCTTGTTATTAGACTGCATTTCTTTTTTATGTATCTTGTTACATACCGATGTCTTTCAACTGGATTGGATTAGATAGATTGGATTTAACAATTAGACCTTTGTCTTCTTTAAATACTGTGCCCAGCTTTTATGACTTTCAACAAAAGAAAGTGACCATTCAAGTCTACATAGCTATCTCATGAGTCTAGATCCAATCGGCTCGTTCAATACATCCCGACACCAACCCAGAATACGGAAATAAAGCAATGTAATACCAAAACGCTCGCCACATATCAACCGAAGATCCATGTAGATAAGTAACAAATCGAAGAAGAGAGACCGATAAATGGAAAGGTGGCTGAGGCTGAAACGGGAGGCGAATCGACAAGAAAGAAAGACAGGAAAACTTTAATCGCCACTACTCCGACCACCTATAAGTTAACAAAGATAAAAGAAAGAAGACGGGAAATATCAAACAAGTCAGCATTGGCCGGAACTCCTGCGGCGTACCGTACTCCGTCTAGGATGGCAAAATCCTGACATACAGCGTACAATTAGGCTGAATGTCCAGACGGGTTGCTGATACTAGTAGTTACTAGGGTGGCTTTTTGTGTTTGGCGGCGCTGATGTCTACATACTGTGCGCAGTAGTGTGCTGAGTATGTATGTACAGTACTTATGTCGGAGGACGTGCGCTATCTACTGTGAATCCAGGACGGTACTCGGTGTAGAAGTTTGCTTCCTGATGGGGCGATGTGCATCTCCATGTTTGCTTTTCGGTGTCTGTTTTTGTCGAGAGGCAGGATTTAGGGCTACGCCTCTATGGGTTGGGTGGCAGGGAGACCACCTATGGCGGGACTGTATATGAATACAGAAGGATATCTAGGTAATCTATTTAACTATTCATTTTGACTTTTCTCTCGGTGTAACCGCGGCTTGAGGTAAGACGCCTAGCTACGTAGCATCGGCGCAGACTTTTAGGGCTGAGTATGTTCAAGTTCATAGGTTCACGACTCATAATCCAAAAGGGCCTACTTTGCTAAATATGTAGACCGTTTTCACCGACATCTTCTTTAGGGTTGAGGTATGCTGACACGGTAGGGGTAGACTGCTTTTTTTGTTTGGCAAATCGATTTGGCCATGGGAGGAAACTACCAGCATCAAAGGCTTATGTCTTTATGCATATGTGCCTATATGTATCTGTTCTTATACATTATGATAAATTTCTATTGTCGATACTACCGCTTCAGAGCTTGCTTAGTGGTTATTTGTATTAGTTACAAACTGCAGGTATGCCTCTTTGCCTGTACCCTTTTTAGCTTCATCGGCATACATACGTCAGAGATAATCTTCATAGCATGTGCTTCGGAGTTCCTTGTTGCTTCAGCCGCACAAAAGCCTATGTACTCAGAAGTTTGTAAATATTGTTAGCTAGTTCGAGAGGTAGGAGAGGGGAGGGTCCATGACTCACCTCTTGAATGCAGGAAGCAACAAGAATTCCATCTGTGGACCATATCCGCTGTACGACCAGCCCTCGCTCATTTCCTGCCCATGGAGTCTCCATTTCCGTGAGCATCCAGTCGTCTACCCGGATCGCCTGTGGGTGATGTAGGTATATGGAATGGTTGAGGCTGGCCATCACTTCGATTTCGTCGGCCTTTTGAGCTAGCTCTTCTTGATCTGGAGGTGGTGGGGATGGGTACGGCGGTAGATTGTAGGCTCGCCATAGGGTTCCAATAAAATATGTGTCTGTTAAGTAGGTGAGGGCCAGTATATGGGCGTTGGAACCGCCAGAGGTAGATATGGTTTCCCTTGATCGCACGAAACGTCGATATCATTTGTCGGATGGACGAAGCAAGTCATCTACTTGGAGACATAAAGCCAAGAGTCTCGTAAGCAATTGCAGCATCATGTTTTAAAGAATATATCCGACAATACCTACTACTGCCACTGTCCACACTTCGAGATTCAAATAGCCCGTTCCCGGTACCTTCTCCTGTGATTACCGCCGGACCTAGCGGCACTGAAACATCAGGTTTCGATCTGGAGTGCTCTAGAACCTTTTCGTCCATATTGTTGCGGTTATTAATAAAGCTCACAGCTGCCGTGAATATCAGATGGTTTCGTTGTTTGGCTTTCACCATACAAGTCACCAACCTATCACCATCCTTGACATGATCAACATGGTAATAAATGGATGCCTCTGCTGTCGCTGCAATGAGGAAATGGCAATGTATACTGTGCATGACGACAGTCGAGGGAACAGTGAGCATGGCTGCTGCGAGGGACTGGGCGATGAGAGTCCCTCCGTATACACCACGGGACCCAGAGGGATGCCGTAGAGGATGGGTTGTTTGTGAAGACGGCGTGTTAGGCAGTCAGTCGAGACACTGACTTCATTTACTGTTTTCTACAGTTAGTACACCAGGATAAATCACTTGCTACACTTACTTGACCACCCTTGCTGGGCACAGGAGTCAGTTCAAATACGTTCTCAATCGGCGCCTTGCTTTCGTCTAGTGGTGGGGGTGGAAAGAGAGTAGTATGTGTCTTGGCCATCTTCAAAGCGTCTATGAGCAACGATGATCGATGGATTGAGAGTATAGGGTACAGATATGGTTGGCAGGATTTGTATGAATGCCCCTATTTGGATTATCATTGATAGTTGTCAACCTGTTTTGCAGGGACATTGTCTCTACTTAGTAAGCACAAAGCAACGAGGGGTAAGCACTAAAATGGAAAGGGGCAGCCATCTACCTGGCTAGAAAATCATATAGATATGCATGAGGATATTCCTCACCACTTTCCACTCTCAACCCGTGTTTCCTGAAATCAATTCCACGGTCCTGACTCCTGCTTTGTAGGATGTTGCATTCCACGGATGTAGAGTAATTGCTGGTGGATCTACCCAAGATCTCCAGCTCTGCGCATCCGGGGACATCCATCCATGTCCATGAGAAGCTCCTTCTCTTTATTCATGTACGTTCAAAGATGAATATTATTCCGTCCACTGTACCCTTGGGTGGGTATTCTCTATCCCAGTTTTTCATTCCTTCAGATATCTGAACTTATCGGTAATCCCACTGCTATTCATTCTTTCTATACCTTAGCTACAAAGCACAACAGGCCACCTAACCGACAAGGGCCGGTATATCTATAAAGAATACGTCTTTTCTTATTCGTGTTGTAACTGTTTAATATAAAGCATTCGGAATCGCCCTGATAAACCATGTTCGATATAGCGAAGACTATCGTTTGCTTGATATTCCCGTCTGTCGATTTTCTATAAAAAGGGCCACCCCGGCACGACTTAGACGTCCTATCCAGCATTCGAAACGTCGATGACCTCGAGGTACCCTGCGTGTGAACAATATCTTTCAGCCTCTTCCTAACGTGTGGCAGGACTACTCTGTGCTATTCAATATGGATAAATGCCCGGCGGATATTATATACCTGGTACTTAAATTGTTATCGCGGGCCGAATATCGAGTGCTCTGCCTGGTGAATAAGAATTTACGCGATTTCGCCGAGCCATTCCTTTATTCTGAAATCTATTGGGAATGGGATATGCCGGAAAAGCGGCCTCTCAACCCTGAAATTTGTCCTCCATTTCTCAAATTTCTTCGAACAATCTTCTCCAGGCCTCAGGTGGCGGGATATCTCACCAGCCTAAGTTTGAAAGGCGTTAAATTCATCTTGTGCAAGAAACGGGACCAGCTAAAGATTCGTGCATCCGAAACTGAACTGGATGGATTAATTACGATGATTATTAGAACTGGGGTTCCGTTTATCAATATTTGGATCGAAAAACTGCGTGAGGGTTCACTAGATGCTGTGATAGCACTTCTATTATCACAACTACCGAATCTAAGAACCCTGAATCTTGATCCTAACTTTACTCGATTCACAATGCTTATTGGCATGGTTCTTCGATCAGGTATCTGCGAGCCTGGACATTATAGATTACCTAAATTTGAGAGCCTTCAAGAGGTGTCTTTCTCTCTATATCAACACAGAGACTGGAGACGAGATATGAATTTAAGAAATACATTAGATGTATTACCCTTATTCTATCTTCCGAATCTCGAACGCCTATCAGCCTCGATTGAAACTCCTGCTATATTCAAATGGCCTGGTATGAACGTGCCAGTCGCGTCTAAGATCACATCGCTCTATTTATCTCATATCCGGGAGTTCTATCTTGGTGAAGTTCTTTCAGTTACCCAGAATGTTAAATTGCTTCACTGGTATTGGCAGTGTGATCCAGATATGGAGGATCGTACAGCTGTTGATGATATTATTGATCGTGATCGTATTGCTACTGCAATATATCAAATTCGAAAGACTCTCACGGATTTAATAATCTCAGCCAAGCTGGACTTAGGATGGAATACATTCTTTGTTGGTCTCGCGGTACAGGGATCGATGAAGGCCATGAGTAATTTCGACATGCTGAGAAAGCTTCAAATACCGTGGGCGTTTCTGATGGGGTTCGAATATAATACTTCCAGGCGATTACAGGATGTGCTTCCGAGAAATATCGAGGTCCTGGTGGTTACGGATGAGTTGCACTATCAGAATAGGGAATGGGAAAGAGATGAAGATGATGAAGATGATGAAGATGATGAAGATGATGAAGATGATGAAGATGATGAAGATGATGAAGATGATGAAGATGATGAAGATGATGAAGATGATGAAGATGATGAAGATGATGAAGATGATGAAGATGATGAAGATGATGAAGATGATGAAGATGATGAAGATGATGAAGATGATGAAGATGATGAAGATGATGAAGATGATGAAGATGATGAAGATGATGAAGATGATGAAGATGATGAAGATGATGAAGATGATGAAGATGATGAAGATGATGAAGATGATGAAGATGATGAAGATGATGAAGATGATGAAGATGATGAGAATGATGAAGGTCCTCTGCCAGGGCCTCTGTGGTCGTGGTCATATTATGGCATTCTGCGCGTCCTTCGATCGTGGTTAACAGATCGGATCACCTATACACCGTATATTCGTTGTGTTTCTGTCGTCGTAGGATACGGAGGATTCCACGACTGGGATTTTTGGAGTCCCCGTTTCGTGGACCTAGGTCTGCAGGTTGGAGTTCAAGTGGAACTCCTCAACCTCTCTCCGAATTTCCCTCATCTGTACGGTGAGCTGGAGAGACGGGATCCGTGGATCGCAGATACAATGTTACCGCTTGAATAGTTGGCATCCCGGCCTCGAGCTTTCGCAAGGAATAATTCTGGCGTTTTGTATTTACATCCACAAATGTATATCCTGCCTTTGGGCCAAAATCAATACACCCGAACTTATTCTAGAATCAAGAAGTTAGTCCAACCCACAAGCCGGCTCGTAGAGTATTCAACATGACTTACCTCTTCAGAACCCTTGCAAGGTTTGTACACTCTCCGACCAGAAACAGTAATTACTCTTGCCTTCTGTTCAGCAAGCGGTTCGTCGTGGATGGCGTAGTACAAGTGGGCGACCATCTGTTCGCCACATTTTCCACTGTACTGATGCCCGGGTTGTCTGCCTTTCTTCCTCTTCAGGCCAAGCTGGCAATCATCCATCCATTCTCGGACCTGGCTTTGTCCACTACCCGTGTAGGTGAACGAGGTTCCTTTCTGGGAGGATCCTAGGAGGATGTCATTCCCTCGTGCCAACAAAGTCATCTTGCTCGGAATGTCTTTTTTTTCGAATCTGTACTTCTTACAAAGGGCTGTCATCTCCTTATGGGCGATCTCGGCCATTTGTCTCAGCTGCCCCGGGGGGATCACATACACGGGCTTGGGGAATCGAAGATGGCTCGAAAAAAAAAAAAAAAATAGACAACGGCGGATCGTCTTCAAAGTCTGTCGACGGCCACTGTGTCGCAAAGCTGTAGTCGAGCCTGATTTCCAGACTGCCTTCTGAACCCAGGTCCTCCATTTTGAATGCGGATCTTTTCATGACGCCCTTTTCCTTCTTTCCCTCCCCCTTTTGGCCTTCGGATCTTCTCATATTGGTCTTTCTCCCCCGTTCTTTTTCCGTCATGCATTCGGACCTTTTCATGCTGGCATCCCACTTCCTGTTCGCCATTTCGAATCCGGACTTTGCAATTTTGGTCGAAGACCAGAAGAAAGGAGCTGTTCAGTTCGGTATAGAAGAGGTATTGTACACGGTGGTTGACGGAATGACTGCAGCTGTTTGCCGGAGTCTGCGATTTGGTGGAAGACCAGAAGAAAGGGCCTATTCGGTTCAGTTGCGATAGGGTACTGTATACGGTGGTCGATGGAATGACTGCAGATGTTTGCCCATAGGCAAGACTCATGAGGAGGGGGATGGGAAAAGCAAGAGGAGGATGGGATGGTAGACAAGTTGGAACATCGCCCAGGAGACTTTCTTTGACTGCGTATGGGACTGCCGGAGCAAAGGGCTATTACCATGTTTCCTGCATCTGGTCGTCGTTCACAGGGTATGCACATATTCGGTGTCTACAGGATGTGCACGGGAGGCTTTCGCCTCCTCCCAGCAGTACAGGACATATCCCCATGTCCCCTGCACATAGCGCATGGTAGAAATGGAGAGCCAGACACGGAGAGCTAGAATACAATAGTATACCATTCTGGAAGGCCTATTTGCACGTAAATATCCCATATATGTGGTGCAGTGAGTGCCCTGGGAATGAGGCTCCATTGCGATCTTGCGACATACTACTACTGCAAGCTCCGGGTAGGAAGATACTTCCGGCATCTTCTCAGGGGTAATTCATTTGTGAAGAAAGGAGAGCGGCAAAAGTCTATCATCACCTAAGCCATCCGGCTGCAAGCATGGGCGAATATAGCAAACGGAAGTTCGCCTATCTGATCACCTGTCGCAACCCACAAGGAACCACTGGCCCAACAGAAGGCAAGTGCTTCCAATTATCGCTTCTTCTGGATGATTATCAGGGAATGAGTCAGGCTAAAACTTTGGATCGTGCAAACGAAAGACTGTCTACGATTGGTAGAAGCTAAATGAAATCATAAAATAAAAATAATAAAAATATAGCCGTCAGTTAGGGCTCGGAGTCAATTACAGGGGCTTAATACAGGTACCAGAGTTATCACGACGATTAAATACCAGGAATTCGTAAATTATCCTCTCCATAGACCGGTACTGAGGATTGCAGGCACTACAGGAATGCGCCCCGTCTCGTGGAAGAGTTAGATGGTTTATATTTAGCTTGTGTTCAAGATTCTTTGGCGATGCTAGTGATCGGTCACCATAATGAGGGACATTCGATGAATGCAGTTGTTCTTCATGCTGTAAGGAACGGGGTGCGTCTCTGCAAAGACGCTATATATATATTCTTTTTGTTGGGATTTGTCCTTCAGCCAAGGCCATGGGGATCTGGTCGATTTCAATAAGCCCGTCTGCCACCTCGGACAGATCATATGGCTCGGATACGATGTGTATATCCAAGCTTTTAAATTCCATAACAGCAGTGACTTCTCACATCCCCATGTGTCCTAGCAGGAAACACTTAGCTAGACCGTTGATATAGGGGACATTCAAGTGTGTTCAGTTTGGCTTACCCTTTTTCGATGTCCACATGGAAGGGCTTGCTTCTCCCTGACAACGGCGAACATTCTTTTACCAACAGACCGGAGCTTTTTCATTTTCTACGTAGAGTATCTGGAATAGCCGTTTTCCTTAGTCTTTGTCTGTCTGTCTGGTTGAATTTGCATCTTCAGCCGCAAGGCTGCCTGAGGCCAACGTATGCCTGAGGCAGAGATCCCTTCCCGTGACCTCAGGCAGCCAAAGGCATCGGACGACCTTGACGCTGCAACAATCCTGCGTGCCATCAGAGCTGGCCAGACAATGCATGATGGCGCTTTCTGTTACAAGTATGCCCCCTTCATCGCCCGCGCTTGGACTCTCTCCATGGCCCCAGAAGTCTATACTCTCGATCAACCGCCCCTACACCGTGTCACTGCGCTGCCTGGTCGGGTCATCTCGCTGGCTATCAGTGCCTCTCGAGAGTTGGCACTGCGTGGGAAAAGGTGAGGCATTCCATCCAATCCAATCTGCAGTCTCACTAATAATACTGCTCATAGAATCGTAACGCCTTCACGTGGAAGCTCACCGAGTTGTTGAAAACAGAGAACATGCTTTGGACATCACACTTGAACGGACGTCACAAATCACCGCCAACTTACGAGCTCAAGGCCCCAGGGCTAGGCACCTAACATCAGCCTCGTAGACTAAGAATACACTACATGCAAGGGCTCCAAAGGTTCTAGAACACGCTTATCGCACCAATCATCCAGGCCTTGGGTGCATACTGTAGTATGTCCTTATGCACGAAGTCGACCGCGAAATGTATCTTTTCTACGAGATGGAAAATATTTAGGGCAGGGGGTATGATTTGAGATTTGAAGCAAGGGATATATGGTGTGCAGAATGTATGTTCGTTCTAGGCCGCTCAGATAAGGACTTTGTTGGTACCTAGTCAGTCAACCACGGCAGCATCAGTGGAAGAAATAGCCATGCTAGTGCTAATGAAGAATATCGCCTTCTGCTTCTGCATTAGGATGGTCTAGCCTAGTGTTGCTGAAATGCCTTTGGTCATCTATACAATTGTGATAGACGTCAGGAGCACTCTGGCCCTCGGAACATGGAGGTTGTCGATTCAGACTGATGTAATATGCTATATCAGGATGGTCATCGTGGGTACTTCTTCTTAGCGAGTATTTAACATTCATGAACTGGGTTTCATATTATCCAAGAATCTTTCATCTATCCAGGACGCTCTGTTATGGTATATGTAGTCTGCTGAAGGGATTGCATCTTCCAGTGAACACTGCGAGAATCGGCTGTAGAATCTGGGTGTTCTCGCCTGTGCTTAGCTTGTACGTGAAAGCTGGGGTAAATTGTATATTGGGTTTCTGGTAGCCTGGATAGGAATATAAAAGCATGATATTGATTATCTTGGTACCACTTTGAGCGATACCGACATACGGGGTTACTCGGCTTGCAGCCGAGTATGCAAGTATGAATGGGATTAGTCTTGGTTCGTGGAAGTGGTCCTGGATTTATGTGGTTATTGTCGATTTCTCAAGGACTCCAAAGATTATTTTTAGATTCATCTGTTAAGATATGTAAGATAGGAAGATGAGCTGCTTCCCGGGAGCCAACAAAGTGAAAAACCAGGATGCAGTGGCTTGATTCGTGAGTCATAGCCAATGACATTGCACCACTTCACCACCTGATTGTGCTGCAGGTTTAGAAGGCCCCGGGAACTCTAAAGGAATGCCTATGATGCAATTATACGTCGGAATAAAGGCAGATTGATGTCTTACAAGGGGAGGGGTTGTGTGCCGGCTGCCGGGTCGGAGACACGTTATCCATCATGCATTGACAACCGTCGAGTCTCACGACCGCGTTCCCCGAGGAAAAGATCGGGGCGGTTTCCCGGCCCATCTACTCCGTATAATGCACCAAGACACAAGACCACCTCGCAAACGGACTTGTACCATTGGACATGGAGATGGTGTGATAGGGCCGCGCAGCTTGCTCACGAACATATGACTGACGCCTGCGCTGTCACCACTGGAGCAATATGGGGTGATAGGTAAGTGGAATGGTCAATTGCCATCAACAAGGGGGACCGTTAGCATTCCAATCTCGCTTGCCACTGCTCCGGGAAGCCTTGAAAATGTGTGTAACCTGGCCGGAGGAAGGCCAACTTGTCAACCCGGGGCTCAAGTAAGCGGGATCGTTGCGCGCCGCAGAAAGGGGGTTCTAGGCAAATGAACTATGCGCAAGATCAACCCAATAGAGAGTGGAGTAGATTAAAGAATGCCTACCGGCAGCTTGGCTTGACTGATCTGTTCTTGGCAATCGAGGTGCTGGGATAGTGGACATGCACATACATGGGCCGTGCATCCTACGGAGTACAGGCGTAACGACGACTTCCTGGGAAAGCTGAAGAAGAATGAAGACGTAGCAAAGCAACTAGCAGTGCCGAGACCCGTCGAACGTTGGTCACGCGCCCACCATCCCCTTCTCTCTCTCTGGTTATTGAGATCGGACGGTCCGGATATGAATCGACTTGATCGAGTCTAGGGCACCAGTGCCCCGAACCAACTTTCAAGTCTCGCGAGACTGCAAGGGGTAAAGGCCAAGAGTGGACCGGGGGATAGAGAGTAGTTTGGAGGTCATCTATCTACTCCGTAGTATCCGGTGTACAACGGGAAGAAGCCCCTGTCACTGCAGAGCAATGATAAATCAAGGGGAGGGGAGTGGTGTCATTAATGATCAATCATTAACTAGCCATTGACCATTGACCATTGTTCCTTATGATGGGGGCGGAGGGTCCCGGATGACCCGAAGAGGGGTAGATGCTAGAATCTCCAATTCCTAGAATGAAGATGGAGAAAGGGGGGGAAGTTGGGATGACAGGCAAGACATGGAGACATGAAGAGGGCAGGGATCACGGGACCCAGATTGGGTGGTAGCTGTTACGTAAGGGAAATGCTCGTCGAACGTGGCTGCGTCCGGGGGTTGTCCCTTCCGGAAGGAGTCACCGCCAGGTCACAGGTACAGGGCGGGACTGAGCGAGGGCCACGGATAGGAAAGTACCGGGTACTTCTCGCTCGTCCCGCCCAGGAGGTCCTTGAAGGGGTCACGGGGCCAGCGGCGATTTTCCATTATGTCATAGAATGACGATCCGTTCACCTTCATCACTTCATCGTTTCTCCTGATCGTCAAGATGAAGTGTTCTCTGGCCATTCTGACTTTTCGTCCAGTTCGCCTCATGATGAATCACCAAATCATGTTGTTTGTAGGCTCACACTCAGATGCAGATTCAGGTTCAGGTTCAGGTTGAGACTCAAGCTGGCTCAGACAGAGTCGGTCTCAGCATCCTCCGCGGTGTTCGGAAGGATGCCCGGCGACAGGGATGTTTAAACGGCCCCGAGCACGTCTAGATCTAAGTATAGTCCGCCCTGCGTAGGGCTTCTTCCACTGGGATTTTGCAATTCCATACGCTCATTCATGCACGGCGTCCAGTAGAGATCATTCTGATTTCTGAGCAAAATTCAATTTCTTCTAGAAACCCTAGTGATGCAGGATAGCAAAGAAGAGAATAAAAATAAAAACAAAATGATTCACTCTCTGACCGAACAAGTTGGCAAATTGGCAACAAAGAAAGACAAATTAATTAATATGATTATTATGGGACCCGACGGCCTTACTTAACAGAAACCAACAAGCTCAGCTGCAGCTTCTTCCGCTCCCAGTAATTCCAGTTCTTTTTTTTTTTTTTTTTCTTTTTCTTTGCTGTCCTCCCTCCTCCTCTGCCACTGACTTCATCCTTCTCCTCTCCTCTTATCTGACTTTCCACCCCCTTCAAAACTCCCTTGAACTCTCTTGATTGTTCAAACAACCTGAATCAGAACCACTTCCGGTGACCACCTTCGGGGTTAGGAAGTGCAAACCTGCCAATCCGACGACCGACGTCCGACCGGCCTCCACTCCTCAATCAATTCCAATAGTAGCGTGCCCGCCTCTCGGGGGGCGTGGCCAGTGTTCCATCCGCCGCAATCTGTGACTAACAGCTTCCTCTGTCCTCTGCATTTATTATTTTCATCGTCTCCGCCGCCCCTCCCAATCTGCACTAGAAAGAGTTTGTGGAATCCGGGGAAGAGCGTGTGAAAAAAAAAAAGGAAAAAGCTTTTTTTTTTTTTTTTCCCTTTCTTTCATTTCTCTTTTGCTCCCTTTTCCTCTTACGATCTTTTTTCCCCCCTCTCTCTTAATTCTTTTTGGACCGGGATTTTTAATTTTATTTTCTTGTGTTCTCCCCTCTTCCCTGCCTATTCGTCTGCCTCTCCCTCCTATCGTCTTCTTCCTAATCGGGATTGGTCTTACGATTCTACCTATATAGAGTGCGAGAGGCCTGCCTCTCCTGTCGCCGTCATGTCTTCCGCCACTGCCTCTCCCGCTCTATCCATCCACAAGCCTCGCTATCCGTTTGTCCCTCAGGGAGATTCCTCTCCCGTCAGTCTATCTCGTCAATCCTCCCCTCGATCCTCCGAGTGCTCTTCGCCCGACGGTTCCCGATCGACCAGTCGCCGCCGTCCGTCGGTTGGTTCGATCAAAGAAGACGTTGACGGTATGAGACATGTCCTGGTCTCTGTTTTGTGTTCTCATGGTGGATGGCGGTAACTGATGGACTTTCGTCGCGGATGTATAGGCATTGCGCAGTCCTTTGTGGACACGCACATCGAAGAAGAACAGCAGCCCTCCAAAGAACAGCAAAAGCCCAGTATCGCCGAGATGCAGCCCACTCCCGACTTCTGCTGCCCGTGCGGCGGCTTCCTGGGTTGGAAACAGATCCGACTGGGTGGGAAAAGCCTGAGCCGAAGCTACAGTGATCTTCGCCACCTGGGACAGATGCACGCACGCGGTTGGGCCTGGGAGGCTTCTCCGCCGCCGAACGACCCCCCGCCGACCCAGACGCTGGCGGTGGAAGAGGAGGTGGTTGTAGAGGAAGAGAAGCCGATTCCCGGCACCTCCCGTTTGGAGAAGCTCCCTCCGGAGGTGCTTGGTAAGTATTCGTGCCTGCCGCATCTCCCCTGCTTCAATACCGACGGTCTCTAACGGATTTCCGCACAGACCAAATCATCTCTAAGCTGGCGTTGGACGTCCCACCCAATGGCTACACGCCTCGGAACGTCGACCTAATCTCCTGCCTTCTAGCCTCGCGTACGTTGCACGCGGCCACCCTCGCCGTGTTGTACAGGAACATGACCTTCCCGCACTCGATCATCTTTTCCAAGGCCCTTAACCATATGTCCCAGTACCCGGCATTGGGAACGCTCGTTCGTCGCCTCGATTTCTCCCACTTTACCTCCGTCGGACTGGGCCGGACGAAGCAGATGAACGCCGAGATTCAGAATTTGACCGCGACCACGCTCTTGAAATGTTTGGATCTGCTGCCTAACCTGAAGGAATGCTTGCTGCAGGAGCACGTGGAGGGCGATATCAGCGTGGAAGTGATGCAGAAGCTGTTTACCGGCCTGCCCAACCTCTTTGCGATCGATCTCTGCGGTTGTTCGACGCAATCCTTCTCGGCCGTTTTCCAACAGTCGCTCTTCAGTCTACCCTTGACCATGCCGAACCTGAGGCGGATCTCGATGCACGAATGTAGCAGCCTTCCGGCCTCCGCCTTCGAGACCCTACTTCCCCGCCTGGTGAACCTGACGCACTTGGACGTTACTCACACGCAGATCAACGAGGCCGCCCTCTTCTCTATTCCCGACACCGCTCGGATCACGCACCTCAGTCTTTCCCGGACCATTCGTCTGCGGGGCTCCCAGGTGGTCGAATTTTTGACGACTCATCCGGCCGTCACCGACTCGCTGGTGTTCCTGAATTTGCTCACTGATCCTACGCGCTACCGACTTCTGGAGGAGGAGGATGTCAGCGCGCTGCTCCCGAAATTGCCGTCTTCGCTGCGTTCCCTGAACATCGGAGGTGCCAAGGTCACCTCGGCCCATACACAGGCTCTCATTCCCTTGACCAAGCATCTTGAAGAATTGGGCTTGGGATCGGCCGAGTTGTCCGCACAGGACTTGAACGCCTTCTTCACTCCCGCCCCTCGAGGTGGCGATGTAGCGATTGAAGCCCTGGAGAACTGGGTGCCCCCATCCCTGTGCTACCTCGATCTTACGAAGGCCTCCCAATTGACGTTGGGAACCGTTTTCAACACCAGCTCATGCCTCCTCCTTTCGCAGCAAAGCTACCCACTCCAGGTGATCGAATTCCACGAAAAGCTTATTGCTCCGCTGCGCGAGAGAACCAAAACCGCCAAGTCCTCTACCGGGTGGACTGTTCGCGAGCTTGGCCGCCGAGGATGGTATGTCCGGGACCCTGCCTCCATGCCGAACGAGGTGACCGACGACGGCGCTCGATCCTGGAAAATGGGGGCCAGATGGTGGGGAATGAGAAAGATCCCCGTGGCCGTCGGCGATGTAGGCGGGATCTACGGGCACTACATGTTCAAGAAATGAGTCCTATCGGGTTCGGCAGGCAGGATAAACTGCCTTGGTCTGGCGGCTCTGGTAACATGAGTCGCGAAACCTGTCATGTGTTTTCCTACCATTCTCCTCTCTTCTTTCCTTTTTGATCATTTCGTTGCTGTCATCTTCATATTGCATTTACGGGAGGATTTTCGTGTGTGGATATATTAGGACAAATTGCACCAGCATGCGCGGGCGACAAAAGTGTGGGTGGATTCTGCTGTCATGCCTCATGATTTGCTTGGCTTTTGAGTTGTCTGCATAGCGGGAGCGGTGTCTTTGAGCGTTTGGGTTCTCTGTCTGAGTATGGTCTTTTGTTCTGTTGTTGCGATATCCCCATTCTTCGCAGTTGTTTTGCGCGCAGTCGCTTGGCTTCTTTGTTTCTTTATCATGTTCTGTTTTTCCATCTTGTCCATGTTCCAGTCAGAAAGATGGTTTGGTGCAAAAACAAGGTGCATTGCTTGTTTCAACTCGGAGTTAGGCTAGTTAGGGCTAAGACAGGAACAGTTTCAATGGGAATGTTAGATAATGTCAAATGCTTTACCATTAATTAAAGATTCAATTACCCCCTAGGTATTCAAGACGAGGTCCAGACGACGTGACGTTTTGGGTAATTAGGGCTAGACGCACCGGGCGGAGTCACGTGCGATGCGGTAATTCCAAGAAAGCTTCGGAGCCTCAACGGTTGCCTTTGTCTCTTTCGCTTTCCGCTCCTTCAGTTGCCACGACCTCGTCGATCAGCTTGAAGGCTTCTGACCTTCCGCAACTGTCGGATACTCCGGTGGGATTTCATTCTCCCGATGGGTGTATCCCTATACGCCGCCCAGGACCTTGGAAGCTGTCGAGTTCCAAGACGATGGCACCTCCGAGCGGGTCGGCGGCATACAAGAAGAAAGATGGCACCCTGACCATGTCGCAGGATCGCCAGTCGGTCTCTTGGATCCCGGCTGCTGGTGGTGCATCGGGAACTATCATGTTGCCCGTGGCTCAAATCACAAGTACGTACCAAAATTCTTTTTATCTGAGCTGTTTCTCTCTCACTTTGAGCTTGCCCCAGGCGGGACTCTGGGTGAGGGGAGTGTCGAGTTATGCAGTTTCCTTGCCTGTAGTAATGAGATATACAAGGTTTTTTCACTGTTATGCTAATGCGATACACTTCTAGATTTGCAGCAAACTCCCGCCAGTAATCCCAAGGTGATGCTGAAGATATTCGTCCAGCCCCCCAACGCATCTGCCGGCTCCCCCGAACAATACGTTTTCTCCTTTACAGCCGGCGCCAACGCGCGTGCGGAAGCGGACGCCATTAAGGATGCGCTTAGTACAGCTATCCAAGCAGCCAAAACTGGCCATGCTAGCCCAGCGCCGGCAGCGGGCAACGGCGAAGGCATGTCGGCGGCCATGGCTATCGCGAATGCAGTATCGTCGACGGGCTCGGGGAGGAATACTTGGGATGACGATAAGAAGCTCAAAGCCGATGTGGAACTACAACAAGCCCTGCTAAACTCGGATCTCAATCTGAAGCGCATGTTGATGGAGTCGCTTACCTCCAAACCCGATACGATGACCACCCCGCAGTTCATGTCGCAGTTCTGGTCCACGCGAGTTCACCTTTTGCGGGCCCATGCCATCGAGCGAGCCCAGACGCGAGGGTCATATAACGTGCTGTCGACGTTGAAGCCGCGAGTGGAGGATAACGTATCGAAGATGAACATTAGCAAGGAGCAAATCCAGTTGATCTTCTCGCAGCATCCCCTTATCAAACGTGTTTACGATGAAAACGTGCCGAAGCTCAGCGAGCAGCAGTTTTGGTCGCGGTTCTTCCAAAGTCGTTTGTTTAAGAAAATGCGAGGGGAGCGCATCTCGGAGAACGACCCCACGGATCTAGTTCTCGACAAGTACCTCAAAGCCGATGAGTCTGGGAACCTGCCGCGAGAAACGCACGTGCCTAATTTCCTCGATCTGGAAGGAAACGAGCTGAACAACAGTCAACGCCGAGGAAACCGGCCGGATCTGGATATGAGACCGTCCGGCGCGGATAAGGTGCCGATCATTCGATCGCTGAATAGTCTGAGTGAGAAGATCATGGCGAATGTGGCGCCTGCCGACCGCGATCCTCACGCGCCGATTGGCATGGACGAGGAAACGTACAATGAGCTGCAGCTGCGAGATCTTCGTGGCGACGAGCAGCAGAATCGCATCTTGCTCAACATCCGGGATCAAAGCCGATTCTTCGCGTCCAAGTCGAAGGACGCTGACGACGAACAAAGCCGGCTTTTTGCCAAACAAGATCCGGAGAAGATCTTGCGCGACTTGCGCATCGAAGTCGAACGCGATCTGCCCGAGGACGGGACAGCTCCACTGGGAAAGCTCGTCGAGCCGGACGAGGACAGCGACGACGACGAGAAGAAGCAGCGCCAGCAGGTCGGCTCTCGGGCTAATTTACAACGAGCGTCGAATCAAATTCTTGAAGCCATTCGAGACCGTCGCGCGCAGACGGACGTCTCGTCTAGTACCGACACCTACGGCCTGTCCACCAACCTCTACGACCGCCTCATCCTGACGCATGCCACGACGACCGAGTTCTTGCATCAGTTTTGGCAGGCGTTTCTTTCGGGGAATGCGGACCGCGCCGGCGAAGTCGCATCCTTGGTGGAGTCCTTGAACCGGGCCCAGGCGCGCATCAAATCCGTGGCGCAGGATGCGGAGGCGGAGCGACAAGTGGAGGTCGATCGACTCAAACGACATGCACGCGAGGTGCTCGAAGCCACGGGGAGGAAAATCCGACTTAATCTGGGGGGAGTACCGGGGGGTGAGCAAGCTGTCAACCGGCTTCTGGGGCCCACGAACCAGGCATTGGAAACGGCCTTGACACGATACCAAACGGCGTATGCGGAGGAAATGAAAGAGATGCCACCGACTACATAACGAAGTAGCTAGAATTTCATGTAGTGTACAATAGAAGTTGCGAACATAATGCAATTTGAGTTCCGTTTGCCCTACAAAGTAGAGCAGGACATGGTGGTCGGCATGCCGAGAGTGACAGCGTCTGTAGCGGTGCTTTAAGCCTTTAAGAGGAACCTTCCCCACCGGACCTCGGCCCGCCTTTCTCGCGACGTGTTCGATCGACTCCCTCGCAGCTTTAGTCCCTCCTCCACCCTCTTCTCCAACCCGTCCATTGACTCGATCAACTTACGAACCATCCCCTCAGAGGGACAAGAAGAAAACCAAGGATGCTCACCCCCGGCCTCACCAACGCCCCGATCACCAAGCTCCTCCTCATCTACACCATCGCCGCCTCCGTCGTCCTCTCCATCCTCGACCTCAAGCACCTGTCCAGCATCCATGTCTCCCCACACCTCAGCCCGTACGGGCAGTACTGGCGCATGCTGATCTGGCAGGTTGCGGGATTCGCCAACTCCACGGAGGCCTTGTTCGCCGCCATGATCGTCTACCATTGTCGGGTCGTGGAGCGCGCCTGGGGAAAGAGCAAGACCGCGGTAGAGTCCCCCTCTCTTCTCCTCTCTCCCTCTTTTCTATATAGCCAACTAACTGTGAAATTCTTTCTACCAGACATTCCTCCTCTCCACCCTCCCCTACACCACTCTCCTCCCGCCCATCCTCCTGGCTCTCCTCGTGCGCCCTCTCTCCCTCAACACGATCGGCTATCTCCCCTCCGGCCCGACCGCCTCGCTCTTCGCCCTGTTGGCGCAATACCACGCCTCGATCCCGCACACCGTCCGATACCGCATCTCCACCTCGACATCTTCCTCTGACTCCGCCTCTGCCGCCGAGTCGTCAACGGCCAGCAAATCGCTCACCTTGCTCCTCTCCGACAAGTCCACGACCTACCTGATCGCCGCGCAGTTAGCGCTATCGCAGTTCCCCGGGATGTTGTTGCCGGCGGTGCTAGGTTGGGGCGTGGGATTGGCGTGGCGCATGGAGTTCCTGCCCGGGTTGTCGGCGGGCAGCGCGTGGCGGGTCCCAGCGTGGATGGTGGGCGAGCGGGAGAGTCGACGTATCCCGCGGAGGAGTGGACGCGGCGGAGGCGGCGAGTACGAGGATCTGAGGCAGCGGTTGGAGGGCGAGGCGGCGGCCGCGGCTAGTGGTTCGTCGTCAGTGTCGGCGTCGGGATCGGGGACGGCGCAGAGACAGCGGGTGAGGATGGCGGATGAGGATTGATTGATTTAAGGGGATTTGAATGGGTTGTTCAGCGATTTTTCGTGATATGTTTTGTTCTCTTTCTCTTTCTTCCAGACGAGGAGACAGAGAGGGCAGGGAGAGGTTAGGATTAGGTTAGATGTTTATCTATTCCTGGACATATGTATAAGGGCCGTATGGAATTAGGGTCTCAAACATGTCTCTTGTCTACTATTTTCTAGATCTCTCATGATACACAAAAAAAGACACCGGAGTAAGCACTAGATTACTCCATTGATAAGGATTAGAGGTCAATGTACCCGGAGGTACCTGACGGTACATGCAGTAGTCACGCAGTCATACAGCCATGTACTACTGTACTCCGTCAGGTCTGAACCCTGAAGACCTCCGCACAGACCCTTGCCGATCGGGATCAGACTATTGCGAAGGGTTTCACCACGGCGGGTTGTCGGCGCCTGAAGAGTCGGCAAGGGTGGAATTCCGAGGAACCATACTGATACATTTGGTGGGGACGAAAAGGAAAGTATCTTCAGGTACCGCAAAAGTCACGGGCGGGCACGAGAGTTCCTTCCGGATGAATCCAAGGGACTGCCCAGTTGGGTCTAGACTCGGCCTGCTCCACCGACTGGTTTTCACTTTAACTTCCGTTATTATCAGAATTGATCTTGAAGATTTCTTCCCATGACGATCTCTGCATGATGCCCCCTCCCTTTCTCGGTCTCCTCGTCCACCGACCAGACACCGTGGACATTTACCCTGGACACTGTACAGTCCATCCTCCAGCCTGAGATTTCAAATCGAACCCGAGACTCTTAGACAGCGCTAGGCCGGCCTTAAAATGGCCGCTAACGCCAACGACGACAGCGCTGGCCTATCACCGCGGCGGGTCTGCGCTCCCTGCCCTGTTCGCCAGACCCTTGTGCCTTGTTTTTGTCACTTTTGTGTCGACGTCCATGACGCACGAGAGGTTCTCAGGAGGGAGTTCAGTGGAGGAAGAGGAGGAGTCGAAGTAGGAGCAGAGGAGGAACTAGTCCGGTTAGAGTAAAGATCGAAGGCATTCAATTCAGCCCTGGGTACCGCAAAAAAGAAAGATACGCTCCGGTCGGTATATTTGCAATCCGACGCAGAGGGAGCCAGACGCAAACGGTGGCGGATGCGGGTTGCCCCCCCCGGAAGATACCAAATATAGAATGGAAATTTACCTGGATTTCTTTTTCTGACTGTCCTCTCTCGATCCCTTTTTGATTTTCTTCCCTTTCTTTCGATCTATCGACCTGTTCTCGGTTTTCTGGCGCCCTTCCCTTCCCTCCTTTCGTCTCCCTCCCTTGCTCCCTCTAACTATCCCTTCCTCTTCCTTATCCTTATCCTCGCATGCTCCTCCGTCGTCCACTTCCTTTCTCTCGTCCGTTTCGCCAGTTGCGCCTCCGCCACCATATCTGGGCTCTTTCTCTGCATGGACCTTGACTGCACGTTGCAGACCTCGACCCTTCCTTGAAAAAGGAAGACCTTCCCCCCCCCAATAAAAATGGCGTACAACGCCGTCTCCCAGGCCGACCATGATGCGACCTATAACGCCAGCGACTCTGATGCCTCCCGCAGTCCCTCTCCACGCCGTCGATCGTTCCAACAGCTACCCTTGGATGCGGATCACATCGGAGGAGGCTCTTACTTGCAACCCGCGAAGAGTCCCCAGGAATCGAATATCCCAAGTTTAGGCTCGATGATCCGATCCATGACCTCCACCAGCTACGACATGGTCGAGGAAGATGACTACGAAGCCGTCGATCCTTCGGCGAGCCGGAGGTCTAATAGTCTCCGTCGCGTGCCTCCGCTCAACACTACCGTTGGCGCTACGACGACCGCTACCTCGCCCGTTGCCCACCCCGGCTCCCCTGAACCGCCTTTGCGGACCCCTATTACCGACACCCCCGTTCCTCTCTCCCACCCGACCCCCGGCCTCGAATCGCTCCAGGGTGCCTACCTCAACAATGTCGAACGTCTGGAACGGAGTGCCGAACGTCTCAGCTCCAGCTCGGCAGATATCGGAAGTGAAATTCGCCGCATGAACCGCGAGCAGAAGAAACGTTCCTCCAGTTCCGCCTCGAACGCGACCGCCGCTGACGGCTTTCCCACCCGGCCCAACATGTCCTCACGTCAGGGGTCAATTCAATCGGCCTCGCGCCTGGCACAGGTGTCTGAGCATGGTCCCGAAGATCGCTACTATCAATCGACGACTCGAGATCCCGTAGAACCTATCCTGCCTCCACCGCCGCCGCCGCCGCCGCCTCACAACCACCTCAGCCACGTCGACCTCGATTTCAACTACCATCCTGAACATCAGTACGATCTTTCGCACCCCGATGAGATCGAACGACCCGCCACGGCGGCCTCGACCGACACGTATCAACAAGCCCGGGCTTTGTTTGGAGACTTTGACGGGGTGCACTACGTGCCAGGGGATAGGGGCCATGACCTGGCGCGACAGGTGTCCTTGACGAGGCCACCACTGGCCCGAAACTCCGAGTCTCACAAGGAGCCTCGGACTGGTGAAGACATGGTGTTTTACCCTGCCCCCGTGCCTAGGATGTTGAACCTGCCGCCTCGTCTGTCTCAACGTCCCAATGCCGACCGGGAGAAGCGTCGCACACAACTGCTGGGATCTGTCCCTTCGGAGAATCGAAAATCGGCGCCCTGGCTGGCGGCGACGGATTCTCGAGATGGAGACGCAGCGAAGACGGAGAAGCAGCTGAAAGACCTCCCGCCCCAGCTTCGTGCCAGCGTCTTCTTCGAGCCGCCGGCTGCGACGCTCGATATCGACGTCAAGAAAGAATCGGCCGTGGCGACGCTCGATAGTATTCTCGATGCCTCGGCACACGCCCCCGTGACTGCCTTCACCGACCATCCATATGCCGGTCACCTGGGCCGGGAGGTTTACGGCAGCACCAAACCCAAGACGTTACGCAAGAAAAACCCCTCCCGCAGTACCCTACTCGCTGCCCAGCACTCCGACTCCGACACGCGGGCCAACTCACTCGCGTCACGTCAACCATATCTCCAAACAGAGGCGGAGGCAGCGAACATACATGAAGGGGCATCGTTACGCGAAGGGTCTCGTGACGGCCCTGAACAGGATGGAGAGCATCCTCAGGGTGACGAGGAGGAAGAGAAGGAGCCGGAGGTCCTGTTCACGGGGCCTCCCACGACTCTTCTGGCAGAACTGGAGCAGAGAAAGCATCAACTCAAGCAACGGAACCGCACTGCCGCTAATGATGCAATGCATTCCACTCTGCTGCAAATGGATGCCGTGGCTCAAAAACAGAGTGAGCATAGGCGACAGCGGCCTATTACTTTGGCCTGGGAGAGCAATGATGGTCAACATGCAGAGGACGAAGAGGACGACGACGTGCCGCTGGGTATGCTCTTCCCGGACAAGACGAACCCGGCCGACGAGCAGCGCCCGTTGGGTCTCATGGAGAAACGGGAGATGGAGGAAGGGGAACCCTTGAGCCACCGCCGCGCAAGACTGCGTGGTGAAGCGCCGCCCCCTCCGCCTCGCACCCCTGACAGGCGCCCGGTGACGATGTACTCGCAACAAGTACCGGCCCCTGAAGAAACCGCGGAGCCCGAGAGCGGCGACGAGGGAGAAACTCTGGCGCAGCGCATCGCACGAATGAAGGCAACCAACCGCACGAGCACTGCGGCCGAGAGTGAATTCGCCACGGAGATTCTGGCGGAACTCAGTCATTTGCAGGGCGACGATGACAAGCCCAAGGAGGTTGCCCCCGAGGACGAGACGCTAGCACAGCGGCGCGCTCGACTGCAGAAGGAGGCGGAAGCCAAGAATTCTACGCTCAAGATCCCCAGATACCGCAGAAGCATGGCAGACATCCTCCACGCCCGGCGACCGGCCCCCGTGCCTCGCCCGTCATTCAACGAGGCCGCGGCACCCCAAAGACCCGCTACTCAGCGCCATCTCGATCACCGCATGTCCATGCAACAATTCCCAACGAATTTCGGAATGTCCGGGCGTGCCTCCTACCATCCTGGAGCCGCGAGGACGGACTCGTTCGGACCTGGCATGGCCCATCCGAACACGTTCTACACCGATGCGGTGCTGGGAATGGGCCACATGAGCTATGCCATGCCGCAGAATTACCATGCCAAGGTCGGCCCGGCGGTGATTGATCCCGGTCAGCGGGAGGTGATCGATCGTTGGAGACAGAGCATTGTATAACTTCTCTGGTCTCCTTCTTTCTCTGGTTACTTGTCTCCTTGATGTCTTTGAGCGTGCTTGATCATGACTCCTACTATTATCTCTATCATTAATTCTCCGCTGCTTAGCCATCGTCTTTCTTGTCCCTCCCCCTTTAGTTTTTATCGGCATTATAGCATGATCAGGATGGTCGGAAGCATGAGCCTTGGTGTGTCTAAATTAGCGAATTATCTTTGCATTGTACAGTAGTTTTCAGGGAATCCTTTTTTTGGAGCTAGCAAGGTGTCCTATATCTCCAGCAATGTCAATTAGGGCATATTTAACTATTTTATTGTTATCAAGATCGTTGCACGACAGTTGAGAAATGCAGCGGTCTAACGGGGGCACCGCATGCGGAAAGGAAAAAGGGAGAACAAACATTCTTCCGTTCCTGGATAACCCAGCTCGTTTCTTTTTCTATTCTTCCTACTCATTCTCATCTTCATCTTCAATTATTCACTCTCCAAGGCCATAATCGGGCAGGGAATGGTCTCCCACCGTCGAATCGACTGATTTGCTCGTGTTTCCAACTAATTAATTTCCAGTGCTTCTATTCTTATCGCACCGCCTTTCTAGGGTGAGACAAGGTTAAGCTGCCCCACGCCCTGCAATTAATCTGGCGCCTCCGTGCAACGCCTGGAATAATTGCGCGCGCACACCATGGCCAATTTTTGCGTCGTCTAAACAGAGCGTTCGCTCGGATAAAAGCACCCTGCGTGCTTTTGGAGCGCAGACTCAAGGATGCCACCCTCCACCGTTTTCTCCTACTGGCGTCGCGACCATCGCCGATCGAGTGCGTCTCCTGTCTCGTCCGCGCAGCCCACGCCGGCCATCGCCTCCTCCACAAGAAGCGCCAGCAACCCGCCGCAGCTGCCGGTGATCCCTAACACTGCTGCTTTGCCGACGACCTTTGGGGACTCGTCTGCTACCACCGATGGTTCGAGCCCCCACGCCTGGGGTGACTTTTCGCCCGACTTCGACGCCGACAAATTGAACGTCGCCGTCTCCGCGACCAGCGTCAATGCGCCCTCGTCCTCGTCGACCAACCTCGCCGTGCCGCCCACCGCTGCAGACAATAACACTCGGCCTCACTCGAGTCCGGATGAGTGCGATCGAGATCCTTCCATTACGTCTCAATCGAACTCCTCGCAGCCATCCTTCACGGCTCCGCGTCCGGAACACGCCGATGGCGAATCGTCCAAACCGAACTCGCCCTTCCGACGGTCGTTTGGGAAGGGGTTCCTACATACGCAGTCCTCCGACAACCAGTCGAAACGCTTGTCGACCTCCGGAATCGCCCATTCAGGTCCTTTCCGGCTGAAAGCCTCTCCCGATAACTCTCCGGCGGAGAAGACAACCGCGTCGCAGAGGGAGAGCCGATTCGAGTCCGCAAGCCATCGACGTCAAGTCGATCGAGATGTCCCGGCAGATACTACCCACCACAAGTCCGGCAAGACGCGGCTACACTTGTTGAACCCTATGTCTCTTTTGGCCCGCAGGCGCTCGTCTCAAATCGCTAGTCCGCGGACGGAGGATGTGAAGATCGGTGCTCGCAATCTCGTGCCGGCCATTCCTGATGACTACGATCCTCGAATCCGCGGAAACATTGTCCACGACTTCTCCGCCCCTCGACCTCGTCGAAATGTGTCGGCCGCACCCGTTCTTCTACGTGAAGCCGCAAGTCGCAACTCGAGTGATCAACCTCGACCCACGAACGGGACCCAAAGACATGTCAGCGATCAGATATTAGCGACCAACGAGCAGAACAAGCGACACAGTGAATACTCTCCGGCTTTCAAGGAGCATTTTGAGGATGATCAGCGAGCGCTGCAGGTTGAGAGCAAAGGCTACCTACAATCTTCATTACTGACGAACCCGCCACCTCGCGAGAATGATGCGCAATCACTTCCGGTTTTTGCCCGGAACCTACCCACGAGGGTACCGGAGCAAGAAGAAAAGCCCGAAAAGCCCGAAGATCCCCAGCCGAAAGACAGTCCACCACCCCCGACGACCAGCGAGCCCGCAGATATCCCGCAAGACTCGGACACGATCGATTTTGTGCCCCACCAGCCGTCTGGCTTACCAAAGCACCTCAAGAGCAATGCTTCTCGGTTCAGCTTTGATATGAACGGCGTAGAGTCATCAACGCAGGAGAAGCTTTTGGAAGAAAAGCACAAGGAGAAGGAAGCCGCACGGAGAGCGAAGGCTCGACTGGAAGACCCCGAATTCAGTGATGGAGAGGATGACTATGATAACGAGCTCTTGGATGACTTGGATGGTCTGGAAGAGAAGATCCCGGGTGTGAACGCCGATGCAGACGAGGACGATGAGTTCAGCGGCTTCTCGGGCCCTGGTGACATCCTAAACAAGTCATGGCTTGCTCCCGGCCTATCTCCAGTCATTGCAAGTCCTGTCAGCCAGAATGCCCCAAGTATACCCCCCACTGCGCCTGGACAGAGTCATCTAGCTCTTGATCCTGCTCCTGCTTCCGCACCGAAATCAAAGGACAACGAGTACCCCACCTCAAGTCTCTCACCTTCGTCGGAATCACCAGTCGAGGTTCCACCGCCGCTCCAGCCGTCGAAGTCTCCGGCGCAGGTGTCACAGATACCGACAGGACCTCCTCCAAACGCGACTCAGTTCCTTGATGACGATGATGATCTTTATTTTGATGACGGTGAATTCGGTGATCTCACGGCTGACGCCGGGGGTGAACGGTTCGATGAGTCCATCTTCGACGACGAGACAAGTCATCTCTACGACCGAAAACGGACCTCTGAACCCACCGCTCCGGTCCCTCAGCAGCAACCGGAGAAGAAGGATGAGTTGAATGATGCACTGTCGTCTCTCGGTGGCCTCAGTCTGGAAGCGGGCCCTAACGGTGGACTCAAACATGTTTCTAGCATAGCCAGCGAGTACCGGCCGGGCTCTAGGAAGTACTCACATGTCCCGGGCGATATGCAAGATGCGGGAGCGGCGAAGGCCCATGGGGGTGTGCTGTCCGAGCACAACCTTGAAGCTCTACATAATGCTTTGGCAAAGGCGGCCAATCAGACGGCCACCGATGACCGCTTTGACCGCACCGTGAGCGTGAGCGAGCGATCGTTGAATCGGGATGATGTTGATCAGCCTCTGAGCCCACAGCCGGGTCTCGTGTCGGACGACAGCCACTTCAATCAGTCGGTTGATATGGCCAGCTTCGAACAAGGGTTCGAGGACTTTGACTTCGACGATAACGACGCGTCGTTTTATGACGATCCAATCATTGCCGCCGCCAATGCAGAGGCCCTTGAAAATGACGACGAAGGATTCTACGGGCAGGAGTTTGGGTTCTACGCGCAAGCTCATGGCAACGGGGAATTGACGAACGGCGGATATTTCGGACCTCGTGGCGTTGAAGGAATCACTCGTAGCTTCAGCAGCCGGGGCAAATTCCGAGAGCCCAGCCTGACGCCCATCACCGAGCGCAGCGAGCTAGGAAGTACGCGCAACTCCATGATTTCGGTGTCTGCTCACGGGGCGGCGCACTCGAACCCTCTCAGCCCCGGACTGGCACAATTAGTCGATCTCAGAGACATCGAGGACGATATCTCCCTCAGTGCCCTCATCAGACTCCGTCGGGGAGCATGGGGAGGGAGCAACGGCAGCCTGCGTAGCGGCAGCGGAAGCCCTCCTCCCAACCTCCAAACCGCGTCCAATCGCGCCAGCTTCACCGGCCTTTCGGATGTGAGTCCCACCGTCTACAACGCTCCTCCGGACCTATTTGGAGGCCCAAGCACAAACGAATCACCAATCCGGGAAACCTACAGGGGCGCATTTACCTAAGACAAATCACCCGGGGGAGTTGTGTGTAAATATACGTCTCTATATATAGGGCTCTTTTTTGGTTTTGTTTGTTTGTTTTTGTTTGCTTGATATCCGCCTATCCTTCTGTTTAATGTTTTTTTTTTCTCTCTTCTACTTTTGTCTCCGCTATATGACGCATCCAATGGCGGGAGATGTTGGGATGTCTCCAGGCAGGAGCAGTCCGTGATCTGTACCATCTGATTGATACGATATAATGAGTTGACGCAGCTTGATTGAGCAAATTCCGGGAGGCCACATCAGTGTTTTCTATTCATTCTAATATATGATTATTCCCTGGAAAGTATGACCGGCAGTGATCTCATAGGCATTACCTAAGGAGTCGGACGTAAACATAATCCAAACTGCTGATTGGCCTGAGGCCATCCGCAATAACCCGCCGCGGGAATTTCGCATAGCCGACTTGTGGCGGTGCGTCTGGCCGCTTGCAGGCTTTGCTGCAGTGAGGCATTAATCGTCGGGCCGCCCGGCAGCAGCAACCGGGATGAGTCAGCAGGTGTGGCTGCCCAGCCCAGCCACAAGGAAGGCAGCCCCCGTCATAGCGGTAGATCTCGGCAAACCTCTCGCTCCTCCCATCCTCTTCGCTCTCTGTCCTTCTCTCCTGTCTCCATACCTTACGCTTCAGGTGCTCTTGCAACCTTTTCTCTTCCTCCCTCTCTCCGCTCCGCTTTTTACCAGTCGAGTGTGCTCTCGCACTCTGATGAGTCCCGTTTCTGTGCAGGTGCTACGGCAATACTAGTCGACACCTGTGTTTTGTTCCTTCTTTTCCCATAGGTTACATCGTGCGTCTTCCCCGTCGTTCCTTTAGTCCGCCTGAAATCTCGGCATCTGCAGCCAGCACCGACTGTCGACTAACCAATCTTTAATTCTCACGTGTCCAGGTCTTTTAGAATACAGCGATCAGCTGAGACTTATATTTCTTTTTCATTTCCCACTATTTTAGAAACGTCAGTGTTGTATCTGGCGCTTTTCTTCTCTTAAAAAAAAAAGATCCGATTCTCGCGTTTCGGAGCATCTGGCTTGAACTTGTTTCCCTTTCTTGAGCTCCCTCGAGGTCCGGAAATTTTCCCGCTATGCTTCGTACTACAGCCGTCAAGGCCGCCAACAGTGGTGTGCTGCGCGGAGCCGCTTGCTCGGCCTGCCGACGACCCTTTTCTCTTGCCTCCACCGTCAGAACTGCTTCCAGCCAAAGCTCAAAATTCGGCGTGTCGGCGAGACGTCCGCTCGCCGTCGTTGACCGAACGTTGAATGGCAAGAGGCACTATGCTGCCTCTGCGGAGGGTGTGGTAAGCTCTACACTTTCTGGTCCTTTGTGATCGACAGGGTCGACGCGATGGTGTTCCTGTGCACACTGCAGCGCGAAATTCAAGATTTGACTAACTTGTACTGCGCGAATCGCGTGGGTGTTTATTAACTAGGATGCCAACGATTCCTTCCTGTCGGGCAACACCGCCAACTATATCGATGAAATGTACGTGGCGTGGAAGAGAGATCCGTCCAGCGTGCACATCTCGTGGCAAACGTATTTCAAGAACATGGAGGATGGCAACATGCCCGTTTCCCAGGCCTTCCAACCCCCTCCGACTCTCGTGCCCACCCCCACCGGCGGTGTGCCTCAGACGATGCCGGGCGCCGGTCTCGACCTCGGTCCCGGTACCGACGTCACGAATCACCTGAAGGTCCAGCTGCTGGTCCGCGCCTACCAGGCGCGTGGTCACCACAAGGCCAAGATCGACCCCCTGGGCATCCGTGGCGAGGCCGAGGCGTTTGGCTACAACAAGCCCAAGGAGCTCGAGCTCGACCACTACGGCTTCACCGAGCGCGATCTCGACGAGGAGTTCACCCTCGGACCCGGCATCCTGCCGCGGTTTGCCACCGAGGAGCGCAAGAAGATGTCGCTGCGTGAGATCATCGCCACCTGCGAGAAGATCTACTGCGGCTCGTACGGCGTGGAGTACATCCACATTCCCGACCGCAAGCCCTGCGACTGGATCCGCGACCGCTTCGAGATCCCCGAACCCTACAAGTACTCGGTCGACGACAAGCGCCGCATTCTGGACCGCTTGATCTGGAGTCACAGCTTCGAGTCCTTCCTTGCCACCAAGTTCCCCAACGACAAGCGTTTCGGTCTGGAGGGTTGCGAGACCCTGGTGCCCGGTATGAAGGCGCTGATTGACCGCAGTGTCGACTACGGCATCAAGGACATCGTCATCGGTATGCCTCACCGTGGTCGTCTGAACGTCCTGTCCAACGTCGTCCGTAAGCCCAACGAGTCCATCTTCAGCGAGTTCGCCGGTTCGGCCGAGCCCTCCGACGAGGGATCCGGTGATGTCAAGTACCACTTGGGTATGAACTTCGAACGTCCCACGCCCTCCGGTAAGCGTGTCCAGCTGTCTCTGGTCGCCAACCCCTCCCATCTGGAGGCCGAGGACCCCGTGGTGCTCGGAAAGGCCCGTTCGATCCAGCACTACAACAAGGACGAGACCGAGTTCAACACCGCCATGGGTGTCTTGTTGCACGGTGACGCTGCCTTCGCCGGTCAGGGTGTCGTGTACGAGACCATGGGCTTCCACTCTCTCCCCGCCTACTCCACCGGTGGTACCATTCACATCATCGTGAACAACCAGATCGGTTTCACCACCGACCCCCGCTACTCGCGGTCCACTCCTTACTGCTCGGACATCGCCAAGTCCATCGACGCCCCCGTCTTCCACGTCAACGCCGACGATGTCGAGGCCGTCAACTACGTCTGCCAGGTCGCTGCCGACTGGCGTGCCGAGTTCAAGCGTGACGTCGTCATCGACATCGTCTGCTACCGTAAGCAGGGTCACAACGAGACCGACCAGCCCTCTTTCACTCAGCCCCTGATGTACAAGCGCATTGCGGAGCAGAAGCTCCAGCTCGACAAGTACGTCGAGAAGCTGATTGCCGAGGGCACCTTCACCAAGGAGGACATCGACGAGCACAAGAAGTGGGTCTGGGGTATGCTCAACGACAGCTTCGACCGTAGCAAGGACTACCAGCCCACCGGTAAGGAGTGGCTGACCTCCGCCTGGAACGGCTTCAAGACCCCCAAGGAGCTGGCCACTGAGGTCCTGCCTCACCTTCCCACCGGCGTTGAGGGTCCTCTGCTGCAGCACGTGGCCGCCAAGGTCAGCGAGGCTCCCGAGGGCTTTACCCTGCACCGCAACCTCAAGCGTATCTTGGCGAACCGTAAGAAGACCGTCGACGAGGGCAAGAACATTGATTGGGCCACCGCCGAGTCTCTGGCCTTCGGATCTCTGGTCAGCGAGGGCTACCATGTCCGTGTTTCCGGTCAGGATGTTGAGCGTGGTACCTTCTCCCAGCGTCATGCTGTTTTGCACGACCAGGAGACCGAGAACACCTACACCGGTTTGCAGAACATCAGCGAGGACCAGGGGAGCTTCGTTATCTCCAACTCCTCCCTTAGTGAATTCGGAGCGTAAGTTTTCATCCCTCTCGCCCAACTTCCATTGTTCCGCGAGACCCAAACTGACCTAGTTTTTATATAGTCTTGGTTTCGAATACGGTTACTCTCTGACCTCGCCCAACGCGCTCGTGATGTGGGAGGCTCAGTTCGGTGACTTCGCCAACAACGCTCAGTGCATCATCGATCAGTTCATCGCTTCCGGAGAGTCCAAGTGGCTTCAGCGTTCCGGTCTGGTCGTGTCTCTGCCTCACGGTTATGATGGCCAGGGTCCTGAGCACTCTTCCGGCAGAATGGAGCGTTGGTTGCAGCTTTGCAACGAGGAACCTCGTGCCTACCCCTCCGCCGACAAGCTCGACCGTCAGCACCAGGACTGCAACATGCAGATTGCCTACATGACTACCCCTGGCAACCTGTTCCACATCCTGCGTCGCCAGATCCACCGCCAGTTCCGCAAGCGTAAGTGCCATCTGTGGCTTGTTTGATAAGCACTAAACTAATTTGTTCCTTGCAGCCCTTGTGATCTTCTTCTCCAAGTCTCTCCTGCGTCACCCCATTGCCCGCTCTTCCATCGAGGATTTCACTGGTGATTCTCACTTCCAGTGGATCATCCCTGATCCCGCTCACGGCACGGCCATTGACGAGCCTGAGAAGATCGAGCGTGTCATCCTGTGCTCTGGCCAGGTGTACGCCACCCTTGTGAAGCACCGTGAGGCCCAGGGTATCCGTAACACCGCCATCACTCGCATTGAGCAGCTTCACCCCTTCCCTTGGGCCCAGCTCAAGGAGAACCTGGACAGCTACCCCAACGCCCGTAACATCGTCTGGGCTCAGGAGGAGCCTCTTAACGCCGGTGCCTGGAGCTACACCCAGCCCCGTATTGAGACCCTGCTGAACGCGACGGAGCACCACAACCGCCGTCACGTCCTCTACGCCGGTCGTGCTCCCAGCGCCTCCGTGGCCTCGGGTCTCAAGTCCGTCCACTTGAAGGAAGAGCAAGAATTCCTCGAGGACGCCTTCAGTGTCCACCAGGACCGCTTGAAGGGCGAGTAAGTTAGCTAAGAAGGAGAGTTAGACGAGTTGCAAAGCTCGATAAGAAGGTATTGTAGCAGCATAGATTTTTTTTTCCCTGGTGCCGTGTGTGATTGTTTGGAGGGAGAGAGAGACGGCAGTGCCTACTCGTTTCGGATCTCCTATGTATGATTTTCCATTTGTTATCTGCATAGTTGCACGGTGTTGATACTCCGCTTGTGCTTGTGCCCGGAGGGGGCTTTGACATTTTCAGGTTTCGTCTCTGGCACAAGCAGCATGATCTGGCCTGTCTATACCTAGCATTTGTTTTCATTTTTTTTTGTTTCCCCTGTGTTCGATTTTTATTTCTGTGCATGTAAATTAAGGACTTTGGTATAATATCGATCTGTCTTTGTTTTCCCCTTTCCTATCTCTTTAGTTTCTTTGTTTGGCAGCTTCCTGTAGGAGCCAAGGATGAATATGATGTCATGGTCCGAATCCGACGGCTGAGTCAGCCGAGTATTTTTGCCTGAGTCCGCAGGCACCAATCACCTGATGCCGATCCCAAAGGGGAAAGAAGGCCCTCTCCGTTTCGTCGTTTCTCCGCACTGCGACTTTCCCATCTCTTCGTCTTCTCGTCTGCGGTTCCATGTTCCCGCTGCTGAGGCGTCTGTCTGCCGTGCTCTGCGATTGTTTCCTCTTCCCTGATTGAACCCAGCTGGAGATCTTTCTTTTCTACTCACCATGTCCTCGGCGGTTCCTTCGTCGGCCGTCCCTCAGGGCTCCTCCTCCAGTGCCCGTCAGTCAGCGCGCCAGACACGGACAAATCCATCTCGCACCTCCAAGACCCAGGGGCGCTCATCTTTCGCCTATGGACACTCCTCGCTGGCAGACACGACCCCCACGCCTCCCATCCCTCACGGATTCTATCCGGCCATCACACATTTCACCGATGCCATCGCCGCCCTACCCCGAGAATTTCGCCGGCACAATTCGTTGCTGAAAGAGGTCGATGCGAAGGCATGGGCCTTGGAGGATAATCTACTCCAGCTACTCAAGACCTCGTCAGAATCACAAGCTGTTCCTTTTCCTCCGAACCCGGCTCCCGTCATTGCTGGGGCGGTGCGCGATGATCTCTTGCCTGCGGTGGGTCAATGCCAAATCCAGTTTTTCTGCCCTCTTTCGCGCGAAGAGGAAGCCATTAAGAGGGTTCTCGATGACGAAGTCTTATTTATAATATGCTGACTTTTCTATCTGTGATGCTTGTATTAGGGCCTTCCACAACAACCCGAATCCCAGGATAGCAGAAACCGTCGGGTTCTCTTCGATCGCGTACGGCATACCCTCTCGGACCTGATGATGACGGCGGATGAGAAAAACCATGTGATCTCCAATGCCAACGATGAGCTGGATCGCCAGCTTCTGCGTCTGGATACCGTCTTCCCTTTCATTGCTGGCGAGATCAGCGATGAGGCCCGCCTCGGCAGTCTCACCCATTGGGCCTACTCGAATCGAAACGCAGCCGCCAAGGCTGCTGCCAATGAGCGTCCTCGCCGAGAGGCCGCTTCCAACAAGGATATAGTTCATGCCATCCAGGAGGCTGAGGCGGCGTCGCGAAGCGAGGCGCGACGTGAAGCTGTCATGGCTCGGCGACAGCGCCGGGCGCACGGCGAGTCCGATCTGGATGAGGTTCGCGCCGCCGGCGGTCGCAAGGGACAATCGAGTAAGGCGCGTGCCACGGCCGCGGGCGATTCGTCGGCCACTGGTAATGCGCATGCAACGACCGGGACGTCGGGCCAGACGAAACGTCGCAAAGTTGAGCGGCCCCCTCCCGTGGACACATCGACTGCCATGGAGCGCTCAGCCAGCGGCAATGTGTCGGGCCGGATGGCCGCGAAAGAAGGGTCTGATGGAACGAAGAAGAGATCCCGGGCACCGAATACGAACTCGGCTGCCGCACGCAAAAGGTACGGAGGCTTGAAAACGGGGGAAAGTAAGGGAAACATTGGCTGACTGGAAGTGCAGGAACAACACCGGCGTCTCAACAACCGAGTCGCCCATTTTGGCGCCGTCACCGGTTGTCGGTGCTGCGGCCATACCCCGAAGCGCAGCCAGTCCAGGACCAGCTCCCGCCGCTGCGCGACCACAGTCGTCACGAACTCAACAGAATACCGGCCAAGCCGCCAATGGTCGTCAAAGGCCCTCGTCATCGGCCTCCAACCGTGTTAACAGCAACAGTATGTGTTCGTGTTCGTGTTGTGTTTACTTAGCATGTGACTAACAAGTATCGATACAGATAAATCGAACGAGGCGAGGACCACACCGAAAGAAATCGCCTCCAAGGCTGATGCTCTACCGCCGCCAATCCCCGATACAAAGCGGAGGGAAACAGAAACCGAGCCCGCTGATGCGGCTGCATCGTCAAAGGTTCCCACTCCTGTCGGGACAAAACGTGACGACACGGACGGTAAACCCACCGAGTCCATTGAGCAAAGGGAAACCCCGACATTGCCGCCCTTGAATACGGCGCCAAAGGGGCGATCGTCCAAGACGTCGACTCCGGTTACGTCGACTTTCTCTGAAACCACGACTCAGCAGCGGGTCCGGGCTACACGCAGTACGGACCCTGCACCCGCCAAGCGGTCCCAGAAGAAGAATGGCAGTACGCCGGTGGTGCAGCCAAGGGCACCATCTGAGGAAGAAGAATCCCTTCACGAAGGGGATGATGAGGACGAGGAGGGCGAGCCACGGTACTGCTACTGCAACGAGATCAGTTTCGGCGAGATGGTTGCGTGCGACAACGACGCATGCCCGCGAGAATGGTTCCATTTGTCCTGCGTTGGGTTGACCAAGCCACCCGGCAAGAATGGTAAGTCCGCCTCGGTGACAATTAGAATAGAAAGGGCCTAGCTAACATGATGCAGTCAAATGGTATTGCGATGAATGTCTTCAAAATCTGCGACGCAGTCGAAGTGGGCGGTAGATGACGATAACGAAGCGACAACAGATCAGAAATTCGATCAAGCGCGCGGTTTCCTTAATCGATATATGTTCGGGTATATACATAGACTTGAGTCCAATTTTATTTCTTTATTGGCTATTGGGCTTTTTGCCAGTCTTGGTTTTGTATTTGCCTAAGTTTGGCACCTTAACGTGTGCTCTGGTCATGCGGAAGAGGATTCTTTTTGGATCTCCCTCTTCCATCCGATCTACACATACATGCTACTCGAGAATTCGGAAAGTGAGACAAGCGGACAGTTCAGCAGTTGTAAGTTCAAGTTTGAAATGATTGGCCATAACAAGAGAGGGTTACGTCTTCATATTAAGCGTGTGAACAAGATACTTTTGGCAATACGTGCCTAGGAGAGTCGATTTGTTGAATGGGTGATGGTAGTCCTTGAACGATGTTTGATATGCTGTCTGATCTTATGGAGGAATAAATTATCTAGGGCATAGAATCTAGAGAGCTATTGTTTTATTTTGATATCAGACCAATTTGGGTTAAATTAAACCTCCTGACAATAAGGTAGTTGTCAATCTGGATTATAGATATACAAAGCACCGCACCGTAATATGCTCGCTTGGGGTTTAAAGGGTCAGCATAAGTAAATACTGGCTTCAGATCTTGGAACCTTCTATTGCGAAGCAACATGATGATCTGTATATGCGAACGACGTGTAATACATAACAATTTGCTGCAAGGAAACAACCTCCTACAAAGATATGCACATGTAGTCTTGCGGCTAGTGACGGGGAAGCCCTGTCCTCCACACCCCAGGGTCCTAGATACGAAGGCTGGCTTGGCTAAAGAACTATACAAAGATAGTAAGAGTCGGGGTTGAGTAGATTTAGAAAGGACACTAATATACCCCGATAGGATATACACTCGCAAAATAGGAGCGAAATGGACACAAAGAGTAGAAGCTGCTGGGATGTATATCGTAAAAGGTGCAGGTCTAGTGTGGGATTTCTGCTTGGCCAAGCTCATCGTCCTCTGTCGTACTTTCTTGAACATATTCTCCCTGCATTTGTGGTAAATGCCAGGGTCTCCAGGTGGGAGAGCTACTCGTCAACTCCTCATATTCTATCAGACGCCTCCCTCCTTCGTAAAAAGGCGGGTGTCGCATATCATAAAACAAGGGCCACGGTCCTTTGTCACTGCTGCTCAACTGCAGGTATTGCTCAAACGCCTGTGCGTCCACCCGCGGATCCCTCCGCATAAGAAAGACCTTATGCTTCCGGGTAATGAAATGGATTGGGCACTTCTCGTCGAACTTCCCGGAAATCTCAGCTCGAAGTCCCGGATCGCACTCGTCTAGGAAGAGATCGTAGCAGATATCCACAATGCGTCGAACGCCGACCATTTGGATCACGATCAGCTGTACACTAAAGCCCGCCGTTTGTTGTCCAATTTTCTGGATTGCGGCAGTACTGAGCCTCTCAGTGACGGACTGCGCCCAGGGAATGACAACGGCAGAGCGTCGGGACTTTTCGTCGCGATATTTAGTTCACACGACGCATCGTAGGGTGAGGTTGGTCTTCAGTGCCGCTTCGGTCTCGGGAGAAACTTGGATCTCCAAGTCCGGCATGGCTGCGATAGTACGAGTTGATTGCAGATGAAGTGCTTGTAGTAGTGGTGGATGGGGAATGGATGAGGGGTGAGTGGGAGACTATCTATTCGGTCGGCGGCTAGAAGGTCACGTTCTGCTTCTACAATACTACGTTGGAATTGAGGGCTGCCAAAGACAGCTTAAAAATAATACCCGAATATTCTGGAAATTGGAAATGTTTCTCCTACGGGTGACCTTGCAAGCTGTTTTGTGTACTTTCAAGCAGGACAACAAGAAACGCAATTTGAAGTACGTATGTACATGTATAAGAAAAGGCACGATAGCAACAAATGGAACTTGAATAGAAAACTGGAACCCGGACAATATTGACGGCATTACACCGTTCAACGAGCCTTGATTTCACTGCTCAAGGCAAGCGAAACTCGAAGCACGTCCGGCATACGCCGACTACGCTCTGTTGGTGTACAGAGACGAGGAGAGACTTGGGCGAGGAAGTGACTCAGTCTCCCAAAGGCGAACCAAATCCACTTGGGTGCTGCACACCATCTTGGCTCTGTCTCTTGTGCTTGCTAGCTCTCTCCTCCGGCGAACATGTCTGATACGCAAGACCTCCGCTGTGAGTTAATTAGGGGTTCATCTCAGATGCTCATGTCAACGATGGACCTCTGGGGGGTTGGAATATCAGATGTCTCCGTAAGCTCTATCAGGCAATACAATATGCCTGGGGAAGTTATTAGGCAATAATTGTAATCGCAGTCGTAATCGGCTTAAGCGGTGTGATTTGGACGAAATGTTTGATAGATGACCGAAGAACGCCTTTTTCTCTCCTTCGCGTGCGTGCCGTAGTCCGGTTTAAAATTTGTGATAGCAAAATCTGACAGATGCGAGTGAGGCACAAGGCACCAACATCAATAGTTTCAAGACCTGGTGAGCCTCTTTGTTTGCAGCCCTCGGATATGTACCGCAGTCGGGATAGCGCAAGGGTAAATAGAAAGGAATCCTAGTCCCCTTGGATGAGTATCCAATGCTAGCTCAAAGGACATTTCTCAATGACTGGTAAGGCTTACTGCGTACTTGCTCTGGCGGCTGCAGGTCTTGCAAGGGGGGGCATACATCTAGACACAGGCTGATAAGCTGGCTCATAAATAGCGGCAGTTTGACCATTCATTCACAGCAACGAGGAGACTGCTTTTACGAGGCATGCGAACAAAATCTACAGCCTCGTGCTCGATAGCCTTAGCAGGATGTCGGCGAGCGACACCCACCAGGAAGAAACCGGTCCTCTGAACACAAATTTTGAAAGGCCACAGCAGAGCTCAAGATGTGCCAGGGGTCGAACATTCATTGACATGAACGAGAAGCCACAAGAGTGATGGCTATACTGTACGTCGATAGATTCCCCTTCCTTGAATTGGTAACAAAGGGCGTCTCGGTGGCTGACAGACAAACTTGCATTTAGCACCACCGTGGGACGTGGTGACGTACTGAACGATGCGATTCCTTGCTGGCCTGCATGGTGCGTCACGTTTCATAGGCGTAGTCCATCCAGAGCTGGATGCTGCATGGGAGATGTCGTCGATGGTGGATGGCGCATCCTGTATCTCCTATTGAATTTGCCTCGAGCAACAAACAAAGCGCTCTGGCTGGCAACCCGCCCTGGTCTCTCGCAGCAAACTTGATTCTAATCGACGAGCAAGCCATGGATGCTCTCCAGGGGCCGAAACAGAATGCAACGATACTGGATGGTAGGTATTTTGCCGTGGTGGAAGTGTTTCACTAGCTGTACTGTGTCGATCTCATTCGGAAATATGTTCACCGAGACAAGCACCATGGCTGCATGGCATTTCAGGTCTCGAAAAGCACCACCCTAGTTCAAATAGACTATTAGGTCGATCTTTTTCAGGGAATGATATAATGTAATGCGGCGTGGACCTGGCAGTCTTTGATTATATAGGACCAGGGAACGCAACGCAGCCGAGATTCTCCAAGAAGCATACCTGTCGGGATCTTGGGGCGATACAAAGATGAGTGAAAGATCATGACTGGAGGGCGATTGAGAAGTGTCGCATGTCTCATGCAGTACGGTCATTGTTTGTAGAATAACTGTTCTGATGATTGGTGTATTCACTTTGGGGGCGCTGGTTGGCCGCAGAGTTGATTCTTTGTTCGCACCGCAGCTGATGAAATAGCCAACAATGCCCAATTTCCTATAAATTCAGGATCGAGAGTCAACTATTTCCATCATTTCTAGCGATCACAGCATCTTACACTCTTCAGTCTTTCAGCATGTCGACAACTACTGTTGATCATCAAACCCTTGTCAATGGGATTTTGCGCAGGGACTTTGCTCTTGAGGTGTCAAGCATCACTCCTCTTGGTTATGGTCGCAGCAACATAGTCTTTCTGGTTGATCTTCTCAAGCCTACCAAAAGCATTCGGTCCCTGGTACGATACCGTGGATACCCAAAGCCTGGCACCGTGCCCATACCCAAGGATACAGTAAAGTTGATCTTCCGCTTTTTCAGGCCCTTTGATACCTACAACGAGGCCGTACAGGCGGAAAACAAAGTAGCTGCAATGAGTGTTGCCAGATCGGCTCTTTCCTACTCACATCTTCCATTGCTTGTTCCCCAAGTCTACGGCTGGGACAGCGGTCAGAACGAGCCGAGCACACTTGGATGGGTTCTTGAAGAATATATCCAGGGCAGGAATCTTGCCGCGGACTTTCCGAATCTCCCAATCAGCAAGCAGAGAATCATTCTTGCGCAGATGGCAGATGTAACGAAGGCTTTCCAGATCTATCATCTTCCGGAAACCGTGACCGGTTTCGGTGGACTTACCTTTGATTATGAAAGGCGAATGCGGACAGGTCCCCCGAGCTTCCAGTGTATCGGTGGCCCCTTTGATTCTATTGCTTCCTTTTACCAAGGTCTGATAAATTGGTATCTTGAGGCGTCGGAACGATATGAGATTATCAATGGCTGGCGAGACAGCGACCTCACCGATCGAATAGACCAGTTTATTATGAACGGAGCAAGTGAGTTGTTGGCGAGCCTCCCAACAGATCGTCCGACATTCATCCAAGGCGGCCTGGGTAAGTACAAGCCATCGTCGAGACAATGCAGGATGTCACTGAGACGGAAGCAGAGCCCCTCAAAACTCTATACAATCCCGAAACACTTCAGATTACCGCACTCCTCGATTACGGTCTTTCTCACGTCGGCATTCCCGCCATGGAGTTTTTGTACTCTTTCGCCGGGTTCTCCGGGTCCCTCACCGCGCCATTCGATAGAGAAACCGAAAGATTGCGGCATGCAATGCTACATGGATTCCCGGAAATTCCTCCTATTTCCCAGCCCATGCGTCTGGGTCCTGACATGTTTGGGAGCGGCCGCAACATTCAGTGGGGCCTTGCAAAGGCGTGGGAGGTTGAACTGGAGAGGGTTGGGGCCATTCGACCACGCAACACCGAGGGCGCCGACTTGCTGTCTCAGGTTCATTGGTTCATCCAAGACCTCGCGCCGTGGCATCTGTACGATCCCGACATTCTCCAAATCCGTACGAAGGAGCAACTCTTCGAAGCGCGGCAGGAAACGAAAAAGACCCTAGGGAAGTACCTGGAGACCTGGGGTTATTAGGAAGACGGTGGTTGTTCGCAGGTAGATTTTTAGGCTAAACATAGCCTATCAACGTATGAGGCGTGGGTCACTGGTTGTGCTGGTTGTGCTTGATGAAGGCAGGATGAGTCTATTGTATTTCTGGGATGTACATGTAGGTAGAGGTAGATGAGATGAAGAAAAAGAGGTGAACATGATTATCTTTTACTGTCGGATTGCCTGTTTAGGGCTAGCGTTGTTCTTACGGTAACGTCATAGATTACCCGTGACACGTGACACCGCGCGCCTCAGGAACGCGCTCGCCGCCCGTCAAGTTCAACGTCGTCGATCTCCAGCAGGAAATCGTTTGCATGTCCTCCAGCAGTCAAGATGTCTTACTATGACATTGATTCCATTCTAACAGATGCGCAGGTTGGTCATGTACCGGGCTTTTGCTTCCTTTCAAGGTCTTTCATGTCTCATTCTGATATTCGGTTCTCTAGAAATTGCCGTGCACGTTTGAGCTCGAAGTGCCAGGGCTTGGCATTCTAGAGGGCAATGCAGGCGAGAACGTAGGCCAACCGATCCTTGAGCATTATTGCGAAGAAGAATCGTATACTGACGCGACCCAGATCAAAGCCGGCACGCGAATCGACCTGCCGTTATGGCTGGGTGAAATGCTCTCTATCGGGTGAGTCTTCTGTCTGCATGCAGGCTGGGGGCGTTCCCGTCTAACCTGCCCCCGTCCCAGAGCGCGGCTGGGGACATCTCGTCTGGTTACACTAGATCTTCCTGCCGCATTATCAGAACGCGTCATGAACGCATTGAAGGCTGATCCTCGGACCATCGACTTGCGCGCGCTGGCGCCCCACTTCTACAGCCTGAGCGAGCGGGTACTGGAACTCTTCGAGGAGGAAGAGATGGTGGACGTTCTGAGTAACGTATGTCTTGACCGACTTTCTTGATCTCTGTCGTGGCTGTCATTGATTGGGATGTCGTAACTGACTGACCCTGTTTCTTTAGACTTTCAAGAAGCGTGCAGCTGAGATCGCTGATCATGCGCATAACCCGCGAGGGGCTCTCGGCGAGGGCGTCGAGTTCTTGCGAGGTCTAGACGAGACTGAGCGACAGTGTAAGTCAAACTCATCCGGCCTTGGTTGAGTGATTGAGATTCTGACTAGCACACGTGGGAAGTGTTCCGAGTGGCTCATGATAGTGCCAAGGAGACCCGGTTCTGGGCCGGGGAAGCGAAGAAGCGATAGAACTGGGGAGGATAGCGACTGAGCTGAGCTCGTCGTCTCTGAGCGCTACGAAACATGTTGACCATTGTTATGGAGGATGTGACATGACTTGCATCCGGTGGAGTTTTGGTATGCTGAGTGAATTGATCTAGATGTATATTTTTCTGAAGAGCCTTCCATTTATACTTCAATTGGAAATGGGTAGGAACACGTCTTTTGCGTAACAGCGGGAATAACCGAGTGTCGATACCAGCAAACCCTCCAGTGCAATGCAAGTATCACTACCTATAGTGGTTGGTCAAATACTATATTGTTGGTATGACTGCAGTACTTGGTGTAGCCTCGCGGAGATACGTCATGGGGGCTAAGTTAACTAGCTAGTAATAGAAATGGGATGACTTATATAAGCATGTTATTTTTCGCAAACACCGAAGTCAGGCCGAGAAGGTCAAGGCTGGTACCATTATTAATGGGCGTTAATATTGTTTCTCAGTGTCCAGGGATCGGACTGGGCATGTTCCATGGATGATGGATGGCCTGTGGCTGGTCGTCGCTTCGAATGAATTTTGAGACACGATGGATCCCAAGCGAAAGGATCCCTGGATTCGGCGTGGATGTCTCCAGTGCACACTGCACACTGAGACTGACTCTGAGTAGGTAGTAAGTACACCGTACAGAAGTACATCCATGTACTGAGTAGAAATTGAATTGAATCAAAATCTCAATTGGATCGCCAGCCAAGTGGATCCCTCCCGAATAGGTTAGACCGCGGGGAGTCTGGGCCTCCTGGAGGGCAACAGTCAACGCTGATTGGCAGGGGATGAAACCCCCGCAGCTGCTGGGCACTCCCGATTCGCCCAGTTAGGTTTTGCGCCAGCAGGGGGGTTCCTGCCTTTTCTTAACACTAAATTTTAGAATTTATTAATATTTCAAGATTTAATATTCAATATTCAATCAATCAGAAATCCGACTTGGACTGGGTTTCTTCATCTCAGCTCAATGTGAGACTCCTCGTAGAAGGACTCAATCTCGTCCTTATTTTCCGAGGACGATGGCCACGATGTCGGAGATGCCCGCACTGGAAGAATTCCATGCATTCCCCAGGCTGGCCTGGTAACGAAACATGCCGGCTTTCCAGCATTATCAATTGATCAACGGGCAGATCGGGTAAATCGTGCCTGGTGGGGATCCCAAATAATATACTTTATGTCACTCCCCTTTCTTGGCCACCTCCATCGACTCGTCACAGCGCCCTCGTCACATCTTTTTATTTTTTTTTTCTTCTCCCTCTTGTCTCTCTCCTCACGTCCGTGACTTCGGCTTCCGTTTCCCCTCTCTTCCTCTCTCTTCGTTGAATGTCCTGCCCTGCCATCAGCAAACTTGACCTCGGTGGATCCGTAATAGTCGACATATCACCTCCTCGCTTGACCCGTCTCCAATCGCGGTAGTTATTGCTTTTTCCCCTTGCGAGATCTATCCAGTTACCTTCCGAGCTGGGCGAGTTTGCGCCTTGGGTGCACACGCTTCTGCCGCTCTACTGCACTCTAACCCGTGCAGTGCGTCTTGTCAGTAATGCGCATCGTCTAGTCGAGGTTCCCGTCGTCGCCAAAATGGACAGAGATCTTCAGAGACGGAGCGCGGTCTCCGTGCAGTCGTCTACCCCTTCGTCGCTGCGACACTGCTCATACCCGACGCCTTCCTCCGCAAAAAGGGTCTCTCTGAGACACAGCCCAACGAAGAGTTAGTCCTGCCGCAATCTCTCGACCCTGGCCCAATCAAGGGATACGGAACCGCGCAAACCCTCAAGCTAACCTGTGCCCATCTGTCCATCTCCAGCCAGATCCAGACCGGAATCTCTTCAGCCTGCCGCCGTCACTCGTGTCAAGGGAGATATCGCAATGGATTCGCGGACGAGCACAGGTGCGAGCGCGTCTTTCAGCCCGAAGTTCCAGATCAGTACAATTGACCATTGTCCAGATATGTCCTGCACCGAGGACTTACCTTCGATGACCGCTTCGCCGAAGTCGACCATTTCACACACCCCTCGATCACGTACGTACCCGCAAGATTCGCAGCGATATACCGGATGAACAAACGTTGACCACAGCTGTGTTGCAATTAGGAACACCGGAGACCACCACGACCCTGGTCAACCCTTCATCTTCCCTGCTACAGGACCTTTTGAAAGAGCAACGTGCGTCGCGAGGCTCGCGAGGGGCGATGTCGGAAGAATGCGACGATCGCACACCCCGTACGCCGGATCGTTCCGGCTCTGATTCCCAATCCCAATCTCAACAAGACGAACCGGGTTCGGCGAGACAGCGCAAGATAAACAACGCCCTTTCTTCCGGTCTCAAGCAGCCGCGGGAGATGGGGATGCGGGAGACAGACCAAGTGGGTGGCCCGAGGTGAACCCTAGATCCGGCCATTGGCTAATCCTTTGCTAGTATATTTCGAAAATCAACAAGCAAAACTTTGACTTGAAACTTGAGATTTTCCACCGCGCCCAACAGATTATCGCCATGGAGAAGAAACTTGAACGGATGGCTGAGATGGAGGAGGATCTCCAGCGACTGCGACAAATGGAGGATGAGCTCCAGGAGCTCCGAGATGCCGAGGAGGACAACCTCAGGCTACGAGAATCGAATGAACAGTTGCGACAAGAGATCGACAAGCGGGACCAGGCAGTCACGGAGGCCGTGGATTTGATCTGCCAGCTGGAGTCCCGAATAGAAGAGCTGGAAGGGGGCCAGGATGCGTCTCGGCCTTCCACGGCTCGCGGCCCTAGTGATGACTATGACCTTGAGACACCCAGAAACAAGACCACTTTCGAAATACCCGAACGAAGATCTTCGAAACGAAGCTCTGCATCTGGGGACTACCGGCGGGTATCATCCAGCTCACGAAACCTCAAGAGGCCCCCGTCATTTCTTACCGACCGGAAAGACAGTACTGCGGCCTTGCGGAGCCTCTATGTCCCGGTTGACGATCAATGTGGAATGAGTGTGATTACAAAGTCGGACAGCCACAATTCTATGAACGAGACCCCGGATATTGAGTCACCAAGACTCAGTGCTTTGAGCGAATGCAGTGAACTAAACCCGTATGCCGACGGACTGGACCAAATCACGATCCCCATTCGAAAACGAGAGCCACCTTCGGAGAAGTCTGACTTGTCAATGTCCCAGAGCAGCGATTTAGAGGAGCGTCAATTTGCTGATTGGATCCAACCCCAGCCGGACCCCTTTGCGGACAAAGTCTCAAATATGAAGCCGCCACTACTAAATACTTTCCAGGAGTCGGATAAGCTCCGTGCTGACAGCGATGCATTTTGGAGTACTTCTAACCAGCGGACGCCACTAGACAGCGTGTTTGGGAGCACAAGGCTCCCGCCCACCCCTGATACTATGAGCACGGCATACGCAGGAGGCGGCAACGGGTCCAATGGCAGTGCTACCGCCGACAAAGGCCAGAGTGATCAGACTCAGTCTGTGAAACGAAGGCTTGCGCGTCCCCGTTCTGCCGGCGAATTGACAACGAAGCAAACCTCCGAATATAGCAACGTTACAGATGGTTTGAACACCAACACAAGCAAAGTTACACTGCCTCGACGCAGCCTTGACAAAGAAGAAATACCCGCCATATTCCCGCTGGACAGCATCACATCCAGAACGGGAGCCCTTCTCAGTCAAGAATCCATCATCAAGCCCAGCTTCGGTCATTACGGGGGCAACGAGATATTCAACCCCCATGGTTTGGAAAGGGTGTTCTCGAAGATGGATCGACATCACTACTCACCGGCAATGTTTGAGGCAAGGCAAAGAGGCCCCGCTGCATCACCACCTCTGACTCCGCAGGACTGGGTGGAAGCGGCAAAGTCAGGGGGTCCTGCCAGAGAAGATCAGACCGGCGTTCCTCCTACCGGTCCTCTCCCAGCGGGGTCACGACTAGTTGGTGCTCGAGCACCAAGCCAATCCTCTTTCCTTGGTCGACGGCATAGCATCGACTCGGCCGTCCGAGACACCGATCTTCCCACCGTTCCGACCCTCGACTTGGACTCGTTGGAGCCCGGTCCCAGGCCTGAACCTGATCCAGAACGTTCTCGCCGGAGAATTAGCCTTCGATTTTTCAATCGCTCAGGAAGCTCGCGACGTCTGCAGGACTCCCCGACAATCGACTTTCTCGATAAAGATGACTGTGCACCTGCCCCCGTGGTCCGGAAAACCAGGCAAATAGCGAATTCCAGGGCGATACAAGCGAGCCAAAGCAACGAAGACCCATCAACAACAGGTAATGGGAACCTTGGCGTGTCTGCGCCAACCTACGCAGATACCACGGGCGAAGAGGTCACCCACAGGACTCTTCCTCATTCTTTGACCGAACGCAACCTCACCTCGACCGGCACGGCGACCAAGAACTCGCACTCTCACGTCAAGGATCACAAGAGGAGAAGCTCTCTGGGAATACTCGGCTGGGTCAAAGGAGCCAGTGGGCTCGCATCTCTCGGGAAGAAAGCCGACCCTGTGGATTCCACACCGGCAACATCCCAGCCTAGTAAGAGTCGAGTATCCTCTCGACTCGGTCAAGAAGGTCCGGGTCCGGCCTCGACGATCCCCGAGGCAATTAAAGATCCGAATAATCTCGCGGCCATGAATATCGTTGTCGAAGACTTTGCATATAACCCCAAACGCATGTCCCGAGCGGAGGAAGAAGAAACGGGACGGCGGCCACGATATATGGAACGACGTTCACGGCGAGCCTGAGTCACCTTTTACTTTCTAACTTGTTTTTATTGCACTCCTTCTCTTCGGTTCTCTTTGTTAGCTCTTTTCTCTTTCTCCTTTCTTTTTCCCCACGAGTTTGCTTTTTTCTGTCGTTCACGATACCCACGAGTTATTTGATTTGACGGAGCTGGCATGAAGATTGTACGAATAGGATATGGGGTTTCGGGGAATGCTTTCATGGCCTTGATATTGTTTTTCTGCATTGCTCTGTTCTGCCGTTTCTTCCTTCCTTTCTTTTATCTTTTCCTTTCTACTTCTTTGCGTCGATCTACTCTCACTCTCTTGTTTCCTATGTTTACTGATTGAGGTCTATCATCTATATCTGGCTGGTCTGGATCCAACCATACGTCTCTCATTTCACTTATTTCAATTGAGGTTTCAGTCTATCATGCTGGTTGACTTTGGGAATTCATTCGGTCATTCTTTTAGTTAGTCAGTCTTTCTTTCTTTCCTTTTTCCCTTCCTTTTTTCCCTTGTCGTCTCGTTCAATTTTACTATTTTACTTATTTTTGGGATTCCTCAAAGGAAAACATCACAGGAAAAAAAACTTTCATACTCAATCTTACTACATATAAACTTTTCCCGTGTTCTACAGAACACCATAAAAACCTGTAGCCCTATTGATAGACAAATTGTAAAATTATACGCACAGAACCCCTCAGAAAACCAATTCTCCATTATCAATATCTCAATCTATGATCCAACTAAACTCCCTTTTCCATGCATGACCCAGCCTGTCACAATCTATATACATGATACACCAAGAAACGAATTCAAATCCCACACCGACCCTATTAAAACTCCATATCAGGTCCATATAAAAGACACAAGTATTCAATGAAAGAACGAATAAGAAGAAGAGAAAAGAAAGCAAGCAGATAATACATAACGCTTTTTCACCCTTTGAGGATGATTGACGGATCAGTACCAGCCCGTGCCGGCCTCGCCCAATTTCTTACCCCGCGGGTTCATCGACAACACGCGCTGTCCCGGGAGAACGTCATCAGTGATCGAAGACTCAAAGGTGCCCGAGATGGTGCGCTTGCCGAGCAACTGGAACGAGTCGTAGCCGTCGCCGTGCCCATTACAGGCAGCCCACTCGGGCGACAGACGCGGAGACGACCCGTCGCCGAGGTCACTCCAGCGGGTGACGACGATAGCGTGACGGAAGTACAAGCTCCGCGGGTCAGCGCGGTCCTCGGTGAGCTTGACCTCGACGAGGTACTCGGAGGGACACTCGGGGCAGCGGCGCATGGGACGACACTTGCCGCAGAGGGTGGTCAGGGCGTTGGGGTTGTGGATGCGGCCGTGGACCATGTCCTTGCCGCGGTGTTCGAGACCCTGCAGGCCGGCGGTCTCGCGCGGCTTGGGGATGTGGCCGAGCGCGCACTTGCAGACGTTCATGAGCTCGCCGTCGCGCCAGTGCGCGCACGCCGAGAAGTACGGCCAGTAGTCGTCGCGCGAGTAGAGAAGCATGCGCTGCGAGCTGGGCGGGAGGTCGGGCTCCGCGAAGCAGCTGCTGACGACGCGCATGAGCAGCCGCCCGCGGTGGATGTAGTAGCGGCTGTGGTGCGACCAGCCATCGCGGCGCCAGCGGCGCGAGAGCAGGTCGGCGGAGATACCGTAGCGCGGGGAGAAGCGGTGGGCGCGCATGACGAGCTGGACGAAGGAGAAGGGGAGCATGCGGCCGTGGGTGATGCGGTGTCGCGGCTGCGGGGCCAGCGGATTGCGGGCGTTGGGGCAGTCGAAGAGCGGGTTCAACACGTCGGCGGGCTGCAGCTTCTCGAACCCTTCGCGCGTGCGACGGTGGTAGCGGGCGCAGGGGAAGCAGAGGAGGTGGTGAGGGAGGGCGCGGTCCTGGGAGACGAGGAAGTCGGCGCGGAAGTCATGGTTCTCGGGGTCGTTCAATGCCATCCAGGGATCGAGGCCAAGCCGGCCGAGGAAGGCTTTACTAACGAAGGCGAGGCTAGCTCGCTCGGCGGGATTCAAGAACTCCGCCACCAGGCGCCAGAGAGCCGGCGGGAGCATGGCCATCACGGGCTCACCGGGCGGCCGGCGGTCGATCTCGTTCGCATCGTTGCCGGCGGAGTCGCTCATGTCCTGCACACCAATGGCGTGCAGCATGGCCGTGTGGTCGCGGTTTTCACCCAGCTGGGTGTCAAGTTGAGCATTGGCCTCGCGGTATTTGAGCCGATGGACCTCAAGCGGCGCAAGGGAGGGCATCGGAGGGATGTCATCGGTGCCGGCGCGCGATTGCAGCTCGGCTCGAAGGTCGGGCGTGGATGCGCTGTAGCCCTTACGGAGGACCTGGCGAGACTTTTTGGGCCGCAGGGCGTTGGCGAAGAAGGCCCGGAAGCCGCGCCGTTCCCCTGGACTGTCAGCGGACATGACGGGGGGCGATTGAGAGGTAGAGAGAAGAGGTGAAGCCGTGAGAGTCAAAAAAGATGCCGAGAGAAGCCGGATCGAGAAAGTTGCGATGACGAAGCCGCTGATGTAATGTAAGTTACGGGATTACCCGCCGGGACCCGGTAATTTACGCCGTCCCTGGCGAAGTATGAAGCCTCTACTTGAGTAGGTGTATACAAAACACTCAAAAGGACAATGGAATATCATGACATTAGATCCTACGCTATCGAGTAGATTCCCAAATTCTCAGTTTCAAATCCCATCCAAAATCAATCGCTCAAATCAGAGGCAATGTACAGTCAATGTCCGGTCTGCACTTTACGAGAACCGCTTCTCGACGGTCTTCCAGTTGATCACCTCCCAGATGGCCTTGAAGTACTCGGCCTTGCGGTTCTGGTACTGGAGGCTAGAGGGAACATTCACGTTAGCAGCGGTTCGGGCGACGACCAAGCAAGGCAATTGAAGAAACCTACTAGTAAGCGTGCTCCCAGGCGTCGATACCGAGGAGAGGCTGGAACTGGCCGACAACGGGGTCCTGGTTCTGTGCCGGGCGTTAGCTTTGAAGATTCTTTCTATTGAACGGTCTGAGTCAATCTTACGGCGTAGGTCTTGATGCCGATGTTGCCGGTCTGCTTGTCCTTGACAAGCCAGGCCCATCCGCTGCCCTGGATACCAGCCAGGGCGGTGTTCATCTTGTTCTGGAACTCGCCCAAGCTGCCGAAGCTCTCGTCAATGGCCTTGGCCAGAGCACCCGAGGGGGGCTCGCCGCCGCCAGCGCTCTTGGGGGCCAGGTTCTCCCAGAAAAGGGTGTGGTTCAGGTGACCACCGCCGTGGAAGTTGATGGCGGGCTTGAGGTTGATCTGGGCCGCGATGTCGTTCTTGGCCTGAGCCTCCTGCAGCTGCTCGACGGCAGAGTTGTAGCTGTTGACGTAGGTCTGGTGGTGGTTCTTGTGGTGCAGCTCCATGATCTTGCCGGAGACCGAGGGCTCCAGAGCACCGTAGTCGTCTGCGCTATCACGTCAGTTCCGAGCTGGCGAAAGCTCGTCTACATGAGAAGGGACACCTACAGGCCAGGTCAGGAAGAGTAGCCTTGCCGCGGGCAAAGGTCAAACCGGCGAGACCGGCAGACTTGGGAGTAGCCGAAGCTCCGGCGCGGAGAGCAGCGCGAGCAGTGGGACGGACGAGAGAAGCAGCCATGATGAATGGAGTTGAGTGGGAGGATATAATTAACAGGGTATCACAATAAGGGGGAAGTCAATTGACAGAAGTTGGGGTAAGTATGAAGAGGAAAGAAGAGAGAAGAGAGAAGAGCGAGGGAGAGAGAAGGAAGAACAAGGGAAAAAGAAGCGGGTCGCCGGGGAAGAACGTCATCGCCTCGGGACTCGCATTTCGCCGCCTCCGAGCTCCGTTCTCCGCTAAACATTTTGGTTTATCGCGAGTCTATCAACATCCAGCATTCCTCGTTCCCATCTACGCTTCAATCCACCTTCCATTTCTGTTCATTCGGTTGCTCCTTCCATCCCTCACTCGCTCGGGGCTATGGACTCCCCCTCGGACTCGTCCTTTGCCGGCCAGAAGCGCAAAGTCGCCGACATGAGCTCCGACGAAGAGGACGAACGCCCGACCATGGGTTTTCGCGGCTTTGCGCGAGCTTCGTCCCGGTCGGAATCGCCTCCCTCACTCGGTCTGGGTAGCGGCCGTCGCAAGCCTTGGAACAATATGGCGCAATCCGCGACGGGGAACTCTAGGGGAGGCAATAACAATGGAGGCAAAGGCATGGCGGGAGGCAATTCATTCGCCGCGCGCATGATGGCCAAGATGGGTTATGTCGAGGGACAAGGTCTGGGATCTGGTGGTCAGGGTATCATCAATCCGATCGAAGCTCAGGCGCGTCCTACGGGTGCCGGCCTGGGTGCCGTGCGAGAGAAGACAAAGCAAGCGCGCGAGGAGGAGAAACGAGCGGCAGCCCAGCGCGGCGAAACCCTCGAGGATAGCTCCGACGAGGAACGAAAGAGACGGCAGAAGAAGAAGGAACAGCGCAAACGAGAGAGCCGCAGTGGTACGGGGACCCCGGCTCCCCGCGCGAAGCCGCAATACCGCACGGCTCGTGAGATGGAGGCAGATATGGAGGGTCTGGAGGTCCCGAATGTGCTCAAGTCGTTGATCGATGCCACGGGCAAGGAACAACGGGTGATCACTTCCACAGCCGGCCTGATGACTCCTATGCCATTTGTCAACCAGGGCGAAGGCGAGGCGCTGAAAATCGCACAGCGGGCGCGTCATGACCTAGAAGCCTTTGCCGATGAATGGAAGGGACTGACGGAACGGAAGAGTTACATCGAACTAGAAGAGGCGCAGATTGTGGAACAACTCGATACGCAGCAGCTACGAGCCGACCAGCTGACGGAACTGATCACGGCTGTCGGGGCCCTAGAGATCTTCCAAGACGACAGCAACATTCGAACCAAGTTCGATGAAGTGACCGACAAGCTCGAATCCTTGGAAATGAAATTCCGGAACGAAATCCTTGAATACCGACTACCTGAGACAGCGGTCGCCGCCATCCATCCTCTGTTTCGCGAAGCCATGGAAGAATGGGAGCCTCTCAAGGAGCCGACATTCCTCGTGTCACATCTTCGCCGTCTCCAGCCCCTATTATCTCGAAAGAAGAACGCCGAGGAAGGACAACGCCAGTCTACGTCGCCGTACGAAACGATGATATATACCCTATGGCTGCCTCGCGTGCGCTCAGCCCTCCTCAACGAGTGGGACGTATTCGACCCGACCCCCGCCACATCTCTCATTGTCGCATGGAAGGAGATTCTCCCGTCCTTTGTCTACGCCAACGTCCTCGACCAACTCGTAGTGCCCAAACTCACTAATGGCATCAAGGAATGGAAACCCCGAAGCAGCAGCCGACGGCATCCGTCGTCCTCGCAACACAGCTCCCGATTCCCGTGGTGGCTATTTACATGGCTTCAGTATCTCGGCGAACGACACACCGACCCCAAGCAGGCAACGGGTCTTCTCTCGGATGCCAAGAGGAAGTTCCGCGTCCTGCTGGACACCTGGGATCTCAGCCGCGGCCTAGTCAGCGGAATCGAACTCTGGCGAGACGCACTGGGCTCCGAGTTCGACGTCTGCCTTCGCAATCACCTCCTCCCCCGCCTCGGCAGCCATCTGCGCGAGGACTTCGACGTCAACCCGCAAGACCAGGATCTCGCCGCGCTCGAGAACGTTCTCAAATGGAAGGACTTCTTCAAGCCCAACGTCATGGGCCTGCTCCTCGTCGCCGAGTTCTTCCCCAAATGGCACAACATCCTCTACATCTGGTTGACCAACGACCCGAACTACGAAGAAGTCGGCGAGTGGTTCTCCTGGTGGCGCACGCAGATCCCCGCCGAGATCAACGATCTGGCCATCGTCGACGACGAGTGGAAAAAGGGTCTGCAGTCGATGGACCTGGCCTCTCGTCTGGGCGACCGAGCCGCCGCCGAGCTCCCGCCCCCGACCACGACACGCCACGAGCCCGCAGACTCGAAAGAAAAGGCCGCCGCCCCTCGCGTGCCTGCCGAACCGCCGCGCAAACCCAAGGTCGTCGAGGAGGTCGGCTTCAAGGATATTCTCGAGTCATGGTGTGCCGAGGAAGGGCTCATCATGCTCCCGCTGCGGGAGGCACATCCCCAGAACGGCCAGCCTCTCTTCCGTATCACGGCCAGTGCGACGGGGAAGGGGGGCGTCGTGGCATTCGTCCAGGGAGATGTGGTCTGGGTGCAGAACAAGAAAGCCAAAGATATATGGGAGCCGATGGGTTTGGAAGAGAAGCTGGTGGAGAAGGCAGAAGGAAAGTGATTTCGTTCTCAGCCTTGACTATGTATTCGGAAGGTTCGAAAACTTTTTTGCTAGGTTTTTATGATATCCTATTTCGTTATTGTGTTGGCATGTATATGATAGATTGCACGGAGTGTCATACTTGAGCTCTTTAGGCACCTTTGCTCTTATTTTTGCAAGCGAAGGAAATATCCCGCTTTGTATACAATGATGAATCATACTATAACTGAAGAGAAGACATTGATTAAATACCTGATAAACAACCAAAACGTAAATTATCTACAGTCATCACTTGCGAAATGGGAAAAGAAGACAACAGATGAGAAAGAATAGAAAACAAATACAAAAAAATGGCTATTTGCAACGCTGAAGTGCAAGGAAAGCGTAAGCTCCAGGTGCTCCTTGAATACACCCAAGCTGAATTTTCATGACTTGTGGCTTTTCCACTTCCGTCCTTTTCACATCATGCCAGTATGTCCCAAGGCCAATTTTCATAAGATCATTAGCAGACCATAGGAATCTCAAAATTTTAACTGGTCCGAGCGATATTGTTGTGCTTCTCGTTGAACGCATTGACGGCTGAAATGAGCGATGTTAACCTCAAAGCCCCGCAATCAAGAGCAAACAATGTTCACTTACCAACAGCAATTTGTCTGTACAGCCAGTTTCGGGCACTTTCGTCCTGAACTGGGATGAAAGGCCCATTGGCACCCCCCTTGAGAATGATACTCATACCGGTGCGCTCCTTCGAGATGGTTTGGATATCGGTCAAACGAATGTCCCATTCAGTCTTGAGCTTCTTGGACCGCACAAGCATTATGCGGTCATACGTCAACATGACCAGCATGTCTCTGCTAGGAAGCTCCAAATGGGCGATGTAGTCCTCGTTGAAGTACTGCCCATCGTCCGAGGTCTTGAGCCAGAACTGACCTAAGGCTTCGCGTTGTGAATATGGGCGTACTATGCCATCTGTTCCGATGAATCGCGTCAGGCGAACGCGGTCGAGTCCCTCCGCGTCGAACACAGTCGTGGTATTGCGGACACCCTCAGCCAGGTCTGTACAAATATTAGTGATCCGATTCAAACGACACCCTCGTGAACAACTTACTTGAGGCCAAATCAAAGGCACCAATCGCAGGTTTTGTGGCCAA